TTATGAGTGCCGTGGGTGCCAGTGATACCGGTGCCAGTGCCTGCGTATCCTCCAGTCGTTCCATGAGTATTATGGGTGCCGTGGGTGCCAGTCAGCCCAGTGCCAGTGGCTCCGGTCCCAGTACCTGCGTATCCTCCAGTCGTGCCATGAGTGCCAGTGAGGCCAGAGCCGGTGGTCGCTCCTCTATGGTCGAGATCGGAATCAACACGAGGATCAAGTGCATTGCCTACACGGGAGCTGTGAGGACCAGCAACACCCTCAGCGGTACCGGCGTGCTGTGTGCCAGTGGTGTTGTGGGTGGTGCCCGTGGAATGGGTGCCGGTGGTAGAGTGCTCACCCTTGTCCTTGTTGATGTGAAGAACGTTCTTGACCTTATCTATGGCAGACATTTTGAAGTTGGGGTATGTAGGGTATGTGAAAAGTGCGTTTGGTGTTTTGAATTGGAGCTGAGTAGTTGTGTTGTGTGGTGATACAGAAGGAAGAATGATACTAGGAGGCGAAGGAACTCTTAAATAGATATGGCCAGTGACTCTGGCTAGAGCTGACGCTTTGAGAAACCTGTTTAGTTACAGCTGCGCTGATGCAATTGCTCTTTGCCCAGTTTAATCACCAAAGGCCTTCCTGGGCTATAGTCTCGCAATTACATCAGGACTCCGAGAGTGCACGTCATATCTTCTGTGCTGTTATACCAGTGCGGATTGTCGTCGCCAAATTCAGGTACAACTCCGCAGATCCATAATCGCAACCCCACTCTGCCGCCGCAAACTCAAACAGCCAAAAGCTCAGGTGTGTAATTCAATTGGATGTGAAACTGGTTCATGGAAAGGTCCACCCTGTGCCCTACGGAGCACATATATAACATCAACATCGTCATTACATATGTGGCTGGAACGTCATCGCCACTGCAGAACGTAGAGGGGTAGGCGGTGGCGAGTGGGCCAGCCAATAAAATTGCATTCGCCTGGACGATCATGTGGCTGGTGACGGTCTAAAACTTCGGCTGTGGCTTGATACCCACTTGGTACCCCAGCAGGCTTCTGTGGCGGTGTGCAATGTACCTAAGTACCATATCAAGCGCGTACTACAGCTATCGAGATGTAGTAAGTCCGGGATAGTATGGCCGGCATATACAGGGACAAACAAAGAGATACGATATGCAGTCATCATTCAGTTTCAGGAAACGACATCCCCGTATTCCAAGGATGCAAGATGGCCCAGGCCCAAGGAAAACTTGGTGTCTGAGGTAGATAATGTTCAGTGCTGCTACTGAAGGCATTGTTCACGCCGTGTATGATACTCGAGTAATGCAGTATGCACAAAGTGAGTACACATCTATACTCGGTGCTCTGTATATCGCGCCTTGCATAACTATGATCGAGTTCGTAAGAATTATGGAGCCTTTAACAACAAGAATTTGATTGATAATGCATGTCCAATTCACAGCCAATCGTTAGAGAATAATAGCATAGTTCCTTCCTGAGTATCTCTGCTGTAACTTGTAGACCTCTGCTGGGTTATACTAATAGTGATCGTATTAGTTGTACGGTACTAATAGCATACGTTAGCATTTCTAGAAGCTCTGAGCTCTTAAACGCACCACGGGTTTGGTCTTGCTAGTAGGGGTGACGGACTACGTCGCGCTAGAGACATCATTTCGGACCCGCAAGAAGAGCCTCAATGCTGTGTGAATTAAAACGGGTTTACTCTTAATGTTTGTACGTCTCCAAACTTGGGGAGCTCCCCTACTAGGGACGGGGGATATGGTTGCAATTTCCATACGTTTTCGAGTCCAATTTCTCATCAGGTGTGAGAGGATGTCGGAATATAAAAATGTTATAGGCTAAAAGGTCTGGAGGATGAAGAATTCTGCACTAGCAGGGAGATTGTGAAGGAAAGATCAGGAATTCATCAAAACGACTGCTGGCGCTCAACTAGGATGCCAAGCTTGATAAAAACGTCTGGTTAGAGATTACAGCAACGAACCGTCTCATCGCCAATACAACATATATACACATTTTTGACAGCTCCCTCTTGTCTACAGGTCTTTCCTGAAAACCTCCGTACCCCAAGGTTCGCTAGTCAAGTTCGTCAAGCCCACACTATTCTCGCATGACCTCCTCGAGCTCATCGGGCCTGGCGCAGGAATCTTCAAGCCCCCCTTCCCAGCTGCTTTACCAGATCCTACTCCGACCTCCACACCACTCTTGACCTTATCGTCCTTCCCAGTCAGCGCGCCCGTAGCCCCTGTGCCCTGGATATCATTCGCACTCTCTTGGAACGCCTTCAACAGCTGAATGATGCTCTCTGGTGTTAGGTCCTCATAGTAGTCATCGTTGATTTGGACCATGGGAGCATTGACGCATGCGCCGAGGCATTCTACTTCGACGAAGGTGAAAAGGCCGTCTTTGGTAGTCTCTCCGCCTTTGATACCGAGATGATCCGTGACTGCTTTTACAATCGAGTCACTTCCACATCCACCGAGCTGGCACGGAGTCTAAAATCGGCCATCAGCATACGCTACAGAAATTGGCCACCTCCTTGCTTTGTCATGACATACCGTTGTGCAGACTTGTACATGTAATTTTCCCACCGGGTTTCGGTTGTACATGGTATAAAACGTAGCAACTTCATACACACGCATCGGCGGCATCTCCAATAACCTTGCAACCTCGTTCATGACGCTTAGGCTGCAAAAGCCGTGCTGCCGCTGTCCGAGATCCAGTATGGGCATCACCGCGGCCTTCTTGTATTGTGATGGGTATCGCTTCAGGATTTCATCGATGAGCTTATTGTTCTGCTCCGTAAACTTGAAGGGGATTTTGGCATTGTTCACGGGGGTATCTCGATGCTAGAAGAAAGCCGTTAGTAGCTGCTGCGTAGGGTTAATTTTCTGGAGGTACTGACGACCGCGAGCGAACCACTTGCGACCGTCCTGGTGGCTGTGAATGTCCGGCATTGTGTTCTTGAAGCTATGCGGACTGGCCGGAAGGCACTTCTGACGAGGTAGGGAGTGAGTTTCGAGGCCATTGTCGCGGTGGTGGTGCGCAATGGCTTGGGCGTGGTTGAGGTTGATTATGGTCGTGGTGATGATGGTTGATGGTCGCATTTCAAATATTTCGATGTGATTGGCGAGATCCAGACTTGGCGTTGTTTTCATCATGCACGTGTAAATGTCAGCACCTCCAACAACCTCAACCTCTCTTTCTCTACCTAAGGTAAGGTAGGTAGGTACACTGCAAGTGTTGAAGGCGATGGAAATGCAACGGTGATACATGCAGGAATTACATTGTCATTAGTGTGTCAATATACCATTTAACTTCCAGTTCTAAAGTTTATTGAGCTTTGTTTTTGTACCTATTAGAATCATACCATTCCGGCCATTCAGCCTGTCTCCTTGACCACAGCCCTCCCCAAGGTATGGCAGATGATAGTTTCCCCATATGCAAAGATATTACTTTGGCTTGGAGTACTATGCTGCTTTCACTTTGCCTATGATCAGAAATGGGAGTACGAGTTCGAAAAGGTTTCAACTCCTGCTGGTAGGGATGTAAACATGGGGGGTTTTCGCGTCTGAAATCAATGTCAACCATACTAGTTCCTACAAACCATAGCAGGAATATGCCAGCTTAGTTTCCTTAATAATCATCGCTTGTAAGGCATGTTGGTTTGGATGATAGCAAATAGGGGTCTTTCCAAGCGGCCGACGTGGCGAAAGCGGCGATCCTGGAAATCCTTCAACTGCTTTATATCGTGTAGCTGGCTAGGGCCCATGAATTAAAGGGTATATGCATGCTATTGGATATTAGAGTGGCTATTGAGCAACAGCATAGCCCGACCAAAGAGCCCATAAGTATAGATTCACGGTCGCACATTTGCATCATTTCAACAATTTTGAATTATTTCCTGGGACCGCTCTAGCTATGATCTAAGCCTATTAAAAGTCTTCACCCTAGCAACAACTTATGTAGGGTGTCTCCATCGTGTGTGGCTGTCTTTAATAGCTAGGGAGGCACTTGCCGTAGCTCCCTAGCCTTGCACATATATCAAAACAAGGCGACGACGGGGGAGAGGATAGAAGTCGGTAGTTAGCCTGGCCTGGGGTGCAGCTGTTATAGATACAATGCAAGCAAGCGCATGGTGGTAGCTCGAAGTTACTAAAATCGGCTGCGAAAGTAAGAGGATCAGAAACAAATGCCACGCGTGGAGCCCCTTTTCCTACTCTGCCACTAGCTTTTAGCAGATAAAGGTACACTTAGTCTTATATAGGAGCTAAATAACCAGCCCATAGCAGCTTAGTGAAGCTCGGAACCTTTATGATCTCTAAGCTACCGAAACATGGACACGTGTTGAAATATCAATACAGTGTCGAGGTTAGCAGACATCGAAACACTAGCAATCTCTACTAAATTTACTAGAAAACCTTTTACTAGTTAATCTCGTACCATAACCACATCCACGTAGTCAGCTTAACTCACGCTGGTGGATCTTTGGAAACTCTGCGCTTTAAAATGATAAACATTAGGTAAACAAATTATCAATTCAGTTTCACTGTAGCCTGAATTGCATACGCCCCTGCGGTCCCTGACACCTAGCAATTCCGAATTATATATAAGGGGCCACCTTACTTGAAGGGCGGTGCAGTTTCGTATGCACAAACTAATGGGGAATGACCAACTACCAGTGCTGCCGAGTTGGCTCGTCTGCTCTTAAATTTATGTCTTCCAGTTCAACTATTATCGCGCCTGATATAACATATGCCCTTCTCTATAACTTTGGAGATTTTACACACAGTCGTATAATTGGCTGATGAATTCGTTGCGTATATACTGTTTGAAAGGTAAAGATTACATTTCAATCTCGACCCAAATCTGCTCAACCTCTGGAAAGGGTGAGGTGCAAAGCCAGGAGATACTCGAGAGAAATTAGGGAAATGCTACATCGAGAATACTAGGCTATTTAATAGAGGCTCTTTCTACCGAGTTTCTCATTTCTGCTAGAGTTGGACATGCTTTTGTTCTGAGGTGCTCGCTCAGCGTGCGGTCTTGGATATTGTTTCGATTTTCAGAAGTCCAAGATGATGGCTTGTTGATGCAACGTCCAGCAGAGAGAGTTCAGCCTTGCCCCGTCATAGCCAATCTTGATGTTCGGTACTCATTATTACGCGAACTCTAGAGGCTGAAGGTGAGGCGCAACGAGGCATATAAAATTTGCTCTCAGCCTTGCCGCGCTCGGGAGTGGAATATAAATCATAACAAACAACACCCAGTAACAAAATTATGGTCCGGTGGTCGAGCTGGTAACATTCCTTACTATTGACCCTTCGCTAACAAGCCTCCAGTCACAGAAAGCCTCCACAGAGAGGGCAAAAAAGAAAGCCTACTCAAAAAAGCCAAACCAAAACAAAAACATTAGTAAATAAGCGGCAGCCCATAATAGCCGCTTCCCCCTCCCTCCAGCCCAGCCCAGCCCAGCCAGCGTAAAAATAAAGAGGACTTCGTTTCCTCACTCCCCGCCCATCCCCCCTTCCCCATCCCCTCCCCCCCCGATTACCCAGAAAGAGCGGAGAAAGTGACACGAAAAAGGCTAGGAAAAGACGGCAAAGAGAAAGAAAATAGGCGAAGAGAAAAGAAAATTAAGGTAAGCAACAATCCCTTCAATCCAGCAGCTCGACCAGAGGACCAAGTATATATATATATTTTTCTTTTTTGGCTTTTTAGATCCTCGCCTACTTCTGCCACAACTCGTAGCGAGTAGCGAGGAAAGATACTTATTTTTAAGCACGAGTCTTGTCTTTTATAGCTAAAAGTCTTTTGCATAGGTAGAAGCACATAACGCCTGACAGAAAAATACATGTGCAAGAATAAGTAGGATTTCTTGTACCTTGGTACGACCCCCCCTATATAAGGTGAGATTGATATAGATGGCCAGAACAGAGCGCTAGAATCGTACATATCATAATGAACTGTTATTGGATTTGTATCATACCGTCCACATCATCCTCCTTTTGTGATATTCGGCGACTCAATATCACATTCACCCAGCAGCCTCCATTCAGTAGGCGACCCATTTGATACATGCCACGCGGCTTGTTCCCCTTATACCTTAGCCAGGTCCATACACGCGGGCTGTTGATCGCTTCGGTCCGATTTTAAGACGTTTGAGCGGTGAATGAAAATTATGGGATGTTTCACTTTTGGAGGGGAAGTGGTTGTTAGATCGAGGTAGCTTGGGCTTGGGAGCTTGGCAGGCGAAGGAGACTTAGGGACCGTAGACGATAATGTCGAATCTTCTCCTTTGGATTTGGGGTGCTTTCCGTTAGTTTTTGTTAACTAAAGTTGACCAAACTACTTTCTAGGTTGTTCGAGTCTGCTCGAGTCCGTAACAAGTCCGCAATGCTAGCGCAGAATGCTAGAAAAGGCGCGAATCGAGCCGCTGTCAAGGGATGGGCCATTAACTTAATGCTAATACGGTAACTGACAGCCCATGGATGTGCCTGCTGATGCCTTCCCACATGAAGAAATTAGGTACTGTTTGTCAGGTGGTGGTACCCAAGTACTCCCCCGCTTGTCGCCACTAGACCATTTATATGTTTCCTAGCTATCAATCAAGCTTTGGCATTCCTATGCCGGTACTGTACTGTACCAGCTCAGAGATGTCTCTCCAATGCCGAGATTGCCAGGTGGCAGGTGACAGGTGGTGCTTGGGTTGCTTGCTGGCTGCCGTCAATCCAATAATCGCTCGTGGAAGCACACCATGCTGACACATGATGGTGGATTGGGGGATTTCCTTGGGCGATGAGACCTGTCTAGATTCTGGAGGGTTGCGAGATCGACGCCCTGCAGATTGTTCTGAATTGATGCAATTTGATACGATACTGCGCGCATGGATAACAGAGCATTTCGGGTAGAAAACCAGCCACAGCTGGCTTTGGGCGCCACAGAATCAGGGAATAGCTGCAGAGATCCCCGGCCGCGTTGATTTTGATCTCACTACTTGCTTCCTACTAAGCGGTTTGCGTTTTTGTGATTGACATGTTGCTGGAACATCGCCCACTGGTGGTCCAGTAGAATGCGGTGTTTTGGTTAAACGTGAATGTGTCGCGTCATCGACCGTTGGTAGCCGTAGTATAAAGTATCGTGAAGCTCCTGCTCTTTCCATGTGTGAATCGAAACTTTAATTGGAGTAGAGTTAACTACTGGAGTATATCTCTCTTCCTCTACAGCTACTTCCTCACTATTCCCTCAATCAAGGTCAACACAAAACAACACATCACTTGCACCAACCCATCAGATCTTCAAATCGATTAACATCCATCAACTACCAACCGTTTGAATAACCCTAATTTTATACATTTCCAATCCATCAAAATGCTGGCAGCGGATTTGCTCCTGTTTCTTCTTCGTGTCGGCGAGGTTAGCTCCTGCAAACCCAAAGGTTTACTCTCACAGAACTAACCTAGAACCACAGCTTGCCTTCACGACGGTTGTGGTGGGCCTGACTGGACACTATCTCCACCAGACGCATCAAGCCTCAACATGGTCTAGGAAACGGTTTATTTACACCGAAGGTATGTATACCTAGCATAGGAAGCCCTTCGCGAATTTGATGTCCCAGGCTGAGCTAGCTGAAATAACTGTATCATAGTAATTTCGGCCTTGGGTCTCCTGTTCTCGCTCCTCTTCCTGTTCCCTTTCGCCCGCAGCTTCATCCACTACCCGGTTGACTTCCTTCTCTTCATTGGGCTCATGGTTGCCTTCGGCCTTCTCGCAAGTGTATGACCCCAGCACTCTCAACCCTTTTCTTCGGTATCTCACCAGCCACTAACACACCTACAGTTCATCGGCCCCATGAACTGCGGTAGCATCTGGAACTGGGGTGGGATTACCGGTAAGAGCACATGCTCGCAGTTCAAGGCCAATATCGCATTCTGCTTCTTAGCTTCGATCTTCTTCCTGGCCTCTGGGTTTCTCGTAAGTCCCCTTATTTCTACTCCACAGGTCCTGCAAGGGGTACAGAGGAGTAGAATGGTCACTGATATTGCTCTGTTTCTCTAGGGGATGTACTACGTCCACCGTCGCCGGGCGGTGACTGATGGTACTGTCCGCCGCAGACGTTGGTACCGCTCCCGCGTCTAGGTTGCTTCAAATCGTTTCTTCGACGCGGTGATGCAACCATATTTATCAAATGGCATCACACGCCCAATGAGATGCTCGCATAGCAGCTACTTTTCGACCAAAACTGCTCCTCTTTGCTTCCTGGGGTTCTCCGGAATACCCACCAGAAATCTATGGATAGGCACAAGCTTGATGTGGGATGGCGTAAATCGGATACCCCTAATGATGATAATGTTGACGAGCTGGGATGAGGTGTATATTGATACCTGGCACACTGCTCTCCTCTCTTTTGTTTGAACGTCCACTTCTGCTGTGGGTGCACGGCTCACGCTAATAACAATGATACCATTCTATGATACGAACAATGAGAAACGATTTATTATCCATCCAGGTGGTTTTGTTTTGATATCCTTTCCTGATATCGATTTGGGGTTGTATGAGATGACTACCGGCGATGTATTCGTCTCCGCTTAAATGACAAGATGAGCGCGGACATAGCAAAACCATATTTAGGACCATCTGAGATTTAGAATTCTCACATATAGACTATAAACCCTTACAAAAATCTTTCTTTGTTTCATTTGTTGGAGCATATGGATACACGAAATTATATTCTACTTTCTATCCTTAGGCATCTTCCTCTCCTCCAGCGCCTCTAAATCCTTCTTCTTATGGAAATGGGGTGCAGCCTCATGAAGCCATTCAGGCTTAATTGGCAAACAACTCCGCATATACTCCTTGGTCGTCTGCACCAACTCGTAATAAATAACCATCTTGACAGGAGGGTTGGAATCCATAAGGACAGACGAGGGATGGATATACACAGTAGTGTTATTCTTCACCGTGCGGTAGCTGTCTCCACCTCTTTGAAGTCGGGCTGCGTTAGGGAAGAACCCTGCTGTTACAGCTTTTTGGATGGGAACTAGGTCGGTTTGACCGACGGAAGAGAGCGTGACTTCAACCCGTTCGCAGAGCTTGGCCAGTTGATCGCGGATATCGCGTGCGCGTGTCAAGGATCGCTGTTGTAGGAAGTTCTCTTTCGACCACACCTGGCTAAAGTCGCTATCTACCCACTGATTCCAGATATTGAGCAGGGTGAGATGGTCTCCACCTTCTTTGATAGTGAAACGTGCGCGTGCGCTGTCGGCGTGGATTTTCTTGTCCTTGGGCCGGAAGAATAGCGCTGATGCTTCGCTGAGCATGGAGACAATCGATAAAACCTCCTCTACGCAGCCGAGCTTGTCGGCAGCAAGGATGGCTTTCGCGAGCATAGGGTCGGTGGGGAATTCCGCCATCTGTCGGCCGATTTTGGTGAGCTCGCCTTGGTGATTTAGTGCTTGGAGGGCGAACAGTTGATTGAGCGCTCCAATCAAGGTCTCCGTTGGGGGAGGATCCATGAATTCGAACTCCAGCAACTCGTTGATGCCAAGTGACTTCAGGAGCAATACCACACTGTTTAAATTCGTTCTTTGAATTTCGGGCGTTGTGCTTTCCTCCATCTCGTTCATGAAGGCCCATTTAGTGTAAAGTCGGAAACATTTGCCAGGTCCAACACGGCCTGCTCGGCCACTTCTTTGATTTGCAGAGGCTCGTGAGCAGGGTACTGCTACCAACTTTGACATACCAGTGGCTGGATTGTAGATATTCTCCTTGACGAACCCAGGATCAATGACGTATACAATGCCATCGATCGTAAGACTGGTTTCTGCAATATTGGTTGCTAGAACAACTTTGCGTGCCCCTTCTGGAGTGGGCTCAAAAATCTTGCTTTGGAGTTCTGAAGGGAGATTTGCATAGATAGGGCAAATTACAAGTTCCGGTACGCGGCTTCCTAGCTTCCGTGATATCTCTGTGATATTTTGCTCCGCTGCCTCAATCTCATCTTGACCTGTCAAAAACACCAAGATATCGCCCTTTCCTTGGGTTGTGTGGATCTGGAAGACCGTTGTAATTGCGGCAGCAAGATAATTTGCTTCGGGTTGTGGGGTATAGTGGATATCGACAGGATATCGGCGGCCGGGGATATTGAAGATCGGAGCGCCATCGAAGTATTCAGCAAACTTTGCAGCATTCATAGTAGCAGATGAGATCAGCAACTTCATCTCTGGCCTCTCTCGAGCAAGATCTTTGATTAGAGCCAGCAGGATATCCGTATGGACAGTCCGTTCGTGAGCTTCGTCAATCATCAACGCAGAGTAGCTACCTAACTCAGGTTCCGTCATGAACTCTCTTAGCAACATACCATCCGTCATATATTTGAGGACGGTTTTATCGCTTGTACTATCCTCAAACCGAATCGAGTATCCCACTTCGTTCCCCACCTTCACACCCATCTCATCAGCGACACGAGCAGCAACAGACATTGCTGCTACTCTTCGAGGTTGGGTACAACCGACTTTCAGCCCGTCTTTGGTGTAGCCAGCCTCGTGCAAATATTGAGGTAATTGAGTGGTCTTTCCACTGCCCGTTTCTCCGACAATAACTAGAATCTGATATTCTTCAAGGGCCGCAAGAAATTGGTCTCTGTAGGCGTAGATGGGAAGACTTTTTCGGGTCTCGTCCATAGAAAGGGCCTTCTTCTCGGCAGCTTTGAGCTGCTCAGCCAAGAATCGCTCTTCCTTGCTTATCCCTTTACCTTCGCCCGGTAGCCTTGAATCCATAACCCATTTGATGCCTTGCTCCTCATCCAAAACATAATCGTATTCGCCTTGATCAACTCGTTCCGTACTCTTAATCTGGGCCTTAGCTTTCGCAGCCTGCTCTCTTTCCCATTCCTCGTGCTCAGTAACGAATTTCTCCTGTCCATACTCATCCCTGTCCACGTAGCGTTTATACATAGCCTCCTCTTTCTTCTTCCTGTCAATCTTGCCCTTCTCTGTGATATAGTCCTCTGGCATAGCATATCCATCCCGGTGATCATCAATCCGCAATCGTTCCTCTGCTATGCGCAAGACCTCTCTATTCTTCGTAAACTCGGCCTTCTCCTTTTCCGATAGCCGCACACCACTCCTCAACTCCTCCGTCTCCTCTGCAACCTGCTTCCTAAGCAATGCAAGCCGTTCAGTCTCACGCTTCTTGAGATATTCCTGCCGCGATCTCTCCCTCAGGTCAGGAAGTGCCGCGCTCCGTGCAGCAGCATCTTCAGCTAAAGCTCTGCGTTGCGCTAGAATATTTCCCTCTTTAGTCGACGACCTGTCTTCTACAAGCTTCTTCGTCTTATCCGCATCCTTTGACAGTAATCGTTTAGCAAAAGCCTCCTTCTCAGCCTGATCTGCCCTCCTCTCTCGCTCTGTTTCTGATATGTCTTCTTCCTGGGGGTCATCCTTCGCATGTGCCACCTTCACCCTTTTTGACGCTGATTCCTGAAACTCTGCTTCCTGTTCAGAAACATATTCTTCATCACCCCATCGATCGTCGAAATCGCCACCATTTTCTTCCCGCCTGCGGATCGTCTTCGACCGATGATGCTGAGATTCGCGGCGAGGTGAGCGTTCGCGACTTCGTGTCCTGTGACTGTCGTGGCGAGAGGATGATGATTTCTCGCCATGCCGCCGTTTTTCCTTTTTCTTCTCTACTACCTTCGCTGGGCCGAGATCTTCTTCTTCCATGGGAAGAAGGGCATACTTTTTGGCGCCCATCTTGGCGGAGACGGTAGAGATGGAGGCGAGAACCGTACAGCTGGGAAGTGTGTAAAGCTTCTGATCCGACACGGACTTGATCCCTAGATTATAAGGTATTTAACCAAGGCGAAAACAGCAAGACTTGCTGTATCCCGTCGGAAGAATATCAGCAGTCTCAATATCTCAATCGCCGCCTGTCGCGTGAAGTTAGAGTTAGTGCCTACGGCAATGGCACCTCCGATTCACCGTACTCATTTATCCTGGTACCCTTGCTCGAAAAGACCCTTGTCGCCCGAGATGCGATCGATAGAAGAACAGCGTGGTATCTTTTGGCAGCTGGCCTCTCGAGATAAATATAACATGTAACCCAGAGCCAGCCCATCCCCACGCTTTACATTCCAATTCCACAGTTCAACCTCAGTCTTTCATTTAGATCTTATGGTCACCCTCAACTAACCCCCTCCCTCCTTTTCACCCGCACTGGACCTTTCCTTTGCAAGGCGCATCTCGAGCGCATCTCGCCCGCGGCCATGTTGCGCCCCTCCGCTTTGTTCGTGCTGCTATGCATGGTACAATTAGCAATATGCACTGAGGATTTTTACAAAGTACGCTCTCTCAAATATGGCACTTGTCAAACAGACTGCTAGACCGAGCTAATACTGGATCTCTCACCAGCTCCTTGGAATAGACAAACAAGCTTCAGAACGGGACATCAAACGAGCTTACAAAACTTTAAGCAAAAAGCACCATCCAGACAAGAACCCGTACAGCCCCCCTTTCTTCCATCAATAGCATTCCCTTCTAACCCTGTGTTATCTAGAGGCAATGACACCGCCAAACAAAAGTTTGTCGAAGTAGCTGAAGCGTACGAAGCCCTCTCCGACCCTGAATCCCGCAAAATATACGACCAATATGGCCATGAAGGCCTAAAACAACGGCAACAAGGCGGAGGAGGCGGACACCACGACCCCTTTGACGTGTTCTCCCGTTTCTTTGGCGGCGGGGGCCACTTCGGCCACCAACCAGGCGTTCGTCGTGGACCAGACATGGAAGTCCGAGTCGGAGTCCCGTTACGAGATTTTTACAACGGGCACACCACGGAATTTCAGTTGGAGAAACAGGCGGTTTGTGAGGAGTGCGAGGGGAGCGGGAGTGCAGATGGACAGGTCGATACATGTTCCAGCTGTGGTGGGCATGGTAGGAAGATCCAGAAACATATGTTAGCACCGGGAATATTCCAACAGGTGCAGGTAACATGTGAGGTATGCGAAGGACGGGGGAAGACTATTCCGCATAAATGCCCAGTGTGTGACGGATCACGGGTAGTCCGAAAACTCCACACCTTCCCGTTAAATATCGAGAGAGGTGCTCCGAAGGGTAAAAGGATTCAATACGAGAATGATGCCGATGAGAGCCCGGACTATGTTGCGGGTGACTTGCTGGTTACGCTCGTGGAGAAGGACCCCGATTTGGATGAGGATAACGAGATGCGAGTCGATGGAACATTTTTCCGTCGCCGGGACGACGAGTTACATTGGAAGGAAACCCTTTCTCTTAGAGAGGCTTGGATGGGTGGCTGGACTCGCAACCTCACTCACTTAGACGGGCATGTTGTGGCGCTTAGTCGGCCTAGAGGGAAGGCTATCCAACCTGGACAAGTGGAAAGAGTGGTTGGCGAGGGAATGCCGAAGTGGCATGAAGATGGCGATAGCGTCTATCATAAAACGGAGTTTGGCGATTTATTGGTGGAGTACACGGTCGTGTTACCGGATCAGATGGAGAAGGGCATGGAGAAGGATTTCTGGGCGTTGTGGGAGAAGTGGAGGAAGAAAAATGGCGTTGATTTGCTGAAGGATAGCGGGCGGCCTGAGGGTCCGGCCAAAGACCCCAATATCAAGGATGAGCTGTGAGCTTTGGAGTTTGGTATATACAATTATGTAACAAAATAGATCCCAATTTGACAAACTCTTGAGTTCGTTTGGTGATCAATGAGATGCATACTGCGGGAGCTATCGATGCCAGCCTGGTTCATCTGGAACACCGCTGTGAAAGACCTACCTTTTTGTATGGTTCATGCTTCCACTACTCCCAATTTCGTATACCCGAGTTAATAATGAAGTTTTAATAAGCGAAGGGCAAAAGTGTGCATTTTATCTCTCTCAATTTTAATGGCGGGTTAAGTAAAGATGGCAGGGTTATAGTTTGAACGGATATTCCACTGGTAGTCCTGTACCTCAAAGGCACATCTGACTAAGGTTACATACCTAGGTCCAAGGCCGATGGCGACCTTCGCTGCACCCTCTTACTCGGCACATCAGGCAGTTGCCGCAGTTCTCTCACCTACGATAAGGATCAGCTGCTCCAACGATACTAGTAACATGCAACTTTACATTCCTTTGAGTCGGTCAAACCTCGGCAAGTGCACTAGATACTACTTACTACCACTATGACTAATGGATATGGATCATTGAGCTCAGCTCCACTCCCCTCACTTACATAAGTTACATTCTTCTACTTCAATGCGTTCTTTTTTTTGGTTTCTTATATTGTGTCCATCTTTCATCTAGGAGCATATATCTATATCGACCTATCTTCCGGTCATCTTAGTCAAGATGGTAACTCCCGCCAAAGTCTTTGATGTCATCTGCCACCTCGTGAAGCCTCTCTATTTCATGCTTCTAGGAACATCCTACCTTCCCCGCACAATAATATCGCTTCTTGCCAACTTCCAACTCCGCGCATTCATTTCTCCGTCGGCTTTCAAGGACGCTTGGTTCGCCCAGTTCTGGCGCTACTTTGGTCCAGTGGCGCGGGAAAGAGCAGCCCCCAAAGTTATACCACTACTTGCTCAAGCTTACGGCACCATCATTGATGTCGGACCAGGCTCAGGAGAATGGGTCTCTCATTTTGACCGCGAGAAAGTCGTCAAGATTTACGGTGTGGAGCCGAACAAGGATCATCACCCTTTGTTGAGGGAGAGGATTAAAGCGGCTGGATTGGAGGACAAGTACGTGATTGTGCCCGTGGGTGTTGAAGATTTAGGGACAAAATGGGTTGAGAAGGAGAGTGTTGATGCCGTCGTGACCATTCAGTGTCTTTGTTCGGTGCCGAGGCCGAAAGAGATGATTGTTAGCCTATACGGGTATATTAAGGAGGGTGGTTGTTGGATTCTTTACGAGCATGTTAAGGCTAAGCCAGGAAGCGGAGTGGTTTGGTATCAATGTGAGTTCCTTTCCTCCTCTGTATCCTATCTTACCACTTTACCTACGGTTCAAGGATGGCGATGATCACTGACGCTGATGCTGATGCTGAGTAGCAATGCTCAATATCGTCTGGCCGCATGTATTTGCCGGATGCTCCATGACTAGGGATACGGAGAGGTGGTTGAAGCAAGCGGGGTCATGGAGTAAACTCGATTTGAAGAAATTGGAGGATCAACCTGATTATGAGGTGATTCCTAATGTAGAGGGGATTTTGGTGAAATGAGCTGATGTCTGGAAGAGCAATGGAAATTGATGGATTTATGCCCCAATGTAAACTTAAGTCGAATAATGCCACTATGAGAGCTTTGGTTCGACTTGTGGCGATATCGAGAAGTGCCCAGGTTGACATAAAGTAGAGGCAAGCTGAACCTGGGAAAGGCGTGAACGGGAATTGGGAAAGGGGCCCGAAAAGGGGTTGTTTGTTTATTTGAACTTTAAGCCTCAGGCACCCAAATATTTCCTCTTCCCATGGTGACCGTCAATCGAGTTCCAGCGTCGTTCGTCCAATTTAGCTATTCTGCCCTCAACTCGGCCTTCTCGAATTGCCACTCCCCCTATTCATTACTCTGGAGTCCGATGCCTTTCGCCTACGATCTCCGGCGGCGATATTCCTATTCTAGCCACCGCCCCTACAAGTAAAGCAATGGCGCAAAGCCACACCCTGCCGGACGCCGAAGCTACCCCTCCTCAAGACCAATATACGACTACATTGGCGACGCCCTCTATAAACAATAGCATTGACGACTCGGAAGAATGGGACTATGAGTACTCTACTACTGAGACTGATGTTTGTCCATCACTTTCCATTGTTAGTAGCATAGTCTAATTCTTTTTCTATAGACATACTACGTCACCCTCGACCTCACTGTCCCCGAGCTCCCAAAAAAGCGACTGCCCAAGCCAGGGGCAAGCACGAAGGCCCGGTGGCTCAATCCTTCCTTAGGGCGACACAAGCGCCATGGTTTAGGTGCAGCCCCTACGTACAAACCAAAGGATGCCAGTACGGCGCAGGATATAGAAGCATCTTCACAGGTGGACGTTGAGGTAGAAGCTGAGGACGAAGATGAGGGGGGAGAATTTCCACCCTTGGATGATATGACAGGCGGGGATGCAATGCCACAAAATCCAGAAGCGAAGCGGAATACCCAAGAAATTCAAATTATGGACCTGCACACGGATAATCCATTGGTGTCCTACGAAGGCCGTATTTTCTCCTGCAAATGGGCTGAGAATATAGGTACTGAGCTTCTCTTCACAAAACGCGATGAGCAAAATCCACTTCCGAGTATTCGGACGTTACCTGGCAATGTTGATCTCCTCGCCGCTAGCTCTGCACGTCTGATTTCCCGACCCTTGAGAGTTGAGCACAAATCAAAACGGGCCGATGCAGAACTGAAGCACCGGCTTGAACGTCCTTCAGATTTCTCCATCAATGTCGGAGTGCGTGCTGGCCCAAAGCGTAGGGACCAAGCCAGGTTCTTAGAGAGCCTCATTGATATTAAGGAATCGAAAGGGGAGGACGACCTCGTGACAGTATTTTCGCATAGGAAAAGGTCCACTGAGGTGTGGAGGAAACAATTGCGTCAAGAGCGGGAGGAGGAGAGGAAGGGGCTCTACAAAACGCTGAGGGAGGGCGATAAGCCGCAGCTCGTTGAGGCGAGGAAGAGGTTAGCAGAGATGGATCACGAGGATGAGCGTTTGAAGGCCAAGGAGGTTCAAAATACAGATGGCAAACGGAAGAGAGGCCAGGCAAAAAGGAGAGGTGCGACCTCAACAATGACTGCCAGTGGTAGGCCAGTGAGGCAGGGCCGAAAGAAAAAGACTGGACTTGGATTCTTCGAGGAGCATGCTCAGCAAGGTGGAGGTGGTTCTTCAGCACAAGAAACAAATCCGAAAACTGTTTTTTCACCACCGCAGGGAGGCTTTGGTGGGAACCATGAAGATGTGGTTGAGGAAATGGATGGGGTAGCAGAAGCTATATATGAAGACGAAGAGATATACGAGGAGTTCTCTGGTGATGAAATGGAGGATGATGATGCATAAATAAATGCTGACGGGGTGTATGATCAATCGCGCTACGTATTTGTATTCCCTACCTAGATTAAAAGATAGAAATTTGCTCACACGAGCCGCTGGTGTAATATACTATATTAATTCTAGCGGTTTCCGCACTTCTATTCCGTTTTCAAGATTATTCCCGCGCTTTAAATTACTACAAGTCATTTATTTTCTAGAAATATCAACGACGTGTTAAAAGCATTCAGTATCCTTGGTCCGTCCGGGTAATGTCTTTGAATCCTACAATGTTTCTGAAAACCTAATCATATAAATATTCGCTTTCTTCTCCCTAGCTGCGCTCTCTTCTCTTTCCCAAGTGCAAGCATGGGTCAAGGGATTCCCGCTCTGCTTCCAAGGAAATGGCTAGTTACGAGCGGCGGTGAGAGCCATAGGTACTTGCCCGCCGTTTGAAGCTACAATGTATCCAGCAGAGATATATGCATCGGCTCGCTAGTTCAACCACCCGGGGGGTGGAGAGAGAGCAAACGGTTTCAACCTTCAAGACGCAACCTTGCCCCTTCGCTGAATGTTTGAACTCCATTTTCAGTTTGGCTAAGTGGCTCTCGCCGTTCCTTCCTGAATCGAGGTGTTTCTATAACTATCGCCGAGCCATCACGCCGAGACTGTTATGCTTCAACTGGAAACCTTCAAAAACGGCATCCTTCATCACAAGATCCTACGAGCGAAGAAGCCAAGTTTTGGGGGCAAGAGCCATCGGACTGTTGGTGATAAGAGAAAGCCTTTCACATCCGAAATTACTGAGGATATAGCGATACACTCGGTGGACATAACGAAAATGACGCCTCCGAATACCTTTACAACAGCAGACCCAATTCAGCATACGGAGAAGTATGGATCAGTTCTACCGATTCCCGAACTTGAAGATAGTCTGGACGAGCTCGTCTCGAAGCTAGCAGCGATAATTAATGTCATTCGTGACGGAAAAAGCATTTCGGAAGCTACGGCGTACTTGGCAATTAAGGACAGGGAAGCGGAGAATGTGGCCATGGGTCAGATGGGTTTCGAAGAAAAACAGATATGGACTTGTTATATCAATGGCAACTGCAAGCTTCCTGACTTCAATTGGGAGGTTAATCAACTTCCCCCGCCTACCTCTAAGAGGCCGCTCAAGAAATATGGACGTCGCGCAGAAGCACTGAACCGACTATACAAGACTGATCAGGCTCATGAAGGACACATGGCCTGGATTACACAGTACCACGCATCAGAACTATTGCCTATCGTTAAGGCTATAGATCGTGTCATCGGAGCCGAGAGAAATCTTACTGCTGGACATGATGGATTGTCGGCAACTAAATTCGCAGACTTGCAGTCGATTAATCTGATTTTGCGTATCTCGGGTCAGATATGTAAAAGGGCTGAGTCTATTGGCACAAGGAGGAAAATTTCCGAGGCCCAGGCATTGCTGGCGTCCCACCGACGTAGATTGCAAGCCCAGAGGATGAGGGTGGGAAACCAAGCTGGCTGATGGATTGGTTTTTGAGATGCTGTAAGGCAAATATACTAACAAAATCTTGGAAGAGGCATAGGAATTATTTCGGCAACGACGCTTTTTGCTCAAGTATTTGAAGAGCTATGAGTGGAGGAACATTTGAATGAAGAGAACAGGATAGAGTAGGTTCATCGCTGTGTGGCGCGCGAAATGGAAATTATATTGTAAAGTCTTTTAAGAACGCCCTTGTGCTTGGTTTTCTACTATCATAATCTCTTACAATCTATCCCCTGGCTTGGCTTTAAATCGGCAGACTGGCATTTATATTATCGTTGGATGTATAGTTGCGTATCCTACTATCTACACTTCGATGAAAGCCATTACGAAGAAAATATGAAACACTACAGGGCCATTTTCCTATGTTGCGGTGTATGGATATATTGAAAGATCACGGAGAAGATTCCAAAGTTCTTGAAATGAGAAAAGCCTTATTGTCGCTCAAGTTGTATAACCTATCATATCCAAAAGCAGATATAAGGACCGCAGATTTAACAAATATTGCGATAAAACAATACAAAGTAGCCGTTTTAGTCAATCTACATAGGTATTGTGTTCTTCCTCAAACTTTGGTAACTTTGGTTGGTAAATGTTATCTAACTCTCCAATAGATCCGGGACAGAAACAACCTCAAGAGATATTGGAACATTTGATGGATCCACTTCAGCGTCAGCAGTGCCTGTACTTGATTAGTCTGTATTACTTTACGAGAAACATAAGATAAAATAAAGCTCAATTCACACACCGTTCCACCAAAGAATCGCCCATGTACCATCTGGAGGTTGCGTGTTCAGCTGCGATGTCCAGCCCCCGTGGTCATAGGGGTTTAACAGCATCCATTTTCCTGTTAACGTATCTTTCGCAATGTTGAACTGCCACTTCGCTGAAATATAGACCGACGGCCATGGTGTGCCGGGGAATCCACTTTGCGCTGCAGACTTAGTTATGACCGACATTCTCATAGTTGCTGGCTCAGGTGACCACATGTATATCTTAGATCCTATGACAATCAACTGGGCGGTGTCGTTAAGCATCTGTGTCTCGTTGAGCTGACCCGTGACTTCGAATTGCCAGGCTGAAGACAATGGCGAGCGCTTCCAATCCCGAACAAAGAGCCCGGCACCGTCGGGTGTGCCATCTGCGGCTTGAACTAATGCCTTATGTACGAAATTGTGAGGGGATAAAACTCGCAGCGCGTAGGGTGGGTTGAGGTGATCACTGAGCGACTGAGCAGTCGAGCCATCCGGATGAAGCAGAGGCACCAGAAGTGTCACTAGCTGGGCTATTGAGAAGAGCCTCATGGTTCTTGGCAAATGTAAGTTTTGAAGAAATAATGAATTAAGAGAGGAGGATCAAAAGGATGCATTGGATTTAAAAGGGTATGGGGATTGCCAGCACTACTGGTTGTTCCTCCATAGCCGGATCCTGCAGTATCAATTCAGCCTATTGATGCAGTTCGGTGATCTGATTCATGATAATGCTCTTCCTGTCCCGCCGATCTAGATTTTCTTCGGATGCATAGTGGCTTGTGTTCCCAGTGGATGATCTTCCTCCATCAAGACGGCTCACAGTTCCAAACTCAAGCAATGTGGGTCAGGTCAGTGTAAATTAGCCCTCAACTAGTCTATAATAACCCCGAAGAGTAGAGCTAGCTCTCCTTGAAGCTATAGAGTAAGGAGTAGAGGATTTCGGAAGGAAAATATCGTACAGCATTAGCACATGATTCCGTTCATCTGGTTTGGAGCTATGTTTTCAGAAAAAATATTTCTAAAGCTTTAGACCCAAGCATAAAAGTCCCTAGAACCCCTCATATTTATCACTTGTTCTATATATTTCCCCATCGAGGTAACCAACGTATTCAGTGTTTAAAGGAGGTGGCTTTAAAGGTACTCAGGGTGCTCGGATGATGCAGAAGCATTGCTGCAATGATGCACTTCGAGCAGGGGCATATCACCAGATGGTGAATATAAATCTACTGAAGATGACCCTCAGCTGTTGAACCGTTTTCTGGCCGACTGCAGATGTAACCTCAAGTAAATGACAACCGAAGTGGAGTGCTCTTGTTTAGCACACCGATCATTGGCATAGGTATTAGAGGTGAGCTTAGGGATATTGCGAGAGGGCGGTGCAATGCCTTCAAGTATCCTTGGTAACCAGCGGCCATACCGAACCAAGGAGAAATGCGGACCTTTCAAAGAATATTGCACCATCCCACGCAATCCTCATGCCCCAGTGCTTACATTTATCACAGCCAGCACACACCAGTCCTCCGCACACCAGTCCTCTGCACACCCCAAGACCATTCGACGTATCATCATTCAGCATCAATCATAACAACACACAGATGGAGCCACCCATCTGCATACGCCGCTTCGCGCATCAGCTCTTCAAGTGGGGCCCGGAAAGGGACTACAGCGCCATGTAGCACCGGCTCTGCCAGTATTGGATCTCTTCGGCTAGGGAATAAATTAGGGAGTATACTATTGAGCGCCGAGCCTAGAGTTTGAATTTCGCGTGCCGGCGTACGAGGTGGAATGAGTGTCTGAACGATTTTGAAGGAGCCGAGGGAGGAAGTTGACTCGTCGGGATTGGGAGAGGACGGGTTTTGCGTTGGGGAGGAAGGAATGTATATTCGGATTGGGATATGCTTCAGGGGTATAGACGGGTTGAGCAGAATGTTCGAGATCTTCGAGAAGGCTAGGTAGTCGTCTAATACGATATGAATTAGTGAGGCGTCGTTGGGAATGGCGTCAAGGGAACAGAAATAGCAGGGCTTACTGTCTTGTACAGAGTCCCATAGTTGCGTCGTATTTTCTTTTGACATAGACATGATGCCCTTTGCTGTCCCATATCTCATAAAATCTGCCTTTATTCCTCCTCACCCATCATTAGCTTATCTCTCCCCCTCGCCAGTATATTTTTAGACCGCAGGACGTACTTCCTTTACGCTATTGATGAACGTATCATGTATATCATACAACGGACCATCGCCTAATATTAGACGCCATGGCAGAGGGGGCCGATAGAGGTCATAGAGTAGACCAACTGGCAACGTCTTGAGCAGGATGCCCTCGTAGGAGAAGCTTGAGCATGGGCCAAAGAACGTCGTGAGACGGGGCAATAGGAGGGGTAGGTACGAGACGCGCGGGATTTGGATAACATAGGGCGTGGGCGAAGATGGGTGCGTTAAGTGAAGCGGAATGGTGGATGCCCATATTTTGGACTGCATATTAACGTGATGTTTATGATTGATGATGAGACGGGGAGGTGAAGTAACCCATAAGGCTGAGCCGAGCAATCGATAAGGCTACGATACGCTCGGTTGACACCGTTTATCTCCACACTCCTGGCTCGGGGCCCTGAAGTCCCCCCCCTACTACGAGCTCACCCTGCCTCATGACGGACACGCGGACCATTAGCTTCCCACGTAGGACCTACAAGGAGGAGATAAGGGACAAAGGAACAGAGCCTCAAGATCGCTCGCTAGGCCTTGTTATACATGTCGCTCACCTCAAGTGGCATGTTAAAGTTGCTTTTCAAGGCACGCTTCAATCTGCCCCGACCACCACCTTCGCCAGGGTAACAAAACGGCGACAAGATCTCGAGAACCTCTGCAGTTGCATCGATTTCGACCTGATACCCCTCTTGAATAACACGGTTACGGAACTTGCCGTTACGCGCCATCACGATGCCGCTACTCAAGGCCAGAGACTACAGTTAAAGGGGGCGCTGGATACGGAAAGCGAATATGCCCCTATTGTCGACCATCTATGGTTCCATATACGAGAAGACCCATTCCGGGTGCGGTTTCCGTTCTACGATAGATGCGGCAGCAGCACCCCTACAAAGGACTTGTCGGAAATTAGGAAGAAACAACAACTTAGTGCAGGCGTATACCAGGTCAGCGTTGATTACGATGAGACTTTATACGTTTATAAGGAAGTAGACCGGCCGTTTTATGAACCGAGGGATAGCGAAGCGTTAGAACAAGAGCTGCGAAACTTGGAACTATTACGCGGAACTAAAGGTGTTGTGCGGCTCGTTGCTGCCGTCGTCTCGAAAAATCCATATCAAACTGCTGAGACTGTAGGCAATACCCCGACCGTACTACGAGGGATCCTGCTGGAGTATTACCCAAATGGTACACTTCTAGATGCTTTGCAAGCGTCAAAATCCAAGATGGACTGGCCGTGGCAACGATTCGCGGTTCAGATCGCCAGCACCCTTGCCTATATTCATAAGGCTGGCATAACGCATATGGATTTAAAGCCTCAAAATATTGTTATCAGCGTAGACTTCAATGCTATATTGATCGATATCAGCGGAATTGGAGGCGTAACTCACGAGTGGCTGTCGCCGGAGATGCGAGACCTACCTGACCCTCTGTCTCAAAATATCGAATCACGGATACAGAATGATATTTGGGCACTCGGGACGATGTTATCAGCAATGGCTAGTGCTTCAAGTAATGAATTGGAGAAACAGCTACTAAGGAGTGTTGCCCAAGGTGCTACAGCAGATGTTCCTCCGCGCATTTCTCTCCACGATGTACGTAGTAATTTCCAACCTTTCACAGCTTAGCTCCAAATAAGCACTCCCATCAGAACTCATCCCATGGATACGGGAATTGAAGGTGCAAATCGTATATATTAGACAAGATAGATCTATTGTCAGTGTTTTCGGAGGCACCGAAACAGGTAGAAAGAGTTGATCGATACTAGTAATAGAGGTGGAGAAGTCCTTGTTATATACAGGTAAAAGTAGGCTATATTTGTTTACATGTGACGTATACTTGAAAGTCCTCAGTTCAGCATCGCCAAACCTTAACAGAATTGCATGACTACCTGCAGCTGATGGTAGGACGTTTTGTGGGTCGAATCTCTATATAACAGGTGTGCATCTATCTCTCTATTAAAGCATGAATACTTCTTTTGGCGAGTTGTCTTGATTAGTTGAGGCTATCTTAACAAGAAACTGGGGGGATAGACTAGTAAACCTGATATTTTATAGTTGGTGTAAAACTGCATCGAATAATATATAACATCATATAACGCCCGAGCAGTTACACAAGATCAATAACATCCATGAAAACATCCCCGGTCTCTTCATCGAACCTATTCAGCGCACTGGAGCTAGGGCCAAACCACGATCGGTCAGTAAGAAATAGCACACCTAGCCGGCGGTAGACCAATACAGAACCTAACTCGGGCTCAAGTATGAGAGCGGTTAGGATGTGCCTCTCTCCCTTCTTTTGAACATGGACAAGCCCACACCAAACCTCCGTTTCTAAAGATGATAAAGGACTTAACTCGATCTCTTGAGACACATCTAAGCCATCTACAGGCCTCTGGTTCAAATGGATTGGCGCATCGAGAGCAGCCTCACCAATCACCTGATTCGTCTCTATATCTAGGATGAGCCCAAAGTATCGCGGCTGCTCTCGACTATCGATGTTACCAAAGAGCTGATAATCTAAACCGCTAACGTGGTTGTATTCAAAACGACTACGGGTGTAATCAGCACTACATCGCAGAAGCGCCTTCCTCAAGCGGATGCGGAGTTTGAGCTTCCCCTTATTAATTGCGCCGTAAGGATTGAGCGGTATCTCTGGGACGCATGAGGCCTCAAGCAACTCCACCCCTTCAGAGACGATATGGACTGATTTGCTCGGCCACGATCGGAACTTAATTCTTACCTTGCCTACAGCCGCCCAGGACCACGATGGCGCCATGTCTCTGCGCCGAGGTACCTTGCGTTCATCGTTGCTTGCAACATACCATGTTAAACCAACCTGGAGGTCATCCGTCCACAGGCCTGCTGCATAAGTCGCGCCATGGGCCTGTTGTAAGAGTTTGGCCAGGCCAGACAGAGCAGGAAGGTTGTCTGACACGAATGTAAGACTCGTAACGCTGTATGCTTCCACAATGGCGTACCATGAGTCAAATTGGTTCCATCGTAACCAAGACTGCCGTGGCGTCTCCCTCATCCGCGCTGGTGCAAACATCCATAATCGTAGCTTCTCAACGTCACCCGCGAAGCCATCGGTCAGAGCATTATGCCTGGCCCGCGGAATGGGGCTGGTCTCGTCTGCCCGTGCCATAGTACACTTCCAGCTCATCCGATTTCCAAAGGCAAGACGCCGCGAGGAGAGGACCGTTTCTTGAAGAACCCAACCGCGTCCCTCAAGGTGGTCTGGTCCATCGAACATGCTGGCTAGCGTTATCTTGGCCGTCTCTGCACTCTGTTTTGTAGTGGCGCTGACCTCTAATTTGATGTGATTGTCTTGCCGTGCAAATAGGCCTGATTGCGAGCTCGACGAGCGTTTAGCATAGATGGTGAATAAGGCATAACGGTATATGTCGCCCATGTTGACTAGTTCATGGGACTTGTCCGTTTCGTCGTTCTGTATAATGCAGAAGGCATCGATCCAAAGGTATTTGTAACCGAGCATACGTGTAAGCTGGATGGCGTCCCAGCATGTACGTGGGATGTCATTGAGTGGGAGACAATGCTGGAAAGTTTCGTAGGTGCACTTCAAAGTCTGGCCCTTCTTGTTCTCACCCCACCGATAGCTGAGCGCGAGATACGGTTCTAATGCCTCCTCCATGACCTGTAGGAAAGGCCGGCTAGAATCTTGGACGTTAATCAGACGCGTTGGACGAGGCCGTGGTTGCATTGAAGAATTTCCCAGCCCACATAGCTCATGGTGTTGAATGCATTGGGAAATCCACGAACGGGCCAGGTCAAGGTTTTCCGAGGAACAGCTCAACATATTACTGCCGTCAGTCAGTTTCTGACTTGGATTAATCGAGAAACGAGGTTTCGCAGCCTTGGAATATTATAATGCCTTCTTAGCTAGGTAACAGAAGGGGCTTCGATAGGCTTACCAGGCACCAAACTCGGGTATAGGTTAGTCCGGACCCGGATTACAAATAATTAACCCCTAAGCGCATTAGGAACATATCGGGAATAACACCACAACATTCTCTATATCTAACCCCAAAACCGTAGTTATTCGAGTCGCGCTGCAGAGGACGAAGGCTACTACGGATTTGTGAATAACCTCACTTTTCTACGGCGGAATATTCGAATGTTCCAGGGATTTTGAGACTCTCTGAGAATTATAGCCTTCCTAGGGCGTTATTCGCGAAAAACACCGATTTGCTCCTATACTGCGCCATACTCCCAAACCCCCCTCCCCCCTCCAATAACCTGTTGGCCTGAGGCCGCCAACACTCCCCTACTCCCACACCCACACGATCACCGTGCCAACGGGTAGTCGTATTCCCCCCCCTTTCCGTCCACTACCAACACCACTGCCGCTTTCTCATGCATCTGTTTGAACGCCTCAGTGCGGTAATAGTTCCTGAGATTACACATTTAGTAAGTTCCTCAGAATCGGCGGAGTGTCTCACTCACCCAAATACTGCAAATTAGCATAATTTGCACTTGGCGTTGATCCGTGGTGCCGGGACGATGTGTTTTGGTGCCGGGGTCTTGCAGAAGCCATCTTTACCAGATGCTGTAGTTTTGGCGCCGCATTTATACGCCACCTCCTGATACGGATGGCCGCAGACGCTCGAGTAGTAAATGTACCAACCGCAAGCACAGTTGTTTGGGTTGCCGGGGCTATTGACTCGCCGTTCGTAGACATCACGTCCCATTTTATGCGGTGCAATTGGGTCTTCCATATATTATCAGAGGGCTTTAGACAAAGATAGGGCCGTGAAATTGGAAAGGCGATGGTAGGGTCGAAAGCTTGAAAGGTGACGGCAGGCTCGAAAGCTTCCAAGGTGATGGCGGGTTTGGAAGTTTCCAGGGTGATGGCGGGTTCGAAAGCTTGATACTAATGGGAATCAATCAGGGATGTCAATTGATAGAGTGTGTTTGGGTTGAAGTGAATGGACGAGGCCTACGACGACTCAACACCTCCACGCGGTGAGGCTGTGAATGTGGTAGTACTGTACTCGTACACCTAAGATTGAGTCACGGATTGCTGGTACCAGGAACTCTCAACTACTATAACATGAGTTGTCCCGATGTGAATTCAACGCGCCGGATGTTAAATCAATAACAGCACGGGTATTACGCTACTTGATAGCCTGGAATATTAGTAGTTGATTTTATATCGATCCAAATACACACGCTCAAAACAAGAGAATAACTAGATTCAGGGTCAACACGCGTTTACGCACCTCCCCACGGAGTGGTATATACAAGTAGGTGTTCGCCCGCAGGGCGACTTTTCGCCGGGCCACTTATACTCAGATACTATATTAAACTGTTCCGGATAGCCAATATATATATATACATATATATCCCTGCTCTGACCTGGGTTAGCCCTCAGATTACATGGTCACACGCTAGGGTAGACTAGGAGGGCGATAGATCGGGCATGTGTATATCGACACTCAGAGGAAGATATTCTACAGAGCGGTAGCTAGCTCCCCGCCTTTGTATAGTACAAGATACAACGCAATATACAGTTAAAACATACGAGTACGCGGCGGGTGTTAGTCAAGCTACTACGGTGGTTGGCATATAGAAGTAATTATCAAGAACTCGAGTACCTACTCTCCGAGGAGGATAGGCATTCCTGATACAGAACAATTAGGTATGGGTAAATGTTACAGGGACGCCCTTAGCTCTTCTAAGCTTACTTATCTAAGTGGCAGGTAGTCCTAATTCTAGAATAATTGTATTATAGTAGGTCTACATGGCACTTACAGTAGCTAAAAGACTAAGGTATTAAAAAAGAAATTTTGGATACGGTTGCACTACTTATAATAATCTTTCGGGGATGCTCATCGTGATCGACGGAAATTCACTCAACTCTTAGGCTTTTGTTTTGAACCTGTCTCTGAACTTGTGATATTTCAAGAATCATCTCACACGCTAGTGGCTCTAACAGCCAATCAATAACTTCCTAAAGGTCTCTAAAGGGTTCCAAAAAATTAAAATTTGACCTATGATTTGTATCACTGGAGGCTCGGAACAATACGTGCTTCGTTTTAGGCGGTTAGGTTACTGTACCGACCGTGTCGCTTGCGGCATTATTGGACCCCAATCTCTCGGTCACCTCTAATTAAAACTGATACTGGAAAGCAACGGCACAGCCAGTGTCGAGACATCGCTCGCCAACCGAAGCAAGATTACAACCGCGTTTTTCTGAGTCTTCATTTCGCCATGATCAAGCCTCAGGAAAGATTCCTCTCCGAAGGTCAGGGCTACTTTGGCCCGAGAGAAAACCCTAAAACCGAAACCGAATGCAACGTCTGGGATTGGGATCAACTACGCATGGTCAAGGTCAAAGGCACCGCCAAGCTCTTTCCGCCTGAGGAGGACAAAGAGTGTCAAGTTTTGGCGCAATTCGCTGATTACCTGTCGCCAGAAGTTCGCGCAGTTACAGTTGACGACGATGGGCTCCTTACTGGAGTCTCTACAGATCCTGAAGAGGACGATACTATGTTTGTTGCATATCTTCCCTTCTCGACCGTTAAATCTCTCGCCGATTGCCGTATAATCCGGCACTCCAAACTCCAAGAACTCGATCGGCTTGGACCAGGGGTTGACCTCGCATTATACGACGACGAATCCGGAAATCCTCAAAAGGTTGCCTTTAAATTCTATCCCTGTGCAAAGCCTCGGATACTACAGATGGCCTGGGATGAGCTAAGCGTTGTTAAAAGTCTGCCGCTGCATCCTAATATAGTGCCATTTGATCGCGTTGTCCTCGAGGACGTGGAGTCGCGGGTGATTGGATTTACAACAAAGTACATCCCAGGTGGAAGTCTCGACAATCCAAGGGTGCCTTTCCGATTTGAGTGGTTACAACAGCTTACCCAACTCGTGGATTTCCTAAACCTAGAACTGGGAATCATGCATCAAGACATTGCACCCCGAAATCTACTCATAGATCCCGACACACAAAAGCTCCTTCTCTTCGACTTTGATTGGGTCGCATGCGGAAAGAAAGGCATGCTGGATGGTCGAGATGACCTGACTGGCGTCGTATTCACCCTATACGAGCTCATTACGAACGATACACACTTCACGAGTATTGCCCACTGGGATCGAAATATGGACATGGTGCAGAGTATCTCGGAGTGGCCTCGTAACCGCAAACTGGACTCTGACGTATCGACATTCCGCAACTTTTTGAATGAATGGGTAGCGACACGAAAATCCGGTGGGGACATGGAACGATATCTTAATGCACCCAAACGGCTTATATCGCCGGACCTACCAACAGCGCCAGACTACAATGTACCTTTCGAACTCGGCAAAACCTTGGATGGAGAGACGATTTGGAAAACGGGCCTGCGGTCGACACGTACTGCCATGGAGATGGGGCAGTATTGCTTTCGCTGGCAGAGGCTACCACAAAGCAGGCTGTTGAAGGAGTCTGAAAATGGCATGCTGTAGCTGAGGTATAAAAGACAGTCTTCAATCACGCCAAATCAAGAGCAGATTGACTGCGACTCGTTAAATCACCTCGTTACCATCGCCAACACTTTCTCCTTTAAGAGAGCTTGCATGTTGTCCACGTCCGCACCACTAGCGATGGCTCCCTTCAAACATCAAAGTCCTCGCGTCTCTACTGCGCAAATTGATCACTACATACCAGGTACTTCACTTTTTAGCCTTATTTTATGATTTTTTGGTTCTAGAATGTAGCAACTAACCTTTTACAGGCGCCGATAAATTCCCATTTCAATTACTGTATCCCTGAATTCAGCCGCCAATGTGCTTGGCCGCCCAGCAAAGAGATACCCTACGCAGTTCCGCTTCTTTGGGCACTCTGCCACTCGCTTCACCCAAGCCTTCAGATCTCCAAAACCAGGGGTGATGGCTTACAATTTATGCTTTAGACGGTAGCCAAGACTCGAGATAGAGAGAATTATAAATGAAATCGCGACCGGTCGTACTATTGCAGATGATGAGTGCTATGCCAGTACCGCAGCACTCTACCAGCTCGTGAACATTATTGACCAAGGTAAACTTAACCTTTCGCTTCTTCTTTTAGGAAGGCCGAAGGCTATGATCAATCGAATGTTTAGGTTTGAAGATTGGGAAAGAGATGTGATACTGTCCTTTCAATCCGTCGTAACCTCTCATTCTTCGAGTTTCTCTTTAGGAATGTTTTATTCCATTTATTTACCCCGACCTCTCTCTTCTACGAACAAATGGTGGGGAGTTAGATCTGGACCCCTCAATTCTAAAATAGACTTCGTATAATCAGCCGCTTCTCCCCTCGATACATAGGTCTAGTCTATCTCTTGTATAGTTTCGATTATACCAAACAGGGAAACATACCCTATTAATTTGATCAGTTACAAGACAGCCACTGATAGCATGTGAACCTTCAGAGCTGTCAAAAATCAAAGGTATACTCGAGCAGTTTGTCCAATTGAGATCCTATGTTTTCTATAATCTACAGTCGATTGTCTGCTCCATATGGTGTTGAATACCAACAACCAGGCTACTAGTACGAAGCTACCTAGGTACCTATGCATATAAGAATTAGCCCCGGCATTAATTCACCAATAATGAGGAATCCCGGAGAATACTTGCGCCACACAAAAGTCAATAATTAGGAGTTACATCCGCGCGGGGTATTAAAGTTCCGGGTTTTAAAATCGCACCGAGTATGACGTGTCTTATGTCGACCGAGGACAAAGTTGTACGTACAATCCCGGCATTTCTACAATAGCTTAAATCTAATGGAGGGGAGGTAACCCAGCTCGAGCTCTGCAACGAGACAACACATAACTGGGCGTCAACCAGTTCGATAATCATTCGGTCACTCTGCCTATTTTCACGGCTTGTTCGGGTCGACATCCGCCGATATTGACAATTCCTCTCATACTATGTAATGACGGCGCAAAGTTTGTCTGCTCAGAATTTATTGATTTGTGCTTCCTAGATCTCCTGACTGATTCGTGTCGCTTTTCTCTTCCCGTTGATTTCAATGGTTACTTCATCGCCCAGGCTCGTATCCTGCCCAGATGACTTCAGCCGATCGACATCTCCCGCCGCAGCTTACCCTCTCACGCGAGTTTAAAGCGCAATACGAGATCTCGACACAGTAATATTACATATTATGCTCGTTGCACAATCTGAAAACTGCGATCACCACGTCGATCAAAACATTTCTGTATCGTAAGAGCTGAATGATGTATGCCGTGGCCCGATGAACCCAAGTTACCCAACGTACCCAGCCGTCTCCCGCGATACGTTTATATAACAGATCAGACTTCTTAAATTTTCAAATAAGATCGTGATTCATTATTCGATATATCATCAATCAATAAATCTAAATCAAACTCAAGACAAGCCGTTAAGCAAGATGAAGCTCCCACTCCTCTCACTCGGCCTCTTCGCCGCGTGCTCTCTAGCTCAGAATGAAGACTTCAACGGTTATAAGCCCATCACCCTTATATTCCACCACGCGGCATACCAGTACCAATTGCATATGTATGCAGATGGGCAAAGCTACAATACAAGTGCGTTCGATTTTACTCCCCTCTCAAGTTTCCATGGGCTTAATTTAGACAAAAATATACTGATAATTTACTAGACAATGACTCGGTCATCAACATAATCGAATCCCCTGACTTCGACGCTTATAATTACTGCAACTTCGTCGCCGAGGACAAGCCCGCACTTGCTGACCAAGGAAATGGATTCATTGGCGTGGGCTTACCAGAGCCTATCATCAGTGTGTCGTGTCGGCCGACACCGAAGCCCCCTTCGACTTGCTTGCCTGTTTATGGTACGCAGATCCTATTCTTTCAGCCTTGGTGGGTATTGTATGAAAAAAGCTAATGGGATTTATAGCCTCATGCGAGTGGTGCGGTGGCGGTACCGGAGGTTGCTTTACCCTCAATTGCTGCAGTGGGTACTGTGCTGCGACGAAGTGTAGGCCTACTTAGTTAAGCGCACCTTGGATATCTGATAAAATGAATATGAACGGGAGGGAATTCGGTTTCGGGCGAATCATGGCGGTATCTCCGGTTTAAGAACAAGTTTGGGTTTTGACTTTTTTCGCTTGCACTTTAATATTGTAGTTCGATCAATGCGGAATACATACCTTCAAATGCATGAAAAGACTCATCTGTTCAAAGATCCACTGCTCTTCATATCCCAAGATCAAGACCCGGTCTCCTCCCACCCAATCCTCAACCACCTCTGCATCCTCACAAACGCCCGGAATGTCCCATCTACTACGGGCCACTCCGCGAGCCCAATATAAAAACTTGATGTCTTAATCATACTCTTCAAAAACCTCCCATGTGGCGTATTCTGTGCAGCTTGGGTCGCGGACAACAAAATCCAGAGAAATATCCCGGGAATCTGTTTCCACTGTGTGAGTCTAACGCGCCACATAACTCCCCAGAGTGCGTTGAGTTCCTCCATCGTGCAAGCTTGGGATAAGGAGGTGCGGTTCACTATGGCTTTGCAATATATTATTGCTGCGAGACGGGTGCTGGCGTAAATGAATTCGCTGGGTGAGTTGGGCGGGGCGGAGATCTTTGGTAACTCTATGATTCGATCACGGATCCAGGTTGATGTCGCGATAAGTTTTGTTAGATCTTGTTCCAGAGGTTTAGAACTTTCAAGTTTGAGTACCGATAGTGTTAAGAAACGCATGTCATCCAATATTATGGCAGTCTCTTTGTCAATGTTGAGCTCCTTGGTATGATTCGAGAATCGTTCCTTGGAGCTGAGAAATGGAGTGCTCATATATATTGGAATGGTGACTAGGTCTGGAGTGATGTGGTGAAAAGAGGGCTCGTAGTCATTCGAGCAAGATATGTGGTAATCACATCTGCAGATCCGTTAGAACTTCTTTCTTAGGTTGGCGAAGATGGTGGATTGTGGGTTGCGGAAAGAGCTTACAGTATAATCATTTGTCGCAAAAAGCGGTTCATGTCCCCTTCTACACCACCCCTAAGTTTCACCATTTCTCGAAGACCACTCATATGTGCCTGCACATTCTCTTGTATTCCCCAGTACCACTCATTGGTGATGAGATATACAACAGCTGCTATAGCCTCATCCGAGGTTGAATTGTGTTCACTCCTGAGCATCTCATTCAAAATCTCGATTGATCTTGCCTTCAACCCAAGAGCCAGGGGTGATTGGTTGGCAGGGACCTTTTGAAGCTCTGACTGATAGCAGGATGCGGTATATATCGCTAGTTGTGCCAAAACTGGTGATTTTATTGCCCATGGGACCCAGTGGTCATTGTAGTAATTCGGAGATGGATTTCCGTCAATGGAGACGACGTATTTCGTGATTAATTTGACGACTTGAGAACGAGTCTTAGTTAGTGTGGAGTCGAGATAGAGTTGGATGGCTGACCCACATATATTGAATAATTCGGTGTTCTGAACAGTTGGGGTCAAAGGCAGAAAATGTAAAGGGTCCACAGAATTTATACTGAAGTAAGCTGGAGGCCCGCCGGCTTCTGAATTATGAGACGCCCATCTCAATCGTTGCATGGCTATCACATTATCGCTGTTCGAGTCCCAGCTACCTTGGTCGACCTGGCCGGCCTGGCCGACCTCTTGACTCAAACCTAAAAATTCCTCATGGTCGCTGTAGTATGGAAAAGAGGTCATAGCCGTAAGGAGGCCCTGGTATGCGGACACCGGCTCAATCGAGTCCAGGAAACCCAAAGGGGCCGTAATATTTCCGGTACTTTGCAAGCCATTTCCTGCACTGTCGACATTCGAAAGTAACGGTGTTTGATGCGGGAGATCTTCCCTAGGGTTGACATCCTGGCCGGGATAGGTAGAGTAGCCCGACGCTTGACCCCCTATATCACTAGTTCCCGAAGATGTATTTAAGGTAGCAGTCGAAGACTTGACTCCTAAAGGTTCTCAGAAATAAGATGCAGCGGTTGGCCAAGACAGACTGCTTACCCAAGTTACATCTCCGGTAAGTGCACTGAGGAGGAGGATATCTCCGTGCACAGTTACCGCATGGCTGTTTCTTATCACACTAATTGATATCAGCTAATCTGTCAAGTTTCAATCCACGGCCAAATATTCTAGCCACGTTGGATTTAGGCTTAACAAGGCTCCATACCTTCTGTTTCCTCCTATGGCATTCGCTACAAGAAGAGCTCAAGTGAGAGCGGCTCTCTGCAAACTTCGACGGCTTGGGAGTCTCGGGGCGCCAACGCTGCATAATTTCGGACATGGAAAAAAGTGAAGATATTTTGACAACAGCCGGCCGACAGTCTGGCCCATGGCTTATGACTTTTTGTCGAAACCCGCACCCAAGGGGGCGAAACTGGAGATTTCCCGCCCATAGCACAGCTGAGACCTAGTCTGCCAAACGCAGCCCTTCGGGGCTAACGAACTCTCCTTGGTGGGCAACCAGCTCCCGTGGTGGCGGAGCGAGCTTGGCGAATGGCTCAAAGCAGAATGTCTGGTTATTTGGAATGCTCTAGATTTCGCAGTGCACTTGCACTGGCACATGCCGAAAGGCACTAATCTAATAGTTTGATACTAATCTTTGGATCGTGATCATAGATAGCGTAGGGCTGCATATTATTGATGCCGACAAAGCAAATAAGGTGGTGTGAGCATGCGCCTCAAATCATCGGCCACTCATTCTGATTCGGTGGGTTCCGAGTCTAAATATAGTACCGCCATACTCCGCCCAAAGAAGAAAGTTTCCGTTTGTCTGAGAGCTGTCAGTAGTGCCAAAAGAAACATACGGGTGTCCGATTGGGAGAGAAGCAGAAACATAGATTGCGGCTCAAGGCCAGGCTCTCCGCAGAATATTGGCCCACTTCTGCTAACCCGGGGAAGCTACATGGACCGGACTCAGTCAGCAGATCCCGTCACAGGTACAAAACTCCCCGCAACACATATCGAAAATCCATCTGGGTGTGAAAGATAAATTGTTCATATTCATCCATATTCATGTCTATCCCGACCTCCTACCCCCAGCACACTTATACTTCAAACCTTGCTAAAAATTCCATAGGTATCTAGTACGAACTCCAATACCATCAGTGGTAGAAATTCCCAACTGAGACATCAATATATGCAACCACCCAAACGCCGCAACGCTCGAAACAGTTAAATCCTGGTCATAATCATTTATCTTCCGTACTTTGGCTTCCCGGCCATATTGACAGGTGGCGGCGGTCCATCATCAAGCGGATATGGTAACCTCGCTCCGCCACCCATTGGTAGTCCGGGATCCTGGATTGGGGTTTTGGGCGGTAATGGAGGAGGCTCTACCCGAGTTGTGACTTGTGGAGGTGGCTTGGGAGCGTCGTCTATGTTCATAATGGAGATTTTGTCGGAACCCGAAGCAGTGAGATATTCGCTTGGGGTAGGGCTGTGCAGGACGAATTTATCGCCATTCTCGTTTACGACGCTATGTGTAGAGAATCTGCTAGGGCGGATTTGCGGTGATGAATAGCGTGCCTGATTTTCGGAGGACGAACGTGGTGATGGCGAGTGCGTCTGTTGTCCAGGCACTTCCAACATTTCCCGAAGTCCAGATTCGTATGAAGGTCGTCCAGGCGGACTTCGGAGTGGTTGCGTGGGATAATCTGCTGGGAGTTCGACGGCGCCAGGATATGCTTCAGGGACATTAGACAAGGTCTTGTAGGCTCCTCCGCCGCCGCCGCCGCCGATTACTCCTTCGTTGTCGAAGCGTCCTTTCGCTCGGTGGATTTTGGCTAGTTTGACAGCCGCCTCCAAAGTTATTCCTTGGATAGCACTCTTCCCCAAATACTTCCTTGTATTGGTACTAATATCCGCCAGTCGATTCCATTCATTCATGCCAAACTCGCCAACTCCAATTTCAACGTTGAAGCGGTAGTAATTCTCGATATTGACTCCACGTTTGTTGAGACCTTCCTTGATCATATATTGGTGTGTCTCTTCGCACCCCTCGATCTTTGCTATCAACCGCCGGCGCGCGTCGGCAAAATCGCCCATAAATCCTTCATACCAGAGATGTTGATTTTGGTCACTCCCCGATGGCCGTTTGCCTGTGCCGATGCTGACAACGACGCCAACGTCTCGGCCGGGCCACTCGTTCACACACGCCTCGTCCAGCGCGACGGGTGCAGGGTTAAAGTGTCCAGCGCCTTCATCAATAAATACTGACTGTCCAATCTGGATAGGTTTAAATGCCAATCCAGCCGCTGCAGTTGCCCGTCCAGCCTCCCAAATGGTACAGTTGAACTCAGGCGATGGCTCTTTTCGAGAGTCGTATGATCGAAGAACAGCGGGAGAACCGCCTTTAGGTGTTCCCTTATATATGGCAGTGACAGCACTATCGCTCGTTAGCTCAACTCACTTAACCTAATATGCAACTCCACTCACGTCTTAGTCCTATTCTCTCTGGTATCGTATAACATAGCGTTGGGGTTCCCCCATCTTGCTGCCAAATATGGCCGGCTCTGGTAACCGGAGGAACCACGCGCACTGAAGCTCGCAACGCTGGCATTGCTTGTGTGGCGATTCGGGCCTCTGGCTGATGATATCCCCGCAGGCTCCTCACCATCATTCCCCTCGCTCACGAGGACCGTATGTTCCCTAACACACTCCCTAATAGCCTCCTCGAGTTTCGATGCCTTGAATAACGTGGAGCGGTACGGTATTCCAGCAATCGTCTTATCGGTTTCGAAAACCTTCCGCGTCATTCGCACATATACCTCTTTGCAGGTCTCCAAATCCAGGCGTAACCGGCCCAGCATCAGCGCTATCAGCCCGCCCGTCCCGGTCCCGATAATAAGATCGAAGTGGTCGCAAGGCTTGGGGATCTGGTCCCGTCTCGGGGCCTTCCCTTCCATCTCGACATACGTTCGGTGCATCAGTTCTTGAATAATAATGAAAAGCGAATATCCGCGCACGCCACCTCCATCTATAATGACACATTAGCAAGGCTGTCCTTCCATCCCAGCCACGGAATGGGATATTGCGTACCTAGCGATAATATTCGGAGGGGTGGGCCCTTGGTGGTATCCTTGCGCCGCAAGGCGCTGTTGTTGTTGTTTTCCATGGTTGTAAAGGAATCCTGAGCGAAATGTTCAGGCAGAGTGGTCAGGTTGCGGCCCCGCGATGGCAGCCTCTTATGAGACGCCGAAGCTGCCAAAAATTTGAGCGGCGCCGTATTGAGGTGATGCCGATAGTAATGGTGAGAGGATGACTGTGTTGGCGAACTCCTCGTTCAGCAGTGAATAAATAGCTTGCGCATGTGGGGTACGTAGAGTATGTCCCACGACGGGAAGGCTAGAGCTGCAGGTACTTCTCGAGGGCTTGAGGTTCGGCTTCGGCTTCGGTTTCAACTTCAGCTTCGTCTTTGTCTTTTCGTCGTGATAGTCTTGTCTTTCTGATGGATTCTTGATCGCAGTACGAAGCAACAAAGCACGTAGGTGGGATACGTAATACAGGACCGTTTCCCTCGTGGTGGTCTCGGCGACAGGGGCGGCGGGAGAGTTCTTCAGTCCTGACAGCTGCGCCCGGGATTCCCAACGCCCCTCATTCCGCCCACAGGCTTCACAACCGCTGCAGCCACAGCCCTGATATAAAGTACGAAATACAGTGGTGAAATGCAGCGAGGCTTTCAGAAGCAAAGCATAGTCCACCAAATTATTGGCTCTTCCACTTCCTTTCTCTACGTTCCCAACTTCCGCCCCATTTATTCCGCACAATATGCTCCCCCAGTCCAAAGTCCAAGGCAGCAACTTTTCTCCCAAACTCACGGATGACGGTGCCGCTGCCAATAACCCATAATCAGTAATGACGTGGGGATAGCCGTCCAGGAGTCCAGGGTGTCCTCTCTACCCTGCTCAGCTAACAAGTGGCTGTTGAGGCTGTGCAGTGCACTTGCTGCCCTTGGCGCGTGGAATGTTCTTTTGTGGCCTTCTAAACGGTATTATTCCCTGCCTACGGAGTGCTGGGTAAAGAGAAGCTTATCAGGTGTTGCCAGCATTTCCACGGAGTGAGTGGATGTTGCGGTAACTGTTGTGTGGCAACGGGCGAGGGTAGCAGAACATATCGTGGCATGTCTCAGTTACCTATTATCCATCGTCACGCCTACTGGTAGCAGCAGCTACATGCCAAGTCCGCAGCAGCGAATACGCAGAATAATTTCCCATTTCCTAATTGATAACTATTGATAGTTTCCACACTTTTTATCTAACTAATCCTAACTATTCCCTACGTCGCGAAACCTAGAATATATATGTAGAGCACCAGCGCTAAAAAGCAGGATAATTTATGCCAAACAACGCTTCCAAATTCAAAATGCTAATAAACTCTCTCAAAAACGAAAATGCTGCGTAACATTCGTGACTCGTAAACTTCATGACAATTACATCCTTCGTGAGAAGAAAAACAAGGAAAATACGAAAACAGGGTCATAATCCATCATCAGCTAGCATTGCTCATCAAGTCTCTCGTCTTTTCCCATCCCCGTGTGGGGGCTTAGAATCTACTCACAGCAAACCTCTTCTTGCTTTTCCTGGCCCTAAAATTGTGCGGTTGAATAAACAGATCATCCTCCTCCGTCGTAGTATTGAGATCCTTCAAATCCATTGTCGGTGATGCTTTGCGCTCTTCTTTCGGGGACTCTGCTTCAGGCGGCTCTTTCGCCTCCACTTTCTGTGCTGCTGGTGTAATATCTGACTTTGAGGAGAAGAACGACGATCCGAATTTTGAAGATGGTTTGGCCTCCTCCTGTTTTGGGCTGTCGAATTTTGGCGATGGCCTCGACTCCTGCTGTTTTGCCATCTCGAAATTTGGGGAGACTCTTGCCTGTTCTAGTTTTGGGAGCTGTTCTTGTTGCGATTTTTGAGGATATGAAAATCTCGAAGAGTCATCCTTTGCTGTAGGCGGAGTTGCTCGTCTCTCATCTGACACCGTTTTGACCTCATATTGGCCGTTGAGAGCTTTGCCGTTCGAAGCAAATGAATATCTAGACGAGTCTTCTTTGGTCGTAGGTGGGGTTGCTCGTCTCCCATCTGGCACGGCCTTAACCTGCTCATATAGGCCGTTGGGAGATTTGCCATGCGAAGGATATGAATATCTAGAAGAGTCTTCTTTGGTGGTAGGTGGAGATGCTCGTCGCTCCTCTGGGCTCGCCCTGGTATGTTCGTATAGGGTGCTGAGAGCCTTGCCGTTCGGAGGATATGAAAATCTTGAATCATCTTCTTTTGTAGTAGGTGGAGTTGCTATTTTGGCATGTTCGTATTGGGCGCTGGGGGCCTTACTGTTCGACGGATACGAGTATCTAGGAGAGTCTTCTTTGGTGGTAGGTTGAGTTGCGCGCCTCTCCTCTGTCGCCGTCTTGACATGCTCGTACTGGGTGCTAGGGGCCGCGCCATTTGGAGGATATGCAAATCCAGAAGAGTCATCTCTAGGTGTAGGTGGGGTTGTGCGCCTCTCCTCTGTCGCCGTCTTGACATGCTCGTACCGGGTGCTAGGGGCCGCGCCATTCGGAGGATATGCAAATTTAGAAGAGTCTTCTTTAGGTGTAGGTGGAGTTGCTCTTCTCTCCTCTGGTGCCGTCTTGAAATGCTCGTATTGGGAATTGGGGGCCTTGCCATTCTGAATTCCTTTCCAGTCGCGGATTGGAGACGTTGTTCGTGGTTCTTCTGGCACCTTCCTCGTGTTCTCGCTTTGAAACATAGCGGGCTTAGCTTGCGGCGGTTCCTTGAAGCTATCACTTTGGAACGCTGGTCGGTGTTCTTCCGACCCTCTCCTGGCGTGCTCGTATTGTGTCATGTTCGGCGTTCCATTCGTCGATTCCTTAGTATCGTCGTTTTGATACGTTGCTGGTGTTTCTTCCACCACCATTCTCATTCGCTCGTAATATGCCGTGGTTGGCTTGGCCTGTGGAGCTTCCACCTTCTTGTTATTTTGAGATATTGCGATGTTAGTCTCGCCTAGTCTTTTGCCATGATCGTATTGAGCCGAATTTAAGTCGGCCTGAGGGGGCGCCTTTCGCTCACGGCTTTGGAAAGTCGATCGAGTTTCCTCGGGGGGTATGTTTACGTGCTCAAAAGCCCTTTCCTCCATCTCCTCATTTGGTGGAGCGATCACCCCGTCCATTGACGGAAACTGTTCCTTCGTATCTTCCTTTAGAAACACTCTGACCATTTCCTTTGGGGTTTCATCGTTCGCAGCCGGTGTAGGCCGGATGATATGAGAGAGGAAGTTGCCCCAAGAATCCTCGCTACGTATGTATATCAGCTATGCGTAAGCCACGGTTGAATGATGCGATCTCTTACCTCTTGTTCACATAATCAGAAAGCTTCAACCCATCCAGGCCCTCCTCGATCGATTTCATCGAATCCTCAATTGAATCTTCCAATCCGTGACAATTGGACGATGGGCCGGAAGCACCCCATCGGCGGCTACTGCTTCGACTGCAAACGTCCAGTATTTTGATACCTCGAATCTCGCGGGCAAGATTGTTCCATTTTCTACCAGTGAATGGAGCATCTGGTTTCGGCCAGATGCCAATCTTCCCACATCCCTTCATCAGCGAACCTAATAACATTGCGTCGCAGGCGAATCTAAGATCCACGTCCATTCCAGAATCACAAATTGGCAGTCCATCCATATATTTTGTGATGAACCCATGGATCACGGTGATGGCTGTCTCAATCGCGAATTGTCGATCTCTCTTAATTGCGTCTACAAGTAATCAGCTAAAACACCTTCAACTCCTTCAAAATATAAACACTCACCTATGATACCATGGGGAATCGGGACCTCGGGTATCTGCTCATCGAACTTCTCGTCACATTCTCGCTGTATGAGCCGAGTCATATTTTTGAACTCATCTTCCCGGTCAAACACCAAAAATACGAAGAGCAACTGGATTACATCGTCTGAATATGATTGGGGCATTCCGTCCCCTTTCAGCTTATCTATCCAAGTATCCGAGAAAAATTCCACTGATTCCAACATCTTGAAATCTTTGACCAGCACTGCAAGTTTGCGGAGTAGATCAAGGTTAACTTGGCGTGGCACCTTCCTCGTAGCTCCATGGATAATATTCAGTAATATGACCAAGGTTTCCGGGTCACCAGAAAGCTGTATGGTTACGTGACCTGTGGCACGAAGAGTTACAGCCTCGTCGAAATTCCCACTCAGCAATGTCTGGAAATGGGGAGAAGCGAGCATCAAATGTCTTGACGATACCACACAACGAACCTCTTGCGTCGTAGAAACTACCTTCTTATGTCTACTTTCGCGGGCTTTTGGTGGGATCACAGCAGGAGCTTCCTCATTGGGTGTAAGTATTCTCTCTTTCTGCCTCTTCAACGCCGCCCAAAAAGAACCGGGTGGGCTGGTAGAGCGATCTCGCCGAGATGAGGCATCGGAACCTCGACTACATCGTGGTGGTGGCGGATATAGAGGACCATCTTCTCCAGTGGGCGGATCAGGAGCGTAAAATAGTTCATCATCCTCGGGTTCGGCCTCGGGCGGCTCAGCAGTCTCAAGCCCGGTGGGAGCGTCAGATGCAACTGCTTTCGCATCTTCTTCGATGGATGTATTGCTCTGTCCTAGTGCCGAAAGGCTTGAGGATGAGGTAGTCCTTGAGATGGAGGAATGCACTTCTTCTTCGATATGGCGAATGAGGGTGAGCGTGACATCGCCATTCGGCATGAAGACTAGAGTTTCTGGCTCCATCTTGAGCGACGACAAAATTCAATTTAATTCAAGCCGGCTCCGACAGGAATTGCTCTATCCGCTCCTGGAAAATGTCATCAGTAATCTCCCCATTAGTCGCCAAACCAGTACTCACCGTCCTGAAGTACCCATGCATCCCAACTACCACTGCGAAAGAAAAACAAATTCTCGTGAGGTTGGAAAAGCGAAATCAAAATAAAATTTCTACCTGAGTCACTTGTCGAACGGTCCCGGCAACAACAATAACCGCCGCATGAGTGCACTGATGAGTTGTCTGTGGCTGGGCCAATGGGATGAATTGCCTGTATGCAGACCGGCATTGTTGGGACGCATTGCATATTGGGCCGCTGCGTCGCTCTGAGACATAGACCACAAACTTCATAACACAAAACAACTCGAACAAAGTTGCATGAAGAACTAAGTAAGGGCGGAATAAAGTACCACTTGATTGGCAGCTGGAGGGCACAGGATTTTGGTGGCGCGCACTCCGTAATCCGAGAATAATATCTCCAGGACAAATACACCTTTCGCACCGCTCTAGTCGGCTTGGGATAATAGAAATTAAATCGACGTTGTTTTTATTCGGTTATCGTGATGTTTTTTCTCCAGTCGCTGACTTCGGTTTACCTGTCGGTTTGAATGCGAAAACCGAACACGCCTCGCAGCGGTTGGCGAATGATACTCCAAACCATCGTAAATTCCAAGTAAACTAAATGACGTCCCCGAAAATGATTATGTAGCTAAGGCATAAAGGTTGAAGGGTCAACTGACCTCTTTTGGATCATATTTTCGTATATTCCTAAATGGGGAGATGAACTAGCTCTCGATTAAGTTGATTTCTAGACTCATCAGTCCAAGTGAAGAAATAAGTGGCTGGCTTGGGACGAAGCACAGTATTTGGGCCTTTCGGCACCCCATAATACCATGATGTCCATTGACTAGGTTGTATCGATATATAATTCCCGGCGTCAATACGTCAACTTATGTAGTGACAAGCCTAGTATCTATAGTGCCCCTAAGCAACGGGCCAAATGTCAGGAATGATATAAGTACATAGTACTTGTATATCCTCAGGAGATGGTAGGATAAGGATATTGGTTAGCGAACAGCTGCGAAACAAAAACGTCGCGATTAAATCAAAACGGATTATCAGCCCAAATGACTTCCTCTACTAACAAATTCCACCACTCTCCCTAGGGCACAGACAAATTGGGTGCGCACAAGAGACACGAATATAACTATAACGCACAAAGGGAGGTATATTTCCTCGATACGTTTCGTTATGACCACTTGGCTATCCAAATATTGGCTATTCACTAGAACACTAGAAGAGATGACAAACAAACCAGTAAATGGAGCTACAATGCTAAACCAAATGAGAAAAATGTTGATATAAAGTAAAGGATATAGAAGTTACGATCTTGGAAAAGTATTCTAGGGCACCTCGTAACGTTAACCGAGAGCCCGAGTCCGAGTTCTGGACCGTCGCGAGGTTCTTCACCAACAATATTTCAGCGGGTTTGATTCGGATGTTGTCATGCGACACCAGCTATCGAGCACAAATTTGGGTCAAGTACCGCGTGTATCAAAGAGAAAGAGAAGCACCAACGCATGCTGTACCAAGAGTAATCCTAATAATTCTTTCCAGCCTGACTAGATCGTTCCCAAGACTGGACCAGTGCTGAACATGGTAAAACCAGGAGCTGTGATAGTCGGACAATGTCCTTGTGGCATTGAGCAAGCACTGGCAGAGCGGGAGGAGCATTCCTTCAGCTGAATACTTGCAACTGTGGGATTACATTTAGAAATAAGAATCGGGGAATAGGCGCCAAAGGCTAATTATTCCTGATGGATTTGTATTCGGAATTGAAATGATAGACACTGACGGCTTGACGCTTGGGGCAGACGGAACTAGGGGCGCAGCCGACGAAATCAAATTATCGAAGAATAGAGGAGATCAGTGACAGCAGGATTCGGATGTTGATGCCGCTGAATATGTCTTCATTAGACCAATACGTAAATAATAGATGACTTTACATTGTAGAGAACGAAGAATAAACAGCTGAGGTTCCAAAGGAGGGAAAGTCTAGCCGCACGCTTAGTCATGCATAGCCTAGCGGCATCGCGAAAAATAGCCTTGCCGGATCCATACACCGATAAGAAAGTCCCTTCAACTTTTTTTTTGAAGCTTAAGCTCACCTCCTACAACCGCTTCCTCACAACCCCGCCACTGCCATTCTCCATTGTATATCACAATGGCAGCTCCGGTCGAAAAGCTTCAGCAATTGAAGTTGCCCACGGGCCCTTCACCTGTTACGCCTGAACAACTTTATTGGAAATCATTCAAATCGCGCCAAAACATTCCCTCTCAATCGCCTGTAACCCATATTTCGTTCCCACCGCCGCCGAGTAACCCTCTTCTTCCCGCGACCAATGACTATTTCGCAGTCACAACGGGAACTCGAATTCAAATATACTCCATACGAACCCGAAAGCTTGTCAAGACCATCACACGTTTCTCCGACATTGCCCACAGTGCAGAAATTCGTCGAGATGGGCGTGTTATGGTAGCGGGCGATGAGAGTGGCAAAATCCAGGTCTTCGATGTGAATTCTAGGGCAATTTTGAAGACATGGGAGGAGCACAAGCAGCCAGTCTGGACGACTAAATTTTCGCCAACTGAACTTACAACCCTGATGAGCGCGAGCGATGACCGAACTGTTCGATTATGGGACCTTCCAAGTCAGGCGAGTACCACGACTTTTGTTGGGCATACGGATTACGTTCGGAGTGGCAGCTTCATGCCTGGCACAATGTCGAATCTGATCGTAACTGGAAGTTACGATGAGACTGTCAGGCTTTGGGATCCTAGGATACCAAATAAGGCTGCTATGATCTTTAAACACGCCGCACCTGTCGAAGCTGTGTTACCGATGCCATCTGGAACAACGGTCCTTGCTTCCGCCGAAAATCAGATCTCAGTCTTGGATCTTGTTGCGGGAAAGCCATTGCAGCTCCTCAAGAATCATCAGAAGACTGTCACGTCCCTATGTCTAGCATCAAACGGAACGAGACTGGTTAGCGGTGGATTGGATGGTCATGTAAAGATATTCGAGACGGCAGGCTGGAACGTTGTTGCTGGGTCTAAATATCCCTCGCCAGTTCTCAGTGTCAATGTTATCAGTGCGGGTGCAAACCGTGAAGACAGGCATTTAGTGGTTGGTATGGAATCAGGGGCACTATCCATTCGAACAAGACTTTCAGGGCAACAAAAAGTGAAGGAGCGGGAGAGAGAAAAGGAAATGCAGGCGCTTCTTGCAGGTACCGTGGAAGAGTATGACAAGAAGAATAAGAAGAGGACTAGAGGAATGGAGAAGAAGCTCAGAGGGATGGACTTTCTCGGCGAAGGCGCAGATGTTATTATCGAGGGCAACGAGAGCCGGAAACGGAAACACGAAGCTCCCTGGGAAAGAGATCTCCGACAGGCGAGATATGTACAGGCATTGGATAGCGTTCTGGAAGTGAACATGCCTCCCATCACAGTCCTTACCCTCCTCACGGCCTTGAAACACAGGAGTGCTATGAGAACAGCGTTCCAAGGGCGAGATGAAACCACAGTCCAGCCGATCCTGGAATGGGTGATCAAGCATATCACAGATCCTCGCTATGTCAACATTTGCGTAGACTCAGCTCTACTCCTACTAGACATCTATTCCGAGCATGTAGGAGGCTCTCCCGACCTAGAGCGCAATTTCAAGCTATTGCACAGAAGAGTGCGCACTGAGGTGGAAAGATCACAGCAGGCATGCATGACGAGCGGAATGCTAGAGATGTTAATGACTGGAATGCCATGAACCCTTCCTGCTGTTGGTTTTGTTAGTTGCATAGCGAAGGCGTTCGAATTGGGATCTTTATGGCGTTAAGGGAAAACGATTTATTTTATACAACTGGAGGGCCTTCGGGCCAAACTACCCCGCAACGACCCCACAATATTCACTTCCGTCATCGGCCAAATTTATCTACGTTCATGTTGCTACCTAGATATTTTACAACAATACTCGTCATACGAACCCGTTAACACGCCGAGAATTCTGCAGCCTCTTAATCAAACCAACCCATCCAAGCAATTGACTAGTTTCTATACAATCCAACTATGACAAACGTTCAAGCGCCACCAATTTCACGGAAAATGCATGACCTCACAAACCAGGTGGTGCTCATCACTGGTATTGGTAGCGTAGGGGCAGGTTGGGGCAATGGGGCTGCAATCGCAGCATTGTTTGCACGACAAGGCGCGATACTCTTCGGCTGCGACCTATCACTTGAAGCAGCCGAAACTTCCAAATCCAAGATACTGTCAGAAAGTCCTGACACTGATATCGCCGTCATGCGGGCGGATGCCACGTCCTCCTCGTCCATTAAAGAGTTCGTCGACAGCTGTGTGGCCAAACATGGCCGAATTGACATCCTAATCAACAACGTTGGGCGGAGTGAACCTGGGGATCCTGCATCTCTCAATGAGGAAGTGTGGGATGAGCAAATGAACGTCAATCTCAAATCTGTATATCTCACCAGCCATCTCGTCCTCCCTCTCATGGCAGCGCAGGCATCAGGAGGCAATATCGTCAACATCAGCTCCGTGTCTGGGCTCCGTTATATAGGTAAACCCCAAGTTGCATATTCCGCCACCAAAGCTGCGATTCTCTCCTTCACTCGTACCACAGCCGTCATATACGCCGGCAAGGGGGTTAGACTGAATACAGTTGTGCCGGGCTTAATCAATACACCGTTAGTGAAAGTTTTGGCGGATAAATATTCGGGAGGGGATTACGAGGGATATTGCAAAGTTAGAGATCAGCAGGTTCCGATGGGGAGGATGGGTACGGCGTGGGATGTAGCGAACGCAGTGTTGTTTTTGGCTAGCAAGGAAGCTTCCTATATTACTGGGACGGAGATAGTTGTCGATGGAGGGCTTACCCAGAGTACTGGTAGAGTCTAAGAATGTCCTTGACACTTCAATGGAAATGCTTTTAACGGCCCAAGACTGACTCAAAACAATGGCCTGTCCAAACTCTAGGTTTGTCATGTCCTCGGCCCTAAGGCAAAGTGCTATTATGAGAGGCATGCGTGTCGGGTTGCTTCCGAAAAATAATTGGCCAGGATTCAGTACACATAACAAGGGTAGGATGTGAGTTCAAAGCGCCGGGATTAGTGAATATGTCCTCTATATTCTATATGCGGAGTTAATGCCAGTGTGATCTGATTCATCTGCCTTCTCTACACGTCAAGTTGTATGGCAAACCCTCCCCTTGTCATTTCAACCATCTCTTTAGGACTTCAGCACTAGCGAGTAGGGGGCGGATTAGTCTGTACTATATCGTACAGTACCATATTCTCCGCAAGTCTAAAAGAGTCACTTAGCAACTAAGCTAAACACCGCTACTGCATTCGGCTATCGCTCGCCCAAGCACCTTGTTGGCCCACTGGCAACCATCACAATCCACCACAAATTATATAGTGGCTATATTGTAGATTTGGTACCTCCGTCTCAAAGCACTCAGCGAGAGCAATACGAAGACCTCCCCCCAAATTCAAGAAATGGTTCGTCTATCGGGCCTCGAGAATCGATGGCAGTTGGCAGCCGCAGTGTCTTCGTTTATTTCCAACCAGAAGGAAAGACAGAGAAGAAGCAGTGCTTCCTTACATGCCACCATGTGGTTTGTCCCGATTAGGAGCATCGGACTTAAAGTCGACTACCGATCTCGTTTTCATGCGGCGGCTACAGAACACTGCCTTTCGAATGTGGGCATACCACAGACCGATTCAATGAAGGCAACCCTGGCCACAATAGACCATTAACAGATCACAATGACAAATCGTCAACAAATGACAAACAGTCATTAGATGACAGACAGTCAACAGATGACAATGAGTAAGCAAATAGCAATAGTAGAACGGCAATGACAGACTGGGCTATTGTTGAGGTCACCAACGTATCAACATTCCGCTTGAACCGACCTCCCATCACTGAACCCATGGACCCAAGGCAGCAGTCTCTCCCAGCCGGGCTCAAGTACAGAGCAAGTAAGAATCACGCCATCTCTAGAGTGGGAATAGATCTTGAGAAATATTCCTGGGTCGCTAAGGCCGGCCGCTCTACATCCATTTTTATCGATGGTTATACTGCAGGGCATATCAACTGTATGAAAGGCCGAGTGCATTGGGACAACGGGCGAGATACTCTCGAGACGGTTATCAGCAACGAGCCGTCAGGGCTACAATTTGCTGTCCGTGGCGACTCTGGGTCCATGGTCATCAGCCGGAACAAGGATTGGGTGGGCCTCGTGATATCGGGAGAAAGTACGGGGGATACGGCTTACTTGATGCTCGCACAGGCCATTATCGACGATATCAAGGCCAAAACTGGGGGGACGATCTCCCTTCCATTATGATCGATTTATATTAAAAAGTACCCAACTGCATGAAGTAATGGGGTAGACGCCAAGATATAAATACTTCAACTGCCCTAGGACATTCAATCTACGCTAAGTATCAAAATATTTACTTTCGCAAACTCTAGGTCTGTCATGTCTTCGTCCTTTAATCAAACGCTTTCTTAAGCTATCCTAAACGACACCCCCGCCCGCCCTACCTCTTCCCAACTTCTCTGTCCAGCTCTGACCGGCCTCCATCTCCTTCCCATGCTCCTTCTTGACTTTCTCCAAAGCCCAAAACTGATACACCCCAAACAACGCCCCGCAAATCACCATACATCCCCCAGTAACACCTGCAGTAACTCTTGCACTCACACTCCACATCCCCTTCTGGCTCGAATAGACATTAACAAGCGTACTGATCAAACCCGCCAAGCTATGCAGCACACCCGGAAGGAAAATCTTATTTAGCAACCAGACGAAGTTGTCCGTATGGGCGTAGTAGAGATACAACATCCCCGTCGCACCCAAAGCACTGGAGACTGTAGCGATGACTAGCAACGGGATGTGCTGCACCGAGTGTATGATGGTTGATGCGGTGGTACTAGACGCTACCGTGTCGGATGTGGATAGCGACGTGAATGTTCCAGGGAAGATGACGAATCCTGCTAGGAGGAGCCATGTAAAGAACGAGGCGAGGATATTGTGTACGCGAGAGATGTCGTCAAGCGCGAGGAGCATGCGCATATATTGAGTTTGCAAGGTGGGCTGCCGTTGGGGAGCTGTGGGCTGAAAGGTGGATGTGGTGCTAGATGTTGAGGAGCTGGTTTGGTGGTATGGATGAGCAGTGTGGAACGGCATTTTTGGAAGATGGATTGTTGGCGGGGTGCGGAGGTGGCTCATTGCTCTGGATCCAAGAGTTTTCTCTTTCGTATGGCTGTTGTTATATTGAGTTTTGATAGCGCTGGCGTCGTTCATTATGGTAGTTGTTCTGTATAAAAGTGGTAGTCCTATTGGCCTGGTAGGAAAAGAATGATATGCAAATAAAAGACCGACGTCAACGCCGTTGAAAGTGAATCAAATGGAAAAAGTAAAAGCAGGATACGCTGAGCTATCAGTTATTCATTGAGAGAGATAGGAGGTGAATCAGATCAAACTGGCGGAAGCTCCGCATATAGGGAATGTATTCACCAATTCCGGCGCTTCGGATTCACACCTTGCAAATGCACCATTGTTACGTGTATTTAATCCTAGCGGCTTTTTTGTCAGAAGTAAGCCGAGATCCTTTTTAGTCCAGTGAATCGGAAGCATCTAATTGTTCTAGCATTGCGATGAGACTTTGACGACGAACTGTTTGCTTACGGTTTCGCGATATCCAATGGTGGTGATGTTTCAAAGAGCACTTGAAATTCGCTTATCAAGCCACAACCCCTTTTAGAACCTCGCGGCGCTTGCGACGCGCGGAGACGAGATAAGAAACACAGCAAGGGTCCACCACACTACAAGGAGCAAACTGGTCAATATCAGTCCTGAATTCCAAATCTGCTGGTTTATCGGTGTCCTCCTAGTGGAGAGCTAAGGTGGATATATCTTAGGCCGTGGCCATGCAACTACGTACTGTACAACTACAACTCCGTAAAACTTTAACCTCAGTTTTCTAACGAATGTTGGGCTATGTGCGACTATTGCTTTCCTCCACTGACAAACATAGCTTTGAAGTCAGAATTGCTCTTCATGGGTTTGTTTCCCTCTCCGTGCGCACTGCCGTTTGCCTCCGCTTTACCATCCGCTTTACCAGTATCGGATTTTGCCGCTGCAAACCCCAATCCTCGCTTCACGCCCAAACCGCCTCTTCCAGCAGGACCAGGTCTCCTAACAGGAGCACTCGGCTGCATAAAAGAAGCAGGAGACTTTTTATTCCCTTTCCCAACCAGAATCTTGTCCGTCCTAATCTCGCCTTTCTGCCCAAACAGGTCTTTCATATTCCCAGTTCGAAGTTTGCGTCCAGGCACAATTTCGTGGTTTTCTAGCCCTAGTGCGGCTCGTCCAGCTGATGCAACGTCGGCATATTCAACAATAGCTCCTTGGTGATCGGGCCGCAGTACCAGTTTGACAATGTCACCGTATGGCTCTACTATTGCACGAACACGAGCATCGTTGACTGTGTCAGGAATGTTCATTAATGCAATTGTTCTATGTGAGATATCGGTTCGAGACACGGCATTTTGTGCATCGGTGCTAGAATGGGTTTCCGGTCCTGGAGAAGGGGACATGGCAGTATCACCTTCCTGATCTGGCGCTGGAGACGCCGACGGTCCCCTGGTGGTAGCCGTGGGCTTGTAGTTCGTGCCACTGGACATCTCAACCGTCAAAATGCGAGACTTTAGCTTGGTCTTATCTAGGTCAAGCGCGGCAGCTGCTTCTTCTTGCTTTTCAAAAGAAATAAACCCAGCACCTTTGCTTTTCCCACTGAGGTTCTTCAAGATTCTGATCCTGTCGATCTTGCCGAATTTACCGAATACTTCCTGCAAGTCTTCCTCTGTTAGGCTTTGGTCTATGCCCGTAATGTGGATTTCTCGGCCTTCAGCCATAGCACCCTCACGATTCTTCTTGTTCGCGGGATCTGAGTATTTTGCAACCAATTTATAAACACCACCCAATGACTGGCCATCAAGTTCAGTGGCCGCAACTGCAGCCTGCTGAGTGCGGAAGGAGATGTAACAGAATCTGCGGGTAGCGTTATATTTCAGACTTGGCCAGCGAATACTAAATATTTCTCCGCAATCCTTGAAAAGTTTGCGGAGATATGCATCATCGGCAGTGGGTGGGAAATTCGTGACATAAAGTGTCAACCCCGTACCAGACTTGACCTGGATTTGTCTATCTCCAAAGTACTTTCCATCGCGCAGGGAAGCAGACTGGACGTCTTCTGGGGTCCGAAACTCGATCAGCGCTGTTGACGAAAGTTTGTCCGCCTCGGTCTTCAAAGTGATGCTGTTCATATGGCCGTATTCTCTGAAATACTGTCTGACTTTCGTTTGGGTAGCCTCTGGGGGAAGATTGGTGACTAAAACAGTGGTATTTTCACGATCGCGTTTCAGATGTTGTTCACGCAATGTCTCTAGGTCTATTGCGTTCTTCTCATTCTTCGACCTTTTCTTTGCGGCATCATCAGGCTCCTCGGATGCGGGCTCCCGTTTCCTCTTCGCCGAGCCGGATGGCGATTCTATGGTCGCAGGTTCCGTAGTAGCTTGAGGCTGCTGCTGAGCATACATCGCAGCGGCTTCAGCGGCTTCTTTTTGGCGCCTTCGGGCCACACTCTTGGACAACCTACGAACGGTGTCCGTTGCCTTTATCAGCTCCTCCACGCCTTCGTGGTTGTTGCAATGGCGTATATAAATCTCCATAACCTTCTCCGGCCAGTCTAGATTGTGACGATGCACGGCTTGACTTAATACGGCTGTGGGTACTGTTGGTGATGAATTTGGAGTCCAGACAGTCATTTCCCATATATAATACTGTTGCCAGAAGTCATAGCTATCCCCTTGCGTCCGAACGAGTTGCTTCCATAAATCCCGTGCGTCTCGGTATAAACCCTTCTGGGTAAGATATCGGATGAATATTCTCTCAATCCGGAACAGAGGATCCCCTTTCCAGCCTTCCTTGCCATGGCGTCTTTGGCCCCATTCTTCGACGCTTTCCAGGGCCGAGCGAAGTCCCATATCCGCCACATCGATGTCCTCATCAGTCGCACCGGGGGCTATAGTTCGTCTTTTCAGATAGCCACTCCAAGCAAGGTAAAACTGTATCACACCGTCCATGCCATCTCGGTCTAACACTCCAGTGTTGGTGGCAGAGTGTTTAATCTGTTCCATGGTTGCAAATGGTAAGTTCTCGGACTCCGCTGTGAGAATGTAGCGTGCCCAAAGTGTTCCAGACCATGGGCAATGGCTCGTGGCTCGCTGTACAACTGAGATAACAGATGGGAGTGGAATATTGGGTAGTTCCCTCGTGATGAACGATAGAAACGTGATATAATCCTCCCAAGTATCCGACTCCAATCCAAGAGGCGTGGAGGCTAATGCCCGTTCAAACAATGCCACGCAAAGAATCGGAGGACTGCTGGGTTGGCTCTTCTTGGTCTTCCTAACCGCCTGTGCAGTTTCCCAATCCAAATAGGTCCTCATTGCCTCTTTGACTGCTTCAGGGTCGCCGGACTCGTTCGCTTTCGCCAATGTGAGCTCGTGTGCTTCGCGGTAACTATACAATTCCTTGGCCGTTTTCGCCAATTTTGTAACTTCAACCATTGTCGATTCCCAAGCAGGCTCGTCATACTTCGTAATAAATGTCGAGGACATCTGCGAGGTTTCCGCCCACGTAGCATGTGGTATCTGAAGTCGGTCCAGGAAGAGCCTCTTAATGCGCTCGATGCGCTCCTTGTCTTCAAGTCCAGATAATTGTTCCTGTTCGATCGAGATCCATCTATTCCAAAGCTCATGGCCGTCGCTCAGCCGATATTGCGTTGCCTGGGCTCCTTGCTGCCATACATCAAGGGCCGTTTCGAGTGAAAAGAGCTCTTGTCCCAACAGTTGCTCCTCCTCTGGCCAGCCCGCGTCGCCATTCTGGCAGTCTGTGTGAAGCGACCAGACCCATTCACAATATGCCAACCATAGCTTATTTGACCAAGGCTCTGCAGCGAGGGCGCGTTTGTAAAGTTCAACGACTCCGATGCGCTGCTCCAGATCTCCTGCGGTCCGGCTGGCTTCATCGACGAGAGCAAGCCAGGCATCCTCACCAACGGGTTCGCTCATATTAGCGGCGGTAGGTGGTGTAAATATTTCCGAGGGGAAAGCTGTCAAGTATCATTGATATGGGAGCGAATCAGAATCATCGATGTGATAGCTATCTTGGACGCGTGTCTAGAGCAGACGGAAACCAAGGGTTATAGCTATGGCGGTTGCTATTGCCTTTGTGCTAGAATAGAAATCCAAGCGCAATGGAGTCTGTGACGCAGGACCTGGAGAGCTTTGATCTAATCTGCCGCGTCTCGCCGCTCCGAATGCGACCACGTGACTAGATCAAAATCGTCGATATCCGAGGCGCGTTGGTTTTTGAGGTGAAGCTGACTTGACACAGACAACATCGCTCACCATGAGTCTAAATTTGCCAGTACGGCGAGCCGTGCGATCGGGTACGTTCTTTGGAAAATGCAAGCTTAAGTATTAGTTATCTGGAAGCTAATTGATACGCCCAGCTACTGCCCTGACAGGCTCCCAGCGATCCCCCTTCCTCCTCCCTTATCTCCAGCGCCGTACGCTCTTCAACTTCGGGATCACAGGTTGGGGAAGCGGGAGATCACAGCAACTCGACCAAGTGGTAAAGCCCAAGAATCCACTCACCGAGGAGTATCTCAGGAAAAAGGCAACACCGAAAGGAGGATCGCTCGTACGAGGAGACCTCGCCTCGTCCTCCATTTTCGAAGATGAAGAAACAGCCGGGCCTAAGCCCAAGTCGAAAGGCGCAGGTGCACCTCTTCAGCGGAATCCAGAAACCATGGCTGCCGCGTTAGATCCAAACCCAAAGGCCCGGATGCGATGGGAACGAAAAATGGTCATCCGAGAGATTCGGAAACGGGGACGATTGACACGGGCACAGCAGATCAAACGACAAGAAAGGGAGTTGCTGTCCAAGAGCCACGATTTTAAGACTTCGGTGAAGAAATTGGTACCACTGGCGCACCAGATTGTCGGCAAGACCCTTGAGGAAGCCATTGTCCAAATGCGATTCTCGAAGAAGAAGGCTGCAAAGGACGTCAAGGAACACCTTGAGCATGCTAAGAACGAAGCGATCGTTAGGAGAGGCATGGCGCTTGGTAAAGTCCAAGGGCAGGAATTCACACCGAGGAATATCCAGACCAAGGATAAGAAGACGGTGAAGGTGGATGACCCAACGAGATTGTATATTGACCAAGCTTGGGTTGGAAGGGGGTTATATGGCAAGTCCTTAGATATCAGGGCTAGAGGAAGGGTCTTTATCTTAAAACATCCCACAACGAGTAAGTCATACTTTAGAGGCAGCATTTCACTAGCTAATCTACTCTAGGTATATCCGTGATCTTAAAGGAAGAGAAGACTCGGATCCGGCAACACGAGGAGCGGCAGACAAAGATTAAGAATCGGAAGGTTTGGATGCAGCTGCCAAACAGGCCGGTGACGGCTCAGAGGCAATTTTATTCCTGGTAGACGGCATGGCATGTTGGCGCTTGTACATTTAACCCCTTTGTAAAATATAAATCCTCGCGAGATCCGGCGGATGCGAGAGTTTGGACGGCATTATTTCCATTCATCATTGTGAGATATTTAGCCCAGAATCGATGATATGTGTTTTGCGGGAGAAGTTTCCCCATGGCACACTTTCTGTTTCTGTCATAGGCAAACCGTCAACTCATCGTCGAAGGTCTCTAAAAAGCTTTCAGCACTCTAATACCAGGAGTCTGCAGAAGAGAGGGCACTCCATCCAGATAGCTACTCGGAAGTGCCGGCTCTCACCCTAAGGCTTGAGAAAAATACCAATATCGTCCAACTCAACACAAGTCACAAACGCCACATTACTGCCATGCCTATAACCAGGTTCCCCTATTTTCCCTGTCCATAAACGAATAATTGCATAGTCGCAAGAAAGGTAAATCCCAAGAAATCTTTCTCCCTAATATCAACGCGAGTATCGATGGAAATGAGAGTTATTTACCTATTATTGTGGTTCGAGGGGTGCCTTGGTCTACTTCAGTTTCACCAAGGCGGTGCAATCATTGGCTTTGCTACAGTTAAACCCTGCCGCCGAATGAGCTCTACCATTTTCTCACGAGTTGCCACGAATTTGTCACAACATATCTCACTATGCTTGTCCCTGAGAGCTGGGTTCCTTAAGGGCCGCGTCCGGGCCATCAATGCCTCAGATTGCTAAAGAATGGCAACCTCCCCAACTTTGCTCGCGACAAAGCCGATTTAGGTGGAAAATAGTAGACAGCTATGGGTTATGCAACATATGGTTGGGAAGATTGAAGTCGTGAGGTAGAGACCTGTCAACCAAAATCAGCCACAGAACCCGAAAGTATCGGTGACAAAAGGACAGCTTGCCATCAAAAAGTCGGTAGCCCTGATAGTTTAACAAGACACTCATGGGTAAAGCTTATAGTATTGCTTTGGAAACTTTAGTTCCTGGCGAATACATGCCGTCACCTAGCCAAGATGTCGCTCCTGCTGATGCTTGGGGTGCTACTGCGGGTGATAGTGATGTTCCGGGTGGTGGTGCTGTGTATCACGTAACGTTCATGACAAAAGCTGATGGCTGTCATTCCCAAGGGTTGTTTTCATTTTTGATTCGGTTGTCATATGTTAAAATGCTATCAATATTAGCAATTACCTGGCTCTGGCACTGGTGGCTCTGGGATCGGCTCCTTCACCTGTTGGATGATGTGGCCAAGGTATAGCAGAGGGGCTTACCATCACACACGATCCTCAACACGAGGTCGAGGGCATCTCCATCTTCTCGGGCCATTGCAACCAACGTGTCGCGCAACTAGTAAGATTACTCGTCTAGAAACTCTATTAACCATCATCCTCAAATGAGCTCTCTGCATCCTCCTGCTCATCATGAAATTCTTCGTCCTCGCTGGACTCGTGCATGTTGGTGTACGACCACTACCACCATCTAGATACGCTTGGATTCATAAACCTGCAACCTCCTGTGGGTGGGTGCAGTTTTCAGCACCACTTACCTGGGGCTTGCACAATAAATAGAATTGTACGCTTGTTCTAAGCAGCTAGTGTAGATGCAATGGCGGCATAATATCAGCCTTTCTCTTCGAGGTGTTATCTAGTTAGTCACTTCTAACCCCTAGGATGTGGCACCCATTGGGAACACAGCCTTTTTCCACGCATCAATTTTAGCTTATAGGCACCTTATTCTATTGCCCTGTGGGTTAACAGCACAAGAGGCACTTGATGGATGTGCTATACACGTCTACACGCTTCACCTTATAGTCTACAACACAACCAAATGCACCGCATGAAATTAGAAACTCCAGTAATGCTACCACTTTTGGAAATTTGCCACTGATTCCCTTTATGATTATCCAACAAGTCTAGCGTAGGGTTGTCGAGCACGTATTAGGAGTGCTAGAGATGCGGTAGGATGAGTTAGAAGGAGTAGAACACTAGGAGGGGCCCGAGACAATGAATATATCTCTAGATTTCCGACTGCAAGTGACTACACGTTGTAAGAATCACCAAGGGGTGGTACATGAAATCAACTGCGTTGTATGCAACAAAATGTATAGATAGACACTATATATATCACTTAGAAGGAGTAGCTTTAGATCAAAATACTCTATTGTCATTCCAATAGATACCCAACTCCTACAAACGCCCCCAGTCCTAAACCCCTCCAGCCAGATCAAACTCCATACCCTATATTCAAAAAACAAAATCCATCACTCAAACTTCCCGGCACCAAACAACCCTCCCACAACCTTCCGCCTTCCCTGTGCCCCCTTAACCAACTTCAGCTCTCTCCTCTTCTCCGTCTTCACAACGGCAGCCCTCCTCTCACTCTCCCTTGCAAAATAATGCACACCACTATTCTTCCCACCACCCCTCTTAACTCCATCGCTACTAGCAGGCCCTGCCATCCGCTCAGTTGCAGACATACCGCCAGTGAGAGTAGAACTGGTGGATGAAGTAACACTACTATTCGTAGTAGCGCGTCTCAATAGAGCAGGCACTTTGAATCCTGGTCCGGCCGAAGAAACTGCGAATGCCATTCGAGCGTTCGAGGATATGGAGCTAGAGGAAGCTCGTTTCAAGGAGATGCGGTCAATGACAGGGACCTTTGTTCTTCGGAGTGCGAAGGGATCGCGGTTCTCCTTTTCCTTCCGGCTGTCCGGCTGGCCTTCTATTTCTAGCTCGTTCTCAGAGTCGGACTCAGACTCAGCTGGTGCTATCATAGCGTTAGGCTCATCGATGAGACTTGAAAGTGATTCTCTGATCTCAGAAAGATTCGCCGGCTTCTTGCCAGGCTTGGTGCGGCGAAGATGTGGTGGTGGCCTCTGTTCAGCGTCTGCGTCGTTGGACAGTTTCCGTTTTGGCGGAGCCATGGCAGTTGGTTGACTGTCTTGAACAATTTGCTCAGGGTTTTCGCCTTGAGACTGGGATTGAGAGTCTGTTCCCTCTTCTGGCTCTGCGAAGTCCTCCAAGAAATCCATCTCATCTTCACTGCCACGGTCTTCAATCGCGCGGAGGAAGGCTTGTCTTTTGGGATTCTCCGCAATCTTTCCAATCCGCTCATCGGCTAGCAGAGCTTTCCGCATCTTCGCAAACTCTGCACGCTTTTTACGTCGTCGGGCTTCTCCTCCGTCATCTGAATCGGAAAGATCATAATCTGCTCCTCTTTTACGACGGAGCATGCCATTTGTGATATCTTTGTAAAGCTTTTCGACCTGCTTCTCATCATTTGCCCTTTCACGGTCCCTATGGTAGAAAGTTAGCTGGAAATCTCGAGAAAAGCAGGAATGGGGAACTTACGCAAAGAATGCAGCAAGTTTACTCTCATCAACATCTTTGCCACCTTCATCATCAATCATTTCTTTCACGAAAGCATCCTCCTCTCCACTTTCATCATCACTAGCACCGCCCAGTCCTGCATACTCATCTTCGGACTCTTCGGCCTGCTCGTTTACCATATCCTTTGCTTTGCTCTTCTTCTTGTCAAAGTCGTCAACCACGGTCTTCGCTTTAGTCGCTTTACGCATGACATCAAACGCACTGGCGTTGATCTCAAATTCGTCCTCTTCAAGAAGATTTTCTAGAAGCTCGCCATTATCCTCTTCGTCTGAGAATGTAGCGACCTGAGCTCTTTGGCGGAGTCTGCCCTTCTTTCTCACAATAGGCGTCTCCTCCATATTTTCTGGCATTGCTGTTGGTGCGAGCATAACAGTATCAGTCGTCGAAGGAGGCGCGTCAACAAATCTTCCTTTAACAGGGGTCATATGCTGGAATCCTACATCCTGCGTGGCTTCTGGGAATTGTGATAACTGGCTATCTTGAACTAGGCTATCGAAACCGTGAATTTGGGACTGGGAGAACTTTAGCTCAATCGCTTGGGAAACTGATTCCGTTTGTTGAGATTCGCCATCAACTGATTGACTATCCAAAACCACATCTTGGTCTTGCGTGTCCTCCGACATCGTAGGCACAAAAAGTGGAAGCTGGGGCGCCGGGAATCTTTTCAAAAACGCCATCGAGCCCTGGCCATTATGGACTTGAGGAGACCCTAAAGTTGGCCGCGCAGACGGCGATATCCCTTCCTCGGCGTCGAACTGGCTATCGTCCATAGTCCCGGCAAATATTTGAGTTAAACCAAGGCCCGCTGGACCATCTACAGTAACTCCAGGGATAAATGTCTTCGTAGCGGAGCGCAATACCGAATTTGGAGCTCGCGGTGAATCCGTACGCAGCTGCATGGGTGATTCAGCCCATGGTGATGGGTGTGACTTTTCGTTATCTTCTTCGTCCTCATCCTCCTCGTCCGAGATGACTGCCTTTCTGTTCCGCCTTTGTTGTTGGTTGGCCGGTAGATGATCAAGATCCTCTTCGTCAACATCGGCATCGTCGGCCAGCTCTTCATCAATAGACAAATTAGCCTCTGCTTCCTCCTCATCTTCAGCAGCCTCATTATCAAACATTGGGTTTACGGCAGTCGTCTCCTGGTCGTCCATTTCATCATCACCTTCTTCATCTTCTTCCTCCTCTTCATCAATGATATCCTCCTCCTCCGATCCAGAAACCGAGAGCTCTTGGTCGCCACCTTTTCCTTCCTCCCAGTCTTCATCATCGCTGCTGTCTCCAAGGGGATCCTCCTCACCCCTCTCTCTGCGTTCTTTCTTCGCAGCTGCCTTCTCTCGTTTCGTAATTTCATCGGCTTCGCGTCGAGCTTTCGAGATAAGATCCTCAACCTCAGCCATTTCCATCTGGCGCTCTTCGGCCGTTTGAACAATGACACCCTTGTCCCTCAAGGCTTGCAGCCGTTCCTCTCTTTCGAATTTCGCCTGTTGCTTCGCCCGTTGCTGAAGGGACATCTGAAGTTCCCCAGTGGTCATTGATGGCCTCTTATTCTTTTTGAAGGATTGCTTTCCCGGAGATGTGAGCTGGGCAAGCATTCGCAAAGCATGGATAGATTGCGATTCCCTTGCTTTCCTAGCAGGAATACGATCGAATATGGAATCCAGATTCTTCGTTTTTGGAGAAAACGTCTTTTCACTCACGATTTCTAGATCGCTGTCAGAATCGTCCGCTGCAAGGTTATTCTTGTCGGAAATCTTTGAATGCCGAATTCTAATAGGTCGCTGGGTAAAGGGCGACTTTTTTCTGGGCATCTGGAGCTCTGGAGTTGCCTGCGCTACAGCTCTCCCTTTGCCCTTGTCCAGACGAGTGGGAGGAGACGAAGGCACGTTACTTAAAGCGTCTTCGAGGGTAGGTAAATCTTCATCATCGTCCATGTTTTGGAGCTCGTTCCCTGTACCTGGGAGCTCCAAGTTTCCCCCTAACTTTTGACTCTGCTCGGCATCAGAGGCTGGAGATGTTGGAGGAGTATCTTTCATCTCAACATCGGAATGATGTCGTGCTGGAGAACTAGAGCTAACGGCTTCGGTCGGTTCGGCGGCCTTGGTGTCTTGACGGAAGTTAAATTTTGCAAAAAGGTCCGCCTTGAGGTATTTCTTTTTGGTGGTAGCATTGTGAGCTAATTGTTGATTCCGGCTCAATCGTTGCGTCTCCCTGCGGATTTCTTCCTGTGCCTTCTTACCCGCCTTTCGTGTTGGCTGTGTGAGTCTTCTCCCTACGCTGACATCGCTAAGCTCGTCCTCGTCATCCTCCAGAATTTTAGCATGCCTCTTCCGCTCGGCGAGTTTTTTAGCTTTCTCCTTTGCAGCCTCAGCTTCTCTGGCTTGACGTTCTTCTCGTTTCTTCTGGACGAGGGCCTTGAAACGGTCATCGTTGGGTGGGTTGGCGGGGAGTGCGTCGGAGTCCGAGGTATTATCCCCAGAGTCAGCGTGCTTGCTTTTAGAAGGCGAAACAAATAGTCCGGGCGAGGTGGGATCTTTCGCAGGACTCGACTTTGGGGTATCCCGACGAGAAGTTCTAATTTTGCGTTTCCGTGAGACGACCGGGGCGTTACTATCACCACTAGTGTTGGGGGCATCTGTATCTTCAGTCGTCTCAGACATCTTGCTCTTGGCCAAGAGCATCCTCCGTACTCTCTCCCGCGCGTCGCCTGTATGCGGTGTATCCTCGTCGGAACTTGCTGCGTCGTTGGCCTGCATCCGCGCAGCTAACCTGCCTTTAGGACGCACAATATCCTCCTCGTCATCGTCATCCGTAATATTATTTTCCCGCTTCGCCGGCGATCGATTCGTGGTACCAAGAGGCTCGGTCCGGTCGACGGACTTCTTGGGTTTCGAAGGGGAAGTGCTCGCAAGTGCAGCTGTTATTCTCCGTCTCGCAGATCCGGAGTTACTCTCTGAATCTGAATCTTTATCGAACGTGGCAAGCAGAGCCTTAACCTTCGAAGTAGGCGTCAATTGGCCTGGAGATGCCGAGTTGGACTCCATCGCTGGTGACAACTCTCGTGAGGAAGCCATTGGGATGGCGGAGGAATTGTGATAATATTGTTGAATTGAATTGAACAACCGATAAAATAAAAGAATATCAGTATCGGAGATGTCAAGACTTCATGCTGGTTCAAATCAAAGTTCAAAAGTTGTGTTGACTTTAAAGGGAGAGAGGAGCGAGTCCGAAGCTTATAGGTAAGCTCGCGAGTTGATACTGACGCGTGAAGCCCAACGCGACTCCACGCGATTGATAAACGCGCTCCACCCCACCTTCTCCAGCCACCCAATGCACAGCCGGGTCAGCCCGATGTTCTCATGACCCTCTTTTTGTGAGTGAAACATCAACAGATAAGCTCGTCTCTTTCTTTCTTTGGAATCCGTTTTTATTAATGGTAGACCCTATCTCTTTCATACTCTCTGATATTTCTATAGTCAAAAAGGTTGCCACTGTAACTCTTTGTGTCCAAACCTCAAATGATACCCCTCAGTGAACAGTGGGATATGACTTGCTCCAACATTAGTAGAGCCAGGTGATATAGCCCACAAGTCCATAGAACTACAAGCTATTCAAAGATACCTGAGACATGGCTTTCACCCATCTCCGACGTCTCCACCTCAACAATGTCAATACTTTGCGAACCTCCCCCCTCGCCGAGATCTCGGGGGCTCTTGGAGACTTAGGCACTCTCCTGCCGCTCATGATAGCTCTAGCGATCAACAACTCCATATCACTCTCCACAACTCTTGTATTTTCAGGCCTATGGAACATATTGACAGGAATAGCCTTCGGAATTCCGCTACCTGTCCAGCCTATGAAAGTAAGTACATATCATATTTCCTTATCGTGCTCATCCATATACCTCAAGTCGCCCGGCTAACCATACATTTCCAGGCTATTGCAGCTATAGCAATATCCAGAAAGTTCTCCATCGAAGAGACCATCTCCGCCGGTTTTACAACGTCGGGCATCGTCTTCATCTTCAGCATAACCGGCCTGCTACGATGGTTCACACACGCCATTCCCACGCCCGTAGTAAAAGGAATCCAAGTCGGCGCGGGCCTAAGTCTAGTTCTCTCAGCCGGAAGTACTCTTCTCCAGCCTCTAGGATGGACAACTCCAAACGCAGGGGATAATCTCCTATGGGCGCTCTTCGCCTTCCTCCTTCTCCTCGTCACGCAAAACTTCCCTCGATTTCCATACGCGCTCCTCATTTTCCTCCTCGGCCTAGGAATATCAATATCCATCGCGGGGTCGCATAACCTCCCCTCCTTCGCCCTCTGGCATCCACACACCTTCCTCCCATCTTGGCCAGCCCTCCGCACCGGTGCCCTTGACGCAGGTCTTGGCCAAATCCCCCTCACAACACTAAACTCCATCATCGCCGTCTCCTACCTGTCCTCTGATCTGCTCCCGCACATCCCAGCGCCAGGGGTAACGTCAATTGGTATTAGTGTCGCGCTCATGAATTTGATAGGGGGCTGGTTCGGAGCCATGCCCGTATGTCACGGCTCGGGCGGTCTCGCAGCGCAATATCGTTTTGGTGCTCGTAGTGGAGCGAGTATTATCATCCTCGGGATATTCAAGATGCTTCTTGGTTTGCTATTTGGGGAAACTCTAGTAGAGCTTCTGCGAGTATATCCAAAAGCGCTCTTGGGGGTTATGGTACTTGCCGCGGGGTTGGAGCTAGCTAAAGTTGGCGAGAGTTTGAATTATGGTGCCAGGGATTTATGGGAAGTGTCGGAATCTACGAATGAGGGGGGAAGTGCAACGGGGTTGAAAATGCAGCGGGACTTGTCGGATGAGGAGAGGAAGCAGAGGTGGATGGTCATGTTTATGACGGTTGGGGGGCTGCTCGCATTTAGGAATGATGGCGTTGGGTTTGTGGCTGGGATTTTGTGTCATTTGGCTTATCGGTGGCCATCCAGGTCATCGCTTATTTGGGAAGGGCTAATGACCAAGCTGAAGGATAATAGGAACAGGAGGTGGAGAAGGTCAGCAGCTGCTGGTGAGGAAGAGCAGCCGTTGTCAAGCACTGCTTAGAACCTAATCTATATGTGGGTTAAACAAGACAGTCATTGGATAACTTGGTATCGTGGGCCCATATGACACAATGCATTTAGCACAACATTACTTACTGATTATCATATCCAGAATGGTAGATGCGTATATGGAGAGCGAGAATAGAGATAAATTTGAATAAGCAGTGAAGCTCCCACTACTCCATACCAGCAAAATAAACCCCTTCACAACCGCAAAGCTAAAGATATTAACGATAAAAGAGCCATGCAAGCACTCAAAACGCACCCCCACTACGCCAGTGAAGAAATCCGCACAGCTTTTCCTTTCCGCTATGTACTAAATTTCCATACCCAAGAACAGCCACTTGTCACTTGTCATGTCCAAGCCGCCGCCCCACAAATCAAGAGAAACAAGTTCGAAGCCGACCCATCGAAGGCTCTTCAGGAAGGCTTTGCGGTCTACGTCGGGTACAGACCGATCGACGCAGACCACAACTTGCGAGACATCGAAGACAGTCTCGGCGAGTTCGATTAATGCCATAAGCCTAGTTTTATGTAAGTATGGTTATATGGGCTAAAGAGGGGAGAAGGCTTACCCTTGTTTCAGATCTCTTCCAATGACAGCAGAATCGAAGAATGCGAACAGAGACTTGTTTTCCCCGTTGCCGCCGACGAAACCGCGGAAGCTGGCTCCACCGACATAGTCCCAAACCTCGATCCAAGCATCGACATCCTGTACGTCCGTCTTGCCATAGTAATCACTTTGATCATACGCCCCCCGCCTCTCGTTAGGAGGCGAAGGGTACGCATTATGTAAATCCGCACCCATCACGAATGAGCCGTTACTCGACGAAGTTCCTTCTTCACCAAGGAAAACATCTTTCATGGTCTCGCAGAAGAGTCTCTCACACTCTCCCCGGATGTAGTACGCTGCCCCCTCTTTACGCCCACCGTTTCTCCTCGCGCCCGTTGTATGGTCGTTGCCGCGTGATTTGGACATCAGCGCGAGCTCGTTGGCGGAGGTTAGGGCGGCTAGAGGGGGACTTGACGGTGGTGCGGGGATTCCCTGGATCCCCAGGACCTCAGGGATGCCACTGGGCCCCGCCGGCGCCGGTAGTAGAGTAATCTGAGGATGAATGTTAGCATTGTTTTCTCAAGTAGAGGAGGGACAATGAGGAGGATGGGGATAGAGCTGAAGAGAGGGTCTACTCACGGAATCCGCTGAGGCGGGCAGAAGTGTCTACGCAGTAAGCGGAGGCGAGAATGCTGGTCTGGTGGCCAACAGTCTCGCCATTACAATTACTGGTACTGGTGTAGCTATTCGGTTTACTGGGCGACATTATGATGGATTTTTGCCACGACGAAGTTGGTGATGAATATTCGGGTTTGGGGGGTATAGGATGTGGAATGTAGGAGATGGATGGAGATGTATCGTAGGTAGTCTCGAGAGAAATTGTCTTGGTTGATTGATTGATTGAGTGATGTCTGAAGGGTAGCGTTCGGTTGGGTCTTTCGACGGGATCGATGGGGTTTGAGTGCTGCTTGAGTGTGCTTGTGTGTGCTTAAGTGTGTTTGCTTGGTATTGCGTGAGCTTTTGAGTTTGAGGTGAAGGAATTGGATTGGATTGGGGAAACAAGCGGGCTAAAGTATCGACGAGTGGCGGTGCCGGGGGCTCAAGTCCCCGCTTCCCAATGGGGCATTTGCGCATCACGTGGTCCTGTTTCTTCACCGCCCGCCAATCGAATGGCCGCACGTTTTCTTGGGTTTACATCATTTGGGCGAGCAGAGGACGTGATTGGCTGGAGATGAACTGATATTATTATAAATGTTATTGGACTTGTACTGCAATGTACCGAGTAGAACGCAGCATACCTTATTACCAAGAGCTGCTACTCGTAGCATGAATTAACGCTAACCGGGTTAGGCTTGGGCTCTTTGCCAGTTGCTTATTAAGTATTCTCCGCTTGCACCCTTGGAATCGCTCACATGATCTCCTTCTTGTGCCTATCGATAAGCAACCCCGCTGAACCCGCTGACTAGACACTGGACATTGGGCCTCCATTGGACCTCATCTGATGGTCTTTGTAGCACGATTGCATGATAACAGGTACAGATTGCCCTGTACAGTCACCAGCGTGCGTGTAAACCCACCACCACCATTAACCATTACCCGATATTTCCGGAGTCGATATCGGACCAGCAGGAATCCACCAGCAATTACTCATACATGAGACGCCCACCCGCTTTCGAGGCTGCCCAGCCTGAGTGGCAGTGTTGATCGTCCTCGTACTTCGTGCACCGACGTTACATGACAAAATAAGCTGTTTATGTTGCCGCTGCTATTGACGTCGACGTAATAGCACAAGTTGTTTCACCTAGAGGTATCTATTTAGTGCATCCGAACACCGTCATCGTGTCTCCCTTTCACTGTCCGAATCTCGAACTCCTTAAGAAGGTCCTCTTACCCTACCAAGAGAAAGTCAAAACCAAGAGGTTTAGTCTCGAGACTAGATCGAAGACTCAACGAGACGAGTGTAATGGCTCCCGACTACCGCCCACACTTCCCAACCTATCTCCTCCCTTCGTTGCCCTTCCACTTCCGTGGGCGGCAGTCTTCAACGACAAGCACGGCCTCGACCATTTCAGAGCCAGTACCGTCCCTGAGCTCCTCGCCCACTTCCTCTCCTTCCACCAGTCCGGGTTCTTCCCCTCCTTCTGGCTATTATATCCAGCAGAGGGGGCCAGTTCCCATCTCCAAAGAGCAAGATGCGGGGCCCACACTACACCGTTCGGCACCGAACACACTAAAATGCATAACCTGCTCTGCAGATATAGCATTTGCCTCACAGATCGTGAGCAAGGGGTTTACAGGTCGCCAAGGGCGTGCCTACCTGGTTGCACCACCACCATCCTCCCTTCGCCCTCTCGGCACGTCCGCGAAACACAAGAGGGATCGTACAGAGTTGATAAATACCAGAATCGGCAGGGCGGTAAATAGAGACTTGTTGACGGGCGCCCATGTTGTGGCGGATGTCAGCTGCTCCATCTGCAGTACCATTCTTGGGTGGAAGTATGTCGATGCGAAGGAGGCAGCACAGAGGTATAAGATTGGGAAGTTTATTTTGGAGATGAAGAGGGTTGTGCCGGAGGTGAGATGGGACGATGAAGGACTTGAAGAAAGTAGTGGTGAGGGGTTACAAATTGAGTACGTGGTAGAGGATATAGAGGATGATACTATTGTGTTCGATAGTGACGATGAGGACGAATGTGAGGATTTGTTTGCCGGGCAGTGGGATGCCGCTACTGTGGCTAAGAGGAGAAGCCGGAGGATTACAATCAGGAAGAAGACGCTCGAGGTTTAAGTCCTTGGTGTTCAGCCAACTATGGAAGCCGGAATCTTCCAGGTTGGACGCAGGTTGCGTGCAGGTCCTACGAATCATGACTGGCGTTGGTGTTGCATTTTTTTTATTTTTTTTTGCATCAGGAGAGGTAATTACACATATCGGAAGTGGGAACCGGAATAGGTAATGGTGCACTCTGGGGGGTTGATTGGCGTTATCAATAGGCTTGGGATTTGCTCTTCCTTCAACATCATAGGGCATGGATTGGTATGGTTTATAGGTAGCTTATGGATATACCCCCTTATTAATTATAAACTAAACTTTAATACACACTTATAGACAAGTTGTCTATATATCTCTATTGTGTGGAGCATCTCAAGTTACTACTTTGTTATGGTGGGCTAAAATAACAACTAGAACCTTTCTTTCAAGCTTTTAAACTATCTATCCATTATCCTTAGGTTGTTAGATAATATTATTGAAAAGGATTAAAATAACGATGGACATTGTCTACCAACTTGCTCGGCTCAACTATATTATTTTGTGTGCGGATGCGGGGCCCTGCTTTATAAGACGCGGGATTCTATAAAGTTATTATATCCACATTTATTAAAGTCCCTACCTGGGTAGGTGTATTCTAAGGGGAACGCCTTCTATATCTACAAGCTTACAACAAAACTTCTAGACAATAAGTCCCATCCAGATACGATACCAGACTGAGTTCGTCTTCATAGATTCCTTTGATTATATCTAGCAGAGCAGCCCATAACTATCCTGAAATTTATACACAGATCCGTGGGAATACTTTAGGACCCTTTTGGCGGGGGTTGTAAGAGCCATGAGGTTCACTTTGTTAGGGAGGTAGCTAGTGCTTATGTTTGGTTATTTGGAGCATGTTCCTTCAATTTGGGGTTGCGGGGACTTCACCTACAGTAGGTGGCAAGGGCTTTGTTAGGCCAGATTCTACTCCCTTCTTTACGTTTTCCGCTTGGAAATTGATTGATTTAAGGGAGTACTGTGATCGCAAGTCAGTTGCTCAACAACCTTTCTTGTCTAATTCCCCCCTCGTTTCCCTTTCTAAGATAAACGAACCAGAATGTCACGCTTCGTTTCTCTTACACTAGTGGGCTCAACAGCTGGTTTCCTTTAGTAATATCAAGCACCAAAGGCAATGTCTTCAACTCTTTCACCTTCAACTTCTTAGCAGGTCCACTAAGAGCGAAAGCTTGGCTTATATTTGGTAAATTCTGCTGGAAACTTGTGGCGCGTCGGTATTATGCTCCCTAAAGGGATTACTTTCATATACCACAGCTGCCACTTGTTGTTATTGTTAATGCCAGATCTGTTATAGCTAGATATATTCCATGTCTTAGAGTAGGCGAAGTTCTAAACAACAAGCACGCCATTGACACAGAGCATACGCTTGTAGGTTAGAAGGTAAGTGGGTGATATTGAGCTTACGTTCAGCATATTGAATTCTCGATCTCTCTCTGGCATTCTTCGTAAACCTTTTGTTCTAAGTGTGTACGTGTTTTTTTTGCAGCTGTTGGGCCCCTTAGCAGAAGTGTGATAGTCGTATTAAGCCAAAGACAAAGCCAAAGCCAAAGTGGAAGGGCTGATGGAGATTAACCCAGAATACGTCAATCCCAGTTATGAATTCACTTTTAATGGTTTTGTCAGCTCCTAGTCCGAGTGTCAGTGTCATAGGTAAGTCGGAAGGTCGAATCAAGGTTGACACTCGTGTACTATATGGCAATCACAGTCACATTAAGGTTCAAAAGAAGAAGTGCCGGGTGACCTTTCGTTCAAATTCTCTTCAATTCTCTCTACCGATGCCCCTTCCCCACCTTCCTTCACCCCTCCTCACTCTCCCCACCAATTGTCCATTTCCACCGGAGGCTCAGGACGCATCTTGTAGATCTCCCGCCAGACAACCACCACGATGCATGCCAGTGTTGCCACTAATGAACATGCAGCAAACACCAGAAAGATACCCACGTAGGGACCCAGATCCATTGTATTTGTTTGTTCTTTGAAGGGATGGTGACGTCAGTCTGAGCCACAGGCATTTGGAGTAGGAAGTAGCAGAGCTAGTAGACTTACCTTTGAGAAGGGTGCTTGTTTGCTTCTAAAGCTTTTGTAAGGGGGTTGAGGTGCTTGAGTTGCTTGAGGTGAGGTGCTTGAGCTGCTTGAGGTGCTTGAGGAGCTGGACGAGTTCGAACTGTGTGACTAGAAGGAACTATTAGCCATTATACAATATGACAGTGCCAGATCCCTTGAATCAATCCTAGCCGGAGGGATGTGAGTTGATAACGTACTTGCAGGTTTGATATTGTGCTGTCTTGGAGAGGTCTAGGATGAACCTGACTACGGATTCTCAGGCTGAGGTCCTGAAATCGCCGCTTTGGTCTCAACGCACACCCACGACAAGTGCGATTTATACCCCACAATGGAATATCTCGAATTCGTTGTCGTCTCTTCCTCTTCCTCTTCCCCTTCCCCTTCAACCTACCAACTTCATGAATACCACCACCAGATCTATCACAAGAACCATCAACACTATCCCCCTTAACTCATGAATACATTAACCCTGCCTTTGCTATCGTTGGCAGTATGCATCTCCTCCTCCTCCTCATTAGGTGCGACCCTTGGTTGCTACTTGTCATTGTCACTGTCTGGTTCATCTTTACATCTTCCTCATATTGACGCATCTTTCATGGACGTCATATTGGATTAGAGGCCCTGAGCGTTTGCTCCATCTAGACTAGACATGAAGCAGATGGAGAAAACACACCAAACAGATTCCAGCAGTTAGAAACCTGAGAGGACTTCTTTCTGACCAAAAGCCGATGCTCCTCTCCACAGCTCCTGTGCTATCCTTCCATGGGAATATGCATACAAACACATGGATAGCTAAAGCAGAAGAACAGAATTGGCAAGTACCTTCGTAGTTTCCATTTTCTAGCCAGATCTGATGGTTTCTCCAGAGCCCTATGCCGCTCTACTTTCCACTTGAAGAAGCCTATCAACCAGGTAGAGGCAACCAATCTCAACAGGTAATTGTACACCCAGCACCTTCAGAGATTCGAGGCTGACACGTTTCCCCACAGAGTTCCGAATAATTGAAGCTGTGCTCCATGGAATCCTCCTGTTGGATGACATACAGGCCATGCCTACACGTGAACAGCATAATCGCGCAAGCGCACAACGCATATGATGATAGCTCGATTACAAGAGCAAAGATAATAGGTAAGCAGGCACCGCCACCCCAGAGCAATTCAAAGCTAAAATTCAGTGCCATAGACAACTTAAAACCCAGCGACGCTCAACATCATCCTTGTCCTGCCACATACAATATATGATTTCTGAAATCTCTATACGCAAGGAACATGAGATAGGCGTGCTATCGGGCCAAGATTCGATACCTAGTAAGTATACTTCATCTGCCAAGGAATATCCGAGCTGACCATACAAGCATCTATATACTCATCTCCTTCTTTCTCCGCTCCCGAAAGCTAGCTTGGCACCTCCTGACCTCAGAGCCCTGGATCACTTGATCGAGATAGAACGTTACTTAGGACTTCTAGTAAGTTTCCAAAATTAATATGTAAGAGGACTGCATTTGCTGATCAACATGACATCCAGAATTACTCGTCTCCTATGGGAAGAATCGAACAGAGCGACTTGGGATAATGTCCTCAGAGTGCGCCTTAGATGGTCCATGATCGACTGCCATTAGAGAATGAGACAATAAGAACGACGGAGATACCGAGAGAGGAAGATTGCAAGGCCGGGACACACATTCAACAGGGACATTACCATATATCCCCAACATGCGGCAGCCAATGCATTCTCTCCCCATCGAACAAATCACACGAATCACGAGCTTGCCAATTCTGCCTTCAGTTGGCGAATTGTATGCTACGTGTACACCGACTTTACCGCAGTCCTCTCTGACTGGAACCGAGTAGAGAGAAGGACAGGCAAGCAGAACGTTCGCGTCAATGAGCAAGTCACAAAAATCCCAAATCATATCAATGGCAACAAAGTTCTAAAGTAGTCGGCGGAGTTCGCACTGGACAGTACAAATTTATGTTTCTGCAGGGGCTTCTGGCGGGGTGAACACAGGGTATAGACCCCACAACTTCATCAAGTCTACTCCCATCAGAAGCCCCTGCAGACAATGCCCACTCACGGAAACAACGGCCACTAGCTACAGCTAGTTCTCCGACTTGCACAACAATAATATTCAAGCCATGGCTATCATAGCCAAGGGTCCGGCGTCTACCACTTGGACGACCGGCCCGCTTAGGTCCCCTGGCAGTGTAGATTGGACATCCAAAACCGGAGGTCCAGTTTGCATCCGCCAGGGGACCTAATTCGAGGTCTTTGTTGTTGGCCGTGAAAAGGAGTCCGAACTTCCATCTAACAAGCAATCCGCCGGAAGTTCGGATTACTTTTCGCAGCCAACAACCAAGATCATGAAGCTGGCGGTTACGAGCGAGTTTGACTCGTCGAAGCATGACCCGATTTGTTAAAAGCCGAAGTTTCCGGAATGCTTCTACTCCTGGTCCAGGCTCTTCCTAACCTTAGAAACGGTCCTGGCACAATGGCATGCAGCACATATCATTGTTCAACCACGAGCTACTGAATCCGATTCAGTAGCTCGTGGTTGAACAGCCATGTGCTGGGACTGTTTCTAAGGTTAGGAAGAGCCTGGACCAGGAGTAGAAGCATTCCGGAAACTTCGGCTTTTAACAAATCGGGTCATGCTTCGACGAGTGAAACTCGACCATTCCAGTGCCATGGAGCTCCCGTCAAAGGAGATAGTGGTGGACCGCGAATATTTCGGCGAAGTAGAAACGGAGGTTCGAGACATATGTAGCTCAGGGTGTCCTCTTTAGGGACACCCTGGGCTACATATGGGGTAGGGGAGCGGGGGGTTGTGGTTTCCTGTACTTTGTAAGCTTCATGTACATTAAAATATCATGTTCAAATATAATAATATTTTGTCACTCAAATTTCGAACGTGTAAGAAATTCTAAGACTCGAAACTCGCAGTTCGGGCTATCCAGGAAGCCGAGCCTTAAACCCTTAATAAAAGGCCAGCGTTCTGCTTTATGCTTATGCCAATGGCGAAGCCCATGGAAATATGATGATAGAGATGATGGAAGGAGAGACCTTTACCAGAACATTCACTACAACAAACCGTTTAAAACTAAGCAAGCACTCTTTTATAACAAACAGTGCAGGAGTTTTGTTGCAGTTAGTATTGCTGCTATGTTGACTATACAGCTTGGTTTAGTCAATTTGTGGCAAGGAAGCTGTGAAGCACTGTGATGGCATCCAAGGGACAGCAGACCGGCTTGTAGTACCTACATTGTGGAGGAAACATGGCGCATCTAATGTGAGATGTGTAGCGCGTCCCAGTAACCGTTGATGATAGGTCTGGGTGTATCAGTGGCCAATATGACTTAATAATAATGAAGTGTGAATTTTATCACTATTTACTACCCTCTCGTAGATCGAAGTGAGGGATGGTGCTTTCTGTATTTAGGTACAGTTCCAGTCTACCAATTTCGTACTAGCGCCATATCACGTGCATAGCGCAACTAATTTGTCAGCCGAGCACAGCCGAAGCGACCACTTCTCTTCTCTTCGTCTTCGCCTCTTCCCATCGACTCCATCGACAATCATCGACCTCATCCATCGCCATCACGATAACCATCCCCACAAGTCGAGCTAACCATCAAATTATCGCGTTTTGCATCCAGACTGTGTAGCAGTGGTGCTCACTTCGTTCGCTACAGCTCGGAAATAGGGGAGGACTCACTGTTGGTGTGGGAGAGGAACGTTCACTTCAGGTGGTGGAGTTGCTTTGTCGCTTTGTTTGTCGCGGAGGATCAGTCAAAATACATCACACGTCGCAGCTTGCTGCAATCTTGTACATCATTTCCTTCTTCTACTCAGACGTTCTTGTCAACAAGAATTATCTCCAGTGATTGCAATCAGATTTGATTTCACCTCGTTCCCTTGAACGGAAGAAAAGAAAAGAAAAGAATCCTGATTTTGCAACGGTCGCATTCGCGAAATACATACCCTCCCCTTCCCTAATTTTACGATCAGTTCAGTGCGAAATATTCACAGGGTTGGCTAAGTCTTCTTTGTCCTCGACCTTGTCTCGATCAATATCCGCCACACACCCTCAACATCAACACCCTCAAAATACTACACATAACCTGGCATCATGACGTCCTCCGTGTTCTTCAAGTTCAAATCCCAGAAGGAGCCCTCTAGAGTGGAGTTCGATGGTACTGGTATCTCTGTGTTTGAGCTCAAACGTGATATCATCATCAAGAGCGGCTTAGGTGATGGAACGGACTTCGACCTCGCAATCTACAACGAAGATGGCAAAGAAGGTAAGCATCCTGTAAATTCATCTTCCCGTAGGCGTGGTACTGACAGATTGCTAGAATATGATGACGATACTACTATTATTCCTCGATCAACATTGGTCATTGCTCGTCGACTCCCACCCATGAAGCCTGGAGCCGGCCGGGCCGCAAGATACATGTCGGGTAATATGCCTGTCAAGGCGAAGAATTCAAAGAATGCGTCACGCAAGGAGCCAACAATCGCAGCAAAGCCGGCGGCTGCAGCCGTGTCAGTCCAGATGAACAGCGCCATGACTGAGGAGGAGCGTATGGCGGCGATGTTCCAAGCTCAGAGCGAGCAATGGTCAGCCCAACAGGAAGAAATGTCCCAGTAAGTTTATCTCCCATGCAAACAACTAGGCAAAATGCTAACATTATCCAGCCAAACACCCGTTTTCCGACCTGGCGCTAAGAAAGGGCAACAGGCAAATGTACCAGACCACGACCCTCCCGTAGGCTACGTCTGCTATCGATGTGGAGAGAAGGGACATTGGATCCAGGTCTGCCCTACAAATGACGATCCAAATTTCGACAATAAGCCTCGAGTGAAGCGTACCACGGGTATTCCCAGATCCTTTTTGAAAACTGTCGAGAAGCCAGCGGCATTGAGTAATGATGGTACGGATGACGCAAAGCTTCCATCAGGTGTCATGGTAAATGCAGAAGGAGAGTTTGTGATTGCGGAGCCAGATAAGGCATCCTGGGAACAGTTTCAGGCCAAGACAAAATCTTCGGCTGCCGCACAGAAGGCAGCAGCTGCTGGTGATAAGGAGTTACAGGATAGGGGACTGGAGTGTTCCATCGACAAGAGAATATTCATAGACCCAATGAAGACGCCTTGCTGTGAGAAGACGTATTGCAATGAATGCATTACTAATGCGCTCATCGAGAGCGACTTCACCTGTCCTGGATGCCAGACTGACGGAGTACTGATTGATGATCTTAAACCTGACGGTGAGACATCTGCCAAGATCAAGGAATATTTGGATGAAAAAAATGCGGCGAAGAGGGCACAGGAGAAAGAGAGATCGCAGAGTCCAAGTGTAAAACCCGAACCAGCTCCTGCTGTGGAACAGGCATCTAAGGTCAAATCACCTTCTCCAATGCCGCCTGTAAAGGAAAAATCACCTGCCAAATCACCACCGGTAGCAAACACGACACCGAATCCGGAAAGGGCACCCGTGAAACAAGATACAACTGCCCCTAAGAAACGTCCCGCTGAAGAATTACTCGAGAACCCCAAGATTCCAAAGGCTCCAAAAGCAATGCAACAACAAGAAGCACAAAAACAAGCCATGTATCAACAGCAAGCGATGATGAACGGCATGGGTGGCATGCCCGGTTTCCCAGGTATGCCTTTCGACATGATGCCACAGTTCAACGGCGCCAACAACTTCGGTCCGAATGCCAACATGAACATGAATCCGATGATGAATAACTTCCCCATGCCTATGATGCCCATGAACATGCCCTACGGGGGGTTTCCCAACATGAATCCTATGAACATGTTCCCCAACGGATTCGGCGCCATGCCGAACGGAATGATGAACGGCAACATGGGCGGCCCTGGAGCACCTGTCAATGGAAATAATGGCGTTGGACCTGGAGCCGCGAGCGGCTTCCCTAATCAGCAGATGACCGTCTTTGCCGAGCCACTACCAAATGAAGAGGATAACGCATACTTTCGGAAACCAGTCAACCCGCATCGGCACCAGGGACGCCAGAGAAGGGCAAGACCTAGTGATTATCGAGAGCTATGATTTCCTCTCCCATTAACGGGCGATTCGAGCACGACTACTTACGCGGGATTTAGAGCTTGGTTTGTGGGCCTTTCTTCTATTATGTGTTTTACATATATGGCCGGCGGTCATCAACACGGTACATAACATTCGGGATTTTCCTCAGCATTGCGATGGTGTTCAAGGATTGAGTTTCAATTTGGGTCGGTTTAGCGAAGGGGCATCGTTGCTTTGATATTCATGTTTCCCGTTAGGAAACATTAGGCACGACATTTTACGGCGGGATATTGTTTTAAGGATAAGAAAAGACCTGGAATACCGGGCTACGAGCGTGCATTCATAGAAGCGGCAGGATGGATTCATGGCAGTTCAATTCTGTAAGGGGTAGATAGCACAACACCGCTCCGATCATTCGGGGATTGAGGGAAGATGGATCAGTAGAATAGATCTCGAACCCCGCCCTTAACAGGGCATGATAAATACAAGTCTTTAATTGAAATTTCTCCACCTATGTCTCGTCAAATGTGTTTCTTGTTCGTGATTACATGGAAGGTTTTGGCCATCCCACTTTACACAACGAATAAAACACAAGGCAGACAATGTATATAAGTACTGAGCAATGATCCGTCTTTACGTGAAAATCCACCTATCTAGAAATAAAGCCTATAGTTTCCCAAAATCCCTCTAGACACCAAAGGATGCTGGAATAACTGAGACTTTGTAATACATTGACAGGGTAGAAGTCTTTCCCCGTGTGAGCTTAGGTATATAGATTGGCAAAATCTAAAACCCAGTGCGATGAGTTGCTATCCTGGTTATTCTCAAACCAAAGAGACATGGTATTACACGACGGATCGTTAAAGGGTTAGCTATCGCTTATTACGCTTTCTCGGTAGCTACCACTGTACTTTTGGTAGTCTTACTAAGTTTATTTGGAAGGGGGATATGGGTTATGGGAAACAAGGAGCGTGGGACAACAATTTGATTCGGTACATAGATATATATTTCGAATTTTCCATCCTTGAGATTGATGAAAGGGATATCGTTTGGCTAGCTAGCTAAGGTATAATATAAATGCAGTAAATCAAACGTTGTCATAAGTAATTCACAGATATTCCGCTTTGCTATGTGCCTTGTATCTCAAGGTCATAAACAACAGCAGCTTTTGTCATAAGCCATCAAAACACCAGGCTCCCGTTCCCACAATGCAGTCAGAGGTGGTGTAATAGCCGGCGAAGCAACAAGTGATCCGAACATACCGAGAGTTGGGCATCAAGATAAACTAGTAGAAACATACCTGTAACGGGAAAACCTCATGATAGCAATGGGGTAAACAACAAACCCAAGGCGCCATCAAGCTGAGGCTGACGAACGACTCAGAGCCCAACCCGGTAGATATATTGAAGCCTAAGGCCAAGTAATAACACCAATAGAGTAAACCCACGCGAGCTGGAGCGCAAGATAAGCTGAGCACATCTGACAGTGAGTCAGTGACGGATGAGAAGGAAGGTCCGATGCGATGGTAAGGAGAGTGGGAGGTGGTGGGGTGTACAACATGTACAGATACGCGGCATTTTTGAAACGAGGATGCTGAGCATGAGTAGGATCGGGATGGGATGGTGGGATACGATGGGATAGTATTGCCCTGTGGATCTTAGCTGAGCGAGGATTGGAGCATGAGATATCGGGGAATTCTGTAAATGCGAGACAATACCAGGGAGGTAAGTGAACGTGCTCTACGAAAAGAAAAACCATCCCACTTCAACCCACTTCTAGAGAAAGTTACTCTGCTTCATGGCAAGTTCCAAGACCGCGATACTGATACAACAGATCGCTGACTTGGGGGCGTGGGGGAAGCGTGGGATTTACCTTGCTTGCCTTCTTGTGGAAGGTGGTCGTCGTAATGGTTGTGAGGGTTGGGGGCTCAAGATAGATTGCGGCGAAAGATAGCGCCGCATGTAATAGTTGAGCTGACTGACGTGATAAAGCAGGAGGCAGGTACTTTGCGATGTGCTGCTTGTTGATAGAGCATTATTATCGCCGTGAAGCTGCATATCACGAAGTGGCCAAGCTTCAGCTGGGGTCCGTCACCTCGAAAACAGATGCGGAAAGAAAACCTAGGAGCTGAAGGCGCAAGAATAGCGCTCCGACGTTTGATGAGTTAAACTAGCTGTTGCATTTTTACCGCACTCGGGTTCGATACCAGGCTGCTCCCACACGAGCGTGGAAGCTGAAGTTTCAACGCTGTCACTAAAACAGCCCATCGGAAACTTCCCGGACAGCGCACACAAGACCAGACTTGGACGGCAGTTTTAGGCCAAGCCACCTCCACGGCGTCGTCCCGAGTCTCCCTCTGTGGGGTTAAAAATATCTGGAAAATCTGGGGTACCGACGGTTATATGCGAGGCCTGCAGATCCGTTAAAATAAAGGTGCAAACCTAGTTTTTCTCACTTTATCAGAAATTGCAAATGTGACAAATCTAGCCATCCGAATGCTTGGGCGGAGACCGTTTGAATTTTGCCTTGGGGGAATGGGTGAGTTGGCTGAGAGCCGTCGGGGAAAGGGGAGGAGGAAGAATGCGATAGGAGGCTGGAGACGGGGAGCAGAATGGCCTCCTTATCCGTCACATTTCCATCTGCAACCGCCAGTGCCTGATTCTGTGCTACACTGGGTCGGCGACGCGTTTGATCACAGGCGCCATCATCAGGCATCCTCCGGTAATGGATAATAGATAATAGATAATAGATCATGGATAATAGGTAATTTCGTTCCCTTCCCGGCACCGTCCTGTGCTCCATATGCCTTTTATGCTATGTGGTTGTTGCGCAATGGCACAGTACCATACTTGGTGTGAAGTATGGTTTTGGCATTTGGCGACCTCGCCTCGCACTTGCTTTCATTAATAGGCCTTTCATAGCAGACTAGAAGCATTAATAACCGCCCCTTTATACCAATGACTGGGCATCGATCACTCCCGTGCCTCGTACGTACAATCACACTGAGTTTGCGCTGGCTCGCTCGTAATCTCATCTCGGGTCGGAAGCGCGGAAGGGAAGGCCCGTTCCAGTTCTGATGTGCTGTGATGTGAGGATGAGACGCTGTCATGTTGCAAACGAAACATCTCAGACCGAGGTTGTCAGGGCCCGAGGCCCTCCACGTTGAGAGGCGGAACTACGTACGCTGTTGATACCTTAAGAGGAAAACCATGGTTATAGAGATATGGGGATGCCGAGGGAAGGCTCTCCTATTTGACAGGCCGTTTGCGCACCAGGCAGCAAAGACAACCCGGATTCCGATGAGATTCGAGAGACAAACGGCCTCTCGATGGCCGGAAGAGGGAGTGTGTGTCCACTCTGAATTCTTGTTGGGCGATTAAAAATGTACTGAGGATCGGGTCCAAGTATCTCCCCGAGACAGCTGATATCTGACCATCCTCGATTCCTCTGTCCGGAAGTCCCTGGCCGCCACGCTGTCCTCCTGGTTGCAACCCATAGCACCCCACTCGGCGTAAGCCTCAGCAGCTCGCACACATTCCCCGGAATCCCCCCACGGTGGAATCGCACAGTCGACGGCCAAGGAATCTGGAAGCCTTCCCGGAAGCGCCCCTGTCATGCCGACGGCCTGCCCTTCATCGTCCCAAGGATCGAATGCTAATTCGAGGTTAGCTGGCCCGTAGTCCAAGATGGCAAGATCCTCAAATAATATCATTCCGGTCGTACTTCGTAGACACTTCCTTTTTCAGGCTCCTTAATGCCGAAAGCAAGAGCCGGCTAAGCCCTCTTTTGTGATATACTTCATAGTCGGGACGGAGGATGCTCCGTATCGTGCAGGAGGAAAGCGTTCAATCAAACCCAACGGAATAGCTAAGCCCTCCTCCTGCCTAACGGGTTGGCACTCTCTCACCGCTCAACCCGACGCAGCTCTCCGACTAGAAGCCGGATTTGGCAGTGGTTGCTTTCCTGCTTTTCTTCTTCGTCTGGCAAGTCGGAGGACGGCGATGAGCAATAATGAAAAATGATGTGATGTGGCAGATTGGAGGGCAACCAACCCAGGGAGGCGGATCCCAGAGCCGGAACCCCTACTCACCAGTCCAACAGCAACAAGGCCAGCAGGAGGGCGGGTGTTGGCGCTGCATCCCAGCCAACGCTCCAGGACTTCCGCGCATCCCACCCCCATATGTGAAGGTACCCCAGCGAGCCAAAGCCCATCCCGAGACTGTTATGATAGGGGGCTGCTCGGATACCCTACGAGAGGCTGCGGAGGACCACGTCTGTCTCCCGGACTGTCGAACAAGTGGATCTGTTCCATGGCTTCTATTTTCCAGCACCCCATGCGAGGCGACCCAGGGCTCCTCCTGGCGCTCAGGCAAGACTCAGACTCGGGTTCAAGCTCGAGCTCAGGCTCAGACCGAGACTGAGACCCAGACTCAAGATTCGTCGCCCTGAGCAACACCGACACGTCCCACATTGCAGGCTTTGCATCTGGCTCTTTGGTCCAGCGGCGGAGCGGAAACCGCGCAAGCGGCCGGAGCTGAACAGTGATACTCCAATAACTCCAGACGGGCAGTCCAACTGGGCAAGTTAAATTGGTAAGACATGTCCAGGAACGGGTAAGGGATGTTGGAAACTGGGAATGGGAATGTAAATGTGTGGGGAGAGGATGAGAATGAAGATGAGAAATGTGCGATTATGCGGGCAGGATCGATTTCCAAGGCTCTTCTGGTCCATTCTTGGTCGTGGCTTGCCTGGCCGTTTTTGTCTTTGCCAGACTGCATCCCGTTGCCCTGCTCCGGACTCAGTAATATGTAATCTGTAATCTGTATGTACCCATGGTACAGTACAGTACACGTACCCTGCCTCCCCGGCTTTTCTCCCCCATGCCGCTGTCCCATCTCCCCATGTCTTGCCATGCGTTTCGCGGTCCGAGGGATGAGCGTCTGGTTGCTGGCGCTCGTGGTGGGCCGGGATCGTGAGCCCTGCGCTGAGAGTGAGAGGTCCCGAGGAGGGAGATAAATTCATGGCCACCCCCATATCTGGCCGGCCCCTTTCTGCTTTTGCTCTGCCAGCTCTCATTCCTTATCCTACGTGTCTTACCAATCTCCGCCGACTTTTACTCGTACACATAATAAATTATCCTTGCAGTCAAACAGAAAGAGAGAAAGAAAGAAAGAACAACCTGATCGACCAACGCAACTTCTTTGCTTGTCCAACCCGTCGCCGCCACGAAAGTATATCAGTCTCCTCACCGCTCAACTTCCACACATCCTCTTCTGAATCAACCCATCACTCTCCAAATTACAAGCATCTCCACCTTGCAGGCCAGGTTAGTAACACTCCCTGTTCCTTGCCTCCATACGGAGTACTCCAAGACTCCCACGAATGATCAGCGAGGTTATATATCATTGCATTGTGCTAACTCCCTACAGTCCAGCATCCCCAAGCCCGCCGTCGACCAGTCTTCCCAGATATAACATCAAATCTGCATTCTCATCACCAGAGAAAACGACCCCTCGCTCTTCTCACAAACTATAATTCATCATGCCTTCCCAAGCAAAAACTCCCATCGCCCCCATCCCACGCCGCCGCTCTCCTATCCTCACCAACCCTACATTCGGCCAGGATATCAGCCTATCCCTCTCCATCAACCTGAACTCGAAAGCCAAGTCACCATATACTTTCATCAACCGTATGGACGAGAACGACTACAGCCCTCCAGCTCCTCCACCACCAAGCCCAGTCAACTTCCCAGCCGAGAGCTGGAACACCGCCTGCTCGGGCCGGAGATAAATATATTGGCGAGAAGTGCGAGTGATTTTTTTGGGTGGCGAAATTCTACATGTATTAGCAAGCAGAGCATTATCAGGACTGGGTTAGAAAGGGAGTTTGGCACGTGATGGCTGGACAGTACCATCGAGCATTCCGGACGGCAGGTATTCTCTCTACACGAAGAGCGGCATCCTGAGCGGCTTTTCTTTTTCTGCATAGCTCTATGGGTCGGGTGAGGGATGGCCTCACTGGTTGTTGCTTTACTCGACAGGTAGTCGGACCACCGACATGGCATCAAAGCTGGAGCATACACGGAAGGTCTGGTCGCTCACGCGCATTACAACATGGGATATGGAGTTTAAAATGAAAAGCCTGTGTGTTTCTTTGACTTTCACTACCCTCCATAGACACGAAGAGGGATAATCTCTTTTGTGTTTGTTGATTTGGCTGGCTGGGCTAAAGGCGTTCCGAATGGGTTGGGATAGAGGGACTTTGTATCTTTATTACTCCTCGGGTGCATAGGCGCCCGAGCTGGGAGCGCTCTTATTGCTGACTCTGCTATTAAATATGCTTGTTATCAGTTGATACCTCTCTACAAGTTCCCTCTCGTGTTAGTGATGTTGTGCTATACCTCGCTCTATGCCCTTCGTCTACTCTTCCCTTGTTCAATACCTCAACCCTTCACACATTGCCATCTCTAGTCAAGTTATATTCAGATCCCACAACTCGCCTTTCTTCCCTCTAGACGTTTTCCCTTTGTCCTTTTGAGCCTAAAGGTGACGACAGTCCGCCATCTTCCACCACAAACCTGCTGACTACTCTCCTATTACCGCTGTGGGGTTGGAAATAGCCACACCGAAGTCAGGTAAGATCCGCTCTTTGTTGCTTTCAAACCCAAGCTCATAGAAGACCAGATGGCAATTTATATTTTCTATGGAGAATAGAAACATTATGCCCACCAAGCGTTGAGTAGGGGAAATTATAGGGGTTTGGGCGAAACGGATGACGAGGATCAAGCAAGGAAGGGATTATTAAAGGGTTGGAAGGTTGGTTATCGGGTTTGCATCAACTAGCAGACCGAAAGCCCAGCCAGCCCAACCTTTGTCACAAATCCAGAATAACTACATTTTCTGAGAAGAGTGGTGCTTTGATTTCTGTTAAATGCAAAAAATATTTCTTGCAAAGCCGACTTTTGTATCTCTTCAGCCGTGCTCGACCGCCTTCTGCTAAGCTACTGAAAAGGCTGCGAGGTGAAGTGGCAATAGTTTTCGGAAGTCCAAAATCCCTAAATGGCAATGCGGATAAGCTTAAGCCTCGGTCTAAAGGTGAGCATCTCTTATATCTTCTGCCATCTCAATGTAAATATACAATTCGGAGGACTCCTGGTTTCGGATACCTAGTGCAAAAGTGTATAATGAAGTAGTAATGATACAGGGGAATAACTTACAATTATACTTCACCCCTGTAAGCTTAACTCTGCTACCATGTAGAAGGCGATAGGACCGAAAAGCGAGGAAGATAGCGGGGACGAGGAAGTAAAATCGAGTACACCGTTTTCCGATCATGCCTCCTATTCTGAGGATCCTGAATACCCCCATCTGGGACGGCGGAGGGATGTGGGGGATGGTGCATGAAAAGGAGAGAAGGTGCTTTATACATGAATAATATTTTCCTCGATGAGGTGAAGTGTTGAAAACCCATACTTAGTACGAAGTACATAGACGCTTATTTCAGGATTAAATCGAAGGGTTGACTCGGGATATCGGTCTTGATATTTGATTTTAAGTATGCATGGAATATGAGATTGGGAGATTGATTAGAAATCTATCTACTTCAACAAAGAATGAATTAGAATCGAATTAGATGTGGCAGTAAGTTTCCTGCTTGGACTGCCACATATTAAGAAAGCCCAACCTTCTTCCATGTTAACTACTTTTCAAGAGTTCTCTCTACAGAGTTTCTCAATCCTGGAGTTTAATTTAATTAAGTGGTGGTAAGCCATTGTTACTATGACCTACGATGCCATGGCCCTCCCATTTCTCTAGATTTCCTCTCTCGCGCTTTCTTGTCCTTGGGATGGAATTAAAACGTAGATTAAACTAACTGTAAATATGGGACCAAGGTGTTGAGAAATGCAGTGACTAGTCCTCTGTGCCACTAAGAAGCTAGCTAAATCAATACAGTTCAATGTGTCTATCGAACTCAACTAAGTGTGAAAAAGGAAGCTCATATGTCCAGAGAACTCTACTAACCAAGGAATCAATAATCCAGGGCGATAAGGAGGGATCTCTAAAATTTTATAGGGGCCTTGTTGAGAAACTTTAAGGTAGCCCGAACTCTTCTTGTAAAGATTGAATGTTTTATCCCATGTGCTAGGGAGTGTGGTGATCGTCTCTCGATTATGTCACTGTGTCACTTGCCCCACTCACTTTCAGGAGCTTGACCCGAGCCGAGGTCCCATTTTGTCTCGGCAATGAGAATCCGGGGTAAATGTACGTCGATGAGTTCCCTATTTCCACATACAAGCTATCAACAAAGTACAAAATCGTCCTCATCGCTACGTCCGAACCTACCGATTACTTGCTTCTCGACCTAATTTTTACATTTCGTTGTCTAGAAAAGGACACCTTCACCATGGCGCCAAACAAGCAGCAGGAAGTCATTCTCTATCATTATAGCTACTCGCCTTTTGCCAAGAGGTAAGGTCCCAGCTATATGTTTTGATATTATGATAAGAAAGTTGCTGATGAGTGCAATGATAGGGTAGTATGGTATTTGAATCTTCGAGCAATTCCATACACACAATGCGTCAGTACCTAAATACTTGTTTAACACCCATTTACTCCCCAAGACTTACCTGTTATATATAGGCCCAACCGCCCGTAATGCCACGTCCGGACGTATCAGCGATCGGCACCAATTACCGCCGGATCCCTATCATGTCCATCGGGCGAGACATCTACAACGACACCCGGCTCATAATCCAAAAGCTCGAGACCTTCTACCCGGCGTCGCCCACTCACCCACCCCTTTCTAGCAACCCTGCTCAAGAAAAGCTCCTCGAAGGATGGGTGATCGACGGCGGACTATTCGCCCGAGGCAGCCAATTGCTACCGACGGACTTGCCGCTGTTGAAGGATGAGAAGTTCAAGAAGGACAGAGAACAGATGTCAGGACGCAGCTGGAACCAGGAAGATTTAGAGCGAGCTCGGCCGGAATCGCTGGTTTATATGCGGGAGCAATTTAAGTTTGTTGAGGAGCAGATTCTGGCCGATGGGCGGGATTGGGTATTGGGGAGTGGGAAGGGGCCGGGTTTGGCTGATATCGAAGGTGCGTCTAACCCAGCACAATACAGAGTTGATGTCTAGGAAGATTCACGAAGATTTTGGTTTCATTCGCTGATGAACGGATGTATAGCGGTCTGGGTATTCTACTGGCTCGTCGACCTCCCAGGAGCTCTGCCAGCAAACCTCATCTCTGCGCAACAATTCCCCAAGACATTCGCGTGGATCAAACGTTTCGACGCCGCCGTCAAAGCCGCAGCTAAAAAAGAGGGGAAGCCAAAAACTATCAAAGGTCCTGAGGCCTTGGATATTGTCTCCAGGTCGGAGTTTGCGGAGGCAGAAGCGCTGGTTGATAGCAGTGACCCTACGGGGCTGAAGAAGGGCCAGGAGATTCGGGTCTGGCCAACTGACTCGGGCTTCTCGCATAAGGATAGTGGGAAGTTGGTCGGACTTGATGGTAAGGAGATTGTGATTGAGAAGAAGAATAAGAGCGGGAAGACGGTGAGGGTTCATGCGCCTAGACACGGATTTAGGGTGGCTGGTGCTGGGGCGGACTCTAAACTTTGATTTAGAGTTTTAGAGTTTTAAAGTTTGCAATGGGGTGTTGTGTTGAGGATTAAAATTAGCCTTCGATTTTATTGTGCATATTGAGCCTTTGTAGGAATTCGAGGTGTACTTCCAGTTCTTGCTAAGCCACGTCATATGAAGTACTACCCGTACTTAATAGGAGCTCGTCCCAAGTTCGTCCCAAGTTCCAGCCTAGGACCTGGCGCATGCACATGTATACCTTAGGTGTTCACTGTACTTGGTACGATCTTTATTAGCACTTGTATATTATTATAACAGTACTTCGTATGGTGATGGTAATTGCCAGTCACGAGAAGAGAAAGAATGCTCTGTAATCAACTGTTTACTCTGTAGAGGCAAAGAGGGGAACCCGAACAGGAAGGGGCAGCCAGCGAGCACCGGCTCTTTCGAGTCTGGCGCCACCCAATGCTTGCAAATCGCGTGATGCGCGCGCGGCCATTGGCTGGGTGATGGATCCGGAGTGGGTTGGGGGCTCCACGTACGGAGTTTATTCTTTCTGCTCTTTCGTATTAATAAGACGTCGCCAGTCCCGTGTCGTCATCTGGCTGCGTCATTCTCTCTCCCTTCATCCTCACACAACACGCAGACACTCAACACTGGGCACCCCCAAAAAGAGTTCTGTTCCAGCGCTGCTAGACACAACCGCAGAGCCTCATCCTGGGCTGCCTCTCGTCCATCTCTCTCTCGTCCTGTGCTTGATTGAAAGTACCCAGCCCAATTGCGACGCCGAGTGTTGTGGATTGGCGTGCAGAAGAACCTAGGAGCTTTTCTCGTCAACCCCATCGCTGTCGCTGTCGCTGTCTCGGAAAGGCCACTCGCACACCACACGACGTCACCATCAATTCCTCCCAGCGCGCCCACCCCTCAAAGTCCGCGGTACTGTACGCTATTAACTATCAAAGAGCGATAGCATAGCTGGACTCGGCCATCCCCAATACCGCATCCCGTCATATCTCCCACAACTCTCCCTCGTTGCTGCGACGATCGACGCTCGCTCGCTGCCAGTGACTCGCAAGTGCGCCAGTACTCACCGCGCTGAAGGCATTGATCTCCTTTGCGACTTTGCATCTCTCGCCGTCAAGGGGTGGATGAGCGTTGCCACCTCTCTGCAGCAGTTTCTTTCTTCCGCCACCCTCACCTCATCTCACCCCATCCCCATTCTCGACGGCAGTCCTCGCGCTCCACATAAATCATCGACCCTCGAAGAACAAGCGCGATCCTCGACAATCCCTCCGGGTGAAGGCGAAGAAGGGACACACTCGCTCGAGTCTCCCGGCGGGTTGGAGGTGTGAAAAGAGCGATCGGTCGTCTCAGACGGTCTTGGAACGCAGGTATGTATGTGGTGGTGCAAGAAGAAAAAAAGTGGTTGGGGTGCTGCCCTTCCAAGAAATCGAATTAACGAGTTTCCTAGAAGACGCCCCCGTACTGTGCTGTGACCTCATAACCGCCCTCGAAGTCTGACGTCTTGTTTTCTCCTTCAACCACACTTGTACAATTGTACCGCGAACTACCATAGCTGTGTCAGTAACTCAGCACGAACCGGCATCACCCCCATAACACGCACCCCCCGGTCCCAGGCTCCCAGGCACTGTCGCTGTCACTGGCACTGGCACTGGCTGGCACCCCGCTGCCCTCGTCTCTAACGACCAACGTCATCGTTATCGTGTCCGCAGACACCACCACCGCCCTCAAACATATCCCTCCACCCCCCGAATCCCGTTCCCCATCATGGCCACTTCATCGCCGGAAGCTGCGAAGAAGGGTGATACTAAGTCTCCCGTACAGTCCACACCAGACCCTCCGCCGCCATCAAGTACAGGTAAGGGAGCCGCCCTTTTATCATCATATTGTTATGCGTTGCCACTTCGTTAGATGGCAGTACTCCCTTGCAGTTACATCGTCGCCGCCCATCGTCATTGTTACTGTCACTGTCGCATCGTCGTGTCTTACCTATCACTTGATGCTATGTCTCGCGTAAGGGCGCCGAGTCCGATGCGACAGCCAATGTCCACTACGATCGCAAGTCAATGACGGTCGTCAAGACTTACCGTTCGCTCCGTGTCTCTTATCTCTTCTATCCCGTCATGCTCAAGACATACAATGCTAACGTCTGTTTTAAACGTCCAGCTCCCGACCCGAAGCAGGGAGAGGCACCCAAGCAGGAAACATCCAATGCGGACCCCCTCGGGCCTCCTCCTAAACCTGCCGTGGCGCAACCAGTCCCAAACACCCCCGACTACTTCTCCGTCAACCACAGCCTCATCCAAAACGAAACAAATCCCTTCGAAGCCTCCTTTGCCTTTGGTAGCGGTTCGAATGGTGGAGGTGCGCAAACACCTGGCGGCACGACACTTCCATCTGTCGCTTCGCTGACTTCACCGGCGGGTATACTGGGCACCGGGGCGACGCCGAACTTTTGGGGTGGCCTCCGTTCAGGCCCCCTAAGTCCCGCGATGCTATCAGGTCCTCAGAAAGGGGACGACTACTTTAGTGACGGGCATCACCTTCGAGGCGGATTCCCCACGCCAAATGAATCGGGCCTCCGATCTGGCCTCACTCCAGGTGGCAGTGGATCTATGTTCCCTGAGCCAAGTCCCAATTCACAAGCACTGTTCAGTCAACTCGCAAGTGGAGGCGCTACTCCTACCACACTAGACTTCCACCGAACTGCCATGGCGGCCGCGGCTTCTCAGAAGAGAGACACCGGCCAAGCTCAACAGAGCGTCACATCTCAACCGCAAGATATTACGACTAATGGCCTCGACGTTAAGCCTCCGGTAACGGGCCAGTTTGATCAACACGATGCCAATGACGCAGCCAATGGACTCTTCCTACTCGCTCAAGCCCGCAACGGCCCTCAACCAACAAATCATTACGCTAGAGCACCTCAGATGCCTGTACATGCTCATCCTGCTCCAGCCATGCCGGCGGCTCCAAGTCAACCCCCCAACGCGTCGCCACATATGGCAAACCGGCATAACGGTTCCATAAGTACTACTTCTGGTCGAGGTGTAAGCGAGATCAGCGCCGGTTTCTCTGATGATAATGAGCAACAGAATAAACCCAAGACCCGGGGACGGGGAAAGAGGGCCGCGACTCAATCACAAACAAACGGTCGGCGGAAGGCCGATGAAGCTCCATCAAAAGCTCCAGCAAATAAGAAGGCGAAAGGTAATAATGGAAATGCTATGGAGTCAGAGCCTCATTCTGAAGAGGAACCGGATATGAGCAAAGACGAATATAATGCCAACGGCAAGAAGATGACTGATGAGGAGAAACGGAAGAACTTTCTAGAAAGGAATAGGTAAGTTTCATATCCCTTTTATCGTTACATAAACTAACCTCGAATCAGGGTTGCCGCATTAAAGTGTAGACAGCGCAAGAAACAGTGGCTTGCAAATCTACAACAGAAGGTTGAGCTCTTTAGTACTGAGAACGACCAGCTCAGCCAACAAATCTCCCAGCTACGGGAAGAGATCGTCAACCTGAAGACCATTCTCATTGCCCACAAGGACTGCCCCGTGTCTCAGCAACAAGGCCTCGGAGGCATGGGCATGCAACAGTTCATCGATGGATATGGCGGCCAGATCAACCCGTACGGCATGGCTGCGGCTATGGGAGGTCAACAGGTCATGGCCGCTGGCCAAGGCCTACAAGACAGACGGTTTCCATAACATCTTATTATTCTTGTACCATATGGGTTCTGAAACTAGGCCGGGCCTCAAAAGCGTTTATCGGAGTACAAGGAAATGAAGGTTCTAGGAGGATATATTGAGGAGTTATCGATGGGCTACATTACTGCTACATCGAACCGCCATCTACGCTTTGCCGCGTTCTAACGGCATCGGCATCCCATTATGGACCAAGGAAATGGTGGCATCTAAAGTACTTTGCATCTCTCGAATGGTTTGAGCGTGGAAATTGCTACGATATCGGGTCGATTTTCACTTTAGCTGCTGGGCTAGCGTTATGAGCATGAGCATGATCATCTGGCATACTGGCTACGGCGTTTTAGTAAGGGCGGTTGGCTCAGTATTACGGCGCAACCTATCACTACGCTCTACCCGCCCTCTCCCCATTCATTCCCTTTGCACCCTTCACAGTGTTTGCTTGCTACTCTTAGCATCGTTACCAATTATGAATGGGTGGGCTACGTCTAGGATTCTGTATATAAAAGCTTCGGGGAGGTGAAGGCGCAGCGTAAGCTCGCGCGCACATACACTTGTGGACGTTAACCCTGGCGCATTGGCAACCGGTGGTTAATGAAAGGCGTTGTGGTTAATATCTGGATGAATGAATTTTTTTTTAGCTTTTGATGAATATGGGGATGAACTGCTGGTTGATGGACAGGCGTGTGTAAGATGGAATATTATACAAACCAGGCAACAGTGGTTAAGATTACAATTAACAGTGGAATAAATAAAAGATTTAAAATATCGATGAGGCATTTAGGGGTTGAGATGATGGTGAGAGATGATGTTAGTGTTGCGAGAGCCTATAGATAGATGTCTATAACTGTGAAGCAAGACGTCACGCTTTGCTTCACAAGAACAAAAAGTAATAAAAAAGCCTTTAAAATAAATAACATCCGGCTTCTAGTCTTGTTCAACAAACACCAACGAGCAGTGAAGGAGATCGTGGTTGGTTAAGGGATAATACGTTGAGGGTAATGAAGAGGTCCACAAAAGGTTCACAACGTCACGGAAAGCAACCGTTGCGGAGTAGTTACTAATAAGGAGATATTACTAATAATACTGCTTCCCCTTCCACTTCCACTTCCTTGCCCAACGCCAACTCAACCCCGGTCCCAGATTCGCCTAGGCACGCTAACCTGGCTGGTGAGAAACCGCAAGGATCCCGACAACGCGACTCCCAAGGCTTTCACTTTCACATTTCAGCCTCCAAACCAAAACCCACCACCTCCACGCATTCTGCTTCTCGACCCAGCTTCATCGGTGTGCAGGCCATCACACCATTCAGACTGTTCATCGCCCCCCGATAATCGAGTCTCCCACCCCTATAACATTCGTTTGCCGCGGGCGGTACAATATCCCCGTTTAGAACGCCACTCCTGCATGATCCATCTCAGAACGAGTCCTTCGATCTCCCCAACGCCCATCCGTCAACCCGTCGCATCGAGAACGACTGCACGCACACTTCCTCAACATGGGACACCGCCACAGGAAGGACTTGGCTGCGAGTCGAAGGCGGGTTGAGGATGAGGGGGATGAGGAGGGTGTTTTGGATGTTGGTTCGGATAATGACGATTCGTTGAGCGAGGGATCCATAATCAGTGAAGGGGGCGAGCTGCCAGAGGGCGACGAGGTCGTCAATATCAATATGCCCTCTACTGGGCCTCTAGAGGTCGAAAGGCCTAATGGGAGTAGGACGAGAAACACAAATGCTGAGCTGGCAACGTCAACCAATGGTATCTCAACATGTTCCAAGAACCCTCATACGAATGGCACTAGCGATATGGACATGATGTTGAACGGGCTGAGGATCTCAGATTCCGCCGGTGTTGCAACGGAAGTTGAATATGAGGATCTTACTGTGGATACGGACATCCGAGACGAGGTGCCATCACCAGCTGTGGTGAACTCCACGGCTCAGATGGACCAGGCACCGGAGCAGCCATACGAGCGCCGGCGAAGGGAACATGAGGAGTACAAGAAGAAACGGGATGCCGACCCAGCATTCGTCCCGAACCGGGGAGCGTTCTTCATGCATGACCACCGACATTCTGGGCCTGCGGCAAACGGATTCCGGCCGTTTGGGAGAGGTCGAGGGCGAGGGCGGCCTGGTGTTGGGCCGTATCCACATGCAAGGTATTTACTGGCCTGCTATCCTATTGTAACATTTATATACTAATGCGGCCTCAGCTATATGTCCCAGCCTTTTGAACCGACCGATGCTCCTTGGGCTCACGACATGCACCAAGTAATAAGTGAGCCGGATAATCGACGTCTTCCTGCACCAAACCAACCGAATGGCTCTTACAATTTACCCTCACGAGTACCTGTAGGCGCTTCAGCATCCACACCCCCTAATAGAGCATTGTCGACAACGAAACATATTGGCAATGTGCAAATTAGGGTGTTGTTGTCAACGATGGAAAAGCCGATTGTGTTCCCTGGAGTGCCAGTCAAGCAATACACTCGCCTTCCAGATCACCGACCTCCTATGCGTCGAGACAAGCCAGTCCGCATATCGATTCCTGACCACCCGCCACGATATATATTTCCTGCCATCGACAGATCTTTTATCTTCATACCGCGAGCTATGCGGCCTAACCAACAAGGTTTTGGCGGACGGGGTAGAGGTCCAAGGTCCGCATTTGGTTCGATTGGCGGGTACTCGAGACGCACGAGCGTGTTTGGCGGTAGCGCATATGGTAGTGCTTATAGCCCTAGTGTTGCTATGAGCCGTCGGTCATCACTTGCTCGGGAGGTCAACAGAGACAGCATTATATCTCCGAATGGGTCGAGGCCGATTGTCAAGTTACCACCCTCCAGTCAACCAGTGCAACCGCCCCTTCCATCTGCTGAAAGTGAACCCCAAGGTTCTGCTCAACCGCCTGCGACCATTGACGACTTACCTCGACCGCAAACCTATCCGCTCCCTCAAAAGCCTACGTTCCGCGAAAACCGTCCTAATCCGATTCCTATGCATCAGCCTCGGCCCCAGAAGACTGTATCAGTTGCTGATATCGAGTCACCTGCGAGATTATCATTCAACCCTCCACAACAACATCAGCAGCCGTTCCACCATCAAGTCCCTATGCAAGTCAATGGCAACGGCTACCCTCAAGATGCCTCACTACATTCTCGAAACCCTTCATACCCTAGTCAAGCTTCGACCGGCACACCATTGTCGCAGATCCCAGAACGAGCTATCCATGCGCAGCCATTCCAACCAAACCCTTATCAGCGGCAATCACAGAACTTCTATCCTCAACCATACCAAACAATGGCACCACAACAGGGGTATTATTACCCTCAACCCTTTAACCCCGCCATGGCTCCTGCCGCAGGTGCAGCCCCCTTCATCCCGTCACAGCAGCCACAGCTCCAGCAGCAGCCCCCGCAAGAAGCATCATTCTCCCAACCTTCTCAACAAGGCGACGCGGCAGCATCTCAAAATCTAGTGGCACAAGAGGTCAACGGCATGGTCTATTATTACGACGCGGCGCAGGCCCCAGCCGTCACAACGTTCCCGTCGTACCAACAACCTCCGTCGTACCCGATGCAGCAAGTTGGTGGAGTCGTTGGTATGGGTGGAATGATGACGCCGAGTCCGGATGGGTTCTATTACCCCCACGCTCCCCCGCAGGGCGTTGTTTACTATCAGCAATGAATAGTATCAGCGCGCCTAGGGGATTGTCTGGCGGGGAAGAGGAATATTGTTATATTTTAGTTTTTAATGGCAGTCCGTGTTTTCAGCGATCGGTCCCCACCTCTTGTCTGGGCTTGGGCAATTTCGGATTGGTTTGGATTGGGATTTTCTTTTCAATCTTTGTGTGTTGAGCGTTTTTGTTGCTGTTACAAAATTCCTTGCTCTTCTTTTTCATCTGCTGTTGCACAGACAGACACACCATTCTTCTGTCCCCTGCCCGAAAAAGATGCATATATGTTTTTTGTCGATTTATAATAAAGATGTGGGATATCTGGGTTTTTCCTAAAAAATAAAGCCTTCTGCTCTCTCCTATCTGCATCTCCTCGTTGTTTGTTGTTTAGGGTACGGCCGATTTTCTGCTGCAACCTGGAGAGAGGGTTATTGCATCATATGTTTACTTTATTATTAGTACTACCAGTAGTTCCATAGCAATTGTGGGTGATTGCATCATGATCTCGCCTTTCTTTTTTGAGGGCCAGTTTGTGCTGTGCGAATGCTATGTTGTGTTCTGTGCGAAATTCTTTTGTTGTGTTTTTTTTTTGTTTAAAGAAAGCGCAAGAGATGAGGGATGCATGTGCAGCCGGTCAGTCGGTTGAGCTGGCATGGAGAGGGGGGAGAGTGGGGAGGGAATGTGTGGATTGATTCAGCATAGGTGGTGGTAGATTAGTAGGTAGTATTAGTGAGTGGTTAAATATGAAGAAAATATGGACTGGAATTGCTGGGTGAATTAATTGTGAGTGTGAATGTGAATGTGTCTATGATTAGATTGCGGGTACAGTATGTTATCGTGCCATGCTTGTTAGGTACCTATATATTTGTGAGATGTGTCGTCATTAGGTGAGACTCTAATACCCCAGTCGTTGTCTGGTTGTAGGCAGCCCTCTTCCCTTTATTATTGCGCGCAGCAGTTAGAAAGTCGTGCGATTGAGTGGTTGTGGTTCCAAGGCATCTATTATATTATACGATGTGTACGAAACACTGGATACATTGCATCGCGGAAGACACCAGTCGTGTTTCATATGCCTAATTAGGTAGCGATGAGTGAATGGACTCCAAGGAGAGTGCTTATATGATATAAGAAGGTCAAGTGCATGAGTTCGGGTGTATAGGGATGTTGCCACTATAAGGTGTGCTTATAAATGCGAAGTTTAAGTGTTGGTAGTATGATTCCCTTGTTTGACTGCAATGTTGGTGTTCAGTCAACAATGGAGACACACACAAGAGATAGGGGGCATTAACACGTCGAAGCTGTACAGTAAGTATAAGAAGCAGAAATGAGCCTGCAAATATATATATATATAATCCACTCTCTCTTCCTCCTATGCTATCCGCTCAGAGCATCGTCTTATTTATTATTTATTTCTGATCCGCCTCGTGACCCCCGGATGATCCGCTTGCATCGAGGCTTCCGCTTCACCTTCACCTTCACCGATCATTTGCCGCGCCTCTCGCCTCTCGCCTCTCACCGACTGACTGGGAACCTGCAGCACCAGACAATAATACAATACGAGTACCGGTACGTAGGTGGGTAGGTAGGTAAGCATAGGTACGCATGCCTACGTACAGACAGCACAATAGATCCCCTACCTAGAACCCGCCACTTCGCATACAGGACTCGACGTATGCAAACGGGGGATTATTAGCCGTCGAGAGTTGCGTCGGTGTCTGTGTCTTGTTCTCCCTCTAGGCGTTCTTGTCTTGCGTTGCGTTGCGTTGCGTAGCCCTCCGCAGCCTATCGACCGTCCTGTTGGTCGCTTATCGCCTGAGCTCCAGGCATCTCCGACCTCTCTCGCCCTCTACCTCTCCCCTCTTCTACACCTCCACCTCCAACTCCAACTCCAACTCCAACTCCTACTCCTCCTCATCCTCCTCCTTCAAACATCAAACATCATCCACCGTCTCCGTCCAGGCTCTGGGCACCGTCTTGACCAGTCCCAGGAACCGCTCCGGTTCCCTCGCTCGACCACTTCGACCTGCTGAGCAGATCACCCACCGCTAGCCGCTCGCCAGCTTGTACTACGACAACGTCACCCTCCTGAGCGTCGTGAGCTGACTGCCACCCTCATAGCCCGTGGTCCAACAGCCATGGCATCAGCTACCGCACCCAGTCCGGACACTCTGGTGACTTTGAAGGTCAATCTTGACGGCGCCAACCGTCGATTCAAGCTCCCTCTTCGTGATCTTGGGGCCTTCTCCCTCCCCGACAAGGTATGCTCTGATCTCCCTTCTGTCCTAGCTTGGCTGTGGTCGCCGAGGCTCCCAGCCTGACATCATGACACCACCGACCCATTCCTATCATCATCTACTTGGATGGACATCCAGAGTTAATCGGTTTCTGTTATGTGTAGCTTCGGTTCCTCCTCTCCATCCCAGCTACCTCCGAAGTCGTCTTCGAGCGGTATTCCGATAGTGCTGCATCCTTCGTCGTCCTCGACCCAAACAATGCTTCCGTCTATAAGCAACTCTATCGTGCTGCGAAGGCGAAGCTGAAGCTCCGCATCAGAGTGACCGTTAAGGATAAGGAGCATGAGCATGTCGTCCCCAAGCCAGCTACTGTCGAGGACGAGGAGCCCATCCCAGTCAGCCCCGTCAGCCCTGTCGATGTTCTGGCATCCTTCCAAGACGCCGTCGAGCCCACGCCCGAACCCGCTCCACAGCAACCAGCAACATCTGCTGTGAACTACTCCCAGCAGGCTGGATCTGTCGCCGATATCCAACGTGGTTTGGAGGAACTCCTCATCAACAAGCCCAGTGTCAGCGCCGACCAAGCTCAGTCTATCACTGAATGTTTCCAGAGAGATCTGGACGAGTTGCTTGGAAAGCAATCTAATTTCAGCACCAAGTGTGCTGCTAGCTCAGCCTCAGCCTCATCGAAGGCGGCCTGTCCTTACATCCAACGCCACGGAGACGTCTCACCGAAGGCTCCGACTCCAAACCATGAGATCCCCGTGACCCGAGGAACCGCTGCTCGCGATAAGTGGTTTGCGGAGCTAGCTAGTGTATCACAGGAGCGTCAGAATGCTCTCCGCAGCTATTCCAACGGCTATATCAATGCGCCGTCCCCCACTGTCAGCGTCTTCTCGGTGTATTGCAATCACTGCGGTGGTGCCATTCCAGATGAGCACTATCACTGCAGCACCTGCGATGACGGCGACTTTGACCTGTGTCAGGGCTGTGTTGATAATGGTGTGTTATGTGGCGGCGAGGAGCACTGGATGATTAAGCGTTTCGTGAAGAATGGAAAGGTCATTAACAGCACGACCCAAACCATTGCACCAAAGCCAAAGGCTCTCTTCTCCGACTCCAAGGCCACTACCCTCGTGGCTCCGGAAGAGGCTAAGATCGTTACAGCTACTCGCACCTGTAACTCATGTATCGAAGGTAAGCTAGCGAGAGATTGGTGGGCTGAGCATCCTGCTAATTCAATGTAGAACTCTCCGAGGAGAACTTCGTTACTTGCACTACCTGCGATGATTTTGATCTCTGCCTCTCCTGCCATGTCAAGCTGGATCATGGCCATCACCCGAAGCACGCATTCACCCCCGCAGTTGAGGAAGCTCAGCTCGGCCTGATGTGCCAGACACTGCTTGCTCCAGGTCGCAACGTCGGCCACAATGCAGTTTGTGATGGGTGTGACAAGGTATGCCGATGCTCTACACTTTCTGCTGCTCCTTATCTAATTATCAATAGTACATCTACGGTGTTCGCCACAAGTGCCTCGACTGCCCTGACTGGGACTTCTGCTCCACCTGCTTGCCAAATGCCACCTTCATCCATCCCAGTCACAGATTTGTGCCCATCTATGAGCCCCTCAGTGACCACAATACCACGTCACGAATTTATGGCTACAAGGCCCGCCATCACGGCATTTATTGCGATGGGCCTCTTTGCAATTCCGGCAATGGCGTTCATTCTTACATTCGGGGTGACCGCTACAAGTGCGCTGTCTGCCATGACACCGACTTCTGTGCTAACTGCGAGGCCAACCCATCCAACCCTCACAATAAGACTCATCCTCTCATCAAATTCAAGACTCCTGTTCGCAATGTGAGCGTCACTACTATGGGAGATCATGAGGATGGCAAGCCACTGCCGGTTATGGGAGATCGTCGCCTCCGCACGACATCCAAGGCTACCGAGACTACACCAACCACATCAACTAATGCTGCGACTCAAGTCCAGACTGTTGCTGATCTCAAGCCAGTTGAGCCAGTCAAGGCTGAGGAAGCTCATGAGGTTGAGGCAGAACCCCAGACTGAGAAGGTCAAGGAGCTGCCTACAAAGCGTGGCGATGAAGACTTGGTTGCTTACTTTGTCCGTGATGTGATTGCTGATGGCACCATCCTCCCACCCAACTGTGTCTTCGAGCAAACTTGGTATCTCCGCAATGGTGGCACCACTTCTTGGCCAGCTGGGTGCTGCGTGAAGTTTGTTGGCGGAGACAATATGTGTGCAGTTGATCCTGAACATCCAGCGAGTGTCCATGAGCTTGTTTCCGCTGCTGAGAGTACTACGTGCTACACTGAAGTTGCTCCTGGACAGGAGGTTAGCTTCACCGTCTTGATGAGAACCCCAGATCGTGATGGTAACTTCATCTCCTACTGGCGCCTCACCGGCCCGGATGGTTATAAATTCGGTCACAGATTGTGGTGTGATGTCAACGTGAAGGTGCCAGTCATCAAGAAGGAGGATCTCAAGAAGGAAGACGTCATTGAGCCTGAAGTTGAGAAACCTGAGGGCAGCCAAATGATATTCCCAAAGCTTGAGAAGGAGTCTCCAGCCACCAGCATCCACCAAGAGGCCCCGGCTGCTGCTTCAGCTGCCCGAGAAGTCATTGATGAGTTTGAGGATTTCGTCGAAGAGTCGCTCTCAGATGAGACAGACGATGGTTTCTTGACCGATGAGGAATACGATATCCTCGATGCCAGCGACGAGGAATACCTCGCTGAGCAGGGAAAGGCCGTCAAGAAATAGATATAGCACTGCAAAAACATATACTATCGCATACGAACTTGCGAGCAAAGGAAGGGAGGGATAAGGCAAGGCGTAAGATTGACAACACAAATTCTGGATAGCGGGGATACGAAACCGGAATATGGGTGGTGCCTAGGGGTTTTACGGTGGCTTTTCTTCGTTGGGCTTTTGCGATTTGGCTTATGTGTTATTTTGTCTGTGAATCAGGAATACGGAAAGGAATGTTTGTGCGTAATTCGCCAGCTTATGTCTATTCGCTTTGCTATTTTTATGACAAAACTCTACTTATTACTTACCTTACCTCTCGCCATGTGCTCGCTGCTCTTTGGTAAAAGTAAATGCTTACTCCAGTAGTTGCCGATGGCTCGAAACTGTCGAGTCCAGTAGTAAAGTGAAGATAATGAAAGGCCTTGTTGTATGGGCAGCCATTTGTTCCTGGGGGATGTTGTTTTATTTAGTATGCGTTGCTTCGTTACTAAATCAATGCTCTGAAGCTGTAGAACTTCAAAATATAAGCCTTATAAAGATCTAGTTTACTTCTGAAAAGCTCCTCTGCGAATGGGAGACAGACAGGAATGGGCCTTACCCTCTATCAAACCATCTCCAAAATCATACATCCCTAGCTAGCATTACGTACCTACCTACCTTACCTTACCTTACCTACCCCCCTAGGTACTCGCAGTATATCATCATCGTGTCATCATATCATATCACGTCACGTCATGTCACGTTACGTCAAACAAATTATTTTGCGACCCAAACCCCTCCCTAAGGTATATAATACCAAATAAGCAAAATATCTCCTAACGAAGTACAAGGGCGTGGCACTTGGTCAAGTGTGTTCTGGTCAAATTGTGCTTTTCGTTATCGCCAGGGACGACAGGGTTAACAATTGGGGAAAACAAATAACAACGACAACAAAAAAGCGACAACAAAATTCGGCAAGAGATGTAGGCATTTCGACACCGGGCTGAACTCTTTTTTTGCTGTTTTGAGGGTTGACTAATTTTTTTGAAAAAGAAAGGGGAAATAGGGAATGGGGGATTTATTTGGGGATGACTTCTTTTTTTTTTGGTGGGGGAAGGGGCTTTGAGTAGGCGAGGATGGATGGGGACGGGCAGATTGCTGGTTACCGCCTGGAAGGTGGAAGGTGATAGCTTGATGTGACGAATTGCCAAAATATACGTATCGATCTCTATGCCCAAGGAGGAATCCTGACTACGCGTATAGACGATGGGTGCTATGATTGTGGACAATCAACGGCCAGGTCACTTTCGAGGACTCTACTTACAAGCGGGGGTTCGCCGTGCCCCTATCTCTTTCCTATATTTTCATTTGAAGGATTACATGGAATGGGGCATACTTGAGGCTTTGCGTTTATAAATTCGTAGGAATTTCACTTAAGGTCGGCTGTTTTGCTGTATTTTAGTTCTTTTGGTCGAAGGGTTTACATATGCTGCCAAGGGGGTGGGTAGCTGGATCTGGGATACAGGTAGAAGGTGAGTTGAGGAGGATGTTTCCTTCTCGATAGAATATACATTGATTCTCCTTTGAGTAGCTACCAGGCATTCAATTTGTAATAGGAAGTGATGGATAGCAGCTGGATATTAGGATCAGTTCGGGGGTTTGGCATAGCTAGGTGACGAAATATCATGCTCAAATTTAATGAGGATATGGTCAATATATTTGGAGGGCTTCAGACAGGATGAAAAGGGTGATTTATTGATTCTATACTATCGGATGGACGCTTGGTATATAGAGGGAAATGTGGCCTCGGTGGCCCTGACGCGCTTGGGATGCCGGATTTCCCAGTTCAGCATACCGTATAGTACGGCTTATTATGGAGAGTAAGGGTTGACTCGAACGCTTGGGTCTTTGATACCCGCGCCATGTACGTAAGAATTGCCATTGATTATCCTGATCATCGAGTGAATAAAAGTGGGCATGGATTTGGCACCTATTTATGGCATAGAGTGCCCAAGGCACTCCGACAGCTATTTCCTCAGCTTATGGGAATAGTACAAGAAGCTAGCTTGTGAAGGGTGATGGCGAGCAGGTGCTCAGGGAGAGTCCCTGGCTGGTGATAACTACCATGGTTAAAAATAGTTACATATCGCGAGATACGTTAACTCCGGCAGAATCGAATTCGCAAAGGCAGTCCCCTTTCGAGGCAAATAACCGGCAGTTTCTTGTCTAGGCGGTGTTGTATGACCTATTGATTTAAATGTAGATTGTGTTGGGTGAGACACACGTCCTTGCTATATTAAACTCCAACAATGTTGTATGGCAGGCCTCACTGTTTAGAGTAGAAGGGTTTATTAATTCTCTCTTCAAGTATACTGCAAAAAGTCGCTGAGCGCACCCATCTATAGCTACCTTAGAGAAGTTTTCTGCAGTTTGGTTACTGGCTTGGTTCCGTCCGATAAGCCTTCTGACTTGCTTGTTAGCTTAAACTTTTGCTGGGTGATTGTATTTCTCATCCGCGGATTGCCACAAAGGTGGAAACTGTAGGTCGTAAGAAGAAACATGCTGTAATGTTTTAGGAATACTGTGGAAGTCGTGACTGATACAAGAAATGAGCAAGGCGCGTAGAAGAACGACGTGAAGAACAGACACAGCATCTGCCCTCCCCATGTGCCAATTATTAGTTGTTGAAGAACCTCTACTGCTTGGAGGTAGCTCTGCTAAGTGAATGTCTTAGCTGGCGTCCGTATCTGGCGGGATTGGTATGTTATCAGCGAGTAAACCCCAGAGAGGAACTTCAGCTACTTACAACCTTGGATATGAACTTAAAACCCAGAGACAAATGCTATATGGCTCGTGATTGATCCGCGGATGGTAATTGATATCCATACCTCATTTCATGGCGAAGTACTAACCTCGCTTAATGTATTCATAAAGGGGTTCGGAACAAGGATATGGTGGCAGAATAGTAGGCTGTAAACAAACGGACTTTATCAGCACTATAGTATATGGCGCATTCAGCAAGGGCAATGGTGCACATAAAATGGACATTGGCGCATACATAGAATTAATGGCGGATACAGAGAGGGTGTTGGCGGATGCACAAAAGTTAATGGCGCGAATGTAGAGATTGTATTGTTCTTACCAGTGGTTTCTCATTTAGCTGGGAGCTCTCTGTTCTAGTTCTTGAGCACCTACAAACTTAACTGTGGCCAGGGGAAGTCATTAGATGGCTGTAAATATAGATGGAGAAAGGTATCAGAAATCTAATAATTACTCAAACATGGTATTGGCTAATCGCTGTGTCGAGTAATGCGCGGTTGTAACTAAATATATGGTTGAAATCACAGTCAGTATATGTTTCCGAAAGGCGGAGAGAATGGACAAACCTTCCTTAGATACTTCAGGGAAGTTCACGCCGGAGGCACAAGGCAGAGAAAGGAATGAAGCAGGCGCAGATGGATCAACTTGTGAGAAGTGGTGCTCGCGCCTGTGGAGATTTTACCGCTGTGCTTCTTCTGGGGACTGAAAACTTGTGGTAGCTCTGTGCTGATGAAATAAAGTAGAAAACAATCAATCGAATCAGACGAATCACGTCGGCTGCTAGATACATGTCAAGAGGGGTGCGGTCAGATGGGAAGAATCATGTCAACTGATACACCTGTGCTAGCAACTGAATCGTTGTCATATTAACTCAAGGCAAAATCTGGTCATGGGAAGGGTCACAAAGGGTTCTACATCCAGTTTACTTGAAGAGTCACAAAGGGTTCTGCAGCAAAGTTATTTTGGAAGTTTGAATTGCCTCTTATGTGTATCAATTGTTCGCACCAGCACTCGAGGCGCAAAGCAAAGCAAAGTAACGCAATGAAGGCAATGATAGCAAGACGAGTCAACTGATCCTCTGAGGAATATGTTAGTTATATTCGAACATTTGGGAGGAATTGGACGTACTTTCAAACGAGACATGATAGCAAAGCAGCAATGATGGGGATCTTTGGGCGTTGGCTGTGAAATGGCCTAGTGGTTACCCTGGCGCTCAAGGTCGGGGTCAACTTTAAAGGGATTGCCAAGGTCTTGTTCTTCAGCTACTGCAGCCTGGAATTGCGTCAGCTAATTCAACACATCTTAACGCTCGACAAGGGGGAACTTACAGCTTCTGGATCAACACCGTCGTTCAAACCACTACTGGGAGCATCACCTAGACCATTTGGATGACCTGGAGCTCCATACGGAAGACCATCATAGGCATTGTGGGTAGGGTCCGGGTATTCATATGTAAGAGTAGCCGACGAAGCATTTTGGCTCGCAGTAGCAATTTGTGCAGCGGTAGCCATTTGTGCTGTAGTAGCCACTTGCGCCGGGGTATCAAATTGCGCCAGAGTAGTACTCGAGGGACCAGCGTTTGTAGCAGTAGTATGGCTAGCAGCGGGCTGGCTACCGGCATCAAAGATAGAACCAGGGGAATTTGCCACTGCAAGTTCAAGCTCTTCATGGGTGATGTTGCGGGGATTATTTCGGTCGAGGTTGAACTGGCGGCGATTATGCTCGTCATACTCGATCCAGGTCTGAAGACACATCGTACTTAGTAAATGGGTAAGTGTAAGAAATCTGGATGACTTACCATGGGTGGAAGGTATCTTCTTCTCCGATTGAGGCCCGGGGGAACCCCATATGTCGATAGTCGTAAATTCTTACGGCCCTCCCAGTCGCGTCGATTCTTATTGTATCTATTAAATAGAGCGCCGAGAGTTTCCGGCTGGGGGTTGATTCCTCTCTGATTCGAGCATGTTGGGAGACATGGGCAGTAGCGAGGTGCCACAGATGGAAACCCGGCTCGCTTGACATATGCCTTCTTTGGTGGCGACTTTGATGGCTTCTTTGGTGGCTTCTCCGGTGGGTCATTGCCGCCGCCCATGCCCGAGTTCGATGGTTGAACAGACATATTTGGTAACCCTCGGGAAATATTTGGATGTAAGTTGTAGGTTGTAGGTTGGTTCGTCGTCGGGATAATCGCGCTTGTTGCTGTTGAACACTGGAATCTTGCGACAAATAAGCTGGAAGTCTTGGGATTAAGGGATTGTGAGGAGAAGGCATGTTTGGAAGCAGGGAGGTGGTATGAGAAATGACATATGGCACAAGGATGAGATGGGCCGGGATGGAGTGTGTTTGGAGAAGGAACTCGCAAGGGAAACGTGTTTTGTGAGGAGGGCTTACCGGCCAAACGCGCTGAGAGTAGCTGGCGTGAACGACTAACCCAGCTGCTGGGAGATCGGAAGCTCGAAGTCCAGAACGAGGACAAACGACCTTTTGATGATAAAAGAGGGATGACAGAAGTCGAAGAGGGGGGGGGGGGGGGGGGGGGGGGGGGGGGGGGGGGGGGGTTGTTTCGCGAGAGATCTGGACCACAAAGGTCGCTCGACAAGCTAGCTAGGCTTATCGTGCGACCTCAGGGGAGTTTGAAATCTGATTGGTAAACAAAAGTAGGAAGATGAAGGAGACGAGGGGAAAGCTTAAGGGAGAACTCTTAAGCTCGGGAGGATGTGTTATGGAGAGAGGAGAGAGAGAAGGTAGGAGAGTTGGTCGACCGCCCCCTTAAATAGGAAAACCTGGGTCCTCGCTTACCGCCTCAGTCGATCGCCGCGATTCACTAGGGCGGTCTAAGAAGAGGTGCAAACATCGGTGATGTTTGATTGAATAGTGAATAGGATACAAGTTTAGCGAAGCTCCATGACGTTTGAGTCTTTCGAGTTGTGTCGGTCATCCATTGTCTAGTAAGTCTAGATGTAGGTTCGAGGTGCTACCCCTAAAAGGTAACCTTCTTTCCCTTGCTCTCCACAATGCCGCCAGTAAGTCGAGGTGCATAAGGTTTCCGATACTCGACCGCCTTAGGGACAATTACATTCTCCTTGAATGCTTCTGTTGGCTGCTCTGAGGTCTCATTGGCACCCTTCTTGGTGCCCTCCTTTTTGTATCGTTTACTGTATCGAGTTTGGTCGTCTTCTGCGAATTCCATCCTCAGGGGTCGGCCCCTAATCCTGTTGACCCAGACCTTCCTCTTCTTCGTCTTCTTTATCTTTGACTTGCTAACAGCATTCTCTGACTCAGATCCCTCACTGGCATCCGTGTCTTCCTCAGACTCCGACGCATCTGATTCCGGTTCTTCAACAAGCAGAAAACCACGAACAGCGCTCGTTGCTGCATCTAACTCTTCGAATACGATCCAAGCATATCCCTTGCACTTCCCGCTGTCTTCGAATGTCGCCATCTTAATACTAGAAATGGCACCACACTTCTCAAAATGCTCCCTGACGCTTTCCTCAGTTGCATCAAAAGGTAGATTGCCAAGGAAAATCTTCTTGCTCGGTGGCTTGCCCTCCCTTCTGCTCTCCTCCTTCGTCTTCTGGGGTCTTCCCTCAAACGACTTGTTGTCCTTGATCAAAACCCGGCGGCCTCCTAATAACTGCTCCGACAGACCTACAGCGTCATTGACGGCTTCAGGTGACTCAAAATCAACGTAAGCAAAGCCCTTGTTGTGCACGGTCTTGCCATCCCTCTTCTGCTCAACCTTATTTGCTGGCTTTCCATCATTTGGCCCAGGCATATGGACTCTGGTGATCATCTCCTCTGTGAAATCCTCCAACTTGTTTACGAAGAACTCCCGCAAATCAGTCTTAGAAATATAAAAGGGCAGGTTGCCGATCCATATGCCATGTTCCGACTTCTTCTCCTTCTCTAGTTTGGCTTTCTTTGACTCTGGCTCTGGTGTGGATTCAGCGCCAGACTTTGAGGGCGGAAGAGCTTTCCCTTTTTTGAGGAGACGAAGAGCCTTCTTGGAAGGGGGCTCAGGGGCTGTGATGTCGACTTCAATCTCTTCAACGGCAGCCTTTCGTTTCTTGGCTGGGGGACTTTTGGCTATCTCCTCCGTTTCTGGATCCGTGGTTTCCATAGGTGTGCTTGAAATGAGGGCTTCTGCTTCAACTGGGGTGGTGATGGTAGGTTCTGGGGAGGTATTCGTGTTTGGCTCTGAGGGCTCTTTCAATGATTCTGCTTTTCTCTTCTTGCTGGACTTTTCTTTCTTCTCTTTCTTCTCCTTCTTCTCTTTCTTCGGCTTTGTGGAGATGGTCTCAGCGGTGGGGGAGTGCTTTAAGGGTGCCATTGTTGGAGAGTGTATGGGAGATAACCACTTTGATCAGGGTAGTTCCTACTTCGAGGTGTCGGTGTGTCGTGAATATTTGTTGTCCAGAGCAATGTAGCACGTGACTGTTCCACGAGCTCTTCTCAATTATTGCGTCCTAGATATCATGGAAGAGGGCAATAGATCGGAGGAATGTGTGTATCGCAAGAAATCCAGTTTGAACAGAAGGACAATCTAGTTCAAACACAAGGCTGGCTCTGATATCGATCTGTTTGAAGCCAAGTCAGACTGCCTCAAGCTTGCGTCGCGAGACGTAGAGAAGGTTAGTCCAGCGTCGCAATAGCAGGAAGACTAATCTCTAGCTAGTAACTAGAGTATATCTTCTCCTGTTAGTCCGGATTGATCGTTCTTATTCAAGAGACCAACGTTGGGTAATCTGTGTCGTACAGAGAGTCTCGTCGCGCATCTTGTCAACTTCGAGAATTATTTTCTTGAGAGAAGTACAGGGTTTACAAGATAGCTACGCGATCGGAGTTACAATTGTCCGATATTAACCGACAATGGGTAATCTTCGGCCGCTCTAAGATCGGAACAACGCTGCTTTATGGATACGGACTACTTCGTACGCCAACCGTGAATGTTCGGGATACTTTGATCATGTAGGCACGTCTCGTCCTGGCAGCTAAGCAGCTTCTTCACGATCTAGTTTCTATGGTCTATTGACTCTTTTTGTGCCCCCTTCCTTTGGCTTCTCTATGTCTCTTTGAGAGTCCTTTATTTAAGTCAACAGTGTTGCTTCCCAATGCTTCCAGGCGCGTCTTAATCTTACACCTCTTCTACAATGCAAGCCAACGGGGAGGAGATGGATACAGACGGCGGTGCGACAGGCCACGAAGTTGGCGATGCGACTCACAATACGGAAGATGCCAAGGCTACGTATAAATCATTCAAGTACGTTTCCTGTTCTCATATTCACGGCGGGGCAGTGTTGGATGTGCAATTTCTACAACCATTCAAGCCTCACCCAAGCGACATCGCATGTCAAGCATCGTTGACAATGGTATCAATTAGGAAGAAGTTTCGGAAGCAACGGGTCAAGTTTGATGAGAAGATGCGTCAGAGCAATGACTGGTACACGCGGGAGCAGAAAGCGGAAGAGCAGATTAAACGACTGGCACAAGAGAATGAGTGAGCACTCCCCTTTCCATTCCCCCTTTAGACCTCAAGTCGACTAAGCTAATGTACTGTTTCTCCAGTCAACTCCTCGATCTTCTTCTCGATGTCAATAACTCTGCTCAAATCCCTGCCGAAAAGCGCATCGAAATGACCGTCGACGTTCCAGCCCTCTCTGCCATCCCGCCCTTGGTTAGCAACAAGGACCTGTCCAAATGCGCCGAACTCGATACGCCTGCCGGGAAGGCGCTTTACAGAGAGATCCGAGGCATGCTAGAAGAAAAGGCAGCCGCGGCATCATCATCTAGAAATGGAGCCAGATTAACAAAGCCACTCTCCCTGCTCATGGCCACGGTCCCTCATCACTCCGTCAATAGTCCCCTCGTATCCGCCGACCTCCTCTCTACCCTCGAAACCCACGAAGGCCACGCCGGCCCAATAACCTACTTGACAGCTGACCAAATTGACGATTACCTCTACGATATAGATGCCTCTCTCGGCACCGCACCTCCTGCCCCTCCTCCCCAGCACCCGGCGCAGCACGACGTTGCCCTCCGCAATCCAAACAGCGTCTACAACTGGCTCCGCAAGAACGAACCCAAAGTCTTCCTTCAAGACAACGAAGGTAGTGAAAAATCCCAAGGGAAGCCAGGCTCCCTCCGCGGCGCAGGAAAGCGCGCCAGCATCCCAGCACCCGTCAAACCCGACGCTCTGGAATTCGTGGAAGAAGATGGTCTCGGGTATGACGCTTCTCTTGCCGGCCCTGTAAGCGCAAAGGGAAAGAGGAAGAGGGAGGACGGCGATGATTCTACGTACCATCCTTCCAAGGGGCAGAAATTGGATGAGAGCGGCAAGCCGAGGGTGAAGCGGGCGTATAACCGGAAGAAGAAACCAGAGGGCTCAGAGGCGAATACTCCAACACCGAAGAGGGGAAAGAAAGAGAAAGCAAAGCAGAGGAGTCCGCCGCCTGCTCAACATCCGTTTGGGGGACCGTTGTAGTGCTACTATTACTGTACGAGGGACCTTTGGCTTAATGGCGTTTTTGGGTTGGGAGATACATGGATTCTAGATAGGGTGATGCGGTACGACAAGGGGAAACTTGTATACTAGAAAGCCAGCTAAGCCAGAAACGCTATGGTTTGCATACGGAGGCAATTGAAGATTGTGATATGCTATGCTATTTATAACTCTCAATGGTCCTGAAGCAAGGACGGCCTATGTACAGTGTAATGCAGTGACGTTGCAGTGTTTGATGATGGGTAATTCTATGAACACCAGGCCATGCACGCAGAATAGAAAGCACGGTCCTGTATGACCGTGAAAGTATATCCCCTCGATGTCTTTCGGTGTCGCTGGGCGTGTGCCCCCTTAGCCACTTCTCGGTGTACCGTTACTGTACCCACCATCTCTGTCTCTCTGCAACCAACGTCTCTACCGATCGGTGTTGCAAGGACTTATGGGCCGTAGAACCACCCAAAAGCGTTGAAGTAGAAGGTCAATCTACAACTTCTGCTTCAAGATGCTCTTCATCCGTCTCTCAACAGCATTCATATACTCGGTGGTAGTAACATAATCCTCACGTCCTGTCTTCCCACAAGCCAAGGCCAAATCCTTGGTCATGATGCCATCGACATCCACTGTGTCGATACAAGCCTGCTCCAGGCTCTCGGCAAAGGCGACGACTTCAGGTGTGTTGTCGAGTGTGCCTCTCTGGATGAGTCCGCGGGTCCAGGCGAAGATCGAGGCGATTGGGTTCGTGGAGGTTTCGCGGCCCTTTTGGTGCTCGCGGTAATGGCGGGTTACGGTTCCGTGGGCGGCTTCGGCTTCGAAGCTCTTTCCGTCGGGGGTGATGAGAACGGAGGTCATGAGGCCGAGGGAGCCAAAGCCTTGTGCAACGATGTCGGATTGGACGTCACCGTCGTAGTCTGGTTGGTGTTAGTTTATTGTATTAGGCTAGTGTGACCAGAAAAGTAAAGGGGAGCAAGGGGAGCATACTCTTCAAAGCCATAATGTAACCTCCTGAGCTCTTCATCATCTGAGCAACCATATCATCAATAAGGCGATGCTCGTACCAGATCTTCTTCTCCTCGAACTCCTTGGCGTAATCCTTGTCGTAGATCTCCTGGAAGATATCCTTGAACCGGCCGTCATATTTCTTCAGAATGGTATTCTTGGTGCTCATATACAGTGGGAGGCTCTTGCTCAAGGCCAGCTTGAAAGAAGCATGTGCGAATCCCTCGATGCTGTCATCGGTGTTGTATTGTGTTTGTGCTACCCCGCCGCCCTGCTTGAAGTCGAAGACTTCGATTACTTCTGGCTTGCCGCCTTCTGGGGTGAAGACCATGCTCAACTTGCCATTCCCCTTGACGACCATGTCTTTGGCGCGGTATTGGTCGCCGAAGGCATGACGGCCGATGATAATGGGCTTTTTCCAGCCAGGGACTAGACGTGGGATGCGGGGGATGACGATGGGCTCTCTGAAGACGGTCCCTCCTAATGCGTTTCTGATGGTACCGTTGGGGGACAACCACACTATAATCCCACCGTGTTAGTTCAATTGCCCCGCCTTAACGTAAAAATCGCAAGGAAAATATCAAAATAAAGACATACTTTGCTTGAGGTTAAATTCCTTCACTCTGGCCTCATCTGGGGTAATAGTAGCACACTTGACACCAACACTGTACTTCTTGATCGCCTCGGCGGAATCAATTGTAACCTGGTCGTTGGTCTGGTCCCGATACTCGAGCCCCAGATCGTAGTACTTCAAGTCGATATCTAGATATGGGTGAATGAATTTCTCCTTGATGTCCTTCCAGATAATCCGGGTCATCTCATCGCCATCCAACTCCACGATGGGATTCTTGACCTTGATCTTGTTGAAGGTAACCATTGTGCGTCTGGTTTGGAAGGCGGAGCCAAAAGTGGGAGCCTTGCGATTGTGTCGTGCTGCGATTGAAGCTGTAGCTGGTGCTGCTGAGGAATACCAATGTGAGACTGAGGGGGGGAGGGCTTGAGGTGTAGAACGGAAGAGGCCGCGCGATGCTGCGACAGATATTCTTGAGCTGGACATGATGGCGTACGGACGATGCCCCCAAGAGTTTTAGGATTTTATCTTATTGCCGTGATATTGGCAGTGCATATACCGAGCGATTCCGACGTCGTTGATAAGGCGTACTAAAAGAAGTGGAGAGGAAACGGGGGGTTTTTCGGGGTCCACCCAGTCTGGGAAGAGAAGGTACGACGGACGAAGCAGAAGTAAATACAGAGATCGCAGCAGTGGGGCTGCCGGGGACTACTTTTAGCCGCCGAGGGGCTTGGGGAGTTGCCAGTTGGTGAGGAGGCAGAAAGGGTCTGAGGATGAAGATGCGATGCCGGGATATTGGTGTTTATATTGGTGTTGACATTTGCTATATCGGCCGTGACTAGTGTTGTTTGGTGCCGCTCTTTTGATGCCAATGAATCTACAGTGCGTTCGAGTACTTTGGGGCCAATACAAGTACTACGATGACCTTTTACTCGGTTTCAATTGAAGGAATCTTGGTTAATAACGATGTTGTAACCGTTGTCACCGTTGTCAAGCTGCAACCGGAATCCGAATAATCCGAATATTCCGATAACGGACTTCCATCCCACCTATTCGGTCCTTACCCCTGTCAGCCCCCGTCAGTAACCGACGTCACCCGCGGGATCTCGACCCACGTGATGTGATTGGCCATCACTTAGCGAGTGCGAATCCGGGAGTTACACAGAGGCAAAATCATTGCTAATCAATTGCTTGGCTAGGTATGAGCGTGTAGCTACCTGACGTCTTCAGGCCTAATAAATCCCAAGCCCCAAACCCAAGCCCAACCTCGTTGCACTTCCTGATATCGCCTATATGCCAAAGAACCCATCGACCCCGTAATACGACTCCGTCTCCAGCCTCTATTGTTCTAATAGATTTTGCCTTGAAACCTATAGTAAGACACGAGAGGAACATAACCCAACCCAGAGAGAATACAGCCAAGACAGCGAATGTATATAGGAGACGAAGAAAGAAGATAGCCAAGAAAGAGAGAAGTACTTCGTATAGAAGGAGAGACCGAAGAGAAAAAGATAAACGCCTTTATCGTTCCGTACTGTTGCCCGGCCGTAAGATTGTCTAAGATCCCAAGAACTCCTGGTTCCCACCCATAGAAAGGAGAAGTGCACGACACCGAAAATAGCGCGAATTTGACGAAAGCAATTTATCGAGCTCAGCAAGATGAGAAAAGAAAGAAGAGATTTTCCCAACCGGTCCCCTCTACAAACGCCGCCTTCTATACGAATTCTGAATCTTGCGCCATTCGCCAGACGCCGGACGCCTAATACCAGCCTTGCCGACCATGGCATCGCCGCGTCGTAACATGGCCATCTATAATAGTGACCTGCAGAGGCACGTTCATGCCGCCCCACGATACTCTATGACTTCAAACATATCACCAGGGACGAGGAGATGACCAGGTCACATCATCAAATTGTAACTGCTCTGGGTAGTTATGGTACTGACTGTATGATTCTGAATCTCCGACCAAGTCTTGCAGGTATTTTTGACCATCATAGGTCTGCGATGATACCTGAGGTGACGCCTTATATCCCATGTCGTACACATCAGCGGCTTCTGCTAAGTGATCCATGCAAGCCTCCCTTGGGTATTGTTCATATTCATCGAAGTTGCGTTGCGATTCTGAGCCTCCAGCCATGCTTTGTAGGCCTTCGTCACTATCGTAGGGGGAGGACGGTGCTGGATGCGTCGTCTCAATTCCCACGTCGTACATATCAGCGGTGCCGGCAACTTTGAGTTGGGATTCGCCGCTGCCGTAGGTGGATAATGAAGCTTGACGAGACATCTCCATTTCCAAGTCGTATACGTCAGCTCCCACTTGTTGCCCCAAGCGAGCCTTCTTTCGATGTGGCTCGCAGTCGCGCTTGCAGCTGGAGCACTGCCACCCAGCCTTGGCCACCCGAACCCTTTCAAGACACTTGGCGCACCGCCACCACTTCGGATCGATTTTGCGTTCATCTAACCATGCCTGCTCCTTTGCCTGCCGCTCTGCCTTATTCTTGGCTGATTTCTCGCCCTTGCAATGGCCGATGTCCTCCTTGTGAAATTCTTTGAAGTGGTCGCGGCAGTGGTCTTTGCGGGTAAATGCATTGCGTTTGCGATTACATCGCTGGTAGTCGCATGGGAAGGATTGGGCAGACGCATGCACAACAACGTAGTGCCGCTCGAGATCTGCTGGCCTTCGAAAAACAGGACGAGTGGCCGTCTTCCCTCTCTTCCAGCAGCGGTTGTCAGGGAACTGGCATGGATGGTAGTCTTTTCTAGCAGCCTGCCCCCTAAGAAAATAATTAGTGACACGTTGGGGGGAAGGATTCAGTGCGATACACGTACATGTCTCTATCAAGATACACTATTCGAGGAGTCCGTGGATATTCCGGAAACTCATCGCGAAGGACAAGGTATGGCTCTTTCGACTTTTCAACCACAAGGTCGTAGAAGTCTAACACTTTCATGTTTCCCATCCACTCGAGTCCCAAAGGCGTCGGTCGCTGACTCTGAAAGCTGAAGGGCATCGATTCCGTGATAGCTGTGAAAGGAATACTTTGGGGTGCGTCGTAATTGAGGATCTCGTTAGAATATCCAGTGTTGGAGGGACCCCCCAACTCAACTTGGGCCTCATCATTAGAGTACCCAGCGCCAAACGTGGGTGCTAAATCACCTTGATGATCAAGCTCCATTGTCGTACAACTCGAAGGCACAGAGTATGTTGTAGTATTCGAGAGCTCACTACTTGTCGAGATATCAGACCACGTGTGATCCATAGGAACGCCCCCGAGTGCTTTTGGCCTTGCTGCTGCATCATATGGCGTATATCTCGGCTTCGAGCTTATGGGACGGACATAGGAATTGGGCTGTGAGGCCATTGAAGGTGCTGTGTATCCCTTCAAAGACTATTAGTCTAAACTACCGGAGTCGAAAGAGTTCAGACCACTTGGCCGTGAACGTACAAGGCTACGATAAGGAAACAGAGACTGCTTACAATCTAAATTAAGCAATACAATGAAATAAAATCACTTTTAGGGAGCATACAAGCAAGTGTACCCGGCTGAAATAGATCACGCAAACTGAAGTTCTCTGTGCTCTTGCTGATGCTAGGGGGAGCGCTGCGGTTTCTTTAATATTATTTCTCTTACGGTTCGGATGAGGCTGACGGCTGCAGAATGTCACCTGCACGTCTTCTGACAAGGGTAGATTTGGAGCTTCTACATTTCAATTGTAGCAAGGCGCGCCCCAGACGCCTTCCACATGAAATCTTGCTTGGAGATACAATGCGGGTCTCCTGCACATTTGAACAGGACCGGACTAATGGCAGATAAAGCCTTACTGATCAATTCGACGGGAACAGTTCCCTCAGAGCCGAGTATGCGCTGTCTTCCCAACCCTCCACGCCCTTTCCTAATCTGGTCACCGTGCAATTACAGAACTAACAAGAAGAGGCTTCTAAGTCGTTAACGGCAGGATGTAAACAGTCAAGCAAAGGCGCCTGGGATCAAGGATTCGAAGGTGCGTGGAAAATGCCTCAGAGCCTCGTCCATGTACGACACCCGAAAGAAGCAGAACAAGGGCAGCCATGTAGTCGGGAAGACGTTCCACAGCCTTGCTGGGGCGTGCTGTACGTATTGGAGAGGATCTGAAGTTCGGCAAGTTTATCAGGGCAGAGTCCAAGGCAACTTTGCTGGACGCATCGGGGATCTGGCTAGAATGAATCTTGCCCAGCCACAAAGCAAAGCTAGCGAATGAAGAAGGGTTGCGAACGATCGGGCAAACACCCCCTTGGCCTCGACCACGTTTCCATCGATCATTGATCTCCTGAAGGAGTATTTAGGTGATGACACGGCGACGGTGCTGGGCCATTGCAAAATCGCGCTCGTCGATCAATTCGAGGAGGAAGCAGTCTTTATTGACAATCGCCCAGCTTGTGCGTCGTGCCGGCTCACCGGCCGATGCAGCCATATTGCAGCAAGAGGTCGTGTCGGAGAGCAACTGGAGTAAGGGGACAGCGCGGAACGTCTTTGTGGCTGTGTGAGGGCAGCTGGCACGCGTTATCAGGCAACAGTTCGCAGTTCGCCCTGCACTTTCTTCCGCCTCGTCGCTGCTTTTTGAGGGATGTTCTTTGCTTTTTCCCGTTATGAAGGATGAGGCTGTCAAACGATCGGGGTGGGTATTCCCAGGAAGTGGTTGCTGGCGACGCCCCAAGGCCCAGGCAGTCGACTGCACGGAGTAAGATGGATCGAATTGTAGAGTAATACGGAACATCGTACTTCGTAATCGGTGGGCTATGCAAAGACAGGAATGGCAGGTAGAGGATGGGCGACGATATGTACCTTGGCGTGGGGGTTGGAATTGGAAAAGGAGTGAGAGTGAGAGCGAGAGCGACGGCGATGTGAATCTTCCCCTTCTCATCTGCTCTTCTCTCTAGAAGAGAGGGTACTGTCCTGCTGAATTGTTAGCATCGCGACTGAAGGCTGGAGATGAAGAGGAGGGTTCTGGTTCGGAGTAGGGGTTATTCCGGCCGCCTCTTGATTGGCGAATCAGAGTCGAGTATTGCTCCCTCCTGAATGAGGTCGAATATACAACAGGCGAATATGAAACCACGACAACATCTTCTATATTGTAGCAGAAACAAGAATTGTGAGTAGCGATACCTACTGTCGGGAATTGAGTTGGGTTTCCCTAATTGTCTTATACTTTACTTTATCCCCCAACTTGGGGCCTTTGAGGCGACCCAAACTGATTTGGTCAGGTTGCAGCGACGGAGTTGGGCCGTAACGCAGGAATAGGTAGCTGCAGGTCACTGCAGCGGTCGCATGGCCATCAAACAAAAGCCTATAATTCGGTGCTTTCCCCAGCGAGGATGGCTCAGGTGTTTGCCAGCGCCGGCTTCGCCTTCGAAATCCTCACTCAGCGACTGGGTGGACGCCTATAGCGTCTGTCACCGAAATTACAAGTGAAGCGTTATGGGCGTGACGTATCACCGGCGGCCAGCACGAAATCAATATGAATAAGTCGGGGGAAAGCTGTCCAACTTGTGGCTCGGGTCGCTTTTGTGAGGAACTACAACAACCTGCCAGCCAAATTGGCCTCGATTGTTTGTTCTCTTCTGCTGGGCGCTGAGCGAAGAAGCCCGACGACCGACCGGGCAGCAAACAGCCCCGCCAAGCGCAATTCACGAAACTCGTCGCCCAAGAATCAGATCACACACTATCGGGAACAGAATTTGGTACAGGAGGCACAAAATCACCGTGTTCAGATGATCATACCTATTGCTAATTAAGAGGAGCTATTGCCGTCATTCCAGCAACACCTTGGTCAGAGCCAAATCATGCGCCGACCGGTTCCCACTCAAAACATTTAATCCATTGATGCCCAAAATACACGGAAGCTACTCATACATCATCCTCCAGAAACTTGTACGCGAACTTGAAGTCTGCCTTCCTCCGGTTCATCCTATGATACGTTAGCGAGTGTATTGAGGGAATTGGAAGACATATCGTCACGGGATAGATCGGGGAATGAGGTAGGGAGGAGTGCAATGAGATTTTGGAAAACGAACCATGTACTCTCATAATCAAAGAAGCGATATGTCCCTTGCTCAAACTCCTCTGTGATTGTCTTTGGCTCCTCATGCCTCTGGAACCACGTTTGGTACTGCTTATGGAACCGCCAACTTTGATCTTTCAACGCCTTGGCCGCGAGATATTGCTGGTATGTTCCTTGTTTGTAATAGAAGACATAGAAGAGAGTGTCTGGGTCTATTCGAGAGTATAATCGCGGATCATCGAAGACAGGATCTAGCTCCTGGGGATAATACGATGGCGTGTTAAATCGAATATCCGGTTTATACTTCCGCGGTGCGCCCACGTCAAGCATGTCTGGGGAGGTTGTTAGGGACGTTGCCAGCATTCTCTGCGATGATTGTGAAGGAGCAGCGGTGACCCGCCGTTGGGTTGCTTCGAATGATTGGAGTAGGTCTTGCAGGCCAGAGGGCAGGTGATATATTGATTCGTCAACTTCTTCCGAGTCGCCATTTTTCACGCCATTTGTAACGCCATTAGGTTGTACCGCAGCAGCTTTACGTTGTTAGTATCACGCATTACAAAAACGGGCAGTCCATACCTTTTGAGCTTTCTCCTGTTTCGGGAGCAGCCGGAGCCTTTCCAGACGCCCGGGAAGCACCTGACTTAGCAGTATCAACTTTATCGGCATTCTGAGACTGCGATATGTTACCGCCAATTACAGCTGTCACTGAGTGACTTAACGCTGGAGACTTCGTTTGAGCACTGGAAGGAACATCCGATATACTCGCGGATGCTGGGACGGCAGACTTCGTTACGGAAGACGCGGGCTGTGCATGAACCACATTCGGGGAAGCAGTAGAACTTGCCCTTCGCCCAGCAGCTGCCGGTAACGGGGGATGGCCGACGGCTGTACTTGGTGCGGGAAGGGCTTCAGGAGGCGGAGGTAAAGGAGCAATCCCCAAGTTATTCTTATCGCTTGCAGCGGCGGCGGCTGCTGCCGAGGCGTATTTGAGAGTTTCCCCAGGTGCTCGCGTCGGCACTGTTGCTGGCTTCATTTGGCTACCACCATTTGTTGCATTCGTTATTGGAGTATGTAGAGTTGCCAGTGTTGGAAGCGGACTTTTCATCTGAGTCGACGGTCTTCGTGCTCCACTATGACCTTCCGATGCTATAGATTTGGATTTGCCACCCGGTATACTACTCGACCTTGCATCTATGTCGGGAGTTTCTTCTTGTATTGACTGGGTATCTTGGGACGATACTCGGTCGTTCTCGTTGTTCATACCGTAGTTATCCTCTTCATCCTTTAAATTGAGCTCGTCGTACATCTCGTCGTCCTCCATGAAATCGTCATTCATACCATCGGAAACATAGTATCGAATAGATTCCTCGAGATCATTGACTTGGTCCGTTTCCACGCCACCATTTTCTAGTGAGCGTTTGATGAGCTCAAGCTTCCCTTGATGCCATTTATGTCGTTCCGTTATTCGTTCGATATCCGCCAGTCTCTCCGCCTTGGAAGTCTGGCTCTTCCCTTTCTTCATGGTGGCCTGTATCGATTGGCCTTCTGCTTCGAGGGTCTCTATTTGGCGCTCCAGTTCATCCACCATGTTACCCAAGAAGTCGCATGCTTCTACTTTCGCGCGCTCCTTGGGATCTAATTTCGCAGCTGCTGATAATCCCTCTTTCGAATATGCTTTCGTCTTCATAGCCTTCTCCACTGCCTTGAACTTTTCCATTTGCTGTGCCTAGTTAGCCTCGAACCCGGGAACAATAGCATGACGCATACAGTCTCGATCAATTTACGATTCTCTAGCAGTGGCCCCTTATCCTTAATGTCATTGCTGGCAGCCCATGTCTTGATCTGATCGCGAAGCCTTTGTAGCTTCTTGATCTCCCGTTTAAGGTTATCTTCCAATTTCTCCTTTTGGGCGGCATTTGTTGACTGCTCGATCTTCTCGTAGATGGACTCGAATTCCGCAACCCCTTCTGTGACCTTCTTAAAGCATTTATCTACCTCCTGCTGGAGCTTTCGTGCTGCCATCGTGAATGTTGGGGGCCTAGTAAAAGATTGTTTGGCGCTGAATGATGGATCTCGTGTTCGAGGTTCTGCAACGGGCGATATGTATGGGATGTCTCGATCCCCCGGTAATGTGGAAGCAGGGAGGCACGCGCGGTGAGGGACTCAAATATTACAGGAGACCTAAGGCTGGCGGTCAAGGGTGTATGTTGTTCGCGTTCACATTCGCGCTTCTCAAGATCTGATCGTGATCGTGTTGATTGCTGTCGGCTGTTGCTTGTTGAACCACCGCCGTCGCCTCGCTTGGGGCAGCCTGAGGCGGCTTGGCCATGCAGCCTTATTTCCAGCACAAGTCGCGGGGAACAGCCAGCAACTTCCATGTGACACCACCACTAGATACGCTTTGCGTTGTTAGGAGATTTCAATTTAGAATAACCCTAACGAAGTACTTCGTATAGTCGGCTCAATTATATTTTATTAAGACAGTCAAAGCTGTAATTTGCAATCATGAAAGGTAGGTGGTTTGCTTCGCAAGCCACAAAACTTAGTCTGACTCCTCTGCCAGCAATACTTCAGCGAGTTCTCTCAGCCTCTGTCACAGTTGACAAGCAGCTTGTCTCATCAATTGGCAAAGGGGTTCTAGTCTTTGCGGCTATCGCGCCTGGCGATACAGAGAAGGATGTAGATACTCTTGCCTCGAAGGTCTTAAAGATGCGTTTGGTAAGAATAACCCCACGCTTGAAATTCCTTTCATGCTCGAAAAAGTTGTCTTGACAAGCTAGTTTACAAAACTATTATACTGTGTGATTGCTTTGAGACCTCTTTTGATTTTCTTTCGGGGTTGCTAGGTCAGGAATACTAATTTAAAATGTAATTTAGTGGGATGATGAAGCAGGAGGCAGGGTATGAACCCCTGGATTTCTTTGGATCTAGCGATCATCTGATGTTCTCCAGTGGAAGCAAAATGTTCAAGATATAAATGGAGAAGTTCTCTGTGGTGTGTAGCTATTGCCTCTACTCGAAGCCTCTACTTATTCTTGTGGCCATATTCAGTCTCTCAATTTACATTGCTCGCATCAACTAAGAAAGGATTCAAACCCGATTTCCACGGAGCTCTAGGAGGGAGCGAAGCTAAGCAGTTATACGAACTATTTGTTTCAAAGGTCCAACAAGGTTATATGCCTGATAGAGTCAAAGATGGTGTATTCCAAGCCATGATGGTAAGCGCTCCAAGTCGTGCTCACAGCCTCGATCAGCTCACTAACAGTTGACCCAATTAGGAGGTTGCATTAGTCAATGATGGCCCCGTTAGTGTTATTATGGGTTTGGATTATTGAACAATATGGCTTACATGACCTAGGTCACATTAGAGTTGTCGGTGGGACAAGTTGGGCAGAAATGACATTTGCATTCTCGACTGGTGCCCAATTAGAGATGTACAAAGTGGCAACGAGCGACAAAGGACCAAAATGGCTTTATCACGATATAACCGAGTGTCTATTGGCCACTTTCTTAACCAGCATTTCTCCTACGGAGAAAGACTAGACCTGGCTATAAAGCGTGGTAATTTGATATTCTAGATTATATACCGGCTTGGTATTTTAGAGAACTAGACATCACTTTAGAATCGTTGTGCTCATCTGTGTGCTCTACAACCTTTTACTATTAGATACAGATCTGAGGTGTATTAACGTCTCCATCACTTCCCTGAAACTGCACTGCCTTGGGTCGAAAATTCACTTCCGAAGAGCAAGCATTGCCGTCGCTTGCTCGAGATACTGTAACGAAGCGAACCAGCTTAAAAAAAAAAGGAAAAGGGAAGATTTAAAGACAAAAGAAATGGCAAAAGAATACCCAATTATCAGTTCCAAATGGATACCGAGAAACTCAAGCTTTTGTTTTCTCTGGCGGAGCGTCCAGGGTCATCCTAGGTTGTCTGTTGATCAGTGGTTCAACCTCGGAAAGGCGTTAATATCCCCACTGCACCAACAGGCCTAGTCGCCTGTCTCCAGTTGTTATGGGATTTCTGCTTATTTTATTACATATGGGCAAATATGAGGCGGTCAGTTTTAGGGTGATAAATTGGTAGTAAGATTCACAGATATTCCCACAGCTTTTTCGCACAAGAAAAGTTCTCGAGGCGCAAATTATGGACTCCTCCCAATAAGCTAAAAGAATATAATTCAACTAATTTGCCAAATCTTTATTAAATCTGTTATTTCCAAGTGGGCTCTTGAAGTGTCAACCTCTCAAGTGTATAGTCCGGCGATTCGGCGAAACCCCCGTTCCGTGTTGACCGACCCCACAAACACCTTCACTGGAAGTTTCTCGAAGCTGGCGGGACGAGGCTGAACGAATATCTAACAATCTCCCCAACTTTCCGACGGCAGAATATCGTCCTCTTCACTCATAAACTAGTCCCAGAAATAACGACATCATGGCAGAAGAAAAGCAGCGTTCCCACGTCTATTTCGACATCTCAATTGGCAACAAGCCCGAGGGACGAATTACCTTCGAGCTGTATGATGACATTGTCCCCAAGACAGCAGAGAACTTCCGGGCTCTCTGCACGGGCGAGAAGGGCGTTGGCAAAGCAGGAAAGCCTCTGTATTACAAAGGCTCCACCTTCCACCGTGTTATCAAGCAATTCATGATCCAGGGTGGTGATTTCACAGCTGGTAACGGAACGGGTGGTGAATCGATCTACGGCACCAAATTCGACGATGAGAATTTCCAGCTTAAGCATGAGAAGCCTTTCCTTCTGTCTATGGCCAATGCTGGTCCAGGTACGAATTACACAGATCCACTCCTAGTTCTCCCCGTTCTATTTTAAGGTACTAACATCTGCAAGGCACCAACGGTTCCCAGTTCTTCATCACCACCGTCCCGACTCCCCATCTCGATGATAAGCATGTAGTATTCGGCGAAGTGTTGACCGGCAAATCAATTGCTCGCAAAATCGAAAACCTCCCAACTCAAGGCGGTGACAAGCCGGCCAAAGATGTCGTAATCACAGACTGCGGCGAGCTCAACCCCGATGATATTGCAGCCGGCCAACAAAAGACCGCCGATGTCACAGGAGATGAATACGAAGACTTTCCGGAAGACGTTAACAAGGAGCTGAGCGCTAGTGAAATAGTCAAGATCGCAGGGGACCTTAAAAGCTATGGTAACAAAGCATTCCAGGAGCTGAAGAACCTAGATCTCGGATTAGAGAAATACCAAAAGGGCATTCGTTATTTGAATGAGGATCCGAATATGGAAAAGGAGCCGGTAGAGACGCGGAAGCAACTTGATACCCTGCGGTACTCTCTGAACTCCAACGCTGCTCTTCTCGCCAATAAGCTGAATGATTTCGCCGAGGGCAAGAGATTCGCAACCAATGCGCTCGAGGTGTCTGGCCTTACTAATGTCGAGCAGTGCAAGGCACTGTTCCGTCGTGCTATCGCTGAGGTCGGTTTAAAGGACGACGAGGCGGCGTTGAAGGATCTGACCGAGGCGAACAAGCTCAACCCAGGTGATGGAGCCGTTGTTCAGGAGCTGGCGAAGGTTAAGAAGGCGGCTGCTGAGCAGGCTAAAAAGGAGAAGGCTGCTTACAAGAAGTTCTTCTCTTGAGCGGAGGTCATGAGATCATGAATTACGAGGCGTCATGGTGTAGATGAGGCTGTGAAAATGGCGGTTGCATGATCGCATGAACCACACTGAAGTCAACATTGGAGAGGGGTGGCTCTTTTGCTGGGAAAGACAACAAACAGTCTTACCACCGCGGCGCCTCTTATATTTCTAGGTGTGCATACATGGATCTCTTAGCCCTAGAAGCAGTACAAAAATGATAGAAATGAATTAATCCACAAACCCGCATATATCGTCATGTCCTTATCGGTGAAACTCCCCTCCTTATATACCCTAAGAATAAAACTCCCCGACGAAGAGGTAAACACCTCCTACATGCAACAAAACCGACCTCCACACGCCATATAGGTATATATATATGCCGTATTAACTGTAATACAAACTCTCATTATGCCACCGCCTCGACTCAAATAGGTCCCGGGGTGCTTCCCTTCCTCCGAAGTCCGCTAAGGAAATTCCTCGGGGCTTTGCTATTCCCATTTCTACTCGGCCCTCCAACGGGTGACGACCCAAGACTGTCTGCAGTATCATATAACCTCGGATTCTTACTCTCCTTCCCAAAAGCTGATTCCCAGAAACTCAAGCGTTCTCTTTTATCCTTATCCCAGTCCTTGCCGGTTAATTCACTGCTAGTGGTGCTAGGAGCGCCAGCGGTGATAGTGGTTGTGAATTCAGCCCAGGGTGGGTTATTTACTGGTCCAATATCCGGATTTGAATTCTGGATGATTTCTTTATCTTGAATGGATGTATCTTGAAAGCTATCGACGAGGTCCTCCAACTCCTGAGACTGGGATAGCTGGTCAACTGTCCGGTCACTAGTGTCCGCTATCAGGAGGCACTCATCGGCGCGGCGCTGGAGATCGATACAAATTTGGTTGAATTCGGCCAGGTCGCCATCAATAGTTTGAGTGTTTACATAGTGGGACGTTGAGTCTACCCATAACTTAACCAATGCGGCAAAGTTGCGGGCATGATCGATGAGGTATGGGAGAGATGGAAACCCTTCTCTCGAGGTTGCTGGCAGCCGCGCGAGTATAGTAATAGGAGTTGAGTAAGATGCAGGCAGTGCTGAAGTTCTACGTTCGGCAGAGAGAGCGCATATATCGTCGATGAAATCCTTCACGCCTTGACGGTGGCCGTAGAGGAATCGGTTCATGGGTTCCATCCATATCTCCTTCTGACCGAATGAGCCTAGGTTAGCAAGGGCCTGTAAGCTCTTCGCAATTAGCGTCAAGGTGCGCTGTGCTTTGGGCTGCGGGTGGTCTCGCAGAAGTCCGAAGAGTTTCGGGTTCAGTAGAGCTGGGCAGAGGAAGCGTAAGAATAAGAATCCGGATACGCTGGTATACGATACGGTACGAAAGAAATCCCCGTATCGATCTTCAGCAACAGCTCGAATATACTTCAAGATCTGGCGAAGTTCGGCTGGACAACGGGAAGCTGATCCGGCAATGGCTTCCCAGACATCTGTTGTAAGTGATATCAACAAAGACCAATTCTTGCCAGAATCTTCTTCCTTGGCCATCCGAGATGGGTCTACCTCGCAATCCGGATTGCGCGTGTTGATTCCGGCAACTTTGTCCGACAGGGTCTCTCGCAAGTATTCTGCACCAACTCGTCTCATGTGGAAATCCATCGCCTGAGTAAATAGGGAGTTCCCTCTGAAAAGAAGATTTGCTTCTCCTTGCAATGACCTTCCTATATCCCGGACCGTCTGTTCACGGTCGCTAGTAGAGTTAAAGGACTCATTCGATCCGATCCTTCTGCTCCATCGACGCCGGAACGCGGGCATCTCCCTTGTACTGCCATCTATTTCCTCTTCAACCAGCGCCATAAGCCAATCCCCAGCATGCCCAGAAACTTGAAATATATTCATCAATATTTCAGACAGAGGCCGTAGACGTGGAACGATAAATTGAGCAATCTGGTCTGTCAACCCGCTAGCAAATCCATGTAATAATAATGATATGGGCTCGTAATCCTTCGCGAGGAGCACAACGAGCTCATCATGGCGGAGTTTGAGAAATATTTCACCTATGGATTCCTGCAGATCATTCAGTATCGGCCACCAGGCTTCGCTGTCCTTGCCTCGCTCGAGCTTGTCGACTGGGATATCAACCGTTCCGCAGAGTACCCTTTCCGGCTGCTCGAAAACTCTCGACGAGGAAAACAAGACACGGCTGGAGACGCAATTGTCAACTCGTTTCAGCAGAACGGAAAGCTTTGGTGTATGGCCAGGAAGATCTAAGAATTCGTAGTCTTCGCGCCAAAAGGGGTTTCTCGTTTGGGGTTTAGTCATTGTACGAGCCCGGATTTCCCCATCCAGCACCACCTCAGCAAAATATTCTCCCAACGAGGGATCGTCTTCAGGCTTCGCAGATTGTTTCCCCTGGCGCGCAGCATCCTTCTCAACGGCGGGTTTCCGGATCTTGGCTTCCACAATACGGACGCTGAGAGATTTCTCGATCCGAAACATGTCAGTAGTAGGAGGGTCCTGGGGTGTGCCAAACAGCTCAAAATCGTCGCTTGGCTCTGGCGGTGATGGGCCGTAGATTTCTGGGACGGAGAACGCAATTAATAAACAAAACCACACCTCATATAACAGGTGCGACTCTAAAGCGATATAAACAGGCCGAAATATGGATAGCTGAGTGGAGGATGAAGTATATCGGGGAAATATGCCGATGCAGTGATCTTGATCAAGGACGGATCTATCCAACCTTTGTATTGCTGACCGAGATAATTGTGATAACTGAATAACGGATAGTAGAGTTACGTCGTTCTCCGTCAACAGCCTAAATTCTCCATTATCTTGAAGTATGCAAGATACCCTTCTCCAAGAGCGAGTAGGCGATTGTGAATCCCGTGTGGAGGGCCGTTGTACAATTGCCTTTGGGCACGAAGGCGCTCCTTTATCCCAGAGGAGAACCTTGGCAACCTTGATGATGTTCCCATCTTTGGCAACCGTAGGTGAGCTTGTTGAATTTGGGTAATTTTGGGAAGAACCACGCCTTGAAAGGGCCGACATGCGTTCCTTCGTGGGCTGCGCAGCTGCCGCGGGGAGAGCTGCTGAAGGGCTTACGTTCCGGATCTGTTGCCAACACAAAAGTGCTGCTAACCAGAGATCATGTTCCGTTTTGACCCCTGGTAATAAGTGAAGCTCGAGGCCAAGCGACCGGTTTGATATCTCCAAACACCTTACTTGTCTTTCTTTCGAGATAATTGGGCGAACTCGACATCCTCTGAGATCCGGAATCACTGTAAGGTGAAATGGACCTCTGTCTTCGCCTTCGAACATCAATGACGCCTTAACGTCATCAATATAGCAAATTCCCGAATGCCAAGATTCCTGTTCATGAGTCTGATACTCGACTCCGCCGCGCATACGACCACACAAAGTCTTCATTAACATTAATATTTTGTTAGCATCCCCCGTAGCGACTGGGAATGGGAGGGAATCGACAAATGGAATGTCATTCGTTGCTGAGAATGGTGACGCAGGTCGAGAACTTCGTCTAACGAGTCGTCGCCCACCCTTAACAGAGTTCGACTTATGTAGCTGCGGTGGAGGTGTAGGTCGGCTAGGAACGGACGGAAACATCACAGAAGTGGAACTATCAGTAACGCTTCGAGGTTCCACGTTATGGAAGGAGGATGCATTCGTAGAGTGCACCGAGCCGATACGGTGCCTACTCCTAGAGACATTCGTAGAAGTTGATCTATGACGAGTATGCTCCTTCACCCCACTAGTAGTGCGCGTTCGAGGCCGGGAGTGGAAGCTAACGGGTGGCCCGGGGCGAACAGACTCGAGAGATTCGGTGGAATATGAATCCTGGAATACTAGACCCTGCCGGCGGTCCCCATCCAACATAGAACGGGGTGAGGTTTGCGCAGAAGAAGGGTCAAATTCCCCCGACCTCAGTGTTCCCGATGCCAGGTGAGAGCCATCCTCTCCACGCTCCAATGGATCTGGGGTCACAGTACGAATTGTGCTTGTCATGCTAGGCCGCACTCTCGCCATTGTCTGGGACTCTAAAGGCCGATCCATTCCTCTCTTATCTGGTTCTGGAGCACCTCGGTGCCAATCCTGCAAAGTACCATCCTTATCATAGGGCCCACTGTAGGGTTTGCCGTCCATGCCTGCGGGAATGATGGTCATCGGAAGATAACTTTTTCTCCAACCTACGTGCATGTCCCATCCAAGTGGTACACTGTCGGTTGAAGGGAGCGACGCGAATCGGCTTGAAATATATGCACTACGCTGGATCGCAGAAAAAGCGCGTTCTTCTCGCTGGTGAGCCTGCCGAAAAGGCTCTGATCTCTCAATCGGATTTCAATCGGTGGTTCTCTAGATGTGGTTGGAGGGCGGTGCGAGTTCGAGAAATCCGGTCCCGTCTTGCCAACACTGAAAACGTCACTGCTCGTACAGAGCCGCAGACTTTCATATATCGCCCTTAAGACCAATGCGCCTCGGATCTTCCCAGTAACAGTCCCAAATCTCTATGCCTCCTCATGATAGCTGGCCATGTACCATTCGTTCAGCAGCGGGCGAGCGTTTCCTTCCCTGGCCAAGGAAGCCACTTCGCAATCGTGCAGCGAGTGAAATTCGGGGATCGGCGGCGAACAACGGATACATTGGGGGAAGAAGGAGGATAAAAGATAGCTGCGCGGCGTTGCGCGAGCTCAGTTGGATTGTGTTCTAATCAGTACAGCCAACCTTGGAAGGTCTGTGATGTCCGGCGAAAGTACGAAAGTATGATATCTCGGCTACTTGTACTGTGCGCTTTGACATCGATGCGCCACATCAAGACGTTGTCAGGCGCACACCAGACTCTTCACAGGCCGGGCATAAGGATTACGAAGTAAGGGCGCCTTTCTCGTGGAATGCTCCTTATTAATCAATTTGAAGCGGCAAACGAGACCAAACGAGGCCAAACAAATAGTTGCGTTCACGCCTCTATCCTTCAAACCCCTACCGCCTAATCTGGAGGGTTGAGAGGCAATCTACGGAGTATAATTACTGCGGAAAATCATCTCGGATCAACCCCTACATGTTGGCCACATCGGACATTGCCCGTTCCGTCTCTCAAATAATAATATCATGCCTATTATGCCGCTATTCTAGCCCCCGACAGCTCCGGGGAAAGCGACATTAGGTTAATTGGATGTTGTTTCATAAGCCCTCGTGTCTTTATTAATGCATTTTCCTTGTAGCTCGTAACTTTCTGGAGGGCCCAGGTTGCACGACATACGAAGCTCCTCGGCGAGCGCGGATTCGGCAGTGTTTAAATAATGTAGCTGGTAGTTTCAAGTGTTCTTCGTTATCGAAACAAAGGACCTCAAAATAGACGCAAAAGCAGAAGTTTCCAACCAACACCGATGACAATCCAGCCGAGAAGACATAAAAGAGCACGACAAGACCGTATCCTTCTTACTCCAGTCTCCATTGTAAGCCAATCCCATAGCACCCCGGATATAATAGCAATTCACGACGTAAAACAAGCAGAAATTCTCCTAATCCTCGGCGCCGCTTTAGCGGAAAGACCGATCTGACAACCCATCGGGGCTCACCGGGCTGAGCGGCTGACTTCTGACACCACTGAGATCTCCACTCCCTGTTCTTCGCAAAGCTTGTCTCATCGTTTCTATTGTCAATTCGCCAACGTTTGTAGGCGGAAGAGACGACACCTGGCCTCCCAGGGCCTTCGCTCGTGGCGAAAGCTCAACTCCTTTGATAGACGCGGACTTGCTTGTCGGGGGGGAAGTACCAAACCCTTGTGAGGAGACTGGAGACCGAACGGGCGAAGGAGATCTATTCAGCCCACCAGAGGATAATGAACTTAACCCTGCAACATAAATAGAATCTCTGCTTCCTGCGTGTTCCGCGTGCTCTGACTGTACAATATCGGAAAATGAGATGAAGCTCAAGCGACGTATATCAGTATTGTCGAGAGATCCATAATTCGATGCAGTCTCGTCTCGGTCTGTATGAGAAACCAGTTCGTCCGTCCAATGCCCAACCGGGGTTTCGGGGAAACCCACGCCTGTGACAGTCACTGCTGCTGGTTGATGAGACGAGTGCATAACAATTTCCACCGTGTCTGGGTCCAATTTATCGTTGGTGATAGCCTCCGAAGAAGCATCTAAGACTGGCGGTATATGGTTTTCGGTTTGGATGTGCGATGGGATTGCTGGAGAATTGGGCGGCAACGTGCTTTCCTGTACATCGCGCTCAAAGATTTGCGATCCAGCGGGAGAGGCTATTCGTGGAGATGATGATAAATTCCTCTGCGGCGAACAAGGGGGCGGATAGTGTTGGCTTGTTCGCGAATAGGATTGATTACTATTTGAAGCTTTCTGGGCCACGGGCGCTGCCAACGGGGGCGGCGCATTTGCGGATTTCATGTTTGGCGCAGGTTCAGTATTCTTCTTTTCCTTGGTCTTCTCATCCTCCTTCTTCTTCCCAAAGCCAAACAATCTTCGTTTCCCGTATTTGCCGCCTTCGTGTGTCGTACCCGCCCCGCTCTCCTCGACGTCGCTGTTTTCGGCAGGTATTGATACTGGTGTACGCCTAGACTCTTGAAACCCTTCGCCTAGTAGAGGAACTTTCGAGGCAGACGTCTGTTGCTGGCTTGTCGGAACAGGAGTGTTCGCGTGCAGTGTGCTGGACTCTGAAGCACTCATTTTGAAGATTCCGGACGCCCGGCGAAGTTGACAATGGCCGAGGGAATCGCTCAAGGGGTGCACGAAGGTAAATGCTGCGATGTGTCAGTTGAGCCTATAAGGATGTTTTAAGATGAGAGTGCAAGTTAATCTAAAACGAGGTGTAGGGTATCGAGCAGGCGGTACGTACTCCAGCTGACGTTAGATAAGTCCCTTTACTCTCTAGTCCCCTAAACCGAGGAAGTGAAGGATGACGCGGAGTATGGTTCGCTATAGGTTGCGAGCCACTAAATGCATCTTGGGTTTTATGCTTGTGTAGAGTGGTGGCTGTAGGATTGTTATAGTGAGCTGCCCACCAAAGCTCACGTCACAGCAGGATTCAATGGCATTTGATGTTCATGCTCCTTTGGGATGCGATCTCATGACTTACACTGACGAAGCCGCGGGTGGTTCCCTGGTGGCGCTAGTCTTACTCCGGTTAGGCCTGTGCAATACCAAAATGTTCACGGTTCAGCCTCGACTGGCTTCGAAGTCTTGTCCAAACTATTTATTCTCGTCCCTCCACCATCTCCCCGCAATGGATGCCAGGCTAATCAGAAGACCGGTGCTCAACCTGGTGTCAGGGCGAGGTCAATTCCTACTCACCTCAACGACCCCCTCGCGGCGCCATGAATCCTCCTATCGGCGATCCAAGCAACGTCTAAATGTCAAACCGGACTCCTCATTCCTTTTGTCCAACGAATCCCCCCAGCAAAACCATATAATCTTTAATCCGCCTGCCGCGGCCCCGTCGGTTCTCAATACGCCCCTTAAGTTTCTGCCAAAGGAGGATAAACGGGCGCAGCGCCTCGCTGCCACACAAGCCAAACTCACTCCAAAGCCCTCCAGACTGCCGCCACCCGTCAAACCCCCACAGAGAGTCCCGCACCACCATCTGAGCGATACCGATATTGCCGAAATCCAGAGATTGAGAAGGGAGGAGCCGGACAAGTGGACTAGTTTGAAGCTAGGGAAGAAGTTCAATTGTTCCTCGATGTTCATTACCATTTGCCTTAGCCAAGCCGGTGCCGATCATGGCTGGAGGGACCAAAAGAAAACAAGGTTGGAAGACATCAAGGAGCGATGGGGTCCGAGGCGGAGAATGGCACATGAAGATAAATTGAAGAGGATGCAGATGGCCTTAAGAGACGAGTAGGGGGTGGTGGAGAAGGAGAAAGATCCAGCTTTGGTAGGTTCAATTGAAAGTTTCCATTACAATATGGGCCGGGGGGTTGGGTTGGATTGTTATATTAAGGTGGAACGGAAGAAGCAATTGTACAAATACACCGACACAATGACCACATCTCATTGCGTTTGAAAGATATCGGCGGAGGCGTTTTGGAGAGATGTAGGGTTATTTAAAGAGACGGGCCAGGTCCAAAGCAATTCCACCATTTTGGCCGTCACATGAGTGTTTTGAACGTGATTGAACTAGCCAACATCTTCTAGTACGAAGGTCAAGATTATTTCTAAGCTAGGGAGCTCCATCCTCAAGTCAAGGTATGCTTAAGCTTGGTGGATTTTGCGGACCCCCCCTTTGAGGCATGTGTTTTACGCCCAACTCTGCTTTTCGAGAAACCCATTTTCTTACCAGGGCCTCTCTAGACAGATATCCTAGTCTAGGACTCGAGGTACTATTAGTTCTCCAAGAGAACAGCGTTGATTTTATTCCATGCATATATATTGATCATCCTTTACTTACAAATAGCGTTCGAATGGCCGCGATGCATACCACTTACTACTCTAGTTCCGTGCTAACGCACATAGCACAAAAACAAACCCCATATTTCCTAACCTCCTATCAAGCCTAATATTCGAAAGTACGATGGCATCTTAGCCTCTTTTGTTTCCAATAAGTGCCAGTAGCTACACGAAACATCTAAAGGGATATGTATAACCAGTCTATCTACCTTAGGAATCGCCTTGTAGGAGGGTCGAATACATGACGGTGTATCATGGCTGTGGTGCCAATACAGCAGCCTAGCCTATTCACAATCAGACATTCTTCGCTGGCCTATGCATAACTCCGTGCGTCGTAGTCCCCAATCCTTCGCCACCTTCATATTCCCACAACTTCAGATCCATGTTCATTACTTGCTTAAAGCCATACCTCCTATATAAGCCCTCACCTTCCGGAGAAGCTCCTAGAACGCACTGTAAGGCCCCAGCATCCGCTTCCTTAAGCCCAGCCTCAAGCAACATAGTCCCAATTCCCTTTCGTTGATATTCTGGTGCCACAATAAGAGCGGACAATTCTAGGCACCTTAGAACCCGTTTTGTACTTGAGGGAAGGATATGGTACTCACTGACATACTCATTACCCCCGCAACTGTCCAGCATCCACTGATCACTCGGCAAGTATACATCCTCACAAAATTTCGCATTAGCACTTACACCCCATGGATTCGGCTCTGGCTTTTCCTTCTCCGATTTGATAGCAGTTCCCGCCTTAACTTCCTTCTCTTTCTCTATTCCATTTCCCTGTTCAGTTGCACCTCCCTTGCCGGTAACAAAACACCAACAAGCCCACCCCACAACCTCCTCGCCGTCTCCCTGGCAGTCGCCCATCTTCTTCACTGCTTGAATATATTTCCACTGCTTCTCCCTCCCCTTATCATCTTTGGTATCATTTAAAGTCTTGGCCAGGCCTTTTGCCCTCAGAGCAAGATTCTCTTCTGAGGCACGTAGAGGACCAAATGCCACGATGCTAAAAGGGTCGTTGTAGAAGGCGTCGCTTTCAACCCGGGCAAGGGTTAGGAAATCTTCAGGCCCAGAGATAGGCCGAAGGGTGATTGTGGGAAGCGATGATGACATTTTGGCTTCCTGGCTTGTCGCCCCTTCGTCCTCTCCTTTCAATTGATAATTTTCGGCTTGGAAATCTCTTTGATAGCTAGACAAGTGTCAAGGATATAGAGTAATTCAACACGATGAGATTTAAAAAAAAAATTTGTAGTAGGTTATCAAATGTTAAGAGCAGGTTTTGAAAAGAGCCGAGGTAACCACGTCAAGAACTTCTTAGGGTTGGCTTTTGTTACGGAGAGGAATAGTTTAGCTGATTTATATAATATTTCCACGGGCGGAATATGATTGTTTCTGGTTCTCCGCATGTAACCTCACAACGACGAGGGAGGCGCAGGGAGGACAACGTAAAGAAATCCCTCGTGCCGTGTGAGTCATGCCGGATATCTCGCTCAACATAGAGGGCTTTTTCAACGCCGTTATAATAATAACGTCGGCGAGCCAAGATGGGAAGTTAGAGTCGATAACTGGAGAATTGGATTTTCCACACTCATCACAAATACTTAAGGCGGTCGGTTATGCTCGACGTAAAGCTCAAAAACCACGCAGAGGCCCCTTTGGCTAAATGTATAGCCCGCACTACAAGCTAGCAAATACAGTACCCTAACGCCCTCAAGTTGTAAATGAGCCTATATCGTGCAGCTTCAAGAGCTTAAGAGCTAAAGCTAAAGTACTTTCTAAGTATGTCCTGATGCTATAATTTCAACCTATCAACCAGGCAAAACCTTCCAATCAACACCAACTCCCCATTTCACACCTTCGAGAATCACTTCCCAGACTGGCCCCTTAATCCCCACAGTCTTCCCTACCTCGCACTTCGTTCCCCTCTGCAAACCGGTGCCTTGCCCCTCACCCGCGAGAACAACCCTCACCCCACCGAGATGATCAACCATCCTACTCCTATCATCAACGTGTACCCGCCTCCCACTGACTAATGTCATGCCAGCCATTGCGCTCCCACTAACCTCATCCACAACAATTCTCACAAGCCAAGGGTCCTCTTTACTCCTTTGGCCTATATGAGAAGGAATTGCGGACTCAACATTGAAAAGCCAGCTCTGAAGCTCAGCTGCCAGCCCCCCAGGGATGTACTTCCGGCCTTTGCTATGGGGGGAGAATTGTTCAGGTAACGGGTTGCTATGGGATTGTGCCAGCTCAGACGGGTCTGGTGGTCGAAACGGAGGTGGTTTTCGGAACGTGCTTTGATTGGCAGTGGAAGGCGCGGGTGTTGAAGGAGGGGCAGGAGTCAAAAATCTGGATGCTGCAGTTGGGATTGCTCGGCGAAGACCTGCTGGTGGAGAGGGAAGAAAGGGCGCAGATGAGGAGAATGAATCCTCGTGGGTTACATCTGCCTTGTCATAGCTATGTTCCTCTTCTTCCTTTGCTGGAGAGGACGATAGGCGTCTCCGTTTCGCACTAGGCGCTTCTATTGCATGGTAATCATCTACATCAGCAATGGCAGTCCCATACTCCAGCTCATGATCCGATGTATCTCGTTCAATGGAATCGTGTAGGTCATCATCGGATAAAGTATCAATCACACCCTGCCGGTGCTCCTTAGGAGTTCTATGCGCAGGAGTCAAATACCGAGATGCAGATGGTGTAGCAGCTGAACAAGTTTGCGTCCCAGTCGGCCTGGGTGTCGAAGAGAAATGGAATCGCGGTGTGACATTGAATTGCGGGGTGCTTCTAGGTGGGATGCCCTCTCGTGCTAACGGTACGGTTGTGGCTGGCTTTCGCACAGTAGCTTCTTTCTTGGTCACGAATCGATGCGGTGATGGCGTCTATGATGCTCAAGATTAGAGTGGTTTGAAGGGAGAAGTTTAATGGTGCTCACCACCGGGGGAGGCATTGTGAAGCTTGGTTTCTGGAGCTCAGCTGGCTAGCATAGCCTCGTCCACAGGTATTCTTGCTATTGCCGACCGCCGATGCGCCAATGATGATCAGACTGTCGAATAGTCCGAGGCCGTAACATAATGGACGTAGAGATACGAAGTAGTGGATGTTGTTATAGGAGGATGCGCAAGCTATCTTGAACATAGAGAGATCACTGAGGACAGCGGGATCAGAAACACATATAGGTTATGGTTGTTGGAGCCTGACCTAACAAACTGTTTTGCACCAAAATCCCTCGAGGATGCGTCATATAGGACTCCATGCGATTTGGTGTACTTCACTGAGTAATTGAAGTTCTTGATCTAGCAACTAGTCTCTCCACTTCCCGGCCTAAAAGAACAGTACTCGTTCTCATCGTGTTTACAGCGCTGGCTTGCCATCCAGGAATGCTTTGCGAATGCGTTTTTGTGGATGTCCTCGCTAATTGTTGGCTTGAATGATGCTTCCATCTGCTGTCAGCCCCAATTTGTCCCTGGTTGCCTCAGCCAAATCCTCCAGTACTCAAGTTTATAAATAACGGTCTGTAACTTTAATCGAGGGAGGGCTTGAAAAAAGAGGGGGGGGAAATGAAAAAAGAAGAAAAAAGAAATGCGACACCTATGAGAGTCGAACTCATGCTCCCCTAATTGGTATAAGTTCATGGACTTTTTTAATAGGGATCGTGACAACTTACGAAGGAAATGCCTGTCAACTTGGTCGAAACCGTAGCAGGGCATCGCGTTAACCACTCCGCCAAAGTGCCGGCTTTGTTAGCGACGAATTCCTTATTTACATCTATCAAGATAGTGGCTGCACGTGCCCCCGGCTTAAGATGCTAAACTCCCCCGTCCCTACTGCGTATACAACCGTCCTAATATTTACTAGAAGGCCATGATTAAAGCATTCATACCTATTATAATAGATCGCGAATCGATGATTTAGAATGCACTTACTGATCTTAACAGTTGGGAATATCTATGTATAAGTACATCTATACAACGCTATAGTATTATTAAATTTACTCTTCGACGACTCCTCGGTAACCTGTTTGTCCAGTGCGCGTTTGCTAGATGGATCCTGTGCCTTTGTTCGGTTTAAATGCACATTTGAAAGTACGTATGGAGTTGGTATCCACAGTCTGAATTAGAACCATGCAAATTTCAGCTTCACCGAAGGGTGGATTATACGGAGTACGCAACGCAAAAGATTCCCTCGAATTCGGCAAACTGAGAGTGGCTGCATCCCACCATCAAGGAATAGCATCCTCGCCTACATTGTAAAATGGGACAAAACTAGAGTATTGAATTGTGCTTCAAGGCTCCAAAGGAACACATTTCAGCTAGTCATGGGATCCGACTTCATTTCTATTATTGCCCGCACCATGCCATCAAAGCCAGATACTTGGTTCGCGTAACAATTGGTTTATTTGAGACCCCGAGAGACAACCAGTTGTTATACAAACGGAAAATACGATAGATCCCCTGACCGACAGCGGGGGTGAGGCGCATGACCGACAACGGTTGCTAGGACAGTTTGCTAAGTTGGCTTGGTTGGCTTTCACCCTCGCCCGCAACCAGCCTACCGGGTTCGAGAAGATCCCTTTTGATTCGGACCTTAAGAACGATTAGATGTACCCACGAACTAGGTAGGATTTTCCATCTCGTCTAATGCGGGATGCCGATCGCCGACATTGATACTTAAGAGCGTACTTGTAGCCACCGTGATCTTCGCGCCCTCCGTACCTCTGTTACTCTGTAAGCGGCCATCGAGATGGCGAGCTTTTCGCGGAGCCGGGAGAGTCGCCATAAGGATCGATCATTGAGGCGAAGGGATTAGAGCGACCAGGACTGGATTATTCCTGTTCCAAGAGCTGAATCCTGACGCTTGACACTCTAGCCTGGACAGCCGACTGTCGTGTGACTGCAACTAGCGTAGGGGCCGAGTAGGTAAGGAGAGGCAGCAAGACCCAAGATACCAGCGCCAGGGCTAGCCAACCCCAGATTCCGCGGAGTTAATGTTTTGAAAAGTCTCGAGTAGACCAAGCCACTACAGTATGTCGTGTTTGAGGACCACTAGCCTATTTTTATAATTTTCAACGTGCATTGTTCTTGAACTGCATAGGCGGGGTAACGCCGCTTTTATGCCCTTTTTTTCTTCAAGGACTGAAAGGAGAAAAAAAAGAGAGAGAAAGTATTAGAATGGGTGGCATGGCATGGTCCTCCAGTAGTGCCATGCAATACTGCAAATCATACGGCCACAAGATCACGAATAATAAGTGTTAAGGCCTCGCTACACGCGGGCAATTCGCCACCACCGTGTTGATTAGTAGTCGTCTACTTCGTACACACGAGTGAAAGGCGCCCTAGCGGGGTTCCCGTCCACGCACCTTTCAAAGCCAGCAACACAAAAAAAAGGGATCCTTCTTCCTACCTGATAACAAGTAGGAATAGCTAATTATCAGTAAAGCATCTACAGTACATACGTATTTGCACTTCTTATTCTTATTAGCCCTAAGAAGGATTATTCATTCGGTGACTAGCCCAGTTGCTAGTAGCATAACTCCACAAAACAGCGTCCCTTATCCTTATCCGTGGCCTGGCAGCCCCACAGTTGCGTAGTGAAATTTCCTGTCGAACTTAAACAATACTTTCGCTTTCCATAGCTATCCGTCTCTTGAGAAAGCCATATTCAATCCTCGTCATTGCAATAATACTCCATCATCTTGCAGCCGCCACACATCAGCTTTTCAATAGCGCAGCACACACCCCATCACCCATCGTGGAGACACGCGCACAGTAACTTCACCGCCCCGGCTTAGGTCTCACTACATCACACACCGCCCCGCCTTGCCGCTTCTCCAGCTGCCCTTCATCACGACAACCGTGCCACGGCAGCCCAGCATCCGATTCCATACATAACCAGATTCCCCCCCTCTTAGCCATTCTCCGCGCCTGGTGGCAGCATTCGGACTTCAGGCATGAGCTCGCCATTGACGAAGCAGCGATCAAATGAGATAGACCCATTCAGCACGCCGGACATCTACTACGGCAATGAGCCAAGCTACAAGTCGGGCAGCAAGTACCATACTCGCACATATTCGATAGTAGGTGGAACTTTTCCGCCCTGATCCCTTCCAGCGAACTAATTGAGTTCGCAGGGTAATCCGCGTCTTTCGGCGATAGATGCAACATTTGAACCCAAGTGCCCCAAACGCCGGGGAAGTCACGGTAAGCCCATAAAGCAGTGAGATCATCGCATTTCGAAGCTAATTATTGGCCAGATGAGATCTCTATGGTGCCTAGGAAATTCCTAATTCAGGTCGACTCGACTCTCGCCCATCTAGCAGCCCAAGAAGACACCGATAAGAATTGGCAGATCACAATTGAGGATACCGGGCCGAAGGTACGTAGCTCTACTATATATATGCTCATTGTTCAATTTACTGACGTATCCCAACTAGGTGCTTTCCGTTGGAACTGCGGGATCCAATGGCTTCAGACGCTTCGATATCCGAGGAACTTATATGCTCTCGAACCTCCTTCAGGAGCTGCACCTTGCAAAAGAGCACGGCCGCCGACAGATCGTCCTCGACGAATCTCGTCTAAGCGAGAACCCCGTTAACCGTTTGGCACGACTCATCAAGGACTCCTTTTGGGATGGTCTGACACGGGTGATTGATGGTTCCGTTATTGAGATTGCTGGGAAAGACCCCAAAGACTGGACTGATGATCCGCGGCCACGTATTTATATTCCCCGCGGAGCACCCGAACAATATGAGTACTATACAAAGGTGGCGAGGGAGAGACCGGAGATCCGTCTCGACGTCCTATGGTTACCGGAGAAAATCACACCCGAGGCTGTCAGGGACATGAATGCAAAACCAGGACTTCTTGCCGTGGCTATGGACGAGGTAATCGATAGGGTCACCGGTGCCAAGACTCTCAAAGGCAAGCCTTTCGTTGTTCCCGGAGGACGCTTCAATGAGTTGTATGGCTGGGACAGCTATATGGAATCTTTAGGTTTGATTGTCACCGACAAGGTCCATCTAGCGAAGTCCATGGTCGAGAACTTCTGTTTCTGCATCAAGCATTATGGCAAAATCCTAAATGCTACTCGATCATATTACCTATGCCGCTCTCAACCCCCTTTTCTCACGGACATGGCCATGCGAGTTTACGACGAGATCCAGCGTGAACCAGGAGCACGCGAGTTCCTACGAACTTCCATTCTGGCTGCAATCAAGGAGTATAACAGCGTATGGATGGCCTTACCTCGATATGACCCAGCAACGGGGCTTTCCAGGTATCGCCCCGAAGGCCTCGGCGTGCCGCCTGAGACCGAAGCTACGCATTTCACACACATTCTGGAACCGTATGCCAAAAAGTACAATATGACATTCGAAGAATTTGTTCAAGCATATAACTACGGCAAAGTCTCGGAGCCTGAGCTTGACGAATATTTCCTTCATGATCGAGCGGTTCGTGAATCTGGCCACGATACTTCATACCGTTTAGAGAAGGTCTGCGCCAACCTCGCAACCATTGATCTCAACTCTTTGCTTTACAAATATGAAAGGGACATTTCCAAAGCGATCCAGAAGTTCTTCGGCGATAAACTCACCATTCCAGCGGAGTTCTGCGCAGGGGACATGGTCCCCGGTAATATTCAGACATCTTCGATGTGGGATCGCAAGGCTAGGCGTCGCAAAGCTGCAGTTGATAAGTATCTATGGAATGAGCAGAAGGGGATGTACTTCGATTACGATACTGTGAAGAAGGAGCAATGCACCTATGAGTCATGTACAACTTTCTGGGCCATGTGGTCCGGCCTCGCGACCCCAGCCCAAGCTGCTCGTCTTGTAGCCACTGCCATCCCGAAATTCGAGGCTTTGGGTGGACTGCTCTCTGGAACGGAAGAATCGCGAGGTCAAACCGGCCTCCAGCGACCGAATCGTCAGTGGGATTATCCGTATGGATGGGCTCCTCAGCAAATGCTGGCTTGGGGCGGCTTGGATCGATACGGATATCGCGAAGAAGTTCAACGACTAGCATACAAATGGCTGTTCATGATGACGAAAGCCTTCGTGGATTTCAACGGTGTGGTGGTCGAGAAATACGATGTAACACGAGGTATCGATCCTCACCGGGTCAGCGCTGAGTACGGAAATCAAGGGCTTGATTTCATCGGCGTTGCAAGAGAGGGGTGAGTGTTGAAACCACAGGAATAAATGGAGCTTTTTGCTAACATGTTCAGGTTCGGCTGGGTCAATGCCAGCTATGTATATGGTTTACAGTTCACGACTGCCCATATGCAGCGAGCCCTTGGCACTCTGACCCCCTGGGAGAAGTATGCTCGGGCTATAGAGATGAACTCCCGCCCCGATTGACCGTACTAGACAGCCACCTAGACGATATTCTCGGCTAGCCTGCACATTGACCCTAATTAGCATGCATAGGATCCGGCATCATTCATTCATGTTGCTCGTTACGGCAATACGTGAGATGATATTCTCTCCTTCTAGATACCCCCATACACTTTTAGCATTTCAATTGCACTTTCCTGCGGAGTTTTTCTACGAAGCTGTGGGGATGTCTTGCACTAGTCCTCTAGAGATGGAAGGCTAAGTTAAGGGGAGGAAGGGTTCTCGAGATTCACTTGGGCTTAGGAGTTTTGCAATGACTCACTTGCTTTCCTCGGTTTGGAGGCGTCCGGCTTGCAATGCGATTGCTAGTTTAAAATTCTGAGCTTGTAGCCATAAATGGTGAGAGAAAATACAGATTAGACAGCTTCGCTACATCCATCGTTAATCATAATGTTATACCACCGTAATGTCTTCTCTTCCCAATCATTTGACTCCCTTGAGCAGCGGCGCCATTGCTCAAGCTTGCTCGCCGTATTCCCACGTCCTGCTAGAAATCATCAACCTTTAACGAGGGACCCGAAAGGGCACCTCCTCCCCTAGCTAGGGATCCCAAATATTTACCCCTCTATTTCTACACTATAGATGTAGAGACAGCGAAGCTCCTTTCGTGCCCCTATGCGTTTTACAGCTTTGCATCGTTCCCGTGTAGATTAGACCTCTTGTACCTCCTAATTACTGAGCGAGGGAGAGGGGCAGCTTTCAATGAACGCAGAATTAAAAAAAGGGGGTAAAAATGTTGATTATAAATAAATAAATCTTCAAAGTTATCTTTTAAAAAGATAAAACTAGAAAATCTAGCATTTAAATTTGTTAACAGAATTTAAATATCTATAAATATCCTAGGTGAGTACGTATCGAATTCCATAGGTTGACTAATAAGCTTTTTGAGTTAGTTACGGTTATGGAGTAAAATTCGACCTAACCTATGTATCGAGTTCGCTAGATGTGGGGGCATGGGGGATGATGAGCACGTTGGTGAGGTCTGAGTATGAATATAGCTAGGCGAGTATCTGAAAGAGGCTAAGATGGCTTATATCATTGGGAGGGGCTTTTACACTTCGTACCTATGGGTACGAGTAGCTGGACATTGTCCCTCACAGCTTGCTCAGGTTAGCAATCTACAACCTCCAAGTACAGTCCACGTGCACCGACCTTATCACGTCCGTCCATTCCCGATATCGCGGCCGATGACGGGAAAGGCTCGGTATGTACCTCCCAGCCTTACCTAGGCTTGGTGGTACATCTGATACATCTGGTAGATCTGGTACGGAGTAGTGCTGACTCGTGGGAGGAAGCTGCTCTGTTCGTCTGTAGGCCGAGGCTATACGGAGCACAGAGCACGGAGCACGGGGGACAGTTCATGAGTTGAGATGTGCCACCCCGTTACAGGAAAGGATCCCTGCTGGGTGTTGATGGCGGGTTCACATGCAAATGGCGGGGCAGCTTGGGAAGTTTATGCTGGTGCTGGAGTGTCTGCTGGAGTGTCCCATGGAAGTGTCGTAAAGGGCCTTGGGTTGTACTTGTAGACATATATATATAACAATGCAAGTGTAATCAAGAATAGTCCATAAATGCAGACTAATAATCAGGAGCTGAACTGAGCCCAGAAGTTGCCCGCATAGAATCATCGATAGAGGGAGATAAAGGCGGTGATGGTGATGTAAGGAGGCGAATGTGGGGTCTCGGCAATCCAGCCAGTCGCGGCCACCATACAGGGTCCTCGGCACTCGGATCCCTGTCCAACCCTTTGAACCGAAAACAACGATGATGTTGCGATTTTGCGGTTTTTGCCTTCAGACCGAGGATGTTCAGCGCAGGATCCAGGATCCCAAGGCGCAAGCTGAGGCAAACATGGCCAGCAGCCGCCGTGGTTCTCACCAACGTCCAATCAATGGCCGGCAGACCGAGAGCTGCTAGCCCGACTTGCTCCGGGTCTGGTCTGGGGCTGGAATGCTCGCTGTTTCTGGGGTTCTTGCTTGTGATGGACTAACCACTCACCCGGGGCTGACTCATGCCTGGTTTGGTTCTTATTATTCCTCCGAGGTATAGAAGGATTCTGGCTTCTTAAACTTGTTTTCTCTCTGATATACTACTACTCTTCAGCTACTTTCCTTGTGGAGAATAATAGACAAAGACAAAGCAATTGCCACACATATCTGATCGGGTTGAGTTACACTATTTACATTCCAATCCTTACTATTGGTGATTCTCGCCCCCCAAAACACAAATACACATCATCATGGCAGCAAACAAGATGGCCAATCCAGCCGTGGATCCAAATACGGAGGAGCAGATCTACTTGGACGAAGTAGCTGCTGTCAAGCAATGGTGGTCTGATTCAAGATGGAGGCAGACCAAGAGAGCATATTCTGCTGAGCAGATTGTGGCTAAGAGGGGTAACCTGAAGATTGAGTACCCAAGTAACGCACAGTCGAAGAAGCTGTGGAATATCCTCGAGCAGAGATTCAATGTATGTGCTGCCCTGGATCAATTGGATAAAGTGAACGATGCTGATGATTGCCCGAATAGGAGGGAGATGCCAGCTACACATACGGATGTCTCGAGCCCACGATGTTGACGCAGATGGCGAAGTACCTCGATACCGTCTATGTCTCCGGCTGGCAATCATCTTCTACAGCTCCCGCTTCTGATGAGCCTGGCCCAGATCTGGCAGATTATCCCTATGTGAGTATCCTACAAACCCATAAGAGTAAATTTATTTCCGAGGGCTAATCATGGAATCCTAGACCACCGTCCCAAATAAAGTCTCCCATCTCTTCATGGCACAGCTCTTCCACGACCGCAAGCAACGTGAGGAACGTGTTACGACCAAGTCGAAGTCCGACCGCAGCAAGCTCCAGAACATCGATTATCTCCGCCCCATCATTGCAGATGCGGATACCGGACATGGTGGCCTGACTGCAGTCATGAAATTGACCAAGCTGTTCATCGAGAAGGGAGCTGCGGGTATTCACATCGAAGATCAGGCACCGGGCACAAAGAAGTGCGGACATATGGCTGGAAAGGTCTTGGTGCCTATCGCCGAGCACATCAACCGTCTGGTTTCTATCCGTGCTCAAGCTGATATCATGGGTATGTTCTCCTCCTCTAACATGAAAATAAGGGAATACTAATGTATCCTGAAAGGCTCCGATCTCCTCGCAATTGCTCGAACGGATGCTGAAGCCGCCACTCTTATCACAACCACCATCGACCCTCGCGACCACGCCTATATCCTCGGCTCCACAAACCGCAGCCTTGAACCGCTCAACGACCTAATGATTGCCGCCGAGAGGGAAGGCAAGACCGGCCCCGAACTCCAGGCCATCGAAGATGCCTGGACGGCCAAAGCAGGGCTCAAGGTATTTGCCGACGCTGTCGAAGAGACCATCAACAACAGCTCTCTCATCAGCAAGAAATCAATCATCAAGAATTTCCGCTCCGAAGTTAAGGGGAAGAGCCTCCGGGAAGCGCGTGAGCTTGCCAAGAGCATCACAGGTATGGAGACCTTCTTTGACTGGGATGCCCCGCGAACAAGAGAGGGGTACTATAGACTCCAGGGCGGGTGTGAGTGTGCGATTAACCGTGCGATTGCGTATGCGCCTTATGCCGATGCCATTTGGATGGAGAGCAAGCTCCCAGATTACGCCCAGGCTCAGCAGTTTGCTGAGGGCGTCCATGCGGTTTATCCCCAGCAGAAGTATGTTATTCCTCGCATCTCTTTTCACAATTCCCCCTGATTTACAATTCGTCATTACTCCCAATCGAGATACATTAAACTGACGAAACCCCTTGAACAGACTAGCATACAACCTCTCCCCCTCCTTCAACTGGAAGACCGCCATGCCCCGCGCTGAGCAAGAAACCTACATCAACCGCCTTAGCAAGCTCGGCTACTGCTGGCAGTTCATCACCCTCGCCGGTCTGCACACCACGGCGCTTATCTCTGACCAGTTCGCCAAGGCCTATTCCAAACAGGGCATGCGCGCGTACGGAGAACTCGTCCAGGAGCCGGAGATGGATGGTAAGATTGATGTCGTCAAGCATCAGAAGTGGAGCGGAGCGAATTATGTTGATGAGCTGCTTAAGATGGTGCAAGGAGGTGTGAGCTCAACGAGTGCGATGGGCAAGGGAGTTACAGAGGACCAGTTCCATTAGTCGGTCGCATGGGGTGTTTGGATGCATGGAAGAGACATGAGGTAGTAGACTTTTCTTTTTAGAGAAGTTGAATTGGATATCAGTCGAGGGCAATTTGAAATACCAGACATGGAGGATCGGGAAAGAAAAAGTAACGAGTACTGCTTTCGACGCAATGCGGTTTAGAGTTTTAAGCATTCGTAATATTTAGCAATGCATGCCCTATTATTATTTCTACCTAGGTACCTTCGGACTTGGGCCTTGTCTTGGCCGCATCGGGAAGTCCCCAGATTCCCCACTTCCGTTCGCTTGCTTGCCTAGGTGCCTTGGTAAAGCCCCTTTTCTTGGTTAAGGTACCTCCCTAAGGTAGGTAGGTAGGGAAGGTAGAGAAACGGAAATACGCATGTATATGTATCCGCTTTTGACTGCGGTATTCCTGAATTTTCTTGAAAGAAGCTAACAAAAAGGTTTAAGAGGCGAGGTTTCTTAAATATGTTATAAAACGGTTGAGGGGCGAGGTTTCTTTTTGCACATAACATCCCCTATCATCCCATCTACTATATCCTCCCATCATCCACTACCTCCACCGTCCCCTAAAGCTTAAACCTTCAACTTCCCCGCGGCTCTCAACCCTAAAACCCGATCCTTCTTAATCAGCCCCGTAAATTCCCTAATATCATTAACTAGCTCAACTGGTTTCTCCACGGCGGCGAAATGGCCACCGCGAGAGTGCTCGCGCCAGAAGACAATGTTTTTGGCGACTTCGGAACTGGCCCAGAAGTAGGGAATGTTAAATGTATCTTTGATTTCATTAGTTAGGTGGGGGCGGCGAAGGGGTTGGGAATGAACCTTTGGGGAAAAGAGAGGCACCGAAATCGACATCCGAGGAGAGCTTGGCGGAAGCCGCAGGGAGAGCGGTTTTTGATTTTTCGCCCTTGGTATTGGTGTAGATGTCGGCTTGGCCGGAGGAGCCTGGGATGATGTACATCTATTGCTAGACTTAGTTTCGGGATTTAAGGGATTACGGATGGGGTTGGCGAGAGAAGGAGATACTACGCACCATAGCCCAGGTAATAACATCTTCGTCTTGCCAGGTGAAGTCGTCGTCTACTATCGGTTCCATTTTATCACGCAGCCAGGCTAGCATTCCTAGGGGGGAGTCTACTACAGAATATGAGATGGTTTGGGGTTTTGTGCCTTGGATTTCCAGGTACCCTTCCCACCTTTTTATTAGTCCACTGTTTACTAGCCGCTGGACGATATTAAGCAAAACTAGGAACTTACCAAGTTCTTCCCTACCCCACCACATCATCCTGTTCAACTTCCCACCTTCCTGGTTGCTTGTCCAAGCAGCCCACAACATAAAACGCACAAAGGCCACTGGACTTGCCCACCAGCTGGGCGGATTTGTACCAAGCATATTCACATGCACGGCAACGCAGCTCTCGGGATACGCAATTCCCATGGCCCGGGAGGTCATGGAGCCCCAGTCGCCGCCTTGGGCAATATACTTGCTGTAGCCCAAGGCATGCATGAGTTTGTTGTTGATGGATGCCATGTTTACTACTGAGAATTCAGGGGATGACGAAGCGGATGAGAAGGCAAAGCCAGGGAGGGAGGGCGCTACCACATGGTAGGCTTGCTGGTTGGGGTCTGAAGGGCAGACGAGAGAGTCGATTATCTTGTCAACCTGAGGGGTCTTATTAGATTGCCTCGCAGCATAACATAAGGGGCAGGACATAGCACTTCAAGAAAACTCCCAGGCCACCCATGCTGGAAAATCAACGGGATCGCCCCCTCCTTCTCAGAACGATGATGCACGAAATGCATCATAAATTCTTCTCCCTCTTCCTCAATTGGCAGCGTGAACATTTTTAGGCGGGAATTAATCCGCGCTTCCACTGCGCGCCAATCGTATTTGGTGGTCCAGTATTCCTGGAGGTGGTGCATGACCGAGGGAGGAACACCGCGGGCCCATTCTTTCCCGGGAGGAAGATCAACACCTCCTGGGATGCGGGCGGTTCTGACACGGTCATTGATGAAGGAGAGGAGGGTATCAGAGATGGAGATTTTGAAAGGTGTTGGTGTTGGTTTTGATGTTGGTGTTGGGAGGGACATGATTTGTGAAGGCCCCGGGGAAGTAGATATACTTGTATTCGGAGATATAACAGGTGGAACGGTTAGAACGAGCAAGACAATTGGAATACCGCATATGAGATATCGCCACGAAGAACAAAACGCGCAAATGAAGAACGATTGAGACGTTAAAAGGAGGAAAATACCTTCCGACGTTGATCCCCATGTAAGACGGATTCGGGTCCTCGGCTCACTGAGTCACTAGAACTCAGCCTCTACGAAGTGGGTAGACGACTTCGCCCAGAACCAACTCGAGCACCTAAAGTAGGTTCCTAGAGGAATAGGCCACTATACCTCAGACCAATTTCTCGTTTATCCAGTTCTTGATATGTTGGCCGTGTACAGCACCGGATACTTCTGGCGCGGCCCGGAACCGGCTTAATCAGCACAAAACTATCTCGCTTATAGCTTGGACGAGACTCGAGTACAGTAGCTCCGTTCACCAACTCCTCCCCTCCTTCTACACACCCCACCGCGTAGAGCTATTCATTCATTCTCACTTTGTCTTCCCTCCTCCCTCAAGCCACCGCTGCACCGCAGCTTCAATGGGACCCCTCTCAGTGTCCTCTCGTTCACCCTACTCAAATTCGACTTTGCATGCTTGTGATTCCGATTCCGATTCCGAATCTTGTCTCCACGGACGACGTATTGCTCGGCCCTCCGCCGATAACGATAAGGACCCACAATGGTTGTCTTTGTCGACCTCGACGACGAGAATGAGCCTCCAGAGGACCCTAGATTGAGATCGCAGCATTGGACTAGGACTAGCTTGAATGAGCAAGGGGATGGAAAGAAGGATATAGACCCAAATAAGGCCGTCACGAGGGATAACCCGAATAAGTCGGCTATTACAGAGGCTTTGGGATGCTACCCGTATGCTTCCCCTTGAGAATGCCCGTGAAACTTCTTGCCCTTGTCGTTGCCTTGGCGGTTTGCACAGATGGCTGATCAATATGCCGCTTATAGCATAGTTATCTCTATATCATCCCATATCGATCTCAACACCCTTGACGCACTCGCGCGAACATGTTGGCAGATCCGCGCCAATCTTCTCCAATTCCGCAAGCAGCTCCTGACCTCGACTTTGTACTGTGAAAATGCAGATGTTGAGTTAAATCCCGAGCATACCTTTAGGTACCGTGCTAGGGCGGCCGATTGGTATTTTGTAGATGCAGGAAGGGAGGTAACCGGAGCGACTGGCAAGGCGGGTAACTGCGCTAGGGATATGGTTGGGGGTTGTAGAAGGTGTGGAAGAGTTGTCTGCAGAGTGAGTGCTTCCTTGAAGTTTATTCCGCCTTATATGGGATAGAATTGACAGTTATGACAGAACTGCACTATCAAGCCTCCAGCACCAGTGCTTCTTCACCACCGGCACCGACGCATTTGTACAGCCTGCTCTAGTGTCCCACTCTCGTCACTTATCAATCCGTCCTCTACACAAGGCCGTGCCGAACACACTTTAGCTTCCACCGAAGCCAGTACCGATATACCTAAAAGTGCGCTCTGCAATTGCGCTTCCGAGGGCGTATGGCTCTGCCAACCGTGTGGCCGTAGCCTTCGTAGTGCGGATGCGGAGTACGAAAGTATCTGGAAATGGCGCACCCGGTACCTGCTTTCCCTAGGCGGCTTAGGTGTCGGCTTCGGTGAAGGAAACCGTGGAGTTCCATGCGGTCGCGGAGAAGAGTGCGTAGCGGCAAGAGAGGTAGAACAGGAAATTGATTGCGATGCCGAAGATGCAAGAGAGATTGACAGTCGAGCTGCCAGCCCCTCCTCCAGTCCAGGAAGTTCAACGGAAAGTCCTGCAAGAGGAATTGGGCAAATGGGGCCTGGGTATGCGAGGCATGAAATTGAAGGGATAGGAGGAGTTGTGAAGAAAAAGTTGGTGAGGATGGTAAAGGTCGGTGCATGTGTGCCAGAGTGGGGTGCTGAGAATCATGTAGGCAAGTTTCTTGTTCGGGAAGTTGAGGGGCGGGCTAGGAGCTGGTGTGGCTGGTGCTGGAGAGTTATTCCAGGGCCTGACGATACTATTGGGTGAGGAATTCACGGGCTTGCAATGAGGGATCGTAGTTTATGACGATTTATGTGGTCATGGGAATGGCTAACGCGTTTATTAGGAGGCCTGAGCCATAATAATATGATTTGTTATTAGTCATTACGGCCACTGGCCTCGAGAATAATAAGTAACAGTGCTCTTTGCCTATTTACAGATAAATATAGCAGAATGGGCCCGTCACAGTGCTCATGACATTCTTCATCTGGATGGGTTGGCCAGCGGCATATCCCAAGTTGATAAAGTCCTCAAGAGTAGTGTTTGCCGACGGAGGGTCGTTGAGCATGGTGTTAGTGCCATCAAGAGCATTTCGGCGAGTCGCTGGATCTAATGCTTGCCTATTGCTGCATTAGCATTGCGAATTTAAACGTAGTAGATCACAATTTTAAAATGGGACGTACCACAGGGTCCATAGGCGATCGACTTGGCCATGATGCAGGTAGAATGCTGGGTCTCCTGGAGAGGTAAAGAGATCTCCACCGGGATCACCACTGTGACTTGTTAGCTACCATCTCGCAGGGCGTTAGTAGATTAAGTATCTTACCCAATGGCGAAGTGTCCACCACCATGGGGTCCAAGATCACCAGTCCCAGGGGGGCCCTCTAGATCCAATTGAAAGTCTCTAATATTATGTCTTTGGGTCATAAGATCTATAGGTAGTGTTAGCCAGCAGCCTACTTTAATTTCGTGCGGAAGTATTACTCCAGATTCTGGTGTAGTTGTTGTACTTCTGGAGACAGAAGGGACCAACGTCTCTCTTCAAGCATCTTGGGTTATAGCCCAACCCTCCGTCTGGTCCTGGAGGGGTGTTGGTCAAGCCAATTGGGCCAAGGTTCACCGACATGTTCGAAAAGGGTCCCGACTGAACACATCCACCACCCAAGCCAGCATCGATCACGATGGGGGGATTGGCGCCTTCAACGGGAGGAAGGAGAACTAGCGGGTCATGCGGGATGAATTCGCCATTACCACCCATGCTATATGGGCTGCCATCGAACATTGGAGAGTCTTGTGGTGCTGCAGCCCACTTGGACCAATCCCAATAAGGCTGGTATCCCTTGTACCCACACTCATTGCGAAGAGCCTGTTCATAGTGCCAGATAAAGTATCGATGCCATCCCAAAAACGTCCCGCTGAAGTGGATGTAGGGGGTCTGGTTCTGATGAACAGCCACGAAATCGTCAAACTGTTTGATCCACGGTTAGCACACGGCACGGGGAGTGCCTGGGAGGCGTTGTGCTTACCCGGGTCCTGGCACCCGGCACGAGAGAATTCGGCGTCAGGTTGCTCTTCCGCTGCAGACATTGCACCGCATCTGTATATGCCTTTCTGTCCTCCGGTGCCATGCTACCACTGCAGAACTGTTAAACATGCTCATGCAGCCATACGTAGGATGACTTACAATTCCCGGCGAATAGCAATGTTTCTCACCGTGCAGCTCGCTTCGACGCCGCGTTTTGCAAGAGCGCCTTCCTCCTCCCGCAGCTGACCAAGAATATCATTTGCAGCCTCCCCAAGGAGTTGTGACAGCTGGGCTGCTTCATCTTGGGCGGCATTGATGCTGGAAGCCAGGCACGAGAACACTGCCAAGGCAGGAAGAGCCGAGAACTTCATTCTGAGAGGTGGATGTTGAAGTGAGTGCTTGATCTGTGTAACTGGTGGAGGACAAGGAAAGCCCTCTGAGATGGGGGCACCGAGCCAAATAAAGGAGAAGAAAGAAAATGGGGGTGGCAGGAGATGTCAATAGCCCCAAACATTCTAAGAGCACTCCCGTTGGTGCATCGACATACAATCTATTGGCAATATACATCCCATTGCCAGAACAGCTCATATTAGGGCGACTCAAGCCACGCGGCGAACCGAGCCCATCTCTTCGAGCGGGGGAACTGTAGAAATTAGTTCAAATTGCCTCAGGGAGCGGCTTCACGGATTGTTTTAGGATGCTTAGAAGAGACGACAGCAGGGTGTATTGTCCAATGACCACCCCGTTGGAAACCATTGTCCAATCATCCAATGTTGTCACAGTGCTACAAAGTACGAAGTACTACGTAAGGTACGTACTGAGTATTTCCACGGAAGTATAACCGGTTAGGGTTTGCTTACTGCACTTCCTGGCTCCTGGGGCCTACCGAATGCTAAGTCTACCAAGTTGAAGGTTCTTTATAGAAGAGTTTTGGTATCGTTTGATCTAAGTTCATCTAACTCTATGAGTCAGGCGTTATAAAACCGGATCTCACGTACTGCACTATCTAGAACACTCAAAGGTTCGATTGTGTTTTCCATATATTGCTGCAGATACAGTGTCTCAGCCACCCTCCCCCTTAATTCGGGATTCTCAGCTACATAAGTATGTATTTGGCTTCCCACCCCCCGGGTCTGCGGGGGGTCACCGAACACGCAAGCGACGTGCATGCGTGAGAGCAAGGACTAATGTTACTTCGTACACTCGGTGTACGTACGGGGTCCTGCACTATTATTGAATTACGCTGTAGAAGCCACGCGGGGGACTTACAATAAGCAACTGCTGATAGAGATGTCCCGGTAACACTTTCGTACTAGGGCGCTGCGGTCCGGCGACGGAAGCTTCCCCCCGCGGGCCGGGGCCGGGGCCGCAGGCTACGGGCTACGGGCCATATTACCCGGTTGAGTGAGTGCAGCCCGGCGGAGCAAGGCGATTGCTCGGCAAGGCAGGTAGTAAATAAGATATTCTCTAGCGGCGCCCCCCGCGAGCTGGTGTCCCAAGCGCCTCCAGCAACAGCTTCCAGGGTACAGGGCTGGATGTACTGGACCGCATACGATACGACAATGTCACAAAGTTGGCCGGAATAACCCCCGGTATACCAGTACTTTGTACGTAGCATCTCCGCTGCTCTGGGCATGGATATGGCTTCCAGCGCTCGGATGACACGATGTTCTGGGGAGGGCGTACCATGAAGCAGGTTCGGTCTTGCAGTCCGAAATACGCCTCGGGGTATGAGAGACCAGCTTGCTAGGGACCGAGTTGGGAGTCGGTTGCGAAGTTTGCGATGGTTGGCCGTGGGGTGCCGTAGGGTGGTATTATATTCACAATCGCTATGCTCGAGAACAGTTGGCATGGTCTAACCCTGAATCAAGCTTTGGGTCCGAGTGCCAGATCGATGCTCTCCAGAGCCACAGTGCCTGTGCACACTTCGAACTCGTACATACCTCCGTACAATGCGGTACGAGTACCAGCGAGAATCCCATCGGGCTGGAATACCAGGGAATCCTTTGTTCGAAACTTCGAGGAAGCTGGCCGGCCTATGCCTGACATTCCGGGGTTGAGCTGTTTAGTGGAGGAGGTCAATGCGATACAGCCTTCGGCCAGGGGAGTCTCCGATATGTTTAACAGGAGACCAGTGGACGACAACCGATCTTAAGGAAGGGAACTCGACATGCTCCGATTCTTCTCAAGCCGAAGATTCTGACAGCGCTGCTAGCTTCAATGGCTACTCCTCCGCCACCTGCTGGAACTGGTGAGCCAGATATCAACCACGGACCGCGGCTTTTTGCAGCAACTGCGGTGGTGACCATATTTGCTCTAGTCGCGGTTTGCACAAGACTATGGGTCAGGAAGGTTATGATCAAGTCGGTGGGGTGGGATGATGTGTTCATGGTAGCGGCGATGGTAGGCTTTTCTCCGAACGCTAATCTGTAGCTCGTTCCCTCCAAAGGTCCCTATTAACATTTCATAGATTCTCTCGCTTGTCGCCGAGGGTTTGACCATTGCTGATGTTTACTATGGGGCGGGTCGACATGCAGCATACCTCACCGATCCTGACAAGCACTCTTACGGCTTGTTTCTCAACTTCGTCAGCCAGCCATTCTATCTCGTCGGCGTTGTCTTGGTGAAGGTTAGCATTGGGCTCTTCCTAGTACGAATAACACCATCGGTATTCTTCAACCGCTTCATCTGGTCCATGCAGGCCTTCATGTGTATATACACCACCATAGCGCTAAGTAAGTAGTGTTAGATGATTATCTACGTGGGGAGTATGATACTAAGCAATCTTTGGCAATAGTTACAATTTTTACCCAATGCAGACCTCTGAGCGTCATCTGGGATCACACAGTGACTGAGGCAATTTGCTTCACTCCGCTTGGCCTCCGTGCCTGTGCATATTTTAATGCCGGTATGTCCCACGTTAATCTGCTTGCAGGTATCTTGATCACCAAATGCGTCTTACCTAACTAACATTTTATAGCATGCGGCATCTTTGCCGATCTTGTCTTCGCATTGATTCCTATTCCCATGCTATGGAACGTCAGAATAAACACGCAGGTCAAGGCCGCACTCTTCGGAATCTTATCATTAGGTTTATTGTATGTCAAGTTCTTTTTGGACTACTCTGGACACGATGTTACACTGGAAGAGCGTGCTAACATGACCTGTATATATAGTGCAACTGCGGCATGTATTGTCAAAGTCGTCTACCTCACGTCTTATGGGAAATACAATGACTTCCTCTGGGACAGCGTTGATATCACGATCTGGACGTCCTGTGAACTCAACATTGGCATCTTCGCCGCTTCAATCGCGACCCTCAAGCCACTGTTCCGAGCCACTTTCCGAGGATCATCCCTCAGTAAAGGCTATACCAACGGCACCAAGGACCAGAGGTCCATGGACAAGAGTGGATTCGTGAAACATATAAGCAACCATCAAGGCGAAAACAAGATCGGAGACGGAAGTAGAAGTCATGATGACGATTTTGAGATGTACGGAAACGTCGTCACGACAAATAAGAAGAGGGGTGTGACGGACATGGACAGTGAATCGCAGGAGATTATCTTGCCTTTTCAGAATCCGGGAATAATGAAAACAACACAAGTCAACGTCTCTGTTAGCGACGTGCGAACGAAGAAATATTATGATGATGCTGCGTAAGAGAGTTCCTGGGGTGGTGTTCCGAGAAGACATCCCAAGTGCACACTAGTTATATCTCGCGGACCTGAGGTTGTATCTCTTATAAAATGTAGTCTAATTTGGATGTACTGGTAACAGGATAGGCGTTTTAATTCAATCCTCACATGGATAAATGTACCATTTCGCAATATATATAGCGAAGCGTCAGAGAATGGCTCGGATAGTCGAGACAGTCTTAAAGAGCCTTGTATGAGCGATAAGCTTCACACCCATGAAGGTGGAGCAAAATTATAGAATTTCAAGGACTGGAAATATTTCGAGATGGAAGTAAGGTACAGGTAAGAAAGATTTTCAAGTCCGAATTAGATCCATTAAGACTGGGTTTTCGAAACATAGACTAATACGCGATAACAGAGCATCATGTTAATTTTTCAGCAATCAGATCTGACAGAAAAGATCCAGGTTTAGCAAGACTTTGTGCTCTGCCCACCCAGTTGACTGACTGTCTCAACTTTCAAACGCTGGACGCTATTGATGTAGTAAATGGTCGCCCAAATACCAGGGACAATTACGATAGTCATGAAGCAAAAAGTGTGCAGAGACTGTTGGGAGATAAGTGTGATAGAGGGTTTATTTTCAATAATTTGCTCTTCATTAACTGGAAATTCCGTATCAGCTCGGCCTTACATGCAAGGTAGATAGCTCTTAAATAGGTGCCTTCAGTAAGGATAAATGCGATAAGAATTCGCGGTTCTGACCAATATTTTCATTCTTATCACCTTGGGTTTTCATAAGCCACAAAAGTAATCAAACGTTAGTTCGCCGAAATCTGGATTCTGAAAAGAAGAAAAGAAAAAAGGGGTGGAAAAAGCACACAAAAAACAACTCAAGCTAAAGCCGAAATGATAACCAATAGCGCACTTGATGGGCACTCCTACGCCGTAGAGTAGCTTCCGCATATTAAAAAATTCGTCGCTTTAAACACATCCAAAGATATATTTAATGGCCTTGACTTTCTTTTCATTGCCCGTACCTTTGCTAGCTTGGATGTACGTGTTGACGACATGCTGTTTATGGGTAGCATTTAATTGTGTTCGAATGGCGTAGACAGCCTCGCGATACTTATTAGCCAGGAACATAATGTCGATATAGTCTTTACTATGGGGCGAGCCCTGTCCTCGTCCAAAGAAAGCACCGAGTTTACTGCTCATCAGAGTCGAGATATTCAATACTGGCCAGGATCTTTCTCCTATAGGCGCTTCCCTTGTTACAATCTCAAATGCTGTTTGAGGATCATCAGGAGCGCCAAGGGTGCCTGTGGGCATGAATCAGTAAAAGGGAATAGTATTGTCACTGTGTAGCGACTATAACAATTATATAATTAACGCCAAACTCACCACTTAGCATAACGTCTGCCTCTGTAAACAGGTCCGGAAGGCCCTGGTTTTCGATCACCCCGCCGGTTCTAACAAATAGTCTTATTGTACCCGAAACCGGACCCTGGGGGCGTAGGATCCTAAATTAGTTTGGTTAGTAATATTACTTTCGGTTTTCGGGCACTCGGGAATTCAAACCGTTGTTGAGATTTGATGATGTTGATAAGGTGGTTCATATCGCAACCAACTGTCAGGTCGATATCATTTGTATGACGATTGCTTCCACGAAGCCACAAGGAATAGCCACCCATAAAAGCAAATGGGACGTTATTTACTTCGAAAACACGTGCCAAAAAGTCAGCAGCCGAGCATAAGTGAGCCACTGTAGTTTCAGTCGCCGCTTTTTGAGCTAGACTAAATCCCTCAGCAACCGTGTATGTCCCTGGAGGTGGCTGAGCTGCTTGTTTTGGCGGTTGTCTGCTCGAAAGAGACATGCTGGAATGTAAGAGGCTTGGTGTTATTTTTGAGCAAGATACCGAAGGTTAGAAGAGTCGATCGGTTTCTGAAATGTGGTTTGATAGGATTGAGAATGAAGTTGAGAATGATCGAGATTAGGGTGATCTGGATCTTAGACTGATATTGCTCTGTCTACATCAAGTTCTACCAAAACTGGCTAGGCGTCTATTTCTATTAATAGTATTACGTGTCCGTAGTACTGGTAATATATCACCTAATTATTTAAGCATCCAAAACATAAATTGGTAGCAGTGAGGTTGTAACGCAGGAGTTCACGGCTGGGTGTGCTGTGGCGGGGTCTGCTTTGTCAGCCCAGCTTTCTGATCTACGAACCCCAACAACGTTCAAAAACTTCACAAATCACACACAGCTGTTGTCATGGGTACTAAACAAGCCGCAAAGGGCCCTGATCCAGAATTACGGGACAGATATGACAGCGACGGCGGAAAGGCTGAAGTACATGAAGTCATTAAGGTTCTTGAGAATGCGGGAATATCTTGCTGTGTAGTTGGGACATCAGCACTCAGGCATTTTGGCGCTCCTCGAGTCACAGAGGTATACTGATATGTATGTCCATTTCCATACTTCAGTGACTAAACATGATAGGACTGGTCCATCTGCGTCCCATCAGACAAGCTTGAACATGCGGCATCACTTTTTCAGACCGGACGCCTCTTGGAGCACTATGATCCAACTTCTCCTCGGACAGTTCAGCCACATTCCTTATATCATACATTTCCCTTCTTTAAACGTAAAGGGTTTTTTATGTGGATTGTGCTTGTTCCTTCATGGGATTGCCAACTCGAGTGTATTCCGGAAAACTTCGAAAGAGGTCATGCTGGGGTGCCATATCCTCGGCTAGAGGTGTTCACTCAAAGTCTGCTTGACACATCAGATTTTAACCTGGTTGACCTTGTCGATGGTATGGATCTGACCGAGGAGTGGGGTCTAGCGAACCTTCGATTAGAAGGCACCCCAGACGCAGCTTACATTGCGAAGAAGAATGAAGCAATCCGGTCGTCGATTCCTCTGACGGATACCTCCTGTATCCTCGAGCTTGGCACCAACCCGCAGGAGCGTATAAGGACTTGGCAAGAGGTTGTGAGGAGTAAGAGTGCAAGGATTGGGCTCGAGTTTCCCAAAGAATTCTACGCTACTCGGTTTCGTTTAAAAGGATCCCAAGACCCTAGGATTCCCAATAAAGAAGCTGACGATACCTTTCTTCGGTTTCTCAAGTCGACCGACGCAAGTAGTGATGATATCGTGGCGGTACAACGGCAGTAACACCACATACTCGCCCGGCTTTACTAGCTTCGCTATATTCCTGGTATAAAGACTTTAAAAGGGTTCGTTTTAGAAAATGCAGAATGGCTTCAATCGAAAGGCATTATCATCTTTCCATAGCGCAAAAACAACGTCTGAAATGGATACAAGCGCAATACGTCGATTAAAATGGTCTTCTAAGATTCTCCAAAATGTTCCCCCTCGACTCCTCGAATACCCATCGGTAGACTTGTCCATTAATATAGTCATTAATCAGGCTCTTTCTATGCTCTATACATTTTTGGAAAAGAGATTACACGAAGGTATCTAGAGCGTGCTACCATCTACAAGCACCACACTTGTAGTCCTATATAGTTGTGCCGACCTTTTCGAGCTATCCTCAGCACTACCAAGCACTACTCTATTCACCTTCAGTGCTTACCTTTAACATATTTAATAAAAATACCTTAGTTAATTCATGGTGGTTTGCTTATGAGTACAATCCCAGATTCCGAGCAATTATTGCAATACTCAAATATGTCCTGGGATAATGGAGGTGCCATCAACGAACAGCCCTATCCATTATGGAGGTTTTTGATATAATGGAAATAATAATAGAAATTCAACAAAGTGAAAAATGGCAATTGTAAAAATTTATCTCTATTAGGCCAATGATGGAAATTTATTCCCATCCCGATAGAAAACATCTCTATTATACCAGTTCTGAAAATTATTATTAAAGGTGGAAAACTATACTCATGGAAATTCATTTTGAATCACTTCCTTAAAATGAAAATAAAGTACGGTGTGAAAGAGGGTTAGTTGGCAAATCGCTACTAGGCTGGAGCTGCATGCTTCGTAGTAAACAATTATTAGTTAACAGCACTATACTACGCCTCCCCAATTGTTTGTCCTCGTCATTGTTAACGTGTTGGACTGCCAAGCGGAAAGGGGCCGGAAAATATCTAGCGACGCGGTCCCTGGTTGGCTCGGAGAGCATCAAATCTAGCGGCCGCGCTCCTACATAAGCCGGGCTGAGGCGGCCGCTCCAGGGATATAGCTTTGTAAGTAACATTTCGACGTCGACAACCACAACTTTTCTTCGATAAGGAAGTAATTGGACAACTATGAAACGCCCCGCTGTTTAGAATATCGATAAGTTTGTCATTTCTTTTGCATCATTCTGCGCCATAAATTGCAATTCAAGCCAGTCCTGCGGCACAAAGCTTGGGAGATTCGGATTTGGGACTCCCCTTATCTACTTTACTTTTTTCAGGTTGAGAACACAGGTATATTCCAACAGAAAGTCCCATTTCGGGTGATATTGATTGGCTACTATGAATATACTCATTTCTAGATTGTGTGTATTGGCGGTGGAACAAAGCGCTAAAGCCAACATAATTCCCACATCACACTGCGACCCAGGAAATATTCCAGCTAAGGCCATGCCTTGACTATAGGACGGAGCGCACGTAGCAGTTGAGCTACCCATACAACATATGGCATTATTAGATGGTCGACGTCAACTGGGAGTCGAAGCACGCCACCTATTCTTCAATATATGGGATTTTTCCTGGGCTTATTTCAGGGAGAGAAGAGGTCCGCAAATATGTTTGCCGCCAAGGACTGGAATATGCACGAAAAGAATTGGAAGCTACATACATTCTGATCAAAAACCCTGATACCCGCTGAATTCGGATAGCGAAAGCTAAAGTCATCACCTAGCAATGACAGCGTAGGCTCCTTGATACCTGCCCTGAAGCCTAGGTTATTTGAATATTCAGCGCCTTGAGAGCCTCGAAGTTTACACCAATAACGACCACTCTTCCAGCTCCGTGGCATGCGGACCCCTGTCTCGCGTATATCATTTCTTTTGGCCTGAACATGCCTCCCGACGTACTGTGTAACAGGTACTTTCATGTACTCTGGAAGTGGGGCAGCAGAATTTCTGAATGATAACCATCAAATGAACACCACCTCGATCGTTAGCCAAGCATCCTGTATCGCCAATGGGGCAAATCATCCACCATCAACCATCTATTTGGAACTCGGCATTGCGTGCTGTTCTCCCAGCTATCGCGACCAATCCGGTGATCGGAGGATACAGCACAGCTGCACATGGACCCTAATCACAAAAACGATCAACCAACAATTTGCATTTCAGCCGCCAGATGTCGTCTTATCACAAAGATGCAACATACAAGGGAGCAGAGATATTGGCACCTGCTACGACAGGTATTACCCTAGCATTTATACTCTACCTTATCCTCTCCTATCATCTATGATGTGGTGTTCAAAGACAACATCCTTCTCACACCATGTCTGAAACTCCTGTGTCAACAGGTTCCGACCCCGAAAAGGGTGCCTATGCCTCTGGCTCGAGGATTACAGGATCCAATGATGGAAAAACGATATCTACCCATGTGCGGGAAAACCCCGCTGACTCGGAGGAAGTCGAATTAGGTGACAACAGCCAGTTGAGGTACGGTCCGTAATCTTGTCCACTTGCAACCAGAAGACTCAGGATTTTCTACTAGGCGTGGATTGGAGCAAAGGCACATTCAGATGATTGCATTGGCTGGAACTATTGGCACTGTAAGCTTTTCCGAGTTATGTCGCAGAACATACAAAGATATTGACACTATCAGGGATTGTTTCTCGGATCAGGGAAAGCAATTGCGTTTGGAGGCCCCTTGGGGGCACTGTAAGTTCTCTAGTGCACGTGTGTGCTGTATGCTGACGTATATTGAAGCTTGGGTTATTCTTTCGTGGGAATATTGGCCATTGGAGTGGTTTTGAGCATAGCAGAGTTGAGGTAAGTGTCTCATATTATTGTCCGGCTCTTCAGCTAATTCCCGCTTAGTGCTCTTGCTCCCTTGACTGGCGGCATTATTCGCCATGCCGAGAATTTCGTCGACCCAGCCCTCTCTTTTGCCCAAGGGTGGAATTTAATTTATAATTACCTAATCGGCTTGCCGGCCGAAATCGTGGCAGCCGCCGTTATTGTGCAGTTTTGGTCAACTATTAATTCTGCTATCTGGATTACTATTTTTGCGGTTTTAATCATCATATGCAATGTGTTGTTTGTGAGGGTGTATGGGGAGCTCGAGTTTACGTTTGCGACCCTGAAAATCATCCTGATTGTTGGCTTAAACATAATGGTAAGTGGTGACATCCTGAAGCTATTGGATTGGGCTAATTGATCAAGGCTCTTGTTATCACTTGCGGCGGTGGCCCCGATCACCATCCATTGGGATTCCAATACTGGAGAAATCCGGGCCCTTTTGTTGATTTTCTCGGTTATACAGGCTCCTTGGGCCACTTCATGGGGTTCTACACGATCTTTTCAAATGCAGTCTACGCTTATGCAGGAGTCGAAAACATTTCCCTGGCCGCAGCGGAGACTCGAGCACCTAGACGAAGCATTCCTATTGCGGCGAAACGTATTTTCTGGAGAGTGTTGCTATTCTATGGTCAATATTCCTCCATTCAAGATAAGCTCATTGAACAGCTAATCTAACTTCTGCGGATAGTCCTCTCCATTTTTATGGTTGGCCTTGTTGTCCCATCTAACGACGAGAACCTCCTCACGAGCACGGGTACAGCAGCACAGTCCCCGTTCGTGATTGCTGCCACAAGAGCAGGGATAAAAGTTGTACCTTCCATCATCAACGCTGTCGTATTGACAAGCGCCTGGAGTGCTGCAAATGGCGGTAAGCTCTCAAGCTCTAGACAACCTCTGCTGAGCCCCTATACTGACAATCCACCTGCAAGGCCTCCTTGGCGGCTCCCGAACCCTCTATGGCATGGCTCGCGAAGGCCACGCACCCAAAATATTCCTCCGAATCAACCGCATGGGAGTCCCCTACGTTGGAGTAGCATTCTTGTCCCTTTTCCTGTGCCTGGGCTATATGACGACCACATCGTCTGCCGCCATTGTATTCGGGTGGCTCCAACGTCTTGTAGCTGTCGCAGCTTTGGTCAACTGGATAATCATCACTACAGTGTATTTGCGCTTTTATTACGCTTGCAAGAAGCAAGGAATTGATCGCTCGGAACTTCCATGGAAAGGACCCCTCCAACCATACGCTGCCTGGACATCTTTAATTGCGTGCTCAATACTACTATTAACTGGAGGCTATATAGTCTTCATTCACGGCTTGTATGTTCCCTTTCAACCCACTCTAATCTTCACTCCTTTCTCCACTCTCTATTCGCTGAAAACATTCGATACATTGGCTTACATACTTTCCTTAGCTGGGATCCCCAAACCTTCATTTCATCATACATCAACATCCCCATCGTCCTCCTTCTTTACTTCGGCTACAAGTTCATCAAGAAGACGAAAATCATTCCGCTGGCTGATGTACCAATCAAACATTTCATCGATTTTGCGAATGCAAATCCTGAGCCACCTCCAAAGCCGAATACGGGATTGAGGAGGTTTAATTTCCTTTGGGGTTAAGCGGAGCAGCTGGGCTGAGGCTGGAGGACGGATCGTTATTGGAAAGATGCCAAGCAACACCTTGTCCAAGTCGTCTTCATATAGTCAACAATATTGGGTGGTTATCAGCTGTTAGTCATGACGGCTTGAAAGAGAGATATAGACAATTTTGATGCAGACTATGTGCTCTGTGAAATATGTACAGTGGAAATCGTCGTCTAACCCCCGGGTTATCCCTCCCCCGCCCATTTCACCATTCCAGCTTTCCCACCTTCACTCTACCCTCTCTCTATTCAACACCATCAATTACCCACTACAAACACTGAGAGTAGTACTCGTTTGTGACAACACACTTCGTTCCCTCAACACAAGTTCCAGACCCTGTCCACTGCGCACCTCCACACTGCACATACTGTGCCAAAGTGCCAGCTGGTGTTGGTGTAACATTCGTCTCAACAGGTGCATTGGTTGGGGTTGCAACCTTGGTGCTGGTGACCATTCCACTGGGTTGGCCTACAACGGCACCGCCAGGTCCAGCAACAGATGTGGTGATGGAACCGCTCTCGATGTAAACACCGGAGAAGTAGAAGTCCTCGTCGGAGTCGGATCGGCCACTGACGGGGAGCTCAAGGACACCGAGATGCCAGTCTTGGCCGTTCGAAGAGGTGGATGCACTGACCGGGGCAACGGTTTGCACAAGGGGGTCGGAGCCGGTGGAGTGCCAGAAGCCTACCTTGTTGCCGGAGAAGTCCTGTTTGGTTGTGAGGTTAGCTTGCTATATATATCTCCTTTCTCGAGGCTGGTTGGGATTTCAAACTGAGAGTTATAAAAAGTGAAGAGAAAAGGTAGGGCACATACAATCTCATAAGCAACGTTATGCCAAACATCCGCATCCCAAACCGTGTTCCACTTGCTCTGTCCACCAACATAGAATCTCAAGTTCGTATCACTGTTTCCGGATGCTCCCGAGATCCACCCACTCTTCAGCTCCACAAAATGGCTTTCAAAGAAGCAAATCTGGTGCTCGCGGTAGATTGAAGGAGCATTGGTGTTTGAGCGCTTGATGCTGAAATGATAGAACAGCTTTCCGCTGGCGATGGCAGCCTTTGTTTGTGGGATGAGTTCCGTACGGCGCATGTTTTGGCCATTCCAGTAGGCTGTGCTATCAAGTGTGAATTTGGCACCTTGTTTAGAGCCGCCGTCTGCGGGGTTCTTGTAATCCGGTGATAGGTTTACATATTTTGATACTGCGCCGGAGCCGTGCTGAATATGGGTTAAAAACTGAATTGGGGTGGTAAGCGATAAGGGTGACGGAACGAACAATGTAATATTGATATGGCCCGACTTGGTTGCTCCATGACCAAGTGTTGAGATCGGCACTCGAGCTCATGTCATTGAAACGGCCATCCCAGACGATAGTTCCTGCGCGGACGGAACCGGCGAGGAGGGCGAGGAGAGTAAAACGCATATTTACTTTCTATTTTCAACAGCGATAACAAGAGGTAAGATACAATAAATGCTGAGAGGACAGCAGAGGAAGGATCGCGACGGCCCAGACGTGGAGGGGCAAGAATATAAATATATTTACTCTAGATCACAGTTCATCTCTGACTAGCACATCATATACCTTGCTCACGCACCCGAGAGGGTCATATGAGCACACGCATCTCTCGAATCGTATATAACAGCGGGATTAAAAAAGGAGTCAATCAAGGGACGACGGACCGACCAAAAGGCGCTCGTGTAAGTAAAATATGCGGTTTATTTCGATCCGCTAACTACTATGCGGAAGTGACGGTTTGGCTCCTTGGATAGTTTATCCGGCATTGGCAGCGAGGCTTAAACTCGTGGATGCGGAGCTTGGATTCCGAGACTGACCGGCTGGTGGCGAGAACTGCCGGCAGGGGGAGGGGGTTGCGAGCAGCGTAAGGAAGGATGATGGAGAGGTTTGGAAGAGAGTTGAGAAGAGAAAGCATCGCAAGCAGAATGAATATACAAACATGAATTGAGAAGGGTAAACACTGGTCTTGTCCTTGCGCTGGCGAGACATTGCCAAATTCATCATCCATCACATCTTCGCCAGATCTAGATTCCGAATGCAGAGCGGGCCGTCTTTCCCATTCTCTGGCGACCTACTATTTGCCAGGCGTATAGTTAGCCTGAAACCGGAGCTCGATATATATGATATACTTATCAAGCATATATGGGGTCCGGCAAAATCGAAGTCAGATGAGATGATGTCGGATCAAGAGTTCGCTCCGATGCGGGAAAAGGAGATTCCCCACAAGTTTTTGGTTCGCGGGGGGGTTAGCTGGATTGGGAACGTAGCCACAGTGTGGCTTATAGATTAGGGGCTGGGGGCATTCTAGTAGAAAATGGGGAGGAGATGCAAGGGAACAAGGGAGCAAGGAAATATACAAATGTATACTTAGAGAACGGGACTACGAAGCAACCCAAAAACAGCAGCGTGCTAAATGCCGAAATTTATGTTGTGGTCTGACTAATATAAGTCAAGTCGGGCAACAAGGAATAATGCTAACAAAATACTTCTTACGGTACCCTGCATTCTTTGCAAGAAACCTTTGCCTTGCTATTTTCACTTATAAGCATCCCCCAACCCCAAATCGAGCTGCGAAGCCTTTGATATTGCGATTCAGCTTGTAATCAGAGCTAATGTTTCCTCATCAAATCTTATAGATATAGTGGGATGGGTTAGAAAGAGACAGAACGGTCATATTTAAAGCTATAAATATAGCCAAAATCACCTACAGCACAAGAGACGTTCATGTAAGAGGGCATAATAGAAGAACGCATATAGGTGTCAAGGGTTTCAATTCATCGATGTCTATCCTATCAAAGTAACACCGCAGGCACCCCAACCCCCATACCACCACGTAACGCCAGACCCATTTTTTTAAGACAAAAAGCTGCCTGGCTTTTCAATCCACAAAGAAAAAGCACCGTTTATGAAGCATAAGGAGGGTATTTGCGTGGGTATCGTGATTTATAAAGTTTGAATGTCTCACTTCAGGTGAGTCAAGTGCGCGGCGGGAGTTGGGGGGATATTCGAAAATGTCTCAATTGAGTTGAGTAAAAAGGTGGTGAGGTTGGAAGAGAATGTTTCAATGGGGGTGAGTAAGTAATGGATAGGGCGGTGGTGATATTTGAGCAATTTCAACGGCGTGACTTATATAAATCACGTGCCTGGGAGGACTCTGTGATATTTGCATTCCGACGGCGGTCATCTGTGCCTTGGATAGGGCCATAGTCCCGTCCCATTGGGGTGCTTTGATGCCTGATATGGCCAAACGGAGGGCGCTGGTGGGCTGCTTGGATACCACTACTACCCTGGGCAGCCTGGTATTCGTCGTTTCGTGGCATAGAGAATCCAGCAGGAGCCGGGCCAGTTTGGCCCTCGAAGAGAACTGGCCTTGGGTGGTCGGTGGGATGCGCAGGGTTGGTGGGATAGGAAGGAGCCGTATATCTAGACCAGCCTGTACCAAAAGCGCTGACGTCTGACCGGGACCGTTGGTGGGCCGGCCTTCGAGCATCATGGGAATAGCTAGATTCGAAATGGGCAGCGGCGGACGGGTTATCATATCTTCGCGGGGTTGGAGCTGGTAAAGGAGCCCGGTGAGAGCTGGAAGAAGCGGCAGGCTCCCCAATATGGAACTTACGACCGTCCACCTGGCGCTCGTCGGCCAAAGCGGGTCGACTTGGTAACTGCATTTGCCGTCTGAATGGCAGTACAGGAGGATGGGAAGGCATATCCTCCGGTTCGTTAGGGCGGCGGCGTTTCTGGAGTGGAACCTCCTCGGTGCCCCAGGACGAAGACTGGCTTGGGCGCCGCTGATGGGAGTAGTCAAACTCAACTCCAGTGCCGAAGGACGGCTGGCCATAACGTACAGGGCCACCCAAAGACTGTGAGCGCTTGTGGGAGCTAGCTACGGCCATTTTCGATGCAGATGCCTTTAGAGACTTGGAGTCTTCCTTGACGTAGATATTGGGAAGCAGTTCAATATCCGGCAGACAAGGTATCAGATCTGCGATGATCTCGTTGTGGAGACGATTAAAAACGGTGATAATCCCGCGTGTCGAATAACCCTTCCCACATAACTCGAGAAGCCATTTTGGCACAGCAGTGGGAGGACGAGCAAATCCGGTGTCATCGTCTCCATCCTCACCATCTCCAGCATCACTCGCATTAGGACCAGATTCAGTTCTCTTTCGCTTCACTCCACCCATATCATCGAGGCGTTTCTGTTCCCTCTTGCGCACTGCAAGACCCCAATCTTGTAAGACCCCAGGCATCCCCTTTGCCGCATTGTTAAAAGACCACTCATGAACACGGCGGATTTGTTGTTGCACAAGGTCGCATTGGAGCTTTGCGTATTCCTTCGGGTTTCTATATCGTGACCGCTGGTAGTGTTTACGACAATAGTGGACCCAGACATGTTGGGGAATCATCCTGGTGCACATCTTGTTCCTTCCAAATATGTGCGAGATTGCTTTCCGCAGTTGGGACCCAGTGTTGCAGTCAACGACATACATACACTGGATAGTATCATCACCTAATGAGGCTGAAGGCGGCGTCTCGGCGACTTTTGGAAGATCCACAGGGGACGCATCATCGGGGTGGTATGAGGGTGGAGGGGTCAATTCCCCCTGCGGTCCAACTGAACCATCGGAGTGGCTCATGTTTTGGATATTGGGCACAGATGCACTTCGCTTGTGACCGTTGGAACTTATCAGGGACTGGTGGTGGTGATCGAGGGGTGCGCTTAAGTATTGACTGCTTCTAGCATGGATGTTAGCTGAAATGCTTCCCGAGGGTCGTTAGACGGTAGTAGGGAATAAATAGTTGAAGGTCTGTATAGCTCAGGAGACGAAGATATTTCAAGCTTGGATAGAAGATGCACACACTTGTGAATCATAGGCTGTGGGGAGCGCCCATCCTAAACTTCGATCTTTGAATCATAGACGCGACAACAAACATGATCTACCCTGTGAATATCTTATTTCGGCTCAAAGATTAACACTTGTTAAATTAACCGAAGGTAGACATTGCAGTGATCTAGAGAAGAGAACCCCGAGAGAGAGTGGTGTCGAGTGAATCGGCATTATCGTGTCCTCGCCGCTCACTTTCGAAAGTCACATTTTGCTACAACACTTGTTATAGGTAATGAGTCGAACGAACCGAGGGTTGGGCAGATGTGTGATATGTGTATAACTTATACATACCTTGACCAGGGATTGTAGAGGTGGACGCCAGGTGTTGTTTGAGTATGGTGTTGTTGTAAGAGAACAAGAAGAACAAGCGACGAGATAGATAGGTACTTCTACAACTCGCAGTGAATAATTCGTAGCCTTGGCGCCTTAACGCCTTGCATCTCACGTTTTGAATATAAACAACAGTTGTTGAAGTGAGCAGAATCAAACAAGATAGTGATTCAGAAAGAATTCAGGAATGAAAACAAATTTGTTCGTGCCTTAATAAGTGTAGGACAGATGTGTTCGCTAGCGGAAATCGAGTGAAGTGCTCAGAGAATGGTTGTACGAGTTTGGTCGGAGTTGAGTGTTGAGATAAGAACAGAGGGAAGAGGATGTCACCGGGAAATACTCTCGCAGCTCGCTAAGATTTCCCCCCCAACCGACGGTGAATACTCTGGAGAAACTTTCTGCCCTCCCAGGGAATCCGCTTAGGTTGGCTGAGTCTATCGACTTAGCAATGATATACCATGGAAACTTCCCTTTGTCGAAACTTGCTTAAGTTTATGCCTGGTTTATGCCAAGTATATGGCCCTAACAAATCTCGTTCTTCTCTATCAGGTTGCTCAATATCAACCGGCTTAAGCTGAAAGGATGCTATTTTGGGGAGATGACCATTCTCTTGGGCTTTGGTATTTCAGGGAAACTGCCATCAGATTTATCCTCCAGAAGTGATCTTAAAAAGTATTGACCCACAGGGCGCAATGATCATAGCACACCTTGTATTGGCCATTGGTCCCCTGGGTAAAAGTTGGTGTAGTTTCTTTTAAGTAAATTTTGCTTCCTCAAAAGGTATATGTATTCTTAAGGATAAGCCAACTCTGGCTAATTTAACTAAGATGTACAATTCGCTCGCGTAGAGCACGCATCGCTGGGGTTGGATAACCTGGATCGGCCGCGGAAACTTCTAAAATCACAGGTGCGGAACTCGTCTTGGAATTCTTGACATCCTCGCAGACATCCTTAACACTAGAAAGAAATTTGAATGGCTCCTAACTGGACTTCCAAGTGAGGGCTATGTTCAGCCAAACAGGTTTGATGTTGGGCCCAGGGAAGTACGGTTATTTATCTCCCCATTGGAGAGTAGAAAAACTTTCACACGATCGTGCTTCATTGGTACAAAACGGCTAAAGGGATTGGATTCCCTCTACTTAGAGGTTCAATGCCCTGATATTGGCTATGCTCACAGGCTTCAACGGAGATCTATCTGTCATTAAAGGGTGCACTGTCACCCGACAACTGCTTGTCATCTTGGCAAATTTCTAATATGGAGCCTCGAGCATTACTCGGAGGCTTGATTCTTGGTGTCTGGATAGGGTTGGAAGGGAAGAATAAGGAAGAGCAGTGTGCTTACTTTGGGGGATGCTGCGCTGATCTGATGATATGGTGGTTGCTAGTATCTAGCCTTAGGGTGGGGACCATCGTGCGCTTGATAAGGATGGCATCGCTCGGGGATCCTGGTCGGCCCGTATTCTTCTCATCATGCTCTTCTTGCACTTGAGCTTCGAGTGGTGGTGATAACCCGTTTTCCGCGATAGGACCAAGCACATCGAAGTGGTTTGCTGATGGTGTGGCTGGTGTGTGCAGCTCGTGGTTTAATCCTTCTGGGAGAAGCGAAGAGCACGGTAGCTCTATGGCTGATGATTTGGGAGAAAAGTATTCCGCTGCCACAGCGTTTAATGGGTGGGGGCTGCTGACAGTTGAGAAGGATGAGAATCTTGAGTGTGTTGTTGAAGGTATTGAGGATACTAAAGAGGAAAAGCTGCTTCGGCTGTCTGAAAATCTGTGCTTCGGCGAGGTGGGCGAGACTAGCTGCTCATCATCGAAGTGAAATGATTGTGGCGGTTGCTGTTGTGGAGGTGGCGATGTAGGTTGCCGTGTAGTTATTGGTAACGCATATCCTCCAGCGTCCCAGGGCGTTCGACTTCGACCGTGGATCTTCGGCCGCTCTATTCTCTTCTCTTCTGCAACAATAGACTCTCCATTTAGGAGAGATGTGACATCCATGATCGTGACTGTTTAGATTTTCGTTCTAAGAAAGTAAAACTGTCGAATCCCGAATTCCCTCAGGATAGCGGGCAAGATATATCTCCTGAGCGAGGCTTAAAATATCCACCTCAAAGGTTGATGTAAATTGAATGGTCGTCTGAATTAGATATGTATTTTCAGCACACGGCACGGATCATCTGGTCCCAGCGGATGGGGGGTCGAGGATAAACCACCGTAGTGTATAAGTTGGAAGTGGTGGGTTTCAGGCGTCTCGCCGATCCGGGGCGGCTGTTGATCCGGACTCCCAATTTGAACAATACAGCTCCGGCTCAGATAAAGTTCGGGCGTGTGGCTCTGATAATAAGACGTAGGAATCAAGTCTCCAAATGTCTTGCTAACAGATCTCAGAGGACGGATGATGGGATCGACTTCCGACGATGCATTGACCACATGGGGAATGTTCGAAACAGACTGACGAGGCTAGGTGTTTTCGTGCTTAATCTTTATAAGACATGACTTATCAAGTCATTGTGCGGATCTGCGAAAGCCCGAAATCAGCCTTTTGGGATTGTTCTTTTCTTTCTTTTTTTGAAACACTGAGGCTCCGAAGCATTGACTGTTGACGGCTGCTTGCGTAGATAGATAGATGAAGTGGAAACGGTGTTATAGGACGGGCGAACTTCAACCGCCTTCAGCTAGATTGGTCACGCAATTTATCATGAACTGCTGCGTACTATTCGGTCCAAGATCCAGGTTGCCGGTTTTTCAATATCAGTTGATGAGCGAAGGGTGACGAGAGACTACTCGGCATAAGTGTGCCAAGTGACCAAAAGATAGGATGAAGCCTATGAACCATTCAAACTACTAGGCAATATAAGGCTGCTCCGGGTACGCATAAAAGGTAGGCCACGTTTAATTCGACGGATAGTGGAATAAATGGGGGCAGCAAAGAACATCACAGACGGCGACTAACATGAACACCACATGAGGGAGCAGAAAATGGGAGTGAGGTTGGATCTCTATCGTCCCATGGCGGGCTGGTAGCTGCGTGTGAGACGCATAGTGCATTGATTATGGTGGGAACGGAGACTCGGCCATGTTTGATGTTAATATTCCCCACACTGTTTAAGGTGGTAGCATCTGGGAGCCTTGTCGATAGTAGTCAAGGATCCTAAATCAAGCCATCATCAACGAACCAGTTGGGCAAACCCAATGCTAAGTGGCACTGTTATCTTAGCGTTTGGAGAGTCCCAACGGCGGTAGATTTTGATCTCCATGGTCGAAACCCAACCTTGCAATATCCGATCCGATCCTCACTAACCAGCACAGCCGCTACCATCTCTGTTGGAGGCAATTCTTGCGAGCATGGGGAGCCGAGGGACCGCACGCTCCTAGGGAAGAGTTCCGAGGCCCGTCCCCGTTTGCTCGAAAAGTGTTTGATCTTAGGGCGATGGAGATACATCTGGATATCTGTGACGTGAGAGCTTCGCATCTGACCGTCAACTCACGGACCATTGCAGCACCGTTCGGTAGTTGTGCGGTGTTCTTCCATTGGTGGTCGGTGGCGCAGAATCCTGCCCAGGGGGGTTCTCTGAATAGCCTGCAGCCACGCCGATGTAGCCTCATGGGTAGCGGATACACTGTTCGGCGGTGGCATGAGGCTGCCCGCTACCATCGTGATGCTGCCGTGGAACGTAGAATTCGATTAAAGCAATGGAAGAGAGGTACAGTGTACTTACCGCGACCTGGTCACGCCAAATGCTTGAAGCTGATGATGCTTGCTATGCTCACACAGCTTCAGCATAACTTCAGCTGCCAGCACACCTGCGTCCATTCGGAGTCCGCACCGGAAGATTCCTCGCCTTATTATCCCGAGCATGATGGATCATTGGCGAGGGTGCGGAGGTGCGAGGAGGCGCACCCGCAGTGCTTGGTTGAGGATCGAGGAGGACGAGAACGCAGCGATCCCATCAAAGGATACTTCTCCATCCGCAATCCGCAATCCACAGCCCGAAATCTAGTTGGTGGTCTATCTGAGATATTGCGGTGGCTGTGCAGTGTCAGTGTCAGTGTCAGTGCCAACGGCTCTATCTCTGTCTCTGTCTGCGACTCTGGTCTCCGACTCTAGTACTGCGTGTGCCCGTATCAGAAACGAAGCAGGAGCAGAAGTGTTGTTTGAATAACCAGCCCGCGATTGGATTCCCAGCTCGAAACTCCGTGTTTCAGGTCCTGCCGATGCCCTGGGCCGCCAGATCTCCCGGATCGTACAGTCCTTGTTTACTCAGTACGGGGCAGGGCTGTGCTAAGTACCATCGCAAAGCGCCCTGATAGGTGGCTAGGACGATGGAAGCCAGAGAGAGGCAACAATAGGCGCCCGATCGGGTTGGGGTTCGTGCCTCGTTGGAACAGCCGCCACGGTTTCATAGAAGTTCTCTGACGAGTTCGAGAAGCCACAGTGTCCAAGTCTGCCTTGTCCCGTTCGAGCTATTCTTGACCTCAGCCAGCGCCAGCTATTCCTGATATCGACCCTTTACCCAGCATGAAGATCGTGGACCAGGAAGCGCAAAAATGCCAGCATGTGCCAGCATGGGTGTCTCTCTGAGTCTCTGGACAGTGGACGAGGCTGTGCTGGCCAGCTGAGGGCGATGAGTGGCTCCAGAGAATGTCTCTCTGACGTGAGCTGGGACGCGTTTGAGCAAACCCTGAAGCAGATCGGAGATCAGGGGATGGTCTATCAAACATTGTACAGATTCTGTGCGTACGCGTCCGTACTGTACGAGCATGATACAAGAAGTCAGCGGGAGCTGAGTTCACCATCCGAACTTGGGATGACTAACACATGATCACACACAAGGGCGGTGAGATGCCGAGGAAATAGAAGTAATACTGCCATCACGTGGTGGCCAGCACGGGGAAATGCTACCTAGACATGGAACAGAGCCGGGGCTCCATGTTCGGACTGTATTATCAATGCATTTATATCAATATAAGTCAAATATTGATACTACGCTATAATGGCTTCTTCCCTTCGTCGGCGGATGCATTGCTATTACCTGCTGGTCCTGGCATGAACCTACAAAGTACGGGTAGGCACGTGAGCAACAGAGCTGAAACCGCTCAGATCTGACGCGTACCAGGAGGGAAAACTTTCAGTCTGAATTTGAATTAATATATTGGACATAGATCTTAATGCTTCTGGGAGCACCAACCTGTGGCTGAGATCTGGGGTGAATATAAAAGGAAATAAACTATGCAATACTTATGGATATTTACGAATCACTAAGGACAGGCCCATGGATAGACTTGCTACAGAATGCAGTTTCTCGGAATATATTTCATTTACTGCGCACTAGTCTATCCTCCTCGATTCATCAAGAGTAAGTCATCAGAATCGCTCCGCTGGCCAGGCTCCCGAAACGCTTTAGCAAGAACCTGGAACGAAATCAAGGATAATATACACTCGCATATAAGTTTCTGAAAGAAAGTCCAGCAAATTCCCCCCGCTACAGAGCAACATCATATCACAATGACCGATGCCTACTAGTCAGAGAGTATTTCGAAGATGTAAGTTCCGTGTATGTGACCAAGGAGGATTCCACCCAGATTCAGCTTTATGCCGGTACGGCCTTCGTCGGGCCCCTATACTCTAAATTTCGATATCGATACCGAGATCAATGGCACCAATAATATCATCATCCATCAACGGGCGACGAATAGTAGGAATACCCTTCTTGTCTCCATTGCTTGCCTGTAGCTTGGCAATATGAGGTAATGGCGTTGAAGATTTCTTCGCGGCGAGTTTAGGAGTACCAGAAGCTGGAGTGTTAGTGCCGCTCCGCTCGCTGTCCGTTTTCTTTCCACCCAATCCTTCAGAGACATCATGCTTGAATTTAGCCTGAGTCTTGAGTCTTCGAGAGTGATCTTCTACGACAACCTCTCCACGGGCAAGTGCCGCTTCAGTAAGCTTCACAGCTCTTCGCTCATTGATCTGGGCTTGGCGAACTTCTTCGGCGTTCTTCTTGCGGTTTTGCTTGTTCAGGATAGCTAAGCGTTCCTGTTGAGTTACGACTCCCGGTGCTGGGGCCTTCTTTGGGGTTGGGTGCATTGAGGTGCTGTACGCCAGCTTGGGTCCCTCGAGAGCTTGAAGTTCTTTTCGAAGAGTCTCTTCTCTTTCGGTGTGGCCGCGGGCTTTAGCATCATTAATTGCATTAGTGAGGCGGTTACGCTCAATTGGTATAAATTTGTTGAGGAGGGCCCCCGATTTGGTCAACTTTTCTTGAAGCTCTGCTTCTGTCCAAGTACGGTTGACCAAGCCATTAATCTCAGAGATTTTGTTAATGAGTTTTGGTTTCGTTGGGAGTGGAACGCCTTCCACAAGACAGGTCTGCTTATAGCGATTCCATTCGGCCTAAACCCCCATTAGCATTGGGCAGCTACCAAGCAGGCGCCATTCTACAAACCTCTGTAAAGGGAGAATCAGAGCAGGTAATGAAAGGCCAGTTCCGCTCAGACTTGCCATGCGCAGCACGAACGTACTGGGTGGTCTTGAAGTGCTTGCCATTCGCCGATTCCATGGCATATGGTCTATCCTCAGCGAAGCCTTCAAATAGTCAGCAAGCATCCAAAACTTCTAATTCATCATACACATGCCTTTGATGAGCGCCATCCGATATATGTTCTGGCCAGTCTCTTTGTCAACACCAACACTGATCCGTACAAAGCATCCGGAAATAGCCTCGTCAAAACCAGGGTAGAAGCAGACCAAAGCAAATCTTGATCTCCCAACTCGTACTCTTTCAATATCCGCAAGACCAGCAGGCTCAGCATCGCGGTAGTCAGGAGACTTGCTTTTCTTTTTCTTGCCCTCGTCCCATTCCACCTCGCTGTCTCCATCAGCATCCACGTCAGAGTATTCCTCGAGTGGAGTTTTGCGGCCTCGATTGCGTTCCTTGTCCTCCTCACGACGGCGCTGGCGGTCATTCTTCTCAGCTCTTGCGCGCTTCAGACTATCGATACCGGTGCTTGCCTCTCCAACCCTACCGCCACCAAGTTTGGTCCGCTGGCGGGAGGTCTTTCGCTGGTTCTCATCTAAATCGGCAGCTCCAGCCTTGCGCTTTTTGTCCAACTTCCTAGTCTCAGCCTCGCGAGCGCTCAGCAACTGGCGAAGGGCTCGATTCTGTCTGTCTCTCTCAACTTCCTGTGCACGTTCGGCTAACAACTCCTCACGCTTGATCTCAGGCATGGCCATGATCTCGGCCTTTTCGGAAGCACTCATGAACTTGCTCTCGAAGGGATATCTCTCGCCTTCCTCATCGTACAAAGCGGCGGATTCGGATTCCGAATCTGATTCATCCATCGGTGCTGATCGTAAAGAGTTGGGTGACGAGGCGCCAGAGGAGCTATCAAAGAATGAGTCTCGCCACCTTCCCGGGAATCAGCGAGGACTTACGCTTCGCCCTCTTCCTCCGAATCATCACGGCCCTTAGATTTTCGACCGCTGGACTTCTTTGCACTGGGCTTACCCGATGAAGGGTGGTCTGGTAATGCTGAGTTTTCTCTGCTCAGATCATGTGGCGCCTCTTCCTCGTCGGAGGAGGCGTCTCCTGCGAGAGCGAGGAGCTCGTCATCGATATCCGCCATATTGCGTTAATGGCGATTGGTATATGCGGTTTCTTAGGGCGGTAAGGAGTCTGGGTCGAACCACGGTCTGATCGAGCTTTGACTGCTTTGAAGAAGGTGGATTGGTGTCTGATTGTAAATGGTAGGAAGGCGATAGATGTGAGATAAGTTGTCCAAAGCCTGGAAGTTAAAGCGCGAGAGCGAGTGGAGCAGGGAGGATAAAGTCGACAGACAGCCCGGTGCAATGCAGTCGACAATACGAAGCAAGATGGAGCAGACAATAGGTAGATGGTGGGTGTTAAGTGAGGCTTAAAGGTGAATAGTTAGAAAGGAGGTGTACAACCGCGAGTTCTCGCCGCCCGGCTGCTAGCGCGTGTCGGCAATTTGTGCCTCCCTATCGCCGATGCGCGTCATTTTGTGGCCGCCGAGAGCCTCGCAAAGTCGGCCAACTCCGACTCTCCCAAGGGTTTCAACTTATTCGTATACTCACCCTAGGGAGCAATTGACTCTGAAATATCATTAACAATGGCTTTATATTCCTGTGGACGCTCAACTCTCCTAGCAGCACATATCCCCGTCTACGACTTCCTGGCCCCAAGCCTCATTAACATCACCCGATCAACACGTTCAGTTCGACATCTCTCAACATCTGCAGCATCCAATGCCCAAGATGCCTCCTCAAATACTCCTGGGTCTGACGCTCAATCCCACCCCAAACGGCCCTCCAAACCTCTAACCCAAGCTCAACGGGACTTCCTCACCAGCGCCGTAAGTCACCCGTCCTGCTCCCCAAACTCCCAAACCCCAGTAACTAATATAATACCACAATGCAGCTCCGCGTAAACCAAGCCGGGGAACTCGCTGCCACTCTAATCTACGCCGCCCAAACACCCCCAATCGTAAAGGCACACCCACACCTCCGGCCACTAATGAAACACATGTACGACCAAGAAGCCGGCCACTTCGACACCTTCAACTCGCTGTTAGCAAAACACCGCATCCGCCCAACAGCCATGTATCCATTATGGACAGTCGCTGCGTCCGCCCTGGGCTGGGGGACCGCGCTTTTAGGCCGCGAAGCAGCGATGGCGTGTACGGAAGCCGTGGAAACGGAGATAGGAGATCATTATAATGGGCAGTTGAGGTACTTGCTGGACATGATTGAGGGTATGGAGAGTCGGGGGGAGGTGATAGGGGAGGATTTGAGGGAGCTGGTGGGAACTATTCGGAGGATTAGAGATGAAGAATTAGAGCATTTGGATCATGCAGTGGAGAATGATGCCAAGAAGGCGGTACCGCATGAGTTGCTTACGGGGGTTATAAGGGCTGGGTGTAAGGGTGCAATTTGGATCAGTGAGAAGGTGTAAGATATCTATGTATGGTTTGATTGATTAATACTTAAATTCGGGATTTTGGAAAGAATTCAACTCTCCGCTTTTACGCTAAACATATGGCCAAATGCCTCATCCCAATGCTAATGCAACGCACCCGACCCGTTTCTGCCTACGCACAACAAAAGTACCTATACAGCGGCCCTTTCTACTACTAGAATGAAGTGCTTAATCACTACACAAACAGTCAGTATGAATCCTCTGAAGTTCGAGGATATGTATTACTTACTAGATCTGCAACGGCGCAACTTGGTCCACCTGGTACAGCCAGTTGGAATTGAGTTCCTCCTTGATAAGCCAGTCATATGGGAACAAAACCAGATGGCCTTGAATCAGACTCAGGAGTTCCTCGATATCATTAGGATTTAGTAAGCCATCACTAGCCGCAAAGCCTCTTCGACTTCCTTTCGTTGTTCCGCGACGGCGCTTTTTAGCAGATCCCTGAGTGGTTGGCATAGATGCTGTGGGACACAGGCTTACGCCATCTGGTACGGAAGAAAATGTTGCCTTCCTAGCATTGTATTGTGGAGACCTGTCCGCATCGGTAGATGGCGGGTTGATGGTAGTTTCATACGATGGGAATGTTTCATCTCCCGCAGGTTGAATTGGAGATGGAGCCTCATCTAACCTTGCCCACGAAGCAGCTTTCTCATCGGTTACTTCGCCGCCATCAATCGCCATACCATGGGAGTTTGCCCTTGCCCTGCGCTCCTTGTTACGTCGATCCGCACTTTCTGCCCATTCTGATACGGTTCCAAGCGGGTGATCATCGCGGGCATGCTCTATCACCTTCTCAGAGATATTGGCCAGTCCTGGCACGGCGCTCCCGGCTCCTGGTAATGTTGCTCCCGGAGGTCCACTCTTTCCAGGCGCTTCTTGTTCTTCGCGCTCTTTGCTCTTGGTCTCGCCCTGAGATTGGGCAAACCTCTCAGCATAGGCAACGAACTCAGTGTACTCGTGCCAGTTGGTTACTTCGCTATCAGGATTACACCTGAAAACACGTCGAAATATTTTGGTGTTGTTTTCTGCAACCAATCGCCAAATATCTTCAAAGAAGCAGTCGTTGAGGGGATCCCGCATACAATCTTTGTTCACTGGGGCGATTTTGATATCGGCAGTCGCTGGGTTAAATGCCCTAGGTGCTAGGTTTCCTGTGCTATCCAGATGCATTGGTGGCCCTCCGATATCCGTATCATCTGTTAGGGGAACAGGAGGGAGTTGTGATAACTGTGTAAGGCCTAATTGCTCTGTTGTTCTTCGAGTGAGTTGTGGCATTGGTGGAAGCCCGCTATTGTTTGGCCTTATTGTGAGCGATTCGGCGTGATAGCGGTGCGGCGAACGGACGTGTGATTTCCTAGGATTATCTATAGTACCCCTGCCTTCTGGCGAGATATCTTTAACAAGAACCTCACGACCACGGACTATGACCGAGTCCCGACCCCGGACAACTCCAGTCTTCTCAGCATCCTTCCAGTGATCCGTGCCCTCGCCGCCCTGCACTTCAGCGGCATGCTTCTCGTTCCCAGTAACTCTAGGGTCCTTAGTTATAGGCTTGTATGGTTCGGGCTTGATGTAGGGATTCGCGTCTTCTTCCCAATCTACATCATGGTTGAAACTGCGGGTAGTATGTAAACTAGCCCTCCGTGCGGCTACTTCAGGGGGCACTTCACCATGCCTTGACCGGTCCGTCTCGGAATCACTGTCATCTCCATAGATACCATCCATTTTTGACTCATACTCCTCTTCTTCTTTGTCCAGCTCTGCTCGACGCTCATCCTCCATCACTTCATCAACGTCGAGACCGAGGTGCTCTCGCATAAGACGCATTCTCAAAGTATGAGCAAAACGCCCGACAAGATATGGTTCTCCGTCCATAGTTGACCAAATCATATCGGTATCACGAACAACAGCAGCACATTCAGAGTCTCTCGAGCCCAGCATGGACCTTTCGTTGATATTGGCTGAGCCGATCAATGCAGTTCGGTCGTCAACAATGATGACCTTGGCATGGATATATAGCTGCTCTGTGACCAATGTCTTCTTTGGCCCAATTCGCCCCCATGATCGAAGGCTGTAAAACTGCACGAAGTCCTCTGGCTCGATGCCTTGGCTCCGCAGACGGCCAAATATCGAGCCCTCGCCGCGACAGATGCTCCGGAATTGGCATTGCATGATCAGCCGCACACTTGTACCTTCAGGCTCATCCACAGTATTCTGAAAGCCAGGCATTAGCGGAATAAGTATAACACACCTCCAGCTCTCATTGTTCCGAAACGCGCGAACTGCGCGCTCAACGATGGCATCTCCGATTTTGTTGATGATTTTGACGTTCATCGTCTCGCAGCTAGTGATGAAGAACTGGTTTTCCATGTAAACAAAGTGCTCCGACTCCTCAATCATCTTGCAGTAAGCATTCATGATACTGTGTTCTGTTTCCGTCAACCCCATAGACCAATCAGCAGCAGATCGTAGAATTTGGACTTCACAGGTACCAGATAACCCGAGGGCTTCAAGGTCCGCGGTATTATAATCAGGTGGTGGAAGGAGGAAAGGCGTTGGTCTCGTAGGTTTTCGCCCTCGGAGCACGTAGTTCCATCTCTGCACAAAATGACGCGTCAAGTCCCTAGCAGGTTGGCCAACAACCTGCATTGAAATATCGTGCCATGGCATTCTGGGTATCTTGGAACGATCATACATCTCAGCATATGGTTCGTGGAGCTGATAGAAGTCTTGAACTCGAGGGTTTGAGTAGTCTTTTCCAGGCCATAGTTGGCAGTGGTCAGCGTCTTTCGGGAGGTCTGATTGTTCGAACCCAGTTGGTTTGTCGTCAACGACCGAGTGCTGTGGAGTATCCCAACGCCCAAAACAGAGATCAATTCCACCCACAAAGGCGACTGTATGATCGACGATGCATATCTTCTCGTGATGCGCAAAGAAAAACTGGTTCTTTTTGAACTGGTTAGGAGATCTTTGCACAAAGACATTCGGATGCAGATCAAGCATGGAAAACTTGGTGAACTCAGAATCGATGGGTATCGCCGCCTCGACGTTTCGGTAAATGATGATAAAGATCTTGACACCTTCCTTAGCTTTCTTTTGAAGTAGCCTATCGAGGCGCCATTTTTGACTGATTGCTGCCGGTCTACGCATGTATAGCTGAGGGCTAAGCCACCAATCGTGGATGTAAATGACATCTTTGGCCATATTAATAGCACGCGACACATTCCACATGTAGTCTCTGCCATCCACAAGCCATTGTGCATATACACCCGTGCGCACAGGGGCAAAGCTCCCAAAGCGGTTTGGCTTCGACCAAGATGTGTTGTCCACCATGAATGTTATAGATTCCTCGAATTGTCTAAGTTGCCGTTCATTCTTGGCCAGTAACTTGACCTTTCGTTCTGAATTATGCAGCTTCAAACTATGGTGCTGCGGATGCTTGGCAGATTCCTCTGCCGCGTTTAAGATTTCTTTCGAGCCCATGTTTCTAAGCTTGCGACGTTTCTGCTGGATTTCGAATTTTGGGTCTACCAAGTAGACGTCGTATATGTGCATGTTCTCGGGAGATTCGACACAGACGATGTAGCTATGTCTTACTAGGAACCACTTCGGAGAATGACGGGCAAAGATTTTTCTAGGCGTAAGCAATCTTCGGAAGTCCAGGCCTTTTGAAGCCTGGATAACCATGAACCCTTCTTTGCCATGATAACTGCCCTCAGCCGCTAAGCGTACGCCCAAAGCTGACAGTTCTAAAAATCTACAGAGTCTGTTGCTGTCGGCTCTGAAAATAAGCCAGCGGATCATTTCTTGGAGGTACTGTTCAAGTCTTCGTCGTTGTTTCTCATTATAGATCCGGGTCTGCGCATTACTTTCTCCCTTGGGCGCAACAGATCCGGATGTTGGCTCGGTTCCCATAGCAGTAGATTTCCTTCGGGAACCCCCGAGTGACGGCCGCCTCTTCTTGCGCTTTCGATCTGTCTCGCTATGTGTTGCCTCTCCTACCGTCTCATCTATGCGGATATTGTCTGGCTCGTCATCTTCACTCTCGCCTAATCCGCGCACACCTCTGAAGTAAGGAAATGCTGATCTTGGAAATCGCGGCTGCTTCGGCCTAGAGTCCACATCACTTCTGAGCTGAAGATACTTGTCGCTCTGTGCTTGGATTTTGTATCTCAGATGCAAATTTGCAAAGTCTCGAAGTGTCCGATGAATGACCCATTTCATTCTATTCAAGCCACTTCCATACTCAAGCTCAATTCTGAAGATAAGGTGTCGCCCACTTTCGGCGGGATCATCGGTACTTGACTTGCTATCGGTGATACGTATTTTCAGTTGTTCGAGCAGAACAGGTATCCGTTTATTACCGTGCTCATCTCTCTGGATCATACTAGCCAGTATGAGTGCCGCAGGAGCGCCTGCGCGTAATTCCGCCATCAGCTCGGCCGATTTGAGATAATCCACTCTGTGCTCCTCTTTCTTCGTCCCTAGCAATTTTAGGCCATGCTTGATCATCCGCCATCTTTGGGCTCCGAATGTAGGTGTCCGCTCGGCGCCCATAAATGGCCGCCTAGAGGCTGGGCCGTCGCCATCGCTCTGACCACCACCAAGTCCAGTTAATGCACGTCTAAACTGACCAGGCCTTCTTGATGTTGGAGTGGCATCTAGGTCAGCAGAGTGTTGAGCAGAGTGACCAAAACCACGAGCACTAGATATCCAGGAACTTCCGCGTCTCCAAGCACTATGACCACCGAGTTGATCACGCCCCTCGCCTTCTGATACGTGACCCCTTTGCTCCAATGAGCCATCCGTAGCCCGTCGACTCAAGAATGGATAGACTCTACTGCCGCTGGGAGAATCAGATTGCGCAATGCCGCGAACCCTGGGGGTGTTAGGTGTAGTTTGGCTTTCACTTGTGCTGAATTGCGGTCTCGGCATGCGACGTTTCCGTTTTACCCGTATCACATCGGGCGCCACGTCTTCATCTGCAGTTTCCTCTGCATCAGCATCACTGCCTTCTTCCTGTAGTGTATATGGAAATCGATGTCGGTGCTCATTTACAGGCGACAGCGGAGCAGATACTGTCCCTCCATCGGCGGAGTTCACTGGGTTGCTCTGGCTCCTGCTATGGGTCTGCAGTCCTCCTGCAGAGGTCAACAACTTCAATTTTGCCATTAACGATTGACCCCTTCTGTCTTTTGAAGGAGTCTCCCCATCTTCCGCGCCTAATGACTCTTGCTTGCCATGTCCCATATCTTCCGGTGACACTTCTGCCCTCGCGAATTGAACACTTCTTCGGCCAGGCGGGGTCGATGTGCCAGCAGCAGCAGTGGTAGGGACGTCATTGGCGGCGAAGGGAGGCTTCAATGTTGGCGGTTTTAGAGCAGATGGTGCTACAGATCCAATATTCTCATGCGGATATCCTCCATTCATATAATCAGGTGCTTCTGTGGAAGGCTTGCTCGTGCTGCCGTTTGTCGCTGCCGAAGGATGTGCGACATCATGTTTGGTTTCTAGAACGCTGTCGGATCCCACGACATTCCGCAGACCTGACGGCTGTACGAGTACATTTGCTGATCCATTGGCAGAGCCATTACTCGCTCTTTCCGGCGGAGTGGTCATTGGCGATATTTCCTCTCCGTCTATTGTCATGTTGGCGTCCTATCTTATCGTTTTCCAGTGTCCAACCTTAGCCCCTTTTCCCTTTCCCACCACGCCCAACCCACGAACGACGAGTCCCTTGGGGCCCGAGCTTGTATGTCTAGAGGCAGTCCGTGTTGCTCATTGCGGACAAGGTGATTCGTAGTGATAGTGACTGTGCTCGTTGCGCGCGCCAGAGTGGTCACGGCCACGTCCTGGAAGTGACGGTGTTGTAGTTGTAGCTTGAGAGGAGGGCTACCAGAGCAGCTAGGCGGATTGGAGTGCGCTGAACAAATAATAATTTCTAATTGACAAGATGGGTCGAATAAACGAGAAATTAATTGTTATAGTTGTACAAAAACCGAAGGTTGTTTACGGGCTGTAATTTCTCCTGTCGAGGACTCGACGGGAATCAGATGACGTTGGGTCCGAGCTGGACATCCCTGACCGTGTTTACATACGGAGGACTCGAGGACGGAGCCGAGGGCTTGGGATGATAAAAGCGGCATTATCAACCCTCAACACTCAACACAAGCACAAGTCCATTACGAGAACCTCGCAAGGCGAAGGTTTACTATAACGACTTTAAACTCCCTGGGTGCTTTAATTACAGTAAGTAACAGGATGCATCAAAATCTCTCAAAGTCATTTATGCAGTCCCCTGATAAATGTTTACAATTGTTGATTTACAATGCCGCCTTTTCGCTCAACAGCGATCAACAGAATGACCCAATTTACTAGCAATTGACTAGCAAGGTTGCTTCGTGGAGCGTTCCCGGGGGCCGAACATACACAGTTCCACAATATATCTGAGGAGATACCGCGCATATATCTATCCTATCCATTTCCATTGTATAAGTTTACTCTGCCTCTCCCTCTTCCTCTGCAATTGCACGTCTAGGTTATCATTACCAGGCTTTCTTCCACGATTTTAAACCTCAATATGGCGACTCCCAATCCCCTCGGAAACTCCCAGCCCAGTTCGGGACCGGCCGTTTCGGTAAAGACCCTCCATATCGCGGGGATTCTCACGGATGTATATGGACTAGACGAGTTATCTCCAGCTTGCAAATCAGTATCATGTCTCTGGCTCTTGCACCCCCGTCTCCAGACCAAGCAACTCATGGCGGGGGTCGCAACTACATGTATCACGGATTGGAATCGACGGGTCTCAGGTTCAGGTGATGGAGGTGGCAAGGTGGGGCTCATCGCTGTAGCTTTCGATCAGCGAAATCACGGGTCCAGAGAGGTTGATGCACTCGCAAATCAGGCATGGAGAGAAAGTAATGAGAATCATGCCCAGGATATGTTCAGGTAGGTCGGGTCAGGTTGTTTTGGTGTGTGTAATGCTGTATTTTGACGGGTTCCCGTTAGTATATTTCACGGAACGGCCGTTGATACGAGTCTCTTGATCGATCATTTGGATTCGTACATCCTGAAAGGACCAGACAGCCCATCGATCGACCAGCATCTGGTCATGGGCATCTCTCTCGGTGGCCATTCTGCGTGGCAGGTGCTCTTCAACGATCCAAGAGTTACTGCAGGTGTGGTCATCATTGGCTGCCCAGACTATATAAGTAAGTATGCCACATTTCAAATCTCTAAATGTTTTAGGAGCAAGCATCCAGCAAAGCTCCCACTATGTTATCGCGCCAACAAGAAATTTTTGTGGGCCGATATTTTTCCATGTCCACTGGAATTTCGGGGAAACCCTTACAGATGGGTAGCCCATATTGTCACATCTCCCACCGACCCGTCTATCCTACACAAAATATACACATTAACCCATCATCCAGGACTAATATCCGACCGCGCCCGCCTCTCCAAACGCACCAGCTACACCACCTCAAGCGGCGCCACCTTCCTCGGCAGCGTCGACTTCCCAACATCACTCATTTCCAGCATCCAAAGCCAGGACCCAAAAGGCATCCTCTTCAATACCTCCGCCATCCCCACCAACCCCCTCACCCAATCAGATCAAGCCCGTCTACGACCCATCCTAACCTCCAAACTCGGCGGCAAAAAGGTCTTAGTATGCTCCGGCGGCGACGACAAACTCGTCCCGTACCATTGTTCCGAACCATTCCTACAATTCCTGAAGAGCGCCGCCGACGGATGGTGGGCAGATGGCGGATTAGTCGTGGAAGATATCGTATACCCGGGGGTTGGCCATGCGTATAGCGAGGGGATGGTGCGGGATACCACGAGGTTTGTGAGTGAGATCCTAGCGGGCAAGTCGACAAGCCCCGAATCGAAGATGTAAGTTATTTAAAAATGAATATATATGCAAAATCAAAGAGGTTCTATCAGAGCTAGCTTATACAACAACAATTCGTTCCTTGGATGTCCTAGGTACTTAGGCGTAATTGGCAAACCCCCCCTTTTAGCTCGCTTAGAAAAGCGAACAGCCGGCACCTAATAGTACCTACGTACCTATACCTAGGTAAACCACGAAAACAAAACCTCAACAAAGTCTAGGGCTAGGACTATGAAACACCCCATTATTCCAAGCCCCCCGGAACGGGAGAACGGTTCTAAGCCAGAATGAACTGGCTCGTAACTTTTGTAACTCAACCCGCTTTTTCTACAAGTCAGTGTAGGAGCCCGCATTACATGCTATCGCTAGAGCTGGGATAAATAACCTCATTTCAGGTGGCGCTAATCCCCATCCGATCGGTCACTAGCAATGTTCTCGATCGACGGCTGATTCAACTTAGTAGGTCACGAGCTAGGGAAATATTAGGGGGAAAAGTGCGTATTTGGATACTTCAAGGTTGGAGGAGAGAAGAGGCAGAACCTCAGCTTCTGTTAAGGGGCTTGGGGGAAAAGGGCTGGGAACTACTGCACAGCTGCCTATATGGTGGGATGAGGTGTGGTAATTAGGGAATATAAATATATATGGATTTCCCCCTGTATCATACGACAGAGAGCGTAAGATAAGTAGATAGGCGATGAGAACCTCTCAACGAAATCCCGAAAATTCAAAAGGTGAGGTTAGACTATTCACAAGTTTTAACTACAAGAGACATATGTAACTTAACCCCAACTAGCTGACTTTCCACCCTACAAAACCAAGCCAAAACTAAACACATACAATAGTAATTACAAGGAAAGTAAGACACAAAACACACTGCACTGCACTATCTCAGCGAAACATTATATTCACGTTTGAAAATCCTCAATTAACTATAGAGATTTTTCATTTTCTCTAATATACAGACAGCTGCAGCAGCTAGCTTCCTCTCCTCTGCTCTTCTGCATAAGGCTAATTGTTGCATGCATGGCAGGGGTTTCATTCACCATCCACCCCAATCCATCCATTCCATGATACTATGCTTCTATATTTCCACCCACGCACCCTCTCAAAGTCCTTAAAACAAACTCCATCTTCCAGCACTCTCCGGCTCTCGCCCTTTCTGGTGATACAGTCGAGCAACGCAAGCAAGCAATCCATTCATGAATGCACAGAAGCAAGGAAAAGCAGCGACTGCGCTAGTATGCTGCGCGGGGGAAGGAAAGGTGAAGGGGCGGGTAAGTACTCTTTACAATACATAGGTACAAAAAAGGGTTGATATGCGGGGGTGTGTGTATGTGTGTAGAAGTAGAAAAAGCAAAGTGTTCCATCACTTTCGGGGTATATCACGCATTCCATCCCCCCAAAAACATTCGCTGGATGAAATAATTCCACAAAAGAAACGCGTACGCGGCTGTGAGTCGTTAAGTCGGAGCAGTGCGAAGGGTGAGAGCAGACGTGAAGCTAGTCGTGCAGATAAGTACACTTCGCACCCTTCTGACATTTGCCCTCGCGCCAGAATCGACAAGGCTTCTTCTTGCCCTTGTAATCGCCATTCTCGTCGAAAAGTGACTCCTGCCATTCCCTCTTCTCGAAGCCACGCTTAGCCTTAGAGCCTGCGTTAGCATTCTCCTGGGCCTTGGCTGGGTTCGAGTTCTCGTTCCAGTTTGCATCCCATCTTGGCTGCTGGGTTTGAGCGGAGTAAGCTTGGGCTTGAGCAGCGGCATTCGCAGCCCACGCATTGTAGTCGAACTGCTGAGTCGCGTTTGTATTGTTGCCGTTGCTGTAGCTAGCTAGGAGGCTTTGGACTTGCTGCGTAATGTCGGGCTGGGATGACACCGCGGGCATGCTTGCTGGGGGCTGCGACTGGGGCTGCTGGTAGCTTTGGGGCTGCGGAACCGACATCTGCGGTTGGTATTGCGCTGGCATCGGTTGGTACTGAGTAGCTTCCATCTGAGCCTTCTGATCAGCTTCCCTCTTCTCCTTGATCGCCTTGTCCCTATTGTAGCCTTCCCACCACACAGCTCGCTGAGCTGGGTTCGTCATCCAGTCAGGCGGTTCAACAGGAGGATAAGGTTTACCCTTGACCGATTCGATAATGCGTAGAAGGTTTTGATATTCGTGGGGTTGCATTTTGGCAACGAGGTTGTTGACGATGGTCTGGTTCTGTGGTTGGTATTGGGGTTGTTGAGCGGAAGATACTTGACTTGGCGCGGAAAGTGAATGCAGGCCGCCTAGAGCACGGTTGTCACCAAACTTTCTGCCTTGTTGTTCTTCCAGACGGCGAACAAAGAGCTGAGATGCATAATCCGGGCCATACTGCTTGATCTCTTGCAGCCGTTGCGCCAACCATGGCGCTGACGGTTCCTTGAGCAGGGACTCAGGCCTGCCCATCCCAGGTCCATCCATCTGGTACGGCGGTTCTTTAGGCGATGGAGGAATGTCATTAGGATCAGTGTAAATAGTCATAAGCTCCAGAGCTTCACGTCTCTCTTGTGCCTGTTGTTCGGGAGTTGTGAAGGTCAAATCCCCACCACGAGTAGTATACTTCTGCCCGAAAGGTGTTGATTTCTCCAAGCCAGTGAGATCGACACCAACAAGCTCTGGATATGGTCGCGATTCAATTTCACCAGATTGTATCTCATCATCCTCATCCATTGCCTCGGACACACGGCGCTTGTGCATGATGCCTTCGCTGCGGTAGTCGTGTGCATCTCTCAACATATCGTCCTGGCGACCTTCATCCTCAGCCTGCTCGTGCTTGAATAGCCGGATCTCTTCCAATTCTGTGCCTTCCTTAAATTTGACCCTCAAATGGCGCCTGCTCTCCTTTCTCTCACGGCGAGCCTTCTCTTCCGGGGTTTCTGGGGGTCGAGGTGGAGCTTCGGGGGCTTTGGGGGGCTCGGGTCGTTTGGCAATGCTGGCTAATAATGCGCCTAATTTTGACTGACCGGGCGGAGAGATCTCTCGCTTCTTGACGGCTGGTTTTGGTAGGGGTTTGGAAGCAATTCCAAGCAAGTTGTTCCGTTTTGGAGGAGGTGCTTTAATAGTAGTGTTAGATGTTTCTGTGGCGAGTTTCTTGCTTGGTTTCCCGTTGGTACTGTCACCCTCATGTGGTCTCTTTGCGGGGTTGAAAGCTGGGGGTTTGTTGGTATCTGTATTTTGGAGCAGCTTAGTCTTCTCCGTTTTTTCCGGTGTCATCCGATCCTTTTCAACTTTTGTAGTTCCCTTTTGGGCTTTCGAGGCTCTTTCCTTAGCTTCAACCGTATTAGCAAGAATTGCGTCGATATTCGCGTTGATCTCCGCATCGCCGTGCTTCCTCCAACGCTTTTGAATGCTATCAAATTTAAGCTTCTTCAACAGGTCGTCTGTCATCGTCTGAAATCTGGCCAGCAAACTAAAGACCGCCCTTGGAAGTTTTCCAAGGTAATCGTCAATCTTAACACAATCGATCAACGTGGTAGTCAAGCTATTTACGAGTTTTTGGTATCTTCCCAGGTTCTCTACTATTGCATCATATCCATGCACATTGGCAGCATCAATGGTTTGATATAATGCCTCCAGCAGAATCCCACGTTCAGCCCCGAGCCTCGCAAGATCAGCTGCACGGCCTGCAGCATCGTCTGTTTCCTTTAAGTTCGCTCTCAACTTGCTCCGTAGCTCGATCAGGAAATTACCGTATTCTTCGATTGCGGCCTTGACGAATTCGACGCTCGGACTAGATTTAGGATCCCTCCAGATGATCCCAATGGCGTCCCAACGTGCGGCACCAGGGATATCATCGGTTGGGCGTGTAGTCCCCCGGATCTACGGTTGTTATTAGCATACATTCACCAACCAGTGATTTTGAGCGGCACCGCAAGGCAAATAATTCACAAAGATCGATTCGGTAGGACAAGACATGATATGAAAGATCGGAAAGCGGTGGTCACGACCGTCAAACTGGGTTAAGCTTACCGTGCTGACGTCTACAAGCGTCATCTCTTCCTCGTCTTCGTATTCAGACTCTTCTTCTGAGCTACTTTCGTCTTCAGATGAGCTGGAGTCAGTTGGCGTCGGTGTCGATTTGGTTCCTGCACCTAGGCTGCTATCTTCACGCGGGGTAGCTAGTTTACCAGCAGCAGGTTTAATGTCTTGTCTAGTGCCCTTCCATTTGCTTGATGGAAGCTTGGTCTCCTTTGAGATTCGCGTTTTCTTGGCTGAGGAACGCGCTGAAGAGGAAGAGCCTAATCGAAAGGTTAACGAATGGTCAAGCGCAAAGAAAGAGGATTGATAAGGGGGGCATATCGACAGGAGTAGAGGGCGGCCAGAGAGTCGGTCAGAGACACTTACGAGATGAAGCGAAACCCGGAATAAGTACTTTCCCGCTCTTTGATTTCCGTGGATGGTATTTAGGGATGGTGTCTACATAATGTTAATCAATGAAACTTGGATTCACAACAGGTAGGTTGAGTCCCCCTTGGAAGGATAAAGACTTACTTTTAAGACCTAGTGTGATCTGAATAGGAGTCTCCTCAAACACTATGAAGGGGGCATAGGCCAACCGTTGCCCACCCGCTGAAGCATACAACTCCGGATGCGTCATCCTCAATGGGTTCGAGGCTTGCGTTGGCTTGGCTGGCTGGGCACGAGGAAGGATTTGGGGAGACTCTGAGGTGACGAGGCTCTTGACATTGCTGATCTTGTCCATGTGGTTGGCGGCAGGCCTGACCTCATTGGGTTTTGTCTCGAGAGGCAATGGCGGGTACTGAATAGGAGCACCGGCCATAGTACGATGCAAGTCTCCATTTTGGACATTATTGAAGTACATGGTAGAATGATCCTGAGGCGGCTGGCTAAAGGTATTGGCCATTACGTTGGCCGGCGGCTGCTGATATGCCGAGGTCGGGACGCCTTGATTCACAGGCTGGTTGGGAGGTGGAGCATACTGAAGATACTGCGGCGATATGGTTGCACTCGGAGCCACAGAGAAGGAGCTATCCTGGGCCCGGTAGGGCGACGGGGCAGAAGTCTGCAGAGAAGGGTCGATGGAGGACGTCGCCTGCCCGAAGAGGGCTGAGGGACCAGCATGTTGCTGATAGTGAGAGACATAAGGAGAAGCCGAGTTTGGGTTTAGGTTCCCGTATTCCATGGAGGGATACGATGGCTGTTGATGGAGGCCATAATGTTCGTAGGAGGGTTGGGGTTGGGTTGTGGCATAGCGTGAATAGAGATCTTGCGGTTGCGGCTGCTGTTGAGGTTGAGGTTGATGTCCTTGCTGATGCTGCGCGTAAAGGAACTGATCGCCAGGACCAGGACCAGGCCAGACAGCATTATTCATCACCTCATTATAAGCGGCATCGTCTTGGATGTATGTATTTGCATGAGCATGAGCGTGTGCATGCGCATGTCCATTCACATTCCCATTCCCATTCCCATTTCCATGGCCATTATTCCCCTCCATTATGGTAAATACCTAGTTATGGCAGGTTCCTTAGGGAGAAGGAAGCAATATTATCACGTGATTGCACTTATTAAAGGGGTGAATTAGGGGCCAGTTGATGGGAATAGCGAACACTTGTCTGGCGTTGGTGGCGGTGGGTGTGAGTGAGGGTGTGAATGCAGTCAAAGAGTGGCGGAGTTTATCGGGAATATCGGGATGATCGGAATGAATGCTCCGGCACCCTCGAAATGACCGGGTTAGGAATGGCGTGAAAGCGGAAATGGCCCGATCGGGAGGCGCAGCATGCGATGTGATTGGATTACTAAACGAGAAACTTGTATCAGCATGGGCCTTGGTCCTCTTTTCGCCTTGTTCGAGCAAAGCAGCAAGAGCAACAACTCGGTATTTTGCTTGCGCCGCAATAGGTAATAATGGTCGTCGGATCTCCCCTTGGCCTGCAACCTGCAACCTGCACCCTGGGCCGAGCCGAGCTTGGTGCGGGAGAACAGACAACAAAAGACAATGAGATAGTGGTAGTGATAGTGGTAGTGATAGTGGTAGTGATAGTGGTAGTGATAGTGGTAGAGGCAGTGGACCAGTGGTATAGACTCTGTCTCTTATACACATCTAGATGTGTATAAGAGACAGGGTAGAGGCAGTGGACCAGTGGTATAGACTAGGCCGCCCAGGGAGGAAGCGGATGTGGACGTGGACGTAGACGTGGGGGAATAATCACGTCGTGCGCCGCCAGTCGAGTCAAGCCCAAGGAGCAGCCAGCAGAGCCAGACAGACACCAGACGGTTGTTGTCAGCGCAGCACAAATCCGCGATCCTTCACCGGCGACTGTTGCTGGCGGTACTCTGTACGGAGCAGCGCGCAGCAATGTGCAGTGCAGTATAGGTATTTTACCGCTATTGCTACCGCTACCACTGTCACTGCCACTGCCACGGCCGCTACAACTCTCTACCGCGCGAGGCGCTGGAGTGGGCGGTAGCGTATCTCGCACGCGTTGCAGAGCAGAAGCGCAAGCTAATGTCTAGGCAGAGGAAGATGCAGATGCAGATTGTAGAGGCTTCTTCTTCTCCCTCTTCTTGTAGTACGTACTTGGAACTGGAACTGGAACTGCAACTTGTAATGTGTGCTGGTTGTGCTTCTGCTTCTGCTTCTGCTGGCGACCCACGACCGGTGCGCGCGCGCGCAATGAATGAAGTGTTAAGGTGTCACCGTACCCTTTAATAAATTGGTCAGGCAATGCTCTTCTTCCCTGAGCGAACGCAACCCCGGCAATCCCAATCCCAATCCAAGCTTCCAATTCACGCTGTGCAGTTCATTTGTACGATCAAAATCATTTGTATCTGTTAAGGGCCGAGGCCATGATGTAGCCGGAGATGGGGGAGATGGGGGGGGATTGATGGAGGAGATGGAGCAGATGAAGGGGGATGAAGGGGATGAAGGGGACGAGGAGAGAGCGCGCGAGGAGAAAGGGAAGAAATGGTGAGTTGGGTGACGGCCCTGCCTCGTTTGGCGCTAGGCCGCTTACAGCCTCGCGTATGGTTGCGAGTTGCTTGCCACTACTCCTGTGTGTACAACTGTATACACTTTGGCTATTAGTCGAGCTATTATTTGCTTTCTTGAATGGAGACCGCCCTTTATCAGTTCCAGAAATTCAGATTTGGCAGTTAATTAAATCATGATCCTGTCTGCACCATTTTTATTCCCCGCTTGTTAGACACTTCCATCTGTACCGAGCTCGTCGGCGCTATATGCGAAAGCGGTTTCTATGATCTGGCTGCTTGATAGCCCTCCAAACACCTTGAAGTAATAACCGTATAGCTATGGCAACCACCCATGAGTCCCTCCGGGACCGCCAGATCAGTAAGAATTCCTCTGGTATTTGAGTTGCTCTACCTAATCTAATTATTACTCACAGGGTCGATCCAGCGCATGCTAAATTTGAACCATGACCCCGAGGACGCTGAAAATGCCCTGGCCGAACATACCAGCGGTACCGCCCTCGCAGCTCCTTCCGCTCCACTACTCAACGCAGATGGCGATCCAATTTGGAAACTACTGGTCTTTGACGACCTGGGAAGAGATGTAATAAGCAGTGTTCTGCGGGTCAGCGATCTGCGCGCGTGGGGCGTCACAATGCACATGTAGGTTCGCATGGCAGAACAGAGGATGGAATGTCTATATTGAGGATACCACTGATCAACCCAGGCATATATCATCCCCACGCCATCCTATCCCCGATGTGCCAGTTTTATATCTAGTTGAGCCTACCTCTCCGAATCTCCAGGCCATTACCACCGACCTCTCTCGTGGGCTCTATTCCCCCGCCTACATCAACTTTCTCTCCTCGATACCACGGCCTTTACTCGAAGACTTTGCGAAACAGACTTCAGAAGCCGGCACCTCAGAAAGCATTGCACAGTTCTACGATCAGTATCTAAATTTCATTGTCGCGGAGCCGGATTTATTCAGCTTGGGAATGCGAAAGCAAAACACATATTGGGCAATAAATGGTCGGCACACCACAGATGAGCAATTAGACCAGCTCTTAGACAGGATTGTCAGTGGCTTATTTAGTGTTATGGTTACTATGGGTACGTTTGCTCGGGAAATGCTTTCAAGCGAACTCTAACTTACACTCTCAGGGGTTATGCCTATCATCCGCTGTCCGAAGGGTGCCGCGGCAGAGATGGTTGCCGTGAAGCTCGACCGAAAACTTCGAGATCATATCTTAAACTCGAAAGATAATTTATTTTCCGCGCCGTCGAACCGACCATCGACCAGCACAGGCACGCCTTCATCTCGGCCTGTCCTCATCATCCTGGACCGAAACGTAGATTTGATACCCATGCTCTCACATTCCTGGACTTACCAATCCCTTGTACACGATATCCTGAATATGAAGCTCAACCGAATCACTGTCGAGACCCCCATCGACGAAAACAACCCTACCAAGGGCACCACCAAAAAAGCCTATGATCTCACGTCAAATGATTTCTTCTGGACCAAGAATGCCAGCGTCCCTTTCCCACAAGTGGCGGAGGATATCGATGCGGAGTTAACGCGTTACAGAGAAGACGCGAACGACATCACAAAAAAGACAGGGGCTTCCTCAATAGAAGATCTCCAAAATGATACTAGTGCCTCCGCCCAACATCTCAAAGCAGCTATAACGCTCCTCCCCGAGTTGCGAGAGCGGAAAGCAGTCCTAGACATGCATATGAATATTCTCGCCGGCCTGCTAACAAGCATTAAGAACCGTCAGCTGGATAACTTCTTCCAAATGGAAGAAAACATCATGAAGCAGACAAAGGCTCAAGTCCTCGAGGTCTTAAACGATGAGGAGAAGGGCAAGGAGCCAATGGACAAGTTGAGGCTGTTCATCATTTGGTTCTTGAGCACCGAGCAGGAGATATCGAGAACAGAGATGGAGAAATTCGAGGAGGCCTTGAAAGCCGCCGGGGCAGATATCACCTCTCTGGCCTACGTCAGACAGTAAGTCTAGCCAGCAGCTACCCCTCCAACCCCTTATACCCCATTCGCTTCTAACATATGCGCCTCCAGAGTCCGGGCCACAACCCGCATGACTATGATGTCCACAGCACCATCCCAAACCACCCCACAATCCTCAACATCCACACAGCTCTTCGGCGGCTTCTCCAGCATCTCCTCGCGCCTAACCTCCTCGCTCAAAGAATCCGGCGTAGGCGCCAACTTCGAAACCCTCATTTCAGGCGTGAAGAACTTCCTCCCCGCAAACCGTGATCTCACCGTCACGAAAATCACCGAATCCATCATGGATCCCGCAGGCGCAAGTAGCTCCGCCATCGCCAAAACCGAAAACTACCTGTACTTCGATCCTCGGAGCGCGAACGCAAGGGGCACCATGCCGCCCCCCAGTGCCGTTAGGAGGGGCGAGCAGATGCCTGGTGGGCTTGCTGCTCCCGGGACGGGAGCTACGTTCGGACAGCGCCGGCAGGGGTTTAGTGATGCGGTGGTGTTCACGGTTGGAGGTGGCAGTATGGATGAGTATGGGAATTTGCAGGAGTGGGCGAAGCGTACGGGGGCTGGGGGGAGTGGTGCTGTGCAGGGCGCTGGGAGGAGGAGGGTGGTTTACGGGAGTACGGAGCTGGTTAATGCGGAGGAGTTCGTTAAGGGGGAGTTGTTCAAGTTGGGCGCTGAGGTACCTTGATATACCTACCTACCTTAGGTATTAGAAACACCGTTTTTTAGAATGAAATGGTGATATGAGTTAACCCTATGCATACAAGACAATAAATGTGTGATCATCATCATCGTAATACTGGTTTTGATTTTTAAAATAGGGGGTATATTTAACGATCTCCTGCATACTGTTTATCGTACCAGAGAAAATGAAGCTACCTAGTTACTACATACACAACATGAAAAAAAAAGCTACACAAGGACATGATATAAACGTGTGGGAATCCTCGAAAAAAGATAAACCAGACAAGTACAGAAAAACTGAAGCAAAAAAAAACAAAAAAACATTCCCGCTCAAAATAATGCATGCCGAACAACTCTAAGGTCCCCTATGCTACCTATGAGCGATTGGGAAATCACAAATGCAATCTCGCTTTCTTTTCCTTATTTTCTCTATTAGAGGCCGCGGAAAGGACGAGGGGAGGTGTACAAGCAATGTGCGCGCGAGAGAGAGGTAGAGGGAGGCAGGGAAGCCTCTAAACTCCTCTGAACATCCTGACGATCAAGAACCACATGGCGCCGACGAATTTAAATGCGCTTAGCCCGGCAACACTGTATAGCACCACCGCCATGTAGATTGTGCTCTTGGTCGTATCATCCGTGCTTGTAGACACGCGCTGAAGACCGGCGGTGCTCAGTACCACGGCGCAGAGGCCGAAGTTGCAGACCAGCCAGAACAGCACGACGCGCGAGCGGAAGCCCTTGTAGTAATCTTCTTGCTTTTCCGAGGGGGACGTCTCGCGTTTTTCCTCGGGGGCTTTAACCATGATCTTGCGCATCTCAGCTTCGTACTGGGCGTTGAGATCGCCGTCGTCCGTGGGGATATTGACGTCGACCTTGCCGCCGGGTTTCAATGTGGCCGAGGGCAGCTTTTCTGCTTTGTCGTCGCCCTTGGTTCCCCACGTGATGTCGTGCGTGTTGCAGAAGGCGTAGACGTTCAGAATATTGATGTAGGTGGGTGTGAGGAGCAGGTATTGGATGAAGGAGGTGAACATGTGCCAGGGGTCGAAGAAGAGGAAGGAGACGACAAACCAGAGGACGTAGGTTGCGGCGAGGGAGATGATCAGCGTGTAGAAGATTTGGTTTTTGATTATGTCCGTCCACGTAAATTGGCCGTCTTTGAGCTCTTCCTGGATGGACTTTACCGTGATGAATACCGATGCAAACATTAGGTACCTATCAAAGTTAGTAAGAATATGGATATAACAGCGCTTCTTGTGACGTGAGGAACTTACATCATGATAATAGCCCAGAAATAAACCATAGACATGTAGGCTCCATTTGATCCTTGAGGTCGATTTCCCAACGCTAGCACGAAACAAGTGAGGAGCGTAAAGAGATAAAGCCATTCAAAGACGACACCAAGGATATTCCCAACTTTGCCAAGGAGGTTTTCAGCCCCAAGCGATGTTGTCAAGATATGGAAAACCAGGAAGAAGTTACCAATCGCGAACCATGCAAAGATCATGTTAATAGTTTGGAATGTGAATTCCACCAGAAACATTATCTTCCGCAGGAAGCTATGGCCACTCCGGAACAATTGATAAAAGTGAGCTAAGGCATAGACAGCGGCGAAGAAACTACCGTTCAACCATCTTCGTCGCTGCAAGATGAGCTCCGCCATGGTATCAGGAACATCGGTTTCTCCCGTGGCAGACTTGACATATTGAAGAATCCAGTGGCAATTTCTCTTCGAGACCAACTCAAAACAAAGGATACGATCCTCTGCAAGATACATGTTCGCAGTAAAAATGCCAGCATTGGCGCCATGCATCTTCTCTCCAGCGAAGTACTTCTCGAGGGGTCCGTTTCCAGCCTTGTCATTTTGCAGAGCAATGTAGCGGTATGCTGAGAAGGCTCCCGGCAAGACTGAAATAAAACCGAAGGCGGATTCAAGCGGCTTGTCGAGGATATTGCTCATCTTGTATTCGAAGTTCTGGGTTGCCACCAGGGGATTGAGAAGGTTCTTGCCTCCAGGTCCCAACATAGCTTTAATCTCCCCACAAGCTCCTGCGCACATGGGTTCTAAATCGAAAGCCTTCCACAAGTGGTAAATAGAGTCTTTGCCGGGTTTAGTACCGGCGTCGATAAGAACGCAGATATTCGGGTCTAAAACGCGGCCGAAAGCTTGGAAAAACCACCTATGCGAGTTGATCTTTTTCTGATTCTTTTCCTTCAGGCAGAAGAGCAATTGGACCGGTTGCTGTTTGGGACGGAGCTCGACAACGTCTTTCTTAACCATGACCCCAACTTGCGTCGTGTACTCATAAATATGTGCCGTGACATCCTTGCCATTGACCTGTTGCTTCGCAATACCATCTTGATACACACCCATACCGGCCAACACGGCTCTGGTTCTTGGATTGATCTTAGCACGACCATCGCTGACGATACAGACTACGATTTTCTTCCAGGCGTCCTTTCCCCACGTCTTGCTATCCTTGCGGGAGCACATGTACTCGATATTTTTGAAAACTCCACTCATTGTCCGCGCGAAAAGTACATCATCCTCATTATACATGGTCACGACAATGAAGAGCTCAGTATGTCGGGGCTTAGCAAACAGCTTTTGTCGCAGGGTAAATCGCTCCTCGAAAAACTCGCTTGGATCGCAGGTCGCTGCTGAATATCGCATATGTGTGAATTCATCTCGCTCCGGCGGTTGAGCATGAGGCACCATATTAAGGAGCTTTGGTGGGATCGGACAATCAAGCACGAGATTACCATTAAACAATTGCACTTCCTTCACTGTCTTGTACCGTTTTAGACCGGGAGCAGGCGTCGGCGCTGGCGATATCCCATGCCCGTCGTAATCCTTGTATTCTTGATTATGCTGATCGGGCCCATAGCCAGTGTCTGAGAGGATAGGGCGCTGGTCGTCATGGTCATAATAGCCTGGCTCGTGGGCGGCAGGATAGCTGGTTAGGGGGTGCTCTTCGTGCGGCGAAGGTTGATAAGGAGGTTGATAGTATGCATCATGATGTTGCTCGGGGTTGATAGCATGGTCTTGCTCGTAATTGTGGTGTGGATCGAGGGGGAATCGTTGCTCGTATTCTTCGTTATGCCCGAATGAGTTGTTGATGTTTTCCACCGAGTACTGTATGTTTAAAACATGTCAGCGTATGCCCTTTTGCCTAGAAAGTTCTTCGCCCATTCCCACCCCCATCCTAACGCGACCACGTACCGTAGGTTGTGCCTGCAACTGATCACTTGGGGTGTATCGTCCGGGGCCCATAGGAATCTCGAGGTTGTGACCCCCAGGGCCAGGCGAGGCTCCGGGCCTACCATAAGGTGCGGTGTCCTCTAGTTGGTATCCATGATTCGATGGATGACCTGGCGATGGTGTTCGATTTGGGCGGTTCGCCATATCGTAATACTCTGGACGGCCTTGGCCGGCGGGGTCTATAGATCGAGAACGGGTCAGAAGGGTGTTGACAGTCGCAGAATGGTCGGCGCTCAGCAAGAGAAAGCTTGGAAAGAAAGCCCTGTACTATGCAGGAAGAATGCTTTGGGAGGTGTGTTCATTCACTGTTCCTTTCTTGAAATTTCTGGGTGCGCTGCACCGATCACAAAATGTTGACGATAATACTCAAGACAGGACCAAGTGAAGACATTCACAAAATGTGGACCGGATTCAAAATAGAATTCCGCCCTATGAAACTCTGAATACCCGGGGAAATTGAGGGACGTACCTAAACGGTTGTAGGACATTGTTTGAGAAGTTACAGGAGCCTGTGGGGGGAGGGTTCTTCGGATAGTCCAGATTTAGATTCCTGGAGGAGGCAGAGGAACGATGCGCGCCGCGAGCTATCTGATAGGTCGACGTGCCCCTTGAGGTTCTTGATGGTGCAGGTGCCGATTAAAGCTCAGCTTTGTGCAGCGACCCAGCGAGTGACTATTGGGGTTGAGATTGGCTCTGCGACAAAGAGCGTAGAGTTGGATATCCTGAGAGGGAGCGCACTGAGAGGTGAATCCAACGGCGGGTCGCGGGCTTGCTTGTTTCAGAAGGACGCGCGAGTCGCGAGGGCAACAGGGGTAGCGAGAGTGTCCACCGCCCACTGCTCTGTACTGCTCTGTACGAAGTGCTCGTACAGTACTTCGTAGTAGTACTCTGTACTGTACTTGTCCCCACAAGCGATTCTTATTATTGTTGATGCTAATCCTCCGTAGCTTCTCGCAAGCAGGTAAAGCCCTGGCCACGCGTTTCAGTCAAATGATGATCAGAGCCCCATTCAGAGCGCCAGTAGTGATGGTTATTGGTCCGAGAGCGCTTTCGGAAAATGAGATGATGGTGCAAGGAAAAACAGGAGCTTATTTTAGAAGTATCTTCAAAGAGAGGGCTGCAAAAGAGCGGATGCTTGCTTGCAGAGTTGACGGGGGATAAAGAAAGGTAGAGTGCTTGATGATGACGCCTCAACCCAACGCTCGCCCTGCTGGATCCGGCACTCGAAATAGCCAAGGGCCAATCCAAAGCATGAAGTCAGCATCAGCAACAGCATCAGCAACACGGGCTGGCCGCGGGGCACACGAATCCGACCTGCGGCTGTTACGAAAGCCGTACGTAGGCCCAGCGCAGTGCAAGAGTAGAGAGCCATACGTACTTCGTCCTTCATCTTTGTTGCATTTAACTACTTTCGCTGGGCAACTGCGCCACACTTCGTGCAGCCAGTGAGAGCCAGGAGGCCCCTCACTAGCCACACGTCAGGTGGGCGCTGCGCCTTACTCCGTGTTCAAGGGTTGGGGCGGTGCAATTTCTGGTCGCCTTGGTTCCCCAGTTGCTAATAAATAATACGTTAAGACGTTAATACGTACCTTCGTAGTACGGAGTAAGTGGCGCTGGGGGGATTCGGCAGCTCGGGTGATAAAGAGATCGCCAGGGGCAGGAGACTTCCGGGCTAGTTAATAAAAATGTACGAAGTACCTAATACGAAGTACTTAGTCAGTTAGTAGTCGGGTGAAAATAGAACACTATGTGGAACACCAGTGGCCTACTTATACTTCCTAGTGGAAGGGGAAACCGACTATTAGGTAAAGGCAAAGGTAACGGCGACGGTACGAGTAGCGATAAAAGCTCATGCTGCAAAGAGAGCCCCCTTATTATCATGGAAACCCAATGGCAGGGTGTCGGAGGATATTCAAGCAGATTGAGTTCGACATTGTTGGTGTCCCTCATAGCGATGATAGATGCGTTATGGAGCATAGCCCGTGAGCCACATACCGAAATCGAAGATATACCAAATATGTTCTACTCCCAAGTCGCCACAATCGTGTCACATCGACCAAGGAATTCAGCCAAATATCCGTCAAACCTCTCTCGGGCTCCCATTCTAACTCTATTATTCTCAAAGTGCAGGGCAAGTGCCTCTTTCTATCCCGCTGCGCAACATTCGTCAACAGCTTATTGCTCCATCAAGGGTCAACATCTGGAAAAGTTTCCTTCAAGAAATTTTTCGAGAACCTCACGCATTGCTCGTAGGCTATGTCGAAACCATCTCTGGCACCATAATACGGATCAATCACCTCTTCGGCTTTCTTCTTCCCGCCGAATTCCCCAAACAGCATTAGTTTTGCCTTTCCCTCAGCTCGTTGCTGGATTCTTTGCAAATCTCGAAGATTATCTCGGTCCTGTCACACATAACCCGTCAGCGAGGGGGAAAAGCGACTACCCCACCATGGTCAATGTGGTTTTGAGAGTTGTAAAATGGGCTTTAGAAGCCACTCATCTACATCTCATCGACCGATGTCCCGCCCTGAGAAAAATCATAATCATGCTTACCATGGCAAAAATATAATCAAAGCGTTGGAAATCCGAGGTTTGAATCTGGACGAGATCAACAACCATCTTTTCTTTCGCGACTGGGAAATATCAAATCTACCTTTCGAGCTTCATGGTCATAGTCGGTGATTCCATGATCCTCCAGAGTCGACATTGTCCTCGAATCGGGGCTGGAGCCAAGGTGATATGCGCCCGTCCCACATGAATCAACTTCTGAAATGAGGTGCTGATGGGGCGACTTGGAGACCGTAGATCTGAAGACGCCTTCCGCCATTGTAGACCGGCAAATGTTGCCTAGACAGACAAACAAGACGGAGATCTGGTCGGACGGCATTCTTGCGGATTCGGTTTCCCTCACTTCTCTCGCCGCAGCGGCACGTATGTGTTGCGAGAAGCAAATCTTCAACCGGCTTAGCTACAACAATAAAAGTAATAGCACCGTGGTTTCGCGGGGACGCCAATATTGTGCCAGGAACACCTGGGACAGACAGTGCGGAGAGCGAGGGCGACCTTAAGCGCAACCTCGACTTCTCGTCTCTTCCAGTCTTTCTCCCGCCGGCAGCTGCTATGCAGCCGCATCCCAACCGAGACAAGACACAGCAGCTCTCCGCTACCAAAACATACATATCCCCAGAAAGTTGCCCGTGTCTCTCATTTGGATCGAGATGCCTTCGGGCAGCTTCCCGTGGTTGCACGATACGGGTAGCGGTAACCTTCGCGTCTTCCATGGTTCCACCTGACCCGGCTCCCTTCGCGGTTGATATAACCACCGGTAGGCTGCAGTATTTGTACTATATGTACCAGGATCCCGGGTAGAATGGCCACCTGTGCCTATCGCTCAATAGGTCTAAGGTGAGTACACATACATAATTTAGATATATTAGAGCCAAGAATGGACGACGGCCTTGGGTCCGTTCTTCCTCCTTGGGTCCGACCCGTGCAGCACTGTCCACACTTGGGTACTTACAGTACGGCACGAGTAGTGCAATATTTTATATTGCCAACAGGCGTGCAGCACGGCCGAGACAAGACATGCCTGCCCCGCTGCCGCCATGAAGACCTGTCCCATATCTAATATATCTTAAGCTTCCCGTCTCCTTTCTCCCTGCCTTTCTTAATTGTTATTCCTGAACTTCCGGGAGCGTTCTTTGGGTTATATTGCCATCTTAGATAGCTTCCGGGACCCAGGTTTTCCAGTCCATTCAGTTTCCTCTTCTTTCGCGCATGCTCTCTTCCCGCGTCCGCAATGCATTTTACCGTCCTCTTCACCACCGTCCTAGTGGCAGTGGGCGCTGCTGCTGCACCAAATCCGTCTACTCTTGTCACTCTCAAGGTCTTCGAATCAGTCCGCCAAACTCCTCAAGGATGGACCAAGTTGGAGGAGCCCAAGGCTTCCCAACGCCTCCAGCTCCAAATCGCTCTTCAGGAACCAGATCACAACCTGTTCGAGGCCACGTTATTTCAAGTCTCGGATCCAAATCACGCAAGTTACGGCCAGCATCTGAAGCGTGAAGAAGTGAAGTCCCTCATTAAACCCAAAGCGGAATCCACCAAGGCAGTTCTATCCTGGTTAGCGGATTCCGGGGTCCCTGAGTCTGATATCGAAAATGACGGCGAATGGGTTAATTTCCGCGTCACTGTCTCTAGAGCAAATGCAATGCTGAATACTACTTTCTCCTACTACACCCAGGATTCGGACAAGTCTCACAAGAAGAAGATCCGAGCTCTGCGTTACTCAGTGCCCTCCAATATTTCACCTCATATCACAATGATCCAGCCAACTACCCGTTTTGGGCAGATGAGGGCCGCGGACAAGACATCCTTCATTTTGTCACATGCAAAGAAGCCTTCCAAGGCTCCTACGGCGCCTCACGTGCCTAGTGTGGTGATAGATCCCTCCTGCAATACCACCATCACGCCTGCGTGCCTCAGAGCAATGTATAGCATTGGGGACTACAGGGCCGACCCACGCGTCGGCTCCATCCTTGGCGTGGCCGGATTCCTGGAACAGTATGCGAAGTTCGACGCTCTGGACCTGTTTCTTAACAAATACGCTCCTTATGCCAAAAGCCAAAATTTTACCTTTGTCAAGATCAACGGCGGGTTGGATACCCAAGATGATAACGTGCACGATGACACAGAAGCGAACTTGGATATGCAGTACGCTGCATCTCTGGGCTTCAAGGAAGAGATACGTTTCTACAGTACTGGTGGCCGCGGTCCGCTCGTACCCGATCTCGATCAACCGTATCCTGAGCACAATGCGAACGAGCCGTACTTGGAGTTCTTAACTTACATGTTAAAGCTTCATGACCATGATTTGCCCCAAACGCTCACGACGTCCTATGGTGAAGATGAGCAGAGTGTCCCGGAATCATACGCACGAACTGTTTGCAATATGTATGGCCAGCTTGGTATGCGAGGTGTTTCGGTGATCTTCAGTAGTGGTGATACTGGGGTTGGTTCCGCGTGTCAGACGAATGACGACAAGAACACTACGAGATTTTTACCCATTTTTCCAGCAGCATGTCCATATGTCACTTCGGTATGAGCCTCCCCCCCCCCCCCCCTGCTCCTGAGAGAAATTACCACTTTTCAGTCCAAGTATCATTGCGATCGAGGGGCCAAAAGGAAGCCTTTTCCTCAAATATTCACGTTTTGTTGGAATGATCCATGTTAAATAATGTATGTTCTAGGTTGGTGCAACTCGTTCTTATCCAGAAGAGGCGGTATTTTTCTCCTCGGGTGGGTTCAGCGACCTCCACCCACGGCCATCATACCAAGACCAGGCGGTAAAACGTTATCTCAAAACTCTAGGAAACAGATGGAAAGGGCTATACAATCCCGAAGGACGAGGATTCCCGGACATATCAGCCCAGGGCTACAGTTTTGACATCTTCGGTCGAAAAGCCCCCACGGGACCGCTTGAGGTATTCCAAGTTGGTGGTACAAGGTACGTTCCCAAATCCATGTACGCATCGTCGTGGAGCTAAACCTCTATTAGTGCTTCAGCGCCTACAGTCGCCGCCATCGTTGCGCTGCTAAACAATGCCCGCCTCCTAGCAGGGAGAAAACCATTGGGATTCTTGAATCCGTGGCTCTACTCCACCGGCAGGCAAGGCCTCACCGATGTCGTTCGTGGCGGCTCGACGGGTTGTACAGGTAAGGATGTTTATTCTGGTCTCCCAACGCCATTTGTGCCGTACGCCAGTTGGAATGCTACGGAGGGGTGGGATCCTGTTACTGGGTTGGGAACTCCCAATTTCCAGAAACTGTTGGATCTGTCGACGCCTAGAAATCGACTTCCTCATATTAGGGACTGCGATGATGGAATGTGCTAGATGAAGAGAAGACTTTTGTTGAAAACACGAATCACATGATTATATAGAGTTCATCTAAAATGTAAAGATTAAGAGCTTATCGAAATATATCATTCTACACCTATATTGCGCTATAATTTCCTCATCTTGTTCGCTATTGTCGCTGCCCCCTCATAGCGCCATCCCGGCACGATCCGCACCGAACCGCACCTCATCCAACCAACTCGAGCATTAACATTCCTCAGCCACCATCTCATCATGCCTTCCCCAACCCCAACCCATCTAATCCTAGTCTGCTGCCATGCAATTTACACAGGCGGTCTCACCCACGGCTCATCCGAAAAAGAATGGCTCATAGCGCCCTTCCAAATCGGTGAAACACCCACCTTCACTGCACACGTCCGCCTCGGGCTCTCACTCCTCTCCTCCTCGGCCCGTAATTCCTCACTCCTAGTATTCTCAGGCGGGCCTACAAGGGCAGAAACTCAGATAAGCGAAGCCAGATCTTATCTTAATCTATGCATCGACAATAACTTCTGGTGCGTGGAAGGGTTTGAAGCAGGGGGAGAATTACGGAGTAAAATCGTGTGTGAGGAAAAGGCCTTGGATAGTTTCCACAATTTGCTTTTTGGGATTCTGGGGTTTCGGGAGGAGGCCGGGAGGTGGCCCGAGATGATCACGGTGGTTAGTCATGCGTTTAAGAGAGATAGGTTTGTGGATTTACATGTCCCTGCGTTGAGGTGGCCGACGGAGAGGTTTCGGTTTCTGGGTGTCGATCCTCCGTATATGGTTGAAGGGACTGAGGAATATGATGAGGGGAGGGCGGTGAGGACGAGGCTGGGGGAGAGGGAGGGCGGCTACGTGCAGTGGGAGAGTGATGGGCAGGGCGCGGGAGATGTGCTAAAAGGGAAGCGGCAGAAGAGGAATGCTTGGGAGGTGGAGAGGGTGTGGTTTGTGGATGGGCAGAAGAGGGTGAAGAGTGGAGTTAAGAGTGTGATTTTGAACGTGGAGGGGAAGGATGGGGTGGCCGTGGAGGAGGAGGTTTTGCTGGATGAGAGCCAGCCTTGGGAGGTGGGTGATGAGCACGGGCACGGGCAAGAGGGTTGAATTGCCGGACATGGAGTTGGTTTAACTCATTTCTATTGAATAATATGGTAGAAGGAGAATTCCAAGCTGGTGCGACCAACTATGAGAGTTTAACCTGCCCCCATAGAAACCCTCTAACACCATTGCTAATCCAGCATTCCTCTCCATCTACCAGGGAATCGACTTTCACCACACCTTCAACACAGAAGCTATGCTGCCGTTAGACACGATCCCGAGATAAATATAAAATAACGGGACAAGGAACCCTCATACATACCCTTTCTCAAGTGCCCACCGTCTCGTTGTGCCCACTTGGCCACCACTCCCAACAGTTGGTGTAACCCACCTCCCGTCCCTCCAAAAATACGGGCTCGTCAAACTGCCCTCCATAATTTCTCCTTCCCCGCTGACAAGCAGGACCTCCTTCCTCTCTCCCCAATCCATGATCCCTACACGCTCGCGCGCTTTCGTGTACATATCCCGACTGGTGGTCTTGTACGATGTGAACGGCGAGGCGGTGGTATTCCCTGTATCAGGAAGTACAAGGAAGGGATTCTCGCGCGGAGGATCCCCCTGCACAATATCGTCGGGTCCCAACGTCAAGGAACCGCCTGTTAGGGGGCTGGCTTCCACCGTTTGCTTGGAAGCAGCCCGCGGTGGTGGAAGCCTGAAGGGGTATAAAGTCTCCGCGGGCAGGGCTGGGACAGGCATAGTTTCGATGCGGATTATTCCATCGTAGCTTAAGAGCGTTCTAACTCTCAAAGGTGTCGTGGAGTTGGTGTCAATTGCTTGGTTAAGCTTTTCTAGAAGGTGGGAAAATCCTGAGGCTCCCTGAATTCGATTCGCTGCGGTGGCCCAGTTGAAGTGCTCGGCTGCTTGAAGCATACGGTCGCGGTGGAAAGGGAGCATGTAGTAGGGGCTGTGGTTGGGGTTGGGGGCGGTTGTCGTAGAACCCCAGCTTGAGGTGTTGGTTGGGAGGTTGGTGAGGATGGGGTCATAACGGAGGGATGAAAAGAGCTCAAAATCAGGCTGGTCTGACATTTTGAGTTGCTCCGAGGGCTGGGAATGGAAATCTTGGAGGTTGTTAGGAATCTTTTGAACAACAGGGATCATTTATACGGAAAGAAGTATGAGGAAATGTAGTCAGATGTGCCCAAATCGGCGTATGAGGAGGCCAAGCTTGGGAGACAAACTATTGTCCAACGGGCAATGTGATTCGAAGGAAATGGGATCAGAATATAATTAACAAGCGGGGCATGGTTCTGACAATAAGACTTTTCTGGGGGTTTTGTCTCGTTTCTCTGGGTTATATATTGCGCTCCTCCTGTTCACAATTTGGGATAACAGAAGTGTATCGTGACCGAACAAGGCTAAGCAAATCGCGAATGACATAAACAGTGAAATAAAGTAATTCCAATGACTTACTGTAGCAATGTAAAGGCAAATTTGGTGATGGCCGAGTTTTGTCTCCCAGGGGCCAAATACTTGGTAACTACACCCCCACTTTGAAATGACATCCACGCCCTGCGGCTAGACGATCTTCGCGTCTGAAGCCTTAGTTGTGTCGAACGTCGGCTGGCGTGACACTGGCGGTAAAAATAGATAGGAGCCTATATTATGTGGTAGGAAGGAATTCTGCTATTATAGGGATGCTATTATAGGGGGAGTCTGTAGGGATAACTGGACTCTGAATAGGAATACAGCATTGTGCACCTGCTCCAAGGTGGTGGTAGCTGATCCCGAAGTTTACCCGTCCACCATGGATTTCAGTTAGACCTGTTCGAGAGCCTGAATTTATAAGGCATGCCGAGAAAAAATTTCTTCCAGTTTAATTAATAAGAAAATTAAGTAGAGAGGTCACCATAAATAATAGAGTTAGCAGTTTTCCAACGCGAAATAGTATTACCACTGACATCACAGCTAGTCAAAAGGGAATTCACGATGATTAGCAGTCTATAAAATGAATCGAAACTACCTAGGTAGCCTTTTTGTTGTTTGCCATACTGTCCTTCACTTAAACACCTTATGCCTCCTCCTGACGAGCAATAGAGAGCTGCTGGCGCATAGGACTAAACACTGAATCCGGGTCTGTACGCTAGTGGTACTTGGGCTTACACTGCACAATTACTCGGTACCGTTTAGTCAGCTCAGCACACTTCTACAGCGCCTCGAGCCCGTTCGCACTATCGGATTCTTCCATTCATTCATTGCTGAGAATTATTATTGTGAACCTTAACGAACCTCAAACTCCTAAGCAACTTGGCCGAAATGTGACCTCGTATTTACAGAGACCAGTTCCTCATGCATCCTCCAACCCGCTTTCGTCGCATACAGTAAATACGCTCCCACAATTCACAAAGCGAGTCGAGGTCCAGAGAGGAGTCAAGATCTTTGCGTTCTTCGGACGACGCACATACATACGGCCTCCCAAGACTTGGCAATGGTCAGATCTCATCTAGAGATGCCAGGGAAGTGGTTTCTCCACAGTCGACCACTTTGGCAGGCCAGCCCATCATCGTGGACCTTAGGTCTCATCCGTCATCTGTAGCTTGATGGTCCATGGAGAATTCAAGCTAGCCGAAGGATACTCTCGATGTTCAATCGGATCTACAATATCATTTGTACGTTGGCCTTCTGACAAATCTCTCTGGCGCCTTTCAGACAAGATGGATCGTATCCCGGCCAGTCCTTTCATGTTAACAAACTAGTGGGGTTGAGAAAGGATGATCTTCGATTTACTTGGCTAATACTGTGTTAAGCTATCCTGCATTCCGTTGGCTAGAGTGTTGCCCCAGATCTTCCACCGAGTAGCCGACACATTCAAATGACAGCAAAATATTTCGTCTTGCAACAAATAATCTTCATAGATATCAGCAAAATTGGGTCACTAGATTGCAAGAAGAGGGAATTTCTGTCCGACATCAGACACTACGGCACCAAAATATTTCGTTATCCCGACTTCCGTCATATTATCGCAATAGATAGGGGGGGTACGAATCCCACACTACCTGGGTGGGGTAGAGGCTCAGAGTAAGTTAGAGGACACATCTGTAGTGCCGCAGGATGTATCACAACAATCAACAACACCTTTCACACCCATATTATTTTCAAAAAGCGAAAATTCAGACCTTTCAACAAACTAGTTTGCCAGTTAGGGTTCTATAGCCAGCGGTGTCTTAGACTCCAAACCACGAATTCAACCAGAAGCAGTCCCAATCATTCGATCGGCGAAGTTTTGGCACAAGCTCGGTGCAAGTTTCAAACGGACGACCTAAGTGCTTTATTACAAATCCCAAAAACTGCCGACGCTTTTACGCCTGATTCAGCAAGGTTCAGGGATGACCGAACTGACCGCAAATTCGTATTCACAAGAACTAACTGTTGCTGACCATCTTTCTCACCTGGGGCTTACTACTGTGGCTTGAACCCGCCTCAACTCCGTGTGCAATGGAATGCAATGCTCCGAGCTGCATCAGCCCGCACCTGCGGGCGTGAAAATCCACGTCACCGCCAATACACAAGTTGAAGCGCAGCTCTATTCTAATGCCTTTTGGCGTCTTTGAAATATCACCTTGCTTTCCTTTATGTTTTACTTCCCATGGGCAGCAGTGGCACAGTCGTCCTGTGACCTCTGAATCAGATCTAATTCTATTCTGTTATTTCTATGGATTTATTTTTGTCTACCGAATGGATTCCCTCGTCTAAAACGAATAAAATTGTCCATGCGTTTGTGTGCGATAGGAAATGCTCACGCCCATCTACGGAGCTTTTTCATTTTCTTGTATTAGAGAATGCCCCGTCCAGCAGGACCAAAAGTATCCATAGGCCCACACACGATAGGAAATGTCTCACCCTATCTACACGGTCCTTTTATTCTCCTGTATCAGAGGATACCCTTCGCCCATTGCATGGCTCTTCCTATGCATTCCTCCGTCCAGGATAGCCGGAAATATCTATATATTCGTGCGAGATGGAAAAAGTCTCACTTCCAACCAACTACGTCCTTTTTTTTGCGTTTGAGGCTTTTCGCCGAAAGTCATTGAAAAGTGGTACGGAACCTTACTGGATGCCAAATCTCTGATTTCTGGGTCCTCCTAGTTGAGAAATGACTTAATTTTTATTCTCCATGGCCATTGGTGTCATGGGCCATAATCTAGGGGCATGGTCCCCAACACGGTAGCTTGGTCCATTTTTTGTAGTTGGCAGTATGGACGTGTTTATAAGAGCGAACAGTCCCCCAGAAATATTGCATCAAATTCCTTCACGGTCCCAAGCGCACCTTGCCTCATTCCACGCCGCCCAGACTCCGCAAATCATCTACGCCTCTAATACACAACATAATCAGAAACCGCAAGTCCTCTACACGAAACGTCTAACGCCATGCCGAGTTGCATTATCTGCACCGCCCACAACGCGATTGTTGCTTGTAAACCAGGGTATAGACCGATTTGCAAAAGATGTCAAGCGGTCTTGCCAGACCCCGGGGCAGTACCGTCCACCCCATCTTTTCCTTCCACCCCATCAAAACCAATACGCCGGGTGTAGCCTCCCATCGATGGGACTTTTAATGTGCCCCAACCGCCTCCCTTGGATGAGATTCGCAGCGTCATTCTACCGACTCGCTTGGATGAGATTCGTAGCGTCGTCCTACCGACTCGCTTGGATGAGGATGGACCCCCGGCCCCTACTTTGGCGACACACATCCTGCTGGCGGGATGTATGTTCATTATCTGCTACATATCTTTTTCAATCCCTTAAGATACAGAGTACGTGACCACCACCGCGTCACCGCCGAATCTGACCGCAATGCGCCGAAGCCGACATAGAAGAATTCACCATTCTTCTTCCTGCGTGGATGGATATGGGGGACGGCTGGAATATAGGTGCTAGGAACTTTTGCTATGCATTTGGGTTTTTCATTTGGGTAATAGTCATTGGCATATTTTAGTATGCAGTTGGGGTTTTCATTTGGGCAATGGCTACTGGGTTAAATATGAATTTGTTCAAGTTTGGTTGATAATAAACAAGTTCATTTCCCATGTTTTTATAGTTAAAAATGCCTCCAACCCTTTCATCTACTTACACCACGCTCTCCAAGGAAATCTAAATCTTCTTTCGCGCTGGAACTTCGCGTCTCCGCGGCATTACAAAAACTTTAATTAACGCCTTAGATATTCCACATTTAATTGAAAGGCTGCTTGGCCACCGTGACAGGCATTTGGCAACATTCATTGCTGATCGAAAGCTTCTCTAACATTTTCTGACGTGAATAGTATCGCTGGCGGCATCACGAATAGTCGAAGGGAATTCACAATAATTAAAATGAAATAAATGAAGCTCGCTGTTTGCCGCACCTTGATTCCCCTCAAACACCCTCTACTGCCTCTAACAAAACGCTAAATAGAGAGGAACCGGCGCAAGAGAGGAAGCAACAAGAGCTCCGGCGCCGCTTCAGCACCCGCCGCTTCTGCACCCTGCGCCACTTGTGCACCTGGCAGATTCGTGGTACTAACAGCAAATTCAATACGCGCGGCAGGATACTGTCTTAGCGCCCTTCTGCCCTGTCGCATCATATAACTCGTGTACAATGGAAAGCCTGCTCGGACGCAGGCATGTGACAACATCCACATCCAATCAGCGAAATCTTTGGGGGGGGTCGGATAGACTATAGTGGAATCTTGGAGGATTGGTGGAGTGTATATAGCGAAGTTTCTGTTTAATCGAGGCTCGGTGGCAACTCTCCACTTAGGCAAGTAGCCTGCCCCTTCCCAATACATAATCGCTGTTACTTTGGGAGCCTCCAAGGGATCAGTTGGTATTGTAACAAAAAAGTGCTTTGGGCCACAATCCACATGTTGCAATACAAAAGGATCGTCGGCATCTAAGGGCTCGATTCCTTCGTCCTGCCTTTTAAGATATTCAAAATGATCCTCTTGCGAAACTCTTGATTCTATCCGAGGTTTCCACGCTGGCAGCGTTTCCCGTATCCGAAGTGAGTACTGTCCCGCAATCGCCCCTCCTGAAACTGTTTCAACATAATCTGATTCATGTTTAGCAAGTTCTTTAAAATGACCTGCAACCTCATGCGCGACTTGAAGCCTCTGTATAATTGTAAGACGGGGCCATGCCTCATTATACCGAGTCCCGGCAACTCGTCGTGAAAGCATAACAGTTCTCTTCCACTTTTGGTCAATCCACTCGCATATTATTTCCTCTGTTGGAATAGAAGGCACATGCTTATTAACAAATCGGATTGTGCTAGCTTCGGTAGTCAGGCCCTCAGCCCAGGATTTGACTTTACAGAAAACGTTCGGGCTTAGCATCCATAACGCAGCGTTGTACCCGCGAGAAACTCTCCCTGTCAGAATATCTCCTTTAGGCTCTCCATCTATCGTTATCCTTGGTGTAGGTCGTTTTCGGATGCAATATGTCTTGCCCTCATCGCTCCAACTACAAACCACGTCAGAAGGCACCTTTTGTCCCTCTTCAACTTTCTCGCAAAGCATCAGGGAACCGATACTCCAGTGACCGGGACTTGTAAGCTCGACAGTCTCCTCAAAATATGGTTGTAAAGTCTTGAGCAATATGTTCGTATCCTCAGGGACATCAGTCAGAGGATCAAACGGGACTGGGATATCGTCATCGCGGTATCTAGAAAGGCTACAATTAATTAGTACGATAGCGCGTACAAACAGGGCGGCCGGGGGGTAGGTGAGGGGGTGGGTGAAGGGGTCTGAACTTACCCATCCATGGTGGGACTTGGTCTAAATTTGAGTTGGGCGGGGAAAAGAGAACGGGTGACAAGTTCTGATTAGTTCTGCTTGCGAATTAAATGCAAATGGATAGTTGTGTTAATCGAACTTGATAAAACTCGATAGAAGGCAGAGTAACACTATTCATATATTAATAGTTAACAGAGGTTATTAAAAAATAACCAAGTGTTCGCTCATATCTTTTCTGTTTAACTCCTGGTCGCGCATTGAAGGTTGCAAACAGGAGATCAGTCCTTCATGTTCACAAATAAGTACTTGCGCGCATAAAGGAAAATTCATGGACAAAAGAGATTTCCCGAGGAGTACTAAGCTAGCTCCGAATCGCATAGCAAATAGAAGATCATTCGTTAATATTGACAAAGAAGTACTTGCATTGTAACGGCTAGGTTGGCGCTCGCTCGAGCAGAACAAAAGAACTTAAAAACCGGAAACATCATTGTAACATTAAAGAAGTGCAACCCAATAGCATTATGAGACTGACGGCGAGTGTCACAATATACTTCTCTCCATAATGGCTCAGGTGAAAGGCCTGCGGGACTGGGGAAGTCCTGGAGAAGTGTCTCCCTTGTCCAACGATGAGGGGAGTTGATAGGCCTCCCCATGTTGCTCTGAGTTGGTAGCCTATCGTCGCAGATAGGAAAGCCATTGTTTTTGCCTTTGACCTCTCCCATACTAGTCATTATTGGACACGATGGATTGCCAGGGTTGCTGGGAAAATCTTGAGACTGCGAGATATGTATGTACGCGCTAGATCGATCTCGGTTGCTGCATATCTTAGCACCGGGATAGGGGTTAACCCCTTTGCACTTGACAATAATCCATCACTCTTACACCTTGAATCAACGGTATGTCAAGCACAAAGGTACTGCGCGCATGTTAGACTCGAGGCACCGCGTTTCAATGGAACCAAGAGAGATCAGCCTTGAAAATGTCGAGAGGCTATAAGAGGTGTTTTGAACCCAAGGCTGTCGTCGGCGTATTCCCAGGAGGGGATTCGAGCTGTCATTGATCGATCGAGCCTGGACGATGCCATACAAGCTTCACGCGTTTCCGCAGAAAGGTTGCTGAGAACGTAGTACAAATAGGGGTTTCGTGAGCTCGAGCGCTTTCACTTTCCCCGAGAAGCAAAACTCTACTTCATAAAAGCGCATCCCTTGTTTTGGCACAGACGCCTGGCAAGTGTCACTTGTCACTGCTTAGCAAAGTCATAGGGCTGAAAGCTGGAAAATGTGGCTTCGGAACGAGATCAGCTTCACGGTACCGACAGGCAGTCCCTATAGGACCGTATGCCGACGGGCCACATGCCATAGCTGCGCAAGCTGCATCTGAGGTAAGTTAGGGTCATGTTTTTGGTGCGGCTGAGAATGCGAGTCGCCAGTACTGTAAGAACAGAGGCTTACACTGCCCAGTTCCGCAAAATTACCTGCCCGCCATGGGCTGAAGAATGACTCCTTGGACTCTGTCTGCCAGACACATGAGCCCGCAAAGCCTCAACGTGGCGTCGATACAAAACAGTACTTCACATGTCTAGCTCCACAAACGGTATTAGTTAAAAGTAGACGGTAAAACCCCACTCAGCCTTATAGCTTTGTCTTCTAGAGATTACTCTGTGGTCATCCTGCGATTTTGAGATGATTGTTATATTGCTGTCCAATAAACAATATGTCTCTCGGGACTTACGAACCTGTTCTAGAATTTATGAGATTGGACGACGGGCTTCCTCTTCGAGATGATGGCTCCGTAGGAGAGTCTTTCCACTTGCCTCCCCTCCCCCCGCATAGATCAAATGCTCCATCCGCGGCTTCCTCTATCAGTCCACTTCGAGTGAGCAAACCTCGACACGCTTCGCCCCTTACCCAAGGACAATCGGTAGAGAATGATGGGACATTCGACTATTTTGAAGATGGCGGGTCTCTCCATTACCCATCACGACCCAGACTAACAATGAATCAATGATACAGACTTTCGAGGCGGTGGTATGGGTGGTAGCTCAGAAAACCGTCCTGACGGCCGTGCTCCTAGCAACAATCAACCACGGCTATCGTCTGGTGGGAGGCTGGTTTATAACTTTAAAGCGGACACGCAATTTTGGAAACTGTTTGGCAAGGGTCTTACCAGGTTTTTCGTCTCGTTAACTCTTGCCATAACTCTTCTTGTTGTCATATGGCGCTTCTCGAAAAAGGGCGCTATGGATTCGCAATCTAACAAACTCTTCAACGCGATCTCGTTGGGGCTTTCGCTGGCCCTAAGTCTCAATATCTTCCATGCATTTAAAGCTATGATCATTGACCTGCGATGGTTTATTCTCAGCCGCCAGGCGAGAACACTCTCAGAGGTATGTGCTAACTGCTGTTGATGCCTTGTATCTTACATGCTCACTCGAGAGAAGGTGGATAAGATTCTTCGCGCGGAAAATTTCATCATCCAACTTCGACTGTTAGGATCCACTATTAGGAAAGGTTTTCTAAGAACACGTAGATCATGGGATTGGGGGTTGATTGGAGTCTGTCTTGTGCTTTTGCTCGCCACCGTTGTAAGACCTCTTCGAGGAACGATATTAAACATTCAAAAATACTAATTGGCCATTTAGAGTGTCCAGGCTGCCATTGCTATGATTGGGATAAACTTTTACGTCGGGGTTAATGAGGAATCTGCCTTTCTGAAACCCGGCACAGTATTGGTTGCTGACCTGAGCGCGATATACCCATTGGTATATGAAATTCCACCCAGCTCATTAGCTGCTCAACAGTTTGCAGCCAATAGGTTGGTCGTCCCATTCAACGTGAAGCGTATATTAAATGATATATAGCCTAGGAAACGGAGCACTGCGGTTACATCATGGCCTTGTCAGCGTAGTACCAGAGCCTGGAAGCTATTGGAACATCGGCGCAGATTTCTTTGAAGCAGATGACCACATGAGTTGGGTGTTTGTGTTTCTCGAATCCTCAACGACGGTAGGCATTGGTCCTACTTCCTCCGTATACACTGATAGGAGTATCAACTCAACGGGGAGTTGCCACAGTTGGCCAGTTATTGAAGGAGGAAACGGTACTGTGGCCAATTTAACAGTGCAGCAAAACCCCATTGGCGAGGCCACTAATATCACATTGCCAAACATTGGCGGCCCAGATCAGACGACTTATTTCACTGTTCCTACAGCAGTCTGCGGACCCGGATGCAGTATTATTGAAGCCTTTGAAGCATCGTCAACCGAGCCGTGGTACTACAGCTGCAACATAACTATTGGATCCGTTGTCAATGGAACGCTTCCAGAACATGAAGTTGGTTACCCCTTTCGACAAATGGCATCAGCGAGCATCGCCTTGCAGGGTTACGGGTTGACGTTCAAATCCCCAGGTGCCACGCAATTCCAAGTTTACCCAGCAGAATCGCCTTTCGGTGCACCACAAATTGGTAGTTTGAGCGGAATGGGCACGTTGATATCACGGTTCGCAATTGGCGTCATCGCAATGTCGGCGCTCTACCCCGGACCTAACAACACCCTGGAGATTCCAGGTAATGAGCCTATTATGGGGACTGTTCTTAACGTCAACTGGAAGTATATCTGGTTGATTACAGCGTTGATCTTGAGTGCGCAAGGCATAAGCTTCATACTGACTGCATTTTGGGCTAACAGGGTGATTGTAAAGGACGAGAGTCCTCTAGCAGTGGCAAGTCTCCTGAATCCGATTATTGAGAGACTCGGCGGGCATGGAACCGCAGCAAGCGGGCGTCAGATTTGCAATGAGGTGGGGGATATCCTGAAATTCAGATACACAGTTCATCAGCCAGGGGGAACTGGGCCTCTGCAGCTGATTTTGAATCCGGACCCGAGAATTAGAGCATTTCCGGAAGGGAGTTTTGATTAAATTCGATCTTCGAAGGTGAATATCAAAGTCTTGGGGAATTCGATTTTCGCGAGAAAAGTGAACAGCAACAATATCAGTGGAGGACCAATAGAAACAATAACAAGCGCTTATTAACTCGAATGATGAACGTGACAATACTATCCAAATAGGAATATGGAAAACAGCGCAGGAACAATAGGATCGACGACGGGTACTTGAGACTTATTCACAACCACAACCACCATCACTATCACCACCACCTACCACACGTCACACACTTCTACGATCCATAGCGCATACACAGAGCACCACTGTGCTTTCCACTCCAACCAACAAGTATAGAACAGCAACAACATCACGCAAGCATTTGAGCCTCCCCATCAAGAAACCATGGGCAAGATGACCCTAGCCCACAAAAGCACCAGCTCCTGGAAGCGGGACATCACTCTCCTGACCTGCATCTTGCGGCTCCATTGCCAGCCCTCTGTCACATACGAAGCAATCGCCAACTTCATCCTCAAAACATGGCCGAATGCAATGCAAAGACTCGCCGAACAGTCATTCCCCGGTTATCCGAGAGAGCTCTTTAAGTCTGCCAGTTCAATGAAAGCCTGGATGCCGGGATATATATCTCAACTATTCCAGGCAGCCGAGGAGAATCGATCAGAACTTTGGAATATGGCTAGGGGTTACGATGGAGACATTGTACGTGTCATTTTGGGCCTTGTGGGATTGGGTTGTGAGGGATATCAGGTTGTAGACCAGCAGGAAATGAATATGCAGATTCAGTGGAGGATGGAGGGGGATTGGAGGGCTGGATCAGTGCCACTTGATCCTCTTCCGAAACTGAAGCCGAGGAAGAGCGTACATGTATCCGGCAGACAGGTCGGTGGCTGCGCAGATCGAGGAGATTATATCAGCTGTAAGAGTATTCGACTTCCTAAAGGTCAGGCTTGAAATCTGTCGCTAGCGGTGCGTCTAGATAAGATCGAGCTAGCAACAAAGGACAAGCAACAAAGGACAAGCAACAAAGGACAAGCAACAAAGGGCAGGGAACAAAGGACAGGGAACAAAGGACAGGGAACAAAGGACAGGGAACAAAGGACAAGGAACAAATACACATTGCGGGCGTATACTACACACAGAGGAAGCGTTTATGTTGCCCTCTATAGCTTATATTCACGAATGTACTTTCTGTACAGCAGCACTTGACCACAATGATCTGTCATTTGGTTTATAAGGCCAATACCCCAATGAAACACGTAGCATTAGGAGACGCCTAGCTCTTAAGTCCGTAAGAATGGACGATTTATTATGTGCCACGTCTGCAGAACTCCGCTCCTTTGCAACTTTGAAGGGTTTAATTTGAGAACCTTTGTCTCTTGAATCTTACCAACGTTACGTGGCCTGAAAATCGCAATGACCGTCTAGCCGCCGGCGTCTGCTACTGCCGTTTACTCGTACCAAGCCCTTGCCCAGGACTAAAACTAGGACTAGGACCGAGACCAAGACCAAGACCAAGACCAAGGGCTCTGCTCTGCTCTGCTTTGCTTTGCTTCGCTCTACGCGCCGAGGCGTGTGACGAAGATCAAGAGCCCAATCCGGGACGGCGCCGTCTCCCACCCAGTCGGGACCAGCCGCAGGAACCAATGCCGCGGCTTGTCGATGGCATCAAACGCCCTGTAGAGTAGAGTAGTAGGTACCTTATTGGATTGATTGCTGCTATTGCTGTTATTGCTGTTATTAACACCTATGTTGTAATTGCTACGTCGTAACTTGCTTGTGGTTTGCACGGTAGACATCGCACGTATTATTCCATCCTCGAGTTACCGTACGAGTACGGAGGTACCACGGCGCCCTTTATCTATTGGTGGTGCGTAGACGCCAAACCCCACCAAACCCTTGGCCCCTCGATCCTCGATCCCCTCAGTCACCGCAGCTGAAGCATGACGGAGAGCGTACAGTAAGAAACTTACATTAAGGGCTGACATCCACAGCGCTTTCTTGGGTTGATATTTCTCCAGCGCAGATAGCGCCAATCTCATATACATTCGCTCGCTCCCATAAAGGCCCGGCTATCGCCAGTTCTGCTGCCCCGTCTCCACCAGTGCCATTCCTCCATACCAACAGTGCCCAACCGAACAAGACAAAGCCTCATTTCCCCCGCCGATATAGCCTCTCGTTGCGTGTCTCTTTGACGTCCCTCGATCTTCCGTCGCATACGCTGGTCGCGCATTTTTTGACGTCGTTTACTTCTGCTGTTACCATCACACCACACCGAGAGCCATACAGATTGGATAGATACTACGACGAACTCAAAGGACCGATAGTCGCACCTCCTAGCATCATGGCAGATCTTGCGGGAAGGAAGGTCTTCAAGGTCTTCAACCAGGACTTTATCGTTGATGAGAGATACACGGTGACGAAGGAGCTGGGCCAGGGTGCCTATGGCATTGTCTGGTATGTGATTGATTCCCGTTCTATGTCTTTGCTACAACATGAGGTCTTTTGCTAATGCATTTCTCTTCCACTTGCCAGCGCCGCGACGAATTCCCAGACCGGAGAGGGTGTTGCGATCAAGAAGGTCACCAATGTTTTCAGCAAGAAGATCTTGGCGAAGCGCGCTCTGCGGGAGATAAAGCTGCTACAGCATTTCAGAGGACATCGTAATGTACTGCGCCTTGGTTTTGTGAGAGATGGGCGCTTTGTCTAATTGGAGCAGATTACTTGTCTCTATGATATGGATATCCCCCGACCAGACAACTTCAACGAGACGTATCTCTACGAGGGTATGGCGAAACCCAATTCCCATTGCGACCCATTCACATGCTAATCCCAGGTAGAACTTATGGAGTGCGATCTCGCTGCAATCATCCGCTCCGGACAACCTCTCACCGACGCACATTTCCAATCATTCATCTACCAGATTCTCTGTGGACTAAAATATATCCACTCGGCCAATGTCCTCCATCGTGACTTGAAGCCTGGCAATCTACTCGTCAATGCCGATTGCGAGTTGAAGATTTGTGATTTTGGGCTGGCCAGAGGCTTCTCGGTTGATCCCGAGGAGAATGCCGGATATATGACCGAGTATGTGGCGACGAGATGGTACAGAGCTCCAGAAATCATGTTGAGCTTCCAGAGCTACACCAAAGCTAGTAAGTTGCAGCAGCTTCTGCTCAAAAGGGGAATGAAAACTAAAAATATATACTAGTCGACGTATGGTCGGTAGGCTGCATCCTCGCAGAACTCCTCGGCGGGCGCCCGTTCTTCAAGGGCCGCGATTATGTCGACCAGCTCAACCAGATCCTTCATATTCTCGGGACACCGAACGAGGAGACACTCTCTCGTATCGGGTCCCCACGAGCCCAAGAATACGTCCGAAACCTCCCCTTCATGCCAAAACGAGTCTTCCCCAGCCTCTTCCCCAACGCCAACCCCGACGCCCTTGACCTCCTAAACCACATGCTCGCCTTCGACCCCTCATCGCGGATCTCCGTCGAGGAAGCCCTGGAGCACCCATACCTGCACATCTGGCACGATGCCTCAGATGAGCCCGGCTGCCCCACAACCTTCAACTTCGACTTCGAAGTCGTCGAGGACGTTGGAGAAATGCGAAAAATGATCTTGGACGAGGTAGCACGATTCAGGCAGCACGTCCGCATCCAGCCGGGACAGCAAGGCCAGTCCCAAGGTCCCGCCGTACCCATTCCCCAAGGCGGCCCTGCTGCTTGGGGCGCTGAGGACCCCAGACCACAAGAGGCGTATGCACAAGGCGCTACGGGCTTGGAGCAGGATCTGCAAGGTTTGGATGCGATGCATGCATAGAGTTTTTGGCGTGGATCCTTTTTTTACATCCTTCCGCTTTAGCATTTCTGAATATGAAGTGAGGGTACCTATGTATGGGTTGGGAAATTTGACGGTGGCATTGGTGGCACAAACGCTTTTTTTTTTATATGGATGGATAACGCGATGCATGGGATTTTGATGTGGGGCTGGAGGTAGTATGAGAGAGAGAGAGAACAAAAAAAAATGGCCCCTTGATGAATATGAAATTTAAAGGAGTTTTCCACTCCTTTTTGCTTTTGCTTTTGCTTTGCTTCCTATGTATCTTGAGTGCCGTGATCACGCTATCTCATCTTGGTGGCCGTTTCTATGGATTATGACGGGCTAATAAAGCTACTCTAGAGCATTATTTGCGGTTTATTGATTTTCTATTTACTTTTCACTTCTCTGTTGGTAATTCTTTCTCCGTGGATTAGTGGATCAGCTAATACGAGTTTAGCTTACAGGGAGGAGGAACTTTGTAGAGTGGGTTTTTAAGATCCATCCGTGTTCATCATTGATATGATATGCGTTCCTTGGTTGTGGTACGGGCGGGGCTTGGCATGGTTGGAATTTGCTACATTGTACGAAGTACACTGTACGTAGTTACAACTACAGGCTATAGTTAGCCAATCTGTCGAGTCTACAACAACAAAGCAAAGTTGGCGCGAACCACACATCACAGATTATCAGGTAGGCCAGTCATGCACAAAGGCCCAAGTTGAAATGAGTTTTCAAATAAAGAACATGTAAAATATTTTTTCGGGCCTATTAATAAATAAAAGCTCAGTGAAGAGAATAAAAAGGTACATCTATGGGTATAATTTTGTACATGCATATATCGACGATGCATGAACGGTAATTTTTTTCCCTTGCATCCATCCAACTGCAACAGGTTCGCTTCCGCGATTCATATCTCATCAGCCTCCTATCGTGACATGGTTTTGCCCCTGTGGCATCCAAATTCCCCTTGGATTGCCATGTTTTGTCGTTTTTGTGTGTGTGAGTGTGTGTATAGTCCGATCCAGCACGCGTGTGCGCTTATGCGAAGAACCAGTACTCGGCGGCATATTGCACAGAGATTGGTCCAGCTTCGGTACATGGAGGCGCAACACCACCTGCTGTCTCGACGCGGTACACCTCGCCGATACCAACAGTTTCCGAGCTATATGGTACCTTGGGCTTCATCTGGAGCCAGTCGACCGCCCCGGTGCCGAGAGGACCTTTGTCTGCGTTGGCAGGCGCCTTGGCGCCTCCAGTTTTGGCAGCGTAGAAGATTTTGCCCTCTGGGCCCAAGTTAAAGGTGGGTACTCCGTTTTGGTCGAAGAAGTGATCGCCCAATTTCTGGAGCTGAACGTTGTTGTTTACGGGGATACCATCCTGGGGCTTCTTGATGACGGCTAAGACCGCGGCGTGGACAGCGTCTAAGTCGGTGAACGCGAGTTCAGTTGCGTCAAAAAGAGTGGCTACGGCGCCGACGGCAGTGGAGTTGGATCCGGCCCCGGCGCAGGTGTAGTTTTGGACGCCGCGGCCGATGGCTACGTGTAGGAGGGGGAAATCTGGACCGAGGAGCTCGGGGGCAACTGGGATGGTAGATTAGTAAATGATATGTTGAGGAGAATACTTCAAGCTCAGAACTTACCTCCGGTGGTGGGAAGCGCAGGCGCTGCTCCAGTTGGTGCCGCACTCGTAGATGAAGCACTCGTAGACGAAGCACTCGTAGCTGTTGTGGTACCTGTGGGATCAACGGGATCACTGGGATCGCTAGGACCGCCCGTGGCGACTGGTAAACCTGACGTGACCGTGGTAGTTATGGTGACGGTGGGTCTTGGTCTTCCTCCACAATGCCCCAAATTTGCCGAGTCCGCTTGTGGTGGTACTGGAGAGCCGGCAGACATAGTGAAGATAGTGGTGAGGGCGAGGCCCTGGACAACTCTGCGGAATGAAGGCATGGCGAATGTATGGGAGGGTTTGAAGATGTGTGTTGTTTTGGCGAAAGAAGAAGAGACCGAGCCAAATCAAAAACGAACTCAATTGACAGAGTTGTGAAGCGGAGAAGGCGTTGTAGTAGTTAGATGAAAGCAATTTAGGAGGTTTGAACAACCGGTGGTCAAGCGCCGCCCTTTTTTCTGTGAGAAGAACTTGAGCCGAGATGGGAGAAGCGAATAGGAGAAGAAGAGTTTAGAAGTAATGGAAGGGAGGTATTATTTGTATATGAGAAGCGAGATGCAGTGGAAGAGGTTGAAAGGAGTGACGGGTAGACAGAGTCTTATAGTTCTAAATCGAGCACGGATGTGGAAGCGGATATGGAAGTACGTGGTGGAGGAGGACGAAAACGCGCTGACAACGGCCGGCCACTTGACCAGGACCAAGGCTCCGTCGGAACAGCAAGGTAAGGTAAGGTCAGGTCAGGTCAGGTAAGGTCAGAACCAACACGCCCTGGGCAGCCCCTGTGGTTGAGTCCATGTCTGTAGCCATGCGAGGCGAGGCGAGGCGATGGCACGCTACTCTACAAAAGACACGGTGGGTGGAGCATGGGGGGAGATGCAGGTGTACGGTGCAGATGGTGGTTTGTGGAGTTTGGTGGTGGTGGTCGTGGTGGTGGTGGTGGTTGCTGCTGTTGTTTGTTGTTGTGGCTGGTACAGTACGGCAAGTAGTGGTGAAATTGAATCGAGATTGATGCTAAATTGATCCTGCAAGCCCTGCAGCAAGGCTAAGGCAGGAGGAGGGCGAGTGAGCGGAGGGGCTTGACGCACGCGTAAGGATGCGAAGGAAGAAGCTCCCAATTCGGGCGGCGGAGAGTGGTTGGTTGTTGCAGGCGCTTAAGCCTGGCGCTGGAGACCGTGTACGTGCTGCTGTAGTCGATAGAATAGAGCTGATGGTGCTGCTCCTACTACTACCAAAGAGACCACGGAGATAGAGCCTACGAAGTACTATGCAAGCACTACTGACAAACTAGATACCAGTAGTATAGTATGGTACAGTACAGTATTTGCATTGTATTAATTATTATTGTCCTTCGTACTCTGCACTCTCTACTCTATTCTGAACGCACCGTATGCTGAATCCACTGATATATTCTATCCTCTACTCCGTACTCTATTATTCCAAAGATAGCTCACCCATCATCCGTCATCTCCACCGCGGCCGCCATCCACCCGCCGCTCCACTCAGCACTCGCCATTCCCCGAGTCTGCCCCGCCCCGCCCCGCTCGGCTCGAGCCCGCTGTCCGGCCCCGCTACGAAAGATCCCAAATTATCTGATATTAATGGTGGGCGGTTATTGGAGAGATAAGCGCTACCTCAGCATTACAGTCGCAGGACCCGGTGCTAGTACCCGTTGGGATCGCGCGTAAATAGCCGGCGCTAGTCGCCCTCTCGCCTACCGAGTACTGTACCCTGTACTGTTGTGCTTTGTACTGTACGTTTCCCGTTTCCTAAGATCTCAGTTCCCGGTTCTCAGTTCTCAGTTCCCGCATTTCGCGGTTTACTCGTGCCCCTTGCTCACGATCTGTTTCTTTCGTTTGTTTCTTCCCCCGCTACTACCTACGTCCTTCGTAATAGATTCTTGTGTCCGACCAAGTACACAAGGCCCCAACCCTCGATTTCCTCGCACGCCCCCTCCGTCTGGAATTCTGCACGCTCCCAGCCCCTGTTCCCTCTCCCCTGCAGACCATGCTTCTCCGGTGAGGGCAACTTCTCCTTTGGACGACGACGTCGTACTAATATATTAAAAACGCTGGAGAACCCTCAGGGGGCAGGGACAAGCATTATTGCTGCACAGCACAGCACAGCACAGGGCGTCGCCGCGTCGGTAGCTCTGCCTGTGGAGCAGCGCGGTGATCGCTATGGTGCCATCCAAAACATTGTTTGAAACTCTAGATCAGCTGAATTGCGCCCTACGGACTCACAGACCTCGCTCGTGTTTGATCTTCGAAACTTTTTTTGCGGATGGATCTGCTGGATCTCCTATACGAAACAACTAATTCCGAAGCACAGATCAGATCAGATCAGATCAGATGAATTGACGTCTGTGCTGGTCTTGGCTTTGATTTCTCGTTCTAGACCGTTGGAATCAATTCCTAGCGTCTTGAGATGTATGCTATGATACTAGGTACCATGCGATACAAGCGTACGGAGTAAATGCGACTACTTCTTTCGCAGTAATTAATGGGCCATTTTGTATCCCAATATCGATGCTTTGAACTACCCATCTAGGTAGGTAGTATACGACGGAGTATAACTGTACTTCAAACGAAGTACAATGTTCCTCCTTGCGGAAAAGCAAAATGCCTCCGGAGAACACGAACATCTAATCTAATTCCTCCATTCATTGTTTCAAGTCCCATTCCCTTCCGACACAAACAAACATTTGCCAGAAGTGCCTTCAAACAGAATCCAACATCATGACATATGTACCTGCAGAGTGAGTTGCTGCATCGTTTCGAGTTTTGTTTCGATATACTTCGAATACCGATGTGCCAAGCCCCTTAAAACACATCAAATCAAATCCCATCACTACATGCTCGGAACATCGCATGCGATTAAGCTTTCGTCAGATACACTACGTATAGTAGTACGTAGCACCAAGAACTCTGTTGGTTCTCATATCTGACCTTACCTCCCCTATACTCGGCATCTTCCTTCTATACCTCTCATCCTCCCTCACCTCATCCCGGAATATTCGTACAACCTGACAAGCCCATCAGCCACACCATTACTCAGTCGAGCGCAGTAATATGTACCTTATGTAACGTAATATCCACCGCGTCCAAATCCAGCATTTAGACCCATGGGCCGCGGCATTCGCATGCAATAAATATGGAATTGCGTGTCTAGTACTACGTTAACTAACCGCTATTGATACAGATGATATTCCAATTTACCACCACAATTCTCCCTTTTCAACCGTGCTTTCCGGAATGCAGCCCTTCTTCGTCCCTTGTGTACCACAGTACTCCCAATTCGAGAAGGTTTGGGTGTGCCGGTCAACCGTGCTCTCTATACCGTGGCTCGGACTCGAAATGTTTCGTTTCGAAAATCCTCCAGCCCGGTCTAAAACACGCCTACTGTATCCCAGCCTCTTTCTCCCCGAAGCCCAGAAATCCATATCCCGCAACTCGTAAACTCCAACACAACTATTACCCCGTACTACTGCACGGGAGAATCCCATTTCTCCTCGTGAGATGGAATAGAAGCCTCACCTACCTACTAGGAACTACGTACGGGACTTCGTACCCCCCTTCCATATCAACCCTACCTGCCCAAAGAGCGGCACGAGGTTTCCCCCCTGGGCCCTGACCCTCCACACTCACCCACCCAGTTCATAGCGGGTTCGTACTTTTACCCGGCGGAGGCCGGCACTCCCAAGCCCTTAACAAAGGCTCCCCAAGTCGGAAAACGGAGTAATCGAATCACAAGGAAGGTACTTTCGTAAGGTCGGCTAGTTTACCCCCCCCAATAATAAGCGGAGGCGCCCGGCGGGCCTCTGGCTGTTGACGCCCCCCCATGAAGAGCCAAAGGGCAGAGATTAAAATTATCCATAATTAGCTACGGAAAGGCAACCGGAGTCCTGCAAGGGTTTTTTTTGGCCCTGCACCACACAGCATGGAAAAGAAAAAGGCACCGAAGAATGAGTGTTAAATGTGCCCGATTTAGATCGGGATGGAATTCTTTCCGATGCACGCTTGGACTGGGCGATATTGCGAGCGTGTTTTTTTTTGTCAGGTGATGGGTCGTAACTCGGTGAGCACGGTAGATACGATGTACAGCATGTGATGCTACGGGGTATGCTTCTTGCAAGCAATGATATCTATTATTGTTGGCTTTTTACTTTCTTATTCCCATTCTCTTCCAGCGTGCCAGTGATTGCATGTGTAACATCACGTGATGATACCTCTACGTACCGTTACTCAGCCTGGAACCAGGAAGCTGCGTTTTCCCCCGCGTTCTACATCTCCTAAATCCTTCCTTGCCCTTATCATATTAATATCACAGCAGGCCAAAATAGCACGGCAAGACACGAACCCGGACGGGGTCGCCATCTAGGTACTCACTCTCCTCGGAGTCCTCCAGCTCGCAGCACAGATTAATAGCTCATATGGTATAGTATACTCTGTTCATCGTAATGGGGAATTGTTTATTTTATGTTATTTTAATACACGGGGTAGATACAAGATGCGGCGGCTGCTGGAATGAACATGGCGTGGCTGTTTATGTTAAGGCGCCAGCGCGGTTTCCTCATCCACAGCTCCACCTCGCACATAAACACACTATAGGTACTAAGTAGTACGCACGAAGTAAGGAGTTAAGGAGTTCTTCCAATAACAATATCTCGCGGTAGATGCGCTAAAGCCCGAGGAATACCCAAATAGCTATCCCCACGAATCTGCGTTCCCTCGCAAGTGCAAAGGCCATGTCTCAGATTCCCAGCGGAGTTTTCGGGTAGAAGTCCTTATTCGGTTGGTTGGAAGTCTCAGGATCTTTACTTTCTTCTTCGTCTCCCTTGGTCCTAACCCGAGACATGCATAGATTTTAGCGTTTTTTGTTCGGGGAAAAAAAAGGGTTGGGGTGTTGTTGGTATGCGTGGGGGAGGGGCGTGGCGGGCTCCCATTGCTGCGAATCGATCGGGTGTCTGTTGGTTCGGTGTTGGTGTTGGTGTTTTGTTGGATTTAGATGAGATCTGCACTCCGGAATTTTCTGGAACCCGGAAACCTAGAACTCACCCGGAATCTTGGATCTGGGATCTCAGAAATGGGGATCTCAGAAATGGGTTTGAGGGCAGAAACCAACAGCACCTAGGTAGTGATCCTTGTAGGGATGGCTGGGGCAACGGAGATGGCACTGCCCACCTTTACGAGTTTTGGGGTATCGTTAGTTACGCGCTTCGTTGGCAGGGCTCTCCATCTGCGGCCTTTGGTCGTCCTGTAAACGCGTGGAGGGCTTTGCGCAAGTAGATGGGCTCACTGATCGGGTCAAATTCAGGTCTGTAGCTGCGACCTTGATCCTTCCAAGGTAGACAGACATAAGCCATGGCCTGGCCGTCTATCTGAGTCTGCTCTAGGAGTGTTTTGACTTCGCTACTTCCCATTTCCCGTTTCCCGTTTTCCAGTTTCCGTTTTCCAGTTTCCGTTTTCCAGTTTCCGTTTTCCAGTTTCCGTTTTCCAGTTTCCCGGCCTATAAGTAAATTCCATCCGTAAGGGGCATAGGAAGAGGCTCACGGAAGGTCGACTGGCTGTATGTTGGGTGGCATTTGCATTGGCATAACTAAGGCTGGACGCACTGCATGCTGAGTGCCCGGCAAAAACATAGAGACCTTGAATTCGATTATGCTATTGAAGGTGCTCGGTGCTGGTTGTGGCTAGCTTGGGCGTTGGGTTTAATACGTGGATTAGACATATCATATGATTTACCACATCCAATACGGTACTACGAGACAGGACAGGTACTGCTCTCCTTCACATAGACGGACGGACACTGTGATGGAAAAGAGCGTATCGTTCATCTACTATACACACTCCTTTATGAGTGAAGCGGAGTATTAGTTACAAAGGGTAAAAGGTTGCGTTACTTGCAGCTGGCCATCCCCATATTCTCCCAACCCAAAACACGGCTTCATATCCGTATCGATATCGGTGTCATCGTGCTCCTCGTACATCAATCCACCTACACAACAGCATGCTCCAACTCAAGCGAAGGTCTATCCTCATGAATGTTGGCTTACATCATGCCACCCATGCCTCCTCTTATCCCCTGGAGCCTATTTGCAAGCTGTGGGTATTTCTCCTGCACTTCTAGTTGCGTACGTGTGGCTTCCGCATATGACAGGGCATTGACAATCTCACCCTCGGTTCGAGAGAGCTCGGCAGCTCGCTCGAAATATTTGAGTGCCTCTGTAACCTTACCCTGCTGTAGCAATAACTGAGCCATGGTTGCAACAGCAATGTCGCATTCAGGATCAACTACTCCACATTAGCAACATTTCGACAATATTCAAGTGCGAGGTACTTACTGATCAAAGCCTTCTGGCAGAGCTTTTCAGCCTCGCCGAAGTCCGACTTCCACTGGAACAGTGCCAAAGCCTTGTTGATCAAAGGAAGGACGTTCATTCCCAGGGGCTTGGTCTGCTTCTCCATCTCGACCGCAGTATCAAACTTCTGAATTGCCTCCTCGTACTTTTGTTGATCCAACAACAATTCTCCATAATAGTTGTAGACATCTGGTACTGTACCAAAGTTATTGATACATCGGCGGAACGTCGCCATGGATGAGGCAATGGAGCCCATCTTATACTGTGTGACACCGAGCTGGATGTGGGAGAAGATGAAGTCGCGATCGAGTTCAATGGACTTCTGGTAGTCCTTGGCAGCTTCTGCGAATTCCCCGAGGATGAAGTGGAGTTGTGCGCGGTGGTAGTAAATGTCGGGATCGTTATCATTATGATCCATGGCCTTTTCGAAGTCATTTGCAGCAGAATCCTTGTTGCCTATTCGACGTTAGTAGGGTTGGGATCACAGATGTGCGCTACTGACCTAATTCCAAGTGCATGCTTGCACGTTTAATATAGCTCTGGGTCAGGGACGGTTGGAGATCGATGCTCTTGGTGAGATCGCTCAATGCCTCCACATTCTCGCCGCGGAGGTATCTGAACGTTCCACGCATATTGTACGCAAAGGCTTCATGCTCGCCGAGTTCGTTCAAGTCCAAGGCCTTGTCAAAGGCAGCTGCTGCCTCTTCGTACCCATCACCAGTCTTCTTCTCCATTGCACGCAATCCCAATTGTAATTGTCCCTTCCCAGTATCTTCAGCGAGTTCGGTCTTGTCATCTAATCCCGCGGGTGCTGGTCGAGCTCGGAAACTTTGCAGGTAATTTGTGACGAATGATGAGCTAGGGAGCTTTTTATCTTTGGTTGCAAGAATGGCCTTTGCTTTAGTCTCTGCCACCTTCTTGAGTAATCTCTCAACGGCTTCTGCGCTAGACGCATTCTGGAAGCTATCGATAATACAACTTGCGGTAAAGTCGAGCAGGGCTTCGCTGAACTTCTCGAGATGCTCGTATGCGTTCGCCCTCCGGTTCAGAGCCTTAACGTATTCGTTATTCAGATTGATGGCTGCCGTGGTGTCCTCAATGACCTTCTCCCATTGTCCAAGAGCATTGTAGCATGCTGCGCGGTTTGAGTAGAAGATAGGGTCGGGCTTGCAGAGGATGGCCTTCCCGTACAGGTGGATAGCCGTGTCGAAGTCTTTGCTTCCGTATGCGGTATTCCCGGCAGCTTTCAGCTTTCCAGCATAATCCTTTCGTTCTTGCTCAGTGAGATTACCAACGGTTGTCTCATCGACCTCGGGCAGCTCCTCGACAGTTTCGACGGTCGGCGACTTCGGTTTGCTTTCTGTGGTTCCCTTCTCTACATCCACTGCCTTCTTCTCCTCTTTCTTTTTCCTCTGCTTCTCTTTTTTACTCGATTTCTTTGGTGTATCACGGCCGGTTACGGTCGGTGTCTGCTCGAATGCCTGTTAGCTACAAAATGGTCCGATAATCTTATTTACGCGCAAGCCGAATGATCGTACCGCATCAGTCAGATAGTATGCAACACCGGCGCCTGTAACAACAATAGCCACACCAGCAATTGTGTATACAACGGCCTTATGCTCTGACGCCCAATTTGATATCCGGTCCCAAGTGGATGTAGAAGCTGTGGATGACGCGAAGTCGGGGACCCCCCTCCCAACTGGGATTTCGAGCGGAGCAGACATATGGAAGAAAAGGGGTTATTAAAAGAAGCTAGAAGGTAATAAAACAAAAGCCCACGAAAGCGCTGGTCGATGGGCGGGCGCTGACAGATTCGATGATGCGATGCAATTATCAGGAGGCTTCCCTTGAGCTACCCAGAAAAAGATTCGCGATGCCAACTCGGCAACGTCGGCTACTGATTCGCTAGCAGGGGAAGCCTAGCCTGTTGGGGAACCTCCCTAATTTGCGAGTCCTTATCTCGTTTTCGTCATCAACCATATACTTCGGACTCGAGTACTTAAGGCATACATGGAAAGTAGTGCTTTAGACTATTAGTCGGATTATGGAATTATAACAAAGCCGGTGCAAATATACGCTGCACATCGGAGACAAAAATAATGACAAAACCACGTATTAGTGACATCACGGGACATAACCTTCAACGGCAAAAAGAAGTAATAAGGGGATTTCATTAGTTAATAGAACTCAAATCACTTTTTAGAACACTGTCTAGTATAGAGCTGCTTGCGTATTTTTGCAGTTCTCGTTAGTAGCATATTGCAACGATCTATGAGTTAGCGGGGGAACATGTGTAATGAAATAAACAATATATGTTTCTAGACCTGTGCCATAAATTCATATATTTATATTAATGTTCATAAATCACTAATCTCAAAATAGGGCCCATTGAATTACATCGCAGGCACTGCGCGCTTCGTGCTCCCAAGCGTAACATTAGGTTGAGGGAAATCATCTGTTGTAAAAGGTGCCATGCTAGAGAGAGAATCGACTCTGCCAAGCAGGTATTCAAGGTGTCTGTAGGCTGCTGTAGGGGCGTACTGGGGGACCACTTTTGCAAACAATTAGCGATCCGCTATGCATGATTAATAGGGGAGGCGGGCTTACTGTGGCCGGAAAGCTCAATCGTGACCCATGTAAGTCCTCGCTCCGTGTGTGTCGTGCCGAAGATGCCAGACGCGGCGAGGGTAGAGAGAGATGGATCGTGGTGATACGGAACATAAAAGTGGTCCGACGGCTGCTTTTGGAAGCCTTGGGCGCCGTTCCAGGTCATGTTTTGAATCCCAAGGAGAGTACCGTTTGCGATAAGAACCTACAACAGACTGACTTAGTAAATTGGAGAGATGGCATGGAGGGATTCAAATACCATATCAAGAGTTCCATGTGCAATTATTGTACGTTTGCTACGCTCAATAACCCCGGGCAAAACGGTGACGCCAGAAGGAAGGCTGTTATCTGTACCATTAACAAAAACATCTATAGCGGAACAAGAGGCCCAATCAATGTGGGGGGCATTGATAGCCTTTTGCACATCGGTCCTGTTGAAATATACGCTACTACCTGCGGGAAGATACTCGAATGAGCCCGGGTAGCCGAGGACATCGTTTAATAGTGGGCAGGTCGTGGCTATTTGGTAAATATCAAAGCATGGGTTGAGCCAGGATATTTCGTTGAAGATGGCGTCGAAGACGTCACAGTCCTTGGTTGTCCTCCCATTCGCCGCAGTTCCAGGGAGCTGCGAGGGGAAGGGGCCAGGAGGTGGGAAGGTCAAGTATTTGTCGATGTAGTCAGTGTAGCCGCAAGATTCTGACATGTTGTGAATTTGAGCCTTACTTTGGAATAGGTTAGCATTTACTTTATCAACTTTCTATCTGGGGGAAAGAGGAAGGTAATTCTCAGGTTCCAGGTATGTGGCTATCAAAACTGCAATCCAGGGACAGGGACTGGCAACTTACAAGGTATCATTAAACGGAAACAGGCCAGGCCAAGTGTCAACAAATGGAACAGCGGGTATTTGTTCTGTAATAGCATCATAAGAAATAGATGGGTCATATATCATAGTAGCTTCCACATTGTGATACTAGATATATTAGCTCTTGCCGAGGCAATCATACCTCCTGAACTCACCTTGGTGTCATTCGTGTTAAGCATAGCATCCGCAATGTATGGAACATACATTCCCGCATAAGACTCGCCTGTTATGAAAACACGGCGATCGTGCAGTTTAAAAGTATCGACAAAGTTCTTCCAGAAGCCTAGGAATTGCGCGGCAGCATCTTCCTCGTCGGTCGCAGTTGGAACTCCCCGCGAGAAACCGGTCCCGACTGGCTGCTCTATCCAAACAACGTTCGTCAAGTTCACCCATGTATATGGATTTGGGACTGGCTTTAATGTTCCGTACTGCCAGATGAACGGGCCGTTCTCCTGCAGCAAGCCTTCGAGGGAAGAGCAACCGGGCTATAAGAATCAGTTAGCATATCTAGGGCTTTATTTCATTGATTACATTGGCAAGATTGCTGGAAAGTGCTAGCACAAGAGGCAACCAAATTTCCGACGTACCCCGCCATTTAGCCAAATAAGTATCTCATCAGAAGCACTCGGGTTCTCTGAAGGGAAGAACCAGAAATAAAATTGACTCGTCTCGTTTGGAGCTGAGGATATTGGCATCAAACCAGCATAACTCTCGCCAATATCAAAATCCACTTCTGGGATCGCCGTTCCGTTTACAACGTATTCTGACAAAAGATTAGCCCGTTGCTCCCCACTAGAACTAGAATACTAACTGGCGGTAGAATTGGTAAGGTATTGAGATGGGGCGGAGCGACGTTGTTTAGGCAATTGAGGTTGTCGTCTTGTATGCATGCGCTGCTTGTCTTCTTTACCAACATGCCTCAAGCTCCTCCCAGAGTGATGTGCCGCTGAGACCACATTGGCTGTGATTGCCAGAGCAGAAACAAAAGTCGAGAGCCGCATTGCGTGAACTTGCTTGGAAATGAAATCAGGACTTTCAGAGTATGAAGCCAAGAAATTAGGCAATTGAACAGCGAGCAAGGCAGAATAAATGTATTTTCAAAAGCATCGACCTGCCACAAGAAAGAAATAGCTGTGGGGCATTGAAGCGGGAAGCAAGAGCTTCTTACGTCCGGGAAGTAGCTTGACAGCAATAGCTCCAGGCAAGCACTTTGGACCTCATTCAATGACAATAACGGAAGTAAGCCCTGGATTTACCTGACGTACAATGCGAAGCACATTCCCGAAGTAGCACTATAGACACCGGTACTATGGGCACCGTCCCGCACCGACAGCCAATCTTTGGACGCGCTGAGGGAGGGCGGGTTGAACGGTTGATAACCGGAGAGCTAGAATGTGGAGGGTAACTTCTGGTCCCTTGCTGATAGCAGCAAGAAACCCCTGCAGAAGCTCAGAGGGCGGTCTGTGGATCGTCGGGACTCTACAGGTTCTTGGAGTTCACATTCCAGAGTTTGAAACAGTCTATAGTCTGAGCTAAGATAGTTTCGTCGTAATTTTGTCGGTGATGATGTTGAAAGTAAACCCGTCTTGTCCTACCCTCTGGCTGAGTCTGTTGCAACGGGGTCGCCGGTTGCCCATGATGTCTAGTTTTGCGCTTTGATCGGCACCATCCTCCCGCGAGAACAGCAGCCTCGGTCGAATGCGAAGAGGAGTAGATAAGTAATAATGGGATGAAATACTACATACCAGGATCTTATCACGTTATCCATATTCATACGTGCCTATTCTAGTTTAGTTGGCGACCGCGATATAATAAATCATGACGAGTTGAGGGGTAGGGATTTGGCGACCTTCCGCTTTAGGGGAAGCGTCGTGCTGTCCCGCAAATCTTCACCAGGCGAAGAAAGTTTTCCAAGTTCAGGGCATCGGGTTAAGGTTAAATCGTCAGGAGAGGGTCCACAGCGTATTAAACGTTTTATTATTATTGATAAGGTGCCGTCGGGGTAGAGCTTGTCATGCGCCACTCCCGTTCGGGAACTTGCCTAATTAGGAAACTAGGAGCGAGCACCATAATAAAAACTCAATCTAAGTCTCCCTTTTCACTATGATAATTTTATAGCCGCGGGTTTAAGAATCTGCGTGCTTGCGTTGGAAAAAGGCGTCCACCCGCTCTTCTTCCACTTTAAGTCATGTTATCTGATCACAGGGAGAGTTTTTTGACGTAGCAGGACGACGGCGAATAGGTACGTATCTCTTCGCCTATGGAGTTCAACCAGATAACAAAAAACAAACTAAATTTGTCCATTAGAATAAAATACCCGTCTTATTATCTAACCGCTTCTCAATCAAAACCTCCCTAATAGCTTCCCAATCTCTACATTGATGTGTAGCATTGGCGCCAGTGAAGCCATATCTACTCTCAGTGCCATTCGTATTATATTCAATATCAGCATGATCCAGCGTTGTGTCTCCGGCACAGAGAATAGCTTGTCGGACTGTGACATTTCTGGGTCAGCTCCTATATATCCCAAACCGGGATGGGTGGGAGATCAGGAAGCACTTACTATAATCTAGACAGTGATAATCATGGCCAGCCCCGGCGAACCTCGATTTATCTCCTTTCTCGTATTTGATAATAACATGTCTTAGTACAGCCTAGCAGATCTCTCAGCTCAACACCACACTGTATATTTAGAAGTACGTCGCATTCATACCAAACAATGGAGTTGATGTGTCATGGATACAGAATATAACTCGGCTTCCTCCTGGTCGCCTTTGATCCTTGTGCTTCGAGGCATGGCATATATCCTTGGATGAGGGACGCGTAGAAAGCCTGCGCCGACTATTGTTCTCATTAGCACAGTATTTCCTCTCTAGGACATACTTGGAGATATAATACTCACGCGGCATAAGCTCATCCCATATTTTATCACCCTCCTCAGACGTATCCTCGTACCCAGAGGGAAACCTAAACATAACCTCCTTCTTAGGAACTATCCCAACAGTCAGTCAGTGTCTCCCCAATATTCAATCCCCCTTATCCTTCCTGCATGAAATGAAAATACGAACTTTCACCAATAAATCTGCGCGGATCTAATAACCCATCCGCCCTTCCTCGATCCGCCGACCAGCGGTCCCATTTCTGCCCAATTTTTACGCCGGCCGCAAAGCAGATCAATGCTAATGCAAATAAACAAGAAAATACACATAGACTTGTGCCATTCCAGGAGAACAGTTCTTCGGCACGTCGGCGGGGCCTTAAGTGGGCGTCCCTGTCGTTTTCATCGCGTGGAATGGCGGTATACGAGTCCGTCGGCATTTTGGCATTTTCATTGCTAGTTCCAGCCCAGTGAAATGCGTAGATATGACGCCAGATGGCAGCTTGGGGTTGATATGAGAATCTGTTATCTTGTTTGACACTATCGTGGGGTAATTTAACCGTGACGGCTGATCAGGATAATGAGATTCCCTAAATTATCACGTGAGCTAACCTCAAGGCTCCCATTTTCTAGTCTGGATAGCCAAGGTAGAAACGACATAGAACATAGAAGTAAGTGGGTTTTATTCTTATTTAGAAGTCTTGGAAGCTTCCTCTTCTTCGGCAAGCAGCGCCTGCATCTCTTGATCTCCCTGCCAAGCCTTCACGCTATCAATGACTTTGTCCAATTCATCCCCACCATCCATCACGTCGTCCAGATTATGAATGCTCAACCCGCTTCGGTGATCCGTGACTCTCTGTTGGCCCCAATTATACGTCCGGACCTTATGTTCTCTTCCCATCTTCGCAACCCCAATGACTCCTCTCCTCAACTTGGTGACCTCCTCCTCCCGAGCCTCCCGTTTAGCCTGCGCCAACTTCGACCTGAGTAATTGCCACGCCTTCTCTCGATTCTTGTGTTGTGATCTCGAATCTTGCATGCTGACTACTGTATTAGTAGGAATATGTGTCAATCGAATTGCCGAGTCCGTTGTGTTAACATGCTGGCCACCCGCGCCCCTCGCTCTCATAACATCCGTTCTAACATCCGTAGAGTTGACGTAGTAATCACTATTAGGATCATTAAAATCGGCCTCCCACAATTCCTGCCCATTGCTATCACTTGTCGGCAAACTTGGAAGCACCAGAACGCTGACAGCACTCGTATGTGTACGGCCCTTGCTCTCCGTCGCCGGCACACGCTGTACCCGATGCACACCCGCCTCGCTGCGCAGCTGTCCATATGCACCAAGACTCTCGATTTCCAAAATGGCTTCCGCGAGAGGGGGATCTCCACTGGCGGTCGTATCGCCGTCCGCAGTCTCGTACTTCATGAGGGAGACGCGGAAGTTCTTGCGTGCGCAGTAGGCTCGGTACATGCGGAGGAGGTCATTAGCAAAGAGTGCTGCTTCGCCGCCCCCGGCGCCCGGTCGGATTTCCATCAGGCATGGCATGTCTTCAAAAGGGTGTTTGGGCGTGAGGGACGTGGTCAACTTCTGGGAAAGACTTTCTAGCTGGGAACGTGTGGTCTCGAGGTCTTCGGCCGCCAGCTCTCGGAGTTCATCGTCGGTTGTAGGATCTGCAAGAAGGGATTGTAGCTCAGAGAGCGCATTTTGGCTTCCTTCGTATTCCCTCAATGCTTCTGTCACGCGCTTTAGTTCACCGATTCGTCTCGATATTTTGGCATCGAAGGTCTCTGCGGTTTCGGCGCTCAATCTATCGTGCTCTGAGGCCATGTTGCGCGCTCGCGCGAGCAGCACCGACGAAAAGGGGCCTCGGGAAACATGGCTTTCTATATTGATGTGAGCGATTGCTCCTTGTCTAATAGCTAACGTAGGATGGCAACTTACTATTGCTTGAGAATCGAACTGCTCTCCGTTTACCAGGCTTTAGATATGTGTTTATACATCGTCTGCAGATCCATGGAGCTCCAAACATCCTTCTATCAATATTGTCGCAACTATTTTGGAGCTGCCAAGGGTTTTCAAATTCGACGCAATGCTTTGGTGAACCCCCTGTTAGTTTACGCACACCGCCTTCCACTTTCAGATTCCGATACGTTTTCTGCCGATCTACCATTCCATTATTCAAATGTCCCGTTAGAGCGGAAACCAAATAATGCTACGAACACTTACCTAAATGATGAAGCCACTTTGTAGCATAACGGCAGATGGCTTGGTGGCCAAGCTACTTGCTACGTACACAGTAAGTGTGTATGGATCAACCGCCACTCTCCCAGCCGGCCCACCCCCCACTCCCGAGGTCATGACTTGTTCGTTCAATCAATCACAAGCCTCGGACTAAACTAAGTGATCTACCGAGATAATATATATATAATCTAGTCTCTATGATTCATCCTCTTGCAGTTGTTGAAGTAGGAATATTTTACACACGGATTTTAAAAGGTAACCGTTAAACTCAAAGACTCCATTGACGTTTTCCTGCTGATGAGTTATATATAGTCGTATTCACGGTTCACTAAGAAACACAATACAATGCCTTTGAACTTAAATTCTGTTTACCCGGCAACTTTGCCAGGATTTCAATCCTTTCCTAGTAGGAGAAGTGTTGTGCATAGTACCCAAGGCATGGTTGCTTGCAGTCAGCCTTTAGCAGCAAGATGCGGTCTTAAAGTTTTAGACGCTGGTGGCAATGCAGCTGTGAGTAACTCTTAACCCCACTTTCAATGGCTTCAGCATCGGCGCTCTGACAAACTCCCAGGATGCAGCCGTAGCTATTGGTAAGTTAAAGTCTGCCATAATTTGGACCTTGCTAATCATGTTCCAGCCGCTGGCTTGAATTTGACCGAACCTAGCTCAACTGGAGTTGGGGGTGATATGTTCTGCTTATTTTATGATGCCAAAACAAAGAAGATTTCTGCTATGAATGGCTCTGGTTGTGCAGGCATGAAGTGCACGCTTGAAGCTGTACGGAAAGACCTTGGTATGAAAGATGGAGATACAGGAAAACTTCCGCTTCGCAGTGTCCATGCCGTTACCGTCCCAGGGGCTGTTGCCGGCTGGGTTGATACCGTTGAAAGATTTGGCAGCGGAAAAGTATCTTTGGAGCAGATTTTGACACCTGCCATAGAATTGGCAGAGAGAGGATTTCCGGTTTCGGAAATTGCATCAACTATGGTAAGTTAGCCTTCAAAGGTATTGTTGACACCTCCGACTAATTGGTCTTTTAGTGGAGAGCGGGCGAGAAAGAAGTAAAAGAGGCATCGCCAAACTATGCCGAGCTCCTCAAAGAAGACCCAAGCGCGGAAAATGGCTGCCGGGGACCAAAACCTGGCGAAATTGTCAAGAATCCCTGTCTTGCAGACACATTTCGAACCATTGGCAAAGAAGGCAAGAAAGGCTTCTATTCTGGTAGGATTGCTGAAGCCATCATCAAAGCCACAAATGACCGTGGAGGATTCCTGGAACTAGATGATTTAAAAAGGGTTATTGAAAAGGGCAGCGAACCTGTGGACCCTATTTCCTATGTTTTTAGCGGCCAAGGATATTCTGAGACCAAAACAAAATACGTAGATGGGATCTCTGGTCAAGGACAGAACGAAGGTGCCCACGGAGTGGAGATATGGGAACATCCACCAAACGGTCAAGGAATTGTGGCACTCATGGCTCTCGGCATACTGGAGGCACTTGAAGAGGACGGCAAGATCCCCTGCTTCACCCAAGATCAACACAACTCCGCCGAGTATCTCCATGCAGTCATCGAATCCCTTCGAATAGCCTTCGCAGACGCAAGTTGGTGGGTGGCAGACCCAAATCATTCGAAGGTCCCCTCTGCAGAACTCATCTCCAAAGCCTACCTCGCTGATCGAGCCAAGCTCTTCAACCCCAGCAAAGCTTCAACGGAGATCTACGACCGCGGCAGCCCAGCCCACAACCATAGCGACACTGTCTATTTCGCTGTCACCGACAAAGAAGGCAACGCTATTTCGTTTATCAACTCAACCTTCCACAGCTTTGGCTCAGGAATTGTACCCAAAGGCTGCGGGTTCACCTTGCAGAATCGTGGAGGCAATTTCAGCTTAATTCCGGGACATCCAAACGTCCTTGCTCCGGGGAAGAGACCATACCACACCATAATCCCTGCCATGGTCACTAATGCCCACGATGGAAGCCTACATTCCGTCTACGGTGTTATGGGCGGGTTCATGCAACCACAGGGCCACGTGCAAGTTCTTCTCAACATGCTTGCCTTCAAGTATAATCCACAAGCCGCTCTAGACGCGCCAAGATTCTGCATCGGCGCTGAGCATATGCCTGGAGATCCTTTTGAGAGGAAGGTTTTCCTCGAAGAGGGTATTAGCGAGGATGTTTGCGAGAAGTTGAAGCAGATGGGCCATCAAGCAGAGATTGTAGGGGGTTATGGTAGGGGCGTTTTTGGACGTGGTCAGATTATTAGGAGCCATGAGGAGGACGGTACGACAGTTTACTCTGCGGGAAGTGACCCGAGGGGAGATGGCGCTGCGTTCCCTGGTTAACGGAGATATACATCAGGAGACAGGGGGATATTGAAATACAGTTAGCATACAGAGGGATATCGATACACATAATAAAATGGAAACACATTCATGCCCACAACCAGTTTAGAATGAAATTGGACCTTGGGAGAAGGGCAAGAAGCTATTGCCGTGCTCTATCATCGGTGCTACTTCGGAGATATTTGTCGTGTTTATAGAGCGCTACCGCTTTTCCTGAAAAGATCTCACCTTCCAAGGCACTTTGCGTAGTCGTGAGGTGGGTTGTAGACTGATGTTTCGTGAATTTTGATATCATACTATAAAGCATCAGAGTTGACATTACACATAAGATTCGGGAAGCAATGCAATCAGGCTATCAGACCACGTATCAATTTAACTCGAGTTTAACATGACAAGATACCGACATATATGGCTGGGTCACTCGCTTAGCGAAAGGGGGGGGGCTCGGTTACGCGAAAAGTAAACATCAACAAAATAAAAAACACCAAAGCAAGTTCTCTAAATTCAGTAGAGGAACAAAAAATGGAATAAAATATAGCTTTAAGTAAAGAAGTATATGGGAAAGGAAAAAAATAGCAAAAGAAATACAGAACTTACCTAGGGGTATCGCTGCGGCACCGCCAGGCAGTTTACTCCCAAGACTTACCTTAGGACCTACCTGAGCCCGCCACGACACTTGCCGCGGCAAACTTGTTAAACGGGTTTTGCTAATTTGACCTTATATAGTACCCCTTCCCAGATGTACGTGTAATAGGAGCCTTGTTCCTCTGGTGACACCCAAGCAGAGAGGCTAGCTAGCCTTCGTACGCCTCAGCTTTAGAACACCAAACGGAATCATCACTAGAATTATGCCTGGTACGCTCCATATAGTGGCCATCACATCGCTGAGATGCAATTCTTTCCTTGGTATCTAATATCCCAATACATTTACTTAGAACATAACCTCTGCCTCTATTTATAGATATCATTTTAATCGAGGCGAGCATATGATGTCGGGAAGGGAAGGATAAGAGTAGTGAACTGGAAGCGTCGCAACATGACAACCCACGGGAGGTAAGATACGGTAACCAGCGGCACCAAATATACTTGGGTATCGTTATTTTATTTTCTACCATTAGGTGGATCTATGCCTTATCCCCCTTGGCAGCAGCTTTCTTCTCCTCAATAGCCTTCATTTTCGCCAGCTTCTTCTCTTGATTCTTCGTGAGCTTCTGCGCTCCGTCTACCGGAGCCTCACCACCCACATCCTCTTTAGTAGGGTTTCCTTTCCATTTCGGTTTCTTCCTCGCCATAAAGTCCTTGACCATCTCATCCATTACCATAACTCTCCTCTCTTGAAAGCCCTTAACGTACTCTTGGATCTCACCAATACACTTTGCTTTCAGCTCGCCCGTTAGCATTTTACCCGCGGCATACGCTACACGAGTGCTCTCTAGTTCCTCGTCATCCTCCAGAAAGAAAGTCCTGTACTAGTATAGAACTATATAGCATACCTGTCATTAGAGCCAAAAATGGCGCATGCAACATTCAAAGTAGCATGCTCCTCCCATATAGTCGTAACCGCTGAACATAAATGTCTTCTTATGACCGAACCGGACAGCAATGATTTCTTTCGCAATGGATGAGGTAAAGATCTGGACAGCTTCAATAATATGCTTTTCGGAGAATATGTATTTCTCGTCATCCGTAACATAATAATTAACGGCACGTCGAATACATCTTGTAACCACCTATGACTTATTAGTAGAATCACAGCAGTCTAAGCATAATATAGAAAAATTCACTTTGTAAATTCAAATGGGACAGTGTATGATCGCTACTCGGTCCCCATCCAGTGTACAAAAGAACGGTTTCCCCCTCTCATAGCGATCTAGTATGTAATTCAGATCCCTGTGGCTGAACACGATTCCTTTATACTGGGGCATCTATTGCCAATGCGGCAACGACTAAGGACTCTAAATCTGCCATTCTAGAGTTATATATTTATGCTTTGGAGGGTTTCGCTGTTCTTTCGCAGGGCGTTTGGGATGTATTATATTGCCAGGTCCACAGCCGAATCTGTGGGCGGTGAAAGGGCTAAGATCACGTGGCTTACGTATCCTCCTTTTCTCCACGCCCTAATAACGCCCTCGCTTTGGAACGGGAGCTGATAAAGGAAGATAAAGACTTGGATACCTCTTACCTAGCTATCTTATTAAACCCATATTAAAGAGTATCATGTATCTCTCCGTATTGCCGATTTACCCCCGGTTTGGCCGCGTTTGGTAAGCATTGGACGGGCAAAACCCACAAGCGAACAAATCCTCGTCCAAAGTTCTTTGGAGCGCTCTTCGACGACTGTACAGCATCACATCATCAGTCCATTTCCCCTTTCCCTCATCCCTCTCGCTATCCTCTTATTAACAACGCCAACACCGACACCAAGCACCTATTCCTACTGCAGGCCAAACCCTCCAGATGCATACCAAGCTTTGACAATGGTTAAATTCTACGAATCCACCTTTACCTACGACTACTCCTTCCCCGCGGTAACGCTCGCATACTTCTTGCGATATCCGAATCCGTATAGCACACACGTGCTCTCCACCGATGTTATTTCGCGTGCCATCGACGGCGCAGGGCGTCTGCAGACTACGCGGATTCATCGAAAGTCCTCTCGGCTCCCTCCTGCCGTGCTGAAGCTGCTGCCCAAAAGTGTGTCGGGCAATGTCAGCGGCGGCCGGTCTGAAAGCTATATCTTGGAGACTAGCACAATCGATGTCAAGGAGGGCTGGATGTGGACGGAGAGCAAGAACCTCGATTGGACTGGTATTCTGAGCGTGATTGAGAAGCAGGAGTATCAGCGGCAGATCCCAGTTGATGAGGGTGATGATTTTAGCGTTGGGGCTGGCACCACCGGCGTGGTTACAACAGTTATGTTTAAGAGTCGGCTGGGTGATCGATTGAGAGCTAGGGCAACAAGGAAGGGCGAGGCGGCTGTTGCAGATGCAGATGATGAACCCAAGAAGGGGTTCTTGGCGAACTGGAGCAAGACCGGAATCCAACGCAGCATCGAAGCCATTGCGAGTCGAAAAACCGAGAACCAACTGGGCAAGAGCAAAGAGGGTATGATGGTCGTCCTTGAAAGATTGCGGAGTGGCGGCTTAGTCGGTGTCCTTGAGGGAATGAGAGAGGATAGGAAATCGATGTACGGCCAAGAAGGGAAATAATGCGAAAACCGAACGGCAACCCGATTTTGTAGGTTCTAGTACGATAGGGGATTTCAGCGATCTGTTGCCATATTATGTACTCTCTTTGACCAAGCGGGTTTTGTACAAATACATCTTTCGGGAGCGAGGAGTTTGGTATTACCATTGGCGTTTATTCATTAGGACTCTCCAATTCAAATTTATATGATATTATTAAGCGATCACTGGGCGTACTCCATTCTGTCCGTTTTGCAATCTTACATGCTTCCTCGCACACATGCCCTACCCTATCATTTCCCTATCCAAAAAAATGGCGGAGCATCTATATATCGATCTCAATACTTACGAACATTAAAATTTCCAAATATCTAATCATCCAACTCTAATTTCTCGTAACAAGCCGATATCTGGAGAGATATCCACTACATATCCTACTCGGCCGAATTACCTTTTCCTAAACATCTAGTGTTTTCTCGTTTACTTTTAAATAAATTCAAGTTATAGATACCGAGGTATATGGCGGCTACGCTTAGCACGAGCTATTTTATCCTAGCCTGCACACCGCTAGATGCCAACTAGCCCCAAAACCCCGAGGTTTTCTAGGCTATATAAGTGCATTTCTTAATTAAGAGAACAGCTTTGGTTCCTTAAGCCTAGCAAATGATCCCTTAGCTAAGCTTTTCGATTCTGGGAATTAGCACGGTGGTGACTAGATGCGTGGGGAGTTTCAATGCCCAAAGAACCCCGTCCTCTTTTCGAACTTTAAGTTTTATCAACTCTAGAGAGAACTATATACGTTAGACATTACCTGATCTTTTGGGTATTTCAGAGAGGGTTTTGATTTAGGTCCGAGGGTGGGAGGGAATACTTCTTAGTTTCGGTAGTAGCGATTTTAGCTCCGACTCTATCAACTCGAAGGCAATCAACCAGCAAAAGCTCCCTATCGTATCTATAACTAGAGCACAGCCCTGTGCTACGACATTGCCTCATTTTAGAGGTAGGAGGTGGAGGTCATAAAGGAAGGGAATTTGCCGTTGGCATTTGCATTTCTTCGATCAGACGCATGACATAGGACAGAGCCTGTTATGAGGGTACTAATACAGAGCCATTTGACATAAATATTAACGGAGAACTCCGATGAAGTCTGCATATATAACTCAAAATTTTATTATTAGAATAACACAGGTATTTTTGTGGCCCAATTGTGGGACAGTTTCAAGGCAGATATGTCCTTTTACCAATAAAAAATACTCATATACTATGCTCGGTACCTGTACTGACACCGAGCAAAGAATAGAAGATTTAGGATGCCTTACAAGCTAGAGATGGAACGCTAACATACAGTAGGAGCTAGGATTTAGTTATGCTTTCGACGTACTGTGGTGTTGGTCACCTGCTAATTGCATTTGAACCGGCTACCACAAGGGCGGTTGTGACAAGCAGCGGGTACGACATAAGACATGTTGCACGACATCCGCAGCCTCATCTGCCTCTCACAAAGTTCTCACCTCATCCCGCGGGAATGTTGATATTGTCCAGTGAGACCAAATTGTGGGGGTGGCGGTCACTCGGCAAATAAATTCGAAACAGGGAGAGCGTCATCTGGCGATGAGCAGCAACTAACAGCTTCCGTTTTCGGAACTTCGAGAGGAGAGCTACAAAGTTATGTGGCCAGGGCCGGCATCTGGGAACCTGGAATCACACCTTGTGTGTTGGGATAGGTTGCGAAACCTTGATCTTGTGCGTCGATCAGTCGTGCCAACATATCCGAGAGACCCTGCTGCCCCTTTCATTCGAGATTTGGAAGCTGTTGATGCAGGAATAGAAGCTTTGGACTTGGTACAACCAGGGAATAAACTGGCTTGGCACAAGTGAGTACGAGTAGCACATTGCTTGTTTCTCAGTTGTCAACTTGTTCCTCCCCCAGGCACTGGCTCGATTTAGTCTGGCTCGATTGTTGTGATGTGACATGAAACGTTGGTGGCAGTGTTGTTGGTTCCCGGGACAACAAGACAAAATTTCGGATTCGCAGCTAGATCAGCGGACCGAATCGCCTTGATGGCAAAGTTCAGGGTAGGACGCGCATCTCCAGCTCTCGAAGGGTAGTCCGTTGTTGCAACCCTGCCTGAGAACCTATAGATAGGTAGGTACCTACCAATACATATGCACTATACCACACGGTGCCCAATCAACGTTCCGCAAGTACAACGCCTGGACGACACTCCAGCCATGCCTGTAATTGTTTGGCTGTACAAAACCGCCGATGACGCTGCTCTCGAGATCCCATTACTACTTTCCTAGTCCTCTGGGGTGTAGATCACGCTTTGCAAGAGCAAATAACTTGATTTGGCAACCCCCACGCTGAATTAACCATTCGTTATCTCATCTGCGTTGTTTTCCTTGATCGATCCCGGGCCTGCTGAGCAGGCGCCTCTCAAAAAGTGTCAACTAGCAAGTGCAGATAGATACAGGTAGATAAATACCCAGATATCTCTCCTTTACGGTTCATTATCACTCCCGCTCTCTTCATACAGCTCTACCCGCTCGCGCGTACGTGTACCCCCTACGAAACCTTCCATCAATACAGTTTTTACATCTAGCTCCCTCTTATCTACATCAGCCTCGTTCTCATACTATTCATCATGGCTTCTCTCCAAGGTCTCCAGAAGATCAAAGTTATCCGAAATAAGAACTACAAGAAGTCCGGAACCAAGTCCTATGTCTACCTGCTCAACAAATGGGGGTTTGAGCCCACCAAGCCAGGCCCATACTTCCAGATGCAAAAGACCTCGGAAACTCAGAAATCTTTTCACAAGTTCGGCGTCAAGACCCAGTCTCATCGCGTCTTAGCCAAGAAGTCTGGAAGTGGTGGAAGCACTGATGTCGGTACCACGCAAGCTGGAGAAATCGGGGCCGAGGACCAGCAAAATGACTCCATGTATCTTGCTCCTATCCAAATTGGCACGCCTCCGCAAACCCTCAACCTTGACTTTGACACAGGATCTGCTGATCTCTGGGTAAGTCGACCTCTGCTGGTCCCAGGTATTCAAGGACTAACAGGAAACTATAGGTATGGTCTACAGAGCTTCCGTCTAGTATCACGCAGCAGAGCAGTGGACATGCTATCTTCGATCCAAAGAAGTCATCCACATTCAAGGCTGCCAACGGCTCTACCTGGGAGATCTCGTATGGTGATAACTCCTCGGCATCTGGAACCGTTGGAACCGACAATGTGACTATCGGCGGACTCACAATTAAGGATCAAGCTATCGAGCTTGCTAGTAAGATGTCTCAACAGTTCACTCAAAGTACTGGGGACGGGCTTCTTGGCCTCGCATTTGGAACAATCAACACCGTCAAACCGAAGCCAGTTGCCACCCCAGTGGAGAACATGATAACCGAAGAACAAATCCCACAGAGTGCCGAGCTCTTCACAGCCTATCTCGGTAGCTGGCGTGATGCCGATGAGGCTGACAAGGGTGAAAGCTTCTACACTTTTGGATTCATCGACCAAGACACTGTCAAGGCATCCGGCCAGGAGGTTGCATGGACTCCTATCGATAACTCCCAGGGCTTCTGGAAATTCGCCTCCGAATCTGCAGTCGTCAATGGCCAGACTATCAAACTGTCTGGGAATACTGCCATTGCTGACACCGGAACCACCCTCGCACTAGTCTCTGATGAATTCTGTGATGCCATCTATAAGGCTATCCCTGGCGCTAAATACGACAATAATCAACAGGGTTATGTTTTCCCCACGAATACCACTGCCGACAAACTTCCCGTCATCACTGTTGCTGTTGGTGACAAACAGTTTGTTATTCAGAAGGAAGATCTGGGGTTTGCTGATGCCGGTAACGGTATGGTCTATGGCGGTATCCAGTCCAGAGGTAGCATGGCCTTTGATATCCTTGGTGATACTTTCCTCAAGGCAGTCTATGCTGTAAGTACTTGCTTTCCCGAGCTGACCATAGCACATGCTAACACTCACTGTAGATTTTCGATCAGGGCAATAAACGCTTCGGTGCCGTTCAGAGAGTAGAAAAGGAACAGAATGTCTCAGCTCCTCCCTAAGAAATGATATGTACGTGTAAGACTGACATCATGAGGGTTCTATGGGGATAGTACGCCTGGCTAGGCGAATAGGGTGGCATACAGGTGGCTGGCTTTGTTTTGTACTTAATTGTGTTTGGAAAGACACTTGAATTTATGATCTAATAAATCTCAACAATGATGGCATAATAAAAATCTTGTTAAATAGCTTGATATGGAAATAGGAAATATATTATTTCTTGATTTTGAAATCATGGCGTGGTTTAATGAATAATACCAAGTAACCTTAAATGTATTTCGAGAGTTGTTGACCTCCTATACCTATGTCAAAGAGCTGGGAACGGCTAGAGGTGGCGAGGATGGGAACTTGGTTTCTACATACAGAGTACCTATGTGTCTTCATAGCGACAGACATCCCGACTATTGAATGGCTTATTCGAGATTCCTCTTTATACTCGCGGGGAATTTCTTAATTTTGATGCTAATACTTGCCTCATCAAAACGTCCCCTTCGTAAACTAAAATATATGCTATTTGTTCGAGGGAAGTAGTAGCACATTCACTTTATTAGAGCACATATAGCAATAAAACAGTAACACGAACTAGGTTTCAAATGACTTGCGTTTTCTTTCCCACATAAACCTATACGTACGGATTGTAATCTGGTTTGCCTCACCCTTATAAACCCAAGTGCGAGTGCATTACCAGCGAAAAATATTCGAATCCCACGCGGATGTTGAATGAAGTAGACCCGCGCTCCTTCCCCGTTAGGAATTTCGTTAAGAACAATATATAATCCAGCATTCCAACAAACTCCTAAAAGACAAAAAGCCCAGGCCAGAAAAACAATAACAACTAGCGATTTGCAAGACTGATGGGAAAATAAACCAAGTAATTTCATAACTTCTTTACGTCGGACCTGCCTCGCTGTACAACACCACCAAATACCTTCCATTTCTACACTTGCAGAATTTGAAAGCTCCCCAAGACTCGGGTTAAAGATGGCTTACTTCCTCAAAACCGCCTCATACAATGTGACCAAAGCACCAATTCCTGTTCCAACCATCACACCCGACCATCCGCCATATATGGCAGAATTGATCCTCGCGACATTCTCAAGATCAACAAGCCCACAAAATGTGACGCCTTGTCCGTATACGACGAATGACAACAGCGCCTTGACGATATTAAACGTCAACGGATCAAACGCGTAATTGAAATGCGCGTTTTGGCTTCGTCCACGGGAGGGTTTGCTCGTCAAGTTGAAGAAGTATGCCGCGAACAAGGGGAGGATGAGACTTGTGGCGGTCCACAACGTGGCAGGGCCCCAGAATGAGCTTGTCAGGAGGAGGAAGAGATCTGGGACCGAGACAGGGTATTCCCTTGTGTGCAGGAATTGGATTTCGGGGATGGTGAACGCGTAGCGATCGGGCAGTATTTCTTTCCGCAGGCTAAACAACTCGAATAGCACGATTACTGCCTGGATGGCAGTCAAGGTGGATAGGCTTTCGCGCGCTGCTTGTGTGGTCTCGCTGATTCCTGATTCATCATACGCGTCGGATATTTTTGAGCGTAGGACGGCGGTCCGACGGTCGATCGCGTCAGCTACCACAGCCGGCGATGGCGGTAACGGCACATTCGATGCGAATGATAGATTGGAAAGCGCCGAGGAGCGTGCTGGCGTTCTTGTCAGGGCGGTACGAGCCCGTGCAGTTGTTGGTTCGGATTCCGAATCATCTCTATGACCCGATGTATTAGTATATAAACATGTTGACGCGCGTGGTGTGTAGGAATGGAACTTACGTCGCCAGTAATTCCTCCGCAGCTCTTGTAACTCTGCGCTTCACAGTGCGGGCTTTGGTTTCAATATCATAACCGATTGGCGCAACTTCCTTCTTGACTGGAGAGTGTTCACTGCGTCCCCTGGTCTTGTAGAATGGTGCGAGGCGCGTCTCTCCTGAGAATTGGGAGGAGTGCTCATGAAGGTAATCGTCAAGCGCGACTTCAATTTCTGTTTTCTTCATTCCTGGGTAGCTATAATATACTCATTAGCTTATGGTCTGATTATTATTTTGGGAGTTAGGCAATGTGCGCTAAGTGGGTTTTATGAGGTATCATACTCTTTGAATCCGACGGAATCGCACAGCTCTAGCAGGTCGGCTTTCCGCATCTTCTGCAGCCAACTTGATGCGCCTGACATGATGACGATGTTGCGATTTGTGTAGCAAGAAGTGGAGTATGCGCGATTGTAAATGCGACTGATGAGCTTGGACGCGCAAGTGCTAGTTGTTCTGATATGATGCTCGCCTTGTTGTGTTATCGATTTAATGTGGGGGTTGGGGACGTGGCTGGAAGATGCGTGGAGATGCTGCCAATGTAAACAAACTCTGGAGAAGGGGCGCTAAGGGGAGACAAGACAATATACCCTGTCGTCACGATTTTCATCACGTGATATTACCAAATATCAGCGATGGTTGGTGCTGAGTGAATTCGAAATTTAGATCAAGTTTTTCATTTTTGCAGTTTAAAGGGCTAAGTTAAATTTAGTTCATCAGGGAGACAGTTGGCGCTGCTCTATTCTATAATCTTTACAAACCTCTCCTCTCCCTTCCTAACTACTCTAACTGGTATAAATCCTGGATGCAACTTCAATGTGATAACGGAATTAGCGGTCCTCAAAGTACTGCGAGCTTTGTCTTGCGCTTTTCTGTATAACACCCTCTTTTCCTCGTCCGACATCTTCGCCACCTCATCATCAGTTGCCCACTCATCAACAGCTAGTTCGATGGAGTACTTTTGAAAAATAACAGCAAATGTCGCCATAATTTTTACCTGCGCCAGTCTCCGCCCGACGCATGACCGCGGACCGTCAGAGAAGGGAAGGTATGAACCTCGCACCGGGTTGAATAATCGTGCGTGAGAGCTTTTACCTGTAAACCCCCCAAAGCCATCGCCGTCCTCCGCCTCCGAATCATCATTATCTATCAGCTGGTCGGCTGCCGCGTCCACTTTCATGAGCCATCTCTCCGGTCTGAAATCATTGAGATCATCAGCCCCATCAGTAACCTTAGACGGTTGTGTTGGCCAGTATCTTGGATTCCTATGCACACCGATCGTATTCAATGCAATCTGAGCACCAGCGGGGAGCGTGTACTTCTTCCCGTCGATAATGAGATCTTGGTCGCGTTCGTCAGACACCGATTTTGGAATAGCTATGACAGGAGGCATCAAGCGAAGCTGTTCGTTTAAAACAGCACCCGACACACCACCGAGCAGAGAGTTGATACTCGAATCGTAGTCCCATTTCTCAGGCGGCAAGTCCCCAAATATGGCCTGGATCTCTTTTTGCACAAGCCGCTGGGGTCTCGGATTAATAGCCAACTCCATTAATGAGAAATGAATTGCATTTGCGGTGGTTTCGTGTCCTGCAACGAGCGTCGCAAATGCATTCCCCAAAATATCCGAGTCGGACAAATGTATCTGAGCAGCGTCCCTTTTGGGATCGCTCTTCGCGCTATATGAGCTTCTCACGAGTGAGCCCATGATATCCATACCTTCAATTCTTTGGCCTTCACGGGTTTCTGCAACCTTTTGAGCGAATAGGTCGTTCATGTATTGACGCCAGTTGACAAAGGATTCGTAAGCTACCCGTGCTTTTTGAAATGGCAACAGTTCTGCGCAATATTAATACGAGTTTCGCAGCATTAGAGTTAATTGGACTTACTCAACAGCCAGTGTGGTGTTAGCATTACCATAAGGATATGGTCGAGGAATGTGCTCAGCGCGGTTTCAAACGTCATGGAATATCCTTCCGGAGGTTGATTGCTGCTGTATATTCCCGCCCCACCCTGCCCCTCTGTCGAAGCCTCTCCGGGCCATAAAAGGCGCACTCCAAATCCAATGCTGCTTATGATACGTAGAGTCAAGCTCATTGTATCGTCGGGCACACTATTAAGCGTGGTGTTTCCAACCCCGCTGGGCCCCGTCCACTTCCGTAGCATTCCCTGCGTTTGGTCGCATGCCTCAGCGAAGACCAACACATTGTTCTTCTCGTTGAAGCCCGGTGATATTACTTTTCTGTGCTTTTTCCAATCCCCCCCTTCCGTTGTAATTATGTTCCTGCCAAACAGTTCGAGTATGCGGTACGGCTCGAGCGGCTTCGGGAAGGCTTCGCGCCTTGCGGTGATTTGATGCATAGCTTCAGCATTTGTGACCCAAACATACATTGTACCAGGCGATACTGTGATAAGGACATCGCCACTTCTCTTGACGGGTTCGAATAGCAATTTCCACATCCAGTCTGGTATCATAAAACTACTTGCAGGTTAGCAGGATTCGAGAAGCTACACTGAGGACATACGGAAGCCAATCCTCCGTCCAAGCCGTGGGTAGGCTTTGGAGTATTGGAAGCCATAGCTGGTGCGTTATAAGCCATATTATATTATAGGGACCGATAGCTATTGATTGATCAGTCGAGCTGGCCATAAAGCTAGGTTACACAACTGACGTGAGATGACATATGGCAAACCACTGCGTTTCGCTGCAGCTATATTTTTAGAAAGACCTGAAATGTTCGAATATACCCAGGCGAGGACAACCGCAAGCACGCCGATCGCGATTGTACTGGTAGAGGCCATTATCGTTCAATAGCAGGCTACATCAGGTAGGGACTGTGCGACAATACTATTATCATGCTAGCGAAATGTACTCTGCTGATAATGTATTAATAAAGAAATAGAGTTGGCGAAGAACACATTGCAATAATGGCGGAAGCATTATGACGATTGATGGGCTTCCAGCTGCTCGGGCGCTGGGATACGAGTACGCAGCATTAACCGTGCCCTTGTTTCAACATCCCAAGATTTCGTCCCACGTACGTAGGCCAGGTCCGTGAGCCGATAGTGGTACGGAGTCCGCTATGAGCCCCCGCGAGAGATTGATGAACATTTGTCTGCGTAGATACCTCGGAGTTGTCACTTGGCCTTAAGAGGATGTACCTATCTAAGGTACCTTTTTAGGTACCACCGAGTATGCGTTATTTGCAATGGATGGTGGATAAGGCGACTGTTTTGGGGAGAAGGCGGAGACACGGTAGGCTCTTGGCCAGCCCTTTGTGTCACATTCAACGTTCCATTCCATATCATGAGAGGATCCTTACCCTGTAATGGGCTCTTTCAAACCACCTAGTAGAGTAAAAGGTTGAACTAGAAATACCAGGTACTTAGGTACCTAAGGTACCACCGCCTCCAGTGGACAACTTCATTATACACGGCGAAAAAAATCCCCCAACAATACAAGCCCTACACTTGATTACCTTATTATCGCATCGCACATATACTATTTGCAAACAGATGCAAAATCGTAAATGATATTTGTAGACAACAACTTCTTCAAGGTAAAAATCGCAGTTTCAAGGGCTTGGGCCACGCCGGTCGTGGTCATGTGACCGCGAATGTTAGCGCGCACTTTCCAATCTAAGCGAGCGCACAAATTCAAGCCTACGAAATTCAAGAACATCGACGCCGAGACGACACACCATATTCTTCACGACTAACGGCAGAAATCAGTCAAGATGGTAGGCACCCCGATTCATTCCAGATCCCCATGGCGGAGAAGAGGGCATTGGTGTATTGAGAGGAGGTTTGGGGCTTGGGGCTTGGAACGCTGGTTATGCCGAAGATGAAATCGCGAATTCGATCTTGCTCACTCGTGGAGCTATCGACGAGACGTTCGGGTTTCCCAACACATCCGACCGAGAAAATTGGCTATACGGGTCTGATCGCCTTTGAATGGCGTATATGGATAGGCTGGGGAGGGATCGAAGGCTCAAGATATGGAAATGAGCGATGTTCTAGATCAAGGCTAACATGAACGCCTTCACAGGTCAACGTACCCAAGACCAGACGCACCTACTGCAAGGGCAAGGAGTGCCGAAAGCACACACAACACAAGGTGACGCAATACAAGGCAGGAAAGGTACTTGGGCATTCCATCCTCGTTTGTCGAACGTCCTTCTGATGCGAACTTTTCTCCAGGCATCCCTATTCGCGCAAGGAAAGCGTCGTTATGACCGCAAACAATCCGGTTATGGTGGTCAGACAAAACCCGTGTTCCACAAGAAGGCCAAGACTACAAAGAAGGTCGTGTTAAGACTGGAGTGCACAGCCTGCAAGACGAAGGCACAATTGGCGTTGAAGCGATGCAAGCATTTCGAACTTGGGTACGTCACCAACTTCCGCAGCATAAGGGCTGGCTTTGGTATGGATGGAAGTGCTAATGAATTTGATACAGTGGTGACAAGAAGACCAAGGGTGCTGCGTTGGTGTTCTAGATGTTCTTCGATGACGACTCTTCTTCATGTGGGCATGGCGCGGCATGGGAGTGGATTTTGCGTGGGTGCGATGGTTGAGATAAATTCAACAGGGAACAACAGTATGGATTGGGTCCTTGTATCTTATTCTACATCGCCGAGGAAACATGGCAAAGTTCGCTGACACGATTGTTCTCTTCGATAACTTAAAATGTCTTCGGTGAACTGTGCGTCAGGAGATGATGGGTATTCTGCAGCTGCCTGGAATCCCGTCAGCCTCACGTTTGCACATATTTTGTGTAACGTTATGCCCGTGACCGAACGAGATATGCCAAAAACGATGTTCGAAGCCATATTTAAATCAAACCGCACTAGATAAAATATCGGCTGCGAGTCCACGAAATCCTTGAATGTTTCAACGGAGAGACACCTGCTGAGATGGACAATCCATATCTGCTAGCCCTATCATATTCAAGGGGATGTAATCTAGTAGTCTAAAACCCTTTCCCAAGTTTAACGGTCTCGCCACCACCATACCAAAGCGTCCCCCTTCTATAATCGAGCCCCATTTCCTGCCCTATAATCCATTCCCCCTCATTCATCCCCTCCTTCGGCCAGTACTCATCCTCCAGCCACTGATTAACTTCCTCAATCTTGCTGAACCACCCCGCCATCTTCTCCGCACTATCATGGTCGCCTTGCGTAAGAAAACGGCCAAGAGTGATGTGCGAGCTAGGCACAACGTAACGCGAGTCCACAACGATACCTGCCCGTTGGGCGATGTTGAAGAGATCTCGACGGAGGTGGTGATATGTGAAGTTGTCATCCTCCCGGGTCCGGGAGCTTGATGGAACGCTTGAATTTGACGGTAGGCCTTCTCCTGCTGCAGGCAGGAAGGAGAGGGCGATGGCCGCACCATCATAGGACAGTGTAGGTTTGATGATACGAGCTCGGTGGGTGTAGGGGTAGTCTACCATAGAAGTAGAAGCAGAATCGCCGAGAGCCGTGATGATAGACGTTATTTCAGGAGCTGTCAGAGAGTGGGTGATTTCTAATGCGGTCAAGTGGAGGTTTTGGAGAGGCATTAACCAGATACCTGGAAGGAGTTAGCAATGTGCCTGGACTAGACTGAGAGATTGGGGTTGACTGGGTCGAGGGCCAGTCGATGGTTGTTCTTCTGGAACGTAAAATTACAGAGTAGTAACTTCGCTCTTTAAGTAATCAAATATGCAATACAAATGAAACATAATACGTACTCGGTGCCAGCTTCAAGAGCTCCTGCTGAATTCTATCCACGAGAGACTTGATATGGGGTGGAGGCCGAGCCCAGAATACGATGCAGTTTCTGGGATCTTGGTATCCAGGTTCAATTGAGGGATCTGTAAGTCTTTGCAGTATAGGATCCAGAATCAATCCCTCGTACTCAGGCGAGAGTAACTTCTCCCGTTGCTGCCCATTTCGTGTGTCACGATGGGTAGCATATCGAGCTTGAATTTGAGCCTCTGAAAGTTAGCTTGGGCTATCAATAAGTATGAGACAAAAACAGAAATGAATGGTGCGGTATATTGGTCGTGGCTCGCCAATAATCAGGGGGAATAAGACTAGAGCTGGGAAAGAAAAGGGGTTGCACTACAGGATCATTGTGACATGCTTCAATCAGGGCATCATAGGGGTTGTTGTATGCAGCAATATCAACACCTGAGAGGTCCTCAAAAGTATTTCTAGCATCTGCTGATTCTAGATGTGGGGGAACCATTTCCTTGGACTTGTATTCTAAGAATCTTCACCAATTTTGGCTGAAGGAAGAGGGGTGGAGGGGCGGTGATCCGGCAGAACATCGGTGGTCGGATATACCTCGGCCCGGCTTAGTTTTTGGATATCCGATGTGGTTCAGTTGATCACAGCAAATACAAACAAAACCAAAGCAAATATTGAAGCTTATCCCAACTGCACCTAAACTCTCCTTCACCATCTAAGGAGAGTGCAGAATCTCGCCATGGGATCAACAGGAGTGCCATCGTCGTCGTCTGGCGATATTGACCCGTTACTGGAGCCCTGTCGCGTTTATCCAAGACGGAACGGGGCTTTGTCGAACGTGACGGTCTTTAGGAAACTACCCAACAACTCTTTCTCCGGCTATATAAGACATCGATAGGGCCTCGAATTCAAGTTCTCAATGGTTCTTCCTCTCCCTGAAGGATTGAATTTCTATCATCTTATCATCAGAACATATGGAGGGGCTTATCGCCGGCTCGTCGTTGCTTGTCCGGAGATTCTCCTTTTGGTGGTATCAGCCACGGTCGGGAGGCACGGTCCAGGTTGGTCCCCTTTTCCGCCCAACCTTATTTGCACCTTCAGACAGCCTGCAGGGATTCGCGCTTTGAATTTCCAATTTACGATGTCGCGTCCTGTGTGTAAATTCAGAGAGACAATATCCCCTTTATGCCCCCGACAACGAACAGCCCTTTCTAAGCTTCGCCCACTAAGTCGACACTGGTATATTAGCTTCACACTCTTTATCTCCTTTTGCAGAGAAAAACTAGCAGTTCATCACCCTGGGTGTTGCGTTCTGTGCGAAATACCTGGGTACTTCTTGCCTCGAGGTAAGCAATATCCCGAATCTCTAGAGAACCCACGCGCCCCCCCCCACAATGCCGACTCCTTATTCTCCTTTTAGCTATAGATCATCTTCTTGCATTCCTATTTTCTCTCCATTTATTTCCTTTAACCTTGTAGTGTTGTACGCATGATAATCTCTTGGACTTCCAATCGCTAACATATGCTCAGAGCAGTGTCCCTTCGTTACCGGTCGACCCCACTACCAACCAATTCTGCTGGATATAATACTCTGCAGATGCTCTAACTTCCTGGGCCATTTTCTCCTTGTGAGACCGTTTGTCGACCTTCCACACACCAACGAACTTGCGATAGTTCTCCTCGCATGCCCCATATTCTTGTCATATTATAGGGTCGCTACTTGCTTGGGTTCGCTCTTTCTCTTTGGTCCTTAGCGTTGTAGCGGCAGCCTCCCACCACAACCCTACCAAAGCCAACACTTTTACTACGCAAATCATGAAGAGTGAACTCTCCTTGAATTGAGTAAGTCCTAATGCACTGGCATATACCAACTACTAATGTGAGCCACAGTCCTTGCCTAGTTTGTCTCCACTTATCTAGAGTGGGGCATCTTTGAATCACTTGATTCTCCAAAGCCAACCTTCGCTTCATGATGCTCAGCCTGTTCCAATGCTACCACTCCTGTATTTAATACATCTCTCATGGTAAGCTAGGTTCGCTCCCAGGTTAACGTGGTTATCTCATGTCCAAGGACACTTCATCGGAGGCTGTGCTATAAGTAGCTAACTATCAACCATAGAAAAGGAGTTGTTGCGAAACTGTATTAATGGACACGTATCTTGATTTTGTCTTGTAGCACACTTTGCTCTCCGATGTAAGCCTATTTTCAAGTTGAGGAGTCATCACTCGATTCATCCTCAAACGAGCCCTTTTATAATGTTAAAGCCACCATTTCTGAAGTTCCCCAGCTAACCCAATATAGCTCGTTTCCTTATTTCTTTAAGGAGCACTTGCATCACCTCGATATACACTGGCCCTGTGTTGTATAGCGGCTTCCGTTCCTTGCTCGCTATTCAAAGGCCGCTTACCTGAGACCTAGACTTGTGTACAAGTCTTTGATCTTCCCCGCTTTCTACCCTTTGATCGAAGACCTCTTGATTTCCTGTTTGATCTTGCCGAAAGTCGAGGTCCATTGTGCGCCCGTATCACGCCCTTGCAACATACGTAGGATATCGGGACTCGATCCGCCTTTGAAATTCGTCGTCGGGCTATTCTTCGTGTAGGTAACCACCTTGACAATATGCGGCGATCCCGGAGATCAGCTGTTGAGATACTAGCATCCGATTCCCCAGACGAAATCGACTTATGCAGCTATGCTCCTCCCCGTCGGCATAAAAAAAGCGCAGGCACGCCTGCCGTCGAGATACTTGACTCTACTTCAAGATTAGCCTCTAGTAGAAATAGCATTGGGGTTGAGATTCAAAGTAGAGAGACGATCACCAGTGGGCAGCCTACCACTCGAGATAGAACAGCCCGTCAGATTTCTCCATCTAACACCGATGCTACTTTGGATGTTATCCTTGTAGATCACACGAGCTCCGTGGAATCCGAATGCGATGCAGATGACGAGAGCGATGAGGAGCCTCAATTTCCGTGCTCCAGGCGCAGTACTACGAAGCCCCAGACTGTCCCTAGCGAGATCCCACTCTCCGACCCAAAGTCTTCCATATGGGTAGGTCGAGAGGGAACCAACATTGCGGTAGTTATTCCTTCGAATAAGCCTCGGCTATATCTAGGGCAAACATCTGTTTCGAGGCTCAATGCCGTCCCTAGCAGAAGCAGAGGGAGCCCAAAGAGAGTTGTGCTAGTCGAGGGTGGGCGAAAGATACTTGAAGGTAGGTGTGCGTTCTCTCGAAGATATCATTCTATTCTTGTCCGGCTTGTTAGCATTCCTCCAGTGCCTTCGTATCGTTTTCTTGCGTACCTTATTACTGATGGGCATGGTGGATCTTGTCGATCATGATACCGATGGCTTTTATACCCCTGACTTTATATATATATGTGGGAATCCCCGAGTACAAGGTGCTTCGATGTATTCGGAGAGTTACATTTTGCTTTGCAAGTCTGTTGCAGCTTAAGAAGCATATCATCGCGAGGCTGTCCCTCGGAGGGGCTGTCTGCCCGCTCCGAAGCACCACGGGTAGCCGTCGCTTGGTAAACAAAGCCTACACCTTGATTTCCAAAACCTCATCTTGACGCGCCCTTTGCACTTTACACACAAAACCTCCTTTCGCACATAACACCAGATCCTTCCTTCTTTGCAAGTTACTTTCGCTATAACCACATACACTGAGCTCTTTGCCTCTACTGGCAGTAGTAAGTGCCCCTTGCACCCTTGTCGCGGTCGCGATCGCGGTCAGTCCGGACCCAAGTTTTAGTGACCTTCCACTTCGCGGGGAAGATCGAGTGCTACCTGACCTTTTCCTCTCCTTCTCCAAGGCTTTGCTTCAAAGCTCCCCATATAAGCACTCTTTGTATCGCGTTATGCATTGCTCTTTTGTCTTCGTGCCCTTGTTTGCATGACTTGTCTTGCACACTTCGTAGCCTCACCACCTACCCTTCACTACAGCTTTGCTCTTCCAACTACGTCTCAACCTATCGCAGCCACTATCTCATCATATTGCTATCCAAACATGATGCTGACTTCTTAAAGGCAACAAAATGCCAAACCCCTACCAGAGTTCCCTTCGTCCACGTCGCGCGCGGGCAGCAGTCTCAACATACAGCGACTCTGAAAATAGCTTTACCTTCAGCAACCCTATGGACGTTGACGATGGCCCCAATAGCGAGACCGTCAGTGGTGATACTGATTACGATGATTCCTCTAAATCCGTCGAGCCACCAGCCACTGAAATTGACGACAATGATATCTCTCTAGAAGAGTCTGACATTTCCCTCCCCCCTACGAAACGCCAGAAGGTGTCTAGTAAGTTTCGCCCTCCTCAACTTTATACGACAATTACTGAACTACAACCTAAGTTTCACCTAAATCCAAGAAGGCTGCTGCCAAACCTCCGAAAAAGACCATTGCTGTTAAACGCCGTGCCCAGCCAGCTGCTACAAAGAAGCCTAAGGCACCAAAGTCAAGCTCGACAAAACTGCCGGTTTCCCGTCGCAAGACAAAATGTTAGTCACAACCTTATGCTCTTGATATCAAGTACTAATTGAAGCTAGCGGGTTCTTCTTCCCAATCCGCATCCGCCTCTGACGATGAACCACCCGATGAAGAAGAAGCCCCAGAGGAAGAAGTGGTGAACGGTTCTAAGCCAAAGGCTGCTGTTAAGTGGAATGACACGTTCAAGTACGGGCTCGGTTTTGATAACATGCTTCCACCGATCAACACTGTGAGAGCTGCGTTCGAAGATCTGTTTGACCGATCAAAGGAGATCGGATTTAACAAATACCTGCGCCATCTTGATAAACTTGGCAATCGTAACCTGACAGTGGCGACCATGTGCTCAGGTACCGAAAGCCCCATGCTAGCTTTAGACCTGCTTGGGCAAAGTAAGTGACCGGGCCTCAATATCTTGTCCTACGTTGCATCTAATATATTTCTAGTTCGTGCAGAAGCCGAAAATGGTGCCGCATTTGGGGTTGATCACAAATTTAGTGCGGAGATTGTGCCTTTCAAACAAGCATATATCTATCGGAATTTTGAGCCAGGTGTCGTCTTCCGGGACATTACGGAACTCTTCGCTCTTGAGGGCCATACACGTGCGGAGGCTGAAAACAAGTTCAAGATGTAAGTCGATGCTCCCTCGAATCCCTCATACTGTGGCCGCTCATCACCTACAGGAAAACTGCACATGGAGGGTCGGCCATTGTTCCAGGTGACATAGACCTTCTTGTTGCCGGCACTTGTTGTGTAGATTTTTCAACACTCAACCGTGCTCGCAAAACCCTTGCAGACGGCGGCGAATCTGGTGATACCTTTTACGCGATGCTTCATTATGCCAGGGTCTATAGACCAAGAGTGATCATCCTAGAAAACGTTTCCGGCGCGCCATGGGATGGTGAGAAGAACAAAAGTGATTCGAAGGTTGGCATGAATACCGAGCTAGAAGAGATTGGATATGAGTCACGGTCCTTGAAGCTAGATACCAAGGAGTATGGTATTCCCCATACCAGACTACGTGGCTATTTGATCGCCGTCGACACAAAATGCGACAGGGCGAAGAAGATCGACATCGCTGATCGGCTCGACAAGTGGGTAGAGCGCATTGCTGCACTGAAGAGGCCTGCCAGCAGTCCCGCAGAACAATGGCTTCGTCGCTCGGACGATCCTCTTCTAGCCGCTTCCGGCGGCGCCTGGCTCAGTGAGACCCAAAAGGCAACGAAGGCACCTAAGTGGGAAGCATGCAAATGTAACCATCACTCTTACCGCCATTTTTTGGCTCTCGGCATGAAGAGAACTTTAACCAACTGGGTTGATGACGGCCACTTTGAATTACCGGATTATTACAACCGCAATCTCAAAGGCTATGTTGAACGTGTGCTAGACACACTTGAGGTTGCTCATCTTCGAAACCTCACACGAGGCTTCGATGATCGGTACTATGCGTAAGTTGCGATTCAGCACAGCTTTCGATTTTCAGCTAACAGTATGCACTAGTCGTATCCTCGAGCTATCCCAAAATGTCTTCCGTGTCACCGATACTATTAAAGAGGGTATCGTTGGCTGCCTGACGCCGACCGGCTTTCCATTCCTTACAACACGTGGCGGGCGCATCCTTGGAGCCGAAGCCTTGAGTCTCCAAGGCCTACCCGTCGAACAATTGGACTTGTGCCGCTTAAACCAAGCTGAACTTCAAAATCTGGCTGGCAATGCGATGACCTCCACTGTCGTTGGCACTTGCATTGTAGCCGCACTCAGTAGCTTTTATGACTTCTTTGGGTATAAGGCCATTTCGCAACAGAAAGTCGAAACTGTCACTCCGGAGGTAGCAGGTGTAAATTTCGTCAAGAAACGCTTAGCTGCAGCATCATATGAGAAGCTGTCGCCCACAGACGCCATTGCAGAGGCTAGACTAACCCGCCGGCTGTGTTATTGCGAACGAGACGAAAAGAAGAAGTTGACCTTCCAGAAATGCAAGGTGTGCCAGCACACAACTTGTACTTCATGTGGAAAGTCGCCAACTCATCAATACGAGCCCATGGATGAGTTCCTTATTAAAGCTCGAAAGGATCCAGTCGAATTCGAGATGCGCTTGAGAAACTCGGTTCCGATGCGCATTCGCTTCACCGATCTTAGCTCTCCAGAGTTAGAGAAGGCGCTCGCCAACATTAGGCAATGCCATGGCGTTGATATTGACACCGAGACGTGGAAGATGATCCTAGGGTGCGTCCACAAGGCCCTAGAGTCCGAGGTGTTCTTCAGAAGCGTCAGACGAGCAGAATGCTGGGAGGTTCAATATGACTCGCCATACGCAAAACTGATGCTGACAATTTCTGATTCCCAAGTCAGATGGGACTTGTACGCCAACCTTCCAAATGAACCCCTTGGTACTCCTTTAGGGAAGTATCTACGGCAGTTTTCAATTGCTCGTATGATCCCAACTGAGAATGACCTTACTCAAGGCCCCTGGAAGCTCTGGCTTCCTAAGAAGCATGAGTTTGATGTCGACCTCTCCCTCACCGGACCTATGGTACCATCATATCAAGACCACTGTGGGTTAGCCGCTTTTACGGATACCTCCGTGTGCACCAATATTCGTGTTGATATTGCAAACTTCGATCCAAAATATTTTGACATCGACATCCGCGGCGAGTATGAAGCTTTCCAGTCATGTGGACAGGCATTCAACTCATTACACGTCAAGAAGTCCACAAGCGGATCCACGGCCCCTCTGTTCTTTTTCCTCGAGCAGCACTTGCGTTCTGGCGACCCCAATGATCACTTTTTCGTTTTTACAAAAGATAACAGAAGACTCGAGAAATTAGAGCATCGAGAGGCAATTGCACGAGTCAACAAATCGTTCCGTCTTCCGCATGCCCATCGCATTGAAAGTGCTAAAGGGCAGAAGGCACAGAAATTCAAGTTCGATGACTCGAAAGACAACTTCGACCCCCTAAAGGACACGAAACAGATGAGAGTCAAGATCACGGTTGATGGTGCCTGGGCAGACTTTGAACCCATTACTTTCAACTCTCGGGTTCATGAGGATGTGTACTATCGTCAACTCCCAAAGGATGTCTCACAAGTGGCTAGTACTTCATGTCACAAACAGCTGGCCGTCTTTATGTGCGAAGCCCCGATCAAGGGTAAATTCCGGCGATGGCCTTCTGATCGATGGATCGAACTCAATACCGCTAAGGAGGCCGACTTTACTAATGAGTTTGGGTGGCTTCTTGAGAGGGGCCTTGTTCTGGACGGGCACCACGAACTGAGCGGCCAGTGGCACTCTATAGCCCCATCGCAAGGTGACTGTGCATGTCTAAATTGCGCGCCCGCTCCTCCTCGTCTTCTTTGGTCAATCAACAAAAAGGGAAAACAATTCCCATTTGAAGAACCCGAAGACGCTTCGAAATTTGAGCAAGCTCTAAAAACCCGACCTTCGCCAATTTCCACTTTCGTATCCATTAAGGGTGGAAACATCGCTGTGATTATCGGCGTAAATCCTAAGACCCTCATTCACAGATCTGTTGCGAGATTGGAGTCCAATGTCTTCGGAGATAACATGAGATCTGGAATCTTTACGTCTTGGAGACTTATTACCGACAGCAAGGCCGCTCCAAGTCCTCAATTTCGACCTCTGCACTTGACAAGCAATGCCCGCCACAAAAAGACAGATCAACCAGCCCAATTCCACTTTAAACTCCGCCCCGAACAACTACGCGGTCTGGCATGGATGGAGATGCAGGAATTAGAGAACATCTTCGTCGAAACTGAAATCGTTGAAGCCCGCCTCTCCAGTCTCGGTTACCGGGCTGAAGGACGAGCGACCAGAGAAGTCAATGCATCTGGGGGTGTTCTGGCTTTTGATGTTGCTTTCGGCAAAACTGCTCTGGTTTTGGCCCTCATCGCGAAATCTATGCCTAAAGCATCGGAACATGCCGCAAAGACAATTAAAGGTGCCGTGCCATTGAAGGCTACAATCGTTTTGGTTCCCGCCCACCTCACGGGACAATGGGAAAGCGAGGTTAAGAAATTCATGAAGATGAGCCGCAATGTTCTCGTTGTCAAGAACATTCTATCGTACAAGTCCATGACCGTCGCCAAATTTCAAGCTGCAGATATTATCATTTTCAACATGAATCTTCTGGACCATGAAGGATACAACACTTTGCTATCCAACTTCGCCGGTATGCCTGAAATCGGCTTTAGAGAGAGCAATAGAGCCAAGCTTGCCTGGCGTAAAGAGGCCGCTGCAAGAGTCAAATCCAACGTAGATAGGCTCTCTGCTGACCCACAAACATTTGTGGCCCATCTACGCAAGGAATATGCTGAGAACATCGAGGAGTCCGAACGCAACGAGGCACCTATCCCCTCAAAACGCCTCACGGGTAGCGCATATGTCAGTAAAAACAAGCCATGTGACAATGACTCGGCATCAGACACTGATTCCGAAGTCGACATTGTCAACAACAAGCGCAAGAGAGGCCAGGAACCTAAGCGAGCTCAGAACCCCAAAGTTCCACAAGACCCCAAACGAAATGTGTATTTCTCATCCATCAAAAATCGCAAGATTCAAGAACTCTTTCCGCTACTGGAGATGTTTTCGTTCCACCGTCTGGTCATTGACGAATACACATATTTGAAAGGGACGGAGGCGACAGTTGACCTCGTCAGATCGGCTAAACGCTGGATCCTTTCGGGGACACCTGCTCTGGGCTCGTTCTCTGATATAAAGAAGATGGCACGCTTGATTGGAATCCACCTTGGAATTGACGACCTTTCTTCTATGAGAAGTGATGATTACAAAGCTGCCATCACTGGATTGACTAGTAAGTCTAATTGACTAATCTAACATGTACAGATGCTGACGATCATAAGCTGCTGAGCATTTTAGGTCGTATCTAGAAGTCCCGAGCGTGGTGTGGAAGCATCATCGCCATCTGCTGTGCCAAACATTCCTCGACCAATTTGTCAGACGTGTAAGTCATTCACCGATATAGCACCGGAAGCCCTACTAACAGCTTTAAGGATGAGGCTGATTTGGGGACAATTACGATGACAACCACCTACCGAATCGTCGTCCCTCCCCGCTCAGAGTGGGCTATGTACCAAGAAATCCAACAGCGAGCGGCTGCTATGGAGTTCGACCGAAGCAGTAAGAGATTTAGGGGTTCTGGAACGGATGCGGAGGAGCAATTTGCGCTTGCCATAGGGAACAGCCATGATCTCCGTGAAGCCCTGATCTTCCGCGCTGCGCACCCGAGATTATTAGACGATGATGTTGAGTTTGACAGCGAACTCCGGGGCGTAGAGGATCGCATTTTGTGCCTTCGCAAGAACGATCAAGCCAACATGGAGGCCATCATCAAAGACGCCTTGACAAAAGCGGTATGGCTTCAAAATAACCAAGAAAAAGGTGTTAACCCTCCAAATTTTACCGACTGGAAATCTCGGGTCAAGGAGAACGTTTACGGGGATGAGGATGCCACGAAGAGCCTTTGTGAGCTCATCGACCAAGCCTCGAACCAATACGATCGAGATGGCTGGACAAGCTTTTACCGTATCGCGGATGACAAGGATAAAGAGCGCCAGCACCTAGTTGTGAAACCCAAAGGGAAGGTGGTCTCCGGAAGTAACCAGCACCTGTATCAATCAGAACTTCAGCTCCGGATTGTGACAACCCAATTGAGTCGCCTAGGAGAGTACTACGCCAATCAGCGCCGATCTTTGCGCTTCTTCGAAAATCTCAATCGGCTGCGCAGAACGTCACTCAGTTGCGGAAAGTGTCGAACCAAGAACATTAACCCCAAGGAGGTCACTCTCCTCACAAAATGCGGCCATATGATCTGTAACGCAAATCAGTGTCAGGTTAATACAAATGACACTTGTCCGGTCTGCAAATCAACGAACCACAAATACCAGAGAATCCTTGTCTCCGATCTTGAAAACCAATCAAGTTCGCTTCCGAGCTCGAATTTCGGTCAGAAATTGAACGAGATCACAACCCTTATTGGTAATGAACTCCATGAAGAAGACAAGGTTTTAATATTCGCCCAGTTTTCGAATATTCTTGACACGGTCAAAGCTGCTCTAGAGCATGCGACGATTCCGTTTGTTGATCTTAGCAAGACTAGAGACCCTTCCAAGACCCTTCTCAAATTCCAGAGTGATGGTCCTGAGATATCCAAGGTTCTTGTTCTGGACATTGATGATGCCTCTGCAGCTGGAAGGTAAAGTCTACCCTCTTACTCCATCTGGTATAACTGATACTAACTTAATTGTAGCAATCTCACGTGCGCAAATCATGTCATATTCGTTTCGCCGTATTACGTGAAGGGTTCGGGCGCTCAAGAGAAGTGGCGTGCAACCATGACTCAAGCAATTGGTCGCATTCGTCGGTATGGACAGCAGAAAGAGGTTAAAGTGTATCACTTTGCGACCCAGAATACGATTGATGTGGATATCATTGAACAGCGAGAGAATAGCATGCTTGTTCAGTCCTCCCAACGGGGTCTGGGTACGCTGAAACCGCGACTCCATGGCCAGTCACGCCCACTCTCGAGTGCGGTCGCTCATCTTCTCTTCCGAAGAGAAGATTATGAGTGATCTCCTTGCGGGCTAGGCATGGTGGTTTTGTATGTATAATTAGAAAGGATGATTCTCGTCGGCCTTAAGCTAGAACCGTTATTGTACATAGATAAATGTATAAAACATGTAGAGTAAACTCTGTGGTCCGCCGTTCGTGAGCATACTGTCGACGGGTAGCTAGTCGAGGGACTTGGAGGGTTACCGTCACAACAATAACCTAAGGTGCTAATATATGATCAAAGTGGACGAGACAATGTCAGGATAATTTGAGGCGTAGATGGCTGAGGAGCAATGCGCCGCCGAGCTCCAGTTTGATCCCTTTATAAATAGCCTCTAAATCAGGAATTGTACTGCGCTAATCGGTATATCAAGACTAGAAAATGAGGAATATTAAATCTATCAATCTCTTTTGAAGCCAAAAATATGTTTTGTATGATATGCTTATGGGGAATTTGATGCACTGATTTGCGTGCTTTCGTAGGCGCATGCTCATTGGCTCCACAAACACAAGGACACCCCTGTCCTGCGCCCGCGATGATTATCAATCCGCTGATTCCCAGTCCCTACAAAACCTACATCCCCGGTTTCATTTCATTACTTCGTCGATATGTACATCTAGATTTTCATTTCATTGTAGATTTATCAATCTCATGGATACATATATTTGTCTTTCTACTTAGACTTTCCTAGTCTCCCTACATCAATCTTTGGGCGGCCCCACAAAGCTGTTGATGTACCACCACTTCAAGTGGACACGATCTCTAAATTTCAATCATGGCAGTGAGGGTAGATCCACCGGCGTGGACAACTGGGGAAGATACTCCATTGCTGAGGGAGCAAACGAGGAGCGAAGATGGCGACGATGAGACATCATCGACGCTTCGCCAGACCGACGAGGAAGAGCTCATAGACCCAAATAAAGCCAACCAGCAAGTTGGAAGGGGAAGAGGGTTATTGATAATCCTGAGTGTATGGGGATTAATCTTCTTGCAAGGTAAGTGAAATTGTACTGCAATTCACGTAAAGAGCGAAGGAGCTGAGTTGGAATTAAAAGCATCGAATATGTCGGGGATTACCACGACCCAATCGAAGATTGCTGAGGACTTGGATGCTTTTGCCTCCGCAAGTTGGTTTACTTCTGCATATCTGGTAAAACTCTTTTGATTGTGCTATAGAAGGTCGTTAACATGGCCGTAGATTTCAATGTCGAGCACGGCACCATTGGCTGCCCGATTGGCTCAAATCTTCTCCCCGAGGAATTGTATATTTATTGCTTCTTTATTCTTCTCTCTCGGAGGTATTGTCACGTCGCAGGCACCAGACCTGAAGGTCTTCCTTTTAGGGAGAGCTATCAGTGGGATTGGCGGCGCTGGTATTATGACCATTTCCTTCATTTTAGTTTTAGAGTTGGCCGGGACAAAGAGGAGAGGGTTGTTCATTGGACTTGTTAATACTGGTTTCACAACTGGTGTTTCTTTGGGTGCTATTGTTGCTGGTGCATTACTAGATGTTAAAGGATGGGTAAGTTCGATCGAGTTGCCGCGATGACAACTTACTAATTATCTTGTAGCGGTTTCTGTTTTGGATTCAGAGTCCCATTGCGGTACTCGCTGGGATTGGTATTTTCTTCAGTATCCCCAAATCTTTCACTTCTGGACATAAAGGAGATGAACAGCAATCAATATCCGCGAAACTGGCCAAGATAGATTATCTGGGCGCCATTACTCTGGTAAGATTTCCCCGAGCTCTGCGAACTTATAGCTAACTTGCGCAGACAAGCTCACTCTGTCTGTTTCTATTTGGCCTCTCCTCGGCCAAGATCCTCTGGCTTCCTATTGGAATATCGCTTTTGATTCTCGGGGCATTTATTTTCACTGAACTTAACATCGCTGCGGAGCCTATAATCCCTATCACTGTGCTCAAGTCTCGCGGCGCATTACTTTCCTGCTTCGCCCAACTCGGAATTATGGCTGCACGATGGATGGTCCTCTTCTACACCCCCACATACGCCATCGCAGTCCTTAGTTGGTCCCCCGCCTCCGCAGGATCCATTTTAATCCCTACAAATCTCGGATTCGCGATTGGAGGTGTTCTAGCTGGATGGCTACATATCAAACGGGCTGGATCTTTCTGGCTGTGCGTTCCCTGATCTCAATGCTTCAAACGGCGCATGGCTAACACTAATTAGTGCATCCATAATATCCTATCTCTTCTTCGCTTTAACTCTTCTCCTCCTCTCCCAAATCTCCACCCAATCTACACCGCCGCCCCTCTACTTCTTGACCGTCTTCATCAATGGCCTCTCCACCGGTGCAGCCCTGAACTACACCCTCGCCCATCTTCTGCATCTCACACCCCCATCAACACACTTCATCTCCACATCCCTACTATCAACCTTCCGTGGCTTCGCCGGCTCCTTTGGTTCAGCCATCGGAGGTGGCCTCTTTGTGAGGGTACTAAAAGGATCACTTGAGAGAGGCTTCGAGGAGCATGGGGGGTTGGAGGGGAGGATGGATTTAGTGACAAGGTTGTTGGGAGGTCCTGCTTTAGTGAAAAGTCTGAAGGGGGTCGAGAGGGAGGTTGCTGTGAGAGGCTATGTTACCGCGCTCAGGACATTGTTCATTGCTGGTGTTGGTCTGGCGCTTGTGATGGCGACCGTGCAGGGGCTTACGGGTTGGAAGAAAGGGGCTGAGGAGACTGGGAAAGTGGCAGTGGAGGACGAGGACGAGGACGAGAGGAACGTTGCAGGGAGTGGGAGAGGGGTGGAGGATGAGGAGTGGGAGGAGGGGATGGAGCAAGGTGTTTGAGTTACTTCAGCGCTTGGGATATGCAATTACACGCTTAACCACCCATGAAACTCAAAAGCTTTTCTTGCATCCTTGTAGCTTCTGTGATCCCGGACGTGGTCTCTGTACATAGCCACACAAATACCTCATAGAAATTTCAGCGACTAAGATTTGGTTGATGTTGAGTTTTTTGTTGGTGTTGGTAACGTTTACCTCATCGTATTCGCGTACGCGGTGGTTTTGTGAGCGGCCCAGGCCAGGCCCAGGCGCAGCAATGCAATGCAATGCAATGTAATTTATAACAACAACATTAAATTCTGGTGCTTCTCGAAATTGGAGTGCGAAGTATGCGGTGTTAGTATGTCACTTATATTTTTGCTAAGTTTGGTTTTTAAAAGGGAAACTCTTAAAAATAAGAGGTCACATAGGATTTGCTTGCCTACCAACTTGGGTAGAAACGTCGGTATGTAACCGTGTGTTCAATAAATCAAGAATGACGTTGCGAAAGCCTCGGTGTTTTGTTGGACCGAAGTGGAACATAGAAACCGCCTCGGAGCTTTGTGATGTTTATTATGCAACGTATACTCTATATCAAGTGCCGTCTACGGCACTGCACCAGTCCTCCTTGTTAGTGGAGCAATGTCAATAGTTAGATGCACGAAGAACTTCTAAGCATGTAAGGAAGGTTGGTGGTTGCGGCAAAGGCGCCGGCGCCACCGCCACCAACCTCTCGGGTGGCTCGATGCCAAGCGCCCGGCCCCGCCACCGCTCACGATCGCAACATCGCCAAAACAAACAATTGATTCAGGCATTGATCGATCTCTGTCTCTCATCACCTGCCACTCCATAGTAGTCTATACGAAGTACTATACGTATCTCAGCCCACACCGAGGCTCCCGAGCCGCAAGCTGCCGCCGGCTGAAACAGCTACGGCGAAATGGCGAATGATAGCCGTCAACAGTCAACGGCGCTGGTCCCGGAAACCTCGTATTGACGGAGCAGATCAACATGGCAGGGATACAATACCCTGACGTTGTGCACTGTATGACGGTAGAATGTTTGCCCTCGGCGCTGTCAATACCCACCTTCGGTGGGAGATGGCAGGAAAAAGATCATCTATCGCGCAGACTCGGGAGACTACTTCATCGCATGTTGTGAGACATTCTTACACCAGCCATCTGGTCCGACCCTTCATGGTTCCTTCCAACCACCCTATTGTCCAACCACAGCCCCAAATCCCAACCTACCTTTCCATCTATAAAGAGCTCGAGAGGCCCTGGGTAATATTCTTGCCCAGCTTCAAACCAATTCAAACCCATTACCTCTCAATTAAACATCCATACACTCTTAAACACACTCCAGCTTTAGCAAGAGGAACCCGACTACACATCCCTTCACGATTGGCAATACCATTGTGCGAAGATTGAATAAACCTGCTTACCCACAAGTGGTGTTCTGTGCCACAGTTCTCCCCGAATCCACAATATAAGCTTCAACATGGCGCCCTCACTCAGGACGATGCACGTCCCTGTGCTTCTTAGTCTCAGTCTCAATGCCTTCGCAGCCAGCATACCGCGCCAAGTAATACCGTGTACATTCTCCATTACTGCATCCGGCCCCCCAGATGGCATTGTTAAGCAGGATGGTATAGGTGGACTCATACTCAGCGACAATGATCCTCAGTTCCACTACCTCCTAGGAAATGGTACTCTGACAGACGAGCGGAACCATACCTGCCTCATTGAACCATCCAGTTCCCAATTCCTCTGCGCCAGCCAAGGTACAGCCGAGAATACCAAATTCGAGTTCTCCGATGGCCTGATGGAGATTCTGCACGACGGTAGCAACAAGTGGTTGGCGTGTCCGGGCACAGGACCGGATAGTGACGGTACCTTGATTTACAGTGATGCAAAGGCGAATACTACTGATTGCAAACCGATCACACTGCGTGCTGGAGGATTTGGCTGTGCGGCGCTTGGTCGACCAGACCCTACAACAGCAGCAGCATCAGCATCAGCAACATCATCGGAGTCATCGCGTCCAACAGACCTCCTTATAACACCCACGGGTGCGGTCTCGGAGCCAGCTCCAACCACCATCCCATCTCACTCCATCCCAACCTGTCCCAAAGGAATCTCTGGCGAGTTCCAATTTCCACATCTCATAGTCCCAACTTCATCCAACAACCCTGATTTCGCCTATGGGAATTCATATTCAGCCTACATCTCCTCAGTCAACACCACCATCTTCAACTTCGACATCCCCGCCGAAGAGCATTACAAAGGCACCTGCGCGCTCCTATTCCTCTTCCCATACGCCTCGGAGATGGACCCCTCAGCTGGGACATATCACTTCTCAGGAACCGAGGCCGAGCTGGGCCAGAACGGCGGTCTCGAATTCGCGTTCCTTACTGATGTGGCAACAGCAGCTACAACATATAGATCCACCCCTCCAATCTTGACCGATTTTGGCAAGACCCAGATAATTCCAGGGCATGACTACACTGTTGGGACGTTCCCATGTCACAGCGGCAAGGCAATCTCGATTTCGGTGGCGAGTAAGGGGAATGTCGAGTTGGATTATTTCCAGAATAGTGCGCCCAGTCCGATTGGATTGTATGTTGTGCCTTGTTCTTCTTAATTTCTAGGGAGGGGAAATATTAATGTCTCGCAAGAGATCGGAAGATATAATGATAATGAGGAAACGGGCATGGGATGGCGTTTTATGGGTGTTAATTAATCGAATAAATCACAATCATCAATATTTTGGTCTTATGAATAATTCCATGTGTAACTTTCGTGTGCATTCGGGTAAACTAGCTGTCTAAGACTATGTATGGAATTGCGGGTCGGAAATGTCACCGAGTTGTGCTGATTCCTATTGGCGCTGTATCATCTGCTCTCCTGCCTGATAATTGCCAACAAATCATTTTCGTCTCATGATATTGACTGGGTGCTAATCGCTCGAGCTGTCCAAAACTTATATTTTGACATCAACATCCTTAGTGATGATTTAACAATATAGCAAGGTGTACAGTATACTCTAACCCGTCCCAAGTATATCCTCATACCCACTTAGGCATAGCCCGTAACACGATAATAACCAGGCCCCCTCTGCTCTATAATTCCAACCAGCTCCAACCCTAACTTGTTGCAGAGCTGTTGTTCCTGACGAAAGCTCGTGGTAGCTTCCTCTTTGGGCCATTTGGACGGGAGAAGCGAAATGGTGTAACTGGTGGCATATGATGATGCCAGTGAAAAGGGGTCCTGGGCCCAGAGAGGAAGGAGATCATGAACCGCGTATGGGTCAGTTGTCTCACGTTATGGATTGGCATCCCTGTGGGCAGCTAGGGGCGGGCGTGAAGAGCATCGCAAGATTTGAGCATGTGTAGTTGCTACAAAAATGTGCTCTCGCCATGTCGGTAAGGGGTTAAATGGATGCGGTGTGTTGCGCCCATCATGATGAACGGTATTAAGCGCGGGCGGGCTGTTAGACGAATCCGTTGGCACCAACCCCATTTCTCCCTCCGTTCTCCCGGATGGCTTCATGATATTCATCCGCCCTGTCCGCGTTCTCCACGGGCTTATTCTCCCTGATGACCTCTCGCTGGCTGTCATCATCAGGAATTTCTTCTTTCGACCCCCAGGGCAGAATTCGGCGGATTTGGAAAGCGACTGGTCGCCTCCGCTGTGGTAGTTCGGAGCGAACGGCCCAGCCAGTCATTTCTCCGCTGGGTTGATTATTAGAGGTTGAGGACTGACCAAGCAGCCGAGGAATATATTTTTTAATGAGAGGCTTGAGGGTCGAAGCGCATGCGGTTATGACGGCCAAGCCTGTTTCGATTCTGCTGAGAACATAGGCGATGCTGTAGTTTGGGTCGGCGAAGTGTGATGGGAAGTAGATAACATGTATGAAGTAAACTAGCCGGATAATGGCAACTATTGTGACGCTGAAATATTCGTTAATAAGTTGCAGCATATTATAAGAAAGCTCCCTCTAGAGAGAAGCGAGTGGAGTGTAGAACTTACAACCCGCCTAATGAAAGGAGAATAGTAACGGCAATCTTCTGGCGCATAGGAAGCCCGAGTCCCCTTGCAATTATCGAGGGGATTACGAGAATGAGAATGTCTGTGAAGACTGCGATACTGGCCGACACAATGTAGAAGAGCGCCTTATCAATGCATTTACCCTTGATGGTCATGGTATACAGGGCCTGCACTGGGACGCATTGGAAAACCTCGACAAAAAGCACAGCTATCATAAAAGCCAGGTTGGCAGCGAATAGAATTTTGAGCGTGAGTCGCACTCGTGGTTGGACTATGGCGATTCTGAGGAACAGAATTATGACCGAGGCTTTGACTAGAGATAGCACCGGGATGTAGAGGATTTGGTTGAGATAATCGATCTAAATTCGTCTCGCGCATAAGTAGTTATTCTGCAATAGCTGGAAGACGAGGGCAGCATACCTTGAGAGCCTTTTCTAGATCGAAGTCCGTAGGTATATCGTACTTGTGGTACCCAATGTAAAATGCCTTGATTTCTAAGCTCAAGTCAGCGGCCGCAAATTGACAGCCATAGGTTTAACCCAACATACCTAGCCATGATGTCACGGTCATCGCCATATTAAGAGACTACCATATCTATTAGCAAAGTTTGGTATCTTCGACATGATAAATAGTACTAACCCAAGCAACAATCACGATATAATCATCTACGCATTATTAGCCCGGCCGCGACATTAGAACTCGAACAACAGCTTGAGCAGGCTCTACGTACCCAGCCAGAATCGCTTGATGACCCTCCGACTCCATAACCGCAGGCACAAGAATATGGTCTCCAGAACAGCGACAGCAGCTACAATACCCAGCGCGGCCTTGTGGAGATGGTCATCAACAGGCGCCGTCGACTCCATGGTCGTGAAATGGGACCGCGCGTGTACCACCAAGGTACGTAGCTAGATGAACGAGCCGCTACCCTGAGTTTATATGAAGCAAATACGAAGCACAGCGCATTGTTCAGTACAGGAGAAGAGGCGAGGAGGGGAGCGAGCATGGGAGGAGGAGTCCCGGATCATATACTAACTATACGTACTCCGAAGGATTCGCATTCTGGCAGAAAGGCAAACAAGCGGCGCATCAACTGGGCCCCTATTTGCATTTGTCGATCTCGCCGCGGGCTCGGTTCCGGAGTCGCATTGCAGCAGTAGACTCGCACTGCGAGCCCCAAAGGGCAATTGTGGCTTGTTTACCTTCGTACTGTTGTTGTTATTAGGCGGTAGCGACCCGGATGTACCTCCGTATGCACTTGCACGGCGTTGCAGGCAGGCTGCCGGAAACCAGATCCAACCGGGCCTCGGGAATCCCTGAGTTCCCGCGAATAACTTTAAATAGCTTGAGACTTTGGGGCTCTGAGTGAGCTGCTTGCGGAGGGCTATTTACACTGTTGACCACCCTATCCGTGTTCCTCATTTCTTACCTACGCACATGTACCTTTACATAGGTAGTACATAGTACCTACATAGTATCGAGCCTACCCCTTCAAAGAGGTGACAAAGTGACTGCGCACATAAGGTGGGGACCGCGGGGAACGTGGGGCGCTGGAGACCGGATGGCAGCTTGAGCTTATTCTTGGACTTGAAACGGCTACCACGGAGTACCTACCGGGAGTAGTCCAGTAATATGTCTACCCAGTTCTACTTATTAGCAATGGGTGTTCCTGCGAGACATGAAGGTCTAAGCGAACGATGATTTCTTATTAGATAATGATGACAGTGATACGAAGTACGAAGTTGTCACCCTTTCAGCTGCTAGCATCGTCCATAGCACGCACAGTACCAATGCTTGTAATGTGTATTGTCAGTTATTGTTAAGCTTTGGGAACTTCAACTTCTTGCACCAATTATTTAGGTTTATCAACCTGCGGATTTGATACTCGCTGGGTTCCCTGTCTAGAGGTTAATTATCCTGCCTGTTCTGTTACGGTTGAGTCGCCGATCCCCTAGCCATTTTTGTTCATCGGGAGTCCGGTGACGGTATGGTATGTATTGCGCATCGGTTTCTTGGCCTCTCGCCTCGAGAAATGGTCGGCAGGCTCACTCATGAGCATAAAGCAATTCCACCATGGTCATTGGCAATTTTGCAATTGGGGGCTGCTTGGGAAGACCTGACCACTTTCCATTGGCTTCCTGTCTCCCCCGCATTATTAGCTAAGGTACTCGTACCTGACGGAGTACGTACCGATTGCGATGGATGATCCCAAAAGGGAATAATCCGACAGTCGCAACGCTAGCCGACCCGGAACTATGCGGCCCAAACTGTACTTGTACTTATCGTTGGGCTTTTAGCGCCCTGCCCCACGCCGCATACTCCGTAACGAGCTCATCCACGCCGCCACGGGGGATCCAAAACCCAACGCCATGGTTCCGTATCTTGGGCGTGGGCGGTGTCACAAGAAACCTTTACTCAAGATCGAGCAAGTACTACACAGCTACGCGATGGCTTGAAGCCATGATTAAAAATCTCCTCGGGGGCCTCAAAGCACCTAGCCATTCCCCACCCAAGGCTTGTACACACGACGAAAAGGCCCTTGTTACAAACACCGAGTCCGCGATGATATAAACACTCCGTATCTATCAGGAGGACAGCCCTCTGCTGGAGGCCACCTTTCTTAGCCTCTCAGATTATTCTACACACACAGGTTACAATTCATATTGATATAGTCGCCGATGCTGGGGATACTACTCCATCACCAGCCCAGGGGCATACAGTATGTTGCTCCAAGAAGATAACCCCACATATCACCTGTGCACACGCCCACGCCCACATCCCCATCTTTAGCTTCATCTGTACAAGGTCATCGATTGGTAGAAGTACGACAATCACTGTTAGGGCTAGTCTCTGGCTCTGGCTCGTGCGAAGCTCGATCATCGATCGCAGGCGGGCGTATACTTCCTTGCCCAGACTGCCGCTATTATTTGGCTCACACAAGCCATCGTATGTTGATAATTAAAATCGGTCAGCCTGACTGATGTTCAACCGACTACTCTTCATTCAACTGCCACATCGTAGCTGTTTCAAACAACCACTTAGGGGGGATGTCAGTTAGGGTAGATGTAGAGTTAGAGGTGGAAAGACCAGCTTTGTCGTTCGGACAAATATCAGTTGTTGGATCAGGGGACTTTATGGGTAGCCTGCCTCATTGTTCTCTGATGAATGTGTAGACCAACATATAAATATGACCGTGTGCATCGTCAAGGGGTTTGCCGGCGCGAGGAGCTTGGTCGTATGCTTCTGCATAGAGAGCCGCAGCAAGTTAAGACTTTATATTCTGAGATCGTAAGGCTATAGCTTTACTGTACTTACCATCTTGTTAGTAGTAATGTTCCAAGGTATCCCGGTTCCAGATGCCTTTATACTAATACATTAACTACAGAATATCCTAGTCTCCCTCCCCAATCCCCTTACTACTATGGGTCCAATAATTCGCAACTTCCTCGACATAGGTAGCAACTGCCACTTGGATTTCCAACGGAAGCACTTTGCATTAGTGATTTTGGCCGACATATTCACGCGTCCTCGATTGCCGGTCTCTGCACTACCTTATATGTCTCTCTGATATTGCCAGGCATAGGATATCATAAAATGCTTCGTGTCACTGGTGATTCGTAGCCGACAAGGAGAACACGGACGGAAGAAAAGAGAGAGACAGAACAGATACAAAGCGAAATGAGGATAGATGTTAATGTTGTCGTTCTCAAATGTAGTTCCAACCGACAAGCATAACGCCAATTTATATTGGGAAACCACCGGGCTAATATTGGCAATACCGGCGCGCAGCCTCGTTCCTCTGGATAGATATTTAAAACCAAATAACCGATTTTAGGTTAACAATTAGAGACTGGTGACATGGAAAGACGGTCGTACCGGTCAGCGTTTAGGCCGCCATAACCCACTGCCAGGGAGGACCCAGGACACTCTGCCAGAGACAACCCAACAAATTGGGTTTCTCGGTACCGCTAATCCCGCTAAAAGGGCGGTATTTCTTTCTTTTGCTATTTTTTCCTATTTTATACTCGAGTAATAGAAAACCTAGCCGAGTTGCGTTCCCTGAAGGTAACTTACTTTCTTTTGGTTGGGGACGACAAAATAACAGTCACGTGTCTGCCCTCGATAAGCGATAAGCATTTTCGCTGCGATAACAAAAATTAAATTCATCCACAACACCATACCTACGACATCGCATACCTCGCATGCAGAAATCGACAAGCTCAAGTCAAAGAAATGGCGAAGCTCAAGTCGAACAAGCGTAATAACGCATCCTCGGCATCCTCACCATACGCCAAAGCCCAAGCTACAACCAACAATGTCTTCAAATTTTCGAAAGATTTCGGGCAGCATATTCTTAAGAACCCAGGTGTCGCTCAGGCAATAGTAGACAAGGCATACCTTAAGCCTTCTGATACAGGTACGGGAGAAGTCAACTACCTCGTTCCCATCTTCTCCGCCGCTGATCTGTCTGCCACGAGGTCTTACAAGTCTAACATTACATTTCTAGTCCTCGAAGTCGGTCCAGGAACAGGAAATTTAACAGCGCGGATATTAGAGAAGGCAAAGAAGGTTATAGCAGTGGAATTAGATCCACGTATGGCGGCTGAGGTCACGAAGCGTTTCCAAACCACGGCTCTGCGAAATAACCTCCAAATCTTGCTGGGCGATGTTATTAAGACGGAGCTGCCTCCTTTCGATGTTTGCATAAGTAATACGCCGTATCAGGTATGTATTGCCCCACACAAAACAAGAAGGGGGAAAGAAGTGGCACTAATGAATGGCTGTGGATGGTAGATCTCAAGTCCTCTCGTCTTCAAACTCCTCTCCCTGCCAAACCCACCTCGAATCTCGGTTCTCATGTTCCAGCGTGAATTCGCCCTGCGCCTGACCGCTCGCCCCGGAGACTCCCTGTACTGTCGCCTATCCGTCAATGCTCAATTTTGGGCCAAAATCACTCATATCATGAAAGTTGGCAAGAACAATTTCAAACCCCCTCCAAAGGTTGAATCCTCGGTTGTAAGGATAGAGCCTAAGATGGGGTCGGAGCGGCCCTCTGTTAGCTGGGATGAGTGGGATGGCATGTTGAGGATTTGCTTTGTGAGGAGGAGTAGAACTATGAGGGCTAGTTGGCTCGGGAGTAAGGAGATTCTTTCTATGGTGGAGAGGAATTACAGGGTCTTCTGCGCGATGAATAACATTGCTTTGGATGATAGTGTTATTGGTGAGGAGGAGGAGGATGAGATGGAAGTCGATGGAGGCGCGGATGAATGGAATGGAATTGAGGAAGGGGATGAGATGGATGATGATACGCCTGCTTTCTTCAAGGAGGAGGCTGAGAAGACCGCGAGGGAAAATGGCGGCAAGACTAAGAGCAAGAAGAAGAAGACGAGGGTTGCTGAGTTGGTGAGGGAGAAAATTAGGAAGGTCTTGGAGGACGTTACTGAGTTGGCGGATAAGCGGGCGGGGAAATGTGACGAGAACGATTTCTTGCGTCTCCTGGCTGCATTTAACGATGAGGGCATTCATTTTGCTTGATTTGACAGAAGGGGAATATTGGGGTACGTAACGAAGGGATGGACTTGGGTTTAGCATGGAGTTAATGGCATTTTGGTTGACCCGGTTAGTTAAAAAGTTGGGGGACATTTGCCCATCAGGCTACTTTATCCTCTTGCTCGTGATAAGGCAAAATAAACTGGTGTTGATTTCGGCAACAAATGGGCCCTCGTCTCACAACTGGTTCCTGTGAAAACACAATCGTAGCAGTCATTTATATTTAAGTCAGCTAATAGGATATCCACAATCAGTCATCAACCGCTGATTCAGACACCATGAACGCCGAGGAAATTCCCTATATTCCCGAATTCTGGTCAACCTCAACCCTTCGCTGAACTCCGTCCCTGTTCTCTTCCAGCTGGTCTGCTCGACTTTTTCCTTGCAGGTGTATAGACATCATTAAAATTCATAACCACTCCCAAAAATCTCATATCAACATCAGGCTGATAAGCCAAATCGCCCAATAACAAAGAGACTCTAGTTTTGAAGTGCGCTCCTAATGCTTGCAATCTTTCTCGTAGTACAGGGAACTCGTCAGCAATCGAGTCATCCGCGCCCAATGCAGGTGTAGAGTCGTGAAGATGGTGGGGGCCACGGCGGGTAGTCGCGGGTGTATTGATCAAATTCCCATCCTCATCCTCACGCCGGCCTTTGGAGTCGGTGCGGACTTCTGCACCCTGGCGTCGAGTGAAGTCTGAGACGGACCAGCTGTAAAGACCATCCACAGCATCTCGATAGCTTAGCATGAGACGGAGGATTTCTCCTAACTGTACCATGAATGTGTTCTCATCTGGCCCTTCGTTGTTGTGCTTCTTCTTTGCACCTAGGAGACCCTTGTGTGTTATGGCATTCAGGTATTTGGTGTGAGCCTTGATGAGATCATCCAGCGTACATCCTTCCTTGTGAATGGCAGTCTGGAGCTCATCCCACGAGCTTTCAATAACTTCAAATAGGATGTAGTATTGTAGCTGTCCAATGAAATGGATCATCTCAGCAAGAGTACCCCGAGTTAATTTCCACGCCTCTGCCACATTCGCATCCTCTCCTTGGAGAACTCCTCTGGCTCCAGTCATACATTTTCTCCAAGTTGAAGCCAGCGCGAACTCGACGCGTTTGATGCGCCATAGGAAGTTGAAGACTTTCAGGTACTGGCGATTACCCCATTCTGTGACGACTACATCGACTGGAGCATCAATTTTGTATTCCAGAGTAAAGCAGTCCCATCCAATATCTCCATGAGATAATTGGAGCATTCGAGCGTCTAGTCGACGTAGCACTTCGGGTGAATCATATTGTGCATTGGAGCCTCTGATCGCATGCTCTAGCTGTGCTGTTAGAGTGTGGCGATATTGGGCTCCTGCCGGACGGTCCAGATTAGAAGCGAGGGACTCCATGAGCAGGGCAATGAAGTCTCCTTGGCCCAATAAAATATAGTTTTTGAGCGCCTTTAAGTGCTCAAACAAATGGAATTTCTCGGCCATCAGATGTATGAGGCGAGCCATAGTGGTTTTGTATGCCTCATCGATCCAAGTCTCGAGTGTCGCAGTGTCACCATAACGTAGCTCTTTTGAGGCAGCCTTGGAGTAATCTTCAACCCACTGTGAGTCGCCGCAGCCGTACCGAATGAAATTCAGAGATTTGCCGATTAGGAAAACTTTCTGCGCAAAGTCCTGGGTGATGATGCTTGGAACCATGTCTTCATCAAGCTTGTATTTATCCTCCCAGACACTGCTTGCTCCACCGCGGCTTCTACCGTCTGGAGCCTCAGTAACGGCGTTCGGATCCCGTTCCGAGACGAAAAATTCATGATAAGGGTCAGAAAGCTCGCCGTCATAGATCCATTGCCGTAGCATACTGTAAAATGGCCGAGTGACATGGATAAGCAGACGTTCTGCGAACGCCCCAACCATAGGATCACCATGCGAAGACGAGAATCCGTGAATGAGTGAGATGAGTTGTCCACCTCGTTTACTTTTGGATTCCTCGCTGATCAGACTCATCAGGCGGAGACCCATGGTCGCTTCACGAGTCCAGACCACGCATCTTTTGAGCGTCACGCCAGCCTTGCCAATGCCCCCTCTCGGTTCTTTTTCATCCAAAGACACTAGAGTGCGACGAATCTGACTCTCAAGAGTCGCTACCAATCCGAGATATGAGCGGAGTTCACCTGATATGGCTGCTCGTAGACTTTGGCCCAGAAGACCGCCATCAGCTGATTGAACAAAGGAAGATAGACCTCTGTATAACAAAGATGGCTCGGCCAGGGTATGCAGAATCGACACTATAGGCACTGGCAAGGTAGGAGGTAATTTCAAGCTTGAATTCGAGGAGAATGGTAGATGTGTAGAAGAGAGCCCTTGGAGGGTGAAAGGCAAATCTCGGAGGAGGGCAGTTTCTGGCGGATCTATTTCGACATAATTATCTGCCAGTAAGGCGGTTTTTAACGCCACGCTTTCCCGTTGAACAACTGGAGGTTTGGCGAATGCCTGCTCCTCTTCTTTTCTGTCTCTCTGTCCACCTTCTCGTGTTGGCAGTTTCATAAGCCCTTCTGGTGCGAAAGCCTCTTCAAACGCTTGGGTATCTCTCCGCGAGCCGTAATCTGGCGATTTAGGTGGACCATAATCCAGTTTTCTGCCCTCCCGTCTATTCTTCACAGGACTTTTGAAGGGACTTGTCAATACTGGGGTTGATTTCTGTTGATGATCGCTAAGTTGGTATAGAAAGTACAACACCGCCCATTTTTGGTTAATGGCTGGAATGGAGAGCAGCCTGGTGTATAAATTTGTGAATCGGAGAGCTTTCTCGGGGCTAGGGTTTGTTTGTAGCAGTCGTTTCTTGATTAGGTCCGAAGCTTGATTAACATCCGCAACAACAGCCGGACTCCGTGAACTAAATCACCATAATTAGCACAAGCAGTGTTTTTAGATGCACAGAGAGTACCTCTCCAAGACCTCCTTAACAAATTCTATAGCATTGCTTTCCCTTTCCTGTGCTTCAGAAGGATCCTCGTCGGGAATTTCCACCAGTAGCCGGCGGACTAGACTGGAAATACCTTTATTAACGCGTTGACTCTGGGAAGACATAGTCGCATTGTTGCGGGCTGTGGTTGAAGACTGTGTTTTGTTCTGTCTCTACACCCAACATAGTCTTGTGCTGGTGGACGCGACGAGACACGCGATTCAACCCCCACAACCCCCACAGAGCTAAGTTGAGCCTAGGCTGGTGGTTAAATGTGCAGCCTAACCTTTGAGGCATGCAGCACTTCATCTGAACGTCAGTCGCAGAAAGGAGCAAAGAGCAGCCATCTAGAGCTATCTCCCACAGACCCGTATTGCTCCAGATCATCGCCATATTGCATCGCTAGACTCGTCTGGCATTGCAAATTTAATGGGCTCTTGATTACCCCTCAGGTCGCGCTTCAGAGGCCGTAACAGGCGCGACTTTCACGATGCCTGACATCGATCCAGCGGCGCTCAGCCGGCCGACCATCTCGACAACTCCTATATTACCCCCGAAGACACTCAGTGCATCAGTAGCAAGTGCGCCCAAGGTCTCCAAATCTAGCCATGTCCCGCCTAGAATTGACCTGGAGCCGCTATACACGACTCTCAAGACCGCCATTGGCGAACACTGGGCAACATATAAAGAGACCTTAACACTTTTTATGATTGGTTTGTACTCTCTCCATGATAACCTGCGAGGCTCATGCAAGCCCGCAGAAATTCGCATTGATACGTTTGCTGATATCTTCTCTATCTAGGCCAACTTGATCAGGACGAGTTAGCAAGACGAATCGATTACTTCATTGTGACGCCAACTGGCGAAATAGAACACCACCATAACCAGCTGATTGCAGCGATCTACGCAAATGTCACCCGAGAAATGCCAGATCATGGCGTGGCCAGTTGGGTCAGCGCGAATGATAAACCCACCACAGGAGCGGGCAGCAAACCCGTTAGCGGCGATGCAGCGGAACAGAGGCTTAAGACTGAGGTTATGCAACTACCAAGTAGAGATCGAAGGCGACTGAAAGACTTGAGCCAAAATGAGGTAGGACCACTCACAGATCCGCTTCGAGATATAAGGACATACTAACTAGATCGGTTGTAGTTCGACCCGCAAGACGCTTTCGCCAATGTATTTGGTGAAAACCGTCGCCCCAAAGCTGCTAGGCTCGTGGATCCGGTACCTGCGAGCGCTGGCGGCTTAAATAAGACGAGTAATGCTCCCCTTCCCTTCTCATTCCTTCAGTATGCTAAATTATACCTTAGACTGGGATCTTGAAATCCGCAAGAGATATGCCCAGACTTTAGCAGTAGAGTCAGGGGAGTTTCCAGACGTCCAAAATATTGAAGGCCGCATGTTGCCTATTTGTTATGAAGTTGGGCTTACCTCTGGGCATGCGACTGATGCGGCTCACTTTATGTCTGTGGCTACCGAAACCTATCTAAAGGAGGTTCTTTCCTCAATATTTAGTAAAACACGGAGCAACGGCCCTGGAACGGCTGGTAGTGCCGGAACCGGGGGTGGTGCTTCATGGATCCAAACCCACAAATACCGAGTTCAGCTCGAGAGGGAGGAAGAGGCGTGGTTACGCGGGGAGACCCAAAGAGACAAAGGCGGTTTGCTCCCCACAGAGGCCAAGGCTGCAAGTGAACGCCCATCACTTGGAATGGCCGATGTTCGAACCGCTCTTGAGCTTAATGATTGTGGTCTGGGACAGATCCCGGTTGTCATGGAGCAGATAGTGTTTGGATACCGGGAGGGTGAGCTTGAAGCCTGGGATGACTATTCTTTCCCCGAATGTTACGATGGTGTCATCACCCGTGACGCTGACGGGGACATTGAGATGGGAGGGGTCAATGGCTTAAATGGTGTTAGTGGTGTTAATGGCCTCAACAACCATACCGATGACGCACAGAGCGATTCTGGTTGGGTTGGAGGCGAATTCGAAGACAAAACTGACCTGGATAATCTCCTAGATTCATGCCTTGCGATTGGAGCGTAAGGCTTATGTCTGTTTATCTCTAGGGGCACTGGCGCTGCGGCTCGCGTTCCTTGGTTTTAAAGATGCATTGCATAGATTGCGCGGCGTTATGGATTTGGACTCAGGTAAAAGGGGGCACGTTGTACAACAAGCTGTAAATGCTGCATGGATGGGCGTCGAGGTTGGGATGGTGTTCAGTATGGTGGACGATACCCTTGGAGGCTCTCATATAACAAAATCTTTGACAGAAGTGTCCTATAGAAGAATTATCTATTCCTATGAATTGTGCTCCACCATGGCGACCGGAGGATGATGAGCGCCTTATGCAACGAAAATGTAGGAGGGGTTGCAAAGCGCCATGTATTGACTTTCTATTGAGTACCTGCGTACGTAGGTAGGTAGTAACGAAGACAGAAGAAACCAAATCTGGTAGGGGTATCTTGTGAGGTAGAATAAGCCCCTACTCTACATGTATCTTCCAACAAATGGCAACCTGGTGATCAACAATATGGAAGCTTTTTGACCTTTCTTAAAAGGGTTATTTCTCTATCCCAGTAGTAGTGGTAGTAGTGGTACCTAGTTGTTGATTTACTTCCCTTGTAGGTAATTAAAGTGGGTCTCACCGCCATGGCTTGCCCCTCTCGACTGCTCAGCCTCGCTACTGCGTCAGCCTGGTTTGAGAGTTGAAATAAACAAACCCCTCCTTCCTGGCTTGGAAATCCAAATCCCATCTTCCAACATTGCCTTTTTACAGTTAAATGCGTATAGATTTTAGCAAGGATGTCGATCGTCATTGATAAGATCATCGCAGCGTCGCCCAACACAGAACGTGGCCGCCCAACCCAACTTTCATCCGATCCCAAAGGAGAGCGGGTAGCATACGCCGTGAGATACACAAGGATTGCACTTGTTATTGCTTCACTAAATTTTGTAACCAGTCAGGCAAATCCGTCTTCCTCCGCTCTATTGACGATCCTACTTTAAGCAAGCAGTACATCTCCCACACTACCCAGACAACCGTTGCGCGCTTCTCCCCTTCCGGCTACTATGTTGCATCTGGAGACGTTTCCGGGTCAGTCAAGGTCTGGGATGCAGTTGAGGGCGTCAATACAAAGGGTATGTCTCTAGGTATTGAAGTATATTATGGTCACTAACCAGCCTAATAGGCGACTATCATATCATCTCTGGCAGGATAAACGACATAGCGTGGGATGGGGACTCCCAGCGTATTATCGCTGTAGGCGATGGCCGGGAACGATTTGGTCATTGTATAACAGCAGATAGTGGTAATTCTGTTGGCGAAATCAGCGGACATTCATCCGTCATCAACACGGTAGCGATTCGCCAGCAACGACCTCTGCGCGCAGCGACTGGAGCCGATGATAGTAGCGTGGTCTTTTTACATGGAGCTCCATTCAAATTCGCTACAAAGCTTGGAGGGTTGCATAAAGGATATGTTAACGGTGTTGGATTTTCGCCAGATGGAAACCATTTGGTCAGTGTGGGCGCCGACCGCCGAATCCAACTCTACGACGGAAAAACCGCGGAGCCTAAGATTCAGATTGGCGAGGGAGAACACAAGGGCAGCATATTTGCAGTTTCGTGGGCGAAGGACTCGAAGCGTATCGTCACGGCAAGTGCTGATCAAACAGTCAAGCTTTGGGATGTGGAAGCAGGAAAAGCTGTTCAGACCTGGAGGTTGGGGGAAGAAGGCACCGTCAGCATCCCCGATCACCAAGTTGGCGTCGTATGGCCGGCTGGGCGCAGCGATGGTATGGTTATCAGCTTGAATTTGGCCGGAGACCTAAACTACCTGGTCGAAGGAAATCCGACACCTACTAGGGTTGTCCAAGGTCACAATCGAAGCATTACCGCTTTGGGCTCGAGTGAGGGTGACAAAAGCCAAACCTTATGGACTGGTAGTTTTGATGGAAGAGTCTGCTCATGGGATATTGATTCCAAACTGGGCAAGGCGGTTGAAGGTCAGCCACACTCGAACCAGGTCACAGCCTTTGCATCCACACCTAGCAGGGCGTACAGTGTTGGCTGGGATGACACACTTAGAATCGCGGATAGGTCAAGTGACACTTTCCTCGGCGAGACATCAAAATTATCGGCTCAACCAAAGGGTATTGCTTTGGCAGAAAGCCGAGCGTTTGTTGCTACAGCGTCAGGCGTTGAGATCTTCGTCAAGGACCGTCTGGCCGGTACTCTGGAAATTAAAGATTTTATACCTACCACAATTGCAGCTTCCGGATCATTAGTCGCCGTGGGAGATGACGCCAACGCGGTGCATATTTACCAAGTGGACGGAAGCCACAGCTTGTCCGAGAAAGAGAAGCTCACAAACTCAACATCACAGATCACTGCATTATCTTTCTCCCCAGATGGATCACTTCTTGCAGCTGGGAATTCATCGGGCAAGATCTTCGTATACGACACGGCCTCCTGGCAGGTTAAGACGGACCGCTGGTCGGCTCACACAGCCAGAGTAACCTGCATTGCGTGGAATCAGCAAGGAACGCATGCTGTCAGTGGTGGTCTGGATACGAATGTTTTTGTATGGAGTCTCAAAGCTCCTGGAAAGAGAGTCAAGGCTGCGAATGCGCATAAAGATGGTGTCAATGGAGTTTGCTGGGTTGCGAAAGGGACGAAGATTGCTAGCACTGGTGGTGATGCTGCTTTAAAAATCTGGGATGTGTCGAACCTTGAGTAGATATCAGATAAACTTGGGAGATCCTTCTTCCTATGACGATTGAACCAAATATAGAGACTCTTTATCCTTTTCTAGTCTAATGCCACTGTAACTCAATGCTTTACATAGCTAGATATGGAAAATATGCTCATGGTGAAGTATTGATACTACATTGAGTTGTGGCTATAGGTCACTTGACAAAGCCATGCCACTCGCATCCTCCAAACGGGTCGTCCCGAAAGAAAGCCCCGCCAAGCGAACCCGGAAACCTTGGCTGCCTGTACATTACAGCATCGAGCATTACTGTATTCGAAGCTTGGACGCTGGTCGCATACGACAGCTTCCACCTTTGTTCAAGACTTTTCCAGCCAGAACAACCGGGAAACCATGAAAAGACCAAGATGAGCTCGCCCTTGGCTTCAGGTGGTCCTGCACCGCCGTCAAGCCGAAGAGCCTCGCGGTTTACAAGACGAAGTGTGAGTTCCTGCCGACGCCCTGAAAGAACCCTGGGACTAATATCTGATTCGTGCCCAGTACCTTAGAAATGGAACATTCATCTTGCCAGCGACAGGCGAACGCGTGCGACGGCAGATTACCTTGAGAAATCCTGCGAACTTCCGCCCTAATTCTTCAGATGACTCGAATGACCCTAACCAACCGTTACTGCGCTTCCGAAGACCATACTCTCGAGCGAGTACGTTCCATACCGCTGTGGAGAAGTCGCTTGCTGTGCTAAATGAGTTCTGGCAATGGCTGAAGACCGATACTGCGAAAGCTATCCTGAAATGCTCTTTAGCATACTTGCTTGGGAGCATGGGGACTTTCCTCCCACCCCTTGCGCGGTTCCTGGGAAAGCAAGATGGGAAGCACATAGTGGCAACGATTACGGTTTATTTTCATCCTGCGAGATCTGCGGGCTCGATGGAAGAAGGGACTCTACTCGGTGTTGCTGCGTTTATATATGCCACCTTGATCTCCATTTCCTCGATGGCTGTGTCTGTGTTCATAGGGTCTAAGGCGCATATTGTCGGTCTTGCCTATACTCTCATCCTGCTAGTCTTCTGTGGAGGAGGACTAGGGCTCACTGCTTGGGTTAAACAAAGATACAGCACGCCGCTGGTAAATGTGGCAGCCAGTCTTGCCAGTCTTGGCATCATAACCGTCCTGACAAAAGAAAATGCAGTTCACGTTGGAATCTTCGATGATGACAAAATAGTTCAGATGATGAAGATGGTCATAATGGGCTTGGCTGCCTCTTTTTTTGTGAGCGTGTTGGTGTGGCCGGTTTCAGCCCGCACCGAGCTTCGGGAGACGATGATTAAAACTACAGACTCCCTTGGAGACATGCTTACAATGATCACTGGAAGCTTTCTTAGTGGTTCAGAAAAGGACATGAGCTCATCATCTTTCAATACCACTCTGGCCACATATAAATCTGTCATCATTCAGTTGACGAAGAATCTCAACGAGGCTAAGTTTGAGCATTATTTTCTTGGCACCGAGGAGCAATACAGGTTAGAAGCTAGCCTTGTAAATTGCATGCAGATGCTAGCACAATCTATCGGTGGACTACGAAGTGCTGCAGCGACGCAGTTTAGTTTGCTCAGAGAAAGCTCTGTTTCTGGCGGTGTTGTTCCCGCCAACCGGGGTTATTTCGACATGGCAGATATCCATGGAGGATCCCCATCTTCACCGTCAGTTATCAGACCAGAACATTTTGCTGTCCTGACGGCTATAGAGGAGGCATCTGAGGAAGGTAGTGCCACTGAGGAGCCTGGCCTTGGCTCAACGTTGAAGCGCACACCGTCGGGTACCAATGTTGCCAGCGCCTCAAGTTCCATGATGCCACCCGTTCGGACACCGGCCGAGATATTTTCGCGTTTTATTATACATTTGGGCCCCTGTATGAAGTCCTTAGCGTACACGCTTTCTCAAATACTCGAAGAGCTACCTTTTGGTAGCGGGCCGGATTACGCCATCGCCATCAACGAGCATTTTCACGCAAGCCTGACGGATGCACTGTACGTGTCAATCACTGAATCCCGCTTAGTGTTTATACTAACTTCTATCTCAGGAAGCTGTATAGTGATGCTCGGTCTGAAGCCTTGAGGGAGCTTTATAAGTCCAAAGAATTGGATCGGGATAGACCAGAGAGTATCGAAGCGGATTTCGAGGAAGTTGCTGCGAGTTGTGGTCATTTTAGTTTTTCGCTTCAAGACTTTGCCGAAGACATGCAAAACTTCCTAACAATCCTCGAAGATTTGAAAGAGCAAACCAAATCAAGTCAACGGTCATGGAAGTGGGCTCGATTTTGGCAGAAAGCCAAGCACAGGGAAGGTCGAGGTACAAATAACGACCCCGATGGCGAGCCACTACTTGCCCAAGTCGGACATACCGAGCAGCCCAAAGGTCGCCCCAAGCTGTGGTTGCGGCGGGGTAAATCGACATCTGGGAAAGCAGAAAACCATGAAAATTCTAAGTGGCCAATTCATCCTTGGATTCTACGTATAGTGAAGCTTTTTGAGCGAGATGACCGTAAGCCAATTTACTCGTGCCATCCCCGCAAACGCTTATGTTCATCTAGTTCGTTTCGCCATAAAAGTCGGCGGGGGAGCCGCTCTCTATGCGCTTGTCGCCTTTCTTCCAGCGACAAGACCATTTTACCGACAATGGCGAGGAGAATGGGGCCTCGTCTCTTATATGCTAGTCTGTAGCATGACAATAGGGGCATCAAATACTACCGGGATTGCTCGTTTTGGAGGAACTTTTGTTGGGGCTGTATGTGCCATTCTCGTCTGGGTTAGCTGCCAAGGAAACCCTTTCGCCCTCGCCTTTTGCGGATGGTTGTTTAGCCTGCCTTGTTTCTACCTCATCGTTGCTAAGGGGAAGGGCCCGCTCGGGCGATTCACACTGCTTACTTACAATTTGTCCTGCTTGTACGCGTATAGTTTGTCTGTCCAAGAAGGTGAGGATGACGACGACGAAGGAGGCGATACACCAGCAATTATTGAAATTGCCATGCATAGAGTGGTCGCTGTTTTCGCTGGAATTATATGGGGTCTAATTATTACGAGAATTATCTGGCCTATCTCTGCGAGGAGGAAGTTCAAAGATGGATTGTCACTGCTTTGTTTGCGAATGGGTCTTATTTGGAAGAGAGATCCTCTGTCGACACTTTTAGAAGGAGAGTCTGCAAATCCTTATATGAACTTGCAAGAGGAATTTGCACTTCAACGATATGGTAAGTTGGCCAATCCCTACTCAGTACCTAGCTCAAGCTCAACTAACCGCGTTACAGTTCGATATCTCGATACTATGAGAAAATCCGCTGGAAGCGAATTCCAGCTCCGCGGTCCATTCCCTTCGAAGACATACGGTCGAATCCTAGACTCGACGACTAAAATGCTTGACGCCTTCCATGCCATGAACGTTGTCATCCAAAAGGATCCGATAATAACTGAAGGCGAAGCCTCGCTCTTGCGGTACACAACAATTGAACGGGCTCAGCTCTGCGCTCGGATTAGTCATCTCTTTCAAGGTAAATTCTTCCTCCATTAGCGTACTAGCTTCTGTTCCATCTAACATAAGCCCTAGTTCTCGCAAGCTCTATAAAGCTGGAATATCCCATCAATGAAGGTGGCTTTCCTAGCGCCGCGAACCCACGAGATAGATTACTTGCAAAGATCTTCCACTATCGAAAAACTGTTGCTGGTAATGAGCATGAAGGCAGCGTGATCGCTAAGGATGAGGATTATGAATTATTGTATGCGTATGCTCTTGTCACAGGACAGTTGGCGGAGGAGATCGAGAGGGTTGAGAGGGACATTCAGTATTTGTTTGGAGTTTTGGATGAGGATTTATTGAAGTTAAGATAGCCGTAGAGAGGCTAGTGTAAGATTTTGCGAATAAGTTGGGACTTTTATACCATGTTTTCTAGGAACAAATCCAAAAGAGACAAATGCATACGCGTATTGATTTATTTGATTGACTCGGTGCTTATTTGGTTTAGTCTATATGAACTCAGCTCATAATAACTAAAGCTTCAGGATATACAATCCATCACAACTCATTTAGCTCTATAACCCAACCCATATGCTCGATTCCTCATGCTAACAAACGCCCCATCGCATAATCCCATATCATGACTGCCCTTAAAACAACGCTTCCTTAACTTTCCCGACTCTACTCCGTACATCATATTCAACCCATTTCGCTACTCCTCTTCTTCCAGGGGCAATGACGCTCCCAGGATTCATAACATGACAGCCCTCATAGGTAACAGAAAAGGCAGGCGCTTCGGTGTCAGCTATCACCATTGCCGTAGGCAAGGGATATATTTGCAAAGCACTGGTGTAATCCCAGAGAACCGGCCGGATTGCCATCCCGAATGGTGATAGATATCCTTGATCTAGGATAGTTTTGACTAGTTTTCTTGCAGCGTGCAAGTCGCTTGATACACTATCCTTGGTAGGTTTCTCCGCGGGCTGAGGGTCGGTGGTTTGTGTATCTGGGTCAACGTCCATATCTCCGCTCACTTCTGGAGCTGGAGGGGGCGTATCTACCATCCTTCCATCCTCATCTCCATCCTCATCACTTGGTTTCGAAGAAGAGAAATTAATAGCTGTCCGTCGTAGACGGCCTGTCATATCATCCCTGAATAGCAAAATCTCATGTGTTGGACCGAACAGACAGAGTCGTGAAGGATTAGTCGTCCAGATTGCTTCACCATCGGCTTTCCTCCCTCGTTCCTTCTCAGCTTCCGCGTTTGCAGTTGTGAAAGCGCGCTTAATACGGGATGTGAACATTTCCGGGATGCCTTTTCGAGGCAGGGCTGTTGCTGCACCAGCGGAGAAGGATGACGCCCAGGCATCGTTATCGCCTGGTACGAAGACAAAGGTTGCGGATTGGAGAAGCGTGGGATAGTCTGAGAGGGTGGATGCTAACCCGTCAAAGTATTCTTTGTATTCGATGCTTCCGCCGCTCCCGCCGCGCGCCATAACGGCCTGGGACACGAAGTTGCCCATTAGGATGAATGTTATTGGTGTGTCTTCTTCTGGTTTTGCTGCATAGATCCCCAAAAGTTTCTTAAGGGCCTGAAGAGTTTGGGGTTGGTCGAGGTTGACTTCTCCTATTATGACCATCCGTCCGCTTCCAGCCCTGGGTTCATCATCTGCAACTGGCTGTTTCATTAATCGCTCTTCTAATTTTCGCATCTTCGATCCCACAGCTCGTTCACTTCCAACTCCTAGGAAATCAACCCACCCAAAACCGCCGCCAGCGGTCACATCCCCCTCGCCATTTGTACCACTAAGACCTAACGTGACTTGTCGTCTTTCACAGGGGGGCCCGCCAATGAAGAACCCTATAAATTTGCCACCAATAGTACCCCCTATACCTCCGCTACTTCCAAGACTGGTACCGGAGTTGTTGTCGTCCTCTTCATATGTCCCGTCGACAAGAACAATCATTCCAGGCGCGAACCAAGCTCCATCCTCAGGAATCGGTTTGGCATGAGTGAGATCTAGGGCGATGCTTCCTGTTAGGTCATTTATCGCCAAAGTCCCAGTTGGAGCGATGGTTAATAAACCTAGAAGCATGTGATTGGTTCTATTTCGACCGAGTAGATTTGCGATTGGTGTCAATTTGTATGATTGCTGTGTGGCTCCAAAGTTTGATGATGAGCGTTTTGAAGATGTTTTCGATATCTCCAATGCTGACGTTTGAAAGGACTCGTTTCTTAGAAGGCGCTGGTGGATCAGATTATATCGATTACGGAAAACCTGAGTCTTGTGTGAAGCTTGAGGAAGTAAAGATGGTTTTGATGGATCTCTGGGCAAGAAAGTCAGTGCGGCTACTCATAAATTGCTTGAAGCTAACAAACCGGTCAAAATGCTTCTTTCCAACATTATATACTAGTCGAGGTTGTTCAAATGCATCAATGACTTTTAGCCATTTCCGCGGGTCTTTGAGACCATCCTCGTCCTCGCCATCCACATCTAGACTTGACATGCCCAAACTCGACTGGCTATCTTCTCTTGTTAAAAGATGCGGCCGTAACCCCAACCTTGTTTGGGAAACTTCTCCATTCTGCGACGATCCAAGAACAAGGCTATTTTGCCGACTGAGTTCTCTGCTTGCCACAATCCTCCCTCCAATCATAATCCCTTCCAAATTTCTCAAAATATCCTTTAGCTCGTTACTCTCACCGTCGACAATAACTCCCCCAGACCGATTCTTCCAGCTCTTGGCGACCTCCTCGAGAACTCTCTCCGCCAAACCCTCTTCTCGCCATCCTGTCCCACAATGCCTCCCAATAAACGTAGCAAGCACTTGGAGCGCCGAGGATGTGAGAGTTAAACTATGCTTTTTTGTGAAAGTTCGAAAGGCAAGGGGTCTTAAAGTTGGCGGAGGAAGAATAATTGCAAGTATGCTGGCTTTGGGAGGGATTGCGGCGGCATTGAAAGGTCTTATGGGATGGGCTGGGGTCCCGAAGGCAGGCGAAGAAGAAGGTATGGGGTTCGAAGGCGCGGGAGTTGCGGGAGCTTTGAATATTGAGGCTGGCCGAAGCTTCTTCTCTAATGGGTTCGGTCCTGTCATGGTTTTAACATAGCATTGGGTATTGAACTCTGAAATCGTGTTGTCGAGGGTTGGAGGGGCAGCTCTACATTCGGAAGACGCGTCGCGCGTAGAGTGTTCGCGTGATCCCAGTCCGCCACCGAGCTCCGGATACGTACTGGAGGATTCCCCATATCATCATCATCAAAGCTCCCCTCAATTACATGTCGCAAACACGATATTCCCACAATCATCCGAGACCTTACACCATTTAGGATTCCTTGATCAATCTCATTATCCGCGACAAGTATTGATTGACCTGATATCATATCATCACCTATCCGATTGAATTGAATCAACCGCGCAACAGCACCGTTGACAATGGCTGAACCGGTTGAACAAGCTATCGAACGAGCCACTACCGCGACGGATGAGTCGGCCGCGGCCATCGAGGTCTTCAATTCGATTAAAGTATCGTTAGCAGATCTTTGCGCCAAAGGAACAGCACAATATGCGCACAAAAACTACGAAGATGCCGCGGATCTGTACGCGCGAGCCTCAGAGCTCCAGGCCGAGCTCAATGGTGAGATGTCTCCTGATAACGCAGAGATCCTATTCCTATACGGCCGGTCGTTATTCAAAGTTGGTCAAAGCAAAAGTGATGTTTTAGGTGGAAGAGCCGGGGGCGAAAAGAAAAAGCCAAAGGCTGCACCAAAGCCCAAGGCTGAACCCAAGGAGGAACCCAAGGAGGAACCCAAGACTGAGGGCGAGAGGATTACGGAAGAAGGTGTTGCAATTACTGCAGAGGAAAATACAGGGACAAAATTGGAAGGAGATGTTGATGCGAAGAAGCCATTATTTCAGTTTACTGGCGACGAGAACTTCGAAGACTCGGGTGATGAAGTAGAGGTAAGGCCCTCCCCTAGACGCACATTACAAGTTCTTACTATGTGTTAGGGCGAGGATGGTGAAGGTGAAGATGAGGAGGAAGAAGACGATCTTGCAGCTGCGTTTGAAGTGCTTGATCTCGCACGCGTCCTGTTCATGAAAAGGTTAGAGCAACCGGAGGAAGAAGGCAAAGGAAAGGAAGTTGGCGACTCGGCGATGACGAAGCATTTGAAGGAACGGCTTGCAGATGCGCACGATCTCCTTGCGGAGATTTCTCTTGAAAATGAGAGGTAAATTCCAAAGTGAGCTTTTAATATGGCCCAACTAACTCCTTTAGGTTTCCGGCTGCTGTGTCGGACTTCAAGGCTTCGCTATCGCTGAAAAAGGAACTGTATCCCGAGGAGTCCGAGGTCATTGCGGAAGCTCATTATAAGTTATCTCTAGCCTTAGAGTTCGCCTCGAATACAAGTGAAAAGAAGGAAGGCGATGACTCGACCGCTGAAAATGAGGTTGAGGATGGGCAAGCTCTAAGAGAAGAAGCTGCGAGGGAGTTGGAGGCTGCAATCAATAGCACGAATCTCAAGTTACAGGCCAAGGAGGTTGAGCTTGCGTCTTGTTCCTCTCCGGATGACAATGAGGTCACCCGAGCCCAGATTGCCGATGTCAAGGAAATCGTTGGTGATATGGAAGGTCGCGTAAGTTCTCATTATATCCTCTCGTTGGAGTACGCATATTGATTTGATATGTTAGCTCGCGGAATTAAAAGCTCCTCAAGTCGACGTTGATGCCATCAAAAGCACTTTAGGCATGGCGGGCGGCAATGCTATGGGCGGCATCCTTGGTGCAACCTTAGGCGAAAGCCCCGCTGAAGCAGCCGCTAGAATCGAGGACGCGAAGAACAAAGCCAACGACTTGACAGGACTTGTTCGTCGTAAGGGCGAGAAGAGTGCAAAGGATATAGAGGTTGCCACTGTGCCGGCAGCAAGCACCAATGGAACGAACGGGACAAATGGGAAGCGTAAGGCGGAGGATGATGCCGAGGTTTCTGATAATGCGAAGAAGGCAAAGGTGGAAGATGCTCCAGAGGACTAGGAGGGATTGGGCGGGCGTGGCTTATTCGGGCGATTTTCCTGCATTGTGAAACAATAAAATATGGCGTTAACGCGGGATAGTAGGGAGGCCGTTATGGACTTAATTAGTTCGTTATGCACGAGGATATACCGAGATGGAATTTAGGGCATGCAATGCTCGTGCGTCCAATTTATGAGTTATCATGATATTAATTAAATGCTATCATGCCTTTCCATCTAGGGCGACAACTCTAACATTGATATCCTAAACTCCACGTTGGAGTTAGTCGTGCAATAATATTTGGATGTTGCGGTTCAGTCGCTGGGGTCATCCATTATCTGGCTCGGCGGGCTTCATTTGCCGTTAATGGTATCCAGCCCTAAGCGCGTAAGACCAGACATTGCGTATGAAAGGCTGGGTATCTTTTATGTTCGCGTATTCTGTGTCCTTGAAGTCTGCAAGACAATAATTCTATCGGATGTAATTCTGCTCAAGTAGCACTAATGGTGTTCGAAGGTGTTCTGTCAGATGGGCCCCGTAAATGGGAGGCAGATCCCTTGAAAAGGGACTGCCAAATGAAGGCCTCGCTGAGCAGGAGTTCGATGTCCTTCTCGGTCCAATCTCGAGTTGGGAGGGCCTGGAGGAACATCATAACTTCTTGAAAATCCATTTTGCGTAGCTTGTCCGACCATTTCACGAGAAAAGCAACACATACATAGAGATGGAATTCGGAGAAGCCTTGCTCCTCAGCCTGAAGTCCAGCGATTAGCTTGCGAATGGAGATGCGGAGAATAAGGCCTACCATGTACGTGTCCCACATCCTGATAGTGTTCTTCACACTGATCTCACGCATCAGCAGACAATTCATCCATCGGAAACTAAATTGGATAAATTCCACGCTTTCTTGCTCAAGGTGCTTTGCCAGAGGTTCGTCAATCCGTGCAGTCAGGTCGTGAAGAGCTGCAACTTGGCGTTGGATACCAGGCTGGGCGAAGATATAATTATCCTGGATACCATCTAGGAGTTTCGTCAAGCACCAAAATGAATCCGCTTCAACGGCATCCAGAACAGGTTTTGGCAGCTGTCCAGGATCCATCCCGCTTTCTACATCTGAATCTGTAATATAGCTTGCAAGAAACACTTGCCAGAAGGGTGTAACAAGGTCATTGATACCTTGAACGTAGCCGCTGGCAGGATGTCTCACGGCCCAGACATATAATATCCTTTCTAATGACCGTTGCGTAGCTTCGTAGCCGTAAAGCTCTAAATGTGGATTTGTGCGAGGAACATCAATGCTGATTTGATGCCATATTGCCTCATCCAAGCCCCGGGCTTTGCCGGTTGGTGTTGAAGTGTTTCCACTCCTTTCAAAAGCTTGTCGAACACCATCAAGATACTCTTTTCGCTTTCTCTCGAGAGTTGAAACACGTCTCTCACTGCTTGTGGGTAGGTACCCCAGAAGCAGTTGCCAAGTCATTGCTCGAACTTCTTCGGGGACCCCCGACCATGCTGCAGCTCTGAGCTCTGGGAGGGATATTGAAGTGGCCTGCAGTATCCTCTTGAACTTATTGATCCTGGTAATCCTCGCAGAATGGATATCGATATCTTTAGGTGAGGCGCCGGGAGGAACAGGAGGATGGTCAATAAGATGGAGCGAGTTAGCAGGATCTCGAAGGATCTCCTTGTACTGAGGTCTCAGTATCTTCCCCTCGCTCTTTTTCGCGACTGGATAACTCGGCGCGGGCCTCTCAATGGCAATATCCCCACTATTAGAAAGTGTACGAGGGCCAAACCCCCCATAACCGCCTTGCAAACCATGTCCAAACGGCGAGAGACTCCCTCCGGGCGGTGCATTCCTATCAACCGGGGTCTTTTTTGCTTTCCGCTTCATGTTTGATATGCTCGGTAACCCAAAATCATCTCCATCATCATTATCATAGCCATATTCATCATCATCTCCCTCGTCCTCGGCATTCCAATCATTATTTGTATGTGACAAAAAGTCGGTATATGTCCTCCGCGGCGGAGAAGTTAAACCAGATGGTCCTCTGTTCAAAGGCGGGGTATCGCTGCGTGTCTTATATGAGGATGACGACGGCGGTGTTCGCGGCCGTGTGGAACTTGAGGATAAAGATCTTGGACTCCAATGTCAGCGTGCCCAATGAATATATAGTCCATGGCATACAGGTTGTCAATCTTTAACATGTCCGCATGGGAATAAGAGGCCCCAACCACCAAACCAGGATCCCGCCCCGGTTTCTTTGAAGGGCCACTTTGGCGTCCATCTGCGTTTCGGCCTTGCCAGAAGGGAGATGCAGATCTAGAATTCCCCGTCAGCGTACCATTCTACCCCAATCTCTAATTCAATATCTCCAATTCAATGTCTGTCTGGGAGGAGGAATATAGCCTTCGGAGAGTGCTTTGGAACATACTCGGATCTCTCTAAAACGGAAAACGCGTATTAGCATTAATCAGGACTAGGAATATCAAATAGAGCTTGTCTTGTTAAACTGCTGGATAACGGAGGTTTAGGGTTGAACTTACCAACCTGAACCATCTCCTAGCCACGAAAAGCTACGGTCAGCTTTATTGCCTTCTGAGACTCAAAAGAAGCTGCACTGACCTGCTGCACTGGCTTCTTGCCACCATTTGAAGACGAGAACATGGTGCACAGTCCTCAATCCCAGTATCCTGTGGCTACCTTCATTCGAAACTCAACGACTTGAATTCGTTCTTTGGAAACCCTCACGTGGTAGCTCCTTCGGATGACTAAGCAAACCTCGCTGTTGGGGTGAAATCGTGGTGAGATCGCGGCTCGCTGAAAGTTCCAACTCACACTTCGCACCATCGCGACAACAACAATTAACAGATCGCGATACAGCTACAATTAACAGATCGCGACGACCCGGCCACTACTCAGCGACCCCGTTCTCGGCACTAATCAGATCGCTAGATTACAGATTCCACCATGGCAGAAGCAGAAAACTTCGAAGAGGATCTCTTCGCCGACCTGTATGTAGCACCATTCCAGCATCTCCCATCCTCTAGTCGTCCGAGATCGCCATTGTTTAATTATCTACTGCTTATCTAAATGATAAATAATTGAGCTTGATGGAACTGACACCTTTTGCAGATACACGGACGATAATCCCGCCCCAAAAGTCGAAGCTCCAGTTGTCAAAGCTGAAGTTTTGCCACCAACCGAAGTAAATGAGGATCAGCCAGACAACCAGGAGGAGCAGAATGGAGAAGGGGGCGGAGATGTGCAAAATTATAATGGCGACCAAGATATGGATGATGAAATAGATTTCAACCTTGGGAATGGTGGTACTCACTATGATACCCCAGCTACCAATGAGGCACACGGACCTGGCATCAAAGAAGATGGGTAAGACAGCTACTGAATTTCTTTTATTTATCACCATTTCTACAGAGATATCGCTTGACCATAGTGAAATGATCTTCGCTTTCGCATTTGGCCAAATTCTCGCTCGCAGGCATGGATTGACTGGCTCTCGATAATTCAAGATGTTATGGAACAGCAGGCCAAAGGGGACGTATGGTCTAGCGCTTCAAAAGGGATAGCATATGGAACATGAATGATGAAAGGGTCGACGGACGAGTACTTGGATTGGGTCGTAACTTCTAAGAAGTGGTGTGAGCGGGTGCTGGACTTCGGATGTGCAATCCCAAAACGAAGAATAACTCTGTGGAGTGAGAATTCGCACCAGACAAATCGGTTCAGGTTGCAGCGTTGGCTTCATGGAGCATCATAGCTGGGCGGCAAATGGCAACACATACCTACCTAGTCATGCAGCAAGAACTAAAGAGCGGAGACAACAGAGGGAGGGGTATTGTGGAGGGTTTGAGGAGCTGGAGTTCGCCCCATGCATTCACCATCAACAGCGGCCATAGTCAGAAGCCTACTACTACATAGCCTATTGTCGAGATAATCTTCATAGAGCATCGGAGGGGACCACAGATAGGCTATAGCAGAAAAGGCAGCGCGTAGCGCTCGACTCCAGTACCTAGCATCACGATAGCAAAAGATACGATTGATCTTGGATATCCTGGTGTCAACCTTCATTTCATGACTCCCATGGCTTCATTTGGCGTGGTCCGTCATCATGATATCGAAATCCGAGGATATTCGCGGAAGTATCCCCCGGTATCAACAGCCGACATCCTCAGCAAATGCTGCTGCACTCCGGGCAATAATCAGCAAGGCCCAGCTGTCCATAGATGCCAACATTCCATGCCAACTATTTTGAAACATGAAACTTTTATCGGACGAAAGGGGTGGCTTGTCTAACAACAAGCATCAAAATCCCGTTCATCAAGCACCCAAGGATTTCAAAGCGACTTGGCACAGAACGGGATCCCGTGCGGCGATATGGAAATACATTTCAATGTAGCCTAACTAGGCTCGCGCTTGTCTTTTCTTCTATTGCTTAAGGTGTCGCTGGCTAACTAGTATGGATTTTGTAGGAAGATGTTCATTGGTGGATTGAATTGGGATACTACTGATCGTAAGTTATGAAGTGGCCTACCAGATGTATATTTCTGAGCACTCTAACGGCGTGTATTTTAGAATCCCTAAAGGAGTATTTCTCTCAATTTGGCGAGGTCCTGGAGTGCACTGTTATGAGGGATGGTGCCACTGGTCGGTCACGAGGTTTCGGCTTCCTCACATTCAAAGATCCACGCACGGTGAATATTGTAATGGTGAAGGAACATTATCTAGATGGAAAAATTGTAGGTCCCACTTCGAGCTCATCTCAATTCTACCCGTCACCATCCTTCCCAATTTATTATCCACTTCCCCCAAAAGCCTATACAATCGCTAACGTAGCCATTTAAAGATCGACCCCAAGAGGGCAATTCCACGAGATGAGCAGGAGCGTACCAGCAAGATCTTTGTCGGTGGTGTCAGTCAAGAAGCTACCGAACAAGACTTCAAAGAGTACTTTATGCAATTTGGTCGGGTTGTCGACGCTACTCTCATGATGGACAAAGACACCGGTAGACCACGAGGTTTCGGATTCGTCACATTTGACAGCGAAACGGCCGTGGATGCTTGTCTGGAGGGACCGTTAGAGATCCTTGGCAAACCAATCGAAGTCAAGAAGGCCCAACCACGGGGTAATATGCGAGAGGAAGAGGAGAGTCGTGCAGGGAGAGGAGGCCGATTCCGTAAAGGAGGTGCAGATGAGGGCCAGAACGCAAGTCAAATTCCCCAAGGCGGCGGCAACCAGATGGCACCTGGCGGTATGACCCCTCAATTAATGGCCCAGTATTGGCAACGCATGCAACAATACTTCGCTATGATGCAGCAACAAATGGCAATGGGACGAGGTATGGGTGGTGGCATGTCTGGTATGAATCCTGCGATGATGCAACAAATGGCGCAAATGCAACAAATGCAGGCCATGCAACAACAAATGCAAGGTGGAGCGGGCGGTGGTCGAAGTCAAAGTCCTCAAAGCCCAAGCACAGCAATGGCCGGTATGCAGGGAATGAACCCAGCTATGATGCAGCAAATGCAACAGATGCAGCAGATGCAGCAGATGCAAGGAATGGGCGGTGGTAATGGCATGGCCTCTGCTAGTGGTTATACTGCTGGTGGTGGAAGCAACCCTGGTGGACGAATTGGCACACCGGGATATAACGCGTATGAGCAACAAGTCTTCGAGCAGCAGAAGTATGAGCAACAGCAGATGCGACGGGGTACTCGGGATCAATCCCAACAATATGGCGGAGCGGGCTATGGTATGGGTGGTGGTAATGGACCTACCTCCTGGGAAGGCATGTATGATGATGTTCCGCAACCAGCAGTTCCCAGCGGGGGTGGAGCGGGAGGAGGAGGGCGTGGAGGATTCCAAGGCGGCCGTGGTGGTGGAGGTGGTGGAAGCAATAGGGGCTCTGCACCTCCACAAGGTGGACCAGCGAGTACCCCACCAGCCAATGCTCCCACAGGACCAAAAAATGCCGGGAAGCCAGGTGCAAACTATCGGGGTGGAGGCAGAGGTGGCCAGCGTGGTTTCCATCCCTATGCAAGGGGTTGAATGGTGGAATAAACGGTTGGTTTGGTTTAAATCTTCAAGAATGCTGGTCTAAAGTTGATATTGGACCATGGACTTTTCTACTTTCAATGTCTCTGTTACACATGGTGCAGTTTAGGGCTTGCTAAGGTGCATTGGCCCTGGGACAATTATCTTGTATGAAAATAGTTTTCGGCGCAATCAATAGGACATTTGAAATTCTTCAAGCGAAAGGCGGCATGTTCAAGTAATGGCATCGAGATATTGATAAATACTCTCGACATATGTAACATAAGCTATCATACTCCTTCAGGTGCTTCAAACCAGTGACTTTGATTGTAAAATATGAAGTTCACTACTAGCTAGGTAGCTCCTTCCTCTAAGGATAAGCCAGGTAATATCTTCATCCATCGATTTGGCATCGTCCAGGCAGTTCAGCCTTCTCTAGACTACGAACTATTTGAGGAGTTAGAGGTAGGAGTGAACATCCAGACTTTAAATATGAGTCAATCAGAGATTGCAAGAGATCCATTCAACGGTTGATAATGCATTTCTGGTTTAACCTTTAGACCGTATTTACAGACCAACATGTCAGTTACGATTCGCCAGGCTATCAGCGACTTTTTCCTCCGCCCTATATCTAAGTCCTTTTAAGAGCCTCATCTTGTGCCATAGCAAACGCTAGCGAATTCCGCCTAAAAATTGCTTTATTTATGCCAGGCTATTGTTCCATGCTATTCCCAAGGGTCTTGTGTGATCGAGCCCAATCGCTATTTCAGTTTACAACCCTCCAATTTAAAAATTTGGGTTAATTCCCTTGAGCTGAAAGAAGTCAACAAAGATGCCCATGTTGTCAATCTAAACCAATTGCCCAGCTACCTGGACGAATTAGCGGAGCTCGACATCAACGGTCGTGAGGTCCGAAATGCTTAGAAACCCACACGTCACTTAGTTGAGTATAGAAAATAGACTTTTGGTTGAGAGCATCTAAAGTTGATCTAACGCCTGTATGGAAGGCTAGGCAGTATTTAAATTGTACATGGGCATACTTATGAGTAGCGGATGAGAAAGGAAAAATGGAAATAGTAAAAGAAGTGAGGAGTGTCTGGAAAGAATTAGTACAATGACAGCAAACTAACGCTCCCCCATATCCTTCATAATCTCATCCGGCGTAAACCCCTTCCTCAATTCCACCAAATACTCTCCAAACTTCCTAGTCTCCTCAATCACTAGTTTCAAATGCCTATACCCCATCATGCTCTTCTCAAACATTGCAAGCTGCCTCGCAGTACTAATCGCATTCCTGATTTCTCTCCCGTTCAATTCCGCTTCTGCTAACTCTTTTAAATTCTCCCGAATTTCTACAACGTTTATACCGAGGTCTTCTGTAGCGTTGGGAGATGGGGAGTGATTGGGAGTGAATGTGGAGCTTTGCAAGGATTCAAGGCGAGCGATAAAATTCCCCCAGATTTGGAGGCGTTGTGGTTCTTGCAAGGTTTTGTAGCGGAGGGTTAGTTGAATGCGGGATTTGAAGGCTTCGTCGAAGATTCCGACGCGGTTGCTAGTTAGGATTAAGATTCCTGTGAGACGGCGTCAGTATGGATAAGGTAATGGTAATGTGTAGGTACGTACCGTCGTAGTATTCAAGAACTCTCAAGAAGACTAGTGCGTGTTAGTAGGTAATCGGTATTGAATAGGGTAGAGCTAACCAGATACAAGGGCGTTTCTTTGCAGGTCAAATATTCTGCGTTGCTCGAGGAAGACATCGGCTTCGTCGAGGAGGACGACTATCGGATATTTAGTCGTTGCTCGATAACTTGAACGAAGAACTTACCGCAATCCCAGGTCTTGCCGAGTAACATGACGACTTCTAAATACTATCACACGTTAGCAGTTTCAACCGGAAACTCGGGTTAGTTGCGTACCTTCTCAACCTCTTCAGCTTTAGTCCCAATATCCCCGCATGTCACTCTGTATAACGGCTTCTTAGAGTATTCTGCCACACTGCGATAAAGTCAGCCTTTTAGAAATGCGTGAGTTATAAAGTGACAGTACCTTTCGGCAGTAAGGGTCTTCCCTGTTCCAGGCCCTCTGTGGTATAGTCAGTACAAATGATATCACTACACGCGGGGCGGATCTTACCCGTGCAATAAAATGAAAAGTCCATTTCCCTTTCCACTCATCAAATCAGTACCCTTCTCTGCATCGATTTTAGTCGTCACAAGGGCACTAATCAGCTTTTTTGTCGCCTCATCCACAACAAGGGTGTTGAAAGCCTCTTGATTCCAAGTCACCGCTGTTATACGGCTAACATCCAGACTGGCTAGAAGCAGTAGATCAGCATTGAAACTGTGATAGATCAGGGGCAGCGTTACTCCACTCCTTCTTATTCATGTTGAATCCTGGAATAGATTTCGGAAGACACAATAAGAAATCATCTCTGGCGGGCGGTTCATCCCGTGACATTGCCTTTGCTCCTAGATCATCTTTGTTGGCTCTTTTGGGTATGTCATTTGGGAAGTCTCCAGCGACCTGATCAGAAGGATGCATCAACTTGTAAGTAGCAATATCGACCATGAACCTTGGGTCCGACTAGACAAAACCATTAACATAGCCGGGCCTCGAGTCTTTAGTAGGAAAGGCATACCATGCTCTGGATCCCATTATCACGGCCCTCACTATAGCAGACATAGTTCCTCTTGCGGCATTTCCAGAACATTTTACCCCGCTCGCGAAGCGCTTCCTCGGCTCCATTTTCTGCAAAACTGATGGGGTAGAGCGCCAGGTCTGTGACCTTGAAAGTTTTTTTCATGGATGGAAATCGGCCGATTGATACAGTTGTCGAATCCTTTTGGAAGTTACCGTCGAACGACCATGACTTGCAATCTATTAGATACCCCGAAGATCTCCCTCCATCTGGTCTGGACAACCAGGAATCGGCAATATATGCTTCTTGTTGGCCGGGCCGCTCATCTTCTGACTTCCTTACCAGTATTGTTTGTGGCACCTTATTTCAGTCAGACTTTGTTCAAAACCCCGTTCGATATCATGCAGTGCATTGTGCAGAAAGATGGCTCTACCCACATAAAGATAGTGTATGTACTGAGCACTAATTTCGCCCTTTGCAAGTAAGGAGTCTACCGTTGCCCATTCCTCTTCAAATCGATAATCGAGATACTGTTGGAAGACTGCAATCTGACTTTGACCATAACTGTCTAAGTTTTGCTGGGATTCTTCTAATTCACGGCGGCCATGGAACCACCATAGGAATGGAGAAGGAAACTCAAATTCGACCTCAAATTCTGGATGGGGGATATGACCCAGGGCTCGATCGGTCAAATCTCTTAATGCAGAACATAGTTCTGCTGAAATAATTGAGACTGATTCGTTAGTAATAAGAGTTGATGGGTCGGATATCCCGATTGGGTCAAGGCGGCGACTCCTTGACCGCGATGACCCGCAACACCTGTAATCTTTAAATGCAACCAAGGCAACATCCTTGTTTCTTTCGAGGTAAAGATCATAATTGTCAATCCTGTTGCTGGCCCGTAAATGGAAGTTTTGAGGGCCGCTATTGACAGCAAATGGCTCTTCTAGAAAAAATTCCTCGTGTTGACCTCCTTCTGCACACCTCACTCTATGAATAGTTTGATATCTTGGAATGAGATCTTCAGGGGGAGCACCCAGGGAGGTGAGTCGATCTGCCTCTTCGAGCCTCTTCTCAGCAGCCTGGAGTTCTTCATAAAGTGCCTCATCGCTTGATTCTATTCCCAAGTTCAAAAACCGACATACCTCAGCACGCCAGTTGTAAGTGAGCAACGGTGGCCGTCCCCGATGTTTCTCTGGACGAAGCTGTGGCGATACTGCTAGTTTAAAATTAGTTCAATGCTCCATTCGAGGATCAAATACTCACGAGCCTCATCACTTTCATAAGTTGACTCCTGCCTATGTGATAGATGTAGTCGAGTTGAGCTCTCTATAATTCCTGTGAGTTCAGTTAGTAAAGGTAGATCGAGGAAGCTTTGGTGCTGGATGTCTCATGAGAAGACGGAGGGTTGTCAGGGGGAACACATGAAATGACCGTCAACGAAAAGTAAGTCTCAAACATTCACTGACCATCAGCAGGAGGGCTCGGCCTTATGCTTTGTTCTCTCTCCCCAAACCTGCGATTTGTTTTGGTACTGTCGCGGTGGGTGCTAGGAGATGCGGCCGACGAGGCTGGTGGAGGATGATGAGAATGAGTGCTGTCACGTGGGCGCGATCGAGTACTAAAATTGTCTCCTCGGGAACGGTACTCGTATCGCCCTTTAGTAGTGTCCATCGTGATACTGAATATATAGTAATAATAATAATAAGGAGGCCAGAATCCAGACCATGGCCGTCATCTTAGAACGATATTGCCAGACGGCTTCTATTTATAGCCTTGAGGTAAGCCTTTAGCGGACTAGTTCGCCGTGGCAGTGCGCTGTGCTGGTAGAGTTACCCCGGCCTACCTCTATAGCCTTGTGCACACTTCAGGCTTCACTCGAGAAATAAATGGTCTGCTTACTTGCTATAACTTTAACACCTAAAGTGGCTTAAGAAACCGCTAAATATTAAAATTCATTAGAAATTAGCTACAAAAAAGATTTATAGATTCATTAATTTTACTGTTTCAACTTTCAATACCCGACGTCCCCGCCATGCCAAAATTACCAAAAACATGGATCCTCCTCCGAAGCACCGAATATCAACCCAATGGTTGCCTCTCACTCGGACAAATTCTCCTCAAACCCTTCGAGCCGAGCCTTCCCTTACTTCCCGAAGGACCCCTCCCAATCCCTCCTTCCTTGATAGAGCGTAGCCACCAAAGCTTCTCCCGAATCTCGTCATCGTCATCGCTCTCTGGGTCTTTCGGGTTTTGGGCCAGCATCGACTTGCTCCCCGTCCAGGCCGAGTTGAGCGGAACTCGTTCGGCGTCTGAGAGTTGGAACTGGAGTTTTGATCGACTGGAGTCTGAAACTATTGTGCCAAGACTAGTAGATGTTCAAGCTGCAATGAAAAGAGAGGAAATTGTACGACAGATCAATCACCGCAAATTCGACTTCCGAAAAAGGCTGTATATGGTCACCGGAATCAGGGTTGCGAGGGGAGCGAAGTTATCTCAAAGCTCCTCAAAATCGGTGGGGATAGATGCAAAAGCTGGTCTTGATTTAGTGAATTTAATTGGTGCTCCCATTGCTGCCGGACCTAAGGCAGGGGTTAAAAGGGGAAAAGATTACGAAACTTCCTTTGAAGGGGCAAGTGATTTTGTGTTTGCTTATCGTGTTTGTGAAGTGTATTATGGAAAAGATGTTTATGTTAAGCCGTATAATAAAGGGGATACATTAGGGGTTCATGGGGGGATGGAGACGCAGGAGAGTAGCAATGATGAGGATGAGGATGAGGATGAGGAGGAGCATTGCATTATCGTTGAGAAGATTGGGGCTAGCGAATATAAGGGTGCCGGCGTAGCACATCAGTCTTTCCAACTGCCTGCAGATGGGAGCGACGCGGAGGAAGAGGAACTCCTTGTTGCTAATGGGAGGGTAGAGGGTCAAGTTTGAGTGTTCCGTCAGCAAGTCGCATTTTCTAGTGATGGGGAGGGGGGGCTTTGTGCCTAATATATTTCATTCTAACCATCAATATGATCTGTTATATGTGACATGTGAATCGGTATCTCGTCTTTCCTCGCATAGCATGAAATGAGTTTCCAAGGCTTAACATAGCGGTAACTATTATCTCCAATCCTATAGTCATCCACCATCAACTTCAGGAAAATTTCAGACATCCCACTATAATGCTTTAGCAATCTGACGCGTCTAATTTGATTTTCCCTTTCCTGCCATGCGAACTATAAGAAAAGTCAGTATTGCAAAAGTTTCGCACCAATGTTAGATAGAGGCGCTAGGGGACAAAAGTAGATACACATGAGATAACTCTGAAAAAAAGGGCATGGCTTCAGAGATTACTTACCTCCAAAATTCCCGCCGCAACAGCCGCTGCAACCGGAGTCGCACAAGAAGTCCCATCTTGACTCTTATATACTGCGTCTTTCCGCACAAAACTCCCTTCCGTAGGTATACCCGCAGGCCAAGCACCTTCAACCTTCTCACCTGGAAATGTAAAATTGGGACGATCGGATTTGGGCTGAGGGTTGAAATCTGACGGGCGGCCGTGGCCATTGGATGCGAAAATACAGAATACCTCCTTCATCCTAGCTGGAAAGCGGATTGGCGTGATTTCATTGGTTGTATTATTTGCTGCCGCTGCAAAGATCAGTATGTTACTCGCGCACGCTTTCCTGATTTCGTCCCGTAGATCTTCGTCATCTTCAGTGAATCCTAGTGAGAGCGAAATTATGTCGACTTTCCAGATATTGGAGGCGTGCTGGATGGCCTTTGGGAAACTTAGTTTATTTTCGAAAGGTGATAGCTCGACTTACCCTAGTCAATGTAGCAGGACTGTTCCTCTCTGCTTGGGATTTAACGAGAACTCGACCAACGTATATTTCAGCATTGGGTGCGAGCTTCGCTAGAATGGAGCTGCAATGCGTGCCGTGCCCATCAATATCTTCGATGGTATTCGTGTCTTGTACAAAATCATAGCACTTAATTCGTCCATCTTGGAACCTTAAAGTCTTCGAGTCAGTGTTACCCTAGGCTAGATTGGGTTAAGAGTTCAATTTGATTGTCTCAAGAGTATTCCCATAGGACGAACACGAGAGACCTCTATAGAAGATGGAAAGAGGTCTAAGAATATATACATACTCCCTTGCAATATATGGATGTGAAAGGTCCACTCCCGTGTCTAGAAGAGCAACTTTTACTCGGGGTGATAACTCGTCAGGTTCTTTCCTGGAGGCGTCCACGCATTTTTCGAATGATTCCATCTCTTGGAACCAGTCTCTTGGACCTTTGACACTACACATATTGAATTAAAATGGCAGGACATCTATTATCGAAAGAAAAACATACTGTTTACTAGCAGCTACACCGCCTAACTCTTGACCAACACTTGGTTCCTGCCAAAGGGGAGGCACTGGAATTAGGGCTTCAATTTCTCTCAGTAGTGGGAGCCCAATCTTTGTGCGAGGATTTCTCGCTCTAGGATCCTGTCCAAGAATAGTGCTTGGGGTAGATGGACTCCGAACGCCCTGGGAAGCGAGTCGAACAATAGGTGCTTTGGAAGTTGAAACGTGGCCCTGGAAACCGTAAAAGCTGAATAGTGCCATTTTGACGATAGCATTTGTTTCTTTTCCCAAAGCATCAAATAGTTGCTGAAAAATGCCAAACGAGGGAGTTTGGGTTTTCCAAACGCGTAGCGGACCTAGGTCGATCACCATGTACACGGGTGAGAATCCCTCTAGGGAGGCGGCAATTATACTGAACCAATCAGTTTCGGAGCAGGCTGCCCGGAAACGTTCAACCATGAGAGCCAGATCTCTCAGGGACTTAATGGTTCCGTTTTTGCTGAGAATCTGGACTGCAATCTGCTTGAGAAGGGTGCTGCTGTTCCACTTATTTAGATAGAAGCTTTGGTCGTTGAGAATCCAAATAACTCGTTGATTATGCTCTTCAAAGTATTCTATCACGTCTAGGGCAGAACTTTCAATGTCAGTCACTGTTTGGTATGAGCCTTCAATCAGAATCAGGGATGATTGCTCCTCAGAAGCCCATTTGAGTGCAAGTGGACCTTTCCAAACTTCACGTCCAGATTGTATACTTAGCTGCCCCGTCAATGCCCTCATACTGCGGACGGATTGGAGAGCCTTCGATTGTGACTTGCTGGCCTCTGGATCTATAGACGACTCAGGCTCACAGAAAGCCAGAATGGGCCAGAGAGCTAGATCCTGAGGTTGAGAAAGTTGCTCCATCTGAACATCTCCTGGTAGTTCCTGAGATGCTTATCTTCTGATTAGGTTTGTAACAACTAGCTTGATTTGAAAATATATATATATAACCGAAGACATTCTTACAAGAGAGGCAGTTTTTGAGTGTAGACAGTAACAATCGATACTCATGTCCCTGTTTCCAGCGTGATATCACCCCGCCATTTGTCGTTGCCTCCAAATGTCCATCGAGACGACTGGATGCAAACTGACGATTTATTTCTAGGACAAGCTGTCTGAGAGCGTTATCCATGGTTGGCGAGGCTTAGGCCAACTGAACCAGACGGCCAACGCCTTGTGGTGCCGGTATTGGGCGATTGAGCAGCTATAAGCCCTAAAATCGCTAGGGATCGAGTTCCCCGACTACATAAGAGGACGGAGTAATAAATAGCGACAGGATGCACTTCGGCGGCTTGAAATATGGTGGAGGGAAATGTTACTGCCTACCCAACTCAGGCAAGTCTTATCAGAAGTGGATAATACTGATTTCCGACGTCTTCCACCCAGCTCATCAGTGGCGCAGCATGAGGGGCACTGCCACCGGGCCCAATACAACCCCTGAACCAATATCACCATATCTAGCGCCCTGCCGAGGTGTGGTAGCGACCACGACATGACGCTCTCACTTCATAGCACTCGTTGCTCAGGCACGTTGCCAGTATATGCTTCATGAAGGCACGGCGCATTTCTGGAGCGATTGGAAATATCATTAGCCGTACGATTACCGGCTTCGAACCCCTCGCAAGCACTAAACATCGGTGACACGAGTCCGTGATACATCCACGAATCTCGGGCTGATCCCACCGAGACACGCCCTCCCGAATCATAAAACCTCGCTGCTTGACCGCCGAGATCGAAGCTTTTCGAGATTATAGCTGAGACTGTCACCGCTGTTTCGCGTCTATGGCTTCGAACCTGTCTCCCTCCCTAAGAAATACGATCCGTGGTCCGCGCACACCAGAGTTCCGTAAGGGCTTGAGTTTGAGGACGGCTGCTGAGGATGGCCTCGGGGCACACAGCACGGGGGTGGACTTGATCATAGATGGGGTTTCGTACCCATATGTCCCCCAAGATAGACAGCTGTCCGAGCGAGTATACTACGACGATTCCCCTCCGTACCGCCCCAAGTCCAAGCCCATGTCCATGCAGGGTGAACTTCATCAATGGCATACGGAGAATGGACGTCTGGTCCCCAAACTCGTGCTAGAGCCGTCAGCTAGAGATGACGAGATCTCCCGAAGAGGATTGGATTATGATTCGGTAGAGGTAGAGCGAATTAATCTTTCATCGGATGAGGTGGACCGTGGCCGTACTCGTACGTCGCGCCGACGGCGCGATAACAGCAGCACTCCCCAGCAACCGGGGCGCGGGGATGGAAGTACGAGTGGGAGTGACAGTGGCTCCGACGTGGGCGACAGACGTTCTCTTGCTTCTTCTCAACCAACGACTACCTTATCCAGTGATGTGTCCACCAACGCGTTCCGCAAAGTTGCCCAAAAACTCGGTGGCAGAAACTTGGACTTGGTGATGAAGGACCGAGGACGGAACCCTGGGGATACTTCGCTTATGATGTCTACTATCTCTCGAGACAATACAACTGAAGAGGATGCACGTAATGCCCATCTGCTGGCCGGATTTGGCCACCCAAAGAAACAGTTTCTCTTTGGTGGGCCTCCTCAACATGGCGAACAGGCATCTCGACAACCGAGCGTGCCTACGCATACTAGAAGTAGATCGCGTCATGCATTGGGCTATGAAGCAGATGATTCAGAGGATGATCACTGGGGATCAACATCGTCAAAGAGGATATCTTCGAGGCATGAGGCCGAGTGGGACACCCGAAAACAAAAGGACGCCATGCATTTGGAAAGCGCTGCTCGGTATATAGAGGCTGCGAAGCGGAAGGCTACCCCCGCTGTTCCTTAAATGCCCACTGTCTAGTATGCTACCGAAACCCCACCTTTACTGAGCCGAGAGACTGTAGCAGTTTATAATCCGTTACATTTTTCAGCATTAGCTTAACTTAAAGCGCGCGGGTGTTGAGATGAAATAAACTAGTAATTTGTAGAAGGTCCTACGATACTGTAAAGTATGGCGATGTACAAACGCCGCGGCTGACGGAGTTCTCCGTATATATGTAAGTTATATGGCGGCTGGCCCCGACCCGACTCCCCACATCGCGGCACGCGGGGAAGATGAAAAAGTGTGGAAAGCTCACACCAGGTATGTAAGGTACCTACCTAGGTATCGATACTTATAAGTTATACTGGCAACGATACTCTGGATTGCGATATCAATTCGAAACTCAACCTGCAATGGCCTCCACTACAGCTCCTCAGGGGGGGCTTTCACAAGATCAGCTTTCGACCTTTGAGCGCGATGGATACCTCCTCATTCCCAATGCACTCGACCAGAAAACCGTCTCCTCCCTCCTCTCCGAAACCCAGTCAATGCTGGAGAACTTCTCCTTAGATGATCATCCCATGACAAAATTCTCGACCGGCGAAGGAGCAGATGGAGAGCACGTTGGAGATGACTATTTCCTAAGCAGCGGAGACAAAGTCCGTTTCTTCTTCGAAGAAGGTACTTTCCCACCACAGCTTCGGCTTTAGAGAGCAATATATTCTAACAGTTATCCAGACGCGTTCGATGCCTCCGGCAAACTCACCAAGCCCAAGTCTCGTGCAATTAACAAGATTGGGCATTACCTCCATGCACTATCCCCGCCCTTTGCCGCTCTCCTCTCCCCGTCATCCACACACTCCCCTGGCGCAATAGCTCGCTCGCTCGGCTTTCGCGATCCGCGATGCCTCCAGAGCATGGTTATATGTAAGCAGCCCGAGATTGGAGGCGCAGTCCCCTCCCATCAAGACTCTACATTTCTATACACAGATCCTCCGAGTGCCGTTGGTTTCTGGTATGCACTAGAAGATGCCACGGCCGAAAACGGATGTTTAAGTTTCTTACCGGGAAGCCATAAGACAGCACCCGTGAAGCAGAGATTCGCAAGGAAAAGTAATGGAGCAGGCACGGAATTTATTGATAATACCGGGAAGCAATTTCCAGTTGGGGAGGAATATGTGCCTAGCGATGCAGAAGGGGAATATAAAATGGGTGAGGTGAAGGCTGGCACGCTGGTTTTAATACACGGAAATTTGCTCCATAAGAGTGAGAAGAATGTGAGTCAGAAGGGGAGGATCATTTACACATTTCATGTCATTGAGAATGACGGTGCTGTTTATGATGAGAGAAATTGGCTGCAGCCGCCACAAGAGGGTTTTACAAAGATATAATAAGTGGTATTATTTTTAACCCAAAGGGCGATATCCGTTACATCGCTCAATTATCCTAGCTTCTACTTCGCTGGTTACTCCCCTCCAGACCTTACTCCACTTCAGGTTTGCAGAGGGGGAGGCCACTAGCCATTGAGCTCTGACCTATAAGCCCCTGTCTTATTCAAGTTGCTTCGAGGCCACCATCTATCCCAATATGCCACAACCGGGGCTCTATTCTATTCTAGAACCTTCCCTCACATTTGTTCTTCCTAAACCAAAAGTGCTTGTCGCAAGATTTTCGAGCTTTCGTGGTCAAGTGCTCAGTCTCCCTCCAAAACTTTGGAGGCTAAAATTTTTTGGAGTCTTCAGGATGTTTGATCGTCGCGAGACATGTATGGCATAACCTTCTCCAAACTCCATATTGCAGGACATATCTAAATATTGAAAGAAGGGCGAATCTATAATTCTTCGTCGCTCTGATCAGTTCGCAATGGTACAGTATTTTCCGATACTGCATCTAGATTCTCCAAATCATCTAGATACCCATCTCCAACAGGCACTGGCTGGTAGTCACCCCAGCCTTTCGTTTCCAGGTAACCAAAAATCCACACTCCACTCCCAGCAACGAGGGTAATAACAGCTAAACAAACGTACGGTAGGCCAATCCAGCCACCGCCCTTATTTATACCAATCGTGTAGAGCCAATTGATCATGGGGCCAGCAATCAGAGCCCCCAAGGTCTCCACAACGGAGATAGCGGCATATAAACGCCCGGTATGTTGCTTGTCGACCAGAGTCGTTATAAGGGACCGTGTTAAGGACGCGAACCCGGTTCCCAAGGTCAATATTATCATGCCAACGACCCCAAGTCCGATCGTGGGACTGATGCCTACCACAGTAGCTCCGGCTGCAAGCATGAGGACGGAAAACCGGGAGAGAATCAGATCTTTCCCTTTGGATGTAAAGTGCAATCGATCCATCAAGAATTTTGAAAGGAGTGGGATGATGGCGAGTAGAAGGACAATATTTACCAAGGCTCGGATGGAGAGGAGGAACCCAACCTCCCGGATCTCCCAAGAGTAGCGTTTGGATATATATCGTACGGAAAGCTCGCCTGACTGCCGAGTAAAGGGCTGGACGATGGACGTAAAAAGTAGCAGCAACACAGGTAGTGACCGAAGAACAATGGTAGCACTGCGGGCCTGATTGAAGCTATCCAGGAACTGGGATTTGAGGCTTGTAAAGAATGTGGAATCATCAATTTTTCTGCTAGGGGAGAGATCTCGCTCGGCTGGCGAGATTTTGACAAGCATTCCGGACGGTTCGGAAACCCGAAGATGGAGAGTCTCGGGGATCACAACGACAAAACCGGCCCCCATAACTACGAGAATAAATCCCAGGATCAGTGCGACCCAGGGTGATTTCATCATAATGGCGCCGGCGACGGTAGGGCCAAAGAGTTCTGCCATAAGGCCTGCAGCTGCCCCAACGAGGAAGAAATTCGCTCTAAGAAATTGGTCAACCTGGGTTGTAAATATCGACCATCCATAATTACTACTTACCTAGTTGCCTCCGTGGTGATATCACATCCGATAGTATAAAACGTCATAGAGGCCACTGCTTCGCCACCCCCAATGAACATGAACACAGGCGAGAGCCATATCCATCGCAAAGGTATTACTTTCCAGAACAAAATCACTGTTATATTGAAGATCCCAGCTAAGATCAAACCAGCCATTGAAAGCAGGAACACAGGTTTTCGCCCAACCCTATAACAACACTAGTTAGACTTGGCATAATATAGTTACTTTCACCATTGCGTTATTGAACCCTGCAAGGTCTTATAGTGGGGGATTGGGAGGCTTGCAAAAAATAGTGCGGCACCACTTGGTCTAGCCTGAACCGCTCAATTTCAATGACTAGTCGAGTAGCAACGTTTATTCCACCCTCCTAAACCACTTGTTTAAGCCCAGGCGTTTGTAAGGGCTTTGTATCCAGCTGTATATTCGGTAATTGATGGTGGGTGGGTTCAAAATCGAGGGTCTTAATAGCGAAGGCAAACCTCGAGTATTATGAGGGCGACTATTAGTGGAAATAACACAACTTACCGATCAGCAAGTAGCCCATAGGGAATCGTTGTTAGTAACCCTAAATTCCCAGGCCCGTTAGTCCAATATCTACTTCCAGCTAGATAGTTGCAACATACCCGGTATAGGTGTTAAAAGCTGCAACACGCCAAACAGTATATTCAATTGGTTCTGCACCCCATCCGCTTTGCATATCTTCTCATCAATAGGCTCATCAAAACCAATATGGCCCTCCCCCTCGATATCGTTGAAGTAGTAATGGCAGGCGATATCCTCGAAGAGCCGCAGACCCCCAAGTCCCATGAGAATGCCCCCGAAAGCCATAATAAAAATTATTACAAACAGCAGGGCCACCATTACTAGGGGGGAACGAGTCCGGCGGAAGAAGGTCAAGATCCGGTTTGGAGAGGATCTAGGTGGCGGCCCGATGTCCAGCAACGGTGACCCTTCTTCTCGTTCGTATCTCGAGGAAGCCATGGTTGAAGGCGTCGTTGAGTAGCGTCATGTATCGGTCTCGAGACAAGGGAGGAGGATCGGGGATTCGGAGGTGTGTCTCGCAGGGCTGGATCCTAGAAAGATTAGTTCGCGCATATGCGTCCGCTCGATCATTCCTCTAGGTCTGCGGATATATTTCATATATGCATGCGATGAAGGATAGCAATTGAGAATGGAGAGAACGTGAGAATCGGAAATTCAGGTACTGTGTCAGCTTTATGCTGACGTGCATTAAGAATGATTGGAAACAGTCTGACTGGCGAACGCGGCGCGGAACCATGATTCGGTCTCCGATCCAGCTGGGTCGCGCAGAAGGGGAAGATCGTCGGAAAATAAGCCGCGTGGCGATGAGATATTAATAGTCCTGTGATGACCACCAACCTAGGAACATATAGGCCTTCTGAAGTGCCCAGTGGCCTTCGGACGAATGTGCTGTGCTGGTGCCTGGTGGTGTTTGCTCATTGATGATTGTAAATTCCAAGTTCGAGCTGAATCACCCTCTGTCCAGTCCAGCGATCTAGAAACGGAAGCCGAACGGGGGATACCTATCCTTAGAAGAAACACAGAGTGGTCTTCAGCTGTTCTGCAAGAATCTCCATCATTTTCTGAGAACCAGAGAGACATTTGGAATTGATGTCCTCATTGGAGAGATAGATGTCGAGTCTTCAAAAGAAAGACATCTGGGGGACTCCGCGGTTGACAGGTCAAAAAACCTCAAGCGAGTGGCTTCACTAGACAGCGCATCCAATAACTTTACGCCACATTGTTAGTCCCGGCATGCATTAACTTTGTAGCCTGTTAATTGTTTCATCTCTCCTTCGTTATTTCACATCGTCGTTTTGCATCACTTGCAATATCTCACAATTTGTGCAGCAGTACCCCTGACTCGTCACAAACGGTCGCTATGCCTTGACCATGACTGTAGCGACGAATTCATTGGTTGAGATGAGACATTTAAATATTCGAATGGAAAGAAGAAAAAAGGGTTAGCTCTAGGTCTTTCGAATTCTTGATCTTAGCACGGAGTTTCATATAAACTCGTCGACATCTTAAACTGCTTGTAAAGGACTGAGTCGTCTGAAGCTTCGAGTTCTATTTCTACGCGTCTATTATCCCCCTTTAATCTTTCCTTTCATCCCATCTTGTTCGTTACTCAATGGCCCCCTTTGGCTAAATTGCCTTATTTGTCCGAAGATTAAGAGTATAGTTGAGGAGAGCTAGATGATGGACGGGGTCTGCTCTTCTGTGAAGGCTGTTGACGCGGAGGCTGTACTACTATTCGTAACGCAAGACTTTTGCTGGTTATATCCTATCCTGTAAATCCTCGGATTTTGGTACAATTGGGCGACTTTTGAAATAATGATATACTTGGCCGTAAGCAACAGAGATACCAACTCTACGGTATTTGCCATCGTCAACCGTATCCTCAACCTTTGTTAGAATGAGGCCCACTGCTGGATTCCCATGAAAAGACATGCAGAGTGATCAGCACCATAACCGGGTGATAATTCAGATGCCCTGTCATCGTGATGGAAAGTAGGACATCATTCCTCCCCATCAAGAAGATCCCAAACATGTTCACCAAGTCGGGACTCTGGATCAACTGATATTTGGCTGTGTGCTAGGGAAGATCAAGAAGTAGAGCCTCCTTCCATAGCCCAGCAACGTACGTCCACCTTATCAGATTCTAGATTTCCTTCGCATGACCGGTGATGGCAATCAATTTTTCTTTTTCCATTGACAATGCACACCAGCCATAAAGTTTAATTATGACTCAACACGCCTCGATCGCTAGCTGGTATTCCACCTCACCAACAATGCTTAATGTTAAATATCGTGTCGAAGGTGGCAGTCCAGAGTTGATATCAGCCGATTTCAGAGGCAAATCTACCCTGTATCTGTTTGGCATCGCCTAGGTTGGAAATTTCAACCAGCCTCTTCGGAAATTTCCCAATACTTGAGATTTGTCGACAGGACTCGTGGGTTACCTAGCATTCAACAATCTATTTTCTGAGCACGAGCTAAAACTGTGTCGGACCAAGTATTTTCCGTCAATGAATCGCTCACCGTCTTAAGCTCTGGGCCTAGACACAAACCAGTGAGACATTCTACCATCGTAAAACGCATCTATAAATAAAATCTCAGTACCAACTCCTTGGCATGAGCATAGTAAATAGAAGATTACATTTAGCTTCTGCGTACTGAAACGTATTCCTGGGACAGTCTGGTTCCCAATAAATGCACATGACAAGTGTCCCGTTTTGAGCCTCAACGCCTTAGAAGGCTTTTGTGCGAGTATGTGCTTGACCTAGTGTTGTGTCATATGTAACTTTTGATTGTATTAAGGTCAACCCTCCCGGCCAGATTTTTCAAGGTGCTCTTGGCGAGGAAGATGAGAATTGAGATATTCTCCAGTACTCCACAGGATATAGTCTGTTATAAAACCCGCCCTACAGCAGCTACACGACCTCCTGTTGACCACATTTAGATCTCGGAAGCGTACTGTATCTTCCATAGATCGCTTTAACTTTAGGCCAACAGATCATGGGCAAAGATGGTAATCAAAGACAACGTGGTTTCGCTCTAAGACAAACAGTTCGATATATGAATATTTCCGAAGAAAGATGGTGAGATAAAAAGTGAAATAATAGATACCGTAAGACTTATAGTAAGCTACAGTGTGAGGAGATGCCTTCCGCTTGAATTCGTCGGATCCCAAAAGTGAGGGAATGCCCGCTACGAGAACTTGTAGTTAGTAGATTTGGCCAACCTAATCTTGACTGCACAAGAAACTGTAATAACCAACCTCTTAAGTATGACAAAACATTACAATGTCTTGTGTCTGCCCCTTCACTTCTATTACTTCTGGGTCTCACTAAGATGGATGCGGAAAGGAGAGGTAGGATTGTAGAAGCAATTTTGTCTCTTGCAAAAGAACTTATCTGTTCATAGAAAGCCTCTTTTGGAGGAGAGCCACTGATACACCTAAGCCATAGCGGCGGTCAAACCTTCATATGATTTAACCCTTTTAAGCACTAGCTTTTAGGTCACTTTTCAAGGCTTTGCTCTATAGATTTTAGTACTCTAGAAATAGACAATGTGGACCGGCTATGAAATAGCCATTCGGTTTAGATCACTAGACTAAACAGCGAAAGCACCAAGACTTAGATGGCTGACGACTTTCCCTAAACGCAGTCTAGCCGTACTATGTGAAACATAACAAGTCGAATCAAGGAAGAGACACCTAGCCAGAGAAACTAAGTGCCAGGTGCAGTGCAATCGCAAAATCCATGCTAGAACGGTCAATTGCAACCGCTCAAGGGTAGACCTGGTTGCATGGCCTCACCATGGGCTATTGGATCTCACATGCGCTATTCACTTAGCCATTGTTGGCCGAAGAGTGTAGTGTTTACTTTCAGTTTTCATCCGAACAGAATATCGAGGTCAGTAAATAGTAGTGAATATTGTCGAGGGTGTAGTTGACCGCCTACGCGTCTCGCGTAATCTATCAGCCCGCGCATCTTCATCTTCAACTTTGACTTCCCTGCTTCCACACAACACGGCAATCTGAAGCGTCTAGAAGCAAGATTAATATCATGGATCTCTCCGGCATAGACGACCAGACAGCAGCACTCATCATCCAGTTCCAACTGGAGGATAGCCGGTTACTGGCCGAAGAACATGGAGGCAAGGGCAAGGCTCGCGAAGGTTCGATCTCCGATTCCCAATTGGCCTTCCAACTGTTCGCCAAGGACCTGAAGTGCAAGGCTACCCTCGTGGCAGATACGCATATGGCAAAGAGCATTGCACGAGCTTGCCAGACGGACGGAGGCGCGTTGGCAACTGCACAGTCGCAGGAACATTCTGCGATCGTTGATCGACAAATGGCTTGTCACCTTGGTGGTGTAACAGTCCGAACCCCAGTAGATGCTGGCACCTTCAATGCGGAATCCCTTGACGACGAGCTAATAGATAAACTCGAGGCTCACTATGGCGCACGCCCAACTGAAAACCTGGATCACGAAGGTGACAGTATCATGGCATATGCTGATAGCCAACCGGGTGACACGCCAGAAAGCTCGGCTTGGGCAGCCGGTCGGCCCCCAATTGTCACCTATCGGCAATGCATAGTTTGTGGGGAGGATGTCCAGTTCTTCGACGTCGTCCGAGTGCCCTGTGGCCACGAGTATTGTTGCGGCTGTCTGCACCAGCTCTTCAAGGCATCACTGACGGATGACTCACTATTTCCACCTCGCTGCTGTAGACAGCCAGTCGCATCTAGCATCTTGCGAGTCTTCCTTCCTGCAGATTTACTCTACCAGTACGAAGAAAAGAAGATCGAACATGAGACTCCGAACCGCACGTACTGCTCCAATGCTTCGTGCTCAGCCTTCATCAAAGCAGAGAACATTGCGGACGAGCGGGCGAGCTGCCGCGTTTGCTCTTGCATAACGTGTACAATCTGCAAGGCGAAAGCTCACAGAGGAGATTGTCCTGCCGACACAACACTGCAAGAAATGCTATTGGTAGCAGATGCGAATGGATGGAAGCGTTGTTTTGGATGCCGGCGATTGGTGGAGCTGGCTCACGGATGCAATCACATAACGTAGGTTTCACTTCTCTGCCATTTAGAATAAGCTTTGAATACGAATCAATACTGACCGTTGCATCTCCTCTGAACAGTTGTCCCTGCAGTGCTGAATGGTGCTATCTCTGTGGTGTGAGATGGAAAGGGTGCAACTGCGAATTATGGGACGAAGACCGCCTAGTCGAGCGCGTCGAACAGGTTGTAGCAAGGGGGCCAGCCCATGCCCATCCTAGGGAGCGAGTGGCCGAGAATTTGATGGTGCAGGATAATTGTCGGCATAGACATTGGAGAAAGGTCAATGGGAGACATCGCTGCGAAGAATGTTTTCGAAAACAGTCATGGTACATCTTTGAGTGTATGGATTGCGAGATTCAAGCTTGCACTATGTGTAAGAGAAATCGACTGTAAAAGGATCGAGGGCTGTGGAAATCAGAAAGAAGGCTTTCAAAGACTGGAGGATGGTGTAAGGAAACCCCTAAACAGGTCTAGGTCTGGTTTAGACAGCACACCTTTGCAAATAGCCTACATCTTCGTGTCAAGAATAGGAAATAAAACAAGTTTAAAGCTTATCCGCAACAATATAATCCAGTAACAAGGAAGCATGGAATTTGGTCACAGGGTGGACTACATCCTTTCTTGTACAAAACTGCGTGAAATAATAGAAGCCCTTTCATAGGATAACTAGCTTAGTCAAACACCAAGCGCTCCCTTGAGCTGGCATGGTCATTAGATCTTGATTTCTGTTCGACTATGCTTCTGAAATTCCCACACGCTCAATCGCCCCAGTTTCGGGTCGATGGGCTCTCCACTTAGGGGCCCTTCTCGATGTAGTGGCCATAGTCATACGGGTGAGTTTCTCACCCCGCCTACCCCACATCCGAGGGCATTCTTCCCAAGTTAATCCTCTCCTGCACCAGTCGTCCGGCTTCATATCATCCATAAATCGTTTTCACATCCTGACATCCTGCCCGACGACCATTCTCAACCAAACTTCTTACTCCCGCCCTTCTTCTCCTCCGCCTCCTTCTTATCCTTATTTTTCTTCCCACCTTTCAACAACTCCAAATGTCCCGCTTTCGAACCGAGCGTACGTTCCGTCATCGATATTAGACCCGAGGAGTGTTTCTATTATTTTGTCAGCGCCTCTTCATCATACTGCACGTCTTATCCCAGTGTCATTCTCCTGATCAGAATTGCAAGAAAGAGAAAAGTAAGGAAATCCTACCTTAGTCATCTTAGCATTCCTCACGAGAACCTGTCTCTTCGGTGCGATTGTCCGGGCTCCCTTTTTAGGTCCCAGTGCAGACGGTCTCCGGCCGGTGGAGGCGGTGGATTTTCTGAGTTTGACTGTTCCTTGCGCCATTTTGAATCTGCTTTTCCTGCGCTGGGCTATGTGTTGAGGCGAGTCGAGTTGTGGGTTTGTATATTTTGTATGTTTTCTCTGGGGTTGAAACTTTCCGCGATGCAATGCGGTCTGGCGCCTGTGGATATTTTGCGGATTAGGTAATCTGAGCCCAAGCGAGTCGATGTTCCCCCACTTCGCTCGTCCCCCCTTTCCCAATTTGGATCACAACCGAGTACCTAGGTACCCTCAACATTTCACTTATACCAAGGCAACCATAGCAGCGGATGACAAGATACAGCATACCACGGTCTGTGGGCTCAATAGTGCTTTAGACACAAAACTAGCTATTCTATCTACTTAGAACGCGCAAATGAAAATTATCCATGAGTATTGACTGAGTTGAGGCATATCGTTAATAAAATCGCATCTCAAACTACTCGTATATGGGGGGACCGTCAAAACATACTTCATGATATGAGGTCACCCGAGGTCGTCCATCCATCCCCCATGCGCCTATTGCTAAACCGTTCTTGTCCTCTCATTCGAACGCCCAAGCTATGCAGTTGACAAGAGTGCCGCCCATTTTCCTAACTCTTTCATGTGTCCCGCTAATTTCTCGTGACTGCGTCATGTCATTGTCGTGTCGTTATCATGGGAGGGGCCCTGGATTATGACTGGCTTGTCCGGTATCAGCGGTAGGAGATTTAAAGGGCCCCGGCGTGCCAATACCCAGACCTGAACCCGGAACCGGTCCGTCGGGTCGGGTCTTTGATGAAGAAGCGGCGGTCCGTGCCAGTTCCCACTCGTGAGGTTTCCTCCCAAAGACCACGAATACTCTGTTGTAGGCGTGGACACGCTTGTCTGATATTGACTTGCGCACGTTCACGAGATATACCTATGTGGGTCAGTATGTCTCTCGTGAGGTCATGGCCGGGAAAAGCATACCTCAATTTCAGTCTTGCTCCAACTCAAGACCCGCGAGAAGAGGCCCATGCTGATCCCAGCTAAGCCGGCTAGCCAATTGTCCTCCTGCATCTTTCCCAATGTCTTCAAATGTTTATCTCTCGGCCAGCTGTTTACGGGAAGCCTAAAGACCTTTTCTTGCACGTCCACAAAACCCGCCTGCTCATACCATCGCTTCAGCTTATTTGCGATTCTCATGGGCCTGTCCGCTTCCATCGCAGCATAATCAATAGTTTGATTCCAATCCAAGAAAGGCCAATCTGCCGGCATACTCCCGTCATCGCAATACAGCGTGGACATCATCTCTTGACTCTCCATGTATCCGCCAGGTTTGGTGTAGTGAAAGGCTCTATTAATGACTTGTCGAAAGTCCGTAAAGCATCCAAGTAGTACTCTGGTATGGATATAGTCAAAGTGTGATGGGGGAAGCGCCCAGTCCTCCTCGCTTGCATCGTCAATAAAAAATCGGACATTCTCAGGAACAGTGTCAGGTTGAATTGGTGATAGATCTGTTGCCTCGATTTGGGCCTCGGGGAACTCATCACCCATCTCGATTGCCCACTGTCCTGTTCCTGTTCCGATGTCGAGGATGTGCGTTGGGTTCTTAAGGGGCGCAAAGTAGTTACGGTCTTCAAAACAATACTTGAGTATCTCGTATTGGAAATCTAACCGGTCGCGCTCAGTTGGATCATTGGGAAAGTGGTACGCTGAAACCGCCTGTCAGTTGAACTTCGCAAGAGGATTGAAGTGGGGAAAATTACTGCCGGCCCGATAACCATGATATGTTCGACCATTTTCCTTGGTGAACTCATAGACGCTCTCTGTGAGCGATTTCGTCCCTCCACTGGATCATGTTAGGACGGCACGGCCAACAAAAAATGTGCGTGCGGCGCAGTGTCTCGTGCGACATCGCCTCCAAAGCATTGGAATTCACTTACCTCGAGCTTCCTGGACTACTCGCATTCGACGCAGACTAGATGCGCAATCATGTCAGTAAGGAAATGTCTTGAAGGCGCCATGTGATGGGTCATATCCCGAGCGGTGAGACCTACATCTGGCTCAATAGGTGTCTCAAAACCGGGCATTGGAGAACTCTGCGCTGAGGTTTCTCCTGCTGCTGCCATCGCCATCGCGAACGCCTGGCTGGAGCTTCCTGGAACGGCCGCCTTCTGACGCTCTGGTTCGCTCATGATTCATATGCTCTCCAAGGAACCGTCAATCACACACTAGATCTTCTGTCGGTGGGAAGTCCAGAGTTGGGCCGCGAGGACTTTCTTTTTTTCATGAAGAGCGTAAGAATGAAGAGCGCCGAGTTGAGGGGACAGCCGGACAGGTAGCGGACGATATCGAATTAAATGGCAGACGGGGGCCGTGGTTTCCAACCCGAAAGTCCAACGAAGTACAGCGAAGGAAAGGAGGCGTTTGGGGGTGGGTCGGCGGGAGCCCGAGTCTTTGGCACTGGGAACAGAGCAGGGACGGGCGGGAACATAAAGAATTCCAGCGACTTGGTATCGGTTCTGCAGGCTGCAGCGGGGAAGGGATTGAGTGGACGGATGCAAGTGGATGTCGATGTGGAGGCAGCTAAATCAGAAGTACATGCTAGGGTATCGTGCTAAAGGGGGCTGCCCAGTAGCCGTGCCCAGTAGCCGAATATCATCGGCGATGGCGTCGCTGTTTGGTACTTTTGGGCCCGGGGTTGGTTAGTATGGTTACCCGGTAGTCTTCATCCTTGGTCTGCAGATGCGGCGCATGCCGGTGGGTTCAGACTCGAGAGTCTAGAGGGAGACCAGCGAGACCAGCTACTGCGAGCAGTGCACCGGAACATGCGGATCGAGGGCTGTATTTCTGATTTCCGTGCGGGAAATACTGGCTTGAGAGCTACCTATCTGGGCGTTACTCCGTACCTAGATAGGGAGGCAGATGTCAGCGATGCCTCAGCAAAAGCACTATTACTTTGCTCAGTTGGAGGGGCGAGGAGGCCAGTAGAGGCCAGTTGTTCCAATTCCAGCAAGCCCGTGTGAAAGCCTTTCGATCAAAAAGTCACGGCGGTGGAGGGGTGTTCCTGGCCTGGTGGATGCAATGCAGAACGGGTAAACTCGCCCGAAGGTGGGATTGGAAAGTAAGGTTACTGGAAGTACCGGCCTCATAGGTCAGCTGGTGATTACCTTATGACGGCACCAAGTACATCATTAGGTGCCTTAATTACTCACCGCTAAGCTGTCTCGTTCTAACGACCTAGGTACTCTAACTTTCGCTAACAGTAAACTGTGCTTTAGTAAAAATGTACTCCACTAGTTCTCTAAAATATATGAAATGAGACAAACAAAATATATCATAACAGTAGCGGTACGGTGGAATCTCCGTACTTTCCTCCGTATGGACTTTCGGTACTGAATGCCACCCGAAGGGAACCGACCTGCAGCGCCGGAGGGCAACCTGCATACCTGGAACGAGCAAACATTCGCCCCGACTCAAGCCTGCCACTTTTCCTGCCGCGAGAATAATATATTATTGTGCGCATCCTGCGTCTAGGCTGGGCGACCTCGTGCAGATAAGGAAAAAGCACCCTCTGAAGGCTTCACTAATCGCGAAGTCCGAAGTACGGGGTAGCACAGCAGCAGCCACAGTGAGTTCCTTTTGCCAAGGTTCCCGACTATGCGCTCGTGGCGCGGGAAACAAAAGCACTTCAGCTCGTAGTGCGAGAATATACTCCGTATAAAACTGAACCGTTTTCAAGTGGTCGATGGACCCCAGGGGGGTCGGCGCCACCGGGAACATCCCCTAGGATGATTTATAGGCACAGCCGGACCATTGACCAAACTCGACGATTCTTGGGCCCCGAGCTCCGAAGTTTGAAGTATTCTTTCTTGCATTTATGTTTCAGGCTTCTGGGATCCAGCAGCTGGCAATCTCTCTCTCGTTTTGGCGCATGTAACTGGGTACCTAGGTACATTGCATTATATTTGGCCTAGGACTGAAACCGCATATCACTTCAAGCCCTTTGCTTTGTTGACTCCTGTCCCCCACCTACGATTTGATCTTTGGCATTTTGGATTCCGTTTGGGTTGCAAAGTGCTCCCCCAAACCCCTCCCTTCAGACGTTCCAGGCTTCCTGCGGTACCACTCGAGTACGTTGCCCCCGCCGAGTTTACGTCAGCTGAAAACGGAATAGTGGGAGATTAATCAATTGCACGCCACCCAAGTGCTAGGATCAATTGCCGTGCTGCTGCAAACGGAGTATTACGACATAGTAATAGCAGTATCTCTGCCTTTCTGCTTATAAATGGCCAGATATAAATGGACAGCATAGGGATAGCGTTTCAGGAGGTCTAGGGCTCAAAGCCTAGTTTCCAAGCCCCGGTCCCTGAACTACCGGCACCGTAGCAAGGCATAATATAAAACAGAGAAGCGCAGAACTTGTAGAGTTCAAGGAAGGAATGATATAACTAATGGTTATTATTCATCATCCGGGTAATATCGCTCGCTTAGCGGCACCGATCATAGGACCGACCCGGTCCCGCCGCCCCCAACTCCGTCCTTCCCGCCCCGCCCCCACTCTCCCAGTCTAGGTCACAGTAAAATTCGAGCGACACTTTTCTTACTATCAAAGTACTGTCTCCAAAGTTCAATTCGACCTTGATGGAATGTCTTGAATCAACATTGCAAGATTAGTGAGCACAACCGCCTCCATCAAGTATCATTCTATAGAGACATAGGAAAAAAGCCCCCGCTAACTCTTGCTATAACTTCATTCAGATTCTTAGACCGAAATATAGCTTCAGCCATCACCGCATAATCGTAGTCCGACTATTCACGGCCCGTGGAACCGAGCCATTCTCATCCGTCATAGGACAGTTATTACGCATGTACCTTAAGTAGACATGGCAGACTTTGTATCGTCGTCCTACACCAAACTCCGGGATGTGATAAACGAGACATCCAACGATGCCCTTCCACCTGTCTCATCCATCGTCGCTGCAACAAAGTCGCTCCCGGCTTTCTTCTCACCCATGGGACTCGGAGAAGAAGCCACTCAAGCCCATCTCCTTTCCGACATATGTCCTGGTTTCAACGGACCCAAGACCTCCGCCAATTACTATGGATTTGTGACAGGAGGCGTATTCCCAATAGCTGAGGTGGCTGATAATATTGTCACGGCGTTCGATCAAAATGTACAAGTGCATCTACCCAACCAGAGCATCAGCACCATTGTGGAAGGAAAAGCCTTGGAGATGGTGGTTGAGCTATTGAGATTAGGTAAGGGATGGGATGGAAGAACGTTCACCACCGGGGCCACGGGTTCTAATATTCTTGGGTTGGCATGTGGCCGAGAAGCTGTTGTCAAAATGCGTCTCGAGAAGGTTGGGGAGCAGGCTGGACCTGGTGAGCTTGGCTTGCTGGCGGCCTGTTCTAAAGCTGGTATCAAAAACATCCAGGTCCTGACCACCATGGGCCACAGTTCATTATATAAAGCTGCAAGTGTCGTAGGCCTTGGCCGAGCTTCAGTGAAAGAGATCCCAGTCAGTAGCCAAGAGCCATGGAGAATAGATCTCGACAAGTTAGAGAGCGAGCTTAAGCTCTCAGACGAGGGCATAGTCAGTATTGTTGCCCTGAGCGCCGGCGAAGTCAACACCGGCAGATTTTCAACCGATGGCCTCTCGACCATGAGAAAGGTTAGAGCGCTCTGTGACCGTTATGGCGCATGGCTGCACGCCGACGGAGCCTTCGGCCTCTTCGCTCGCAGTCTACCCGCAACACCCGAGTTCCAGTCTCTCATCGACACCGCTGCGGGTCTGGAACTAGTTGACTCTCTCGCTGGTGATTGCCACAAAATGCTCAATGTCCCATACGATTGCGGCGTATTTATTACACGCTCTTCCTCTACTCTCTCCTTAGTCTTTCAGAACCCAAATGCGGCTTATCTCTCATCCGGCCCCTCCGATCAGCCATCACCACTGAACATTGGTCTTGAGAATTCGAGACGGTTCAGGGCGCTGCCTGTGTATGCGGTGCTTCTGGCATATGGGCAGTATGGATTAGGAGATATGTTCGCAAGGCAGGTTAGATTGGCGAGGGCTGTCTCGGAGTACTTGGATAGCAGTGACTGTTACGAATTGTTGCCAAGCGGCCAATCTTCAACCAACAGTGATGAGCAGACGAAGTTTTCTCTCACACACATTATTGTTCTGTTTAGAGCCAAGAATGATGCTATTAATGAGGAGCTGGTTACAAATATCAATGCTACGAGGAAGATGTACGTTTCTGGTACGAAATGGGAGGGCAAGCCTGCTTGTAGGATTGCTGTTAGCACTTGGAAGGTTGATGTTGAGAGAGATTCGGAGTTGGTGAAAGGCGTTTTGGAAGGCGTGTTGAATGGCACTCAGTAGATTGTGTTGCACTATTATATGTCTCTTGATCTATGGGAGGAGGTATTCTATATTTAATAGCCTAGAGTTTCCGTTAATCGATCATCGATGCTAGATTTGGGCTTAAAACGGAGTCTAAAAGCGATAGCCCCGAGATCTACTACTCGAGTAAAGGCGGTATGGGTTGAACTCTTATCTCAAGCTTGTACGAGTCTATGCTCTAAGAGGGAAAGTAAAAATAAGATAAAATTCGTCATTACTACGAAAAAAGATTCCTTAATGTTCGCGTTGAGTACGGCGATCCCTTTGAGTTAACGTGGGGAAAAGAGGCCAGAATGTGCGATCTGATGTCGGTTACGTCAACCAGTCGTGACGTAATATTTATCGCTATACGCAATGGCTTGCCTGTTTCATAGGCTATTATTTATTTTACTTCTAGTTAATAACATGCCATCTTTAATGATGTATTTAGTTCACTATCTCCTTATTCGATTCTTAGTTCCCTTCTGTATTGTTCCATTCTCTCTTTCCTTGATATCATGTATTTCAACCCCTTAAATTCGCTTCATTTTCACCTCCTATAGTTAATAAAAATATTTCCAGTATTCCACTAGTCTAGGGTCTTACTATATTTTGGTATTATCATGCCATCAGCTATCTCAGACGTCTTTAGTAAAGGCGCCAAACTACTCCCACCTATCACCGACAAGACCTTCAGTTCTTACTTCGATTTCCTTGGCAGTAGTCGCATTGTTCTTCTTGGAGATGCAAGCCATGGCACTTCCGAGTTCTACCACGCTCGTGCAGAAATCACAAAACGGCTAATCGAACACCATGGGTTCAAGACTATCGCCCTCGAGGCAGATTGGCCCGACGCCGAATCTCTCGATCGCTACGTCCGGCAACGACCCGGCCCCCAGGCGAATATTGAAAAAGACGTTCCAGATGGTGCGCCTTTCAAGCGCTTCCCGACCTGGATGTGGAGGAACCGAGAGATGCAAGATCTCGTCCACTGGCTACGCGACCGCAACGCTGCTCTACCAAAGACCGAACGCTCAGGCGTATTCGGCCTCGACTTATACAGCATCGGTACATCTCTAGATGCAGTAATCAAATATCTCGATCAGGTTGATCTCGAAATGGCGCAGAAGGCTCGTCGTCGATATGGATGTATTCAGCCGTATGTAGACGAGCCGTCAAGATACGGCCTTGAGTCCCTCCTGTCGCCTGATTTCGAGAATTGCGAAAAGAAGATCATCGCCATGCTTCGCGATCTAATGAAAAAACGCCTTGACTACTCGTCGATGCATGAAGATGGCGAGGAATTCCATAGCGCGGAACAGAATGCACTACTAGTGGCGGACGCAGAGAAGTACTATAAATCTATGTATCATAGGGATGATCCCAGCTGGAATCTGCGCGACAAGCACATGTTTGAGACTCTGGTACGGCTGATGAAATTTAGAGGGGGCAAAGTGATCGTATGGGCTCACAACAGTCATTTGGGAGATGCCAGATACACAGGTATGAGCAAAAGAGGAGAATTGAACCTAGGCCAACTATGCCGCGAGGTATTCGGGGACGAAACTATTATTCTCGGTTGCGGAACCCATACCGGTACTGTTGCAGCAGCTGATAATTGGGGCGGCGACATGGAAGTCATGAATGTTGTCCCGTCTCGGACTGACAGCTGGGAGAGGCAGGCGCATGATACGGGACTTAAAAGTTTCATCTTCAATATTAAAGAGGCGTCATCGAGCGACGAGACTTTGAGGGAGAAACTAATGCAGAAGAAGCTCCAGAGGTTCATTGGGGTCATCTATAGGCCTGATACGGAACTCCAGAGTCACTATAGCAGTGCTATACTCGGGAAGCAGTTCGACGCATACTTGTGGTTTGATGAGACCCATGCGGTCAATGCACTGGAGAAGAAGCAGCCCAAAACACCATTGTCTCTGGAGGAGACTTATCCTTTTGGCGAGTAATTACAATAAGGGTCAACGAGCTCGGAATAAATAACAAAAATGAAATACTTTATTTTTAACAATTCCCTGTCTTCGATGTTGATACCACAATGGTGGCCCCAGAAGTTGTGTTGATATGCAATTAGACACTTGAATGCCGGAGACTTCAATAATTCATCTAGCAGACGAATATATACCTATTAGTACTATACGTGATTTTGATACCTGCTATCTCGACTGCGACTAAAACCCCACCTTCCTACCAGTCTACGTCATAAAGTCCGACGTGGTGTGATGTTTACGGAAAGCCTTACAGGCTCCCGAATATAATTAAACAATAACATACTCGCATATTATTAGGACTATCCGTCCATCTTTAATGAATCCATCTAAGTGCACTAGGCTTAAATTCCGTTTTAGAAGTCAATGTTCAACGAGCTGGGTCACTCAATCCCAGAAGTATTCCAAAAACTTACGCCCCTTCACCAGGATGCCTTTAACACAATCACTGATCCGCTTCGAGGAGGCAATGGAGAAGGTGTACGGGCCATTTGAAAGGATTCCAGGAGATACCATCGCGAAGTGGATTCCACCTCCGAAATCTGGAGGCCATAAAGGCCGCTATCTTTGGACAGATGCCTTCGGCGTCGTCAACTTTCTAACTCTACACCACGAAACATCGTGTACAAGGTATCTTCACCTTGCTAAGTCCCTGGCTGAAAACGTCCACAATATCCTTGGGTGGGAACGCGATGGTAAATCGAGACTCCCTGGGGCCACGGATAAGGAGCCCTTGAAGGGTGGGCTCAGAATCGGCAAAGTTGATGCAACAGGCACAGACGGTGATGGGCAATATCATCATTACTTGACTCTGTGGATGTTCGCCCTAAATCGACTCTCAATTGCTACCAAGGATAAGGAATACAACACAAAAGCTATCACGCTTGCAAAAGCCATCCATCCGCACTTCGTTATCAAGTCCGGAAACACGCCGAGAATGGTGTGGAAAATATCATCAGATATGAAGAAAGTCCTAGTGCCGAGCGAGGGTCATCTTGATGCTGCAACGGGATACGTAGTGTGTCGTTTGTTGCAGGACAGGGACGGAAGCGACACATTGAAAGATGAGATAGCTGATTACAAAGAGGTGATGGAGGAAGAAGGAAAATTAACAGCATCTAAAGACCCTTTGGATTTGGGGATGGCCTTATGGATGTGTCATTTCTTTAGGGAAGAGGAGTGGGCTGCCGATTTAGGGAAGAAGTGCATTTCAAATTCAAGTAAGATAGTACTGGACAACCAACTTTTTATGTGCTAATTGGAAACAGCAATGTTATTGAAAGAAAGGGGAGGGCTTTTCGATCGCCCTCCGTATTCGCGCTTAGCGTTTAGGGAATTTGGTACAACTTTGGGAGTTAAGTGTTTTAGCAGAGACGAATACTTGGACAAAAGAGCAGATGATGTAGTAAAATTTTGGGGTGATGAAATGACCGGGGCTACTCCAGAGGATTTGAAGCCAATTACGCTGGTGATGTATGCTGCGGCATTGATTCCAGGAGGTGAGTGAAAGAATTCCAAGGGCTCAGGAGCAGCGCTGACGAAGAGAAAGCTTTCCGGAAGGGTTATCTTATTGAACCAATAACATGAGTACCTAGGTACCTATCTAGCCAAATCCGTACAGCTTTACGTACGGATTCTCTTTGTAATTAATAGCCAACAAATTCTTGTTCAGCTAGTTCAGTTAGCTGTTTGGATCTGCTCAGTGATATGGCAAGGTAGAGCAATCGTGGGGAGCGCTGTATATATCGAAATGATTTCAGATACAATCCTCAACGAGATCTGATTGGATTTCTAGGAGCCGAAGCGAGGATAATGTTTTCTACTGTAAATGAGGCATTACTAAACGTACCAAGGAGAATTTTTTTGAGTCTGCTTGCAGGATTAGCACTGAAAATATGAAGCGAACTGACGGTTTCGACCTATGTAGGGGGAACGCATCAGGTTCTAATTGTTAGTCCTCCTAGGACACTTTAATGCCACTCCCTTCTGGGAGACGGTATAGAACCAGGGTACACCGAATGAACATCCCACTCTTCTAGGGCTGCCAATGGACATTTGTAGGATAAATTTGTTCAATAGCTGGGCTTTATTTCTAGACTGTGGAGATATCCCAGTTATATCGTAGGACACTGTCATGCTCCAAAAGAACGGGCTGGGGGAAAAACAGGAATATGCTTCCTCGAGTCATCATTCTTGGTGGTGACTATGCCATCACCTCGCCGTTCTTGAGCTCCATCAATTGCGCTTACCCATCCTAGTGATCCGCTTCAATTCTCATCTGGATACATAGAACTCAAAAGTCTTCAATGGATCAACAAGCAAGTTGCCGGTGGCAATCATGCTACATAATTCCACCATGTTTGCTAAGAGGGATTGCTTGCAAATAACAGCAAAACCACGGTAGTATTCGGACAACCTTAAGCAGCCCAGCGACTACGGGAATAACGGATATTGTGGGGACCATTGGCATGAGCGGGAGTATCAAAAAGATTCATAATCGTGCTGGTACTACCAGCCCGGCCTGTGTGTGTGCTTATCTGCCAATCGACATCCACATTCTTGAGCGGGCTTCTAAGACCCCTGGGCTTTAGCAATCAATCCAGGCTGTCATAGTGCAGTTGCACGAGCAATTGACTGTTGTGGCTAGTAGCTAGGCCAGCGCGAGAGTTCCGCACTATTATTATCCCTCCGCGGCGGCCCCGGCGGCATCAACCTCGCTGCAGCCGCTCCGATGCCAATATTAAAATGCCGGACAGACTATGAGGTCATGAGCTTAATATTCAAGAATGGGCTGTTAAACGAAGCGCACGGAAGTTATACTCCGTACCTACCGGTAGGTGCTGTAGGTAGGTAGAGACGAGATGTGGCTGTAAGATTTTAGTCGATGTCAATAATACTTATCAACTCTGCCGATTGTGCCAAGCGAGAATATCCCAGATTTAGGTATTGGGACCTCAACCCACGTGGTCTTCGGGTCGACTTGACCGTTATTATATTAATATTAGTCTGCTCTAGAACGACTATCTACTTGATCTTAGCTACCTACTAGATCCGCGTAGTTGAACAAGCCCAATGATAAACACATCCGAGCACAGCAGCATTGCTCCCTGCAACCGTCGCATTGTGTCCCCGTATCCAGCTCTTGACCTGCTGCGCCCCGATAGAGCCCAGTGCCAGTGCCAGTGCCAGTCCCGGCCTGGCTCCTTCGTACAAGTTTCCCGAACCCGCTGCCCGCCAGGTCGCTGGCGGGAGTTGGGCAACCACAAAATGTCTCGCGATTACCTCGTACATGTCAGACTTTGATTTTCCCCCTTTGATCTGTTCTATTCCACCTCCACCTCCACCTCCATCTTCGTCCTGATCCCTCGACCGCTATCCAGGAGCCTTCAAGAGCCAGTCATCCATCCTCTCGCAAGAGACTTGGCAACTCATGAACTAGCAGCTGCAGAGTATTCCACCAACAAATCTCTTCCAACCCGTCGACTCCAATAACCCCGAAGTGCTAGCCAGCAACATGGCTTCGAATTTCCTTTTCCCAAGTTCTGACGATGTCTGGACTACCCTCGCGAATCCTACTCCCACGCGGCGCTTTCCTAAGGCCCAAGAAACATCGCCTTCCGCTTCGAACCCCGGCCACGATCCTGAGGACAGTCTCTTCGAGCGACTTACTAGTGGATCTAAGGCTGGCGTCGCCATGGCTATTGTCATCGGCGTCGTCGTGGTCATAATACTTTCGGCGTGGTTCTGCTGCAATTGCTGTGGTCTGAGGAAGAGGAGGAACCCTCCGCACAACAACCCCCGGGTCACTAATGTTATGCCGCTACATACGATGCAGAACCGCGTTCCGCCTGTGCCAGTTGCTACACATCCGCCTGGGGAGGCACCTCCACCAGCATATGAAGAAGTAGTGCGGCCTCAACACCCCAGAGTCATGACAGACGTACCGCATACGAGGGAAGAGGATGCCGGAGTGATTTCCGATGGGAAAACGCCTCTGAGCGAGATACCTTTTGAGGATGTTGTTCTTGATCATGCGAGCTCTCAGAGTTCGTCAAGTAGGACGTTTGAGCAGAATCACCACGGGTTTGGCGGAGACACCAGGGGCCATACGAATTCATGAAGGATATGATGTTTGAGGAGATGAGGAAATATTGGGGAAGCAGAAAGCGGCCTCCTCGACCCTTACCGGCGCCATGGCAGGCCTTTCGGAGGCTTGAAGGACGGTGTACGATCGATTAAAGGTCGACAAGATACGATTCTAGGGTGGTGCCGGCACATACCAAATTGACTAATCAGTACTGCTTGGAATGGGTGGCTGGGCTGGTTATGAAAGGAGTGTTGATAACCGGAGTGAAGGAGCCCTATCCCCTAGGTCACGGTGGGGCGAGGCACCGAAACAGCAAGACTAGGAGGCTATCGAATGATATATTTCAAATGAGAGGGACTGTAACATATTAAGGGAAGGGGTTCGCATCCATATAGGCATCTCGACATTCCGAGAGAAATGCCCAGATAATGTCTACTCCAAAAAATACCATACACGCAATACCCATGCCTAAAGTTCCTTAGTCATTGTCCTTTCTGAGCAGAGTGTTTATTCAGCACAATGTTTACGGCTATTTCCCCAGGTTTAGAGGATTAGCAAGCTCCGTTGCCAAAGTTTTGGGGGGGATTGGCACGGCTCGCACAACATTTGAGTGCGTAAGCGTCGCTGTCGCCGAACCCTGCGCCACTTCAAGGTGACGCGTTGTCTCTGCTGCATCACGGTTCTAATTCAACGAAAACAAGGAGAGCCTGCTAATACGTAGAGTTGCAATCGGTAGGTAACCCCAATGCGGTATAACAAAACCGAAGAAATACATCTAGTTACCAGAGCTTTTTGTGAGTAAGATTGAGGGAAGATCTGCGCACTCTGCAGCATTGTCTCGGACACATCCTGTTGTGCTGGACCGATCCTCGAATACATACTACCCAACGACACGACTACCTTCACGACGGGCGACTTTACTACAATGCTAAAGTTGGGGAGGATCCAAAATACCACGAGGGCCTGAGATTCTATGCTCGAAATTAAACAAACTTCTCGATGTTAAAACATTACTTGGAGCGCTCTCCTCGGAGACCCGTTTATGCCTATTTCGCAATTGCCATCTTGCGTGAGACAAACCCGGGGGTCTCTAGGTTGTGCTACCATCAAGTTGCCATCCAACTTAAAACCTACGGGGATATACACAGCTCATAAAGTATCCTACTTGAATTCAGCCATTGGCGTCGTTCGTCTTTGAAGATCTTAGCCACGATAATGTCCCCTTCAAGCCGAAGGATACAATACCGTCCGCCATGCATGTGGAACATAACGATATGTTCCTCTGCTGCAGGAACGGCTGGCGACTCGAAAACTGCATCAAGATGGCTGGGATAGTTCCTACAATATATCTGCAGAGTAAGTGAGTCCAAAATCCCATTCAAGCGAGATTCTCCTCTCTGTTTAGCTTGCCGTCTCTGCGAATGGCTCTATCTCTACCATGCAAGAACGTCCGACTCCAACTCCTCTCTCTTTCCCTCCTACTTTCCTTTGTCCATCTTACAACTACTAGCCCTATCGTCCCCCGCTATCAAAACGGAACATGCACGAAGACAAAAGTGGCGGTCCTCGGTGCAGGCATGGCAGGCATCACAGCCACCCAAACACTGCACAACGCCTCGATCAGAGATTTCATGATCCTAGATGTGAACGATTACATCGGAGGCAGAGTAAAGCACACGACTTTCGGAAATAATGCCGCAACTGGTGAACCATATACCGTCGAGTTAGGCGCGAACTGGGTCCAAGGATTAGGCTCAGAAGGAGGACCGGAAAATCCCATCTGGACGCTGGCGAAGAAGTGGGGATTGCAGAACAAGTACTCGAATTATTCGTCGATTCAGACGTATGATGAGAATGGCGCTACGGATTATGCTGCCCGGCTGGATGATTACGAGAATGCGTATTCCACCGTTGAGCAAGATGCCGGGACGATCCTCACTCAGACCTATCAAGATCGGACTATGAGGACGGGGTTGAGTATCGCGGATTGGAAACCGAAGAAGAATATGCAGAAACAAGCAGCAGAATGGTGGGAGTTTGACTGGGAATATACTTATTCTCCTGACCAGTCTAGTCAGGCATGGGCGGTTGTGGCAAGTCCTCCCTTCGATTCGATAATATCGTCGTTAAATGCTTAGAGTATCAGAACTACAACAAAACATTTTACCAATTCAGCGGGGAGAACAACTACGTCTTCGACCAACGGGGGTTTAACTACTTCATCCAAGCCGAAGCATCCACCTTCCTCACTCCCAACGATACCCGTCTTCACCTCAACGCCAACATAACATCCGTTGCCTGGTCTTCCAACTCGGTAACCATCACCACCGCTGATGGCTCCTGCTTTCAAGCCGACTACGCAATCTGCACCTTCAGCCTAGGCGTCCTCCAAAACGAAGCCGTAGATTTCACACCGGCACTCCCATATTGGAAACAAGAAGGCATTGAAAGTATGCAAATGGGAACATACACCAAAATCTTCCTTCAATTCCCACCATCCCCGGACGGTACATTTTTCTGGGAAAAGGGCGCAGATTCAAACACGCAATTCTTCCTCTACGCCGATCCCATCGAGCGCGGCTGGTACCCCGTTTGGCAGTCACTCTCAGCACCCGGTTTCATCCCCCGCTCGGGTATCTTCTTCGTCACGGTGGTATACGCACAATCCTACCGCGCAGAACACCAATCAGATGATGCGACTAAGGCAGAAGTCATGGCTGCCTTGAGAAACATGTTCGGGAACGATATCCCGGAGCCGCTAGATTTTATGTACCCAAGGTGGAGCATAGAACCCTGGGCTTATGGCAGTTATTCGAATTGGCCCCCCGGACTAAGTCTTGAAACACATCAAAACCTTAGGGCGAATGTGGAGAGGTTGTGGTTTGCGGGGGAGGCTACTAGTGTGGAGTATTTTGGGTTTTTACAAGGTTCGTTTGAATGCTATGTTTATATTGTTTCATTCTTGTTTGCTCACTCTGGCAATAAGAAGAATAAAGGCTAATTCATTACTTGGGATGATTAGGGGCCTACACAGAAGGCCGAATTGTGGGAAATACAATTGCAGACTGCATTAATGAAAACAAGACTGTATGCGAAAACGAGGCTTCCTATCAGGGGCTGTATAATAAGTGAGAGGCACATTTCACAGAAGAACGGGTGGTTGTGGCTGGTTTGATGATAACCCAATTCAAGCTCAGAGAGGTGTAAAGATAATTTTAAAGATCTTGAAATACATCGCAATATTATGCAGTTGTGTATTCCCTTTTCAGCAGCTACTAGATGAGAGTTAAATAAGATTAAAGCCCATATACCAGGAGTGACACGAAGCACAAGAATTCGCGCGAGATTACTTGGATACGGACGAGGAAGGCTGGACCGCTTCCCAGTTAGATTTTAAGATAAGTGCGAACCGAATATAGCCCTTTTAAGCTATTTCTAGAGCGGATGTCCGGAGACAAGACAAGACAAAGGGACAGTTGAGGCAGATTTTGTCTTTTTTGAGAGCCCTAAGATATATACTAACTCCAATACCTACCGTAAATTGAGCTTTTGGCAATCATAAAGCTTCAAGCTATCGACCATTCCCAATTTCACCGCAGCAAGAAGGCTTGAATGGAAGAAGATATATTGCCTTGCGACTTGAGTATTGCACGTAAAGTAAATCCCGAAAACATGGCCTGGCATGGCCTGAGTTGGAGACGGGCACTGCATAGGCTCTGTAGTACACTTGGAGGTTGGTGCTACTTTGCATGTATTGATTCAGCTATCACCCAACCACCTAATAGGGGGGAGAAAGCGGCACGGCGGGACCGGGACGTTCCACGGGCGTCTTTCCCGCCAACCAGCGCCACTCGTACGGCGGCAACTAAGACTAGACCAGCATCCCCGATATTCGGCGGTGTGATAAACAAAACCATTATTGTTGGATTGGAAGATTTGACTGGTCCCTCTCTGTTTCCATTAACGGGAAAGGAGTGCACAGAATCGTGAAGTGATCGGGGAGCGAATCATTCACGTGACACTCCCAACCCCCCTTGAGGTGCAGATGCAGATGCAGATAGATGCAGTGAGCGTGCGCAGGCTGAATAGATTCTTCAAGTGCCTTGGGCGGGTGACCTGCTACTCCAAGTCAGTTGAGACACTCGACTTCGACTTCCAATTCAATTGGCATTTGGCATTTCGCAAATGTAGCTGCTTCTCTTGCTTTTGAGGAGAAGGAGGCTGGGCAATACGGAAGGTGTGAGTAACCACGGCTATTGGTTTGGCTGGTATCGTCCATACGGTGTGGAAGCGCTTTGCTCTCTTTTGCTTTGCTTTTGACTTCCGCTCTTTGCCCCTCTCCTGTATCTTGTCAGTTTTTCCCCTTGGTTTTGATCTATCGGCTTTTCCTCTTCCCCCTCCCCCCTAGCAAGCGTGACGCTATTGCAGCTTCTGGCCATGTTCTGTTCTCGGCGATGCCTCGGATGGCGATGGTGGCATAGCTGATTCGCTGCTCAGCTGCTGTAACCTGACTTCTATTGCATGCGACTCATGCAGCCGCTCCTACTGGCCTGCTCCAACGTGGGACTTGAGACGAGCAAAGAGTCGATTTGCATCCTGCTCGGCGTGTTGCAACGTTTGATTCGAGCATCGCCGCCAAATCCCAAGGCCGGGAACAGAGTCCCCCGCCCAATCAGGCCGTGAGTTGGGTGCTTCACTGGCACCAGAGCCCTCCGTAAAGTCGTAGACAGTGAGATATATGGTTGGTTTGGTTTGGTTTAGTTGTGCTCTGTACCTGGTACCTTCGTAGCGTAGTCTCCAGCGAGTCCAGTCTGCTCCCAGGGCCAGATCTTCCTTCCGTCATTTGCTCCCCAGCCCTTCAACATCCCCGAATTACGAGTGCAAACCTCCCGGTCCTTCGCGCTGGACTACTCGAATCGCATTGCAGTTGTCGCCAGTGGGCCCCATCGACAGAGACAGTCACAGAGGTGCACCGTGGTCTTGTATACGTGTACCTGACGTCGGGAGGCTGGGTGCCGCCGTGAGGTAGCCTGAGTGCCGTTTCGTTCAGTCTTGGTTGGCGCCGCCTTGGTTGGTACCAGTGCAGAACACACTGGACTGTACCCTCAGTACTCTTCAACCTCCAGCGCCATCGCATCTCCTGAGCTCGTCCGTCGCATTACACCTCCCCTCCGTCCTCACCTTTGTAACCTCTTCTATCCTCCCTCTGGCTCGAGAACGCCCCGTCTCAACTGAACGACCGCGATTTTCCTGTTCCTGCCATCGCCCTGTACCCTCCCGCCTGTTGCCTCCACCTTCTCGCTTCCCGACGTTGCGAGTCTTGCGAGATCGAGGCCCGGCGACATTGAAGGCCTTCGATGAGCCCGACCGTCAACGAGGCAGTCGAAGACACCTACAACTACAACCGAGCATTCGATCCACGCGAGCTGCGGTAATGCTCCGATGAGCTGTGAGGTGATGACTGCTGGAAGTGCGCTCACCACTTGACAACTGGGTGGCGAACGATCAACCGTTCAGCTCTGTTTCCCAGGATTCGCAGTGCAATCAGCGTGGATGCTTCTCACACAGACCAATACGAACTGGCACAGGATGCCGGCCCGGGAGCTGGCAAGCGCTTTCGATGCTCCGAATGGGGTTCAGCGAGTGAGTACGACATTACTGAAGAAGCACAAGATCCTGCCTCATCCCCGGGAGGAACGTATGACAGAGGTCTACCCCTCGACCCCGGCAGCGAGGTCCCGAGATCTGGTGATAGATACGGGAGCATCGATATCGATATCCAAGTCAGATACGTCGAGCCCACGCACGTTAAAGCACACATCTAGAAGAATTGGCGATCTGCCTCCAACTCCCCCAACCCATTCGCGGCAGTCGTCAGGGAGTCATCCGGCCGCTGCCACTGCTACTGCCACTGTTACTGTTACCACTCCTGCTACCGCGAACCAGTATGATATTCCGGCTACCAAGAACAATCCGGATATCCGATCGGTGCCTACCACACCACCGAATCAAAGAAGCCCGCCGACTCCAGATGTTACCCCTCCACGAGCGATGCTCCTAGCAATTCGTCCTCGCGCAATCGATCGATACCCCTCTTCGCGCGCGGATTCTTTCAAGACGGCTCGAGAAAATCCATATTCGTCAGATGAAGATGAGAGATCAACGGCACGGCCAGTTCTACCTTCCGCAAAACCATCGGCGATGGCAGTCACGCGGCTTCTAGAGAAACGTCGGAGGCGGAAAGAGATTGGGTTGGGTCTGGGGCTCGAATCTGACAATGAAGGTGCGACAACGCCTAGGGCGCATGCAGATTCTCCGCTAGAAGAATTTCATGTCTTTGATGGAGAATGGGCATCTGAATCAAACGAAGTGGAGCGGGAATGGGACGACAATCTCATGAGGAATGTCACTGTGCGGAAGAGACCTGGCCGGGTGCTGGATATGTTTACGGATGGCGCCGCAGATGAGGTTGTGGAGGATGATATTGTCTCACCAACCCAAGCTACAAAGGTCGTTCGAAGCTTACCGCTACAAGAAAGAATATCGCGACATCGAAAACAAAAAGAAGCCACGGAGAAGGCATCGATTGAGAAAAGGAGAGAACGTGTTCCTTCGGTCGCTGGCCTAGAATCCCCCGACAGCTTTGACATCAGACGATTTTCAACCATGTCAGGACGTTCAATTGCATCAACTGTTGTGGAAGCGATGGTAGTTGAGGCACCCCCAACTCGGACAAGGACGTTGAGGCATACCAAGAAACAAATTGGCCTTAGAGATGTTGGTTCAGACCAGTCGACCGTGAGCTCTGCACCAAATTCAGTGGTTTCAAGCGAACCACATCGTCTACATCACGCAGCTGGGAGGATTCCTGAGCAACGGCACCGAAGTCTGGCTTCCAACACAACCGTGACTACGGCATCCTCCAGTGGGAAATCCCGTCGAACCGTTCTGAAAAATGGTGGTATTCCTGTGGTTGTCATCCCAGACCGACATTCGTCAACAAAATCGTCGAAAGCCCCGTCGTTGCGATCAACAAGTAGCCGCAGGACCAAACGGAGCATGTCTCTCAATTCAGCACCCCTTTCTAGCTCGTCTAAATTCAATGATCCTGGATATTTTGATTCTCTTCCACGCCGGAATCGAACTATGTCAGAATCTGCTGGATCTGGAGATTCAGTACGGACAATTGACTATCCACCGAATGTTCCAGCCCGACGATCGTCTCTTTCAGCCCCAACAAGCCGCAACACCTCCAGAGCTGCTTCATTGACTACCGAGAGCCTGAAGGCCCATAATCTCTTGCAACCGGAAATCCCAAAACAGCCCGAGTTAGTACGTCTACAAAGCCGTTTATCTGCCGAATCACACAAGGATTTGGGAAATCATAGTCCTCACTTGAATGTGGACCATAATGGAGACCCCTTCTTCGGGAAGCGATTATCAGCACAAGTGACTCCATTCTCGCAGTTTTCGTATGACACTGCAGGGACGACCGCTGAAGTCTCGGAAGCTATGGCTGTGTCCATATACCCCCACCAGAACAAGTCATTGCTCGTTGTCCAACAAATGGCCTCTTTGGACAATTCGCCCCGTGCTCTAGGAACTGCTGGGAGTTCTCAACCAACGCCGCCTACAATGATGCTAAATGACCAAGCTACCACCGTCCCTGTCACGCCTCCACAGCCTACTCACCCTATGGACGAAATCGACTCGCCGCTCCGAAATCCACGTGTGCCACCAGCACCGCCGGCGATTAAGTTTATCCCAGCCACACCGTCTGGGCTTACACCGGGAGCGGAGGAGGAGAAGCAATTGGGATATGACGTCGACTTTGATGAACGACCTACTACCTCCGACAACAAACCAACGCGGGGTATGTCGTTAATGCGTCGAGCGTTCAGGAACCGCCGAAACTCAGAACCTGCCATACTCCTTGGCCCAGGACTCCTGAAGCGAACCTTTTCTCTGAGCAATCGCCGAAGAGAGTTAGTGGACGAGTCTACGCAAACGTCCCGAGGCGGTGCAAATCCTAGCACAATTTATCCTTCTGTGGCAGATCGACCAGCCGATGGAAGCAGACTACATCCGTTCTGGAGACCTTCCCATTTTTGGGACGACCTAGAAGATGAAGGATTTGCTGACGATGAACTTGTTGGTGGCTATCCCAAGATCGATAATAGACCTGCCCCTCCGAAACGAAGTTTGAGTGGAAAACTCAAACGTACTTTCGCCATCCTACCCATTCAGGATGAGTACGAGCGGCCACAGTATGCTAATGAGCGGCGAACGATGCGCAAAAGCACTAGTGGCAATCTCCGGGTCGTGAAACAGGGGAGCAATTCGAGTTTCAGCAGCTCAGATAGGCGGGCGTATGCCGTAGCAAAGGCGCAGAGAAAGTCTGCGAAGGGAGGTCAAACAATCCCTGGTCTTGGTATCCGCGTTGAATATGGTGGTTGGAGCGGATTAAAGAACAAGTTGCGCGAGAGACGGAGAGAGCAGAGGAACCAGAAGTTGCGGGCTAGTATTAGCCATCCAAAGGCTGTTCAGAGCGGCGTGGACGACGTTCTAAGGAGGCGTCGAAGCCGGAGCCTGAGCCGGAGTCAAATTTGATCTGCTCTGCACCAGATCGATCCACGGAGGGCTGGATCCATGAGAAACATAGGAACGGATTGTATCATCACGGAACAAGGAGCAAATCCAAATGGAACTGGAGGTGGCATTTTTCTGCATCACAGCGCACCCACTTGTACTTTTTTACACAGATATGACATTTCGCTAGCATAGCGGGTCAAGCGACGGGGGTTATCTTAGCTTCATACTTTGTTGTTTACATAGGGAATTTTGGGTGGTCCTTGGGAGGAGGTACCTCCCTTTTACGAAGAAACGATTGCTTATGAATATACGCTGTCCTATACGCTATACAAATGAATGGAACGCTTTTATCAAAATATCTCATGAATCTTGTTCATGTAGCCTCTTAGCCAGGTTGTTGGTCTATATGAATAAGGTATATATGATTGCTGATGAATATGTTTGGCATTAGAGGCTTGAGTTTACGTACCTACCTAGGTAGGTAAGTTAGTTCTATTCTTAAGGCTGATATTGCAGTACTATTAGACACACTAAACCGCTTCGAATTTCACTATCAGTCTACTCTACTGATCAACGGCTTTCATTACAAAGAAATTCAAAATATATATTATATTAAAACTTCTATCTCCTTTCTTTCCGTCTACGCTCGAATCAAAACGAACTCTCCAACCGTCGCCCCATCCCCATCATCCTCCCAACATCCCTCAACCTCTAACCTCGCAAACATCCCACTCCACGCCCCGCCCGCAACCTTAATCGTCGTCGTATTCCCCGTACCAGGGACGACATCTAGACTACTCGCCGCCGCCTCCGTCTCATTATACGGCATGCTTGGGGTAATATCATTAATGGTGATAACGTCCTCGGTTCCATAAAGTTGCGTCCCGTCTGTAGTGTTGCCTAGATACACGACCGCGGACTTGGGTGGACGCGTGCCCCAGTCGAAAAATATTCCTGAGATCGGGGAGGAGGGGATACCGGTCATGTTTACGAGGATGGATGCGGAGGAGTTGGTGGACGGTTGCCAGCGTGTAGATGTTGCACCGTCTATGGCGGAGTTGGGGAATTGGCCTTGTGCGTGGGGGTCGGAGCTGGTTACGGGGAGGCATTGGAGAAGGTTGTTTTCGTTGGTCAGCTTTTCCCAGTACATTCTGTTGTCGACTGTGATGGTTTGGTTGATGGCGAGTGAGTAAGGCGTGCTGGGGGAGCTGGGGGAGTTGGGCTTGCCGACTATGAATGGGAGCGTGGCGTCCGCGTAGAGATCTTCGAGGCCGACTGAGGGGGACGTTGCGCGGCGAGTTATAGTTGTGTGGGTTCTGTTGATGCTTGCTTCGAGGGTTGCGCCGGCGAAGTAGATGGTTCGAACTTTGATATGAGGGATCTGAGGGGGGAGGGACGGATTGAGGTATAAAACAGGTTGGTCGGTCCTGATCCCTAAGAAGCCGAATGGGACGACTTGGTTGGCACCACCGTGGCCTGTGAGGAACGGAAACGCAGGATTGGTACCGCCATTTATGGAGACATCATCCACTTCTTGTTCCGAGAACTGGAACCAAGGTGCTCGGAGATATGGGAGGAACCCATTCAGCGTATAGCTATAAGCTGAGCAACCCGAAGGAGATAGTGCATTTGCATTGATGGCGAATATGGAATATGTCATGGCGGGACCGTCTGGAGATTGTCTATTCGCATAGTAATCTAGATCAAGGAGCTTGTCGGCTTCGGTGTAGTTCTGGCCATAGTCTAGCGGGTAAGCCAAAAGTACGATATCTGCTTGCTTGACTGCCACGGAGTTGTTCATTCCAGGGTATTCAAGAGTGATATTCGATGGGGCGCTGGGGAAGGCGATGCCCGCAGCTTGGAGGCCCCACGTCTCGTTGATGGGTAACCCTTCGGTCACTCGAAGTGCGTTGACCTGCTCCAGTAATTCGGCGGCAGACCCAAGGGTGAACGCTCCGTTGTCGATATTGTTCTGCGTTTGTTGTCAGCAAAATACAACAGTGGAATTATCCGTGAGATTCCCTTTAGAAGGGATGAAGGAGGCACATGATGGTGGGATACAAATGCAATGCCAAGGAGACAAAACACGAGGCAACACTTTACGACTTTCCACTTTCATAATGAGATGGAGATTAAATAAATTAGATCCCTCGACTATCCATAATGGCCAATACGAAACGAAGTTAAAAGAATCCAAATAGGAACTTACCGCGTACTCGTCTGGGTCCGTCATATTATGAATCCAGTAAGTCTTCGTCGTCTCGTTATACTGCAATAGATGAGACGTCATGATAGCCGCACTTTCAATAATCTGTCGAGGCCCATTGTCAAACCACGTCTTATTGTTCGTGACATTATACTGCTGGAGCAGATTGAAAGCAATGTCATGGTTGAGATGATATTGATAGTCGACACAGGGGCCCGTGCCGGTACAATTGCCATATCGCCCAGATGTCCAGGAGTAGAGCGCGCTGCCATTCGGATAGTTGTTGAACGCAGCATTGGCCATGGCTTGTTCATGCTGCTTGATGCGGTAGTTGCTGATTTGCTTGCTCCAATTAGGATAGGCAAGATTAAGACCCGGTGCCATCCAGTAATCTGCATCCCAGAATACAAGACCAGCGTACGAATCGGATACGAGTCCGCCAACGGAGATGCTGTTATCGTTGAGTCCAGTTCCATCAGGCTGCATACTCTGAAGGAGGTAATAGGTGTTTGCGACGGAGGTAATGTGCAGAATTTGGACGTTCAAGTCTGTAGGCAACTCTCCGGTAACTGGATCAGAGAAGTCGTCCACAGAATCCTTGGTCATGATTTTGGCCCACGCTTCAGTGTGTTCTTTGAGCAATGCGTCCCAACCTTCGCCTTGGGCATCAGATTGAGCTTGACGAGCGACATCCTCAGCCTCAGGGAACTTGTCATTCGAAGCTGCGCCCACGTATTTGTAGAATGTGGCAGTCTCTCCTTTCTTCAGGGAAATGTCAAAAGTCTGACCGATTGTTGTATCATTGGAGCTAATGTATGCTCCGGTTGCTTCCGCTCTAGAAGAGGTATTCGTATACGAATTTGTGACATCGACTCCGGAGACAATGTATGCGGTAACATTAGCCAGACCGTTGGGGTGGACCGAGGAGTGAACAGTTCCGTTCTGATCCAGTCCCTTTTTATCTAGATATGAACGCGCAGCACTTCGACCGTCCAGGAGATCCGTAACAGTTCCCTTTATGTCACTAGTAGGTGTGATGGTTGCCTTCACAGCTATGACATTTGGTCTCTTTCTGCTGAAGATGGCAGCATACGAGACATTGAATGACGCTGCACCATTCTCAGGGGTCCAAGTATACGACCATTCACCCACGCCGGTCTGGAATGATATTTTGGAAGCAAAGTTTGAAATGGTCGTTTTCTTGACTGTAGCATCGAGATAATTGTCTCCAAATGCGAAGATCAGGGCCGTAGGGTGGGGAATTCCGGCAATGAGACTTTCCCAGCCATATTGATTCAGCCATGGATAGTTCGTTCCGGAGGCATTGGGTTGCACATTGTAGAAACCAGAGATGGTCGAAAAGGAAATCCTGGAATCATAAAGTGGCCATCCGTTTATAGGCTGTATTCCAGAGGGATCAGTCTGATTGACATCTATCTCGAAGAATGGACCAGCGGCAGCGAGTGATGCTCCCACGTATCTAATTTATCGTCAGGAATGTTGCCATTTTGTAATTAAAAACAAGGCATGGACTCAGAACCTACCCGTTTGCTAGAGACAGGCGCGATTGGTACTGCCCTGGAGTAAACCTCGTCGTCGTCAAAGACCAATCGGCCTGACTCCATTGATAATTATCGGTGGATGTGACGGAGAAGTCATCTTGTGCTCGAGTCTGAAAACTCGTTAGCAGCACTGTCAACAAGCACTGGAGTATGAACCGCATTGTATTGTGGCTCGCAGTGTACTGGATGTTTTGTTGGGAAATGGACTGCTTGCCTAAATAATCCTTCTGGTCCCCGGCTATAGGTTTGTATTTATTGACCTCCGGAAGCTGGGATGCCGAGTCCGGGGTTGCAATAATGGATGTTATCTATAGCTTTTTTTTCCCTTTCGTACTCCATGATGACGCACTGTTCAGACCCTGGGGTCAAAGAGCGACCGCCAACTGTCTGCATAGAGAATCAGGGAATCATGCAGCAGGGTCAGCCGTGGAGGAATGTTGCCCCTGCTCGGGCCCTGTTTCCCTTGGCCAACATAATTAGTTAGGGCCACTAGCATTTGAAGTCTACTAGCAAAACAAGCATAGAAGCATACCAGCACCATTATACCATCTTAACCGGAAAGTTTATAGCTATAAGGCTGATTGATGCCAGCGCGATTGCGAGTCCTCATTTATCCCAACTAAGCTTATCTTGGTTACACGCTCTGGCTATGTCTTAGACGGTGCAATATTTTACGGTAGACAGCGTCCATGAACTGCGTAGAGTTGTAGAGTCGTAGAGTCGTGCTTTTACCTGCCCGCCACAAGTGCCACCAACCCCGCATTATCGACTTCCCCGCGGGCCGTGAATAAGCTTCAGCCTTCAAAAGCCCAACGTTCTCCTCCGCACGAGTCACGAAAGCCCTCTTATTTGTCGGCCCTTCTTAACGCCGCTGATGCAAGTCCTGCTTGGCCGAGCGGGTACCTCCGTGTGCTATACAGTCCATTCTAGCTTATAATAGTTATCTCGTAATAATACTTTTCCTTGTCAATTGAGTTGGCCAACTGTAGCCCGATCTACACAGGGCTCACCGTCTTTATAATACCTCGGGCCTGCAGCAAACACCAGAGAGGAAGGTGATAGAGAGGGCTAGGCATATAGTACCTACTTAGGCACGGACTGCCTACGACGTATAGCACTGCACCTACGAAGTAGTCCTTAAGTGCCTACGAAGTACCGACCTAAGTATGCCTACGGACTACTCCGCGAAAATCGGCCCGGTATAAAATCAAAGATCTGCGCCTTCTCCACAACAGCCCCAGCACTCTTTGCAAAAGCTAAAATTCGTCGGGTCGTCTTCAAGATAATATCTCAAATCCCGCAACCCAAATATGCGGTATTCCTTGCTACCCGCTATCAATAAATTCAAAAACCCTGCAATAGCCTATACCTAGGGGAAAAGGGAAGCAAAATATGGGAATACATGGAGTTTCTCCGGACTATTCTCCTTCCTGCCAATTACGGATTTGAGCTACGACTTCTTTGTGATTGGATCGGCATCTTAGTAGCTAGGGGGAGCAAGGTCCAGAATATGACCCCGTCAGTACCCACGGGAATACTGGGGTTCACAGGGCGGAGGGCGGTAGGTGATCACCATGACCTGCAGGTTCGGGCACGAGGTCGGCTTTGAACTCGAATATAAATATGTGGGCAGTGACCTTTTTTCTTGGAGTCCCCACGTAGCTACAGTAGGGCCGATGTCATAACTGAGCCTTGGAGAGATAAAGGCAAGACAAACCCCGCCGAGAAGCAGAGCAGTTTTGGGGCTTGGAAGGTGGAGTTAGGATTCCTGCGGGTTGTTAAGCATGCATAAAACGCTTCTAGACCAATTCGTTCCCAAGCTTGACCAAGACGACTCTCCTACAATTGGCCAATCATAGACATGTCTTTGCCCTGTTGTCAAGCCAGCTTCACCGAATAGCCTGGTTGCACGAGCACGATTTCCAGTAAGAGGGCAACGTAAATGCTCATAATGTACTCGAATTTCATTTATACTACCTCATAGATCTAGCACTTATTGTGCCCCACGCATCGGGACTATGCCGACCGTTTTGCCAACCACCAATGTCAATGTTTACACTTTCCCGACTGATATGTCTAGCTCCGTTTGGAGGGGGAAATGGCGCCATATTCCCCCCAGATTCAGCACCTGGACTTTGTGCTCCTCCTCCTCCTCCTCCGTTTGTCATAAATGGGTTTCTATTCCCTGCTATTTGGGCCGCGAGTGGATTCGAAGCACTTAACACTTGTTGCTGAGGTACGGCAGCTGCAGGATTGCTGGGTGGGTATTGGGCCTGCCCGGGATCTTGCTGCTGCTGTTGTTGTTGCACAGGTGTTGGTGCTAATTGAGGGAAGTTGTATAAATCAAGAATACTGCGTTTATCTGGCCTAGCAGTCTGTTGAGACAACAAGGGATGGGTTTGCTGCGGGAACTGCTGGTACTGCTGTTGTTGCTGCTGCTGATAGCCTTGATGTTGCTGGGGCTGCTGTGGAAACTGGTTGCCTTGCAGGAAAGGATTCGACCCTGTTTGCGGTTGATTTTGCTGACCATAATAACTTGAAACCATGGATGGCTGCTGCGGCGATTGCTCTACGGGGCTTTGGTAATAACTCGGGGTCCCCGGAAGTGATCGTTTAAGGAAAGGGTTGCTTTGGAAATTGGTGTTGAGGGTTGGTGCCTGGACCGACTGCTGCTGCTGTAGGAAGGGGTTGTAGTTAGAGCTTTGAACTTGCTGCTGCTGCTGTTGTGCGGAGTTTTCGTAAATAATCGGGGGGTAGTATTGTTGCGGTAGAGAAGGGACAGGAGGTGTCATGGATTGTTGATAGAGTTGTTGGTGTTGCGGCTGTTGGGGACTCGGACCGGGAAAACCGCCGGTGTGATTTGGGAATAGAGGTTGTGAAGAGGAAATATCCATGTTTTGGAACGTTTGAGTCAGGTTTACTTGCGATTGAGAAGGCATCAGTCCAAACGGATTCGAATTGGAAGCTTGCTGGAACGGGTTGTTTCCTGCTATGGGACTTTGCGGTAGGGCTTTGAATTCCGCGGCTTGAGAAGCTTGTGGTTTCGCGGGTGGAGGTGGAGGCAGCGCATCGAGCATATCAAATGGATTAGTCGATGCTCTGGGCGGAGACTTCTCCCTTGCCCGCCCTATCGATATTCCAGCTGTTGGTCTTATTGGTGGCCGGGAACCAGAGGAGGGTCCTGAGGTGTCTCCAGCCTTCGCCCCCCCTCCAGATCCGTTGCCTTCTCCAAGCCGGACGAGCGTTTCGATAGATTTCTCTAGATTACCTGAAAGTCCCTTCAGTACAGCTACATTTCTATGCTCGTCCTTGAATCCCATATCGCGTAAAGTCGACAGTTTCCCGTCCAGGTCATCTTGGGCTTCATGAGCCATAGATGCTCCAAATACTCGGGAGGGCTTACTCCTCGGGGGAGAGGGCGATCGCCGGTGTGCCGAATCGAAATGTGTTGGTGCCGCATTTTGCTTGGATTTGGAAGACAGTGGGAATATCGAGGAGGCAGATCTGAATCCGAATCTGCCACCGGTCTTCGGTGGAAGAGGCGGGGGCTCATCCGAGCCTGTACTCCTCCCAGTATTATGCCGTACAGGAGCCTGAACAACAGTCTCCTGGTACTTCTGTCTAATAAACCTTTCCATCGCAGAGTCCGCTTCGTCGGCATCGATTGGGATAGGAGGCCGGGAGTTCTTAGGGTTGTATGTTCGGTTTGACGCGACGTTGCCGACACGCTTCATGTTCTGTCGAAAATGGGATCAGATACCGTACAACACGTACAGGGTATTATATTTGCATACCTCGACTTGTTCATTGGACCAAGAATCCATGCTTAGGGACTTGACCTTCGTTATGTGTGTACCCATTTTACGATGCAGGGCGGCGCATCGCATGCACAGAAATATTCCTAGCTAGTAAGAGTAAGTACAGGCCCAACTGTGTTTGTATCGGTCGTGGATCGGAAGAGCTTACACTCCAACTGGCCCATCCTGTCGAGCTTCGTTAGCACAGTCGCAAGGAGAACGAGGCTGCTCGGGTCGAATCTCTCTCACCTGGATTCCTTGCCTGGCAATCTGCGCAGACATTGTTTCCCGGCACCGACTTTAAAAGATCCTGAAGGGTGCGCTCATTGCGCGCCTGCTGCCGCTTGCTCAATGCTCCCGACATGGTGAACCAGCGACCCGGCAGGTAGGGAAGAAAGAAAAGAGTAATTAATTAGAACAGAAGACGTCGATGTCGATGTGGATAATAATGCTGGTAATGCTCGTGGTGCCGGTGGGACAGGTGGGATGTCAAATAGAGGTTGGAGGGCGGTGGTGGAAGAGGAGGCTGCGGCGCATATAGTAGCAGCTTGTGCTTTACCTCCCTATACACAACTTCCAGGAGAAGCAGAATGTATGTACAGTACAGGATACTTGTGAACCGAACGAGGTCGTCTAATCGTCACTCATGAAGGCGCAAGGTGGGCAAATATCCATTATTGCGCAAAGCAGTCGGGAAAAGGAGAGTGTTAGGTGCTTAGTGAGAGGTAGGAGTGGAGGTGGTCGCGGTGGATGTGGTGTGGCGTGTGTTGTGTTCGTCCCCTTTCTCCATCTTGGCAGAAAGAATTGATGTCCATTCGAGCTATTATCCACGACCAAGGGCACTTAGTATGCGGGATGGCCGCTAAAGCCTCTCTTCTCAGGGGCGGCCCCATGTCCGCAAATCCTTTCATCTGCATCTGGACTCTTCGAAATGGTCTACGAGATGATCCATGCTACGAAGTATTGAGTGCCAATTTGGGGGCCTGGATCTGCTTTAACCCAAATCTCAAATCCTAAATATATCTCGTTTCTTCAACTCAGTGTGCTAATAAGAGCGGCCTTCAAAAGCGGGACATTCTCATCAAAGCGCACGACCGGCTACTGCGGCCTTAGTCAACGCTGTCAAGTTGGTTGCTTATCGTCCCCCTTTTTCTTATCTCTATTCGCCTATTTGGCAGCCGACGGTTCCGGGTTCTCAAAATTGATTTAGGGGTGAATAGTTTCATTTTGGCTTTTTCTATATCGTTATTCCTCACTTCATCTCCTGTCTGAAGGCTTCTCGTTACATACCTACCTAGGTAGGTAGATACAACTTTAATCTTACACAGAAAACAAGGATACGTTGAAATTTATAATGTTTTTACCTCGTACTTGAGCAATTCAATTTCAGGGGCACGCAACGTCCAATGTTCCAAGTGGAAGCCGCAGCGCCTCATTCGGACGATAGCGAAGTCGATCCAAGTGATTCGCACACCTATTCTCATGCTATAGCCTGTGGCAAGGGAATTTTACCGTAGGCTAAAGATTCTAAAGAGAAGGGAAAGACTTAATTAAAATATAAAAGAAGCGCAACAGGCCAGAAGAATACAGCAACAAGTGTTCGCCAAAATCCAAGAGCGTCTATTGGACAAAACCAGTGTGAATTACCCTCTGGAAGTCCCACGAATCCGTTTCGTATTAGCTTCCTGATACCATCTTGAACAGGGATTACTTGGAATATGGTTTGACGGGGAGTTTCAATTTTCCCCAGATAATCCTAAGGTTACTATTATGCTGATAGCCCAATGCTTCTCCTCCGCGGTAAGAGAAAGTTGCGCAAATGGAGATCTGCCTAATATGAGCACATGTGGTAACCAACCTCGGGTGAAAGTACGACATATATTTACCTTGATGGCATACACTGTTTCCATGCAAATGGGACAGTCCCAAGATGGGCTGGGCGGCTGCGGACCTAGCAGCGCCCCTCAAGGACATTAAGCTTACGTTGCCCCCCTTAGGCTTGGAAATGGTATAGCCAGCAAGCTCCGCGACCAAACACTGGTGTTGGCCGTTGGGGCCATCAAACGAGAATTGGTCAAAGAGGGGTGGAATAAATTGCTTTCCGGCGTGAGCTGGGTTGCCCTTTATCAGAAAACGAAGAATCTCACTGTTCTTCGATATATATAGGCTCTCGTAGCCGGAATATTTAGTGATACAAAGCGTCCGCGGTGTTGGTCACTGGCGAGCCAAATTGTTGTATATCCATTCTTTCAATTTCGCGGCGGATGTGATGGACCAGCCATGAAATGGATGCATGGAAATGGATGTGCTGGGCGAGGCACTTTAGTGACAGTCGGACTCCACCGTCGATGGAAATCCGTGGGAAAATCGGTGCTGGTTCCGTCGATAAAGTCGTGTGACTTGAGAAAATAATGATTTGATTCCATTGATAGGATACAATCTCCAGCTGGCGTCCATGGCCGTTCATGTCCTGTTTACAGGGGTAGTATGGCGCATCATTGGACCCATTTGTTGGTAACACCCTTCGACAGCCACTAGCAGCCATTGCCCATTTATGTCTCTGGTACTTTGTATCGCCGTTCCATATAATTCCCTATATAATGTATCAGATAGTAGCCGTTTGTGTCTGAAAAGAGGGGTAAGGAACAAACGGGCCTCAGGATGAGCTGGTGAATTACTCGCCCTAGGTAACGACAAACAGCGTGAGTGACTTTGTTGACAAGTTCCTCATCAGGGTCAGATAAACAACTTCACACCTTGTGTGTTAGCAAAGCCTCATTCCAACACACTTCTACATCCAAAACCTTGAAATACCGCTCTCTAAGGATGGAGACGCCCCAGACGCCCTCAACAGCGCCTCCAAGCTGCTTCACCTGCCACAAACTCCCAGCTGAGCTGCCACAGCCCCTCAAACGCTGCGCAAAATGCCAAAAGGCGTTCTACTGCTCCCAAGAATGCCAGAAGCAAGACTGGAAGAATCATAAACGCCTCTGCGCCGCCCCATCAACCTTGAATCAGAGCTCTACTGCTCCCAGCCCTTCTCAGCAGTCTACAGGACCACACAACCCCGGCTTTGAAGCTGTGAACCGAATCCTCGGTCTCTCTAACAACACCTATTTGCACGACCTTCCAGAGAAAGAGGCCTTCGCTCAGCTGATCGATTGCTACAGATTGAGAGTAGAAGATGACTACGTGTTTACCGGGGACGTCAGCATGAGTAGCCTTTATGGTGGGGGGGACCCAGTCCGTCCGTTCAACCGCTTCTTGGATCTCGCTGAGTCTAGATCGGGAGTGTTGCCACCTTGGTGGAATGCGGAGAAAAGACAGGAGTGTTTGAGGATGTCCGTAGACCCGCACCAGTTCAGCAACATCAACTGTGCTATAGAGAAGTCAGATATTCAGGAACATTACAAGAACAATGCTATGCCGATGTTGCTACGAGTACTGGGGGAGAAGATCTATGGGAAGGGTTTCATGTAGAAGTGAAACTTGGAAGTCGTTTCGGTTGGCTTTGGGTTGGCTGGTGACTGGTGCAGGATGTGTGTGAAACCAAGGTCCTCAAGAAAGCACCGCCGGTGGTAGTAGAATCAGCAATAATGGTACTGCCTGTCAATAATATCGTGCCAATTCCCTACTGCTAGGTATATAGCGCTGCTGCTCTGTATACCCTCCCCATTGGCAGCTCTATGCATTTAATTAATGGGTTGGCCAGTCCTCGCCCTAGAATTCTCAAGGGGGCAATCGCCGTACATAGGGTTGATGGGGTTTCCAGATGGTAGGAAATTCCTCAATACCAGCGGGGCTTCTAGGACCGAAGAACGAATTTATTAGCTGGCCTTCAAAAAAGACTGGAGAGTGAAGCCGTTATCTGATGGAGGCGGGGCTCTTTAATACGTACGATTGTTAGATATTGTTAATTTAAATCTAAATGCATTAGCGTCAAATATTCAAGTTGACTGGGCAACCCGGAGTGAGTAGCACGGACAATACTTGAGTAAACTTGTAGCGTCTTGAGAACGTAAATCCCATTGATTAGCTGGAGGTACAATGTCAATGCCGTGAGCCCATTAGTCAACGACCACATAACTCAGCAAGAATATCTCGGGGCCTCGTTCAACGTAAACATATTGTATTAATCCCATCATCGTAGCACACAGATGCTAGACACTAGGCCACATCATTCTTTTATACCGTAGCCAAATCATAAACCCATATTCTCATGTAACGCCAGCAAACCCAGTCCATATGAACGACACCTCTCTTTTTAAGGAGCTCTTCCCAGAGGTATCCCGTTTCCGTATATTGCCAACCCACCTGCAGAAGGCGGGGGAAAAAATGTTCTAAAAAGAGGTGCAAAAAATTCGAACAAGCACTGAAGGTGTGCGTAGAACTATAGAAAAGCAAAGAGGAAATTCTGAACATTACACACACATCGAGATGCGCTATTAGATGGGGGTATCTCAATGACCGCGCCTCCTAGCCCTTCCGCTTCCCAAATCGATATTTTTCATCTCCTCTAGCAACGCCCATGCATCTCCGCCAGAAGTCTGCGGTGGAGGTGCCGAATGCATGTCCACGGGGATTTTCGCCGGAATAGGCGGTGGTCCCGAGCTTCCCCTATATCCTGGACCGTAACTTTGTGCGTAGTTCTCATTCGCATGGTAATCGGCGGTGCTCGGTCTTGGCCCACTACTAGGTGTATGACTATTATTTTGATACGGTGTGATCGGAGCCAAAGGACTTGAATGGGGTGCTGGCAGAGCCGACATTCTATTTGCTTTCTTTTGAAGACGGTTTCGGCCATTTTGAGGTGCCAGAGGATCTATTGGGCCAGAATTCATGTAGATTGGGGATGATGAGGTAGCGGCCATGGACTGTGGTCGAGCTGCTTGCTTCAGCTGTCTGCGGCCTGAACTTGGCTGCGAGTTGCTTGGCGGGGGTCGATAGTTGCGGTCCGGAAGCTGAGATGCATATTTGGGCCCCTTCTGTTCCAAGAGCGGGGCATAATTGGACTCGGGGATATGATCACTGGGATCAATTTCCCTACCATCGTGGGTTATGATTTTTGCGTCAGGATCTGGCTCATTAGGGTCATATCTTGCGCTTAACGAACCAGTCGATGTTGAGCCTGATATTTTCGGGTTCAAAGCGTTATAAGAGTCGGGCCCAAAGGGAACACCAGAAAGCCGTCTCCCGTCGGAAGGTATTGGAGACGGGCTGACAGACTTTCGCATTGGAGTTCGAGGATCAGGGGAAATTGCTCTTGGTTTTACTACCGGAACAGTCGCTGTTGCCATTCGACTCTGTCGTTCATCATATGAAGCCGAGGCAGGTGCAAAAGGCGGTGGCACCTCTTGATACGATTGCGATAGAGATTGGTTTGGCTGATACTGAGGCGGGTCCGGATGCCTACCCCGAGAAGAACGTCCGGCGCTCTGACTGTAACTTGCCCTTTTCTCATCATAGATTCTATCTGCGAGTTCTTGCGCAATCAAAGGGTCCATGCCAGCGACCAAAGTTGCAGGTACAGGCGGCAATCCATAATCAGCAGTAGCTTGGCTGATCTCAGCGTTCGATGGCTTTCGGGGTATTTGATGTTGTTGCGGTAGCGTACTAAACGATGTTCTCGAAGAAATGGATGTTCCGATGTACGACTGTTCCCTCATCGATAGCTGAGATGCGGAGGATGTGTAACCCATGCTATTCGAGTATGGGTTGCTCGGTGTATTGGAAGCAGCGTTGCGATCTGCTGGAGAGCCCCCTCTGCCGCTCAAATTGAGCGGTGCAGGAGAAGGGACTTCATCATATCGTCGATCATCGTATCCTGAGGAACGCACTCCACTCCCCCTTCGCCCGGACGAGTGTCCCCCAGACGGTGATGGGGGTGCATCTTCAACTGTAGGTTGCATAGAACCGTGATCGTGGTTATACCTCCCATCATAGGAGTGATGCCGAGGTGGAGACTCTTGATAATGGCTGTTGCTCTCACCAGAATTATGAAATGGGTCTTCATCTCCGGTAGGGATATAACCCTGGTAGGATTTGCTCTGAGAGTACGTAGGTATCGAATGGCGATGTGCATAGTTAGTCGGGGAATCATATGGGGCCGAAGAGCTGGAGTCCCCAGGAAAGCCATAACTGCCGTGAGATTGCAGGGCGGGCGCCGGGCTGGTGTGAGTAGCTCGAGGTTTGCTTCCGTGAGCTGGTGGAGGCGGAGGTGGCCCTCCCGGGCTTGGTGGTGGGCCAAAGTCCTCTGGCTGAGGCAAATCATAAGGCGTGTACTGGGAATTGTATGAATCCCTGTGATCAACAATCGGCTCCTCTTCTTCATAGTGGTCGATGTGATTACTATTCCCTGGCGTAAAATCGTTCCGCGCCATAGGGTCATAAATCTCATTTCTTTCATGTGAAACGGGCCTTGCGGATGGGGAAGGCGCAGCATATCCATTCATGTTCGGACTGTTATCGTATCCAGATGGCGAAAATTGGCTCGCTGTGGTGTTGTATTCGACATTTTGAAGGGGTGACTGATTTGGAATATGGTTTGGGCTTTGGTATCCTCGGGGAGGTGTTTGGACGTGATCAGGAATAGCCATCGGTGCGGCCCGAGGCCGGGCCTGAACATGCTCCGGAGTAGCGTGTGGAACTTGGTGCCGAGGGGGCGTCTGGACATATTCTGGACCATTCGTCGACGATTGATAACCACGAGGGGATGGCCGGGCATGCTCAGGAGTTGCTGTCGGGGACTGATACCCGCGAGGAGGAGTCGGAACATGGTCAGGGATAGCTGTAGGTGCCGGCGCTCCACTGACGGGATCAGAAGGCAATGGCCGTCTCTTGACAGGAGGCTTGGGTTGCCTTGGTCCCTTGAGGGAGTCTCTTCCTCCAGCATCCATGCCACTAGAAGCGCCTTGCTTGGCCTTCTCCTGTCTGTCCTGCTTGGGTCGGGTGTCGTAGTATGTGATTTCGATTCTGACCTCCCCCGCATACTTGCTCTTGCAAGTCAAGGTATGCCAAATATCACTCTGCCCACCGCCTGGCACAACCACATCCTGCAAGTTGACCCAAGTTTCTCCAATCAAGTCCGTTCTCTTGTCGTCGTTGAAAACCGAGACCTTCAGCTGATAGTAATCCGCGGAGTCGTGCACGGTGAACCGAAGCTCTTGATCCCTTGGAATGAGGTTAGCGAAAGAGTTCCAGTACTTTCGTTCAGGCCCGTTTCGCACTTACCATCTCGGTGTTTGTCCTCCTCGGCGATCTGTCTCTGTTTTCTTTGCCTCTTTTCCCAGTCTTGCCGCGCAATAGGGATTTTGCTTGCCAATTGTCTTTCGGTTAGGCAGGTTTTTCGCGCGGTCAACAATAACAACCAGAGTTCCGATTTCTGGACCGTCAACGGTCATGTCAGAATAAATGCCGGCAGTGTGCATGCCGCCGAGGACATTGGCCTTCATTCTGGTAGCCATGATGCTCCGTGGGTTGTGAATTGAGGCCTCTTGTGTTGCGATCCAGATCCGGTGGGAGGGATATCGTCACAAGGCTTTGTTTACTTACGGCCTCGGGAGCTTGGAATGCAGTCTTGGCGTGGTTTAAAGCTCTAGATCAGCATTGTTGGCTGTGAACAGCAAGTGCAAATTCAATTCAGCACAAGCTAACACATCATCGACTGCATGCAGGATGGAGAGAATGGAGAAGCAATGCAGAAGGAATTGGGGAGTGCATCTGGCTACGCGTGCGTTGCGTGTATAGCTTCGAATCAAGGTGGCTGAAGGCTTGGGGGTAGAGAGGAGGCTGGTGTCTTAGCGAGTATCCCCGCCAACGGGCTGGTTGCGCACTCGATGTTTCACCTGACGATCAACTTTAAAATTGAATAAGCGGGATTTTGATACCGCCGAGGCGAGTTACTGAGAGTTTACAATTGTATGGATATAATATTCGCCTCATGGGCATCGCGTTCTTGAACCTCGATCGGCCGTCAATCAAAGTCGACTCAATTCCGGTGATCGTCATGTCACATACAGCGCCGAGTGGCGGAGTGGTTACTCCGTATTCCGGAGGCTGCGGTCAGGGGTTAGCGATGCCGGAAATAGAGTACCTTACCTTAGGTAGGGCTGCCTTGGCGACTTGGGCCTCGGAGATATTGGAAAATCTCGCGATATAAAAACGCAATTGGGCGCTTGGCCAGAGGGGCTACGTAGTGCTAGGTCTAGCTGTAGGAGACTCAAGCAGGAATCGTCTACGCTGGATTTTGGGTAATCATGTCTCTTGGGTCTGAAAGGATGGCAATTATAGGTCGAGCCCCCCGGGAGCATTATTGTTGTGCTTCGGAGCTACTGTACTGTATGAATGAGAAAGACAAGTTATTAGATAATAGTCGGTTTTGCAAGTGGGTTTTGTCCTAGTTGAACTACTGCCATTAGTGCAAGAAGGTGGGATTTATTTATAGAAAGCAGCCGAGAGCTAGTCTACCGCTAGTTAAGAGGCATCAGAATCACCATGACGAGATCCGGTGGTAACCGCAATAATAACCAAGCTCTCCCTGTGATATTAGGGCTCATCCAGGCTCTCGTAATTAGTATCTTCTTATTAGCTGTTTTGATAAAGGAAGATCTTACCCGCATAGGTAGGTGCATTGCAATGAGCACTACATGTAAGTATATCACGTGACATAACAACTTGATATAGAATAATAAGTGTATTCTCTCAAAATAAACAGGTCGGATGGCCTAGTGGGAAACTGGGGGGTTTAGGGCCATAGCCTCGTTGGGCGCCGGGTCCTGGTAGCCGTCGGGCGTTAAGCAAAACAAACGTACGCCTGTCAGCTCAGGGCAACCCGAAATTGACGGTATTATAGGGTACTTCTGTACCAGTGGCCTCTGTCACCAAACACATTTTTTTTAAATTAAAAAATAAAGAAGTTATTGTCAGGTTTTGCTCAGTTGGCTTTTTGATAGTGTTTTTGTCACTTTTATGTGGTGAAGTCCGCGGCTCTTTTGCGCGTTTAACACAGGCTTATCAAATCCGCCCACGTCTTGGCAGATCTTTTCCCAGAACCAGGGAACAACGCCTCATCCCGAGAATCCGCCCACCAACCCAACTACACAACTACATCGAGTCTCTATATCGCTATCATCCCATTTCAATTCATATATTGCTATCCAAATCATTCCACAATGGACACCCCATCTCCACCTCCGTCCAGCTCCCCTTCAGTCCTCCGCTACACAATTGGCTTCCTGCTAATCGGACTTGCATGGGGCTTCACAACACCGTTCATCCGGCGCGCTGCGGTCTTCCACAAGCCGCCTCCTCACCCTGTACTCTCTTCCCCTTCTGTGCAGAATAGCTGGGTAAAGAGCAAAGTATATGGCGCGTTCTTTGGTGTTACGGATTTGTTGCGGAATTGGAGGTACGCTCTGCCGCTGGTGATTAATTTGACCGGGAGCGTGTGGTTTTTCTTGTTGATTGGGCAGGCTGGTGAGTGTCTTGATTTCGTTTTGGCTCCTTCTCTGTTTTTAGCTTTTATTTTATCCTATTTGGTGGGTCGGGCCATAAGGGGAGGAAGATTCGCCTTTTGCGTCGAGGCTCATAAATGTCTCGGATGGAGTGGTGCCGCGGAAGGCAGAGAGGTGTGCTTGAATTATCGGTGGGAAAAGGGAGAGATGGAATCAAAAGAAGGATGAATTGGAAGAAGGAAATACTTTATCGATGACCGACCCCAACCAAACACTAACTCATACCTCTACAGAATTGAGTCTCACTGTTCCAATCACGAATTCTCTAGCCTTCTTATTCACAGTCCTAGGGGAATGGTGGGTCGAGAAGAAAGTGATCAATCGAGGTAAATATCCCTTTCCAACTGGCTTGAATATCTGAAGACTGATCTAAGCAAAAGATACATGGATCGGCATGACATTATCACTAGCCGGCATAGCCCTCTGTGTGCAAAGCAAGAACACATAAGAGACAGGTCTCTCGGAAAAGTCTCTTAACAACATCCTTCTTTATTGTATATTAAGCTTAACTTGGGCGTTGAATCTCGTATCATGATGCTCCAGAAATTACTTTTGTCCGGGTATACCTTACTGTGTCAAACAGCGCCTACAGCCTTGAAAAATCCGCATAGATATGGAAACCAGCCTTTCGGCATCCTGTACCGGGAAGGTAGAAAGGTGTGAATGAAAACAAAGAACGCCTTTTCCAATGCCCGCTGACTATAACCGATCCCATCGCCGGTTCCAATACTCCATGCAAATGCAATTATGCACTACCATTATGCCATGTTCAACGTCTGGCCCTAAGCCATCTCTGAACATGTCTTAGAGGGGGATCTTCGAGCGTCCAGCGCCCCATCTCATAGTCCGAAGACCGCAAATCGGTATAAACAGTGTCATCAGTGATGTCTGCTAGCTCCTGATAGCCAGTATATTAGTATGCAAACCCGAGGCTATTTAGATAGACCTAGGAGTACTGACAACCCGCAATTGCACATCGCAGCTGGCCAGTTGCGACGTATTTCCACTGTGAGGTCTTCCGCCCTGCAGGATCTGGTCTCGCCATGAAACCCACCGTTGAGCCGCAGCCTGGCGGAGGTAGATTTTTTGCCCCTCATGACGGCGGGCAAAGGCGTCGAGCATAACTCTGTTGATTTACTCAGTCGCTGCATTTAGGGTGAGTTCTTGCGGCACGTACTGCTGTAACTCCGCCTTTGCCTGCTCCAATGGCCCGCCACTAACCCTGGGGACTCGAGTTTCCGCAGCGCAGTTCAGAATATGCTGCCCATCAAGGGAGCATTGCCGTAGCGCGGCCCAGCCTTCTGCGTAATAGTCTTCCTGGTTGGGAGGGCTTTCCGGTCCTGAGACGATATAGTACTGGAGTGTACGGAAGTCACATAGGAGATCTGCCACTCGGGCAGTTCTCTGGTCGTTTACTGTGATATCTGTCAGTTAGGGCACTAAGTGATTGTAGCCAGTTGACTTACATCCGTCTGTCATTTCGGAAGAAATGGGGAGGTCTAACAAATAAATAATGAAGAAATGGTGATCGGCAGAGAATGAAAGTAGCGAGCGTGACAAGAAAGCCAAAATGATGGTGAGTGATAGCGAGTAAATCAAACGAAGGAGACAAGACAATGCCAAGAAAAGTCGAAGATGTCGATGGGGTTTAGAGAAGCTTAAGAACTGAAGCCATTACGTGGGTATAAGAAGCATCTGTGGGAGCAAGCTGTACCACCCCAAACCGCCAACTGCTAGCGGCGATAAGTGAGTATGTCCGTAAGAAGAAAATGAACATCTTGTGGCTGACTTTCCCACTGTCCCACACAAACCTCTGCAATCACACGATAGCATCAGACCCATATGCGTTCGCTATCGTCAGAAAACGGTCTGTCCCCGAGGGGTTCACGCCGCTAACCATGGGGGAGTCCCTGGCAACGGCCCCTACCCAGCTGTAGATGTATGCATATTATTCCGAGGCTTGCATGACGCAAGGCCGGAAAGACTTAGAGCCTCCATGGCGCCTGGGGTGGGGTCCAGGAGAAGGGTAAAAGGACGATAAAGGCCAGACGCCGTATTAGTAAGTTAGCCATTAGGAAGACCTGAGCGCCCCAGAGGGTATCAGTAAGGTGTCGGTGTTAGCGGTGAGGTTGCTTCGCTTCAGCAATCGCCAGGAGCGCCACAAACGTGGGAGGCCAGTTCGACGGCCGCATTTGGAACTCAGGCTGTGGCTGGATCCAGTAGGGAGACATCAGAGCGGCTCGACTTGCACCGCCGACTGCACTGGCTCTAGCAGAGCTGAAGGCGCATGTCCTCAGGATCGCGACTGCGCCATATCACCACCTCCACAACCTCCGCAAACCCCTCCACAAGGAAACCAACTCTTGCCCTCAACAGTCAGCGAGTGGCGAATCCCCTGGCCTCAACGGTTACTCATTCGGCAGCTCTCCACTGCGCCATATCTTGGCCTTACAAATCAGGGTAAGGCTGAACCCCCTGCAGCGGATCGGAACTGAACCAATGTTAACCTTTGCTTCTTCCTGTGCGCCACAGATGGGCTGTGCTGTGTGGCACGGTCGAACGACGACGGTTTACCTTCGCACAGATTGTACAGTACATTAGTCCCCCCCCCCGACGATCCGAAACGCCCCTGACACTTAGAACGGCATCTGATTTATAATATTTGACATCACTGAGTCTCTCTCAATCCTTGGAGAGGGACCTTGATAATCAATCAATAATAATAAAGGGGCCGCGGAGGGGGTTTTCGTAGCCAGTAAATTGTGTGTGACAGCCAACGCCAAGGTGCTCTGCAAAGTATCGTACATCAAATCGAGGGTCTAGTCTAGTCTTTATCCGCAATTGCTTGTAACCTCTCATCAATCTCCTCCTCCGTCAGAGCTCTGAAGCCCGGGTCGGTGCCCTCCTTCCCATCCGTTCTTGGCCCCCCTACAATTCCAATCTCTAGTTCGCCCTTCTTGAAGTCCACGCTAAGGACCGTGCTCAACGTAGTAATTGCGAGCTCCACGACATCCTCCCAGGTGCCATCAGCTGCATCCTTGTTCTTGAGCTTCTTCTCCAGGTGGTTGAATGCCTCCTGCTGCTTAGGGCCAGACGCCGTACCCTTGTATCCCGTGTAGTAACCTGCGGGGTCACACTTGTATAGTTGAGGTCCATACTCAGAATCCAATGATATCAGCGTGGTCGCAACGCCATATGGACGCATATAAGCCTACATGTTGGTTAGCGGAGATAAGAGGACTAAGTGGCTAGCGGACCGACTATTCAGCTTACCCTTTGAGTGTAGACCTGGCTGATGTTCGCAATTCTCTTTGCTAGAGCATCACAAGGCATCTCGTATCCAAATTTATATCTGAATTCCGCGGCTTCCCCAATAGCTCTCTGCACAAAAGCTCTGGCATCTGCGATGGATCCAGTCATCACACAGCCGACGGATGGCGATAGCTGAAAGATGTGAGAGACGGAAGAAGGGTCGATGAGCTTGTCCTATCATCCCAACAGTTAAAATCTTAGTTCAACCTGATTTCAAGGGGTAATGCCTTACGGGGACTTTCTTTTGTGACAACACCACCGCGCAATCCTTTCCTCTCACCCCAACGGACATGATATTTGCTGCAGTAATGGCTTTGAAGGCATATTCTGTTGTCACATAATCGTTAGCAACGTTGTATCCAGGCCAGGCGAAGCCCTAGAGGCAATATAATATTGGGGTCGAAAATGAATCAACGTAATGGTCGTCAAGATAGTATGGCTGGCGATGAGGAATCGGATTCCTTGGGTAAGAATCTCTGCGTACCAACTTGGTATAATCTGCCCTGATCCGAAAAGATCGTAATCTGCCTGTCATAGCCTGCACTGCCTATACGCGGAGCTTGATTAGCATGTTCCGTTGGCCATCTTGGGCGGTTCATAAGATCAACACACCTGACATCTTGGAGGACGGAAATAGGACAAAAGAGAGTCTAGCTGTTCAAGTGCGGCGGAGTCTTAGATATTGGATGCGGGATATGCGTGGAGGATGGAGGACAGAAGATGGGATAGGGCGAGAATGACTGGTAATTCAGAGGATGGAGAGCTCTGGGATAGCTTCACGACGACGCGAAAGCATGGGAACCTGGCGCGTGCCTTGCGAGCCGTCAGGCACGCATTGTTCGTGCCTGGGTGTACTAGTCACGTGGGTTACTGATACGCGAGCGTGGCAGATAAGAGAATTTTATTCTGAGCAAAACACTGCCATAGGATGTCTTAATGCTACGATAATTGTGATATCGTGTACTGCCACTTGGCACAATCTCGCCCAAAGCCATGCCATCTGCAACCGCCCCCAATGCATCCCCCCGAATACCAGCCTGGAGAAGGTTGGGTTTGAAGTTGAAATCCGCTCCAGAGCCATCACAAGCAGCGACAGTGGTCGAACCCTCCCAGAACATCGACACCCCGAAAAGGAAGCGATTGGACGAAACCGACGACGCCACTCCTGCAAAGAAAAAGAAGAGTTCAAAAGACTCCCGCAATTTATCCGGTGCAGAACAAGCCACTCCCAAACTCGCTCGAAAGAAATCGGTCACTTTTACACCTGAGACCAAAGTTGAGGATGGAGATAGCATAAAGCAATTATTCGGCGCCTGGGCTGCAGAACAGAAGTCGCAGAATCTGTCGGCTCCAGTTTTCACCACGCCAGAGCCTTCAAGGGTTGAGGAACAGATTGATACAACATTGGACGAGAAAGTGAGAAGAACGAAGAGGGTCAAGAAACCGGAGCCAGAAAAGACCAGCGATCCTAAGGCCACTGTCAAGGCGAAGAAGAAGAAGGGTGCAAAAACTACAGATCCTGCGGATACTCCCCAACGCCCGTTTCTGGCATATCTGCGGTTATATTCCGACTCGCGCGAGAAGTGGAAATTCAATAAGAATCACCAAAACCATCTGCTCAAGCATCTGTTTGACATCGACAGTGTACCCTCAGAATACGAAACTTTAATCTACAGCTACGTCAGAGGTTTAAGAGGCGGGGTGAGAACGAGATTACGAGACTCGGCGCTAGCGATCAAAATCAAAGATCAAGAAGAAGGTGCTGCAGGGTTCCCAGAAAACATGGCGGACCGAGACGCGAGGCAAATCGAATATGAAGTCGCGATGAAAGAATACGTTGCCACTATGATGGCTGTAGAAGCGCCCTCTAATATCGGCTATGAGGAAGGAATTCTTGGAAATTTGTCAGACGCTGCCATGCCGACAAGAACTGCAAAGCGAATGAGAGCGGAGCGAGTCCTAGCAGAGCTTGGGGCGGCGGGAGATGAGGCTGGAGTCGATGGTGGTTCCAAGGCAGACGAAGCTGTTCCTGAGGATGAAAACCAAAAGCGGATCAGGATGAACGACGGTTCGTCACAAAAGGTGTCTCGGAAACGGAAACAACGCACTGCGGCCGCAGATGGTGACTCAAGTTCGGAGGACGATTCAAGCAGCTCGGATGAAAGCAGCTCCGAAGATGATTCCACAACGGAAGTCGATGATGGCGATGATACCTCGTCAAGTTCTTCTAGTAGTAGCTCATCTGGGTCCGATTCGAGCGATTCGGAGGAAAGCTCGGAAGATAGTGAAGAGAGCGAGAGCGAGTGAAATGTTTTTGCCTATGAGATATGAGGCGCTAATAGAGGTGGAAATGGACTGCGGAGAAATACCTGGCTTGTCTAGAGGATTTTCATGTGGTTGCAACATTACATACCTACCTTGCGGATACCCCTCCTGCTTAGCAGTTGCTGGATGACTGCATCTTGATTGAATAGAATGCAAGATATCAAACGCCCCAGCTGACCTGGTGAATGGCGTTCTATGGCCAATAAGCGCGGAGTAATGTATGAAGAGATAGATGCTTATCGGTCTACCAATACGTACCTACCTTAGATCATAGTAGTGATAAAGTGATAAAGTGATATTGTGACACGGTGATACACACACCTTTCTCGCAGCCAATGCCCCGCAACTCGCCTGCTGGCGTCATAAGTAACGGCCAAGCGCCAATGACACGCCTTTCCCATCTGGCAGAATCCCATGATCCAACATGCGTTAGATTTCCTTGCTTTCAATTCCCCGATCAAGCCCTCCAGCGCCTCCTTATCAGCAGATATGGTGCACACTCCGCGAAGATATGCTTCAGTCACTCACCGCTATAGGAAGTCCGGGGTCTTGGCCTAAGGGATATTATTTTGTTGAAGTGGAATTAGAAGTTGAAGTGGGTGTCCGCCGTGCTGCGCGCTGAGGCGTACCCTTGGACAATCCTTACCGAGAGGAGTTACTAGGTACAATACGTACTACTCTGTACGTACGAGTCCTCAAGGCAGGCAGCCGACAAGAGAGAGCCTTGCAAACCAATTCATACTCACCATCGCACTTCCTATATTAGCCTTGTTTATCGCCCTCCGAGAGCCAGCTAGCCTACCATTACGAACGACCATCAAGACTGCAGAGGTGAAGACAAAGGCAGAGGCCGGCTTGGAAGCGCAAGATGACGAGAGTATTGGTCTACACCACACTGCTTGTCGCATTCGTAGCAGGTAAGCTACCTCCGTATATTCCTCTCTGGCTGGCTTGAAATTCGGTGGCACAACTAACCATCTATCTCTGCAGCCACCGGCCTGACTATCTCTGCGATATTCGTCCCTGAATGGATCAACTATGATACCCCGTCGTCCACCGGCGGGCGCGTCACCAAGACAATGGGTCTGCATCGCAGCTGCTCGTCAATAGACCACACATGTCACCCCGCCCTACAATATAACGACTGTAAGGTCGAGGATCGGTACTTCTGCTCCATGTGGCGCTCCGCTGGCTTCATCATGTCCTTCGCGGCTGTTTTGGAAATGGCCACGATCGTCGCATATGTCATGGTGCTGAGTGGCGGTAAACAGAAGCGAGAGACCGGGTGGAAGTTGTTGACCTTCCTGTTGGTTTTGGTTGGGCTTCTGCAATGTACTGCGATGGCTATTGTGGTATGTTATTTCATTCTGTTAATTTTGTGTTTCTGCGATGCTAACGTTCTTGTTGCGCAGGCATACCTTTTCGATAACGATGACCGGTTCTTCGTCGGTTGGAAATTGGCCAAGTCATGGATCTTCTGTATCGTTAGCTGGGTCATTGCTATCATCTCCGCCGCAGCTCTCTCCCTGTCGGTCTACGTCTTCCCACCCGAGGGTGGATATGAGCTTATACCGAGCGAGCGGTACCACAGGTAGTTTGACGTGTTTTCGGGAGGATATTGTCAGCATTTGCGGCGTTTGGGTCTATATAACGTCTTTACGTACATGTTACTTGGTTTATAGGGAGTTGGTGTTTCGTCTACAATACCTAGGGGACGATGTTATGTCACATGTTTTACGGATGGTCAGTCGTTGGAGGGTAGTTTGAGATTTTCGAGCATAACGCTTCCTACGTGTACAGACTAATAATGTTAATGCCGATTGTCGAGAAATATATCAAGGCCATTTTCTATTGAAGGGATCATGCAACATAGTTGAGCTACGATGAGAGGCATATTGCTTTAAACCATAGGTTCGACGTTCAAATTCATGTTGTGCGTTTATAATACCTCACTCTGCTTTACTTGTTGTCGACGCCTTTATATCATCAGAGCAGCGTCAAATATAGCTGCCCATTCAATGACCCCAACCCACTAGTGGGGATGAACTATAGTCGCCGATATCTCCTTGGGACTTTAAAACCCCAACCAGAATATATTAACTACCTTAATGAAGTATCGCCGAAAATATCTATCGCCGTTTACCCAGCATAAGCAACTATCGGTTCCCATTATTCAAAAGATAACCTCTATATCCAAAGAAAAGTATATAATGCCCTCTTGACTGAGCACCCTAAGATAATACTTTGAAAACTTCAAAATACAACTACACGACACACAAACTAATCCCCACTGTTAAGCAAGTCAAGCCGGGAAACAGTAAAGAAATAAATACACAAGAATACCCAATATCCCGAAGTCCCGAAGTCAATACTCAGACACCAGACCCATCCTCAACAACAACATGGCTCCTAGTATAAGCATCCCAAGCTGTGCATGTCTGATTCAGGGTTTCATAATCAATCAACGGCAGGATCTCATCACGTCTCTCCACCAACTGCAACGCAAACCCCTCCTTAAGATGCCATCCGATATGGCAATGCATAAGCCAAGCTCCGGGGTTATCCGTCTTGATCGCGATGACCAGATACCCCGATGCGGGAAGCATAGCTACGTCTCTCCTCGGCGGGTTCGTCAAAGACAGAGGCACAGAATAGCTACTGTAAACCCCTGTGCCATGAGCAAGGATGTAGAAGTCGTGGCCGTGGAGGTGGATTGGGTGGGGGATGGCGAGCGTGGTTTGGATTATAAAGTATACCCACTCATCATCTTGGTTTAGCTCTATTACGTGGGAGGATGCGGTAAAGTTCGTATCATTGCGGTATATTTGTAGGAGTGTTGGGTTGGCCCATTCGCCGAAGAAGGTTGTCCCTGATATGAACCATTTGAATATTTTGTTGACTTGCCCTGCGGTAACGTCGAAATCGTCCTTTACTGACTCGGAGCCGACGTTCAGGGGGAGGTACGGTACGAGATTGGAGGACTTTTCGTCATCGCAGTCATCTATGTAGGAATGGGCGGAGGTGGTCGGATGAGAATGCCAGGCCGAGTCGTAGCGTAGAATGCCCTTAATGTTATCTGCATTGTTATTATCACTACAGAACGTCTGTGGAATCGCCCGGATCCAGTAGCTTCTTGCGGCTTCCGTCATGTCAACTATGATATCGTAGCGTTGTCCCATTCCGACACTCAGCACGGTAGTTGTATAAGGGACTATAGGTACTAGGTCCATTGCAATGACCGTCATAGTGTGGTTATCAATCATGAATTTGAAGTGGGTGTCGATGGCGGAGTTAACGAGTCTTATTCTGTAAGATTCCCCCTTCGTAACTGTCATCTCAAATCGAGAGCCTTTGCCGTGATACGTATTCGTGCCGTTTATAAGGCCGTTGTCTAGGGATGGCGGCCCGCTGGTCTCCTCTATGCTGGACATGGCGTCTGCAGTTTGATGTGCTATTATAGCTATTAGCCCATGCTAACAAAATGGGCTCTAGGGAGCTTACTCCAGTCGCTGAGAAACATGATTCCAGCATCGTTGTCGTAGTTAGCGGTAGCTGGCCCATGAATTATGATCCCGCCGAAAACACCTTCCCAAGCTTGAAGTTCGAAATGAGAGTGGTACCAGGCCGACCCGTATTGAGTAGCTCTCCATTTGTAAGTTATAGACTGGCAGTTATTAGTGGGTATTTGCCTTCGATGAAATTTTGCTTACTTCGCCAGGGGCAACTGGACATTGGGTGACGGAAGGAACTCCATCCATCTCATTTGAGTAATATTGTCGAATGCCATGGAAATGAAGAGCGGTTCCATTGTTCGTGAGACCGTTATGAAGGTGTACAACTAGTAATATCCCAGAACTAGTTAGTAAAAGCTCTTTATCTCTGACCAAGGACGATGGCTAGGGAAAGTATTTTTACGAAATATATTCCTCTGGTTGAACTACATATCAACTTTACCGTGGTCTGGTAGGATTAATGGGCGGCTTACCAACAGTATCTCCCCAATTGGCAATAATCGTGGGGCCTGGAAGCGTGCCATTCACGAGCAGAGCATTTCTTTGGTAGCCATCTGCATGGACAGTGGTATTTACCAGCTCTAGATATACCTGTTTCTATCAGTAGAGTATTCTAAAGCTATGCCAGGGGTACAGACTTCCACAGTCACCCCGGTATCAGGGAACTCCGTGTAATAATTAGTAGAGGTATCGTAGCTGTCCCAGCTATATCTATCCGTAGCTGAGGAGGATCCCAATCTCCTGTCGAGCGATTTTATGTGACAGGCGGCGCTGATACCTAAGAACATCAGGCACATGCCTGAAGGCATCAGGGAGAGAAGCAGCATGCTGTGTATTGTTGAAAACAAGGGATATGGAAAACAGAATGTCGCGAAGTACAGACAGGAAGGCGTTTTTAAAAGAGGGGGTGATATAAGTTAATAGATGATGAGGCTCGTGCTAAGCATCGCAGATCATCTTGCTATGTTATACACGATTAGACACGAGGTGAGGCTGGATACACATCAATGCGAATTGAGTCTCCAATTCTAAATCCAGACACAGTCAAGAAAACATATGGGAGGGTTGCTTCTAGATAATTTACGCAACCTCGTACAGGGTAGGAGCTTTCGCAGTATGAGACCAATGTGTAGCTGAGAGATGTTGACCTCCATTCCATGCCCATTTGCATCATTACCATGGACGCTAAAATAAAAGATCAAGTGCCAAGTGGCGAATGAGTGTATACACTTACAACGACTTATGCTGTCCCATTCAAATGAAGTCAGGACTGTTTACGATACATCGCCGCTCGTTAGTCTTGGGACTGGCGGTACAACGACAAACGGTGACATGGTCTCACTCTCGCATCTTCAGCTTGTTTGAAGAAGGTACATGGTGACTTGCGGTCGGCCATGAATCAAGTGCAACCCGACGATACAAGCGTGGTACAAGCTCGAGGTAGAGCAAGAAACAAACACCAACGGGAATATCACAACCTGTATAGTATCGGGGGATATCCCGGCCCCTTTGCTTCGTATTCGCCGTCCACTCAGAGGGATATAAAGCTTTGCCGTGCTTTCCACCGTGAAACTATCACGCATGACTTAGGGGCAACGATGTTCACGGGAAGGGTTTATATAGTCGCGCAATTAGGCCCCTTGAAGATCTCCCGTTATTATCTCGACTAGATGATCCACGTTAAATACGGCATTCGAACGTACATTATATTTAAAAATACCACTAGCACCGGCCAAGGAAAGCAGGTACGGTGCCATGGACACCTATCACATGAGCCAGGTAGGCTGACTAGTTTTCCTGGTTCGCTGACGAGGACGTCCGGTTTGTGACTGCAGAACTGCCGCAAATCTTGACATCTCGTTGGCATGTCCGGTAGGACTCGGAAAGGGGCCAATCTACCCGAGAAGCTCAGGGGCCAAGTACCACTCCCTCCCACTCCCTGTGTAAATACCTTTTCAATCATCACCATCATGAGGTCCATGCATGGCAGGGTCTAAGTGCATGCGTAACCGTTTCAATAACGATTTGGGGTTGGACAAAGCTTCGGTTTAGAAGTGGACTTTTAGTAGCAAAGCAGAAAGACCTTGCTTCCAGATACTTGATAATTGCAGGCTTCTGCAAGAAAAGCGTATCTTAATAACACGATCATCACACATCCATATCCACACACTTGAGGGCACGTCTGGACTTGTCGGAAATGATATCCAACTCAAATACATTCACTTGGGTGATGGCTATCTCTAACTTGGCGAGTGCAGACTTCATCAAAGGCACGCTAGATACCACTGGGATCACTTTGTTTGGCTACGGCTCAGGCACCAATGGGGCGCCTGTCTTTGATGCCAATGGTAGGTTTCGATGCTCCTCCTTAATATTTGAGCACAAGGCGAAGGGAATTTTGTTCAGGGGGTTGGCTTGAGAATTCCTAGGAAGAGTATCAAGGACAACATCTTGGCCATCCACTCCAAACGAACCATTATATATCTGCTCGTCATATTAGTAGTGCTTCAAAAATGCTCAATACTAACGAAGTTGTCAGGACTCGCATATATAGGAAAGACTCCTCTCGATGGTGCTGCCGGTACTCAAACAAACATAACCGTCACCCCTTCGAGCGATATCTCCAAACCCTGGCAAGTTCACGCCAATTCAAGTACAACAAGTTTCAACAAGATACTAGATTTTAACGATATATTATACATGTATATCATCCCCAGTTCAGCCAGCTTCGAACAAGTCGGCTTTGCGACAATCTCTGATGTTCCGGCCGGTGGTGTCACAACTGGGTTCACTTTGTTTGGAAAATCTGTTGCATACGCCGCAAGTGAATCGAGCTACCAACTTGGGTTCTGGGCACTTGCGACAAACACCACTGGTGTGTATGGGTTGTACTGGAACGCGGGAACTGCTCTCGAGGGAGCTTTCCCCGTGACAATAAAGAGCACACCCCCAACAGTTGTTTGATCAGATGTACTTGTCTTTTACTTGAATGCAGAGATCTTGGGCAGCCTGGGGAGCATAATAGACACTTCTCCGGCAAAGCTGATTCCTCGAATCTGAATCCATTTTTTCTTGAGCATGTACAAATTTTCAAAGTAGCGGTGTCAATTGAAACAATGCACAACCTCGAATTGCTCCCAACTTGGGATGGCCACACCGTATCTCTAAATCCTGAACCTGAACCCCTTCGCGCCAGCTTCTGATGGGACAGCATTGATCGCCCCCTCGACATATTCGCCTCGTTCCAACTTCTTGTTCAGTCTGACAAGCATCACCCTCAATGTCAAGGCTGCAGCGATAGCCATTATGCATGTACCACAGTTGACACACATGGCAATCAAGTATCTCGGTCCTGTGTATTGTTAGAGATTTCCTAAGTTAAGATAGGTAGAGTGCCTTACCTGCGGTATTAGGGTACATATAACTGGCATAAATGGAACTCGTGTTGGATATTGCGTTGATGAATGCCAAAGCAGCAGCTCGTTTCGCCGGCGGTCGGGGAAGAGAGTTACTGATCCATGCTAAAGCAACTACATAACCTGTATAGACTCCGGGAACCATAATCATCATGGCGAGGTACCTGGGAGCAGTTTTCGTAGTTGCTGCAGCAAGGATGTACGCAGCCATTGCGAAGCAAAGAGGAATCGTGATGTGAAAGAATCTTTCGCCAGTCTTATCTAAATCAGGAATTAGTAAATTCCTCCAGTTTAAAAAACGTACGTACCTGCGTGGGCGGAATTTAAAAATGTTGTAATAACAGCTAGTACATATGGCGGCACCGTCAAGAGCAGCGTGGGGACCGGCTTGTATTTCAAAGAGCCTACCACGGTGCTATTAAATCGTCAGTAGAAGTTTAGTAGTTTATGGCATACTAAGATATACTTACGGGAAGAAGTTTGTAACGGTCCCGGAGGCGACAATTCCAAATAAAAGGACCATCAGCACATATGTTTTGATATCCGAAAATGCGAGCTTCAGCCCCTCCTTGAAAGACTGCTTCTCAGAACCTTCCCAATCTTCCTGGCCAACATCCTCTGCGAGCCGCCATACAGCCAACTGCCTCTCTTCTTCTGTTAACCACGAAGTGGTATGTGGGAAGTTAGGTAGGATGAAAAACGCCACCACTGCGACGCCTATGGTAATCACTCCTTCAATTATAAAGAGCCAACGCCATGCTCGGTGCCCTAGGGTACCATCCATATTTCCTGTGACTCCCGCAGCAATTAAGCCGGAAAATGCACCGCTGATTAAAGCCCCCGAGTAAAATACTGCCGTTCGGAAACCGAGTTCTTTCCTAGTGTACCAACATGACAAGTAATAGAGACATCCGGGCTGTTCATTTGCATTAGCGATGCGATATTCCGATTTCAAATCAACCAACAAAACCGATGGCTTTCTCAGGGAAGATTAACTCACAAAATAAGCTGCCTCCACAAAACCTAACATGAATCGGCAAGCAAGAAGCCCACCAAAATTTGTACACGCAGCTGTGGCGGTAGAGATGACGCCCCAAACAACCATGCATGCGGGAAGATAGATTGCTGGTTTGCCAATCTTATTCAAAACAAGGTTCGAAGGAACCTGCATCAGAAGATATCCTATCCATTGCCTGTTAGTTGCTGGGAGCGGTGGGGATATAGCATCGAGGGAGAGTAGCGCAAAGAAATCGCAACACATACCGACGAAGAGTATTGACACGCTCGTTTGGAACTCTGTGCCCTTTAATTTCAAATCTTCTATAATACCAGCATACTTTGCAGCTGCGATATTGTTCTTTGATGTGTTAGTATGAATGATAGTTGGAATTTCGAGGCCATGGAGAATACTTACACGGTCAAGGTAGTTTAAAATGTACATCAGGACAATCATAGGCATTAGTCGCAGATCAATCTTCCTCTTAAGTCGTTTCTCCACTTCCTGTCTCTCCCCAGGGCTCATATTGCGAATGAGCTCTGGAGGTCCAAAAGCTTGCGGCGACTCAACTGCGACATCAGGTAGTTCGGCCAAGATTTTCCCATCGTTTTCGATATGTCGAATTTTTCCTTTATCATCTGAATTGGAATCGTTGTCCCCAACAACGGGGTCTTTGCGATCAATGTCCCCCTTCGAAGCCATTGCCACTCTCTATCGCTCTTCAGCTTGGTAAATGGTGATGGGTAAAAGGATGTTGTGTTTTGGAGGATGAGACTCGGGAAAGATCCGGTTTTGAATAGCAATTGCAACAGCAGAAGACAATTATTTAATAACAGGATAAGGAGCATGCAGCCCAATATAGAAAAAGATGTGTCGTTCCGTCATGGCTAAACCCCGCGCAAGGATCCCAGGACACAGGCCTAAATCTCCACGAGCCCCGGCGAACCCCCGATTATTCATTTTATCCGGGTATTTAGTCGGTGTACCTCCGTCTACGTAGTACGGGATACTCTCTTAGGAAGGTTGAGTTGTACGGGGTAGAGCATCATGGGGCGAGGACCAAGTCAGTGGCAATTCCCGTTGTGATTGCGGGGTTGATAAAGCTTAGTATAACTCCAGTAACGATCGACAAGCTCATCCCCGGATGTCAACTGGATTAGGGTGATTGCCGCGCCAGTAATGGCACCCATGGCAAACAACAAACAAAACCGGCATTCATTTATCCACCTGTACTAACACATACCAACTAAGGGGTAATCCACGATAATTTGAATAGCTTCAATTACAGGTTTGTAGGCGTATGTAATAGCTACCGAGTAAGTACCAGAAGGAGAGTTTTGAATGTCATTTGCACCTAGGCACCAGTAGTGCCTGATGCTGATTAAATGCAAAGAAAGCTTATTAAAATAGTTTGGATGAAGTGATACTCGTTCTGGCCCTAATAATAAGGCACTGCAACTAACAAGGCGTCGATTTTGTTACCTGAAAGGGTGGAGACCAAATAACAATTGCCTTGATAATTCATTCAAGGATACATTTCTCCTGAAAATCTGCGAGTCATGGCCTCGACGATCTCGGCGACATCTCCGGAAAGACTAGATTTTTGAGACTTCGAGTGATTTGAGCCTGATGGTTATCGAAAGGTGTTAATGCTATTACGGCATACCTTATCTGTCGTTTGCACGACGCCCAACGAGTGACCATGAAGCAAGAAAACACTGCGCCGCTATCGAGCCTTTTTAGGCCCTAGAGCTGCGCCAAACTTCATTTCAGGTCATTACGAGGCACGGAGAATAGACATGGACAAAGATTTGCTTGGCAATGGGTGTTTCCGAGTCTGGAACATCATATCTACCGTGTCTATACTGATAGTTACCAGTTAGGACAGTGATAGGGGCGCTAGCACAAAATCGCTAGATTGAAGATATATTCTTAGAAATCGTTGGGTTCCCGCGTTGGGTTTTCCGTGTTAGATGGGGTTTGCCCGTGCACTATTGTCCCCCGCAACATCGTGGCCTTCATTTCTATTCTAACCCTACGAAACCCTGTCTGTCTAAACCTAAATGTGACACTTCAGTATCGAGGAGCCATCGCTGAATGGCATAGTGTGCGTAAAAGGTACGGTCTGGCCGGTCTTGCCGGACTTGTCGGTCTTTCATGTATTACCGTTGCGGCGCAGCCTTCTTGTCTTCGCGACAATGTATCTTAAATATAACCGGGCCCGCGGAGATATAAGGTCGTTTACGCCTATAGTTTGTACGTCAAGATTTACTATCGCTTATTCGACACTTTTTCGGTCTTGGACTTGATCAGTCTTTGCAAGCGTTAAAAACAAGATGTTATATTCCTCTCATCCGGTACCGAAAATACCAGAGTAGGTGTTGTTCCTCTTGCGGCGCAATCCCGGGTCGGTATCCCTATTCTGGATACTAGGGCTATACAAAGTTTATCTTCTCAGTCTGTAGTGACTCTACGGGAAGACAATATTCTTCCGACTCAAAACTTTTGTGTCGGACTCTGGGCTCCTAGCTATCTTATGATTACCGTAAGAAATTCCCAGGGCAATGTTTTGATGAGTCGCAACAAACTCTTCTGACAGCTGCACAAGCAATTGCACAGTCCACTAGGCTCGATAACTGGCACGAAAAAATGGAATAATGTAAGGAAGGGAAAAAGGTTGGAAAGGCAGCGCGGCAAGCAAAATTGGCGGTAGAAGGCTATTGGTCTTCAACCAAAGCGGCCAGAAGCGTTCTAGGCTGAGAAGAAAGAGAAACCCTGCGTGACAGGCCATCGATATACACGCCATTTCCCTCATACAAAGGTCACTCGCATGTGCTATTAGCAATTTCGAACATCATGCCATTCTGGAACATTTTAGGCCATGATGTCGTATGATTTGAAAATATACATGGGATGAGGAGATTCAGGAGAAGCGAATTCAGCTCATAACTTCAATTGCGGCACCACAAGCTTCTGAAGACCCTCCCTAAGGCTATCGGACATCCCCTTCGTGGCGGGTCTGCCTGTTCCCCTATCGACAAAGACGTGGATCAACTCTCCCACGGCCTTGACATTTTCGACCCCTCGCTCGAAAAGAGCTACTTCATAAGTAACACTGCTCTTGCCGAGCTTGTTGACTCGGAGAGCAAGCTCGGCAACAGCAGGAAACGCTATGCTGCCAAAGAAGTCCCCATGCGAATGCACGACAAGGCCGTATTGCGAGGATGTTGGTGGATGCAGTCCACACTGCTCGATGAGATAAGCATTGACCACTGAGTCATATCTGAAATGATGGCCATTAGTAGTTGGCTAGCAAGGGCAACATTTGTAACTCACAGGAAGTTGTATATAGAGTTATTCATATGGTCGTACATGTCGTTGTCTGACCTGCGGGTCGTTTGTGTTAGGCACCGAGTTTCACAAACCAGACTGCATCCCTCATACTACGTACCATCTTGTCCTATAATCGAGAAGGTAGCGGTAGTCACTACGCGTCCGATTCTTCAACTGATTGAGAGCCATAGTAGCGATTGATGGACGGGGAGCAAATGTAAGAAGATCATAACTCCCACTCGACGGGGTTAGACATGAAGATCTCACGGCCGAGGTACAGTCATGTACGAGTACGAAGTACAGGGGTCCTTGGAGCGATTCGCGGGGAAGCGTTGTTCCGCAATCTTTTCTGCCGCTTGACCGCCCCCCGAGAACATGGAAATTTCTCAAATGCGACCATCACATCGATTAGAAGTTGTTCTACAGTGCGCCAGCAGGTCTTTCGCAACTCAGATTCCGCTGGCTCCCTCACCGCGTATCCTCGCACACCTTGCTCGGCGGGCTGGGGCATCCATTCCTTCAATGGCCCTAGTCGAGGTGCCAAATCCCCGTAGTCCACCCCTCGAAGTCAAGAAAGCAATGGAAGAACCTCCTTCAGTGATGGTCACGCCGTGTGACCCTTGGCCTCGGCCATACTACCTTGAGAACGGATTACGACGCGTGGCGCCCTACCACTACACATACAATACCTACTGCAAGGAGCGATGGCGGGGACGGGGATTATTGGATATTTTCGCGAGCGAATTCCGAGATAGACCATTAGAATACTACGTATGTTGTGCTATATTCCAGAGAGCCCCGAGAACTTCTTATACTGACAAAATTAGAAAGATGCAATAGAACGTGGAAATGTCGTTATCAATGGCAAACCTGTACCGACACTGAACCATATTGTGAAGAATGGAGATGTTATATCGCATACATTACATCGGCACGAGCCCCCGGTCACAGCACTCCCAATATCAGTGCTACACGAAGACGATGACATGATCGTTATCAACAAGCCCTCAGGTGTTCCAGTCCACCCAGCCGGCCGTTATAATTATAACTCTGTAGTTGAGATCATGCGGGCAGAAAGAGGACACGGTTGGAACCCACTACCATGCAATAGACTTGATAGATTGACCAGTGGTGTCATGTTTATTGGCAAAAATCCGAAGGCAGCAGAGAAGCTCAGTCTACAAATTCAAGGGCGGACGGTCAGGAAAGAGTACATTGCCCGAGTCCGGGGAGAATTTCCAGATACAGAAGTTGTGTGCGATATGCCCATCTTACAGGTATCTCCCAAGCTTGGATTGAACCGCGTTCGTGCAAATGGGAAAGCCGCTCGCACAGTCTTCAAGAAACTGGCTTACTATCCGCCTGTGACCAAGCCCGTCGCAGATGAACCTGCTAGTAGCGAAACCCCAATACACGAGGATAATCCTAAAGATGAAGGATATTCGATTGTGAGGTGTCTCCCTGTGACAGGAAGAACCCATCAATTGCGCGTTCATCTTCAATTTTTGGGCCATCCAATTGTCAATGATCCGATTTATGCAAACCGACGAGTATGGGGCACGAACTTGGGAGCCAATGATGGAGATGGTTCGCAAGATACTGATGAGGACATCATTACCCGGCTTTCGCGTATGGGGAAGTCTGAAGTTGCGGATGCAGTGGCATACCACGATGAGATGGTTGATCAGTATGAGAAGAAGAAGGCGGAAAAGATGTCGGGAGAGCTATGTGAACTCTGCCAAACACCGCTCTACACGGACCCTGGTGAACAAGAACTTTCACTGTGGCTCCACAGCCTACGTTACGAAGATGCTGGCGGAGCTTGGAGCTATGTCAGCCCCCTCCCTGCATGGGCCATGCCCCCAGGTAAGGAGATCCAACTGTCCTCTATAATAAGTTACTAACTAGGTGAACAGATGGCGTGGATGGTCCTACGGAAGTGGGTGGGATGGAGGCTCTGGTAGAGGCGGTGAAAGAAGAGAACCCTGAAATCGCATAGATTTGCCAACGCAGAGGCATGCCCGGCTTAGAATGTCTCATCTCGGAAACTGTGGTCTTGTCTGGCATATATTGCGTTACACAATCGCCCAATACCACATGTTGAACGCCTACAAGGGGTTCTGCCAACGCACCCTGCCTCGTCTCCATTGGTGGTAAAAAGCCCGAGACCTGTATGGCCCGGGAGTGTCATTGTCTGTACTTGCTTGATCCGAATATCGACTTGCTATTTGCAAATGTCAAAGTGTTGAGAATTTATGGAACTGGAGTAGGAATTCCCACATCTTTCTGATGTAGGCAATATAATATTGCGGGATGAGGAACGTAATAATATCTTATGCTGAGTTGCACCTCTCTCGAACAATGGAAAGCAGGGCAGTGCACAAACATATTAGAAAGGCCGCAATACAATGAATAGAATCTAACAATATTACCACCAAATTGTAGTTCTGTCACCTTTCAAATCGCCTTCTTTTACTAATACGTCTTTCATGGCAAGCGCAGATAAGGTTAGAATAGTACCCACTACTTGTAGGTACGTAGGTACCTGAAGGTATCCTATATTGGTATTTATGTACGCCTAGTGAACCCGGTGTGACCCCTCTTGATAACGTGACCACGCGCCGGCCGGAACAATTGTTCCCTGCCTGCAATCGCGTCATCCACTCAGTATAGCACCTCAGGTTTTAGCAACCGTTTGGCACCTTCAGAATGTCGCACATGGCAGGAGCAGAGGGCTACGAAGAAGAGCAAACAGAAGATGAAGATGAAGAGGCTTCTGAACCTGAAGGAAGGAATCGAAGAGGCAGGGCATTGTTTGATGCTGATGAGTATATCGAAAGCGCGTCCCCTTGATGGCCACTACCCCGACTGCGTTGGCTAATAGCTTAAAAGGAGTCACTGGAATCGCTGTTAATGACGATACCGATTCGGACGTCGAAATAACGGATGTCAAACCGCTGAATCCTAGGAATGGAAAGGAGAAGGAGAAGGCAGGGGAGAAGGTCGCATGGTCCGACAACGACAGCGATAACGCATATGAGAGATTTAAAAGCCGAAAATCCGTAAAACGGAAGAGGACGGCCGCTATAAAGAAATCCATTAATGCGAAGGCAAAAGATGCTGCTACAATTAGAAAGAACGGCAAGAGTAATGGGGAGTCAATACAGAAAAAGCCGAAAATGTGGGGAGAGTTTGCTGATCCCGAATTGATGGACGAAGAAGTGCCGGAATATCTTCTTGAGAGACGGAAGGAATTTGATGAAAAGCATGATATGCTCCAATCAGCAGGCCTTCAACTTCCCCCGCAGTATGGCGATATCGAATTTTCAGACGATGAGCGACTTGCAGAACTTCAAGAACGACCTGATTTTCCGCCAAGCGTCGAGCGATCCCGGCCATACAAAGACATTAAATTACCGCATTCTCTCGGGGTCATACCCGCCTCTATTGCACAATATTTACGAGACTATCAAGTAGATGGGGTGGCTTTCCTTCATGAGTTGTTTGTCTATCAAAAGGGCGGCATTCTTGGGGATGATATGGGCCTGGGTAAAACAGTCCAAGTCGCTGCGTTTTTGACTGTGGCTTTCGGGAAGACAGGGGATGAGCGCGATGCAAAGCGACTTCGAAAAGTGAGAAGGACCCATGGCAAACTTTGGTATCCACGAGTGTTGATAGTGTGCCCTGGATCTCTTATTGAGAATTGGAAAAACGAGTTGACACGATGGGGATGGTGGCATGTGGACAAGTACCACGGTGTCCCAGGGGATAGGACTGCTGTGCTTCAAGCTGCCATGTCTGGGCGATTAGAGATCGTCATCACTACCTATACGACTTATCGAAATCATAAAGACCAGTTGAATATGATACCGTGGGATTGTATAGTTGCGGATGAATGCCACCAAATAAAGGAACGGTTCTCTGCAACAACTCAGGCGATGAATGAGGTCAACGCTCTATGTAGGATTGGTCTTACTGGAACGGCAATTCAGAATAAATATGAGGAGCTGTGGACCATGCTAAATTGGACTAATCCTGGACGATTCGGACCAATATCTACCTGGGTATCCAGCATCAGTGAACCTCTAAGGATTGGGCAATCGTAAGTTGTTCATTAGCTCTCTAATATCACGTCTTGCGCTGATGTGTATAGACATGATGCTACATATTATCAGTTGAAGCAGGCAAGGGTGACTGCAAAGAAGCTTGTCCAAAATCTTCTTCCCCAATTCTTTCTCCGCCGGATGAAGAGCCTCATTGCTCATCAACTTCCGAAGAAAACGGATAGAGTTGTATTCTGCCAGCTTACGGGCGTCCAGAGCAATGCTTATGAGCAATTCCTTGCTGGAGAAGTCGTAGAACTTGTCAGGCGCTCATCTGAGCCTTGCGAATGCAATTCTGGGAAGCGGCGCGGATGGTGCTGCCATACTACTCTATCCGGTACAAACACAAAGTGGCAGGTATGTCTGACCACCTTTAGTAACCCCCGAGCTCCTCGATACTAACATTGTCCAAGGCTTTGGTATTCCCTGCCATTACAACGCTCCAGAAGTTATCAAATCATCTTGCCCTGCTCATTCCGAATTACAAGGACACGAGTGACAAGCAAATGCGTGACTTGGAGTTTCTTAAAGGCATGGTGCCAACCCGATGGAAGGAGCTCTACGCAAATCGTGATTCTCTATTCAACCTCTCAAATCCGGAATTCTGTGGCAAGGTAAGTCCTACCCTGCAGCGTCACTGTGCGTCTCTAATTTCTCGGCTTTGCAGTGGAAGGTTTTGAAGAAACTCCTTAAGTTCTGGCACGAAAATGGTGACAAAGCTCTTATCTTTTCTCACAGTGTTAGACTGCTGAAAATGCTCGAACACCTGTTTAAGAACACGAGCTATAACGTCAGCTTTCTTAGCGGAGAAATGCCTTATGAGGATAGACAGAGGACCGTTGACGAATTCAACTCTGATCCTCAACAGTTCGTGTTCTTGATTTCAACCAAAGCTGGAGGTAAGTTGCCCATTTTACTCTAGAATTGGACACTCACTCACCAAACCAGGTGTCGGTTTGAATATCACCAGCGCTAATAAGGTGGTCATTTTCGATCCGAACTGGAATCCAAGTTATGATCTACAGGCCCAGGATCGGGCATACCGCATTGGGCAGCTTCGAGATGTCGAGGTTTTCCGCCTGATATCTGCCGGGACTGTTGAAGAAATCGTATATGCGCGTCAGATATACAAGCAACAGCAAGCCAATATCGGATACAATGCCTCCCTCGAACGTCGATATTTTAAAGGTGTCCAGAACCAGAAGCAGCAGACGGGCGAGATCTTTGGCCTTCATAACCTGCTGACTTTTCATGGGGATTCGATGGTGTTGCGAGACATCGTCAATAAAACCAATGTTGCGGAAGCAAAGCGTGGTATCGATATTCTCGACTTGGATATGGACGATATGTTGAATGATGAAGATAACCCACTGAAGGTAGATGATGATAATGGCGATGGAGCGATGAGCCAATTGGCCGCCCTCATCGCAGAAGGTGACGATTTAAAAACGATCAAACCCGCATCTAAATCTCAAGCGAGAACGGACCCCGTACAAGCTATCTTAGCATCTGCAGGAGTGCAGTATACACACGAGAACTCGGAGGTCGTTGGCTCCTCGAGAGTGGAAGCAGAGCTCAGTCGTCGAGCCGAGGAAACGGGGAATGATTTCAACTACGGGGAAGAAAGACTATTCTCGGAGTCACAATCGCAGCCGACTGACCCAGGAAAAATTCAATATCAGTTCCATCCTCCCGAAGATGTCATGGTCAGACAGTTGTGTACCATGGCGGAGACTTTCGGTTTCGCGAATGCCACGGAATTTGCTTTGGTTGTTGAAGGGTGGACACAGAAGCAGCGGACCGACTGTTTGGAAAGATTTTATTTAAAGAGAAGAGAACGGCTTGCGGAGCTGGAGGCAAAAAGTATTCCAGGTAATGGGGTTTCTGGGAATGGGTTCGGCGTTGGCACGGACACGGGCACGGACACGGATGACGACGATGAACTTTAACATGATACCCTGGGCGGATGGTGTTCTTGAGTCAACGGGTGCTAGCGTGCACACCGAGCAAAATGCTTATGCTATTTCTGCTTTATCTTTAAATGCAAAGTGGGTATGTCAAAAGAACCCTCCAATATACAAGAATATTAGTCACTTCCGGACTGAGACTCATCCTCGCTTCTAGTCTTCATCTCCTTCAATCCTCGTCCAACAAGTCCCTTTGCCTTGCCCTTCTTCCCCTTAACGCCCTTGCCCCTCAATCCAACAGGGACCTCCTTCCTGATCTCTCCATCCTCGAACAAGACGCCAATATCTGGCCGTCGAGCCACAGCCTTCTTCCAGTACTTCTTCTCAAGCGCCCCATTAACATCTCCCGCCGTCACAACATTCCCACTCTCAGTCCGCTGCCACGTGATCTTGTTATCAGCCTCCATAACAGACCGGAGGTTAATGTAAATCGAAACATCAGCATCGCTTGAAGGTCGAACTTCAGTGCCATCTTCATCCACCATGATGGATGTGAACTGCACGTGAGGTTGCCCTCCCGCACGTTTAATTCCTCCAGAAGCCAGGATAAGGGGATAGTTGGCGTAGGAAGTTTCATAAACGAGCAGGTCGGGGAGATCTTCGGTAGTAGTTGTAAGAGGTGTGAGTTTAAGGGCTGTAGTAGAAGGGGTGGCTTGAGATACGGCTGGGGTGGGAATCATTCGGATAATGTAGTCGGACTCATCTGCCTCCTCTTCTTCAGATTCGGGCTTGAGTTTGAGGACGAAACGGGATTTGGAGGCGGGAGAGGCGATAAAAGATTGGAGTTCGGAGAAAGTAACTGCGAGGGTCTCAAGGTTGGGCATTTTGAGCTGTAGCTTTATTAGTGGGGTGATCATATATTCGCAACTGGGGGAACTCACAGCATCCTCACAGTCGACCCATCCATCCGCGTCAGCTACGAGTTTCTGCTCATCTTCCTCCTGCTCCTCGTCCTCCTTGACGGTCCGCTTCAAAACCCAGACCAGAGCCTTGGAGATTAACGCCTCCCGGTCATCGACAGTGCTGTATCCGCGACCTCGGCCCTTCTTGGCAACGCTTCCGCCGTGTTTGCTTCGGCCGTGGCGAGAAGTGTTTCCAGAGACGGGGGAAGGGGGCATGATACCGCCATCGAGAGAAAGCCCTTGAAGTGGTTGCATAACTGCGGCTGCCATTATAAAAGTAGCGTTGGTAAAATATGAATCTTACAGAAGTCGATATGATAGTGGTTTTGAGAATGAAGAGAACTGGACTGGAGTAGAATAACGAGACGTAGATTGAGAAAGAGTCAATACTGAGGAAGTTCCAAAAGTGGATAGAGGGGTACATATATGACAGCCATACGCCGAGACACGTCGCCCCTCCAACACGTTATACCCCACCCTCCTCCTCCATGACAGCTCGTCCGAACCTCGTCCAGACGGAATATTCAGCATCCAAGCCCGGCAATCGATTAGGCACTGCCAGCGGTGCCAAGCATGTATTTCATAACATCAAATGCATTTATCCACTTGTCTGGTCTGCATGTATGCACCAAGTCATAGGCACCTGCTGCTCTTCTCGCACGTCCTAGTGGGTTTGTGGCATAGCGGTGTGGATATATGTCCTGCGTGGACAGCAAAGCAGGCGATAGCGCTTCAGAGAGCCAGCGGCGCGACCCGCTCTGGGAACGCGTGCTACTTTCTGATCGGCTAGGGACGCCCTGCTGAGATCCTGCTGCATAATGCGTGGCGAATGGTGTTTGAATGTGCTTGGGAGGAAGAGCGGTGTACACTCGCTATATGCGGGTTTGGGTCACGTGCTCCTCTTGTGCGGCCTCGAACGCGGGATCATCGGTTTTGGATTTGAGATTATGACGCTGTTAATTGATCAGAGATTCGCAGCCATCAAGGAATTCAAGGCGTTAATTTGCTGCAGACACCTTTCGTTGTGGTTGCGGTTGCGGTTGTGGTAGTGGTTGGAGTGAAGTGGTAGGACTTGTGCAAACCGGCCGAGACCTGAGCTGAGATGTGCGATACCGGATTCCTGGGAATCTGATATGTCGTACTACATGAGGTATCAAACCGTTCTTGGAAAGGTTTGACACGTCAAGTAATAATTCAAACGGCTCCGGTTCAACGCTTCCTTTGTTTGATCTAGAGCGTATAATTTTAGTAAGCCTCGAAGGGAGTAAGAGGCAGATGTCCCAAGCCAGCCCGACGATGCACGGCTTTGCAAGCATGCTTCGCTTAAACCCCTAAACCCCCCTCAAGGGATAACATTAAATAGCCGTAAATTCTAATTATGCAGCAACCTCGTCTTTCTATAGTTCATACACTCTATTTAAAGAGCCTGACTATACGCTGCGCAAACCCCCCTATAGTTCGTCCTATCATCTTAGCCCCGCATTCGCTGCTTCCGCTTCAGCCTCTGCCTCATCATCGCCTTCAAGTCGTATCTCATGCCCATTACCTTCTCTCACGAAAGTGCTCGCAAAACATGAAAGCGTGGCGAATCCTGCCAGAGCCCAAAACGTGGCTCCTACAACTCCCTTTTCTAATCCAACTCCGTAGATCCATCCTCCAAGCGCAGGCCCAACTGTTCGGGCAGCTGCACTTACACTCTGGCCGATTCCATGCACTGTACCCAATACAGTTGGGTGAGGACAGCAATTATTAACCAGGATTTGTGCGGCTGGAGCAGCAAATGTCCGGCCCATGACAAAGAGGAACACGATGAACGTCAGGGCCGCCCAGAAGATGGGTCCTGTTTTCTGTGATGGTGGAGGAGTAGTTGAGGGCATAATCGCGAGGAAGGGAACGAGTGCGTAGACAATTGGGAAACAGTAGAGGTAGATGCGGTATGAGCGAACAGTGCCTAGTCGCGCGTTGATTGCAGGGTAGAGGAAAAGTTGAAGAACGATACCGATAGCCCCCAATACAGCCATAGCGAAGCCGATCGACCGAGGTGAGAGGCCGGTACCGCCGGTGAACTTCAGAGGAGGATGTGGAGTGTAGTCTGGCAGCGGATGGGAAGGATCGTAGACCGGGGTGGAGAGAAAGGTGTAGAATATGCTCTGAAAGGTCCCCATTGCGGCAGCAAGGAGTGAATGAGAAATCAGAACCGTGATGACATTGTATGTAAACAGGCGGTTTAATGGCAGCTGGTTAGGATAGTGCGGTCGAGCTAGTTTTGAGGATTTGGGAGGGGCAGACAGCTCAAGCACTGGAGTGTCTCCATCACTATCGCTAACCGGCAGATATCCGTCATTTGTGTTTCTTCTTCGTAGCTTTTGGTAAATAGAGGCAATCTTTCGACTTGATATGATACCCCAGTCGTGTCGGTGACAGAAAGCGTGATGTGTCTGCAGATGTCAGTCTAGCTTTTCGGATTAAATTACGGTGTTTACCTCTTCTAAACCAAGCCACACCGCGAGCGTCGCGAATGCGAGGAAAATAGCACTCAGAATATTCGGAGGAGAATAGGGAAATATCTCGAGCCACTTAATTCCTCCAAAAAGGCTGGGATATGCTGTCACTGGGTCACTGGTCAAACCGCCGATCATGGGTCCAATAATAACTCCAATATTTGCAACCATTGGAAGGACTACAAAAGCCCTCGACTGGAATCTTCACGTGGTTAGTATTAGACTTGATATAACCATGATGTTACTTACTTCTTTTCCCGGATGATTTCACTGATCATTGTCCTCATCACACCTACATTGCCGTTGAGCTTCAGTGGAAATTATTAGTTGTCTGGGTTATCGATCCGGGTCATTAAGAGTCTACTTACAGCGCCACCGAGGCTCCGAAATATCAACGCTTGAGTAAAGGTTGCGGAGAAGCCAAATCCGATACATGAAAGCATTGAACCGGTGAGTCCAAAAAGAATAACGCTCTTCCTCCCTCTTTTGTCGGACATGCGACCCCAAACCATGGCAGTGCATAACTGTGCAGCGGCGAATGCCCCCTGGATTATACCCGCCTGAGAGGCAATGGTTGAATCAGGTAGGGTCTTGTCGAAGGACTTCAGTTGGTAGAACAGGTATGACTAGAAAATGTTAGAAAGTTATTTGAGCAGGAATGCTCACTTACTCTTAAAGACGATTGAACGAGCGGTTCTGATAGTCTTGCAATAGCTAGGATTGCCAATTGACTCTTTCGAGGAAGGCTCATCCACGTGATAGGTTTCTCCTCTGGCTCGGAAGGGAGCTCGACAAGCGATTCCTCATCGTCGAACGACAGGCGCGGTTCTACGTCGTATGGAGCTGCGTCGTGGGACTGGCTAGAAGCGTTTCGGCCTCGGCGCAGGCCATTCTCGGTCTCCTTGAGCAAAGGATCTGATTCGTCTGATTCGTTTTCATCATAGGCTTCATTTTCGTGAGTATCATCTTGGCGGCGGCGATCATAAGCTTCGAAGGTAGAATATTTGCTCCCGGAAGGTGGGATAGGTGTACCAGGCATAGCTGGTGTAACTGCCCATCAAACAATAAACACAGACTTCGCAGAGACTTCTCTGTCTATATACAGAAGAACGATAAGAGATACTTGGCGCGAATACCTACATATGAAAAGAAATACTCTTAATTGAAATTTCTTGGTCTGCTTCCAGAGCTGATGTTAACTCCGCCCGCCACTCCATTATTAATACGCGCCCGAGGGTCAGAGGGGAGAAACGTTCATTGGGCCACACGGACATCGGCATCTCGGCACGGACTTTGCACTTACACAGCCTCTTGCGCAATCGTCTGGCTTATTGCATGGAAATGTTTATTGCCCAGTGAAGAGCGGTGAAATAAAGAGAAGGATGGAGGTAAACATGGACATGGAGATGCGGCAGAGATGGTGTCATTGTGCAATAGGGGTCCAGGAACCCCAAAAAATCATGGGTTTTATGGTTGTTACAAGGTAGACGGCGCCACTGCCATGCGGGGCCCCGCTATGTCTGGCACCCCCTACTAAGCTACTCTTTACATTCCCTTTTATATACACTTTACATCTACACTCCTAGGATAGTAGTTCCCTGTATATGGCCTGATGGTGATAGATTCGCGTTACGGCTACAGATTGGGAAATTACAATTCAACTCCGGCATGTCCCTTTTTTTTAGCCTGTATAAAGTACTCGAAAGAGTAGTTTGTAAGTCATGGGAAAGATAAACTTTCTTACTCTTCCACATTAAGGCCATCATCTAAGAAATGGAGTTTAGCTACAATGTTGGAACTGGGATAAAGAAGGGGGTATTTCCTTACCTAGTTGAGCATAATTAGCCTGGATCTCATCAGCACTCTCATATTGATCCTTCCAACACTTCTTAATAACCCTTGCCAACCTCGCCTCAATCCCTTGTAAATCGGGGAGCTCTCCCGTCTCATACAACTTCGTGACGTTCCTGTCGTCTTTACTCTCCCAAATCCGACTCCCGACCGCAATCTCATACAACACGGCACCAAGGGCGAAGAGATCATCTCTAACACGGATATTCAGCAACCTTTCCTCCATAGAGATAGGTCTACTGTAGCGTATTGAGGGAGCTACAGCTGCCGTTGAACCATCAAGACTAGAGCCGCAGAAATCGGCAAGTACGACTGATCCGTCCTTTGAAACCAGAAAGTTATGTGCTCCTATGTCGCCGTGGATGACACCTTTAGAATGGACGTATGTAACTGCATTAATTGCTTGAGCTGGCCATCTGTAAAACCGTAAAACCGTCAGAACATGTTTCGACAAAAGTTGAGACTTCGATCTACTAACTCCTTCCTCTCTTCTAGGTATTTCTCCTGTGCTAAATGCCGCACCACGAGGCCCGCAGGAAGGTATTCGAGGGTAAGACCTTTACCAGCTTTTGATTCACATTTTCCATAAGACGTTAGAATCTGGGGGTGACGACCTAATCGTTCATATATCTTTTTTTTTTCTACCTCGCTAGCTTCTCCCGGCTCATCACAGATCTTGAGAGCGATACCAGATTCGATTAATACTAAGACTTGGGCGAAGAGGCCGCAGCCGGCGAGTTTAAAGTCTTTGTCTTCGGCTGCTGCTAGGATCTCTTGAGGCCAGGCCATTATTGGAGAGTGTATTTGATGACAAAGTAGGAAGTCTCCACTGGAGATGGATGGTTGTAGTAGTTCCGGGATGTGCGTTTGAGGATGATTCGAGTAACCAACCCACTGTAGCTAAGATAGGTAGGTATCTTCTGATAGGCGACCCATAAATAGACGACGAAGTACCCCGTACAACTACGGAGTATGAAAGCTTGCAGGAAACGTACAATGTGTCGTAGTCGGATGCGTCAATTCGGCTGGAGGCAGGATGACGTGGTAATCGGAGGTCTATGAATATTATGCGGGTACACAGAGTCTGCGGCTGGGTATTGGCTATTGTCTAGTGGCAACGTGTGACCGAGAAATAGAACAGTTCATCCTCCCCCTATACAGAAAGTTGTAGTGATCTCTCAGCAGGAAGTCTCGAACGGTAATTCAGGTATAAGACACGAAACCAATAACCTTCAAATCCTAGTTTGTGAGGTATTCTAGTGGAATTTGAGACGCTTTTAACCTAGAGAAACCCCCTCTTCATCGGTTTCCTCAAGTCCACAGCCTGTTTTCTCAATCTCCACGTCGAAGGTTTAAAACCAATGTCATCTGTCCAACCTTCCGTCTCCAAAGTTTTAGAACGTACGCCCCTGAGAATGTCAGCTATCTTTATTTTACGTTGCGACAATGAGATTGTGTACCATACTAAAGACCCTACTCTTCGCAAATAGGGCAATTTCCTCCCTTATTCGCCGAGCCTAATGGGATTTTCCACTCCATGAGATCGTCACAAACCTAGATCAGTTGCACTACGGACCCGTCGATTTCAGCTTGTTGGCTGCGGAGTCGTAGAACCTAAACTTTTCAAACACTCTCATTATGATCATCAAAAGGAAAATGAGATTGTACTGCAGTTCGCTCGATTTCAGTCTCAGAGGGTTCCATAAAGCCCTCCTTGAATTTTCGTATGATAGCTTTTGATTTCTCAAGCTGCTGATTAGCTGGGACACAGCTAAGTGCATCTATACCTATGATGTCTTTCATTTCGGCCAACTCTTGCAGCTTCCCTTCTTCATGGTCATGGTCTTTTGTGCACTGTTTTATCTCTTCTTCAGAGTACTTGATTGGACTATCCATCGACTCTACAGGGGCCACATTATCGACACGCATAGGCCAGTTCTCATACACCTGGATTGTGGTATACTTAAGAGACGAGGAATCTCCCTCCCAAGGTGTTCCAGCGCGGTTGAAAAGCTTGGCTCGAAGCATCGCGTTTTCATTTCATAGCACATTAAAATGATCTGGCATGACTCTCATGGTTAAGAGTAGTAAAATGGACAAGACCTTTTCGCATGGTCTCTTGGGCCGCGGATTGCTCGTACTGGTTTAGGTTATCAAAGTTTTCTGGCAATTCGATTTCTGGTTTTGTTAGAGTTTCTGATACCGGATCACCCCAGTTTTGAAAGTGGCGAGGTATACCAGCACATAGACAAAGTGGTTGAACCATAGCATGCTGCCAATCAATAATCCCCACAATGTCATTTGAGGAGCCTATTAATATATTATTCGGCGAAAAGTCTGGATGGCGAAGGGTTGGACGAGAGAAGGGGTGATCTGGCGAAATTTCTAGAGAAGGCGGTATTCTTAGGTAGCCGGAAAGACGCTGGATGTGAGCAGTTGGCGACATCTCTTTGAACTGGTGCAACCCTCGTAGGTATAGTTCAACGTGGAGGCGAGGTTTGCCAAACCGTCTACAAAACCACATCTCACGTTTTGCAGGCGCTTCGAAGCATGAAATAAAACCATTCCCTAGAGTTTTTGTCAGTACATGTGCACATACGGACAGCATCTAGAGACCAGGAGGGAAGAATATCATAATATACATGGGCCACGGTCAACATCTAATAAGGCTCGTTCCTTGTACCACCATTCGTGATGGGCAGTGGGACCGATAACGATATGATTTTCTGCAGATACTTCGGATTGTCCGGGGAGGGGATAGCGAGTTGTGACTCCCCGAGGTCTCTACGATAATACAAACTCCCGTTCGCTGGAAATTCGATAATCACGAATCGTCTCTACATGTCAATGATCTGCCTCATTATTTTGACTCGGGTTTTGTTATCCATGGAAAATCACTGATTACTCACAGTCCCTTCAATTTTCTCGAGCAAGTTGTACTCTGCACCAACAGGGTTCGTCCGATGTGGGGAATATGCAAGGACCTTTGGGACTGTAACACCACGAGAACGCAGCAAATCAGGGGTGGCCACCTCACTAGCCACAGCATGACATTCCGGAACTGTTGTGGTGTACGACAACCTGGCTATCACTGCATAGCCGTCATCGAAAGTGGCCTGAACGACACGGTTGAAGCCTCCTTCTGCGAGCTTTGCGATTGAAGCAAGGCTGCCAACAGGCCGGCCAACGGAATGGCACACGGCCTTTGCAAGTGCATCAACATCGAATTCCAGTCAACGTTCGGCATGGCGAAGTCCCTCGTTGAATCCAGGAAATCGGACAATACCAGTAAGGGATATGTGGCACACCAAAAGTAGGGTCACGAGCAGGACTCACAGAAACCGCCCAGACGTGTATTCAAACAAGTCGCGATTGCTGCTCCCAGTGTTTATACTCCTTGCCGTTAACTTATATCTTCGAATAAAAGATTTTGTGAGGAGTCCCATAGCCCAAAAACAAATTTGAAAGGCCAGAATCCGCCGTACTAAGTTGCTTTCTTGCAGGAACAAAAGGAGAGAAGGTAAATTGATGTTTAGCTACACCGTAAGCTGCTGGGTTGGGTGTGACAAACTCAGCAGGGGTATTACATATACTGACTGACCGCCGGCCAGTCGAAAAGCTGAGACACGAATGCTTGACTTTGGCACTTGCAACAACAGCTGTTACTAAATTCTCTATTTTGAGCTCGAATTAGATTTGGTCGTTTTTTAATCATTATAAACCCATCATTATAAAAGCCATCATTATAAAGCCGTTACCCCACGTCCTAACCCTTTTTTCCAAGCCGGATACCTTTGGCAATAGATGGGAGCTCTTTGTCGAGATAAACTTGATTAAAACGTTGTGGTTCAGGCGGTTTACCATCACCCCCATCGCCTAGGTCAGCTCGTCGAGGAACCTGCACCTGGTATTCGACAGGCTGGATTTTACCAGATTCCACATCATGCAATGCGATAGAGTCTGTAGAGGTTCCCAGATGCGAATTGCCGGGGAGGTCTGAATATTCGCTAGGCCTCCTTCTATGAAACGTGTTGCGATCCGGTGTGCCCCCGCTATGGCCTGACGTAGTGCCTCCTAGAATTCGTTTAAAGTATACCCTTAGAGGAGGTATAGCGGTACAGATAACGAGGAGGTTGGTCTCGACGTAGGTCCATGACCAGAGGTCATGGCTCAGCCCTGGCACCAAATCAGCGTGTGTTGGGGAAAAGGGATTGAACCAGAAAGTAGAACATGGTTTACACCAGGTCGTGAGGAATGGATGCTTACATGTCACGTCGTAAGATTGATAAAAGATGCGACGCACGAGGACCGATCTTACAATGCCAGTGATACAGACACTGTGAGTAGACCACCACCCGGTCAGCCGTGCAAACAAAAGAGGACTAGCAGGAGGGATAGAAGCAACTGACATGAACCCAACACCAAAGATTGCCCCAAGACCAAATTTGTCCCTCCTCGGCATCTTCAGTTGCATGAAAAGAAACATGGGCAGCATGGCAGCTAGAAAGTCTGTCACCACACTAACGCATGCGTTGGCCATTGGCACCGTACCCTCGTACAAACAGGAGAATTTCTCCGTGTACGGGGTGGGGTAGGAGTATTGCAGCCAGTATGCACTTATCGGCCGGCACTGGAGAACCATGAGGAGAACGAAGGTGATTCCATAGATCACCTGGGCGACGATGGCGCCATTCACAATGTAAATGAACGCCGGCCTTGAACTTCCCGCAACTACTCGCTTGTATAGGAGCATGGCTGAGAGTTTACTAAAAGTAGTCGAGATAACAAAGCTACCGATAGACAGGAATCAGCCTCATAAACAGTTTCCAGCGTAGGCTACATTATTGATGTTGACTTACAGTAGCTGAACAATCCAACTATGCTATACCGGCGACCTGGTCAGCGTGGTGCGGGCAAAGGAACATATCGGAGGGGGCAAGTGTTTCACGAACATATTGTCTGCCAGTTATCTCGTGAAACGGCACGTCCCATATGTGCCTAAACCAACGGAATTTCGTCTCAGCTACATTGTCATCAGCAAGTCAAAACTCTAAGCAGTTCCCACACTGAGGCCTTACTGAGTATCAAAAGCACAGCAATTCCAATCGTGGGAATCTAGCAAGGCCCCAATTAGTACCACGGCTTTGGGAACCCTCTCTCTACATGCCAGAACCTTGATCCGCGCGGTGAATGGAAATGGCCTACCATGCATATGACCAGCATCGCATCGTCAGCCCCGATTTGTTTTTGATGCCTTATCCGCACCCAGAGTCGAGCAAGAACGGCCGCTATCGATAATATCGCGAAAATTATCGAGATCACGAGCACTTCATTGCCCTTGGTTTGGGGGTCGGTATAATTCGCTTTCGGCCAAGCCATAATGACCGCCATGGGCGGGTGAAAGCCACCCGGCATCGTGGAGGAGAATCGGAACAGAAGACGACGAAGGGCAGCACACGTGTATGACAAGGAACAACAAACAGTAGGCAAGGCCACATGCACGATCGCGGTTGACAGCTCTTATACATAGCATGACCACACGCAGCCAGCCTCGGGCCCGTCCCGCAGTGTACCTGGCAGAAAGTTAAGGTTTGGTCGTTCGTCGGCCCATGTTGCGTCTTTCAATAGTGTAAGAATTGTACGTAGCTGATGCGGGGGCCACAGGTTTTGCTTGCGTTGCTGTTTCAGTCCTTCCATCAAGAGCGTTCGAAGTGGCTTCCACGCATGTCGGGGGTAGGGAGACAGCCAATGCTCCGTCGGAAGAGACGTTTAGCTCACTGTGGCTTGAGGGGCGGCGTTACGAGCGCCTCGAGAGGCCCGAGGGATCTTATGCTATGGCCTAATTATGAATGGCGGAGAAAGGGGCCGCGGTGCCTTGGGGAATGGTTCATGCGATGGCGTCGGAGATAGTACCTTCGTAGTATCTTGCCAAGTTGCCACCTTCGTACTGAGAACGAAGTAGTGGTGTGAGTTTCGTTGCAGCAGCCCGCCGGCGAAGGGCCCTGATTGGCTTCGAAGCAGGTGATCTACAGGCTCGACAGAACGTGAGCCACCCTACGCTCCGAAAGGAAGAACAAGACAGAAGGATTTCAAGGGGTTGGGTTGGGGGGTACGCCCGTAAGAAACAGACACTACATACGAAGTGGTTTAGTCGCAGCGCGGCAGCGATAGAGCAGGGCGGGAAGGGAAGGAGGCCGAGCTTTGTCTTGGAGGCGAAAATCGCAACAAGAATCCCCAAGGGATGGTGTATACCGGTACTCAACTCCATCGTACTGTACGCCGTATGATAAGGCCGTTCTCCCCACAATTCGCGATGTTCGGACGATCAGTATTCAATGACAGCTGCCGACCGTACGAAGCAGCCACTCGGGAATAACCACGAAGTGCGTCGTAGAAATACATTTCGATACATACCTGACGTCTCGTTTGACAGCTACAGCTGCTTCTGCTTCCCCGAAGTTCCTGCCGCTGTTTCATCCCCGTGCGGGGGCTAGCAGTAGCAGCAGCAGCATCTGTGGTTGCCATGTGGTTTCCAAGACACCGGGCTCCAGTCCGGTGCAAGCCACAGCACCGAAGACTGGGGAAAACGCATGTCGAGGCTGTCGGTGTGATGTGATGGTGGCAGTGGTCTTCCTATTCGTCTTACTACATAGTTATCCAATTGCCACGCCGGCGGCAGAGCAGAGCTTCTAGAAGCCAGATTGCTTATCATAGTAGGCTCTAGAGCACTGGTACACAGGATTAGACCTGTCTTTGACGGCGGTACTAACGCAGTCTGTGTCGGTCAGCAGAAGTAGCGTTAATGGTGGAGGGATACGCGGGCTTTCGGGCTTTCAAAGTCTGCACTGATCGCCGACCTCCCCTACAAAGTAAGCCGTAACACTTCCTGGTGCGCAACAACACTGGAATCATTTCTGCGGAGAGAAGTCACGTCTCTAGAAGCGGATCCGTCCACCCACTAGGCCGCCTAGTACTTCGTACCGTCCAAAGTAAAACGCAAATGAAAGCCTAAGATCGGCAGATTAGGAGTTCAAAACGACTGTTTTCGGCCGTGTGCATGTGGCGGGCGGGATGTTAGACATTCATATGGAAGTATAGATAAAAAACCCCCGGTTTTGTAAATTGCCCGAATTTAGTTTGACATACCGGTCGTATTACCGCTCCTCTGCCCAACGCCAGGGCGCCTCACAACGAAAAACCATAATTCGCCACCAACGCCACCAACGCCTCGTGATCCCTTTTCCCCGTAATGCCGTCCTTACCTATTATATCCATTATATCCTGGTGGAGGTGGAGGCGGATAGTTCATTTGTCCCAAGTTAATATCGTTCTGCGGATATGGGGCAGCAGTCCTCCAAGGCTGGGGGTCATAACCCCCCACGGCTTCAACAGTCTTAGCTTTCTGTATGTTTCGGCGGTATCTCCAGAACGCCACGGGCGCGAGAATGATTACGATAAAGAGTGTGAGTGCAACTAAGGCCCAATTGTATTTGGAGTTTTGGGCGAGTGGGAAGCCACTGTTTTGGTAGTGGTTAGCAATCCATTTGGGGTTTCAGGAGATGCAGTGTGAGATGTGCACACTATTCGTAACAGAGCTGAGAATTAGGCCCAAGGCAAACTTACAGGAAACCATTCGCGATACCCGCGGGAATAACAAGACGTCCAAGCCACACATGGATTGGAGACAACTTCGTCGGTGCTTGGGTCTTCTTGTATATCCGGTGGTGCATAAATCCAAGAACAAACTGAGCGATCATCATCGCGGCGATGATGATGCCGAATATTTGATGGGCCGAGCCAAACTTCTTCGTTCTGTTGTAGAACGTTCCGATATAGAAGCCCAACGACACTCCGGTCAATGCTACAACCAACGATATAGCTTGGTTTACCCCGTGCCATTTGGGGCTTTTCAAGATTCGTAAGACCAGCACTCCCATCGGCATTAGACCAAGAAATGATAATATCATGATGCATGCATGGATAGGGGAGGCAAAATGATGATCAACCTTCTCGGAGAGTTGTTTAGATTCCTTTGAGCTATTTGTCGCAGGCGGGGGCGTACCAGCAGGGCCAACTGCCTTAGTGAGGTCCATCCTGAAAGTACCGTAGGAGGCATGACGCCTTGTGTTTGCAGTCAGAGAATTCGACTTCAAGTCGCCCGAAGGACCGTTCGCCCATATGAACTTTGCAGCATTATTCTTCGGGTCAATTATTCCTCCATTCCATGATCGGCAGTTCGAGCACTTTGCGTTCACGGTGACCGTGTTGTTTACGATGCCGGATCCCGCGAGTAGCGTAATGTTGACCAGTTTTGTAAGGCTGGGCTCAACATGGCCGGACGTAAGTCGCGGACTCAGGGTTACGTTCTTCCCGCTTGAATCCGAGTACACCATAAATATCAAGGAGTCGTCCATCTTGCCATTCCCCATTCCAACCGCCTAATATGTGAATTAGAATCGAACCTAGCATGGTGCAAGGCAATGCGGACTCACAAGCCATGAGCAGCTCCTCGGCCCGGAGATGCTGAAATATAGCTCATTGCTCTTGTCATCCTGAGGTATATTGAGGGCAAACGCAATACTGAGGTCGTCGGCGACAAAGGCCGCCGAAGGAGATGCCGCCGCCGCGGTGGTTGTAGAGGAGAATAGCGCTGCTGTTGTACCTGTCAGCGCTGTAAATGAACATTGACACTCCCCGGCGCCGATCGTCTTGGCGCCCGTATCGCGATTAATAGGGACCTGACAGGTGTGGACGTACCTGCAGCGACCAGCACTGAATTAACTAAACGGACCATGGCGCAAAACTATTAACAAGTATCACTTCGTCGAGAATCGAGATGTCGCAAAAACAACACCGAACAAATGTAAAAGGTCGCAATGCCAAGATAAAACAATGGCAGAACCTCTGCGATAGATATCACATTCTGCTGGAAGATCTATTCTGGGCCTGTTGTTATCGCGGCCCTGGTTGGAGGGTGGCACCGCAGCCCGGCGAGGCGCTGACTGCTTTTCACGCCTATCAAAGCCTGTCATCCCAGCACGCAAGCGCCCACGGATGTGCGATTTACTGTGTAGGAAATCTGATTGGCAAAACCTCGACAACCTTTGGATGAAATATTTCAGGAATTAGGGAGCCGGGTCTTGGGGAAGCCGATCCCTGCGTCTGCTCAATATCGAAGTGTTTAGCCTACCGAGGTACCTGCTCTTGTACTCTAAAGATATGCATTGTAGTCGAGGAGAAAAGGGTGGGGTGAAGTGCGGCGAATATGGCACTTCGTGCAACCCTCTTATAAATAGAATAGCCAAGGGTAAGTCAAGAATGGTAGAATTACCAAGGACTCGGATATATACAGTTTCTATTAAACGCATAGATACTTTAGATATTTGGAATGTGCACCCTGTTTAAACTACTGTGATGCGGTCATCACTTTTCAAGGCTAAATTGTGTCGCTTTGTACTGTACTATGAAGGTGCCGGTAAAGAAGGTTCCTTAATTCTTGGTAGATATTATCTCTAGATCTGATATTGTAGGCCCTCGGGTTTCCCCTGACCCTCACCACTTCTCAACATCTTTTCAAGAATTTCCAAGTCTGCAAGCGCTTCCTCGGGGGATTGCTTGGGGTTCGGAGTGCCACTGGCAACACTTTCAGCCCATGATGCGACTTCTTCCTTGACACCAGACCCCTCATCACTGAATTCCGTGACTACAGCATTATCCTCCTTTTCCTCACCATGTCGGACCGTAACCTTCTTGAAACCAACAGTAACGCTACCCTTCTCGCAGGCAATTACATACTCGCTACCGGAAAGTGTGGTACCGAAGGATACAGAGAATGTACCGGAAACTCCAGATTTCGTTTGCCAGACAGAATTAACTGTATCCACAGGCGGGAGATGTTCTTGGAGGAGTGCCGTATATGCCGTTAAAGAAGTAGGTCGAGCCTCCTCTCCTAGAAGTAACCGTGTGCCAGCGACGAAATGAACACCGCCATCCAACAAGAATCCACCCTGGTACTCGGGCTTCTTTCTCCATGCAGTTTCTGCGATTGTCAGCACGATAAAAACCCGGAACAATGGTACACCAATATCTTACCAAAGTATTTTCCGCCAGGCTTCACGTTCCCAAACATCTTTATTCTAAAACCCAAGACCCTTCCCAATTTCTTGACTTCCTGCGCGCCGAACAGGAAACTCCCCAAGTATCTAAAATTCTCCGCAACAGCCCATGTCGCGCCTCCCTTAACCTTATCGCTCTTATAGTACTGTATCAAACGCTCTGCGCTCTGGATATCCTTCGCGACTGGCTTCTCGGAGAGTACATGCTTGCCTGCGGCCAGCGCTGCTTCAATATATTCGGGTTGGGTTAGGATTGGGAGCGCAATGACAACGGCTTGGATGTCGGACCGCAGAAGAAGGTCATAGTATGTTTTACCGGATCCCGAATCGTCGGAATAGAGATCGACGGAGGAGTTTATCGCTTGCGCGGATTTGAGGGATCGGGAGTAGATGGCTTTGAGGGAGAGGTGCTCGCAGGCTTGGACTGCGGGCTTGGTGGGGTCAGCGATTGCATCACGATGGGACATTGACGACGTACCAGATGTTCCTCCTTCGCAAATATGCCGCTGCCGATGATCGCGACTCCGATAGACATTTTGCTGTGTGGTATAATGAGTGTTTACTTTGGTTGGAGTGTAAAGGTAAAGTTAGTTGAGCGAAATCCCTTATTATCGGTGGTTGATTGGTAATTGTTTGACTGACGTCGTGGATAAATTGCCTTCTTTGTGTGCTTGGAACCCACTTTACATCGATCATGTGAATGGCGGGCAAGTAGAGCCCACGATGGAGCCCAATCGAGACTCCTCAGTGTCCTCCATTTCAAAGGCCCGATTGTAGTTTGTCCCGATATGGAGCGGCTTAAGGAGCTGTCCACCATTGGAAGTTTCGCACGATGCCAGGGAGACTCCACTGCTGCCAAGTGTCAGCTTGGAACTCCTCTTGAATTCCCATTATACCAATGGCGCAAGGCGCGCCCATATCTCATTCAGCATTTTAAGGTTAACTGGCTGTCGAAGTTGAAAGAACTAGTCTTGGTGCTCATTTGGCTACGGGGTTTATTTGACCCCCGCTATTGCACTGCTTTTATGCGTATTTCAACGTCAGGGAAACAATTTGTCAAAGATCTGCTCTGGGCATCGGAAGCTATCATTTCTCAAGGAGCGAATGGAGGTTGTCGAAGTTAGTAGAAGTACGCTGTGCATCAATTGCTCAAAAAAATGTATAAGATGTCAAACAATTTCGTATTGCAGTATCAATCTCAGTATATCCAACGCCGATGTTTCCTAGTCCAAGCACAAAGTTGACAATTTTCCCCTTCCGTTTCTCAACCCCCCTGTGTTACTGCTCATCCTCTATATTTCCTGTTCCAATTGTCGCAATGCTGGCGAATCTGCGCCTCACTACCATAACAAATTCGGAGAAAGACTTGATCGTCGTATCTGAACCCGGATGCATGCAAAGGGGAGTCGGGCTGGCCGGACGTAAACCTGATGATATCTCCAGTTTCGATAGGCTGAAGGAACTTGGCATTAGGAACGCTGTCTGAGTCGCTGTGGCTAGGTATCGGCGCAAACCCTCGTAATCTGAACTTTCTAGTAAATCCATGCTCGGCGAGTACCATAGTTGGATAACCATGAAGCGTCGTAGCGTAAAAGTTGCAGGCCTCTCCCTCGTTCTCTGGTATATATACCGTGGGATCAACATGCCATTGTGGGAGCGGGGTTTGATTGTATTTGGATACCCGTCCCATGACCAGGACCACCAAGGAGGCACCCACCGGTGCTGAAATAGTCGATGCTGTCTTGGTCAAGTAGTCCTGGTGGGTCACCTCCATGAACTTTTGAATTTCAGATTCCATACCCGTTGCAGAGGTCTTGCAGGTCTCGCCAATAAATTCGGCAGCCGCTTTGGTAATTCGCCGTATATTGAACTGCCCTTCGATCAAGGTATGGTTGTCAGATTCCTCAGGCCAGACATCGATTATAGTAGGCAAATCGTGAAGGTGTCCGATGATCGCAAAAGGAGGTTCGCGTCTTCTTCCTTTCAGCCAGCGCCAAAGAAAAGCCATACTGGGGAGCGACTTTGGGGATTAAGATTGTGAGTTGTTGATCAAGCTGTACCGATGCTCTGGAGTCTGGAGATTGATGTATCTGCGATATCTATATTATCAGAGAGAGGGGGGATCCTGCTCCTTTTATGCTAGACGATGGGGCAACTATTCCCCCGTCTTCCAGAACCATTAGGAAAGCTCAAGAGGTCTCATGAGAGAGTCATTACAGAAAGTTGAAATCTGGAACCTCTCAGCCGGTAGCCATGAGCAAGGTTTTCGTTCTACTGAGTTCCAGGATTATACGACTTCATTGTACTTGGGACACTTCTCAACCGATATAGCGCATTTGGAAGAAGCAGGCGAGCTGACTGCAAATTTGGATACTATGGATATACTCTTTGTCACGAAAGTACCTTGCTAGAATCAATATTTAAAGTACACCAGTTCTTTGATGAGTTGGGCACAGCTGGGAAGTAAGACATTAGCAACTATACCATATAGAGCATGTAAGAGAAGTATCTCGAAATAACTAACTACCTACCTAGGTAGGTATATCTGATTCTTCTCATAGCCCTACAATACCCTAACCTCATAAGGGTACATACAATCTTCGTTGCCCGGCGGGCAAGCCAGTTCAGAACAGTCTCACTTGGACTCATCAACATAGCCATTACCCGAAACAAAACCCAAAACCCGCCCTATACATCCTCAGCGCTGCTTCCAACTCGTATCACAGCCCGGTTGCTAGGAGCAGGGGAGTTAATCACTAGATTTGGCACTCAAATGGCTGAATGTAACCGTAAGTGACTGATCACTCCCGTCCAGCCCGTCAGCCCTGCTTCCCGTCCGGGAACCCCATAAGACAGGCAGAGTATTTCATAGCATGCCTAGCTATACGAACTGTATGTATTCCTCCCAAACCCATCAAGCCGAAACGGTGAACGAAAGAGAGCTTCACCACAACAAATAAGACAACTCGTTCAACGTGGGCTTAAGTCATGAGATAAACGCGTTAGACAAATCCAGAAAGAGGGAATTACCCCTTATCGTATACGCAAGCACTCCCGCATCTTCAAAGCTTCGCTAGCTATAGCTACCTAGGAATATGGGTACCATCCACCGCCCACCACCGTCATATACTCAATCACCGCTATGCCTCTCCCTGCAAGACGGTACGAAGGAGACCTTTACCATGGTAAGCGCACCTCATCCCATCCGTCCAACCCCTCTAGACAACGCCACCCTATCCTATCTATCGTTACCCTCATCCCCTATCCCACCGAGAAAACGCAATAGCCCGCAACGACGCGCGCCATTCAGCGGGGAGCTGCATTACCTCTTATCACGCGCCCACGCGCTCATCCATACGGCGATATACCAGTACCAGCACCAGTCAAAGTCCCCGAACCCCACACTTCTGCCCACCAATACCAATACCAATCAATACCCCACACAAACCCCCGAAAGCAAACTTCCCGCTGGGCGGGCTATCATCACCTGCACCTACTTCTCGCCCCCCAACCCGTTACTACGATAGGCATCCCGCCGTTAGTAAAACAACAAGCCCTTATGAAGAACGTGGTTTTATACTCCCCCAAATTTATGCCGAGATATGTATCTAACTCCCAAAAACCGGGTGTGTAGCTAGATATCATTAGCGGGAATGATATAGTACATAGGTACATACATATCACAAAACAACCAAGCGTGCTCCATCCATAAAACCCATAGTATAGTATTATCTAGCACCAAGCACTCGCTATAACTAGATAGGTACACATCATCTCTCCCCGTGTCTCTAGCCCGGGGAACTCGAGGAGCAAGTACCTACCTAGGAAGGAAACTATCCATCTACCTAGCATCTAGCATCCTCTCCCCTTCTCTTTCCGACGACCAGAGCCAGATCCCAACGCAACCACATTGATATATACCTATATACGACCTAAGCCACACCCTAGGTACCCACGCACCCAACCAAGTTCACCAAAACAAACAAGTAAATTCTCAGAGTAAATTTCCATATATTAGCTAAAAGGTATCAAGAGAGAGAGCGATCTCGTATGTGTATATTATATATAATACTACCCATCCCACCCATCCACCCACCCAACCAACCAACCAAACTAGCTACATCAAATCATTCTCTCCACTTTCAGCACACATATATAATCTTTGCTTTATATGAATAAATCTCTATCTACTTCCCTCACATATTTCTCCTCCTCCTCATTCCCCTTCTGCCCCAGATCCCCACTTCCTCAAAAAACACAAGGAAGTTTATACGCCAAATACACCTTATATCGCGAAGAACAAAAAGCTCCCGGGGAAAACAAAAAAATATACAGAACCCCGCCCCCCTTAATTTTCAGAGGTGGGAAAATACAAAGACAACTTGCAAAAACGGGAAAAGAAACCAAAAATGAATGGTTTGCGCCATCGCTAAAGATGCTTGGATGAGATAGCCGCCCGCCTTGTGCCCCCTTTAACCTGTCCGCCTGTGTGTTGTTTGCTTGTGTGCTGCCCGAAAAACCTAATATACCTAGGTTTTGAAACCCCTGTCCCCCGTTTGCCCCCGTCGCGCTTGAAAACGAAAACCAGTTTGGGGCTTGGTGCTGTTGGACAGTCCAGGCCCCTAAATGCAAACTATATACGTGGTGTTTTGTTTGTTTTTCTTTACAAGGAAATAGTAAGAAAATTGGTGATGGATCCCGATTCTTGTTGTTCTATATCTCGTGTGCTGCATGTCGGGAATCCTCTTCAATGTCCGCCCATGGCTAAATCTCCAGCTGCCGTGCTCGAAAAGCTCTGAGATGCGCTCTGCTCATGAGCTTCCTTGGGTTCTTTGAGGAGGCCGAGACCCGTGCCCATATGCTCCAATATCCGCATATCTGTGTACAGCGCAGAGGATGGGGATGAGACCAATCTGAGCATGGCAATGGTCTTCTCGAGGAGCTCACTGAGGACTTTTGCGTCAACCCAACGGCCGAGAATTGGGTCTTTGAACGCCGCTTGGAGTGTGAGAAGGTTTCCCCATTGCCTAAAATGGTTAGATTGATATAGCGACGCGGGAGGGAGTAGACATACGCATGCGCCGTCCCCCAAATATTTGTGACAATTAATCTATCCTTTCCAGGATCTCCCAGGCCATGGAAAGCAGTTGTGCTCTTAATAAGCGCCTTAATGCAACTCTTCGCGTATCCAAGAACCTTTGGGTCAACATCTTCCATCCGGGTCGCGTTGCTATTAACCAGAGGAGCGCCAACACTCTTCTTGAATCCCCCCATTGGCACTTTGTCCACAGGTTGCGCAGGTACCGAACTACTGCGCGCAGAGTGCTCGAGGAGGTTGAGGACGAATGGGCGATATGTAATGACTTGAGCCCCGTAATACTTGGCTCTCAATCGAGCGCCTAAAATTTCAGTCGCTGGAAGATCATCCTCGCACCATGCCATATTAGGCGCGACCGTAGGGAACGGGTTAAGATTCGTTTCGCATGCTTCCAGAGTCGAGAATTGGTTCGCTTCCTTAGGAGCCGGATAAACAGATGGGAATTGGGGAGCTTTTAACATGTTAGATGTATATTTCATGGGAGCGGTGTATGCCCTACTATTTTGTGGATCGTAGAACATATTGTGAAGCTGGTTAAGGTGCTTGCGTAGGAACAACTGAGCGCCATAACTCTCCATAACAATTGGGTCGAAACCATCAATGTCCGAAGCCGCCTGGAAATTTGGGCTCGGCATATCGTCTTCATACGTGAGAATGCCGGAATGCGGGCATGGCAACTCGGCGACAATATCACTATTGACTGTCAGTACATCATAATAAGTTGCTATCGAACCCCGTACCTCTCAAGCTGTAGACAGGTCCAGAATGCAATAACTAGAGGGTTATCCTTCGCAGGGACAATGGTGTTGCCGGTTTTTATTTTCTTGAATCTATCCATTTTTCTATAGGGTGTTAGTGGAGAAGTCAAAATGGGGTTCTAAGCCATACGGTCTTAGGATCACCTGGAGGCCACGACACGCTTCGTGGATATAAGCATGACTTTCCATCACCCGCCCAAGTTGGCCGTGATATAGACCCGCAAGGATATTAGCATGAACATGTTGGAGACTATTCCCTCCCAGCTGGTTCCCAATAATATCCGTCGCGAGAGCAAAGTAGAACAATCCCGGAATGACATCTAGGTTCTTGGGTCTCACAGCCGCGAGGCCTTTCGTTGTATACGCGCCTTCTAGGGATGTTCTCCGGCTTCGAGGGTGCGGTCGTTCAGGGTCCTGTGGTGACGGCACCCCCATTGGAGTTGACAATGAAGGCGAGCTCTGTAGAGGGGAAGGGGGATATCCATTCCGAATCGTAGGCGAATTGGCCCATGGGATATCGGCATCCCGATCTGGTACACATTCCGGGATCTTGCCCTTATGTTGAGTAATTGCGCCCAATGCTAAGACTAGTAGGACCAGGGCCGAACTGATGGAGCGGAATGGGTGGCCAGGCTTGATGTCATAGTAGTTCTGAATCTCTGGATACTCTCCAACCGCAGGTGATCTCTTTCGCTTGTTTCCAGGACTTTCGGGGTTTCGGACAAACCCTGCAAAAGGCGGGTGACTCGTATGGTGCCCCGCAACCAGCGACGAAACCTGTTTTGGCTTTGCTTGACTCTCCGGTGTCGACTTTAAAAAGATCTCTATAAGTACGTCTAGCCGCTTCGGGATAAGGATTGGGTGCATAACGTTGATGTGGTCCTTGTAACTCTGCACCAGATTTAATACTGTGTCCCTGCTAAGATCGGGCATCCCTTCGAAATTGATGTTGCCTCTGGTAAATTCCGGAGGAGGATTACCAGGAGGGGTAAGTCCGCCCAGTTGGCCCCATTCTTCGCCGGCCGGCGAAGAGACTTCGGAACTGGTATCCCCAGACGTGCTATCTGAGGAGTGATCTATCAGAGGATCTCGGTCATATCCTGGCGGAGCATCGATCCCTTCCCCTCTGCCATAAAGCCTGAGCAAGCCCCGTCTTTCCTCCTGAACTATCGGGTATTTCGCATATCTGTACTTTCCATGCCAACCGATTCCCTCGGACAACTCTTCGATCCCAGGTGCCCCGAGTAACCTCGCTGCCCCGGTGGTATGATTTACTGGGATCGACGAAGGTTTAGCCGGGCCTGGGTCGCCGCCTACCTCCTCTTCCTCCTCCTCGCCGTTTTCTGCGGGTGTGGCCCGCGTAAGACCCTGCCTCTCCGTAAAGACATCTGACCTCTCCGGCGCACGGAGCTGACTCGGAGTTGAGGAATATGGCGATTCGGAGCTCACCGAGGGGTGAGTTCGCGGGAGTTCTGCGCCCGAAAAGGGTGCTGGAAAATCCCCCACCGTGCTCGAAGTCGGCTCTTGTACCTCTTGTTTCGGCATCGCTTCGGGGGATGGATTGAAATTGAGAGCTCTTTTCATCCGCTTGATTTCCGCCGTATTGTTGGACAGTTCCCCTCGTATTTCTCGCATGGAGTCCCTCACGGATTGTTCCATTCGCATTATGCTCTCGAGGATATCCGATGACACTCTGTCTTGCCTGGTAGTCTAGTTAGCAATGGCCGTTGATAAGCTCCCTAGCAAAAACTTACTGCTTGGGAGGAGGGTCCCGGTAACGGCATTCTATGCCCTTCTCTCGACAGCTCAGGCAGTTTGGTCGCCCTTCGTCGCACTTGGCCTTGAGCGTACGGCAGCTGTCACAGGCTTGCGCCGCGCGCTGTGCCTTGGGCTTCTTAGAATTTTGTAGATTCGGCGCCGAAGGATAGGACACGGAGGAGTAGACGCTCTGCGGGGTGTGGCCGCCGCTGCCATAATGAGGATGCCCATATGGATCGGGGGCGGCCATTGGGCTCTGGGGAGGGGGGTAAGAGGCCGGGCGATATGGGTGCTGGGCCGGGTGAGGCTCGAAGGGCGGTAGATGGGTTCGATATCCCTCATGATGTGGGGGAGGGTTCACACCGCCCTCTCCTGTCGTGCCTGGCGGCGAGCGACGATACTGCTGGGGCGGCGGCTCGTCCGACGGGTCTCTCTTGACCATCGTCGCCTGCTGGGCTGGGAATTGGGGCGGCGGCGGGGGATGGGGAGGCGGTGGAGGGTGATGATAGACATGCGATGGCCCGGAGCTGGGCCTGCGCGGATCGGGATGCTCATATGAGGGATGCTCAGGATGTCCCGGCGGGCGGTGATCGAGAGGATGTTGAGGCTCGGGGGGACGGGGAGGGAAGGACGACGGATGCTGCTGATATGAAGCGGTCGGTGGAGGGGGGAGCTGTCTCGAAGCCTCTGTCGACGTCTGCCATTGAGCAGGAGCTGGGCCGGTGAGCCGAGGACGCTTTTGATCAGGCTGCCCGATGTCCATCATTATATATTATTAAGATATATAGCTCGGTCGGGAACTCGTTCACACACAAGCTCAACCGACGGTAGCGGTGGCGGGCGGCGGCGACAGCAGGAGCAGGAGCAGCAGCAGCAGCAGCAGCTGTAGCAAGAGTCGCAGCAGCTGTAGCAAGAGTCGCGGCAGCAGGAGCAGGAGCAGTGGCAGTCGCAGCACCAGTGGCCATGGACGAGAGTCGAGCGCGCCAGCGGCTTCTCACAGATTTCAGAGCGAACACAGAGACGCGGTAGCGTGTTGGAAGATCATCTGCACCAGGGATGGCTGGCGTGGCGGTGGCAGTGGGTTTTGGGTGGTCGAGGGCGAGGGCGAGGGCGAAGGCGAAGGCGATGTGGACGGGGGGGGAGGGAGGGGTCTGGTAAGTGGGACAGGCTGACGTGGTGACCTTGTATGTGCCAGTACCAGTAGTGCCTGTGCCAGTGCCAGTCGGTGGTATGCGTATCGTGTCGTAGCGTATCGTATCGTATCGTATCGCATCCAAGAGCAACAACGGTGGAGAGGAGATGGGGAGGAGCGGAGAGGGCAGAAGGACAGCTGGATAACAGGATAGCTGGGTATGTAGCTGGGCACAGTAGCTGGGTACCGTGGCCGGGTCGATGGAGGGCGTAGTCTGACACAGGCAGGTATCGGGAAGGGGGAAAAGGGAAGGGGAGGGAAGAGGACAAGACAGCAGGGCGGGAGGGCCGTAGCGTTGAAGATTAGAGGAGTAAGGTCGAGAAGCTTGAGGCCGCGAGACAGGGCCTAATAGGTAATTAAAGACAATTCCGAGGCCAGCGACGAGAAAGGTTGATCAGCGTCGGGCATGAAAGCGTAGTGTAAATGCGGTGTAGTGCACGTAGCGCCCCTAGTGTGCGGTGTGTGTGTTTATTCGTAGTGTAGTGTAGCGTACCAAGTAGTAGGGGGAGTGGAGTGGTTGTAGATTTATTTGGCATAGATGGGCCGGCAGTCTTATTAGGCGCGGGTCGCGGTGGGTTTGGTGCAGTAGTTAATAATTTATTACTCCATACGAAGAAAGCTGCTCTCTGTACTCGGTACTATGTATGTACAGGACCATGAGCATTATTATTGCGACGAAGCACTGCGCTGCACTGCACTGCACTGTATCATCATTATGATTTACCTATTGGGCTGCTCGCTGTAGGCTCTCGTCGTAGGGACTGCTTCCAGCCCTGTGCGCCCAACTCCAGCACCCAAGCAAGCGCCCCAAGGACCCCGAGGACCCAAGGGAATGGATGGCCACAGTGCTACACTCCCTTCCACCGCCACTAGTTCCCTAGAATCCTAGATGGAGCACGGTAATTTATTACTATTATTATTATCCTCCGTACAATACTAATACTAATACTGATACTAATACCAATACTAATAATACTAAGACTAAGAATACTAATCAACCATTCCTCACACAAACTAGACCGGGTTCCAGGGCGATCACTAGTTGCGAATGACCGACTGCCATGCCACAGTTTCCAGTTACTCCGAGGTGTACCAGGTAGAGTACCTACACCCTACATACACCTACTGCATATGCTGTACTGCTGTACTGTACCACTGCTACTCGGCCCCCAGGGCACAAGACACGCCGTAGCACATGGCCACCAGCGCCGCTTCCAGTGCGACATCGTGACCTCGCCCATCCCTACCCAAGGCCCAAGTCCCATCCCCACTGGCACCGCGCGCCGGCAGGGAGCAATCAAGCTTCCAAGGGGACGGCTTCCAGCAGCGGGCAGCGGGCAGCGGGCAGTGGCTATGATAATGGTACTACTAACTACCTACAGTACTACCTACTACCTACTACTGCTGATGGTAGTCAGATGCCAGGCGTCGGATGTCAGGATAATAATGCGCCGGGAACGGGAGGACGCGTTTGTTCCTGTCCCGGCGGTATGGTGGAGTTTTAGTTTCAGTTAGTGCTGCGAAACTATGGCCTTTTCGCTGGGTGGGAGGAACTTTGAAGAGACCGTACCTATGTACCTTAGGCGAGGGAAGAGACAAAGAAAAGGGTACTTCGTACGAAGTACGTACACAGTATTACGCACAATACAACAAAACATACTCTATTCGCAGTGCTATAATTATGATTCTTATTACTCGCCACTGTGCGGCCGCTGCCAAGTTGGCGAGTCAAGAGCTGACCGCCCCCTCACGCTCCATGCGTAATGATTTCCCAGGGACTCAAGACTCAATACGGGGTACTCAAGTAGTCTTACGTAGAGCCTAGCACCCACTGTTACCGCCGTACTCGTACATCTTATGGCGCTCCATCTACCTCATCCTCGCTACCGTGATAACCCTCGACTGAAGTACCTAGGTAAGATGCACATGTACTGTACCTAGGTAAGGTAAGGTACATGTACCTAAGGTAGGTTTGTCAGTGATAACCCCCACGCCCGCGTTAGATTCGAATCTCGCTTCTCCGACGTCAGCGTCTGATCATGATGCAACTCTGTTATTATTTATTTATTAGGCGCCCGGCAGGTACGTGTACGCAAGTACAACAATCTCTGTCGTTATTCGCACCCGCGTTCTGGCTGTCCGCCGCTGCTCGGTGCTGCTAACTAATTCCCATACACCAAATCGCCCGGTGAGGAATCATAATAACTAAAAGAGGGCACGTAGTTTGAGTTCCAAACTTCCAGCCGGCCGAACGTCAAAGCCCTCGTAGTGGCTCGCACCGGCCACCCGTGGGAGGGGAGTGTGGGGACTGCTGGAGCCATTAGTTCGCAACTTCAAACGCTCGAGGCTGGGCAGTGGGCGCCGCTCAGCTCAGGAGCCGTCAGGACTTGCTCAGGACGGGAAGCCACAATATGGGTTTTGCCACAGCCACGGCCCGTGGCCACGGTCGCGGCCTCAGCTGATCCAATGGCTGGGAATTCTTGCTTGGATTGGCATCGGTGCTCAGGCACAGAGAAACACTTTTAACTGTCGATATGGGATAACGCCGGGCCCTGCCTACATATTGTGACACCGCAATGCGATACGGAGTATTTAGATCCGATGCCAGTTGTTCCAAGCTCCAATTTCTGCCATCGTTAACCCCCCTTTCGCAGACGTAGACGTGGACGCAGTCGCAGGTATACTCCGTGCTATCGCTCAAGTTGAGGCTGACTACTGAGTAGGCCCGCCTCACTGACCGTGGCTCGTGAGTCTTTGATCTCGAAAATCCTGGTAATGGCGTGCTGCAAATATCCGTGTGCAGTGTGCCTACGTACATTATCACCTCCATACTCCGTATACTGCGCAGATTGTGGGGCGGGGTGCCGTGTGCTCCAAGATGCACCTGGGCCTGCTTCTATTTTGATTTCGATCCATGCTCCGTAAGTACTGGATACCCAGGTAATAAATTCCCTCGTATTACTACCAAAGTTTCGCTATCCGTACCGAGTTCCCGTGCTCGAGCTAAAACACAGACACGGCTGCTGAATAGCGCCGTCCTTTCGGCATACGGTGGCATTGGAATCGATGTTATCAAAGCTAGTTGGTCGCTGTATTCCGTCGATCCGAGACATTGGAGTCGGAAAGCTGGATCGCCATGGAGCCGTCTCGTCAACTATCGCCTCGCCCCGTACTTTGTCCAATAATGAATGGGCCGCACTGTTTCCCTCCCTCCGTACTTCTTATGTATTGATACTGGCTGCGCTGGATAACCCACGCCGCCGTGGCTTTGCTGTGCCCCAGGGTCGTCTACTCGTTGGCTCATATTGTCTTCCCACAAAAGAAACCTCCGAAATCCTGACCCGGACCGGAGTAGCCCGCATTAGGACCATCGACGCCAACGTCCATCGCCCAACCGTCCTACTTTCCTAGATCCCCCCATCCCTCATCTCCGGCCGCGCAGCCGGGGCGGAAGGATTTGGGCGTCTAAACCAACAACTCGGACCTGGGAGCCCCATCGAAGAATCGAAAAGAGATCCAGCTTCTAGCCTGCATACTAAGGCCCGGTGGCTGAGATGCATGGCGATAATTGGACTCTGGCCCCCTCGCATCGTGTCTTCCTTCCCCTGTCAATCTCCACTCCCTGCAAGCCTCGCGGTTCTCTCCTCCTGGTTGTGCCGTGTGCTCGCTGCTCAGCGAAAGCCCAGCCCCATGGCGCAGGGAGCTTACGGTGGGACTCGCTCACCCCCAGCTTTACGGAGTACTCTGTACAATCCAGAGGGACAAACATGATGACATTTTGAAGGCATTCGCCTCCACAAAGGAATTATGGCCTGAAGAATTACCCCATACATCGTAGTCGGGAAGCAGTTTCCCTTTTCCTTTTCCGAGCTTGCTCATACCCCCTATTTCACGATAATACATTACTGCCCAGAGCCCTGCACACTCCTGTCATGCTATCAAGAATTGTTCTGGACCGATCCCCAATCCGTGCGTGGTGTCGCGAGAGGGCGTGCAAAGCGGGGAAGTGTAAGCAGCCGACGCCATCCATGATTCCATACCCTGTGAATCGCGAACTCCCGGGAAAGAAAAGCACTTGCAGAGTTTCAAACTTCAGCTCTTTGCCGTGGCAACTCGATGGGATCTCGATATCATCTGTCATTTGTATCGTTGCTCACTATCTTTGGGCTTTTGGGCTTTTGAAGCTGACGGGGGAAGGGCGAGACTGGGATTGCGCCTGCTCTTGCTCCTTGAGAGCGCGCGACAGACCACTTCAAAGTTGGAAAGCTGGACGTAAGACGTGTTGGTGCCGCATTATCCACACTGCATGAGCGCTTCTACAATGCACACTGAATCGCTCTTTGAGTATACAGGGCAGGCATCTCTGCTGACTGGCGGTTTGAAACTGGACTGATAACGATGGCGCGTGATCAGGAATGACCCGGGGTGGCACAAACACTCGAAACATCCAATGATCCAGGGGTGGCGCCCAACTCTATGAAGTCAAAGCAAACAACACCTCGTTGACTGGACGCTGAGTCGTTGCACTGCATCAGCCAGGCCCTGGGTGGAAAACGTAGACTTGCCTGCAAAATAAGTTGATAACGATCTCCCCCAATACCATTGCTGATAAAACTTATTATCCAATCCCCCCAAGACGAATCTGTAACATTTAGATCCTGAGCCCGATCAATATCCGTATCTGGCAATTAATTTCGGGACTTCGATGGTCAAGTAATTGTCAGGGCACTTGGTCATCCCTGGTCAATGGTCAGATATCGTGGTGCTGGGTCACCAGAGCATCTTGTCAGATGCTACTCCGTATGAGCTGCCGAATCTTGAGGCAAAGTCTGGGGAAATTTACGATCTCGGTATCCAATCATTGTGTCGATCAGTCACGACTCAAGGAAGCGCACCACTTTTATTATTCCGCATGAGCGATCCTTCGTGCTAGCGATGATGCGAAGTATTCCCAGCCTCACTTTTCTCGAGAACTCCGGGGATCCACGCTGCCGTCGATGCATAATACAAGGGATGCACCCATGGTTCCAGACTTTGTGCATAACAATATAGATCTTGGAGGATTGTTGCCCAATTCGATGTCAACCTTGTCTGCAGTAGTACCTGCGTAATACGAAGCAATCGGTCTGGCTGGTTGCCGTGCTGAAGAAGAGCGGTCAAACTCCAATAATAACGGAGCCGGTAATATTACTTTCGGCGGTCAAGCATCCTATGCTCTGTAATAGGCTACGCACGTGGCCCCATGTGCCCATGTTAGCAAGCCTGCACCACTTGATCAATGATGGTCGGCGGAACTCGTATGAATAACAGCATCAATGCTGCAACTATTGCTTGTCGAACAATACTGAAAATCCAAGATCGACTCAAAGAGGATCCGATCCGATTGTCAGATCGCCTAGCAAGCTAGCTCCAAGGCTCCTGACTCCAGACGCGTATACTCCAGAGTCGATTAGCATGATGATCTGGTGGAAGTCTCACTGGTAGGCATGATATTGTCGGTTCACATCAGCCCCACAGTGCTTCTGTCGAAAGATCATCTGTGTCGTGGGGCTCCATGGAAGATCCTAGCCCCTGAGAGGTGTTCGGTATTCGGCTCTCTCATTAGGGCAAGCGAACTTTACGGCGTAATCTTGTCATTAATTTCAAAGCACAGGGTGAGATACGTCAAAGCCTCAAAGGAGGTCGAGCGTTTCTCAGGAACCAACCCCTTATTGGGTAGTTTCTGCGGTCAGAATCAGAGCCAGGTGAACCGACTTTCTTTTCGCTAGAGCAGCTCGCAATGGAGCCATCTTACTGTTGTGGCGTCTGCGGCCGCAGCCATCCAGTAGTTGGTTGGGTCCGCCACCAAGACTATTATCGAATCGCAGCAATACACGGCCAATCGACTCCACTACCGAGTGCGAGACTATCGACAGATTGACTCCTGGATCTCCTCATTCGTCGATATCGGTAGCCTTGGCTCTTTTAACCCGGCGCTTTTTGGACGGCCGATCGTCATCCGACTTATTAAATTGAGTTGGAGGGCTTCGAGAAGACTGTCCACGGAGCTTTTCTGAAGGTGGACGCTCTATTATTTGCGCCCCTTCCGTAAAAACCAGATCGGCGGCACCTCCAAGACGGCCAGCCTCTTCCACCAAGATCCCAAGGGCTATCAAAGCCGTCTCGTCTAAGCTCCTCCAATCACTCGCACCACCGCCTGGCGCGGCCCGCGAGTAGAAATCGGTCGTATAGCAGTGTAGAGCTTTCAAAAGGTCGGAGTCGGGCAAATTCAACTGTGGTTCCCGTTCATTGGCAAAGTAGATATCATGCTCAGCAAACCTGATCGGTGCGTTCTTTCGACGAAATAGCACTGCTTCGGGAGGTACTGCAGCGGTAGTTGAGGACGTAGTATCACGTGCCGGAGCGAAATTTAATTGCTTTGTGATGAAGCCCTGGGATGAAACGCGCCCTGCGGATGTCTTAATTCATGTTTCTAGAAATGGGGAAATGGAAAGGGGGCTGGAAATGCACCTGCTACAGCGTCGTAGACCGTTGCGTTTCGCTTGGGCTTGGGCGCCACGGGAATCGCAGCTGAGGGCGGTGATGGCGACGAAGGCGGAGCTTGAGACGCCATTTCAGAGACCAACTATTGAGTATCGCGTTTGCCGCTGGGAAAAGGACTTTATGTAGATGTCGGCGTAGAGATTTGGGACCTTGTAAGTTGTAACTCTAGAGGAAGTTTTCTTTTTTTTTGTGGTTATGCTTTAAACGCCTCTCGTAGCCGACGGCAGCGCGTGGAGCACGGAAGCGACTCCCGGCGTGCCTCCCTAAGGCTGAAAAGCAGCCCATCTGCTCCTCAATTCCAGCGCTGACGCCAAAACAAACTGCAATACGACCGTACGCCCTTGCAAATTAAGAGACATCTAATCTCCAAGAAGTCATTCATATCGCCAAATGCATGCATCAGCTTTTGTTTGCACGGTCGATGGGCGATCTCAGCGCGCCAGCCTTCTCCCGCATACAAACTTCACAGCTGGTTGGCGCCATTCAGCCTTGCCCAAGGCTACGGTTTGATGGCTGTGAAAGAGAGGTGGTCCCTGTGGACGATGGCGAGGAATCATCATCCGTGGCACCGGGAGACTCCAAGACCAAGATATGGGCCCATCAAGCTGGTGTGAATGCTCTTACGATAGATGTGGACAACAAACTGTGAGCAAAGGGATGCTATACCTAGCAACATAGGCGCTGATGAAGTAGTCTTCTTTCGGGTGGAGCCGATTCGTCAGTGAGGCTCTGGAATCTCCAAGAGCATAGCACTGGTTTAAGCCATACAGTCAAGCCCATTGCATCAATATCTAGGTATCGCCTTTGCAAGAAAAACGAGGAGCAATTGCTAAAGCAGGCCTAGAACCGCCTCGGCCCATAAATACGGCATCACACATCTCTCCTTCTATCCTTTTGACTCGGCAGCTTTTCTATCTTCTTCCTATGACCACCACCTCAAGCTTTATGCTACTGAAACACAAGCGGTTTCCGCAGATTTTGATCTGAGTTCTATTATCTATACTCATGCGCTCTCGCCGATCGCCAGCCATCTTCTGGTGGCATGTGCCACGCAGCATCCTAATGTAAGACTGGTGGATCTTCGCTCAGGCTCTAATACACATTCCATGGCTGGTCATCATGGTGCGCTACTCTCGCTGGCATGGAGTCCAAGACTAGAGCATATCCTCGCAAGCGGAGGAGTTGACGGTACAGTTCGTCTTTGGGATGTCCGCAAGAGTTCCGCATCATTAGGAGTATTAGATATGGAAGACTCAACTGGTATAGCTGGGACAGATGGTATGGGCAGAGGTGCGCGGTCGCGGAATGCGGGGAAGGCCCACCAAGGCGCTGTGAATGGACTCACCTGGACAGATGATGGATCTTACATCGTATCTGCCGGGCATGACCAGCGAGTGCGAGTCTGGGACGCAGCTACTGGAGCCAATACACTTGCAAGCTTCGGACCAACGCTAAAGAACAGCCACCTTTCATGTCTCCCTCTCGCCGTCTCTCCTACGTCTTCAGTTGAGGCAGGCAAAGAAGTGCTTTTCTACCCCAATGAAAGAGAATTGCTGATGTTTGAATTACATCAAGGCACGCTTCTGAAGCGCCTGAGAGTCCCGGGGCCCAACATTGCGGCAGTTAGGTCAAGGACCGGTGAGAGGAATGTCAAGAATCGGATTACAGGACTAGCGTGGAGAGGTCAGGCTGATGGTATCTACTCCGCCCACACAGATGGCCAAATCAGGCCTTGGCTTCCGAAAACTAGAGAGGATTTTGAGTTGGAGAAGGAAGAGGAGGAGGATGAGACTGGAAAACGTCAGGCTGATGCTGGGGACGACGAGGGTGAAAGGAAGCGCCGTGTCTTAGATGATGTGTTCAGGGATTTGACAAGGCAGAAGATCACATTCGGATAGATGCGAATATCCAATTAATCATGCTAAGGGTAATTAATATATTGCATTTCGCCCGAGATTATTAGTATTCGTTCGAAAGTCATTGTTACTATAGCACCAATGCCAATGCCATTATCGATACCAAGGTCTGCAATCCTTCAGTTTAAATACGTCGTCTCACTGCTATCCAAGCCCTATGGCGCAGTCTACATCGTTCCGAAATGCCATATGCCAGACATATCATTTAAGATCTCATTATGCAAGCCTCGACGCCAGTCACCCTTCATGCAAGATCTCTACTCCGCGTAGATCATCATGCATGGGAATCTTCGGTTCGGCTTCGCTCGTTACCAAGATTGCTCCCGTTTTTCGCAGTCCGTGGCAGCCGAGCTCCCGAAGATTTTATGCCATGCCGTCGATCACGAGAGGTCGTTTCGATCTCAAGTCTCGAGGCTCACGAGAATCTCCAATTCTTCATGCGCGACCATGACCTTTTGCAACATGTTGTATTACTGTAACTGTATATTGTATATTCAGGAATGATATACTCCATCCACACCGCTATATGCCGAGGTCGGTCCTCATCCCTAAAGCGATCTCCCACCCCGCTCTTCAACGGCGGAAATACCACGGATAAGCGGCAATTCAACCGTTTGTTGATCTGGATCGTAGCGAAATAAACAAATCAGAGGGAAGAAGAGCCTCGGTGGAGCACTATAAGGTAGTACGGGAATAATTACCTAGGCATCTCCTACCAAGGTACAGTACCTATCAGCACCAATAAAAGTCTCTGCAGTCCAGGCAAGTTGCCGGTCTACGGGCAGCCAGGAAAGCTCTGCAGCTTGAATATCGAAGTTTTTGAGATATTATTATTGTTGCATTCCAAGTTGACTCACTACGCTGTGCGGTTTCTGCCATTGCACGTCTCTGTCTCCGGCTTCTACGAGTACACTTATTCTCATTATGGGAATAAGCTACCTGGGCATTTTCACATATTGTAGTGTTGCTCTTTATTCCATTCTCACGAATCAGGTGGAAGATAAATCTCATCGCCTCGAGATCCCATTATAGCCAGACAAAACTATGATATTTGAATGTCAATACCTTAATTGTTTTTATGTCCTAAGAATTCGAGAATTATCCTCTCATCATGTCTCCAAATCTCCAAGAAAATATGGCGACTCCATTCGATAAGCACGCCACGAACCAAGTCAATGGAACTACCATGACTACCGCAGCACGCTCTCACGACCTGGCGCGACTACAATCCCACGGCTCCCATGCGAACGAGGCACCAATCCAACCCTATATCTCATATATCGAGGTCCCAGACGAGGTGTACGATCGACTATCACCTTCCAAGAAAGTAGTCATCGTATCCCTCCTCTCCTTCAGCAGTTTCCTTGCTCCACTCTCCAGCACGACAATTTTATCAGCCGTGCCCGAAGTGGCAGCAACATACAACACCACCGGATCAATTATCAATTTAAGTAATGCCCTCTACCTGATATTTATGGGGATTTCTCCATGTATTTGGGGACCGTTGAGTCAGGTGTACGGAAGGCGATGGGTTTGCTTCCTTGTATCCCCTTAGTATAGAACCCTCCAAGCTAATATTATATACAGATCTGCATTATAACTGCAACGCTCTTTTTATGTTGCTCTCTAGGCACAGCACTCGCTCCAAACCTAGTCGCCTACTTCATCTTCAGGATCCTCACTGCACTAGAAGGAACTGCCTTCCTTAGCGTCGGCGCCTCTTGTATAGGAGATATCTACCGCCCAACCGAAAGAGCTACCGCAATGGGCTGGTTTTACTTGGGAACTTTAGTTGGCCCCGCGTTGGGACCTTTCAGTAAGGATAAAGAGCCCCTTTAATACTCCGTTCCTTGCTCTAAAATTCAACTTACATCCACCTGATCTCTTCCTCGTTACTTATCTACTCCGAGAGGATTTTACACGGGAAATACTGACTCTTCAACCACTTAGTCGGCGGTGTGATAGTCACATTTAAACCCTGGCGCGTCATATTCTATCTCCAAACAGCCCTCGCCGGCGTCGCAGCAGTCGGCGCTTACTTCCTCCTCCCGGAAACAGCTTACTATAAGAAATCTTCCGACCTAGTAGGTCTCTCGCTGCAAACCAAAGTCACCGTTCTATGGGGAATGGTGAACCCCTGGCGAGTGGTCCAGCTGTACCGGTACCCAAATCTTATCATGGTAGCACTTGCGTCCTCCTCTTTGGTCTGGAACATGTATTCGCTCCTGACTCCCATCCGATACGTGCTGAATCCACGGTTTGACCTCACGACGCCCATTCAATCGGGGCTTTTCTACCTCGCTCCGGGAGGTGGATATATCTTGGGGACATTCTTTGGAGGCAGATATGCTGATTATATCACTATTAAATGGAAAGCAAAGCGTGGCGGAGTGCGCGTCCCAGAGGATAGACTTCGCTCCGCCCTCCCGTTCATGGGAATTGTCACCCCAGCCTGTATGCTGATTTACGGCTGGTCCATTGAAGCGCGTTTTGGCGGTATTGCCCTACCCGTAATAATGATGTTCTGTCAGGGCGTTGCTCAGTTATTCTGCTTCCCTTCCTTAAATACGTATTGCCTGGATGTGATGCAGGCGCAGGCTGCTGAGGTTGTTGCTGGTAATTATATGGTTAGGTATATGTTTGCAGCGTTGGCGAGTGCGACGGTTTTGCCAGCCGTTGAAGGGATTGGGGTAGGTTGGGTTTCAACGATCACGGCCGCATTTTTGGTGGTTAGTAGTGCGGCCACGTGGGCTGCCATATTATGGGGAAGGTCGTGGAGAGAGGGTATTGATCGGCGGAGGAGGGCGAAAAGGGGTAATAAACTTAGACGGGCGGAGAATGGGAAGGGTGTAACCGCCTCAATAGAAGAGAAAGGCAAAGAAAAACAAACTGTTTGAGATTAAATTTAGATGATTAGATGTATATATAAAATGCAGAGAAAATATTATATCGGGGAATAGCTCTCCTCAAGGCTTAAGTAGGACCAACAATAAAAGGGGCTCCCAAAATTATATATACGCCCAGATTAGCGGACTCTCCGTTGAAAATTGTTGGGCTTGGTTGAACATCACTAAGCATAAAATCAAAATGCTCCTTATTAACAAGGAGGCGAGCCAGCCTAGGTAGGGTCCACTTGGGGTAGCGGGTGATGCACAAGTAGAGCTATTTTGGAAAGTTTGCTCTAAATCCAAGAATAATACGCGATAAAAATGAGGGAGCAAGTGGGATAGTGGAATTAAATATAAAGTAGAATGTCGGAAAACTAGAACTACAAAAAAATCCTGGTAATGTGACCATCGAGCGCCATCGTCCCGGCACATATTTTGTTTTGCTATTTACAAGCCCAAAGTATTTAAAATATAGGATGAAGTCGAAGCCTCAACTGAGGACGAGTGAAACAAAAAAAGGGATCATGGGACTGGCTGAGTGTGATGACCCATAGCCTCCCCTGAAATCCGAATCCCATCGTTACAATTCCTTCATCACAATGTAACGATATATTAACCTTGCAAATCTGCGTTTCTGGCTATTTTGGTGATCTCTGGTCCGTATCCAGCTTCGTCTATGTAATAATAATACTTTTGAAGGATCGTAGCTTTCTTCGGCTCCAAATATCAGTTAATATCATTGTAAATAGTTGTAATATCCCATTAGGAAAGAAAACTAAACTAAAACGTGAGAGAGAAGTCCCTTAGCGCTATAGAGGAGGGAGCATAGCTTGAAGAAGATAGCATATATATTAACGACTGTCGAAATTCCTAATTCTGGCATCGAATGAGTCCCCAAACCGCGATTCCGAGGCTGGAACGCAACCAAGTGGTCCAAACATCGCTCTCTTGCAACCACCTCTCTGACCTTTGTGACCTGTGGCTCGGGCTCGCCCCGGACCCGCCCACAATTCCAACCCCCCTGCCTTGGGATCTTCTCGTTCCTTGTCGTGTAAGATAAATATTAGGTCAATGGCCTTTCCAAACGGACTAGTAAATATGTACATATACTGAGCTTTATCTATCTTGTCATTGAACTATATAGCTAGTTCTTTACGACTATGTAATTTGAGTATAGCTCGAAACTTGTTATCTTTGTAGTATTTATAGTTCGGCTGACAGATTCCCCTATTCTCTAGGAGCTACGGTATTTCGTGCAATATGCACGCTGATTAGAGTGTATTCCGGGGGCGTAGCAAGAGCTTCCTAAATAGAGAAGTTAGAAGTTTTCAGATACAACATTAAAATACTGTCTTACGTATGCCACAGCAAGAGACGCGGGCCATCCTCGGTATTACAAGTGTTTTGGGGCGTCTTTATTAAGGCAGGCCGCCGTCCAGTAGTTCAAACTTCAAAGTGGTTGTCATATCAACGTCGGAGTCAAAAAAGATCTTTAGAGTGGCCGTATTTTCACCATCTGTTAGGCGGCTCTGGATGTTGTGATTTGTACTCTCTGTACCGTTATTAGCTGATAATCCTTCGCGACTTCCCTGTGGGGTGAGAGATGGAGATGGAGACTGCATTTTGATACAGGTGCAGATGATCTCGTGGTGTTGTGTGTAAGTTAGATGTAAGATGGTGGCGGTTCTCAAGTGGCGAGGAATTTCGTAATTGACAAATACAAAGGTGAGGATACAAGTTCACTTTTGTATAGCGAGCGAGGTAGAGGTGTCAGTTTAGGCTCTAAATTGATTTTTATAGATCGACAATGAAACGTCTCCTCTTCCATACTACCTAACCGTACCGCTATTCCTTGCCATTAATACCATGCTTATTGTTTGAATGGGAACGTTACGCTCTAAACGCAATAAATATACCGTGGTGGGGCGCTTCCAACCACCGGTTATTACTTTGTTTTTGCACTCCTATTTGTATTAGAACTAGCACGTGGATAAGTGGGGCCAATTGGGCATATAAGCTGCTCGGCTCTCACTCTCTTTTGCACACAACCAGCACACAGCTTGACAGCTGGACCAGGGAGAGGCTGGCCAGTTATTTAATTACCAGTACAACTCAATTTGCCATACTTATATTAATAACTGGATCCCATGACTATTCGTCGTCCCGAATGCCACTGCTTGAGTGCGCCTTGAATATTCACCTCCTCTAAGAACACTAAACCACTGGTTTAGACTTCTTTAGCCACATGGCCACTTGACGATAATCCTGAACCGTGCCCATCGCTCAATTGATCCCCACACCTTGATTGCGATCATTTGGCAGTTTTATCCATGATTCCTCCTAATACTCCTATGGGTCCTCCTAGCTCCTCGACAATACATTATGGATTTCGAGAGAGAGTCAAGTGCGGCAGTGGCGACAATTATATAATCGAAGCCCCTGTTACCAACCCCAATTTCACCATCGAGCCCTGGCGCAAGAACACTGAAAGATCTGCGAATAACCAAGGAAGCTGGAGGCATACTCACTGTTTGGAGTCTCAAAGAGAAGGAGTGGGTTATATGGCAAGCAGATTCAGATCTGCTTCGGGGCCAAAAGTTACTTGGGATGTGGGCAAAGAAGATATGCAAGGTGATATACTTCACGAGTCACCGATGTGAAGTCGTCGATCTCGACAAATATCTGCGTGTCGCACTATCCCGCCAAGTGTTTACGGAGACCGAGCTACAACAGTTAATTGGCAAGCTGCAGCGGAGTCTACATCTCCGGATGTTGGGTGGTTCCTTACAAGATACTATTATCCCTCGCTGGATCCAGAAAGGAAAATACCCGTTGACTCCATACGATTGCGCAATCTAACTAGTCATTAGATCTTAGAACTATAGCGGAGGAAAACAACGATTTGCCGACGTCGGTTATTATCGGCGGAAAGGAGGAATGGGAGGTCGCGTAGATTCTTGCCGTGCGCAGGGTCGATGGAGCAAGAATCTTTGTAGAGCAAATGAATCTTCCTATGCTACTAACTTCCATTCTACTACTAACTTCCATTCTGCTGCTAGCTTCCATTGTACTGTCAACTTCCATTTTGCTGCCAACTTCCATTGTGCCGTCAACCTCCATTTCGTATACCGAAGCTGATATGCTTCCTGCTTGTCATTCGTCGTCGAGTCTTATCTAGATCGTAGGATCAAAGGCAATTGTTAAGAAAACCAATGTAGACGATAGCGACAAGGGTGAGGTGAGAACCTCGTTTTAGTCCTAGTTGTCGTCCGGCTTCGCCTATGGCCAGATGTCCTGCTGGGCGCAGTCCAGACTTGGAGAGTCTATTGATTAGAAACAGATTTCCAATCGAGAAACACAGGAGGCCAAAGACGCGTATGAGTGGGGTATTGCCTGCTTAGCAACTGCAACAGATATTGTGTACCTCAGCGGCCTAGAAGCTACCGAAAAGTCGACAAAACTAGCAGCTGAACGAAATAATGAACGGATGAAGACGGCAGGGATATACACCCCTCCAAGTATCGACACTATTACTCTAACGGCAAACTTCGGAGGCGGAAAAAGACGAGCTCTAATGACACACGTTGACGAAGATAATGAGGATTGGGGTTTATCGGGGTTATCATTGCGAATGGAAGCTCCTGTTATAGCGCATTCTTGGGCGAATTTGGTACAAAACTCTTTTCGCTATAAATACCGGGCAACTACAGCTATTACCTATATATGTCTTCGATATCGTGGTATCCATATTTGCAACATATCGTATCAATTGTCCGTGGGTCAGCATTTCTTCCAAATTACATGATGAATCCCGTGTGAACAGTATTTTAGAAGCCATTGATCTGCTACTCGGCTGTGCTGTAAATACCACTGAAGGCTGAGCGCAAGGTGAAAGGGGGGACGACAAACCCAGGGACAGGCGCCCGAAAGTTGTTGACTGAGGAGAACATTAAAGAACCTGCTTGGGAGTGATTACGAGTCAGATGCTGATGATCAGGATATGTCAGAGTGTGGGTACAAAGAGCATGAAATTTCTCGATGTCCACTTCCTCTAGAGTTCTTTCAACAGCTTATAGTTTCGTTGAGTGTATTGTACTCGAAGTAACCCAGCGCACAGTAAACCATGCAAAGTCTGGAGGCACCAAGTAACTAGGTGCGCATTCGTCCGTTCAGAGCGCAAACCAATATCCGTAATTTAAGCCTAGCCATGTGGCAAGTCATGCACCAGCCTTGTTGATCGCTGATACATGGTCTGTAACCAAGGTATTGTAATCGCTTGAGCCGTAGTATAAAGTATATCCATCATCGTGAGTTTTACCAGTGCTAAGCGTGTCGCCATATTGCCAGAACATATCCCCAGCCAGACCTGGTGTGTTCAACGAGGTGGTTTGCCATGGGACCATAGCTCCTGGCTTGTTGGATGTCGCGCCGTACTCCTCCCCAATACACGGCTTGCCAACCTTAGCGCAGACCGTCCCGTGATTAGCAAACCATGTGCTGCCAAAAGGGTTTTCACTCACACCCCCTTCTGTGTGTAAGTTTCCGTTGTATACTTTAGGTGGGTGATTAGAGACTCACAGCTTTCGGGATAGAGATGGAAAGTTCCAAAATCCAGGTTCTTTGATAGAGTCAGTATATCATAATGTTCGGGAGAACGGGAAATTACTCACGGGAACCTTAAGGTTTGCTTCAAAGTCAATGCCTTCGGCGGTTGTGTATGGATAACTGCCATCGCCGCCACCATTCATAAAGCCTTCATCCCCTAGAGTTACCATGTGGTTTGGATCAAGAGACTTGATGTATGCACTGGTCTTAGTAGCTATTGAGCCGGGGAAGGTTAGTACCGCGCCAAACGTCTCGTCAATAACAGGAAAGCATCCTCTTTCTCTCCTATCCAGAGTCGACTGAAAGTAGAATGGAATAAATTGCAAAACTACTTACCCCAATTTGTAATGACAGAAGTAGAACAGCCTTTGCAGCGTGGCTCATTTGCTAACTCCCAAGCAAAAATCGCTGTGCTTGAGGAGTACCGACTCACGACAGCCTTGATATAAGCCTGATACTGTGCCTGGACCTTTGAGTCCGTGTACCATGTAGATATGCTAGTGCCGTAAAATGAGTTATAAGCCGCCATGCCGCCATAATCATTCCAGTTATTGACAAAGTTGACGATCAGTTTGACCCCATGGGATTCGGCACTCTTGACCACGTAGTCAAGGCGCTGTAAGCCGTTGGCGCCAGTATTTATCTATTTCGGAGTTTAGAAAGTCAGCGCTCCTCATGACTTATGGAATATTTGCAGCCTGTTGACTCGTCTCTTGGGTCGATCGTTGGAACTCGGCAATACTTAGCAATTCAGGTCAAATGGGATTATTTACCTGCGGGTTTTGTCCTTTTATGAAGCTCTGGAACCATACTTCAGATGTACTTTGCGTGATATCGTTGAAACCTTTTTCGTCAGCGGGTAAATCGGCAAATATAGGGAGTTGGCCTCACCCCAGACTCTCAAAACTTTCAAACCTGAAGTCTTTAAGTGCGCCATCACCAGATCCACGTCAGCATTATTGGTAAGAAAGCCAATCCAGTACGAATTAGTCCCCGCGAAATACCCAGTGGTGCCATCAATGTTGAATTTCAGACCAGACACAGATGGGTTTGCTGCTGCTGCTCTACTAGCAGCTTGGGACACTTGGGCAGCACTGTCCAAACGATCAGACATCATAGGCGAAGCTATCGCCGATGAAATAAACGCTAATGTGATTGCCTTGAATAATTTCATGACTGCTGATGTTTAGTATGAATTCGCGGGCTGCGAGAAAACGTGAAATTGCAGAATGATCCTAAAAGGGCCTGGATACCTTCTGATATTTATTCATCACATCCCATAGTAGTAAATAGGCGGAATGGTAATCCGACGTGATAATATATGCTGTGGATATTAGCATCTGTGTATGGATACTGGCTGTGAGAACAAGGAGGCGAGAGGCGGGGGCGAGCCTCCGTTCCGGATGCGGACTGCCAAGTCACTGGGTATATTGAAACTCACAATAATCTTGTACAAATTTGAGGGGAAGCCATCCGATATTGTTAACTGAAACGCTTGAGTCTTGATCTGACCTAGGCCACCGCTAACAACCCCGTGGGATACAGCCGGTGGAGTAGTTCTCGAGCTTCCGGTCAATCGCATAGAGCTAGCCAAAGAATCCAGGTTGCAAATTCTTTAAACCAGCTCCTTTATAAAGGACACTGTGCTAATAAGCTCATTGATCTATGAATTCCATGGAGTTTGAAGCTACCAGTACGAACAGATATTTAGTATAAAATAGAAACCCGAAGAAAATGATCCGCCGTGTCACCGTAAAGTCAACTGGAGAACCTAAAACATTATATACCGCTTCCCACATGTTCGAATGGAATATACCTTTAGCGTGGAAGTAGGAAGAGCTTAAAGGATCGATCATTTAATAAAAAAGATCTCTCAATTGAGGCGCATAAAGGTGCAATGTTCCCTCAAATCGTCAGACCATACCAGAGAGAGTTGTGACGAGAACAGCTCCGAGACTTTCAGATTTAGACAACGGAACTGCAAGTACAGTATTCTAGAGCTAGATCAAAATCATCGCAATATAATCCAACGGCGAACTTCAGGCAACTTCAGAAAACGCTTTGGGCTTTAGTTGGGGAGCCTGCGTCCGGCATCGACGGTAACTTCCCCGTCATATTGCCAAATTCGAAATGCATGTGAACGCTCGCATTCCTAGCAATAACCGCGGCGATATGTTGAATATACCCTTCGGAGTTTCTTGAAGTGATTCCGACGTAGTCTCGAAGTACAAGTACTCAAGCCTCAACAGGGCCACGCTTCCAGTTGTAGAGAGGGAATCTGAACCCCGCTCCTAGGGTAATTCCCTGACAATTCCGAGCCAAAGTTTTGCCGTGATAATCCATGATCCCATCATGGTCGTGTGGGTTGGTATCACTTTGCGATAAGTAGAAAAATGAAGCTTGTTGGATTGATGCTTGGATGGAGAATGGGAAGAGATGTTTCGTGGTTTCGGTTTCGGTTTCGCGGATACGACGCATATCTCGATCCACGTGACGTGTCTCGAGTCTATTTTCGTCGCATCACAAAAATCTTGAACGTCGACGACAGTCTCGGCTTTGCACTTACGTGTCACTTCCACCAACTGGATCCTAATCTCTAGTTTTTGAAATTATCTATCCTGAAACTGCTATTCTGAGACAAACCGGTAGCTACGCTGCTGCAAGTGCTCAGCTAGTCAGCCTGTCGATATCTCGCACTCGTCGCATTGAGGGCATCAACCTGGCAGTCTGCCTTGTTGGATGGACTATTGAATAACCCCTTTCAGAATCGGAACATCTTTTGACTAATTCCCCCGTCTCAATCCGAATCAATCCTGGGCGAGGCTGGACCTCAGCCGCAAAGTCGCCCAAGCGGGCAAGATCCTTCGCCCTCGTGGGCTGAATCTCAAGCTGAACCAATACTGTAGTGCGCTCAATATTATAGGGCTGAGCGCCGAAACAATCGCTCTTACTCTCTCCCCCCCCCCCCCCCCCGAACGCCACTTCCACCACAACAAAGGAGGAAAATCTACGATTGGGTGCCCTACATGCAACCACGTTGTGGCCTCGTGGGCTCATGACAACATTAATTTATTTATCTATCAAGCGTTGATTTATTAGACGGCAGTGATGTTAGGCAGCAATGCCTCGGTAAACTGCCAAAGTAACGACGAATCATGGGTATGGAATGCTGCTCCAGTGTAGTATGTATGTCTCTGGCCTTGCAGACCGTATAACCGTTTATAGAAGCCACCAGCAATTGCTTTTGGCGGCACCGTCAACTCAAACGGTGTATGACGCGAGTAAACGGCCAACTCTGGGTTGCCGGTCGTTCGACCTGGGACTTGAAGTCTCGCTGCTGTTGAGAGGATATCCTTTTTGACTTGATCGTCTGGTAATCCATTGACAGACCCATACTTTACATCGAGAAGGTTCTCAATTCCAGTGGGAGTAATGCCGTATAAACCTGGGAGGGCAGCATGGTTGTACTCGGTGTGGGGTGAGACATTCACAAGACTGAGGTTACTAGGAAGCCCAGAGTTGCGGAGAATAGCTGTGTAGTACCCAGAATTTGAAAATTGCCGAAATAATGAGCGTTCAAGCGCGCTCAGATCCCAACCCCTTAAATTCTCCAGTTTTGGCGGGATGGTGAAGACTAATTTGCGGGATTTGACCAATGTGACCCCCGATGGTGTTTTCACAAGCACCTTAGCTTCCTCTCGGTCACTCCGGTCTACCGCCAGAATTTGGCTGTTTAGCAGGACATTTGGACCAAGATCAGCTGTAGCGTGCTCGTATAGGAGGCTGTTGTCATGTTCTGCCGTAGTGAGAAACCCGGTTTTGATATTTTTGAGGATATCAGATCCAAAATTCTTCATCACGTAAAGTGTTGGCTGTGCGAACACATCTCCCAGCCCTTGAGCAAACCCGAAGATCAAACTCCCCATGGACTGAAGATTATGCTTTTTGACGAACTGCCCAAAAGGAAGCAATAGGTCAGACGGTACAGGGTAATGAAGGTCAAATCCCTCCTCCACATAAGGATATTTCGCCAGCTGGGCGGCATATGCAGCCAAGCCAGGTGTAGGGTCACCTGGGGAATAGTTAGGAAGAGGCTTTCCGGTCTGAAAGTCGAAGTATTGTTTGGCTCCTGAACCACCAGCGCTTGATTTCACCAACGACACGTTCAGACGAGCGAAGTAGTTCCTGACGATGTCAAGGTCATGCCAGACGACGACTGAATAGTCGTGAGGAGTTCCGGTAACAGGATCGTGGTAGGTTTCAGTATGGCCGCCCAGTCGGTTTTTTTCTTCAACAACCATGACTGTCTTTCCCAAATCCGAGAGGCGGATAGCTGAATACGTGCCCGTGGACCCTCCCCCTATGATACAAACATCTCGAGTCACGATATTGTCAACGGAACAGGGGGTACCATTGAGTGTGACTGACAACGCGGCTTCAGCTCGTAATGAAGCTAACAGAAGTATGCCACCAAAGCTCAGCAATGCATTCGAGGCTGTGAGCGTCATGGCGTTCTATTGCTTAGCGTTCGAGCGAAATATGGAGGTGGAGGCTTTGCAAGATGGGTATTCCCCGGGCGGAGTCCGAAGCGCTACTATTTCAAGCCGTGTGTTTCTAGAAGCGGATGTGCGAAGAGTATTGGTATATTCCGAAGGATTCAAACTATTTGCCTCAGCCCCTCGGGATGCTGAATGAAGGTTGTCGTTGGATTTCCTGGCCTGCCAACCAAAGCAGGAACTGGTGGCTCTTTATACAACCTACCTTGCCTTGTCCAATGCAGCATATGCTTGTCACGCTGCAGGGGTATTTCACGGAAATGGCGAATAGTCAGGCAACATGGGCGCAGAAGGTGGAGACCATGACCTCCAGTCGGATCCTTCTCATAAGAATGCCCGCCCATGACCTAAATCTTCGTCTGGGCGATTCCTGTACTTCATTCTACAACTCAGCTTCAGGTCGTGGCACGATTGGCTGATTTATCCTTATACTATTGGCCCGCCATAGAAACCCCTTTCAGCTTTGGTCTCACCAAGATTTGGTATTAAGCCAAAGTCTCGAGCATCATGGAAGTCGAGAATCAGTTATCGCCCTTTGGTTTTCTTATAAGTCCCGTCACGGCAAAGCCCATCATCTGCAGAAACGGTTATGTCCGACACAATGCATGGATCATCGGCTGGATTCCGATCGCGCCAAAGAACTTTCACTTCTTGTACGGAATGTAGAAGGAGGAAGCAGAAATGTAACCAAGCCAAAGACCGGCCGTGTTCGAATTGTGCCAGGAGATATCCGCCTCCATTATGCACGTACGAAAGTTCAAGGTCAGAACTCGACATCATGTCGTTGCTCCAATAGTGGGAAATCGTTACTGATGCATATCTTAGCCCGACGACACCTCCTATAGGCCAAGCTGTGAATTTTGGCAATAGTGACAGGCAAAGAGCTCGATTGAGCCAACCAAACAATCTCAACGAAACACCAAACCCTGTTGTTCTGTACACATCCCAGTATTACAGCGGACCAAACCAGAATTCTCACAACGCCTCGCCTACATATCATTCCCCTTCTCCCACGACAAGAAATGATGGTCGGCTCTACCAAGGCAGCAGCTCAAGCAACCAGCAAGTAATTGGCTCGTCATCCGGCGGAGGCGATCTTTTCCCAATGTCGGGGGAATATTACGCGAGCGATCAGATGGGCTATAATACCACAGAATCACCTCATGGTATCGGATATTACACGGCCTCGGACCAACCGCAATGGTTAACAGGCGGCGATCCAGACGTCTTTGTGGGAACTGGAACGGCGGAATATTTCTATGTTGATGAATCCGAGCTTCCCAGATCGAGCGGCGGGGGAAGGCAATGAAAGTCTCGCAAAGCCTGTAAAACCTCGAAATCTCATTTCTGGAGATTGGGCCAGGTCCTATGTACACCAATCATGAGGGGGGTTTTTATGTGATGCTCTGGCGGCATTCCTTGCTAATGTATGGCGTCGGTGATACCTTCGTATTGTCTCGGCTTTTCGACTCCGGCTCGTTGAAAAGCCGAGATAGTACACTGATACCTCTTGGTCCTGCCGTCAGCAGAAGAGCGTGCTCAGAGGGAGTGGCAACGAGAATATGTCAAAGTCGGAGGAATATGAAGATCGGCCCGAAACATTGGAGGACGCGCATTGTGAGGAGTAAGACGGTCAGATTGGAACCACGGAAGTCGAAGTGAAGAGAAGCGATCGTCGGGTTTCCGGAGTACAAATATCCTACCCCGCATTCCGGTTCGACGAAGCTTGTGTTTAAGTAGGAATTCTTTAGGCTTGTTTTCGGTGCTTTCGGCGTTGGAGATGGAGCAGGAGAAGAAAGAGATGGAGATGGCTTATAGCATTAGGGGGTTTCAATTACTGAAGCCCAAAGGGCGTTGTCATACCGGTTTACGGGGCATTTGCATTCTGCATGTAGAATTAGAATTAGAGCTTTGAAGTGACCAATGATCAACGGTTTGGAACATTACTCCGCACTCGTATTCGTATGAGGTAGAGATTCTCTCAGCGCAGCGAACTTGCGCCGCTTACCTTACCACGTGTACTGTACGTACTCGAGTAGTACCTTCATATAACAGAAGTGTTCGCCCCTATTCAACTATTCATTTCACCTGTTTCGGGGCCCTTCAAAAACCCCAACCTCAACCTCAACCTCAACCTCAACTTCCTTTAGGATTACAAAACTTTTCGTTTACTGCAGCCACTGGTCTCAAGGGCAAGTACATATCATTTGGTAATCGATAGGTCTATCGGGACGAAGGTGTGGGTGGTACGACGTATGTGGTGCTACGTATGTGGTGCAGGATCAGTCTTGCCAATAGATTGGTAACGAGCTGACAGCCACGGGTATGTACGAAGTACTGGATCAATATTCATGCGCCTCCTTGTGCGATACTCAGAATAGATCTTGTGGTTCGCGATTTATTGATGCTGCATCCATTCCAAAGGCGCTAATTGATAGCATTATACAGCCATCTATTTTGAAAATAATGTGCCACGATGAGATAGTATATCTAGATTGAAACCGTGATATTTTTGGGTGACAAGAGGCACAGATAATCATATTAAAGGATCCAAGAAGTACCACCGGCTTCCCGGGCCCCCTAGCCTAGCAATCCTATAGCGAGGCCCTCATGTATCAGACAATGGACCGAGACCGAGGGAGGACGTGGCGACCGAGAGTTAATAATCGCGACCATGCCTTTGAATCTGACTCGGAGGTCTCACAGTCATGCGCATCTCCCGTCTGACTAGGGGTAAGCCCACGATAAAATGCGGATGCACAATCATGGAGTGAGTTCAAAGACCTCGGAGCCATAAGTCGGGAGAAGCCACTCCAACGAAGTTATCAGGCAGTTGGTCGCGGATCAAGACAACACCAAAGGCTGTCGCATCAATAATACAGGGTTGAATTAGAGATAAAATAGTGATAGACTGAGGTAATTCAAAGGGAGTGAGACATGTATCGCTATCCTTAAACATCCCGGGACATGTAAAACGGGGCAGTTATCAACGAGTGAGTTTCTAAAACTACATACTAGTGTCGAGTTTGCAATGTATTTTCCATGGAGGTTTCTTCAGAATTCCAAGACCTCTGATATGATGCAAGCCATGATTTACGGGAACGTAGCATGACCTTGGGGGCGGTGTGTGAATCTAACGTTGCAAAGTATCTAGTGCTAGACTAAGAAGATAGATCTATTATATTATGTTCTAGATGATATTGAGGCTCAAACCATATATTTTATCACCTGGTGGTTGGTGTAATGTTTGTGCGACATATCGCTATCTTTTTCTGATCAAAAGCGTTCGGCGCCCTAGCTTTTCCCTCAATATTTGCGCCATGATGCCAGAGGCTGAGATGAGACGAAGTCACTTGCTCTCCTGGAGATGCTTCAAATCAAACCGGTATGATTCTCAAATTCATTGCCGTAAGAGCCTCTCTCCAGTCCATCGAAGTCTCGCTGTTGTCCAACTGCGCCCAAACGCTATGAATAATACTTTGCTGTCTGGAGTAATTTCCCATTTGATATTTCTGCACTCGACTCCACCACTTGTCCCACTGACTACGATCTTCGTCGACAGCCTCGCAGGAGGCAATAAATGCTGGCCACGTGATTGGTGCTGGCAAGGAGCTCCTGTCCCTGCAGAAGGAGTCTTTAAGATCTTCCGCCTCGTTCATAGCAGCAATGGCCGTTTGTTGCTCTAGATGAAGGCATTCCCTGGCACACTTTTGTATCGAACGATAGTAATATATTAGAGCTGCGGAGTGAAATGCCCTTGCCTGGGCACGTGCTATTTTTAACATATGTTCTTGCGCTGGGTCAATTGCAGAGAACGGTTCGGAATATATTGTCCAAGAGGATAGATCGTCCCCTAGTGTCTCACAAGCCTGCATGAGAGTTTGGGGGTATACTTGATCTTTGTAGTAGGCGATATATTGTATAAGTCGGAAAATCTTGAGAATGGCCCCAGCGATAGATGTGGTAATTCCGTAGATGAACTCAATACTAGGCTCTGAGTAGTCAAAGTCGGCACCAGTTGGAACGTGGTCAACTCCAGGCCACGGCTTAGGTTCTGGTTGTGGCAGCGCTGTCTGAGCAAATAGATGCAGCATTCTGCATATAATATTGAGTTGACGAGTTTCCCGACTAACTAAACTTCCATAGTGCCGGGAGGCTTGAAGTCGAATCGCTGCCTCTAAGTGAATCCAATGGTCATGAGTACCGCCATCGATAATCTAAATCTTAGCAGGGCTCACACAAAGACATCGAGAACACTCACATCTGCGGACACCAGAGACAGAATGGCTGTCATCAGGTCCTTGTAATTACTTGATTGTGTTGCTAGGGCACTTCGAAGTGCAATGAGCGCACGTTGTTTATGATGACAAGCAAGTTGCTGAAGGCCCTCTTCTCCAGATCGTAGGCTAAGCAAGTGCGTTGCAGCCGTGGACATAAGACTGTGAAAAACCGTAACACCTGGCGAATAAACGCGATCTGAGCCCCTTGCTACTTCTAGATCGGGAGACCCCTCAATTGCAAGCGGGAGGTATATGGTTCTAAAGGGATTTCCTTGGTGAAAAACCGGCTGCATTAGGTGTACCATATGTTTCGTGTAATGATGTATCAGCATAGCAGCTGTCGGGTTCCCACCTAGGGGTGTGGAAAGACCGTAATCGAGTTTCATTAATTTCCTGTTTCGAAGCCATGATTCGGTGCCATTCAAAGGCGCGTTTGACCAATGGGTTAGTTGGTTTGCTTGGCCGGGTGTTTGCAGCGCTGTGTCATCCAATTCTGGCGGTATCAGAGCGATTGTCTGAGGTTGAGAAGAAATTATACTCAAAAGTTCAATAACCCTTCTCCCTTCATCGTCGACACCATCATCACAGAAAGGCATCTTATCGGACGACTCAGTAAGGGCTTGGGTCGATATTCCCATCGGATCTCGTTCGTCGGGGTAACTTATAGGATCGCCTGTTGGGCCTGTTGATGAGTCTGGCGAATCGGAAAATGCTTCATAACCTGGGCTAAACGGCGTGTTCGGCAGTTCGAAAGCATCGTCTGAGATGGTTGATTGACTTCCTCCTACATAATCTATACTATTGCTTTGATGCTGAGAGCCTAATTCATCGCAGTTGTAGTGCGTCTCTTGAAATGGCGAGCGCTCTCCAGCTTCGTTGGCCCCAGCGTGAGTGTCCGAGGTTGCTGAATCCGAATAAGAAGAAGGGTTGAGCCCAAAAACCGAGAAAGGGCCGAAGGTAGTCGTAGCTGGATTGGTGGCAGATTGATCGATTTTTGTAATGGACTGCATAACTTCATCTTCTGTCATTAGGTTGCAGGGGTTTCTGTCTAAGAGCTTGGAATCAGTATTATTTCCCTCTTATCAGCGTATCAGAGAGGCCAAACTCACCTGGCTTAATCTGCCGCCGGCTTGCGCGCGACTTCTGAAGCCTCCCATTCTGCCCAGTGTTCCAAATCAGTCGCACATCGTATCCAGCGCACGCAAGCTTTGCCTCTTCACATATTCTACAGGCGAAGGGCCTCTCATCGCATTTGACGCGGCGCTTGCGGCAAGTCCAGCAGCTGCAGCATGTCAGACAAACCTACTTAAACGATGACGATCGATGATATTACCCTGTATAGGACAGTGACCTGGGGGTTTTTGTTCCGCGCCCCTCACGCCCATTGACGCCATTCAAGCCCCATATCACTTCTGTCATATCAACGAGAATATTCTGTGTTGTGTTTACGCGTGGGATCGCCGTGTGGATGCTAATGCATCGTAAGCATTGTAATAGGTATGCATCGATGCAGGTGCGAAGGATGTGAGGGCAGAACGGTGGCGACAAGCGGAATTTGATAAGACTTGGGGTAAACGCGGGGTTTCGGGCATGTCAATAGAGTAGTCTCGATAAGAACGATAACCGTCATTTGGAGCTGATGCTACCAACACTCTCATTGGTAGAAATCTGTGAAATATGGCATTCGCGACCCGGCTAGAATAAGATTATGATAGGAGTAAGATTACTCGTAACTTTTGATAACGGGCATGTGCATGTATACCTACCTATTTATCTAAAGAGATTAGTGCGCATCGGAGTGGACGAACGACGATCAGTGATAGGCTAATCTCTTGGCAATGGTATATATCAAGGGTCACCACCCATTAGACAGTTATTATACTTGACTGGATCAATCGGTCTTCTATCTTGATCCAACAAAAGGAAGTTGCGCATTGGGTTTGTGATTTGAAAACTAAGTCTATATCAGGAGACAAGCATTCCGTTAAAAGCTTCCATAGATTTGATTTGAATGAGGGTGGCGTCTACAGAAAGAGGGCACTTAAAAAGACCCCTACAAATAAGATCCCCAACCACCATATCCATCATTCGATCCAGGTTACAACAGATCAGCATAGCTAAAGTTGAAGCTTGAAACCGTCGGATTAGTACGGTCCATTGGGAATTGGGCGAAGTCTCGAAGTCCCAGAGTCCAAGGGGAGTTGAATGGAACTTGGATTTTGGAAGTGTGGTGCTCAAGTTGCCTAGGTAGGTACATGTACCTAAGGTAAGGTACCTAGGGTGTGGATCCCCGGGATCATGGGCTAGACTACTACATAAAACCTGAAAACCCTTAATAATAATGACTTGTACATAGGTACAGTACCTTACTCAACAGTCTACTTCGTAGGACATTACATACATCAATTCCTGTAGCCGATGAGCTGTGAACCCCTCCCCGAGCCTTCCGTATACACTCTTTCTATGATTTCCCCCGCAACCACTAAATGCAAGCCGAAGTTTGCAATACGTAAGGATACTTATCGTTACCTCCAAAGGCAAGGCGTCAGCCGCCACATTAATCGATTCCAAGCCTCTTTTCGTGGGCACATTTGAACAAAGCCTGCCAACGCCTGCAATTCCTTGCAACCGGTTCTCGGACCAAGGGAAAGTTTCACTTGTTAGTTTGGTTTCTAAAGGTATGCATATTCTGAGACTTTTGCCTCCGAGTCAGCTGTCTACATCGGCTTGCAACGGATACAACGTGGACCATGGAAATTTGGAGAGAGTAGTTTCTGCGCTCCGGATATTTCCTGGTGTTAATCTGTTGAGTTTAATGGAATTGTTATGTTTTGGTAGGCCATAAGGACATAGTATGGTCGTATGCTGTACAGTATTACGACCAAGAAAACATAATCTCTCTATTAAATTATCAACAGTACAGCTCAATGGAAACATAAATAGGCGAGAAACTTTTCAGATGAAGCGTCTTGGTTTATTTGGATTAAGTAAGAGGAAATGATATAACAGGAATCAAAAGTCACCGGAATATGAAATCTTGATGATGCTAGATTTTACACTCCGTAGTTTACAATTTTGATAGTGGCTCAATCGAGAGAGTACCGGTTTTCGCGATTAAGTACTCCTCGATGGCCACATCTTTGCCAGCCTCCTTGCCGTAACCCGATTCCTTGATCCCTCCAAAAGGGGATTCTGCTCCCGAGGAATTTCCTGTTGACACAATCAGTCAGCCATGAACGCGAAGTTTGGTAAATTGGATCGGTCGAACCTGTGTTCATGCCAATCATGCCGGCTTCAAGATTCTCAAGTAGTCTCCAAGTCCGGTTGACATCCTTGGTAAAGAAATACGACGCAAGGCCCATTGATGTATCGTTTGCCATTTTGACGACCTCCTCCTCCGTCTCAAACTTGTACAAGCCTAGAAGAGGCCCAAAAATCTCCTCCTGCGTTGTCATCATTGAAGAAGTCATACCAGAAATGATAGTGGGCTCGAAGAAATACCCGCCGAGGGTCTTAGGTCGCTTGCCGCCGGATAAAATCTTGCCTCCCTTGGAAACAGCGTCTGAGATATGCCTCTCTAGTTTTTCGATGCCTCGGGGGGTTGTAAGTGCACCCATGGTAGTGGAGGGCTCGGCGCCGTGCCCCACGCGGAGACTTTGCGTTGCCTTCAGTATCATCTGTGCGAACTTGTCGTATACACCACTCTGAACATACACTCTGTTTGCGTGAGTGCAAGCTTGTCCTGCGGTACGCCATTTAAGGATCATGAGTGCAGCCACAGCTTGTTCAAGATCTCCGTCATTGAAGATGATGAAGGGACAATTGCCACCCAGCTCGAGGGTGACCTTTTTAAGACCTTCACTACAATGTTTAGCAATGAGCTTTCCCACTGCAGTACTTCCTGTAAAGGTGACCTTGCGTACAAGGGGATGTTTGCAGAGAGACTCGCTGACAGATGGCGTATTGCGGTTATCGGTGGTAATAACGTTAAAAACACCCCGCGGAAAACCGGCGCGCAGGGCCAGGTCAGCCAGCGCCAAAACACTCAGAGGTGTTTCTGGAGATGGTTTCACGACCGTGGTGCAGCCAGCTGCCAGAGCCGCCGCGACCTTGCGAATGATCATAGCGATTGGGAAGTTCCACGGAACGAGAGCAACGCTCACGCCGATGGGCTGCTTAACGACGAAAGTACGCCGTCCAGAGACGGACGGTACAGCAATGGAGCCCCGGATCCTCTCTGCTTCACCAGCAAACCACCACGCAAAGCCAAGGGCATAGTCAACCTCACCGCGTGCTTCTACCAGCGGCTTACCAGTCTCGTAAACAACAAGTTTAGCAATGTCCTCCCGAGCGTTGGTGATAAGCTCATGCCACTTCAAAAGCATCTGGGCCCGCTGGCGGGGGTTGACATGACGGTATTCGAGGAACGCTTCATGCGACGTCTTGACAAATTTGTCCACGGCAGGAAACTTGTTGGTTGGACAGGCTGCAAACACCTTTCCAGTGCCAGGATCTGTTTTCCCCCAAATCGTCTCAGAAACTTATTCTTAAAATAATAGGTCACAAATGGTCTCACCTTCGATATCAAACGTCTCTCCAGATAGGGACTGAATCCAATCACCATTCAACAACGCACTCTCGTGCAAGAGGGACGGATCGTCTAGCTGAAAAAGATAGATGAGCTCAGGGACGAACTGCGTAAACAATGGAAATACTTTATCTTACCTGGAAAGGCAATTGCTTAGGCATGGTCGCTTGAGAGAAGGTGATTTGAGAAAGGAAGACAGCCAGCGTTGGATTGATGCGCGAATTACGACCCTTAATAGGATCTTCTTCTCCAGAGACATCAGCTATCGTTAAGATTCATACGGGGGGCTGCCGTCTGCCACGAGAAACAGCCCTTTCCACTCTGTGCCGATGACCCCGCGGTCATTTGCCACATCATCTCCATACGAGCATACATATGTCTGTCGGCTTGCCTTTGGAGGTGCGATGTGCGCTCCCCGCTGCTCAAGGACCGAGCATGCGGGAAGTTGTGGATGCAATTTGAGACGTCGTCGCTGGAGCATACCTTTAGAGGACATTATTGCCAGGGCGAGCGGAGCTCCCCCGAAGCTGTCCTCCGTGGGTTCCCCGGGATTCTCATCCCGTGCTTTCGTGTGGCGCAAATTTGTAATAACAATGGTTCCTCACTAACCTTTGGAGGTGAAAAGACGCGGACACGACTCCATACCATGACAACGCGTCGTCGTGAAAGGCAGCTACCGCCGAGATCAGCGATCGCGCCCAGAACAACCACTCTTTGAACGATTTCTACTCCACGTGATTCGATTTTGATCCCAGGAATTGGCAACATTCAAAATGTCGGGCTTCCGCTGCGTAGAATCTCTTTTCATCGAACTCCACATACCTTTCAAGCATTGCACTCTCGTTCGAAGTCACCGTTCGTTTCCAGTACAACCAAGACTACCCGTTGCGCCATAATAGCCTCGACCATGCACCCTTTCGATCCCCTCACGCCGGAGGAGATCTCCAGAGTAAATTTTCCCTCTTCTGACTTTTTATGCACTCTCAATATCCAATTCATTGTTGACTGACTAAGAGCCTTTGCTTAGGCCTCTGGTATCGTTCGTCCGCATTTTGGTGGGCAAGACCCCAACTTCCGGGTCGTTACTTTACAGGAACCCCCCAAAAATCATATGATACAATTTCTCGAGAAAGAACATCGTAAGCAACCTACAGGACCGGCGCCTACTCGCTGTGCGCGTGTCGAGGTTGTAGTGAAGGGCTACAATAGGAACAATGAGCTCTTCGAGTTACTTGTCGATCTCGACCACGACAAGGTGGTCAAAAAACAACACCAGAAAGGCAAGCATTCTTACATCGATGCTGCGTATATGAAAAGTGTGGAGGCGGCCTGTCTGGCCAACGAGGAAGTGCAAGCTGAAATACGCGGCCTCGACCTCCCTCCTGGTTCCACTGTTGTGGTTGAACCATGGGCGTATGCCACTGATGGAATGAATGACATGACGCAGCGGGTCACAATGGTAGGCATATATCCCTTCTGTGGATGAACTGGGCCGGAGCTAATCGCACTCCCAGTGTTGGTTCTATCTCCGCTTGATAGAAAATGAAGATGCAAACTACTATGCATACCCCCTTGACGTCTGCGCAGAGGTCTCAGAGCAATTGGAAGTCACCAAAGTCTATCGCTTGCCCACTTCCCCAGACGAGCGAATTCACAATAAACCGCGTCCATTCGATCGCCGCAGGATTCACCCAACCGCATTGAGTGAGTACCATCCGGATTTGAGACCGAATCCGAGAACTACCACCAAGCCATACCAAGTAGTTCAGCCGGAGGGTCCTTCATTCCGGATTCAGGGACAGCACGTGAACTGGGAGAAGTGGAGCTTCAGAGTTGGTTTCAACTATCGTGAAGGATTAACTCTTCACGATATCCGTTACGATGGTCGAAGTCTCTTTTACCGCCTGTCCCTTGCTGAGATGTTTGTGCCCTATGGTGACCCGCGAGCCCCATATCCGCGCAAGGCCGCATTCGATCTGGGCAATGATGGAGCGGGAATCAATGCCAATAATTTACAGCTTGGGTGCGATTGCCTAGGTAAGTACCCACCGAGCAAATGCTTCTTCGTGTGGGCTAACAGTGAGTTTAGGCACCATCAAATACTTCGACGGCTGGCATAATACGGCATCTGGAGAGCCTATGAAGCTACCTAACGTAATATGCTGCCACGAACAGGACGATGGTATCCTGTGGAAGCACACAAATTTCCGGACGCAGAACGCCGTGGTTACCCGAGCCCGCATCCTCGTATTACAGACTATTATTACAGTCAGTAACTACGAGTACATCTTTGCCTTCCATTTTTCTCAGGACGCGTCGATAAACTTCGAGGTGCGCGCCACTGGCATCTTGTCAACAGTGCCTTTGGAATTTGGCCTCAAGGAAAAAGTTCCCTATGGCACCATTGTTGCACCGGGAGTCTTGGCCCCTTATCATCAGCATCTTTTCAGTCTCCGTATTGACCCTGCTATTGATGGCCAAACGAACTCAGTGGTCGTTGAGGAATCAAAAGCCATGCCCGTCGGGGATCAGTCTGTCCATAATCCATTTGGAGTCGGGTACGTGACGGAAAACCGCATCGTGGAGCAAGAGGGCGGGTTTGATCTCGACTTCACCAAGAATCGTGTCTTCAAGTTTGTCAACGAAAACAATATAAACCCGATCACAAACACGCCAGTTGGATTTAAACTTCTGCCCGCCTATAGCCAAATGCTTTTATCTCATCCAAATTCATACCACGCCAAGCGCTCCGAATACTGTACGCATGCAGTGTGGGTTACCAGCTATGAAGACAATGACCATTTCCCATCTGGGCAATACACCATGCAATCCTCTGGTGGTGATGGAATCGCGTCGTCCATCAACAAGCGCAATGCTGCCGGTACTGCACAGTCAGTGCGGAACAGTGATATTGTCGTCTGGCATACCTTTGGCGCGACCCATAACCCACGAATCGAAGACTGGCCGGTCATGCCGAATGAGAGGATGTCGGTAGGCCTGAAACCCGTGAACTTCTTCTCCGGTAACCCAGGCTTGGACGTGGCCGTTTCGACCCAGGAAAATAACAAGAGCGTTTTGGTTAAGGACGAGGATGATAAGACAGATAACGTCTGCTGCCACTCAAGACTGTAATTTAAATTAATCAAGTTCTTAGAATTTTCCACAGATAGCATAGGAGTGGTATTAGAATTAGGGTATAAATAAAACGCCGTGTTCCTACTCTTGAAATTTGTAGCATGCTTCCTCTTTCGTAATGTCAGAGCGTAATAACTTCTCTGTGTAATATTTCCGTACGCTCAATTGAGGCACAGCTCCCTTGCCGGACTCCAATTGCAAATCTTACAGAGGCTATTAACCCTATCTGAAAAGACCGTATTCATTGCCGGTATCTACATCGAGGGCTCAATATCTCACACGGATAGGTGATTTAAACATAATTGGTAGACCGACTCTACTCTGATAAGTCCGATATGTGATTTGCGCTAGGTGAGATACGAGCGGGACGACTCCATGCCGAATGACATACTCCGTGCAGCTACTGAAATAGTGGCAATCTCCAAGGCGGAAGGCGTTTTTCTGGTGTTCGACCAGATACCGCTTACTCAGCCGAGACTCCGCTGAATAGATAAGGGGGATGCGAAAGGGGAAGTCTCCAGCGAACCCAACTAGGTAACAGTCGTTGAAGATCATTGCCATGGCTTTTGGCAGTTTGAACGTGGGGTAGCGTGCTGCCGGAAGTCACGGGTGGTGGCTAGTGAGTCTGCTAGTGACCCTCCCTGAACGCTTAAGCCTTAACCCCATCCTTGGTTCAGCCGTGGCCAGGCGTCTGTTTGCTTCAGGCTCCCGACTTGTGCTGGGATGTGACACTTGGTGCTGAACAGCGACACAGTGCTTTCAATATGTAAGTAATGTTCTAGTTGTAAAAAGAGATAAAGCAGGAGGGGCTTCTGGTGAAAGACGGGCAGAGATAACAGACACAAGCACCCCTATTACCCGCCGCAAATCAGGCCATATCAAACGCCCAACTCTCCTAATTACGCCGTCGCGTCTTCGTCATGACTGCCCACCGCCGCCCCGTGTATTTCAATCCAGGCGCCCGTTCGTGGGTAGCAGAGCCTTTCCAGTCAGCAGAACTGGCTGAAAACTTCCACCGGAAACTCAGGGGCTACCAGAAATCTCCGCTTGTGTCCTTGGACGGCGTAGCAGAGGAGGTTGGCGTAGGGTCGGTAAACATCAAAGATGAGACGAACCGAATTGGGCTCCCATCATTCAAGGTCCTGGGCGCATCATGGGGAGCTTTCCGAGCCGTGACGCTTCAATTGGGGCTCCCGCTCGACTCGACTATTGAAGAAGTGAAAACGCGCTTGTCTGAGCAACCTATTCCGCTATATGCTGCAACACAGGGAAATCATGGGCGTGCAGTGGCTCGCATGGGCGCCATACTCGCAGTGCCCGTTGAGATCCACGTGCCGGCTGATATGAGAGCGGAAACCATAGCATTTATTAAAGGCGAAGGTGCGGCTGTCATCGTGTCAAAGGGACAATATGACGATGCCATGATGGAGGCGCAAGCTGCTTCTCAACAGAACAAAGGTATCCTCGTCCAAGATGTTGCCTTCGACGGGAACGAAGACATCCCGAAGGTAAGTTTTGCCTCGCATTCAGATTATTGTCTCAGTGCTGACCAAATATAAGTGGATTGTCGAGGGTTACTCGACCATGATGCGCGAGATTGATGACCAGCTCAACGGGCAACAGGTTGACCTCGTTATCTGTCCAGTTGGCGCTGGTTCGCTTGCTCAAGCTGCTATCACTCACTGCAAGGCAGCAGGCAGATCTACAGCATTTATGACGGTCGAGTCGGACACGGCAGGCTGCCTGTGGAAGAGCTTGACCCAAGGAGAATCAGTTGTTGAAACAACATCCGCAACTATCATGGCCGGGCTCAACTGTGGGACGCTCTCAAAGGCCGCTTGGCCACCTCTCAAGTCCGGCACTGATGCGAGCTTGACCATTTCTGACTATGAGGCCCATCGGGCAAGTCTTGACCTGCAAAAGCGTGGCATTGCAGCGGGACCTTGCGGTGCTGCTGCCCTGGCCGCTCTTCGCCGGCTGGATGAATCAGACAAGGCTCGATTAGGGCTTAATCAGAAATCTGTCATTGTTCTGCTCTGCACAGAAGGCACTACAACTTACAATATTCCCAAGGATGTATCATCTGATGATGTTATCTCCCTAACTCAAACTTTGGTGCAGATCAACTCCTCAAACCCTGATCTTGGCTCAATCGGAGGCCCAGGCGAGACTGCCCTTGCACAGTATGTTACCGCATGGCTTCGGCACCGCGAGATCGAGAGTCATTGGATTGAGCCAATTGCTGGGCGGCCCTCTGTGGTTGGTGTTGTACGAGGTTCAGGCGGTGGCAAAAGCATCATGTTTAATGGACACCTCGATACTGTTACTCTCCTAGGTTATGATGGCGACGCCTTAAGTGGCGATGTCGTTAATGGGAATATCTATGGCCGGGGATCTGCTGATATGAAGAGTGGCCTTGCGGCTGCCATGGTAGCACTTGTCAATGCCAAGGGCCTAGGTCTCAAAGGTGATGTTATTCTTGCAGCAGTGGCCGATGAGGAAGGGGAGAGTATTGGGACAGAACACGTTATAGAGGCAGGCTGGCGAGCTGACGCAGCTATTGTTGCTGAGCCTACTGATATGGCCGTCATCAACACGCATAAAGGATTCGCGATATTTGAGGTTGATATCTATGGCGTAGCTTCTCACGGATCACGAGCGGACCTTGGTGTTGATGCCATCTGCAAAGCCGGATACTTCCTCGTTGAATTGGACCGCCATGCTCAGGAACTACAGGATCGTTTCGATCAGAACAACAAACCAGAAACCGGCGCTCCGAATATCCACTGCGGCGTCATCAAAGGTGGCGAAGAAGTATCTTCTTACCCTGCCAAATGTACTATATCCATTGATCGCCGCACCATCGCAGGTGAAACCCCTATAACCGTTAGAGATGAACTTCTGAGCATCCTTGAGAAGCTTGCGGTCACTGTCCCTAATTTTAAGTTCGAACTTCGCAACACCTTTTCCCGATCTCCTTATTTTATCGCTCGCGACCATCCCTTCCTCAATCTAGTGGTTGAGCAAGCGACTAAGTCTATAGGCACGGCACCATCGATTCGAGGTGAGCCGTACTGGACAGATATGGCTTTATTATCGGATGTGGGAATTCCGGGAGTTATTTGGGGTCCTAAGGGGTATGGACTGCATGCGAAGACGGAGTGGGTTGAGATCGAATCGGTCCGTCAGCTGGCAGAAGCGTTCGTGGCGATTGAAGCAGACTTTTGCAAATAAATGTATATAGCATAGCAGGATTTTACTAATATACCTCACTAAGGGTTTTTGGAACCACTCTCCCTCGCCTCGTGGATGCTCTGGTCAGTGTGACGACAAAGCTTCCTTGAGTACTACTACCAAACACACGAAAAGACCCTAGTTGCCCAAGGACTTGGAAGCATTGGGTATGATGCCTCAAATCCCTGTTAACAACAATCTCTATTTATTGGAGCAGAGAAGTCGAATATTGAGACCGGGATATTGTTGCGGAAGTGATTGGAGGAGTGAAAAATCAATGTCAAGGTAGTAGATGAACGGATCGCTCTACATCACCAAATAAGCGACGAAGCATTTAAGAGCCTCAAGGCTTCTAATTGCAGAAGCGGTGAAAATTACAAAGAACTTCACGGTTGGGTATGTTTCTAAGGTCTAATCTTGTCGGCATGGTAATACTTGGAAAATGATTGAATACAATTAGATTGCAAGCTTGGATATGATTCGTTGGTAAATTAATAACACTATTTGCTATCTGTTGTAGCACAATTTAATTCAACAACAATCTCAAACTGACCCTTTATTATGTTATCCCGCGAACAATTTAAGGGGTTTGAGTCGGTTAATCACAAGTACCCAGGTACCTATGTGGCTGACGGTGTGTAGTCGCTAAAATCATATTCAATATCGTAATCTTCCTCGTCAACTTCACCATCCGAAAGTTCAACATCTTGAATGTGTTCACCGTCATCTTCTTCTTCGGCGGTGAACCCGTATTCTTCCTTTCGAATCTTCTTCCAAGCGGCAATTGTTTGCTTTCGAGTAATGCAGAATGGCAACTTGGAAAGCGAAACACACCCATCTTGAGTTACTTCAACGGTTTGTCCAATCGAACTGGCAGTATCGGTGGCCTTGTCCATCAGTATGATATGGATAAAGAAAACCATTCCTGGCTTGGCGACGACATTTTGACCTCGCACGAACATGGGGAAGTCCATCCAAGTAGGAGAAAAGGTAGCGCCCATGCTGTATCCGCAAGCATCGAGTCGTTGCTCCTTAAATCCGTTTTCATCGGCAACCCGAGCATAAGCTTCGAACACGTCGCCGATTTCTCGGCCTGGCTTAAGCGCGTCCATTGAAGCCTTCATTTGCAAAATATTAATTTCAAACATTCGTCGCGCTAACTTGGAGACACCACCAATGTGCACGGTTCGCATCAAGCACGCATGGTAGTGTTTATACACACCAGCATGCTCGAGAGTAACTTGTCGATCAATCTTAGCCTTGCCGGTGGAGTACCGAGTAAGGACGGCTTTGTTGCCAGATACGAGGATGTTCTCGTTGGCCGGATCATCGCCACCGCCTTCATAGACAGTTCCGACGATCTCTCGCCACAAATCACCCTCGTAGGCTCCAGGCTTGGCCACCTTGAGTGTTCGAACAAGGGCGAAATCAGCGAGATAAGCAGCTTTCCGAATCTTCCGCATTTCGGTCTCCGATTTCACGATTCGCAATTCCCGACCGAACAATGTGCTGTGATCGACCAAAGTGCAGAGGCCGCTGACAGCCCCTTCCAGCAGTTTTCCGGTTTGGTGGTTCAAAGTGCACGAATTTGGCTCATAGCCAATTCGCTTTGATGGAGAGTTGATGCCAAATTCTTTCAAGACCTGAGGAACCAGGGACACGGGGTTGGCACTGGCATCGTCGGATCGAATCATGACGTCCTTCTGGGCCAAGATGGATGTGTAAAGAGCCTGTCGAAGATCCGGCGCTCGAGTAATCAACCGCAAGGAACCGTCGGAGTGGAAGTACATGGCTTGGAAAAAGACATAGCCAAATGTGTCAAATCCAGTGAAATAGTACAGAGATTCTTGCTTGGTCATGAGAAAACCGTCGAGATTCTCGCGTTTCATGAGTTCCAACGCCCGTTGTCGTCGCTCTTGGAACTCTTCTTCCGAAAAGTAGAGAGCCTTCTTGAAGGGCTGGGGTTTCTTGGTGATGACCATTTTCAATTAATTTGTTCACGAGTTGGGGAGGGGAAATTTTGTTTGTGGTTTGGTCGGTTGCTTCCTTCACAAGAGGAAGAACGACGGGAGCTTTTTAATAGTCAACCTCACCCGGGTAGACCTCTTGTTGATGGTGCCTTACGAAATAGTTGGGCCACATTGGTCACAAGTTCCGCAACGACTCTACCAGCTAGGCGGCAGGGCTTGGGAAAGTTGGGAATCTTCGGTCGAAAGGGAACGACTAATGCGGTGCCCGGTATCGTACAGGTCAGGGCCTCACGAGGGGTTTATGGATTTGGCAAGAGCGGGCGGTATTGACATATCACTCACTTAGTCAACTCCAACTTGACAATAATGTTGACTGACATACCGCCACATACTGCACTGTACCGTTGCTTTGGGAATCCAGATCGGGCTAACCCCAAGCGGGGAGGCGTCGTCAGATCTATGGCTGTATCCGGAAAGTATGGGGAACGTCGATCCACCCCCCCGCATATTCTGGTTTGGGCAGGAGCCAGCGGTTCCAGGGTTTCAACACAATCTAGCACAATCTAACAGAGGCTAACGCATGGCAAACCCCTGACGCGACGCCACTGGAGAAATTTATACACGGGAGCTCTGATAGCAGCTGGTCAGTGCTAGAGTCAACAACGCCGCCGTTGCCCCGACCTTGAACGCCATCGATATGGACTATCAGCTCCCCGTAAGCCCGTGGTCTACATCGCCCAGGTATTGCTTCCTTCAGTAACTTATAAACTGCATCTTCTGTCCCTTTGTTTTGAGCGTTCACTTTCTTGCCAGGTTGGGTTCAAGCCTTCCGCGACCCCACAATTCAATATGGAATCAGAAAACGACATGAAGACTGAACTCAAACACATGCCTAGTATCGACTTGGCTTCGACCTCTGGTATTACCTCCACTGATGTGGTCAACAATGATATTGGCACCACACAGCGTGGTCTGAAAGCCCGTCATGGGCAGATGATAGCGCTAGGAGGCTGCGTAGGAACCGGCCTTTTCATCAGCACGGGAGCAACGTTGGCCTTGGGTGGGCCAGCCTTCATACTTATCGCCTTCATCCTAATGAGTATCTTGGTCTATTTCATCGTCACTGCTATCGTTGAAGTTTCGGCCTATCTTCCAATCAAGGCTGCTTCAATGTCATATTACGCCACGCGAAACGTCTCGAAGAGTATGGGTTTTGCGTTGGGATGGCTATACGTCTATTCTTTAGGCATTTTGGTCCCATATGAAATCACTGCGGGTGCGCTGGTCATTGACTACTGGGAGAAGTAAGTGACCCAATAACCCTAGCATTATGATCACTCTTGAACTAACTATTGCAGCCCGGTCCATGTCGGAGTCTGGATTACAATTTTTGTTGTCGTGATCATCGCCCTGAACCTCTGCCCAGTCAAGTACTACGGAGAATCGGAGTTCTGGTTTGCATCCATAAAGGTTTTTACCCTTATTGGACTTTTGTTGCTTACATTTATATTATTTTGGGGTGGAGGCCCAGATCAAGACGGCATCCTTGGTTTTCATTATTGGAAAGATCCCGGGGCTACCGGCACTTGGCTTGTTGACGGAGCTTCTGGCACATTTGTAGCATTTGTGGGGACCGTTGTTCTCAGTGCATTTCCCTTCACGTTTGCTCCGGAGCTCCTCATTTTTACAAGTGGGGAGATGCAGAACCCTCGAAAGAATCTCCCAAAGAATGCGAACCGCTTCATTATACGCCTCATTGTCTTCTACGTGGGCGCAGTCTTCGCAATGGGTATCATCTGCCCTCATACCGAAGACGCACTTGTTAGTGGTGATGCTAGTGCAAAATCTTCGGCATTTGTCGTCGGCATCAACCACGCGCGTATCAAAGGGCTCGGAAGTGTCGTCAACGCTGCAATCCTCACATCGGCTTGGTCTGCAGGCAACGCGTACTTGTACATGAGCTCGCGGGCCCTGTACTCGTTGGCTCTATCTGGTCAGGCACCTAAGATTTTCCAAAAGTGTACCAAAGACGGAGTTCCATATTTCGCAGTCATGGGCTGTTCGATATTCGCGGCACTAGCTTACCTCAACGTCGGGCAGAACAGCTCCGTGGTGTTTAGATGGTTTGTCAACATCACTAACACCTCTGGATTTATCTCTTGGATATGCTGCTGCATCGTATACTTACGCTTTCGGAGTGCGTGCCGAGCTCAGGGCAAGCCTGAGATGCCCTACCATAGCTGGACGCAACCATACGCAGCATGGATTGCGATGGTCTTCTTTGTTATCCTGACCTTGGTCAACGGCTTCAATGTCTTCTTCCCAGGTCAGTTCTCGGCATCAGACTTTTTGACTGCCTACGTTGGCATTCCAGCATTTTTCGCCATCTATTTCGGCCACAAACTCTGGAAAGGGCGTTCAGATCCATGGTATCTCTCGGCCGATGCAATTGATATTCAGGAAGGTCTGGAAGAGTTGCCAGACGAGGAAGAACCAGTAGGATCGGGGGAGAAGCAAAATTGGAGAAAATGGGCGAAGAAGTTTACTTGAAGGGCATATCGGCCGGGTCCGAGTCAATAATATATTCAAATCTAGAGTCTGTCTCTAGAATTCAAAAGGTTGTTTGAGGAAAATATATTATCAACCAATGCGCCAGGTTTTCCGCTCGAAGCGATGCCTATGGCTGATGCAACTTAACTATCTACCTATGGAACCGTGAATGTTTAGTTGTGTCTCCGTATAAATCAATCTCGAGGACATGTCAGCAATGCGGCTTTCACTCCGAGATAAATTGCAACTTCCACGCGGAGCTAATTGAGAACGGCCTCGTATGGAAATACCTAATTACAACACCCTTTTATTGGCTCTATAAGAGGTTAAGCTTTCTTTACTGTGAAGTCATTTGGCTCTCTAACGCAGGTGCAGGGCGTTACTAGTCTCAAGGTACCCATGAGGGTCAATAGGCCCACCAGTGATCATCCCCGATGACGCTCCTCAATCTAACTGATCTAATTGTGGGGCAACACCCCTCCTAGGCGGAGAGAAGCACAGAGGGAGCATGGAGGATTGGACCTGGGGAGGAACCGAGTGGGGGCAAGTGACGAACGTTAACTAAACGACACGGACTAAAGCATGGGAAACAAGATAACAAGATCGGCCGCGTCCAAAATGGGGTGGTTATATGCCTATGTACCTCTATACTATTAAGCTCCTTGTCCGTTGGATTTAGTGGTAGATATAGTGCTGTTTATTAGCAGATTGTCATATCATATAGTCTAAGAGAAGATATCTCTTGCAAGTAGAATTGTAGCACTAAAGAGTGGTTTTAGACAGCCCCTCATATTGCATAGAAACTTGGAATTGGAAATCCTCTAGGCTGAACTCTGAACTCTGAACTCATTAAACATGCTTATTTAACTTAAGAGCCACGAACCTTGATACAGGGAACTAAATAGCCAAGTGCCTTTGCAAAACCGAGCCAAGTAAGTGTACGAACGGCAACCTTGCGTCTTTTAACTTGGTTAGCAAGAAGGCGAGCAGTAAGATAGATCCGTAGATAACTTTTATAGGCTTGGTCTTTGCCCTAAACCTGCGAGATCTGTTGAACAGTTCGATGTCGGTGAAGGAAGTATTAGTTTAAAAGAGGTACTGAGAATGTCCCTGGGTAGAGCTAAATACGAATGGGGGGACAATTGCATGATTGAAGAAGATATAGCCACGAAACATAATAAAGAATTTATTTAATCACCGAAAGTAATTCATTCTCTACATTTTACAATTCATCTAGCTATTGGCCTGATAAAAATAACTACTCGTAGACGAAGCAGAATGGTCCGGCGGTAGAACTCACGAGGTTTCTGCTTGCCTGCCCATCGACACCTGGAGCCACAACTGACAAAATCTGAATATCGTCGATCTTTCCTGGCGGGCTATTCGCTTGCATCATAATGGTTCCTCCCTTGTACTGCTGAACACGGTTTGCAGGGTCCTGGTTTTGCCAAATCCACCAGTGGCGATCAATTTGACCATGATGCACCCAAAATGCTGGATCACCGGGGGAGACGTAGAAATCTCCACCTGGGTCACCCCAGATGCTGTAGTGACCACCCGTGTGGAGGGAGAAAGCCTTCGCTGTGTCTGTTTGCAGACTTGTCTGGAAAGGGTCGATCTCGCTTGTCGACTTGAGATGGTTTGCAATATCAACAGGTCTGAGGAACTGGGATGTAAAGTAGTTGTTGACATCTCGACGCAGGCATCGGGGATTGTATCCGTACCCGTCAGTCCGTGGGTTGTTGGGAATTTTGAGGGAAGCATCCATCGATCCGGCTATGGGGCCTAAGGTTACCGTCATGCTATAACACTGTCAGCGATATTATCTAGTTAGTTTTCTTAAGTCAACTGACTTTCCAAGTGGCCCGGTAGTAACGCATCCACCACCGTTTCCAGGGGGCACCATAATGCTAGCCATTCCAAGACGGTACCCAGCATGTTGGACTTTTGCTCCATTGCCCCCCAAGCTCTGGGCGTCGCCGTTGAAAACTGGCGAGTCATTCGGATCGGGATACTTCCCCCAGTTCCAATACTTTGATCGAGTTAGAAGTAATTCTGAGGACGGCCGTCGCCAAAAGCTTGCTTACTGGTTGCCAGCCCTTATACCCGCACTCGTCCCGCAATGCAGTCTCGTAGGCCCAGATGTAATATCTATGCCAGTGAAGGAAATTTGCCTATAATATTAGATCATGTAGTTTTGTTTTGGAGATGGGGAACTCACAGTGGCGTGAACATGCATAGTCATGTTTATATGCACGACGACAAAGTCGTCATATCGAGTCTTCGCTCCTGGGTATTGAGTCTGACTTAATTTTGAAGGGATGGTCCTCAAACATTTGACCGCAGCAACATAGTCATTCCGTTCAGCGATTGTCAGGTCACCACTTCATTGTTGTGTTAGCCTACAACATCCTTTTGTACCAAGTTCAGAAGCTTCTTACTATTCTTTTCGGATAGCGAGCTTATCTTTTGTACATGCGGCATGATTACTTCCATCAGAGAGCGTACCGTCCAGGATCTTGTACACATTATCCAAAGCCTTCTGGGCAAGTTCGTCATCTGGGCCGACGCGCTTTTCCAATGGCGTCCCAAGAGACAGACCACTTAAGGCCAGGGGCAGAAGCGCCCAACGGCTGAAATTGGTGACAACCATCTTCACACTTTTCACTGATTAGAAAAAGCGCTACGAAAATACAACATGCCACAACTGCTGGCCAAGCTATATAGTCTTTTTCCTCCCAAAACATTTGGTGAGATTTTGGACCCATGGTAAGGGGCAATATAATTTTCATCTATATTGATGGTCACATTTTCTCGTGCTAATCACTCGAAAACTGCGCGGCTATAATAAGTAATTCGGGTTAATTAGACAAACATACCCCGCTCAAGCATTAGCGATTCCATGCCAATGTCGTTTCTGAGCCTCGATATTTCAACAGCGAATACTTTGGATGTGCCGAAGTACCACCCTTGCCTCTTTTGTGGCGGCAGATTGCCTTGGGTGCCAACCAATTCATCTGAAAGTCTTCACCCTTCTCATAGCATGGATCGTTTTATGTGCCGGAATACCACCCTTGTTCCCTTGGTCGCGGCAGATTGTTTGACGTACCAGCCAATCCAATTTAGCGATTTTTAATTCAGCCGGTGGCATTGTTTGTAGAGAAATTTTATCCCATCTGCAGCCAGAGTGTGATTTGGCGTGCAAGTGGACAGAGTTATGTTAAACGTATGAACGGGTGGAATATTCCAAAGAAAGCTTGTTTTTTATTACCAGTCTGCCTCCAATGGTGTCATGTGAACCGATCGATTGGATCGGGCCTCGATCGATGAATGAGATAAATCCCTACTAGATCTTCACCATATCATCCATATACGAGTTGGAGTGCTCCGGTACGCAGTTCGTAGTAAGCTGACATCGCTTCCCCGGGGAAGGCGTACCGGCCATGCCAGTCATTTCTCAGAATAGGAAGTAAATCCCAACATTTAATATTATTAAAACAAATGTGTGGCTCAATACACACACCGCCATTGGCAAAGCGCGCAGTTTGGTTGGTTCCTAGATGGTCCCTGGTATTTGGGTAAATGTTCGGGGACTAGTGTAGACTCTGCGGAGGAAGGTAAGGACATTTCGATTGTTGCCGGCAGATGGGCAAGGGGTAAGGGCAGACGGGTGCTCTAAAATGTGTTTCGGCATGCAAATACCCTCTGTTAGTTGCTTGGGGTTGTTTCTGTTATACACAGGAGTGAGGACTGGATAAGATTGAAGCCGCCGGAACCAGTTGTAATATATAGTCACGCGCAACGACTTGGCAAGTTTTCGCCATTTTGTTGCCTTTCATATCTTTCGCTCTGGTTGAATTTTCGTATACGTTTATTACTCTGTATAATTGTCTATGCTAACTCTCTGCCTTTCGACTTTGGTGTTTCATTTGCTTGTTACTCATCCGAACTAGCCTCAACTCTATCTGGTATCAACTCCCTCACATAACTACTCCTTTCCTACATAACACCATTGGCGTAACAATCCTTATAGCATTTTTATTCCTTTCCTAGATGTTGCCACTGCGAGAGAGTCATACATATAAAAACTAAGAGACAACCATTGAAGCCACTGCCGAAAAATGGCCGCGTGTCACTCTGGTTGCTACTTTAGCAAGCGGCCGGGTCATATAGCCCCACATAGTACTCAGAACAGTAGAAATGTGAGAATAGGCTCTCGGCAATCTTGTAGCACCGGAAAAATGAGTGACAAATCCAGCGGGCCAATGACGAAAGAATCCGAGTGACTATTTGATAAATACTAGAATGCCCACGTGGTAAATACCTGGACGATCGATCAAGTCTGGGGCCAAGATCTAGCCCAGATGCCATATTGGTCACCCCAAGCCCCAAGCTTGTTCCGCCCCGGTTGGTTAAAAAGCGTTAGCCGTAGAACTGGAAATGTTCCACCCTGCATCATGGAACTCCCAAATGTACTCAACTTTTGCCAGATGCGGAGGCTCCCGGAGACAACGAACTACTCTCTTTATGAGGCCCTCATGGTATATATTAGGACGCAGCAGAGGGTTTTACTTTTTTAATATAATTAAATTACCTACGATAACTGTGGTATTCCGTCAGAGCCGAAAGCTCCGCGGAACGCATTGCTGACTGTCTCACAATGTTATCCATTGGACACCAATTCGGTGGGCTTCTATATTAATAACCCGGTAGTGATTGGCCGACGTCTTGAATACTCAAGCTTAGCTTTGTACTATAAGGAATCATGCCTAGGTAGCTTACGTTGTGTAGTGTAGTAAAGTAAAGGCAGTTGGTTCATAATTTCTCTATTAATCTCAGAGAGTTATATTTATCTATCAGAGCTCTAATTCTGTTTCTATTTGGACGCTATTTATCATGAATGATTACCATCTGAATAGCAATGCTATTTACGTACTCTCTCGTGTAAGATTGCCCACTATCAAGAGCCGTCCCTCCCTCCCGAAATCCATCATTTAGCCAGAGCGCCGTATCCCACTGCTAAACTTGACGCCAGCCCAACTACCACTTTATGCCCATAAAATAATCCACGTCATCTGTGAGACGCATAAATTGTTGGATCTCAGTAACCGGTATCCGAACATAGTGGAAGGTGTGATGCACTAGACACGGGGCCCAAAGGTTGCGCAACCAGGAAGTGTATTAATATCGTGATTGGGCATAAAAAAAGGCGCCTGACAATCATCAGTTGGCCATTCTAGCCAAAAGATGTGGTGGACTATCTGTATCCCTGTACTTTGGTTGCCGATCAATGTTCCTGGGTTCTCGGGGTATATTGAGTTGGCTCTTCAATGTTCCTCGTTGGAATCAGGTCTCCATCGATACAGTGCCGTAATCCGGCTCCCATCCTCCCATCTCGGGTGGGAAGTCGACCGAATCAAGGCGTGAGCCCCGTGACCGTTTCCGAAAAGTTGACATGCTTCGGATGTACATCACTGCCGTTCATATGCTAGCATCATCCAAGAAAGCTGTGTGCCTGCGCGGAGGCGATGCTGCTAAGGATAAGCTCTTTGTCTCAGTGCTACTGTGGCGAGTATGTGGTTCCTGGGTTGTTTCGTCTATGGGACGTTCATATTGAATGACTAAATCATCAATATCAAGACCAAGACCAAGCTCTACAACCCGAGAAGTAGCACTTATAGATGTAATGGATGGAAATGGCCGATGGAGTCGTTGAGTTTTCGTAGTACTGCCACGGCTAATACGACTTGAAGGGTCGGTTATATGTGTTACCACCGGAGCAAGGCCAGGGGCCACTACGGCATTGTGCCCTCCGGAGAACATTCTCACCCTCCTTTCCAGTTCCCATTTTCTTGCTGCTTCCTCAACTGATGGTCGGTGTGTTATACTAGGAAGCCTCTGAAATTCCAGGTCCTGGGCGCCTTGAATCCCAATTTCCGATCTTTGCTCGCTCTTTGGCAGAGTGCCAGTTCTCGAGCCGCATCCGCAGAAAATCAAATCACGATACTGTCTCCATGACCTTGTCGTGCCGAATACCAGAAATACCGCCAATGAGACTGTGGCTCCTGGAATAAACAAAACGATATCCACAATCGCCCCGGTAGTACTGTGGTCTGGTTCGCCTGCTGCGTTTGCGGAAGTTACGTTGTAGTTTTGTACAAGCGTGAATGTGACGACAGTAGCCTCGAAACAACTGCGGATGTTAGCCACGAAAATGGATGGTCGTGAGGGGAAACCGGGGCGCTTACACAAGTACAATAAATCCAATCGTGAACCGCGTCACAAGCACTCGGTCGTATATCAGTCTTCGATTAGACGCCCCACCAGACCTAGACGTACTTTTTCGACCCGTATCCACAGAGTGTCGGTCTTCCGATTCCTGCGTAGCCCACCAAATGCCCCGAGGATCTGAATCTGCGAATAACCGTCGAGTCTTCAAATATTTGTACACGATTAAGACGATGAGAATGGATCCTCCCAGGATGGTTGCCAGTACTTTTTGAAATCAGTATACAGTAAGAGATACTTTGGGATGGTCTTACAGGTGAAATTGGACACAATTAAAAACCCCGGCACGCTATTGTCCAACACTTGCGTCTGCATCAGGCTAACTATGACCACTGGAAAGAGGATTGAAAATATTTTTGACATAAGTGCCGATCGCCTGTTCCAGCTCCCAAGCCAACCCGACTGTATTTCCCAAGTGCCAATAAATAATGAGACTGCCCTGTGAGAATAGTTAAGCAAGGCTTCGAGCAAGCAGCCGAAAAGGAGTTACCAGAAAAACATGTTGAGAGCCACCACATTGTAACAGTAAAATTCTAGCTCGGATTAGTTACTCTTTATACCGCGAACATAAGATTCGAAGTCTATCCTTACGGATGTAATATAACACCATGTTGGCCTTCGCGGCAGAACCCCCTAAAGCCCAAGCCAGCCCGGGATGGCTTAAACTTCGAACAGCTTGATCAAATTCTCCCTGCTTGATTGAAATCCAGGCCGTCGCGTAGTGGATTTGCTGAGCTATGGATCCCAGCGTGCTGGTTGCTGCGAACGCTGAAATCATCATGACATCTTGTTGACTGTTAACTGTGACTTCTTCACAGACCATATTGCACCTACAGGTAAATTTCTCTCCAAAACTCCAGAGTAGGCATGCCAGTACTATGTTCAGCCCGAGGCAAGCAGCCGAGTAAACCAAGACCACGACTGAAACTGCCACAGCATCGTGGGGAATTTCACCACCCATTTACGCCTACTAGAGAAGGCAGCTGGTGGATGGGTTGTAGCACTTCAAGCCCCGGGATTCCGCTATTTCTATAGTCGATAGCATCGAGCAAGAAAGTTCATTGCCAGAGACACACCAATCCTCAGGAGAAATGGAACGAGGAGGCGAGATCGTATCAGGTACGAATTATAAGATGTAGAGCGCCACGAAGCTGAGGAGAGACAAGCGGCTTGCGCTCCGATCGATGTTCTTGGACGTTATGGCACATATCGAAACCATGTTGATTGGCCGAATAATTACGCCCGATGCGTGATTGGTAGGTACTTACGCCGCAGGGTCCATGAAGAGAAACGTAGCTTTGGATCTAGCAAAGGAGCTTGCCATGTTGTGTACAGAGTAGGGTCTGTGAGACGCTAGATGAGCTTCACAGACCATATTTCTACTTGGTTGAGGTCGTTCAGTTATCTAGCATGTGAATCCCTGAAGGGCTAGGCTGCTGGCTAATAATGATAAATCCTGCCACGGACTCATTCCTGACTAGATCGGGATTGTCAACGCACAAATGGATCCACTCTCCACGCCCTATTCCCGCCCCAATGATAAACTTGTCTACTCGTTGTTTAGCAACGAGTAGGAGCAAAGGCGGAAATCAACGACTTATTGATACTAAATTGCGTAGCACTAATATGCTCGATAAGAGAGACGTAAAGCACATTAAAACGAACTTTCGAATGGCTCATCGAAGGCTGTATCGGGGGGAAACTTCTTCCAGTCCATTGTGACCAAGAGCTAATAACCTGCAGGCCCCTCCCTAGTGTAGTCTCGCATCACAATATGTAAGACATACAGGTGCAGCACCTCGGCGTGCGGAGGAGCCCAAAACCCAGCTAGCTCGACCCCGACGAGTACCGGGAAGAGTTTGGCGTGGAGAAAGTTTCCCCCAATTCGTATGCTCTCTGGAGCCATGTGGTCAGGGTCCTGGACTTGGGGGAAGTAATAAAGAGCATAGAAGAAATCTTTATCCTGAGCTCGAGCTCGAGCAGTGATGACGAGGCAACGAAGAATTATGAGGTGGATGGACGGATAGGAAGAGGAGAGGGGCCTCGACTCCCTAGTACCGGAATTCAATACTTCGCACAGGCACAAGGCGTGTCTAGCGCACATCATTATTCGGCATGATATGCAGAGTACTGTACCATAGGTATAACACTTTCTCACCAGGACCTGTTTAACACCAACTTTGATAGTAGACCAATAGCGCCCCATGACTTGGTAAGTTGGCCCCAGGAGGTGATTTGCACGGCAGCACGGGTTCCTGCAGGATTCCGGTTTAGAGGGTAGGATTTAAGGGGTTTGATAAAGGGGATATGTCCGTATGGCCTATACCTACAGCCTGACCGGCTCGCTCGTACATTTCTACTTAATTTTCTATCTTTCATATTATTTGAATTCAATTCCTTATGGAGGTCATTTAGTGTGCTCTTTGAACTTATATGTATTCGGTTGTATCGAGCTCCGGGCTCTCCAGGTGCCCTGAATAACAACGCTATGATTTTGGTACTTGTTACCACTTCAACAAAGTCAATTGGACAAGTCAAGTTAAGACATTCCAGCGATAAGGTAGCCTACTTATAGATACGATACTTATCCGTATTTTCAATAGCTGAAGTGCTTCTGAATTCTAATATATCTGCTCGCCATGGGGCTGCTCACAGAGCCCTCGCCGCCCCCACTGTGCTACGGCGGGCTTTAGCACAGATCCAATTTCCCCACCAAGAATCTCGGTCGCGTCTCTCCTGGACCATAACAACCACTTGGGCAATATTATTATTATCAAACATCACGTAGTCGAGTACGGACTATGTCGGCCAGCCCCTCTCCCTCCCCAAGCAACAGCACAGCCCCAACTCCTCGAAAACGAGGGCGGCCTCAAACCACCACCCTCGAGCCATACAAGGACGAGATCGTCAAGCTGTTCTTGGAGGACGACCTTGCTATCATCGACATCGCGCGGAAACTAAATCTCCAACACGGTCTCGACATCAGCGAACGTACCATTTCCCGGCGGCTAACGTCATGGAATATCCCCCGCAGGAAGATCCGCGGTCCTCCCTCACAAGAGCTATGCGATCGCCTCCTATTCCACTACAACAGGAATCTGAACGATGACCAAATGAACACCGAGCTACGAAATGAGGGGTTCGAGATCACAGTCAGCAAACTCGTGCGCGTACGGCAGAAGATGGGATTGAAAAGGAGAAGCAAATTCCCAGAGTACAGAGAATATTCGGAATCAGGGGATGAAGAACCGTCTGCGCAGCTGGCGGCGGAAGCAACAGCTGCGGCGTCGAAACCATCCCCGGCCAAAAAGCGCAAGCCCAAACCGAAGCACAATGCCGCGCTGATACCTAAAGTGACTGCGTTCGTGGAGAAATATATGAGTAAATATGATGGATCCCATGATTTCAACCATATCCGGCGCGTGGTGGGACTGGCGCATTTGATCTACATGGAGATAAATAAAGAGAGAGATCAGGCCGGGTCTGATGATGAGGAAGAGGGCCTGGATCTGCATGTAATTACCCTCGGCGCTCTCCTTCACGATGTAGGAGACAAGAAATATCTGGAACCCGGTCAAGACGGGAATACTCTTGTCCTAGCAACACTACTAAGTTTTGGCGCCCCCGAAGAACTAGCTATCAAAGTACAGCGGATTGTGCTGGGTGTGTCGTACTCTTCTGAGATCAAGGATCCAGCCCAAGTCCAGTCTCAGATCCAAAAATACCCTGAGTTGGCGGTAGTGCAGGACGCTGACCGCCTGGATGCGATTGGAGCTGTGGGAATCGGCCGGACGTTTACTTTTGGTGGAGCCAAAGGATCAAGGCATATGGGGGAGACAATAGCGCATTTTGAAGAGAAATTGGAGAAGCTGGAGGGGATGATGAAGACAGAGCCTGGAAAGAAGATGGCAAAGGAGAGAACGGAGAGACTGAAGACCTTCAAGAGCTGGTGGACTGAAGAGCAGAAAGATGCGGAGGGACTCTTACGGAGGAGTTAAGATGTACGACTTTATGATACCCCCAAAACTCTAAGGATGGCTAATTCCATACCTATGGGGCCAACTAGCTACCACCGCATGGCCACTAGCATGAATAAACACAAGCCTCTAGCCAGGGAACCTAATCGATTGATTCACAAGACGTTGACATGATCTCTTTTGCGATTGTTGTCTGCAACCCCCGTTCAGAAGCAATAACATCAAGGCTTCATTACTACATAGCTGGACGAGTGCAACATGAAACGGCCCGAGCCCTTCGTTTCTTTTCCTCCCCTTTTCCTGGCCAGGAGCAAGGAAAGGATTATCATTGGTAATTTCCTGTGATGCATGCTCGAGTAAGACCTGACGTCAATTGTTCCGCTGAATACGACCAATTCAGCACAGTCAACTCACCAGACCCCTAATAACTGGATGAATATTTGGTGGCCATGCAGATAGTTCAAGGCGTTTGCCGGTAGTCATCTGAAATCTACCCCCATATTCCCTATGTCCTCTTACTGCTCAAAGCCAAACTTCCTCCGCCACTTCCGAGGATGAACCAAATGTCTAATTGATATGACACTAGCTCCAATATGAACTGCAAAGTACGACTAAAATAGTCATGGTGCACGTAGCTCCTTACGAGACCAGGCAAGGACAGAGAGTGCTTATCAAATGATTCTTGAGGAAATACTCCGTTCTTACGTACGTGGATAGTTGCCGTAGTGGGAGTTCCTGAACTATTATCTGAATCTTCAGCGGGCCCATGATTTTCCGATGGCTGAACGCTGGCAGAACGCCGCTGGGAGAGATGGCGTGAAAAATAGAGTGGGAGGATGCCCGTCCTAGATCTTCAAGGATTCCTCAATATGATATGTTACAGAATCTACTAGGCCTGAACTCCTTGCCTCTCACTTGCCGTCCTAGTCCTGGAATCCTTGATTTATGTGGGTTGGTACAACTCCGGCAACGAATATAGATAATCTGTCCTCGCCTTCCTGGGCAAGAGACTTCGGATCTGGACCGAAGACGGCCAATGCCAGCCTGGCAGGATTAACAGATATTGTAGATTGGCAGCGAGCATGGCGCAACGACTCCGCGCAGGGCCCAATAAAGGGCACGTTTCAAGATGTGGCGTGGTGATGACCAGCCAAATTCTGAATTCCCCCTGGATGATGGATCAAATCAATATATTGGCGCATGCAAAGTGGTCGCCCGGGGCCCAGCCCCACGGTCCTGGCGGAGCAGATCTAAGCCCAAAAGCCTCGATACAGGTCCACACAACTTCGGACTATTATTATTGCTTTTCTTTGCCTCACCACCGTCCTGCTACCTCCGTATCATAGACAAAAAATAAATTTCCCCAGGATGTCTGAGATATAAGGAAAAGCCCCTCAAGGCACTCCGTGCGAGCTTGTCGAAACGGTCGAAGGCTCGGGTCGCACTACGTCTTTTGATACTCTGTAGGGCCCTGGGCAGCATAGTTACTGTGCTACGTACGAAAGCACGCGTCGTACACCCTGGCATCCATAACGGCGAGGGCACGAGCAGATCGTTGCCAGTTGAAGCTCGGTCAAATCAAATCATCTCGGGGATCGGCTTCATCGACGTCTCTGTCATCGCAGGACGAAAGACTTACATATTTCTGTCGCCGGCGACTTCCTTCAACTTATACATAAACCTTCTTCAACCCCACACGCTCGGCACTAACTACATCATTCTTGTCTCTTCCCCCGCCAAAATGCAATTCTTCTACATAGCCATTCCAGCCTCCCTGGCATCGCTGGCATACTCCCAGTCCATCCCCGACCTGGCCGCCCAGATACCTTCATGTGGTTATACTTGTTTGGTAGACGCTGCCAAAACCGCTGGTTGTAGTATAACGGATTATGCCTGCATATGCGGTCCAAAGAGACCTGCCCTTATCAAGGCCGGGACACCATGTATTGCAAGTGGATGTCCTCTCCGAGATGCCTTGGGTAAGTTGCCGTCATCCGTTTCGTGTAGGAAAATGTGCTAATATACGGTCCAGACACTCAGAGGCTCGGCACTCAGATTTGCGCTGTACTCTCTGGGGTTTCATCCTCCGCCATCCCATCAGCTATATCGACAGTATCAAGTGCTACTAGCTCCATTGCACCGTCGTCGTCGGTATCGCCACAGGAAACCTCCATTTCATCATCAACGAGCTCCTCCGAGGATGTATCATCAAGTACGTCGAGTACTGCCTCCAGAACTGATGCCGCTGCCAGCGCCACCTCTTCTGCCCAGGGGCAAGTCTCTGCTAGTGCTGGATTGAAACGTGATGCTATGGGTGGTGTGGTTGGTGTGGCTATGCTTGCCGCGTTTGCCTTATAAGATACCACATTGGTTTGAGAACTGTATATTAAACATATAGCATGGCGTAAGGAGCGGGAACGGATTGGGAGTATTCTACTTGTACATCCCTATTCCTGAGCAGGAAACGTAATGCTAATTATTAACGAACACGATATGGGCTCTCGAGTCTATAGACCGCGATGGACAATGTTATGGACGTTGAGTTAAGACTTAAAAGACAATTCTAGAATACAGGAAATCTAAACACTCTTGGAAGCCTGCCTGATCTACTGGGTATATCCTCCTGATCTACGAGATCTATCGCAGCAACAAATTCTCCAAAGCCCTCCGGTGAACTCCATAATGTCTACCATAGAAGTCCCGTAGTATATCTTCCCAAAGCCGGTCCTTGACTTCCGGAAAACTCATGATGCAAAGCATCCATCGCAGCAAAATGCTCCGCAAACTTGAGCCCCTTCTTGTTCTCCGCCTCAACCTTCTTCCAGTCGCTGTCCTCGGTCGCCTCACCAACTTCCGCAGTTCCGTTGGTTTCAACTTCAACAATTTCAGGCGTCGATTCCCCAGAAGGTCCACTCATGGTCGCCCATCCCCCAGGTCTCGGTGGCAACACTCCCGAAGCTTGTAAAAGAACCTCAGGATGAACTGTCAATCGCCCCAATTTGACAACATACTTGCTAACGGCGCTCGCGAAAATAGCTTTCTCGTCGAACTCAGCGTCTCTCACCCTGCCATCACCCTTGACCTTCTTATACCCCTTCTTCCCAAACCAGCTTCCGTCATTAAGTATATAGGCGGTCGGTTTGCAGGTCCCCTTCTTCACAAAATGCGTCACGATGTAGATCCATTTGCGATCCCAGCACAATACCCGCGACCACATCTCATAACTCTGGTACATGCCAATCTCCCTCTTGAAACTGCACATCACGCTGCCGAGCATAATGCCCCATCTTCCCGACACGGCGTTGCCCTCTTTATCTAATACGAGCTTCGTGCGTAGATTGTGTTGCAGGCGCTCGATACCCGGCTGCAGTAGGCAGCAAACCAGGTGTGAGCGGGTAACATCCAGGTCGGAGAAGTATGTGGAGTTGGATTTATGAAAATTGTAGTCGGATTCGTATAGTGGAGATCGGGAGCTCGATATCACTGGGAGGAAGAGACTCGATGTTGCTAGGTCTGCGGGGATTTGGGGTTTGCTGAAGAGACAGTGGCGCAGGATGGCGGACCATACTCTATACTGTGGGGTTGAATAATGTGAGCAGATGAGCGCTGGCCAGGAACGGGGGGAAGACATACATGCCATACAAACGGGACATTCTTGATGTTTGCGAAGATTACTAGTATAACAGCGATTCTTGAGTATTTGCCTGGGCCGGTGAGCGTGTTAAGGACGGCAGATCGCAGTTGAATGCGGGATGCGCTGACGCCAAGAACGAGTGAGGTTGCAAGGAGAATTGACTTTAATGGGAGACGAGTCGCGGACGCCATGGCGGTGATGGCAAAGGATGGACGAAGGGACAAAGAGAACAAAAGGAAGGTATTGGGAACGTTCTTGAAATTAAAAGGTGAAAGTTGCGACGCGGGACTCTGGAGACTTCAAATTTAGCTCTGTAATCGTACCGAGGCGCGGAGGTTGTATGACGCCGGTCCGGGGCCCCATGTGCAAGGTCAAAGCAACTCCAACTCCAACTCATTTTCAGGTCTCTCTTCAGAATACTGTGGCACTCTCTTACTGCTTTACTGGACGCTCCTAAATCAAACAAACCAGCCATCTTCTCTTTTATTTTCTCAAAGCCTACACTGCCTAGGCACGTTCTACCATGGCTCCCATCACTATGTTGATTACAGCAACAGAGAAATAGATGCTCATGGCAACGTTAAGAGGACCTCCAGAGTCGAGGTTACGAGGGCGGATACACAATCGATTAAGAACTGGCTATTGAGGTTTTAACCAATACATCTCTGCTCTGCCCTGCACCAGTCCAGTTCGAGTCCAAATACAGACATCGAAGTGATTCCTCCCGGTGACATACAGCGGTCTCCTGACCACTTTGTACAACAGCGAGTCTTGAATGAGGAACCCTGGTGGATCGCCATCAGATATGTCCTATTTCCCTGTCCTCTGAGACCGTGGTCTGGAACAGCAGCGCAATTCGCGAGGTTAATAAGTGTTAACCCGTTCATTCCCCGACCCCCCAAATCACAAGGGAAAATCCATCGCGACCATATCTACCGGTCGGTGGCGGTGAAACCGCAAGGCACTCTGTGGCTTGGTGCGAATCATTCGGTCCTCCGATGCACTTGCTATCGGCGCTATTCGACGAGGCTTTCATTGCGTACTCAAACACCGCGTTGTGGTGGAAGTTGCTACATCCATAACCTCCAATCAATCACCAGACCAGCTCCTAGGCCAGTCGTGAGAGACCTCGAAACAAAACAGTCTCATCAGCCGCTCTTTGGCAAAACAAAACGAAAGCAGAGAAATAATTCAGATCACGCACAGCCTACGCACAGGACCGGCCATTTGCCTTGCTTAACCATGCGCATAATGCCGAAATATGCTGGGGTTATCACCAGCCGGCCAAATGACTACATTCGGAAGGTATCCAATGAGTGCGTATAAAGGACCACTGCTCGTGAGGAGGGCATGCCCACCACAAGTAGCTAGACGCCATGAATGAAGGTAGGTCAGGTCCATATAGATAGGTCGCTTTCCCTACCTTCTCTATTTTCTTCATCGTTCAGGATCCAAATTCCTTGTCGGCCACCCAAACAAGTCCTTTCAAATCCAAGTCGACAAGATGCTTCTTATGATAACCACGACGGTGCTCTTTCTCATAGGGTCCGTTGCAGCTAGCGCTTGCAATAATAATCCTGCTCTGTGCTCGCGGAAGTATTCAGAGGTCACTCAGATCGGGACTCACGATTCGGCATTTGTAGGCGACTTTGTTACAGACAACCAAGGCCTCTCTCTTACAGATCAGCTGAATGCGGGCATTCGATTCCTCCAGGCCCAAACTCACGACTTCCTGGGCCAAATTTTCATGTGCCATACATCATGCTGGGAGCGCAATGCTGGCCTGCTTGTCGACTACCTGACCACTGTTAGGAACTGGATGGACGCGAATCCCAATGAGGTGGTTACGCTTCTCCTGACGAATGGCGATAATGTGGATGTTGGCAAATTCGGTGACGCTATGAACCGTGCTGGACTCGCCAAATACGCATACACACCGCCAAAGAAACTTGCATTGTCGGAGTGGCCAACGCTGCAAGAACTCATTAATGCAAATACTAGATTAGTAATGTTTATGGGTAAGCCTTTTGTCCACTTTTGGGTGTTTTTGCGGCCTATCTAACAGCTATATCAGACTACCACGCAGACACAAGCAAGGTTTCATACATTCTAGACGAATTTTCTTACATGTTTGAGACGCCCTACGACGTGACCACTCCAGACTTCCCAGACTGTTCTCTTGACCGGCCTCCAGGATCCAACGGCGATGGTCTTATGTACATCGTCAACCACTTCCTGGATCTAGATATCTTTGGCATTAAGGTCCCTGATGTGGCCCATACCCCGAGAACTAATGCCGCCACAGGCGCTGGGAGTATCGGTGCCCAGTCCGACTTGTGCACACAGAAATGGGGTAGAAAACCGACTTTCATCTTGGTGGACTATTTTGAGAATGGGGATGTTTTTACGGCGCAGAATACTTTGAATGCCCTTTAGGCCATGGAAGCTTTTTGAGATGAGTTATTTGCTCGTGGAAACTGGTAATGAGAAGGAATGAAAGGTTTGATGGCATATGTTACTCGGCAAGGCGTTTTGGGGGATAATCAACTGAGGTGTTAGTGAGTCGCCAGCCATCGGGTTTGCTTTGAACGCGCAGGATATCATCTCATGTATAGACAGTTCAGACGAAGCCTTACTTTATTTTCCATGTCCCTGTCTGTCCAATTTTCCCTCCACTCATTGCTTTTCATCTGTATTGTTATATTAACAAGAGCTCGAGCCGTTCATATGCTGTTCTCCAGCTTTTATATTATCTAATCTCCTCCTCCACTCAAGATTGGAAGTCGGCAAAATAGGGTTATTGCGTCGATCAGTTAACCCTCTTTACCTTCCACGAGCCCCGGGCATTGTCAAACTCATCCGAAAGAAATAAGGGTACCCTTTCCTTGGATATGCTTACCGCGACGGGATTCCGAAGCTCATACAAGTTTAAACCAGTCGAGAGATGGGTTCCGAGACTGTTGCGGCTCGAGATTACTGGGCCTTGCTGAATATGGTACTATATGCCAGCCCCGTATTGATAGCCCTTTCCCGGTTCAGCCATACCATACCATTCCGTTTATCTCAAAGACGATTTCGACTCTTAGATCTCGCAATAAGCAGTTCAAACAATACATGTCAGGTATGTTGGAACACCGAGTATACCCCCCTATTCAGCTCAATGAGTTCGCTCCCCCACGTGATGCGATCTTGGGAGTTAGGTTGTTCACTCTCGGTATCTAGTATCTACGGTGTGTATATATATAAATAAAAATAAGAAGAATCCCGTTTTAACAACTAGCGACAGGCGACTAGGCGGGTGTAGTGTAGTAGTGGCAAGAAACCACACCCAACAGCCTAGGAAGTCCCTAGATGCTCCGCTAGAGATAACAATAGGCTGGAAGTGCACAGCTCGAGTTTCTCGGTATGCCGATGCTCCGTTGGGTATTTCTTTGGCTATTCATTTCTCTTTAATGGGTAGCTTCCTTTGCTTTTTGCTAGTTTGCTTGTTAGAGTAGAACATGTGACGGGATTGTAAGAAGTTATGTTAGTTACTTTAGAGGTTCAGTGAGAGTTCTTAGGGGATAACGGCTAAAAAGCTTACAGGAGAGTAAAAGAGGCAAATAAAAGTAGATGGGCTTTTAGCAACGCCGCGTGGAACATAAAAATAACGTCAAAGGAAAATGAATGAATACTAAACGATAGTAACTTCCCCTAGCTAGTGTCCTTAAAAAAGTTTGGTATGTGTCTTGTTGTGAGGAAAAGCCTTTAGGCCACGGAGCTCTATATCAAAACTAGCTATTAGGGGGCTAAAGGGGAATGAATACATTAGTATCTTAAATCATATAGACGAATCATTCTAATGTAGGCACCAATTCGTATCACCAGCTTTCATTTCTTCTCTATTTGACTTGTTATTGTCGGTCTATAGCGTGTATATACCTAAGTCTCCCATCAACACTCCACAATCACCTAGTCCCTATTCCTCCGGGTACCTATAGAGTGTTTGCACCGGCTCACCCCCCTTTTCAATTTGTACAATAATTTTCCATCCCCTCACTCGTTCAACCAACTCTCTCACTCATACTCTACATTGCATGTGTTCCCCCTTCCCTTTCCAGAAGAGTATGCAACAACAACAATCCACAATCATAAGTTCCAAACCGGCCGTTAATAAAAGGTGTGGGGTATCTCAAAACCCTTTCGGACGACTGCTCGCCCCCTTTCTGATAGGAATTTCCCGATTCCCATTCTTTTAATGAAGTCTTTCCATCTATATTGTAGTATTCGCCATGTTCCCCCCCCCCCTGCCGAGAAAAATCCCCTCGGATCCCAATACAAGCAAAAAGAAAAATTGGCAAAGCGAGAGTTTTTAAAAACACCGATTGTGATCCTGGCTTTTTGCTCAGAATGAATGTTTGCCCAACACCAAGCGAGAAATTGAGCCCATCCATCCTTAAAATTAGAATAAAAACAAAAAAAGCAAGATGTCCTAGGCATCATTTTTTACTTAAGACGCCATCAAAAAAACTGCGCCCTTTCTTTTTGCACCTCGTCATGAATTTGATGTTGCACCAAAAAACCCCGCACAATAGCTCGCTCAATGTACAAGACTCTAAAAGCAAGATAAAGACAAAGGAGATGCGTAATGTGGTGTGCTAACCACGTGTTGTGTCGTCAATAAGCTCATCAAGCTCACCCGCATTTATATGCACAGTGTCGGGATCCTGGTCTGCGGCGTTCGGCTTGACAGTTACTCGCCCTTCGACCGGGATGCTCCTGACCCTAGAACTTAACGGGAGAGTGTACTTTAGTGTACCTCGAACAATGAGGTCGAATTCATGTTGCAATACCCTGCCCCATCGCTGACTGCCAGCGGGTATCGTATTATTCCCAGGATGGTCGACGTGGATCTGGCCCACGGATTCGGTGCGGGCATGCTGAAATGGAGACCCTTCGAAGCTTAATGCACTGTCAAGTTCGTAGACGTGTCCGATTTGAAGATTCGGATCCGTATCATCATGACTCCCCATAGCTCGCTCCGAAAGTCCACTGTCCCCGTTCCTCCTCATTCGTCGGCGGCGCATCTCTCCTGGTGGGGGGTGACTCCACCATTCGGAATCCGTGCCGGCGTATTTTGATTTCGCGAAGATAACAATATCCGCTGTATCTATACCGACGGCTACGATGTTCGGATTGCGTGCCTGGACTTTGATGTTGAAAATAACATCTTGCTCACTTGCAAGGACGTTCTTGATGGCCACAATTTTGACCCCTTGGAGGGGTTGTGTCGTAGCAAACATAAAAGCGCCAGCGCCTGAAATGGCCAGCATTATCATAATCGATAAAAGCAGACAACCTGCAAAGCGAGCTAGAAACGAACGATCGTGTCTCGAGGCTTGGTGTTCAAGTTGACGGATCGAAGCTGCAACGCCTCGCCGTCCTCGGCCTGACCTCCCCGAACGTACAGTCGACATAAGTGGGGTGCGTTCATCATCCGCAGCATCATCCAAGTCATAGCCCGAGGATATCGGCGAGAACTTCTTCCCATTCCCCATAATTCTGGAATTCTGAAGTCGCGGGCTTGTCGGCCCGGATGTTTGTCGTGGACCAGATCCCGAAAATTTTGATTTAGTTGCATTTGGAAAAGGAGATTCGTTATCAAAGAGAGAAGCATGGCCGTTTCCGCCATTGCGACCCCATCGGCCAATATGATGGTGGTGGTGTGTTGTTCCTCTCCCTGTACCTATATTACTTCGAGCTGTCCCTTTACCGTCATCGTCACCGGTAGTGGAGTCGGGACCATTGCTCGTAAAGGAATTCGCAAATTTCATGCTCTTCTTCATGGCTACGCTGTGGCCTCCATCGATAGCGGACCTAGGGCCGTTCCTTTGATCGATCTGGCTGGCCATCGACGCTGTGCTTGGCGTTCGAGAATGATACCGCCTCGGCCGATCGCTCGTATCCGGTGGGTTCGATTCGTAGACAAACGTCTCCTCCGAGTCGGAAGAATTTGCTTCATCGACGGCGCTTGCGACTTTGGCTTCGAAGATATCTGCTTTTGATGAAGCTGGATGGATTCTTGTTAGCATAGAACTTACTCTCTGGATGCTGCTTAAGCTGGTTCGACGGGATGCCGGAAGCATAGTATACTCGGGACTGACTGCAAAGCTGCTCTTGTGAGGCGAATACGGGCCTTGACCGCTCGCCCGCTCGGGCGACCGACAAGTAGCAGCGGAGTCTGAGATGTCCCTTCCGGAATGATGAGGAAATCTGAATCTTGACGAAATTGAATGCTCACCCGTGCCAGACGTTACGGAAGGCGCTTTCCGAGTCGATTTCTTCTTCTCCTTCTTTGGGCGTATGGTCTCCGAGCTCGGTTTGGTGCGGATACTCCCATTGGCTGCGGGCCCTCCAACCGCAACCTGGGGGATGGAGCTGACGGTCTCTGTCTCTACTGTCATATTCCGCGTTGACCCTTCGCCTGATGGCTTCCCTCGGCCGGTGCCGAAAGACTTTACTGCCGGAGCACTGGGCCGCGATGCGGTTACGGTCGCCGACGACGTAGTCTTCATTTTGATCTCGCCCTTGCCACCGCTCTCACTTCCACTCTCGTTGGCCGGTTGGGTCGACGTTGCCTTGGGAGTCTTCTCTGAAGAAGTATCGAAAACATCCTGGCCTGAAAATACCTTCCGTATGCCATTTCCTAGCTGCTCGATCATCTTGTCCTCCAGACCCTGGGCTGGAGAGCTTGCTTGGCTCACCTCCTGGACCGTTTCTAGTGTCGAGGTAGTGGTGCTGCTAGCTCCCCGAGCCGGAGTTCTCATGCCGGGTGGTGGTAATAACAAATCTTCCGCCTCGCTATCGGAGATCCTCTGCTTTCCTTCGACCTGTTCCATAGGTTGTGAAGGTCGTAGAGCATTGAAAGGGTCCTGCTGATCGGTCTTGCGCGGCGAGGGGATAGCTGGCTTGTTGATCGGAGGAGGGGATTTGAGTCTTGGGGATGTCGGCCAGCGGGGAGTATCCCTAGACTCGGGTGGGTGTAACGGTTTTTGCGGGACAGGAGCCCTTATGGTCGATTCGGAAAGATTGGGGTACAGGGTTGGAATAGATGTAGTAGACAGAGCCCTCTGTGTGGCGGCAGCGGAGGGCGGGTTTGCGCTGGCGGTTGAGCGGGATGGACTGACGTCCTGGGAGCTGTTCTTTCGCGATCGATCCGAGCGGGTGGACCGCGTTGAAGGACCCTGCTTCATTGACGGCCGGACAGGGGAGGGCTCTCGGGAGGGGATTGGGGAGGTGGTGGCAGAGAGAGTTCGTTTGGGATGCAGTTTTGTTGCCGGGTGGGTGGAGGCGGTTGTGGTGGTGGTGGTTGTAGTTGAGGATTCGCGGACGGGATGCGGTGTTGGCGTGGTTGAGCGGGACTGGTCGCGACTGGAGTTAGTTGTCGATGATAACGGCGGATCTATAGGTTCATCTGCATCAGTGTCGTGCGTGCGCACAGCTGACGCGGGGGTTCTGTTGCCGGCGGCCATGTTGTTGTCTGTTGAAAGTTGAAGCAGAAGCAGAGGGCGACGGCTCGGACGGAGAGAAGTCGAGCGACGTTGCCAACGAGGTTCGAGAATCGAGAGCGCTCAAGGGCGGGCTCGAGCTTGAACGCTCAACCACGGAGCAAATGACACCGCGCCGAGGCCTCGCCACGGCCAGCAAAGCAGAGCTGCCGGAAGAGAAGAATCAGTCCCGACTATGGCCTCTGTCTTGTGCTTATGCCTGCTTGTGCTTGTGCTTGTGCTTGTCTTGTGCTTGTCTTGTGCTTGCCGGATATTCCACTCGACAATTCGTAATAGCGTAGCGTACTGTGGTGCCTGTGACGGTGGATTGGTGGTATGAATGGCGGCAAGGAACCCGGGAATTGTATCGGATTATTGGGGACTATTGGGGGTGGCTTTGTGCTAGAATGTGCTAGAGAGGGGGAGAGGAGCGGAGAGGGAGACGCAAACAGCGGATCATAATCGGGGCTTGTGGGGGAGAATATGCGGGTGCCGTTGTGATAGCCGTTGTAGTTGTAGTTGTAGTTGGCCGTTGTTGTATTGTGACTGTGACTGTGGTTGTGATTGGGCTTACAAAGTACTATTATGGTATTTGTTGTTGCGAAACACCGCGGGCGCAATGCGGATGGGATGCACAGCGTTGGGCGTGTGGGGAGGGAAACTGCACTTCGTCAGGTCGACCAAAACCCAACTATTGCTCTGGCTTATGGTAATAGAATAGGTACCGTAAGGTACCTAGGGCAGATAGGTACATGTACCGTTTGCACGGTAGTGTGCAGCTAAGGTACATGTACATGCACCTAAGTTCGTTGAGTTGTCTTGCTCACTTCTCACTTGGCTCAACCGTCTCACTACGTAGGGCGTAGAGCGTATTATTGCTCCAGTAGAACCATTAAATAGAACGCTACTCTGTACAACAGCGCTCTAGCCGGTCCCACATGACTTCTAGGCCACATCTAGCTTCTTGGTACGACCTGCGACCAAGGACAAGGGCAAGGAACTACAGAGTAATACGCTCAAAGCTGCTTGCTAAGCTATGTACGAAGTACGTATACTCGAGTCTCGAGCCCCCTCTCTCGGTTTTCTCTACCCGGAGTTACGTCCGCCACGAATAGCATCTTGCGGCGGTCGCTTTATCGGCCATTAATGTCGGGATGGGATTAACGCAGTTATTAACGCAGTTATTAACGCAGTGCCGAAACCAGGAAAGCCTACGATCCGGGGGGATGGGGATATACTCTGTACCAGAGATGACGGCGGTACAGTAATAGAGCAAGCACCCTGTGTGTGTCTCCCCAAAGCGGAAGTGTTCAGGGCTGATCAAGGTGCGCAAAGTTGTGGAATAGGATATGGGGTACAGTAATACATATTAATACTACCCAGGTGCCTTGTTGCGATAAACCTTATTACATCATCGCAAAGATAGCAGATCTACAAAGTACCTACTGATTATTGCGTCTCCTTCGACTCAGCGGCTGCCAAGTGGTTACATCACATCACTCATCAAGGGAAGACATGAACCCCATAATAACAATTCAGAATCCAATATCTCAACTCTTCTCCCCCCTCTGGCGCATCGCACGCGACCGGCCGCAGGCATCGGGGGCAACGCTCACTCGTCCACGTTTCAGTCGTTGTAGAAGGCTGAGATTTCCCCATCCCAATCCCGAATCCCCGCGGGCAGAAGGATTCGCGATCGGTTTCCTTCCTATCAGCCGACAGAGTGCGTGTAACAACATCTGGAAGTGAACAGCGCATCATCTCAACGCCCACCACACCACCAAGTTGCATCAACCGCAAGCCATCATCTATTCCCATTCGCCCGCAGCCCTCCACCCTCCACCCTCCGCCCCCTTCCAGCTAAATAAAACTTCCTCAGGTACCCGGTACACGACGCCTGTTACTTGCGTAGGTACCTACCTGCGTACGTAGTACATTCCAACGTCTCGTCTCGTTCATCCACCCGCCTGACCTGAAAGTGAGCCAGAAGAATCCTTCCATGACCGGCCCTCCATCACACCCTCCATACTGACTGCATCCTTATAGGGCAAACCCAAGCTACATTGATCGTGAAAGTGAGACTTCGACTCCTGACTACCTCCCTCCTGTCTTACTCCCTACTGCAACGGTCCGAGACGACGACCCATTTCCGGAAGCTCCCGCTCCTTCACCCAATCCCCAGCCTATAATACGTCCCGACAGCGTGTCTCGAATCTAGTGCCCGCAGCCCGTTGTTCATTTCTTCCTCTCCTGTGCTTGTCAAGCTGTCATCCGCCACCCCACCGCCTGGGACCGACCAAGCCCCCCAGCCCCCACCCCTATTTTCTTTTTTGCATTCCCTCATATTCGGTCATCCTGCTTTTTTGTTCCCCCGTCATCTCTTCTTATTGCAGCTTACTACGAAGTACGTACATATGATGATAAATAATACCAGATGTGCTGCTTGTCGAGGTGGCAACGTTGCAAACTTGAGCCTATCTACACCGTTCAAGCACCCACGTGTTCATGCACAGTCAAGATACGTGGACATAATACTACCTACATACTGCGGTTTGGTACCGATGGGGTCTACTAGGTAAGCCCCTAAGATATCGATATTCTCACCGCCCGATTCTATCACATTTATATTGCGATCACTTATTGGCCGCAAAAAGAGACGTTAATCACCCTCGTTGTCTCCTAAAGTACTACCCTTCCGTTACGCGGTAGCGCGTGCCTGTCTGAGAAATAAATCCTTTTCCGACCTGAACCGGCCGTCTGAGGAGATGTCACCGTTAACGAGCTGCTACCGAGTCTTTAGACACCTTGGCCCTGTGTCCGACTGACAGGACCTCCTCATCCTCCTCTGGTGCCGAGGACGACGAAATGACTTGTGGGTTTTTTGAGGAGAATCCTCGTCAGGACTCACAAGCCTTTAATTCTAGGTAAATCTTGTAAGGGCCAGATATATGCTCGTGCTCCATCTTCTATTTCTTACAGTTCATCGTCGAAATAATGTGTGGTGTCGTTATCGATATTGCTAAAATAAATACATATCTCCTTGAACTTCTCATGCAATGGGGCTGGGTGTCCTAATATGCTTCGTATTGTATAGGCGACTGGATAGATTGCCTCTCAAGAACTATAGATATTTGTTCTTTTAAGGTTCTTTTCGAATTCCAAGCGGGATGGCAATTTCGTATAATTCAGGGGATGTTAAGGTCTTCAGCCCTGGCTGTTGAAAAATCTGAATCTCGCACATCTCATACAGAAATTCTAGACTATGTACTCTACTAGCTATTCTATAGAAGGATAGAATATGCAGCACATGACTAGTCACCTTTAAAATACTACCTGTAGATTATGGGTTGGTGGATCAACCATTGATAATTTTCCAAGTCGGCCTGCTACATACATGTATGGAACCATATCCATTTAGCCAAGCACCTTCTCAGCGCCCCAACTAGGATTAATGTCGATATAGGTCGAAGATAATCATTGCAAATCATTTACCCTAGTAGGGGAGATTGATGTACAGTGTACTCACTTTGCTAGGACTATGATTGATGGTGCCTCCCAAACTTCCTAAGCTACCCTCCATATCCAATGGTTGAGGGAGAACAAGAGAAATTCAACAATTCAACTTCAAATCCACATATATATATTCACAAGAGGCTTGTGATGGGTTGGTTGAGTTATTTACTGTAGAATTCTGGTTGGGATCCCGATTAGGAAGTAGGTCTCGATGCGCAGCGCATGGAGCAACAACCACCCATTGATATATCCCCGCTGGGCAGACGACTTCCTACTACAGAACAACATCTCGTGGGACCTCATCCACCATATTACGAGAACATCTTGTCACTATCGATTTACAGCATTGAACTGGCGGTGGACACTATCCCGTCATGGATGACCCTCTCGTCACGGACGACCCTATCGCCAGTCAAACAGCAACCTTACGTCGTCACATAGGCCTTGAGGAGCGGGAAGGCATGCTAAAACCCGTCCCTCGCCGCGGAAGACGCCCTCTTTTCGTTGTCGAATGTACTCCCTACGCTCCGTGTCCTGCGAATTGCAAGTTGGCGACCTGCGATGAGCCGATCAACTTTGGTGAGTGCAGAATTGCTATCAGCCCTTCAATAACTAACCCTAGCTCCAGGAGTATCGCCAGTATGTCTCAAAGAATGGCCCTTACACGTATCTGGAGCGGCAAGAGCTGATGTACGTTTTCTCTAGAATATTACCATGTCGCCTGCTTTGAAAAGATTGCCGACCTATCCAAGGCAGACTTCCTGGACCGCATACTACCTGTGACGAGGTTAACCTGGGGTCTCCGGAAAATAAGCCCAATGAGCATGATGGACGGTAATTACCTTTGCTCCGCAGGTGTTGAGAGGTTGGTACTAGAGTGGAAATACCAGAGGGGACGCTGGATCGACGAGAGTGATGGCAAAGAAGTAGAATCGCTTGAAGCCACAGACCCCGATCTCTATGTGATAACTCACAAGGCAGGGTCTTCAAGCTTTAAGGTGTCTGGGCCACCTCCTGGGGTGAATCCGGGGGAATACCGACTCTCAATCACCGCCCTTGCCCCATATGAAAGTGATGGGCCTGAGGACACCGAGGAATGGAATCTCTTCGATGACTTCCTTAGCAATGATAAGGAGAGCTTGAATGATCCTCATGACTTGAGTAAGATGTTGACAAGATGGGAGAACTACATGGTATGAGCGCTTCCCGTATAACCATGCTTCCGACTCTGCGTTCCCTTATCCATGTAGTGCGTGAAGGCCACTTTACTGACATTTCTGCTCTGATCTAGAAATTTGCCTTCCTTAAAGATGATAACCTCAGCGAAGGAGCGAAAGAGCTCAGGGAGGAGATGGGAGAAAAGGCCATCAGGGCCATCAAGAGACTCTCTATTACACCAATGCCGAGTCTACGAGTTGACTGACACTGAGATGTTATCAAGTCGCGCTGGCTCATGAAGATACACTGGCATATCGAGGAAGGACTTTGCTGTAAGATAAGTTTATGACCTGATTTGATCTCCCTTTCTAGCGGGCTCGCAGGATGCGTTCCTTGTATCGTTATCCATTGCTAGTCGAACCCTATATGTGAGGGCAGTAGCACGACAGAAATTGCTAGAAGTATGACGTTTTAGCTGGAATGGTTAGCAAGTACCCGGAAGGCTATTGTTTCATCAGACAAGATGGCTTTAGAGTTAGATATTATTAATCAAATTGCTACACGCCCTCAACTCGAGATGACCCATCGCCACTCCCCGTGAAGTCAATAACCGTCGAGGATTAGGTAACACTAAGCCGTAAGGCGGATTATCTCTCTAATAATACGTCGGCTTAAGTTGCTGAATTCAACAACTTTGGTCGCTGCCTCGACAAGCTCTACAAGCTCTACTCACGGCAGGAATAATCAGAAGCTAGGAAACTAGTCTACCAAGTATTAAACAATATGATAGCTTTTTAACAATAAGAAAATACATGTTTTATGATGAGGACGAGTAGAGTTTGATAATACAATGCCACGACTAGCACCTCAATAGATGGAGATGCCGCGGATGAAAACAATACAAGTATATGACAAGCAGCGCTTTTCGTGATGAGTAGATCTCAAGTCTACCCTTAGTTGATAACTTGCGGCCAGCTCACAACTTCCTCTTCCCCTTAGGCATCCTCACTAGCCAGTACAGAGCCAACGCCGCCACGATGTTGAATGCAATGTACGCCCATATGATACTAAAATTGCGCCACCTGTCCTCGTAGTGGGAACTGATGCCCGCCAAGTATGCGTTAGTTTCCTTGATCTTGCAGTAGCTGCAGTTGCTCGTTGCCTCGGGGTCCAGAAGATAACCACCAACCCTCGAGATGTAATCCGCCATATATTCTTCGCATGTCTTGCCGTCGGGCGGGCTGAGAGTGGTCCATTCGTTGCTCGAACATGTCACTTCAACGTTGGCCAGGCCCGTTGACAGAACAGCCGAGACCCAATACGACAATGGCGAGGCCCGATACAGGAAAATCCAGAAACGGGGCATTGCATCCGGCGTAGCCAGCACACCACAGAAGAAGAAAATTAGAACAAAGAGAAAGTTGGCGTTGTTGCCGCCCTCGTCTGCTGTATCGGCAAAGGAAATACACATATGTGCAAAGGTGGAGGTAAAAAGGAGGAATTGCCAAAACAGAAGCCACATCAAACCAGCTCGTTCGACACCTTGTCCGGCGGCGTCGGCATTTTTATAGAAGCCGACAGGATAGTAAATAAACGCCCACATAAAGACTGAGGCGACGGTATTCCAGGGGATCTCGGCGATGATTTGGCTGAGCATGAAAATCTTCCAGGAGTACGTCTTAGCAGGTCGTTCGCGAACCTCGTATAGGGAGCGCTGCGTAACGAAATGTGGCATCTGTTGGTCTACCAGCTGCCCGAAAATGCTGCATAGTTCGAAGATGGCGAACATCTGGTTTTGAAGTCCTTGGATGGTCAGAGGTGCGTTGAGAAAAACTAGGCCGATGAATAAACTGCTGGCAATACAGAGGACGAGCTTGGAGTAGATGTATGAGGGCGTCCGCCAGTACTGTTGGAATACGCGTTGTGTAACAACCAGAAATTGCTGCCATAGCGGTGCCGCAAACTCACTGTACGAGGCAGAGTCGTTCTTCTCGTCTGTGGAGAGTAGATCTGTATTAAGGGCCTTTAGACGGGCTAGTTCGTCCTGAACGTCCTTGTACTCTGGGCTAGAACGCCACGTTTGGTGCCAGTCAACTTCGGAAGAACTTCCAGGGGTAGCACCAGTGGCCTCTAACATCCACTCAGCCGGGTTAGCACCGGGAGGGCAATGTGGTGCGTCATTGCGCTCGAAGTAATCCGTGAGAGTTTTAGAGTTGTCGCCAATTTCACCTGTGCCACCGATGGTCATAGGTCAGTATTGTTCGAAACTTATTTACGTGCCATCTTAGGGAGCGACGGTAATTATAGAGGAAAACGGGCAATGGAATATAAGCAGATACTAACCAAAGTAAACTGTACGGCCTTCCTCGGCGAGTAAGAGCAGGCGGTCAAACCGCTGAAACAACATTGCAGAGGGTTGGTGGATGGTGCAGAGGATAGACTGTCCCGCCTTAGAGAGCTTTTCCAGCAGGTCAAGGATAGCCCAGCTGGTTTGAGAATCAAGGCCCGACGTGGGCTCGTCAACAAAGAGCAGTAGCGGTGGTTTGGCGGCCAATTCGACACCAATAGTCAGGCGTTTGTGTTGCTCAACGTTAAGACCACCTTCACCTAGCACACCAACAACGGCATCGGCATACTCTTGCATACCCAGCAGCTCGATGACTTCGTCCACGTAGGCAAACTTTTCGTCCTTGGGGGTACTGGCCGGTTGGCGAAGGAGAGCTGAGAAGGTTAGAGCCTGTGATTTGAAGTTAGCCTGTGTGGCCCTAAAGGGAGCTAAAATAGCACATAAAAGTGCCCATTTGGTTGGGGGAATGGACCAAGGGAACTAAAGAGAGTCTCACCTCCCGCACAGTACTAGTCTCTAGATGAAGGTCTTGCTGTTGCACATAGCCAGTCTTGCGTTGGAAGCTCTCATCACGAATCCTCCCATCGACCAGCATCTCGCCAGTGATGACACCCACGCCTACACGGCGATCAGCCAGACAATCCAGCAGGGTGGTCTTGCCAGCCCCTGAAACACCCATTAAGGCCGTGAGAGTACCAGGCTTGATCCAGCCACCAACGCAGTCCAGGATGCGCCGAGGTTTGCCCTTGATCTTGATGTCGTAGCATACGTTGTTCCAGTGGAAGACGCTTGTAGAGCCCCGAAAAGCTCCCTCGTTACTGGATATGTACCCGCTCGGTTTCTCTACCACTGGTACAGGACCGGAAAGAAATTTCTCGACATCATTACCACCCTTGGCGGAAGATGGTGGAACGTGACCTCTTTTGAAGACAAGAATTTCGCCCTTGGACTTCTTCGCTGTGATATATTCGCTGGCGATAAAGTACACGAGGTGATTGAAAGCTGCCATGGCGATGATAATGGCGACATTTCGCCATTTATGGCTATGGTAGTAGTTGTATGCCGAATTGATGTAGTCGTCCCCATTCACATAGAGCTGGTCAGGGATGGCTCCAACAGCATCACAAGCTACATTATGTGAGCTGGGGTTCGCGTAGTCAGGGACGTATTTCGAGCATAAAAATTGACGACCGTGAAATTCGTTGACCATGAGTGATTCATAGCCGTAGGCCACGGGGTTCACATAACTGATCCACCGACACCAGCCTAGCATGTAGTCGACTGGGACGACAAATCCTGTAAAGATGATGAGGGCAAGCAGCAGGTTCGAAGCGGGAACCATGGCCTGCTGCTCTGTCCGTGATAGTGAGGCGCTGGCAATATGTTAGGGCGCTCTCTACTAGTCTTGTATAGTGTGAAAAACTTACACACATCTAAAGGCACCAGACATGGCCAGAACAATAAAGAATACCACAAAGAGGTAAAAGAAGAAGGACCCAGGCTCACGGTTGAGGTTGGTCATGAAATAAAACACCAAGTTGAAGGAAACTGTATTAACGATCTTCAAAGGCAAATCAACCATGACAGAAGCATATGATTCCGCCGAGGGGTGGTAAAAGGCATAGCGGGACTGCTTTTCCACGATAGGCCGTTGAGAATACAGCGCCAGAATCTCTAGCAAAGACGAAAAAGCATTGAACAAGATGGCTACAAAAAGAACGACAGCGCGGCCGAAGAATGAGTTCGTATCCATGCCCATGTTGAAGTACAAGGACGAGATAATGAGCGCCATGACTGTATTCCCAGTCATCATCGTGACGGTCAGCCAGGGATCAGCTTTGAGTCTTCTATACCCTCGCCAAATACAAAGTTGGACCTGCTGGGAATACCTCAGGGAGTATGGCGACTTCAGGCGCTGTCCCTTGGACTGGTGTGACTTTTTGAGATCTCGGAAGGTCTCAGCGTCGGGGCCGCCGATCGGATGATGCGTCTTGTATTCGTCGATTTCGACTTGTAGGGCCCTGTAATCAGGGCTATTCTTCCAGGCGGTTGCAAACTCGTCGGGAGTCCGCGGGGCGTCGCAGCCTGGGCGAGGAATCCGCTCTGCTGGAAAAGCTATAGAAGTGAGGAAGTCAGGCGTTGTCTGGCGCTCCGGACACTCAAATCCAAGGTTGGTGAAATACTCCTTGGCCCTGGACGCAGGTCCAAAGTAGATCTGACGGCCCTCATAGAGAACCACGGCCTTGTCAAACAGGTCGTAGGCGCTCTGGGGGGCCTGATACATAGACACAGCGCATGTCTGGCCAAACAACTCAGACTGGAGCCTCAGAGTCTTGCAGAACTCAATCGCGTTGGCCGAGTCTAGACCACGAGTCGAGCTGGATTTGTTAGTTAGTGTGTATTCCCACTTACCAAGGCAAGCCGCCGGACATATCACTCACTTGTCCCAACACTGGAATGCGGCGTTTGCCAGCGTTGCCTCTGCAATAGTAACACGCTTGCGTTCCCCTCCCGAAACTCCTCGTGTGTACTCATCTCCGACCTTGGTATGAATGGTGTGGCTAATTCCATACATGGCCATGACGACGTCCCGAAGATGTTCACAGTACCTATAAATAGCACTGTTTAGTATCTAGCTGTGAGAGGCAGGAGAGTCAAGGACTCAAGTAACGTACTGGTTGCGAGTGATCCCAAGCGGAACCTCCTTTTGGCAGCGTGCATGCGACGCAAAAGTCAATGTCTCACCAACTGTCAACTGAGGAAAGTGGACGTCGACCTCGGCGGTGTATATGGCATCACCTCGATGTGCAGTATGCATCTCCTTGGCTGATATACCATGATAGTTGAAGTACGAACCCTCGTCGACATATATGCCATTCGTTTCTCCCGAGATGGACTTGAGGAAGGTTGTGCAGCCAGAACCAGGCGGACCAAAGACTGCCAACATTTCGCCGGGGCGGATGAGCCCATCAAACTGGCGTAGAATATCGATTTGAGTCTGGCCTGCCGTGTTGGAAAAGAGACGGCGAGCCATGCCTGGCAAAGCCAGCCAAATGTTGCCGACATCCTTTTGGAAGTCAGTCGTCGTGCCGTAACCAAACACATTCAGGTTTTGGAAACATAGTCCAATCCGACGGAAGTCCTGGCCGCTTTCGTCGGCGGCTTTGGCGACATTCGTGGCCCACGCCCGCGCGTTGAATTTCTCGCCGTGCGGGTTTAGGGGAGAATTTGTGTCGTTGCTAATAGGCTTTCCCTTTGGGTCATCCACATTAACGGCTGTGTTGGTCGTGTATTCGCGTGCAAGCTCCAGCACGATAGAGTGCCGTCTCTCCATGTGTACGGTTGAACCTCAATGATTGCTGTCTCGAACAGAGCCCGTACTAGCGGAAAAGGAGTTAGGGGCCCAGTTGACTCCGAAACTTCAGCGCCGTCGGCGTGGTACCCTATCAGGCCGGCCAGACTGACCTAAGTCTCCTAAATATCGATGCCACTGAAATGTGAAGTCGGACTTGTTGTGGTGACTGGTGAGAAGGGGCGCCTGGAAAAGCGACAGTACCAGCCGACAGTCGGATCAGGCCAATGAATGTAAGTTACAAGAGAAATGGAAGACAAGGCCTAGAAAGGGTTGATTTCGCACGCTACAGCATTATTGACCACTTTGGACACCCGTCCCGGTATTTCAATATAAGAGTGTGGGCTTATCTCCGGAAACTGTAGACTCCTCTCGGCCGACTCGGCCGAACGACATCGCGAGATGGCGGCCCCTGAATACATAATGTCACTGTAGCCCGCAAAACCCCATGAAACGAGGGGTTTTATTTGCGCGGCATATTGCCCTGTGCCTGGAATGTCCACTTCCTCCCGATATTAGATTGGGCGAGTCATACACCATACATAAGTCCGAGAAGCGTAAAGATCCGTAATATCCTCAATGTAGGAAAGAGGGTTCTCGTGGTTGACGTGGATTTCTTCACAAAGACATCGAAACCAAAATAAGCTCGGTGGTTCATTTTTCTCCTTCCCCGGTATAGCGGGGTGAGCGTGGATATTGGAGAAGGGGGCGGCCACGGGACTAGTTCTTTAAGAGGATCATATCCGCCCAATCCCCCAACCATCAGGTAACGGTGCCGTCAATACATTATCTGTCTACTCGGCAATATCATTACTCGATATGCTTGGCACATTGGTTCAGTATTGGAAGCCTACATCCGGCCCAAAAAATCCTAGGTCAAAGTCGAACGCAAAGCCTTCTTGCTCACTATCAAGGCTTGTTGCGATATCCATGTCGTTGGAAGACGGCAAGGAAACAGCGCTGGCTTGCTCCTCCAGCAGACCGTGACAGAAGACAAGGCTATCTCTCACACTCTGTACAATCTTGAGCTCACACGAAGATCCTGATTCTATTGCCTCGACATGGGCCACGATCATGCTTAGGTATGCATGGATCTTGATATTGGTCTCGCCGTGTCGGATCCGGACTACCGATAGCGAGATCCGGTCCCTTACGGCCTGCTTTAAAGTCTCTCTGTACTGGGAGTTGCGGTCTAGTGTTCCGTCGAGGCTCTGGGCCTCGGCTTGCGCAATGAGCTCAAGGCTGATTGTGGTGGCTGAATCCTTGATCCCTTCTCTCAACAGACCTCCGCCGAGAGCCATGAGATGGGAGAAGCCTTCATCTGGCTCGGGCGAGATGAGCGCTATGGCTGTATCTAGACTGATCTTGTAGGAGTAGTAGAACAGAGGGTTTGCCCGTGCTTTGCTGGCGAATGGGCCGTGTAGTGGGATCAGTAACCTCCGCACGATAAAGTCAAGCAGATTCCGGTGGAACGCTGTCACGCCAGAACCTTCGTTCTCCTTTATGAAAGTGCTACACGCCCGACATGCGTCGACGATATCAGAGCTCAGTTTGAGGACATCCACGTAAGAAAGTTCAGAATGCAATCCGTTCAAAAGCTGGACGATCCGAAGGCGAGTGGGCAACGAGTCAAGCAGGATGAGCTGCATCGATGCCGTGGTATATGTGCCCTTGGGGTTAGGCTCTAGCACTATGGTCGACTCATCCATCTCGTGGTCGTTGTTGTTGGAAGGCGCCTCCGTATCAAACTCGTCGAGTGAGAGTCTAGGCGGCATCTCAGAGTCCAAGGATGCCTGCACCACCATCTCAAGTATGGTGGCCCAGAGCCTCCTGCGGAGCTCAGCTTGCAAAACGGGCATTGCGGGAAGATGCTTGGGATCACGGTGTAAGCCTAGATGCATGGCCCTGTGGATGAGGGAGCCCATGGACATCCACACCAGGTCGTCGCCGATGGAAAATATATACCGGGCTAGGATGGTCAAGCAGTGGACTTGTAGCCCAGTGATGTCCAAGCGATCCTTTTCTAATGGTCCGGAAAGCCACGTCTGTGCAGCGCACACCCATTGATGAGCCATATTGCGGAACTCTGCATCTCTGTCTCCGTGTCCATGCAGACTCGATCCAATCCCAATGACGAGAAGTATCTTGAGGCGCTGGCCGGTTGTTACACTGTCTGGATTATCCCAATATCGCTGGTACTCTGCCCAGAAGCTAGGTACATGAAGTATCCGGTACGTCGACTCGAACGATCGAAAGTATAGGGGCACCATCATGTCCGCCACCTCACGGGACGGCGGCGCAGGGCTGAACCCAGGATAAAGGGACCGGCTAGGTCGTCCTGCCTTGATACTTCTGATCAGGGCCCCGCATTTCTGTATAAGACTACAGGCTTGGGTGACCAGAGGCCCTGTTTCCGGGTCTTGAAACCAGGTTCCGCTATAGTTGCCCTCAGTAGCCTCCTGGAAGCAAGTGATGATCTTTGCGAACTTCAAGATTGTCAGAAGAAAGTTAGGAAATGTTAATCAGAGCTCACTGTACCTCTGGTGCCATACCTAACCAATTACCCCATTCCGAAACCCTGGTCTTCTTAAAGATTATGTGAGATTCCTCGAGCCCGGACTGGCGAGCCGGTATGTCCCGGTTGGTCTCAGATGGCCTATGGACACCGTTGACAGGACTGGATACCGACGACTCTTCGAGCCTTTGTACCCGCTGTATAAGTTCCCGGATATCTTGCTCTGTAGCTTGGGCGCGGCTGGGTAGTCCTGTCATGCTGCGGCCAGTGGTACTGGGAGAGCTATCCGGCGCTATGGTCCTGGCCCGGAATTCAAAGGAATGCCTTGCACCCTCGGCGGCCGGTCTATTCGTCTCGAACTGCGCGACTTGGACTGAAGGTGGAGGTGCGTTGGTCGACGGGCTTAACGGCGAGCTCATACTCCTAGGCTGCCGCAAATCACCATTGGCCTTGTATGTACACTGGCTCTTAAAGGAGGTGCAACGACCACAAGGGTTGTTTCTGTCGCACTTGACCTTGCGGCGCTGGCATTCCAGGCATGAGAGAGCGAGCCTGCGACGTCGACGGGGTTCTCTGTCCATGGCGAAGGGATGAACTGGTCCTCTCGGCCGTACCACTCGGTATAGAGAGGATCATCATCACACGGAGGTATACGAATTATATATTTCATATTATATCTTGCACGAAGCGCACGTCGTCTCAGGCCGTCTCTTACCTCCGCCAATTCCCGCTTACGCCCGTCACTAGCGAGCCTATCCCCTGGACGGCCATCGCTTGCCTCAGCGCTAGCAAGGGGATTCTAACTACTACAAAGTAGAAATACTAGAATTTAAGCTTATATAACACCGGAAAGTTCACGCCAGCTAGCTAGAGGTATACTATTTAAGTAGAGGATATTTTCAAAACTCTATAATACGACTAAAACTCTCGAAAAAGGTCGATATAATAATTGACTTGTAAGTAATAATAGAAGAATTATATATAACTATTTCCTTTACGACGAAAGTGTCTGAAGCCTACCTACTACTGTAGTTTAACATGTCAAAGAGCTGCCTGGGACGAACATAAGGCAGAGTGTAGAAAGCTTCAAGCTAGCAAGGCTCTTCGTCAGCCGCCCTGCTTCTCCAAGCCATTATGTACAAAATCCGCCTATATGCATCGCCTCTACGGTTCAAGTCGGTGCGCGTTGAAAGCTCGACTATATATCTTGACCAATTTCAATTCGATGTAACTGCTGGCCAACAATATTTAAAGCCTTTTCCTGTTTGTTTGGAGGTCGATCAAGGTCTGTTCGGTGCGGTTTTGGTGTACATGGGCTATACGGAGGCTATGATGTATCTTTATAGCTTTGCTAAAGATTTTTTGGCTGGTAAGCATTCTAAATTTTTATAGAGCTCCGGAATTGATACTAGTTTGCTGACTCGGCAGAGCTTTGTTCCAAGGTGGAAGAAGTGAACGTCAGTCTGATCAACCAGAAGGTCCGAATATCCCTCATTTCCAATGGACAGTAAATCGACCCACCAGGCTCCTTATTCCACAATCTATACAGAGTCACACTTAAGAATGGAGACATTTGGGCAGTGGACACCACAGGGGCGCACACGGATATGAGGATCCTCTTTGTCCCTGGCCTTACTTCGAGCAACACCGGTCAAATAAAATCAACAGAGAACTCAACTTCGGTTATATCCGTCACCAAGCCTCCCAGTCACATGGAATGTTTCCTGCAGGATGCATAGTGGCACAGAAGATTGAGAAAGAAGAACTGGCAGAGGCACTCGAGGAGAAGATCCCAGCAATAGCGCAGGAGCACGGAGGCAAGCTAAACGCTATATTAAGAGGTTCAGACGCCGCCTTCAAGCAAGCAAAAAACACATTCGTAGACCAATTTGAAGGCCATCCCAGGGCATGTGTGATCGAGCTATATGCTCCACAACATATCAGGAGAAGGAATAAGGAGATTGAGAGCCAGCTATCGCAGAACAGAGACGATCCTGAAAGGCAGAAGGACTTGGATGGCATGATGAGATTTATTGAATCTGCAATGAGTACAGCAGGGCCATAGCTTAAGAAGATGATATCTCTTAAGTCGTTGTCTGTCATCCGTTTCCAGAGCATTGGCACTACGATCATTCTTATAACTTTTTCTGATCACTTCTTACAATATTCTCTCATGGTTTTGCTAGTACCTGGTGATGGTGATTCATATTGGACTGGTGATAAGTTTAACGTGAAATCAAAGGACAAAGACTTAATCGAACGAGGGTCGAGCAGGAAACAAAGCGGTCGTGCGTATGAGATATCTTGTTCAAAATGATCTCCTATAAACTAGCCTTCACAACTGATCGACGCCAGACCATGCCTAGTCGCTGAAAGAACGAGAATAAGGATTTCTGTGTGACATATCCTCGATAGGTTGATTGCCACCAAGCAGCAAACGATCCTGAAAGCTTAATTAATATATTTTTGCAATTTGAGAAGTATCTACCTCACCTTCAACAGGGCCAAGCTCAGCAAATCCCAAGACCTCGAGTACCCATGGCATCAGGATGGCCAGGATCCCAATTGCGATTAATGCACAAAAGTATGGATGGTCATGGGCGAAATCAGCTGCCTCGGCGATTGCCTTTTCAGATGCCTCTTTCATGGCCATGCCTACCTGAACACCCTGCTTCAAGCCATTCTCGATCCCTCCTAGAATTGCCTTCGCGATATTTTCGGTCCATCCACGCTCTCCCACAATCTCCTGCACACTTTTCTTGAGGTGCTTACCCCCTTGATCTGCGCTGAAGAGTGTTCTAAGGATATCTGCAGCTATGACATTCTCTTCGGAGCTAATATTAACCTCGTTGTAGTCAGTCCCGAAGAGACAATCGTGAATTGCCCGAAGTAAAGAGGCCATGTGTTCAAGAGATGATTTTGAAATAATGTAGAAGGATATTGTACTATCACAGATTTGATGGATTGTTCTGAAAAGTTCTCTAATTTTAATAGCGGCCGTACACCTTCGCACCTGCATTGGGAGCTAGTGCCTCAGGTTCTCATACATCAACCAGGTATTGGTGCGGGCCCTATTCCCAGTCAATTAATAGTCGTGAATCGAAGATGCAACGCAGCGTGGCTGTTATGCATGATGCGCTGGCTGCCCATGATTGGCAAGTAAACTTCAGTTCCCAATCTTTCAATCTCGACCCTCCACAACAAACTAATTAAGAAGAGGCAATTTAACTCCTGAAATCGGGAAGAATAGGTGCTTTTGAGACCACCAAACTCCCTGCCCTCAGATCAGAAGAGTAGCTGAGTCTACCTGATGAAATCGACAAGCTCCGCCGTTCCGGTATCAGCGACCATGTGTCCTTGCCACAAATTGCTGTTTGTGGAGATCAATCCAGCGGAAAGAGCTCCTGCCTGGAGGCTATTTCGGGGATACCATTTCCGCGCAAAGATACCTTGTGTACTCGCTTTGCCACCGAGCTTGTTCTTCGCAAAAGTCCCACGGAGTCGGTTGTTGTTGTCAAAGATAGTAGGGTTGATAGAACAGCTGTGACTCAAAGGTAGTCAATTCCGCAGTATACATGTGCGATAGGAAGCTCTAATCTAGGAGGGGAAACCCGGGGGAAACCCGTATATATATATACTGATAGTGCAGCACGTGGGTGCATGTGACCCCTATTCCTGACAGTTGTAAATATCGTCCCTAGCCAACAAAGGTCTAAAAAGGAGAGCCAGGAACTCGCCAATTTCCAGTACACACTGGAATCATTCGATGAATTACCTGCACTGATAGAATCCGCTAAAGTTGTTCTAGGGCTTGACAAGCCTGGGAGCGGAGTTTCTTCAGACATACTTCGCATTGAAATTTCCGGCCCAACTCGACCTCACCTAACAGTCGTTGATTTACCCGGCTTGATCCATGCCAAGAACGATAATGAGGATGACGAAGATGTAGACGAAGTGGTATCTGAGTTAGTTCACTCATACATGCGCCGTCCAAGGACAATCATATTGGCAGTAGTCTCTGCGTTGAACGACTGTGCTCTCCAGGCAGTGCTAAAGCGAGTCAAAGCAGTGGATCCGCATGGCAGACGCACAATGGGCTTGATTACAAAGCCAGATACTCTGTTCAAAGATTCCGAGAGCGAGAAAGACGTCGTGAAGCTAGCCTTGAATGAAGTAACGAATTTCCGACTTGGTTGGCACGTATTGAGGAATTGCGACTTCAACACGAGAAACGTCACGTATACAGAGAGGGGCCGAATAGAAGAAGAATTTTTCTCTCAAGGAGTATGGAAGACCTTGCCACGTAGCACCTTGAAGAGCATACTGATAGTCCCGAATGCAGGCAATAACACCCTACAGTGTGCTCTGTCCCAGCACGCCCTTCTTCTTCCTCTACCTCGTCTCCTTCTTATTCGGCATATTCAAAATTCAACTCCCTGCACACGGAAGACCTCGACCTTGCTGACGGCTACTCGTACTTCATCATCGCGGGTCTGCTCTCCCTCGACTGGCATAATGTTTTAGTGAGCCCCCTCCAGGTCACTATGCCGATATTGATTTGGAGTGCTACTGTGCTTCTACCAATTGCGCATTGGCTCTTTAAGACGTTTTCCCCGGGGATATACGTGAGATACAGGCAGGCGAGGAGGTTGCAGGCGGAGGAGTTGTGGAAAATAATGGGTCGAGAAGAGAGAGTGGGCGATGTTGAGGCCGGAGGGGAAGCTGTAGGAGGGGATGTAGAAGAAGGAATTGATGAGGAGACACCATTGAGGAGAGACGAAGGGAGGGCAGGATTAGATGCTTAACGTCTTGCTGAAGAATAGGTTTGGATCACGCAGTTGACGCCCAAGGTGATCTTCAAACATCGATTCTAGTCAAGTATGCCTATATGCGTACCAATGGCATGTCGTGCGCTTGGTAGGTAAGAACATACCAAGCATTTCCAAGGTGGATCAGGAGACAGGAAGGTTCGGATTTTCACGTTATATAATTACTAAATAGTTAATTATCCTTTAGATAATTATTACTTACTTTAATACTAGTATAAAAGTTCTAACTACTAGAAATACTAGAATTTAAGTTTATATACTACTAGAAAGTATATATTAACTAGCTAGAAATATACTAGGAAGAACAAAGAGGGAGAGAGAAGAAAGCTTCGCTGTATTCACTTGCGGCGGGGGGTCCGGGGGGCTGCCAAGTCCCCTAGTATGCATAGCCACGCTAGCCTAGTAGTATTTTATTGCGGGTTTCTATATATCACGAGAAAATGTGGCACAGTGTAGCATTATTCTAGGAAAGAAGCTTCCACAGCAGTCACGCGTCCAGTTCTGCGTCGACTTGCCCCTCCCGTCGTTCCAATCCGCCACTCAGTCGTTCCAATCCCATCCTCATCTCCAGTTAAGGTACAGAGGTAATGGGCGGCGCTCGAAAGAAAAGAAGGCTCAAGAGTTCCAGAAGCGTCATCCAGCCCTCAAACCACGACAGGTGAGGGCGATGGCCTGGGAACGCCACGAGAATAACATCTATGATATGATAATATATTGGTTTGAGGTGATCGGAAAGGTATTGGATGATCCGGCTATCCTCAAGATGAATAGAAGAATACTAGATAATGAGTCGACCTAATTCTAAGCGGAGCTTTTAACATCACTAAACCACGGCTCATTGGCCCTCAAAAACTCTACCCACGGAGTAGGAGCTTCTTTAATTTGCGCCAACGTCCACTTCAAATCCGCCGTCCCAGTTGGTCCAAAATAGGAACTGTCAGCGAGTTTCTTCATCAACTTATGCTGCATCTCAGCGGTCAGATTTTTGTTCGCTTCCGCCGGTCCACTCTGCTCATACAGCACCTTCTTCCCCGTGACCTTCGTCCATCCATCGACCAACTCCAAGGGAGTATAAAAGTCAGTGGCACAAGTAAATGCCTTGCCGTCGTATTTAGCCGGGTCAAGGAGGATAGGAGCAAGGAACTTTCCGGTGTCGGTGATGTCAAGCATTGGGACTCGAGCCGCCGGTCCCCAAGTCTGTGCTAGAACAAAGCTTCCGTCGTCTCTCTATTCAATAATCAGTTTCGCTTGCATGTATGTCGTGGGACAGGATGGAACTTACAGGTTTCGGTCGCATGAAATGGATATGGTTCTGCATATACCACCCCGCCATGAAAAACGCCTTTATAATTGGCAAGCCGCGAATGTAAGTCTCAACGGCTGCTTTGCTATCAAAATGCTCCACGAATGTTACTGCGCCTTTGGACATTTCTGTCACGCTTGGAAGCGAGGACCAAATGAGAAGTGTCACTCCCACAGCAACCGAGGCGTCAGCCATAGCTTTCCCTTGGGCAATTTCGACAGCTGCGGATGCCTGTTCCCAGTCTGAATGTATTTAGATAAAGTGGATGAATTAGTATTTTTTGTACTCACAATTCGTGACTGCAAATACAGCATATGAGCCCTCGACAGCAGCGGCCAACGTGGACGGTTCATTCTGATTTGCCTGAATGACCTCAACTCCTCTTTTCTTCAGAGCAACTGAAGCTGGCTTGAATATGTCCCGAGTAATACCCCGAAGCCGATAGATTTTCGAGAGTTCGGAGTTACTCAGAACATAGTTGATAAGCGAACCTCCTTGTTGGCCAGTTGCACCGAAGACAGTGAGGAGTCTGCTCATGACGGATTTTTAAAGGTGTGAACCTGAGAGATGACATATAGACAGGAAGAAATGTGAAAATCTTTCATGGTCCGTCTATGCTTTATGTACCTATTCGAACCGTGAAGCGCGACATTTAAAGTCTTTGTAATAAGTACTCCGTGAGGAACCGCTGAATATGGCTAGGCTCATGCAGTTTACGCCCTGGCCAATGAGGAGCAACTGTGGGGGTTTTCTTAGCCAAATGTAATCCACCTTTGGATTTCATCATCCTACCGTACACTCATCACAAACCTACACAAACACAATTCCAAGTCAACAGCTTCACAGCATATCCACTAACAATTAGGAGGCTAGTTATTGAGAGATTGAAAGCATAAGGATAAATGCCCACCGACCCCCTCCAGTCTAGTTGGTGTGTCCATTATTCAGTATGCCACAAGGGACAAAGCAAAGCCGAAAACGAGGTCCCAATGTACAAATTGGCTGCATAACATGCAAGTGAGTCAGTTAAATCTAAGTGGACCATGACCCCAAAGAGACGGATATCTCTCTTACCACCCTCGTTAAAGCTTATGTTTTTTCTCCAGCATTTCCATTCGGAATCAGCCGCAATCTGTTCCCTTGCCGGAACATGAACTTACTAGTCTAGAATTCGACGGAAAAAGTGCGATGCACAAAGGCCCGCTTGCGTTCGGTGTACCTCTACTAATCGAATCTGCGATTTCCTGTCTACGAGAAGCCGAGTCCTGAAAAGTACAGTCGCGGACTTGCCTGGTGTACAGGTTTCACTTGTATCATCTGCTTCAAAAGAGTGTCTCTCATATCTAACTCCCTTGACGATGTCTAGCGACGATGCTCTACACTTCGACTACTTTCGCGTCTCCTGCACCGAAGAGTTCTCCCGCTCTTTCAACCCACCTTTATGGAAGCAGCTTATTCTGCGGGCAGCGTATACGGAGCCTTTCATGCTGCACGCGGTGCTCTCCATTGGGGCTTTGCGGCGCTCGCAGCTATTGCCCATATCATCAGCTTCTACTGTAGTAATGTTGCACTATAGCAAAAAATGGTACGAAATAGCGACAGGAGAGTTAGCCGAGATGCTGAAGGCCCAGAGTGTGGATTGGAAGCTAGCGCTACTAGGCAGCCTTGTCTTTCTGGCTGTTGAAGTGTTGCGTGGCCATGAGCACGGTGCACTACTACATTTCAGGAGTGGATTTAGCATTTTGAAGAGCTTTGCCCTCGAGGGAGCGATTATCTCTCCGGGCACGCTGCATTTCTCGGATGTGGACGAATTTGATGATGCTGTCAACGCATTTACACGTCTAAGTGTTGAACAGTATCCTTTTGTTGGCTTGCACAGTAGCTCAAATGCAACTCCTACTCTTCCGTCACACTTCGATACGTTAGTAGAAACTCGGAGGTCGCTCAACTCCATTATTTCATCGCTGGATACTTTCCTCCGCCAGTACAGTTGTCCTTCCAAGCCAACTCCTCCATCGCATCCTCACTCAGCCCTAATAACCGCCAGACAACACGCCATCCAAATCATTCTTCAAGAATGGCACAAAAGGTTTCATGCCTTCCTCTCCTCCTCAACAACTACCCAAAATGTCAAAGATCACGCCCAAGTCCTGCTCATCCAATACCTCGTTGCCTCGATCAGAATTTCAACACACTTCTCGGTTTCCCAGCTCATATACGATGTCTATCTCCCCGAATTCGAGCAGATAACAGTAATGGCTAAGGCCGTGATCGATGTGGACAACAAATCTTGGCCAAATTCAAATGGACCATGTTACACGCTCAATATTGCGATGGCACAGCCGCTATATTTTGTGGCGAGATATTGTCGATATAGTGTAGTGCGGAAGCGAGCGATTGGGGCCTTGAGAAAAGTTGGGAGAGAGGGAATATATACAGGGAGAGCGGTAGCAAGGGTTGCTGAGTGGATTGTGGGGACCGAGGAGGGTGATATGGGGCACGGCTTTGTCGCAGAGGAGATGAGATTAAATAATGTTGTGTTCAATATCCGAGAAGATGGAAGGACCGCGGAAGTTTGTGCAGAGAAGAGGGGCTTGTTAGGAACTTGGGAGGAAATACAGGATGAGATTGACTTGTGTTAACGAGTTTAAATACTTGTAGGGGTTATTTGTAAAAGAGTCGCGCTGGTATTGTTGCCCTCTTATAGCAAGGAGAGGTGAGAAGATCAAGAAGCCTCTTGAGGTGGGTGAGTTTTAGGAACCGCTTTCTCGGCCTCTGGAGCTATTTATACTCTATCCTCGGCGTTGCCTTTAGAATATCGATTTGTTCGTAGCGAGGCGGTGCAAGTGTAATGCACTCCTTGCGGGCTGTTGGTACGGTATATTGACGTTTCCCTGGCTAGTGATTTAGGGATTAGTTAATGGACTAGCTGGTCCCTCGGACAATTCATAGCCTGGGTTTTTGATAGCCAGGATTATCTAGAAAGTAAAATAAACTACATGTATGGTTGAATCTATGCTAAATGTCACAAAGTCATTCACTACGCACCAGCAATTAAGGCGATCACATTCAAATCAACATGGGATTATTCTTGTGATGGGTGCATCATCCGGTTGTATGTACATCTAAACCCATCAAGCGATCCATGCCATGGTCGCAAGCTTTTTCTAACATACCTAGCTAATACAAAGCAACCAAAACAATGTGGTTAAGCTATAGCACACATAATAGCTAAAACAATCCATCCATCCGGCCACCCCTACAAAACACAAAACCCCAAAACCATTTCCTTCAAAATAAGCAAATCTGTAAACTGCAAAACGCAACATGACCATTACTCGTCCAATTTTCGCAACTAAGTTTATCATGATAGTTCGTAGCCATGGCTTCGTGAATGCGTAAAACACTGTGTGAGCTCGTTTCGAAGATTATGTAAAGTGCAAATGCAACAGTTCGGTCCTGATATCGTTTTTTCGTTTCGTTGATCGGTGTCGAATGGCCTGTTATCCCTGCCAACGCCCTAACGCCTTCCTCAAATTCAAATCAGAGGTCATCCAACCCTCGTCCAGTCCTATCCAGGAGTGAGCGATTCATGGTAGATGGTCTAATAGCGAGTGTCCCAAGTAAAGATCCTGGGATAGTAATCAAACGTCCATCATCTCGGCATCATCCACCAGCACATCGTCGGCTGGTCCCCAGTTGCCTTCGAATACGGTCGCACCAGCACGACGGCGGGATGCGACCCATTGAACGCCTTGGGACTCTAGGACCTGGTGAACCGTGGGGCGATCTTGGGGATTTGGCAGGATCATGCATCGAACAAGTCTATCGAGAGCATGGTCATGATACATGTCAGTCATGAATTGCGGGGGTTGGTGAAGTTCGCCCCTTCTTCCAGAGCCGAAAAGATTTCCAGCATCATGAGACAGTGACTTGACTGATGTGTCGCAATTGCGCTTACGACTGATCATAGTTGGCGACCCAAAGTTTGCCTCGATCTCGTCGTCACTGGAGGAAAATCCCATGCTGTTGTCGCTATCTTGAATCGGTATCCCCGTGGCATCACGCAAGATTGCACTGCCATTGCTGAAGGTGAGGCTGGGAACGTCACTCATGTCACCAGAGCGAAGGCGTTGCCAGGTCGGGCCGTTATCGGGTAGTTGGACGTTGCCGGCAATCTCGAGCATTATGAGACCCAAGGCAAAGATATCGGCCGGTTTGTCATACTGTCCCAAGAGGATTTCGGGGCCGATGTACTCGCGATCACCCTCTCCTTCGATCCCTGGTTGAGCAGGCCAGGTAGCAGCCATACCAAAGTCTGCGATCTTGAGGACACCTTCAAATGTGATTAGAATATTGGCTGGTTTCAGATCCAAGTGAATGAATCCGGAATCATGAATGTGTCGCAAGCCCTGGATTTTAATTAGTAATGTTGACTTTGAGTAACATTTGGCACATGTAGATCACTTACCAAACCAAGCTCAAGCACGATCTTCCAGATGCGGAAATCATCTAACCTTCCCTTCCGGCCGACTTGCGACAGGAACATATCAAGACCTCCTTCTTCGCAGAATTCGGTTTGAATGTATAGATAACTATTGTCCTCCCAGCTGTCGATAAGATGAACCACGTGATCAGTCTGTCCTAGTGATTTAAGCACACTGACTTCCTGTAGCTTCCTTTCGCGGTCCCTGGTGCCTTGGTAGGGCTGTCGTGATTTCTTTACGGCGAAAACCCGTTCGGGCATGGGTGTTTGAGGGGATCTACCTTGAAATGGCGATCTAGATGCACCAAAATAGACTGATTGACTGGCTCGAAGAATCCGAGGGGCAGGTTGGGTGACTCGATATACATGAGAGAATTCTCCAGTTCCGATCAACTCGGCTTTTTCGAATCTCGATGCGAGTGACTTGTCCATTTCCGTTGCAGTGGAGAGGTTGCCGAGGGGAGTCATGCTGAGTCTCCTGTCGCAGATAGGCAGGAAGGATTCCCGCCCAGTTGTGGGAGTCGCTGGGGGAAACATCGAGGCACTGCTAGCTCTGGCTGACTTCTGAATTTGTCCATTTTTGGGGTTCGAGATGGAGAGGCCGCTGGGGTCAGGAGGGAGTAAGCTGTCCTTGGGGGTGCTGGGTGATAATCGATCGACGAAACCTATACGCTCCAACGAACTCGCTGGAGCCACGTGACTAATTTTAGCAAACCCTGGTCTTCTCGGGGCGAGGAATGAAATAGTAAGAGATTTAGCCTTCAATGGCGTTGGAGAATGTATTGGAGTTGGACGCCGGGTTGGGAGGGAGATGCTAGATAACGGCATGGACATGAATATTTTTGAGTCACGCTTGGAATCCATCGGCGTTGGAGAGTCATCCATGTCCATCTCCGTATCGCTGTGATCATCCTCTTTCTCGATTGGGGTTGTAAAAAGGCTTAACTTACTCCTCGTTCTTACGAGTTTCCGGGCGAGTCCGTAGCCTGAAGCGGATGCTGACACTGAGATGCTACGGTGACTGCTTGGGCTACCATCACCTGGCTGTGGCGTCAAGCCAGGAACAAGAGCTTGTTTGGTGGGGGTTGGGGGGAAGTCAAAGTCAGAACTGCTTCGATCCTCCCCCTTGGCGTCAGGCGAGCCACCGTTATCATCCCCATCATTGCTGAGGAAGCTGCCCCGCCTGCTTAAACTATTTCTGCTATACGGCCCGCCGAACACCCCAGAGCCTTTGCCAAATATGCTGGAGTTTCCAGGAGCCCCATGAGGGTTGAATGGAGTAGATGGGTTCCCAAAAGAGGGTCGAATATGCCTTCCCTTTGAGGCCGCGCTGCCAGGAATATTTGGAGGATACGTAGCAAAGATATTGACCTGTTTCTTGCAGGGAGTGTCGGGTACAATTCCCTTGCCCAGCCCACGAGTTGGCTCGTCTTCCGGGTTTCGGTTGACCTTGGAAACGAGGCCTGTCGACATGAAAGCAGCTGGTAATGGCTTGACAGACTTGTAATTCTGAGGAGTTGAGAATGAACCTGACTCCTCTCCTCTGGACGCCTTCGGGGCGAATGGATTTAATGACCCCACAGGCAATGATTTTGAGAAGTCTAGCTTGGGCCTAGGGTGCTCACCAAAGTGAACGGGAACATGTGTGGGGGACTCATCAACCATGCTTGAGTTAGATGAGGAGGTCGTCATGGTCCGTGACAATGGGTGTGGCTGATGGGTTGGCGGATTCACCACATGCATCGATGGATGTGGGAGGCTGCCTTGCGATGAGAAGGGACTGTCCCGGGCCATAGGCGGCATGAATTGATCCAGGGAAAGCCGAGGTCGATTCTTGACTGGATTTGGTGTTGAGACTTCTGAGCCACTCTGTGCCGCAAGTTGCTGGGCTGCCAGCACCTGGGCCGCATGTCTCCGTCCCCACGAGGTTTTCTCCCCATGTCGCTGCTGTAGAGTGGATTTGCGCAAAGAAGAGGATCTTCGAGGCATCGACGTCAGAGATGCGTTTTCGGGCGCCAAAGACGCCGCTGATAGTTCGTACTCGTGATTCGACTCGTCGTGAATATCAAACTGCGCCGCAGATGTCGGGCCGTGATCGAAGACATTGAAGTCATGGCCAAAGCTGGCCGAGCCGTGCAAGCTCCTCCGTTTGGCGACCGGGCTACCAAGGCTCGCCTGATCGAGATTCATGATCGTATCACTGCGCTTTAGCGGGCTCGAGGTCGATGGGCCAAGTGGGCTGTCGCTGGAACCGTCGCCCAGTCTCGAAAGCGCGTGGTTTATCGGCGCAGTCGCGTCCAGATTCAGAGACATTCTCGAGGGCTTCTCTAGGTTCTTGCGCTCCGCAGGACTCGTGCTTCTGCTGTTCTCCTGTCCGGTCGTAACCCAGGATGACAAGGTTGGCGAGGCGGCGTTTCCGCTGTCCGACGAGTTACTCAAAACGCGTCTCATCGGACTCTTTGGCGAAGTTCGAGTGCGCGAAGAAGGTCGAGGAGACGCGGCTTTTGAGCGGCCAGAGGAGCGCAGCGCGAGTTTTGCGCTCGGTGGGAAAGGGACGGCTGGGAAAGGAACAGCGAGAGGTGAAGGCGTATATGGGCTGTTGCTGGAAGCGCTGGTGAAAAAGCTGAGGTGCGAACCGGTACTTGCGCGTTTGGAAGGCGATCGTGGTGAGGGCGAGAGTGGTGATTTTGGAGACGAGCTTGGTGATTTCGTAACAAGGTTGAACTTGGATGGAGAGCGCGAGAGGGAGCGCCTGAGAGATCGTACCGCCGAAGTCACGTCAACATGATGGACATGTGTCGGAGATGGAAGCGTCAGCGTGCCACCACCGCCGGTGGAGTACGACATGATATGGTATCGGAATGCAGATTATGCTTTGTCTAAGATATGTTATCTGAGACTGAAACCGCGACTCAGAGAGACGTGTCCGCGGGCAAAGAGATTTCTTCTCTTTCGAGATGAGATCGGCGTGCTATCTTTCACATGGGCATAGAGATAGAGGTCGCGAAAGGACGAGAGATAGTCTTTTATGCGCTTGCACGCAGTTGTTTTTACTGATTGCGCCGGTCAAGAGCAATATCCTCCGTGAACGAATGGCAGAGGCGGGCGTGGGCGACCAAAACCAACTGTCCAGCGTATTGAGTCGAGGAATGCTTCGGAGAAAGCGGGAGAGACACAGCACAGCGGGATGTTGGAACTCGATACTTCGTAAGCAGGAGCAGGAATGTTCGTAGATGTCACGGCGAGGTAATCATGACACCGGAGGCGTAAATTTCAAACTGGGAACTCCATCCACAACAGCGCGCAACACAGCTCGGGGACTGCACTGCACTACGCCCAACGCCGGGTTTGCTGTCGAGTATCAAGTATCGAGTGTCGTGTGGGAGTGCGCGCGCCAGCGTCGAGCACAGTGGGCGATGGGGATGCAATTGCAGGCGGCGATGCAGATGCAGATGCTGGGTCGAGAGAGGAATGGGTGATGTGGAGGTGGAGAGAGTGTTTGAGAGAAAGTCTAAGAGAGAGAGGAAGAGTAGACGATGTGGTGTGTGTGAGCGAGAGGAGCAGAGGAGCAGAGGAACACGGGCTTCTCCACCACGATGTGCGTGGCGTTTCTTGGTGTGTTTACTCTGGACGCGCTCTGTCTCGGTCTCCGCCTCCACGGGTCCACGCACGATCGCTTGCCTGGGGGTTTCTGGGGGGGGGGGGGGGGGGAGAAAGTGCTCCGTAGCCTGTGGTAGCAGCAGTGCACCAACAGCAATAGCAATCGTGGTCTTTGATATCACCCTACGACTAGATACCAAAGTCAGGATATACTGGAATCCGGAGTATTGGACCCTACATATCTCAGAAGCCGAATTCGAGCTACAATAGTCTCACTAACTCTCCGGCTTCAATGCAATTATGCAAGGAACGGGGCTGTATACAGCAGTCACGATGAGCCGTTGTTTGTTTAGTCGGCAGCAGCCGTGGCCAATCAACACGTCGGAACGCGCGTGAGACCGCACACCACAGACCATCTCCGGCGGCCGCCCAGATCGGCGGCGACTTTGAGCCGTAAGTCAAGTGAGTGCAGCGCAGATGCGGCAACATGAGACGATGGGAGAACAGATTATAAACCTCCGAGTCCAGTTGCCTACCTAAGGTACATAAGAAGGTCATGGTGGCAAGTAAAAGGTAGTCAACCCAGAGAGTTATGTGTGTTAACCATCGATCGACATGGTGCTTTTGGTTTGTTTACATCATTACATCACAACGCGTCACCAAAACAAACAACAACAAACAACACAACAATAACAATAACAAGTAATGAAAAGTCAACATTGTACCGTAGCCCAACACCAGCATCAACATGCATTGATAGTAATACTAATAATACCAATAATACTAATAATAATCATCATCTGCTCTGCACGCCCTTCGTATAAAATATTTCCCTTCCAGGGCGCACCGCCACCGGGTGCAAGGGGATCTAAGATTGTCCCGCCCACCGCGGCTGCTCCACTGTCCCGGATCCCATCCCCCTGTGGAAGTCGATAAAGTCTGCCAGAGCCAGCTATAGGGGCTGACCACCGACCCAGGTTCTTCTAGATGCATAAACACACAATTTCGACTTGTTGGTGGACAGGGTGTGTTCGGTTGACATCAGAAGGAGAAAAATGCCTGGGTAGTTTTTCTCGGATCTCGGCGCGGTGAATAGGGGTTCCTATTATTACTTCGTACCCGGTTACTACGTACAGTACGAAGTATATGGACTTCTTCAAAGGATCTCCGGGTCCGGGAGTGCGAGTACCGCTCAAAAGGACCATAATAGTCTTGCACTACCAAATACTACTTCGTAGAACCACCCTAATGAAATAAATTAGTCCCGCTGCCCCATTCTAGACCGCTTTTTAGACGGCGGGGCGGCCTGCTTCGTACTACTTCAATCTTAATCGCAATCTTACCGTATTGATTGTTCGTATCAGGGGGCTGGCACTACTGTACGCTAGGTACATGTCTGTCCAGGACTCCAGGTATCCGGACAGGCTATCGGATGATGCTGCAGAGCGATACTCTACCGCCGGGTCCGATACACTGATACACCGATGCACCTGACGATCGATAGGTATGTAGCCTGATAGACAGATACACAGATAGGACTCCAAGATACGAAGAGGTGCCGGGAATCCGTCGCATCCCATCCCACCCCATCTACAACGTCCCTGATAACAAGTCCTGCACGAAGCAAACCTAACCCAACGAAAAAACCGTTATTCTACTCTCCACACTCAACCAATCCTCGATGTCTTATGAACTCATCACATCTTCATAAGCTGCATATTATATCGCCGGAGCTCGAGGCTAATGCAGCTGAGCTCAACGATTTTTTTCCCAGCCTCTGCATCGCGCATCCCCCACCTGTTCGTCTAGAATTGAGACACGTACGAAGTAGTACACCGCTATATCCTCCTGCAGCGTTTCGACTGATAGTACGAGGACAACGCGTGATCGGACCTTTTTACTTTTGTAAATCAGTAACGTGTTCTTCCCCCTTTTCCCCTGCGTCTCAGGAGGCAGTTTTTATTTCTTATTATTATACTTGCTGTGGTGTGCCGACATTATGTGATGCATCATTGCTGCAGTGTGACCGCCATTTGCCCGTGCTTGGCTGGAATGGACGGGAATTGGAGAGGCTGGATCAACACCCTCACGATTCATTCTCGGTGCGGTGTGTTTGGTATCCCTGGTCGCCATGGGGTCAGGATCAACATCAACCCTAAAACCAGCTCTACTTGCCTGCTGCGCATTTGCCGGAATAGACGATGGTTAGCGGAGGCGCGATGCCCTCCCCAACGCTGGCGAGTAGACTTCCCTATAGGGTAACTCACTAGACTGGAATTATAAAATGTAAGTGGATTCATTCTTTGTCTACTTCGTATTCATATGCCAAAATAGTACGGGTCCCGCTGTATGAAGTATTGTACAGGGCAGTGGCATCTATTGTACAACGAGAAAGAGGAAAATGAGGACCCTATCATTTGCTTTTGGAAATCCATCTACGTGACTTATGAACAGACTTGTTAAGTATTGTATTTACTGTTTCTGCCCTTCTTATCTATTAATCTGATTCTCCAACAACTTGACATATCATTTCGCCGTCCAAACCACAGCCTCGGCCCCATCTACTTGAGCAAGCACGAACTGCCTGTCACCGAGCAATAGCTGGTGCCTACCTTTTGCTATTAGGAGAACCCTTATGTTGCAACCTAGTTTCTACCAACATGCTTGCAGATGTCCAACCATTCCCTCGAATCAAAGCCCTGCGACCCATGACCTGGGACCTCTTCCACCAACAGGCCGAATTCCGATAGCGTGTAGCAACTCTCTCTGGCGTCGGAGAAATACATGGAGCATTATAGTCATGTGAAGATAATAATTCCTGGTCCTCATTCATCGTCCTCGTCGCTAGTCGCGTCAATATTTGACTTCGTCTCCTTCTTCGGCTTCACTCTCGTCCGTGGCAACGCTTCTACCTCGGAATGGTCCTCCTCCATTGCCGTTGATGCTTCGACCTCCACACCCATCGATTTCAGACTCGCGTTGATATCCGGAATCACTTGAAGGAGCGCTTTGTATTGTTCGATGGTTAAGGAGATGCCCTATGAGCAAATCAGCAATTGATCATCACAATCGATTGGTGATGCAATGTCTAACCTTCTTGCCTGGCAAGTACTGGCCATCCTTCTCGTAAAATTCCCGGATGTTCACCAGCTTCATGCCCTTAAAGTCAGTGATTTCGACTCTCCGCGGTGTTCGGCCAGATGACAACTAAGGATTCGCATTAGTGGTCGCAAAGTGGATGAGATGGGCGTTTTGGTTAAAAAGCCACTTCAACTCACTTCGAAAAAGCTGCTATCTGAGGCACCGCTCTTGCCTTTGGTCGCATCTGACGATGCTTTCTTCGTCTTCTTGCTCTTGGGTGCTTCGTCGGAGTCGTTTGCAACAAACCCTCCGTCGGACTCATAGCTTTCAACATCCTTGATCCCGCGTTTCGGCATTTTCAAAAGTGTTTATTAAGTCGAGAGGGTGATGGATGTTTCAATTTCAATAGTTCTATGAGTCGGATATGTTGTTCTCCAAGGTCGACGTTTGATAAACTCGCGAGGTGCTTGAGCTGACCTGACGGGGAAACGCGACCTGCGCGCGGGATTGCGCAGGGATCGCCAGGATAATTCAACCACTTAAAGGCGGACCGCTGACTAAACCCTAAACAGCTACTGTACAGGCTGCGGTGTGGATGCTTAATTCTATTTTAAAACAAGTCGGCGTTCAACGTCGTAAGCATTCCTTGATAACTGAGCTGAATCTTAACTTGCTACACACAATTAGACTATGAATAATAATTGTGGCAAACACCTTTGACAAGAAACAATTGCTTGTTCCGTCGGCTTTATCCATCCGCTTCCGTACGTGCCTGGCTAGAATCCATTCCCTCCTATGGGAGACTCCCGCTGACACTCGTATTCCAACAAAGATTCAGGAGATCGCTCTGTCATCTTCAGCATGCGACAGCCGCCCAGTCGAGCGCGATGAACGGAACAGGAGGAGACTCGAAATCCAGCGATGGGCTTATTGATGCCCTGGAGAGCGCCCCTACGGACGCAAAGGGCGCAAACACGTCGAAGGACAGTCCGACGGGGCCAGAAGACCTGGTGACACGGGCGTTACGTTTCCTCTCCACAGCTTCGGTAGAGACGATCGGCGCAATTGCTGTTGGATTGGCAGCATCTACATATCTTATTCTTGGGAAACTGGGTTTAGTACTCATAGGCGCATTGGGAGGCGTGGTCTTGCATGCAACGTGGGAGGGCCAGTCCGATGCGCCCGGCATTTTAGAAAATGCTCGGAGAGAAAAATCTCTGGACGTGATAACGCGGGTTCTGGAATGGAGAACTGTGAAGATCGAAGCCCAGGAGGAGGAGGACGATAATAGTATCGTCGGGGCTACGTTCGAAGGATTCCGGCCAGAAACTGCGGCCGCTCTCAATGAGCTCGTCGAAGCCGTAATCCAAAACTATGTGAAGTGGTGGTATAATCCCATACTTCCAAGCGACCAGTCCTTCCCAGCAGTGTCCCGTCAGACTCTGACGAGATTCATTCTTTCAATCGCGAATCACCTGTCCCGAAAGCGGCCTGCGGATACTTTTCTCGACTTCCTCACGAATTCCTCCTCGATCGTTATAGTCTTTCTTAGCGAACTCTCGAGCGCACTTTCATCAACGCAAGGTACCAATGTACCCGCCGCTGAAGCAGTTTACGCATACTTATCTGCAAATCCCGACTCGAATCTGGCCAATGTCCTGAACGAGAAGCAACATATGAAGAAGTTTAAGATGGTTGCAGATGATGTACTCCAAAATTTCTTAGAGAAGCCAGTATACAACTGCGATCCTGCGCGGGTTTTCCTAAGAGAGATTCTGGCTGGAGTTATGCTAGATATGACCCTGAAGAGTTGGTCCAAGCCGGAATGGATCAATGGTTGGATTGTCTATCTATTGGAAGATGGCGAACCGGATTTCAATCAGGCAATAGATGCAGGAATGGGAAATGCCACGGATCTAAGCAGTCCGTTTAATGATATAGATGGAAACGTGGGTAATGTGGGCCTAGCCAAGGCGCCCAAATCACCACAATCGCCGCGAGAAATCCGAGCGCAAGAATCGAAAGGACACAAGAAACGTTTGAGCAAAGCCGAGGAAGCTATGGAAGAGGCAATGGAAGAGGCGAAAAGACTATCTCAGCTAATAGCCGAGGAAGAGGCAAAGAATGGCCCTGCTACTGGAACTTCGGTTGATGATGTCCCTAAACCGTTGGAAACGGCAGTTGAACGGAACCCTCTCGGTTCAGCTCCGAGTATAGCCGCGTCGATCAGCGATGTCTCGCAACAAGACTCTTCCAGTTCAAGCCCAAGTCTTGTACAAGATCGCAGCAGCTCTGTTGAGTCCCCGGTGTCTCCAAACTCCTCAACAAGTGCTCCACCTCAGCCACCTCGGGATGCAGCCCCTTTCACCAGCTTTGATCAGATTGTACCACCAGCGCAAGTTTCTGCACTTCAGGAAGAACCGCCCCGTCCTCGAAGAAAGACGATTGCTCTCACACTTCAAAATGCCAATATTGTAATTCACGATGACTCAACAGCGAACGACAAAGGGAAAATTCGTAACAAACCAAATGGGGACTATCTAATTCAGATTGAGCCTGCCTCCTCTGACCATCCTGGTTGGATGATTGTACGCAGATATCCGGATTTTGAGACTTTGCACGAAGTTTTACGGCGGATTGCGCAGATTTCTGGAGTAGCAGCATTTACCGAGCAACATAATTTGCTTCCCAATTGGAAAGAACACACAAAGTCTTCTCTACGGGGCGAGCTCGAGAGATATCTACGAGAAGCCTGTTGGCATCAATCGCTCGCGGAGAGCGAGGGCATGAAGAGATTTCTAGAAAAAGATCAAGGGCAGTCAATGTCAGGCTCTGGTTCGAAGAATGGCTTTCCTGGTATCGGTTGGCCTACTCCCTCCGCCTTCGAGACAATGGGGAAAGGCATGCTAGACGTACTGACCAGTGCGCCCAAAGGTGTGGCGGAAGGTGGCAAAGTAATTGGAGGTGGAATAACCGGAGTCTTTTCGAATATTGGAAATCTCGGCCAGAAGAAAGCAAACGGAAGCTCGTCCAATGTATCCACGCACTCTGCCGGTCGAGCGTCGACATCCACCCTCCCGCGAATTGATAGTATAAATTCGACTACAAGTAGTCGAAGGGGAAGGATGAGTGAGGATAGTTTACGAGCGGTACCAGTTGTTCAGACACAACCATCAAAGCTCCCACCAATGGAACGCAGACCAAGCTACAATTCGATTGCGGAAGACAACGAGGAGCGTGACGCTCCGTACCCAACATCTTCAAGGTCATCCATGAGTGGCCGAAGGAGCGCTGTTCACAGTCGCGACCCCAGTAGAGCCCCGTCAAGGAAAGGAACCCCGATCTCGTCCCCTACACAGCTTTTCATTGATGAACTCAAATTACCTCCTCCGCCTAGTGCCATTGATGAGAACTATGGAACTCAGGGCTCGGATTCTCATATCTCTCATGCACACAAGGAGAGTATTGCTTCGGTCGGTCGGACGTCTACGAGCACAGCACCATCCCAACAATCCCCAGGGCGGCCATCGCTTTCCGCAGCTCGAAGGTCCTCCGTGCAGGTAAATCAGACGCCTCGAAAAATTCGTAAAGAGCCTACACCAGTTACCGAAGCAGAAACCCGAGTGGCTGTAGAACTTCTGTTCGCTGTGATCAGCGAGCTTTACACCCTTTCGTCAGCATGGAAGTTCCGAAGGACGTTGCTCAACGCAGCGAAGACGTTCCTCCTACGGCCTGGGAATCCGTCGTTATCCTCTATTCAGTCCCTTATCCAAGATTCGGTTATCGCGTCTAATGCCTCTGATTCCGGCATGGCCGCTCATCTACTAAAATTGCGGGAAAATACTATGCCTACAGAAGAAGAACTAAAGGCCTGGCCAGCGGAGATGTCGATGGAGGAGAAGGAAAGATTACGAATCAAGGCTAGGAAACTGCTAGTCGAAAGAGGCGTTCCCACCGCCCTGACTGGGGTGATGGGTCAAGCTGCTACTGGTGAAGCTATGGGGAAGATCTTCGATTGCCTGCAGATCGAAGAGGTGAATCGTGGGTTGATGTTCGGCATGATACTACAATGTGTTCGCGCCGTCACGCAATGAGCATATAGACCAGTCTATGACATGAATCACTGATGGAGGGTTTCGATTTGACGCGGGTTATTCCGGGGTCAGGGCCGACCCTGTACGATATAGGTGTATAATAGAGGTAACCGGTATAATGATTGGTAGCTGTATTCTTACGAGGGATTTTTTCTCTTGCTTAATTACATCTTTAATGGATTCAATGAATGCTAACGGCATTTCTTTGTCCCTGTCTTGCATTTTGATTACCGTTTTTACGTCTATGCCTATGTCTGCTATTGCTTCAAGTTGTTGGCGCCGTATACTTAGATCAACCCCTTTGAACGAATGAGATGACTCCGTCAATTCGAAGACAAGCAGCCCTTGTAAATCAGAAATATTTCCTTGGCTTTCTTTTCATAGATATGTAAGCACATAAGTTATCTCATCTTCAGCGAGGATGAAAACTTGGAGAGCCTGTCGACTAGGGATACTACTCTCTGAAAGTCTTGGAGCACAACCAGTAATTGCGTGCCAACTGTCTTTTGCCAGAGCTCTCTGGTCTTCTACATTCATGCTCTAAGTATAGCGTATAATCCTCACATCGTAAGCATTGGTGATGGTGGTAGTAGGATCCTCGAGAAGCTACCGGCGATGGGCCATACCCACCGAAGCCGTCATGTACCCGTGTGGTGCCAGCTCGTTCTTCCATGATGTATTACAAGTGCCACGGTTTACTTCCATAGCTGTATTGATCTTTCTGCCCTGTTGTTGGCTCTATCTTGTCCAATGGGCTCGAGGAGCCAACGCTGGAGGGCCATATACACGGGGATCCAATGATGTCCGTTTGGACTGGTTCTTTTTGGCAAGACATAATTCTACTATCGATACATCATTTTAACCCCTTTTATACTCTTTCTAGCATACTTCTAGCTCCCAATATGTCCCATCCTCATATGCACCCATTCTCCCATCTCCTCGCATTCTCTGCCCCTCCGTCTGGGTTCCTTCCGTTTTTGGTTCCATCTCTCCTTCATATGGTGTATTTGCCATAGCAACGACTGATCTCCACCGCCCTCGTGCGGTGAACCCTCGCGTATTCTCACCACAACGCTCTCACCACACCGTTATTTCGTAGATTTCCCCCCATTCAAGTGACAATTTAGATATATTTTTTAGATACTAGATGTAGCTCTCGATTGCCTCTTCCTTGCGAAATTTTCCATATAAAATTCCACCGTGTTGCTCTAGTGATGCACAGTTTCAAAGGTTTCTGCCAGGTCCTCGAGGCTCTCATCAATCTGCCTCCCTTTGCCGCCCAAAGAGGAAAGCACGCCTCTATTCACAGCCTACCGCAATTCGCGTATCCATTTACTGCCACCGCTTTGCTCGCCCTCTTGCCTATAAGAGATTGTTCGCCCTCCATTCCATCTTCTCTTCTTCCTCTCCTCTCCACCGTTTTTCATGCAAGCTGCCTTGACTGTCTGACTGCTTCTGCTATCTGACTATTACTGCTACTTGCACTCTATCTCTCTATCGATCTCGAGTAGCTGACCACTACTCGTCTTCTTTACCCCTTTGTTTACAGACATAATGTTTTTACGACGAACTCGCGCGCTTGACGCTGCACGAAAGCACATCGAGAGGGTAAGTTCAAATCATTTTCTTTGTTTACATCCTCCTCCATCTCCAACACCGAGCACTCACACTCCACACATTCACATCAACACTTTGCACCTCCAATGGGGTTTTGCAGAGTGCATCTTGCGAACAGTTACGTTCTTTGTTTACATGGCTCGAAATTCACTGCAACAAGTGCTTGCAGTGGTTTCGAGATCATTGTGTTCTTGTCTTTGTCCTCTTTTCCCTCGTTTCCCTCTTCTTCCCAGTATCCTGAGTAGGCACTCGAAGTCGAGTAAACAAACAACGTCATCAACTCGTAGTCGAGGAAGGAGCCCAAGGTCGGCCCTCACCCATGACGTTCCTTCCCCCCTTTCCAATCCTCGCTTAGCAACCACACTAGTCGCACACCTTGACTTCATCCATCCATCCATCCACACCCATCCTCAACCTCAACCTCATCCTCAGTCAGGTCCAACACAACACAACACTTGATTAAGTTTACTCATCTACCCTCACGCACTTGTACTTATGTTCAACAATACTCGCATTGGTCTGTAGTGCCGACCTGTACCCCATCTACTTCCAAGTTACTTCGTCATCGTCTTTCTTGTTCATCTCTTTTGGCATTGTTTACCCACTTGTACCTGGCCTGTACATCGTCGTCGTCGTCGTTTATTCCCTTCGGTGTTGCTCTATATCACACTGCACCCACTTGTATCTTGCCTCTCCTAAGCCGCTTCTTTATTATCCTTACTGTCGAGTTCGTTGACACTCCTCCCTCACACTCGTCTACTTCATACACTCTTATTTGCAACATTGCTAACTTCCCTTCTCTCCAGATCAAGAAGGGCGCCGCCGTTCGACAACCCGCCAATTCTTTTTGTCGACCAGCTTTCCTTTCTCGGTCTCGGGCCGTTGCCGCACGACCACGCACCCGATTCTCGGGTGCTTTTGTCTCAGCGCCAGCGCCACGAGTTCCCGCTACGACTACAGCAGCGATACCCTCTTCCGGGGGGGTTTCGCCTTCTCGAATACCGACCCCGCCAAAGTCGACACGTCGATGGAAGCCGCTAAGGAAGGCGCAAGCTGGCAGGGCCCGTGGTCAAGTGACCGCAACCCGTCAGCTACGCTCCTGCCTGCGTTCTTCTCAGGCCAACGCAACAGCCCTCCGCCGCTCGAAGAGGGTCCATTTCGAAAATGACGCCGTTACCACGGTCGTCGTCCGGTTCTTTGAACCGGAAGACGGCCTTGGTGATCGTGTCATCAATCGCACTTCGGAATCCTGTGCGCCCGATTACACTGAACGAGGTGAGTTACGCTCCTGGACTGCTAACGGTTTGACGTACTGGCAACGGGAGGACGCCAACTGGATGGGACCAGATACTGCTGGCAGTTTTGGCCCTGACGGACCCCCCCGTTGCCCGTACTGCCTTTATAACCAAAACGCAGGCAATTTCATGACGACGGATTACGTGGATGAGGTTATGGATTCCTTGTCCAAAGAGGAATTCTGCGCTCAGTGGTGGATCGATTGCGACACGCTGAGATGCGAGGAACATGAGAAGGGTTGAGCATGTCGTGATCACTCTTCAGGTATGTCCCCGCTTCTGGCATGATAACCAAAACATAATAGGTGCTACGACACCGCCAAAAAAAAGTTGAAAAAACGGCCCTCGTGAGTTGGGACTTGGTGGTTCTCGTCTCGGCTCGCTTGGGTATCAAAAACAATCACCAATAAAGCTGGGGACTTCTCCGGAAGGAAACCAGAAGCGCCCGAAAGGGCTACGCATTTATTCTACGGCACAATTAGCTGCCATTCGCGGCTGAGCAGGTCTCAGCATCTGACTTGATTTTTCGCTAACCTTTTGGAGACATGCTTTCCTTCTTGTTTTTCCTCCCCCTCTCTGCTTTGGCTTACCATGTATAGGGCTCTATTTTGGCTTACCGTGTATAGGGCTTGGGATGAGTAATCTTGTATTGCACTATCTGCAAGCTGAAGAGCACTTAACCGGCTCAGGGACTGAAATATCTGGGGTACGGGCTTGGTATTGGTATTGGTGTTGGGGTGCTCGTGCCTCAGTTCTCGCCTGTATGGTGGTGTTCTTCGGGGTGGTGGCGACGAAGGTAAATGGGATGGGTAGGTTCTCTTACCCAATTGCCACTGATTTATATCTGACTTGTTCCCAGTGGCATTGAGAGGGATGGGGGGGAGGACTTTGGAGAATCAGGGATACCGCCCCAGCTGAGACGGCCAGGGTACAGGCAAAACGGAGAGCGGCTTTGCCCTCTAGACGACCGGCGGATATGTACCTGTGCCTTGGCATGTCGATGTTGCGGCTCCCTAGAAATCACGACCTCAAATGCGGCTGCGACGCGACGCTGGAATCGGGCCAAGTTACAATGCTGGCGCTCCCGAGAAGGCCACCAGCTTGTCACAATAATCACCGGTAATATCTCACCACCGTATTCTTCTTTCCGCTTCCCAATATCGATGGGCCGACAAAAGTTTGTTACGGCCGACGAGTTGGACAAATTCTTTCTTCGACTTCATCTTCTTCTATCCGACTTGTACTTCACTCCACTGGACATTGGTGCGGCATGCTGCTGCTCCCGAGAAGGCTCAGCATACCTTTGTTCGTTGAATTTCTTTTCTCAAACTGATCGTCGCCTTGGATATGTTTCGCTCCCGAGAAGGCAAGGACTATTCATGCTTCACGACGATTCGGTTTCTCTCTCCAGTCAATTCTTTCGACAATGCACTCTTGCACTGTCACCATACTGGATCTCCGTCATCCGCTCTGCCGGATAATAGACAGGGGGCCTTCTGGAAGTCGTCTTTGGCGAGGACTGGGAGGTCGGCCTGCGATAACTCAACACCTCCACGCGGTGCAGGCTGGGGTTTGTGGTGTTCTGTAGAATGCTGCATAGCTAAGATTGAGTTAATTATTATGATACCCCATTTTTGTATTCGAGTACAGCTCGAAATAATAAACAACGATTGGAAATCAAATTTGTATTCCCTCTGCTACCAATCCCTCTGTGATATGTACTCACCCTCGAGCCAATGCTTATTTCCCATTTCTTCAAGGCTTCCACTTACCCCTTCGAGAGTTTTGCATTTATTGCCGCCCGCAGAGCCTACTGCAAGATAAATTTCTGTCTTTGGTCTTCATCGGCTGCACAGGAAATTGATTATTAGCTACGAAATGTTGGGAAATGAGGATAATCCAACCATCTTCGAGACTATCTTCCAGCTGAGCCCACTTATGAAGTTATTATTTGTCCCATTATCGTTTTAAATTTAAGATACCACTTCTCCTCTACCGCTTCCCATCCCACCCACATTATACTATCCAGCAGTCCACATTCATTCAGAAGGTATCATGTCTAGCTAGTCAATGCCCAATGATATCTCTCTTTATATATAAATGCCTTGGTTACCTCCCGATATGTAGGAGGTGATTCGGGTCTTGCGAGGAAGAGCAATACGATGATCGATATTTTCATGACGGATAGAATACCACCGGATAGAATCCAAAAAGTGGTGAAAATAATGAATGGACATGTTGCCCGTCAACTAGGCCGGATGGAGAGAGATATCCAGGCTAAGCAAATCAGCAGGAATCAAATGAAAAGCGTGGCATGGTATGGTTTAATAACCTTGTGAGTCTGGCGTAAGATTGATAATAGTGAGGTTACGCTAAGGCTCATAAAATAAAATCTAGGCTATGCTTGAAGAGCAGTATCCTCCCTGGCAGCATGACTTCCTCCTGTCCATGCATACCTAGGGTCTTGAGATTTTGCCTTCACCTCCCTTTCCTCGCCGACCTTGCCCCAACCCCCTCCACCAGGTGTGCAGATAATAATCCGTTCTCCAGGTTTCATGGCAGCTGTGTTCTTGCCTCCCAAGTTGATACGTCGTTCCTCGAATACTGGCTCATCCGCCTTCCCACCATCCTCGCCTCTCAGCATCCTATCAGACCTCTCTGAATTGCTTTTTTCCACATTCCGAACCCAGATGTTCAGGCCACACTGTGCATCTTCGCCACCGGCAAGTCCGTACGGATGATACACCCTCCGCTCGCTGAGGATTGATACTTGAACGGGGATTCTAAATTCAATATCCCGGATCACGCCGTCGCCACCGCGATGCTTCCCCGCGCCGCCAGATCCCGCTCGTAAAGAGAATTCTCGCAGGATCACGGGGTATCTCCGTTCGAATACCTCAGAGTCGGTGATTCGCGTGTTCGTCATATGAACATGCACGCCATCCGTACCATCCCAGTCCTTGCCCGCGCCGCTGCCTCCTGCGATGGTCTCGTAGTATCCAAACCCCTTGATCGCTTTCTCACCCTCAATATTACCACCAAACCCGAACGTGAGATTATTACAATCTCCTTGACTTGCAGCACAGGCTTGGAAGGCTTTCAGAATTACATCCGTGACTCGCTGAGAAGTGAGGACATTGCCACCCACGACGGCAGCTTTGTCGGATGGTGAGAGGAATGATTTTGGTGGAATAAGTACTTTGATCGGTTTGAGACAGCCTTGGTTTAATGGGATATCTTCCGAGATCAAGCAGCGGAGGCAGTAAATTATGGCACTATACGTAATAGCCTGGGGTGCATTCGTGTTTCCTAACAGGATTTTAGTATAAGCTCTGAACAGGGACATTGAGTCGCATACCATAGACTTCTGGACCCGTTCCATCAAAATCAAACACAGCCTCTCCTTTTTCAGAATCGATAGTTATCTTTAGCTTGATTGGACTTCCGTCATCCATGTAGTCCACTGCGGAGAGGTCTTGGCCTTCGAATCTCTTGCTCACGCTCTTTAAGAGATTCCGCACACTCAGCTCTGCGTTGTGCTGAATATTTACCATGTAGAAATTGACCACGTCCTCTCCATATTCCTGGATCAGCGTGGAAATAAGATTGATGCCCTTCATGTTACTCGATATTTGAGCTTTTAGATCCGATATGTTGTCTGCTAGGCATCTTGTTCCACTAGAGCCTTTATACTTAGCAGGCTCGTGCAATAGTAATTCGGTAATTCGCTCCTCGTTGAATCTTCCGGCGCTGACCAGCTTTTCGGACTTTATTGCTGCCCCTTCTTGGTATAGTTCCCGGGAATGAGGAGGCATGCTTCCAGGTAGAATTCCTCCAATATCAGCGTGATGTGCCCTTGAAGCGACGTAGAACAAAATCTTGTCTCCACCTTCATTGAACGCTGGGGTTATGACCGTAATATCAGGGAGGTGAGTTCCGCCGTATTCTGGATGATTGGACACGATGACATCTCCTTTAACTAGATTTCCACGCCATATCTCCGCCTGCCGTTTTACACAGGTGGACATAGATCCTAGGTGAACGGGGAGATGAGGGGCATTTGCGACTAGCCCTCCGGTTGAGTCAAAGAGTGCACACGAATAGTCGAGGCGTTCCTTGACATTCGTACTGACACTTGTCTTTTGGAGTGCTCTCCCCATCTGCTCCGCAATTGCCATGAATCGATGGGCAAAGATACTCAACATTATGGGGTCGACCTCTTTGGTCGTGTCTAATTTTGAGCCTCTGGAAAATGTCAGCAATTGCACATGGTATATAAAAGGCCACTCACGCATCGTTGAGATCCTTGTCACCAATATTTATGACAACATGGGTGTGAATAATCAATGCAGTTGCACTCGGGGTGACGACGATAGTCTGGGTTCCGTCTGCTAGGATCGCTGGGCCTTTAATCCGATCCCCAACCTCGAGGTCCTCCAATTTATAGATAGGGGTATCATGGCGGCCGCCATCAGAATAAGCACTCGAGCGCTTGTATTCTTTATCCCCTGGCTTAACATCTTTTACTGTGATAGCTTTCAGCTGTTGATCCACCGTCTTGCCAAGTCCCGCGAAGCTCTTGCCGATTCCACGGACTCGCACATCGTCCACAATGACGTCTCGATCGGGAAGCGTGAAGCCAAATTCTTGTTCATGTTGTTTAATAAACGCCTTTCCAAATGTCCACTCACCTCCCCCAGATGCTTTCTGCTCTTCCTTGCCTGGTCTCACAACCATGAGAGCGGATTCTGTGCCCCGGTACCGCATATTGAGATATTCTTCGTAGGCAATAGAACTGTCTTCAAATCCTTGCTCTCTAAGCGAATTCCTTGTCTTCTCCTTTAATTCGCCAATCTTATTCTCTAGATATTCTCTCACTTCTTCATTATCTACCCAAACTTTTGAGTCTGGCTCCTGCCGTTCATCGACAACATCGGCCAGCGCCATGCCATACGCGGAGAGCACAGAGGAATAACGGTGAACAAGGATTTGCTGAATGCCTAAGCGTTCAGCGATGGCCACGGCATGTTGGCCACCCGCGCCTCCAAACGTTGCCAGCCGATGTTTCGAAGTATCATGGCCTTTAGCTTCCGTCAGAGAGCGTATTGGCCTCGTCATCGTCTCGTTGGCAACAGTCAAAAATCCATAGGCTACTTCGTCGGCGCTCATGGATTTACCAGTCTCTTTGTGTATCTGTTCTGTAAGTTCGTTTAAAACTTTCTCACTTGCTTGTACATCGAGGCCTTCATCCTCATTCTTGCCAAAGATCTTAGGAAAGAAGTCTGGGAGCAAGCGACCAAGGAATAGATTTGCATCGGTCACTGTTGCTGGTCCCCCTTTTCGATAGCAGGCAGGGCCGGGATGAGCGCCGGCCGATTCAGGGCCAACAACGAACAATCCATTTCTGAAAAACAAACGAGATCCACCACCCGCTGCAACGGTGTTGATATCCAATTGGGGTGACTGGATGGTCACCCCGGCCGTGGTGGTTTCAAAGACATGCTCATATCTCCCAGAGCCGTATCTCGACACATCTGTAGAAGTGCCACCCATATCGAAGCCGATTATCGGCGTTTTTGTCTCTGGATCGTAGGAGGTAAGGGCATAGCCAACAACACCTCCTGCTGGGCCTGAGAGAATAGCCTTTAGTCCCGAAAACCTATCCACATCAACGAGACCACCATCGCTTTGCATGAATTCGCATCTCGCCCCTTTTGCTCCACTCTTATTCTCAACGCTCGCCGCTCCAAGACCACCTTCAAACCCCTTTTGAAAACCCGCGATGTACTTTTTTATTGCAGGAGTAAGATAGGCATCTGCGCATGAAGATGTGGCTCGAGGCACCAACTTGATCATAGGCATGAGTTCGTGGCTAAGGGAGACATGATTGAAACCGATTTCTTTCGCTATTTCACCTACCAATGCCTCGTGGTCATAAAACGTATAGCCATGCATTAAACACACGGCGACGCTTCTAATGCCTTGGTCGAAAACAGTTTGCAATTGCTCCCAAATAACATTTTTGTCTGGCCGTTTCAAGATTCGGATTGCCTCGGACGATAAACCTGTCACTAAGTGACTGTCTTCTTGTCCACTAACTGGGTTACGTGGTTCAACCTTGGTAATGTGTCGCTCTGGATCTTCAGCATAGTCTTCGAGGGTGACTCTCTCATCAATCTCAATTACAGACTCGTAAAGGACGTCTGGTTTTTTTATGGCTAGATCAAAGATCTGTGGTCTGGACTGATTACCAATCGCCAGACAATCCTTAAAGCCTTTCGTCACCACCATGACAATTTTCTCGCCCTTTCTTTCCAGCAAGGCATTGGTGGCTACGGTTGTACCCATCCGTATGGATTCAATCTTGGAGGTATCCAGAGGGTCCCCGCGGGGGATTTCCGTCTTTAGAAATTTTGACATCAGACGCCTAATTCCTTCCAGAGGCGCATCTTCGTAATTCCCTGGATCCTCAGATAGAAGTTTGATTATCACATCATCTTCCATCTTTCCAGTCCCGGGATTCCCAATGCAATCGGTGAATGTTCCACCCCGCTTCAATCATGGTTAGTTAGTACGCACAAGGAAGAGGATGGTATTTTGGAGACCCAATAGCTTTAGGATGGTGAGCTATGTACTACTCACATCGATTGCTATGCGGATACCCCGCTCACTCGTTCGAGCACTCATTTTGGCTGGCTACGTTTGGCAGTTCAATAAACTTCAAGACTTGGGGGTTTTCAAGAGATCATAGTCAAAGATCTCGCCGGAGGGTTCGGTGGTGTATGGATATCGAATTTATAAGCACAGGTCTTATGGTTCTTATCGCTTCGATGAGATCACGGAGTTAATCCGGCAGTCTGTTGACGTCTGGCAGAATGTCCCAAAACGGATTAGGAAAGTGGGGGATACGGTACACGTGATCACACACTGATTTATAGCTTCCAGTTGAGTGAGATTATTTGAGTTAATTCAAACTACAGTTCGTAGTAGGCAACTTGCTCTGTATTTTTGGAAATTGATAAATTCAGCGTGGAATCTTAGGCATCAGCCTTTCAACGCCCCAGTGAAAAGTAACGCACCCCATTGCGGCCCCATACCACTAGCGATATCTTCCGGTGTTTGATGCTGCTCGTCGCGAATGCTTCTAATATCTAGTCCCGGAACAGTTTCTCTTGCCGCCTCCAGAGATCCTGCAGCCTGGATAACCTCGTCGGGGAAGTTATTTGTTTGCAAGCTTGAAGCCAGCCACAGCATAAGCCAGACCACTTCTTGTTGGGCCTTCTCAACTGCTACATGCAATCCAGTCTTCATGCCGTCAAGCGGATCCTGATACCGAAGGAGATCTCCTGGAGACATATCCTCTTCATCGGGGTCATCGGTGATGGCTCTTAGCAGCTCCACTATACCCGTGACATCCCCTTCCCCACACATCGTCAGTAAGGCTCGCGCGGGTCTTGCTGCCGGATTTGCGTCAAGATAAGCTTCTTCGATAATGAGAGGCAGGATATCAAGGTTCTCTTGTATTCCGCCTTCATTGTGGTATCTTGTGAGGACTTGACGTTGTAGAGACGATGATTGTCCAGATGGTGAGTTGGCGATAGAGGCTCCACATGTTGGGCATTCCATCGATTCTGCAACCCGAGGCGATTCGTCGAGGAGACATTGCCTGTGATAAGATCCCGAATCAGTATTGGAAGGCTTCAGAAATGAAATTCTTGTCTCCCGAATAGAATAGTGAAAAGCTTGCTCCAGATCCGCCTAGCTCAATATCTATAGTGCAAAGACCGCTTATGGCCAGAAAACGTTCATAAAAAAGGTAAACAGCGAGAGCCAAGACAGAATAGAAGTATAATGCTTTTGGGGGCTTGGGAGTAAAAATTTCTGATTTAATTATCAATTATCAAACACGTGATGCCAAACCTTCTGGCAGTCCATCACGTAGATGCGATCACTAAAATCGCATAGACATTGTTTCAAAGAGGAATACTATTTCAATGGAACATGAAGCATAGTGAGCGTAAATAAGTTATCACGAACCAATGATAGTGGCAGCCACAAGTCAAAAGGAGATCATCTGGAGCTGAGAGAGAAGCACCAACAGCAGAGGAGGTAGCCTCGTCGAAAGAGTCGTCATCGAGCTCGATTTTTAATTCTTGCGAGCAGAGTTTGCAGGTTGCCATTATGATTATTGGAATTTGCGAGTAGTTGTCAAGTATTGTTATACTGGAGTTGGGGATGGAGGAATGGTGGAGTGATATTTGTAGAAAAGTTGACGCCGCAGTTTCGTTAAAAATTTCTATTTATTTCTACTCGCTCTCTTAGCCTTAGCAACGGACATTCACACATCACAAACGCCCGCTATTTAAAGGACCATTCACGCATGATGCAATAGGCAAATAACGAAGCCAACTTGATATTTTGTTTATTCTTTCCGGTTATCTATGTGTTGTCCTAATTGCAATTGCTCGCATCGCCACTGGAAAACTGAGCGGGCATCTAAAGCTAACGCAGAGGACGTCTTATCTTCGCCATCCGAGTGAGCCTAAGCATCCAAGGTGACCGCTATAAATGCTAGGCACAAAGAAGATAGCGTGTGATAGGAAAGAGATCTTTGCCAGGTCTCTTGAGCATTCCATAAGTTTGAATCTTCGCTGTGCGACTACTCCAACGTTCTACTCTTCGAGCTCAACTACAATTAGATGCATATAGACTTCGAGATATCTAGACAATCAGGGGGCGATACTCTACTTAGCCAGTGCCCTTCTATCACCCACCCATAACAGGCACCGAGAACTCCAATAAAGTAGGATCCTTATGACTTGGCTTGCTGCACATATTTCGTGTGCGAGGCCGTCGCGACAAGCGGGCCTGGCTTGCCATCGACCACCTTGTAGATGCGAATTGTTGTAAATGCCATCGACTTTCCCACCTTGTTCGCAGTAGCCTCGATCTCAATTATATCATGTATCTGGGCCGTGCCGATGTATGTGACGTGGATGTCAATGCTGACTCCAGTCTTCTCAAGTCCATGAGTTGCGATGGCAAGCCCACCGCTCCAGTCAACCAGCGCAGCGCTTACCGCTCCATGAATTGTTCCTCTCGAGTTGACATGGTTTGGACCGAGCACAAGACGCGATGTGAGGGTGCCTTTCGAGGCAGAGACAATCTCGATGTTTGATAATAGGAAATCATATATTGGGCTGTTGCCTCGGCTGCGGTGCCAAACGGCTTTAACATGCTCTAGCTCGGGGGAGGCCATTGTATTGTTGTGTGAGGGCCGTGGATGTCAACGTGAGCTTGCAAAGAGTTCGTTGCCTATAAGGCTTGGGGTGACGTAGAGTGAGCGTCGTCTTCGTCGCCTCGTCGTCGTCAGCAGCGCCGAAAGCCACGGAGAGCCCGGAGCGGATGGGATGCCGCGGCCTGTTGGAGAGGGAGAGGCGGGATTTTGTTTCGGAGACTATAGCTATAGCTGACGAACCGGCGAGCCAGGGAGCCCGATGGGAGGAGAGGGATAAATGAGAGGAGGAGTGTCAATGCAAATCAATGAACGGAGGAGAGTTAAGGGCACGAAGTAGGCAGTAAGATTACTCCTAATAATATTAACATTCGGGTACCTGGAGGCTTGGAGTGCGTAGTACGCACGTAGTAAGCTGTCTTGGGGGCTGACAGACAGTGGCACTGAGTGGCAGTGAGAGCCACTATACTGTATACTGTCCTGGCGGGGTCAGGCGAGATCTGCGACTCGACGCAATCAACTGGGAAGCGGGACCTGGTCAGCATCCTCAATCATTCACCCTCTTCTCATATCATACACATAACTCTGGTTCCTACACCAAACTCTCTATTACTGCGATATTACCTATATTCCAGAAACCGGAGCCTTCTCCCGCGGAAATCCAGGCTCCAGCATTAGAAGCAAGAGTTTCCCCCATCGTCATCGTCATCCTTACCAGTACCCCTCCAACGTTGGTTTCCTCTCTGCTACACAGCCCTGTTACCACAACCGCCCGGCCTCATCCCGCGCAAAATCCCGGAGAACGGCAGTCAGCCAAAAGGCTTCTTATAAGCACGCCCGTTCTCGCGGCATAGGACATTGATCGCATTCCCACGCCAACATGAACGTGATCAAGCTCCAGAGGTGGGTCCCCCGAGAAGTCACCTCGATTCAATCTAGGATTTAGTTTCGCTGACTCGAATGCGCCGCAGGAAGTATCCTCAATTTCAGCAGGACGAGATCTTTGGCTTGCAAGATGCTTTCCGTAAGCTCGATGTGGACGACAAAGGGTATGTTGATGAAGCCACAGCCATCAAGGCGACGCAGGCCAGCGAAAGGCAACCGTACGATGTGGTCAGACAGGCTCTGAAGGAGGTGGAGTTGGATTCCTCCAGAAGGGTTGAACTGGATGATTACGTCGGGGTGAGCCAATCCCCAACCCGCTTCCGCAAGCACACATGCTAAGGCTATAGTTCTACAGCTCATATCGAAACTTCGCAACTCCTCCCCAGCCCAGCAGCGCATGTCGACTGGCCCAACAAGCCCGGCCCGCGGAGGAGTGGTATCACAGCAAACAGGCGGCGGCCATGCCTCCAAGGGAAGTGTTAGCGGTCGTATCCAGGTCCAAGGATCTTCTTCAAACGTCACCCATACTATCAATGAGGACGAGCGAACGGAGTTCACTCGCCATATCAATGCAGTGCTTGCCGGCGACCCGGATATTGGCAATCGCTTGCCTTTCCCAACAGACACATTCGAAATGTTCGACGAATGTAAAGACGGTCTCGTGTTGGCCAAATTGATCAATGACAGTGTTCCCGACACCATTGATGAGCGTGTACTCAACCGGCCAGGAAAGAAGATCAAAACTCTCAACGCATTCCATATGACGGAAAACAACAATATTGTGATCGAGTCTGCAAAGGGTATTGGATGTTCGGTCGTGAATATTGGAAGCGGAGATATCATCGAAGTTCGGGAGCATCTTATTCTGGGCTTGATATGGCAGGTCATCCGCAGAGGTTTGCTCGGGAAAATTGATATCAAATTACACCCAGAATTGTACAGGCTATTGGAGGATGACGAGACTCTGGAACAGTTTTTGAGGCTGCCACCTGAGCAAATCCTGCTGAGATGGGTCAATTACCATTTGAAAGCGGCAAACTGGCCACGCAGGTATGCAACTTCACTATTCGTAATTTGGAAAATAGCTGACACGACCTAGAGTATCCAATTTCTCCACTGATGTCAAGGATGGAGAGAACTACACTGTTCTACTAGCCCAAATCGCGCCCGAACAATGTACTCGCGGGCCTCTGCAAACTCACGACCTTTTGCAAAGAGCGGAGCAAGTATTGCAAAACGCAGACACACTTGGCTGCCGCAAATTCCTTACGCCGACATCTCTTGTGGCCGGTAACCCAAAGCTGAATCTAGCATTCGTTGCAAACTTGTTCAATACCCACCCTGCATTAGATCCCATCACCGAAGAAGAGAAACTCCAGGTGGACGATTTCGATGCGGAAGGTGAGCGAGAAGCAAGGGTGTTTACTCTGTGGCTTAACAGTCTCGATGTCCAGCCTGCTGTCAATTCTCTCTACGATGACTTACGGGACGGTACGATCCTTCTGCAAGCTTTTGATAAGGTCGTGAAAGGGTCGGTCAACTGGAAACACGTGAATAAAGCCCCTGCAAGCGGCGCCGAGATGTCGAAATTCAAAGCTGTTGAAAATACCAATTATGCTATCGAGCTCGGGAAGCAGAACCGCTTCTCACTGGTTGGTGTCCAAGGTGCAGACATTACAGATGGCCAACGTACTCTGACGCTGGGTCTCGTCTGGCAACTCATGCGCAAAGATATCTCCGAAACCCTCTCCGCTTTGGCGCAGCGGTTAGGAAAGCGCGAGATCTCGGACTCGGAGATGGTCAAATGGGCGAACGACATGTCACGAAAAGGCGGCAAGAGCTCGGCAATCCGCTCCTTCAAGGATTCGACAATTGGCACCGGTATCTTCCTCCTGGATGTCTTGAACGGCATGAAGAGTAGCTATGTCGACTACGACCTAGTGACGCCCGGCAGAACGGACGACGATGCATATATGAACGCGAAGCTTAGTATCAGCATTGCCCGTAAGATGGGCGCCACGATATGGCTTGTGCCTGAAGATATTTGCCAGGTGCGGAGTCGCCTGGTGACTACATTCATCGGTAAGCTACCCTCATTTCCCCACCCCAAGATTATTCTTTCTTGTAACACATCTAACAAAATTCTTTTCTAGGTTCTTTGATGGCAACCCACGAGAAAATGCAGTGATTTAAATGCAGTGGTTTTAGTGTGGCAAGGGGACTGGCTGGGAAGAAGGGTTTCTTAGAGAAGTTGGACTTGAAAACCGCCGTGGAAAAAGTTAGAAGAACCAGTACGAATAGCGATGTTCTTTTTCATGATAAAGTAGTCACAATTGTGATAGTAAAAAGAATTGTTTCCAAAAATCACACACACACACACATACTGCAGATTTGTAGTTTTCAAATGGCGAAGTAAGTTCCAATAATTTGCATTTCATCATCACATACATATATACGAGTAAGGTACCTAGGTATCTATGAATCCTACAAAACATAACAAGCAAAGAAGAAGAAAAAAGACGGTGTTCCATTTTCTTTTTATCTTTCAGCTCCGCTCCATATACAACATTTCATATCTAACGGCTGGCTTGCTCCAAGGCTAGGCCATTCGCCTCCTCCCAGTTTCTCTCACAAAAATAAAAAATAAAAATAAAGCCAACCAGAGCAAGCTTTCTTCTAGAGATCCCGCGCCATGCCCGCTATACAAATGCAACCTGGGGATATATATATAAGGTATGTATATAAAAAATGTACCGACAACTCAACAAAACACAAGCAAGGTATTCCTCCTTGCATTTAGCATGGGGAATTTCTTTTCCAGGTAGATCAGAAAATAGCTTTGCCAAACCCCCGTTCCCAAAAATATCAAAAAGCATAAATTTGCGCCAACCACCAGATCATCAGTCGTTCGCTTCAAGTAGATAGAGATATGATATGATATGATATGATTTTTTTTCCTTCTCCGTGGTATCCAAAATATAGGAGAGCCGTAGATTCATAGGGAGGGGTTTAGACGAGCACCCACTCGCTTCCCCTTTTGATGAATTTGTCCAATAGCAAGGCTACATCGGCGAGGACGAAGCGACAGACGTAGAAGCCGAAAAATTCGGCGGCGTGGCGAGTGCAGAGTTCAAGACCAACTTGGGTTTTGTCTTGGTGTCGTAGGCCCGGGTCTTCGACTTGACGCGCGATTTGATCTAAGGAGTAGAGTTAGTCTCGGGGATATATTGGAAGAGTTGCGGGTAAACCTACCGATGGTTTGCGCCGCGTCGAAAAGTCGCGCCAACGCCCCCATGTAGTTCGCATTTGGACCAGAACACTGCACGTCGTGGACATCCCTCTTGGCAAAACGCACTTTGGCCAACGAGGTCGTTGTCATAGGCAAAGTGCCCATGCTTAACCCTTCTTTTGGCGCATCCGTCGCCGCGGCTTTGTTCGAATATGTATTTGCGAGAGCTGCACCAGAATTCTTCGATCGGAGTCTCCGCCATGAAAACGAAGACTTAGTTGACGTACTGCCTGATTTTGAGGATGTGTTATTGCCTTCCGCATCTCCACCGACGGGCACGTCCTTGAATATACCTCCAGATCCTTGGACACCAACCTCGCTCCCCAATTTCTTACTTAGGGTTACTTGAACTTGTTCAAGAACTCCCTCCAAAGATTGCATCTCTTCTAGAACAGCATCGGCATCAAATGTGTCGACCGTGGCAAGCTTCATAAGTGCGGCGGTCAAGAAGTCACAATTTGCGATCTTGTCCTCAACGCTTTTAATCTTGACACCTTTCACTTTCCAAACATCACGGGGGACGAAGAGCTTCGTCGAAAGATAGCCACCCCGAGGATGTGCGATGGTTTGGTAGAGAGCCCGCATAAGCCAGAAGGGTCGAAGCAGGAACTCATTTGGACAGGGCTCAAGAGGTATGGGCGCATCTGCACTTAGGGGGTTAGGCGAGCCAGGGCTATCCGGGGAGTGGATATCGCTGTTAAACAGATAAAGCCCGCCCGCTGGAGCCCCATTCATTTTATCTTTGAAAGCGGCGGCGATCGGTGTAGGCAATGTTGGCATTGCAGGTAATCTCCCGTTCATGTCCCTTGGGTTGAACTGCGAGCTCGCTGGCGTATTGGGCGAAACATCGGATCCGTCGTCGGCATTTGATACAGAAAGATTACGGCTCTTCAAGTTCTTCAAACTCGAGGAAGAGAAGTTCTTGCGCAATCCGGCTCTAGACTGGGCACGGCCGGGCGAGCCAGACCGCGGTAGCCCATTCGAGTCACTCTCATTTGTGAATGTTCGCGCCAGGGTAGGGGTTGGTGGAGATACGATTTCGGAGGAGTTGGAGGCCGGGAAAGGAGATGAAGCTTGGCGTGCGGATTGTGGTATAGGTCCTCGACCTGCAGCTCCCGAGAAAGGTGGCCGCTGCGATGAAAACCCCGCCGTCTTCGGATGGACAGCACTAGGAGGACCACCGTCGGGAACCCGCGGCGGCGGCATCGATGGAGGTTGAGATAATGAGTCTGAGGGAGCGGTGGTAGTTTCAATTTTCAGTTGTTTGGGGTTCTGCCCAGAAAGGCGTCTCCCACGAACGCCTTGAGTGGCAGGAGCAAAATCTTGTTGGGGTGCTACGATTGACGAGGGAACCGGAGGAAGGGCTTGGGCAGGTGGTGGATGGCTAGTTGCTTTGTTTTGCATCATTGGCACCTCTGGGACCAGAGCCGCTTCCGTAACCGTGGACAGTGTCGTTCCAGCTGTCGTTGGATTGGATCCTATCGAGCTGTTCCACGTCCTCCCTGAAAACCCACTTGAATCAGACTCGCGTGGCAAGGCGGATTTGGATTGCAGGCCAAATTCAAAGCCATCCATCACATAATCCCGAGTCATCTCTTCGAGCATTCGTTCCTCTTCTTCAGATTCGTTGCCGTAGTCATCATCGAGGCTGCTTTGAGGTTCTATCCTGGACTGGAGGCGTTTTCTTTCCCGCTCGCGAGCATCATGGATAGCAGTTTCGCGCTCCGTCTGCCGAACTCTCTCCTTCGCCAACTCCACCTTTCGCCTGACATTCGCAACAATCTCATCATCATCATCAGCATCATCATAATTGTAACGGTCTCGCTGGTTTGAATTATCCATCGGCTCAAACCCATCATCGTAGGCGGCCTCCACAGCAGCGTCCAAGGCTGCATCAAATTCGGCCTCAGTAGCGCCGCTAGCTGCGCGAATTCGTTTCCTCCGAACTCCCATCGAGGAAGACCTTGAATGAACGGATGACGCAGTCGATCCGCCCGACTCATCAATCGTGTCTAACCAGGACATAGATTCATTACTGGGTACTCTGGCGTGCCCTCTCAAGGGGGGAATTGCGGATCTGCTGGTGGTTTGCGGGTCAGACATCTCCTGCCCATGGTAGGTGTTGTTTTCAGGTGGATGGCGCGGTGAAAGGGGTGGTGGCATATATGTGCTATCCATAGGTGGTGCAAGGTTGATATTCATTTCCAATGTGCGTTCCCTCATGGGAGACTTCGAATGAGCCCGCTGCACAGCTGGGTCCAGACCTCCAAAATGCAGTGAATCGAAAGCTGATGGCATCAACGACTCCCTTCTTACTGGTAACTGCGACGTAGGTATGGATCGAGGCAGTTTTGGATCCAGGATGTATGACTGATCGTTCACTATCCGCGTGACAGTTGCAGTCTCAATAAGTACGGGCTCTTCTTCCTCATCTTCTAATTGGAACTCATGTCCTTTATGGCTTCCGCTCTCAGGCCGCTCAGGCAACGCCTTACCATCGTCTTGCAGGTGGGGGGTGATTCTTTTTAGCTCGTTTATCCGACTTGTGTAAGTATTGCGCTGGAGATCTTAGCTACTGCACAATTCATGGCTAGGACTTTGGTACTCACGATTGCTTGTAATTTCCGCTTATCCTCATTCCCCGAACTTCGGGTCATAACCTGTTGTAAAAGTGTGCAAGCTTCTGAATACGCCTCCATGGCGCCTTCGAAATTCTGCGCATTGTCAAGTAGGACAGCAGTATTAGCCTTTTGGAGTGCCTTGGAAAGCATGTTTTTTTGCGAGGGCTGCTTTGACTGCCTATTTGACGAGCCCGTACTACTGCCTTTACCAGAGCGATGCCTCGAATGTCCCTTTGACCCTCGTTTCTCCTCTTCTCCTGACTGACGCTTCGATGTTTGATTGTCCCGACTAGGAGAGTCGGCGGTGGTCGCGATACCTCGGGGAGTTGTGTCCCCCCAAGTCCCCCCAAAGTAGTCTGGAACAGTTGAACGCACAGCAGCAGATAATATCCCCGCGGTCGAGGGAGAAGGTGTGCCTGGCCCCGTCAAAGGCGAAGAAGTATTATGTCCAGATGTCTCCAGACTCGGGAGCGTAACAATTGGCGGCAGTAGTGTCAATGAGGAATCTAAGCCCGAACGCGTCGAAGTGGTCTGATATGCAGTTGAGGAGTGGTTCCTATACGCCTTCTTCGGCGGCGAAGAATTGTCAGCGCCCAGTAAGAAGGTTGTCGACCCAGATACCGACATGCGCCGTGTCGACGGCGGTTTTTGGTGAGTCGATTGAGTGCTGGCCACGCTGGATGCCGTTGATCTCGACCAGCGATTGAGATTAGCCACTCCTGGATTCACGCCCGACAAGCTGCTAGAACGACGATGAGCATACGTCGCTGCCGGACCTCGTACAGACTCGGGAGAGGTTGGCACAGGTTTCCGTCGAGATGCATTCTGGGGAGACTGTGCTTGCGATGGTACGACGTGCCCGCGGCCTCTCGGCAGCGATGACGACGGCCCTCGCTCTGGCTGTCGGCCTTGGTGAAGCAACACGGTGTCGGAGGATGGCTGGAGGTGAAATGGAAGGGAGCTCTGGTGGTCTGCCGTGGCGTAGCGGCTCATCTCGAGTCGAGTTTGAGGCTTTCCCCTGGCACAATTCCCAAACTAAACCCAGCTTCGGGGGAGGGGCAGGGTTGCGACGACCATGTAACCATATATTTTGTGAATTATATTTCAAGACCTGCTTGTAGGAGATCTCTAGCAGCGCGATCCGCCGGCGTGCGCGATATTCTTGTGTGGTGGGGGGTATGTATGCGTGTCAAGCGCCCCTATATATATACGAAAAGAATGCGTAACGGTGGTGGTTGCTTCCCGCCGAGCCTGCGAATGCGAGAGGCGATGTGGAAGGGCTTTCGGCTGGGAAGATAGGAGAGGATCGACAGCGGCACTGTATGTAAGACAGGAAACGGAAACTGCGCAGAAAAGTATAGTATCAGTATCGTTGGCAGGCGGGAGGACATCTTGACTCTTGACTCTCGACTCTCGACTCGGCTTCTTCCTCAACCCATGACGGCACGCGAGGAGCAGGAGGAGGATTAAAACGAGATTCTTGTCCCGATAGACTGGGTTAGGGTCGAAAGCCTTCAAGTTGTATATTGTATATTACACCGTATTCGGAGCCGGGGGGAAAGGGGGCGTACTCTACCTGTATGTGTTTCTGTCCTACTTCCTTTCCCCTAACGGGAGCAGACCTCTCCGTTCTCTTCTTCCGACCCTTCTGTCGGGGAGTTTGTCGTGGCCAGAGTGGCGCGAGTACGAGCGGCTTCACACACGATATCGAAGCGCGTTGGTGGGCGTGGATGCGGATGTGGATGTTGATGCTTCTCGTTCCCGTTTCCCAGTGCTGTTCCTGTTCCTGAAGGCGAGAGATTTTGTCGTAGACTCGTAGTGCGATGAGCGAGCTGGCTTGTAAGGGGATGGGGATGGGGATGGAGAACAATCCCGGATGGTCCCTCGATTCTCGATTCTCGACTCTCGAGGCTTGTCGATGCGCCCGAATCCTGCAGCTGGCGCGAGCTGGTGTCGAATCTGTCGAGTCTGTCGATAGCCGTTGGCGGAAGTAGTTGTGCTATGTCCCTGGCGCATACAGGCCAAACGTTCGTATGGTGCTACCAGGACAGGTACAGGTACATGTACATGCAATACCGATCCTCTGTACGAAGGACGCAGCGTAGTGCCTGCTGGAGTGCTGGGTTGCCGCCCGCTAGAAGTCGATATCTTGGATGTTACAGGCTCTGGGCCCCGGGGCGATCAGGAACAAATATGCCAACCGCCCAGCAGTGCGCCAGTAGCAGTCAGCACCAGGAGCCTCCTGGCAGAGGGCGTCAGTGCACCAATTCAATAGGCAATAATGAGTGATTCCAATAGTACAAAAGTACAGCGCAAGAACACGAGGATTCAAACCACTCTATCAATAATCATGGCTCTTCAAGATCAACTACAGAAAAGGGTTTCGGGCCACCCGAGGAACAGGCGCTGTGTCCGTTGCGCAGGATTCCCGCAGGCACAGCAAGAAGAATCCTGCATTATTGTACAAATAATAGTATATGTACCGGTGCATGGGCACACAGCACAAGGACATGTACAAGACGGCGTGGAACTACTCAAGAAGCTGACTGGACCGTGGACCGACTTCAATACGCAAACTCCACCATTATCCACCGTACTATATTTATTAGGCAACGACTCGGAGAGTGCGATAATGAATAACACATGTGCTGTATGTACAGTACAGTACATCGCCAGGTGTACCTGTGCGTACACCAATAATGGCACATTTATTGCAGCCTTCGAGTCGGAAATCCAGATCGACAGTGCTAACAGTACTAATGCTCCGTAGATACTTCGTAAGTACAGGACAAAGTATCTCCAGCACGTTCACGCCCACCTTTCCACAATCGATAGCCTGAGGGCCATCACCGTGCGCTATCAGCCCGCCCCCTTTAATCGTCATCCGCGAAGAGGAGCGAGCATGAGCAGGAGCAGGAGCAGGAACAGAAGCATAAGCAATGAGCAATACTCCACTCCGTATGAGCATGAATATCGAGCATGAACATCGAGTATGACCATACCTACGAAGTGTACGTACTCTGCCAGTAGGCATGAGCATGAGCACGACTACGGCTTCACCGTCTTCTCTCGGTGGGCGATCATCGCACACCAGCCAGTGCTAACTCCGAAGTAGACCGTACCTCCGTTGGTGCAACATAACTTTCGTGCGCCCTCCTTCTGTGGCAATTATTAGTCGCACAATTCTAAACTCGCCTCGTCGTGCGGTGGACACGCGTAACCCCTATCCAACAATTCAATACCGATCAGGGTACTTCGTACTGGGGATTAAGCTCGTGGGGTGGAAGAGCGAGCGCTGAGTGAGTGAGGTACCTTACTGTAGGTAGACACCCAGCACCATCTCGAGGTACAGTACCGATACTCTGTTCCGTATACCATGGTCGCAGATTCGGCCGCAGCGACGGGCTCTCCGCTGAGAGGATTCCCTCTGCCGCATGTTCTCTATCTCGATGATTAATATAATATACCTTACCACAGAACAGAAGCGCGCGACTGGCGTGCTACAACATATGCAGGAACCACTATCGAAGGCTTCCAACCGCCAAGGTCCCAGGACCAGGCCGCTTGCAAGCCAAGACCATGAGTTCGAGAATTTGATATCTTTCTCTCTTCTCGCTTTTCTGGATGCCAGAGTTTCCGATGGTAATCCGGGGGGAGGCGTCGGTCGGCCAATAGATATCAGATGTCGATATACTCCGGTTTGTTGGCAGTCGACCAGTCCCCATCGTTCGAACTGCCAATGTTTCAATTCTGCAACACGATCAGCAAGCACCAGTTAGTTTTGGAAACACTCTCACCACAACGGTAAATCGGCACCAGGTCTTCCGGTTGGAAACGCGAGTCATCAGCATGCTGAGGCAACCGATGCGTGAGGACGTGCAGGCATCTTTTGATACATTGGGTTCTCTATCGGTACTTGTATCTCGGGCAAGACGTCACGTCATGTTGACAAAACGCTGTATTGTATTTGTCTCTGTTCAGCCTTGCAATTTACCTGAAATGGATATCAGTAACTTGTCTCAGCGACATTATCCAATGTCAGTACTCCGTATGTGAGTGAGGCGGGTGAGTGTCCAGGTGAGTATATCGTACAGGTTATATATAGCCAGTCGGCGAATCTACGCGGTTGATCCCGGCAGAAACTGCCAAAGGTCCGAAGGTACTCGTGTCTTCGTACTCCCGTATTGATTGTAGGGTTAGGATCGGAAAATTAATTCAGCTCTTATATGGGACCACCAAAATTAAGGGATATCTGCTGTCATCTGCTTCTCGTGGTTGGTAATATTAGTTCGGCCCTTACTTTGTATAATTGCTGGGCAGATAACGATATCTAATCTAACATGATGAGCTTGAACCACCTGTACTGTGACAACCTTAGTTAATTCCCCCGACCTAGAGTAGGGTTGATTATACATTGTAATAAATCAAACGATCAGTTCTTTACTAATAAAAGTAATACTATAGTACAATCCGTGAGGTCCAGCTATCTAATCCGAAGATATGCATTCAAGGTTGCTCGGCACGGGGCGAGGCGGCCGCATTGCCCCGTGCACTAGCTGCTCTGGTCCTACGTACGAGTACTCCAATCGTACAGCCAAGTACATCCCACATGTATCTCCTGCACACCTCCAATCCGACTCCAACCCCCACCAACCGCCAATAAGACGTTTGTTTCTTCTTAAAATCTCACCCCGCAGACCAGCATTCTCAATACTTCACTACCGTGATTGTTAACCGGAAACCACCAAGTTGGCCGGGTCCGGCTATCTCAAGGCGCTCGCACAACACGCCAGGAACGTCCCAAAGTACCTTCCGGAGCTCTTCCAATCGTCATCAGCCTCGTTTGACTGGGCGAGGAAACAAGGTGCGGCCGGTCGGTTTGACCGCCTGGCCAAGACTATGGATCCGTCGCCTGATAATAGCAAATCCGAAAAGGGCGAGAAATCGTACCTCACCTCCACAATCGAATCGATCACTCCATGGGGCGGCACCCGATCTCCAGCTCCCAAGGGGCCCTCCGTCGACCCAAGTGAGGCATCCGGCCTGAAGAACCAGCATGGAGGAGACTATGCAACACATCATTGGCATGGGTTGAGGACGAAGGATTACCCTCCGGATTGTAAGTATTTCAGAGTCAAATACATCTCGCTTTATGGCGTAGTACCCCTCCAAAGCTTACACACCGACTCTCTTCGCCCTACATAACGGATGTTAATTTTCCCCTAGGTCCTCCCCTGAATGCAAGATGGTTTTATGCTGTTGATGTACGGTGAAAACAACCCCATAATCTTCTTCATATTGTTTATGAGCAGCATAGCTAAACTGTAATTGATAGGTTCCCAAACGAAAGCCAAAGTTGCTGATCAAAAACCAAACCGAGACAAAACCTCCGCCTATACCCAAAAAATTCACGACTTTCTCGAAGCACGATTCGCGAGCTATAGAAACAGCATACCAAAAGCTTGCGGACGAATCTCAAGGTGGAAACAACGAGGGTGGTGATGAATCGACGAAAAGCAAGCAAGCCGGTGGGAGCTCAAATACAAGCCTTAATGTTCCAGGGCAGGAGGAGCATCCTGGAGTGAGAGTTCCTGTGCAGGAGGACTTCCTCTTTGATGTTGACATTGAGCGGCGAGAGCTGGCTCCTGTCTACTGGTTGGGACCAATATTCCAGGTGACTAGGGGGACTTGGTTCTATGACGATGGGAAACCATGCGACGAAAATCTAGCATCCCAATTAGAACAGGGATATTTAAAGATAAAGCCATTTCGATACCCAGCTCCGGTAAAACCATCGCCTAGGCCCACCTCGTTAAAGCTTGAAGCTGACCCAGTATCCGTGGCCAAGCAAGCGTCTTCTGGGAGAGAACGTGCTAGCTCCGGTGAAGTGACACCGAAAGCGTCTACAGAGAACCTAAAAGCCCAGGCTCTGGATGATTCTGGAGATAGTTCCAAGGATCCTTCCTCGCAGCCACAACCTCAGAAAACACACCGCCTATTCGGGACATATATGAATTCTGTTGTGACATATCAAGACTCCACAGTCGCCTGTATGTTGATCTTAAACTCCCTCGCTTGAATGCCCCCCAAATCTTGGAAGTCCCATTGAAACCATTTCCAGCCCTCTAACTTGTAACAGGGCTTTCGGCAGATAGTATTATGTCCCGCATGAGCAGCACTGTCTACCAAAGATTTTCAGGTGGCGGTTATCTCGGCGGTGTTAAGCTTGTTCGAGGCTATTCTGCCTCGCGCAAAGCAAAGGCCTCCGCTACACCAGATAAGGGCCCATCAACGCCTGTTAACGCAGCCGTCGAAGTCCCAACTGTGCCGTCCCCATTACACCTTGACGAGAGACAGCAGAAGTTGCTCAAGAGGAGATCTGCGCCTCCTCTGACACGTCAAACTGGAGATGCCAGTCCACGAGCAGCTCGCCAAACGGCTGAGGCCGCCACTTCGCTGTTGCAAGGCGGCACCCAACAAGAAAGCGACACTGAGGCCACGAGAAAGCAGGAGGAATCCGAGATGCAGACTGATTATACTGACCGAGACAGCGAGAATCAGAACCGGGAAATCGATCACCTAATTCTGGTCACACATGGAATCGGTCAACGCTTGAGCATACGGTATAAGCACCGGCCAACTTTAATTGGCTTGCAACGACTAACAGATGCCTAGGACGGAAAGTGTTAACTTCATCCATGATGTCAATATTCTGCGTCAGACACTCAAGAACGTCTACGACGGATCTGCAGATTTGCAAGCGCTCAATTCTGAGATTGACAAACTGCCAAAGAACTGTAGGGTGCAAGTCCTCCCAGTCTGCTGGAGGCATCTCCTAGACTTTCCAAAGAAGAGACAGACGCGCCAAGAACATGACCTTGGAGATACTGAAAACGCCGAGGATGAGTACCCCAGCTTGGAAGATATTACAATTGAAGGCGGTTGGCAGTCCTCGTCCACACCTCTTCATAAATATACTTACTTTTCTTAGTCCCTTTTGTGCGGAGTTTAGTAACGGACCTTGCATTGGATATCCTCCTATATCAGAGTGCCTATCGCGAACAGATTATTGTTTCCGTCTTAGGCGAGACAAATAGAATGTACAGTCTATTCAAAAAACGCAATCCTCACTTCAAGGGGAAGGTTAGCTTTATGTAAGTGCTATTTTGATGGTCCCGTTCTTGCTGGTTACTCGGAGAGGCTCCTCCCAAGAACTCGTCATACTTTACGCATCTTCATTCGGAATTAGCTAACTTCTTCGCAGGGGACATAGTCTTGGTTCCGCCATACTGTTTGACTTGCTCTGTAGGCAGAAAGAATCTCTGCAACATTCGAAACACCACCAAGGGCGCGACAGCAATCGGCACTCGAAGGGGCAGGCCAGTAAATTGGATTTCGATTTCGCTGTGGAAGATTTCTACTGTGTTGGTTCACCCATTGGTAGGTTCGGTTTGGATATTTCAGCTTATAGTACATATTTTGGAGACTTTGCTAATCGGTTCCGGTAGGGTTGTTCCAAATGCTGAAAGGACGAAATATATCAGCAAGACATGCCGTGTACGTATCCCTCTGTCGCTCTACAGACACGTGTTGGGGGGGGGAATATCCTCTCGGGGTTTCTCAAAAATGTTGTTTAAATTCAAGCCACTGACTCTTCACCGCTCTACAGAGAGGATGCCGTTCCTGCGCAATCGCCACTTGACCCCGACGGGATGGAGGACCCCTTTCTTGCCGCCTCCCCGGCATCGACTCTGCCATCTGGAGATACCGTCTCTGGCATCACCGGGCTTCCACTTACCGTTTCGTCCCCCAGAGTTGGCCGACTATACAATATTTTTCACCCGTCAGACCCCATCGCGTACCGACTAGAGCCTCTCATTTCGTCCGCAATGTCCACTATGAAACCTCAACTACTGCCTTACACCAAGAAGACTATTTCCGCAAGCGTGAGCGGAATCAGCGCGAAGGTCGGTCAAAGTTTCAGCGGATTATGGTCCAGCTTGAGCTCTGGGATCGCAAGCAGTCTTCTCAATCGTAGTCTGGGTCTTACTACCGATGATGTGGCAAGAATAGAGGCGACGTCATCTTCCGGAAGGAGCACCCCTTCTCAATCAATCGGTGCAGGGACAAATATCTCAGGCGGCGGTGTTATCCCAGTCCCTGCCCTGCAGAGAGAAGATACTAACGAGAAGAAGAAGCAGTTGGCGGAAGAAACGGCTGCGGCTGATAGGGACGGTAGCGGTGCTAACGCGCCTACTTTAATCGACGATGAAATTGTGACACTGTATGCAGGGTACGAGAAATCAAGAGAGAATCGTCATGGTGACCCTAATTCTGAGCACGATTGGTCAGAATCTGAAAAGAAGGGTAAAAGGCTGAAGAGAGAGGAGCTGAAAATCCGAGCCCTGAATCAGAACGGCCGAGTTGATTACTCCATCCAGGAGTGAGTTATTCCCTGCACTGACATATCTATATCTGCTTTGCCCACGACTCATCGAGATTGTAATATCTCGTTCTAATGAGCACTAACTAACCGAATATCAGGAGTGTCCTCGACTTCAACCCTATAAAGTATGTCCCCCCATTAACACCGTTAAATTCCATGTACATCTACTTACACATCCCAGCACAATAGCAAGTCATCTCAGCTACTGGTCCGACGAAGACGTCAGCCATTTCATAATGTCCCAACTATTATCGAGGCACCGCCCTATCACCCGCAGCGAAAATACAACCAGGAAATAGACAATACTACATAGATGAGAGATGAGTACAGCGCTTGACATTAGAATAATATGGGACTGTGGGAGTGAGGGCGTTGTTCGGATTTCGGAAATTAACAGAGTAGTCATACTCCATGTTGGACTTGTTTGACATGTTCTGTAATAGCTAGCATTGATAATTAAATCAATAATATCTAACACGTGGACTTTAATTGCGATGTGATTAATTAAATAGAGAAGCTATATTTTATTGATTATTTTAACTCGACTTGACTTAGCTCTTACGACGATAGAGGAGCTACATACTGAGGATATAGCTATGAACGAATTACTTTTTTCAGTGCTAGTTTAGAATAACTCGAACCTATTATTATTTAATACATCGTGTGTTATTATTTCCCAGCCTAGCTAAGGATCATCGCTATATAATAAATATACATATTAAAAACAAAATGCTAAATATATATTAGCTAGTTCGTGTATACTTATTAAAACCAAGCGAAAGCATGTTGAAAAAGGTAGTCGAGGGCTAAAGGCCCGATTTTGGAACTTTAATGGATAGCTAGCTTCCTTGGGCTTTATAGGCTGGCTGGTGGGATATTGAGATATAGTACTGTATGTTGATGACGATGATAGGGGTTAGGTAAGTCTAAGCGAGGGGGAAGCTATAGCAGATGGGTTACTAAGTTGGCGGTTGACTCTACTTCCTTGTCGTAGTAAGAGACTTCTAACCTAGTTACAAGGCGGTTTGCTCCTAGTACCGGCTCAATGTACTCTCGTAGGACGGTGGAATTCAAGAGGCTATAGACTGCCCCAGATAAACTGGGGGTATGAACCTTTATCAACCCTCGTACTCGAGTGTTATCCAAGAAGCGGACATGGGGGTGTTTACAAGTCGATCGGCGGAAGGAATGTTCGAATTTGTCAAAGAAATGGCGTAATCCGTCTGTACCTGACACTGTCCAGGATAATGGCAAACCCCGGACTGTCACATAACCTTCTCTACCGGGGGTCAACAAGACATTGGCCATTAAACCAGACTAGCACAACGGGACAACAAATGGTGTTGAATACAACCTTGATTTACTATTGCTACGCTATAAATGATTATGTCCGCCGATTCGCAGCTTCGAAATTCGGAAGGGAACCCAGTGTTCGCATCGATAAGGACGTGGGAAACGAATCTAAAATCACAGTGTAACATCAGACGAAGAAAGGAGTTATCAGTGGCCGGACACAATGTCAACTTTTCCCCCAAAAAATGCGCCGCAAATAATCCCTGTTCACTCAGCCGTGTCAAGCTCATCGTGTTGTGGAGGAGGGGAGTCCCTGGCAACTGCCATTTGGGTATCAGCGAGTTTGGGTTTAATGTGACTTGGAAGTTCAAAATCACCTTTCCTGTCTTCTCCATTAGTGACAGTCTCACGCGGCTCATCGCGGTCGCGCTCATCCTTGGTGTCACGGTCCCTGAGTATCGTAAGTATAGGTATATAAAGGGTAATAATAGCTAGCTTCGAGGGGCTTATTACCTCTCATCTGGGCTGCGAGAGCGATCCCGATCGGAACGGTCTCGGCGATCGTAGTCGCGGTCACGGTCGCGACGGGTATCTTTACGGGGCGAGTAGTCGCCACGACCACGTCGAGGAGAGGGAGACCGACCACCACGGCGAGGAGAGCGGCGCCCAGGTGCGGCACGTTCGCGGTCGCGGCCTGAATCGAAACGCCAGGAGGCAGAGGGAGGAGTTCGTGCCCACTAAATACTGTTAGTAGTGCTCGTAATATACAGTTAGACTAGTGACATACTTCAATCTTTAGCAAGTCATCGTGTCCGATACGCTTGTTGTGCATCTCGTGATATGCATCGTCTGCATCACGACGGCTTTCATACTCAACGAATGCAAATCTACTTTATGTGTCAACGATATTAGAGCGGACATTCAACATAGGTATAAGACTACTCACAGACGACTGGCAGCGGTTCGAGGGGCTGGAATATCGCAGCGGACAAGACGGCCATAGCTGTAAAATGGTATGTTAGATTCGAGTAATATGTTTATAGGATATGGATGGAGTGCTTGAGAGAGCAAGAGATAAAACATAATGCTAGGAATATCGATCCGCCGATGTTCGGATATTTCGCGGGGGATTCATCGGGAGACAATGTTCGAATCATTGCGCGACCGCTCGATCGACGAGGAAGTTAATGGGAGGTATAAAGCGCAGGCAGGCACGCAGGTAGGTAGGAGACGAATAAAGGTGACAGCGAAGTCTCGACGAGGAAGGACGATTGGGGGGGACGCAGGTCATCGCACTCGAGGATGATCATCGACATATCGACGTTTGGCTGACATACCGTTCGAATTCGTAGGCTAGGTCGCGGGCGCGTGTACCGGGTCCGAAACCCTAGGAGGAGACAGTTAGTACAGGCATATCATTGATTAAGGCGGGAAACAATGACGAGTCCCAAGGTAAACATACAGTAACGTAGAGAGTTGTTCCGCCGCGAGACATCTTGCAGGTTGCAGGTCAAGTCTTAGGTAATCTCAAGTCTCCAGTTCAAATAGAACAATGTCGCCAAGGAGAAGCGAAAAGCTTGAACACTGCCCGTGTTATGTAGATGATGCCGTTGACACGACTATTGTTGTAGAAGGATGCAAAGAACTGCAGGTGGAGGCAGCTATGGTCAGGTCTCTTCGCTAAAGGGGTGGATTCACGTGACTGGGAAATGGAGGTCAGGAATGAAATCTCCAAGCCCAGATGCCGGATCCGGCTTCGACTCCCGTTGGCATTGCCACAAAACCAAGAAAAAAGAGTAACACGACTGGTACCGTAGTGGTACATGACGAGGACTGTTCCTCACTATACATTTCGATAGTTCATAACCTTCGTGGACGCTATGACTATATAACGCTGTTTGAATAGACAATATCTACTTGTTGCCACAGCCATCTCTGGCTCTCAGAGGCCTATGGCCTTTTTAGAGACTCGACGAATACACTGAGACGATCTATCTCTTTCTTCTACAAGCCATACATGCGCCCGCTCCCAATGCTTATCCAAATGCAACCCATGGCATGACAGATACCATCCTCGATATACAAAGCTTTCTGCTTGGTTTGCCGTGCCCTACCGTCCTGTCCGTGACACCAATTTCGAAAGACTGATTAAACAACTACAGCTGTGAACTCATCATCCACAAAGCTGGTAGCCCATAAGGTATTATAGATCCGGCGCGTCAGACCCCAGAGTGAGTAAGAAATCGCGGGTCATCTCAAAACTAAGCCAGCTGCTCGCCATACTCGGGGCTACCTTGAGAAGGTTGGGCACTATGCCTTTGTACATGCCTCTGATACCGTCTTGGGCAAGAATCATCTTGACGGCGTCGAATATAGACTTATACTGGTAGCCCATTCCTGACATGGTATTGATTTGAAAGCGACGTCGCAGGACATCACTAGATTCAGTAAGCCCCTATTATTTCAGCGGTTGCATATTTAGGAGGACCTACAAGGGATATGTGCACGTTTGTGCAACCGCTCCGGATATTGCGCCGGCAGCGAGTTTGCGCCCCGCGTTTGGGTTCTTGTCCCCTTCGGGTGTAAGATATTTTCGAACAAGCTCATAAGTCATAAAATTTAGGCCGACCTACAACCCAACCTTATTAGTTACTCTGCTACCAAACCACGAAAGTAAACTTACGTAGGGCGCTACGCCAGCCACGGTGGGAATTATGCCTCTGTATAGTGCGAGTACTCCACCCTCCGTTTTGTACATAATAACTAGTGTCTGCCACATTCCCGGTAATTTTGCTCTTTGTGCATGACTAAGTGCTGCAAAGGAGGCAGATTGGATGGATAACCTGGTCCGGACGATATCGAGAGGATAGGTGAAGAAGACAGAGGTAATACCAGCGGCACCACCGCAAATTAACCGCCTGAGGGAGCTTAGATCTGACCCTGGCGAGGTTTCGAAGAACTTGATGGATGAATTAGCCAATTGACGAATAAAGGATAACATGAACGGAAATCCCCATTCATGATGTTGTCACTCCGTTACCGTCAAAACAGAGTAATCGAGATGCTCACTTTCTTGTAGAAGTTGTAACTTCCAAACTGTACTGCGGAATACGGCACTATGCGGATGCAGTTTGTGCCATTTCCCCTCATGAACCCTCGCCATCCCTCGTCCCTCCACATTTTCGCCAGACCTTTGCCGACGGAAAGCTTATATTCCTCCCTCCCAGCACTTTGTATTTGGAAAAGAATCTTTAGCCTCTCAAGCGGGGAGACCACTGTCCGAGAAACCGCTCCGGCAACACCCCCGGCGCAAAAGGCCGCAAAGACAGGCTGGGCGATCATCTCGCGCATCTGTAATACCTTCGGTCCATATTTCGGCTTGAGGGCGTCATTCCCAGTCTATACCGCGTAAGAAAGTTAGCATTCGCCCAGGCAGAGCTTGAGAAGGGAGAACCCACGGCAGCCATTTCCGGCTCTGGTAGCTAGCTCTCCGCGTTAAAGACGGAGACTGGGGCAACAGCGCATAGGAAACAAATCAGCAGCCCCTGCAGCAAAAGCAGACAAATGGCGCTGGTTTAACAGGACAATCCCATCCGCATGTATGTTATGGGTAGCTGTGCTCAAAGTGCTCGCCGTGTGGTGTATGCGCTTGTTTTGTCGCAGTGGTTGCGGGTCCGAAGCTTGTCTCGGTATCCCAACACAACAAGGATCTCGGTCCAGCGATTGCGTCAATTCAACGTCCATTCAAGAGAAAATAAAGAGCGATATTGTGGGCGCATCGAGGGAGCATGTGTAGGTGTAGGAGGGAAAGGCGTGTATCGAGGAGGTCGACGTGGACGTCTCTGAAGCTGGGGTCTCGGTCTGGGCTACGAGGCTGGATTAGGGTCCTTGGAGCGTGGATGAGATTTTAATGATGCCGGCCGTGACTGGCCAAGCGAACCTGAGCCGAGTAGAAGGCCGTTTCAGCGCGATAAATAGTCGGTACCTGAGGCCACCATCGGCATTGAAATGGCGCTAGATAAGCACTAATTATATTTATAATGAAAGGGAGTAATGTACCGGCATAGGGGGGCAATAGAAAGGGGTGAGAGGAGGCAAAAAGTATATTCGCAAAAGACGAGGGAGAGGAATTGTTAGAAGACTGGTAGGTAGGTACCTACTGTATGTACTTAGTAATCTTACTTGAGTTACTACAAATAGACAAATAGAGAGAGCGGCGAGATACGAAGCATGGTTCGGAGCTCGGGGGTCGAGATGGACAGGGGCACGGAATATAGAGCCGTTTCGCTTGGGAACCCGTTCTTGGTTAGCGCGAAATTCCCCACCCACAGTTCTGATCTTTTCTCGAAAATCATCAACCTCGAATTCTGCGACTACGACCAACGACTCCGACGACATCAACAGCACCGCCGCCCGATAACCAGCAACCATGGGTACGTTGCCCGCTATTTCCATTCTCGCCTTCGTGTGCAAGTGGCGGTCTTGAGCTCTTGCGGGTATCTTCGTTGCTGAAAGGCCGAAGTGCTTGCGGAGTTCATCACCCTGCGTCGCAAATTGTGTCGAAAGACCAAAATGCAAAGAGCATGCTGAATTATAGGCTGACGATGGGATTCTGACTATAGGTATCGATCTCGACAAACATCACGTCCGTAGTACGCACCGCAAGGCGCCGAAGAGTGACAATGTCTACCTCAAGCTCCTCGTGAAGCTGTACCGCTTCTTGGCCCGTAAGTTTCTCGCCCACTTGGATCTTTCTATCCAATTCTGTCTGGCAAAAATACTGATATTTCCTCTTCCACAGGCCGCACTGATGCCTCATTCAACAAGGTCGTGCTCCGAAGACTTTTTATGTCCCGTATCAACAGACCTCCCGTGTCCATCTCGAGAATTGCTGCGAACGTCGACGAGAAGTCCAACAACAAGACTGTTGTGGTCGTTGGCACCGTCACCGATGACAACCGCCTCTTGACCGTCCCCAAGATGAGCATTGCCGCACTCCGGTTCACTGCCACCGCCCGCGCGCGGATTGTTGCCGCTGGTGGCGAGGTTCTCACTTTGGATCAGTTGGCATTGAGAGCCCCTACTGGAAGCAACACTCTTCTCCTCAGAGGACCCAAGAACTCCAGAGAGGCTGTCAAGCACTTCGGTTTCGGCCCACACAAGCACAAGGTAACAGCCCCCATTAATTGTGCTGGAAGCAGTACTAACAATATCAATAGAAACCCAAGATTGAGTCCAAGGGACGCAAGTTTGAGAAGGCTCGTGGACGTCGTGCCTCCAGAGGCTTCAAGGTCTAGATACAACTTTAATAAAAATAAAGTTATCAATGTTGATGTCTCCCCACCACCAATGTGCTACTGGGTCAACTGGGTTTATGATGGAGATGAAGATGGGTGCGTTCAGGCTTTTACATGGCGTTACCTAGCGTATCAAACATCAATTCAAGGCATAGACAAAAGCAATAAGTGCATCCATATAATTATATCAAGTATAAACGTGCCTATCCTCCCCATCATCATCCTGCTAGAGTATAATATACTATGTCTCGCTACTAGTGCATATACTTCGGTGTTTCTGGGGGGTCTCTGACGACTCTGCTAGTGGATGGGGAGTGTGAATTATAGCGACCATTTAACCTTACGAAACCGTATAAACGACCCAATTTATTGTAAATGGGTCACAAAGTCGTATTGCAATTTTCATTGTTGTACAGTTTGAGCAAGTCTTACGATAAGCTAAGTCTCAATCTCTCACCAGGCAGAAAATCAGCGAAGCTTAGCAGTAGCTTTGTATTATATGGTTTATTAATCAAGTAATATTATCCGTGCCAAAAACATCCTCCATGGCCACATCCTTCTTTCTTCTTAACGCAACAAAATATGCCTCCTTGGACTCCTACGAATGATTATTGATTTATGACTCCCCTGGCATATGAATATAGACTTACCTTTCTCGAGGAGTCAGGTTTCTCTCGATACACAGCTGCGAAAAGCTTTTTCAGTTTTTGCTCGAAGTGCTTCTCCTCGGATCCCTGATAGAATTTGCATACTTCACAAATCGAGCGGTTAGAATTACTTGCTTTATAAGTACTTACGGGGAAGAGAGAGGAAGAAAAAATACATCAAAACAAGTCGTTAGGAGAGGCGTCTTGTGAACTGAAAAATTAGGAACTTGCAATAGCTTACCAAAATGGCCTCCATTTCTGACAGTATCAACCGAAAATCGTAGTGCTGCATTGCAAAGATCCTGTCACGAGTTAACAGGAACAACTTCCGAAGAGGTTGCGTGCAACTATACCATGCTTCCAGCGTGGTCTTTGAAATTGATGCCAGTGGTGTTCATCATCCTAATATGCGGGTTACTTAGGCTTTTCTTCCAGAAACCAGTGGTCTGTTCCCAGGGTTCGGACATATCACTCAAAACAATATCCACAATTCTTCTGTCATCTTCCAACTTCTGGCCCTTCTCGTTGGGCGGAGTGCGTTCTGTATTGCCCTGCACATCATCAATGTCGTGCTGCTCTTGCTCGATGTAGCTTATAGCACCCTCCGTTTCTGGCGATCCGTCGGTATCACTGCTGGCGAACAGTTCTTGTTTTGGTCGTCCACGGTCTGGATCTGATAGGAAACGCTTCACTTGCTCTTGCACTTCCACGGATAGGAAGTTGCCTTGGATGGTAGATACGCCTTTCGGAGGCTGCGCAGGGATAATATCGATTCCCACAATTCGCCCTCTTGGTTTCGTCCGTTCGACCGCTACCTATGGTATATGTTAGACGGAACAGAAAGACATCAGTGGTAGAAGCGACGAACCTGTGACCAACTGCCTGGTGCGTAGCCCTGACAAAGAATTAGCTTGCCATCAAAATAACAGGATCAAGATAAACCGACAAGATCAACAACGGTCTGGCCCTTCTTGAATATCTTGTATTTGGCATCGATCTATCCATACAATTAGCAACCACAGGTGGATATGGGCTCCATCCACCACCAACCTCAATAAGCTTAAAAGCCGCTCTGCTTTTCAATCCTTGGACTTTTGCCTCTCGTGCAAAGGAATCGCTAGTTTGCCTCTGCTTCCATCTCTTCGAGGATGACGAGGACCACCGTGAGTCTGAAATATATAGCCCATGAGGTGGAGGGATCCAGTTGCGCTCAAGCTTGCCTATCATGCATGATGACCGCGGATGAGGCTTGCTGCGCCAAATCTTTGGAAATCGTTGCACGATATGGTGTGGAAGCATTCAGCTGCTGGGTGCGGAGCTCTGGACTGCTCACAATCGATTTTTCTTATGGCAATTAGACATCGCAGTTATTTTTCGTAGCAGGAGTTGGAGAGAGGTACCTCCGTTTGCGAGGCTATCAGGCCATAAGGCCACAACAACCAAGGCTATCCCTAAGGCCAATATTTATGAGCGGCGGTCGCTCCAACCTCATCTAACGCCCACCACTCACTCACGAATGTTCATGGAGAATAGGTATTTTAGACTCCCATGACTATGGTTGCACAGGGACTACTGCTATATAACTAACCATCTATCCACCCTCACCATCCTACCTAGCTTACAACTGTTCCACCGTATTAACTCAAATCCCCCTTGGCATATCTACTACGATTGCCGTAGATCCTCTCTATTTAGGTCTCACTCCTACCTTGTGGACTACCTTACTTATCGAAATACACCAGCCATACTATCAATATGTGTATTCGATTCGTCAATACCACGAGATATGCCAACTGTACTGCGTTACCGAAGCAAGTGGTAATAACATACGAACCTCAGCCCCCATGTGGGAAGTCGGGCTGTAATGGATACCGGGACCAACATATGGGATCATTTACCAGAAAGGGAGGGATATGCCCAAAATGCTAAACATCTTATTAGCAGGTAAATAACAATACAAGTCTCGCCGAGCATTAATTTCTAATATAGATGTATATAGATGAGTAAGTGAATGATCGTTGCTCAACTAATGGGTTAACGAGACTTCGTTTGATGGAAACAGCCTTTGAATATGCAAATATCGGAGATTAAAATTGAATAAAACGTTACATGTCAACTCTCTTACCTAGGTAATAACATTGTTGTAAACATTTGATGTCACGTGTTTTGACATGAACTTTTGTGACCGCTTTCCACCTATATTTCAGTAGAAGGGCCAACGAATCCTAATAACTTGAAACCAGCATTGTAGTGGACCTACTTCGTTAGTCCACCCACGGCATATTCAAGATGTCCCATATCGAAATCATCGAGTTACACAGGTACTATCCTGATGGCATTAAGCGGATCATTGGCCGGGGTGGGCAAAGTTATATTGGTGTTGTTAATGAATCGACAGTGTTGAAATACCCGACCATACCAGGCACAACCAGCAATCTTCAAGTAGAGAGTCAGCTCCTTGAGATATTAGGTAACCATCCTCGAATTATCGGATCGAAAGGCCTAACCGATGATGGCCTACTCCTTGAATATGCAGTAAACGGAGATTTGAATAGCTACATCGCAGCAAACCCCGGCACATCTCTAGACCAAAGGTTGCAATGGTGTCGACAAGCTGCTGAAGCAGTAGAGTATTTACACAAAAAGCGAGTCATTCACTGCGATATCAACTTACGCAATCTCTTACTCGACAAAAACCTCGATCTCAAGCTCGCAGACTTCCAGGGAATGCATAAATCGTGCGATGGGGACGTTCTACTTGATGGCTTATCTCGAGAGTGTACCAAGTCGTTCCTACCGCGAGCTCATGGTGATTACGCCGACGTGAAAACCGACCTTTTCGCTCTCGGATCTGCGATCTACTTCATTATGATGGGGCACGAAGTTTTCCCGGACTTAGACAGCAATGAGGACGAGGAGGAGATTGAACGCCGGTTTCGAAGCAGCCAATTTCCGATCGATCCGCAAGGGTGTAGTGCAATTACGAACAAATGCTGGACACAAGAGTACGGCTCTTCTCAGGAGGTTGTTGACGATATCACAGCTGTTCAGAAAACCATGGCCTCTACGTTATCCATTGGTCAGGAAGGCTGATTACTCAGTCACGAATGAGCTAAAGGACAAGTCCCACACGTCATGAGGCTTCAAGATGTTTATGATTCGAAGACAGACTATGTTTGACGAATAGATTTGTATACTAGTACAAGGACAGTAATTCACATATCTACTAGTCCCTCGACTGAAACTCTTTGCATTTGTTGTACCGTTCGTAATAAGAGCTCCTCGAAGTCTAGTGCGGTCGTTAAGCGTTTCCAGTAGCTTAACCCTTGTAATTTGCTAGTACATACATGTGCAAGGGCCCTATTATTAGCCTTCGACGGCGCCGCCCCAGTCTGACCTCACGTATAAATATATTGTTTTGCCTTCTTCTGGTTCCAGCAGGCCGATGCAAGTAGAAGGTAACAAGGTGACGGCATGGGTGTTGGTCTGGGGGTCTGGAGTTTTGCTCTACGAAACAAGCATAGGGTTACATTAACTCCTGCACATGGGTGAAAAGTTCACCCCCACACTACGAAGTCTGTAGATCAATTGCTCCCAGGTAGGTCGTGAACGGTTTCATTGTTGTTTGGAGCCTTTCACGCATATTTGTTTGCCTCAGTTCCCAGAGGTGTAAAGAGGTGGACATAGCAATGGCAGCGCCTGTTGAGAATGCTGATCTGGTCGTTATCGGTGCTGGTAAGTTGGTGTTGCTGTTGTGCTCCGTCCCCCTTCCCAGGATCCATTCCACCGGGTGCTGACCATCCACGGCGCATAGGATGGTACGGCCTCGCCGCTGCAAAGACATATCTCGAAGTCCATCCTGATGCTAAACTCATCATCCTCGAGGCTGAGTCCTCCGTGGGCGGGGTATGGGCTGACCACCGACTCTACCCAAGTCTCGTGTCCAACAACATGCTCGGCACCTACGAGTACAGTGACTTCCCTATGGATGAGGAGACCTGGGGCGTCAAGCCCGGGCAGCACATTCCGGGGAAAGTGCTGCATGACTATCTAACGAAGTATGCAGAGCATTTCGGCGTGCTACAGCAGGTACGGCTCAACTCCAAGGTAGAAACTGCCGAGCGCGGAGTGGAGGGGGGATGGCTGTTGAGGATAAACCACCGGCCGGGCTCGATATTGGCGAGGAAATTAGTTGTTGCAACGGGCGTGGCATCGGAGGCATTCCTGCCAACTTTGGAGGGGCAGGAGTCGTTTGGGGTGCCATTATTCCATAGCAAGGACATGTTGCAACACGTCGAAACGCTGGAGACGACCAAGTTGGTTACGGTTTTAGGGTCTACTAAGTCCGGTTGGGATGCAGTGTATGCGTATGGGTCGAAAGGCATCAAGGTCAACTGGGTGATTAGAGGTATGACGGGACGGTTTCGTCAAAATCGATGTGTGTAGCATTCTAACCAAAGCAAAATTACAGCATCCGGACACGGCCCCTGCTGGATGGCACCTCCATATGTCACTCCTCTTAAGAAGTGGCTCGAGAAACTCATCCATACTCGATTCCTAACTTGGCTTTCTCCCTGCGTCTGGGCCGACGCTGATGGCTACGGGCCGGTCCGTCGCTTCTTCCACGGCACCGCTATTGGGCGCTTCTTCGTGGATCGCTTCTGGGCAATTCTTCGTGGTGACTTGATAACGCTGAACAACTATGATTCTCACCACGACACCGCAAAACTCAAGCCCTGGATTTCTCCATTCTGGATCGCTACGGGCCTGGGCATCCTCAACTACGAAACCGATTTCTTTGAGTTAGTAAAGCGCGGCAACGTGAAGGTTCATGTTGCAGACATTACACAGCTTTCGAAGGGGAAGGTTCATCTCTCATCTGACGAGATCCTCGACACAGATGCGCTCATCCTTGCTACTGGCTGGAAACGCACCACTTCGATAAAATTCCTCCCCCCCGGCCTGGAAGCCCAATTGGGCCTCCCATCGAGCAAGAGCAATAGCAACAGCAAAGCGGAGCAAGCATCCCTAACAGCCCGCGCTGATGCCGAGATCCTATCTAGATACCCACGGTTGAAGGACCAACCCGAGCCGAACAAAATGTTCAAGCCCCTATCCAGCGCCGACCCCGCAATCCAAAATGAGGAAAGCCTGTCGGCGTTAAACCTATACCGCTTCATGGTGCCTACGGACGCGGAGCTACTGGCAGCGCATGATATCGCCTTTGCGGGCAATCTAATGACGATAACAACTTCTATAGTAGCGCAGACACAGGCACTATGGATAACTGCTTATTTCGACGGGAAGGTCTCCCCTCTTGCATCTTCAGCCTCCATCTTGGCGGCAAATCCCACCTCCCAAGCAACGGACGCTGCAACCGAACCAGCTAAGCAGATCGCCTCAGTCCGGTATTCCGCCAGGCTCCACAACCGCTTCGGAAAGTGGCGGACTCCGGGCGGGTTTGGTGCCACGATTCCTGATTTTGCGTTTGATGCGATGCCGTACCTTGATATGCTGCTTGTAGATCTGGGGTTGAGGTCAAGACGGAAAGCAGGCTTTCTGAAGGAGGTATTCGAGCCTTATGGACCGGAAGACTATGTAGGTATAGTAAAGGAGTGGGTTAATAGGCAACCAGCCGTCGAAGCAGGAAATACCACTCCCCTGGACAAGGTTGACAAGGTTGACAAGGTATGGCTTCTAAACGTTTGAATTTACATCGTTAGTGTCGTCACTAAATTTTCAGCCAAAATCCGACTAATTAATTGTGAATTTGTGGTTAATATGGACTCGAGATCTGATAATCTTTTTATCTGTCATCTAATAACGTATTCTCTACGTAGTTAGTCAAGTAATATCGTGTAAATAAATTTATTATACCCTGTTCAACACGTCGGCACAAAGATAAATCTTAGTGATGCAGTAATGGCAATGGCTTCGAAGCATATGTACATATCTTCCCTTAATCATGTCACTCTGGGCTGGGACATCTCTTCTGCTTCTGCTGTACTCTTTGTTTGGCACTGTGCAATAAGTACGTAGAGTATCCGCCCACTTCCCATGACTGTAATAGCCACCATCTTCCTCCAAACCTCGAGTTCCTCCTAGTACTAGTAGTCCTAAACACCACAATGGACAAGATATTATAATAAAGAATTCCGCCCTTCCACTATTAGAGTTGGTCACATAAGGAATTAAGCTCTAGAGGTAAATTTCCTCAAGTAATTATCTTTCTTATTTTTCTTAAAATTCATCTGATAACAATATCTTATAAACTACCTAGGGAGTGATATCAAAGCTTAAACAGAAGAAGGAAAAAATAAAACCCTTGCTCTTATCTACTCCCCATTAGGGCGCCTACACTGGGCTTTATTAATATGATTCTCATTTTGCTGTTTCTTGATTATTAATACGCGGAGAATACTACGTATATACAGAGGGTATATCAGGAGATTTAGTACTGGAGTACATCTACAAAATGTTGATCTATTGGAGCGCCAATCTCATAGAGAGGATGGGTCGAATTATCCTTTGCATTGTATGCACTGCACCTATAAGTATATATCACGGTTTAAGAATAGACACATATTGTTAATGGCCAAATTTCGATTCGTGTAGAGGAACAACATGTAATTCATCTTAGTGTTCATTGTTACCGACTAACCGTAATACAAATGTCAAACGCCCAACAATCATACAATGCTCACAGTACCCAATCCAGCGCCTATTTACATGCAACTAACGCCTTCCATATGCTTTGCCTAGGCCCTTTAATTTCAATCTCAATCTCGATCATCAAGCAAGAAAACTTGCTCCTGCTCCTCTTCGATCCTTCTTTAACGGTGAAAATGCGGGCATTTCGCCTTTGGGAGCACCAAGTACGTCCCCGGTACTCTTTCCTAACAATCTTGGGCGGCCAAGTGAAACTTTTGCTGGTCGCTTCGTAGCTTCAGCATCATCTTCATCAAAGAGCGTTGCCCCAAGTAACTTTTTTCTCTTCTTTTTGGGTTCTTCATCTTTGACTTCCGTATCCTTTAGTTGCACTTTCGATCGTTTCGGCTTGGCCGCTTTTGCCGCAGCCGTCGCCTTGATGGTAGGCTTTTGGGATACAGAGGCACTTGGGGCAGCTTGTTCATTCTCATCAACGTCTTCCTCGGTTATTTCGGCCAACTTGCTCAATCTCTGTACCTTCTTCGGACCGGGTTTATTCGCCTGGACATTGTGATTTGCCTCCTCAAGAGCGTTCTTGTTACTTTCTGCGGTCTTCTTGCCAATCTTTCTCTTAGCCTTGGGTTGAGGCACAGGTGTGGGTGACAAGACGTCATGATGCGAGTTTTGTGCCTCTATTGGGGCTTCCACGTCGGGTGCCTTCTCTTCTTCCCCATGTCCATCTTCCTCTTGCTCGTCATCTTCTATAATCTTAGGCTTGGGAGCTTCGGTGGAGGCTTCAGGAGCCATACTGAGGGTGCGATTCAAGAATGGGGTAATTGAGAACATCGACTTTTCCCCAACCATAGTCTGATCCATCCTTCCTCTCTTTAGGCCTGACCGCTTCCCACCCATAGTCGCTCCATCGGGTGTCCCAATGGTTTGATCTGTGCTTATTTCCAAAACGCTCCTCTTCCGGGGCTTTCTTGCTTGTGCCTCTGCCTTGGCTAGAAGACTGGCTGTTTTTGTAGCTTCTGTGCGAATATGGCTAAGCTCGGTCTGGGATTCTTTGAGTTGCTCCTTTGCAGCGCGTAATTTTGTTTTTGTTTCCTCTAACTTGCATTCTAAAACCGACTGGCGGGCCTCGTAGGCTTTTAGCTCCTTTTCTTGCTCCTTGAGAGCTTTCACCCCTTCTTTTTTCTCCCGTGCCAGGTCCTTGTGGAGTGCATCCAACTGATGATGGAGCTCCGCCTCCTTCTCGCTGTTGTCATTTTTCTGGGCCGCACGCTTCGTAGCTCGTTTCTCGGTCTCGAGCTCTACCTCTAGCGTACTGACCTGTCGCTGCAGTGCCAGCTTTTCGGATAAAATGGTCTGCTGATAGGTGGTTTGTGAACGGAGGTGCTCGAGTTCTGGCTTCAATGTCGCAAGTTCCCGAGCAAGTGATAACTTCTCCGTCAATAATTTTGTGCTATCCATAGTAACGCCATTCATTGAGGCCACCTCCGCCTAAAGATTGTTAAATCATGCGATGAGGCCAGAGAACCATAGCATACCCGTAAATTGTTCACCTCTCTTGTCTGAGTTCGCAGTTCGGTTTCTCGCCGGCGGGCTTCCTCTTGTGTGTGCTCTAGCTGGGCTCGCAACTCCTCGCTATTTTGTTCCAACAAATCAGCCCGATCGTCCCCAACTGCGAGCTGTTCGTGCAGATCGTCGTTCTCGTTCTCCAGCATAAGGATTCGTAACCTTAACCGGCGGGCACCCTCATCCTTGACAACGAGGTTGGTGTTGGATAAGGCTTCTTGGTATGACATTTCAAGGCATTGTGATTTGGACAGATGCTGCTCTAATTAGCAGCCATTAGTGCGTCAAGATAGGGCAACCTACAGTATCAATATGTTCATCGTCATTACAAAATGTAGATGAATCCATAGCGATGTCTGGGGATTAACTTATCTGCTAAGTTATGGCAAGATATGTAGACGCTTGGAGACGACGCGGTCTTCAATCGATGAAGTCAATAAACAGCCGAAAAGAGCCTAGCGACATGCCAAGCCCACCGGGCCCACCAGCGATTCCCGCTTTATGCCTGATACCTGAGGCAAGAACTTGTTCCTGGATGACCGAGAGGACACTTATCGACAGCTCCGACACCTCATACTCGTTAATCCTCACGATTCTCTTCTCCCAACCGGCGACCTGTCCTCCAAAGGTTCGCTTTCACGCATCTCACGATGCATTTCTTTCGCAGCATTGTTCTGGCTTTACTGCCCACTGCTGCTTTTGCGGCCAAGAAAACTGTTGATAGATTCGACAAATTCCATGCCAAAGCTCTCGTATCGACTCCATTGAAGCTCGACGATCCGCTTTATGGCCAATTGACAGCCGCCCCTAGAGACTATTCGGTTGCTGTATTGCTAACAGCCCTGGAATCCCGATTTGGATGTGTGCTTTGTCGTGAGTTCCAGCCAGAATGGGACTTGTTGTCTAGAGGCTGGACCAAAGGCGACAAGAAGGGAGAGTCACGCCTTTTGTTTGCGACATTGGACTTTATGGATGGCAAAAACACCTTCCAATCAGTTAGTCCTAGCGTATATGCCTCTAGATTTTGCTGATGCTAATCAACACTTGTATAGCTCGGTCTTCAAACCGCCCCGGTTCTCTTGCTCTTCCAACCAACAACTGGCCCTCATGCCGTGGCAGATATTGGCCCCGTGCGATATGACTTCGTCAATGGGTATGCATCTATTCCCAAGGAAGAAAGAATGATGTTTCCGAGCTTGTGGACTAATCTCATCAGGCCTCAATCTGCGGAGCAAATCCACGACTGGATATCTCGCCAGCTTCACGATCGACCCCACCCCCCGATTCAAAGACCAATCAACTGGGTGCGTGGATTCGCAATTACCACGACTCTATTAGGCACGGTCACTTTCATAAGCGTCGCTTGGCCCTATGTGCTACCGGTCATTCAGAACCGTAATGTCTGGGCCGCAATCAGCTTAATATCTATCCTACTCTTCACCAGTGGACATATGTACAATCACATCCGAAAGGTCCCATACGTTGCGGGCGACGGACGCGGGGGCGTCAGCTATTTTGCGGGCGGTTTCCAAAACCAGTACGGTCTGGAGACACAGATCGTCGCAGCTATGTGTATGTATGCGATGTCTTATAGAGATGACGCGCTAACGTGTAATTTGCAGATGGCCTACTTTCCTTCGCGACCATTTCGCTCGCCCTCAAGGTACCACGCATAGCAGATCCTAAATCACAACAAGTCGCTGTCATAATCTGGGGTAGCATTATTTTCGTTATGTACAGCTTCTTGCTCAGTGTATTCAGAATCAAGAACGGTGGATATCCTTTCTGGTTGCCTCCATTCTCATAGATTAAACTTGTAGATAGATAGTATGCGTGGCTAGTAAGGGACTGTATAACATTTTCTGGCGCTAGATTCAAAAGTTATTTTATATCTCCGGAGTATATCTTACGCAACTTGAAAAATAAAATGGCATTTCTGTATCTTCCAGTCACTATTGAATTGCAAATGCTCTCTACTTCCGTAACCGCTCTATCAATCAAACTCCATATATTTTCTTCGTTCACGAATTCTACTTTTGGAACCGCACAAATCCTGATAAACTACTCCTGCAAGGTATACGGATGAGTGGTATCCATGTGCCTTTCGTATAAGCAACGGTCTGTCCTCCTGCCTGTGTTTGGTACTCGAAATAGGTGGAGTCGTGAATGCTCCAATCGAGCAAGCAAATTGACAAAAGTAGCTTGGCTGGAATTGACGGAGCGCTGGCTTCGTTCGAGGGTGGATGTTGTCAGATTAGATCAAGTTTACTTCCCTCACTGACCACACTGTCCAAGCAGGAACCGTCGCGGAGTGCAGTGCGAGGCTTCGGACCCGGACAGCTGCGATGAATGCAACTCGTGATCTCGGGTAGGCTCTTTGTTATCATCACTCAACATCCGTCTCTCACGTCGAGAATTTTCACCCACTGCGGAGACAACACAGTTCAGTCAGCCTTGCTTCAGCTAGAGCCGCTATCCCACCCTGTGTGGAAGAAGTATAGGCTAGTCATACTATGCTCCTTGTCATAATGGATTCCTCAAGCCAAGAGGAATATACAGAGAAAGGCAGGATGCGCAAATGAAGCCGACGGAACGAGACCTAGCTGCGCTTGCATTGAGGATGCTCATGCCGAGGTAGACTCTTCTGTTGAAACACTCTCGAGAGGCTGTTGTTTTCGATGCTCGCGAACAGCGCATAATACCAATACTGCCGCAGCGTCAAGCAAAGCCAGGAATCGAGGACACTAAACCTCGATATTTCATGTGCGTGTAGGTGGCATTTCTGTGTTGGAGGAGTTTAAGGGGTAGAGGAGCAGTTGACTGGAAGACCAAGAGAAGATGAAATTGAAGAACTCGAATCCCGCCAGCCCTATGTAGCGCTGCCTGATGAGACGAGGCAGCCAGGCACCACTCCCGTTTGGAATGGAGAGTCGTGACGCGTGACAAGTCCCTAGTCGTTGGGCTGCGCACACGCTAAGGCCGCAAGCAGCGTAGCGCCCTCCGAGGCGTCGACGGCAGGCTCGGTACAAATACGGCGGTCTTTTCCCCCTCTTCTCCCCCTCTCGCTCGGGCGCAAAACCGAATCTCGCTACTGCGTGAGACTCGATCCATCCATCGTCAACCACCCACGTGACCACGCCTAGTCGATCCAACTTCGAGGTGCTGCTGACTCAGCAGCCTGACGTCGTTATTTCCGCATCACGTGCACCCTGCGGCTGGGGATTTGCCGGATTCAGATAAGCTCCATAGCGACGCTCTTGACCCCGGCGAGCCAATCACGACCCCCGCCCTGCTCGCGCGGCGCGGCGTGGAGGGGTTGTTGTGTATCGTCGCGGTGGACGCAGTGTACTGTACGTATCGCTGTGCTTTTCGCAGATACATCTTCAGCTTCAGTTGCATCTTCAAGATCCTGATATTTCCTGCGTCTTCAGAGCAGCAACAGCAACGCGCCAGGTTTGCCTTGAGCTGGGTCTACCACCACCGGCTGCATTAGCCTTGCATACCGCCCACCGACACCGCTAGCTCCTCCACCAGCCAAAAACCGAAACCGAACAAAAAAAAGGAACAATGGATAGTACATATGCGCCGCAATCCCCAGACCTTTCAGGCTTGTTGGCATCACCTTCAAAACAGCTCCCACCACATCCGCATGTAAATCAGCAGTCCTACCAAACATCGCAGCTGCAACAATATCAACCCACTTCGCAGTCTAGCAGCTACACGCCGCGCTCGCCCGTCATTCCCGCGTTCAATTCCGTTCCTCCACAGGCGCATAGTCAGGGTCGAAACGCATACCAAGCCAACCAGCAAACCGCCGCCTTTTCAGCCCGGAGCAACGAGTTTGGAGATTCATACGGCGGGACACAATATATGCCCCCAATTCCTACACTTCCACCCTCGCATTCCTTCAATCCTCCTCAAACCACAGCGCAATCTCGCTCGACCCTCCACCACCAACCGCCTTCCAAGTCCAACAACATCTACTCCCCCTACGCCCCCGCCGAAGCAGATTACGCTGCTGCTCACAACATGTCTTCTCGAGGACCGCGCCAGCTGCGTGGTCAAAACCAAGGACAAGCCGCTGCGTCTTCCTCATCCTCTCAATCCGCATCACAACAGGCGTACAAAGACCCCAACCCGCACAACATCGAAATCAAGACAAAGTTCCCAGTCGCACGCATAAAACGCATCATGCAAGCAGATGAAGAAGTGGGCAAGGTAGCACAGGTCACACCCGTTGCAGTCTCAAAAGCCCTAGAACTCTTCATGATTTCGTTAGTAAGCGGCGCCGCGGAAAAGGCCAAAGAGAAAGGCGGCAAGAGGGTTACTGCGCAACATCTAAAGCAGGTTGTCCTTGGAAGCCCGGAGCAATTTGATTTTCTTGCGGATATTGTGGGACGCGTTAGTGACAATCAGGAGGGCGCGGGCGGAGAAGCGAAGAAGCGGAAGGGAGAGAAGACGGAGGGGAGTGAGAGCAGTGAGGAAGAGCCCAAGAAGCCTAAGAAAGGGAAGGGAAGGCGGAAGAAGAGTGATGATTAGGAGGGGATAACGATTGGAAGGAAGGACTGGTTGAAATTTCCAGCAGTGGCTGGTTTTGCGTTAGGAGTTTGGGAGTTTGGTGTTTGGGCATGGCCTGACTGCATACCGGATCATTTACAAAGGGCGAAGAAATGGAGAATCTCCCAATCCCATACTCGGTGTCTCTCGAGTAATTATGCGTCGGAGTTAGGAGAGGCGCATAAATGCAGACACGAACGTTCTTTATTCGCGTTCCATCATTCTTCTGTCTCACAACGTAACCCCGATTCTTCATCCCTTGCGTCGCCGGCCGCTCGCTCTCATCCATTTCCTCTGTACTGCGTGTAACCTCACACATGGACCAATTACTTAAACTCTCGCGCGGGGCATGCTTGATTCCTCGTCTGCAATAACCAATAATTCAAGCCCTATGAAATACATTACGAATTCTCTCATCGCACCATATGACAACACTCGAACTTCATGTTGGAAGCTTGCTTTCCAATAGAACACTGGCTAAGAGCAGGTCTAACATTCTGGGACTGCTCGCGGTCGCACGGAAAACAAATTATCCCTGTGCTTGACTTATATCATACAAATTAAATTCCCTGCTCTCCCACTGCTCCTTCATTCCCCTCGCCAGGTCTGCCACATCAGGCACATCCAACGCTCTCTCCACCCAGAGCAACCCGTCCTCGCCCATTCCCACAACCCTCAACATCTGGGCCATATACAACATAGCCGAACCCGAGCCACCATCGGCAGCAAGCTGAAACCATTCCCTTGCCATGCCAAAATCGCCTATCTTCTCCGGCTTCAGCTCACTTTTCGTAATCTTTTGGAATTCATGCTCGCCAAGTTTATACCACGCTTCCACAACTCCCGAGCTTGCAGCTTTCATCAAATACTCCGTTTGAGTTTGCGAGCCAGGCTCCTGGAAGTTTGAGAGATGAAGATAAGCCTCCGGCTCATCAAGCTCTAGAGCCGCTTGTTTAAACACCGCATTCGCCGCTACAAGTTTCTCAAGTTTTAAAAGGGCCCGGCCTTCATCAACAAGCGCTGCTCCAGCGCCGTCAAAATCTATGTTCCCGGTAGGAGGCTGAGTGGCTTTACGCAGCCATTCAAGGGCTTCTCTTTCTCTTCCTTGAGCCATGAGGACTTTGCCCAGGAGCGTCATGGCCAGTGGCTCATTGTCGGTCTTTGCTAGCTGATTTAGACGTTGGAGGGGTGCTTGTACTTCATTCCCACGCAGACCATCGGCCTTGATTGCTGAGAGGACAAGTTCAAAAGTTGCGGACTTTTCACCGAGTTTTGAGGCGGAGAGCATGAGTCGTTTTGCTAAAATCTTCTGCGGGTGTGCACGGCAGCGTCTGAGGATTCCAGATAGGATGGATAGGGCGAAAGGTGTAACCCCATGTTCTGAGAAACATGTTAGAACCTCGTATAGTAGATAGAATAGGGATGAAAGATAATTTACCAGCACATAATTTCTGCTCCCAATCACCAGTTGAGGATGCAGAGGCTTTAGTGTATTCACGGAGAAATTCAAGAGCTTTCTCAGGTTCTATATCAATGACACCTGACTTTTTGGCGACACTGAGCATCGTGATTGGTGGTAGTGCTTCGTCCACGCTGAGGTTTTGCCTGGGCGCAGCGGCGGCTCGTTGATTACTCTGGCCATTGCGAATTTTACGGACGGTTGGAGAGTAGGCGGCATTGCATCGAGGTGTTGAATGTATATTCCGTGACCCCAGTTGTCTTTGGCATTTCTGGAGCACGGGGACTAGTCTTCTGGGGATCATTGTTTACATATATTTTGCTTGCGTCCTTGTATTATTGCGTGGTTGAAGGGTAAAACTCAAAAGACATCATCAATGAGATATAAGTACAGAATAAATGTATTAGAAACAGGCCAATCAATGGACTATCGTAGGCATAAGTGATGATTGATGGAGTTGGAGGTTGTCAAGAGTAGGCGGTGAAGGATCGCCAGCTAAACTTTCGCAGATTCTGCCGATTTTGTCTTGAAAAATATCATTACCCGAATTGCTAACTACGACCTCCCCACCACAGCTTCTAAGTGAAGATCATACTACGAATTGTATTACCTCATGTTATCCAGGGTTCTCAAATCGGCGAAGAATTTGCTCTACGTCCCACCAGCTGAAACACAGGAAGATTCTACGCTTCAGTTGAGCCCCGTCGTCGTCGTCGATCCAAGTTAGTCGCCCTCTACCTCGTCTCCGTTCAATCTCTACGTCTTTTCTTACACCTGATATTTGGGACGGAAGCTATACTAAGCTTAAAGTCCATATTTGCATACTTGAGCTCCATTGCTAACTTAGTATAGTGGTTGTGACACGCCTACAGAGCGGCGATCTGCCGGCGAACAAAACCCGCGATGCTGCTGATCTTGGGAACTCTCAAAGCCCACGAGTGCGAACACCGAAAAGGAAACCTAGGGTGATCGCCGGATCTGGCAGTATTGAGGACGATAGCTATAGGTCCAGTGCCTCCAAGAAAAGAAAGATTGAGAGGCAGGAACCAACTAAAGCGGATTTGGAGATACGCACTAAAAGTTCTCGCCCCGTGGTGGAGATACCTGCCATGGCTCCCATTCCGGCGTCAGAGCTCAGCGGCTCGGACGAAGTCGTAGTGGATGAACAGGGTGCGCTGGAGGAGGACTCAGATGGTGGAAACGACGAACCCACTTCGCACGTTGAGGCAGATGAGGGTCTTAGTGAAGGCGATGAGGACGAATCGCCAGAGGAGGAAGATACGCACCATGGTGAAGATGATGTAGGCCGAGAAGAGCTAGAACAGGAAGAGGAGGACGAGGAAGAGGGTGACGAGGACGAGGACGAGGAAGAGCATCCCCAATCCATAGATACTAGCTCCCGTCCGCCACTTAAGTCTCGCCAACCCGACGACCTCGCAGGCCTTCTTCCCCTTGAACTCCTAGAAGACGACGATATCTCGACCGCGCCGCGGTCTCAGGAGGTGCAACCTCAAGCAAAAAGAATAAAATTCACGGACCTAGTTGAAAAGATGCCAAAGGATCGTCGAATCGGGTCCACAATGTACAGAATAACAAAGGCCCGCAATGTACAGTTAGCTCCAAGAGCATCCTCGCAATCCCGAAACATCAAAGATGCTTGGATGCGAGGTCAGACGGGGAAGAACCGAAGAAAGAACCGGAAACCGTTTTCCAAAGGATTCCTGGTACCTAAGAAATAGAGCAACTCTACCTATCAATGAGGATATCAGTTCCCCATGCAGACATTACCCAGCACTATAACACGATGTTGAATTAACTCCATGTGGGCCATCATCAGGGCTACCGAAATCTTGCAAAAAAGGGGGTAGTAAATACCCCCCTCAAACCGGTATTCAACAGCGGTACTTAAAAAAGCCGCTCCGGTGCTTGCTATGCACTGATTGGACTGAGAGTTATGGAGAAACAATAGAGCATTTTTCTAATTGCGCGGCCTGGGTCTTAGGCTAATTGAGCCTGGTTTCGGCACCTAGGTCGGTAGTGTTACCAATATATACGGGAGATTGTTCTACAAGAAATCAAGAATGTTGATTAGAGCGCTTCTTACTATGGTAATCTTGCTCTCTCCATAAGTGTAGAGATCATGTCTCAATTTTTATGCCATTGCCTATCCTATTTTGCTGTCTCTCCGTGGATTAACTCGTTTTCTCAAGCTCCCTCATCATGCATTTCTCCACATTTGCAGCTTGTGGCCTTGCGGCTATTAGTTCATTATCTTCGACAGTTTTAGCTGCTAGTCTTACCAGAGTGACAGACTTTGGCACCAATCCTGGGAATGCCCAAATGTATATATATGTCCCAGATAAGCTACCTGCAAACCCAGCTATTATTGTCTCGGTGAGTTATCTCTCATATATGGATCCCGCAAAACTGTTCAGCGCTAAGGCTCAGTATAGATGCACTATTGCGGAGGTACAGCAACTACCTACTTCAACATGAACAAGCTCCCTGCCCTAGCCGACACCCACGGATATATCATGATCGTCCCCAGCGCAACCCACGACAACAACTGCTGGGATGCAGCTACAAACGCAACGTTAACGCATAACGGGGGTTCCGACTCCCTTTCAATCGTCAATATGGTGAAGTACACGATTAGTAAATACAACGCCGACCCCACGAGGGTTTTCGCAACCGGCTCGTCCTCAGGCGCTATCATGACAAACGTCCTCTGCGGTGCATATCCCGATGTCTTCGCGGCTGGCTCCGGGTTTTCTGGCATGGCATACGGATGTCTAGCTGGATCCCCTGGCTCTAGTCCTCAGAGTGCTGATCCCGCCTGCGCCAATGGACAGCACATATATACGCCGGAGAAATGGGCATCAATGGTCAGAGCTGGGTATCCTGGCTACAATGGCACCTATCCACGTATGCAGCTCTGGCACGGGACTGCTGATAACATCATCAAATATCAATCTCTGATTGAGCAGGTTAAGGAATGGTCTGCGGTTTTGGGCGTCGAGTTCACGAAGAATGTCACTAATACACCCAAGCCTGGGTACACGAGGATGATTTTTGGTGATGGGTCGAAGATGGAGGCGTACTCGGCGCAAGGGGTTGGCCATTTTGTACCGACAGATGAACCATCTGTGCTTAGTTGGTTTGGGATTACGTCCTGAGGGGTTTTGAGTGATACCTTTTGCTCATCTAATTGAGAAAAGTATAAGTACTTCGACTGGAGCCTTCATCGATGTATGTATTCCAATTGACACTGAACATAAGACATTGTTGTATAACATCCAAGCAAACTGCTGATTATAGTGCCCCGCCCCTGGCTTTCCTCTGATCTCCCCATCCAAGTTCAACTACTTTCTGGAGCACTCCGCCATGGCATGTATCATAGCCAGCGTAACCCTCTTTCCCTTCTCAATCTCCGCCTCCCCATTCAATGGCGGCACATGCATAAACAAAATTGACTTCTCCTTCTCCCCTTTCCTATAGAAATACTCCAAAGTCAAATAATACACAAACCCACAAACATAAGCACCAACATCATCACTCATCCTCACATCAGTCCCCTTTCCCGCACCCGCCCGCCACATTCCAACAACATTCTCCAACTCCAGACACGAGTCTAACCGCGCAGGACTCTTCCCCCAGACCTTCTTATTCTCCACTTTTGTGAATACCTTTCGCGCAACATCGGGATACTGATGATACCCATCTCTATCCGCTCCTTTCTCAACCGCAAAATAATCCCGCTCTACTGCTAAACCCATGTGCAGAACGATATCTGGAGAAACTTGCTCAAGCAATTTTGGGACCACATTTAGGAGGTCATGATAAGCTGCTTTGAAGGGCGCTGGGTGGGTGATGATCCGGATGCCCTGACCTTTGTGGGTTGTGGAAGAGGGAAGCTGTGATACGATTTCCCATGAAGGATTGATTTTGATATCTTGGAACGCCTATTTGGAGGTTCAGCGACCCTCATGTTTGAAAAGGGAGGACGGGCGAGTACACCGAAACCGGTTACGAGAACCGTTAAATTCGTGTCTTCATTCTCATGACTCATTTTTAGGGAATTGTAGATATTTCGTGTATGATATTAGGACATTCGTTGTGCGATACTGCTCATGAATCTTATGTATTTCGTGAGTGTGCTGGATTTAGCTTCCAAGTTCTCACCACGTTATTGGTGACTCAGGCGGTGAGCATCATGTTCGCGGGGCCTGCAACCCCTCAGAACGATAACCTTCCATGTCCAGTGAGAGCTTCGTAAATGCATAAATGGGTGATAGAAAATGTTATGAGGAAATTGAAAAGGGACACCACCTCCTAGGATCCAATTTTGCACGCAATATGAATAGAGGGTTGAGATAATACCGAGTGAGTGGAATCCCTCCCATTTAAATGTTATGGGACCGCATCTATTTGAGGTCGTCGTTGCTCGAAGGCTGGGAAATGGTGTACGGTGATATGAGCACACCAAGGTCCATCTATTGGCACGATGTTGGGGCCATCGCTACTCTACAGTAAGGAGTAGCATCACTCCTCCACCTATCTCCCAGCTTCACCAAACCGATGCTCGAGTAATGGCCAGATGTCACAGACTAGCCAATTCCATTTCCCGTGGACTTTTTAACGGCGTGTTCTCGGGTATAGATCAAGGCTGCTCTGTGACGGGTTAGTTACGGTGTACCAGGTACCGCGTCCTCGTTCATCCCTAGAATACAAAGCGAACCCTTTCTTATGCCAAATTAAGCCTTGATTCTGGACACGGATATTTTTGGATACAAAGAATGGAAACCTCCATACCAGCCCCCATCCACTTATCAATGGTGCCTTTATATTTCGAGGTGTCTAGAATAACGGGCTCTTTGTTTACTATGTCCGCATTTGGCAATTGTTTTCCTATTTTGTCACAGGTTAAGTGCTAGTCTTCTGCACCCGTTCTCCTCGCATGAATTTATAGAAAATTCAATCGATATTTGCATTTATCTGTGCCTGATCAAACGAGACTAAAATGCCCCCAATTGGACAAGACCCATGGCTGCTGAGCGAACAGAGATGGACGACCCGCGTCGGCGAAGGATGGGTCCCGAAGAGAGTTCTTGGGTACGGTGGATACGCCATCGTCGGACTGTGGTCATACGAAGGCCCAGATAGACAGCGGGCTACCCCAAAGGATATAGTGGTTAAACAAGCTCTAGCTAATCCAGGGCTCGAAATTGAGGCCCAATTTTTACAACGATTTAAAGACTGTAGGTCGGAGCATATAGTCAAAATTTATCGAGGACTATCCCAGGAGGCTGGTCAGGGCACAGAGGACTATGACCCCAGCAACGGGGCAGTTCATCGAATCTACCTCGAATATTGTCCGGGTGGTGACTTGTTCGACGCTGATAAAAGGAGATTTACAGAGTTAGATTTATGGCGCATATTTCATTGCCTGGCTCGAGGCATTTTGGTAATGCATCAAGGAAACGAAGATCCAGAAGGTTCACGCTGGGACATACCCCAGATCTGTCACTTTGATATCAAGCCCGAAAATAGTGAGTGTTTCCAAGCCTCCAAGAAGTGCGATTGGCCTAATAATCACATCCTTAAGTATTTATCGGGAAGCCAATAATGAAGGACGATCATGACAGCACGTCGCCGTATAAGGTGAGCTGCTCCGTGCTAGGTACCGTGACATGAGGAATGACGAAATGCCGTTTAGATTGGCGATTTTGGGCTGTCGAGGAACGTTCCAGCTCCAGAGGAACAAAACATACAATATTTGCAGAGGTGGGCTACACGTGGCACGGCAGATCACTTGACTCCTGTAATTGAACTGCCAATCCCTTCTAGCTTTCTACGATTATGCTACCCACATACTTTATCAGGCTGACTTCCTTCTAGGAGCAATTGCATTTCCCTATCCAGCAACTGAATATGCCAGAGGCAGATCTCCGTGACTATGTCAGACCTTGGCAGCCAGTAAGGGCCAGCCCCAACGCCTTGCTTCTAGAGTACAAAATGTTATTAACACCCACGTCTACAGGAAGTAGATCGACCAAGCCGAATAATAAATCCTCGTTATGGTACTGCCAGCAACATATGGCAGGCTGGGCTTATCATGCTCTGCTTAATACGCGAGATGAGGGATGTTCAATGGGATGCGCTGCAATGCTATCAATCCTCCGCATCAATTAGGCTCATAACTGGAGGCCTCACTGTTGGTACGGATGAGGATCAAATGGAAGATGAATACGGCACCTCCCGTTACGGCAATAATTTGCGGATCCTAATTGCAGAATGCTTGCTCATCTCACCTGAGTCTCGTCCAAGTCCCAAATACGTCTTCTATCGGACAAAATTTGGCATCACCGCGCATCGCCCAGCAGAGCCACCAAGTTCGCCTATGCGGGAACCATCGAGACGTTAATTATTTTAGGTCAGCGGCGCAATTCAACCATCGGACTCCCATGACGGAACTTTTAAACTTGCAACAAGTGGACCTAGCCAAATACAACCGTGCGGCTTGCTCAATATGCCCCCCATCTATAACCGGCCTAGAAACTGGGGGATTATCTATGCCACTAATAATCCCGTGGTGGTGTTGATCTTCATTCAGCTCCAAGAAATAAACAACTAAATAAACACTGCCCTTAACTCCGGCTGCCTGAGTACTTATATTCAACCTTAGGATTGCTTCCTTGCTACTAATGCCTTTAAGAATAAGAATAACATTATCTTTGAGCTTTTTCTAGTCTTCATACAAAGTACTAGCAGGGTGGAAATAAATAAATCTTTCCGCCTTGGCTGAAAGGCCTCAGAATTGGTAACACGGGCATTGAAAGCAATCCTTGGTGATATGAAGATGAGGGTCCGAAAATATTGCTAGCAGACCGTAGATATGGTGTAATGCTTATGAAATAGAGGCAGAAAGGAGTAATAGGGCAATAATTTAGATATCACAATATAAGAGACTACAAATTTCTTGTTCATAATTTGTTCAGCCTTTGGTTCTTAGCCGTCAGCCGACAAGCAGAAAATGTTCACTCCCCTCACTCTACTTACTCTGCACTGCTTGAATGTCCTCCAATACTATATAAAATATGTGGTATTGCGAGATATTTAAGGAAGAGGTGTTTCGGCTGTAATCGTAAACGGGATACAGCCCGTAGGTGGACTGGTTCTGGATGGAGCCAAGTAGTACTGGCTGATCTAAGTAAAGCAACGATAAAGCAAGACTCTAGTTAGAGTGTGGGAGTATGTGTAGCAATGAGAAAATAAGGAATAGCCCCGTGTAACCCTGTCCTGCATTTGAAGCAGGTCCCAGCAACCCATATTTGGCTTTTGTGATGTCGCTATGATTGCAAGGTAGATGTTTGTAATGAAAGCAATTGCCGATAATTGAAAAGAGCTGAATTGCCCGTGGACACAGCGCAGGAAATAGGAACGTTTCAATGTACAAGTATCCTGTTCCATCCTCCTAAGCCAGGATGGGGGCTACGTGCATTTCGGGAGTATCGTCCTCATCCTCATCCTCCTCACTATCGGTATCCCACACCAACCCTCCCTCAACCTCCCAATCATCTTCGTCACTATCTTCATCGTCACTTGCTTTAGCAGCTTTGGATTTCGGCTTATCTTGAGCCTTGACCTTGGCAGCCTTCTTGGCGCCCTTGTTGAACTTCGCGAATTTGTGACCTTCGGGATATTTGACATGGCCGAGTCTGCGTTTTGGGGCGCTTCCGTCCTTCCAGGAATATTTGCGCTTTCTAATGCCCGTGGTTATTGCGTGGCGATTAGTTCCTCTCTTGTGCTTTGCTGGAGCAGAGCTTTCCGAAGCCATAATTCCGTCTTCAGCTAGTTCTTCGTTAGAAGAGGCAGTACTATCATTCACCAATCTCTCAACGTGGTTGACGAATTCCATGGTTACGTCGTGTGGCTCTTCTGGTTCATCGTCCTCCTCTGGGTCATTGGACTGGGGGAAGTGGCGAATGATGTCGTCGTTGCCTATTGGAGAAGCAGGTGGTTGATTTCCCCAGTTCGTCTCCGGTTCGCCTTCCGAAGAATCGTCGCAGACCACAAAGTCCTCAGGCTTGGATTTCTGCCATGATTGTTTAGTCAGTAAATGTCTTGCGTAAAGTGAATAATTGTTAAAGAGCTAGCTGGTGAATCTTTCCGACTTTCTGGGACATTCAGGTGGGTATTTGCGCAAGGTGAGTACGCGAAATATCTGTAAGAAGGGGCCACTCGCAAAGAAGAGAAACAAAGTAATATTCCATAATAATACAGCCAAATCGGCGTAGAAGGATCAGAAAATTCAAAGAAACTCACCTTATGTTTCTTGACGATCCTTGGAACCGGGAGTGGGGCACGGTATGTTGGCGGAATTGCTCTAGGGCCGTTCTCATCGTCGTCGTCGTCAAACAAAGCCATTTGGGCAAACTTCTTCGCGCTAAGGGGCTTCATCGTGGAATTGTTCAATGGAGTATGGAAGTTGCCTTGGATGGAGCAGGATGGGGGGGGGGGGGGTGTAAAGGGTGAAGAGTCTACTGTGTTTGAAGTAGTTATATGTGTGGCTGTAGAGGTAGATGTTGTAGTGGTAGACGTTGTAGCTGTCTCTTATACACATCTAGATGTGTATAAGAGAAAGAGTCTACTGTGTTTGAAGTAGTTATATGTGTGGCTGTAGAGGTAGATGTTGTAGTGGTAGACGTTGTAGTGGGAGATGTTGTAGATGGAGACTTTGGAAGCGACGAGTTGGTATATATAGGCTTGTGCATCGGCGCACCGGCGACTCGCAATGGTACTTCATGTAGTAATGGAGCATGGAGAATTTTCTCATCTTCCTCGTCTTTGATCTGCACCTCTTGAGCAAGACACACGCCTCTGGGGTGATTCTGGACTCATTAACAATTGCACATTAGCAGACTCCAAAAGAAAGGCAAACCTCTTTATGCAGGCGCAACTCGCTCTTTGTAGAGAATATAGAGGAGCATCCTAGCCGGCAACATTTAATTATGTTGTGGCGACTAGCGAGATGTTTTTCTAACTTTTTGCCGCCAGGGAATGTCCGTGTACACTCTGAACATTCATAAACCCCTATTATTGCTATTTGCTGAATGAATAAATTGCATGTGCCTCTGCAAATTATGTGATCGCTGGAATCCCTGGTTGCAACCGCTGATTGAGCAATGGAATGGCTTTTGGACTGTGGATCTATGCATGGCAGAATGGGTCGCCAACTCCGAACCACTTGAGCAGGCCATCTCACAAATACCGCAAGCAAATTCCATGGCGGGAGAATATGATGTGGGGGTGGAAGAGGGAGTGGAAGAGGGAGTGGAAGAGGGAGTGGAAGAGGGAGTGGAAGAGGGAGTGGAAGAGGGAGTGGAAGAGGGAGTGGAANGTGGAAGAGGGAGTGGAAGAGGGAGTGGAAGAGGGAGTGGAAGAGGGAGTGGAAGAGGGAGTGGAAGAGGGAGTGGAAGAGGGAGTGGAATAAGAGGCGGAAGTAGAAGAGGATGTGGAAGAAGAATATGACAGGGATGAAGGGGGAGGGGGAGGAGACGAAATCATTCTATACTTGACACGGATGCTGGAGTAACTGGTAATCCGTTAGGTCGTCGCGTTATATGCAGGAAGGTAACGAGGAAGATGTAGACGAGGAAATAGAAGAGGATAATAAGAAGAGAATAGAGGGGATGGTAATCATTAAATGCTTAACACGAGTGTCTGGATAACTGTTGATCTATTAGGTCACAGCGTTATATACGGGAAGGTAAGGAGGACGATGGAGATAGAAGAAGACAAGGGCGAAGTGGAGGAGGGAGGAGATGAGAGCCACTAAATATTTAATACGGATGCTGGAATAGCCTTAGATCATAGTATTATAGGTTGGTGCATCAATATGCAGGAAGGTGTGGGGGAAGATGTGGAGGGTATAGAAGAGGACAAGGAGGAAGAAGTAACGGAAGTCATTAAATACTCAATCCGTATGCCAGAATAATTGTTGATCCCTTGGATCAAAACATCGTAGGCGGCGCACTATAGGCAGCGAACAATAAATAGTAACGACTATAGCAAAGCCTTCGGAGGAAGGATATTTAAGTTACTTCAAATTACGTGTGATTATCGACTTGCTCCAAGTCAAGAGCTTTATCACGGCAACAGGCATGGTTAAAGGTATATACCTAACCTTGAAACTCGTAAAGTAGGACCTCAAAGAAACCAAAATTAAGTAATCATGAATGATTAAGGCCAAGCACTAGCTTAATTCCCCTCAAACGCATAAGTAAAGCTGGCAAACTTAGCATCCAATATATCCTGGAGGTGAACGCACGCAAGGATAATTTAGGCAGGAAGAAAGGATCAAACATATAGGGGCTCATCTAATGAGTATTTTCTGGGCCCATTCCTATGCAACCAACCCTCTAAATGACGGCGCCGAGAATATGCCAAATCGGACTTTATTGACGTCCATTGCCATAACCGATATATCAGCTAACGTCAGCGGCCAAAAAACTCAGCAATGAACCAGCAGTCAATCCAGCAACCAGATTGACAGCCATGAAGCCTCCAGAAGCTTCTCTCTCGCCTTCGTCAACCCATTTTCCGGCATTCATCATGCACAAGCTCCCTATTAAGCCATTTGTTAGTCCAAACCCGAATTGGACAACCACGAGATAGAATGCATCGCTATTGATAACTGCCCCGTTATTTCCGACGTTGCATAGCAGGTATAAAGGTATGAATATCACACGCGTAATCGATAAAACGAAGAGGACAACGGGGTGGCGTATCACTATGAACGGCAGAGCGGATGACACACGACCGCATAGATCACCTAGATTCCAGACCAGAAAGCCGAGAGGTATAAACACGGCCGGTTGGAAAAGCCTAGGAGCCCCTGCCTCGGGGATTACCGAAACTATCTTTTGAGTGAAGACGGGGAAGAACATGGTGATTGTGAAGCACACAAATACCGCTGCAGCAAACCAGTGAAGCTTTTTATAGAGCTGCCACATGCCTATAATCTTCCGGTGGGCCTGCTCTGCTTCTTCAACGCTGGCGATCGAGGACGCCATGTTAGCCTCTACCATATTATTATGCTTGCGGACAAGTGGGAATACAGCAGCGAGCGTCAGGACGCTGATTATAGTGGCTGCGAGAAAGTATAAGAAAGCGGATTTTGCTGTTTGATCTGATAGTAGCGGGGCTTGCGACCCTGGGTCTGCCTGTTGATCTGGCGCTGGAAGTGCCAGGACAGAAAAGATTTGAGCAATGGAAGGAAGCACACCCGCCAATCCTTGGCCTGTCATTATTGCCTGGATATATTCGGGCCGTCTAAAACTCGAGGCAAAAGCGAACGCTCCGTTTTGGCACAGCCCAGTGGCTATAGACGTGAAGAACACCATTATCAAAGTAAACGTCAAGTATCCCGTCGCCGAAACATCTCGAAACCACGATGTCGATATGGCGAGGAGAATGAAGACAATTGGATTGAGGATGAGACCGGACATAATGCGCTTTGGGTAGGAGGCTTTTGCTTGCATATTCGAAAGGATGAGCATCGAACCGAGGTTGGTAATGCAACCGACAGAGGTAATGGAGGATTGGAAGTGGCTGAGAATTGCCGGGTTCGTTTGAAATCGATCCTGGAAGTATGGAGCTGCTGCTAGGAACATATTCCTGACTTAACATTAGCAGATGTTTATTACAGCACGACTGTTATCCATACCATGCCCATAGCATCGCTATTCCTAGGAGGAGGAAGATCGAGTACTCGAACCACGAGAAAGGCGCTTCGTCAGGGTCTCCAGAACCCACGGCTGATCGCCCCACACCTTCATCATTGAAGCTGGCATCCACATCCACGTCCGTATCAAGAGGCTCATAGTCTTGCTCGGGGGCCGCTTTGTGGAAGAGGGTGCGTACCCAATTCATGGCTGCTTGAGGTCCCATGGTGTTGTGGAGGATGTGTCACCGTTGCGGCATTTGGAGTATGGCGAACAAGCAAATTCTCTGTAGGCGTAGAATCGAGTACAGCGGAGTAAACTGTTCGGTTATTCGACAGACAGTAGGTTACATACTGCAAAGCCGCAAGAGGCGGCCAGGCAGCTTCAAAGACTTGACGTTATCAATGTTGACCCAGACCCGGTTGACTATATACGGAATACGAAGTAGACACTACGTACACCAAAGGCTAATAACATCGTCACATGATATGCGAGCCGAGCCGAACCCAAACATCTGTCTCGCCTGGAATAACCTTAAAGCAACTTTAATACCTAGTTCAACAAGGGTCACCAGGGCTTTTCTAGCGGGCCGCCTGTCCTCATACAAATTTAGGTGAAAGGAAGTGACCGCGTAACATGACCGGAAACTCATGCGATGCAAGTATGTTATGCATTGTTTCTGCTGCAAGTACTCATTCAAACACAATGGAGAGTCATGATTTCGAGAAATTGGCTCTGATTCACGAGTTCTGATGGTCGATTTTAATACTGCGGTTGTTGATATACTTTGTACGCCCCAACAGGGTCGTTGATTCGTGGATGCGCCTTCGATCTGCATATTCCCCACGCGTTGTTTGCATTTCGATGCTACCATATAAAGGACCTCGAAATTGAACCCTATCAACGATATGACAGTCGTTTCAGGCTTGTTTTGATAGTTCGGGCGTGATATAGCAAAGCTAGTTGAGGTGGTGTTGATGCGTGGGTTGAGCTTTTTGGTGGGAATCGCAAGGCGAAAGTCGCTTTCGTTCGTTTATGTGCAGAATGCTGGCCCACGGACAGCAAGATTACCCATACTACCTACCGGTAGGTAGTTGGCAAGGTCATCTGCAAATTTGTTATGGGTATGCCTCCTTCTAAGTCTCTGAATCCGTTGCAAAATCATTCCATCTCAGGATCCCTAGATGTGAGAGACTGTTGATGGGAAAATACGGCAACTCGGCGGGTGTTGTTGGAACGATTATCATGATGGTCTGCTGAGCTAGCGCTTCCTGTGCGTGAGGTGTGTTCTCCCACCTGGCTAGGCGTCACCGCGTTGTTATTCCTAATGATCGTGGGAGCGATGGCATATCCTAAGTACACCATACCAATCATGTAGGCACTCCCTTATTGCCAAGATGTTCACCAAAAAATCCAGGTCTGGTTGTCGGGGATCTACCAGTTGGCCCCTACCAGGTTTGGGAGGGTTCGACCACTTGCGATATTACGAGTATCATGCCTAAGGTAGATAACATTTATCTACGAAGTGCAGTATGCGTTTGGATACCTAGAGCCTCATTCTAGTGTCGCAGGATACCCATATTCCGCATTATTATCCGTTAATTACTGCGAGGAATAAGGTACGAGGGACTATCGCCAATTGGTTTATATTTCCGTCAATCCGTGTGACAAAGTTTGCGCCCCTGTCCATTGTGTCCCTACGGAGCACAGACTACGACCCTCCGGAGACTCGGCAGCGGCGCATGGTGGGCCAAGCTTTGCGGGCACGTTCCATCGAACTTGTTTCAGGGCTGAATTGGGGCTGTTTGCTAATTAAAGGATTGAGCTGACTACCGGGGTTGATCATCTGAACTGCTGGAACTATCCCCATGGAGCTCCCTCTAATTACCGAGTCATGCGCGGAGTACGGAAGGATGGACAATGCGCTGATTGTTGTAGCTAGGCGGGTATTCCCGCTGGGAGCTGACTGGAGGCGAAACTTCTTGGAAGACTTGGAGTCGGAGTCGAGCTGGAGGCAAGGCTGGCCAGTGGCCATGCGACACAAACAATACGCGATGCCCTCTTCGGCGACGTCGGGCTTTGCTGCTCATATTCGCGCCTATAGGAAGGGGCTTCCTATCACTCATCTTAGGCGTGGCTGCGGCGCAGAGTATTATTGAGTACGACGAACCTCCCAAGTCTGTGCCTCACCACCAGATGTGTAATTTGGGAGTGTCGGACCCCAGTCAAGTCAACAGGCTGTGGGGGCCATAGAATGATGGCGATCAGTGGTGAGACACCGTTAAATAGATCAACCCACCCACTTTAGCTATACTGTAGCTTCCTCTAGAGCCCGTTCTGTCGCTTCAGAATTATCCTACATTCAGCACGTCTTCAGTTTATTTATCCCAGGTCAGAATCGGAATACCATGGCCGAAAACGACGTTCCGAGCAAGCCCGGGGCTGCCATCGAGCCTTCCGGTCAATCTTTGTCCAGTCAAAATACGGAGAAGCCAGCATGGTGGAAACGACGAGCTCCTACGATTGAGGATCACAGAGCAAAGAATCGTGCGCACGAGTTTAATGGGAAGCGAGGTTTTAATGGTCATTGGTTTCACCGGCCGGTAGAGCAAAAGAGCACGGCGCCGTTCGATAATGCTGCGATGTTGGAGTCCGATGAGAAGGGGAGATACATCTATCGAAACCAGTTCGGCCAGAAATACCATAAACACGACGATGTGGCTACCTATCTCAGCCCAACGAACTATGTTCCAAAACGATTAGTAGTCCAAGCAACGAACTATGTGTGTAACACCAAGCTTCAAACTGGCGACTGGAGGCGAACACATATCCAGGGAAACGTCCCGACCGTTTTGAAAATTGCGGAATGGGCCTTAAGACCTTCAGACCCAGACAAAGAAGGGAAGGCGTCTCTTCTTGGACGTGTTCACTCCGGCTTCCGAATTCTGGCTGTTGGATTACCTCTTCAGATTCTATTATGCTTACCCACAACAGACTCCTGGGAAGGTGGTGAAATCAATGACAATTATTCCAACTTCCCTGGGTACCACTGGAAGTGGCCGAAATATGCGACGAATCCTCTCGATATGAGGCCTGCTCCAGCCGGACAAGAAATTGTAACGCATAACCAGTCGTCGAAGAGGCGCCTTCTACGCCCCCGGCAACTCATCATATTAAAAGATGGCAAATGGGTCCTCGATCCAAATCCAAGCAGAACCACTTCCTACCTCTTCATCAGTTACGCCAATATGCATTTTGATACCGACCACTCAGAAACCGGACGACGTATGGTTGAGGACATGGCTGCATTCGCAGCCATCAAGGCTGGCAAGCAAGCATACTGGCTCGACTACCGCTGCCGTGCCCCAGAAGCCGGACCAGAACTCGACGCGGACGTATATCGTATGTGCGATGTGATACGCGGCGCATATCAAGTGGTGGTCATGCTCAAAGGCGATGCACTGAGACTGAAGCAAGATTGGGGCTCGAGAATGTGGACACTGCCAGAAGGTCTTTTGGCAACAGGGCAAAACGTCTACTTCTGTACCCCCGAAGAAGACTCCTTCAAAATTACCACCATGAATAAGGTCGAAATGAGCGGTTCGATTTGGGAAGATACGGAAGTCGACGATGAAGACAGCCCTACGCGACTCCTCGCCGAGCACTTCACGGGGGTCCTGACTCTCTCCCGGCTCGAGATCTTGTCCAACGCCATTGCAGCCCTTGGTGATCGAGCTTACAAAAACTATCACTCTCATACTAGGGGTGACATCGCATATGCACTCATGGGTCTTCTTCACTACCGCATCGAAAAAGAGCCCAATGACACGGCTTTCCAAGCCCTCGCCCGACTCTCCCTGGCAAACGACAGTGACCGCCTCATCGAACGTATGGTCTGTCTCTTCCCTGACCCCAGCAAACCAGAAGTCTCTGCCTTTATGCAACTCGCCCAGCCGGATATGTACCAAGCCCATCTCTGGGACATTGACCCGCTGTGTCAAGTAGTAGGTGTAGGTGACGAGGACAACACAGTTATGCTAGATGGTTGCAAGGCTGTGCACATCCGCTGGAAGAATTTCCCACGTGTGGCCACTGTCCGACACTACGGCATGAAGAAACTCTTAGCTGAGCTATTCGTCCGCAGCGGCGCATGGTGGTTCCTTTTCGGTATCAACCTAACCATCACCTACGCGCCCTTTATAACATTTAGCGGCTTCGCATCGCAATCCAGTCTTATTCTAGCCTTGGAACTCCTGTTAGGCTCGTTCTTTGTAGTCGGTTTACTCCTCTCCTTCATTGGACCATACTCCGTGCGCAGACTATATGGCGGCCGAGTTTTGGAGAGCACGCCCAATTTAATAGCATTTGAAGGTGTACTTCCGCTCAGGAAACTTGAACCCATCGTCTTTGGAAATAACTCCGGGCGACTCTCCTACGAACCCTCATCCACACCATTCTCTCTCCCGTTCCGCGACCCTAGCGAGCGCATCGGTCTCGAGCCCACGTGGATATCATCGGGCAACCCTGCCGATGTCAAAGAAGTAGAGGCAGCGCTCCCTAAAGGCCAACGGTTATTTACGCTTGTCGATACTGGCAGTTTGAACGTCAGTGTTTTTGCAGCTGAGAACCCTCCTACGGTAGCACTATTGTGTGGTAGGGAAGGAGGCATGTTGAGGGCTGTGCTTTGCAGCTGGAGGTTTAGGAATGATTGTTTAGTTAGGGAGACAGTTATTAGGATGCCGAGTGCTGTGCTGGAGGCGGCGGCGGCGAGGTCTTGGTTGAAGGTCTCTTTGGGCAAGGGAGCCGTTACGGAGGAGGGTAAGGTGTAAGTGGTGGATATTTTATTCATGGGTAATGTGTAATATTTTATGGCACGTTGAAACGTGGTGGTTTGGGACTGTCTAGGAATATCTTTTTTGCCTCGTTGCCTAGATACCCTGTTGTCGGTGGAATTTAATGGAACACGCAACTTTAATGCACCGCTTCTCTTCTCTAAATTTGACCTATCATTTATCGCACAAGTTGTTGTCAGGGTCGTCGTGAGTTCAGATGTATCGAGTTTGGTTAATTGTAGCCAGTATCTAATGAGAAAATATTTTGAGAAGCAATCATTTAGAATTTTCAACAATCTTTTATAACGAGACATGCAGGCTTGCGCCACAGTTATTTAAATTTATCTATGCTTTTTAACCCTTTTTATTAGGTAGACGCAATCTGTACCATCTGGGTACGAGTCATTGAGTCCATTTAAACCATCCATGTAATGCACCTTAATACAAGCCTTCAACGCCTTCCCCCGTCCTATTATCATGCATGTCCGTCGCTATGAGTTATGACTTTAGGAAAGAAAGAACAGTAGTCGAATAGCTCCCGCGAACTGCTGCAGGAGCGTATCGAAGATCACTCAGCAGCTCTTCTCTTCCCCATCCGCTTTCCACGTCGTCCCTGGCTGTCATCAACCTCCTGCTCCACTTCAGTGTCCTCCACGCTATCATCCTCGTCATCACTAAGGCTTAGGGTATCGAATTCAACGCCACTGGCATCAGCCTGGTCATACGTGACCCAGCCCTGCCAAAGGACAAACTCCAGCACCTCATAAGCGGTTTGGAACGCGCCATTCTCGACTTTGGTACGGGGATCTAATCGCTTGGACAGCTCTTTGGTTTCCTCCGTAAATTGCCGTAATTCTGGTGATGAGGCACCGTTCTTTTTCTTGAATTCTCGCTTTAGGTGGCCAAGGATGAATTGGATCCAGATTACGTTAGTGTATGGGACGTGTTCGGACCAGGTGTGGCCATTATTTTCGTTCCGCGACTCAGGTTTGTGCCAAGTGCTGGGGTACATTCCGCGGGTCGACGTAAAAAGATGGGTGCGCATTCTATTCAGATGAAAGTTAGTATTGGCATTCGCGGAAGAGGCAAGGCTGGGAAAGGTGGGCACGTACTTTCTGTAAGCATTAAATTGTGGATGTCCATCAGTTCCTTCGAAGATTGTGAGATCTTCTTCAAGGTCGTAGGAGACGGTATCACCGTTCTGGAGAGTAGCGCGGGAGAGGCCGTAGTCGATAATTGTTACTTCGAGGTCGGAATAGCCGAATCGGCACAACGTTGGGTGTTCCGGCTTGTGTTCAGGGCTCCGAGTCGAGGAGACACAAATGTTATTCTCATGTAGATCACGATGCTGGAGGCATAGGTTAGAAAATAAAGATAACAACAGTCGCAAGACAGCTTACCTCAAACTCGAAATCCGCCTCACCCTTGGCCAAGGCCATGATAACTCCAAGCAAGACATCCCATACTTGATCGATGGTTTCAAGTTTAAATTCCTCCAAGACTGTGCCTGCATCTCCAAGCTCGATGGCAAGGAAAACAGAATCATCGGTGTATGTTAGTGGATTTGGGAAAAAGGAACCATCCTTTGACTGTCTCTCGTGTGCTCCATAAGCGTGTTTGAATAATTTAGTAGATTTTCCTTGGATAAGATGCGCATCCTTGAACTTAACAAAGCCAGGAAGCTCGGTCAGAGCATTCATGATTCTGATTTCCGAGACAACGGACTTGATTTTGATGGCAGTTTCGAGTTCAAGAGAATCAACATCGTGGGGTGACTGAAGACGCATGACCTTAATGATGGAGGTTCCAGAGTCTGTGCTGATTCGATACACCTCTGCATAGGAGGCTTCGGCAATCTTGGTGACGGAGCAGTCCTCTGTGAGAATATCTTTCCACTTCTGGATCTCCAAGGTCCTGTTGCGGTCTGCCTTATAAGCGGCAATGAGTGGCTGGAGGTACGCAGCCGGATCTTCCACCTCTTGTGGGACATTGTCACCACTCTCCTCTGATGGATGGTATGTAGTTAGCACACGTTGAAATACGGAATAAATTTGGTAAATCGGGGAACAATACAACATACCTTCCTCGTCCTCCCCAGCCCCAAGAGCGATATTGCCAATTGCGGAAGTTATATCCGCAAGAGGAGAGCGTGGCGGCGATGGTATGGCCGGAGATGGGTCATTGACAGCACTGCCAAAAATGGCAGCAGCTGCTGCCGAAAAGGCAGACTTCTTCGCACCATAGGTGCGCTTCCTGGGCCCCATGGATCTTGGGGGCGTTAGGCCAGTGCTGAAATGATAATCAGCATGTCATTGTCAATAATATTCAAAGCGGCAGGCGGGACGAGATTTCCAGAAAAGTGAACTGAAAATATAGCGCCCAAACATAAGGTGATACCGAAGGAGGACGAGGGCCAAAAGTCAAAGCATGCTAAAAGAATATCTCAACTAAAGCAAGAACAACAGAAACACCTTCTCCTCTACTCCGTGTGGCCAGCCTCGAAGGTTCGAGCCTCTGGAATAGCGAAGTTGACAAATCAAATCTCGATCTCGATCTGGCCTAAAACAGGTGCACAATCTGCCAACACGCTAGCTGAGGCTGATAATATTCTGCCCTTTCTAATTTCTCGGAATGAGTAGCATACAGAGTAATAATAGAGAAGGTTGAGAAGAAATAGACGCGTCACGTACTGGTCAAGGAGCGGTCGCATAAAATCAGAGCTGTGGCAGATCTGTTAGCACAAGAATATCAAGTCAAGGCGGTCAGGAACTGCCACTCTTTGTTGGGAACATACTCATCGTCACTATCATCTGCAAAGCAGCAGCAAATGTATTTGCTAACGGCCATCTTGGATCTTGTCGGTCAGCGGATAAACTTCGGATGAATATCGGATGTTGCTATGGTGATTCTGTAGGCGGCGTTGTTTCTGGTAAAAGCGGCGTCGTGGAGAAGCGATCAAAACACGTGTGGTTGACCTAAGCGGGGTTTGGTCTAGCCTAACCCGGACTAGCGAATAACCTCACCATCTCATTTCTTTCTGGGGCCTTCCACGCGAGACAGCTCCTGGAAACTTCAATCAGCAATTACACCAAGATGGCTGCACTTCTCAAGGATCTCTTCGGGGGCTCCAAGCCATCTGCGTCCCCAATTCCCGTTGGTGATTCAGGTAAGCATGCGCCATTGTTTTGAGGCCGTGAACTAATAGCTGCATCTAGACTTTGCCGACTTTGCTGGAGCTGCAGACCCGTCTCCAACACCGTTCTCTGCCATACCAACCGCCCCTAGTTTCCCTGGAGCTGGAGCTGTGCCAACTGGTGCAGCTGGTGTGCCATACACAAAGTGGTATAACATCCATGAACGCCACTCTTTGAGCGAGTTCAAGCAAGAAGGCCTGATTCTAGGTTTCCTCACGGTCATCGCTATAATACATCTTTTTGGGACGCGTGTGAATCGCAGTAAAGCAAAGTCATGGATTTCTGCACATGCGCCAACACTCAAAAAGGAGTTTGCGCTTGTTGGATTTGGCGGCCCTCAAACCGCAACTGTTGATGATGTGGCAAGGGAGGGCTTGGCAAAGACCATGGCCAACGAAAGCCTCGATCAGCCAGTGGAATTATTGAAGGAAAAGTCGCCTCAGGAGTTTGCAACCTATGCAACTGGACGCCAAAATGTCGCCTTTTTGGATATCAATCTTACGTTACTCAAGCGCTATAGCCCCCTGAGTATGATCGCCGAGTTTGCCATGGGGTTGTTCTTCGAAAGCATGCCATCACCGGCTGAGCGCATGCAAGCGGTTTTATACCCTTTTGATGGCAGGGAGGCTCTTACTGTTCCAGGACAGATCCCAGGCGCCCACGAGCTTCGCAAGGATACCAAAAGCAGCTATGACAACTTTGTGTGGGCTGTTGTGAATAAAGATACTATGAAGCAGCTTCGCGATGACAGATACGATGTCTCCATTACTGGTACCAAGGATAGCCCGAAGCTCCCAATTTGGGCCACCGTCATGAGCGAAAGTGCTGAAATCACTGACTTCTTGCTTACCCCGGAACTCATCAAAGCCATCCAGGATGCTAGAGAGTACTTCGACCATCTGATTATCACCGATCAACCAGTTGACCAACCCCTAACGTAGGTTTCATTCAATCTTCTAGTAGTACGAAATTCTCACTAACGTTCCGTAGCCTTGACGAAACTATCCCTAAGAAACGTCTCTATCTTTCCCTGCGGCTCCCATCTTCTGGCAACTACTCCAGCCTTCTCCCAATATTCGAATACTTCATTCGGCTAACTGACACCCTCGTCCAATCTGCCCACTTCCGACCGGAGGTCTTGCGAAAAGTCCGGTCAACACGTGAGGATATGATCAAAAAGTTGCAGAAAGCGGATGAGGAGGAGAAGGCCGAGGAAAGGGCGGTTGAACGGGAGAAAACCAAGAAGCTAAAGAGGGACCTTGAATTGAAGAATTTGGATGCCAAGGCGCAGAAGAAGTATCTTGAAAAGGAGAAGGAGCGGGATATGAAGAGGATGCAAAAGAAGCAGTCTATGAGAGGCTAATTTGTAATTGTGGGCCATCAAATGTCCATGTGTTATTTGTACAAAAGCTTTGGGTGCATCTTCAGGATTACCAATCCGCGTTGATTGTTACCTTTTTGTACAATTATTCAAGCATTTCTGTGTTGTAAACTATTAGCTCCCCTATGAAGTAGACGCTTGACCCGTAGAAATGGTTATACATTCGGCTTAGAGTTGAACTTGTTATATCATTATAATTTGATTGAAGGGCCGGCTTGGAGTGTCGATGCACTTTAAGCAGCTTATAACCCTAGCGAAAAGCCGAGGCGAGTGGTGTCAACAGGCCAAGTGCACGGGGAGGTAGTCCTTGGCAAAAGTATTACATGCACAAAGGCAGAGAGTACTGTAGCTAATTTACTGTTCTTAGCCATCAAATGCTGTCCCATTTGTCCCATGTCTTAAGGCTTGGCGATATGTCACGTGATTCGCTCTTATCATCCCGCGATAAAGTTGCTGCGAAAATAATTTGCAACCTCGATGCAGCCAGCCACCATTCAACCTCATGAGTGAATCCCCACATCCACCAAAATGAAACGCAAATTGGACGCCAACAATGTTCCTAGCCCTGCAGAGGATGTAAAGGGGTCGAAAGAGGAATCTACTTTTGCTAGCCTTGGCCTCGACTCCAGACTACTACAAGGAATTGCGAAACAAAAATTCCAGACACCAACTCTCGTGCAGACCAAAGCAATACCATTGGCATTGGAAGGGCGGGACGTTCTGGCAAGAGCGAAAACTGGATCCGGAAAGACCGCGGCATATTTGCTTCCGATCCTGCACTTGATTTTGAAGCGGAAACAGGTTGGTTATTGCAATCCCTACTTTGAACTCACCTAACTTTCTTAAGACTTCTTCTACTCAGTGCACATCTGCGCTAGTGCTTGTTCCTACCCGCGAACTTGCTGAGCAAGTCACCAAAACAATAGAGGCATTCGCTGCATTCTGTACGAAGGATATACGAGCCGTCAACCTCACACAGAAAGTTTCCGAAGCTGTTCAAAGATCACTCCTTGCCGATTCCCCAGATATTGTCATAGCAACACCGGCCAGAGCATTTGAGAATCTTGAAGGCTCAGCACTTTCGCTGGATAGCCTGGCGTATCTGGTTATTGACGAGGCTGATCTCGTCCTGTCATACGGATATGATGAGGACCTGCAGAATGTTGCCAAGGTCTTGCCGAAAGGGGTGCAGACAATTCTGATGAGTGCTACATTGACAAGTGAGGTCGAGACATTGAAAGGTCTATTCTGTAGGAGCCCAGCAATACTGGAGCTTGATGAGCCTGATAATGCTGGGGAGGGTGTTAGTCAATATGTTGTGAAGTAAGTTTCCAAGGCCTCAATTTGTTGGAGATGTACTAATGGATTATAGGTGCGCAGAGGATGAGAAATTCTTGCTGGTCTACGTCATATTCAAACTCAAACTGATAAAGGGAAAGTGCATTATATTTGTCGGTGACATTGACAGATGTTACCGGCTGAAGTTATTTTTGGAGCAATTTGGGATTAGAAGCTGCATTCTCAACTCAGAGCTACCGGTTAATTCGCGCATTCATGTGGTCGAGGAGTTCAACAAAAATGTGTACGATATCATTATTGCCTCGGATGAACACGAAATCATGGGTGATGAAGATACACCTAAGGAGAAGGGGGTTGAGGAATCCACATCTTCGAAAGATGTCGAAAAGGATGATGAAGGGATAGAAAAGCCAGAAGCAAAGCTTCCGCCGAAGAAGAAACGAAAAACTACCGAGAAAGACAAGGAGTATGGTATATCTCGGGGCATCGACTTCAAAAATGTTGCTTGTGTTCTTAACTTCGACCTCCCTACATCGCCAAAGTCATACACACATCGGATTGGTCGCACAGCTCGTGCCGGGCAAACCGGCATGGCATTATCATTCGTCATTCCGGCTGAGTCGTATCGGAAACATGTACCAACAAGCATCGAATCAGCAAAAGATGACGAGAAAGTATTGGCAAAGATTATAAAGCATCAAGCAAAGAAGGGAAAAGAGGTCAAGCCCTACAACTTCGATATGAAGCAAGTTGAGGCGTTCAGATATCGAATGGGAGATGCCTTAAGAGCCGTTACTAGGATTGCAATCCGGGAGGCACGAACTAGGGAACTGAGACAAGAGCTGATCAAGAGCGAAAAGCTAAAGCGCCATTTCGAGGAAAATCCCGGAGATCTACATCATCTTCGCCATGATGGAGAACTGCGTCCAGCGAGGGTCCAGTCCCATTTGAAGCATGTGCCTGATTACTTACTACCGGAGGGAGGAAGGAAGGCACTCACGTCTGGAGAGATTGGGTTTGTTGGATTTCGGAAAACTACGGAGAATCGTAGGAGAGCTAGATCGGCCAAGGGAAGAGGAAAGAAGCCAATTGGGCGAAAGGTTGATCCTCTGAAGACATTCAAGGGGAAATCACGGAAGTAGTGATGTGTGACTATGGCGTCACAATATTTAAACTACTGAGGGAAGTTGTAGATAAGTCAGCTCTTGCAACCCTTTACATAGACCAAGTTCTCATGCATATTTGTGAATCGTCTTTACCCCTCTCGCTTCGTCATTGGCCCTTGATAACCCGATTTTCTCTATATCCTGTCCCAGATAACGTTTCGTAGGTCGAACACAACTGCCCGATTCCTATAGCTAACTCGAGGCTACAAGCCTCGAGCCAAGTCCTAATCTATTCCTCGAAGCCGAACAAACCAGCCTTATACTTATCAAGTCTCGCTAATGTTCCATGTTTCTTAAGACTCGGACAGTCCTGTTTTCACCTGGGATCCTCCCGAAGATAGTACAACCTAGCTGTCGAAAAGACCACAAATCCGCACGAAAGCATATTTTGTACCTACATCATGCACTTTACGGAGGGCCACATATTCTCGGCCACAGAAACTACGTTCCAAAGCACAGCAGAATCTCTAAACGAGACCGCTTGATCCGCAGAATCCATGCATTTTCTCCTAGTCATTGGCCTTACCATCTGGGTAATTAAGACAAGGCGGTGTGCTGTTATTCACTGCTCGGCTAGCAACAGCAACATAATCTTGGTGAGTCTACTCTCAGGGATAAATCCCCTCCCTTCGTGACTCTTAATCTTCCCAAATCACAACACAACACAACGCGTCACATACTGCCACTCAACCTATTTCCACGCTTGCTACCTTCTGAAGCCACTCTTTTCATTATTCTACAAAGCTGTCTCTAATACATAGCACAATTCTACAATGCAGCAGAATCTTTAGACTCAAGCGCAGTCCAGCAGAACATACACACAATCGTGACAATCTACGCATGTTCCATTGTGCATTCGCTTCTCATATATGCAGCTTGAATCAGACAAGGTGCTACTATTCTCTATTTTCGGCGACTCGGCCTCGGTAAAGCATTCTAGTCTTTACAACGCCCGACCCAGGTTTGCCTTTATCCTTTCTTACAACGTCCTTCAGGTTGTCGGGCTCTGAAAGATACAGAAACTGACCTTCCTAAGAGCCCTTAGATTTTACATTTCGCACGTCTCAAAAGCGGGTTCGTCATTGACTCAAAATCTTCCAGCTCTTCGATTCCGACTATCGGTATCCTAAAGCTTTCCGACCGCAGTTTCATAGCTATTGCTACAATATTTCCCTCGAGGATTGGATTTTACATCCAACCTCATATTTCTGCTACAAACGCCTAACAATCTTCCTTCAGAGACAACTCTAGTTCCAGCTTGATCAGTAGGTAGGAGCTTTGTCACGTTTGCTTCGTCTCTCAACCGGTTAGCTTGGTGGGAATTACTAAACTACAAACTCAAGAGCGTCGCTTCTTAACATACCGCCGTGCCGCCGCACGAGTCACAAATTTCGTTCCAAGAACTGACGTTTGGATTTGTTATACTAGGTTCTGAATTTCACCTTTAGTTAAGCCTCACGAACCACCAACGACATTCACCCAGCAACGGAACGCCATCCCTTTTCGCATCACCCTGTCCTAACATGGATCGGCAAGATCGGAATTTAGGGTGGAGACCGGGCGAGATGGATAGGGGATTCTTAGTGCAGTCTCTTATACCTGTCGCCAGAGCCTCCGGATCCCAGGGCGAAATATACTACCGGTCAAATCTCGGCATGAAGCGAGGTAGAAGCCCATCGACAATGAACGATCGTCCTGATAAACGACAGAATTCGCAAAACCGTGTTCTTGAAAGAACGACTCTTAGCAAGGCTCAACGAGAATATGGACTTGCTTCTTCAAGGTCTGGAAATTTGGGTCAAGATCAGGAGATGTCTCATAGCCTTCCACGCCTCGGAGCAAGTCGAGATAAGTATATTCCTTATGGAAGGCAGATCTTGATGAATGACTCCCTCTCGCACTCTCCAAATGACACCATCCCGAACCGCACGAATCGTAACGCCTTTCAAAGCCATGGTCGCGCAACCCGAGATCGACATGAGGCCCCCCAATATGCAATGGAAACGGTTCCACGCGACGAGCCACGGACTTTTACTCGCAATCATGATGTGGCTTCTGAAGCTTTTGGAGATTATCAGGATGCTGGGATCTATGGCGGAGGGACACATTTTCGTCGACGACATGAGCCAAGGGGATATGAACAAGGTGGCCACGCCCGGGTGGATGCAGAACAATCAGGTCAACTACAAGTCGGCCAAGCCCATGCAGTCAAAATTGCAGGGCGCTACGCGACGACATGTGGCAGTGTCCAGGAGCTACACCCACTCTATATTGATCGCCGCCATGTTTCATACGGACCATCTGGTTCATCTCTGAGAGCTGATGCCATGGCCCCAAGAGGCATCGCGAGGGCTCGGCTAGGTCGAAATGAGGATCCACGAACCATATCCATGGCTCGTAGTGAAATCCCGACTGCACACACTCCAAAGATGGTACTTCGTTCGTCTCATGGCTCTCCGTATTCCACAGCTTCATTAGGCCACGACTCTCAGGAAGGAAGATCTCCGTCTGGAAACCATAGCATCTCTGTGGAGAGCTTGTTGAGACGTCATAACCCCGCTCAGCTGCCAAATTCTCGCACCTCTGAAGGGAGACATTATGATGTTGCGAAAATTCTGCCCAACCGAGCTATTTCTTTCAATAATCGGCGGGCGTCACGACCACCAGCTCTCCAGGAAAATGTAGATCAGTTCCGGCCCATTTCCCCAGACGCTGTCAGTCATCCTTCATCTCCGGAGATCCCCAACCTGAACAGCCCACCTCCCGCCCCAATACGTTCAATACCAATGAGAGAGCGTATCTCCCCTATAAAGAAGGCAGCAGCAAGGAATCCAAAGAAGACAATGACCGTATCCAAGGAGTTAATACAGGTCGACAAGAAACCAAGCACTGGAAAGCGAGCCGAAGAACCGATACCCCCAGAGCTAGAGCGGCAGATAAGAGCGGCACAGCTAATTGTAAGGAAGGAGCAGGAAGCTACAGCTGCTGAGATATTTGGAGAGGAAGCTAATAAATCCAAGGAAGAGAGGCTTGAGAAAGAACGAACTGAGGAGAAGCGCCGCCGCCAAATTGCGGAAGCGGAGCGCCTTGACAGGGAGGAGGCTCGTCGGATGAAGGAGCAAATGAAAGCACGACTTAGGGAGGAAGAAGCTGAGCAAGTAAGACTTGAAAAGCACAGACAAGAAGTACGTGGCAAGCTTCGCAGGAAAGGAGAGAGGAAAAAGCGAGAAGCTGCGGAGGTCATTGCAACAGAGGAGCATCGAAGAAAGGCAGAAGAGAAAATCCAAGCGGAACGGCAAAAGCAAGCTGCCCAAGCTGAAGAACGCAGGAAGGAGAAACTGAAAGCCACAGAGCTACAGGCTGAAGCCTCAGAAGTCGCGAAACTGAAGGCCAAGCAAGAAGAAATAAAGAAGCAAGTAGCTTCGTTGATTGTGGGCAATAATAAGATGAGTTCGGGCGAGGGAAGAAGCAGAGCTGATGGAGATCGCAATACTTCTGTTAACCGTGCTGCTGATGATATGTGGGAAGACTCTCTCTTTATTTCACGCGACCCATCCCCAATCCAAGAGTAAGCCAATATCCTAAAGTGACAGTGGCCGGACGACACTAACAGTGTGAATAGTGATTTGGATACAGCTTCTTTTGAAGAATGGGCACAGCCTAAACGCCAACCTCTTACTTTACCTGCCCTCAAGGACACCTACGATATCGACGGGCGGGGAACACGAGGCACGTCGCGAGCGCCCACAACTGCTGCAGAACTTTGGGCACTGGCTCCGTCCAAAGGATTGGCCGGAGACTACAGGAAGGAAAGAGAAGCTCTAGATGCTGAAAGGCTTGCAAAGGGGCTGGAGGCAGCACGGGCAAGATTGGCTGCGAGACGAGAAAGAAGAAAATCTACCCCACTTAGACAATTGCGCCGCCGGCAACAGCCACTTAGACAGCAGCTGTCTTCAATTGTGAGCCCTGATTCCGTGGCAAGGAACTCAAAAACAACACAGCAATCCAAGAACGAACAGGCACCGAAGAAGCCACCCCGAGGTATATCCAATTCCAATTCCGAATTTGAGATCGCAGCCTCCTCTGCAACAGACGAGACTCAAACGAACCTAGATAATAGTTCTGGTCATAACGGCGCCATACCAAGTGATGCGGATTATACCGTACGCCTACAGTCGCCACCCATCTCTAGCGATGCAAATGCGTTGGAACCCCCACACAAGAAGATTGTGTCTCCAATCCCCCGTCCGAACCTTCCCTCCCCATTACCTCAAACTCCGAAACCTCCAGCTCCGAAGCCGCTAGCCCCGCCTAAAGTATTTAAATCGTCGGTCACTTTGATCTCTGATGCCGATCGCCTGAGGGCCGAGAGTAACCAACGTCTAAAGGACGAGGAAAATGCTAAGCAACAGCGAGCTAGAATCGAGAAGCAAAAGGCCGAGCGTCGCAGAAGAGAGTCTGAAAAGGCCCGAGAGAGGAAGCGTCAGCAGCTACTCGAGGATGCAAGGAATAATGACACCGAATTATCTGAGGAGGCATTGAATACAGAGGTCGAAGCTTACATGGCCAAACGAGAGGTAGGTTATAGTAAACTCAAATGCAATCTTGTCCCGCCCCGTTATATTTTCAAATAAAGCGGCGATCAGATGCTGACCTCTACATTAGAAAGACATTCAAAAAAGAGCCGAGAATAGGGCTCTGAAAGAGAAGATACAAGATTTCGCTCCTGATAACCTTCTCCTGGAAAGTTTAGCCCAAGCCCCCGACCCCCAGAGCGAGTCATTTGAGCCTCAAGGGGTTCATGGGGGGGCTATCCTTGGCAGCCAGCAACTCAATGCGAGAGAAGCGGCTGCCAGGGATAGCCTCAGATCGTTAGCTGTGGGGAGGGGTGGGCGACTGAACCCAGCTGCCATTCAACGGATTGTTGATTATAGCGACTCTGATGAATCCGAGGAGGATCCCGATGACCCCCTGCCTGAGGAATATACATATGATGGCTTGCTATCAGACGGGGACAATGACAATGGTCAAAACAATGACGTAATAGAATCGTCGGAGCCTGAATTTCCCGGAGACTCTGGTAATGGTTTGAAATCTCAGTCAATACCGAATCAAAATTCTTCTACCACTTGTGCAAACCAAGCTACCTCTGTCATTCGACTTTATACGGCCATGGAGACCGCCACTATAGATGGCATCCAAGGAGAACCGGCCATGAAGCAGACGTTCTCAGATATGGACGAAGCCAATTTATTTACTCGGGATCTCGCAGAGAGGTATCGGGCCCGCAATCCGACGTTGTTCAGTGAACGTTTCGGGGAGGATGGACTTTACCAAGGCGACATAGACTTTGACAATGATGGAAAACACTCTGTTATGCTGTATGTTGCGGCAAGTCTCAAGTCTACCGCCGATTTGGTAAAGTTCGACGACTCAGTGATGGGTAGAAGACTCCCAGATAGAACCTGGCTTGTATCCAGAAAAGTTGAATCCCGTGCCGATGGTGAGGGTGGTAGTAGTTCGAAGATTCTAACCAAAAAGAAGATCCTGTCAGCTTTCTCCGACCTCATATTAGCCAATAATGAAGCATATACGAAATGCTTCGAGTTCCTACGACCCACAAGGCCAGCCATTGACCATGTGGAACAGCATGAGAATAGCTGGGGTCCGATATTACGTCAGGAGAGAGACAAGTCAAATCTCGCAAAGCTGCCTGTGAGTTTTGACCTGGAGCCCGATAAGGATCAGTTGCAATGGGTGCAATACGGCAGGATCAAATTCAAGGTCAAGGAGTACAAGATGAATGGTCCGACAAATTGATGGAGGCAGGAATAGCTGCGAGTTAGCGGTGGTTGGTGTGGAAGGAACGGAGGAACCAGGATATGATATTTTATGGCGAGAATGGAATGGGTGTTTTTTAGGGAGGGGCAGTTTATTACATCGGTGCTTTGGATGTTTAAGCAGATAAATACCTTAGCGAATCACCACTATTTCCTCACTGTGCGGTTATTCGTGAATTATCCCTGAGTTGGTTAGGAGGATTGTAGCAATCTGCTCTGCGACCATGTTCTCGGTGTTGAATTCTAAGTTCCTATCTTCTATTATTTCGTTACTTGAGCATCTTCACCAGACGATCTCGAGGGACACTGAGACGGGCATGAGTTATCTCCCGAGAATAAACGCACCATAGGAGCAAGAATGGGAGGTAAATCTCAAGGTCGGGGTAAGGCCGGGATGTCGAGGTTGATCGCTGACCGAATACTACAAAATGGCCAAAAACCTTGCAAAGAACGAGGGCACAGAAGTGGAGGAAATCCAGGCTACACCTGAGGAGCTTGAGGAATGGGGCTTGTTCGTCCACCCTGTGGCCGGATTTGCTTGCTGCTTTCCTAAAGGCAATGTGCTAGCTTATTTCACTATTCGATAGACCTTTGATTCAAGTCAGCCCTAGCCTAGTTAATGAGCATTAGTTTCTTAACAAGGTTTAGCCTCTTAGCAACTATAATACTTTTGACAGCAATGGGATTTTTGACAGGTGTGAATCTTAGCAACTATAAATCCCACAAATAAGTATTTTAGTTCAATTATAGCGAACTCCTTGATCATGCTCATCTTCTCCTAGTTGTCCGTCTACTATCCAAGCGGAGCGTAGATTGCTCTTCGGGGCTGACGGCGCGATAGTTAAGTTTCCAGAATAAAGTGTTAGTACTATGACACAGCTATGTTTGAAAGCTACTAAAGCTGAGAGTAAACCCGAGTGAGTTCAGAATTTTTAAAAAGCGACAAACCTTCGAAGAACCTTGATGTTAGACGACTCTCTTAAGAGGTCATAGATCGGCGTAATCAAGCTTGAAGCTCAAGCAGACTGGATACTGAGGAGTCGATGATGGCGAGCGAGATATCGTTCAAAGACCACGCTTGATATTGAATAGGAAATGACTGGAGGGTCGGCTTTGAGCTTAAGCAGACTATGTTAGGATAAAACTTTGCTAGGGGACAAGGCTAGGGTCAAATTCTCAACGTGATGAGCGAAGTACGCATGGTAAAACTTGTGAGAAACATGTAGGAAGTTGCCAATAACCTATACAAACAATCAAGACCCGATACGGCCGTACTAAGCGCCTTTGTATATAAACCATTCTTCGTCACCATCCCTGGCGGTAGCGCAGCCACAGAGCTTGTGTGTGCCCCGGTCGATGTAATGGGAAATCAATAGCTTGGCTTGAGCCACTCCCTTGCTCTATTTCCCAAATCAGTCGTATCATAAAGATACTAAATCCCCACGATACATATGCCAGTTGATACTTAATTTAGGTGCATACGAGCACCTACATATCTTGGCTAAATGAAACTGAGCTTTTAAACTTGGGGAGACTCTGCACCTGGATTGCCTCAATGGGAAAGTATAATTTGATTAGCTCCATTGACACGCAGCAACATGACCTCTATTAGTCCGTACTACAATGAATAGAAGAACTAAGCTGTTGTGATCGGCTGTTTCATGAGGCGGGCTATATTGGTTTAACGTCAAGCACTCAACGGTAGTGTGCTATAGTTTGTTCATATAACCTATTGCTGGGCCAGCCTGGATAGTATCCCCAACAAACGGCTGCTATTCGACTTCCGAGCGAAGCGAAATGCGGCCAGCGGAAATACAGTACAATGGACCCCATCCCTATTGGCAAACAATATTTGAAGTCCTTGTCTGAATATTTTGTGAGGAGCGGATAAATTCCTGCTGGTGATTAAATGTCTTGATACTTTGAAACGACTTATTATCGAAATATTCTAAGTTGATTCGTGTTAAATTGAAATAACAGTTGTGCAACACTTAAACATCATTCAGCAGATAACACGTATCACGTTGAATTACAAAATCCATCGTGCAATTCATATCCATTAACATATTTGCAAGTTTCGGCACTGGCCCTGCATACTTAACGCAAAACCGAGTCGAGATATGTCCTTGCCAAGTCTCCAGTATGCGCCAACTCTCAAGCAAAAAAGAGTATCCGGACGCCAACAGCAATATCTGTACCCGTATTCAAAGTTCAAACACTTCCCCTCCATCATTCTTTCCGCTCGTATCAATTAGTCCTTACTTCGGAGCCTCCCCCTCCACAAATCTCAACGCCTCGTCTCGACTAACAGCGTCAATTCCGCTAGTCTTATTATGAAATGTAACTCCATAACATTTATCAGCCACCAGCAACATTTCCGGTCTGAAAGTCGTGCAGATAAATTGACCACTCATGCCCCCTCCGGCGCCATCTTGGCTGCCCTGCTGTGTAGAGATCTCTTCAAGCATCTGTGCGACAGCTGTGCGATACTGGGCATCTAGATTGGCGTCAATTTCGTCGAAGAGGTAAAAAGGTGCAGGATCGCACTGCTGGATTGCGAAGACGAGCGCCAGGGCGCAGAGACCTATGATATGTTAGCAAGAGAAAGGAGGCGGGAAAATGGGGTAACAAACTCTTCTGTCCACCGCTCAATTGCTGTATGCGTTGTTGTTCGTCGTGCTTGCTATTGAAGGAGACGCTAATGCCAACACCAGTATAGTTATCTACGCTTTCGCGTGGTTCCTCATCTGAATCTTCGTCTTCCCGTGCCCGCTGATCAGTCTTACGTTGGATCACAAGTCGACCACGGCCCGCTGGTACTAGGCGCTCGAAGATGGAGGCAAACTCTTTGGATACCTGCTTGAAGGTGCGTTCGATGGCTTCGTCTTTGCGCTGATCTAGAACATCGACGAGTTCTTGGATGGAGCCTTGCGAGTCCTCTAGCTCCTTTCTTCGTCTTATCAAGCCGTCTCGTTCAGAGGTGAAGCTGTTATATTGCTCAAAGGCTTTCTTGTTCACGTGTTTGTACTTCTTCAGTGCCTCGTTAACTTTCTTGAGGCGTGCAGTAAGCTGAAAAGTGTTAGTAATTGGATACGGCGTCACATGCCATGCATACTCACAGTTTTTGATTCCATATTGGAGTATTTCTCAAATGCCTCATCAGGAAGGACACCAAGATCGCGAATGTTCTTTGCACATTCTGCCGCAGAAGCAGCCAACAGGGCCTTCTTCGCAACGCTCTTCTCCATCCTCTTTTGATGTTTCTCAATTGCCCTCGCGATTTCTTGTTGGGTTTCTTCTTTCTGAACCTTGATTTTGTGAAGATTCCCGAGCCTAATTTCTGCTTGCTCGATGTGGGCCTCGTTCTCTTGAAGCTTAGCCACAACATTTGCGATGGCTCTTTGAATCCGTTTTAGCTCTCGTTGCGATTCTTTGAGGGTTCCCGAGCCGCCGCTAGCATTGCTATCAATTTCTTGGCTATTCAGTTGATCGAGTTTCATCCGAAGATTTTCTCTCAAGTCAACTTCGATAAGTTGCTTTCGACCCTCCAGTTCTCGTCGGCTTTTACTCAGATCATTCCATTGCTTTCGCAAATCGGAGACAGTTGTCGTAAGCTGCTCAAGTTGACGCTCTTCGTTCGCACTCAAGGCTTTCTTGAAATCAGTTGCCAATTCTGCCTCGAATCCGCCGAGATTGTCGCTATAGTCCTTCAGCATCTTCTCCACAACTTCTCGGCGACGAAGATGAGCTTCCAGCTGGTCTCTTTCTCTTTCGAGATATGAGCTCTTCGAACGCAGCTCAGATTTCAGCGGTTCAAAGCTATCATCAAGTTGTCGCAGTTTCTGCTCCTGCTTTTGGAGACCGCCCATCGCCACAGTAATCTCTTGATCTTTCCTTTCGACCTCCTGTCTAATTTCAAGAGCACGGGTTCGTAAAGATTCAAATTCATCGCGCCATGTATTGACTGCTCGAACGGCTTCCAATCGTGACTTACGGGTGTCAATGAAGCCACCTGTTAGAGCTCCCTTTTTATTCGCGGTATCACCTTCGGGTGTGATGGCAGTGCAATTGTGACTCCGGGCATACTGAGCAGCAACTGTAAGGTTTGGGCAGATGATAGTCTTGCCAAAAACTTGATTTATCGCCTTCTCGAACCTCTTCTCGTGCGTAATTTTACTCATCAATGGCACGGCATCAGCTGCCTTTGGTAGATTTGTCGATTTTGGCCGAAGTTGGTTTAGGGGCATGAATGTGACTCTACCCCCTCTTTGTTTGTGTAGAGCATCCATAAGTTGAGTGGCAGTTTCATCATTATCGACAACATAATGAAAAAGGCTGGCGCCAGCAGTCTGCTCTGCAGCAACTCGGTAGGTTTCGGTAACGTCGATGAGCTCTGCTAAGGTTCCGTAGGCTCCCTGAATGTTGTGTTCCTGCTTCAGGCGTCTGACCGTTGCAAGACCTCGTGAAGTAGCACCGTCCATCGTATGGGAAAGCGTGCTCTCAGCACGCTCCTTCTCCCTTCTCGCGTCTGCAATAACCGACTCTAGCTTATCATCCTCGCGTCGCAACAATTTCCGCTGGTCAGTCAATTTTTCCAGTGCATCCTTGGCCGTGGTTATCTCTTGAGACAAAGCTTGCCTACTGCCTCCCCAGCCATCAAGGCGCTCTCGTAGGCCGGCGATCCCTTCCTCTAGGTTTTGAATTCTTAACTGAGAAGCTTTCACCTCTTCGTCTGCATTGATGCGATTGGCCTTTTGCTCGCCGAGAGCTGTATTAAGCTGTTCAATTTCACCTCGCAGCCACTTGTCACGCTCGGCCTTGTTCTTGAACTGCGAGCTTCGGCCTTGCTTGTTATATAGTCTATTTTGCGTAGCCTCGGCGATATCGAGATTCTGTTTAACTTCTGTCTCTTTTGCCTTGCGTTTAGTATATTCCGGAAGAATCTGGCCTAGTTCCGCCTCCTTGGCCGCAATATCTTGTTTCACAGCTTTGAGGTCTTGCTGTTGTTGGGCTCGTGCTTGCTCTGTCGCCGATAATCCGGCGGTGAACGTTTTAACATCCAGCTCAATTTTGGCCTGAGCTTTTGATGTTTCACGCCTATCCTCTTCCAATTGGCGTCGCTCCAGTTTGAGGAGTTCCATTTGGCGATTCACTTGCTTTATCTCATCATCCACTTCTGAAATGGCCCGCTCGCCCTCCATAAATGCCTCGCGGTTTTCGTCTGTTCCTTCAATGCCATCCTGGCGCAGGTTTTCAATCTCATCGAGGGCAGTAACCAAGGCCGTTTGTTCTCTATGATAGAACGCATACTCCAAACATCGGCGCTCCTTGTCCTTTTCTTGGTATCCACGCAACTCTTCCTTTTCCTCTTCTAGTTCGGCGAGTCGCTCCTTGATATATTCCAGGGATTCATCAATCTTAGCGCGTTTGTTATTAGTATCGGCCATGATTTTCAAGGACTCTGTTCGGCGAGCTTCATAGACCTGCGTCCCGGCAACTTCCTTCAACAGGTTGAGCCGCTCCGCATCCTTCATGTTGGTCAATGTTGTGACACGACCCTGAGGGACGATGTAGTATGGGTTTGAACGCGAGAAACCAGCAGATTCCAGTAAATTCATAACATCTGTCTTAGTGGCATTTTTGCGATCGAGAGAGTATTCATCCTTCTTTAAGCCGATTGTGCGTCGCAGGATTAGCTCGTCCTTTCCAGTGGGGAATCGATCGTCGCTATTGTCGAAAATAATCTCCACATACGCAGACATTACAGCAGATCCCGATCCTTCATGCAATAGTGCCTGCCGCTCCTCGCGACCCATTTGAGTGTATGCATCGCTGAGTACGAAACGAATTGCGGCGAAGAAATTACTTTTCCCCGAGCCATTGCGTCCAACAATCACGTTCGTCTTCGGAGAGAATGGTTCAATGACCGTTTGTTCTTTGTAGCTACCAAGGAGTCAGTTTGATATCATTAACATGCAAAGAACTCACCTCTTGAAGCCTTGGATGATGATTTGCTTGATATACATCCTTCCGATATGTTACCCGCGAGGGCCAGGACGGGTGATTGGGCGTTGTTCAGAATACGTAGCCGATATCGCGGAACTAGTCTATTGTAGTTCTTAAGGGTCTCGCGATTCAGAAGCGCTCCCGGTCGTATATAGGAAAATCGAAGGCTGGGCGTAAAAGTTCAAGTTGAAGCCGTCGCAACGCGTACGAACCGAGTTGACGCGACTTCGATGCAGTCGCGATTTGCCAAAGCGGGCCTAGTGTCATATATGTGGGGCCCTCACCGCCTGGCAGAATTAAATATTATTCCAGCACAAAACATAATTGATGCGCTTTCATCAAAACTATCAAGTCAACAATCTCCAGCTACGAAGGAGCTGCCACGACAACATGACAGAACAACCTGTTCATCATCTTGGCACCGGTCTGGCTGCAGGACAAGCTCCCACTTACACCTATGTCCCCAACCAAGGTTATGAAACCGCCACTTCAGGCCCTGACGCCACCCCGCAAACATCGTCATCTGCTGGGGGCCTTACCGAATACGCCGCTGACAACGAGGACGAGACTTACGAAGATATCTTCGACGATGAAGATGAGGAATATTATGAGGAGGCAGAGTACGATCCATCTGGTGGCGATCTCACCAAATCCTACAACCGCCAACGTAAACTCAACGATCCAAACGCGACTGCTCCTCGAATAAATCCGCAAAAGCCCGCTGCCAACACACTGTCAAGTGTTGATGACCAAATATCCAGCCTCGCAAAGCATGCCGCAAAGATTCGGCTAGATGGCGGAGAAAGGGTTAAAACACATGGCAAAGACAAGTCGGACCGCGCAACCAGCGAACAGGTCTTGGATCCACGGACCCGGATGATCCTACTACAAATGATCAATAGAGGGATTGTATCGGAGGTGAATGGATGCTTAAGTACGGGGAAGGAGGCAAATGTTTACGGGGCGCTATCGGTTCCGGTTTCGGAAGTGGGCGAAGAAGTCCAACCCATTCATCGCGCGATAAAGGTCTACAAGACCAGCATTTTAGTGTTCAAGGACCGAGATCGATATGTGACTGGAGAGCATCGTTTCAGGTCCGGGTACAATAAAGGGAACAACCGAGCTATGGTCAAAGTATGGGCCGAAAAGGAGTTCCGAAATCTGAAGCGTCTATACCTTGCTGGGATTCCATGTCCAGAGCCAGTTTATCTCCGATTACATGTCCTCGTTATGGGCTTTCTCGGTGACAAGAAAGGCTGGGCTGCTCCGCGGCTACGAGACGTGGACCTCGAGGGGGATGACGTGGATGAGCAATGGCGAGTTCTCTACTTGCAGCTACTCGGGCTCATGCGACGGATGTATCAAACGTGCAAGCTTGTACATGCAGATCTAAGCGAATACAACGTACTATACCACCAAAAGAAGTTGTTCATCATCGACGTCTCTCAAAGCGTGGAACATGACCACCCTCGATCACTGGAATTTCTGCGGATGGATATTAAGAACGTTTCAGATTTCTTTCGAAGAAAGAACGTAGATGTCCTTCCTGAGAGGAGTGTTTTTGGATTCATTACGGATCACGGTGTACCGGTACAAGATCCTGAGCTTACAGAGACTCTGGAGAAGCTGTACGTAGAAAGACCCGAAGTAGAGGAAGGAGACCAGGCTACCGCTGAGCAGGAAGTCCAAAACGAGGTTTTCCGCCAACAATATATTCCTCAGACCCTAGATCAGGTCTACGATATTGAGCGCGATGCCGAGAAAGTTGGGAAAGGCCAGAAAGATGATCTAGTTTATAGGAATCTATTAGCAGATAGGTTACCCATGTCATCAGGAAATGAGGCTGATGCCGAAGATACAATGGGTGGCAGTACTTCGCCTGGCAGTGGGGAGGAAGATGAAGGAAGTGACACCGAAGATGAAAGTCGATTCGAGAAGGGCACTCCAAGAGGAAAGAGATTCGAGGATAAAGATACTAAGAAGGTGATTACGTACCAGTCTCTTATTGATACCCAATTGACAATTATTAGGAGCATAAAAAAGCAGTCAAAGAAGAAAAGCGTGAAAAACGGAAAGAGAAGATGCCAAAGCATATTAAAAAGAAGCTTATCAGCTCGTCGGCAAAGTATAAGCATTAATGCAACAACGAGTCCGGGTCATTTGACCATGCTCAAAATTCCTAGATGTCCTATCTCCCAGACATTGCTTTGAGACCATGGTAATCTCGAAGTGAAATTTTCGTTCTTATTACGTCTCACCCCAACCTCTTCAAAACAAGAATTGTGGTGGTTACTAAGTATGAGAATGATAAGGGTTCAGATGACGAAAAAGAATCTTAATAATTAAAGTCCAAACAGCATAGTCGTTTTTTGCATTAACCTGCGGAACTTCTGTCAAACCCATCTGGGTTGAGGAGCCTGAAAGCCCGCTTTCTTGCATTCTTAACAAGATGGGAAGCTGTATGTTGAACTAAAGAGAGCACTGATGCGCCCTTATCATCCCCGGGCTTTCACCTGACTCTCTTGTGATGCTTTCGTTAATAGTTATAGATCATGTCAGCAGCTTGCATCTATCATTTCAAACTGTTTGAATCCTATCACTGCAAGTGCAGGTCATTAATACTGCCGCTCGCTCGAAAATGCGCTTTGTGGAAGGGCATGTTCTGCCTGTTCACGTGCATCATATCCATGTATTTTATGACAAGTCTCGTATGATAACATGATGACATGCCGGGCCTTTATCATAACTTCAAGTTATGATCTTCATGTCGTTTAGTGAGTTACAATAACCATAGCTGAGATGAAAATTTCCGATCTACCAAATGGATATAACGCCCCCAAATCCAAGCATATCTGTATTGCTCCTCCACTACCATCCCTCAATTTCCTCGCTTGGCAATCACAACCCGCCGCACAAGCTGCGCCGCTCTAGTAGGACTGAATCTCGAACATTCACTTCACACCGCGATGAAAATTTCCCTTTTCACCTCCTTTTCTTGAATGGGGTTCGGCCGTTCTTATACACTAGCCCTCATAGCAAAAGTTCATTTCCATGGACCATGATATTAAAATAAAAATAAATCGACTGACAAAGGAATGGTTAAAACCATATTTCACTCAAGACTAACTCAGCCTTTAAAGCCCACTTGGCTAGAATTTCCCTTTTCTCCTTGGCAAGTCTATATTTCTACCAGAGGACTTTTCTACTCACCAAGTATTCCATCCGGGCTTGCCTTGGTTTTCAGGTCGATTAAGATGGGTTGGAGGGGACGTCCAGCTCCGCGGCCATCGTATTTCATCGTTCTGAAGGTCGTTTCCTCTTTACTCCATATTTGGCGATTTCTCATGGTCGGCTCTGAGGACAGTTTATGCTTGCAGATTCAGTGCGCTGAGAGTGGTGGGTAAGACGGTTGCCAAGATTGATGATGTTATCTTGCCAAGAGGGAAGGAAGGTGGATGTTGGTGAGTAGTAGGTTCTTCGGTGTGATTCCTTCAAGCAAAGGGTCGATTGGCCATTATTTTGAAGAGTGGTAAGCTCCTGGGGGTTAGTGGTCGGTAGTGGATCGTGTTGATTACCCCAGGTACGTAATTCACTCTGTTGACGTGTCGGGAAAGTCAACCTAAAACGTCGCTCATTACTCAAACCGATTTCGATGGAAGGCTTATTGTTCGATGCTGAGGTGAGAATAATTTCATTCCTATATACCGAGGCATGGGCGAGGCGCAAAATATCCTAACTGGCAAGGTTTCGTGGGGCTGAGTGAGATTCTGTTTCACTGATTCAGCGGAATTCTCGGCATGATGTGCATCCAACCATGTAGGACTGCCTGAGCATTATGTGTTGAGCCGTTTATTGGCCCGTGGTATAATGAGCCGTATAAGCACATATAACATGTCGTACTGTTCCGGGATACGGAATGGTGCGACAAGGAAGAGATATGTCGGTATCGCGCATCCTAAGACATGCTTTCATCCTTCGGACTTGATTCTGAAAGCAGTGTTTCCCGGAGCGATATACATTTTTATTTATTTGCAGGTACCTTGCCCTTTCCGCTTCGGCTTGCCCTAGGATAACTTTCCTCACATATTCTAGGGGGCCTAATGAGTTTATATAGTGCCGAGTGTTGATGCCAAGTACCGCGAATCCCCCACCAACAATTCAGCAAGAAATGTCAACCCGATACTTCGTACATCTCGCATAATTAACAGCCCTCATCGACTCATTCCAAGTAGCCATCATCCCCGGGAGCAAATGTCGCAAACTGCAACATAATCGCCCTGTGCTGTTCCTCATCCAGCTTCCCTTTCTGCGCAATTCCCTGTGCCAGGAGCCTCAAATAATCAACATAGAACGCTGGCGTAAATGTATTAAAGAACTCAGCCGGCTCGTCGAAGGGGTTGGAGAAGCTATGAATGGCTTTAATTGGAACCACGACATAGTCCCCGGCTTTGGTGTCATGATTGCCTTTGTCGGTGACAAAACGTACGCGGCCTTTGGTTATGAAGAATGTCTCATCGTGCATGCGGTGCCAGTGTAGGGGTGGTCCATCGGTCTTAGGAGGGATAGTGAGCAGGATGGATCCGAAACGGTTGTCTGTTTTGCTGCCGTCTTCCAGAACCCGGATTTGCATGGCTCCCAGGTCGATTATCTCTCCTGTGCCGGAGGGGATGAGTGCTACGTCTGGCATGATTGGATATCGTTTGATCAGGAATTGGAACTTCCAACTTTTATCTTCAGCAAATCAGTGGCACAAGAAGGTGGATGGGAAACTGCAAACCCCGAGTTCAATCCATGGCGACAGGGAGGATCTTATGCTATCATCTGCGCCTGCAGTGCAACACCAATCGATGCGAGTAGACGGCAAGCTTACAAAATCGATGGTTAATAATACTTCGTACAGTTCAATGGTGTTGCGGTTAACAACATCCATATTATTACCAAGAACGCGGCTATATATTAGACATAGTCCGGGTTGTCCGGCCTTGTTTTGTCAGCCGGCCTATCTATCACCGAACGGAGTTTAGCAACGGAAAAAGGGAGATCTCCATCTATATAATGGCACAACCAGTACTTCGTACGCGAATACAGCGAAAACATCCCTGTGTGGGAACCGTAGGGCTTCGCTGCTCTTTCCTCAAACCATGGCAGCGAGGCTGACGTCGCATCAGACCCTGTACATCCTACGAAGTACTACGAAGTACTACGAAGTATACACCCTCGCATTGCAGTATAACCGCAACCATGTAAGACCCTATTGGGGGTGTAGTGCGAGGCTGACAGTAGGAGGATCAGCAACGCGAATAGTAAAATCTGGCAAGTGTGGTTAGGACAAGACGATGCAAGCTTTCTATAAAAAGGCTTATTTCCTTTCGTTTCCAAGACTATTACCTGCTTTAATTCAATCCACCTCATCAGAAGGCTACTCATTCATAAAACCAGCAGAGTACGCAGTTTCCTCATATTCATCTCACTCCAAATATCCAACGATATTATCAACCTTTATCGTTGAGCATCCCACGCCTATCTCAAAAGCCATCAACTGCAGAATCATAGCAATGTCAACATTTCTTCCCCCACCACGTGTCGTTATCACTGGTCACAAAACCGACGGCACTTCGGTCTTCACTGCCGACAAAACCAGCAAACCCTTTAAGCCCTTGGGCCAAACTGGAACCTCATTCAACTCCATCCACTCCTCTCCCTCATTCCCTGTATCGAACACCACACCTATCCGCGATCTATCTACCACACTTCCCAAATGCCCGCAAAATGGCGTCCTCTTCTACACCACCGACTTCGCACCTTACTCCTCGGCACCCATGCACCGAACCACAACTGTAGATTACACTGTTATATTGAGCGGCGAAGTGGTGGTTCAACTTGATGGGGGTATGGAAAAAGTTCTCAAAGCTGGGGAGTGCATTGTGCAGCGGGGGACCAATCATGTCTGGGAGAACAGGACCGGCGAGTGGTGTAGAGCGGTGTTTGTTATGGTTGCCAGTAAGGAGATTGAACTTGCTGACGGGACGATGTTGGTGGAGACACAATCTAACGGGACAAATTAGGGTACTGGGAAAAAGGCATTTATGGGGGTACGAAAAACTATTTAATATGAGATAGCATGCTCGGCATTTGGGTAAAATGCAATATAGGAAATATTGCGGTTTGTTTTATAGAGATATCCGATTTTAGGGGTTCAATCGCTTGCAATGAAAATGAATTATGGCAATAAAGGGAATAGCAACCAATTCCCGACCAAAACCTCAATTGTCTGGGGACTTCGAAAAGTCACCCCGGCTCACCCATAGATTTTCTCCGGATTTCGGCCGACCAAACAGGTGTTCACACACTACCTAGTACGAGTAAGCATGCAACCACGCCATTCCCACACCCTCACCGGCAGTTTTTATGAACTTTATTTCACCGTACATATCGTGGCTGCTTATAAAAGGCCGCGGGCCGGTGCCGAAGGTGGGCTTTCTGGGGGCCAAAATAAACCCTGACGCCCCATGTGGAGTTAACGGGCGCTGAGAACCCGGGGAAGCCTTCTAGAAGCTTTACCTCGTTCTCGTGGAATGAATCAGGCGTGAACCTCGTTGAATGGCACCCGAGGAAATCGATATTCGTAGACCGAGTTGCTAGATTGTCTGACTTTGCTTACTCCGTATGAACTGCAGATTTATTACCCCGTAAGAATCCATCTGCGGTGGGTTTATCCCTTCCTTAACGGGCTTGGTATTCTCTTAATTGGTTGTCCAATCCCTGCCACGTTTCACCACGTCAACGACATTTCGTCTTTTTGCAGCCGCCCTCCTGTACGTCGTACGCGGCGTAAAAGGACGCCGCCCAAAATTCCGAGGTACACTACATCCGTATCTTATACTAGTCTCCTATGCTCCCAGAACTCAGGTGGAAATGGCTGGAAAACTTGAGGTAACAAATAATCTCACCCCTTTCTCTCACGTCATCTGAGATGCAGGTAATAAGTAATAATCCACCGCCTCGTGTAGCCGATGTACGAAACGTGGAGAATTCTGTAGGGACTGCCAGGATTCGAGCAGTTATATCTTCCGGAACGAAAACGAGCGTGCTGCTCTCCTGGTATCACGCAAACAACCCTTCTGCATGCATAAGCCCACGTCCTCTGATAATCCTAGAGTTGCACCAAGAATCAGCAGCGAGGATGAGTTACTCGTACCCTCAGCCGAATCATCAGGGTTCAACTCCCTACCCTGTACTCATGGAGGAAAGAGGGCCCGACACCCCACATGCCGAGTACGGAATCCCGAGCCGTTTGCCAATTCTTCGAGAAATTTGTTATGTACCGTTGTGACCTTGGCGCTTCTCGGCGATTCTTGGAGCTATTGCTTGTTTGAGGAGTTCAGACTAAGTGGGGATAACGTTGCGGTGGGCTGTAAGAACTGTATCGTGTGTGAGMTTAAACCGGAACAGGGGACTGATAGCAAGCAAGATAGATCGCGGATCATTGCTATGATTAGCCTTAGCGGCATCTTTGAGAGACGTAAGCCGATGAAGATTAGTGATTAGACGCTTAACTAGTTGTTGTCATGGACTTGCTTGAAGCAGCTCTCTGTCTCTTTGCCTATTTCTCTATTTCATTTGCCCTCAGAGAGCATCAAGATTCAAGTAGCTAACAGGCATAGATTCACAAACCTCTCCACTCCAAACACGGTCCTTCAAAGCCCCCACACACTGAAGACATCGCAGTCTGCGAGACGCAAACCAATTATACTTCACAAGGGGCTGGTTGGGCACTCCTCAAACATTCCCATCAAGACTTCCAGAGACAGCAATTCACTTTCCCGTGCCACACCCCTAAACTTCGTTGAACATGAAGTCCTAAGCTAATTGCTGGACGAAATATCCCCTGCAACAGTATCAAACGCGTTGATATCACACACCAAGATATGAGCATGCCCCAGGGAACTCCGTGCGGAAATTGCAGATCCATCACTAGCATCTTCTCTGGTTAATACGAAGTAAGTCCGAGGAGACAGCTGCGATGATTAGATAAATCACAAATGCACGGCTTGGACAAAGCGTTCCCCCCCCAGCAGATGCTGAGGAGTAGCAGGAATCAATCCAATTACATAAGGATAGTTTAGGTGTGGGATTACACGCACGGAGATGGTTATTTTAGAGCTCGTTGGTCTAGTATTGGCTAATCCGCACAGTACCGCAGTATTCAGGGGACGTTGGTGCGGAAGGTAAGCTGACGTCCTCTTCTAATCCTGACCTTCCTATTCATCTTCCTTTACTCGAGAACCACACGTGTTCCTTCGGATCCACAGCCAAACGCACCTTCAACAACCCCGCAACATCCGAAACATCCGCTCGTACTCCTTACTCTAGCCAATCAAATTCCTTAAGACCCATATCCATAAAGCATAGCATTTCCGACGGATGCCCGGTGTTACACAGGCATTGCAGCGAACAGCTGTATATAACTTCCTCCTTTGGCTTAGTTAACACTTATGAGAACAAAACCCGGGGAGGGTTATGGGGCGCGAAGAGAATCTACGTACGTTTTATTAAAACAGAAAAAAGAACGAAATATGATGTATAAGGTACATTACTTACTTAGTCGCCAAGTAAATAGAACCTTCCATCTTTGTTTTAGACGCAATGGAGCTTATTGTATATAAGCGCCATATCATATATACTTGCAAGACCACCTAATAACATCTCCACTTGAGGGAAGGGATTAATTTCCTAGAATAGTGGTAGCCTCAAAGACCTACCTACCAAGTGCCTCCCAATTTAGTAATTCACAGTGTTTACGTTACTTTTTCTTATCATTCTATATACACCGAGTAAATTTTTTAAAAAAGCTTACAGAAGCTAAACTGTTTAGAATCATTTGTTTATGAGAAAGGTCTTTCATGGCTAGCTCTTTTTCGAGTTTATTAGTGTTGTCGTAATAAATAGAAAAAATAATTTGAATAAGGGTGGCGTGACGATGTGACCTACTAAACCGGAAATGCTGAGTAGGTCGTAAAGGGGTACGATTAAAGCTACTTGCCGAAAATATTTTAAGTATTGAATAATCTGTCAAGATACTCTTTATAACAAAATCCGCAGCCACCTCCTCCCATTTTCGGCCCACATTATGAGAAGGTAAAGCCAGGGTCAGGGGGGGTTTATATTGGGGATATACATCTCTCCTCTTCAAATCCCAAACCAACAGAAAATAATAATCTTATATTTCAGTTTCCTTATAAATCTTTTTTGCTAAGCCGCCACCCCATCCTGGCATTTGTATGCTGCAGCCAATAAAAATAAAAATATACATGTATGTGTAAATTTTTGTTCACCCAGTCTTCGCTCAAAAAACTCCACGTACGTCATTTCCACGTATGCCCGCAAAACACCACATATATATTTCCTTCCGCTGACTTCGTCATCCACCCTTCCCAAGTTTGTGTGTTGTGCTCCGTAGAAGAAAAAAAAATGTCTGTGTAAAAAAACAACAAAAATAGCATAGGGGGGTATCGCGCAAAATCTGCCATTCCCTCGAGAAAAGAAAACCCCGAAAAATCAAAACCCAGATATTTATATATAAACAGCAAATGAAAGAAATCATATCCGCGTTCCAACTGTACACATTAGGACCATATAGTTGTCGCCTGTTGATTGCTGGGACTGAACTGCTTCGTCGAATCGGGTATGTATATTTCGACGGCTTCCACGCTGTGGCCTTGATATGATATATGCATATTTATACCCTCGAGACGTAGTCACTCAAAAACAGACTGGTGGCACGAAAAGATCGGCGTCCTTATCCCACGACTCCTTGCTTTAAGATGGATCGATTGGATCCGCGGGTGCCCTTGAACGGACTTCGACTGCAATATTGAATTTCCCTGGAGATATCCCCATCTACTCAGACATGTCATCTCTTGGTGCGTTTTGATGGTCTTTTTGAATTCTTGTCCTCGGCCTCTTCATCCCCATCATCGTCGTCATCATCATCATCGTCGTCCCTAGAACTCGACTTGGCATTTCCTTTCTTCACGCTGATAAGACACCCTTGATGCTTAAGCTTCTTCGTCAACTCAGTGCTCGCCCTCATGCCACCGAAGTCTTTGGCATTGTATACGTGAAATGGATCACTATACACTACCCAACTGACCGGTACGGAATGTCCCATGCGCATCCGTTGCGGATCAATGATCATCAAGCTAAACCGTAGACTGTACGTCCCTGGAGTTCGAACCGATAGATCGGGGAAGGTAAAGAAGCAGCCCTCGACATCATATTCGTCCTTTCCGACAAATGGAGAAGATACCAGCGTGCCCATCAGCCTCCTCTGTTGCCTCTTATCCGTTGTCCCTGGCATGGCAGTGTCATCCTTATTGGCGACCGGATCCCACAGCGTGCAATGGACCACAGCACATGGCTGCCGTAGCATTGCTCGCATCTCGTCAGGCGATGCTGTCGAATCTTCGATAGTCATCTGGAGGATCGGAGGTGGGTCTATTACTCGGCGGTCTCTTTCACCAAATCCGCATGCGCGTGCGGCAATGGGTTGTTGTCGCATCCGTATGGTATATCGGGGTGGCGAACTAGGAGGCCGAGGGCTGACAGAGTTAGCTTGAACATTGCACACAAGAGGTGGATGGGCAGACCTGGGCCCGTCGCTCAATAACCCTGATATCTGCATGGACTTGGAGGTTTGAGATTCAGATGATGTGGAGGTCGGATTGTTATGCGGTGGTTGCTTCTTATTCTGCAGCTTGGATGCGGTTTGTGATTTTGTCGGCGGGGGAGGGGGGATGTTGTACGGCGCGTTTGATACGATGGGCGGCGACGATGAGGAACCCCCATCCAATGCAGCAGCCTTTGGTGATTCAGGCCGTCTTTGGAGTATCTTCCTAATTTGTCGTCGTTGGGGAATTGGTGTCTTGACTCGGCGTGGAGCCTCCAAATCCGGAAGAGGTGAGGTGGGCACTAGGAAAGGTTCGGCTCGATAAAAAGAGCTGTGTGAGGTCGGAGGCGGTTGTGCAGGGTGATATATATGGCGTACAGGCTCGGCGGGATCCAACTCACTGAGCCATAGAGGGTGATTGGATTGTTCTAATGGAAACGGTCGTGGGGGATATGGGGGTTTCTGCGCTGCTGGTCCTGGCCCGGTACGTTCATGCGTTGGCAGGAGTGATGACATTGGGGGCAAGGTTGTCTGAAGCTCTCTTGGGAGCCGGGTTTTATCGCCTGGAGGAGGAGGGTACGGGTGCCTCTGATCCGGAGGTCGAGGAGCTGCGGACGTCCTCGGCGGCTCGGACAGCGACATGTTGGTTGGGCTCGATATCAAGGTGGAGTCGAAGGGGACGGCGAATTGAATGTGTACGGATGAGGACCTGAGCGCGCGAATGCGGTCTCTGACGCTGCAGACGCCACGTTGAAGGGGACGACCGGACTGGGGCGCATGAGTCAAATCAAATGTCGAACAACGGGAACATGAATCGAGGCATGGATGGGATGGATTGGGTAACTTGGGGTTGCGTTGCGTTTGGGTTGGGTTGTGTTGGGGCCGTGTCGGGGTGATTGATGTCTTAGGACCGGGACCTAGACACCGTATATAAAACCAAGTGCCAAGTACGAAGGTATACAACAGGAGGACTCAGTTATAGGGCATCACGGAGGGCGGGACGGTCGTATCAAAAGTACCGGGCCCAAGAGCGGCGACCAGCTCCAATGTCCACGTTCTGTGCGGAGTGCCGGGAATCGAGGAAGTATCGTCACAGGGGCTGCGTGGCGGGGGCAGGAGGAAGCGGACGACGACGACACAGGACCGTGGGTGCAGAGTGCAGAGGGCGGAGTGCGCGTGGTTCGTGGTATCGTGGCCCTGAGGGCTGGTAGTGGTAGTGGTAGTGGTAGTGGTGGGGGTGGGCGAATGGGTGAGCGATGCCAGCAACTGGTGATACTGGAAGAGTCCGCCGTGGTATCGCGATGGCGAAGGATTGGCCTCCAGGTTACAGCAACCAGGTTGGCGGACAGAGGCAGCTGGCACTCGCCCTCGGATTCGCACTCGCAGGGCCGTACGGTCAACAACCCAGCTGCCCAGCTCAGGCCCGGCCGCCTTGCAGAAGTTGTCGCAGCGCCGCAGTGGACGGAGTATGGGCCGGTATGGGGCGAGAAAGTGCGAAGATCGTACGAGGATATTAATGGAGATATGATATATATATGTGGACAGCTGAGACGAAGGAGAGTGAAGGGGCAGAAGAGGAGCACGGGGAAGAAGAAGCAAATGTGGAGGGGGGAATAATGCTATAGGGGGAGAAGCAGAGCACATACCACGAAGCCTGAACGAAGGACACTACTCCCTTCGAAGCAGGAAGTACAGTACATACGGCGACTCGGCGGCGCGAAGGACGGCCGACGGATTGCATGGATATGGACACGGCTAGTTAATTCGTAGTTAATTCTCCGTAGTGAGTTGCCAGTTGGTTAGCAAGTGCGTTATGGCTGGTTAAGGTTAAGCGGCAGCGAGAGGGGCGAGACAAGGCGTTGCGAGTTCCATACCGGTAGCCACTACTGCTACGTACGGACCGCACTTGGGGAAACCGGCCCAGCGTGACGAAGAGGCTGGAACTTGAGGGCTAAAGAGGGCGTTTTTTCCCGTACGAAAATACAGTATGACGATGGACGTGGTACTACTGTACTTCGTACGTGGTACTACTTAGTGCAATGTATGTAGAACGTTACTTGACTACTTGAATACAATCCCACGTTGATTCCCTCCCCCCCGCGTAGTCGGAGTTGTAATTTGCAAGAAGGATGCTAAGTAAGGTACGTACGGTACCTAGGTACGTGGATCATTTTATGGCTGGAGTACTTTGTAGTATTGCAGCTGAAACATACCTGTTTGCCTACGTATTGCCTACCTAGGTATATTACTGCCTACCTTGCCTTACGTTCTTCGCCCAGCAATAATACTCAATATATATATACCTGGTCACGGAAGAAGTACCGCTGCGGGCCGCACCCCCGGAAGAATGGGTGAGCCGTCGCCGTGGAGGTGAGATGAGGTCGCCGTGTCCCTGTGGCCCGGTTGTAGGGAACCCGCGCAGTCCCGGATTGCTGGAAGCACGGAGGAGTGCAGCTGTACATGGAAGAAGGTAATAGTGTACTCTGTACAGAACGGCGTACCTCGTACTCAGCACCCAACTACACGCTCGAAAATATGGATCCGAGAACTTTGTGCAACGCCCGCTTGCTCGCCGGCCAATCCTCGCCCTGAGAGCACGCCCTCCTATCGTCCGAAGGAGTTCGTGGTTGCGGGATTATTGGATCCTGATTCCCCTTCCCCCTTCCCCCTTCCCCCTTCCCCCTTCCCCCTTCCCCCTTCCCCCTTCCCCCTTCCCCCTTCCCCCTTCCCCCTTCCCCCTTCCCCAATATTCCACGGTGTCTCTTCTGGATCAGCCGACAGCCCGTTGGGATCCCGCATGTCTCGAAGCTCGACGCTCGAGGATGTCCACGTTGGCGCACTCGAACCAAGGGTCTGCCGTCCAAGGCACCTGGAAGTGGTATTTCCCGACCGTGCCAATGATCAAGTAATCGGCCCTTGCGCACCTATCAGCGAGGCGGCAGCTGTGCATCGTGAGTGTCATTCGGCGATCCTCTGTGCGAAGAGCATGTGCAAGGCTCTCCAAGGTTACAGTGCGATATCCAGATCCTGTTAATCGTCCGCGTACTAAGTATTGTGTATATGTACCTCGGTACTTAGTGCGATCCCTAGACGCGCGGCACATGTTTGATATCATCGACCTCTACTGAGAAACTTCGTACGCTTCAACCTCCCCTTCTTTCGCTCCTGAACCCGTTCCGTTCACGAAGCATCCCTAAAAATAATTCTTCCTCCCCTACTTTGTCCATGTACATGTACACGGACTCTCGACCACAAACAAACAATCGGCGCGGGGTGTACTCTGTAGGGAATAGGGAGTGTTGGGGAGTATTGGCACCATTTCCACTTAAACCGACGCGAGCTCTTGGCTGTCCTAATGAAGGGTGGATTGTCTCCTCTGAAGGCTAGGCCTGATCCAGACAGTAAAGTGTCCAAATACTTCGTCAGGTACGGAGTACTCAAGGTCTCAAGTTCCTATCCGGAAATATCGACCATGGTACGGAGTGCTGACCATTGCAGCAGCACAACCTTCAACAATACACATCTTTCCATCGTGTCCTTCGTACGCGGGCTATCAAATATGAGACCCCGACAGAGGTAGAAGCGCAACCAAGGGTGGTTTAGGGGCCAGTTACACCACCAACTGGCGGGCGCTTCACCGAGTACGAAGTTCACCCCTCCAAGATGCCAATGGACACACCCTCATTCTCGGACATTTCATTTCGTCCGCATATTTAATATCCAGATATTGGGCACATGCAAACGCTGAGTCCGGCGTGTATACCACGTACTCTTCCATTGGCGCACCCGCCCGACTTCTTCTCGAAGCCGTTCCAGCCTCCATCCTCCCTTCCAGGACTCGAGTAGCACGACATTTCTAGGGAACCCTGATGCGACAACATCAGGTGATGTGGACGCTTTAGGGGGGGCTTTTCTACCCATGGCGTCGACGCTGATACTACCACACTTTTGGCAATCTTTACGCCTTGTTGACTCGTGGTTTGCTGCCCGGTGCTTTCGGCGCGGGGGGTACCAAACTACTTCCCCACAACCCCAGAATCCGGTGTCTTTTCGCGCCGGCATTTCGGCCGCGAAGGGCTGCCTGGTTGGCCAAACTGGGCTTCCTCCTGCGGTACGGGTCGGCTGCGGGATCCGGCTGCACTCTCGCCTTATCATAAGGAATAACGAGACATATCACAATACGGAGCAATGTCTCCTCCATACGAGTACGCACGGGCGGCATCTGCGCCTATGGGCGGCGGATCCGCCCTATCGTTTTGCCTATTTTGGACTATGCAGTGTTGATTGTTTTGTGCTACCTCGCGCTTGAGGTTTGTTTCACAGCGCCCTGCAAAGCTTGTTCGGGCTCGGCTTTGTGGGCTCGGCTTTGGCTATTAATATATTAGGCGGACGACTGTGAGACATTTCTAGGCCTGCTTGGAATCCACCACGGCCTGGATGCTGCTGATCGTACGTCGTATATTCTTGATATATTGCAATTGGAGCCGATGTGGGGCCTGCAAGCTTATATTAGAGAAGTCAAAACCTTCCCTTCGCTATGTGTGCGTTCCATTACGTTGCTTGCAGCGTTACTGACGATGGTGGATGCATTCGAATAGGCATCTCGGAAGATACTAGTCACATGATCACATGGAAGCTGACTCGAGACGGCCATGGAAACGGACACTGGCAAACTTCCTTTTTTGAACCGCAGATACGGCTTTTTGAAACAGCTCTAAGTGGCGCTTCATTTCTTGGGCTATATTTCGACTGTTAATGTCTCATTCCTTCTGCTACGCTAGCTACCTTGGCCGTAGCATGATATTACGAGAAACTCAAATCTTTCCCAGTCCATTAGTGCGCTCAATGTTTTCCTTCCCGATTGATGCGCATCCCCAGACCTACAACGCCTTTTCACCGACCAATTCGAGCGTTTGTTTATTTTCCCCCTTCGAAGCTTGGCAGCAAACAAGAAACTCATCACACCTAGAGCTCCAACAAATACTTCTCCGGCAAGGCTGGAATTGAAGTCATAGCACTTTTTACGTCCGTACGGGGCGAACATGGGGTTGGTTGCCCGGCCAGGTAAACTTGATTCGCGCTGTCATTGGGTTCCGTTACGCTGGTTGGCCCGCAGGGCAGAACCCAACCATTCAAGCCACTTGAAATCGCTGAGCAAGTTTGGTAGTCCGAGGCACACAATGTACTCGGTCCGTGGGGGGGCCTGTGTTAACAGCGAAAAGCCATCAGAGTCCCTCTCGTCCTGCAGCATCTAATGTCGTCCCAGCTGAACGAGCATGTTTGGCATGCAGAGCGGGCAATAGAAGGCAGTGTGGAAAAAACAATGCATATAGTTATTGCAACCGCGGAGAAATTACATTGGTGGAGGAGACGGGAGGCGGAATGCGGAAGGCGGGAAGCCGCAGACAGTGACGCAGTCGTAAAACGTACGATGTCCGTTTGCTATCCACTACGAAGTACTGGGATGGAGCAGAGCCTGAGATTCATGTTGGTTCGGGCTGAGGTTTGCCCTGTAGCCTTATCTGATTCTTTCAGTTGGTGGAGGTTTTCAGCTGGATGTGTCCAAATATACGAGAATACGATCCCGTGTTAATAGGCCCCTGTGTTGTGGTAGGCTGGGGAAAGTTCTCCCGTTGTTCTTGATTATTGCTTTTGACTATATTCCCTGGCCGAGCAGAGAAACATAACCAATAATTCGTCTTTTTTGTGTGTGCTGTTCCGCTGCAGATAAGCCACTTAGGTACACATCTATTATACTGTGGATGATGAGAACATTCTCAAAATCTCATGACATGTTTAAACACGTCAGATGTTATACACACTGCTGAGACAGTGCTTAGTAGGCATCCAGAAAAACCAATACCACGTAAAAATGTTTGAATCTCGATTTGAGTATTTTCTCTTCAAGTCTCTAGATGTGAGCAACGGCTGCTTTAACCTTAGCATGTCCTGAGCAACTTGAGCACACGGCAAGAGTAAGTTCACGTACCTTGTATTAAGAGACCCATTTTAGTTACCAAGGACCTACGAATCGAATTCGTTCATGAGTTCCTTTCACTAATATCCAGGAGTGGATGCCGGCCAAGGTCCCCGCTGTATTATGGACTGTGGCACAACGCTCTCACATGCTTCGGCGCGAGTCTGCTCCGCCTCATTGTCAGTGATAGGATGGTATGGAAGTGGAAGATTACAGATTGTGTCTCTACCGAGCATGTTGAACTCGAATCTTGACGGGGTCGGATGGCGAATTGTGTGGTGTACATATCCACTCTGAAGGTGACCTTCCACAATCACCGCAAAGACCATATTTCCTGTCAACTCAGGAATATCATCAACTGCAAAACGACATATATCGTTTATTTCCACACTGTTGCCTATCAAGTTCAACGAGATTTAGTCTGTACCCTGAGAATACATCATGACTAGATGCGGTCAAGTGGTGCTGTTACTTATTATAATTACAAACCGAGGAGGCAACCTTTCATATAAAATTTTCTCATGAAAATCTCTCTCAGAAGCACGTCTTATTTTCCCCAAAACTCGAGGCTTCATCTTCAGCTCTTTACCTTCCTGTCTAGACCTCAGGTCGTCAAAGTCATTTCCAGCAAGCAATAGGAGTGTATACCATTTTGAGAGGTAGTTCAAAAGTTGTCCAGCTGGCTCTTCACCTCCTGCTAGATGAAGATACTTTCTCACATTTTCCTTTGTGTTATACATACCTTCTACACGCGACTCCACAATAGCTACTAAATGCAATGTGCCAAGTTTCCTATTCGGAATAGGTAGAGGTAACAAACTCTAGTAGTCTAGAGTATGATGGATATATGGCTCTGTTAAGTCTTGTTCAAAGCCAAGTCCAGTAACAGTCCTTGGTGGAGCTTCCATATACCTCGATTTCTTCACATTGAATCAAAATCGCTATTATCTATAAAGCTGATTTAATCCAAGGTAAATCCGGTCGCAGTTGACTTTAATTGTCTTAAACTAAATAGTCGGTATATATCCGGGGCCTAGTACAAAAACATAGTCCACGATATAATAGAGCTATATAAGGCTATTTCCAGATATAACAGAGCTACCCGTGAGGTGAAATATTTCCTAGTACCCGTTAACAAGGTGATGAAAAACAGACAAATATAGAAATAGGTAAGAGATATCTTAAATTCGAAAAGTTGGGCCCTATTCGTGCGTCTATTAATACTAGATAACACCCATGGGCGATATTCATTCGGATTAATTTGAAATTGGGCGATACATCGACATTGGATACTTTTTTCGGATTTAGCTTCCAAGCTTCGGAAGGGGAAATCAACGGCTCAACCCCGGCCCTTGAAGTTATATTTCCTCACGACTTTTCCCAAGTGTGGGGTTAGACTCGTTTGCAATGGTTCTTAGCATTTCAAAATTATGCGCCGTTTGCAGTCCATAAGCTCGATCCGGTTCTCATTTTGGTAGCTGTGAGTCTTTGGTCGTATAACAGGATCATGGATGATCACTTCTTGCGTCTGGTCATCGAACAAGTGCACGACTTACGTCGTTTTCTTCGCTCTTCTAAGGCTTGTGCAACATCGTCAAACTGGTCAATTAGTTACACCCTCCGAACGCTAGATTCATATTCCAAACCAAACCTCCAACTAGCGTCGATTCATTTCTGGTTGAAGAATTGAGCAACACGTTTAGCCAACCAATCCGCACGATACTTCCTCCGTTCCCTCCAGGGCGGGTCATTGGATTGAATATCTATACTAGCATGGAAATTATCAAATTTTTGATCTCAAACTCTCGTGAGCCTCATAAAGTCATACATATTGGTTGGAAAAATAAGAGAAAGACCTTATCTACTAAAATTTGAGATTTCTACTTCTTTTAGCATCCGAAGCGCTATATGTCGCAGGATATTTATCTCTATAGCTATTTCTTTTTCTAGATGGGTGATTGTCGAGTAGTTTAAAAAGAGGCGTTGTCGACGAGATTCATATGGCTAGAGGCGATTCTTAGTGAGAGCCTAGGGGCTTGGAGAAAGCTTAGGGGGCTCGGCGAAAGCTTGGTAGGCTTAGCGGCTAACGTCCAGTAGTATCCTCTACGCTCCTTTTAGGAATTGTCTCTAGCTACGTTTTTATATGTTAAAATGAACACATATAAGGAACCAGAAAGTATTATTAATTCATAATTCCGAAGGAGTTAAATTTTAGAAGCGTGGTTATAAAGCCGTGAAATCGAGGTTGAGTCTTTTAAGGGTCGGATTTTTCGCGAATTAACGTTAATCGCACATATTACTAGGAGTATCGCTGTAAATTTTTATACTTGTGATTTTCGCCATATAGTTAAGGCTTTACTCAAACTTTTCCATAATTAGAGGCTGCTTTGCGTCTTTTCAAAATGATTTCATATTTTATTCGTACAATTAACGCAACCTGTGACCTTCCTCCTTCTCACCGCGCGCAGAGCTATCAGTCTATCACCTTCGCTCTTAGCTACAAGCTATTTCGAATCGACATCGATGGATTTATTGACCTTGTGAAGGCGATGGCGGTGGCAGCGGTGGGACATTGGTGTTGGTGTTGGTGGTGTTGGACACTGTGGTTGTTGGCGATGCAGGAAGCGGCGAGGCTGACCCATGCTTGGCTCAGCCCGGCCAGTTTGGCGCCGCTATTCGAGCTCAAAATTATTTACTGGCTAATCGTTTATGATTTGTGCAACACTGCTACGGCCGACTGCGTAAATTAATTAACCAAAATTACTGGGCTACCCCGTAATTGCAACTTATGACATGTCAGTAGGAATAGTGAGAATTATTTTAAGAGGCCCGTTAGGCTGCGATGCTCAGGTAGGTGAGCGAGGGGCGGCCTCCGAGTCAGACCAACTAGTATCTAGACCGCACATGTCAAACACCAACATTCTGATGAAGGCTGTGCTTACGGCAGGAGGCTGTGATGAGAGCCACGATTCAAAACCACTCGGATAGGTGTGATATGGAACCCTTTAAACTCATTTAGTTCTCGAATATTGATCCAAAGATTCTAAACAGTTCTTTGTATCAAACAACACGCGTACTTTATTGTCGATATCTAGACAAGCACCATCAACATGGACCTTAAAACAACTCTCCCGTCCCATTCCAAGAGCTACGATGAAAGGATGAAGCAGGTTCTTTTTAATATCCGCCTGTCCAAGAGACTTGTCCACTTCCTCGCTCTCACACTTTTTCTTAATCTTTTTCTAACTTATGGTCTGATTTTTCACCCGCCACCACCAAGTGTTAGACGTTGTGCAGAATTTATCAGGGCGCAATACCCAGAACTAGTTTTGCCGTCGGCCGCAAATGTTCCTAGATCTACCGATATATCGTTGCACAATGATGTGGCAGCACCAGGAAAGGTTGAAACAACTGCGATTGCGGTACGATCAGCGAGTGAGTTCCACCCAACCAATAGAGGTTCGAGGGTTGTTCTGAAATGGATACTAATGAATAACCAAGCGAGTTAGCAAAGAGAGATCGCTTGGGAGATATTAATAGCAGGATGAACATCGCCGCTATATACGTTTAGCCCTTTATCCAAACGATGGCATGGTGGAATATGGTCGCAGCATGCAAATACTTTCATGATAATACCTCGAATACAATCAATTGTCTATGAGGAATTATTTCCAGTGTTATCACAGTAGCTGCTGCGGGGGTTAAGTTAACACTATAGTTTGGAAACGTTGTTGATCTTTATATCAATAACCGAAGAGACATACATCCACAACTCTAAGGTTCGTTGGACGAATTGGGAGTGATGATTGGCCACAACGTTAGCCATCATGGAATTTGGGACCATACCCAGCTGGAGTTAAATTACTCGGATGTGGCAATAGAGAACGAGGACTCGGTGCACGTATTTGGACTTACCAGACCGGATGGCACTGAATCGCAATTTTCCTACCTCGGAAACAGCACTGGAAACCATGTGTTCAAGATGGGTATGGGAGCACCTGTCACAAGTAACAACTCCACGATCCATGGAAGGACAACGGTAACTAAGGGTAAACAGGTGTGTCTTATTTTCTTACGAATTTTCTGTTTCTTTATATGTGAGTTGCGGAGCGGGGTGACGTCTTGGACGCTAAGATAAAATGATAATGGGGGTGCAAGATCCAACTGCAGTTCTCGAGATAGCTCCTAGCTCCGGAACTCTTACCGTAAAATGTTATTTTTCTTTATGCTAACAACATGAATAGTACTTCGCCTGGGGAGGTGTCGATTTTATGGTCGACCCCAACATCAGAGACGGAGGGTACTTGACCGACAGCCAAGCTGATTGGGACGCGGTACTCGCGCAGGTAAGCTGAATTTGGGGCTCTGATCCTACTTCAGACAATCTGCGGGCTGCAGCACCCTATTTCCAAATATATGATGACCTCCACATGGGAGCGGTTACGGCAATCGCTATGTCAGTGTTTTTGGGAGTCAAAGCAGTCTCATTCCCCGCATGGGGCTTGGTACCATTCCTACCCCAATTGCAGTAGGTGCTTGCCTTGCCGATTACGCAATTGGGCCGTTGCAAAGGATGGTTAGTCAAGAGTTGCTGAATGGTTGTTTAGCACTTGGTTTTGTTCTGTTCTGGAGTTTATGTGATTTGGACACGTGTTTCAAGGCTTGGGTCTTTGGTATCTTTGGTCTCTTACAATATATGCTTCTAGTTCTTTGTTTTAAATTATTATTCTATTTGATGTCTCTCACAGCATTATTGCGTTGGAAGATTTTAAATATGCTGGCGTCTGTAGACACTTAAAGGCTGCCTTCTCACTCTGTATTTCTAGGTTTTAAAATGATATAAATCCTTAGCCTTTTTAACTTGCTACAGTGCTAGTCAACTTTCAATAGCAGAGTTTTATAACCCTACTTAAAACAACACGCTTTCTTTCAACTATGGATTTCTTTGTCTAGGTTCTGATATATTTTCGGATTTTCATAAAACTTTATTTCTAGGCGACCTAGCCTACGATGGCGGCCAGCCAACATTGAAACGATGCGGCGATGGGAAAGGACGGTATGTGCCTTGCTGGTGTAGCGGGACCTGCGATTCGCATACTTACTCCTGGAAAAATAGTGTGCCTAACATGTCCATGATTTACGCACGTTTTATCACCGGTTATATTGTCTTGATTGGCGTATTGGGTGTTTACAGTCATAATTCATATATTTCGCTCCAATAGCAAGCATTCCGCAAGTCTTCCACTCTTTCGACATTCAGTGCCTAACCATGCGCCGTTTGAACATGAAAAGACGGGATTTAGCAACTTCTAGCATCCTGTGGCCCCTCTATAGACCGTGGGGAGCCCCTAATAGGGTCAAATGAGATGGTACGATAATCTTGATCCAGGCGATCGGCCCATACTCGAAGAGCTTCGTCAATATCCAGCGAAGAATATTGCAAATCGTAGAATTGCGACGGCAAGGATGACAGTGCTAGCGGCACCTTCTTCTCCGCTACAGCAGTGCACAAGACCTTCTCCAGACGTCCTATGCTGTTATTAGCAACCACCCGAATCTCGTTAACATCAACTATACTTACGTGCGAAGTACCACCTTTGACCACAAGTCTTTAAGCCGTAGATGAGCAAGTCTAGGTTTCGAGGGACTTCGACGGATAGGATCTTCGCGTGGACTACTCTTTTATTAGTACTGAGATGTCTCGAAGTTGGATGGCAGATCGTACCGAGATAAAATCGGGCCGCTACGAATATGCAGAATATCATGTAGGGACTAATATTTTCGAGATCGGCGTCACTACTACCTCTCACTACCGTGCTCATATCATCGCACGCGCTCAGGCAGCGCTGTATGGCATGGTACCACGGCCCATGGACTTCACCAAGACCCATCGGTGGTAACGCTAACCGTTGGTATAGCGAAACTATAGCCCTGTTATATTGTCAGGTCTTTCTTCTTGTTGTATATAAATACAAGACTAAAGCTTACGCATCAAAAGTAACAGTGATCATCACCAAAGTCGAATCAGAAGAATTGTTGGCCTGGCTCAAACTATGCATAGTGGTAGCAGAGCTACGCCATTGCCTCAGGGACTCGTCAACAGATGTGCACTGCTCTTGCCACCGAACTCTATCAACCGCCGACGTCGTATCGAAGGATTGTTGGAGGAACAGGTGGACTTGATAAAGCTGGCGCGTAACTAGTGACAGATATAACGAGAATGCTGACGAGACCTCAGAGTCGCCAAAAGAGGAAAACGCTTTCGCGTCCTCGGGGAAAGCCCATATTGTTTCGTTGCATGGAAACCATGCTTTATCTACCGGCTGTGACAAACCGAGATTCCAGCCTGCGCCGAGAGAAGACATGCTATCTAAGACTTCGGTCATCCAATATGCTCGAACTCTCTCTTCTTGCTCTATTAATGTTGCTGGTAATGAAAGCATACGCGGTGGTAGCATTGACGGTTTGCTAAAGTTATCATAACTGCTGATTACCAGATCTCGTAACCCGAGCTGAATGCCCATCCTGATTTCTGTGTCAGTGCGAGTTCTCAATGACTGACTCCATCTTGTCGAGGAATATTCGCTGACCTTTTACATAGTGCAAGAAGGTTGAAGAACTCGGAAAGCTTCCCGGCACCATAGTCGATGTTGGTTATTATCAGGATGGCTTGTAACGATTGGAGCGATAAACTGCCAATAGCTTGCATAATAACTTCATTTCGAAACTGTGTAGAGAGCTCCAGGCGTTGCTCTCGATTCGGTGGGTTTGATAGGCACCAGTGAGGCAGTGTGACAGCTACGATGGCTTTGAGAACGATACTTAGAGGCGAATCAACCAAGGGGGCGGCATTGTTCTCAACCTCCTCAAGTAATGAAAGTTTGTGAAGAATAGGAAACCAGGAATGATAGCGCTCAAACCACGTGTTACAGAGGTCGCTCAGTGTTTGCTGAGATATTGAACCTCGATCAGATACTGCATTAGTCCGACTACTAGAATGTGAGGATGTTGCAGGCGACGCATTATCAAACACGCCGTCATGATCCGATGGTGCCGTCGGCACTGCCCGAATAATATCGATATACCCCCGTTCTATCCTTCATTAGTGACCCTGTCGACGGAGAATGCGCGGACACGTACGCTGCTCAGATTTCAGGACAACGACCTCCTCTTCCAGCTTGTCTGCATTCCGGGTCAGCCAAGGCATACATGCCAGACGCAGTGAGTGCTCATACCAAGACGGCGCTCTAATGCCGAAACATATCCAGCTCGCAAGCCTCTTTTCCTTTCCGATGAGACATAGCGACAAGTGTGACTAATCTCTATACAGAATCCACAACTTGGTTTCTGACGATCACACTTTACCTTTCTCTGCCGACAGGTCGAACATCTTCAGATATGGCCCGTTAGCGTCTGGTAGAAAAATAGAGCTATAAAGTAGAATACCAGGGGAATCTCATGGAAAACGGGGCTCGATTTCCGTCTAAGTACAGGGACAAGATAAATATAGAAAGAAGTCAAAGAACCTAGTCACTTACACAACTTTACTAGTTTCCATGCTCGCTATATAAACGTACTTTCGCCAGAGGTATATTTTGTTTGATGCTGTCTCGAGATGCCACTATGATTATCCTTGGGAGTAGAGAGTAGGAAGTGCATTGGAGACTGGAGGCCGGAGGTGGGATTTGAGAATGTGGTGGAGCAGCTTTAGTGGGACAATGCCGATCAGTGCAGTGTGAGCCTGTGTATAGCGTGTACAGCGCCCATAGAGTACTGGGCGACTTGCGGGGCCGTGTCGCTACGAGGTTGGGGTGCGGGGATATGCGGGGATAAACCAGTTCTATGGGGTACGGGGAACAGTCCAGTGACCTGCACAGGGCCGAAGTCGCGGGCCATGTGGATTCCGGGCCATGTTATCCCCGCGAGTTCCCCAGAGTCCCGTCCACCCCACTACTCATACTCCCTAAACCACTACCGAGCTACCGCAGCCAGTCCTCGTCCCACGTAAGCCTTCCCCTCGACCTCCGGCGGGCCATCTCAACCGCGAGTCTGCTCGAGTATGGCCTCGTCCGTGCTTCCAGTGTCGTGCTAAACTGCGATGTCTCACTACGAACTACGTAGTATGTATGTGGACCTTGATATTGGGGTGCAGGGTAACGGGACTCTCACGCGTGGCCTGCATTGCATGTCCTCTTAAAACCTGCCTAGACATGGGAGTCGGAAAGTTTGGAGAAATACCCCATACTCCATACCCCGTACCCCATACCCCGTACTTTTGTACTTGGCAAGTTAGCAAGGCATAAAGCCAAAACTAATATATATAGTTATTCACATTTCATCAGCTTCTCAACTCCTATTCATACCAACCTGAAGTTTCTTTACTACTTGGTGTGGCATATCCGTCAACATGGGCATTGCAGATAGATTCAGTGGGCCGTCGCTTGAGATCGTCCTCACAGCGACCAACGCAGCTGCACAAGCTTGGTATGGATATGACCAAGGTGTTATTTCGGGAATCCTTATTGGATCCGATTTCATCTCTACGTTCCCGCAAACCAAAAATTCTGATATCCAAGGTATCACCGCAAGCTGCTTCTCCGTGCGTCACCCAGATGTGTATATAGTATATATTGATCTCAGCTAACGAAGATTGTAGCTCGGTAATCTTGGCGGCTGTTTGATAGCTGCTATATTCGGTGATCGTCTTGGTCGTAAGAATACGCTGAGAGTCGGCGCTGCTATTTCGGCCATCGGTGCCATACTTCAATTCTCTGCTACTACATTTCCACAATTCATTGTTGGACGGGTGATAAATGGCTTTGGCAATGGTCAGTATTTCTGATTCATCTCCCATTTCCTGACGACTAACAAAAAGATCGTATAGGAATGACTAGTTCTACATGTGGTATCTTCCAGGCAGAGTCATGTAGAGGGTCAAGACGTGGAAAGCTATCCGTGATAGTTGTCCTTCACAACGTGGTCTTCTACTGTCTTGCGAGTTGGCTTACACTTGGGTGTTCTTTTGCTACGAATGGTCTCCAATGGAGATTGCCACTCGCTCTCCAGGTAAGCATCCCAGTATCATATCTACCTAACAACCAGCTAATTCTTACATGCAGCTCGTTCCTGCACTAGCACTTGTAACATTACTACAATTTGTTCCCGAGTCTCCGCGATGGCTTATCATGCAAGACAGAGTTGATGAATCTCAAGAAGCTCTCCGTCGCTACCTAGGAAAAGACCTCGCCATCGACGATCCGGTCGTACTCCTCGAGTTGAGATCCATCCAAGAATCCTACAAGATTGAACAGGAATCCGCGATCACTTTCAAAGAGGTCATCTTGTCCCGAGACCGGTCAGCACATCTCAAGCGACTTCTTCTTGGCTGCGGAGGACAGTTCATGCAACAATTCGGCGGTATCAATGCTCTCAACTACTATTTCCCCATTATTCTTACTGAGAATCTCGGTCTCAGCGAACTCCTAGCTAGGATATTGACTGGATGTAACGCCACTTCTTATATGATCTCATCGGGACTCTGTTTCTGGATGATTGAGAACTTTGGTCGGAGATCGCTCATGTTAAGTGGACTTGGATTGCAGTGCCTGGCCTACGTGATGGTCGCCATTTCTGTTGCGATGTTAACAACTGCCCCTACTCAGGTATGAAACCTTATCCGCATATATTATGTTGCCGTATATTAACTGTTTATAGTGGGGCGCCGTAGCTATTACTTTCCTTTTCTTCTACTACGCAGCATTCGGATGCACTTGGGGAATGGTTCCTTGGGTATACCAGGCCGAGGTCAACTCTCTTACGATGAGAACAAGAGGTGCAGCTGCTGCAACTGCGACTAATTGGGTAAGTTTGGATACATCCGCAGCACAAAATCAACAGGAATCATTTCTAACAGTCTTCAGCTTTTTGGATTTGTCTGCACCCAGTTCACCCCAACCGGTATCAGGAACATCGGCTTCCGTTTCTACATCAGTAAGTCTACCCACCCTAACACCAGTATCCGCCAAGCTAACAACCACTCCAGTCTTCGCGGCATTTAACCTCCTGTTCGTCCCAGTCGTCTACTTCCTCTATCCCGAGACCGCAAACCGCACACTGGAGGATCTCGACGATTATTTCGACAAGGATTCCGGCCACAAGACTATCATTCCCATCAGCGACAAGATCGCAAGATCTACAAGTCGTCCTCAGGAGGCAATTGATGCTGAGAGGAGGCGTATCACTGCTGCTGATAGGAAGGGGTCAGACATGAAGGACCCGGTCTATGTGGAGCACTTGGAGGACACTGCTTCCAATCATTCTACATGATTAGCTCGAGCTAGGTCTGCGCTGGCGTAGAGAAAGACTGGGTAGGGAATTTGGTGGTGGTAATTTCTTGATGTTGTTCAGAGATACTTGAATGCTATTATTTATAAATCCGAGATTTTGATTAATATACTGTTATATCGGACTACTTCGAGAAACAAAATGAATCTTAAAGATGAAGGCGTAAGTTAGGTATCTAGTAACGGCACATGAGAAGTACCCTATAGGCTAGTCTACTTCTTGCCAATTGCGAGTAAAGTTCGAATTACATTTTTCTAGGGTTTATTTTACTTTTTCCGAGAGTAAGAAGCAAAACTAAGAATCAAATTTATTATTAATAGAATATTAGTAATTTTTAGAGATTTTGAATACATTGACAGACAAGACAATAAGTGGAAATGAAACATGTCAAGAAAGGAATATAATTTCCATTTATAAAGCATGTACGGTCTGAACGCATATAATTTTATACCACCAATAAGTTAGATGTGTTGTCACACGTTGGCGGTATATTTTGCTTTAGTAATAACTAAAGGTTCTCAATGGACTAGAAGTTGGATCCAGAACTCTTTTTAGAACCTGGTAGCAGGGTTAGGCTTATTTGCAGTCTTATAGCGGAGAGTAATAACGTCTTTCATATTAAAATATGCTCGGTCTCGACCAGACCTAGATGAAACTGGGTAGAATGGACGATCTATTTTGAACCATTTACCCCATTCATGGACGGCGACAGATCCATGATTCATGATTCATGATCCATCTATGATCTGTGGGGCACTGAACGCCGCAGTGCGGGACTCCGGATCCGCCCTGCCGATCGCAGAAACCAAGGTTCGTCCGTCATATTCTCGGTTAGAGTACTCGAGTACTCGTAGATGTCTCATTATTTGTTTGGTAGTAGACTACCGGACATAGCACAGAATGAGGAATTCGTACTTCGTATCTCAAACGCCTATCACGGAAACAGTATCCGGTGCGTACATGTACAGTACCTTGCCTAGGTCCTTGGTCAATGGGCTACTCGAGTACCTACGTAATGTCCACAGCTACCGCGTACCCCTTTACCCCTCGTCGCGTCTCCCGGTCCATCTTTGCCCAACAGCGACGGGCCATGTTGAACCCGAGCAACCAAGCAACCAAGCAGGCAAGCAGCCTCACAGTCTCACAGCCTCTGCCATGCAATTTGATGCAAGCATTCCCCATCATTGAAGCTGCAACACGGTCACATCCCTTTTCATCTTGCTATGCACATACCATCCGGTGATGCGGGATCCGAACTCGAGAGTCAATTGTCTGCGCCATGTAGATTCCCGTGGATTCAAATATGGGCCGTATGGCCTGGCCAACAGCCCTTCCTCAGCTATAAAGGACTGCCCGGGTACCTCATAACTTCCTCTCTACAGACACAAACCACTCTACACTATTCCTCTTACCCATCTGTACACAATGTTTGCTGAGCGCCACACAATCCAGCTTCCGAGCTTTTCCAAGCCAGCTGTAAAGTCTCAAGTGACACCACCACCATCTCCTGCCGCAATCGCACAACAATGGATTGCCAGCCTGGAATCTATACTGCTCAGTAAGGATGCTTCTGCTCTCGGACGCGTTCTACACCAGGACTCTTGGTGGCGGGACATGTTCGCGCTGTCATGGGATATTCGAACGGTCCATGGATTAGACAAGGTGTCCGCCTATTTATCTGACAACTTAACACACACAACCCCTCACAACCTTCGACTTCGAGAGTCTGGAAAATTCGCCCCAAGTCTGGGGACTCCAATCGACGGAGTGGAGTGGATTGAGTCGATGTTCGACTTTGAAACTCGAGTTGGTCGTGGTTCTGGAATGCTGAGGCTTATTCAAGGCCAAGACGGTGTTTGGAAGGCATGTATGATGTACACTGCTCTACAAGAATTGAAGGGATTTGAAGAAAAAGCTTGGGCTAGAAGAGCACATGGAGGAAACAATTCCTTGTTAGGCGGTGCTGTCAAGGGCAACTGGCTGGAGAGAAGAAAGAGACAAATGGAATTCCTTGATGAGGAACCTACAGTGGTTGTTGTAGGCGCAGGTATGTCCCATTAAATTCAGTTGTAATCTGAATACATGGCTAATTTATAACAAGGCCAATCTGGGTTGAATCTGGGAGCTCGGCTTCAAGCACTCGGCACATCTGTTCTGCTGGTCGACAAGAACGACAGAGTCGGAGACAACTGGCGCAACAGATATAGAGTAAGTACAAACACTTGCCCATTTGAACCATCACTAACAAGTCATTAGACACTCGTCACGCATGATCCTGTCCAGTATACTCACATGGCATTTATGCCTTTCCCCGCCAACTGGCCCTTATTTACAGCCAAAGACAAACTTGGAGACTGGTTCGAAGCCTACGCTTCATTGATGGAGCTCAACGTCTGGACCAAGTCATACCCAAAGCCCGGATCCACCTCATATGATGATGCAACCAAAACCTGGACTGTCGAGCTAGTCCGAGGTGATGGCAGCACCCGAACTGTCCATCCGAAGCATGTCGTCCTCGCCACCGGCCACGCAGGCGAAGCCAAGATCCCCACTTTCACCGGCCAGTCCGACTTCAAAGGCAAAGCCTACCACGCCAGCTGGCACCAGGACGCATCGCTGACCGGTGATGCCGCCGGCAAGAAAGTCGTCGTTATCGGCACGGGCAACTCGGGCCACGACATTGCCCAGAATTTCTACGAGAACGGCGCAGAGGTTACCATGGTCCAGCGCAGAGGTACCTATGTCATCTCCGCAGCCAAGGGCCTCTTCATGCTCCATGAGGGCATGTACGATGAGACCGGCCCGCCAATCGAGGATGCAGATATTGCTGGCCAGTCTCTGCCGATCCCAGTGCAGTTTGCGCTGAACGTCGACCTTACCACCCGTATCGCCGAGGCCGAGAAAGAAAATATCGAGGGCTTAACGAAAGCTGGGTTCAAGATTGACTTTGGAAATGATAAGAGTGGCATCTATAGGAAGTATATCACCCGTGGAGGTGGTTACTATATCGATGTCGGCTGCAGCCGATTGATTATCGACGGCAAGATTGCTGTCAAGCAGAGCCCGGACGGCATCTCTCACTTTGAAGAAGATGCATTGGTTCTTGCCGACGGCTCGAAGCTCAACGCAGATATTGTCGTCTTGGCAACTGGATATGATAATATGAGAACGAGCGCGAAGAAGATCTTCGGCGATGTGGTTGCTGATCGACTCAAGGATGTTTGGGATCTGGACGAGGAAGGCGAGGTTAATGCTGTAAGTTTATTCCATCGCAGCTGCCTTGTAAGTATATAACTAACCTATTCTTATAGATGTGGAGACCAAGTGGACACCCCGGCTTCTGGTTTATGGGAGGTAGTTTGGCGCTTTGCCGCACCTACTCAAGATTTGTGGCTTTGCAGATCAAGGCTATTGAAGAGGGCCTTACTCACTAAATTCGGCGTCTTTGAAGCGTATAGAAGCAGAGCATACCGGTTACCATGGTTGAAAGCTCTTTTCTGTTTACCAATATTGCCTATCTTTGCTTTATAATCCCATTAGATTTATTCAATAATGATCATTATGAACTTGACCAGATGTGGGTATTAACGAATACGTGTTTGCTCTGAATATGTATAGCTCTTGGTTTAGATTAGGATTGAATGGCGTGGACGGGAGTAATGGAGCAGTTTCTCGGCCGTCAATATTGGCCGGCCTCTGCAGCAGCAGATACCGGAGTGCCATCGGAGCGTCATACATTCGTCGACTTAGTGTTTGGTAATGTCGTACAATTGTGACGCTCCGCTGGCCCTCTGGGGGCTGTTGCCGGAGGGGCCGACAGAAAACATTGATAATCCGCCCTGTTAATAACTATTACGTATGTTTCATTTTCAAATATTATATTTATATTATTTAGATAGAATTAGGACTAAATAGGATAGAAGCTTACCACTAATAACCGATGGGCCCTCTCGTTTTATTCCAGCTCTATTAGGGTCTGTCCAAGTGTTCAATCGTTGTCAAACGCCTTCGGTGCGACAGAGTACGTGAGAACCGAAGCAAAATTCGGGCATAAAATCACAGCCCAACAGTTCTGATAATCTGGAAAGTAATCTAAAGTTACTAAAAGGCTTTTAAGCTAAGGTAAACCTTGTGATTGATATGATGAGCCAACTTAAATGTCTAATTTTTATTTCGCGCCTATATACTGTCGCTATACTAAGAACTAAAGACTTTGTCATATCCCGTCAAAGTGAATCGATACCGAACATCATTATTCTTCATTCTTGTCACTAAATGATCAATGTTAGCTTCCAGAGACAATCGATTCTTCAAAATTGGAAAAGGAATCTTACCAGCATCAGCTAGTCCTTTTTCCGAAATTGGAATCTCTTCCACCCAACTCTCAATTCCCTTATCGGCCGCCAACTGCAACATAGCCAGCACCTCCTTTCTGGATCCCAAGTGACTCGCACCAATCAAACATCCATTCTCCATAAACATATTCGACTTAACCTCCTGTCCCGAACCCTCTGGCAGCCCCACGCTGATCCATTTGCCGTGGACATCAAGTAGCGAAAGATACTTGCCCAAATCAAACCCATCGCTGCTATTTGCTGTATTTACAATTAGATCAAAAGTCATACGATGAGCCTCGTTCCAGTCCTTGTCTTCAGTGGCGATAAAGCCGTCGGCGCCCATTTTCAACGAATCAGCTTCTTTGGCATGGGACCGTGAAATAACCCATGTCTCAGCTCCGAGGGCTTTGGCAAATAGCACCCCGAAGTGTCCGATGCCACCTAGTCCGACTATGCCTACTTTCTTGCCTTTGCCGGCGCCGTTGCGGACTAACGGCGAGTACGCAGTCAAGCCAGCACACAGCATAGGGGCTACCTGACTAGTCTTGAGCGCGTCAGGAATGGGGAAGACCCAGTGCTGCATCTCCAATTAACCACCGTAGAAGCAAAATTAAAAGACAAACTCCTACCTCATGAGCGCGAATATGGCTCGCATAGCCGCCTTGAGAGATAATTTCCGTTTCGGGCCACTTGGCGCCATAAGTGTCTACTTGATGGCGACAATAGGTCTCGTTGTCATTTTTGCACTGTCTGCAATCGAGACAGGAGAAGACCTGGGCACCGACGCCTACTCTTTGGCCTTGCTTGATAAGAGTGACCTTTGGGCCGACGCGGATGGCCTTGCCGACGACCTCGTGGCCAACGCAGAGGGGGAAATTCTTAGGTCCCCATCCGCCGGTGATGGTGTGAATGTCAGAACCACAGATACCGCAGGCTTGAATTTCTACGTCGACATCGTAGTCTTCGAAAGGTTTTGGTTGGAACTATGGCAATTAGTAAATCTTTGGAATTTGCGGTTTCGGTGATAGGAGAGTTAGGTACTTCTCTCTTATGGAACGTGGTCCATGTCTCGGAGCTATCAACCTGGTAGCCTGTGAAAGATTCTGGATACATTTTGAGGGTTATGGAAAGTTTATTATGAGGTAATGTTTTAGCTGCTGAGATAAAGAGCGGTTCACGAGAACCTCATTATATAGACCTGTACTCTAGAACTGGCTAACAGGGCGGCGGCCGTTGACGTCCGGCCGGGCATCGAAATCCGCAACCGTGGCTTGGTTTGCGGGCGCAGGGACCGAAATCCTCCGGTTCAGTGGAACCGTAGATCTTGTGGAGTAAGGCGGGGAGCGAACTACTCGTAGGACCCGCTATTGAGATCATCTTCTAACGTGTTCCTTGGGTATTTGCTCGTTGTTTTGTTTGTTTGCTATGCTGGCATCAAGTGACTGTCAAACCGGGTATAGGTGGAGCTGAAGAAAATCAACCAGTATAAGCTTAACGTATCACTGATAACCAACCTAGTCTCGTCATCCTTACAGTTGCTATAATTATATAATATAACAAAGGCGCGCCTAATATAATAAATGGCAGGCAGTCCATATAAAATTCTAGGTACTTGCATTAAACAATGCAAGCCAAAACAAAAATACCCGTCAGTTATTGACAACAGGGGTTTATTTGATTTTCACTCGTGTTCAAAGTGTCCTATGACTTGTGCAAGCCTGCTTCTACATCATGGAAATGAGTTACTTTGTCGATTTCTATTTTCAAAATAAATGGCTAAGAACTAGTAAAATCTTCTGAGAGCAGAACAATAGGAGCGGCTATCAATCCTCATTGACAATCAGCACCTTAATAGCCCCCGTCTTAGGATCCGCGGATGTCTCAAATGCCTTTACTGCATCTTCCAACTTAAAACGATGCGTAACAAGCTTATTCATATCGATGATCCCACTCTGCATTAGCCGGATTGCCCTCGGCCACGTATTGGAGTAACGATATTGAAACTGTAAGTCCACCTCGCGCGTACTCAGTCGCATGAACGGAATATTCATCTCGTTCTTCCCAACTCCAATAACAAAGACCTTTCCTCCAAACTTGGAAGCCCAGATCGCAGCTGAGATACTGCTTTCTACCCCGGTACATTCTATAGTGATAGCGGGCTCAATACCACCCATGGCCGACACGATATCCTTGGAGCAGTCTTCTGGAGATTTTCGCTCAATTTTAACAGTTTTCACAGATGGTACGAGTGATTTTGCGATCTTCAGTCGTCCTTCATCGATATCCGTAATCACAATCGGCTCTGCACCCGCTGCGCGGCAGCATAGAAGCGTAGTAAGACCAATAGGGCCAGCACCACAAACAAGCACAGGATCGCCCAGCCTAACACCGCTCCTTTCCATTGCAGCCAAAGTAACACTCAAAGGCTCAAGAAGTGCACCCTCTTCAAACGACATGTCGCCAATTTTGTGGCACCAGATAGCTGGATGATTGAGGTACCTGCGGAGTAGCCCGGGATAGGGAGGCGTGGACATGAATTTCATTTTCTCGCAGCCGTTATATCGACCCGTGAGGCAAGGTTCGCATTCATTGCAGATTAGACCTGGCTCGATAGCCACTCTGTCTCCGACTTTGAGGTGTGTGACGGATGGATGGGCTGCCAAAATGATGCCGGCGCTTTCGTGGCCGAGGACATGATTGCCTTCGACAATCATAGGTCCTATACAGCCAGCATGCCAGAAATGAACATCAGACCTTGAACGATATTAGCGATTTTGGCCCACCGAGTCTGTAGATAAGAACACTCACCCGCAAATACCGGTAGTCTTGATGCAAACGGTGACTTCGCCAGGCTGCAAAGACTCCCCCTTCTCGATATTCTGAGCGTCGGGTAGAGTATCTGCAACCCATAGGTCATGTGCAGGGTTGGTGTACACTCCAATGTTTGGTTTCAGAGAAGACGACATTGTTACTGTGGTTGAAATAAGAATATCGGTCTTCCGGGGATTCCACACAGGTTATTCATTTTTATTCCAAGGGGTCTTCAACGACCTAATATTGCGCTCTACGCCACATAAAATCGTGGCACGAGCTCTTGGCTCTAAGAGCAAGCAGAGTAGTTGCCTTGAAAGATCTCTCCGGTGTTAGAACTCCGACGCTATCAAATCGAGGCATCACACGTGTTGGGAAAGATTTTACTGCGATGTAACTAACTGCCTTCAGTTTCCGATGTACTTAGCTTGACTACTACTCCATTTATGCGGCATCGTATTCCCGTAGAAGTGGGATGCCCTAAGTTTCTGTCGCCTGAGTACAATTGTTCTAACTCCTGAGAATCATGTTCGTGAACTCGTAGTTTGAGGCTGCTCACTTGCTATTTGCCCAGACGGCGAGCGGCGCCCGTCGCCCACCGCCCCATGGAGTTAAAGATCGCCAGCACCAGCAATTTCTGAAGCTACTCCATTGTCCATAATCCCCACAACTCGCTCGTAGACGCTATATTATCTTGACTTATTATTAGTATGGGGTAGTGAGGGGTAGAGCTGACATCTGGTGCGAGTTCTCCGCACGCAAGACATGGCCCGCCGACGGCATTCTAGATGCGTTATTAGACTGTTGTGATGCTGGACAACCCCATTCTTCGTCGACAATCCTTGGCACTTGGTCTCGACAACTCTCGGTTAGCAACTGCAAGGACTCAGGGGATAGACTCAGGGGATAGACTCAGGGGTCAGCCACATATCATCTCCCAAGATACTTGATCTATTACGACGATCCACAACCCCTTTTCTTACTAAGTTTGTAGGGAATTGAGGAAATGCTCAAAGAGCTAGCCTTAGTCTGGATACTGGAATAAAATGCAAATCCTTATCAAGGCTCTGAGTGTGCCTCGGTCACCTGATATTCCCCACCCGACAATACCATTGAGTTTCATGGTGATAATAACAATGAAACAGTAAAAGAAGGCGATACTATTATACATTTTACGAGGGAATGTGAATCCCAACCATGTCACGCGTTATGAGCGAAGAAATACGCCAGGTGAGCATTGACACTCCCGATTCAGGCCCGAGGGCAGAACAGGTCTGCACCGAATGTAAGAGGAGGAAGAGTAGATGCAATCGTGCCTTACCGGCGTGCCTTCAATGTTCGAGGTATCATCGACATTGTGTTTACGAAAAGCAGTGGAAGACTCCTTTGACAAGAAGGCATGAATCAAATCCACCTGCGACTAATGCACGTAAAGCTAATCTGCGTGTTCAGGCATCTCACGGAGGTTGAAGCAGAGCTCGCTCGGGCAAAGGCCTTGCTTCAACAAATTCGTCCTCAAGCAAGAGCCAGACAGCTTCTCTCTCCAACGTCTTGTCAAGTTTCTATTCCGGAAGCTTCAAGTCGGGATTCTCGGAACTTATATGGAAGCGAGAATCCGGTCGCTCTCACGCCTCATGACGAAAGCTCATCGATAGCCGGCCAGCTTCAATCCTTCGCCACCACAGAAACTACTAATGATACAATACGACAAGACTTTGAATCGGATACACAGCCTGTGTCTAGTTCCAATGGGCTGAGTTCCTCGTGGCCGTCATCTGCAGTGCGGAGTCAAGAAGTTCGGCCAAACATGACGAAGCGTGCCGTTGTATCTCTCGAGTCAACTACACCACATGGATTGTTTGAGTGGGATGAGCGAATTGGTGCCCCCGGCGAAGAGAGTTCCCCGGATGGAATGGCTAGTCTCACCAGCGGTAATGATGAGGGTGGTTATCTTGGTATATTCCACCATCTTTTCCAAGTCTGAGAAGTGGCTAAATTTAGAGATAGGAGTTGCTTCTGGGGCAGCACTTTTGCGACTAACAGATACCGGACCATTGAGCTCATCTTTGCAAAAGAACTTTCGATTTTCTGGCTATAATACATCTGTTTTGCATTCGGAGCCTGCTCCGAGCCGGTTAGAAAGTTTTGTTGATGCCTATTTTCAGACATATCACGTATCTTATCCAATAAGTAATTTTCTCCAAGTCGTTTTACGTTCCAACCTTAGCTAATATAGAAGCAGTTCATGAGCCGACCTTTCGAGCAGAGTTTATGGAAGTCATCCAACGACCCCCACACAATGCTTGGCACGTGCTACTTTATGTGATTGCAGCACTCGGTGCATTCTGTGGAGCAGTGGAATCAACGGAAGTAGATCTCGCGTTATTCGAGGAAGCAAAGAAGAGGTTTTCGGTTGATATGCTTGAAACTGGAAGCATTATCCTCGTCCAGGCAATGGCCCTGATGGCAAATTATCTTCAAAAGCGTAACAAGCCGAATTCGGGATATAATTATTTAGGGTTGGCGAGACGTATGGCAATGGGTATTGGATTGCATAAAGAGTTCAATAATTTGGAAACTAGCTTGTTGAAACTAGAACAGAAAAGGCGGACGTGGTGGTGTCTATTCGTGTTCGATGCTGGGGCTACGATCACCTTTTCCAGACCTTTGGATACTCCAACTGGTGGCATCGAGGTCGCCCTACCACTGAACGTTCATGATTTTGTATGTATCCATGGTTGATGAAGTTCAAGTATATTTATTAATAGAATTAGGATCTTACTGCTTCCACAAGCCACATTCCCAATGAAACGGAGCAAACAACCACATATACCCACCTCCGCCTACAGTCAACCTTCCACCTTGCAACTTCTCGCATTTACTCATGTATAATATCTACACCACTCCCTTCAGCAAGTGAGCTCCTTGATCTCGACGATACCTGTATCGGCGAATGGATCACATCCGTCCCAGTCTTCTTTTCCGAGAGCGTGCTCCAACTACCCAAATTCGCACTTTGTCATGCCGCTCTCCATTGGCGATACCGCAACTTCCGTATCCTAATGTATCGACACTTTGTCATCCAGCGCGTTATCCTTAAACCGAAGACCCAGTCATCCACAGCTCTTCCAGTACAAGGGAATTATGAGCTTCCCGTTGCCGACGTTGCGATACAACGCTGTACTGCAGCAGCAGCAGAAAGCATCGATCTTATCACGGCCTTCTGGAACCGCCCGGACCATAGAACTATGATGGCTTGTTGGTACGCACTATACTTCTTGTTTCAAGCTGCTATGATTCCGGTGATATGTCTCCGCAACGATCCACAGGCCGAGGCGGCGCTTCGATGGCGGGATCAGATTCGCAAGAGCACCTTGACGTTAAAGAACATGACGGATCTAAATCCCGCTGCGGGGAAATGCTTAGAGGTTATTGATGTTATTTGCGGGGCATTCTTGGACCAGAATGATGAAGTTCATTTGCAAGAGCCGACGAAGGAAAGTCCACAGACTCAGCTAAATAGTCTGTATCCGTGGCTCTGGACGCCGATTCGTTCTGGACAGTTTGATGTTGAAGATGCTGCTATGTGAGTTTTTCATTGTCTACTACGGTTCACTTGATATCAAATAGCTAACTTGACATTGAGATATAGGCAAGATTCGTCGATTATGGACTTTTTCGATCAGCTTCAGGCACTAGAATAAAATGTGGAAACTTACCACCCAAATTCAACATTATTCTATTCAGTTGACTGGCTATAAATTAACGTTTCATATAACCAAAGAGCAGGGAATGAACAACCATACTGCAGGTAAGTATGTTATATAGAACCTGATATTGATCCAAGAGGATATTATACGGAATTTCTTGCAACACCTGTTCGAAGAATATATTTCTTGAAAAATAAGTCCAGATTTGTAACCTAAGGGGCATATAATAATCTATGAAATATGCCGCGAAGACAGTTCTCGAGCTTAAGGCAAGGTATAACCCTGTTTCCGCAGTTAGCAATTGCCGCTAATTTGAAGTAAAACACTCTTACTCCATCAATGACGAGGTTTGCTCCTGTCATATAGCTTGATGCATCTGAAGCACAGAAAACGTATGCCTACAGCAGTCATTGTCAGTCGAGGAACGTATTAGAGCATGAGGACCCAGTGTATTCTCAAAACCAACACTTACCCCTTTCAACTCATAAGGATCACAAAGCCGCTGTGCAGGAATCAAAGTAAACCACTTCTGCCTCCACTCTTCCGGATGCGTCGCCAACATATCCGTGGCGATGAACCCAGGCGATACGCAATTAACCCGGGCAAAATCAACCCATTCCACAGCTAGTGATTTTGCAAGGTGCACAAGAGCAGCCTTCGAAGCATTATACTACCGTCTATTAGCTCATTTTCCTTCTTCTGAAAGACCACATTAAACTCACCGCCGCCTGTTTCTGCGGAATGTTGACTAAAATCGCGCTCACGCTCGCTGTGAAAATGATATTACCCCTTCCCTGCTTCTTGAAAATTCGGGCGGCAGCCTGCGCTGTGTAGAACGCGCCATCGAGGTTCACGCTCATGACTTCAGAAAACTGAGCTGGTGTGTAATCCTCAGCAGCGGAGTAAGATGCGATTCCAGCATTGGCCACGACGATGTCGAGATGGCCGAAATCGAGCTCGATTTGCTGCAGTGTCTTCTCGATGCCGGCGGCGTCGGTGACATCGGAGCGGTAGCACTCGGCTCTGATGTTGTTCTCGGAGGCGATTGAGGCCGTGATTCCAGCGGCATCGTAGCTGGTCGAGCTGTAGATAATGGCGATCTAGGGAGGCTTGTTAGAAAGGAGTGAGAATCAGTCTAGGGTCATTGGACGCACGTCTGCGCCTGCTTCGGCGAGGCCACGAGATATCTCAAGGCCAATGCCTCGAGCGCCGCCTATGATGCAATGAAGTCAGCTGGATGTTAAATATATGTAAGTGGACTTAGAGCCGAACCTGTAATGGCGGCCACTTTCCCCGTTAACGAAAAGACCTTTGAAACATGCTTATTATCAGGCTTTTCGAGGACCATGATGTATATTAACGACGTAGTTAAATCAAGAAAAATAATCTTCGGATTTTACAAGGGCCCATTGTATGCACTCGAGGGGATGTATCTCAAGTATTAATCATCTCCTACTCGCTCCATGATCGCCGTGAACCGGTGGTGGGGTTCCGAGATGCGGGGATGGATCGCCGTGCCTGCTATTTCCGGGCGAGTGTTCACGTAGGTACCTTGGTAGGTTCAAGGTACCTGGAGGTAGGGAGGTAGGCTCACATAGTATGCGCCGTCTTTGCTCAAGTACGGCTCGGCGCCTATAGGGGCCAGCTTCTAAATTATTGTAAATTCTACGCTCTAAGTCATGCAACAGTTGTTTTTCAATTTGAATGAACCCATCACGAGCTTAATTAGCACAGAAAGTCACGTGCTGACGTTTCCACAGCACCTTGTCAAGTTCGGATCTAAACAGGTGCTATACCCAAATGGGAAAAGTGAAAGTGGGTCTAGCCCCGTTCTCCCGGCTCATGACTTTTAAAAGTTTTATAAAACAGAATAAGCTGTAAGTGGGCAGGCCTGGATTCATGGGCTATCAGGCACGGGCCACGCGCCATCAACAAGATTGTCAGACTCAAATCCACAATATCATTAACAAATAACTTTTAATCCAGGAGCTAGCTCTACTCCTAAAATATACAGTGTCAGATTAATCCAAAGTAGCTCGACCAACTAATATGTTAAAATTACTAGCTCAAACTAGCTAGTTTCATTCCAGTTGGCTGAGTTGGTCTTACTGTTAGTTACTCAGGCTCCAACCAGAAATCGACCAAAATGTCTTGCCAGTCTCTGTTCTCCTCCCTTTACCTTTCCACTCTTCGAAGCTTGGTGGCTAGCCACTGTAATTGACAGTCTACTCAACTGAGCTAAATAATTACGTTTACAAATGCTCTACACAAATAATTCAAAGCCCTTGCCCATTATTACAGAACCATACCTCTGACATACGTGGGATGCGTTGTGTCACTCTCAAACAATGCTGCCTTGACGAGACATACGAAGCCGGACCACAGTGAAACTGTGTTCGCTTGCAAAGTCTGCGATTAGAATTTCAATTGAAAGGACTCTCGCGATCGACATGCGTCTAACTGTTGGGAATGACTCCGATCCAAAAGCCGAAACGCTATCAATCTACAATGGGCTGAGATTCATATTCCTACTCAGATAGGGAGTATCATGGGTGTTAAAGACTGGCAAATCAATGATGTCATCATGTGTCCAATTTGTGGGAAACTAGTAATATGGCGATATCATATGCAGACTCGCAGTCGAGAGTTCAGGACCAAAGCAGCTTATCTCAGCTAGCCTGATCATCGTAAGTAAGATTTACCACATCGTTATGTGCTTTAACTTCCCTTTCAGCCAATTACACCTAATCTAACCTCTGATATCTTATATTATTTTCGTCAAGTTTTAACGACGATGCTCTAGGAGCCCAAAGAAGTTCCCAAGGAACCTAAAGTGGACACTTTCTGAAAAGTGAACTGCGGCCTAAGGATTAGCTTGGTTCAGAACATTGTTGCCTTGTGGCTATCTGGTCTCAAGAGGTTGAGACATCGTAGTTGACGAAAGACTTGCACGCCCACGCGATAGCCTTCTTTGTCAGTTCTTAGGTCTTTGACCTCAGGACTATAGCCGATATATTTAGACGCTTTTGTTACGGGCGTGATGTTGTACTGCAACGTTTGGTATTACACAATCGGCGCTGCTGGAGCCGTACTATGTCACACAGAGAACAATGAGGTCTTCAGGAAAGTCCAAACTTACTGTATGGCGAAAATCTGCGAGTGTAGGACGAATCCGAAGTCCCTCTATAGAGCAGACAGAATAAAAGCGCAAATAGTGTGAATGCGACCGCAAAGAGAGTAAAACGACAGAGCCAAACTAAGGCCTGCGAATCCTTGGTGTCTACGCAAAAGAGGCTTCAAAGCGTGTGTCACGGCGGTTGTTCTAGAAGGCTTTTCTGAGATGAGACGTTCCTCGGTGGAACTGGTTGATAAGACTTTTCCATCTCGCTCAAAACCTTTACCGGGTCAATGGACTTGGCCAAAACGTCCGGAGATATGGGAATGGGAAGCTAGAGATACGCGAAGACGTCGATGGGAAACGAAAGCACAGAATAAGCCACTATGTATTTTTACTTGCTCAAAATATTAGAGACACTGTAGAGGAGCTAGAAGGACCCTCAGGATTATCAGGAGGAATCGTGGATAAAATAACCAAAAGACTACAGTCAAGGTACTGGTCATCAATTGGGCGGTAGGCGCGGTGTCGGATTATCGTCGTTTGGTCATTTGGCTAAAGAAGTCTAAACCATGGTTTAATGTTCTTTTGAGGAGGTGAATATTCAGGGCGCACTCAGGTACTGGCATTCCAGGACGACTAATAGTCACAAGATCCAGTCACTAATGTAAGTATAGCAAATTAAGCTTGTATTCGTAATTATCCTAACTGGCCAGCTTCTCCCTGGTCCAGTTGCATTGTGGTGAATCGCATGTATTGACGTACGTGTGTGTAAAGGGGAGAGTGAGTGCTAGGAGCTTATATGCCCAGGTGGCTCCACTTATCCACGTGCTAATTCTAGTACAGGTGACAATAAGATAAATAATTGGTGGTCCCTTGGATCCCCACCACAACACTAGAAGCAAGATTGTGGGCTCAAGGGCGGAAGATACTTTAGAGCACGTCGGTGGCGATGAGCACAGCCCAAACGAGACAGAGTGCCGCGACACGTATGAAGCGGCAATGGGAGTAAAGGATTCCCGGAAGTGTGAGCGAGCCCTAAGATGGAGACAAGGTCACAGATGATTCATGTTGTGTTTTACACGAGGACCAATGGGGTGGCCTCTATTGTTTGATGCGTTGAAGTTTCGCTAAGCTACGGGTCCGGAGGATGTGTGATGGGACCCTGGAAAGATCTTGCCAAAACGGGAGCTCTAAGCCGTGATCCGCAACAGGGTCAAAAAACCCGGTCTACAACACAACAGCTCTTGGTTCGCCTTTGGAGACCAATTAATACCGAACCTCTGTTTTGAATGTGGTATAATCCGAACAAGACTACCTATCAGAGATCAGGATCTTGCAGGCTGCGTTTGATTCAACTCAGTGGTGTTCCATATGTTGTCGTATTCGCATACTAACTACTCGTACCTATGTTCTATAATACAAATTGTATTATACAATTGTACGTGGGTGTGTGGTAGGTCATCTCGATTAGGCCGAGTGCCGTCTCTCCGGCTGGAATACATCCGGAAATGCCTCGATATCTAACACTACCTAATCTACACATTTACTTATATATACGTACCCTTCATCTTATCATAGTTATCCGTTTGTCTTCATCTCTATTGCACATCATCGCTTGACGCGACAGCTTTCTCTTCTCTTCTTCCATTCACCATTTCCGGTTTCCCGCAAAACTTCCCTCCTCCCTTTTAAAATTCATTGAAATGCATTCCTCTTCTGTCCTTCTTGTCGGAGCACTGGCCGCTCAGGCAATGTGCCTCGGCGTCACGCCCTATGGTGGCATCGTCCAACGATACGCTGTTAGTCACTTGCGAATATCACCATAGAGAATAGGGTTAACTTTTGCAGGCCCCATTGGCAGTCATCGCTATGCCAGCTGTCGGTATGCCTTTGTTTGGCAGCGTTGAGAGTAGAGAGGTAAGCTACCACGACACAGCAATACGTCGAATGTCCGCTAACATAGTGTAGCCAGTTACCAACAGCAACACCAACATCAACGACGGAGACTCTAGCATTAGCATCACCAAGAGCAATGACCCAAACGCCGTCAATACCAACATTAACAACGGAAAGGCTAAAACCAACAAAACTGGTAACGCTAACAACGGCGGAACAACCAACACTAACACCAACACCAACAACGGAGGCTCTAGCACTAGCATCACCAAGAGCAATGACCCAAACGCCATCAATACCAACATTAACAACGGAAAGGCCAGCTAGATCCTTGGTCGTGGCATGGGTTAATGTTCCGGGGAGCGTTGTACGCGACTTCGCAACAAACCAAACGTCAAGTATTGGGATACAGAGAGGTGGGGTTAACAAAAAGATCAAGGTACCTGCAAGTAGTCTAGTTGTGATTAATATACTCTGCAGTTGGCTTAACTTCCGCGTCGCCACCTATTCCAAGTAATCAGTGATATGAGAGTGTCGATGTGGGTGTCAGCATCCAATTCTGAGATTGGCCATGTATAGATCTGTCTTGGCTGCGTGGCTCCTATTGCAACCTCACATCATACGTGTCGCGGTGCCTCGGCCGTGTAAATTATGCCTTTCTCAAACTAAGCACGCGCAATTGACATATATCGCCGTATGAGCAAGCTGGAGCCATCTAGGCTCCGACTGGGTCGCCGCAAACAAGACCTAGGCCCTGGGCAAAGAATCTGCCCTACCTAGGACGACGATGCCATGCCGGATGGCTGGGTCAGCGACCCGGGACTAAAGATAAGCGTCGGAACGGGTGCGCAATGGGCGAGGTGGGCGGCGATGCATCGTGTTGCAAGAGATAGATCATGAGGACCAGCGGGCTTGGTAACTGCTGGGGTATCTGAGTGAGAACTACGGAGCTTGGAGGGCTGCAAAGACGATTATTGGGTATTGGGGATCGTGTCAGAATGGGCTAGGTCATCACGCTCCTCGACGACAAAGTACATAGACCAGGATGGCACAGACAAGCCCTCTGACATAAATTTACCACAACGGTCCGACAGACAAGGGTCGCTTTCGTAGAACCAGCATTAGCTACGTTGATCCTAGTATCAAGCATACTATGCTGTCCAGCACTGTGTTAGGAAAAACCTCAGCCGATATCAAGGCTAGCATAGAGAAGAATATCTATAATGCTCGACGAAAGATTCGAAAGAATAAGTCAATAACAGAGCTTCGGGGAGACGGTGAAGGCCATTCCTTCAACTTTGACTATGGTCTCTGTTCTACTTTAAGGCGGCCAAATGCTTGCTGACATGACCAGACGCGCCAGGTTCGATCAGCTTGGAGGTAAAGTGTTATAAGTCTGATAAGCAGCCTATTTTGTATACAATCCATCAAATTGTAAACCAATCGACTTTAAAAAGCCTATTGCTGAGTCCTATCATCACTGGGGTCAAAAGAAGACTGGCTCACACATCTGGATTTGCCATGCCCTACGATTCCTGCTGACGTTTGGTTTAGCTGGACATTTTGAGCGTCACTTACGACTAAAATATATATGTGGTGGACTTCGGTGGTACTGCGTGAACCCTAATGTGAAGGCAGGTCTTGGACTGGGCAAAAAAAGGCCAATATCGAGCACCATATTAAGCGGAAACATTCCTGTACTCTTGCCTCTTCTTGGAACAAACTACAGCTTGAGAATCCAGGGAGAATACAAGATCATCACGGCAGCGGATTGAATTCGAAGCGGATCCTTGCAATCTAAAGTGGCTTGACAAAGACTCAGGGAACCTATTATCTGCCGTCTATATTATAGTGGTTGTAAAACGAACAGTATTTTCCTCCACGCAGGGGAGGCTTGTTTGTGGTAGCAAGTGTTACGACGATGCCACCTTTTACTGGGCAAGCTATCTCGCTATCCACATGCGGAGAGGCTTTACGGATATGAACAAATTTCGTTGCCAGTGCTCGAGAGAGCATCCATATCTCAAAGGAATGTCGAGAGGAGGGGTAGAAACCAAGTGTCCCAACACAATGGCGTGCCTCATACAGATGCATAACATTAAACTATCTAATCAAGCTATGGCCGTAAAGAGTGCTTTGGCAAAGTCACCTGAGACGGTCCTTTTTGTCGAGGTTGAAACAGCTTAAAGAGGACAAGGCGCTGAGCTACTTGTCCCTGAAGTGAGCGTTATAAATGGTACCGGTCAAGTTATTTTAAGCACACTCGTCAATTATGGCCACGCTGTTACCGAGTTTCTAGCAAAATACGCACTAAAATGCGACGAATTATCCCAGGTCAGCTGCGATCATCAAAGTTTATGGACCAGAACGTAACGAGAAAATAAACGGCCTTACACCATATCAGGTTGGGGAACGACTCAAGACAAGTGGGATGTGTCCTGGTTCTATCTTTCTGAAGTGGAGCTCTAGCCGTTTTGATTGGAATGCTATTCGAAGACTTATGTAGAAGGCTGGGGATACGACATGCATGTCGCTCTTGAAAAATAACTGGATGGTGTTGCAAGAGTGGGTGCGCAACATACTAGGTTTAAAGTGCAAATTAGAGTTTAGTTTTCCTTTACTTTTTCCAGTGATGTACTTATTGGTTAGAACTATCGGTTTCTACTAGATACTCAAATGCTATTGAAGGTGGCACTGAGGTTATTCGAAGTCGCATCATGGTCTATGCACTCCATTTTCACTTTCTCCAGTCTTAATATATTTTACTACGTTATGATGATATATAATCCGATATAATATTTGCGCAGTATTCCGTCATGGAATTATATTTAATTGTTGTGTGTATATGGTGAGAGTTTCTTGAGAAGAACATAAAAGATGAGGAGGAAGAGGGGGCAGAGGAAGCTAAAATGAACTAGAAGGATAGTGCAGAACGCTTTATTAAAGTAGGAAAAAACCCCTTTGCGAGCACCTATCTCTTACGGATAGTAGTCAAGGAAGTCTGACCCGTCAACTCTAGGTAATATTGGGTATATTCTCTGCCAGTTTCGCCCAGAGTATACCCAGGTAGTCATCTGTTTCCTATAATTACTAGTAACCCAGATGCTCTCGGACTGGCCGATCTGCACGTATTACGTATTTGGGCAATTGACCCAGATCATGGAATCTCAGGGGCTTAGCAAAAGGCCTAAGCTTCAATAGCAGCTTCGCCGTCTTCTTTGTATATTTATTTACCTAGAAGTACAAAGTGGGGTTTATATTTGATTGATTGCTTCTTGAAAGCCACTCCACCTTCAATGTGATAAACGAAACTATTTTTACCGCTGTTGCTCAATTAAGCATCGTTCTTGAGATTTTGGACATCTGGGATCGTGCTAAAGGGGGCTTATGAGCACTAATATTTTATTGGTATAGAATGCACGCATACCTACGTAGGAGGGTTGGCTGACCGCGACTATCTCGGTGGAAGCACGTCGCCGGGAGGCAAGTGGGGACCATACCCGCTCTTTTGGTTTACCCCGAGGGATTTCACGCCTGGGTTTTTGGCCACCTCGTCGCGCTGAGCGGTGGTCACTGGAACAAGTGAAGTTAGTAATTACTCAAGCCGCCATTTTAGAATCCAGGAGGGGAGAACAGCGGGGAAAACAACTGACTGAAGCATAGCCAGTATCGAATCTCATCATCCAAGATAAAAGGTGGCCTAACACTTTGTTTGCCAACCAGATTTTGGAGGAATTGTTCAGTCTTATTCGTTTCTACTTGATTTTTGCCGTCCATGGCGAAGACCATATACTCATCCGCTGGTGTTTCCTGTCGCTGGGCTAGTCATTCAACCGTAGGCGTATCGCGGATGTTTCGAGTGGCCGCTGGTGGGGGTGGAGGATGGAACTCATTAACATGGTCGATACCATTATTGCCTTGCAATTGGAAGACTTCCTCAGGGGAGGCTTCCACGGTCCAGTGCATTAACTGATCCTTAACATCGGTCCAGGGCAAAAGGTCCTCAGCACCGACAATTTGCCGGATGAAGTCGCTAGTCTTGGAAGTATCGGCGCCATTCTTTGGAAAGACTGTGTAATATGATTTGCCTAGGGCAGGCTGCGGGGCAGACTGACTGTCAAGTCGAGGTAAATCAGTAGCTATAATGCAGCCGACAAGGTAAAGGATAGATAGAACAAATTGCAAAGACCCCATGTTGAAAGATTGAGTTAGGAGAATCAGGGAAGACGATAAATAAGATAGAATAGCACCAAAATTGGGAGGCGGCTGATTGGACAGGAGGATTGATTCGTTGATGCATTCACGTCTCCTAGACTTGTAGAGCAGGACGAGGTCTTTATAGCTCATCACTATCGTTCTACGCCCGAAGGAATATATCTGCTGCTATTTCTAGCGAGTTAGACAAAAACTATGTAGACATCTATTCCCATTTCTATCACCGGGGTTAGAAGCATAAAGGAGAGAACTGTGGTCTCGTATAAGGTGCTTACCAAGAACCGATTCCTTCGATCTGTGCCATGAACGGATCCATAGTATCTAATGTTGCTAGTCAATGTAAGAATAGAGGGGTGCTGAGAAGTGAGCACTGCATACGGCACAGGATTCTCAGCCCGGCACAGGTTTATTTGTATTACCCGAGGGCTCTATTGTAATTGGTCATAGAGAACATTGCTGAGACCGTAAATGTTTGATAGAAAGAGGAGTGTCTAAATTAGGAGGCCAAATCTCGATATACAATTGCTGGAAGGATTGGGCTATGCTGGCGAAATTAGTGTTTGAGGCAGGGAGAGGGGAAATTATCCCTATATCCCTCAAGCGAGAATATCTCGAAATAGCTTGAATGTCAACCCCAAACATCGTTAAAATAGCAAGAAATCTTGACTAGGTTCAAACTGGTATAGCCTTTTCCACTCCTGAACTTTCGAAATTATACCGATTGCAGCCTGATGAAGTGATGTGTGAGACGCTTAAAAATAGAAAATGAAGAGCCCGGAGGAGAAGAGCAAAAATATTGTTACATACTCGGATAATAATTTCTCGTGATTTTGTTTAGCTCGTTGATTTTACTTGTAAAGATATTCATAGTTTCAGAATCATGCAAGTCCTAAAAACGCCTTGCGAGACTAGCAACCTATGTTGTACATTTCACTTATCCAGTTTAACCTAAGACCAGTACGGACCGGCGCAAACTAGTCTGTCTAACACCGACGCATAAACTCAGCAGCCCCCATCGCTGAAACCACTTTAGCATCCGCGGATAGAATAGGAGGAAGTTTGCCAAGATAATCATTCAAAGTCTCCTTCAAAAAGTTCATAAAATTCCCGTACACCACATCACCTGTAACTATGATTGTTTTTGGTCTGTTAAACAGAGGGTATTTATCCATAATCTCTAGCAGAGCCCCTTTAACGTCAGCCCAATAATCCTTCGGACTTGAGTATCCGGAGATAGCATCGCTACCAAGAGTGAAGTTCTCGGTCCGCCGATAGTTTGGTTCCCACGTGGAGAAAGCCGTGTGGACTTCGGCCAGAGATACAGTGAGCGCGTTGTGGCTGTAGTGAACACCCAGGACTGTGGTGTCCGGCAATGTGCTCTCCTCGTCCCAGCATCTACCCTCGTCTCTCCAATGCTTACATATGCCAAAACCGTACCCCGCGTACGCAGCAGCCGTCTCCCAGAGAATTGGCTGGAATTGATACCTTGGAGTCACGTATTTAATGCCGACATCAACGGCAACATCTTCTAGATCGTCCTGGTATAATGCAAGGAGATGAGAAGAGGTGAAAACGGCCTCGGATATGCTGATGCTGAAGTCGGATTCTAACTGTGATCGTAGGTGCTTAATGGCTTGAGCGAGAACACCAACTTCATATGAAGCCGGTAGGCCTATAGTCTTGAGAGCCATGCGCGCACCCCTCCGAGGCATGTCGGCCCAGAATTCTCCATCATCGTCATACGGCGGCCTTGAAGGGAGTATATTAGCCCTCGATATAGGATGAAAGCAATGCCTTACATACGCAATATGTTGCGAAGATTGTAGAGACAACTTCGCCATCACCTGCTGATACATGTACCCTGGCTCGTATACTCGAGTATGTGTCCGCAACCTCCCGTCGGCGCCTTCAAAAATGACGGCCGCTGCTCCATAGGAGCTTTGGAGACTAAATCCAACACTGAATTTTGACTCTTCGTGGGAGCGGAGCGGCTGTTGGTCACGACTCTCAGACGACAACGCCGACGTAATCGTGATAAGGGAAGCTAAAGCCAGGAGAATAATTCTTAATTTGAAGGAGTTTCGGGGGGACATTGCTTGCTACGATTGATTGATCTGTGATTGAGCACAGTTGGTTTCGACGATTGATCTGTTTCTGAGTAGACTTGGATTAGCCGAAGTTGTTTGGATATAGTGACTGAAGTTATTACCATTGGTGATCAAATAGGGTTGAAACAAATTGTCCTAAGAATGAGCCATAGGGCTGTGCCGCCAACATCCACGCTTAAGGTGAAACTGTGACACGCGAAGCTTACGAGTACTTCCAACCTTAAATATCCAATGACAACTTCCCAGTAAGCGCAGAGCTTTCTAAGCCACTTCCTCATAAATAGTCTAGTCCTATGTTTGAGCCATAATTTTAGATCATAACGCTCAAGAGCAATCGTAGCCGGTTGCAAGTAACACAAGGGAGGCTGACTGCCCTAGACGGAAGGCCAAAATTTACGGTACTATAGGAGGCACAAGGTAAAATTCATGTATTGAACGCCAACGCTGGAAGGACGAAGCTGAATACCAGGGCTCTAAACAGATAGGATTTATTCCTACGCTGGAATTGCTCCTTTTACCATTTGCTCATTGGTCCCCCTTACGAAGTTACGATTGAAGAGGATCATCGCAATGCCTCAAAATCCTGAATGCCTCTACATGTCTTACGTTGAACATAAGCATTCGCTCCTTAATAAATCCTGTCCCACACTCCCCATTCCGTCCCGACTAAGCCTCCACATTACATTTATAGTAAACACCATTCACTTATGCACTATTGTTGTTTTGAGCTTATTTGTTTTAATCGAACAGCGAGACAAGCTGCGTGGTATTTGATATATAACTTATACTATTATAACCCTCAGAAATTCGAAGGGGTTTAATAACTCAACCTTTCTGAGGCTTTCTCTTGTGTGTCCAAAATGGGCTTTCATCGTCCAATTGAGGCAGCGCTGATGGTTCTAGCCCTTGTAGAACCAGGTCTGTCGTTTCCACAACCTACTCAACCCAACGAAGCTTCTTCGGAAGTCAAAGTCCCCCCGAGGGGTGTGGCTGTGGAATGGGCTGTTATCGGAGATTCATGGGCATCTGGCGTGGCCTATAACCTAAGCAATGTCTATGGACGTACCGACTCTGAGGCTTGCTACCGCACCAAGGAGTCCTGGGGGGCGCAGATGGAGCAGGACAAATCATGGTCTCGTGATCCCCAGGCGTTCAACTTTGCCGCCTGTGGTGGTACATTAATGGATGATCTTGAGCGTCAAATGAAAGAAAAGGCCGGAAATCCGGAGCTTGTCTGGGGCATGTTTGGGGGCAACAACGCATACTTTGGTGCTATTGCGAGGGCTTGCATCTACCAGCCCATTGACCCGGGCCACCCATTTGGCTGGGGTAAACCCTGGGATGAGGATACGGGCGGGACGGGCTTGTGCAAGCAGAATATCCAGAAGGCGGAAGACTACCTGAAAAAGCCCGATTCCATGCGCAAAACATTTACAAATGCATTGGATGACATCCTCAAGGTCGCTCAAGATAAAAGGGCACTAAATTATCCCTTCGACCTTTATGTTAGCTCCTACGTACGTTTTTTTGATGACACCACCGATGACTGTGACGGGTGGACTTTTGCCCATGATAGACTCAGCGTCGGCCAGCCAAAGGTTGTAAAAGGCCTCAGAAAGATTATCAACGATAAGGTTCAGCTGGTCAATGATATCCAGGCCGATGTGATCAAGAACTACAAGCCACCCGCCACTACTCCAAAGCTCCCCAATGTCCATGTTCACAACTTCCAGCCCGACCATCTCTTCGATGGGCACCGTTTCTGCGAGAAGAGTCGAACGTTTGAGGATCAGTATTACCACATGGACCTGTGGCTCTGGAATCTGCAGTACTATGATGAGAAGACAGGGGAGGAAGTGGGTGTAGCAATTGAAAAGAACGGCGTCAAAGTCATGGCGTCCCCAGCTGGCGTTAACGTGACACAAGGTTTCCAAACAGTGCTGGGCGCGGACACCAACCCCGACGCTGCAATTCCACAAACTCAAGATCCCCATACCCAGCAATACGGATTCGGCTGGACCGCTCGGCCATTCCACCCCAAGTTTGAAGGTCACAAAGCCCTCAAGGACTCTTTTATCCAGCAAATGAAGGATGACAAGATTCCCAGTGTCAAGTCGGCACCAAGCCCGCCAAAGCCCCAGCAGAAACACGAGTGCAATGGATTGGGAAATAAGAAGTATGTTTCCCACGACATCGTCAAGGATAGCATCGAGAACCATTTCTGTCCTGATGCTGTCAGCAAAGGACCGATTGAACAGAAGTATAACGAAGGCACTCCAGAGGAGGTGATAATTAAATTAACGGGTCCGGGTGGTTTCAAGCCAAGTAGCGACGACTGCAAAAAGTATCTTACCGGGCAAATAATTGATGCTTGCGATGGTAACGACCCTAAGAACCCCGAGAACTACAAGGGCGGCGGAAAAGAAACAATTGGCGATGTCGTATACGAAGTCCAGCCTCAATCTCTACGACAACCAGCAGATAAGGGGAAGCAGTATGGATGTGATTCTAGCTACAAGTTTCTTTTCAACGAATATACGGTCTGGGGCCATGGGTAAGTCAATTTTCCGTTTTTCCCCTTATAAGTCTCCAGGGTCGTCTTTAGTTAGATGCTTCGGGAAGATTTATTCAAGCCTCTAGAAAATTGTCTCACAGATTTGATACTAACTTCTTGTGGAATAGATTTGATAGTGCAGATCATGGTGATGCACTGAAAGGGCAGTTGAAAGGCTGTGCTCTATTACCTGATACTTGGCATTTCGATTACGGGCTTGGGGATGACGGGCGTGAATGGACGGCTAAATTTAGAACTGGAGTTTTTCAGAAAAAATGTACTGGACATGCCGTGAAATCTGCAGGTGCACCAAATGACAGTTGTTCAGGTTCTGGATAACGCGTTATGATTTTGTTAAAGGCTGTACAATGAGTTTCAAATTTGGAGTTCTCATTATTCCGGGTTCAACTAATGTTTATATTTGTTGGAATCTAACTCTTCATAGTGCCAGAAGGCTACCTCGGAATTTTCCCCCTATCCGTTAAAGTCAAGTATATAAAATTAGACATTGATTGCTTGTTTTGCCGTCGTCCTCGATCTAAATCGATTCTATCTTTAGAACTATACAGTGCTTCGCCTAAAACTCAGCTGAAATATGTTCTCTGGTGTTACTGTTTGTATGCTGTAATTAGTTAATGAGGAGGCTTGATTCTCGCTAAGATGGAAAAGGGGGTGATTTACTAATTCGCCTAACCCCTCAGGCTTTGAGGCCAAGGTGACTAGGCCGAATCATGTAACCTCGCGCTGCTTACTCAGCACTGATCCGATCCGCAAGGTACGACACCAATTCTCTTCCCCAACAGGAGAAGCCTATTCAGATTTAGTAATACTATATGCCTGATTCTATATAATTTCTAGTTAGATTTTAGCGGAATAAGACATCACTTCGCGCTCAGCTACTAACCCTACTACTTGAGAGAACGACTAATACACGTTATGTAGAGAGGGGCTCAGAGGGCAAATAGAAGGGCATCGGGACTAGCGGTCGGTGACGGTGTTGAGGAAGGAATGGGCGGTGGCAGGCTGATGCCCAACAAATTTCTCCAACTGTGAACAGCAAGCAAAGAGCTTTAACCCTACTGTTTCCTGCGAGTCTTTCGCGCATCGACAATAACTACTAGCGTTCGGGTCCGGCGACTCCTTTTATGACCACGTACATTAGACTCATCAATATCTTCCCTCGACCCAAGCGGGAGCGATGGGGTTATTGGAGAAGATACCAGGTCATTGGGTGAAGTGCACACGCTGCCCGCAGCGGAAATTTGCACCAAGGAGTCATATTGATTGTTTGGCGGGAATCTCGTCTAGTACCCCGCTAGTAATTTATGGTTTGGGTCCTCTTCGTCGTCGTAGTCGTAACTATTATTATCTGTAGAGTCGGTAGGAACGTTTGGAGAGAGAGGAGATTGATTATTTGTAGACCACTTCTCGTTTAGATCGTCCCTCAACTTCTCTGAGGTTTCTTTAGCATTATCCTGCAGATTCCTTAACCGCTGGCGGCTTTTCTTGAAATCATCGTAGCTTGATAGGAGGAAAGAGCTAGAGGTAGGATGTTGATGGTATTTGACTTGGCCCTGGGTGTCGGATGAATAGTGCGCAAAGGTATTGAGGGTAGTTCCATCGGTAGTAAAAGTATGAACATGTGCAAAGCCGGCAGGATCAGGAGTTTTAAGAAATGAAAGGGCTGCGTTCCTCCCGTGAACCATGCAAGCACCATCGTACGCTGCTTGGGTTTCTGCCAGTATCATGTTCTTCCCAGGGCCTTTCCATTCTCCGGCTAAATGGGGCAAGGTTAGAGGGTCTCGCTCTGAAGTAGGAACGGCAGCCCCTCCAAGCTCTTGGCGGACGGGAAATGGATCGAATTCCGTCATCTCAAGGCCTTCGACCATATCTGGCTGTGTAGCTGATAGTCCGTTGTTGAACCCTACATTTTTTGGGAAGTCGTTAAAAGCTTGATTATAGACGCGACCGTATCCTCGTTCATGTCTCTTGAGCAATGTGGATGTTTCGAATACCATTGTTTGCTCATTAGGAGCTCTCCGTATCCGATGGGCAAATTCCCTATACACTGACTCGCTCGGCGATATTGAGTTACGTGGGCTGTCAAGGCGATCTTGATGGGAACTAAGATTTTCATGGGGTACAGAGTGGTCTGGATCAAGGATACCATTCTCAAATGCAAGACGTGGAAAGCTAGAATCTGTCGTAGGCACTGTCTTGTTTGTAGATCCAGTTGTGGTTGAGGATTTGGACTTGGACTTGGTTTCTGAACGAGATGGATTTGTATCCGTTCGTTGTTGTCGTCCCATTTTTTCAAACACTTTCAAATTTTTCTCCGTTAGACGGGCACGTTTTGGCGGGGTTTCGGCACCGATCTCGACATATCTATCAAGTCTTCGGCTCCGCCTCTGGCAGTTATGAGTTTGTGGTGGACGAATATATTCTGCATGTCATACACGTATTAGCACGGTTCATGTCGAAAACAATGACCATAACCAACCTTGAAGCTGTGCCCTTGAAGATACTGGCGGCGATACCTCAACAGGACCCGAAGTTGGCACACGCGTGTATGAGGTTGCTACAAATGGTTGTAATATCTGAGGGCCGGTTGGTCGTTGCTCGGAGGAGCTTTGAGATACGTAGGAAGATTCTTGGACGGGAGGGATTGCCAGAGAGCGCTGCCTTGATTGTATCCGGGAGCTTCGTCTCCGCAACACTATCTAATATTAATATCTTCGGAATCATCCTACTGAGAAGAGAAGAAATCAAGCCTACATGACGGAGCATGATGTGGATCTGCCAGCGGTCGCCGAGGAGCCCGACCAGTACGACTCCTTGTGGACGGTGGATTCATCGGGGACATGGGAACTGTGAGCAACGCGCGGTATTGGTTGTTGATGCTAGGTGCGGAGGGTCGGCCAGGCCGATAGCCCAAACATCAGAACGAGGTGTCACATCCAAGACGTGGTGGTTAGCTGGCGGGTTTTGTTTGCTCGCGTACACGATCTTAAGCATGGACTGTATACGGAGCACTCGAGACCAATCAATCCATTGGGAATTTGATCGGTCGCGACACGAGGATGCTTTGTTGCAGTGGTGACTGGGCTGGTCGTTGCCGGTATGGGAATACCTCCCTACCACTATAGTGATACCTTTTGAGCGGCTTTTCATTAGCTTTTGGCGGGGATCAGCTATTGCGGCACGCTCAGCTAGCAGCCCTACCACTACAGCGAGCGACCGACGCACATGGGGTATGCTACGAAGGTAGGTAGTAGGTAGTTGAAAGTGGTATTGCGCAGTATTTGAGAATGGATGCAAGGGCTCCAACTACGGATGCTGGCGTTCGCTATCGTAGCGGTCAGAATACCGTAGTCAGCGGCAAGCTACGCCCTACTGGGCTGAGTGCGGCTGAGAATTTCCGACACCGTCCATTTAAGCTATTTTAGCTCGTCTCACCATGACGAGTAGTCCAAGATGCGCGATGGCAACGACTTCGGCGGCGCGGCAAATACCTGCTCGTCCTGGTCTGCAGCGGTAACAGCCCGGGCTCGTGACGATACGTGGGCCCCAGACTTGGTCTCCCTCGGGATATTGCGATTGAAAGAAAAGAGAGAGAGAAGAGTGTGTGGCGGGATCTTAGCCCAGAACAAAGAGTGGGTGCCTATACCAGCAATCTATTCTGCTCAGATCAATTTACTTGTGTCTGTCTTCCGTCCACATATGCCTTCTTGCTCAGTCAGCTCGTATCCGCGCAATATTATTCAATTTTAATCGCCCATTACTTCCTACTCCTGTTGCCCTGACGAGACAGTGCTGTGTTAGTTTTTTATGTTTAAGACTGAAGCGACAAGTAGGAACATAGGGGATGTGATCGGGTAGGAAAGTGATAATGTTACCGTTAGGTCCCATTGCGGCGGCGGCTAAGCAGTCTCTCTTGCGCCTCATCCCACACATTATACATGTAGATAGCGACTAGACCTTTCCTCTATTGTCTTGTTCTCAAGCACGGCGATTCCAGCATTCACAACCTATCGATTACAAGAGATGCCAACAGCCAACTCCTCTTGATGTCCCTGTGCCACTAGGAGACTAGCTATATCGTGCGGGCCATCTTGTCCGATCCGTTGATGTCGGTGACTGTCGATCTAGTGGCAGATGAGAGTGTCAACCCTTCATTTATTCGAGTGCCTGACAACGAAACTCCAGACTTTCTTGATGTAGAATCACCAACATAAATAAATCTGCCAGTAAAAGTTTACCGAAATATTATTTGCGGAAAGGAGTGACACTTGAATTCTAGTTGCCATATTTGCTTGCTATCTAGCTCATGAGCTATCTAAAGCAAGGTAAAGAAAGGTAAAGCAAGGCAAAGCAAAGAGCACCCGGGAGCCGCGAAATGATGGCCTGGCCTATACCCAGACACAGCTCTCCAAAGCTCGCAATACCGCACCATCCATTCTCGATCCATCATTTCCCTTTCGCGAATCCATGCATACAATATGAAATCCAGGGATCCTCCATACTACCCTTCAACGTAGACCGTGGAAATCAAACGATTTCGCCCTCCTCCCATTCATCATCCGCATCCGCCTCCGAGCCCATTTCCACATCCATATCAATGTCCTCATCCCCAGGCCGAGAATATCCACGTTCAGGGTGCGTAGCTCTCAATCCTTCGAAAGTACTAACCCTACTGCGGTTGAAGTAGGGACTTTCTGCTGGGACATCTTTGCTCTGAGCTATGCGGGTGCTCTGAGCTAAGAGGGCGTTGGGGGATACGGATGATGTGTTGGCAAGAAGAGCACTACCGAAGCCAAGTTCGTTAGAGCGCTGAGTGTTTGAGGTGGCCGGCTCTAGTAGGAAAGGAGATATATATCCATCGCCATGGTCATCGGATTGCGCAAGCGGCTCAGCTGATGAATCATGTGTGCCAACAGCTCCTTGGGTGTTTGGAGCAAAAGGAGAGGGTGAAGTAACCCGTCTGGGGACAAGACCCTTCGCCAGGAGAAGTTTGCGCTGGGTGGTAGCAATTGCCCATTGTTCCTCTACTCCTCCAACGTCAGCAAACTGTACCTAAGGTTATCAATGAACAATGATTGAAACTCACCAACTTCTTTCTCATGCTCTTCAACTTCAGCTGCAGCATTTTCCCCGTCCTCATCCTCGTCCTCCTCAAGCACCTCCATAGGAGGCAAACCCTTCGCAACCCTCTCCTTATTGATCTCCACAAGCTTCCGTCCGTCCTTCCACTCGCCAATACTGCCATTAAAATCCATCTTGCGGTTAGTCTCCCAGGCCATCCTCAGTGAACGCGTAAGACGAGCTGTTCCTTGCCTCTCCATCAAGCCGCCCTTTCCGACCACATGTTTACGCTCAACCATCATTTTCTCAACCATACGCGTGATTTCCTTCTTCGAGATGTCTTGACGGAAGTCATTGCCGTGCAGGGCTTTATTCAACTCTGTTGCAAAGTTAAGCTGGGCAGCGTGGCGGGCACTGCCGGGATCATCTTTCCTTTTGCTCCGCCCTTCGAGATGGACGCCTTTTGCCATGAGGGCGAGGAGAGTTTGGAGCTGTGTGATATAAGGTTAGATATTGTGCTTGGTGTACCGAGAAGATTGATGGGTGGAAGGGGCTTACCTCGAATTGTGTCCAATGCCGCTCCCTTGGGCCTTTGATCGGAGTCATTGTTAACGGACGAAATTCACGTACAGCCTTAACAACCTAGATCGATACCGCGTCGAAGTTGGGTAGTTGGCTCTTCTTGCACGTAATATGTGAGATGCGCCGCGCCGTCGTATAGCTTTATCTTTGATAAATAGGTGTAGAGAAGTAAAAGAATATCTTGCGACAGTAGTGGCTGCTGCAGTTATCTTGATGAGATCGGTCGATGACTGTTAAGGAACGCGTCGAATTTGCTTGTGGGAAAATAAACCTGTTGATATTGCAGTCTCGGGCACAGATCCAAGTTGAATTCACCGTAGGACGACACCGCTCAATGATGCCTTAGGGGAGTGATAGTTCTGCCGTTCTTCCTGCTCTCTGGCCAGATATCTTTTGATGTACTTTACTAGACCGCACTTAAATAATTCTTTAGCTATAATAATACTATCATCATGGTATATGGTAATAGCCTAGAGGATATCTAAACCTTAAAATAATTATATACTTTTCCGTATTGGGTTCTATGATTTTCGGTTGTAGACTTATAGTGAGGTGTATAAAGCCATGGACGGGAGTTGTTAAGTTTGACAGTAGGATATAGGATCTATCTCTACATCTACTATTAATTAACCTAAATCTGATAGGATAAAATGTAACAAATAAGTCAAAGTTGTGGGTTTATTGCACTTTGACAATAAAGATTATTTTCACACTGCCTCTCTTTGTGCCGTTTTGTCCCAGGTGGAGCCTTCAGAGATCAATACATGAGCTTGCTTAAGGTTGAAATTGTCGAAACACGAAGATTAGCAGCCTCGATAGCATAACTCACCTCGAAACATACGCTAGACATCTAACCTAGGGGCTACTATAAGTTTTGTGGAAGAAGTGCTCCTATTAGTCAATCCATTTCCGAATGATCCTGCAAGGGCTGGTGCTCATTCAAACTCCCTCTCCTCCTCTGTATCAGCGCCTTCTGCCATCTCATTTTTGATAAATTTCGCCCTCTCCCTCGCGCTCTCAAATCCCCCATTCTGCACCAGCCTTCAATGTTAACCCCTATGAAATCGCGCACCTGTTGCATTTGTTCATCGGTATTCATTTGCTTGGCATCCCTGTCAAGGCATTCCTCGATTTCCACTGGAGAGTAGTAAATCGGAGGATTAGCATCCGGGAATGCAATATCTGACCAATGCGATAGTGTCCTGACCCAGCCAGAGGGCAAATGAACCATTCAGGGGATGTATCACGGGCATGACAGTTCCCACCTAGTGCCAAGCCGTAAGCGAGATCCTCCGAGCCCTAAAAGGGGGATCTCCCCCTTGGATTATTTAGAAGGCTAGGGATTAAGTCTAGTTACAACAGGAGTGCTTTGTTACCAATAGTGATTCCCTATCGTCAGGGCCTTGCACATAGCGCAACTTGCCATTGTGAACCTATCAATTATGACACGGTGACGGGTAGAGCAGCACCAGGACTACTCTTTAAACTGTATTGATTTATCTAGCAAAATTTTGATGGTTTAAGGGTCTCCGGGTACCATTACCAATGTAAATGCAAGATATCCAACGCCCCTATGATGCACCAGGTTGTTGGCTAATGACACCTCCTAATATATCCCCTGCGTACGATATTGGAATGTGTCGTAACTATGCAAATTAGCCCACACTCAAGCAGCACACCCAGCTCAAGATACTTACAGTCGTGTATAGTAACTCCCCAATGACTTTCCTATTAAGTCTGTTTCCACAAACTGCTCAGCCTCGTCGGCGCTAAGCTGGAGTTGGAACCGCTGCCGTAAGCTGTTTGTTGCCTGTAGAACCCCATATGAAAAGCATGGCATTTTGGACTCCCGTCCCATTATGTTCACCAAGTCGATTAAATTATCCGCAGATCGACGAAGGGCTACAGGACATTAGAAACGACGGACCCGGCCCAAAGACCAGAAGAACATACCTTGAAATGCCTGCTTGCACAATTGTTTATATTCATCAAACTCGGGGGATCCGACACCACCCAAGACATCAACATAGTCTTGTGTTAATTTAAAAGGTGCCGCCTCGAAGCCAACAGAGCCCGGGGAATTGGACAGCATAAAGCCAAAATCGATGTGTATGATATGACCCTCATTGTCAATAAGGACATTGCCATTATGTCGATCCTTGAGTTGCAGAATATAGGAGATGATACTATAGGCGGCAAGAGATCGCTTGAATGCATCGGCAGCAGTTTTGTATGCTTCACTTTCTGGTGCTCCAAATGTCTTCACAAAGTGGTCTTTCAACGTGGCAATCCGTCGTCGAGGATTCTGCCCCGCTTCAATGGTAGCAAGCGTTAAGCTTCGCTTAAGGGAGTGCAGGGAGACCCCATTGGTAATGGTCTCAATTAGACCGGATGATTCCCCAGTGACCAGGATCCGCATTCTTTTCACCCAGACTGGAGTTTCCGATTCCTGCCAGATTTTATCACAGACCTGTATCAGTTGGCAGGCGAAAGCTTCCTGCCTTAAATCTGCCCCAGTCTTAACAATAATACTGAGAACATCCCAGTTCTTCATCCAGCCATACGGCGATGATTTGCGAATCCTTTCCTTCTTCACATTCCAGGCCTCGCCAAATGTGGCGGCGCTTGGATCATCTCTATCGCCCTCTCTTTGAACCCCACCTGTTTTTTGATCATTCTCCATACGCGCAGCTCCAGCACCGCTATTCAAGGCCGGCTCGGACATGCTTTCTTCTTCGATGTCTTCCGGATTAGCATTTGCTGCTGCGACGCTAGCGTTTGCCATTATCACGTCAAACGTAGGTGCGTTTGAAGGATCTTCCGTTTCGAAGCTTTGCTCTTCAAGGCTTTGCATACTGGCGATAATCTTAGCACGAATAGCAGCAACCTCGCTCTTCGGCCTCTTGGCACCGGTAGAGTCCAACTGCGTGAGCATTTGTGATGCTGTCCGCATATGAGTTGCCAACGCGGAAAAGTCTGGTTGATCGGGAGCTCTGGACCTGCCATAGCTCGGAAGCGTCATCTTGCGGGACGGGCCCGGACTCGTCGGTCGGGGTGTGGAAGATCTAGAACCCTCGGGAGTTGTTGAGTTCGTGGACAATGTGGCGGCGTCATTCGAGGGCCGTGGAGGGTGAGAGGCAAGGGGTCGCAGATGTGAAGGTGTAGATGGCGTACTCTCTTTTGATATAGATAGATCATCGAGCGATTTTATTAATGGAGAGCTTCCCAGGTCTCCAGAGACAGGCTCAAAGACACTGTCTGAAGCAGTGCCGTCGGGTTTTGCGCCATGGTGCACGTGAGCCGACTCGGCCAGGTCGAAAATTCGTTTTCGTCCTGCTCCTTGCTGTGACAAAAGTTTGCCCAACAGCTTCTTGTTGTCATCGGTAGTAGGGTCAAAAGTAAAGTCGTCATGAAGGACTTCAACCATGAGCAGGTAGGGAACCTTCTCTGCGCTATTCAAGACCGTTGCTTCGGCGGGATTCAATCGGACGATACGGTGGTGGCGGCTCTTGCTTGGTATTCCATCTACTAAAGTTGGAGGGCAAATAACCGGAATATCTACTTCAGCTGGCAAATCTTGAGCAATAAGAGCGAGCTCGGCACGTAGGGCACTTAGACGAGCAGCTTTCGGGACGATCACCAATCGATTCGAGATATCTTCTAGAGCTGTTAAGAACTGAGTTTCACATCGAAAGTAGTTCTGACGTAGTAGCTTAAACTTTTGTTCATCATTTAATGCTGATGGCGTAAGTGGTCTTGCGGGATAAGAATGTGTCCGAGTTGTGAGGTCAGGGTTCCGCCGAGTAAGGCCAGCAGTGGCTGGGGTTGTAGGCCTCGTTACCGCCATCCTAGGGGACCGGGAATCGGGTAATGGTAGTGACGATGAACTAAGCCGAGGATCGAGCGCCTGTAGGTCGAGGCGAGCTGGGCGTGGGCGTGTGTCAGAGCGGACTTGTTGACTAGAGGAATGTGGTCTCTCCAAAGAGGCAGCGCGTGCTGCCTTAGGACGTGGGGCCCCATTTGGACCGTTAATTGGTGCGCTCGCAATTCTAGGTTCTTTGGCCCTTTTCGAACGCGTAGATCGCGGAGTGGTTGTATGGCTGCGAAGGATCTTCGGCGTTTGGCCCCCGTCTGATATAATGTCACCCGTAGAGTGTGGTTTCCTTGCTTGGGAAACAGCTAGCGGTATAGCCCACTTTGCGAAAGCTGGCATCCCTAAGATGGCGGGCATAAAGCTAGCAAGTACCGTGACTGGGAATACATTCTCCGTAATCTTCTCAGTTCTCGACCGTTCCACCACCCCGAATACAATGTGCTGTACTTTGTTATATATCCTTCTACATGTTTTGAACGATTCGGATTGGGGGTTTGCCGAGAGGTCATGGAGGTAGGTTTGGAAAAGCCAGAATGTCTGTCATCCGCACAATCAGCACATATCCCTTCGCGGTCGGAAAGCCACAGAACCCACCAGCAGAGCGGCGTTGACCGATTCTTCGCAAAGATCTAAAATAAATTCTTCCAAAGCCATAGACTCATTGTCAACGCTTATGATGAGGTGGCATAGCTGCGGTAGAAAGAACTCGATCTCCTCGTAGCTAAACTGCCGGAGTTTCGAGCAGAGAACATAGTGTATTCCAACGTGGTCCGCATAGCGTCTAACAAGACCAATTAGTGCTAGTCCGTTCCAATTCAAACCCCATAGAATAGTGGGACACTTACGAAAGATAGGATACCGAAAGGGATGGATTCTGGTTGAAAACATCGCTCTCGATGAACCGCCTCAGCAGGTCCCAAGACATTGGGACTCTTGGATCTGGTCGGTAAATAACTTATAAGACTGAGGCGCAATGCCCCTAATATCCTTCGACATAGCAGATCTGCCCGATTTCATGTCTCATAGCTGCGCAAGCCATGTAAAGGGCCAAGTGGTGTACTGAGATTCTGGATGTCGTTAAGTTTCGCAAGCCCGGCAGGCCAGGTTGCATACCGTACTGTGTTAACCGAGAGCGCTATGGTATCATAAGCGGCGGTGCGGCTTGGGACCCCTATCTGACATAACCTTAAATAAAAAATATCCTCAAAAGATCAACAGTGGAGATAGAGACAGCGACGATTTACAGTTGGTAGTACAAGGGTGTTATCCTATGAGAATATATATAGGGCTTGCAAGGAAGGGGGCTGCAATGCGGTACTCGGGCATGCTACGATAACACTTCTAAATTCTAGCACCTTGGAGCTTCCACAAGCCTACCTAGTTTACAAGACTACCCTTTGGCATTGATTGCCGTCGGCTGTCACACAACTGGCGGAACATAGCAAACTATCATCGCCATCGCTAGTTTGTTGATTTCTTGTTAGCAGGAATGGATCGGGTATGCGATATTTATGTTGTGGTGTGTTGCATGCCCACGACCTCGGCTATTGAATCCATGGGAGCCAAAAGCTATTTGTAATTTGCAGATTGCTGTCCGAGTTGTAGAATCATAGCGGCCACCAGTATATTATTGGCAGGCGTTGGAGACAGCGTTGGAGGCAAGTGTTGGCGGAGACTAACTGCAATTAATACTTGGAATAGATAGAGCAGCTTAAGCTCCGGCTTAAAGGGGCAACTGAGATAGGCACTAAAAGAATAAAAGTAGTGTTACAACGGCACATTAGGTAGTTGACAAGCACAGAGTAACCAGATGTTGAGCGTCGGTCATGAACAAAACATTAGCATTTTCTCTTCTTCTGGAAGCTACCGTTGGGCCCGTGCACAGTTCCAGAAAACGCGGTGAAACGCGTCACTGTAAAGGGGTTAGCGTGGTTGTCATAAGTTATGCATGCCCCATCAAGGCAAGCGGCATCTCGTCTCTCTTGTCTGTTTCCAACTAGCATAAACCAGAACGGGCACCATTAACATTAGCTAGAGTTGCAAACATGAAGTATGGACTGGTTTCCGGAGGTATGTGTTATTCCACCCCTTTGCTATTGAAAATTCATCCAGCTGCTAATGGTGTGTGTGCAGTGTGCTCTCGGATATTGGCAAAGGGTCGATTAGTAAAACCCTCTAAAGATCGATCATGATATGAAGGTCGATGCCGGAACCATTTTGCGAGGATCCCAGTCGATGATGTAGATGAAATGAGCCTTTGAATGTATAGACTTGTGGAATTGGGGGGGGGCGTTGTTGATATTGAGACCACGCCCTTCATGGAGACGATGAGACAACTAAATAGAAGGGCAGGAAAGGGCAACTTTGGCAAATCCATGCCTCTGTAATTCCAGCCATCCATGGAGAACAGAAGACGAAACCATCACCGCAGGCTATTAGACTTGTATGGCGCCAGGTGTGGTTCCGGATTTGGTGAGATGACCTACCATTTTACTCCTACTAAGAAGCAGCACTAATAAACTGTTTAGATTGCCTACAGATGTGATATACAACTCAAGAACAGCACGGTCGACCAAATCACGATGTTCTGCCAAACCGGACCCGAGCAGGTTCCAGCAGTCCACCATGTCCCCACAACTTACCGTGTACCTATCCTCCTTGAGTCACAAGGTTTCGTTAAGCCTTAAGTTCAATTCTCAAGCTCGATGTGGCACCCAAAACCAAGAACCTTGTTGACCTAGGCCAGCAAACCTCAATAGAGGAACCGTACCACGCAGCAAGAACGGCTCTTGGAGTCGGATAGTATGTCGATTTGCAGCCATAAGGAACGGAGAGCATAATTCATGCTGCGAAATCAGCACATACGAACAAGATCCCATGCCTCAATATCTACCTCGGGATGCAAATCGCCGTTATCGAGTTCGCAAAATATATATGCAATCTTCCGAAAGCGGGCTCGGTCTAGCTCAGTGGGCAGTGTGAAGAACCCCGCGTCATTCTCATGCCTGAGATTGATAAAACCAACCTTGGGGCGGTGCGTCTAATTTTGTCGCTTACGCTATCCCAAGAAGCGTCCGAGTGGTTGCGGCCAAGGCAGTTATACGACGAAAAGACTGAGATCCATGAAAGCCAGAAGCACCAATACGAGGTTAGCCCAGAAGATATTGATAGGCTTGCGGTCCATGGTTTGGAGTTAGTTGGCAAAGATGACACGGGTATCCGGATGGAGATCTTGGAGCTAAAGGACCACCCTTAGTATGTTGGGGTAGAATTTCATCCAGAACACCTATCCCGGTGTTGCAGCCAAACAAACCATACCTAGGTTTTGTTCCGGCTACCGCAGGATTCCTGGAGATGGTCACGGCGAATTACATGCACGAAGCCGGCGTTAATGGCATGGACGGTGCTCTGGCAAACGGGCTTTTATGTTGGTGTCATGAATAAGTATAGATAAATACACCATATGTCAATGGGTAAGGTTCTTTGTCTCTGAGTGGGTCGGTTTGGGCAAGAAACAGCAGGGCGACAAATCTGGCGGAGACCTAGGTAGCAAGCTAGATGTCTCTCTATGCCGACATGACAACCGATATTTATTCTCACAATCGTCGCCTCATGAACAACGTCGCCGTGGAGCCGAGAGGCATGCAGGCTTTGACTTCCAAAATCCCCACATTCTACACAACATCTCCCTCACATCCCAGATCTCACCTTGAACCTCGATAGCTGCCGATCTTGAAGGCACCCTCACATTCTCAAGCCATACAAACAGCCAATACCTTCTCTGCTACTTCTTCGGCTGTGTCAAGCTTGCCCTCTACCGCTATAGAACCTCGAACTATCACTCTTTCCGAGTCCTAACTCTTCAAACATAGCCACCCACTTCCAAGTCAAGTAAGTCGAGCAATCGCGTCGCAAGACTAATATATCTAAGGGAGTAGCTGATTCGCGTGTAGCCTTGATTCGTACAGCTAGGCACGTTACATAACACCTTCGGTATAGCGCCAAAAGATTCACCTTGGTTACAGCTCGTCTCCCTGCTCGATACCTTAGGTCTTGTCGCCGTCGTGAGAACACAACGTTACCCCGTTGCCCATCTTTCTGCGATACGCCTCCTTTCCAGTCAAGAATGAGGTACGTAAAATAGCGTGTCGGGCAAAAGGTTCTCCTGCTGACTTGTTTTGCATAGCGTCCCCTATTTGACTTTGACTTGAACATCTTACTTGTCACAATTGCTGTCACGGCCACAAGCGAATTCCCAGCAGATATCATTTCAGACAAGAAAATTTTCTAGAAACAAATTGGCTTATAGGTCACAGAGATGGCAAGTGAAATAACCGGCTGGCTGTCCGACGAGGATGTGACCATGGACAATCCACCATCGGGAGAAGATGTAGCAATGGAGGCAGATGAGGACGAACCCGAAGAGGAACCCGAGGACGAACCCGAGGACGAACCCGAGGACGAACCCGAGGACGAACCCAAGGACGAATCCAAGGAGGAGCCTAAGGAGGAACCCAAGGAGGAACCCGAGGCAAATAATGGAGTTAGCCGAATCCTCAACCCACCAAGTCCACTGGTAACCAAAATCGCGCTTTTGTCCCTCGGCAGCTCTCTCACAGATGACCCATGGTTCCTTGCCGAGCTCGAACGCCTCTGGAAAGAAAAGGAGCAACATCTTCCCTCTAACCCGGCCATGCGTTTCTTTATTGAATCCGGAGATCGATTAAATCTCGAGGAAGCCGGCCAAGTAGTCAACGAGATCAAGTATTGTTACCCCAAATCTGTATGTATCACCCCTGCGTTTATTATGACCCTAAAGCGAGGTCTCCTGGAGATCGGACAAACCATCGGATATTCCCAGTTCCCGCGGTTTATTGGGGAGGGTTGTTTTCAACTCGCTGGAGAAGAGCTGTATCGCTATGCGGCAACAGACCCGGAATCCCGAATGCATTTACTTAAATGGCTCCTGGACTACACTGGCCGTCACCGACAAGACCCAGAAGAATCGATCCCATCATCGCCGACTAGTTACACCAGCGTGCTGATGCGGCTTATTCGAAAGTACATCGAGAGAGGAGACATTAGCTTTGATATGGTGAATAGCATGATAGGCGAAGCTCAAGACACTCCGTCAATTACCACGCACCAGGATGTTATGGCTGCATCCGGCAACACGCTTAATACGAGTATGGCTCCGGCAGGGGTTGCATCGGACCATGGATTGAAGATGTTCATATTCGCGGAGCTGGAGAGGCAGACTGCGCTAGTTGATGAGATGGACAACCTGATGGGCAATCTGCACCAGCTTGGTATCTAGGCGTCGGGCCTGGGGCAAAGAATTCAAACCACCATAAATGGCGGAGGGCATAGTGAGTACCGCAGAAGATACGGCCATTCCTATTCATAGCTTGCTTCACATTGTATGAGAGGTCTTTCGATAGATTGGACTTTATAAGTCCTTCTTGATACCCAAGCTTAAATGATACATCAGAAACACCAAACCATATCTCCCTCTTGTGAATAGTAAAGGATATCTATCTCTACACAAGAAATTCATGCCTTTCTACAACTTCGCGCTCCCAACTTCAATAGCTCTCCAGTTGTCAACGCCCAATTTCTCATATTTTGTTCCATTAAGCCAGTAAAGCTTATCATCGTTATCCCCCTCTGAAATCCAACTCTTTTTTATTAAATCACCCTTTGCTTTCTTGAAGGTGGCGTTTACTTCAATCCTAATCCTTTTATTAGTATTATCGTTCTCAAAAGTCGAGTATTTGGGCCTTACTCTGGTGTGATTCTCACAAGGCGCGGCATCGCGTATGGAGGGAGGCCGGTCTTCTTCAGCCGTGGGTAGAGAGTTTGCATGAATGGCCCATCGGCTGCTGAATCCAAGGTGAGTGCCGCGGCGCCAGCCTGTCCATCATAGCTAAAAGAAATATGTTAACTTATTGCCATAAATACTCGCGTCTCAGTCATAATTTACCTTGCCAATTTCACTCCGTACACGACTGCATCAATGACTTCGGGAAGCTTTGCAAGATGGTCTCGGACTTCTCCCGCGCTAACATTTTCTCCCTTCCATCTGAAAGTGTCACCCATACGGTCATAGAAATGTACCCAACCATCCTGATCTTGGAACAGCAGATCGCCCGCCTTCTGGAAGATATCACCCTTCTCAAAGACATCAAAGATTATTTTTTCCTCTGTGGCGGAGGTATTGTTCAGATACTCAGTTAGTAATTTCCGATCCTTCACCCTTCCAATCACCTCGCCGACGTCTCCTAATTTCACCGGAACACAAAATCCGGTCACGGGGTCCCGATATGGAGATTCAGTCTCCGGATCCACCTTCACGATGAACGTATCTTTTTCGAGGTATCTCCTGATCGGTCCTGCAAATCCCACTTTCCCCGCAGCCCATGCCCCGCGACCGATGTTATCGTATTTCGCCGCACCTTCCGTTGAGCGGTAGAACTCTCGAATCTCCGGGATACCAAATCGGACTTTAAATTTCTCCCAAATCTCGCCCCTTAGACCATTTCCAGCCGCGACAATACAGTTGTGCCCGCGATCGAAGGGCGATGGAGGTGAATGGACTAAATATCGACATAACTCGCCGACGTATAAAATACGGGTCGCACGGGAGTCGGTCACATCTTTCCAAAAGCGGGAAGTGGAAAATTTCCGAGCGAGACATAGCGTGGAGGAGGTGCTGATGTTGTAGCAAAGTGCAGTGAAGAAGGCGGTGCCATGGAACAGGGGTAGTGGTGAGTAAGTTCTAAGGGGGAAGTATTTCCCGGGATTATTAGCATCGTGAGAGTTAGGGACGCAAGTTGTGAGAATCAAAAAATTTCGAACGGCGCAAGCTTTGGGCTTTCCGGTAGTCCCGGAAGTATAGATGAGGGTAGCCACATCTTGGAGTGACCCCTTAGCTCCAGGAGTGACTGTAGATGGGGTAGGAAGATCCTTCAGTTCAAGGAAGGTTATTGACGGGTCTTCTGGTCGTGGAGTTGCAGAGAAAGACGACGCATTGAGGGAGAAATGTCTCATCGGTTCCTGGACGAAGTCGGATAGATCAGGGCTCGATATTACGGTCTGAGCAGTCGAGATCGTCAAACAGTGCTTCAAAGTTTCATCTAATGGTGGTTAGCACGGCCATCTCTGAGCATGACACCCGTTCAAACCTCTAAGATTGATGTTGATCATCCCAGACACAGCACCCAATTTCGACAGAGCTAAAATGGTTATAACCATCTCGGGTGAGTTGGTCATGAAAACTGCAACATGGTCACCCTTGGACACACCCTCCGCTTCTAGAAGAGCAGCTAACTTGTTGACCTCTACAACTATTAGCATTAATTCTATAAGACTCGCGCCCGGTTTTCCGCTTACCGTTTTTGATATCGCCGTAAGTCCAGGTCTTGGCTTCAAACCATAAGAATTCAATCGTGGGATCCACGCCATTGAACATATGATATAGAGAACATTTGTCGCCGAGAGTCTGTATACGGCTAACGAGCCTTTTCCCCCAATTCCGATCATTTTTGAGTTGTTGGATATCTGTTTGAATATGGAGTTTCGCGTTCACATAAGCACCTACTGCCATAGTGGCAGCTACAGCTATCGCTCCAGTGGCAGGATCCATTTTGACGCAACGTTGATGATTACCAGCTTCCAATGAGTAATGATGAGATGTATACAGAGTATCAAACGTTCGATGAGCTGTCGAATTCTTGTTTATCCTCAACAAACATGTTGTCCGAGGATTGCCGTTATATTTACCGACAACAGGGGTATACAGGCACGGAAGATCCAGAGGTTCATTGTGGGGGGCGGGGGTGGGGATGGGCGTCAATAGCTCCGGGCCCCACGTCCACCAAAATAGCCCCGGCCTCGCTCGTGCCGAGGCGCCTGCTGGGACAGTAGGTACTTTTGGTACTTTTCTTCAAATCAACGATGTTCGCATATTAATCAACAAAGTTTGCACTTCCCCAAATATACTTTTCCCTCCCTTTTCTGCCCTTTTCGCTTTTTGTTCACAGATTATTTCACGGTCGAGATTCAAGAACCACATCGCAGATATGGCACCAGCAAACGGCAGACTTTCTGCCGTGCTCGGGCATCTAAACTCTTCCGCCTCGGCATCGAGCGGTAGAGCGAGATTACTGGAAAAGAATCCTGATGATATTGTACGTTAAAGGATGACTGGGTTGGAGCAGTATTCCTTACTAACTGGTACAGGTAATCACATTCGCCGGTAGAACGGCACTGACGAAGGCAAAGAAAGGTGGTCTCAAGGACACAAATATCGACGATCTCTTGATCGCCCTGTTAACGGTACTTCTTTTCCCGAAGTTTGCCGGTTTTGTACTTGAAATTAATAGATTTCCTAGGAAGTACGAGAAAGATCCAATCTAGATCCAAATCTTGTTGAAGACGTCTGCCTGGCCAATGTACTCTCCGAAGCCCAAGGCTACATGGCCCGGTCCTCAGTTCTTGCTGCTGGCTTCCCTGTCACCACAGCAGCATCCGTGGTGAACCGCTTCTGCTCCTCCGGCCTGCTTGCGGTGCAACAAATCGCAAATCAAATTATAGCTGGATCCATCGATGTGGGAATTGCAATTGGAGCTGAGAGCATGAGCACCAATCCCGACAATGGTACCTCAACGCCATTAAGCACCAAGATCACGGAGCACCCAATCGGTTCTCAAATGACGCAGCCCATGGGTCAGACTTCTGAGAATGTAGCAGGCCAGTTCTCTATCTCGCGAGAAGCTCAGGATGCATTTGCCGCGAAGTCCTACCAGAAGGCCGAAGCCGCTCAGAAAGCGGGTTGGTTTGCAGATGAGATTATCCCTATCACTGTCCAAGTTAAGGATCCTAAGACTGGGAAAGTGGAGACCCGAGTTGTAGACCAAGACGACGGTATCCGATATGGCACTACCGCTGAGTCTTTGGGTAAAATCCGGGCAGCTTTCCCTCAATGGAAACCCAGCTTTACTACCGGGGGGAACGCATCTCAACTTACCGATGGTGCTGCCGCAATTTTGCTCATGAAACGCTCCCGGGCTCTGGAATTGGGCCAGCCGATTGTCGGGAAGTTTGCCGGTGCCACAGTTGTAGGATTGGAGCCTAGGATTATGGGTATTGGACCAACTTATGCAATTCCCAAAATGCTGGGAAAGGCCGGCTTGGATATCAAGGATGTTGACGTTATTGAGATCAATGAGGCTTTTGGCTCCATGGTAAGCTCACCATACCTGTTCTTGCCATCATCGCTAATGAAATCCAAGGGTGTTTATTGTGTGAACAAACTGGGCCTTGATCCCGCCAAAGTCAACCCAAGGGGTGGAGCAATGTAAGTTCTCATATCAGGGATGTTCAGGTCTCTTGCTTACTGTATACTTAGTGCTTTTGGACATCCACTTGGGTGCACGGGTGCCCGACAAGTCGTCACTGCGCTATCAGAGCTACGGAGGCGGAATGAAAGAATTGCTGTAACGTCTATGTGTGTAGGCTTGGTAAGTTCTATTCCCTCTCAACTTTCCATGTTTTTGTGTCAACCTACTAACGCAATACTTTTAGGGCATGGGGATGGCAGGTATCTTCGTTTCGGAGCACTGAAACCAACATGAAAGAAACAAATAATGTTTGTTGAATTTGTATATAACAATATATAAGCTTACGGCCTTGTATTTATGCCCCGCTGTAGTAAAGCCACTAAACAGAATATTTTAGCTAAGCCCATATAATTTCTATAAGTTTATATATTATTCAGCCACACAATTCCAAGGTATCTATAAGCAATTATCTCTTTGATATATGAAGCATCAAGCCCGTCGATGAATTGTGGAAATGTGCCGTTTAAAAAACGAGATTTCATAGTTCATAAAGCCAAATAAAAGCATCCAGGTAATATTGCTCATACCGTCCATTCTAGCGCATAAATCTCAATGGGGCTCGTAGCTCGGAGGGGGCAGAGAAAAGTTCCGCGGGTTGAAAATGTCAGCGTTTTAATTTCAACCCGCCGACGTTTCGTCGCTTCAACTCGCGGAACTTTTCTCTACCCCCTCCGAGCTATAGCCCGATCTCAATGACAACGCGGAAAAAGCATTTAAGGGGACGTCATGACATAATGCCCCCGTATTTTTGTTTCGCTTCGCCTTTCGTGAGCTTGTTACCGCCAGCTGAGTTCTACCACCACCAAACCCGAGGAACTCTGAAAGCCGAAACGATCGAAGCCTCTAGGTATCTAGGTACCTAGGTACTTACCTTTACACAATGCTGGGTTCCCTATTAAAAAGAACATTAGCGAAGGTGTTTACTTAAAAGATTCCTTAGCTGTGGAAAATTGAAGTGTTTGGACATTTACATGTTTAGATATATTGCTCTATATACAATAATAATTGTTCCTTACGCGGATATAAGCCAAATGAGTAATATTCACGTCACTTGATGTCGTTGAGAATATCTGAAGAAATCGGGAGGAAAATGAAACGGAGGGTACTAGTCGGGGTCGGTAGATGGCGAGTACCGAGTAATATCTTCTTATAAGGAGCCACTAATATCGCGGTGTAAACATAGTAGTCTTGTATGCTTAGCGAGTGGATGTATTATTTGAATTGTGAAAAGGTAGATTATTCGGACATGATTAGAATTGAGCAATGCACAGGAGTTCAAAAAGTTTTGATCTACCCAACGCTCATTCACAATTAACTGGTAGCAGAAATGCCACCGACGCCAGACTAGCCAAATCGTGTTATCCATCAAGGTAAGAATAATACCAACAGCGCCATCTATAGTAAGTACAGTAGCCAAAAGCTGCTAAGTACAGTTACAACACTGAACGCTCAACTCCCAACGCCGCGGCCGTAAAACTCTTTGAAAAATTCTGATCAGTCCTGGAAACAAAGCACCTGACTCCGTGGTATAACTACCTAGGTAGACATCGCCGCTATGCATAAAGCTCTCAGATCAGATTGTCGGACGTTTTCCAATTACAGACCATCGGTCTGGAGAAAGCGAGCAAGTTAATGGTTGCAGATCTTCTTTCTTCTCGGTTCCCATGTACCATCCCTCATCGATCAACTGCCGCTCGACAGTCTTCCAGTAGTCACCTTTGTCCGGACTCTTCAGGTCAAGATCACCGATGCGAGCCTCTATTTTATCATCGTCCTTTCCGTCCACCGGCAGGCGGACATATAAAGAGCAATCCCTCAGGGTCATGGCCAGACGGAAGCTTTCATCACCTGGGTCGGTTTCAAACGTACCTTTCCGGTCGAGATTGCACTGAGCATCACGGAGCCGCTTAAGAAGGGTATTCGATTCAAGCCACCGTTGTAGCCGCAACGCCTTCGAAGGATTGCCCCCCAATTGAGATATAACCCAAGAGATATCACGGCTATTTTCCGAGACAAGATCAAGCGGACAGAACCCCTTTTTGGTAGCACCTGGATTTTCTCGGGCAAGCTTTGCTGCAGTGCGTGCTACCTTCGCACAGGTCCGACAGCGCTTAGCGCCTGCAGGAGCAGACGGCGATTGCAAAAGCCATTTTGGCTTGAATTGAATGACTTCATCGCCATGCCCTAGATTCATTGTTAACAGAGTCTCAAGGGGTGGAGGTATCTGCTACCAGGACTCATGTCAGTGATGAGAAGACCATATAAGTCGTCTGCTAGATAGACTCCGTGACGCTTAGCCGGGCGGATGTCAGGTGAGGATAGAGAGCCCTTCATAGAGGAATGTTCCCAGCTAAGAAGTTTCTGGTTAAGATGCTCAGTAACCTTAGCCGGTCTCAGTTGGACGAGACACTGCTGAACGAGCTGGGCTGGTTCGAATAAGCAGACGATGAGACGCAGCCAGTTCGCATGAGAGACAGCGCATGAAACCGTGGTTGGAAGGTCTTTGCGGGCGCGAAGCAATTTATCTATGTATTAATTTAGTGAACGTCTACAGAAGAAGTGCCGCTGGAGATCTGTCATATCTCGTACTTTGGCAATAAGTACCAAGTACAACACGTGAGCCTTTTGTCGAGCAGTTTTTGATGTTAAAATAGAGAAAGATCTTACTATCAAACACGTTTAAAGCAGCTACCGATGCAATCTTCTCTTCTACATCGTTAATTTCTGTTGGAGGAGGTGTATCGTCGCCGTATTCTTCGATCACACTTGGTGGAGGGCTGGGATCCGGTACGGAAATGCGGTAGACGATGTTTGCCCCCCCTTCCGCCAAGTACGATATGCCCGTGTTTTCAGGAATCGCTGGAACAAGAATCTGCTCTCCGGCGATTGCGGGCGTCTGGATCTGCATTGGAAAGCTGCGGATGGAGCATGCCCCTCCGTACAAGTAAGATGAAGGTAAATGCGACGGGTTTGTAGTTTTCCTAATAGGGGATCATGAACTCGTAGAGCAGCACGGCATAACCTCGGGAATGGGACTGTGGGACATGACGCTTCGCTTGCGGGTTTTCGGGGTTTTCACTGTTGCTCTTGCGGCTTCCTGCGAAAAAACACTGCACAAGCCAAGGAATAGAGTTACTCCCTCTCCTGTCCCGACCCTTTCCGCTCGCCCATCAACAATCAACATCAACATTAACTCCCATCGCCACCCCTTCGGCTTCAACACCTGGAGCTGTGTTTGATCGATAATTCAAGCTGCTTGTGTCTTCATTGATTCAGGTCAGGTCGTTCGCAGTGCGCCGCGCCATCATCTCGCCTCGACCCTTAAGACCTCATCACCAGGTCAGGTCAGCCAAGCCGGACTCCTCACGCGACAAAGCCGTACAGAACGAACAAGAACAACGGCCCCCCCCAATCTCTACCTCCTACAACATCGAGACCCTCACGTACGATCTGGTCGTATACTCCATCATACCTAATGCCATCTCACCATGGCTTTCAACTTCAACTGGTCGCCCTTAACGGCAGACGCGGAGTTCTACCAGAGGGCGAAAGAAATGCTCACAACTGCTCTCAATAAATCACCCAAGCCTCCGATCATCGTCGACGACATCTTAGTCAATGAGTTGAACCTGGGCAGCGTGCCCCCCGAGTTGGAGATATTAGAAGTGGGAGATTTGGCTGAGGATAGGTTTCGAGGCATTTTCAAGATGTGCTATTCAGGAGATGCTTTCTTGACGCTCCAGACCCGGGTCCAAGTACGTTATGAAGCCTCCTTCTCTTAGCTGCATTCCATCAGCGAGATGAAAATCCGCCTTGCGACTGTGTTAGCATTGAAAAGAGAATTTATGCAAGGATACGCGCGCGTCGACTTTCGCACAAGTACCCCTGGCGTATATAACAGACTGCTAATATATAAACAATCCAGGCGAATCCCCTCAATACATATTTATTCTCCAAACCCTCATTTACATCACCCCAGCCTTTGGCAGCGTCCTCTGGCTTGACAATACCGTTGCAAATTACCTTGTCGGAAATCAAGTTGTCGGCATTCATCATATTAGTCTTCTCGAAGCAAAAGGGGTTGACCCTGGTATTCAGAAATGATCCCCTCGAATCGCTCAAGGTCTCATCGACCTTCGACTCGATCCCATTCGTTCGGGATTACCTACAAAAAGAGATCGAGATGCAGCTTCGGACCTTAATGATGGACGAATTACCTGCGATTATACATCGACTGTCTCTGAGATTATGGTGTCCTGAATATATGGCCAAGGAAGATGAAGAAAGAGCGCAAACGGAGGACTTGGACAAAGTTGAGGTTGTGGTGGATCCATTCGGTAGCCCGCCGCAAGACGCTGTGGATGCGAGAGGGAATGTGCTCCACGCCAGCGAGATATCGTCGTTATCCCTGGATGGTAGTTCGGAGATCACTTCCCTGTTTTCTCAAAAGAATCTGCTTCGACTGGCAGCGCTAAACGACTCACACCGGACTCTGTCTCTATTCACACCTTCGATCCGAGATACGGTCTTCAGAGCTTGGGCTGGGCCATTCGAAAGAGGAGACTCGGCAGGTACCTCAACCCCGGTAACGCCCAGTCTGGTGAGGTCGCAATCCTCGATATGCACCACTAGCACGACCTACACATTTAATAAGGGTTCTGATGATGGTCATGGACACATGCCCTCCCGGCCGTCGCTCGTCAGCTTGAATTCAGCAACCACTGGACTCGGCCTAGGGGCAGGTCGACATTCGCGATCACACTTACGCAAGAAGAAGAACCGAGTTGTCAACTTGCGAAAGTCGAAGACCACAGACGATATAACTAGCGAGAGTGGTGAGAGCGAGGGTTCTATGACTCCAGCTTCAGAACCGGCGATTCCCACTCGTATTCCTGAAGAACCGGAAGATAACATCATCACACCGCCTAGATCTCCATCTGGGAGAGTTCGTTTCCGGACTACCAGCATTGACCTTGGAGACTCTCCTCGGAAACTTCGTCTTCCCACGGCCGCTCGACCAGCCTTGGCCTCTCAGCGGGTGCCCGAACAAGCAATCTTGGACCCAACCTCAACAGCGGAGAAGTCGCAGCCAACAGCGCCGATTTTCTCCCAGGATAAGCTGCCTTCATACAACAACCGCTCTGCCCAATTCCCAGCAGAGAAAAATGCCATGTCGTCGACGAACCGGACCCCATATCTCGAGCCCGCCCCTATGCTCTCGGATTCCACTCCGCCAGGGATTCTCGAGCAAGCCTGGGTACTCAAAATGGCCGGTGAGATGGCCCGACGAGCGCATGATCAGAAAGTGGTCAATCAGGGATTCTGGGCTTCGCAACCAAGGGATGAGAGAGAAGACAGCCCACCTCCTGCCTATGAACCTAATGTGTTGTAAAGTATTTCGCACATCTTACTCTTCAACGCAGTTTTAGAGTACTTATTATTCTTTCATTTGTCATTTTGCACTTTGGTCGGTTCTCTGGCTGCTTGGCGTTAGGGTCGGAAAATGTATAACAATCCCCTCCGCTCTCCTGTAGCGATTTAGCGTATTGTTTTTTTTTTTTTGGTAATAGGCTCTGGGATGGGAAGGAAGCTTGCTGGTCTCGCTGACTGGCTTGGACTGGGTGGGAAATGGAATGGATGGGAGATGGCGGGAGTTCGGTAATTAGCGGTTGACGACATACCGAGACCCCCTATGTGCCAAGGGCGTACTCTATCCCGTACAGGGCCTTTCTTTTGTTTTGGTTAAAAATGGAGGACATGGAAGGAGAGAACTACGGAGTGGAACTTGTATGGTTAGCGGCTGTGTGTAAGGTCTGAGAAGAATGTAGTATACGACAAGCCGGAAGACTTAAACCAAATTTGATTGGTAAATTTTAATTCCTATGAGCTTCAAGATCTTCGCAATATATATGTGTTGCGTGAGTGATACATTGGCGGATAAGTACAACAGCAAAACCGTCACCTAGGCGCTTACCCTAACACGATATTTGGGAACCGGTTTTCGGGCAATCGAAGCGCGCGGTAAGGCAGTGTTGGGGCATGTCTGGAATCACGGTCCCATATTAGCCAGGAGCACTGTCCCAACACAAAACCCTGGCTAGGACAACCTTCCTGTGACTCTGTAAATCCCAGATGTAAATCGGTCCTGGCTGAGAGATACTAGCTTGAATTCTCATCCGGGGCTTGCTACCTGGCCTCCAGACTGTCTCAGGATTCCCTCAGCGGACCGTCCTTTTCATAGGAGATAGTGATCTCTTCCCTGGCTTTAATAAAGCTGATTGCGTGGATAGTTTCGCACTTTTCATCACTGTTCCAGCTATTATCTGAATCTTCGTACTTGGAAACCATTCCTGTCTCCCTGAGTTACAATATCAGAAATCACAAGTCAGAATCTATTCCACAAAACTCAATAGTTCAACCTTATTAACACTACTGGAATCCATCAAACAACATCCTCTTTCCACACGATGACTCTCCCCGACATCCCATGCCTCACCAATCCTACTCATAGCTTTAACGTCCACCGCTTCTATCCCCCACGCTCGGATCAACCAGCTCTCCCACTCTACATCCCACCATGCCTCACAAACCCCTCTCACCGCTTCCATCCACCATCCTCAGAGCAACCGCTTCGAATCCAAATAGAAGGTCCACTACTAGCTCTTCAGAAGCTCCTTCCCGGGGTATCATGGCACGTCCCCACCACTTCCCTGACTTTCCGTTGGCCGGCGGGCCAGAGCTGGCGAAGTTGGCGTTTCGGAAAATATACCAACGGGATATACGGCCTGACATCGCTGGGGACATGGTAGTGCGGGATGAATACAAAGGTTGGTTGGTAGAGGCTAGACCAATAGTGTAGGCAATTATCTTACAAGCTTCTTCTCTCCAAGAGCCTACGTTGACACTCCCTTGTACTATAGTATGATTGATTACTATGGGGTTACATTCGACCACCTTGTCCCGACCGACGACACCGATCCAGAAGTCCTACATATTAACATTGTTGAAATCGAAGATGATGGAGGCATATATGCAAACAAATATAACCCTTTTAATATCGACCCGGCGGAATATATTGGGCAGAAGGTGCTTGCTGTGCCGCGGTGCTGTCAGAAAAGGAAGGGGACAACGGATCGGAAGAGGATTAATGATGCAGTGAATGCTAGGGATGGGAGGGTTGATGATACGATTTATAAGTGATATGCTAAGAGGGATGGGAAATGAAATGTGAATAGGACGGAAAGGGGCCTAGGTGTTGGGGAATGAGGTTTTAGAGTGAAATAGGTCGGAGTTTTGGGATTAGGCAGCGAATTGCTGTTCCCTCGGTTTCTTTTCTTGGGCTTCTGGTGGGTTTCAATTCGTTGATTACCCTCTAGCTGATTTAGTACGAAGTACTTACTTACTCTGGAATGTCCTAATGTTGTTTTCCGAGCTCTGTATATTAATTCAATTGATGTTATAAGACGTACTACATCATGACTTCTAACTTCGGCTCCCTTTCATACTTCCTTCCGCGTGACCTATATCTCCGCATGATTCAAAGCTTTCAAGACCGCACGCTTCCCTACCCACCTCGAAATTGTTTATTATATAAGGTTTTTGGAGGGATTAAAAAATGATATATGATGTGGGATTGTAGAACTTGAAGATCAGAGATAGTTTTGCAGGCAGTTCCGTAACTTGTATGTCGGGGATCGGTTGGTTTTTTGAGTTTAAATGGACAGTAAGGTAGTAAAGAGGGGGCAGCTCGTTATTTTGCAGAAGACACGAAAATGAAGAAAGAGAGAACTATCGACTTCTTACATACTCGTATCTATTGCCCAATATCTACACTAACCGCTTATAGCTATGATCCAACAGTTGTATATATCACAGGTCCTGTCTGCTGATCCAGCCCCGATAAAGCTATGATAATTTATAGTAGTCCACTGTAGCTACACGTAGTCAAACTATCTCATCACCTACTAATTTAAACAGCGCTCCGGCTACATTCTCACCCTTGGTTGCAAATGGCATCGTAGCTCAGAAAGAGGGTAAATATTCATAGAAGTTAAAATTCACATTGCTAATGGCTATACTGACTGAAGGGTTGGCGATGTTGCTCGGCGAGCTTCCAGTACTTGTTAAGCGAGCGAGAAGCGAGGGACCCGAAAGAGCAAAGGGGCAACCAACAGGACGCTACAGTCGAGTCGCGATAAGGCATTTCTGCGACTGGCTCGGCGGCTTCAATGTATGCGCAAAGAGAAGAAAGCAGCGATGAATTTATGCTCGAAGTTAGATCAAACCAGCGCCCACCCTGCTCGAGTGAGGGGCGGGTGCTTGGGGGAGGCCGGAGCGGAGGCCGCACATTTCCGATGAATTTGCTGTGGGACATACACTAGGATCTAGAACGACTATGTCACCACCTCCTCGTCATCGACCAACGACTGTCTCTATTCATCTCTGTGCAAGAGAGTTGAATGTCATTCAGTCTTGTAACAACTGGCACCTCCTTCCATCTGCAATAGGCATCTGCCTCGCGCTTTTCGGTTGTGGCGGACGTGAAAATACTAGGCCCACAGCCTCGGATGGTTTGGCGATACAAAGGACAACCGTGGTTCACCATAGAAACTCACCATCAAGGCGGATCTTAACCTTGTAATATTCAGCCAAAAGCGCAATAACCGCATTGGGTATACCCATCCTGACTCCGGCCCCTTCTATATTCCCTTGAAGCTCATCAAATCCCAAATTCCACATATAATAAAGGGCATCTTTCAGCCCTCCTTCAAACTCGCCAGCTCCTTCTCTGTGTCCCTCAACTCCGACTGCAATTTCTTCGTCATCTCCTCTACCTTCCCCTGCGCCTCCCTCAACCTCTTCAACTCAGCCTTCTCCGTCTCCCTGCTAAACGGTTGTCCGGGTCTACAACTCAACGGAATAAGCGATGTCCTCTCTCCCGAACTCCCCACCATCCCTCCCTTCATCATCTTCGTCCCCTTTCCCCCCGCCCCCTTACTCCTATCCACCGGGCTTGTCAACAAATCGTAAAACTGCTCATAAGGTTCGTTAAACAGCTGCTCTTCGTAGGCCCAGGATATAATTTGCGGCGCTTGACGCATGGTTTCTTTTTCTGTTTCGGTATTGCCATATGGATGGAGCCGCAAGTGGTGGTAGAGGGTCTGCGGCTTCTCGAGGGACTCGGGAATATAGTAAAGCTTTATGGCGATTTCGAATTCGCCCCAGCCGGTTTCGTGGACCTGGAAGGGGGTTCCAGGCGCGCCGGCTTCGATTGCTAGAATGGGGATGTTAGCTTGCTTCTTCCAATATATGCCCTTGGCGGGGAGGAGATAGGAGGGAAAGTCCGTACACCGCAAGGGATTCGGAATCGAATCATGTAGTTTGAACTGTACTTTCTTGCACCAGTAAGTGATATCGGTATCATCGACGCCCTTCACAAATACCGTCCACGAATGTGTATGGTCTTCAGGCGTTCCTGGCGGCTTTGGATTTGTGGCCGGGTCGAAGAGTTTGGCTGTGGAGCCGTAGACAAACGGGCGAAAGATTTGAACGCCCTTTACGCGTTTTTGGTTGTTTGGAGGCGCCATCTTGTGGGTGTAGAATCCTCCGTACGTTGGTTCTGGCTGTTGGAGTTCACGAACAAAGACGCTCTGGTAGATAGCGGGTCGACGCTCAGGGCGGCCGCTTTTTTCCGGCGGTGGTCAGTGCTTCCCGCATGTACATGACGTGGGCTGATACTAGCGACTTAAGCTATCGAAAAGCTTCGAAATATGTTTCAATGCGGTAAAACAATATGGCAACAGCAACAGCAACGAGGATAGTTGTTTGTGGAGGCAGTGGCTTCGTAGGTTCGAGGATATGCAAATCTGCTGTGGCAAGAGGGTGGGACGTCACGTCTATAAGGTATTTAATATGCAGTTCTCTATTTTGTCCCGTGCTTTCATTGTCAACAAGCTTCAACAAGCTGAATCAGTTTCCGCCCAAACCAATCCACAACGGAGAAACGCAAAGAATAGTTCGCTGATATGATCATTTACAAAGCCGATCTGGAGAACCGACCTGGTCCTCCGTGACATCGTCGCCCACCCCACCACCTTGGGCTCACAAAGTAGCCTGGGAACGCGCCGACGTCCTCAAACCCACAACCTACGCCCCCCTCCTCAAAAATGCCAGCTACGTCGTCCACAGCATGGGCATCCTCCTCGAAGCCGATTATAAGGGCGTCATCTCTGGCCGAGAATCCCCGATCTCGGGCCTACAACGTGCATTCCTCTCTAGCAAACGCGGCTCGCAAAACCCCCTAGAGCGGAAGAGCGGCGAGGATTTAAAACCACAGGAGCAGGATGGTCAGCTCACATATGAGCTCATGAACCGGGATTCTGCGATTACGTTGGCACAGGAGGCAGATAGGGAGGGGGTGAAAGCGTTTGCGTATATGAGTGCTGTGGCTGGTGCTCCTGTCTTGCCCAGTAGGTATATCGGGACCAAGAGGGAGGCGGAGAGTACTATTGGGAGCGAGTTTCCGAGGATGAGGAGCGTGTTTATTAGGGCGCCTTTCATGTACGATCAGTCCAGGACTTTTACAATGCCTCTTGCCGCATTGACGGGAGCCGGTGCGGTGTTCAACAGTGCCACGAGGGGTATGTTTGGGGGACTTTTGGGTGCGGGGGGCGTTAAACCACTGAAAGCAGATTTAGTGGCTGAGGCGCTGATAGAGGCCCTTGCTGATGAGAGTGTGAAGGGCCCAGTGGGAGTTGATCAGATCGAGGAACTTGCTCAAAAGGCATGGAGGAAGGGTATGTTATAAAGGATGAAAGTGTACGATTGAGGATCTCGACTCATCGCCATGATTTACACTATACAATGTACTTATAGAACCCAGCCTAGGGTACCATTCCTCTATCCAAATAATAATCATATCATCGTACCACGTTCGAAACTGTCCCGGATCTCGGCGGTATACTGCAAATAATTAGCAACAGGCTCAAGGAACGGTGTGGCATAATACATACCTTATTGTAAAACCTCGCCAGCTTCTGGTTGAACGTTTTGTTCTTCTCATTGATGTAGGTAACATCACCATCATCACTCTGCCCCATCCGCTCTCTTCTCTTCTTCAACCTCGCCTCCTCAGCTTGTTGTAGGTCTTTAACCAACCTATCAATAGCATCTTTCGGTGGTTTATGTTCTACAAACCCAGTCGAATCAGCAGTGGAATAAAATGTGCCGTCTTTGTCCACAGCAACTAGTTCCCCGTCATCAGTCTCAACAATCTCCAGTCCGCCGGATGCAGCAGCCTTTTCAACCGCCTTCATCTTCTCCTTCTCATAATTATCCATATCCGGCTTCAAATTCCGTAACTGCCGCTTATACACCTTCCTGCTATCTTGTCTGTAATCCTGGAATGCCTGGTCGTCTCTATGTGCATCTTTCTTCTTCAACCGCTTGTCCCATTTTTCGCTTTCGTCAATAGTCCAGTCCCATGCTCTCTTTCTTTCGAAGTCTTCGCCTGCTACTTCGGCATCGGCTTTCATAAGATTATGTTGCGCGATTGTTGCTTTGCGGTTTAGAGATGTGAGGAGATTGGGATCGGTAGCTAGGCGTTGTGACTCCAACGTTGCCTCCTTTAAGTTCTTCTGAGCGCCTGTTTTGGCGCGTGCTTGGAGAGCTTTGAAACGCTCCGCGCGCTCTTTCGCTTTTGCAGCGGCATCTGCGGCTGAAGATGCGGAGGAGGGCTCTGTTTGTGTGGGTGTGGTTGGAGCTGCTGAAACCGGCTCTTGTTGAGGAAGCGCAGAATCAGCCTTAGAAATATCGGGCCCGTCGTTTGATTTTTCTGCTCGCTCGGCGGCGGCTCTAGTCTTGCGCTTCTTCGCTGGGGGCATAGTGATGGTTGGTTTTGTATCTGGGGCGGTAGATGGACAAGTCTGAGTACGAAGAGGTTTCCAGGTTGGCGAAGTGATAAGTCCTGGCAATGCGATGGCGGGTCCAGCAGAGCGTGGAGACCAATGTTGGTTATGTAAGCAATAAGTTTCACCCCTACTCCGTAAAGCTGCAATCGATAGTTGAATGGGCGCGACCAAGCTACGCGACACATCATTACAGATACAACGTACTTCGAATCCCATTGTGATGAAGGCAACAGAAACATGCAAAATCAAGCAAATATCTGTGTAGTCTGCCGGCACGCTCTTGCATGGTCCAATCGGCCTCGAACTAGAACCGGACTGAGATGGGCTTCTACAAAACCCCCGCATATCTACAACCTTCCACGCGTTGTGGTCGACCTCGATGCCTTCGATAGCAAGATTGTGCGGAAACTAGAAGATATTCCGGAAAAAGAGCAGGCCATAAGCTGGCGGCCCAGTCGAATACCAGTACGCCTGCAAGAATGTCAAAATCCAAAGACCCAGACCGCGCAGGCCTCCTCCCGCACGAACGCTGCCAAAATGCGAGGACTCCGGTGGCACAGATGGGCTGGAAATGGGTCATTAACACGACAAGATGTGGGGAACCCAGAGCAAAGCAATGGAAATTGTAGGGAGATGGAGATAAACATGCCATCACCAAGGTCGAACTTCAAACCTATGACTGCCACTGCCCCCGATCTGCTGATGTACGCGCTTTTGGGTGAACCTACAGCATCGCACAACCCAAAAAACACGTTTTTGAGACAATTGCTCCGTTCGAATGGCCTTTTGGCGGCCGAAAGCACCGAAGAAAATCTCGAGCAATTAACTCTCCAATTCCCTACTGATCCATTGGCAAACGCTATACAAGCAGGCTTTACGCCAGAATCAGAAGCACTCCTCAAACAAGAGATCTTCACAGGCCTTTGGTCGTTCTCGGAAATTTGCCGCTTTATTTCAATGCTCTCCTCTACGTCCCAAGGATGCCAGTTTATCGCAAAGTTCGGTGATGACATTGTGAAACTCCTTCGAAGATGCCGATTTATTTCTCATTCGGCGGGGGCCATTGACGGCCAACAAATCACGACCAGTATGATCCTAAAACTTTTGAATAGTCTCGTGCTAAACATCGATTCAAAGGGGTTGAAGCCCGGGGCTGGTCTTTGTCACGCTGGATTGTATTATGCATCCAGGAGTGGCAACTTATCAGCGGTCAGAATGTATTTGGAAATGTCCCGAAAAAACGGCTATAGTATTGACTGGAAGGTCGTACGTGCTTTCAAAGCCTTGCTAGTCACCGTTGCGAAGGAGTTGGAATTATCAAACCCGTGGCCACCATGGAAGGATAATGATTCTCGGCGACTTGAAATCATGAACTTCATCACAGAGTGGCGTGGTAAAACGAGGCCTCGGCCATCCAAGAAAGGCGCAATATGGAGCCCCTCTTTTGGTATGCCCATCACTACTACTTCTAGTGTGCAGCGTTCGTATCTATACGCCACTTATGTCTTTGGACTTGGGGAGATGGGATCCAAAACGGCGCTCAGGGCCGAATGGGAAGCGGTGAAGGCAATGCTACCAGACAGTGATTACCTACAGCACGCCCAAGTCTTTGCAATCGCCTTCATCCTTGCACGGGATCCCGATCAGGCACTTAAATTGCTTAAAGACGTCCCTGAGGGAGGAATGATGGACACCCCCGACCCATTACAGCAGGCAATGCTTCAAAATCTCTTTTCTTACCACTACTCCTTCCATGACCTCAAGGAATCATCGGGCGTAACGCAATTGGTCACCCGAGGCGTCTGGGAACTTTGGCATAGTAGACGCCGCCCAGAGCATGCGCTGAAAGTCTTAGAAGGGCTTCTAGTCATTGATTTTCCTAAATTCCTCCCTAACACAGCACGCAAGATCCACTGGGCATCTGTAGATGGCAAGGAAGGCCTGAGGGTGTTGTCGGAGCGACCAAAGTCTCAGTTATATTTTAAGTCGGCAGGGGAAGGGTTCCCTTTAAAAATGGAAGACGAGAATGAGTGTATAAATACATAATAATATAGGCATATATAATATGACACTGCCGGTTTCTGACATCTACTAGACATTTGGATAGTTGGTTTAATTTATGTTATGGTGTTGTCTCATAGCATCATATATAAAACTTATTGCCCTCCGATTTTCCAACCTTGTAACTAGTGAAACAACAGTACTATAAATCAGCTATTTTGACGGATACTGCAGTTCTTGACATTTAACTTGAATATTTTTAAAGGGCACAAAGATGGGTAGTTTACAAGAAGTGTAGCGGCACGGATGATAAGACAAGCACCATAAGCAATATCTCTTTTGTTAACTTACTCAAATCTAAGATTTCTTTGACCAGGGGTTCTAATGTTACTACGTCGTCTACTGGAATGCGCAATATCAACTTACTTTCACGTAGGACAGCTCAGACACTGAACTAAATTGTATAATTCCTTGCCCCAGGAGGCCAAGTTCCTATCATGTTTATGTAGATGTGAAGTGCCGAACCTGCCTTTCTGGTAGTTTCGAAATTCCGCATATATATGTTATCCCGCTCTTAGAAGTTCCAGTCGCCCATACAGCGAATATGAGATTGAGGAGAAGGACCGTCTCTTCAGCCTCGGCGCCAGCGAGTCCATAAATGAGGGGGCAGTTCATAAATGTGTAAGCCAGTCCAAGTTACGCTGCATCATAGACTCATAGTCCACATTACTGCAACATCCTAGATATGTACCACTGCTTCTACGAGACAAATTTGCTCAAGCTGCCGATTTTCCAGTATCTTCATGAAGTGCGAACTTTAGATTGTTTAGTGCGACGGATTCTTTGTCGGGCAAGAGCGAAGCAAAGAAGATAAAGAGGTACTCGATAATTCTTTTTGCTCGCATTAATCATGCAAGGTCGGTGGCTACTAAGTTACATGCCTGCCACACTTCCTCTGTTCTGCCCTATATAGATGAAAACAAGCGATTTTGTGGTATGAAAGACAAAAGGCGCCCACTTGGCTAAGTGGTTTGGATCAAATTGTCTGGCCTGAGTGGATCGATAGGGGCAAAAACGACGACACCGGCAAGAGATGTAGGCAATCGATCCGTGGCCGAACTCTTTTACTTTTAGAGCGTGTAATAATCTTCTTGCTATAATACTTTTGCTTCAGTTACCTGCCATTGCGACGGATCTTGAGAATTGTTTTTTTAAATTTCGCCTATTTGAATTGTGACGCCTTAGCGGCAGAGCCTGCCATATCCTCTGGAGACCAAATCTATTGCCCCCCGTGAAGCAAACAGAATTCCAGCGCTTGGTATCAAACTCCATTTCTAACTAATAAATACAGACTTGTTGCATTCCATATAGCTAATCATAATTTCCTAAATCTATAGCTGCCAATACGCCTAAATCAATTATTGAAAGGAAGTAAAAGGAAAGGAGAAACCACATGTAGAAAGACGAGAGCAGGACTCTAATTTGATATCAAAAGGCAGGAGCAAAATGTGAAGATATAATATCAATACATCATTGGAAAAATGACGAAGAGAAGAAATGAACGAGAAGAAATAGCAGAAATATCGAAAGAGGGTATAATAGTATGCAAAGTCTGCATGTCGAAGAGTGCGTGGATGTATTGTTGCAATAGCCACTGCGATCCAACGCCATCGGTATATTTAGCTCACGTGGACCGGTGAGCAGCATTGAACTCATCCAGCGGCTTTGCCAATTTCAGTGATGGCACACTTCGTGGCTTGGGTTTATACACTTTTATGCGTTTCTTCTTAGGAGTGCTTCCATCATCTGATGAGGTGGTCGGGGTACCATTCCTGCTATGACCAAGGGCATCCTCGAGTCTCTCAAGGGCGTCAAGATCAACGTCTAGACTCATGAAATCGGTTATCCCCGACATACCAAGAAGAGTAGTGTTTAGTTTCCCAGTGTTGCCAGTGATAACATCAAACATACTAGCACTATAGAATTCATTCGTATAAAGACCCGCGGAGTCGTTGTTCCAATTCTCCAACGCCAACTCGGACCATTTGTCGTCGGCTAAATCGCTGTCCTTCTGTGGAAGGTCTGGGTATGCCAGATAGATCCACGTCTTCAGTACCAGGCACTCATATGTGGAATCCTGAACCCATTGTAAGAGCCAATTATTCACATACTGCCTCTTATCCTCGTAATCCAGCTCGCGGCCGTAGAAGTTCGCATGATATGCGGCCATGCGGAGAGGTGACCGATCGAGAGCTTCGTCTACAGAATCCATCACTTCTTCATAGAGTGCGTCGCGTCGCTCGTATACATACTCGTGATTAGAAAACAGTTGTTGGTCAAGACATAGATCTCGGAGGTCAAACACCTCATCCTCAACCTTGCGGAGGTTTTGGAGAAGGTCAGCACGCATAACTTGATATTCACTAAGGACATGGCTGGCTTTAACTGATACAGGGAGATCATATCGGTTGGAGAAAGAGGCATCTGCAGAAAACCGGTGATAGTCTTCCTCCAGATTATCCAACTGCTCGCCAATCTGACCTGCTCTGGCAACAGCCTCCAGATATTCTTCAACTAGCCCGCTGTCCAATGGTGAGCCTTCGAATTCAGTGTCTGGCGGAATATACGGCTTGATAAGTGGCGAAATCTCCGCGTCCAGATTGGGATCGGATTCAAGAATGGAAGGGAGCGGCACCGCATAGTTGCGGTAGAAATGATATTCTTCCTGTTCAAGCTCTTGTTCCTCGTCGTCGAGCTTATCCTCGAAGCGGTCGTAAGCGTCTTCAACCGGGCCAAGAGCATCTTGGGCTTCGCGAAGTTTCGCAAGATATGGTGCGAGAGTCTCCTCAATATGACCAAACGCCTCAATTTCGTTGACCTTGTTCATAAGCTTATGCGTCGCATCCCTAACATCTTCTCGGAGGCGACGTAGCTCATCCCTTTGGTCTCTTTTGGCTTCCCGGGACCTCGACACCCTGCCACGGAGTATAAAAACTCGCTCCCTTGCTCTCACCTGTCGCGCTTGGATGTCCGCATCGATAGTCGAGCCATCATCATCGCCATCAATATCGCCTAGTGCTGAGAAATAGGATGAATCCTGCCGAGGTGGGCTCTTCACGGGCGATGAAGTTTTCGGCGCCGATGAAGCGGATGTGGTGTACTGTGGCTTGACTTTCGGGGTCGAGTGGTTTGCGGAGGCTTCCCTCGAGCTTTCTGGCGGCGACAGTGGTTGTTCCAGCATCGCGGCAAGCTCTTGCCCTTGCGGAGACAACTTCTGGTCATGATCTTGATTATCAATGTTGGAACCATCGGTCTGGAGCTTGTTCACCGCTGAATCTGTCGGCAGGCGACAGGTCTGCTCGTGGGCCCCAACGGACTCTCCTTGGACAGCATGCAATCGAAGCGTGTTGGGCAGACGAAGAGGCGGTGGGAGCCGACACGTCTCAGCAACGGCGCTTGGTGTCGTCCTGCGAGCATGTGCCATGGAATGGGAAGAGTTGTACTTCGTACCGGCTTCTTCTCCATCTGTTCTTGGATGGCGCCTACCCAGCACGAAGTCGCGGGTCGATCCGGTCGGGTACTAATACATGAATAGGAGATGTGTTATTGAAGGAGCTGTGTCCCAGCTTCGGGTGACAACTACAAAGTACCCTCTCATACCCGAAAGCACCGAGGCCGAGAGTGAGGCGGACGAGGGAGGACAAGCAGGAGGAAGGGAGGATGCGAGGAATCCCAGAGGACGGCGGATTGCAGAGCCGCATCATCGCTAACAAAGGTCTGGAGGTTCCCCCTTCTCGTCCATCCCGACCGACCTGGAGTGGCATGGTCTGCCGTGCATTGCATAGGGAGTGCTTCCTCCCACGGTGCGTACATGGCGTTGGGATCTGGATATTGGACCGAGAGATTGAGTGGCTTGTGAAGTCGCTTGGGCCAGGCGAATGGTTTGCGGGTCGGGCCTCCTTTAAGGCTTAATTAAGGCTTGAAACCCCAAGGCTAATAACTCTGAGATGGTCAAAGGAGGCCATTATTGGCTACGAGTATAGGCCTGACTCTGTGTCGGCGCATCCACAAGGACGGTGTTACCACCACTGCCCAACAGTGCACGAGTACGCGTACCGAAGGTAGTACAACAAATTCATGATCGTGGCTCTTCTCCCAATATCTGCGTCCAGCTCAGAGTCAGTCACCTACCTATGCCTGCTACTAACCTGCAATATTTGATGCAATAGCAGCTGGATCTCTCGCGACGCACATGGATGACAATCAACACCACTTCCAGGGAGACTCAGACGCGGCCTCAGGGGGAGACCCAAGGGAATCGCTATCAATCCCGCAATCAATTGCATTTACCCGAAAACCTCATGGTCATGGTGACTTTCGTGCTTCGCCGGAAGTCCTTCCCGCCGCGTTCTCTCCGGCCAGAACTGCGATCTCGATATCATCTTGTGACGACGAGCCTGTCAGATGACTGCGAGCATGCTGCAGAACGCAGCCAAACAGAGCTGGTGGGACGCCCACTACCCGGGAAATCCAAAGAATCCCCCCAACAGCACTCCTGCGAGGAATCATCTAATCCACAGCGATTGTCCCCGCACTGCAAGCCCTAGCAGCCCTGCAGGCTACGTGGTTCCGCCGCTCGCTGTGAGGGTCGGCGATGGTTAAGAGCCTCAAGATAGTCGCCATGAGGTCGGCCCCCCTTGGGATAAAAGTCGCCTTTTCTCCCTATCAACAGAGCACAGGATGATCTAAGGATGGAGACACCTTGGATTAGAGAGCCTGAGACTGGGCGTTACTATATGAATGCGCGAGACAGCTGTAGGTCCCTTATTCATGAATCATGAGTAGAAGGTCAAGTCGAGAAATGCTAACGAAGATTACTAGTAGGAAACCCCGTCCGGAGGTACTCAGAGGAGCTTTATCCTACTGAACCCTACCAGAGTCAACAGCCTGCCGTGTAAGACGGTCTAAGACGAGTATCGTTAAAAGATCCAATTCTAACTGTGAAGAGCAGAAGCCAGTATGCGCAACGGACACCTCGATCGGAGCTTGGACAGAATTCCTATCTCCCTACCTCACCAGGGCCGTCGGGTGCGGGCAATCAGAGACATGAATCAGAGTCATGGTATAGACCGTCAGGAACCGCCGGGGCTTTCCAAAGCCCCGGGGCCTACCAAGCGTCGCCGACCTATAGCCCCACAGCATCTGATTGGTCTAGATCTAGCAATATCACCTCCATGACAAGCCAGATGAATAACCTAGCCATGGGGGACCTAGATAGAGACCATCAGTATACTGCCACAGCGCCTAGTGGCCCATCGTGGACCGCAAAGCCCACGTCCTCATACCATTTCAATACCAATCAAGGACAAGCTGCCAGCGCTAGCGGATTTGGCAAGGGCCCAGCTGCCATCTCAGCGCAACAGGACCATCCTTCTTCCCAGAACAGAACTCGACGTCATCTTACTAGAACGGATGGAGATACAGAACGACTTGATTCAAGATATCGGATCAGAAATAACGATTACAAGAAATTCTTCAGGGAGGGAAGAGTGTTTAGCACACTGTGGACAGACCAAGCCTCAAAACAAACCAATAGAAACCAGACCTTCATCAGCATCGTGACGTATAACGAACAAGTACATACAAAAATCAGACGGTTTGTCGTTGTCCGCCAAAACAACCAGAACTGCATATGCCTCCCTGTGACTTCCTACGAAGGCAGAGGGCATAGAAAATCTGGAATTGAACTCGATAAGCACGGTCAGATTTATAGCAACACGCCCCCAAAGGAAACCAGTTCTATATCCAAGAAGCCGCTGAAAATCGTTCTTTCGCGGGAGGCGGATCCTCTCAAGGATCAATCACTGATAAATTACGGAACTCCATACACGGTTGAGTGTAACGTCAAGGTCATGAATATCGGCGAACTAGATAGTGGCTCCCTAAAGCTCCTCTTGCGATACTATAGTAAGGTTCACTTCCGGCCGGAAGACTGTTATGATGATATGGCAATGGATAGCAAGCCCCGGGAAAAAGATGAGGATCTCGCCGGTGTTGGAACTGCATTTGCGTCCAATTTCTCGGGCACCTCAGGGAGCTCCACATATTCCACGTCCCCAGGCTACAGCACCCTTGCTCAGGGGCAGATTGAGTACAAAACTCAGCCAAGTTATACAACCAGTTACCCTGCGGACCCTGGATATTCATCACGCCCTGCACCCATTAGCGCCCCTTCATCTTCTTCTACCACGCAATCTCAGAGCTCCCGCCGAGACGCAGACTATCAAATAGAAGAGGAAGATGAAGATATCAAACTACCAACCCGGGAAGATGCCCAAGCATCTCGATCATCTCGATCTCGTCGTGATAGCGAGAGCAAACCATCACGGTCAAGCGGAAAGGAGAAAGAACGTAATAATCGCGACCGCCACCGTCACCGGGACCGGGATCGAGATCGAGACCGGGACAGGAAGAAGTGATATGTCTTGACAAAGTCATCCTTCCACATAGTCATGCCTTATCTACAAAATTTCTGTTTTGATTTGCTGTTCTAGGAAAATATCCTGGCTAAATTCATACGTTGCTCTTTGGCTTCCAACCATGAGCTACAAGTCTCACTTCTGGTTATAATACCATGAAACACGTCGCGTGGCCCTTACGGATCGCGCTGTTGGACCTTGGGATCTTGAGTCCTTGTTGCACTATTCCTTTTTCTTCTGGTTCGCCCGGTACAATCTATTATTTATGTTCTGATGTTTGAATCCTTCACGAGTCTCCACCAAGCTTGGTTTCATGATATAACGTATCCCTTTTGTTTCCTGAACCCGGGTCGGTTGTGTTGTTTTGCTACTGTCAATCATTTTATTCCGCCCTTCTCATCTCACGACTTTAATGACTAATGACTGATAATGACTTTTGCTTTTGGAAATTCCTCTTTTGTTTCTGGTTCACCCAACAGAAATCCGCAAGCTCAGTGGATAGTATGGCAAATGGAACACAGTACAGCTCGGTATCTACCATCTGAAAAGGGCAAATTAGCTAATTGCTGAGCAATGAGCCATAATAACCACCACTCTTGGTCACTGAATTGGTTATCTATTCGTAGCTGTATTTAAACCTAATGCCTCCAATCAAATAACGGTTGCGGGCCTCGCCCCTTCTTTATGAAATTTGACATTCTAGTTATACATGTATTGCAAATCACTATAGAGCCCCGATACTCGAGAATACATACACATCCAAACCCATCTACTTGATCTGGGGATCACCGCTAATGTACTACTACCCCGAGCTTTCCTAAATAAGATCCCCTCGTCCTATTCGTATGGACTTTCTTTCCCTAATCACCCCCACCCCCGCCTCCACCCCCATCTCCTCCACCTCCTCCGTCACCTCCACCCCCGCCATCACCACCACCATGACCGCCCCATCCACCGCCACCGTAGCCTCCACCACCATGTCCACCATCATGATGCGTCGACCCGTAGCCACCGTAGCTTCCGCCGTCGACGTACATTGGGCTGCTCTGATAGCGCTTGCCTTTCGAACTTTTGCCGAGTCTCCTTCTCGAAAATTAGTGTATTATATCTAGAAAACAGCCAATGACATATTATTAAGACTCGCAAATATTAATTTCAAGAATGAAAATCGGCATACTGGATGTCATGGAGTCCAGCTAAAGGAAGCAAGCACAACGTAACCAACATATTTGTCTATTACTTCGGAATATACTCAGGCAACAAGAGAAATCAAATACACATACCTTCCATTCACTGGGCGCGATGAGTAGGCATAACCCTGCACAGGCTTCGGTTTGCTCCCGAAACACATTCTTTTGGCCTGGAACTTATGTATTGCTTTTCCCGGTCTCTCGCTCGCCCTTTATTACTTTTATGCTTTCTTTGTTGGATTCAACTTTTGGTGCAGAATAATATCGTTTGCGCTATCGTTTTTTCTCCAATGTAGGTGCGGAATGTTAATGTTCGTTGCTAAGAACGTATCGAGATCTCATACAAATGATAATACGAGCAGATAAAGAAGCGCGAAGGCAGGAAATCAGACATCTATTGTATTAAGTAGATATGGGGAGGGCGGGTAACCCCTTGCGCCCCTCCTGATCAACTCAGCCTCTCTATCATGGCGTCGCGTGAGCATTATAAGCAACTTGACGGGCGAGCTGAGGCGCGTAATAAGTGTAAGGCTGCGAATCCGCGATGTCGAGGCGGTGCTGCCTGTGACTCGCTTAAATCCAGGTCTATATATAGATAAAAAAAAGGGGTATGAACCAATGGATTACCCCTGAACCTTAAGTCTGCGACCTGTCGATCGGCTCCTACGACCTGAATTCGGTAAGAAAATGCTTTTGTATAAGCTTGCCTCAGTACTTTCAAGGTCTTAGAGTTTCTTAATTGTTTCCCCAATTTCGACAGCTTGAGCCGCGCAAAAGCGCCAACTTAACTAATAACACCACTTCCCTATACTAAGCAGAATTCTCCGCAGCTGCTTCTTGAAAGCTCACAGAACTTTTCATACATGCATATACTTGGTGCCATACACCCGAAACTCGTCAGTATTGCCTCCATTTGGCTGTATTCTATAATATCTAGCAGCGGTGAACTTTCCACTATCCAAGCACAAAGTACTAACCACCAAGAACTAACTACAATAAACGCTTCCTAACCTATTTAAATTGTGCACTTGTGATCCGCAAAATTCTGGCAACAGAGGGTTAAAATCCTCACTACTAGTCGAGACAAGCAACATGGGTATAAAATTGCGGTTGTGGATAGGAGTTGCTTCTAGAAGTATATATCTTGGGGACAATTAGTGAAAGATTGAAAAGCCAAGCCTTGGCGTGGGCGGCACGGCGCGACTAAAAATGGAGCGATCAATTGCTTTTCCGCTGAACTCTATCATGTCCCTACCATGCCAATGTGAGCCACAGCTAGGATATACTATATCCCATGTGAGGGCTTCCTAGGGACATTGAGAGCCTATTGCCAGAACGAAAGAGAGGGCGTTGGCTATGGTATTTGAATTTGAGCTCGGCGACTTGCAGTTTGATGAAGTTATTACTGCCATGTTGATGTACTAGGTGCCCTCCAGTAATCCCCGACAAACCGCTAAAGATAGGGGCTGTAATCTTTGCAATATCCATGAACTTCTTAGTTCTGCCGCTACACTTCTCCATTTAATATTCTGTAATCTGTTTTTGTCAGTACTTTGAAACATGAAAGGACGGTCTCGCTCGCAATGCTGGTATGCTTACTTTAATATATTCTCAAGTCCGCCCTCCCTGGAAGACATACATGCATGCAAGTTATTGTGATGCTTTGCAGTACCTATCTGGCGAATGATATCCAATAATTCGGTATCTATGGGACCTGTATCCTCATTGTCTGGCCTAGTGTTCGAGTATTATTAGCAGGTAGCTTTGGGACATATCAGGATGTTGACTCCCAGACTCCCCTAGTCGAAAATTAATGGTTATGGATCATCCCAGCGACTTCGGAAACATGCTGAAGTTGGAAGGCTGGCGGGATATTGGCCGAGGCTGTAAATGTGAAAATTCACGAGGAAACCTCGTTAGGCATTAGGTCAAGCTCCTTCACAGGTTGAAACCCGAGGTCCTCGAATTCAAGGTGGTGGTACATTCTCCTCTACCGGACTGCTATGGCGTTTCGGCTTAACCATCAACAAAATAAACATCCCAACGACTAATAAAATCAACAAGAAAATAACTCTTCGTTTCGTGCCCTTCCGCTGGTATCCCGACGCAACCTTTAACTCCTTATCCGCGGCCTTAACGTCCACGGCCATTCGCTCCACATTATAATCTATCCTGTCCAGCATGGTCCCCTGGTCGATGATCATTCCTTGTAGCTCCTTAAATATATCGGCCAATTCGATAATACCTTGGGCAATATCCGTGATTTCTCGCTCGCGCTGCATTATTGCGGCGTCATTGGAGGTGAGTTGTTTTTGCGAGGTTTGTTGTAAAGTCGATTGCGAATAAGACTTATCGGCATCGGATTCCATTATTGATGGGTCGGTGTAATTGTTATACAGAGGTGTGGATGATCGATCAGTTTGCGGGTTCATCCCGCTGAGGCCTCGAAGTTCTGCTTGAAGTTAGCAACTGCTTGCCATATTTTGGGGGGAAGGGAAATGTACTCTTTAAATAAGCACTCTGCTTCTTCCTAAACCCTGCACTGGCCTCTTGCACCCTTCCTGCCAGCGAAATCTGGATATTCTTTGCCATAGTCTCCTCTCCTTTACTTAGCGACCCCGAATGTTTGGCCTCCCGAACCAGCATCTCAATGCGTTGAATAGCCTTCTGGCAATCGTGGAATCCCTTTGTAATATCTTGTGTCAACCGCTCGATTTCCCCTTCTTCAGCCCTCTTGACTTCCTCATCGTCGAAGCCGGGCAGGACGTGTTTCTGATGTAGCTTTTCTAGCGTCACACTCTTGCTCGCAATATCGGCCAGGTACTCTGTAACTTCATCGCTAATATCCGCCCAGCGTGGCGGTAGCAAATCCATTTCTATAACGGCATCTCCATCATCCTCGAATGCGCCGGCTGACATGAGACCCTGCCGCTCCGAGGACCCGCCCCCGATAATGCTATCGCTGTACCCATTGCCAGATGCACCAGCCGAATATTTTGGCTTCTTCGCGGGATGATGCGCATACGATTGCCGGTAGGATATGTAACTTCACCAATGGAAGTAAGCACGGTGGACGTTGAGAGCGTCCAGAACGACGTATACGTGGAGGCTGGACTTACAGATTGGTGCGATCGCGCCACATGGCGGATCCAGGTTGAGCTTGCGCTCCCTCTGGCTGTGGTTAGGCAATGGTAATCCAAAGTTCGTCGCCGTCTTCTCCTAGATACAGTAGACAGATCAAGGGAAACGGTGTTGGGAACGGAGAACGGTTAATGACATGCTGTGCTTGTCTCTCACAGCTCCCAAGCAGCCAAGCAGGCCAAGCAGCCTTGTTTGTCACACCTGAGGCATCAATGGTCTGGCCTTCCAGGCTGAAAAGCTGCGCCGCAGCTGTTTCTGGACCGCCGTAGAGCCTCAGTTCTGCCCCTACTCCTGTGGAAACACAAGGCCCATCACAATCAACAGTTGCTACTCAACTCAACCTTCAACACAACGCTCCTCGCAACCTCCGCACATCAACTTTTTTCCTCCCTATATTTGACTAGCGTGCGATTTTAACACTCAACTACATATTATCCCTCGTTATCCCAGCTCGACACCATGGTATGTCCCCTCTCGTACCTGGGAGCTTAAATCGGCCCCGCGTTTGCATTTGTTTCGCCTGTCGCGGGGTGCGATGCAATGCCGATTTTCGTTTCTGTTGGAATAGGGGCTAACGGATACTTCAACAGGCTGATTCTCTTACCGAAGAGCAAGTCTCTGAGTTCAAGGAGGCTTTCTCTCTCTTCGTAAGTCTGCACTCTGCACCCCCGCCTGCCATAGCAACAGGAGCTTGGTGTGGAAGCCTAGCGAAGTATGGTTATTAACTGTACTCTTGCCCACAGGATAAAGATGGCGATGGTTAGTACCTTCGATGTTTCCTCGGTCACAACTTCAATATCATACCACCTTGGAGCATGCTCGAAATCGATATAAAGTTTCACCACTGTGGCCAGTTCTCGGCTGCCCCTCATCACAACGTGGGGCAGGGTCCTGCAGCTCGGTGGAGCCAGCTTGAACCACAATGCTGACAATGGGTGTCAGGACAAATCACTACGAAGGAGTTGGGCACAGTTATGCGATCGCTCGGCCAGAACCCCTCTGAATCTGAGTTGCAAGACATGATCAACGAGGTCGACGCTGATAACAATGGAACCATTGACTTCCCAGGTGCGGCATCATTCCACCCCGATGGTGGACAGAGATGCTGATATGGTAACAGAGTTCCTCACTATGATGGCGAGGAAAATGAAGGACACCGATTCCGAGGAGGAAATCAGAGAGGCGTTCAAGGTCAGCATACTCATGTCAACTCTATGCGCTACGTAGCACTGACAATTTGGTTTCATAGGTCTTTGACCGTGACAACAACGGATTCATCTCCGCTGCTGAGCTCCGCCATGTCATGACATCCATTGGAGAGAAGTTGACAGATGATGAGGTCGATGAGATGATTAGAGAGGCCGATCAAGATGGTGATGGACGAATTGACTGTGCGAACCCCCACTTACGCAGCCACTGATCGCTCTGCTAATTTTACCTAGACAACGAATTCGTCCAGCTCATGATGCAGAAGTAGGGCTATTGCCTAACGCTTTTCTGTATCCGAGCGAGTGTCTGAGCCGGTGATGGGTATGGGGAAGGAAGTGGTTACCTCGCTGGACAGACGGATCGGTATCGGTAGATGTGTGGGATGATAACGGTGCAGCGTCTACGTTCGGAAATATGACTACACCCTTTTGCTGGCGCTACGTGGCATACACAATATTTCGTGATTTTTATCAAAATCCTACTTATCAGTCCCTAATCGGTTGATCTCGTCGGGGAACTCGCTGAAATAGAGGACATAAAAAACCCCAGTTTCTTGTCAATATTTTACATCTTCAGAACGATTGCCGCATCATGGTCCCTAGTTCCCTAGTTTGGTAGGGCGATGATGATGCGGCACATTACTAGCCAAGTGAACTCCATTAATCTTCCGAGCTTCTTTCTGGCGATAGTCAGCCCTAACTCGGTGGGATACAATCAGTTTGGCTTAATATCACGCGCGGTAACTTTTAAGCTTAATATTAGTCTCTCTTTTTGACACGGACTACACGATACAACCAGGCGATATCCTACGCCCCTAACCTCCAAACCCCTAAACACTAGCATCTATCGAGGCAGAAATATTTAGTTGGCTCCCTTACTAGCACACAAAATGATATGAATGCCATCTTCCTAAGGGATGCTGCTCCATCCGGCTAAACCCGCTTGGCCATCTAGCTCTATTGATTATAAGTTTCTACCTTATTTGGTATTTATTATATAAACCGTGCGCGTCCCGGCATGAGGAATGAGATTGCGGCCATTTCCAACACAATAGACAAGGCTGAAACGGATCACTTAGTGATATCACTAGGATAGAACGTAATAAAGCCACCCTAATTCTGCCCCTCCGGTCCTGACTAGAGCGATAGTGCCAGTAGCGTTAATCAGCAACCGGCTTGTTGAAAATACTAGATATTATATCTGTGCGAGTCGAGATGGCGTTATCGAAACAACTCCCTAAATATAGGGGAGCTTAAACCCTGTGGAACCCTGCGCTTGGCAGGCTAGTTTCAAGCTCGGGAAACGCTTCCCCCGCTCAGGTGTATTTTGTGGATTCTCCAAGCCACATTCCAACCGCAAGCTCCTTCGCGAGGGCGAATCAATTCCACATTATCTACCTACCAACGTAGCTTCATATTCGCACTGTTCTACCACAACGAAATTTCGTCGTCGGCGCTCCTTACTTTTATTGCATCCTTCTACCTTCTATGAGCTTCTCTGGATATCGCTCCTTTCCTTTCGACCATCGTTACCGTTGCTGGAACGCCCAATTGATAACGACGCGGGCCAGAGTGAATGTGCAATAAGGCATGTTGACATTCAACACTACCGTCCTCCTTTCGAGCTTCTCCCCTCCTATCGTCTAAATCAAATCCGAACGCACGATGGCAGGCACCCGACGCTGGCGCGTTGTAGCCCTCAGTATCTTCTTCATCGTCACCTGTATATACTATGTCAGACATCAACCACTTACTTTTAATACTGGCTACCCAGCCTACCTCCCCGGTGCCTCCAAGCCTGGTGCCAACGATGGGCGCACCCACTGGTCCAAACTTCCCGAGAAGTACCCAGTATCTTCACATATCCCTCTACCGACTGGCAGACCGAACGAGATCGCCCCCGTCCAAGCGCAGCAGCCGAAAGAAAATGAGAAACAACGCGAGGAACGGTTGAAGCGTAGAGCTGCTGTGGCAGAAAGTTTTTCGCACAGCTGGGAAGGTTATAAATCGCACGCCTGGCTCCGCGATGAAGTAGCTCCTCTAAGCGGGAAATATAAGGACACATTTGGAGGATGGGCTGCGACATTGGTAGATTCGCTGGATACGTTGTGGATTATGGGCATGAAAGAGGACTTTGAGGCCGCAGTCAAGGCGGTTGAGGAAATCGACTTTACAACAACAGAGGAGACGCAAGTGAACGTTTTCGAGACAACAATCAGGTATATGGGCGGGTTTTTGGCTGCCTATGATATATCTGGTGGGACGTATCCGATCCTGCTCGTAAAGGCAGTGGAAGTGGGTGAGCTTCTGATGAGCTGTTTTGATACTCCTAATAGGATGCCCATCACCAGATGGGATTGGAAGAGGTAAGTTATGTTGTGGCCTGCTTCTTCAATAAAGCTAATGAGAAGTAGCTACGGCGAAGGTCAGGCCCAACAAGCCAAAAGAACCTTGGTCTCAGAACTGGGCTCATTGAGCCTTGAGTTCACCAGGCTTTCGCAGCTGACGGGAGACCCGAAATATTATGATGCCGTCCAACGAGTATCAGATGAATTCGAGAAAAGCCAGAACTCCACTAAACTCCCGGGCATGTGGCCGATCAGTGTAGATGCATCGGTACCATCATTTAATGCCGATAATTTCTTCACCTTGGGCGGAATGTCCGACTCCCTCTATGAGTACCTCCCGAAACAGTATCTCATCCTTGGCGGGCATCTTGAGCAACCAAAAACACTCTACAAAAACTTCATCGAAGTTGCCAAGAAGTACCTGTTCTTCCGCATATACAATTCCAAGGATGAACTGCTTTCTGTATCCGGAGATATTCGTATGTTAGGCCTGGCTGATCTGAAGCCTCACCGCGATCCTCAGGGGCAGCATCTCACATGTTTCACTGGCGGCATGGTCGGTCTTGCGGCCCGGATCTTTGATCGCCCAAAAGATCTTGCCGTGGCCGAAGAACTCACAGCCGGTTGTGTCTGGGCTTACGACAGCAACGCAAACGGGGTTGCACCCGAACTTTTCCATGTAATGCCCTGTCCCAATCAAGGCAGCTGTAAATGGAGCGACGATATCTGGTACGATGCACTCGCTGCCCTGCACCCTTATGAGCCGGGAGTTGAAGAAACTCCAAGTGGCCGTGCAGAACGAATTAAGAAACTGGCCGCTGAGATGAAGCTTGCCCCTGGTTTTACGTCAGTTGGTGATAGACGGTATATCTTACGTCCGGAGGCCATTGAGTCCGTCTTTATCATGTACCGCATTACCGGCGACCAGAAATGGCAAGATGCCGCATGGCGCATGTTCCAGGCTGTCGAGAAGGTTAGCCGGACTGAGGTTGCCGCTGCGGCGATCATGGATATTACAGTGCCCAAGGAAGAGGTTAAGGATATGCAAATGGACAGCATGGAGAGTTTCTGGTTAGCGGAGACGCTAAAGTATTTTTATTTGTGTTTCGAGGAGTTCGGGGCCGTTAGCTTGGATGACTATGTGCTAAATACTGAGGCACACCCACTGAGGAGGCCGCAATGATAGAATAAGGATTTATAGACGGTGGGATACAGGACGAGTGCAGGGTGTTCTGCTCTAGTTTGGGGGCGCTCTAAATACCCCATGGCCGTAAACTTAGGCACGGTTTTTATTTCCCAGGTTACAGTAGGCTAGCTCTATCGCTCTGTATAATGTCATGTTTTGTTGTGTCTGACATTTAGTGAACAGTTATCGACTGCCTGATTGGTGCCTACTGTGACTCAACGCCAAGCCCCGATCAATGGTGTACTGACCAGACATGTCATTCGCCAATTCGTGAACGCATAAATAACCTATAAGTATATAGGGGCCTCCATCCCCATCTGCTGCTATTTCAACGAGTTATTATCAGATATCAAGTCGAAATTGGCCATTTCAAGCAGTTTGCTGCTTAAATTCCCGTTCCCCGGAAGAACTCTCCTATAATGGCAAGCGCATCGCCTCTCGTCCGAGCCCCTGGACAACAGGCGGGTGACGAGACAATCCATCAGCCTTTGACTTCACAAAGTCCCTTGACAAGCCTATCCGACGAAATCCTCATCGCAATCGCAGAATATGTCGGCTGCGATACCGGGGGGGTAGAACCACGGTACCAAACCAAGGGCATCGCGCCACAGGGACCTAAGAATGTTTACAATCTTTCCTTATGCTCTCGTCGACTTCGCCATATTACGCTCCCATTGGTGTACTCCCACATTCGATCGGATAACGTTTGCTATGACGGTATCACAGAGCCGCTAGTCTCATTCCTGTGCAAGATTCTCGCAGCTCCTGAAATTGCAGGCTGGGTTCAGGTGTTTCACGGAGCTGTAATGGAAGAAGCTGATGGGCTATTAAATTTATCGCAAGTGACTGACGAAGATTGGGCCCGAATTCGTTCTGCAGTTGATGCAGCCAGTGAATCTGGAAGTCAAGGTCAGGGATGGCTTCGTGGAATAGAATCTGGTCTATGGGATGCTATTGTCACTTTAGTCCTCTCTCGCCTTCCAAATCTAGAAGAGCTGGAATTTGAGAACTGGACTTGCGGCTTCGACTACTTTCCTATTTTAGCCCGGTATGTAGCGAGGGCAGCTGAGCTTCAGCAATGTGGCGAAACGTCAACTGAGTCCATGCTGAAGTTGCGAAGAGTGGCCCTTTACTTTTGGGATACGGAGTTTGGAATACTTCTCTTGGATCTCGTTGGTTTCCTCAAACTCAAGTCCCTTGAGTCTTTTTACGCGCACATGGTTCACGAAGATAATTACTCGGCCCTTTCCCACGACGGCCCACCACCAGAGTGGTATAGTCCTGAGCTTGAGTTTTCGACCAAGTCGCTACACTTGCATCACTGCAATATCGACCATAAGACTCTCACCCTTTTTCTTCGGTGCTTCACTTCGCTCGAGCGCCTTCGCTATAAGAACGGGGTGGTGAGTTACTGTGAGTTCGAGCCATCGCGGATGATGGAGGCGTTGGAGCATATGAAGCCTTGCGTTAAGGAGCTAGTCATTATCGACCATGAAGACACCTATTTTGGGGAGTATCAGGAGGAGTATCAGAAGGAGCATCCCCTTAGCTCTCTTGTTGGGTTTGAAAAGTTGAAGTCCATCGAGATGGATGCTTGCATCACAATGGGCCATCGAACTAGCGCCGACGAGGACGAAGCTGAGGGCAAATTCCCCAAATACCAGAACCTCAAAGGGTCACTCCCGCCTAATCTAGAATCGCTGCGATTGCATCATTGCGGTTCTAAGTTTCTCACTCAAATTTGTGAGTATATCGTACAAAAGGATACGTGCACCCCAGCACTTAAGCGCCTCGATCTCGGGTGGGAGAAGGTCCAATACCCGGAAAAATATAGCCCTGATGGGCTTATACATCCAAACTTCACAAATGAAGAAGCAAATAAGCTGTTGGCTGCTTGTCAAGAGGCCGATGTAGAGATGGTTATGAAAACCCAGCGCCCGAAGGGAAAATTTGCCAGTTACAAAGACAAAAAGTTAGGCATTGTGAGCAACTATTTCCACTATCCGTATAACGGCTACGAAGAATTTTGCAAGGAGCATGGCTGTGATCTAGAGACTGGCCGGAGTTATGATTACTAACTATGGACCGGCTGAGTAGCATTTTGCTCAGATATGAACCTGCTGCCTTTTTATATCCTCTACTCTATACCATCAATTTGAGATATGCCGGTAAGATATATATGGTTGGTACTCAAGGTTTTCCACAAGAAACACAACCGCCATTGAATTATGGCACCATTAAGGCTTAATCCTTTCTAAAATCACGATTCAATCCGGTTTGACTATTTTCTTATATTATCCTCTCGATTTCTTTGAAAGGCTTTGTAGCTAGGTATATTTTTTAGGGTCATGTGAAATTTCAAGCAGATCTGGTAGATATTGACCTAATCGAGCAGCCCGTAACAAATTTTGTTGCATATCGCAAGTAGGAGCTATTCGGGGCCGATTCGGAGGGCATTCTTGCCTTGGTTTTCGAACCCCCCTACTACATCGCGTGCCTAACGTCGGGTGATATTTAAGGAAGTACATACCTGGGCATATCTAATTAAGTAACCCGTAACAAGTTTTGTTGCCGTGCTTGATGAATTGCATTTATATATACAGGCAAAAGACGCTCTATATAGTAAATTTGAGTCATAGCGTTGCCCTTTGTCTTCACCTCCTTGTCATGAAGGCGAGCTGCCTCCCACTCCTGGATTCTAATAGAAAAGTCATCTGTCGACTCGTACATTGTCCTCCTAGGCTTGCGCGGGAGCTCTGGCTTTTGGATATAGTCCGTTTCGTCGTTATAGAACTCTAATTTGTCTGTCTTAGAGTACCAATTAATCCATGCTGCAATATAGAGCATTATCCCTTGTTTTTCTCCCCTTTCTTGGATATTCCTAGAATCGTAACGTGTGCCTTGCTCTCGTAGGATATGCCCTTGAATAGTAGAGGAAGGATCAATATACGCCTCGTCGGTAAAGAAGACATATTGCCAAAAATCAGAAACCCCTTTGCCTTGGTGTCGAGTACCGTATTGCATACGTTCTTGAGTATTACCGTTAGATATCTTCTTCTTTATATGTGCCTGCTTATAGCGTCGAGCTTTTTTTGTATGCCTAAGGAGGCTTCGCTGTATTGTACGCCTTGAAACGTCGATATTATAGAAGTTTAATTGCGCCTCGTATTGCTGATTTCGGATAGGGTTCGGGATGGCGATACAAGTAACTTACACATATCTTTTGACACTTTTCGACGTCTGCCTAGTATCTTTGATGTCTTACGAATACGCCGATATGCAGGAGAGCCTAAAACCTCTCTTTCTTGGAGCCAGCGTCTGGCTGTGGTCTGTGGGACTCCCTGACAGCGTGTAATCTCTCTAGTAGACTGACTAGCGCGCCACTCATCGAAATAATTGAAAAAGGGAGTTTTTATTATTATTGTATTAGCTTCGCAGGCTTGGGATTGATCAGATTCAGGAGTTTGGGGCCTTTGCGATCGCGTTACAGGTGCCATTGTTGTGTGTAAAGGGAGTTGTTTACTTTTAGGGATTGAGGTTATTTACTTTCGGCTAATATTCGGGTGAGCCACGAATTATGACTGGCACTGGCGAACTGTCTCAGTCAGTTAGACGTTCCAATGTGAGGCTGAGCGTAGCCGCTGACCTGAACGTCATTCTGCTATATCATAACCAACGTCCCAATACCTCAACTACCTTGAACTGCTATCTTATAAGCTAGCTTAGCAGACTTCTAGATGGCAGAGCGACAATGCCATACACTAAAGAGACCGTTAAAGCCAGCGGCTTGAATATCTGGACCGACGAGGCTGCGGGAGGACCCGCCCCGGTAGTAGAGTAATAAGCTACGCTCATCCCACTCTCCAAACCCGCTGACCCCCTTAGTATCATCGCGGTTCAGGGATTAGGCGCGAAACCATGGTGCAGTTTTCGTAGCGAAAGAAGCTATTAGACAAAGATGGTGAAGATGGCACAACAGAAGTCATGTGGATCCGGAACTTGCTCGTACCTGAATTTAAAAACGCACGGATCGCCACGTACAGCTATAAGTCAGACTGGAGGGATTCCGATGTTAAGATAAGCCTGCGCGAGTGCGCCAACCTATTTTTGAATGAATTGTTACAACACAGGCAGCAGGAACACGTAGGTATTCTGCGAACGCCTTTGATTTAATGGCAATATGTCTAAAGTATTTCTGCTGGTAGGAGCGACGGCGGCCAATTATACTTATAGGATACAGTCTTGGATGCATTGTCATCCAGCAAGTATGTTCTGTCTAAGCCACAAGTATGCTACCTTTGTTGACGAATATAGGCACTTGTTTCTGCTGCCTCATCTCGGCATTTTCACGACTTGGGCCTGTCCGTGGCAGGTATCATCTTTCTTGGCGCACCTCTCCAGGGAAGTAACGCTGCAATTTGGGGAACATGGCTAGCTCAGGCTCTTCGATATGATTCTACTATGTTACAGTTATTACAAAAAGACAGCCAACCTTTGTTCGATGTTGCGAGAGACTTTTCGGACTGCCATATTAACTGGGACTCTGTTTGTTTCTACGAGACTCAACACGCCAGATATGGGCTATTGACGATACAGGTATATATATATGCTTTACATTCTAGTTCCCTTTACTAATTTGACTTATAGACTGTAAACCAACAATCAGCTACTCAGCTTGGAAAGCGGATGATCCCACTTGACACTGATCACTCTGGACTTAATAAGTTCAGTGGGGAGAATGATGAAAATTTCAAGCGTGTTCTACCGGAGATTCGAAGAATGGTTGAAGGTGGAGGCTCAATTGTGACTGAGCGTTACCGCATCAACGGTAAGTAGGCTAGGCTGCCTCCGGGATTAGGATATTACTAACACCTTTACAATAAATACTCGTAGTGACGTTCACCGGATCATACCCCGCAGTATGAACTATCTGTTTACTGGGCGTGCCGAGCTGCTAGCTCGAATACAAACGATCTTACGCAGTGATACTACTTCTTCTAATAAGCAGAGGAGGTTTGTTATCACAGGACTAGGAGGGCAGGGGAAAACCGAGACCTGCTTGCAAGTTGTGAATTTAATGAAGGAAGAGTATATTCTCTATGAGGAGTTATTTATAATATCTCAGCTGACAATAATAGCTTTTGGGGAATATTCTGGGTCGATGTCGACAAGCCTTCTATTGCTGAGCGTAACTTTACTGCCGTTGCAAAGAACATTGGAAGCTCAGTTAAGACTGTCCCTGAAGCACTTCAAGTTCTTGCAGCGACGAATCGAAGCTGGCTCCTTACCCTCGATAATGCCGATGACCCGGAGTTTGATTACCAAGACTATTTTCCACCTGGAAATCACGGCGCCGTTCTCATGACATCTCGTGTTGCCGAATGTAGACAGTATAGTCCAGACGCATTTGAAGTACTAGAAGGTCTCGGAGAGGATGATTCAAAAGAACTTTTACTCAAAGCGGCCGAATTAGCTCCAGAATCGTGGCCATCTCATGACGATCAAGCCAATGAAGTGGTCAGCCTCCTAGGGTCGCACACGCTTGCTTTGATACAAGCTGGAGCATATATCAGTCAAGGCCATTGTCAACTCCACAAGTACCCTGAGGTTTACAAACGGCAGCGAACGCGGCTCTTAACGTATCGTCCAAAGCAAGCCCAATCGAGGTACTGCGATGTTTATGCGACCTTTGAAGCATCAGCAGATATTTTAGAGCAGTATGGAAGCGAGTCTACAAAAGACGCTTTACGCTTACTTGAGATCCTGTCAATGCTTGGCTCTAGCGTGCTCACTCTTCAAGTTTTCGAGGAGGCGTGGAAGGGTTGCAAAGATATCTTACGGGTTAGCAGTATCAAAGCCAGAGTTATCGACCAATTTTCCCCGGATCACGTCTCGCAATTACCAAGTTTCATGGTCCTAGAGGAAGACCAGTGGGAACCTTTTCGTCTCACAAAGGCCATCTCTCTACTTGCATCACTTTCATTAGTCACTCGACATGATCAAGACGGCGACGTGGGATTATCGATGCACCCGCTGACTTACGCTCGGGCCAGGGATCGACAGGACTCAGAGCGTCAAGGTATGGCATGGATCATAGCTGGCTGTGTTCTTGGATTTTCTCGCTCAAATACCCGCATATGGCAGACACAAGAGAGACGTCTACTCCCGCATATCTTATCTTACTTGAATATAAAGGTCAATAAGGCATTTGGGTTAGCATCAAAAGCAATTACCACTCCAATTATTCTCCAATGCAGCTGGGCTCTGTTGGTTATGCGGCAAGATTTCAAACTTAGCCAATTACTGGAAGAAACATTCTTCGAGCTTGGACAGAACCCTGATGAGCCATCGGAAGACTTCTTGCCGCTATATGAACTTCAAGCAAGAAGCTTGGTGAATCTCGGGAGGGGTAAAGAAGCCGTGGCGCTGCTCGAGTAGGTGGTCAAGATCCGTGCGACGACGGTGGTCGAGACGGACCCGACCCGGCTCGGGTCGCAGCACGTACTAGCGAGAGCGTACCAGGCGAATGGGCAGGTGGCCGAGGCCGTAACACTACTCCAGCAGGTGGTCAAGATCCGAGCGACAACGCCAGCTGAAACACACCCAGCCCGGCTCGCGTCGCAGTACGAACTAGCAAGAGCGTACCAAGCGAATGGGCACGTGGCTGAAGCTGTAGCGATACTCGAGCAAGTTAAGATCAAATAGTTAGAGTTACTTATAACTTATCTTAGTTATATAATATTTGAAAATATACTTTCTTACTCTTTATAGTAACTTTATTCGTTTTTAACTATTATTATAGAAATTCCTTTTTCTAGTATATAATATAATTTTTATATTAAAAGACCTTTTAGTAACTTTAATATCTTCGAATAATTCTTCTTTTATATATTTTTATAACTTTGATAAAGAAGAGCTTAGGAGAGCTAAATTTTATAAATTATTCTTATATTATTCTAGAAGCTTCAAGTTTATTCTTTTGAGAGTAGCGTTTACGTATTCGGGATAACTCAAAGGTATCGTGACCGACTCGGAGGGTATTATTCTCTTGGTTTTCAAACCTCCTATTACCTCACGTGTGTGCTAATTGCCGGGTGATATTTAAAGGAGTATATACCTAGGTATACTATACCTAATTAAGTAACCCCTAAAAAGTTTTGTTATATATCGTAGTAGGAACGATTCGGCGTCGATTCGGTGTCGATTCGTACTAGCTATATACTATTCTCTTGACTTTCTTGAGCCTTCTTAATATTATATCTTAGTTATGGGGCACTGTTGGTGTTGGTGTAGTGGTAAAACCGCCGTCAACAGACAATCTAGGATGACCTGGACGCTTCGCTAGAGAGAACAAAGGCTAGATGGGTACAGCTCGAGTTGCTCGGTATCCAACGCTCTGTTGGGCATTTCTTTTGCTATTCATTTCTTCGATTGCTTTCGGCCCATCTGTTTTTATTGTCTTCATTAGTTAACTCGCTTGTCTGTTGTATTAAGTTTTGTTGCACATCGTAGTTGGACAACTCGGAGCCGGCTCGGGGGCTACTCGGGAGCGAATAGCTTAATGTAGAGGCCGTCTTTTAGAGCCGCCATTTTGGAAGACTTACCGTACCTGTACGCACCGTACAGAAGGTGGCAAATGCGTTCTTGCTCTTGCATAATCGCCTATTCTGTTTGCTCTATGCTTGCTTGCGTTCTATAATGGGGGGTTTTGCCCTCCTGGCAAAATGCAACAATCCGAACTGATTGTTTGTTTCACGGTAGATATGGAGGCATTATATACGTCTCTGGTTCTATAGTAAAGAAGTCTTTATCTCAGCTCAATATCTCAAATATGACGTTTAAATGTAGAAGGTGAGTCGCCGCCTATATTTCCGCAATGAGACATACATCAAAAGTGTACTACCCAATATCATGTAAATAAGCTTCGCTTTATACTTGTCAAACGATATAGCCCGTCAATAATCTTGTTCATAAAATATATCTCATAGACCATATTAAGTTCCTCATTACCACTACTACTCAAGGCCAGACGTCTATGGCTCTTCCAATGCCTGTTCATAGAATTAACCACCTCACTAGAAGCGTGGTTGATCCTACTCGTATAACACCATAGGGCTAATAACTGCCAAATTCATTCGCCGAGTATGCTGGAACCATGGGCGAACTTCCCGCCAGATAGGTCGCCGGAGATCAGCAGGGAGTCTCCCCAATAGACAAAATTCGCGACCGTGCACCTTTAAGAAAAAATGAAACGGCGCTGAAAATTCAAAATGCATGATCGTTAGATATGGAGTTGTTATAAATGAGAGAATTGAGCTAGAAAAGGTGACATCGTAGATGAATGCCCCACTATGGGGTTGCAGGTGATGAGAGACTTCCTCTGCATGACACTTCATCCATATTCCAGTCCTTCGCAATAAACGAAAAGCATCGCTTTTTTTTATATCTCAAACAAGAAGTGAGCAAGTTACCACCTCGTCATGGTCTCTCCGGATGAATATTGCGTGGCCTCGTTCGCGAGAAGTCACTCTCAAAGGGCGTGTTGGGTTGGCCTATGGAGCACCGGGGCTGGATGTCATCCCCAAGCGAGAAAACCAGAATCACGAATGTTTCCATCTCGCACCACGTGCATACGAGTCACTCCGGATTGGAATGTGGCACTATAATTCCTGCCACGGCTACTAAAAGATACTTTATCCTCCTTCCGGCATATCGCCTGACCCGTGGACATGGACGCTTTCCCGCGGGACAATTCCAAGGCTTGATCCTCTCGGCAGATCGTCGTCTCGAGGTAAATATCCGCCTGCCTGTGCGAAAGAACTGTACGTACCGGCTGCATTTTATTTCTCTGGCTTGCTGCATAGCCCAGTATGCTGGAGAGGACAGCGTGTTGGATGAAGAGAAGGGTTCATCAGAGGTTCAACGAGAGTGAGACACGGCTGGAAGCACCGCCGATTGAGTGATTATGATCTCTTCTTATCTGATGATCCTGACCCACTGTTGTTTCCGGTGTCGGGAGTTATGTCCAATAATATTCGTTCCCGACAGCGCCCCGGGCCAATGCCCTTGCACTTTTGGCTGGGTAATCTTATCTGATGCGATCCCAATTCCCGAGGTTCGGCCACAAGAGCGAATCCTGATGATCTGATAAGATTCGTTGGGGCGCCACGGCGGGCGATCATTGGATGGTGAGACATAAACCAATTCCCCAACGCCCGGCTCCCGGCATTAGGATTCAGAATCCCGGTGGCGTAGTACGCAGTACGTACGAGTGTAGTACTCGAGTACTCTGTACGCCAGTACGGAATACAGAGGAAGCGTGGCCATTGAATGGCTGGATGGTGCCATGTGTTAATAATACCACATCCGCATGGGGTACTGCGTACTACGTAACTACCTTAGGTACGTACCTATTGTAGTTACCAATAGCCTGCATTACAACGACAGTTGGGCCAAGTTGAGCCAGCCGCGAAGGCGTGAGGGGGGAGGAATCAGGGGATGGGATTTCGATTAGTCACGAGGGTTACGGTGCGCGGAGAAAGGACGGGGAAACAACGGTGACACATACAAAGCACGGAGCGAGTGAAAGCGGAAGTGGGCCGGCGAAAGAGTAAAGGGAACTTTCAGAATCAGAAGGGATAGGAAACCCGAAAACGAGCTCCGGAATAGAGTACTGGGCTGCCCTACGTAGTACGTACATGTAAGTACAGTGGTACAGCCCTACAAAACGAAACCATTCTGTTTGCGTTGATTTGCATTTGCCGTGCAACGCTGCCCGTGGTGTAGGGGAAGCGAGGAAGGGGGGATGCCGAAATCGGCACTGGCGCGGATTCGGATGAACCGGAGCACCTCGAGCGTTGCAGCGGGAGACGGCCAGGCGAGTGCAAGCTGGAGGGCCAGGAGGGTAGCCTTTGGATTTGTATGGTTGATTTGAGTTGTAATAGTAGGGGCTGTATTGGTGCATCATCGCTATAATAATAATAATAATTTCCGTAATGTACGAAAGCACATGTAGCTATAGCGTTGTGGTGTGCTTTTGTCAGGCTACAGGAGAAGCGGACAGGGAGCGCAGGGACCCTGGCCTGATTAGCCGCGCCGTGTGAGTCGGGGGGAGCCGGTTGTGGAGAGAGGATCTGATAAAGAAATACAAGAAGCCGACAACGCGCCACTCCTGGGTTTTTGTTTCCCACTCCCTCCTTCACATCTCCCTCTTCACTTCCCTCTTCAAACTCGGACGCTCCGTCTCGGCCACCACAACAGCAAACTGATAGGGACCGGAAAAGCAAAGGATCCCCCAATTTATGCATCACGACCACGCCCACGCCCACAATCCACTGGCCACCACTAACTACACGACATTTCCGCGGCCCACCCGCCTCGGTTCAGCTTCAGCCCCCCGCCGCCCACGAGACAAAACAGTGAAAATAAACCGTTGCCCACCCCACAATTACCACTCCAACTCCAACTACAACCACCAGATACACATACCACTGCTCGGCCTAATCATATTCCGCATCCATTTGGTTTATTCTAACAAACCCCATCCAACGAGTTTCAATTCGATGAGATAACAAAATTTCATCGCCTCCGAATTCCGCACATCCCGATTTCTTCCTCCCGAATCTTCGCCCTCCCTCTCCCACCCGCTCCAATGGATGCTACATTGACGGCCAGTCTGCCATTGCGGCCAGCCTCGATTCCCATATCACGCCCCCAACAAATAATGCGCACGAAGACAACTTCCCATTGCATCCCCGAAGATCCAACTTCGACTGCATCACCCAGGTCGGGCGCCCCCTCACTCACATATTCTTCCTCCTCGGACGAGCCCGAAGAGCCCTTGCCCCCCCGTCGGCGAAGGGCGTCGACGAAGTTGATCTCGCAGAATGCGGCTGACGTCCAACGACTCATTGGCGAGCCCGCCACACGGTTGATTGAAAAATGCTGCGGAGGTGGATGCTGCATGGCCGTAACGCAGACAGATGGACTCGATTATGAACGCGTTCCGGTTCCGGACAATGATGCCTTCAGGGCCTTGGAATTGAAAGTGGGAGTGATTCCAACGACCTTGTCAGGGATACCACAATTGCCTGCAAAGACCGTCTCTCTGCTGCCGGTCCAAAACCCCCCCGCCGTTCCTTTAGCCACCGATTCTGCGAACACATCCACGCAGGAGCCAAAGGATGGCTCAATCGACTTCACACCATCACAGGATTCACACGGAGTTGATACCTCCGTCCACCCGCCCAGTTTTGTCCAGCCTCATCCCCCATATAACGTCTACTCGGCTCGTATTTTTACAGCTCGTGAGCTAACGAGGCCGGGAGCTGAGAAACGCACCTATCATTTCGATTTGGATGTTACCGATTATCCGGAGGAGTTGGGGGTAGATTTCAAGGTTGGAGGCGCCATTGGGGTCATGGCTCCCAACGAGGATTCAGTGGTGGACGAGCTATTGGAGCTCCTCCTCATCCCGCGCTATATCCGCGATCGCCCAGTTCTTCTAAAGACAGAGAGTGGCCGCTGGCCTACAGTTTGGTGCGAGGACCAACCGCGAGAGCTCATCACCACGCGCCGCGACCTCCTTACTTGGTGCAGCGATATCCAATCATACCCCCCAACGAAGCCGCTCCTGCGTATTCTCGCTGAATACGCGACTGATCCGGCCGAGAAGAAGATCCTCTCGTACATATGCAGTGCTGAAGGGCAGGGAGTCTTCTGCGATTTCCGCACAGGGCCGCATATCACAATCAATCAACTACTCCACGCCTTCCCCAGCAGCAAGCCTCCTCTTGACCACCTCCTCTCCCATCTCCAGCAGCTAATGCCGAGATTCTACTCCCTCTCCAATGATCCTCATGAGTCCTGCGTTCCCGCTGCTGGGTGTGCTCGCCTGGTCGAAATTGCGGTTACCGTCCATGAGACGCCAAATTGGAGAAATGGTGAACGGACTGGAGTCGGAAGTGGGTTTTTCGAACGCCAGGCTCGGAAGTTTATTGAGGCTGAGAAGAGAGGCGAGAAACTCGACTTACGCATTCCTATGTTCAAGGGATTAATGGCAAATCCTCTTGCACGAGAGTTCGTTGCCGATGGACCTATGCTCTTGATCGGTGCCGGTGTCGGCGTGGCGCCTTTCAGGGGCTTCGTGCAGAGACGATTGAAGAATGCCAACTGTGCGAACAAAGTCTGGGTGCTTCAAGGAGTCAGGGATTCCCTCCTTGATGAATTATATTCTGGTGAATGGGGTGTACATGAAGATGAAGTTAAGAAGGTCGTGCAGAGCAGGAGGCCTGGATCCGGTCATCCGAAATACGTCCAAGATGAAGTTAGAGCCCAAGCTGATCTTGTCTGGTTCATTATTAACAGTCTTGACGGGAGAGTATTTGTTTGCGGGAGTAGCAAGGGGATGGGCGAGGGCGTCGAAGACGCCTTGATCGATGTTGCGATGTTGAAGGGGAATCTCTCCCGCGAGCAAGCGACTGAATTTTGGGATTTGAAGAAGAATGCGGGGCAGTATATTGCGGAGACATGGTGATTGATATTGCTTGTCTCTCCCAACCGCGCATCCTTTTCTTGTATCTATCTTCCTGGCCATTCACTTCTTCATGTGTCAAGATTTATGATATTTTGGGCATTTTATTGCGTCTACTGGCATGGCGTTTATTTGGTAGGGGAGCATAGATAACGCGGGTAGAATTTGGATTGGAACCCCATGGGGCTTCAGAAGACAAGCAATTGTTAGGTAGAGCATATATGGGGGATGTTGCATCATAATGCACCTAGAGTAGGTAGCTATGAGAAGCTTGATGAAGAATATGTATAAACAGATTAGCTGAAAACTACCTATTGAATTAAAAAAACCAATAGCATTTTTGCATATTTCTACAATTCTATTGTTACGGCCTCTTCTCCTGTGGGTCAGTAAGTGCAATTTGATTGTTGAGCGCAAGTAATAGCCATTCTAAGCTACTAAAAGGAAGTTAGTTTTGGTGTGAGAAGGCTGCGCAGAGTAGAATCATTTTAGCAATCTATAATAAACTGGCTCTCCAGAGCTCTACAATCCATTCCATTCCGACATCCAGGTTAGGTGGATGAACGGTTCCACGTGATCTAAAAAAAATATAATGGCCCCACACCGCCACAACGCCACGAATCCCCAAAGGGGAAATACGCCGCAGGCTGCCCCACAACGCCAGGGCGGCTTTTCTCCTGCATTTCTCGGTAAGCACGTCATGACCCCCAAAAGCCGCTTATCCAAACACCAGTCAGCAAAAGATTTGTATAACTGTCAGCCATTACCAAAAGTTACAAAGGCCTCAAGTGATGACCAATTGAGATTGTTATAAGCACTGCGAGCTAGGTAAAATAACCGCCGAATGCATGTTCCCTTCTGGTTGTTCCTGCCAATTCTGATATTTGCTCTTTCTTGGCACGAAATGGCGACTCTTTTCCTCCGAGGGGCGTGTAGGAGTAAGTGGGTACAGGCGGCCACTGGATGCAATATAAAGGCGCTGGCCCCGTCTGCTAGGAATTCTTTTCCCTACTTTCAATCCAAGAATCAAAATAACTGCAAACCTGTATCACCCCTCAACCACTACTTCAGCACCACCACATCTACATCCACAAACCAAAACATAATGGCGTCCCAACCTTTCCTCGAGGCCATCGAGTCCCGCCGCACATTCTACCAACTCTCCAAATCCTCTCCCGTCTCCGACACCCGTATCCAAGAGATAATCAAACATGCCGTCCTCCACGTCCCCTCGTCATTCAACTCACAAAGCACCCGAGTGATCCTCTTAGTCAAGGAAGAGCACGACAAGTTATGGGAGATCACCAAGACCGTTCTAAAGGGCATTGTGTCTGAAGAACAATGGACCGCCACAGAGCAAAAGCTAAACATGTTTAAAGCCGCCTACGGAACTGTTCGTCTCCCCCCACTCCTCTCTCCCTTATCAACCAAAAAAACTAACCTCACAAAACAGGTCCTATTCTTCGAATCCCGCAGCACCGTCGCAGGAATGCAAGCAAAGTTCCCCTTATACGCCGATAAATTCCCCGTCTGGGCCTCTCAATCCGACGGCATGCACCAATTTACCATCTGGACCGCCCTTGAAGCCGAAGGATTAGGCGCCAACCTGCAGCATTATAACCCTCTTATCGACGAGAAGGTGGCTAGTGAGTGGAATGTGGACCCGGATTGGAGTTTGAATGCGCAGTTGGTTTTCGGGAAGCCTGAGGGAGGTGCGGGTAACAAGACGTTTATGAAGGTAGAGGAGGAGAGGTTTAGGGTCTTTGGCGCTTAGAGAGCATTACGTGCAAGGTTAGATTTTGAGAAAGCGCGGCTGGCGTAGAGGATTAGGTATTTGAGCGGCCTTTTTAGCGTGGGTTGAGAATCAGCAGGCCATGTCTATTAAAGATACCCGGTGGTATTATTACAACTAGAAATATAAAGCTCGTTACAAACCATTTACGTTAGTGAGTTGTGTCAGATTAGTTCTAGGGATATGAATGAAAATTGATATTACGCTGTGAGTTCCTCGTTTTGTTTTTTACCTGTCAAGCGAGATATATTCCTGAAGCAAAAATTATTTTCACATGCCCGGGGTGAGACTAATACAATATAGTTTATCCTACGACTATCTACCTAGCTAGGTAGCTAGGTAGCGAAAGGGATCGAGTAAGGCGTAATGTGTGGGCTCGGCTAACTAGGTAGGCAGGTAGTAAAGAAAAGAAATAGCAAAAGAAATATCCCAACGGAGCGTTGGACACCGAGAAACTCGAACTGTACCCTTCTAGTCTTTGTTCTCTCTAGCGGAGTGTTCAGGGTCATCCTAAGTTGTCTGTTGATGGTGGTTTGAGCTTTGACTACTACACCAACAAGCCTAGTCACCAGTCTCCAGCTGTTAATAGATCTCTGCATATTTTGATATATATAGACACCTACCTTACCGTGTTCTATCATCAAACAACAACTCCATTCATTGACCTAATGACCACCTGTGGTTGGTAGACCCAACGCCACCTTGAAACTATCATAAATCAACCATTGAAATGCCGTTAGAGTTCCAATCATCCTGACAATTGAGTTAGCAAAGACCTTGCAATGGTGTTCATATATCCTCACAAAATTCGAACAGGAAGCCCATTCCACAGGCCCTTAAACCCAATATTCCCATAGATCCTAGTAACAGCTTGTCCGGCGCCTTCTCCTGCCTTGCGGTCCGAGTTCAATTTCGATACCATAACATCGGCAGGGTGGGAAACTGCTGCACATCCGATACCTGCTATGTAGCCACCAAGGAAAGAGACACCGGTTTGCTGAAGTCCGTTGTACTCGTGTTTGGACTTGCCGAGGTAGGTATAGATGGCCTCGACGGTTGTTTCGAAGAAGGCAAATTTACACATTGTGTATGGAATTTGGCGACCCCAGAGGGGATAGAGACCTTTATATAGTCTATATCGGCGAAGGCATATATCATTAGCATAAGAATCCGGGGGAAATTTGGTTCAGGAAACAAACCCAGCATATCCTTCCTGTTTGATAATCTTTGATAACCCATCTCTCATATTATGTGCAAAAGGAGGAAGCGTGGTCTGCATCCGTACTTTGACCGCTTCAAAGGGGCAGAGAGCAAGATCGGCCAAGAATTCCGCACTCGCACTTGCACCCAAGAATATGGCCGTCTTATTGACATTGGGAAACATCTTGTCGCCGTAGAGGTATTTGAAAACCTCATAGAACCCATATTTGCCGCCTCCCTGTAGACAATACCCAACAAGCGTGGGCGACCATCCGAAGAATATGCCCCGCACACCCTCCGCTTTGTAGATTTTCCCCCAGGCGCTGATGTTGGATTTGTAGAGGTTGGTGTCCACTTGCCGGCGACATTTGACAAGATCGAGCGGCGTGACGGCCGTATGGGTGGGACCGCATGCTGGGATAAAAAAGGTAGAAGTCAATTAAAGGGAAACGGACGTAGAAAGTGTATAGATCCTGAGGGCTCACATACCAATTATCCCACCCAGGGCACATGCCCCGAAGTATTGTCCGCTGTATAGTTCGATTGGCTTACCGCGTGGTTTCTGAGGTCCCGACATCTTTGCTAGTTATGAAATATTTGGATTTGCAGTTGTTAAAACGTTGGTATGAAGTCCTGCGGTGGGATGCTGTGTTGGTCGTGCAAGATTCGTATTCCTTATCGCAGTAATACGGGTGGATCGAGCCGGGAAGGCGATAACAGCAAACAGGTCTCTGACGCCGCGCAAAGCAATTGAAAAAGAGTAGAGAGGATTGCTACAGGAGCGAAATAAAGAAATGAAATATTCGATATATCATGGTTGATACGGAGTACAGAGAAAGATGGATGCAATCGTGCTGAAACTTGATTTATTATGGCGGGTAGCGGTTGGCCGGCAAGCAGGGGGAGCTTGAGCGTTACGTCATCGGCCCCTGCGCAGCTCCATTTTGGAGCATAGGTAGCTCGAGCTTGTATCCGGAAAAGATCCGAAGTACGTAGTATCGCGAGTACTAGGTAGTGTAGAATAGATTTTAGTCGAGCCACCAATGAGCTTAGATTGAGGTCCGATACGCATCCGGAGTCAGTACGGAAGGGACGGGAAGGACTGGCAAGATTTTACACCGGTAAATTAACTCAAACACATTGTGAGTTCCTCACAGCCAAAGCGATTTATCATTTATGAAAGAGTTGAGATGAAAATTACAATACTCGTAGCGACAGCACAACTATCTAGCAACACTTAACGGTCATCATTCATCACCCCTGCCGGTATTCCCTATGCCCAAACCAAGTCCATATTTCTAACAGGATCAGTATTCTAAGCTCTATCAGCGATTGCAATACCTGATTCCGAACGCCCAACGCCCTAGATGTCAATTCCATCGATAACAATGCCCTTCTGCCAAGTATACTGCATGATATGGGCAGCATGATTGGCGGACTCCTCACTGACCATAGCACTGACTAGGTACAGTGAGGCATCAATGCCGCAGGATACTCCGCCACTGGTGATAACCCTCAATCCAGCAAGCTTGAGGGATGCCCGGCGAGCATTGCTCTCCCGTCGCATGTTGCTTTCCTTCCATGCGTTGCTACCCTTGCGTCTCATCACGGGGGGCTTTGCGTCGGACTTGCGACGAATGTATGCCTGCTGCTGCTCATCGTCGAGGTCAAAACGCAAGTTATTGACCACGTATCTCTCTTCCACGACATCACATCTCTCAGCCAAGTCTCGCTGAGCAACTTCTGAGCATATCTTCTCCAACCTAGCATAATAATCTGGGTGGGTTGTAGCGGACAATCCGCTGAGGATGCCTTGTTGGGCGAGGAAGAGGGAACCAGTGCAGATTGAAAGTAGTGTGCGTTCCTTTCTTGGGTCTTTCTTTTGTAAGTCGGAGTAAGCTTGAATGATTCCCAGTGGCTCGGCCTTGGACTTAAGGATGGGTTCAACGCCCCCACCGGGAATGACCAAGACATCGAACTCTGCCAGACGCTCGTAGGCCTCCTCGAAGTCGATGTGGGCACGGAAACCAGCACCTTCAGCACTGGTGACGAACTCAGCGTCGGCAACAAAGGTGGTTGAGAAAGCCTTGGTAGCTGTGTGGAGGAGTACAATGTTAGCTAGGGAAGTGGGGAAACGCGAAGGATGTGGATATGGGCTGATATGAAGGGCGAGGAGAAGGGGGGATAAGGGAGCGGATGGATGTTGATCCCCAACGAGAATTGAACAACTTACATTCATCATTGATATTGTGCCTGGCATGGCTCATGACCTCAAGAGGGCCAATGAAGTCCAAAGAGTCCATGCCTGGGTGCAGTGCGAATAGCACCTTGATGATAGGGACCGCTTCTGTAGCCATGGTTGCGACTGGGGTGAGTGATGGCGAGATGGTATAGTTTGGGCAGTTCTGGAGGGTTATTGTATTTGGAGATTTGCGATCTGGGTCAGTTCTGATTGATCCTCTTGGTGCTTATGATGATGATGATGGTTATGAGAGAAGGAAGCAAGACGTGGAGGCGAGGGATATTCACCGTCACTTCCACGTCAACCTGCTCTGGTAAACTGACCACACGTGAGCTATGCTTGCCCCTGGAATGCGGGGTAAGAGCGATAGCGGGGGCCATGCGCTAGGCCCAAAGGAGTATCGATCAAGGAACCGGGATTGGCCGTCGCAGATCTTATGGCACGTGAACTCCCAAGAGCCGGAGCGCTCTTCGGTTGATGATTCATCACGACTCTCCCAAAACCACGACTCAAATTACCAGAGCAGAATATCCCCAAACATCTTTGGGCCAAACTGTAAACCCAAATCTACGTGGGCCCTAGAATCAGGACTTGCGAGAACCAGGGCTTCAGACACATGTCTCCTGCAAATGTACAGTCCTCCACGTAGGGGTGGGTTGACAGCTTTCTAACTCATCGTTTGTCGTGCTTACAAGTACAAACACACCACATATACACAACCAACGCCACTACCGCTAACCCCTTCGCTATTTAACTTCCTTCCCTAGACAAAATCCGTCCTTCTCCACACTATTTGGTTCATTGCAAACGGGCTCGTTGCTAGTCTTTCTTGTCCCCCTCCTTTTGACTCTATTGCGGATAATGTGTTCTAATACGCCCTTTGCCACGTTGTCGCCAACCAAGGTGCAGCAGCTCCGTACGGGCCGAATTGCAAAGAATATCTTCTCTGTGCAGGGCCTCGATTCTGCCATACTCAAAATTGCCCTCCCCTCGAAACCGGTATACCTGGGCCATCTCGGTCTACCCGACGATGAGCATGCCTTTCATACCCATGGCGGCCCTGACAAGGCATTAATGCATTACGCGGCCGGTCATTACGATAAATGGAGGAAAGAGCTCCCTGGATCAGTGAGCCTGCTCACATATGGAGCGTTTGGCGAGAATCTCCTCACGGACCCAGCGGATGGATATAATGAGCAGACTGTTTGCATTGGTGATATTTTCGCTATTGGAAACAACGGCGCGCAAATTCAGGTCACCCAACCTCGACAGCCATGCTATAAACTAAATCATCGGCTTGAGGTCAAAGATATGGCGATGCGGTCCCAAACAGAGTGCAGAACCGGCTGGCATAATCGGGTCCTTGTGCCTGGCTTCATCACGCCCGGTGACTCGATGCAGCTTATAGAGCGTAAACACCCAGACTGGCCTATCAGAAGGGTACAGCGTTATCTGTATGATGAACGGCACAATATGGAGATCATGCGGGGATTAATGGAGATGGAAGCCCTGGCTGAAGAAACAAGGGGTATTTTTCGAAAGCGCGTCCAAAAGGGCGAATACAGGAACGAGGATATGCGACTTATTGGAGACGATAATGCGGCATTGAAATGGAATACGTACAGGCTGGCCGGGAAAATAAAGGAGACAGACGCCGTTTCATCATTCATCTTTGAGGCAGTGGATAAGTTTGAGAATCCGGTACAAGCACTACCAGGAGCCCATATACGCGTTAAACTGGGTCCCAAAAGCGGGAATCTTGTGAGGGCTTACTCGGTGGTGGAAGGCGACAGTAATGGATTCAGACTCGGTATTGTACACGATGCTCGGTCAAGAGGGGGTTCAAAGTTCCTGCACGAAAATTTGGAGCTTGGAGAAGAACTAGTGTTCAGCAACATGGCAAGTGATTTCCCACTGGTGGATGGTACATTGTGTGATGAGCATATCTTTCTCTCCGGGGGCATCGGGATCACAGCTTTCTTCACCAGTGCGAAGCTGCTCAAAGAGCAGGGCCGGAGCGTTGCCCTATACTATGCTGTTAAACGTGCCGCAGATGTTGGATTCAAGGATATTCTACAGACGCTTGAGGATAAAGTTAAGTTATGTGTATCTGAAAAAGGAAGCAAGATAAATATTGCCAATATCCTTAATAATGCGAACGACAGAACGCATATCTATGTCTGTGGTCCCGATCGATTGCTCGATGCCGTCAAAGAGACTGCGCGGACGATAGGCTTCCCACAATCCAACATACACTCAGAGGCATTTGTTATATCTACTGGTGGGGATCCATTCACTGTCCAGATTGAGAGCCAATGCAAGGAGCTACAGGTCAGAGAAGGTGAAACACTACTAGATGTGTTGAGAGAAGCCGGTTTTGACATACCAAGTAACTGCGAGGTTGGAAACTGTGGCACTTGTCGGGTCGGTGTAAAACAGGGCCGTGTGCAGCATCGGGGTACCGGGCTTTTGGGCGACGACAAAAAGAGCATGATGCTTAGTTGTGTTAGCAGAGGAGTGGATACGTTGGCATTGGATTTGTGACCTGACCGTTGAGTCTTCTATTTGGGAAATTTTCCTAGTATGAACGGATATATAGACCATCAGAACACAGGAAATGCCAGTGTTGGCTCGAGTGAGTCAAGACATACTATTTTAGATTGCCGGAGATATATTATACTCTATTTCTCGAACGTAGGGTCCGAGAATGGGTAGGAAATCATGTTGCTTGATGGGAATTATGAAAACTACAGAAGACCAACGAATAATAACCTGATCTAATCATTGCCTTGAGTTTGGTCACATGGCGGCGATTAGTCTGTCTACCGTATATCTAACAAGTGGTTAATATACTTGAGTTTAACTTTGACGGCTGGTTTTCTTTTGTTCGCAGCGAATACTTACCGAAGAAGGCGATATCTTTTCATGAGTTATTTGGCCAATGCTTCGTGACAACTATAGCCAGAGCAGTTCCCGAGGCTGGTGCATTGGATATTCCGCGGCTACTCTACTGTAAGCATGGAAAATTGGCATGCGATCTAGGACGGGCTTCCATTCGGTCAAAAGATTAAGTGACCTATCAAAATCACTACGGAGGCTCCAAAAGATACGCTAAGATATGTAACCGGTCGGTATTAGTGTCTTAGCCTTCTTGTAATCAAACCTAGCCAGTTGGAATTACCTGAGTTTTCAATTCAATAGAGTATGGCCATTTAGTCTGCTTGATGGTCGCAGTTCCAATACTAGGTATATAATGAGACTTTCTTGCATATCGGTACGTGGATCTTTAGCCATCCCGCTACTTTGCTACGATGTCTTTGTTTGTTATTGGGTTTCAAGTCTTGTCCATGAAAGCTTCATTGTCCCCATCAACAGGGGAATTGTGCCTTCTTTATATAGCTTCCCCTTTGAGATCCCAGATACCCCTTTTATCAGAACATCTTAACAAATATTATGCTTCTTCTATGCCATTTCCCTTTATCTATCTCACTACTTAATCAAAATGTCTTCTAGGAGGGATCTACTGTTTAATCCCATATCGTGTTCCGCGTTTGCTATAAAAACTAGACCTGCCCCTCCTGTCTTCAAAGTTTCTAAATCCCAACTCATACAAACGCGCGATACTCATACGTGCTCTCATACGCTACTTCAGAATTCTTGATCATATTTGACCACCCTTGAAACAAAGTGTTAAATAAAGGTGATGGAGCGACATTTCACCGGCAATCTCCTGCCACCTGCTGGGCCTGGGGCCCAGCAGCCGCTTCCGCTCGAGTCGTTCATTGACCGACTTGGAGAAAGGATGATACGGCTTGAGATAGGCCCTGAAAATAAAAAATTTCACGCCCATAAGAACCTGTTGTGTACCAGATCTAACTGGTTTGCCAACTATCTTAGTCCTATGACCAATGATCTCGAAGTAGAGTATGGTGAGGTTATACCGTTTCCGGACTGGGATCCGAAAGTGTTTACCATCTTCCTCGAGTGGGTCTATACCAAGCAGATCGTACTGCCCTCGCGTATTGCGCCTGAGAACCTAGAGCAACCAGTCCGACCAGATATCCAAGCCGCCGCGACTGCATATAGATTGGGAGAATTCCTTCAATCGCTATATTTTAGGGATGCAATAGCGGACAAGGTAAAGACACTGTTCAAGCCACCGCATAGTTACCCCTATCGTGAAATCGGGGTTATCGAATTCAGGGACGTCGTAGGAGCTTATGGGTTTGCGCCGCTACATTCGCCATTGCAGGCTTTGTTCCTAGAATTGGCACTTTTCTACCATCTGTCATTGAAGGGCGGCTCTACAGCAATGATCCCCTTACCCGAAACTATGGGGTTGATGTGGCCTAAGTTCGAGGGCAGCCTATTCTGTATGGATGAAGAAGGTCTGACATTGCGTCACTTGACGAATCCCCTTCTTGCTCCTTTTTGCCGGTATCATCTCCATGGACCTCAAGATACCTGTGGCAATTACACTGATATATGCCCCGAACCGATCTGGGTCCAAGAGTCCCAGTACAGACGCCCTTTCAGGTAATGGGCTTTCCGTGGAGATGTAAGATATAAGCCCGAAGTTCTCCGGTGAGCTCTCGAACTACATGGGACGCTCTAGCCCAGTTGCTATTTTTTCCTTTTCTTTTTCCTTTTCCTTAACAATCACTCATTCAAAATTAATATATTCCTTTATAAAATACTTCGGTATACCGTGTTGACCATGCCTATATGTAAATATAAACCTTTCTAATGCAAATTACACATGCTCCGCTTGTTGGCTCAGGAATTATTTCTTGAACGTAATTATCTCCGCGTCTCTCCAGTCCAGGTCTCTCACGTAAGATGGTAAGAAGTGCCTCGACAATGCCTCAAAGATCCTTTGTTTAATAAAGGTACCTAATTTGTGGTCGGTTTTAAGAATTGTTATCTCCGGTGTATGCCTGTACAGTGCAAGATCACGAGACGTGTGGAGGGCTAGATAAAAAAAACAACCGATGGTATGCGAGGGCTTAAAGCACATACGAGTATATTTACCCGGCAACGAACTTAAGACGAGTTGTATATATATACATGCCGAGCAAAAGTGCTAAGCCTAGCAGCATCCCTCACTTAATGTTCAGATTGCCGAAGGCACTGAGTGCCACCTACGTACGAAATACAATATAAATGCCGAAGAATCCATGTCCACTTTGATCATCTCGATGATCAGGATGATCAGTGGCAATTCTTACGTATGCAACGCATATGCACTGCCTTCGAGTCAATCATTGCTTTCTATAGTATACTGTACTGTACGGTATGACATATAATCTGACATCCCCGAGGGACATTAGACATACCGGTAATTCATATATTTCAATTACCTAACTTTGTTACTTATTTGACTTATGTGTTTGCCCTTCATTCCATATTACTATGGAGGCTGATAAATTCAATAACCCGACTTCCAAGTCTTCCATGGCTTATTGTGAGCAATCCTGCCGTTCCATTTATGTACCAATTTGGTCTCAACCCCTCTAACACTCAATATTAGGTTCTCGCTAAGTTGAAAAGGGGGCGCAAACCAAGTGAGATATCCTAGATTTACGGCGCATTGGATTTAAGTGTACTCTTGTAAATTATCTAATTTAGTAAACCACATAATTTCGACGTGGTAAGGGTCTCCTTCAACTTCGGCCACGCCTGATATCAAAATGCGTTAAGCCGTGCCGCACGAGTACTGCACGTCTGCTTACTACCGCCGTCTCGGGTCCGGTACGGCCCCGAATCGCCGATGCATTAGAGTACAAGTCACACAATGTGGTAGGACAAATAGGTTCGTTCAACAAAAGGGCAGTGGGCCAAGAGATATATAACGGGCTTCGTCCTCTTACAAGATGTTCGGTCTACAAGCCAAGCATTTGGATCACTCGATTCTTGTTCTACTTGATATTGAACGGCCAAGGTCTTCCTCTATTCCTAAACTTTGTTTTATACCTTCCTAGCCAAATACACAACGGCCCACTCCTACAAAATAACGAAAGAATGTCTGCCGCCAATCAGCATCTCGCCGCCGTGCTCCCCTCCAAGGGCTCTAGCCTCTCAGTCACATACCGACCAACACCAAAGCCCGGTCCGACTGACATCCTTATCGAGGTCAAATCCATTGCGCTAAATCCAATCGACGTTGGTATGCGCGACATTGGCTTTGCAATTGCTTCATACCCAGCAATTCCAGGCTCAGATGTCGCTGGAACGGTCATTAGTATAGGGTCTTCCGTTGCGGCTGATGCTCCCCAGCCAGGGACTCGGGTGGCAGGTTTTGCGCCCGCTTTCGCCATGAAAGGAGACCCAGATTATGGGGGCTTCCAAACACGAGTTTTAGTCCCAGAAGCTAATGTGACGCCCTTGCCAGAAGGGGTGAGCTTCAATGAAGCGGCCATGCTTCCCATGGCGGTGTATACCACATGGGCTGGATGGTATCAGCTGGGGATCGACCGCGCAACGGCATATGATCCCTCGGAGAAGAAAGGAATATTGGTATGGGGTGGATCCAGCAGTATAGGGAGTTCAGCGGTGCAGCTTGCAAAGTTGATGGGGTTCGTTGTCTACGCCACTGCGAGTGAAAAGCACCACGAGTATGTTAAGAGCTTGGGAGCCACTCGGGTGTTTGATTATAAGAGCAAAGACGTCTCAGAAAGTATTGTGAAGGCAGCAAAAGCGGATGGCGTTGAGATCCAATTGGGTTATGATGCCATCGGGGAGGTCCAGCCATGCTTGAATGTTCTGGAAGCGGCCAAGGGATCGGGTGTGGCAAAGCTAGCGACATCGAAGCCGATACAACCAGATACACCGACAATGGATGGCGTGGAAGTGTCGTTTATTTCGATACCGGCCGATACAAAGGTGCGAACAGAGTTCTTCCACCAGGCCTTCAATGTCTGGCTCAAGGAGAAGTTGGAGACGAAGGAGTTCGTACCCAGCCCAAGGGCTCGGGTCGTTAGCGGGGGCTTGGAGGGCTTGAACGAGGCCTTGGATGAGTTGAAGAAGGGAGTCAGTGCTACGAAGCTTGTGCTAGAGCTTTGAGTAGACTGTAGGCGTGATGGGTGCAGGAGGTGAAGTGTTATATAATTGGCAATTGCAATCGTTCGTGCTCAGGGCTCCCAAATCGTAATAATTCTTGAAGCACTTCTGGCCCGAGTACAGCACTGGCAGCAATTCATGTTCGTATAATCGTTCGCATCATGACCGCAAAGATGATTTGTGTCTCACTAGAGACATAGATACTATGTACATGCTAAAGAAACGGCAGGTCTGGTTGGGGCCCTTTTGGGGAATGTATGTCTTACCTTTGTGCAGAACTGGGGGGGGGGGAGCTCGTGGTGTATATAGCGCACTGTTCGGAGACATCGGCTAAGTCTCGGAAATAGCTACCACTACCACTAAGTCCAAGTACTTCGTGTCGCACCTCCCGATCTCCTTTCTCCTCTCCCAAACTTTCACGAACGGAACGCTTTGTACGCTTGCAATGCGCCTTCGATGCACTGGACCAAGCCGAAGAATGTTGTCAAAACCAAAACCCAGAGCGCAATCCAGAAAGGATACCATTGCGCCCCATTTCGCCGATCATACCACCACTGAGAGAGCGTAGTGGGGCGAGCGTCGTCGTACACTTGCTTTAAAATCACAAGACGGTCATGCCAATACTTAAAGTTCTCAAGCTGTCGACTCTCGGCATTCAGGTTTCCAATTTCTACAAGTTGCATATCGAGATGACAGCCAGGATTAGAAGCGACTTTCCGATACCAATTTCTAGTTGCTTGGTCATACTTGGGAAGGAGAAGGGCAATTGTTCTCAATGTTTCCTCGATGAAACCGTCCGGGAAGATCGGGCTGTTCGCATGACTGTAAGTTTAGAGTTATGATGGAATTGTTTCGGGGTAAACTTACTTGTCTATTTGATAATCTAGGAAGGACGCGTGGTGGAAGACTGCGATCGCCTTATCATCATCCATCATACGGAGGTGATCCGCTAGATTGTCTGTCCACCAAATCTCAATACCCGCGATTCGCTGTAAGTTGAGGGCGCTGAATGACTTCTCAAGCTTGATACGGTCATGGCTGCGAGCTGGGGGGCAAGAGAAATAATTGTGCACGAATTCAGGAAGACTTCCATAACTCCATTCGAGGTATCGGCCTCCGCGACATTCGTGAGGAACGTCGCCGAATTTGATCATCAGAAGAAGTCGAGCGACGAGATTGATAGAGGTTTCATGCTGTTCCTTATCTGCGACTTTCAGGAAACTCGACATATGTTTCCGTACCTCTTCTCGAGTGAGAGGTTGTTGCAGAAGTTGCGCTATGCCCATAATATCTCTGTGCGACTCCACCGAAGAATATTTGCCTTTTGCATGGCGTCCTATTAGATCGCATTGTTTATTATAATATCCGAAGTATAACGCAAAGAATCCTTCTAGATTTTTGGCTTGCCCCAGAATATTGACCCGAGAAGATTGAGGACCCCAAAGGTACTCAACAACGGCGGGTCTGAGTGAGTAATGGATATGGTGTTTTAGATTGAGATCAAGCGATGTCATTATGAGTACAGTTTGTTAGTGTTTATAACCTAAGGGGCAGGAGAGAAGTCAGTTGGTTTATCTGCGCGAAAGTGTCCAAACTAGTGTTGGGACCGATCAAAAAGAAGCCCGTCAGCCTCATTGCTCTCGGCCCATGCTCGGGCATATTATGCATGAGAATGAGACAATCACGGTGAGTTCTCGTCCCTACGATCACTCCGTGCCTGCGGTAATGTTTGCCGCCTCATGTGGCTTGCTGGGTGCATTGCGCCACACGAACCACAAATAAATCAACTGCCAGAAGTTGGGAGAGTCCGCGTACAGGACGGACAGCTCAAATCGAGGGATCCTTAATCGGTGGATTTTAACCAGACTTAATTGTGATAGAACAACACTTTTGATGAGTATGGAAGGGTATCTTCGTGATTTCGCCGCTGTATGCATTGTCCGCAACTCTCTGATAGCCTTGCCGTCTGCTTACTGGTAAAGTACGGCGGCATATTCGGGCCTACTTCCTCACTCCCAGATGGATAGCTAGTTGCTCCGCCACGCGGCGTTTCTGGATCGTTTTCTCTTATGAGATGTGCTCATGCCTCCGTCACTGTGCCTGCGGTTTGAGAGCGGTTAATTGAGAGCATTCGAAACGTTCAGGCAGTTGGACAGACTAATGCTATTCCTTTTCGATATCTGTGTTATTAGACAAATCGCTGGTTCGCCGCCTCGAGTTCGAAGTTATGGCAACCTTGGCGAGATATCTCGGGTTTCGCAGGAATAAAAGCCAATGGGAGAATCCAAGGAGTTCAATCGGGGAGCTGAGGGGAGTAGTGCGGAATGGAAGATACTCCTGCTGGGAAGCTGTGGGACCAGTGCGTGAGGCCTGGAGCAGACTCGGTCCAGAGATCAAAGACTACGTTGAAAACTTTTGCAAGTATGGACCGGCTCTCAGCCTGGAGATCTATATGATCGGCCGGACTGAAGATACAGCTGCGCCTAAGGTCCTGATATGTTCCGCAGATTTAATCGCCCGAAAATCGGTTAGGAAAGAAATCATGGGGAGTGGAATTATGGACAAATATCCGGCCATAGGATTGGGCGACACAGCTAGACTTCCTGATCTCCTAGCTCAAGAAGACGTTGAATCGACTTTGGTGCTAAATTCTACCAATGGCGAGGAGATCGATGTGCTCTCCACTCCATCCGACAGCGCGTTTGGCAGGCGTCTGTTCATCCCGAGGCGATACGGTGGTCCGCTACGGCCCGCGACTGCTGGGCCAATTCTGCATATCAACAGCAAGGTGTATCAGTTAACGGTCGGCCATGCATTCTTGGAACTTGATGATGTTGCCCCGCCCGAAGTACAATCTTCAACTTTAGACGATTGTGACTTTGATGGCCAGAGCGACTCAGAGGATGGCGATTCTTGTGTCGACCTTCATATGGCAGGGAAAAGAAACCCCACGAGCAGCAATATCCTCTCGCAGAATAGCTGCGCGCCCGTAAATAGTGGGCTAGGATCCAAGCTATCAGATACCCCTCCCTCGGAATCCCCGCTATCCAGGGCGACTCAACCTTTGCCTTCTTCGGGAGCTATTCTCCTAGCACCAAAAACGGAGGGTATGGTACCTCAAAAGCTCGATCGAATTGGGAAGTTGGCATTAGGATCAGAGATAGGCACCAACGGATCGCTTGACTATGCTCTCGTGGAGCTTGAAGGGCGATATCGCTTCGGTAGGAACGAAGTCGCCTGTGGTCTAAACAGCAGCCAGAGGTGGCTGAGGGTTACTCCGCCATCAAAGATTGGCCCAGGAAACGTCAACGTTATCACAATGACCGCTTCATCAGGATTCTTGTCTGGCACGATGTGCGCTACGGCATCGTATATGCGCTTGCCCAACCAACGCACTCTTCAAGAACTTTACTTGGTCCACTTGGATGGCAAATTAGCTAACGGAGATTGTGGGTCGTGTGTTATTGACCAGAACGCTGGCCATTTGTACGGTCATATTGTTGCGGGAAATATGGGCACCGGGTTGGCGTATATTGTGCCCGCCATGCAGGTTTTTAAGGATATTTCGGATAGGTTGGGAGATGTTGCATTAGTGCCCGGCGTGAAACCAAAACGTACTGGTCTAGATTCTTCAAGGGTTGTAGAACTCGGTTCAAAGCAATACTTCTCTCAGCTTCAACATACTACCAACCCCGGCGGAGAGAACAACAGCAGGGAACAGATAGCTCATGTCATATCAGTTCCGGCTGTGTCTTCCGATTTGCCAATTAGTCCTCATTTGCCTCTCAACCAATCTGAAATCAACAGCGCCTGGAACCCATCTCAACCATGGACCAATTCGCGAGGGCGAAGTTCTAGCAATCCCATTCAGAGGTTAAAATCAAAACTGTCCGTTATTAAACCAATGAGGCCATCATTAAAAGTGGCGATTAAACGGCAGGCCAATGAGGAGGGCAATTCACGGCACGTTAAACGGTTTGTTTCTCCCCTCTAGAATCTCATAGGTACCAACTGACTTGTCAACTAGTTCAACCTTCGAACAACACTTTTTTAAGCTCCCAGGCGATATCCAAGCGCAAATTATTGCCTCGCTCCGTATCCCGGATATTCTGAACCTCCGCACGACTTCAAGGAACTGGCACTACCTAATATCGCTCAATGAGGTTCCTATTTCCAGGATGTTCCTCGAGCTCAATCCCGTTCCTCCATTCGCAATTTGCCTATATCCCCTCCCAGACGCACTAGATATAAATCTACGGTATATTTGTGGACTATGGCATCGTCTTTTCGTGGCATCGAAGCTGTCCACTATGATGACTGAATGGATTACGACAGAGATCTTCCTCCGCAAAACAGAGATAGAACGGGTCGAGTTTTTACCCCAGAAAGCTCGTATGCGACGTCGACTTGTTCCTCTCCTCTTCACAATATTCCATTTCTTTGAGACGTACCGTCAGCTATATCTGGAACACATCCTTAAACACGGTCCTAGCCTGCTTCGAATAACCGATGCGACCAATGCTGTTGAGCTTCAGATCATGAAAATGTACGATAGTGAGACCCTTCTCCAAGCACACCAAGCCTTCCCACTCCTTCTCTCGTTTCTCCATCGACGGCTTAGACCTCCCTCATACCTTGGCCGCGTTGAGAAATCCATCCGTGGTTATCGTAAGGGTCCGCCTCCAGAGCATGTGCAGGCAGCAATTCTTTGCATCGGAGGTTTAAAGCTGCTGGCAAGGCTCTCAGATATTAACCACTATGACCTACGGATGATGGCAGTCGATACCTGGTACGCTTTTATCTCTCAAGAGGGAATGCACCCTCGGGACCAATCCTACGGATTAACTTCAGTGAGAGGAAGACATTCAAGGCTTGCCTCTTTTAACAAACCCGCGGCGACGGCTAATATTGTCTGCGCAACCTCAACATCTACTAGAACCTCGGCTGATCACTCTGATGCTTCAACAAGCTCGAGCCAGGTTTTCGAAACGAGTATGGCAGCAGGGCCACCGATGGGCTCGCTCTCTGGAGAACACGTGCATCTTTTGCTGCAAGGTTTACCTAGATTGCAAAGTATATGGATTCCAACAGCGGAAGCATTGCTTTTTGCCAAGCATGCCGTTGAGAGACGACAAGATATTAAGAGAAACGCACAGGTACACCAAGAGTTGGTAAATCCAGAGATCACCCAAGCGGACGAATTATTTTATGGAAAAGCAGTATACGATATTATTCAGGAGGATGGAACACTTTCTTGAGAAGCTATCTACGGAGTTCATGAGTAGTTTGCTGGCCGCTCAGCCTGCTGGCGGATTTGGTATATTAATCATATGGCTGAGGGCCTCTAGAGAGTACACCGTTAGCTCTACTCCACCTTGTCCTTTGCCAGGGTCCATATTATTTTTCTCTTGGATATGAGATTGAGCTCGATGTTGATATGCCTCTCGGACAGTAATGTGGCACAATTACTAGCCCAGAATGGAAAGAAAAGGGGATGAACCCCTGAAATAACCGAGGAGTTACTTGGGATTGAGGCAATTAAGCGAATGTTGTACGAAGTAGTACCTGAACTTGCGGAGGAGAGTACAAAGTGAAACGGGCTATGGCGTACAGCTGTATTAATTACTCATTCTCAAATAGCTGCTTTTAAGTGGCATTGATAAGAGATAAATAGATGACCGTTTTGCACTATTTCATCCTAGTGAAATCCGGGCACCTGATGAACCACCTGCAGTGGCATAACCCCGTGATGGCTCAGAGAAGGCGCAAATCCGGGAGTCCGATGAAGTCAAGGATCACAAGCCACGCAGGCCGAGTTTGCCGCCACTCTTGGGAAGTGAGACATGGCGATCTCCCAATGTACTTTGTAGACACGAAACTATAAACGGTGGTGGGAGAGGTCAGAACTTGTATTTCTTGAAAGTAGACTTTCGGGATACATATGAGGGTCACCGCTGCGGGATTTGAAGGTAGTCGCGACGCAGCAGCGCAGCGGGTTTGGGTTCAACCCCTTACTCTACCAGGCAGGAACATAACAACGAACACCCAAACAAACGGTTACCACAATCCCACAACGTGCGTAGACCAACCATTGAAGTACCATTCATCTCCATATCACATATCATCATGGCCACGCCAGTAAAAGAAGCTCCTCTCTCTGGCATTCGCCACGACAACGTATGTCACTATGTCTCCCCAACCTTGATATAAATATAGATGGACATCACTGAACGCTTCTAGGTACCAGTCAAGTATGATCCGCGTTGGTACCGCACCGCAAGATTCTGGAAACGTATCTCAGTGGCTGGATCGATTCTCCTCTCGGTGGCTTCGCTCATCCTCGCCGCATATGCGAGTCTAAGACCCGAGAATAAACAAGTGTTGAGAGGTAGGCTTGATTTCGTTCTGTTCTGCCATGGGCCCTGTTGAGGGATTTGATTGGAAATGGCACTGGATGTGCTAGCGAGTTCATCACCTGTACTAGGATAGAGACCCAGAAAAGACGAGGTCGTAAAAAAGAATCAATGACAGGATACAGGCTAACATCAAACCCACCAGCAATCGCTGTCTCGGGAATCATTGTGAACAGCATATCTGTCGCGCTATCTGCGTTGACAAGTCTAGATTGGAAGTTCGAGTCGACGAATGATCGGCAGTTTGCGGAGCAGTTGTGCAAGATTGTGCATATACATGAAGGGGATCAGATTGTCATTACGAGAAAGGGTCTTGAGAGCATGGCACCAGGGCCTTAATGGGATGGATGAATCATGCGTTGAACAGGAGTTGACGAGGTGCAACTGGTAGATCATAGGGCACTGGGCATTGCATTTTACGGTTTGCTGCAGAGAGCTGTTTATTGATCATTCATGGGCAACAAAGCATAGTTACGATCCATCACTAGGCGGAAAGTCAAGGTCTGCCGAGTCGTACGGGTTGATAATCCCGCAAAGAATACCATTTGTTTATCTATCTCAGCCCCAAAATATTTTTCTCCATAGTCTTGACCCCATCTCGGACAGACGGGGCAAAATGCTTCCTCAACAGCTCGCCTTCCCATACCGTAGCTGCAAACGGATTGCTACCCTCCACTTCCCCAGTTAACGGATCGAATGTCCCATCTCCTCTCCTCTCCTCTGTGCTCCATAGCGCAGCGATTTTCTTCTCGTGTGTTTTAGTAACCTTGCCCAAAAGCCCCAATATGGCTGTACATGATTTTTCGGGCATGTGGAGTGATGACGTGAGCAATTGTTTGGTAAACGCTGCGATTCGAAGAGGAGGCACTGCACGTGCTGCAAGTTGTGGCACGAGAATCGAGGACAAAGATCGGAGGAGTAGAACAGTGGTGGTTTGGATGTTGACCTTGTTGTTTCTTGTTGGAAGCGGTGATGCAGATGGGTTATTGGGATCCGGGAGATGGAGAGATTTCGCACTTAGCTCGATATCTGGGTTGAGCGATAGGCCATGTAGTGTTCGATATAGGTGAGTAACGAAGAAACTCAAATCCAGGCTGAGTGTTGCCTGTGCTTTGGCGGCATCCTGGCCCTCGAGAAGAGCAAATGCCGTGATAATGCAGAGGAGCGCCTCTCTAGTCAAATTCCTGGTTGTTTCATCACTTTCGTCTGAGTCTTCTAAATCATCCCCCGATTCAGCATGACCAATGAGATCCTTTAGAGCTTCCAGCACGTCGCCAAAGAAGTCCTGATTGATTAAGTGCGCATATCGGGCGAGTCCTTCCAGCACAGCGCCCATGAGATTTGGCATGCGCATTTTCAATATCCGAAAATAAGTCACGAAGACTAACTTCAAGGTCTCAGCTTGCATGCGATCCCGCTCATCATGACTGACACTAGCATCGGCCACAGACATCTCCTTTTCAATGACCTTACGCTCCTTCATCAGTTTTCTTTCTTTCTTGGTCCGAAACACCTTTGCCTGCTTCGGCTTCTTGGCAAGCATTTCCTCTTCCCCCCTTTTCGGTTTATCAACATGGTTCATAGATGCCTTCCACGAGAATTCTGACAGTAGTCTCAGATGCAAGAATGTATTCACTACACTCTCATCGACTCGATATCCTTTCCCTTTCATCATTGTCGTCATGAGAGCCACCGCATCTAGAGATGGCGTCCCATCTTCATCATTGCGGAAAACCGTCTCTATGGTCTCCCTGCATTTGGTAAAATTCTCATCCACTTTCCGGGTACTCAGTTTCCCGACCAAGATCTTCAGTAACTCTCCTCGGAAATTGAAATGCGGAACGGAAGTCAACAGTGCACATGCACAAGATGTAGCAACGCTGGTAAGACTTGGGCCTCCATCGCTAGAATCTGGTTGTCCTGATGAAGCAAGTTTTGCCAATTCTCGAATATATGCCTGATAACTCCCCACAAGGGCCTGCTCGTAAGCCCGTACTCGTCGTACCTCCTTTGACACTTTAACCTCCATGTCCTGCTCCGATAATGGCCGTATGCGATATCCCGGTATAACATCTTTATATACTGCCAACTGAGTGGCAAGAACAAGCTTCTTGATCGTCGTGTTTTTGTTCTGGCCAATTTGCGCCAAAGCTTTGAAAGCACCAGAATTCTCTTCTGGATCCTCATTCAGCATAAGTGCTATCCGGGCCAATTCTTCCTTCGCCTCTAATATCTGCTGCCGAGTGTTCACCATTCGTTGTTGTGCGGGCTTGTCCTCGATTTCAACCTCATCCTCGGAACCTTCCACGCCGGACCATTCAAGATCGCTCCCTTCAACCTCCGCTTCTTCTGCATCTTCGACTTCAAGATGCTGTTGAACTAATCCCTCAGATGTCTTAATTGGCAACCGCGTGCTCTCCTTCTCCTTCTTCTTTCCCTTCCGCGGTTTTGTCTCATAGTCCTGCTCCAAATCCCAATTTGCAGCTTGCTTGAAAAAGCTATTTGTTTGGGGAACGGCTTCGAGGGTTGAGGGAGATGAATCTTCTCCATCCGTTGGAGGAGGAGTCAGCTTTCGCCTCTTCACTGCAGGTATTCTGGCCATTTTTGGTTCGGGACGACGATGCGAGTGTCGGCGAAGTGGTGTGGTTGAGCGAAGGTTTCGAAGCGGGCTGCGCACCCCAGGAAAAAAAAAGTTCGAGGTTCACAGCCTCGTCAGAGAAAATATCCCCACCAGATATCGATTCTGAGAAGTCAGTGAAGATAAGAGTTTATAATTATATGTAGCAAGGAAGGGATTTCTAAACATTCTATAGGAAACTAATCAACATAAAATCATCAATCATATTTACTGGTTGAACCCCAAATTTGTCACAAAACCTTTGATGAAATGGGATGATATCACGTGAGAGCGTGCGACCTGGAAAATAGTTCTCGCGAAACCAGAAGTATTTGTAGGAAGAAACCAACTTATTACATTTCCTAGGTAAGAAGTATTACTTAAGACAACACCTCCTCAAGCCATTCGCTGACTATAAGATTCGCGCAGAATTCATTTATTGCCTTCGACACTCATTATGCTACGGCCAAAGACAGCAACTTGCCTGTTCTGCTCGTTCAATGCCGCTCGGCACCAACCAGCTCTCCTACAATGGCCAGCGCCAAAGACCGCATCGTTCAGCACCAAACCTGTGTCTCGTCCATCTCGGATGAGTTTGGCTCCAGCTAGAAAAGTCAATACCCCAGAACAAAGCCCGGCTGAAGGCGCGCGACCCAACCGACGAAAACAAGATGGGCCATTTGGAGGGATGAACTTGAAAGAGGCAAATATTCGAGGTGTTCCGGAGCGAGTATCTCCATCGTACGGCAAGAGAGGATCGCGCCCGGGTCGCAAAGATGATCCACGTGCGGGTGGATTCAAGGCTCTCAAAATGCAACGCGCGTTGGCACCTGTATCGTACGGCCAACGGACGAAAATAAAGGAGCGAATTCGAGAAATCGATTCATTCGACCACTTTCCACTACTCGACTCGGTCAAGAGCGCAATATCCACGCAGGCATTACCAGGAATGGAGGGTGTCGTGCCCACGCCGGTGCAAAAAATTGCGATACCTGCATTATTAGGGAGTGAAGCTACAGGGAGGAGGAGCAAAAGCAAGGCCGTTGAAGAGAAAAAGGAGTTTTTAATAGCTGCAGAGACTGGATCCGGGAAAACCCTGGCATACCTCACTCCCACAATACATGCGGTAAAGAAGGCCGAGATGGAGGATGAGGAGATCCAGGAATATAATAGGAGGCTTGAGGAGGAAAAGGCCGCTCCTTCCTTAGCCCCTTCTGTGTCAGAGATGCCACATCCGACCACTGGACGACCTAGAGCAATCATTCTTGTTCCAACGGCGGAGCTGGTAGCTCAAGTTGGCAATCTAGTCAAGGCTTTCTCACATACAGTGAAGTTCCGTTCCGCCATGATATCATCAGCCTTCAGTGGGCAAGTCATTCGCAACCGCCTGTTTTCGCCCCGTGGCATTGATGTTTTGGTTACTACTCCACATCTTCTCTCTTCGATCGCTGATTCGGACCCCAACATTCTCTCGCGTGTAACTCATCTAGTAGTTGACGAAGCGGATTCTCTTCTTGATCGTGGATTCTCCCCGCTCTCATCAAATATTATTGATCGCGCCACCCCTTCCCTACAACAGCTGATACTATGTTCTGCAACAATTCCCCGCAGCTTGGACAATTACCTTCGAAATCGCTTTCCCGATATTCGCCGTCTCGTCACTCCAAATCTGCACGCTATCCCTCGACGTGTGCAGCTCGGTGTCGTCGATGTAGAGAGGGAGCCGTATCGAGGAAACAAGAACCTTGCTTGTGCAGACACGATCTGGACCGTCGGCAAAGCAGCCGCAGAGCATGATGGCCCAGTGAAGGGTGAGATGGATGTGAAGCGCATCCTTGTCTTCGTCAATGAGCGGGATACGACCCAAGAAGTAGCCGACTATCTTGTCACTAAAGGTATCGATGCCATCGCCCTAAACCGGGATACTCCCGAACAGCGACAAACAGAAATGCTAGCCTCCTTTACCCTTTCTACTCCACTCACTGCGCCCAAAGAAGCGGCTCACCCTGGATCCCTTTCTGACAACCAACCAAATTATCTACCCTTTGGCCAGTCAGCCCCACCAGTCAAGCGGCGCCTACCGAATACGAAGGTTCTAGTTACTACTGATCTTGGGTCGAGGGGTATCGACACGCTTGCTGTTCGCCATGTTATACTTTATGATGTACCACATTCCACGATAGATTTCATTCATAGACTTGGGAGGACGGGACGGATGGGAAGGAGAGGTAGAGGCATTGTTCTAGTTGGAAAACATGATCGTAGAGATGTTGTAGCGGAGGTTAGAGATGGTATGTATAAAGGGCAAGCACTAATTTAAGGGGAAGAGCCTGGCTCGACTTCTGTATGAATATGGAGAAATTAAATGTACAATAAGCTTAATGTACGATAAGACGTTATACATCGCTTCACTTCAAACAGTATTAGAGCTCACCTCCGTCGACCGTAATTTGTGTACGGACGGATTGGGTAAAACCCGAAAAGCTGGGTCGGGACTCGAACCCATGTTCGGCATCTAAAATTAGAATACGGGAGCCAAGCCACTACTAGCCACTATTCGATAAGCCACAATTTTATGCCAACCCCCGCCACCGCATTTTCTGTCAGCGACTCATGAACCTCAAACGTGTCGTTTGTCACAAAAGGTTCAAAATCTTTGATCTGCTACAGACAACCATTCATATCGATGGCATCGATTTGTCATCCACTGCCACGCGGTGCTCCACTTTTCCCCGACAGCCGCTGTGACACGGTACTCGTACAAACCGAAGTCAACCTCGACGGGGCGCAGTCTGCTTGCCTTGCGTAATGCTTCGTGTCAGACATAGTAGGTTGTGTTCTCCATACTTGTTCAAGTGATTTCTTTGTCGCTGTTCCCTCTTTGTTGTTTGCTCTATCTATTCAGTCTATTTCTTCGTCCGTCAACTGCCGTGCGGCTCTCTGTTTAACACCTTCGTTCTGGGCGACTATTAAAAATCGCCATCATTTGCTCATTCTCAGCATTCTGCCTTGAACGACAACAAATCTTATAACAAGAACACTCTTTCCTGTCATACAACTTTCTGCAGATCGCCCCTTCCATACACGATGCTGTCTTCACTTCTGGCTGTATCAGCTGCCTTCCTCTCGCTCACCGGTCTCGCACAAGGAATCCCCCAGGCTGGCGTTTCTTCAACCGGAGCAGCATGCAACAATTCTCCCCTCCTCTGCGATCGAAACTACAACAACATAACACATATGGGGGCTCATGACTCTGCCTTCCTCCGCAATAAGGAAACCTCATTTTCCACCGCCGGCAACCAATTTTACGATGTAACGGCGGCCCTCTCCGCCGGTATCCGTCTCCTACAAGCTCAAGTACACAATTTGTCTGGCGCCCTGAAGCTCTGCCATACCTCTTGCAGCCTCCTCGATGGCGGATCTCTGGAATCATTTCTCTCCGATATCAAGATATGGATGGATTCAAACCCTAACGAAGTAGTAACCCTCCTCCTTGTGAACTCCGACAACATGCCCGCAGCCACGATCGGGGATTCTTTTACCACGTCCGGTATCTCCAAATATGGTTTCGCCCCCGCCTCAACCAGTGGTCCTATGGCCACCTGGCCAACGCTTCAAACTCTCATTTCTGCCAACACCCGCCTTGTATCGTTCATTACGAACATCGAGCATGATAGCACAAAGCCTTACCTTCTCCCCGAGTTCGACTACGTCTTTGAAACAGCCTTCGGTGTATCTTCTGTCGGGGGATTCAACTGCACGGTCGACCGTCCATCCTCCCTGGGATCTGGTTCTACGGCTGTCTCAAAGGGATACTTGGGCCTATTAAACCATTTTCTCGATATAGAGCAATCATTTGGGATTACGGTCCCTGATGTGGCAAATATTGCGACCACAAACTCCGCATCAACAAATACAACGGGTACTGCGGGGACGCACGGCGCCCAATGCCAAAGTGAGTGGGGTGTCAGACCGACATTTATCCTAGTGGACTTCTTCAATGTAGGTCCAGCTATTCAGACTGCGGACCAGCTGAACGGGATCTCGCCGGTAGGAAGAACAAGTCTCAGTACTGCTGTTTTGACTGCTGAGAGTTCAGGAGCTGCGTCAACAAGCGGAAGTGGGATAAGCTGGTTTGGGCTTGCGGGGTTTGGGATGGGTGTTATTGCTCTGGGAAACTTCGTGTTTCTCTGATGGAGAGATCTTTCTTTATACAAAATAGTGTTTTTACTGCATAGCGAGGCGTTTAGAGATTGGAAATCATCGGATTAAGGCCATAGTGACAACATTACACTCATCGGCTGGGAAAATCAATATACTATGCACAGAGAGATATATCGGATAATACCCATGAGGATAGATGGAAATAGAACAAACAAACTGTATCAAAGTATTAGCATTAGCCTTTAGATATTCTTTTTCACATTGTGTCTCGTTATCGGAAACATCGGGTTTGCACGTGACACCCCCAACCTAGATTGAGCTCTAATGCCCCTTGGCCAACCTATTTCCTCTTGGCCGGTCTTGATAAACACCTTCAGAACACACCATTACTCTTCTACTGATCATCAACACTCAACGACCGAATCAACAGTCTGTGATCTCCTCTCAATTATCCAGCCATCGACATCAGGATGACGGATTACGCCAACCTCCCCACCCCACCTAGCTGCGTGGCAGATTTCTGTCTCATTCCAGTAAGTACAGGACAAACCACGTCATCCTCAGACAAACATTTCTTGATCTTAATTTTTTGCCGGCCCTCGCTGATTTTCTTACCCTAGATTGGGACCCCGGGACCGTCAGTCTCTAATGAAGTTGCTGCTGTTCAGCGCCTTATGAAGGCCAGCGGACTGAGCTACTCGATGCATAGTGCTGGCACGACTGTTGGTAAGTGTCTCTTCAGGCACTTTTCTTGACCTTCATCCTCTGCTTCAGGAAATATGCACGCTGCCGCTAGGGGGAGTATCAAGCAACCCGGATGGACGAGGTCACATGCTGGTGATGTCCAAACCCAACTCGCCTTTAGTATTTCAATTTGCAGTGGATATGGTGTTGTATTCTAACTATTTATTCGATAGAAGGATCGTGGGACCTTGTTATGAGATTGATCGGCCAAGCGCACACACTCGTCCATCAAAATGGCGTCCTGCGAATCCAAACAGACCTCCGCATTGGAACAAGGTACTTCACCTGACTTCAGGCTCTTTTTGTACCCCATTGACTAATATATGATAGGACCGACAAGAAGCAGCATTTCTCGGAGAAGGTGTCAAAAGTTGAGAGTATCCTTGCAGCTGATGGCCCGACAGCGCAGAAATCCTCATAAAGGCATCTCGCGAAACCAGTGATATGCAAACAGGCTGGTCATGTTGCTTTTCGGGGTCGACACTAAAATATGAAAGGCTCGAAATTAGACTAGTTAATCTAGTAGTCATAGTCTTTTGGAAATAACACGGGAAGCCCGCGGCTCAATTACAAAGGTGGAAAGATAGGTAGTTACTTGCCGCATAAGGCCCTGCTGGTACCAAACTCCTACTACAACCGCACCGTTTTCTGACTTCAAATTTCTATCGTCTAAAAGGTTTCCACTAATATATCTTCCGTAATATTACCAATTTACCACATTATATAATGTAATGCTCCTGATGAGCGTGAGTATTCCTGTTAGCCCATCCCCTCGCATGCAGGTGCGTTTTGTGAGCGCTACTAGTAGTGCACGCTTGAATTTATTCGCTATATCTCTACCCGAAACAACCATATTCATTGGGGTCAACTATATAGAGTAGTACGACCGCAACGGTGGCCTCATATACCAACCATCCTCTAAGCATGGTCGACAATTCTTCCAAGCAGGCGACCATATATTAACCTCTTTTCGGATTCAACCATCCTTCACTAGCTAAGCTAGGGAATCACCCTATCCATGCTATTTTTTATATTATTGGCTGTATAGGAGTAGGATTGCCAACAGATGAGTTGAGGAATTATAGCCACTGAGGTATTTTGTTACTAAAGATCAACTTGAAGCGTCGGCCAAGTCACCGAGCACAGTTTCAGCTCATCGAGAGGGGTGGCAACGAAATAGTTCACAATTAGCCACATTTCAGCTTTGTTCACCTTTGTTGCTAGAGTCATAGCTTAAATTCCTCTAGTAAATAATTCCCTCTTGTTATGGTTATCGCGATCACAGTGTCATGGACAATGAGCCATATTAGAAAGGAAACACATTAAATATCAAAAGAAAAATCTTTGTAACTGTCAAGTTATTGGAATATTTCCATCCAACCCTCTTGAGTGGGCAATTATTTGGGATGTATAAGTGAGGGCGTGAGAGAAGGTGAATTTCGGCTTACCTCAGTGCCGGCGTGGCAATTTGAGACTTGGAAATTGAGAGCGGAAAGTTTCCCATATTAATTTGACGGTCTACCAACATCTAGTGGGTGATCAAAATCTATGGCTCCCAACTTCCTAAGAAGAAACTAGAAGATCCCCGTAACACCTTCAAGGCTACTGTCCTCTGCAGCTCTATTGTTTGCTCGGGATCTGCCCCGGTAAAATCTCATGCCTGCTAGCATGTCGTCGTCATAGTTGTGGGGATATCCACCATAACCGCCCCCAGAATAATATATATACTCTTCGTCGTCGCTACTATCCATTTCATCATCTGCATAATAAGGGATGTCCCGCTCTTCCATGATCCGTACTTCGTCGCAATCGGAAGCTATGGAGCGACTGCTTGGAGGAGGTGATGGTCTATATTGTAATCTACGGCTGAGGAATGTGAGACAGGTAGACAAGGCCAGGCCCATGATTGATTCTATGAGTGGTTCGATTTGTGGCTGAAACGAGGTTGGTAGGATTTGGAACTGATTGCCGATCCTTAGTTAGGATATCCGAGAAGATAGGAGCGACAGCCAGTTACCCGGAGGTAGAGGTATATCCGAGTCCCGAAAAGGGATCAAAAAACGACGATGGCACACCTGTTAGATGGTTGTCTTCATCCTTATATATAGTAAGTAAGCGGCTTGCACCTTACAATAAACAAGCATCGGAGGGAATTTCTTTGTCAAAAACTGGGCCCTTCTTTTCTGTCAAGGTGAATTCGCTAAAACCTTATTGTTCTACCCCCTTATTCCATTGTTGCCGCACTCTTTATTGGTGTATAAAAGATAGGGTAGCCGAACAAAGCCCAACGCCGTCTAGCACTGGCACCTAAGACCGTGCATAAGCGGTTGGCCTGTTTGACAGGATTAACTCGGGATGAGACAAGGAGCTTGTAGAAGGTTCCTGGAAGTGATATAGTACATCATTCCTCATAGGAACTTCCTTTCAATGAGTAAACATGTCTGACGGATGCCCTAACGGAGATAAGAATGGATGCAGCTAATACTGCCACCTGTAGGATGTAGTATTAGTATATTAAGTGACGGATTCGTTGCTGTCTCGCTTCAGGGGCCGCGAGAAATTGGGAGGGTTTGGCACATACTGCTTGCTGCATTCGCCCGTGCAAAAATAGCAACAAAATCTATAAAAGTTTGAATGGACAAGAGGAGAAGTAAATGATGCCAGTAGTTGAAAAATAGTTCAAGCAATGACAGGACAAAGACGAACTCAAACTATGCTCTGTTCAAATAACTCAGCTGCCGATGAAGAGTGCGAGTGACACTCCCAATTTCCGACGGTATCACACTTGGAATAATTTATTCTAGCTTAGAATACGACATAATGCCATAACATTATAGCCATGGTAGACGACTTCATGTCAAGGGTATCTACCCATAACACAACAAGGGCTTGGATATATGGACGTTTTCACAAAATGGAAATGAAGGCAAGAACAGCACCACAGATAATTGACGCGCATAAAATTTAAACCCCACCAACTACGTAGAAGCCTTTGAATTAATAGTTGAATATTTTTAATTTTCTATAAAAATTGCAGCTGATCAATTACGATAGCTAACTGGTGGCATTGGGCTTGTTGGGCTAGGAAGGCTTCCTAATGTGCCCCTTGCTATCTGCCTTTGATTTCGGCGACGTAGCCTGCGTTGTGTAACCTTTGCACGAGAAGCAATCAGCTCAGGAAGATCTGCGCCTGTGAACACTCGCGCACCCAATGCCTCGTCAATCTGTGCCGCCATTCGCCCCAGACTTTGATCACGATCGATTCCACCACGTAGCCCAAGAGAATCAATAGCTTGCTGGTTATACCGCTTCTTAGATCGATCTGGGCCATAGTAGGTGACTAGGCGGAGGGATATTGCTTTTTTGACAGCCCCGAGCTCGACGTGAACTCCATGATCATGCAACCGTCTCAACAACGTAATCCCAAAGGTCACATTGGGGATCGGAGGTTGATCATGACAAATAATATCGGGGGAAGGTATTACTGTAAAAGAGTGCTGAGGCTTTCTTTTCAGAGAATGAATAAACCCCCAATCGATGACGGCTTTTTGGAATGCCCCTGAGAAAAGCATCTTTAGAGGGTGGAGCGGATGAGATGGCGGAACCTGGGTAGGGACCCGATAACGGCGAGATTGCTGTCGAATGGTCCTAGTAGCATTGGATGGCCCATACCACGATGCAAGAAATACGCAAAGATTCTCTAGTTCTCGCAATTGGCCGAGCATGCCGAGTCTGCGAAGAATCTCCCCCCAGGCCGTCACCGGAACATAATTACCAGATGTCGCAATTTGCTTTAGGATCATGATGGCTGACCCTAAATCAGATCCCTTGGTCTGGCCAAGTGTTGGCCGCCGACCACGGTTTCGTGGTCGCAAGATGCCCATCAGAATGCTAGCGATGGACTTTGTCTTGACGGTTGTGCCATTTTGATGCATTTGTGATAAGGTCTGGAGTACGGATCTCATATCACCTGTCACAGCATGGGATCGCAGAATGATGTTCTCCTTCTCGAGAGCGGGGCATCTGCTCCGACTTGATTGAATTTCCAAAGTCCTTCGATACTGCGCCCAGTCTTTTGCTGCTGCATATGATGCGAGAAGGCTCTCTTGCAAACGCGAATCTTCCAGCTCATCAGGATGTTGATCACTTTTTAGTAGACCTTCTAGATATTCATATTGCCTGGCCCTCGCGAACGTCTCCACCGATCTAGAGAACAATGATTCACCTAGCGATATTCCAAGGTCTCGGAGCTGGTTGATTCGCAGGACCACACCTTTGGTATCTAGCTCACGAAGAGCAAGAGCTTGAAGCGACAAAGGTCCAATTTCTTGGACTCCTAGAGCGTGGACGGCGTTAATAGCAACATCCAATGAGATCCAACTTGTTGCAAACCATCGAGCTCCTAAGTGGTCGTTATAAGTTTTGGGGGATATGTTGAAAAATTTGCCGTGAACCAAATTCATCATCTCTCGCGAAATCTTGGTGTTATCATTAAGCTTCGTAGATAGAGAGGGTGCAAATGACACGCCTGCTTCGACGAGGCTCTTCGTAACCCGAACCGCATTCCGACGATCATAAATGGCTAGAAAATGGACCAATGGCTCAACCAGTTTGCTTGTAGCAGGCAGATCGCCGTTTTGGAGGAAAAAGAAGTGCCATTGAAGAGCAGCTTTATAGTCCTCTTGGGCACATAAAATTGGGACAACTTTTGAATACACCTTGCGATGCTTGTTCTTCTCATATATCTTTTTGAGGGCTTTCATGTCACCTTTCCAGAGAGTAACTTGGCGACACAATTCCCCGAATCCTTTCGGCCCTGGGGAGTGATGTAAAGCTAATTTGTCATTCCACCGGATAGCTGCGTCGCCATGGCCATTGATAAGGAACTGTTGAATGATGCGACAATAAAGCTTTGACCAGCGTTGTCCATGTATATCGTCCATATTGTCTGCATATTTCCATATCTGTTCCAAAACCATGGGGTTTTCATAGCCAAGACTAAGAAAGGTTGACCACATCTTGTCAGCCAGTACGCCTGTCATCGGTATACGGATCCCTTTTGTGCGAATGGTATCCCAGAACATTGTAACCCCATCTGCACCGTATTTCCTGTGCCGGTAATCGAGAAGGAAGGCCCAAAGCGTCATATCACCCCGATGCGGGTCAGAATCCAGCAATCTTGGTGCATCTGACGCCTGGCAGAGATTTGACTCGAAATCCATCTGCTCAACACTCCACAACCTTTCGCTCCACGGCTTGTATAGATCCATTGCCGCCGTTTTGACATTTTGGAGGCCATTACGGGCGCAAGGCTCCTTTGGTATCTTCCGCCCATGCCCATGATCATAATTCACGCAAAGTTCTTCGAGATCTTGAGGCGCCAGAGCCAGATTGGTATAATTTCTGGCAGGCTTTTTGGTTTGCTGGCAACGCAGAGGCTGTTGTCGATTCGGGGTGATGCAGGCTGTATTTCCTAGTAAACATTGTAGAAGTTCTAGGGAAGATGGCCTCGACAGAAGCCTCTGGAGAGCTGGCCGCATGCTGTAGCTCTACCAAAATCGAATTGGCATGTTGACCAGCGTCCATCGCCATTGCATTGCGTCGTTGTTATAGTGGCCGTCCTAGAGCTCTATCGGCATCAGCGTAAACCTCGCTTTCTAGAATTCGAGATGACCAGCGCTTAGTCAGCGACGCTAAAGTTCCACCACATCCCTCCGAAGCTTGAAGCTCGACAACATCGGACCATTTCAACAGCGTAACAAATCCACCAATTCGAACCGTTACTACACACAACAAGCACAATGGCAGGGTGAGTAAAGAGCAATGTGATATCGCATCATAAAACCCCTATTGCAGGCTGCAACCACGCCGCAACTATCCCATACCCTTCCGAATAACCTCAGACCACTGAGAAAAGCAACGAGAGGCTAATCAATCCATTCAACACAGCTGGGTCAACCGTGAAAACCGCGTTCCATACTATCAGCGGCTCTTCCAGGAGGGGTCGAGACAGCATGTTCGCCAATGGAACCAAGTACGTCGAACACCCTACTCTTAACGGGTCAATTGACTCCATTGTTTCGAAATGGGGACTCGGATCTGACGTTGAATGCAGACCAAGCGAGGCAGAATGATGCTGATGCCATACTACGTCGTGTTTGCTGGAACCTTTGCAGGTATGTGTTTGGGCAATTGAACCGCTGATGGACGGATGACTGACCATTTGTAGGCTCGATGTGGATGATGGGTCGCCAGGTTTTCGGACATAAGACTTGGTGGTGATAATCTTGCTGCAAGAAGCGCTGGGCATGGATGGAAGGGCCACTACAATGGGGGCGTCGCCGTGTACATTGAAAACCACCGATTAGAAATTTCATTACGCCTCCTACCTACGGCCAGTATCGGCTATATCGCTACGAAAACGTCTCGCTCAGATATTGTCGAGCATGTGCTTTAATACGCGTATTTACAATTGGGGCATAATAGAACCGCTCGTTTTATGGAGGATTTCTTCTCGTAATTCGCTAATTTGGGTACAAGGCTGCATACTAAACCAGTCTTTATAGCTACAAACCCAATACCGTGGGCCATCTGTGTGAAAGCTCACTCCTTCCCATCCCTATCCTCCCACGATGTTCATGACTCGGTCCGAACTCACCAATCCTACACTTCATACCTTCCCAAAACCCTCTGCCAATTACCCGTAGACTATCTAATTTTAGTTGACATTCCTGCCATCCTGTGCCAACATCTCGGCAACGTCAGCATCGAGGCCATCCATAGCATCACCTCCTAGATCAGGAAATTCATCGTTCAGCTTCCGCTTCTTAACAGTCCCCCCACTTGCTGCTGGGGTTGGCCGGCCGTATGAAGTTGCCAAACTAGACAGTAAGTCAGATCCAGCAGAAGGAGCCTGCGTAATCGTTCGCTCAGCAATTGAGATTGAATGGGCAGAATTTGCGGCACTGGCCGAGCTATTGGTATAGTCAAGATCAAACTCAGGAATAGGTTCAGTGCTCGGCGGCCGTGGGAAGTCCGGTGGAGTCAAGGCCTCAACTTCAGGGCGGTCTGGTTCTGGGGCCGGCGTGGTGGAATTGCGGCTGGCACCAGGAGATCCTTCCGGAGGTCCATTAGGTGTTCCAGGATTGCTATTGGAGGCAATATCACGCATAATATTGTCTTCAACGCTTTTCTTTTTGGCATCCGTCTCTTTCTTTCGACCGGCTAGCTCCTCAAGTTGCTTCTCCTCGGCTGTGAGGGCTTCGCGATTAGAACCGAGCATCTTCTCCAAGCCTTCAATCAGCAATTTTCGTGCCTTGATACTCTCCGCCACGGCCCCTTCCGCGTTTGCAAGGGTCTTGAGAAGACCATTAAGTCGGGCTGCATATACAGGCGCTGTTGGAGGATTCGCGGATGGGCCCATCAACTTATCGTAGTCTTGGCTCGCAGCGTTCGTAGAGGTTCTGGTCGAGAGAACGAGTTTCGTGATTGTTTGTTGGGGTTCCACCAAAGGAACGAGGTCACTTGGGACAGAACTTGGAGTATTGGAAGAAAAGATGGAGCCTCCTCCTCGTTTCCCAGACGTTTTACTCTTGTCGATTTCTAATTTATTAGCCCGGGTACCAAATGACTTGTGGAAGAACTGCATACCTTCAATTCTGGCCTCAACTGCATCCTGAATCGGTATTTCAAAAACCTGCCGCTGCCTCCAAACCTCCACCACCCTCCGTATTTTCAATTGGACGTCACTTGTGGCACCCTTATATGCGGATGCAGTAGCTTCGGCGATGACGGGAGAAAAGGCGATTAAAAAGTCATCCTTCTTACGAGCCTTCGATTGCTGCGCTACCTCTACAATTGGAAAGAGTGTTAGAAAAGAGCCCTGCATATGTATATAATCGAGAACAGAGGGTGTAGGACTGGGACGTCACTTAGAATAGCGGAGGTTGCTTACCGTTGGCAAGGTAAATCAGGTTCAATCTCTTATTACTCCCCGAGTCTTTGAGACGTGAGAGCCATAGTTGCGCCGTGCGATCTGCGTGTCTCCTAGATTGGATGGGTCAGTACTGGGCAACATAGCAGCAACTGAGGGGAATCTCCATACCTGTGAAACATTACCCATTGGGCGACGGTAACCTTTGAACAGTTAGATTTGGAGGTTGACGCTGCATTATGCTGCAGAAGGGGGACCTACGATGCTTTCCTGCGTCTCATTGAGGGCAGACAGCTTCGCCAGCACAGCATCATCCGTATATGCCATGGTTGCAGAGAGCTACAGGTCCTTTTCGGATCGTCGGGATGGTTATTTCGTCGGTTTATTATGATCCAGATCGAAAACGAGTTGTCGCGTTCTCTATTCCGTAATGGTGCTATTATAGCTTAGGATGCAAGGACCACGTAGCGGCCCTCTGGAGGGAAACAGAATGCTCGGGTAGGGGACAAATGCCACCATATATGTTGGAGCTCTACCAATATCATATATTTCGGACAAACGGGTTGCGCGTCAAATTGTGCAACTTTGCCAGCATTCGGCGAAGTGTCAAGGTGGTTCAAAAACCTTGAGGTCCAAGCCCGAGGACAGGGTTTACTCGAGTAATATTTCGGCCTAAGGTTAGAGTACTGTCCCACGATTTCCGAGCTTCGCCTCGACCATGGTCAGAATCTTCTATTCTATATTCTATCTATATTTTCATTCTAGACGGCGAAACCAACAAGGGAAGGCTTCAAGGCTCCTCCTAGATTGGCGAAGCTTGATGAATGCATTTGTAAATTTAAAAAAACCTGCAATTTAGTGGGCTATATCTACCACTTTTATCCTACAGCTACCTAAGGCAGGTATATATCGACCCAGATCAGCCCTTTGCAGACTCCCCTAATTTAATTCAACCCAACGCTGGAATGAACATTCTGAGAACCTCCTTACCAACTCATTCGTATGCTGGAAATCGAGCCATCTCCTCATCTGCCGCCTCCTTCTCCTTCGCCAAAACTCTTTCATGGCCCTCACTTCTAATCCGAATTAGACAGGGGAAAGATTTCGGGCGGACATTAAAACCATCGGTATAGTCAAATGTATCATACTTCTGGGTCGCAACGATATCAAACGCCCATATGAGTTTTGAGAGTGCAATGAATAGCGAATTCGCTGCAAGATCTGCACCAGGACATATCCTTCGGCCCCACCCGAAGGATGAATGCCCGGCCTTTGCAGGATGCTTCTTCCCTTTCAGCGCTGGGTCAAATCGAGAGTGTTTTTCATCGAGAAATCGAGCAGGGTCAAATAAATGGGGGTTGGGATAATATTTCTCGTTGAGATTGATTGCCCAGGAGTTCCCAAGAATTGTCGTCCCTGCAGGAATTCGCCATCCTTGATACACGTCACTTTCGGAAGAGCCATGAGGGGTTCCTCCCAATACAGCAACTGGTCGCCATCTGAGGACCTCTTTTACCAGAGCTCGAAGGTAGGGAAGATGTTCCTCATCTGCAAACGTAGGGCTTCGGTTAAATCCAACAACTTCATCGATCTCTGCACGCGCAGCTTGCAGGGCTGCCGGATGTGTAACTAGGGCCAGAATCGCTGAACACATCGTAGAAGCTGTAGTATCGGAACCCGCACCGAATAGTGACGCAGGGATAAACGAGAAATCCCTATCAGATAGTGGAATCCCTTCCTCGTTCTTCACAGTTAGTAGGGCTTGGGTCAATGAAGGAGCTATTTCCAATCCCTTTTCCTTCGCGATTCTCATCTCTTCCTTTACGCCTTCCACAAGCTCCACGTTAGCGTCTGTTTCCATCTTTGCATGCTCCTGAATATCTCTCTTCCACGGTGCAAGAAAAGTTGGAGTGTGTTTCAGCACTGGAAATGACTCCGCCTTATAAGCTCCCGGTACGTTCAAGGAGGCCATGAACTGCATGTATTCCAGCCGCTGCCTAATCACCGGAGAATCCATAGAATCGATACGGTGCCCATAGGAGATGGAAAATACCACGCTGGCAGTAAATCTGTCAAATGACCTTTCATACTCCTCGGGATTCTGGAATACCTGAAAGGCAAGCCGTGTAGCCTCTGCTTCCTGACGAGATTTATAAGTCCTTAGAGCGGCCGGAGTAAGGGCGCGATGCAGAAGCTTTCGTCTTATCGACCAATCCTTGCCGTAGGGTTGCACAAGAACCGTTCCAGTTCCGTACATCTCCCCCATAACAACAAAACGCGGGCGAGAGGAGTATTTGTTGCTCCTTTTCTCCATCAAATCTACCGCCACTTCGGGATCGGAGATTATGAGGGTAGGGCGACGACCAACCCATATTGTGAAGATCGGTCCGTACCTTTTCGACCATTCCTGGAATTGAACCCAGGGTTTTGCGCTTGGGAGAGAGTTGCCGATAAAAGGGATGGGAATTGGCCCTGGTGGCATGCCGTACCATCTCCATATATCACCGAGGAGAATAAAGGTGAATAGGAAGGCTAAGCCTGAGAGGAATGCAACGATTAGAGGCATTTTGGGTTGCTGGCAGTGGCCTGCCTGCGGTTTCTGTTTCCCTCCTTGAAACTTGCTTGCTGGCTTATGGCGTGGAAATATGCTGAAACTTGATCACAGTCTGTGACTTTTCGGAGAGATGTACCAATGCCATTTAGATGTGGTAGTAGGCGAGTTAGGTTCGAGAATAGCATGGCGTCGACGATGTGGGGTCTGACCACCAAGTAGGACTGAGATTCTCATGTTCTTGATGCTCTATTTTCTTGGTGCCCCCTTGCCACGGCAGATGCGTGCCATTTCTGTAGGGAAGCCGGCAATATACTGTTTGGCCACAAGAGGCTCGGTCTGGCTCGGTTCCCACAATAGGTGCATCACGACGCACTATGAGCTGCCTTCGCCAGTATTCGAGGAGGAGGCGCTTAGGAGAACAATAGCAAGCAAGGCTCTAAGTGCTCAAAGCGACGACTCACATAACTGCCGGATACGCTACTCGTTGCTTACGGTAGCCACCCCCTCACCATTGTGGCATATTCTCACTATTTTCACTAAACGCGACCACGGAGTATGCATTGAGAAGATAGGCATCGCGCACGGCACTCCAAGCCCCGAATCAGGACCCCTATGGCAACTATACCAATCACGCGGTTCGCATTAGTGCTATTGCGCTGGGTCAACAGGAGCAATTGGTGGATACACGCGTGCCCAGGCGGACTCGTAGCCAAATGAAAGGAGTGGCCAACTTAAAAATACCAACCCCGTCCAATGTTGTGGGGGAAGCTAAGCAACTCCCCACGGGGCTCTATTACTTGGATGGAGGTGGAGCGGAGCAGACTTCTCCTCTGGGCGCGAGAGATAGTGGCGTAAAGTTCGACACCGACGACCTCTAGTTGTGACTAGTTACCCGGTACTTGTTAGAGATATTGGACATGGCGTCGGCTACAAGCTGGCTGCTCGTATGTAATAATGATAGGTCGACAATTGACTCGATATGCGTGTCAGCCGCCTGCTATAACTAGGTGGTTGCATAATATTTGAGCTACAACTCGCCGTCACGGTATTGCTATTCCCCAACTGTTTGGATTTGTCCCAACTTGAAGGAAGCAAAGATTCAACATGGCAGCCGAAACAAAAACCGAGATTCAGGAATCGACCGCAGAGGAGCGGATCGAGCACTCAAAAGTCGAGGAGTCCACGGCGGAGCCTGTGGTCAAACTGGATTCTTATAGAGATGACAATCATATAAATCTGACGTGGAGATCTTGGATGGTAGTTTTGTGAGTCTGGCTGAGTATTTTTCTGGAAAGATGCTTTGTGCTAATCCTGTGAACAGTGTTACATGCTTTGCGTAAGATATACTCCATCACCGGCTCTTCGGTCATCTCCCTCTAACGTGAAAAAAGTATTATGGGTCAAGTTTATGTTGTGGTCGCTGCTGGATCGGTTATTGGCTTCATTATTAGAGATCTCGGCGACCCAGCCATCGCAGGATGGATCATCCAGGTATCTCCATCTTAACCCTATTTCTCAAGCTGAATAAAAATGCTGACTGTCGCTCTAGGGACCTCTATTGATGCAGAGTGTTCTTTCGCCTATTGTAGGTCGCCTCTCCGACGTCCTAGACCGGAAATACCTCGCGATAGTCCCTACTGCCATTTCCTTCGTGGGTGCGATCGTCTCAGCAAAAGCCACGAATATGGCCACACTTATCGGGGGTGGGATTCTGGTCGGCTTCACTCTCGCAACGATTGCTATCGTGCAAGCTATCCCGTCGGAAGTCTTGCCCTTGAAATTCCGTGCTCTTGCGAACGGATTTGCATTTCTTGGAGGAGCAGTTGGTGGATTGTGAGTATTTCCTACATCGCCAGCAAGTCAAAACAAACTAACGAACTTTAAAGAGTTGGCAGTCTCGGTGCGGGTGCGGCAACTAATTCCAATGCATCAGGCTGGCGGACTATCTTCTGGATTCAGGCTGGTTTCTTTGCCATAACAATCATAGGACTGCTTCTATTTTATCACCCAAAGAAAGTAACCGACACCCCAAAATTGTCGTTGAAGGAGATAATGTGGGCATGCGATCCTATTGGGTCAAGTCTCTTCATTGTCGGTGCTACCTTAACGCTCTTGGCTCTGGATTGGGCGGGTGGGTCATATACATGGCATAGCAACCATGTTGTAGCACCACTCGTAGTTGGTCTTGTTTCATTACTTGCTTTTGCCATTTACGGTGAGTTTGTGACCGGATACCAAGCATTCAACACCTACTAACTGCGAAACTTAGAATGGAAAGGGCGCAACGATGGACTTGTTGCTCATGCTTTCTTTAAACGTGGACCGAACTTTAGTCTCTCTGTGTTTGCGTTTGCAGTTGAAGGGTAAGCATATATGATATAGGATGGGAGCTTTTGCTAATATTTAGTAGATGGATCTTCTATAGCGCTGTCAACAGCGTGACACCCCTTATTGTCCTACATCTTGGGTTTGAAACCGATGCTTGGCTGATTTCTGTGCGCCAACTTTCGTATACGTTGGTAACTCTTACGGTCTCAGTCCCGATTATGTACGTCAATATCTTTTCTACTTAACCACTGCTGTTTATTAATAGGTTATAGGCTTTGGGCAACATGGAAGAAAGACCTAAAGTCTCCACTGCTAATAAGCTTCGTCTTCTTCCTGGCCGTGTAAGTGCTTTCACTACTACCATACAACCAAAGCTCACATACCGTAGCTCCATCTGCTACGCATGCATCAACCCTTCGATGAAAAATGCCCAAATTGGGTTTAACATCATTTGTAAGGAAATTATTCAAGTCGATCTCCTATGGTGTATCTAACTTAATGCAGCTGGAATTGGCCAGAGCGGCCCGCTCACGCTCCTCGTTGCCCTTGTCCAATTTACTGCACCGCATGCGTATCTCTCAACAGCAACCGGCCTTGCATTTTCAGCAAGAGCTCTCGGTGGCGCTTTTGGTTCAGCCGTCTTAAACGCTATCATCAACGGCAAAATTTCGTCAACCTATGTGCCGGCTGTGTCTTCCGCTGCAACAAACGCTGGGCTTCCAATAACTTCAATTCCGGATTTGCTTAAAGCCCTGGAAAGCGGTGCGGGATTCGCTGAGGTACCTGGTGTTAATGACAAAATTCTCGGCAGTGCCATCAGTGCTAGTCAAAACGCCTACGCTGCAGCCTATAGATTGGCTTGGGCTAGTATTATCCCGTTTGTGGTACTATCAATAGTAGCGGTTGCTTTCCTAAAGGGAGTAAAGGAATTGATGACGGAACATGTCGAGGCAACTGTAGAACACGTGGAGGTTCAAGAGAAGACAGCGGTTTAGGTGTTGCCCTTAACTCTTTGGTTGGTTCTATGACATAGCTTTTGAGGTGCTGCACTACGTTAGCAGTCTCAGACATTAATACTTTACCTTATAATTTAGCATATAGCTTTAGGTGCCCATAATTTCACAGTATGCCAATAGCTGGCCTAAACAAATCTGAGCTGCGAATATATTCCCTTCAGGCAGGTTTGTTTCGTCCCGTGACTGGTCCAAATGATCAAATTTAACAGCATGGAGGGGCTCTTAAGGCCTCTAACCTTATGATGGTTGGGCGATAGTATAGTCAAGGTAGGATAGTTTCTCATTAAAATTGGGGCAAGTGCGAGATATTGAGTAACTGCATATCATCATGCCGGAATATTGTATTGCTAAATGATCTCCTAATGTAATCTCACTCTCGTTGGCGGAGAGTACATCTAGTCTGCTTGGAGTAATCTATTCTGCCACGGTAGACTTGAGCATGCGTCAAGCCTAATATTTAGAGGCTAATGTATCATTAATAACCAAAGCCGGCCTTTTACCTGCAAGCACTTCGTCCTCCACACTGTCCGCATAGCGGAAAATTTCAATTTCGATGTCGTCTTTGAAGTAATCGTCAGCCAAATATGCCAATATCGATAGGAACATAGCATAATGTTTAACTCACCAAGGCTCTTTTTGAGTTTCAATACATCCATCCCATCCAACTTAAATAGCACGTCCTGAACCCATACCTTGCAATTAAAATTCTTCCCAGTTCTCAGAGACGGCTCTCCGTTAGCCTGTACGGTGCGACATATCTCCTCCACTTTGTTCCTCGCTCCCTCTACAGCTGATATGCTGCCAACGCGGTATATGCTAACCAGATTGTGCGAAGTCACGGGAAGAAATTCCTCGAGGATCTGGGAAGTCCACCGCCCACCAACAGCGGCACTGTTGGTTGCGTCATAGTAGCCATACTTCGTAGGTGAGAAGGGAAGAAGGAGGGCCCAATGCTGCAATTTTGTAAGTTTTCAATCGAGATCAAACAGGCTTCTAGTAGGGAGCTAATGTTAACAAATGCAATAGGGGAGAATGGTAGGAGTGGTAATCTAACATAGTCTCCTTCATCATTGCGGGCACTCAGTGCAATGTACAATGTGTTGGTTTCCAACTCTGTCATGATTGTGACCCGCGTGGTTAGTTATTATCAAGTTGAAAAGCCTCGGCAGTGATGTGGTCTGATTGCTGTTGCGGGAATGTGGGTGACCTTTATCGCTATTTAAATGATAGCGTATCTCCACAGCAATATGCAACATACAAGGCTTCAATTCCAGGGCGCATCTCGGGTCATCTACGTTCGACAACCCCGAAACCCTTCGGAAACGATTGGTTGAGAAGGGAATGTGCTGCACCGGTGTTGCCTATACCTAACACGCCAGTCCTATTTATACGTATTGGAGATCGAACATCCCAAGTAGCCTTGAGCCGTCAGTAGACCATCCAAACTTCTTTCACAATGTGCAGAAATGAAAGAATTTATTGGGTATACTGCGATGAACCACCCATTCAAATCTATGCTTGAGCTATAAGAGCAATATTAACCAGTTCTACCAAACTCCGCAGAAATGCAACCCTGCAAAACGCCAAATTTGCACCAAAGCTAACTAGAAGAATCCGCCACCTCCGCAAACCACTGCCTCAAAAGCGTAGCCAGAACACCCGGCAACTCCTTCACATCGCTGACGATTAAGTAATACTGGAACGGGAAAGTATCCAGATACCTCTCGATCTTGACATTCGACGCCCCTGTATTCTCATCCTTCACAAACTTCGCCTCCTTCAAATCCATCACGCTTTCTCCTTTCTTCTTGGTCCGCACGTCATCCACAACAACGAACACCATCATAATACGTTCCTCAAGCGCCTCTCTGAGTAGGCGGCGGATTGGCTCATGTTCAGATGAATCGCAGACTCCATCTGATATGATGAGCTCCATCTGCCAAAGATCTGCGGGGCTTCCACTAGCCTTCGTCCTTGCCGCACGGAATAGTTCAATACTATCCCTCACCAGTCGTGTAACATCAGTTCGGCTCTCGTTAAAGGCGAAATCTTGAAGAATCCTTGGCCCTGCATCAGAACTGAACGGCGTCTCAAATTCATGTGCGACCTTGACCTGATCACCAAAACCGACGACGCATATTTCGCCCACTTCAAGCATGCTTAAACTCTTTGATACCATGACAAGTGTCTCGAGGGCAAGGGAGCCACTGCCACTCTCGCCCATACTCTTGCTGTTGTCTACCGCGAGCATTATCTGATAACTACGCTTTGAGGGGACGCTGCGACGCATCCAAATTTTGTCGCGCTTGTATTGTGAAGCGATGTATGGAATGATGCGCTTGATGTTGAGGCGCTTGCCGGTCCTGAAGTCGCCTCTCATTTTGGTTGCAAGAGTCGGCGCGAGGATGAGGCGGAGTTGTTCAGTGAGTGAGAGAGATAGGTCGCGAGTTAGAGATTCATATTCTGTCCATTGCTGGCGAACATCTGCTGCTGAGCGAGTTTGGAGCGCGGACGTCTCATCAAGATGAGTGCTTTCGAGTTGATTGTCAACATCCTCAACGTCCTCTTCAAATTCTTGTTGAGGTTGAGTCGGGCGATCATCGAGGCTTTCGTTGGGCTTTTCTTGCGCTTGTTTGATCATTGCACCAGCTCGGCCCTCATAGGCATCAGATGTGTTTTGGTCCTCTGGCGTCGAAGGCTCCTCAACATCCATGACGTCGTCGATTTCCACATCGCTCTTTTCTACCTCATCCGGTTGGAACTGGTCAGGCATATCCTTACTCTCCGAATCAATAGCCATAGATTCATCAAGGGCGTGGGCCTGTTCTTCCGTAGCGGTTCCCAAGGCTTGCGTATCCGCTTGGGCGTCTTCATCTTGTAGGTGCTGGAACTCCAAACTCTCCGCATTTATATCGACCTGCTGGTCTGGTGCTTCCTCTTTCTGCTCGGCATGTTCTCGGATTTTGGACTGCTGCTGATGCCACCTCTCAAGTGCTTCACCTAACTTTTTGAAGGGTTGGGCAGCGGAAGTATCTTGCGTATCATCCCTAGAGTCTTGAGGTGCTTCGCCATTGGCTTGTCTGGCTTGTTCTCCATCTTCAGCTGCGGCATCTCTCTGCTCCGAGGAATCCCCACCTTGCCCACCATCATCCCTTTGCGCTTTGCTTGCCGATTCCGCCTTGTTCTCTATTGAGGTCTCTTCTTGAGCTTCGCCACTTCCCTGAACATCGCTCGGGGCCGCATTATCTGCATCCATGTTCGCATCATCGGTATTGTCACGAAGGAGCCCTTGTTCCTCATCTTGTTCCACGGGCTCGTCATCCGCCTTCTCACCGGCTTCCCCAGTCTCTTCGCCTTCATCCTTTGTGTCTTCGTCCAGGTCAACCACGTCCATATCTGAGCCAATATCTTGATCTTCTTGACCATCCATATTTTCTGCACCTTCCTCTTCCTGTCCATCATTTGCCACATCATCATCGTTTTCATTTTGTTCAACATCAGACAAATCGCCCATTCCATCGTCACTCCCCTGCTCACTTTTCTCTTCGTTGTCGCCATCTAGTTCCATGTCGTCAGGCAAATCAAGAGCTTCGCCTTCTTGAGCGTGAGGATCGTGTTTCTCCGTTTCATCCTGCTTGATTTCTTCCCCTTGCTCCGCACCAGCCACCTCCTCTTCAACCTCCTCTTCATTCCCTTCGTCCCCTTCATCTGCCTGTTTGCCATTATCTTGGGCAGCAGCATTCTCATCCTTGTCTTTCTTGCCCTTAGAATCATCTCCCTCTTGGTCTTTCTCAGCTTCCTCGCCATCACCATCCCACATTTTCTCATCAACAGCTGTAGGATCTAAATCATCTACATCTCCAGCTTCCTCATCCATATCATCGCCACTTTCTCCTTCACCATCCTCATCATCTGAGCCTTTCTCTTCGCCCTCACCCATCTCGCCCTCCATATCTGCATCCGCCATATCAACAGCATCTTGTTCATTTTCCATTTCTCCTTTCTCACCCTCGTTTGGCTCCTGTGCTAGTTCATCGAGGTTTTCATCATCTTGGATATCTTTACTTATATCCTCAGCACCTTCACCCTCGCCAAGACCTGTGCCCCCTTCAAGTTTCTCTGATGTCCCATCCTCGCCCGCAGACTTTTCGGAAGGAGTGCAGAAGCCTTGTGTGGCAATCTGGATAAAAGTCTTGGAAAGGACGTAATACATCTTACATGTCGCGCGATGTAGCTGTGCGTATCGCTTCAAGCCTTGTTGAAGGGTGGACAAATACTGCTGGAAAATAGGTACGGCGACGGCAAAAATAGCACTAGCAGCTTTCCTGATGGAAGAGTCTTCTAGATCAAGCTGTGTAAGAGTCTGGAACGATTTATCAAGCAGTGCGATAACGTTCTCGCAGTGAAGGGACTTGATGCTAGTAGCTAAGGAGGAGTCGTTCCTCGCTAGCCAAGCCGGATCCTCAGTCGATGCTGGGAGGCTATCGATGGCGGTTTTATATTTCTCAGTTCCAACAAGGATGGAGTCGCAGGTATTTGATAATTGGCTGTCCATATCAGAAATTGTCTTTTCAGGGCTAGCAGAGGTGGTTTGTGAAGATATAACCTCGCTCCACGGGATGATCTGATTAAGAATAAAGGCCAGGTCCGGGCGTTCGTTTGTCATCCGTGTCAGATCAAGCCGCAATTCCTGAGTGGTAGTAGTGATGGTATCCTCTAATTCAGAGCGCTGGGTAGAAACAACATCTGGAGGCAGTGGCGACAAGCTTTCCAGATTCCGTAAAAGCTCTGCAAATCGATCCTTCCATGAAGTTATAGAATCTCTGAGGTCCCTCGAGTCAAGCTTTGCTAGTTTAGAATGAATCGCAACGAGGTCCAATGCGACGCTCAAAATATGTGGCAACCACCGAAGTACCTTCTCATGGTTTGATGAATATTTTGGGAGTTGAACTTCGTATTTGTCAGGCGCCCAGAGTCCGGCGGCCATAGCTATTAGGCCCTCGAGCTTGGACATCCTCGCAGTATTTGCTGAAATCACATTGTGTTGTGATAAGAGAAGTTGAAGTATTCCTTCTAGGAAGCCACTGCTTCGGGCGACCTCAGCGCTGCTTAGATCTTCCGAGGGCTGCCGGGCTGCTTCCCTAGAGCGAGGTGCCAAGTCAATCGACTTGTGGAAGTAATACTCCAGCCCCGGAACATCGACATCCGAGGTACTGCCCTCTAAGTTTGCAAGGGAAGTTGAGAGCGATTCTTGCTTCCTTAAGGCATCTGCGCTGAGATTATGCTTGATTCCCATTTGGCGAAGCTCTTTCAGGGTGTCAGCGAAAAGCTTCCTCTTCCGTGATTTCAAATGCTTGACTGTGTCTTTAGTTTCCTCAGACAGAATTGATGGCGTGGCTTTCTGCAGTTCGGCGGTGGAGGATATGATGTTTCCTAGTACTGCATCGAGATAAGAGGGCCCATCAACCGCAGACTTGGGGATCTGACAGGTGATAGCCATTCTATTGACTGTCATGGAGACATTGACAAATCTCTTGCTCCTTTGAGACCAATTTGGAACGAGCTCTGTACATAGTGCTAGGGCAGACTGATCAACGGTCGGCTTCAGTACCGGTCTCGCGTGGTCTGGATCTTGCAATTCAGCAGGGCTCTCATCCGGGATTCCTTGCTTGATAACGAATTCCATCGGCTGCCCGAGAAGAGCCCGAAACTTGCGTATGATCTTGAATAGCTTGTGGTGAGATCTTTTCGCGCTGTCTCTTAACGCCACAATATTGGTGTCTTTCCAGCTCGCTAGGAGAAGAACGTCTCGCATGGCCTTCTCTAACGATACTCTGCCCCTCTTTAGGTTTTCATTGACTGGTTTCTCGTAACGGGCGTACAATGAAATGAAATTTGAAAGAGCCCCATGTATGATTGACATTGAAGGTACATCTTGAATGAGTAGCTGCAGGTGCTTTTGCAGTTGCTTCAACAACTGGAGTCGTTGCGCGAATTGTCCAAGTATTGCAGTGGTGAAATAGACTTCGAGATCTTGCAGAAGCTTCTGGGCGTAATTCTTCAGTTCTTCGATATTTTCAGAAACCTGCAAGGGCGCTGCAATGACGACTTGGTATGCCACAAACCACCACGACCTGGCATCATCTTCACACTTTTTAGACTCCATATCAAAAAGCTTTGCCCATGTTGAAAGCTCCAAACGTCGCCAGCTGACAATTGTGGCGGTCAAGTTATCGTAGAGTGTGAGGGCAGTGTTAGCGCGACTAGCCCACCCTCCAAATTGCCATTCATGCATGAAAGTGTGAATCTTTTCAACCTTGGTGATGATTTTTGCTAGGGGCTCAGTATGGTGAAATTCGAGCAATTCCCGGCATGAGACTAGCACATCTTCAAGGGGTTGCATGTGACCAATTTCATCGACCCGTTGAAGCTCATGGAAGCGATCTTGAACTTGATGGATGAGAGTGACCAGTTTCCGAGTTTCTGGTAGGTGTGCATCCGTGTAGAAATTATACGATTCCGGAATGGTGGTGGTTGCAGTAAGAGCGTTGGTATGATCGTCGAGGAGTAGCATACTACCTGGGAGGATAGCAGCAGTCATGTTATGTCCACCGAAACGAGGACCGTCGTGAAGAATAGCAATCCGGCCCGACATGTGACGAATGAGAGAGAGTATACTTTCAGACGGCGTGATACCTCCTAAAAATATTTTTTCATGGACACGAGAAATGCTAACGGCGGTGTCTCGGGCCGTTGTTGATGTCACGTTGACATTTCGCTCACCATTAGACTCGTCATCGTAAGCTGGAAACAGCTCGTTAAACTGCTCTGCATCTTCCTCCTCTTCGTCCTCCGCGCTACCTTTGAAGCGATACAAGCCTGTCTTAGACTCAGCCTCGAGCCGATCAGATTCTAGTCGTTTAGTCCACTGGTCATAACAACCATGAAAGGCTTCAAGAAGTAATTCACGTTGTTGTGGACTAAATGAAGTAAGACGTTCGGCGGCAACATCGGCAGTGGCCAGTGCCATATACTCTAAGGGATGGTCGGATATGATATTCTTCTTGGCGAGCATAGGCCCACCTCCGAGGAAAGGAGTCATGGCCATAAGTTCAGCGGAAACTCTGCTATTGGACGATGGCTGGACTGATGCCAGAGCGGCCAATGAGAGCCCAATCTGCATCGAGCGAAGCATGCTAATGACGGGTGCAGTTATATCATTATAGGCTCGGAACCTCTCCGATAGTCGACGTATTATCTGAGTGACATTGCTCTGCACCAACCGGATTTCTTGCAAGTTATTCTCGTTTTTCTTCTGGAAATACGCCAAAAGTGTCGCGGGTATCTGCGATCGCGTAACAATTTTCAGGAGGTTGTTGAATTCCCCTTGAAGTTGATCCAGTTCTGAGTGCTGGGGCCGATAGACTTCTTGCAATATCGCAGGTGGTTCCCCATATTCTTTAATCTCTGTTTCCAACAGCTGGATTCTGAGATTAGATTCTTGGCCTGTGAAGAGACGCTCAAATTGCCTGAGAGCAGATATTTTGTCGTCAAGGATATCTCGAGTTTCTTGGTGTCGCTTTCGTTCAAGCCGCTGTCTCTTGTCCGGGTCAAAGGATCGATTTGGAACATATAGGGTGATACATCCAATGGCGAATTGCACCCATGCCATAGCTGAAAATTCGAGGCAATTCTCGATATGGCTCCTGGCAGCAACAGCAGCAACTGATGCTCCCACAAAGTTGTTTGATATGACTTCTCGGAGGTGTTGTGGGATATCGGGGGCAACCACAATGGATTGTTGCTGGCGTGCAACCGTCTCATTAATTCTTGGAAGACCGAGACTCTCTAGATCTGTAGTAGCGCTAATCGTGTTGCTCCAAGCTTCATATTCTCGTCCAAAGTTCTCACCATGTGCTGATATTGCCTCGGAAATGAGGCGGGATAAAATGACATTCAAGTCCAGCAATTGAGCACGGCAAAGTGTTGCACTCGATTTTGCAAGGCTGTTACCCATGGAAGGCAGTTCTGACTCTAGCAACTTCAGAGACTTCATGCCAACGCTTTCGATTCCATGCAACTTCTGGAGTAGCGACGCCGGGTACGTCCCTAAAATGGCCTCTAAGTTCCCCGCACTTCCCAGCAGATCATCAACGGATTGTAAAAGGAGCGAACTTTCAGTCGAGGTAGAGAGGCGCAGCTGAGGCGCCGTGGGATGGTTTGCAAGAACGACAGTATCCACATCGACATCAAAATCCTCAGATCTCCCAGATCGGAGTAGTTCCAATGTGTTGGACTGTCTCAATACTTCGAATTGAGAGGCAAGAAAAGGCGAAATTCCACTTTCCTCCTTACCAATGCTTATCTCCAAATTTTCAAGTTCCGTACTTAAACTCTGAACGAGGCTCCGGCCGTCAATGTCTGGTGTGAGAACAAGACGATATGCTTTGATCAGGGATTTCATAATGCCGCCGAGTTCCCGAATTGATATAGAGGTCTTCCACTTTAGAGTATCAAAGAGCTGTGCTAGTCTTTGCATTTGATCCAACGTCTCCATGACTTGGCAATTTGGAATGACAGCTGGTCTGAGATGTCTCCACAGAACCTCCATGCTAAGCCCAGTCGTCAACTGGAAACCGGAACTAAAATTTGTTTTGAGGCTCTCAAGAACTTCTCGGGCGATTGATTCTTGTCCGGTGTGCAGGGCAGCATGTTTCGAAAGGCCTTTGAGAATATCCGTGCCGATGGCCAGATGAGCCTGGAAAGTGGCTTCCTCGAATGTTGTTGACGTGGCGAGGTGGTAAGTATCCCACCAGTACTGCAAAAGTGAAGAGACTGCCTTCTTGTGCATTTTCCACTGCCCGTCGTTATCGCTATGGAGGCTAGAGTGGAGAAACCCCTTTAATCGCAGCAAAAGCGCAGTGAGAAAGGCATCGATATTTGTCGTGGAGTCTTTCGCAGTGGCAGCCACACGCCCTCGAACTAGAGATCTCTGGAGGCGATTCATCTTGCTTGGTTTGAGAGTCTCAATCCCACTCGCTTGACCGCTTTGCGCATTCATCGCATTGGTGATTTCTATGGTGAACTCTACGCAGGCCGCAAGCCAGTAACCAGTTGTTGGGCCACTAGATTGCTGCAGCAACGGAACCAATGGCGAGTTCTGAAGAGGGTGGATAATCTACAAAGTTTTATTGGAACTATCAGTACAGCTGTATCTATGTAAAATGGGACGGCACGGTCACTAACCTGTGCGTCTCTGAAGCCTGGTGCCAACGTGGTCTTCTGAGCAACTTTATTTAACATATTTCCAATAGCTTCCCGAACATCGTGATTGTCGGTCGATTGATAGAGTTGCAGATAATTTTGACATGTAGCTAGGAATTTGGGATCTGCTAGGGACAGTCGTTGGCTCTGTTCGACGAATCGTGAAAGCATTGCCATATCTGCCCAAGCCAAATTGTCCAGAGCGACCTGGTATAACCACGTGGTTTCGTTCAATGTTGAGGTATCGGTATCGAGTGCTCTAGATATTGCTTGGTATCGCTGCAACGCTGCTTCTGACCTTGAAATTGAAAGATGGGTATGAACATCTGCTGGTAGTGGCTCGAGAAAAATTTCAATGGCACGATTCCTCATCGCCCTTGATAGCTCACCAAATCGTGGATCCATAGTCAGAAAGATCCTGAATTCTGGGTGAGGACGAACGACTTTCGGCTCGCCATCAGGACCACAGTGCTCGTTAATACTCATGACTCCGTTTGGTTCGAGCAAAGAATTGAGTCGGTCCAGGACAGAGGAACTACAGAGATTGGCATTGTCCAAAACAAGCCAATCACCTTGCTCTAATGCTTTCACTAAAACACCATCAACCCACTCAAACCGTGCATTCTCAAGTGCCATAGAACTATTGGCAAACTTTTGGCAAATGTTCGCCAAATTTCCAAATTCTGCCAGTGATGTCTTGGTCTCGAGGGTGTCAAGATGAAGACTTAGGCTAGAGAAATACGACGGCGAAGATGCATTGGCATCTTTCAACAACCCTAACACAGCCATTGCTTCCTCTGGGACCTCAGCTGGCAAGGACGCCAGAATCATCTTGCTAAGGAAATCTGTCAATTGTTGGAGGAAGGCACTTGCAGCTCGCTGGGGATCAACTTGTTCGAACCCGCCGACAAGGTCCATGGTATCTATGTCAGCATTAAGAGGGAAAACAATTAGCGATTTGCCACTTGCTGCGGCAACATGCTGTATCAGTGTCGTCTTCCCAGATCCGGACGGGCCTGCAAGAATGCAGGGTAGGTTCTGTTGAATGCATATCATGACAGATTCCACCTCAGCTAATCGATTGGTGGGGTTGAAGGTAGGAAATTGTAGCCTTTGTAGAAGCGGATCCCTCTGCATGTAGGCTACACCGACCTGATAAGCGGCGGGGCTGATATTAAAGAAGAGGTGGTGGGAAGGGGTATCGACACCGAAAACGGTTGCAAAGATCTTGTCGATATCGAGCCGGTCCCGAGCTGATCTAAACCGCTGTCGAAATATCAAATTGAAGAAGTATGATGGCGTGGCAGCTGCCAGGAGCGGCGCTGAAGAGGATAGTAGCTGGAGCCATCGGAGAATATCACGTAAGTTGAACTCCCATGGTCCACCTTGAGAGCCAAATTTTCGTTTATGGACAACTTCTTGCTCGACTTGCTCAACGAAAATGGCAATTTTGGTTAAAACCTCTTGTGGGGTATCCGGGAAGCTATGCCTGCAGATTAGTTGAATATCCTCATCTCTAAACACATCAGCATATACGACAGAAAATCGATTGACAAAAGAACTGGGCAGCCCCTTCCTACCACCTCCTTGGTGATGGGGATTTTGAGCTGCGAAAACGGTGAAGTTAGGATGGCGTTTGAAGGTTTGATCGAGCTCTGAAATATAGACTTCACCGCGGTGATCGAGGCAGGCGTTCAAGCCTTCAAGAACGGACTGCGAAGCAAGATTCATCTCGTCAAGAAGCACCCACTCTCCCCTCTGCATAGCCTGGAGGAAGGGTGCATCCCGCCACGCGAAATGGCCTGCTTCTGCGCCTTCCATAGGTACATCTGATCCGAAGAGATCCATCAGATCAGTTTGCTCCGAGAGGTTGATTCGGGTTAGAGCCATGTTGCAAGCACGCGCAAGGGCAGAAATGAGAGTGGTTTTACCCACGCCAGGACTACCTTCGATAAGGATAGGCTTCTGGACTTGAAGCGCCCGCAGGACTCTCATTCCATTTAGCTTCGTGGTTGGTGCATCGAAGGCAAATCCATGGTCGTCATCTGAGCCAGCTCGCTTGCCTATTGAAAAGTCGCCAATAGACAGTTTGTCGTCGGTGTTGAATAGTGGCACTGGCCTGTAATACATCGGACTTATATCCTGCCGTAGAAGGTTGCTGAGCTCTTCAAGACACTTGGCTCTCTCTGCTTGGATGCTTTCCGGGTTGATTGCCAAAAGAGCCGATGGGTTAGCACCCAAAGTGTCAATATAAACCATCGCCGCACCATGAAGGACAGCTAGGTATGGATCAAAAGAGCATCCATTCATGAAATTGACCCAAGCTAGGACGTCACGGACGGATATGGAGGCTGAACTGGAAGACCGATAGTTCTGGCCGAACCATTCTGCAAAGTGAACCATAGCGTCGGCAAATGTTTTTAGCGGGTCCTGTAGTTTTGCCTCTACTATCTGCAGCACGTCTCCATGTTCCGAAAGTGAAGGAACCCATATTTCTGTGAAACGATTTCGGAGCGCAGGAGACAATTCTCGTTTGCCATAGTCACCACCAGGATTCATGGTCGCAAAAAACTGGAAACCATCTGCCGCCTGAATGAACGAATTGTCTACCCCCTTTTCAGCGAGGAGGATCGTTCGTTGCGGCTCTAGCACCGAATTAAGCCGCTCAAGGACAGAGTCATCTGCGAGCGAAATTTCATCTAGGAGGAAGAGCTGCCCCTCCTTCATTGCCTGCACAAGACTTCCATCAGACCACTCAAAGAGTGCCTTTGATTTTGTTTGATTACTCTCAATTCGGTGCCGTAGTTCTTCTGGTATTTGGGAAAGCTCTGAAGCCGGGATCGATCTATAAGCTGGAAGCAAGACGTCGATATCATGATTGGCTCCTGTATCCTTGCCCAGAACATTGAAAGCCTGAGCAAGATCCTGCTTCAGTTGTTCTAGAATTGCGGCACGATTCCTGACCGGCCGCTGTGCCCCGATAAGATCTCCCGTCTCAGTATTCTGATGTGCATTGACAATATGCAAATCTTTCCCCAACGCATCTGCAAGCATTTGACACACAGTTGTCTTTCCGCAGCCAGTCTCGCCAACCAGGAGAACGGGTTCATTATTATGAAGTGCATGTGCAACTAGGACGTATAGCCTACGCATTGCATGGGTCCAGACAACTCCAAGTGCATTTGACGTAGCGTCGTATGCCTTAATCTCAGAGGAGTGAGTTGCGTCATAGAGATCATTTGGATCGAGCTTGACTTTCATGACCTTTTCAATGATCTCCTTGACGGCAATCCTTTCCTCGGGATTCCGGACTCGCTCTGCCAAGAGCATATACCCATTCGCAGCAAGTTGCTCCCTATTATCAGCATCCCTGAGAGCCCATCGAAAGAGATCTCGCAAGGTCGCAAAACTATCTTTCTGCTCAAAAAGCCGACTTGATTGCCGTAATCTAGACAGCTCTTTGTAGACCGTGACGATTCTCCGACAATCTGAAGGGGCAACTTTCTGGGTTCGTTTCTCCAGAATAAATTCCAGTTCATCTTCGGGTATATCATCAAAGTGCAGCTCCAGAAAACGATTTCGGAAAGCCCTTGAAAGGGTCTTTCGGCCACCATACAACCCAGGTGGGTTCTGTGTGGCAAAGAGCATAAAATTTTCGTGAGGCCTGACGACTTCCTGGGTCTCCGGGATCAAAAGTTCGCGATTATCGTCTAGCAATCGATTAAGCGCTTCCAGGACATCAGTTGGGGCCAAATTAAGTTCATCAAGCACAATCCAATGGCCTTGACGAAGTGCTTGGACGAGAAGTCCTTCCTGGAATCGCAGTTTACCATCAGAACCGGAGATGTATGTACCCAAGTATTCCTGTAAGTCGGTATGCTCATGATTGTTAATCCTGACGAATTTATTACCGCTAAATTTTGCGAGGTATTCAATCATGCTCGTTTTGCCAGAAGAAGTAGGTCCTTGAACCAGGACTGGGAAACGCCGTGTGGAAGTTGCTCGGACAAGGTTAAGCAAGTTGCGCTCAACAAATGGCGTGATTATATAATGAGGCTGTTCTTGCGGTATTTCTGAGCCTTGAAGCATCCAGTACTGACGATCTTTCTTCTTGTTCATGAATCTAACGTACTGTCTGCCGTCGTCTGGATGCCGGGGGGTTTGGGCAAGGAGAGACTGTGGATTTCCGTGGGTATCTAGCAAATGATGGTTGATTAGAGGTATAAGCAGCTTTTCAGAGTCTCTATTAAGCAGCGTGAGGAATCCCATGGCAAAGCCTTCGTATAAAGCTCTTCGAAGACCGTATGATGGCGCAATATCATTGACATACGTAAGAACACGAGTCAAAGTTCGAAGACTAAAGTGGGGGACCTGACTGGCTCCATCGACCAAGCGTTTCTCATCCGCCAGGCGCTTTGTGTTCAGGTAAAGCCGAGCAACATCGTGAGCAGCTCGGGTGTCGTTGGTGCTGGTTCCTCTGAGATACGTCGTTATGACACTCAGCAAGTCGTCAAGGTCTCTATCCGGGCTCTCGACGTATATCTCCGTAAACCTTGATCGCAGACCCATTGGTAAGTCCCGTTTTCCAACGTCTGTCGCTGGATTCATGGCACCGAATATGCGAAAATTAGGATGAGCTTGCACTCGCTCAATTTCCCCGGTCTCAGAAAGCAAGATAGACGGATTTTCGTCCGGCCCACCCCGTAATAGGTCAGCAATGCTTTCCAAAGTGTCGGGTGAAGCAAGATTTATTTCATCAAGTAGTACCCAATCGCCATTGCGGGCGGCCTTTACAATATTTCCCTCGACAAACGTGAACGCGAATCCTTTCGAGCCGCCCGAGAGCTGCACATCGAATTGATCCAGGCTTTCAGAAAATCTCTCCCAGCGAGGTTTGAGATGGAGTAATGACTGTACCCTTGATTCTGTCTTGCGACGTTTCATGGGCTGCTCTGCATCCGATCTGGTATTTGACTCCCTCTTCTGGAGTTCGGATAGTATCTTATTGAACATTTTAGGGGCTTCATGCCACAACTTGGAAGCCTTGCTCCACTGACTCTTGGCCACGCTTTTCCCTAGCTGGTCGATATATCTCTGATTTTTGGATACTGATATGCCTGTAGCTGCAAATAATTCATCAAATTCATCTTTGAGTGGGATCGCAAGTGTTCTGACATTGACTGGTTTGAAACCACCAAGAAGGTCACCAACTTCACTCTGCTGAGACAAATTGACTGCTGTCAACTTCAGCCCTAAGGAGTCGGCTAACTGCTGTACCACGGTAGTCTTTCCTATGCCGGTTTCACCCACAAGTAACACTGGCTCAGCCATCTTGACTGCCACGCCTACTTGCTCTAGCAGCCGTTTGGCGTGCGCTGTTTTGGCAAATGGTCTTGGCTTGCCCGATGATTTGGCTCGAGAAATATTTCGTTTTGGTAGGTGGGCTCGCCCAATGTTCAAATGAGACTCGGTAGCGTCGTACCGTGGAACATGAGCTGTGAGGTAATGCTCTACTCGTTGAGGGTCGATGTACATCTCCTCCGCGATACACATAACAACCGCTTTTCGTGCTTCTTCTGTTTGCAAGCTCCCTGCAAAGCAATCAGAGGCTTCCAAGAACATGTCATACTTATTAGATTCGGTAATTGGCTCGTTTCCGGTTTTCGACCCTGCCTCAAGCAGAACATTATCCAGTCTCCTACACCACTTTAGTAGGTCTCGCGGACTAATTGGCCGACCTAGCGATGTTCGACTTCGTGACGCAAAAGCTGGCTTCTGGGATAATGTGTATAGCCGCTCGTAAACGCTGATGATTCCTGGCAAGAATCTATCAAGAATTGGATGGGAACCAGCGATTATCTCTCTAAATTCATCTTGAGATGGCATCTGAACTGGAACTCGCTGCCAAAGCCGCGCTCCGAGCATATGTAAAGCTGGTGCATTCTCTTGCCCAGTAACGCTGAGGGAGGTTCGAATACTGGCAAGGAGCCTAAACCCCGGCCCAGCTTTTATTGTCTCGCCGCGGCTAGGAATGAGTAGCTCTCCACGTTCGATCAGTGGAAGAATCACACTAATGACTTCGTTTGGTGCCCGGTCGAGGTCTTCGATAAACACCCATCGACCTTCTCGTACAGCAGTTGTTAGGACGCCAGCTCGCCAGGTAAATGAGCCAGGTGTTGATCCAGTCGCATACATGCCAATAAGCATCTTTGCATCAGTCTGTTCGTTCAGGTGAAGAGAGACCATAGTTGACTCCACGCCAAGCTCTCGGGCAAAATCAGTCACCAATGATGTTTTCCCAGAACCTGCCAGTCCATGGAGGAGGATAGGCGATGAAGAAAGCAATGAAGTCGCAAAACATTCCATATTCTTAGAAGTAGTTGCTGTCTGGACAAGAGAAGTAGGCTGCGAAGGAGGCCCGTTTGGTCGAGGGAGCAGTACACTTCCGTAACGTACCACTAATGGAGAAAGCGATTTTGAATGCAGAGTTAAGACAGTATGTGGTGTATCTTGTGGGGCATTCGACACAGAGTTTTGGGCATCTTTCAACATCTTCGCTTCAAAAAGTCCGAGGAAACCATAGTCGACCGTGTCGCCGTCACAATCGCCCATAACAGCATCTTCTCCAACATGCTGATTTATCATGGCTTCCAGTTTTGAATCTGACGCAGAGAGGAGTTGACAGAAAACTCGCACGGCAAGGTATTGCACAGCTCGGTCGCCATGGTGAAATAAGGATTGAATTCTTGCGCCTGAAATTTTCCGCAAGAACTTGTATCTGTCGAAGTTCAACAATCTGAAGGTTGCCAGGAGAACTCTCAGCGTCTGCAAAGCAGACAATTCTGTCCCTGAAGCATTTCCAGCCGACAGGGAGTGTATACCATCAGTATCGGGCGCCGATCCGATAGTTGTCGAGGTGTCTCTGAGGTACTTGTCGAGATAAGTTACTAGGTGGGGCGCAAGAGGTAGGATTCGTGCAAAAGCTTCGATTATCTCATTATTTTGTTTTCCCGCTTCGCAGTTTGATATCCATCTAGCACAGCAATCTGCAAAAACCGAATGGAATCGTATGAAAAGCTCGATTGTAAGCTTTGGCTTGAGAGCCGCTGTCGCCAGGACTTCGAGGAATTGCGGCGATTTCTGGAGGCGTAATATTTCGAGTATTTCTTCGGGCAAGTCCTCCAAGCTACCCGAGACTTGGGGGACAGAGTTTTGCCCCTTATCGGGAAGGTCAATATCCATTTCGTGTGGATATAAATTCGTTGACCGTCAATCGGGTTGGAAATGCTCCATCAAAGATATTTTTTTAATCGCGACCTGCGATAAACTTTTGGCCGCGCACGGACCAACGCAGGTCCGCTAAACTTTTCTCGACGCCCGATGCAGTTACAGTTACAACACGACAGCTCGAACGCTCCTTAACATCCAGTCTTCCCTCCACCACTCTCCACCATGTCGTTATCCTGCCAAACTGCAGTACGAAGCTGCGCCCGTACTCTTCTCTCCTCCTCATCCCTCCGCGTTTCAACAGTATGCCTGGCACAGCGGAGGAATCCAACATCCTCAAAACGATGGTCGTCTACCGAGGCAGCTGTGAACCCAAAGATCTCAGGAATCGTGGATCAGATCAGTCAATTGACTTTGTTGGAAACTGCCGACTTGGTTACTAGTCTAAAGGTAAGAATCCCGGATATATTTAGGTGTCAATGCCCAAATTATATCTCGAATCTAAACAGGGAGATGGACCAATGCTAAATATGCGATGTTCAGTCACGTCTCAATATCCCCGACATGCCAATGGGAGGATTTGCTGCTGCTGCTGCACCAGCCGCTGCCGCTCCCGTCGAGGAAGAAGCAGCCCCGGCACAACAAGAAAAGACGCTCTTCAATCTGAAGCTGGAATCGTTCGACGCGGGCGCGAAGCCAAAGATTATTAAGGAGATTAAGGGCATGTTGGGGTTGAGTTTGGTGGATAGTAAGAAGTTTGTCGAGAGCGCGCCGAAGTTGATGAAGGAGGCGGTGCCAAAGGAGGAAGCCGAGAAGATCATCGCTGCATTGAAAGCTCTGGGTGGTGTTGTCACGATGGACTAGATGGGTCTAGAGGGAAGAGGTGTATGATTACATGCGGGAGAAAGACGGTCGTGTATCCATATTGAGAATGTGTACAAAATCTACTCGTCAAGCGGCTCGTTTGGGCCCTTTCTATGCCGATTAGATCGCTTACAGGTTAGATTATTCATATTGTCGCAGTGCCAGCCCTATGTTGTAAAAAATAGTTGATATGGCTTCAGTGGACTTGAAAATCGGGAACAGCATACCGCCTTGAAACTACAACGGGTGTTAAGCTGTTCGGACAATCTACATCAGGATGTACTCCGAAGAAAAGTCGCTTCCTCGATTTGCTAACCAACTCACCATTAGCCTAAGCTATAACGTTATAATACGATATGTATACCTCAATTATGTGAAAAGCACTTTGTTTATGGTAGGCTGTTCCCATATTATCTAACTTCACACAAATTATAGTTATATTTAGAGAGGTACAATTTTCACCACAGGCTTGACCCTACAATTATACCCAAGTTGAGATTAGTATATATCACCATACCTAGTATTATATATCCCATAAAATAAGCTCCCAGACTTTATAGAAATATAACGATGTCAAACCTCCAAAGATGTAAGGTTGCTGTAGGGTTGCACTATGTGTAAGGGTAGAAATTACGGTAATTAATAGGAAATAATAGCGGCCCAGAAGAAATAACGAAGAACAATTTATAAATGGGTAGAATCACTATTTGCGTGTGGTCATGTTTGGCATCTGTAGGAGAAGCATAATTTGCAGTTTAGCTTACCTGTATGAAAAGAAACCTATAATGAAAGTGCATTAACAGTCAAGGTATAGCATCGGACAAGGATAAGAACCCGGTTTTATCTACAAACTTTCTCCTTTCCGTCCTCAGCGAATTTCGAAATTATAATCAATCCTCACCTACAATGTCCACAGTCCAGACCCAGGTCAGCCTGCCTAGTAGTATTACGGTGGAGGAAAGATAAGTCATATCAATACCCAGAGGTAACTTTAAGTCACTGGGATCGAGCTATCATTTAGATCAATGAGCTAGTGTAGAAATACCAATCTAGCTATATCTTATGTGCGCCTAGTTATATCAGGGAAATCACCACGCCGTATTCTAAACAATTTTGTCCTATGCGCCATGTCCGACTCTTTCAAAGAGAACGCCTCCCAAATGCGAGCCATACTGCTGTAGATGCTACAAGTGAATTATGAATTTATGAGCCAGTCACGGAGCCTCATTTGCCGTCACTCGATTTTTGTACTCTTCCTCCCAGTCCTTAGCCGCCTCATCCCTCTCCGCCGCCTCCTCCTCATAGAGGAGAAAGTCGTCCTCACCAACCTCACTCGTCTCGTCCCACATCTTCTGGAATTCTCGGTCATCGACCCCTCCTTGCGGAACTGCCCAGATATTTTCCCTCAACCGCTTATGTCGCTCTCTGTCCTCCTCGATTCTCTGCTCAATCTGCTTCTTGTCTAAGCGGGGATAGGCACCGTTGATCCTAGCAGACTTGGGAGTGGCGTGAATAGAAAGGGCGGTGCCGCCCATTTCGGTGTCTGGGTCAAGAGGGGATGAGAGGCCAACGGTATCCGGAGCCGTGTCGCGCTCCTTGAGGCATTCTTCGATCTCGGAGACGGTCTGGGCGAGTAAGAACGACTTTTGCTGAAGGCCCTGAAGAACCTTTGCTATATCAGCGGAAGGCCATTTGCAACTAACGTTCAATGCCTCACCTTTCGAACCACTTTTACATTGGCAGCTCCAGATCCATCTTCCGGCGCAACAGCATCAACAACGCGCAGGATATCTCTCTGCATCATGCGCACATAATCGTAATGGTTCTCTTTCGCCGCCATATCGCAGAGCTGCTCAATGAAGTACATTATATTGGCCCTATTGTTCATATTATTCTACCCATCCCATGTCAGTCGTATTTATACCAGGGGGAAAGGAAACCGTAACATACGCGCTCCAACTGCTCCAAAATACAACTGTGTAAGTCCTCATCCATGTCCCTGTATTTCAACGCATATTGTGCCGCCTTATTCGAGCTCGTAACACTTGCATTCAAGTGCTGCAAGTGCTGCGTAAAGCGAATGCGCACCTCGAAGGGATCCATCTTGGTCCTTGTGGAAGTGGCGTAGCCACAATGCGAAATCGGGACGCTGCGTTGGAGACTATCGAGAAATCGTCATGCTTGTGGGATTCGAATGGGCTTGCTCTTGGAGATGTTGTCGGCTTTGGAATTGTTCTTGTACTTGTTGTCTTTTCTCTTAGTGCTCAGCCGTGGGCTGAAGCCTTGGTGGGGAGCCAACATGGGTGGCAGATACGGAAGGCGGTGACTAGCTACACGAGTGTTGGATGGGGGTTTGAACCGTCTAACGCTTTCTAGGCGCGGTGGGCGACTGAGGCGGCAGAATAACCCATAGGTTCAACCCACCGCCTAAAGGTAAAATATTGGTGGTTGACTCGATTCTGAGAAACTTGCCATTGACCCCCGAATTTACTTTGCAACAAAGCCACAATGTCTACAAACGGACAAGAAGGGTCAGAAATGACCCTAGCAGTGTTAGGCTGTGGTATGTCATGCCCTTCACGATGATATGATATGAGAATACACACAAGGAATTAACCCAACCTGACATGTTGCGCCACCACAGGGACAATGGGAATTGCCATACTATCTGGTATTTTGTCCTCTTTATACGAGGTCCAAACTCCAAAATCCGCCTTCTTACAATCACCTTCTGGGACTTCCACGCCCCTGGAAGAAGTGCCCTCCCGTCTGCCCTCTCGGTTTATCGCTTGTGTGCGTCGACCAGAAAGCGCGAAGAGGATCAAGAAGGAGCTGGGCGCTTATACCAAAAACGTATACATCGTACAGAATGACAATGTGGGAGCTTGTAAGGAAGCTGACGTTGTCCTGCTGGGGTGCAAGCCGTACATGGTGGAAGACATTTTGGCTGAGGAGGGCATCCGGGAAGCATTGGAGGGCAAACTGCTGATCAGCATTTGTGCCGGAGTCAGTGCTGATCAAATCTATGGCAATTTATATGGGAGCGTACCCGCCGACCCCGACAAGGAGGGAAAGTGCCGAGTGGTGAGATCGATGCCTAACACGGCCTCTGGAATCAGAGAATCCATGACTGTCATCGCGACCTCGAAACCCCCCCTTTCTCCACAAGTCTCAAGTCTCGTTACTTGGATCTTCAAACGAATTGGTGATGTGGTTCATTTGCCAGCGAGTACCATGGATGCCAGCACGGCTCTATGTGGCAGCGGACCGGCGTTCTTTGCTCTGATGCTGGAGGCTACTATTGACGGAGCCGTAGCAATGGGTCTCCCAAGAGCAGAGGCTCAACGAATGGCAGCGCAGACGATGAGGGGCGCTGCCGGGCTTGTTCTCTCTGGCGAACATCCAGCACTGCTACGGGATAAGGTCAGCACCCCTGGTGGCTGCACGATTGGAGGATTGCTTGTGCTTGAGGAAGGGAGGGTGAGAGGCACAGTTGCGAGAGCAGTTCGTGAGGCTACTGTAGTCGCGAGTCAGCTAGGTAAAGGGGCCCAAGGAGTAAATGGGACAAGGTTTTGAATAGTTAGACTTCACGAAAAGTACCATGGTTACGGTCTTGCTATAGCGTTTATTCATTGAAATCATGTCAGATGCCCACACGTGACGCCGCTGCAATAGAAAAGCCACATTCTTGAACGCCATTTCCTCTGCAACATGATATCCCAATTGATAGACCTACGAAGCAAGCTTGGCTCTCTTCGCTGGTGGTTCGTTATCGTTTTCCTCGGTATCATCGGACGACGATCTCTTGCCATTCGAGGTTGTGAGGTGAGCCGAGCCCCTGGCCCGCTGCTCAAAATTCCTTAATAGCCTAGCATAATCGGCCTCGACACCTCCCGTTACCTCCTCCAGCTTCTGAATCCTCTCCGCGCGGTCAAGCTGCATGAGCATATCCTTGTTGTGCCTATAAAGTCGCTTCTTGACCCAAAGTTGCCAGAGATGGTATTCATGTTCTTTCGCCGCTAGATCCGGAATTGAACTCTTCGGGTGATCGATCAGCGACTGCCTTACGCCAAGTGGAATCATAGAGAGGAGCTGCATTTCAGTAACTCGAGCGAACTGCCTAGGAGCAATTTTCATTTTGCTGCGAATCCTTTCCATGGCATCCATGTCAACTATATCCCGGGGCACTGGGCCTTTCGATCTCGGCTTCGAGTTTTTGTTGATTCGCAGAGCGCTGAATTTGGAAACAGTCCGGAGACGTGCCAAGTCATTGATATCTCTTAAATCATCAAAAGCTTCATTCGGATCTTCAACTGTAATTTCAATGGTGGTCGGGTCTTTGAGGAAGTAATCGAATATTGCGTTGTAGAACCGCGAGCCGCTTCCTCCTCCTTGAAATGGTGGCAAAATGATGAACTGGGATATTCTAGACCGGCAAGGTAGAGATGAAAAAGGAACCTCGGGCAACGGGAGCTTGAAATCTAGATTAGCCTCGTGATGGATAGGTTGCTTCTTTGCAGGGGCGGATCCCGAGGGTGCGATGGGTTGATACAGGAAGTATCTATAAACAGTCGAATAGCCCATGAAGGTATATGGGGATGATGATGAGCCCACATCAACCACGTTCTTCTGGTAGAGGAAAAATACAGTCCATCTATCCAGTGACCATTCGGGTTCCCGCAGCTCGATCATTGTACCGCCTTCAATGAAGAATGGGACTAGTATTTGCATCCGCTTGACCATCTGCTGAACAGCCATGTCGGCTAGACTGCCCTTCCAGACCTCGAGAGTTTGCGACCCGCTCTGGATGGTCTTCCATAGCTCCCCGGGCGGTTTCCAGGTGGTGTAGGAAGGATCGGCAATGGCGGCATCAAATACAGCTGTCTTCTCGAAAGCAGCTAAATTATTGTTAGCATATTCACGCAGAAACTATAATTTTTAGCTGGTTGAGGTACTCTTTGGCAAGAAATCCTCCAAAATAGCCTTCAGATCGGTGGGTTCCGTCTCCCCCACTGGCTTGAACTTCCTATTATAGGTAATTTGAACCACCGGGCGCATGTCACAGACGTGGTATTTGATATTGATCTTCAATCCCTGGTAACCAAAGATTCGCTCCTCGTCGCCGAAGATAGGGTAGGTGAACTTCGGATGGAAGGTATGGAGTGTCTGCCCGGGAGTGACGAGGGAGACATGGACGGCCTCGTTGGAATCAGTAGACCCTGTCATATTCAAGTAAGATCAGCCCTGAAGTCTCGACTTCGATTTTGTTGATCTGTTCGCATTGTGTTCCATCAACCCGGGCTCCGGTGGTGATGTCGCAATGGAAGCGACACAAGAAGTTGTTTGCGCCGAGACGCACAGAGCCGTCCGCGGGATAGTAAAAGGAATGCCGCATCGTATACTCACAGTCATCCTGAATACCAGTATCACCCATCTTGTATAAAATACTAGGGCGGCTTATAATCCTATGGTATGTCGATGTCGAGCAGAGCTTTGGCGCGTTGATTCGCAGACGCGTCTACTCCATAGAGGTCAAGGCGCTAGCGGTGGGCTTGTTAGCGAATTGTAGCTTTGCCTCACGCCCGGTATAAATTATTGACATCCTGGCAGCTTCAACAATCATTATGGATCGTGATTCGTGACATTTAAATCAAGCAGAGTAATCACTAACCGCCTGGGCCGACCCTGAGTCTCGCTGCATTGTTTTACGGGTATAACAACTGGGCGCTTTGCGATGGCCACCAAGCCATGCGCGCAAACTCATGTTCGAAAGTCCTTTTAGGGAGTACTTCTGTCCTGAGAGTTAATCGCCCTAGGATTTTCCCAAGCTGCAGAACAATAACAACAGATGCTACCCCCTCGAGCCGTAACGCATCACGAGGGCTTCTTCCTTGATGAAACATACGAAACGTCATAGCGTCGCGTCGCCTTTAATGTGAACGAGCTGGCCCGAATCGCCGCTAACGCTGTTGGAGCAAAAAGATGTATTAGTATAGTGAAATACCCCGACAGCATGTATAGTAAGGCTATGCTTCTATTATGGATAGTGGCACTCAAGTCGTGGCCAAGGTTCCCAATCCTAATGCAGGGTTACCTCACTTTACGACCGCAAGTCAGGTTGCCACAATGGACTTTGTACGTTTGCTGGCTAATATTAAGACAAGCTACTTCTAAACTAACGTAGAGAAGGCTCGGAATGTCTTAGGCAATCCTGTTCCTAACATCTTCGCTTGGAGCTCTAAAGCCGCCGAGAATCCCGTTGACGCAGAGTACATTATCATGGAGAAGTTGCAAGGCATCGAGCTTGAACGTGTTTGGCTTAGTATGGATATTCAAGGTAAATGGGCTATTGTCCAAACCCTTATACAATGTCAGGCAACCTAGTCATCAATCTCCTTTACAAAGTATGGTGGCCTTTATTATGCCAAAGACCTTGATATAACAATTGAGAATGGGCCTCTTTATACTAACGCTAATGGCGTTAATATTACGGACTTAAAATTCGCAATTGGACCATCTTGTGGACGGGACTGGATAGATAACAGAAGATCGACTATTGATATTAACAGAGTACCATGTAAGCTCCTCTTTCCCTTCACAGATCTCCATGATTGACTAGTTATAGGGACAACTATAGAGTATTTCCAAGCTGCAGTCGGTTATCGAGAGCTAGCTACTGTGGTCCAGCTCCCTCTACCCAAGTCACCAAATAACGCTTTACGGACCAGGAACGTACGGACATAAAGGTGGGACGAGCAAATAGCTGTATCCTCCGGTAGTAGGATTGGTAATAACGTAAAATAGCACTCTAGCGCCTTCCGCTTTGGCATAGCGATTTACACGTCGGAAACATTTTCGTAAGCCAGACCGAGATTGTAGGTCTTATAGACTGGCAGTCTACAGAAGTAGCACCTCTCTATCTCCTTGCCTGCCAACCCTATATTATTGATTATGATGGCCCACCTGTCGTAGGCATAGAACGGCCTCGAAAGCCAGAAGATTACCAGCAGCTTGATACCGACGCAAAGGAACGAGCAAACGCTTTATACTTAGAAGAATCCCTCTTTTCTCTATACAACAGCTTGACCTGCAAGCAGAACCCACGACTTTGATCTGCATTCGAGTTCCAACAAACAGCAAATCATTTTCTACTTCTTGTGGCAGGCAATCTTTTCGTCGATGGTGAAGTATCATATTTGTCGCGAGTAGTAGGGTTAGAGAAGACATGGAGGCAGGATATTTTGGCTTCCAAAAGCCATCCCTATCCATTTTCATTTTCAGCCAGTGAGCGAGAAGAGATTGCGGCCCTTCACGAGGGTGTGGTTCGTGGAATGGATGCGATGCGAGCAGTTCGGCAGAGTATAGGCGAGGAGCTGTTTCCTCTACTTGGGATGGTGAAACCTGAACAGTGCGCGGAGGCATTACATGTCTTGGGGCAGATGAAAAAGAAGATGATTGAGATTCATGAGCTGAACAAAGAGGATAGAGAGGCCTGGGAAAGAGAATGGCCTTTTGGCACTTGAGAAATTGGTTGGTTGTTCTGTGAGTTTGTGCGGTTACTCCTCTACGAGTGGGATGGGGTTGATCGAAGTCTTCACTCAAAATTTAATTTTAATCGATCTCATTCAATTTCACGTTCCTCATCTCTTCCTATTATCCCGCAATGGTCTTTTGGCTAGGCATGTTACATATATCTACCTAGGTACCTAGGTAGGTAATGAGATAGAGTTGAAATAGTCACGTGACCGAACATCCTAAAAATTCTTGCCCTGAGGAATGAATGACTCGGCGCGGAATCCGGCCTACTAACTTTTGTCCGTTCTCGCTTAGATAGGTGAGTTTTATAGAAAAATTGTTCTTATCTGAGATCGTCATATTTGGAAATCAAAGCAACTTCTTGTCCCAACGTCCCCAACTAACACACACACACTCGCGTGGTGCTTCTCTCACTCATCTCACTGACCGAACAAGGACCGATAAGACGATGGCAGCGGACTCTGAGCCTGTCGGCGCTGCGCCTCACAAGGCATTTGATACGATACTGACTCTCGACTTTGGGTAAGTGGCACTTTCAAATAGACTAATGGCAAGTATAAAGTAGCTAAATTGGGTCTCTTGGATCAGCTCGCAGTACACACACCTGTAAGTCATTCCTGAGTACCATTCAATTGTAGTCAGGTATAGGGACATGCTGATTAGTGCATAGTATCACTCGCCGTCTCCGAGAGCTGAATGTCTTCTCAGAGATGCTCCCATGTACCCAGAAGATCTCTGAGCTCGACTTCACTCCTAAAGGAATCATTCTTTCTGGTGGCCCGTATTCGGTCTATGATGCAGGGAGTCCTCATGTAGATCCCGCTATTTTCGATTTGAGTATGGCTTTCTTCAGTCCTGATCATCTGCACTTTACTAACATAACTTTGTAGATGTTCCTATCCTAGGAATTTGCTGTACGTAACTATCCGTTTTAATTACCTATACTCTAAATAAGTATAAGGCTCACTAAAACGGTTTAATAGACGGTATGCAGGAGCTTGCATACCGCGCAAGTCCAGATAACGTCATTGCTGGCACGCACCGCGAATACGGTCATGCTACTCTCAAGCCGCAAGTGATCAACAGCCACGTTGACCGTCTCTTCCAAGGGCTCGAAGAACCTATGCAAGTATGGATGAGTCACGGCGACAAGCTGGCAAAGCTTCCCGAGGCTTTTCATACCGTGGCTACCTCTGACAATTCCGAGTACGCTGCCATTGCCCACGGTACTAAACCCATCTACGGCATACAATTCCACCCCGAAGTTACCCACACGCCGAATGGCACCAAGCTCTTGGAAAACTTCGCCGTTGGCATTTGCGGCGCTACGCAAACCTGGACCATGTCCACGTTTAAGGACCAGGAGATTGAGCGAATCCGTAAACTCGTCGGCGAAAAGGGTCAGGTTTTAGGTGCAGTCAGCGGTGGTGTTGATTCCACCGTAGCCGCCAAGCTTATGGTATGTATTTCCGATATTATTTGTTCGGCTTTAGGCAGTTTGGCACATGTGCTCCTAAACTTCTATCGACATTTCCTCTAGGAGTAAAAGGCTAATGGTACGTAGAAAGAGGCTATAGGATCAAGGTTCTGGGCAGTCCTCGTTAACAGTATGTATTTCCGAAGCTGGGTATCCACTTTCGAAATGTCTTAGCTACTAAAATACGCTTGCTCTCCCCCAAGACGAAAGAAAGAGCTGACAATCTCGGGTAGACGGCGTCATGAGGCTCAATGAGTGTGAGCAAGTGGAGAAGGATCTTTCAGAGCACTTGGGAATCAACCTGATTGTCGTGGACGCTTCGCAGCAGTTTCTAGACGGGTTAAAGGGCATCGAGGATCCAGAGAAAAAGCGGAAGTTCATCGGTATGTTTAACGTTTCAAGGTCTCATTAGTTTTTAAACATGCCTCATATGCTCGTTAACCCTGCAAAAACCGAGATTAACCTCTTAGTAGGTGGCAAGTTTATCGATATTTTCGAAGCAGAGGCAAAGAAGATCGAGGACGCTGCTGCCAATTCCGACAAGGCTGGCAAAATCCAGTTCTTCCTACAGTAAGTCTCTTTCGTTCGGATGCGCGTTCTAGTTTTCGACCCCTGGGGTTTTCTTCGCATATACTAAGCATTGGATAGAGGCACCCTCTACCCCGACGTGATTGAGAGCCTCTCCTTCAAAGGTCCATCTGCAACAATCAAGGTTAGCCCTCCCCAAGAAATGCATTGAAAGTGAACAATTGATTAGGCATTTACTAACTCTAGTAGACTCACCATAATGTGTATGTTACACCCCCTATTGTTCCGACTTTCCCCCGGTTTTCCCCCGGTTTTTAATAACTCGTCTTAAAGTGGCGGCCTACCGGAGCGAATGACGAACGGGCAAGGCCTAAGCCTCATAGAGGTAGGTGTAGAAAATTAACCTCCTCGCCCCTCGGCTTCCCCCTACCGTATGCTAACGCCCCCAGCCCCTTAGAATTCTCTACAAAGATGAAGTGCGTCGTAAGTATTAATCTTAAATTCTGTTGTCTGTGGACCTGAAATAGCCCAAAGACGTTCCGTCTTGGCTAATTTGCTAGCAAATTTCATGTCGCACCTAATAAAGAATGAAAGTGCTAATATAATCGATCAGAGCTTGGCCGAGCTCTCGGAATACCAGAGCAACTTGTGATGAGAGTACGTCTAGAATAAACGGGATCCCCCGTTCAATCCCCTTTATACAACAAGTACTGATTCAAACTAGCATCCATTCCCGGGTCGTATGTATCCTTTACTGCAAGGCTACCCTACCAGATATTGACTCTTAACTAGCCGGAATTGCCGTTCGAATTATAGGCGAAGTGACTCCTGAAAAGGTCGAGATTGCTCGCCGCGCAGATAATATTTTTATTTCCGAGATTCGCAAGGCTGGACTATACGACCAGATCTCCCAAGCCTTCGCCGCACTTGATCCAAGTCGTGCCGTAGGAGTCATGGGGGACAAGCGTGTCTACGGGTATATCATTATCCTTAGGGCTGTTACAACCACCGATTTTATGACTGCCGAAGCTTGTAAGTTTTACGGGACATGCCCCTACTTATTCGAGAGCTCTTTACTTAAAAGCACAATAAAAACTAACTCGGAGACTAGTTGAATTCCCTTGGAAGTTCCTCCAGCGCGTTACAAATCGAATTATAAACGAAATCGACGGGTATGTACTTTGGCTATAAGAGGCGCTTCTCTCTAGTAGTGCACGGCTTTAGTGTCATATCCCTTTTACTTTCGTTAATTAACTCTACTAATATTCTTCAATAGAGTGTGCCGTGTTACTTATGATGTCACCAGCAAGCCTCCTGGAACGATTGAGATGGAGTGATAGCTCTATAAGAGTAGAGTTAAAATTTTTATTCTTCGGAGCGGGAGTGGAAGGATAGAGGGGAAGCCAAAGTCGACGCTGGGAGCCGTTGTGGGTACTTTTGAGCCTGCGAGAATTGCGTGCCATACTCCATGGCATGTTCAGCATGTTCAGTTCCTCTGCTTTTGCTTTAATACACGGTTAGGGCGCGCGAACCTGAAATGCTCTGGACAGGCATTGCAAAGTATCTCAAAGTCATTGATCAATAGACGTGTATTAGTGCAAAGAAAAGACTATGAAAGGTGAAAAGGGTTGTAGTGCCATTGATTTAATCAAAAGGGTCGTATCCAAGCGTGGGAGAGTGGGGTGGGCCGTAGGCCAACAGATAAAGGGGGGATGTTGCATGGGCCGAATGCAAGTCGGAATTTGAGAAACGACGCAAATTAAGAATCGGCGCAGATTACTTAAGCAATAGCTAGATAAGGACGATTAATCTACCTAGGTAATTTCAAGTGTATCGTCCTATACTTGTAGGATCTCAGTCGAGAACTAGTAGAGGACTTCATATTAACAAGGGTGCTGGATCGCTGGTGGCGCATCCCGGTATTGTTAAAAGCGGCCCCCTTGAAAAGCGTGGTAACTTGGGACATTATGCTTAGTTGGCTAAAAGCAGCGCGTCGAGGTAAGCCGCCATATCTGTCTAATCTCAGGAACAAAAAGTCGACAGTAGCTGCAACTCGCAACAACGCCCACCAGTGAGGGTTTGGAGATAGTCCCCTGCTGATATACCATCTTTTGCAGCTGTTAATTGAGGGAGACCCGCGATGTATCGATAACAGAGCGAACAATCGATTCCAGACATTCATTCATTCAGCCGCGAGTCGAATCCAGGGGTCGAGGGGTCAAGGGATCAAGATGTTGGACGGATTGCTAATGCTGCTCGTGCTGAGCGTGGTGATGGCTTTGGCGTAGGTAGAAATTCATTCCTTATGAGATGTATATTTTAGTTGTGCTAAACAGTACTACAGCTCGTTCCTCGCCGGCGCACTACCTCTGTCTATGACCCTCTCCTCGTCGCAATTGCGATTGATCTCGACGATTGGAATGGGGGTGTTGGTGGGCACTTCTTTAATAGTGATTATCCCGGAAGGAATAGAAGCTATATACAGTGCAGGGTCGGGAGTACATTCCAACACTCGGAGGGGTCTACAACCCCAATGGAGAGGGGCGCAAAGCTCATGGCCCAACGCCGGCCTGGCTGCTATAATTGTATCGAGAACGGAGGACCCCGTCCTGGGCCCAAGGGACGCTGGAGATATCGAGCTTAGAACCCTTCTGGATTCTGCGACATTTATAGATATCAATAAGAGGGATTCATCTGCGGCGACTTCATCATCTCCAAGCGCAGGGGAGACTAGCCCGCCTGGAGAATCGAAGCCCCAGCCGCCTTCCCCAGCCGATGGAAAGGAGGAACACCACGATGAGAGGAGTGCGCCCACGTTTTATGTCGGCCTCTCGTTGATCTTGGGATTTATTCTCATGTTCCTAGTCGACAAGCTTCCTAGACATGCCTCGGAAAACCTACAACCTCCACCTCCTACTCGACACATCTCCCTCGACAACTTGTCCATGGGGTTATCATCAAATTCATCCAGTAGGGATGTGGAATCTGAAAGCTTCCTCCACTCCCTTACCCCGTCTCCAAAACAAACTCGGAGTTTGGCCACGACAACAGGACTTGTGATCCACGCTGCTGCTGATGGGATAGCCATGGGGGCATCGGCATCGACGTCAAATACAAAGCTAAGCTTCATCATATTTATTGCCATCATGGTGCATAAAGCGCCTGCAGCTTTTGGCTTGACATCTGTCTTGCTAAAGCAAGGCCTTTCAAAACGTGCTGCTCGGGGACATCTGATTATCTTCAGTTTAGCAGCACCCTTTGGGGCTCTTATGACGTGGCTCCTGGTTAATATTCTAGGAGGCAGTCATATCGAAGGGGAAACAGGGCAATGGTGGACTGGTATGCTGCTGCTATTTTCCGCCGGAACATTTTTGTAAGGCTCCCTCCCCTCTAAGCCCCCGAGTAATTACTGATTTGGAGTAATAGATATGTTGCGATGCACGCGATGCAAGAAGATTCGGGGAGCTACGCCCATGACCATTCAGGACCCAATGGGTACGCTGATGGGGGGAGCTCACAACGAAACAAGCCCAAACCCCAGATGAGGGACACGTTTGCGGCAGTTGGTGGAATGCTGCTACCTCTCCTTACGCAAATAGGCCATCACCACTGATATTGGATGTAAAAATAAATACCCGTGCTATACGAGACATATGTTGGCTATGGTGGTCTCTGGCGTTCAAAAAGGAGTTGGCATTTTAATATCTGTATCGGAAAATCTAGTCGAGGCTTTTCCACAAAGCGACCATATAGGATCTACATTATAGTACGAAGGACAACGTGGAGACAACCTTTCACCCCGGGTTTGAAAATGGAGGCCCTGTTCATTCTTGATGTTACACGGATAATTGAACAGTATCCCGGCAATATGCGGAGGATCTTCGACTGAGACGGACCAGGGAGCGAAAGGGAGGGGAAGACCGAACCGCCCTCTTCATATTTTTTGAACCCGGTGACGTGAGATGATTGATCTGAATTGTGGATTTTAGCACAGTATTGAGCAGAGCGGAGTAGATGGTGGATCCACCGGTAAGGTATTTACATACTACCTCGTATCGTACGGCCCACCAGCTAGCTCCTCTATCAAAATCAAATCCATCAAATCAAACGACACCAGAATTAATTTCTCCCCTCCTACCAATATCAAGTCAATTCCACACATGCATGTACATGTACGTTCTATAAAAAAAAGAGTTCTCATAACAGATAAAGATAGAAAATTTGGAATCTTGACCCCGGATCTTCATCATCAGCGCCCCAGATCCGCGACCCAGACCCGTGATTTCGCAATTCTCGGGCGGCCCGAAGGCATGAGGTGGAGGCTGGCGGTTTCAGGTATGGCATGTCCCTGTTGCAATAGTCTCCAACGGGCTGCGGTGGACGTCGCACATCATGTATGTGTGCTCCCCAGTAATCCCTAGCTGAGGTGAGAGAGGGGGAGGGGATGGGGCTGGAAGGGATGGGGATTATCGAGTGGAATGGTTGGTACGGAGTACGAAGGAGGTACCTAAGTTACTTGTCTACGACGTACCTTGGGGAGGAGGTATGGTAGGTCAGAATAGTGGGAGAAAACACGCAGTCTTGCTTTGAAACATCGCCTCATTGTTGTACCCGCTTCGTTGTACTCCGCACAATAGGGGGAGGGAGGACAATGATTTCGCTCCTTGCAGTACTTCGTACCATTCTGGTTATTAGTCTGAGTGGTTCACCAGGGCACATTATTTTATTGAGATGAGGCACGGCGCGGGTACGGGAGGGAGCGGGAGCGCCGCCTGAGGGTCCTGGTAGCATTGTCGAGGTACCTAGGTACTTCCGCAAGCATACTACTCTGGACTTTACCACGAAGTACTGTACCTGCACTCTGTCTGTCCTTGGTGGTGTATTCTTCTTCACCAGCATGCAAATCTCTGCCAGCGGGGACGCGGAATGCGTGGGCAGATGGGAGCGACTGTGGAAGCAGCATGTCTCAAAGGGGCATAAGGGTGGCTTACGTGCAGTGCAGTAAATACTTCCCCAGGGCTTGCATGGTGCTCGACGCCAACCGACACGCAGGAGGGACAGAGGCTTCAAAGCGGATAAGAGGGAGCGGTAAGCTTAATATCGGCTTGGTGTCTTGGGATGGGTTGGGATGAGTAAGGATGAGCTCCCTGCTTCTAGTAAATAGAGTGTGAAACTACGGAGTAGAGCCCGCGCGCGGTGGCAATTAGTTGTACCAGACTGTGCAGTGAGTGAGTCGTGAGTGCTTTATTAGTGGAGTGCCTCGGTAGGTACCATACCTGGGGTAGTATCAGAGTGGCATCAAGGCATCGAGGCATAGAGTGCGGATGACAGATGACAGATGACAGATGGACAGCTGAAAGCAGCATGTCAGGGGACCACAAAAGATGTCTCTAAGGGGGGTCACTGGCAAGTGGCAAGTTGGCAACTGAGGATATCATGAGGGGCACTTGGAGCAGGGGGCGAATCTAGTATCTACAGTACAGTACAGCGCAGTGTATATTGAGTGCACGTAAGGTAGAATGACTGTCACTGGCATATCACGAGAGGCCCCTAACCCGTGGGTGGATGGATAGTGCACATTCCGAGAACGATCGACTCTCCTGCAAGTCATCCGCCGTGGTCTTTGTATCAGAAGCAATCAATGCTCGGGACGTCTGACTCTGTACTAGTTACTAACATACCTACAGCCCTCTGTGCAATTCACGTCTTTCGCCTCTTTTAAACGCACCGTTGTTGCTGGTCAGTGCTGATGGTGCCGGCAGCCCCTGCACGCCGCAAGCAGCAAGCCATTTCGTGCCCTTTACGACGTATTATTGGGTTCTATTATTTGCTGCCAGTTAAGACGTACGAGGTACCTCTGTACCTAGCACACGGAGTATTTGGTGGTCTCTGTCTCCGCCTCCCTCCAGCGCCCATAGGCGAAAACGTCCAGACAGGAACCTGCCCCTACTAGACTGCTGCTGTAGACGACCTCGCCAACTCCATCATCCATCCATCATCCTTCGTTGGGGCTTCTCCATCTCTCCCTTCCCCCAACCAACCCACCGCCGTTATTATTATCTTGTTATCGCATAGGCCCCAGCAGTCCGCAGAAAAGAAGTCTTTTCTACAGGAAAAGTCAAAAGTCGAAAAGTCGAATGTGGTGATCCGCCTGTATCAAGAGTCTGGCCTGCTGCCCGTCGTCTCGTTGTACGACTATCTACGTACCCACCTACGTACCTACTTATTATTACATTCCCTCGTACAATATCTTGAATCTTGATGGGCAGGGCGTCATTTCACCTTTCCCTCTCCCTCTCCCGCTCGCTCCTACTCCGCTACTCCTCCCGTCGTCTCCCTTCCCCCAATTAAAGTACAAGACGAACTCGGTTTCCTCTCGCCCCTTTCCCTCCACCATTATCAATCAATCTCGAAAGCCTCTTTCAACCACCGCCAGCCTGCCTCCCCGTTACCTCCTTCGACCCGACCCGTCCATATTCCCCCAACCTGGAGAGCAACAAGAAAAAGGAAGGAGCAAGTGATGGAGAACTATAGACCTCTAAGTTTGACCGAAAGGCGGGCGTCGATGGTCTACAACACCAACCTCGACGATGGCGACCTTTCCCCTACCACACGAGCCACTCTTACCCTCAACACCAGCACCAGCCATGTGCGACTACCCTCGAGAGTTGAGAAGATCATGCAATCCCGTCCTCGAGGGCCCCCAACTCCAAACATGACCACTCCGTCCGCAGACCCAGACTCCCCTACACACTCAAGTCACGATCCGCCTCCCCCACCAACACCTGCAGCAAGTCCAGGCCCAGACCACCCACAGCCGGACTGGAGCGATGCGGGCGACCAGGAGGATCTGTTTCTCTCTAAAATCAGACATTATTTCAAGAACAGGTCGCCTGCTGAACGAACGAGAGTCTTAGCCGATCTCTTGAATCTGTGTACCAGCCAACAACTCAGTTTTGTCCGGCAATACGTGGATCCCTTGCTTAAGAAGGACCCATTCACCAGCCTACCGAACGAGATATGTCTAAGAGTATGTGTCATGGGAAATTTGGATTTCTTGTCTCCATGCTAATTGCGATGTACGAATAGATCCTCTCCTTCATAGATGACCCCAAAGTCCTCGCCCGAGCTTCGCAGGTATCACAACGATGGCGAGAGTTACTGGCCGATGATGTGACGTGGATGAAGCTCTGCGCCAAACACGATTATGGCCGTCGAATGTCAGAAGCCCATATCAGCACCCCTACGTTTTCTACCCACCGCCCACCACCGAACCCAATACATGGCTATTTCGACGGCGAGACAGCTTATCCATACGCAAGCGCAACAGCAGAACTTCTCCAGCCCCCGGAGAACTCGCAGAGTCTTGACAGCGGTATGAGTGCTGGCGTGCTGAGAAGGCCGAAATTCAGATCATACAAGTCTCATTTTAAGCAACGGTACTTGGTAGAGACTGCTTGGAGAACTGGCGGACGTAATATTGCGAGGCATATCACACAGGATCAAGGTGTGGTAACTAGCTTACATCTCACGCCAAAGTATATCGTAGTGGCTCTCGATAATGCCAAGATCCACGTCTTTAATACAGAGGGTAATGCGCAGAAGACACTACAAGGCCACGTTATGGGAGTGTGGGCCATGGTTCCTTGGGATGATATACTGGTTAGTGGAGGCTGCGACCGAGACGTTCGGGTTTGGGACATGTCAACAGGGTAAGTCAATACTTGGCGGCTGGCGGCTGGTGGGACGGAAAGACTAATGGAAATTTCAGTGAGAGCCTGCATACCCTCAGAGGCCATACGTCGACTGTTCGCTGCTTGAAAATGTCCGATGCGAATACAGCCATCTCGGGGTCACGAGACACCACATTGAGAGTTTGGGATATCAAAACCGGGCTCTGCAAAAATGTACTGGTTGGCCACGGAGCTAGTGTGCGATGCTTGGAGATCAAAGGTGACATTGTGGTTTCTGGTAGCTACGACACGACGGCGAGGGTCTGGAGCATCTCGGAAGGACGATGCTTGCGGACACTCTCTGGTCATTTCTCGCAGATCTACGCTATCGCATTTGACGGAACGAGGATAGCCACAGGAAGCCTGGATACGAGTGTCAGAATATGGGATCCAAACAATGGGTATGTGAGACAGAAGGTGGCATGAATTTCTCTCTAACAAGCTTTCAGGACTTGCCAGGCCATACTTCAAGGCCATACATCATTGGTTGGACAGCTCCAGATGCGTGGGAACACACTCGTGACTGGAGGATCGGATGGCTCAGTCCGAGTCTGGTCGTTAGAGAAGATGGCACCAATACATCGACTGGCTGCTCATGACAATAGCGTTACCAGTCTGCAATTTGACGATACTCGAGTCGTGAGTGGAGGCAGCGATGGTAGAGTCAAGGTCTGGGATCTCAAGACTGGCCAGCTTGTCCGAGAACTCACAGCTCCTGCCGATGCTGTTTGGCGGGTCGCATTTGAAGAAGAGAAGTGCGTTGTTATGGCAAGTCGGTCAAATCGCACCATCATGGAGGTATGTCAAGGATCGTTCGGCGCTGGAAGTGACATGCTAATTTGCCGTAGGTCTGGTCCTTCTCCCCACCCGCAGAGCAGCTATATGAAAGAGAGCCACTTGTCGGCCAGCGCATGGTCAACTCGCTTCCAAGACCTCTCAGTGCGATGGAGTATCGATCCAATACCTGCCCTGATCAGCCAATGTCCGGCCTAGCACCCCAAGTGGCTGCATATGACAAGGACGATGTTGATATGAAGGATGCTGGACCTTCGACAGCCCCCCCTCAGTCTTCAAGTACAACGTTCTTCCACGAAGATGATTGATTCACTTGAAGTGCGAATTGGTCCTCATTAAGTAGATCAACTACGAATTACGGAACCTATATTTGTCCCTCGTTGAGGGTGTAACCCATGGCACTGGGCAGGATGGCCCTGGCTTTATTCCAATCCCCATGGCCGATCGGCGGAATAGGACGAACCATTATGACACCATCCTCTTCGCTATCAATAAACTCCCCCTTCGACGCTCGAATAATAACGACTGTCGTTCCGCTCAGCAAATAACTATATATATATACCCACAACGATTAATTTCTCTAGAGTTAGGTGCATGCTCGGCGTTTGAGATTGCTAGATACCATTAAAGGGCGGAAGTATGTTCATCATTTGAGGGTACAAAACGACGCTTTTGATGCGTCTGCATAGATCATGGAGTAGTATATAACTTTGGGATTGAATGGGATGGCGTGCATTAGCGGTAATGACTCTAATACGGAATACAGTATTAGGTAGAAGAGAATAATGAAGCAATGTACTATTCATAATACATAACGTACGACTCTGAATTGCCCTGATTTGTGTGAAAGATGATGTAAAGTACATGAGTTATTCAAATACGTGCCCTTTATACAAGTAGTACCTGCACTTGACTGCTATCTATAAGCAACAAGAGAGGACAATTCAGCTTAACACCAAGAGTATGCTCGTACTGGTAGAGAGTGGAGTGGGGTGCGAATGCTGTGCTGTCGGGGACTGGTCACGTGCATCGGGGAAGCTCCAAGCCGCCCGATTCTGTTTTAGTAGGCTAAAATTAAAGTTCCCAACGACCTCACCGGATATCGAAGGTTCATTCTGGGTGACCCTCTCAACCGTTTATTATTTTTCCTTTCTCTCCCACTTCATCTTCTTTCGCCCCCTTCGTGTAACTGGTGTTTCCGGTCCATCAGACACGATGTTCTCAAGAGCATTGAGGGCGAGCCGCGCTGCTCCGCTCCGCAGCAATGCATTTTCCCGAGCTGCCCTTGTTAAGAGAACCGTCACCACGGACGCAGCCAGTGCGCATACGGACAAAGATGCTGTCCCGGAGGTAAGAATTGGCCTTGTTACTGACCAATTGATAAATAGTCAGAGTGCTAACGACTGTGTTGATGGAAATATAGGAGGATACCAAACCCTTCCAAATTCACCTGTCGGACGAATCTTTTGAGACCTACGAGCTTGATCCCCCACCTTACACGCTCAACACCACAAAGGAGGAGCTGAAGAAGATGTATTATGATATGGTCTCGGTTCGGTGAGCAAGCATCCTTTTCTTGGGGCTCGATTGTGGAATTGGACTGATTTCAATTGCAGACGGATGGAGATGGCCGCAGACAGACTTTATAAGGAGAAGAAAATCCGCGGTTTCTGCCATTTGTCGACTGGCCAAGAGGCTGTCGCTGTTGGTATCGAACATGCAATCACCAAGGAAGACGATGTCATTACCGCATACCGTTGCCACGGCTTTGCCCTGATGCGCGGCGGTACCGTCAAATCGATTATCGGTGAACTGCTTGGCCGCCGTGAGGGTATTGCCTACGGCAAAGGAGGATCCATGCACATGTTTGCAAAGGGCTTCTATGGCGGAAACGGTATCGTCGGTGCTCAGGTTCCCGTCGGTGCCGGTCTGGCGTTCGCTCACCAGTACAGAGGCAACAAGAATACAACTGTTGCTTTGTATGGTGACGGAGCTAGCAACCAGGGTCAAGTATTCGAAGCATTCAACATGGCTAAGCTGTGGAAATTGCCAATCCTTTTCGGTTGTGAAAGTAAGCATCTCCAAGTTTCTCCTGTCCTCTAATATTCTTCTAACAGTGTATTAGACAACAAATATGGTATGGGAACTGCAGCCAACCGCTCATCCGCCTTAACCGACTACTACAAGCGTGGCCAATACATCCCTGGTCTCAAGGTCAACGGTATGGACGTCCTCGCTGTCAAGGCCGCCGTCCAATACGGCAAGGCTTGGACCGCTGCAGGCCACGGCCCTCTCGTCCTCGAATATGTCACCTACCGCTATGGAGGCCACTCCATGTCCGACCCCGGAACCACATACCGTACCCGTGAAGAAATCCAGCGGATGCGCTCTACCCAAGATCCAATTGCCGGTCTCAAGCAGAAGCTACTGGAGTGGAATGTCACAACGGAGGAGGAGCTCAAGACCATCGACAAGGAGGCCAGAACGTTCGTGGACGGAGAGGTTGCCTTGGCCGAAGAAATGCCCGCACCAGACGCCACACCCAAAATCTTATATGAGGATATCTACGTCCGGGGAAGCGAGCCAGAGTTCATGAGAGGCCGAACACCAGACGAGAACTATTACTACTAGGCCAGCCAGCAGTCGGGACGGAGGTTTTCTTTAGATGATCTGTGGGGCGAGGAATGGAGTTGATCTGTACACTATTATAAAGCCCAGTTTGGCAGGACATGAGGGAGGCTGAGCAGGTCACCTTAAGATCATTGCAATACAACGCAATAATATTCGTAAACTTCCATTACCAGAAAGACACTCGCAAGTCAAATCAGTGAGGCCTTCGGCCATTTCTCAAACAAATCGTCGTCCCAAATCATTCTAGCCAAGTGGCAAGTCATCAACCACCGCCTGAACCTTAGCAGAATGCAGAATGTCGGATTTTCAACTTCTATTATTTCTAATCCATTATATTCGAAGCTCCAAACTTAGTTGGGTTGCCGAACGTAAAGTCGAATCGAATCCCTACTTCCTGAAATGTGGAGACTAGGTTGCTACATTATTCGTGTTAGCAAGCGCTTACAGGGGGGTTTTAAAGAATAATACGTACAGTGCGTCTAAAATTCTACCGGCCTCTGCTCGATACCCACTCGGATAAACACCATATTGAGCATCCCATTTCCATATTAGATTATTCAAGGATGGACAATACTGTTCTTTGTTCATTGCAAGTCCTCGTAGACCTTGCTTTAAGAACGACTGCTGTCTATCGTCATAGATGTCTCCCCTGTCTAATAGGATCCATGCTTCTTCTAAATTTGATGGTAACGTTTCATACAACGGCTGCGGCTCTTCATCTTCCCCATCTTCCACAAGAGAGTCTCTCGTCACCGCTAGGCGTTTCAAATGAACGAATTCTCTCAGAACCGCGCCGAACGTCGTCTCATTATTACCACAACAATCCTCCGCGTTATTGTAGACCAATTCCTCTATTGTGTGTCGTTGAGCATAAAGCCCTTTGATAAAAATTTCAGGGGATGTCGTTTGCTCCGTGCTATGATTTTGAAAAAGTTGGAATCGCCTGGGACGTTCTCGTGGTAAATGTGCCTCAGCGCCTTTGGCCATGTGAGTATTTCTTTGAGGTCTCTTGATAGTGGGACTGTGCCTGGAAGTGAGAGGGAGATGATGTTGCTAGTGCCGACCCTCGAGTCGTCAGTTTGGGGAAGCGGCTTGAAAGCGTGCCAGGTTCTAGCGTATTTTAGGGAGAGATGTCGAAGAGTTGGTATACAGAATATCGAGTAGATACTATCTCGAGGACCGTCATGTAGATCTGCATCGTATCGACTATCATTATATAGATCATTTAGTAGTTTTTCGTCAGGGTATACTATCTCAAGAAAAGTAACATTGCTCGTGATTGCGAATTTGGTGTCAAAGTCCGGTAGCGCAAGATGTAAGAGTTTCTGAGATGTTTTCAAATGTTCGAGACATCTTTTCACAATAAGGATATCTTGGGCGTCGGCTGTGTCATCCCATTCAAAACTAGCTCCGGCGATGTGAGACTGTAATTCGGGATTTGTTGTAATCGTCTTAAGAAATGCCCTTATGTGGATAATTGGTGAGCTATAGTCGGAGTGGGACAACCACGACTGGGCTCGATGGATACCGAAGCACGACTCTCGAACTGCTTTGGCTGCTTCTTCGTTGCTCTTTGTAGTGCCCAAAAAGCAAACCGTGCGATAGAGATAAGGGTTGGCACATTTATAGAAATTTCGAGAGGACAGCACGAAGCTGGAGAGTGGGTTGGCGGGCAGTGCCTGGGCTATTTGCCCCCAGATCTCCACTGGGATACGGTCGAAGGCTGTGGAAGGTTATGTGGGCGCTATCTGTTGAGCCGCCATTTGTTGAGACCAAGTTATTTCTCGATAATAAATCTACTTTAGATTTTGTTGTCTCAACACGTTGGCTAACAATGGAAATTATTGTTCTAGGAAAGGATCGAAACAACTACTACATGTTTCTTTCCTGGTTTCAGAAGCAAATCCTTCAACAAAAGCTGACGAGATGTGGGAAGGAACAGTTGAGACTTGGCTGTGGCTGTGGTTGGTGTTGTTGGTTGGCGCTTAGGTTAGATTGTTTGGTGGTTGGATATTGGTTGCAACCAGATAGTTTTAGAACTAAAGGATTTCACAAAGCGATCCTCCACTTTCTTATATTAGTATGCTTGAGCAGTGCATTAATTCACTAAAAATGCACCTAATTTTGTAACCGTAGTGGGCTACTTTCATGAAGTCCTCACAATGCTTGCAGGAATGGTGTTAACGGTATTATTTGCACGATGATTGATCTGTAATGACTGGATTGATTGAAGTATATTTATTTAAAGAAGAGAAAGAAAGATTCCTTCCTTCAAAAGAGTGTAGAGCTTTTAAGGGGGAGATGGGTGAAGGTCCACAAGTAGACTGTTGGTTATCTCAGATTTAACTACGTGTAGTGCTGTTAATAAATGATTTGATCAGAAATACTATGTATATAGATTAGTGCTGCTAAGTTAAGCTTAGCGTAAGCACGTCATATATAACCAGCCAAAGAGCTTATACTTTTGTAATTAGATTAATCGTCCTGATCCATACTTTGAGTTACCTGTACCTTGACTATTATCTACTTATAGTTACTACTTTGGCTTATTTGTTGACTTATAATCCTAACAGGTTTGATAGGTCATTCACAGGTGAAAGAGGTGGAAAGCGACGTGGCTTATCCTCATAGCGCGGTTGGTTTTTACTTGTCTTGTACTGCCTTAGACATCGGGATAGTCGCACAATGTGGGGTTGGAAAGGGGAGTAAATAAACAAATAAGCCTCACGATGTAGGGTCTGGATCGGTTTGTATTTAATGTGCCTTAACTCTCGATTACTAGTTGTGATAGAAATTTTAGCCGCCTGTTAGGATAAGTTTTGGGTTTAGAATCCAGTGTTTATTCTTGGCAGTCGTTGTGGCGAATATGTAAATGGGTTTAGTTGACATATTTGCTGCGAATGTCGTTGTAAGAGTTGCCTATCTAGGCAGTTTGTCCGAGTTCGATCTTCAAAAGCTATCTGCCCGTCTTATTTTTCTATTTCGGTGATGAGTCATCGGAGATGGGAGAGATCCACCAGATTACAAAATCTCCCAAACCCCATAAATGAATTTTTAACTCTGATAATTCCTTAGCGTTTTTCTGTATATATTTCAGCCAAATATATTTAGGGGTTATCAATGGCTGTGGAAAGCTGCTGTTTACCAAAACGATCAGCCCCGTCGACTGTCTTACAAGTTACGTTAGTACCATGGGATCCAGATTCAGAACACCACGTCCGTCGGTTGATTTTGCAGCGCATCGCTTGCGGATGGCACCAAGAGTTTGTTGAGGGAGAGTGGAGCAAATTGCAACGACAAGGACATAAGTCGCTCCAGTGGATTGTGGGCCGTTCTCATCCAATATTGTCTTTCGACGAACTGACACCCGCAGGTTCTCTCTGATGCAGACCCCGCCACAAAGGCCGAGCTGCTAAAACGACATATTGATGCGTTTCCAGAAGAAGGATCACCATTAATAGATTCTGCGCACTCACTAGGCGGAAAAGTAAGGAAGGATTCGGATCATCTAGCGGGATCTTTCATTCCTGTAGGACACATCTCCCTCGACGGCGATGGCGCAGATCCCGCAGGCCCGCTCTCATACGGGCTCAAAGACGTGTACAGGATTGCGAACTTCTACGCCTCCTGGGAGCTTCAATCCACTGGACTTGGGAGGGCGGCAATGGATGCCTTAGAGAATATGGCAGTTGCAGAACCGTTGTTTGCAAAGACGTTGGCGTTATGCGCCATTTCAGATGAAACCGATCAGGACGAGGAGAGAAATACCGCTCTTGGGCGGCCGAAAACTGGTGTAAGTTATTACAAATGACGAGAGGGTTTAATTGGTTGAAGAGGTAGAAATTTGCCGAATGCTAATTAAGATGTTGTAGCACTCCCTTGCACAGTGGTATCTGAGAAGGGGATATGAGGTATATAAGTTTGTAGATGTCGCATGGGTGAATGAGGATAGTACAGGGAAGTCATGGCCTGCAAAGTCTGTGTTCTTAAAGAAGGATATTATTCACAAGTGAAAGTGGAGAATTTACATAGATATGAACCGAAACGAACTGGTGAGATGTAATAAATCTACATAAATGAAAAAGATATTGCAATCTTGTGAAGTTCTCCAGTGGCGAGACTAGGTACTTATTAGCCTTGGTGCTGCATCTTTGTAAGTGGGGACATAGTGATAACATTAAGCGAGATAATGTTCAATTGAGGCCGGAGAGACTGGCTAGAATGAGGCATTAGAGCGAAAATGTACAGCGTAGAAGCAAAAAGGAAGAAAAAATTAACCGGCACAGGTTGAAACTCTAGTCGCACTGAGGATCGAACTCAGAACCTTCTCGGTTCACTGTGCTAACATGTGAGCGAGAAATCATAACCATTAGACCATGCGACTCGCGCTTTGAAGCTTACCAAACTTTGCATATTTAAATATATTAAGTGGCTTACACAACTGCTAACCGTAAAGTAGTTATCGACTGTATCCGATCCCTACTGCTGGTGCCGTTTGTACTATGTACGCGCCCTCTTATAGCATCTAGCGAGAACGTTTATAGGCATTCGTAATATGCACTCTCCCATAGAGATAATCATACAGCAAACGGGATCCTGCGAATGCATTCGTTCTAAAAAGCAGGATTCGGATTTTACTCTTTTATAATGTAAACAAAAGAAAATTTCTCGTAGCAGGTCGTATTCTCTCGGTACTGCCAGCCGTTGCTTCTACCGCTCACATCCAACTTCCTCGACAGCACAGGAGATCCAGGAAGGTCAGGGACTGTCTGAACTTGGCGAGGACTCTGTCCATTTAAAGGCACAATTACAGTCTGTACACCCTTCTAAGGTCAAGATCTGTTCCGAGAACCCGGATGATCAGCCTGATATTCACGACCCTCAGCCACAAAGGGTTTGTGTAGATGATCAAATACTCTTTTTCAAGTCTGCCGACAGGTCCAGCCCGCGAGATACGATAAACGCCATCAAGAAATACCTACGGATAGCCGACCTTGGCCCTGATATACGTACCTCCCAGCTTTATGGCATTATCGTAGACGACAAGAACCCACTCATTGGACTACTATTTCATTATGTTGAAGAAGAAAGTACGCTAGCATTCGCCGTCGAACCTAGAACGCCAGCGACTCTGAGACAGCAGTGGTTAACCCAAATCACAGACACACTAATGAGGTTACATAGAGCAGGAGTTGTGTGGGGGGATGCAAAACCTGATAATGTTCTTATTGATGAACATAGTAATGCTTGGATCATTGATTTCGAAGGCGGTTATACACATGGCTGGGTCTATCGCGACAAAGAAGGGACTGTAGAGGGAGACTTGCAGGGGTTGGCAAATATTGTTAATTTTATCTTCGAGAAGACGGGATCTGAACATTCAGCTGACGATGAATACAGCCATCGGTAGGCACTTCGGCTGTGTTGCTGAGACTAGTGTGTAGAAACATATGTGTGTCTTGGCTCGATTTGTGCTTTGCGTATGATCCAGCAAACTCATCACCGTGCTCAGATCCAAAGATGGAAATGGAAAGCACTCATGTTGACATTGCGGAGTGAGCCTGGCTGTTATACAAGATAGGAATCCCTTAACGAGAAATCTAGCTGCAAGTCTAGAAACAAGGAGGTATAGAGACGGAAGAGGGAAAAGAGGAGCATCAAGAAACGAATGGCTACCGACTGGCCTTCGATGCACATCTGATGCAGAGGCAATAGTTACGGGTAGGAGGACTTTGGTTTTATGAATGACTCAAAGGAATAGTCAAGGTCCAGCGCTTTGAAGGTACTTGCTGTTAATCGCTGAAGCTCGAAGAGAAGAGGGGCAGACAGCAGCTACCTGAGGATAGAGTATAACTGTTACTTTAGAGTCATACTTTCCCTCGAATGTGTGCCTAAACTCCCGATCATGGTTAGAGAGTGACGGTCTCGTTGAAAGGTTCTGATAATTGGCGGGGCGGGGCGGGGGGAAAGGGGGTCAAATATTTACGACCGCCAGCCCAGAGCAAATGCTGATAAAGGGGGGAACAGAGTGGCTGAAACGGGATCCGAATCCAAACCCAAGTTTATCAGTAGTACTTCGTATGTAGGTAGGCATTTAATTCTGCAAGGCAAATACTGGAGAAACAAAGTAAAAGGGGCTTAGGTTGTGAACGTCCGAGCGAAACGAGATCCTTTGGTCTTGGTCTAGGTTTGAAACATCGAGAATTGGGCATTGGGTTGATTCGCGCATCGCATCCGTTAATCTTTCCGTCGCTCCAACATTGTTTCAACAGAGCTCACTATCTCCACATCCACAATCCGCACTGCGCCACGCTCTTTCGAGTTCCAACTATCCATATCATCCATAAAACCTCTGACCGCCTTTGTTGCCCACCGCATAATCCGCAAAGCAACTCATCCTGAGCCCAGATGGCAGGCCGCTTTGTGCGCGCGTCGAAGTATCGTAAGCTTGCCCAAGCTCCCGCAAATACAAGATCAAGCTGACGCGGCGCCAACAGGACATGTCTTTGGAAAATCGACCAGGAAGGAGTCCTGCTATGACAACCTGCACATCAGTCGCAATGCTTGGGATACGAATCTGGTGAAGGTGGGAAGCTTCCGTACTCGTGCTGACGCTGGGATGGAGAGCTGATGAATTGCTTCTAGGTCAACCCCGAATATCTGGCGGTCAATTGGGAGGCAAGCGGCGGTGGCGCATTTGCCGTGATACCACTTAATGAGAAGGGCAGATTGCCGGAGCAGATCCCACTGTTTCGAGGACACACCGCACCGGTGCTTGACACGGATTGGTAGGTGGCACGCCATCATCGCGCTATGTCTCGCTGACCACTCTTTCCAGGAATCCGTTCGACGACCGCCTCATAGCCTCCGGATCTGACGATGGGAAGGTTTTCATATGGCGGGTTCCTCAGGGGTTTACTCTATACTCTGACGGAGACGAACCCACCGATGTTGCACCAATTAGCAAGTTAACGGGACATTCAAGGTCAGCATAGTCTAACGCCAAAGGGTGCTCTACGGTTATTGTTCTAACTTGCTGCAGGAAAGTTGGACAAGTTTTGTTCAATCCGGCTGCTGAGAATATACTGGCATCAGCCTCGGGCGACTACACGATCAAGCTTTGGGATGTTGCCTCGGGCCAATCCCACCTTACGTTAAAGCATGGCGATATCGTGCAGAGTCTATCATGGAGTGCGAACGGATCGATGCTCGCCACTACCTCTCGAGACAAGAAGCTGCGCATATGGGATGTTCGACAGGAGAGGGCTGCACACGAGGTGCCTGGACATACTGGAGCTAAGAATAGCAGAGTTGTATGGATGGGCGAACATAACCGTCTTGCAACAACAGGCTTTTCAAAGATGAGTGATCGCCAAATGGCTTTGTGGGATGTTGGAAACCCTGTAGCACCCCTTGGGGGCTTCAATGTCTTGGACTCGATCTCCGGTGTTTGCATGCCATTCTGGGGTAGGTCTTCTTCAACTTGGCTATTGGAGACTTACTGACATTTCCCAGATGACGGAACACAATGTCTATATCTTGCCGGCAAAGGGTAAGCACTTGTGCCTTGAAATCGAATATCTTGCTAACAGGATAGTGATGGGAACATCCGGTATTTCGAGTACGAGAATGACAAATTTGAGTTTTTGTCCGAGTATAAGTCTGGTGAACCGCAAAGAGGTATTGCATTCGTCCCGCGACGTGGCATCAATGTGAGTCTCCCTGGAGCATTATAATATGTCGGTGTCTGATGCTAGATAGGTTCACGAAAACGAAATTATGAGGGCCTATAAAACCGTCAACGACAGCTATATCGAGCCTATATCGTTTACTGTCCCTCGGCGCGCAGAAGTTTTCCAATCAGATATTTATCCTCCAGCAATTGGTGCCAAACCCGCTGTATCTGCTTCTGAGTGGCTCTCAGGCAAAGATGGAATTCCTTCCAAGATCGACCTAGAGAGCGTCTACGATGGAAATGCCCCAGTCGAGGTTCCGGCCGATTACAAACCACCGAAGGCTGCACCTGCTCCTGCAGCAACCAAACCCGCGGCTCCGGTAAAGAACGAGCCAGAGCCCACGCCTGTTACAAGAGTGGCCCCACCTTCAATGTCAGAGCAGAAGGGCTCTATTTCAGCAATGGCTTCTAAGTTCCAAGATGATGATGTGGAAGATGATGATGATGACGAGACTTCAAGCTTCGAGGAGATTGCTCAGCCTGTCCAGCGACCTAGTGCTGCCGCAACCAAGGCGGAACCCAAACCACCATCTCCCATCAAACCAACCAGGGTGGAACCACCCAAACCCACACCGGTATCTCAGGCCACACCGCGATCCATTCCGCCTCCTTCCGCATCACCTACTTCAGCCTCAAATCCGGAAGCGGGCTCTTTGAGCGGAGCCTCTATTAAATCCTCTCTTCAACAGATCACGAGTCTTTTGGAAGCACAGACGAAGACGATCAACGCCCAAAGCGAAAAGATTGGACATTTGACCCAAGAAGTAGATATGTTGAAGATGAGAGTGGGCTCGGGGACGCAGGACCAGAGTGAGAGAATTCGACAATTAGAACTCGAGCTGGAGGCTGCCAGATCGTAGTCTTCGTGGAATTATGATTGGATGAATGAGGTGTCAAATAACAGCGTTTCCCTGGCCAGTCTAGACTGAAGAAATTTGAGTTTCGTGAGTGTGAAGAATGTTCTTCAGCGCCTATAACTCGCGATTTTCATTTCTGCCTAACCATCTCCAGTACCAAGTGGAACTCGGCCCTTTTATGGGAGTAAATCAGTATCAACATCCCGAATTTCCAGCCGGTTCTTGATTGCCAATTTTTAAGTCTGTTTCATTTGAGAAACTGTGATGTTAAGTTCACAGGCTGACCTTCTTGATGAACGTGAAGAATGTTACACGGACAGCGATGATTGATCTATATGCCTAGTACAAGTCCTCGTGTGCCTGAAACATTTTAGGGGTGTGATTAAATTTCTTGCCATCTATGTGCTGTGCAGCCCTATCAGTCAAATGACGCGTTGTCTCTTGAATTATCAAATACTAATCCCTCCATCTCTTCATCTACATACCTTCCATCGACTTCCGACTTTCCATCATCAACATGTTCTCTTCCTAATCACTCTTTCCATCAATGGTGCTCTTGGGAACAGCCGCTGGACAATGCCCCCCTACTGATGTTGATGTCTGTCTCCCTCTGCCATCTCTCTATATCTCATTACTATTACTATAATTAGGACTACCTTGGCTTAAAGTATAAATAAGACACATATGCTAACTTTTAGTAGGTTAAAGTATTATGCTTTAGACGTAACTACAATCTAATTGCATCAGTTAATCTACATACCTAATGAAAACAATTGCCGTACATGGCGTTGAGCTCACTAACCCTCGTATGCTTTCCCTACCTCTTTGAGAGTAGCAACTTAGTTCCGAAAAACGCCAACACTCGAGTACTGGAGTAGCCTAGCTATCCAACTCCTTCCATAAGGCCCTGAAACTGGCCACTAACCAATCGTTAGACACAAAACCCTTTTCGAGAATTTCCAGTGGCCGGACCCATCCTCGAGACCGCAACGCTAGCACTGCCCTCCTCAACCTTGCCACGAACCACGCCCTGATCTGTGAGCCTTCACCTGCCGCAACGGCCCCCAACATCAATTGACTTGAAGTTATATCCATGAACAAGCATGGTCTGACCGGGAGCCGACATAATGCATCCTTCAGCTCGCTAGCGAGGAGTGTGAGATTCGCCTCTAGCTGCGGGCACCAGGATACATAGAGAATCAACTCGATCGCTCGTGAGGTGGCTTGGACGAATGGATTATCATCGAATCGAAGGGATCGAGCTTGGCATAACAAGCTATTCCAGATTTTTCCGATTTCTTTTTCCCGAACGTCCGAGCCTGATGAAGATTTGCGATGGGTATCTATCAACTTTCGTAACTGGACGAGGCTATCGGACATATTAGCTATGCTACAGATAGGCTGGCTGCCATAAGCGCGTATTGCGTCAATAATTTTCCTATGATACGCCAAAGGGAAGCTGAACACATCGTTGGTAGAATCCCTGACGACTTTGGTTAGCTTTGTGTCGACGCAGCAAAGGATATACAGACAAGATTAGGAAATTACACAGCACTGGCGGCAAATCATATTCGCCCTGAGAGCGTCTCTCTGTGATTAGATTGGCCAGGCCATCAACGTGAATGTTCCAAACAAGATCATTATGCACCAGGCGCTCTCCGATGGCCATGCTGAGCACCGCACCAAGAATAGCACTAGCATGAGCTGTTTTAGACTTGATGTGTTGGATAATGATATTAGCAGCCTTGCACGAGTGAGCCACGGCTTTCTCTTGACATGATGCATCCGGCGACCAGTGTCGTATGCCTATGGCCATGGAAACCTCAGCAAGGGCTGCCTCAGAAACCAGAAGCTGAATCCAGGCTTCTTCACCGGGGCTGCTAGGATAGTTACCACCGTCCAGAAAAACAAACGACCAGAATCTGGAGACTACAAACAGTTAGCGGCGTACTTGGTTGACCTTGCGGTACGAGTATCCTTACGGAACTGGGCATAGCGATACGGATCCTTTGGTGGCGTCGATAGCAGTAAGTCTGCTGGCGGAGGATCAGCGAGTACGTCCTGTGTCAGTAGTCCCAGCTCCCTTTCCTTTGCTGTTCTAGCCTTGGTTAGCTGCTGGCGTCTGTTCGCAAAGTTCGTCCTGGTAATGTGCGCCCGCATCAGCTTCGCGTCCGACTGAGATAGCCCCGGCGTGCCGGTTGCGTTTAGAAAAGTGAAGCTTGTTGAGCTCATTCTCACTGTCGGCTTTAGGAAAATCAATTTTAGGATGTATTCACGGAGGGACGTGAAGTGGATTTGCCGTGTCTGTATTTAGTGTATTAAATGAGTTGAGTTGAGTTGAGTCGTAAGCTATTACTCAACTCAACTCGATTACTCAGAGTCTTACTATGCGTAACTGGGTAATTCGTGAGAACACTGTCTGTATTAGGAAAATCAATTTCAAGGTTTAGGGAATTGGTAATCCGCAATTCCAAAAACGCGGGCTAGGAGCATGAAATTGTGTTATACCCGATTAGGAAAATTAGATTCAGGCGACGTGAGTGGATAGCTTCAACCCAGCGGTGCACCATGATTATGGACTCGTGTGAGACGAGTCGCTGACAACTTCATGGCTTCGGCGAACGGCCACTACACTATCATCTCTCGCATGGACATGTATAAATATCTGGCACTCGTGGAGATGCGACTCTCTTGGTCTGGATCATTGCAGACTGTCCAACTCCAAGACTACTTCCGACCAAGCAGCTGCAAGACTACATTATGTCCAGACAATGGATCCTCGCCAGTCAGGAAGGCTTTGAGGCTTCCCTAAAATATCAGGAAAATGCCAGAATTCCGTCACCAGACGAGCTCGGCTCCAATGAGGTCCTCGTGAAAATCCACGCCGCCAGCCTCAATTATCGCGAGATTTCAATCGCAGATCCAAAGGTTAATAAGCTCCTATGGTTCGGGTAGCGACTGCATGCTGACTCTCTCTCGCCGTAACTAGGGTGTCAATGGACTCATTCAGCCCCCTATCATACCGGCATGCGACGGGGCAGGAGTCGTTATGGCAGTTGGATCATCCGTCCAGGAGTTCCAGCCCGGAGACCGAGTTGTCGCGTATCCGGCACCGAAGCTTGTGGAAGCCAGCGGCGACAACGCGTTCGCAAGTCTTGCAGATGTCCCTTCTATGCTGGGCCAAGGAACTGACGGAACGTTGCGTTCCATTGGTGTCTTTGCGGAAAAGGCCCTCGTCCACGCCCCTGTGTCTTTGGACTGGCTGCCAGCGGCGACGCTCACGTGCACCTGGACGACTGCATGGAACTCGCTCTTCGGAGTGGAAGGCAGAGAGGCCGGGCCAGGAACGTGGGTTCTTGTCCAAGGAACAGGCGGCGTGAGTATCGCCACGCTTCAGCTCGCAGCAGCGGCTGGGGCGACAGTCGTCGCCATCACGTCGACTGGAGAAAAAGAGGCTCGTTTGAGGGCGCTTGGAGCGACGCACACGGTTAACTATCGCTCAAACCCCGACAGCTGGGGCCAAAAGGCTCGGAGCCTGACGCCAGGCGGGAGAGGATTCGATATTGTCGTCGATATTGGTGGCAACCAGACACTCTCCCAGTCTCTAGTAGCCGTGCGTGTTGATGGTATTGTTTTGGTGGTTGGAGGTGTGGGAGAAAACACGGCGCCAGTCCCTTTGTTCGCGGCCTTGATGCACACTTGTATGGTCCGTGGGCTGCTGTGTGGGAGCCGAGCCCAGTTGAAGCAACTCGTGCGCTACATTGACGAGAAGGGCATCCAGCCTGTCGTGGATGACGTCGTATTCGAGCTTGCAGAGGCCAAGGATGCTTATAGACGCCTGAAAGATAAGAAGCATTTCTCCAAGGTCGTTATACGGGTTGACCATCCAGACGCATGAAGGTCAAAGGTCTAGGGTAATGGCAAACAACGTACATAAATTCTTCAATTTAGCCAGTCTCACACTGAAATATTTGGGCTCTCTTTCCTCTCCGTCTTCTCTAGCAGCCACTGAGCGACCGAATGTTACTTCTGAAACAGAGGCAAACTCTCTTCGCTTGGCAGCTTTTCTCCAGACTACATACATACAATGCTTTGGTCTTATCCTATATAGGACTCGTGATTGCAATTAGAGAATACCGCTACAAGCTTGGGAGTGTTATATAACACAGGTGAGATGTAAAGCTCCCAGGAATGTGATATATTGCCTTAGGTGAAACTTATTCTAGGTAGGACGAATGAACTAATCAAAGGGCACAATCGGAATGGCACGCCTCCTGTATTCCCCGCAATAATATTCACTCAGCAGACAGCACGAAATATCTCGCTTTAGTTAACCAAATGCAATCTGAGAACAGTGGGAATCTCACCTATAACTCTGATAAATGCTTCACGTTTGCACTTGACTGTGATACGCGGTCCTCCCCCTTCCAAAAATTACTGTTTTCATGTGCTCGCTTACTAGGCGACCATTCACTCGCGAATATAAAGTAACTCCTCATTGTACTTTTGTAAAAATAAAGATTCTCGCTTATAAACCATCTACCTGGCTGAACATTCAACTTTTGATATATTTTTTTAAAAAAAATAAGAAAGGAGAATGGCGCAATCCAGGAGTCGAACCTGGGACCTCTCGCAGGTCTTTTAGACTTTTAAAGTCAACCCTAAGCGAGAATCATACCACTAGACCAATTGCGCGGTGTTCGGTTAGAATTAAAGTTATTATTTCAAATTATAAGGTACCTGGGTAGATTCTACTGGAAAAATCTAGAGACTCGAATAAATTGTATATATTTTCAAAACAATATGAATTGAATAAGCTGGTACTAGTAGATCGCAAGATTATCTAAAACCAGGATTCTCCCCTACAAAAATTCTAGGTTATAACGAGAACTTTTAGGTACTCGAGTACTAGCGAAAATCCTCGCTTTTAGAATCGCTATGCTGGTTCTTGTGTTCGCCTTGTTGCTGTCGCCGATGGTGGGGGCTATTGAGTATTGCCTCTCAGGCTTGTCATTAAAAAAGTAAAATGGCTGAGCTCACCCTAACGATTGGAATAAATGACAGTTCCCCGCCAACCAATTAAAGACATTCTTTGCCAGAATTTGTTCTCAATAATATATTTTTCTTACTGCAGCTACGCATCACTCTTGTACAAGCTCCGAATCGCCCAACACTACTGTTTGTTCCAACCAGGGAGCCAGCAAAATGCGGGATTCCTGGAGGAGAAATATGGGAGGTGGAATAGCCTCATTTGGCTGCACTCAGGTATCAAGTAGATTTAGTGGCAAAAGAGTAATGAAGAAGCGCATAATCTGGCATAGCCAGCTGGGAGTGATGTTTTGAAGTGCGCTCAGGGTCAAACTCGTTACGCGACGCCTCGCGTACCTTACACTAGGACATCGTTACATTAGGCCTCGGTTAGGGGCATCGACCGCTGAGGCGGGCACTAATTGATCGGCCTCAAACAAACAATCATCTACCTCCGTAGAATATAACTTGTCCCCTTCTTCCATTGAAGTAGAAGTCCGTCAAAGAAACCCTACAACGCAGCTTGTGTGGTCAACCATGGCGGACCATAACTCCTATCTTGCGTACAAACGAGATACCAGACACTTGATCTACTGGATGATTCGCGCCTCTAACAGTATCATCAAGTCTTCATCGTCGTTCCCAACCTCAGACACCACACCAATAACTCTAAATACGACGGGCCAAATTACAGTGGCAGCCCTTCTGCCTGTCTCGAGGCTCATCGCGACACACATTAGTCCCATCCCATCAACTATTTACCGCCTATTCCAGTCGGTCATCGCTGTAAGAACAGCTACCCATAGCCTATTTCAGCAGGTTGTGGCCAAACAGCCGGATCCGGAGATCGAAAAGAGTAATGCTTCTCACAAATACTTCATCAATGCTTTAACTGAGGCCTTTGAAACCGTGGGTGGTCAGGTTTGGGCTTCAAAGCAGACGTCTGACGCGGAAACACTCAATGAAGAGGATGTAGACGAGGTTATATTCACTAATAAATTTTCTGCGCTTGGTATTGATGGGTCGAATGATGAGCAGGAGGCAGAGGATGCAGTTGGGGGAGGACCCGACGGGCGATCCATGGGCGCTTCGACACTCCCGAAGAAGAAATCTACAGCCAAAGGAAAGAAGGGCAAACGAGGAAAGAAAGCAGGAGGAAAATCGAAGTCGGCAGTCAAGGAAGCCAGCATCGACGAAGTACCATTGGAGAGCTATCGTATCATCGAAGATGAAAGTGGGCCTATTACCGACTATCTGATAGTGGTTTACTCGCTGGTTAAACAATGGACCGAACTTCGACATTATGTCCAAGGTCTTTGGCGCGAGGTGTCATATGGCGGCCTTAATAGCGCGGTTGCGGGAGCTATGTCTAATATAGCTATTGCTATGGTCAAGCAAACAGAATCTACAATATTTGTCGACTTTCCCGGACATGAGTCCTACGAGACCGTCATGACGACCATCACACGTGGGGATCCAAAGAAAGCGCAAGGCATGTTTCACATGGCTCTACACCAGATTAATCCTGACGGTGAAACCGTTGGAGAGGTTCACCAAGTGGATGTTGACGTTAAAGAGCAATTTTTAATACACGCTTATCAGGATCTTCTCGACTTCGTAACGGATTTCCAAAAGAATCGGAGTGGTAAGCCAACCAAGTCTATGCTGTCTGAAATTCGAAATTGGGATCCTAATTTTGATCTTCAACGAGCCACCAAAGAACAACGCATCAAGTGGCGTCGGGCATACACAATAAACTAGCTGTACGATTTAGTCAACGTTTACTCAGGTGTCGTTGTCCAGCGCATCAATGTGAAGGGCCAAAATATCGTCCTCGAAACGGTGGACTGGTCCATAAACGGCCCTTGGTATAACCACCGGACTCTATTCGGCTTGAATGAGTTTGCCGGTGTCGTCACTTATCTTGCTATGCAGAAGCCCGGTACGGATGTTCGGCAAATGATCCTCCCTCATCATGTTTTCCAGATCCAGTGCATTGTTGATTCTCTTAGTGTCTCCCGGGGTTGGTCGCCGAGTAGTTTCAAAGGTCACGTTATTAGGCCACCTGCGCAAGGATTCCGTCCACGACGAGATGTCGACCTCTTCATAGATCGCGAGAATGAGAGAACTAGTCATAGATATCCTGACGGGGTCCACATGTTGGCCCAGCTATTCGAGAAAGATGCCATGCTACACGCTTGGCGAATCTAAGTATATGTACGGCTTGACGTCTATCCCTCCATCTCGCTTCTCCAACACCAATGCCAACGGCCTCTGGGAATATTCTCCATTCCTTTGCGGTGTTGGTTTGACGGAAGCACTAGATCTTGCATATAGTATGAGCTTCACGATATGGGATAGAATGACAGAGCCGATTTGTCTCATACATCTACATAATATGTTGGTATAGAAGGGCTATATCCGCCAGGAAATCGGATTATTTGCGTCCCTGCAAGGCTGTTTCCCGACTACATTCTTCGCTGATGGCAAAGTCCCCGCCTCTGGCTTTAGGGGAGCCTTCCTTGAGGTATGTGGCGATGGTTCTCGTCGCGCGACTTTCGAAAGGCGGGCTATCAGACGGACAATCGCCCGCACAGCAACCGGCCTCCACGGGCTCTTGCGTATGGACGGGAACCGTTTCTACAAGCAAAAGTCAGTTCTCAGTCTTTATCGCGAGGCAGACTGGGTTCTAGAGCGCATTCCTGATGAGGAAGTTCACGTAGCTTCCGCATTAAGGATGACCCGGATAGCCCAAACCAAGCATGTAACTGATCCAGCGACGGGCAAGAGAGTATTAGAGAACACCCCTCTTGTTGCTCGTGCAAGGTCTGCCGGAATAGATGATCAAAAAGTGGCTCAGATGATGTCTCAGCTAGAAGATTGCGGCAGCGATCAGCCGATTCCGGAGGCAGTACTAGCTGCACAGCCTGAAGGTTACACTACGTTGCCATTTCCTAAACCTAAACGTGGGGGCAACGCACTTAGTAAAAGTGGTCTGGGCGCCTGTGGATTGCTAAACCTTATCAAAATGGATGTTCTCACCGATATTTGTGGCGTCCGGCCGCTTTCAAGTTTAAACTACGTCTGGGTCGCTGTGCGGTTTATGATGCTATTTATGCAGATTGAGGATGAATTAAAGCGGTTACGCAACCCGTTGTGGGTTCGCGCATACGAGCAGGAACCATCAATGATGCGAGAGAAGAGGTTGTCACTTACAATGCTAGTGCTTGATAGAGAGGACTTCGAGTGTATGGAGGTAATGGCTCGAGTATTCCAGAAGCCAAGGGCTGGATTCATGGAACACATCTATTGGGATGGCTTAGATGAACCCACGAAGGCGATCCGTATGGGTATGGATCCGTTGGCTGATGATGAGGCCGCGGCGTCGTGTATAGTGATGTAAAGGAGGAGCCATAGACCATCCTACTGAGCTCTTGCTTATCTTGTACTTGAAGAAGCCAGTCAATAAAATGCTTAGCTATTTACACTGACTACTTCGTCACCTTATGCTAACAACCTCTCCAAATTTTACTTGGTCATGCGGTGGAATTGTGCAATTCAGGCAATTGTCTGTTTTATTTTGATTATTCCACTGTTTATAGCACTTGAAATACAGAAAGGGAGCCAGCCTTCTTCACCTACTATTTTAAAGTTGTCAACTAACTTTACAGAGACGCGGGCTACGGGATATGTTCACTTAAATAACTATCAAGCTACAAATTATATACAAGCTGGACTAAGGTACTCGTACATGATGGGGGTATAGTATTCTAACCATATTTGTTTAGTTCTATACGCCCTATTCCTCGCTACGAGTTCCAAGGAGCTGGAATATATCATCCGACAGGGGCGATAAAGGGGGGTTCTAGCGCTTCGCGTAACTCCCCCAGATTGGCTACTCCGTAGAACCACAGGAACATCCATTTTGTACCTAGGCACTTCATGTATAAGAGAGGGCCGGCCCTGATTTTCGATTCGTTGAGCTAAACTCAACCTTCAACAACATATCAGCCCCTGCATGAATGCTGAACCTCCCTCAGATCCCTTACAACACTACATCTCAACGTGAGTACGATACGTTTCTAGCATTCTAGAGTTGGTACATGTCGCTGGACACTACCAATTAGTGAAAACGATAAAAACCCCTGATTTATGTTAACACAGTGCCGGGTACCTGCATATAGAGTGCGCATGCTCAAAAAGTATATCTCTTTACTCCGGAGTATGAGCAAGTTCGAGGCATTAATAAAGTATCAGTATCAAATAGTAGAGCTTGGAATTCAATTGGGATACTCTGTATATTGAAAACGCCACATGGATGTACCTTTTAATAACTCCTTACTCTAAGTCGTGGACATTACACATAACAACGCGAACTCTCAATTAAGCTTGCACTTCGTCACCCTTGCTCGTCGGCACTTGGGTCAGAACATCAAACGCCCCCGTACCAACCTTACTCGTCCTCCCAATCACAATCCTTGAACTTGGAGAAGAAAGATCATCCCAATCGCCATCAGTAACAGCATCTGCCAAAAAGCCGACCGTCGTCTCGAAGCTCATTTTCATAAATGGACTGACGCTTCCTCTTAAGCCATTTCGGTTGAAGGGACTGAAGCCTCCACCTCTGGTCATAAAATCAGCAATCAAATTCAAGTGACGATTATCGACACTGATTCCGTGACCACCGAAAACACCAGACAGCTCCTGAATGATGGCCGCGCGACAGGCTTCCACGCCGTAATTCGTGAGCATGGCGGCGATGTCATTTGTGGAAATCGTGTTTGGGTTGATAATGTGGGGATACGCTTGCATCGCCTTCAGATTGACACCGGCGGTATGCACGACCGGCACTTTGACCATCTTGCCCGTCGCCATATCCTTAACCTCCTCACTTGGAACATAAGTGCATGCTCCAAGACCCTGAATCTGTTGTACAATACTCTTATGCAGAGCCTCTTCGACAATGGTGAGCATGAGGATTTTGGGAACATCTGCCGGGTATTCGAGTGAGATTTCGCACCACTCTCCCCCGGCCTCATCAAAGCGGAAGCCGACCACATCCTCGCATTTCTTCATTACTTGCGCTTCACGATCCGCAGCAGCGGTCGTGGTAGGCCGGTTTTGAGTCCCGCCCTTGGTTATATCTTCTTCGTCGTCGCTGCCGGGCTCGCGGGGGCTACCACCGATCCCCTCATCTTCCATATCGTCCATATCGTCCATATCGTCTAGCTCGGCCTCCTTCCGCATCTCGGTTTGCACTTTGTCATCATCTTCATCGTTTGCTGCATAGCTAATCGCCTGCCCACGATTCGCCCTCAGCTTGTCATTGGTGGCATCCTCATCGTCTACATCATCCTCATCATCGACGTCCTCACCGTCGTCGTCCTCTTCAGCGGGCCGCCCTGACTCAGGCTCCGGCGTCTCAGAACCCCCTCTAGGTTGTTCGGGCCCTTCAGGGAGTTTACGCACTGCCTTGCCAATTTCCAGTACTGCGCCACTCGACTTAGATGACTTGCCATCCTTCTTCCAGCCAAGCGCTTTACGGGTGAGTACTTGCAGCCTAGGCGCAAATCTTTTTTCCAGCGTAAAAAGGACGTCAGCAACGCTAATGGCGTACGTATCCATGTATTCTTGTGATGGGAAAAGTTTAACGCGGACGTCGATGATTTTGGCCGCGGAGTAGGCAATCCCTTTACCAACTCGCTCCTTGACCTGCACTTCATCTACGACTTCAGCAAGAGACAGAACACTGATAGCCTTTGCAAATTTCTCGCCATCCTCTTTGGATAATTCCGGGTTAACACACAATGTCATTGATGGTGTGGAGATATTGGTGCTTGCTGTCATAACGATCTCTCGCAGACGCGGGATACCGAGGGTGACGTTTTTAGTCGAATGACCAGCTAAATGGAAGGTGTTGAGTGTCATTTGTGTCGAAGGCTCTCCAATAGATTGTCCAGCCACAATTCCAACGGCTTCACCAGGATCAACTATAGATTTGAGATACTTCGCAACTAGCACGGGTTCTAATGCTTTGCGAACCCCAACCCCATTAGGATGTTCTTTGTCCTTGACCATTCCGTCGGGGTTCTTTTTCAAATAGTCCGTTAAGGCATCAAAAAACTTCTCCGACGTGGCGTACCCATACTTTCCAGGATTAAAAGAAGCAAGGACAGGGTCTGGGCCATTGGGATCATTGGCCTTGGTATGTTTGAGAGCCTTCTTCATCTGCTTCAGTATGCTGTCTTTCTCATCGAATATTTTATCGTAATTCGGGTCGCCGTAATTGAGTTGAGCGAGCTCGGATATGAGATTTTCCAAGAGGAACTTGAAATTCGTTAGGTGCATTTGCTTCGTCACGTCCAGACCATCCTCTCCGTAAATAAATTGCACCATCGAGCCATCCGAATCTCGGACAGAGGTATCATATTCAACTTTTAGTCCTTCCATGCCCTTAATAAGACATCTCTGCAAGTAACCGGATCTTGAAGTCTTAACTGCAGTATCAATCAACCCTTCTCTTCCCGCCATGGCATGGAAATAGTACTCCTGGGGGCGGATCCCTGACAAGAAACGGTTGACAATATAGCCTCCAGCCCTAATATTTGTCTCAAAAGGCCTGAAGCATGGTAGTGATTTCCCACTGATCATAACAGGAACACGACGTCCTTCCAAGACCTGCTGTCCCAGATTGCACGAAATGAGATTCGCATTGACACCGCTGCCTTTGGCACCGGAAACAGTCATGTTCTGCATTTGATTCTTCGGGAATTGCTTGACCAGCCCAAGGGGGAGGCATGCCCTTGTGATATCCGACGATAAGGTCCCCGAGCGACTGTTCATCAACCTATCAAGACCAGCTTGTTTGCTGTCATCCCTCACCACATCCTCCAATCGATCCATCAACTCCGGATCCGTTTCACCTGGTTTTTGATCTTGCAAGCTGACATACTTTGAGGCAACCTCAAGGCCGAGCAGCGCAGCCCCCTTCAACTTCTCTTTTCGGAGTCGCTCGCCGGCAGGAGTAAGGCGTAGATCATCCATTCCACAAGTGAAAGCCCTAATATGCAAGAACTTCGTGAGGAGACGGCCTAGGATGCTCAACGTCTTACCAGCTACAGTAGGACCGTACACCTCGTGTATGGCGTGGATGAATCCACCACCGCTCGGTCCGATTTGGGACTTATCGAGGATACCGGTGACAAATTCTCCACCTTTGAAATGGACTATCCCTTCTTCCGAGGAAGGCCCCCACCGATCCGCTGGGACTGATGATTTACTAGTAAGGACTAGAGGTGCACAGTCCAGTGGCTTGATATTCTTCAAGATCGTGGTAATGACCTGCTTTCCCGTCCATAATGGCACTGGTTTGATAATCGCAGGGGTGACGGTTTCTATGCGATCCCCAACTATATGACCACTTTCAGGTCGCAGGCAATTGTAGATTAACTGTTGATAAGTGGCACGATCGAAGAAAGTATCTCGATTACACATCCATACTGAGACGGAGATATGATCTTGGATGAGACCTCGCAGCGGTTTTCCCGATGTTGCTACCAGGTATTGGTGGTCAGTATCTGCGATCTGCAATGCTTCGGCTCGCGCGATTTCATTCTGGGGGAAATGCATGTTCATCTCGTCTCCATCGAAATCCGCATTGTAGGTGTTGCAGTTTGCATAGTGCATGCGAATAGTTTTCTCGTTTGGCAGGACTCTCGCTCGGTGGCCCATGATGGAAGGCTTGTGGAGAGTTGGTTGCCGGTTCATCAACACCACATCACCATTTGTAAGATGTCGATGCACTTTCTTATTGCGAGCCCCACTAATATTGCTGGCAGAGGGGGCAAGCAGTTGGTTTGCCAGGGCAAGTCGCTCATCCGGGGTTTTTGTGCGTAAGTTGATAACTTGTCCATTCTCGTTCTCGACGGCTGCAGCCCCAGGCCACTTATCAAAACCGTTCATGACCGCTTGCTGCATGTCCTTGAAGTTATGGCTTGTGACGGGTTCGGGGTAGGTCAGCTTTGTCGCAAATGCAGGCGGGACTCCAATCTCGTTCGTTTCGATATTAGGATCGGGAGAGATGACACTGCGTGCAGCGAAATTGACACGCTTGCCCATCATATTTTTTCTAAACAACCCTTCCTTCTTCTCTAACTTCTGCTTGATTCCATCCTCGTTCTGTTTGCCTGCGGCGCCTTGAATAGGATTGCGATCCTTATCTATGAGGGAGTTGACGTAGTCCTGAAGTTGGCACCAAGCTTCTTGAAGGTCGAACCAGTCCCTTTTGCGCAACGACGGATTATCTGCCGTCTCTACATCCATCATGTCCCGATGGATATGAGCGATAGTTTCACAGCCTTTGAGAATGCCCTTGTAGAGGGTATTTTGTGCTGCTTCCGTTATTTCGCCATCTCCGGTTCTTGCTTCTGGACGGTATTTATTGGGTGGAACCAGTAAGGTCTGTAAGAAAAACATATCGGCCGTCACTTTCGTCGCCTTCTTGGCTGCCGAACGCGAGTCGTAGACCAGGGATAATATTTCCTGCTCCTTCTCAAAAAGTAGTGTCAACTGTGCCTTGACTTCCATAGGATTCATATATTCTTGCGCGGCCGCCGGCGTCGCTTTTATCTTCGTTCTGGACCCTTCCATAACTACATCCCCGTCAACATCGAGACTCTCCCCTTGGCCCTCCTCGTCCTCGTCCTCGTTCGAAGACAAATCGATATCGGCGATGCCCTCATCAATATCGCCATCGAACCTCCCCTTCTTTTGACCCTGCAGAACTTCAACAGCGCTTACAACACGGAAGTTCCCCTGCGACATCTTTGCCTTCTCCTTGGGGGTCAAGGTTTTCCGAAAGATTTTAACAAAGCGGTCTTTTCGATAAGTCGGTGAAAGGCCTTTACAGTTCCCGCATATTCTTCCAACTGATATAGACTTCAGGAAATCTTTGATGGCAGTTCGTCGTGCTTCCGCTACAGCTTCATTCTTCTCCAGGTGCCAGTCCCAAGCTGATCCCTTCGCTGCTCTTATGGATTTCTTCACAAAGGCATTTCTAAGGCGTATAATCTTTTCGGCCGACGATTCATCATCTGATTCACTGCTGCTTTCTCCAGAGCCTTGGTTGTTAGAGACATCGATATTCTCGATTTCTTCTGCCGCCCCAAGAAGACCATGTTGTATCAATCGAAGCTTGCAATGGTAGCGATTGACCTCCCTCCGAGATAATCTGAAACGGTGGCAGTAGGGGCATGTGGCTCGTAATAGCCTGAGAAGTTGGGTCATGAATGTAGGATGGTAGACTGGAGTCGGTAGGTCGATATGGCCCACATGGCCGGGACATATTGGGGATTTTAGGTTACATGTTGTGCAGCTATTCTTTTGTTCAGCACATGCTTTCTTCTCAAATTGATAGACTTACATGTTATCTCCCCATGAGCCGAGAGCTGGGTCATATAGACCTCCCGGAATTGGATGTAAAAGAGTATCAAATGTAACAGGATTCTCAATGCGCTTGACAGAAAGCACCTTGATCTCGTCGGGTGTGAGAAAGCCAAAGTCCACGCTGCCAATGGCTGATGGAACTGGCTGAGATATATTCATCCTGCCAGAATCCGGTGGCAGAGTAGACGGCGTGCAATAGTAAAGGGCCAGAGGCTGTCAGTCAATCTGGTGGGGGAGGTTCATGCTTCCTCAAATTTCTGTTGTTTCTTGATCGGCGTTAAAAAAAATAAGTTTCCGGATTGCGCACGTGATCTTATCGCAAACAGAGCTCAAGCTTTATGGCTTAGTCACCCACATGCGCCAGGCCCGGAGTTTTTGTGCCTTACCGCAGCCTGCACATCCCGGCCCGCGATGCTTTATTAACGTTATCAACATGTCCAAATCTATTTTCGCAATTTCAACGAACAATCACTATTCCAACATAGGATTCGTGACGGGCAAAGCCAAAGCCACGATCTTCCCCTGAAGAGAGCCGGGTAACAGTATCTGCCATCATGGATCGAGGTAGAGCGTCACCCATCCTCGCTCCTCGCCACGACTCATCGAGCCGTGTTGCAAAACCCGAGTCCGCAGCAGAGAAGCTTGCCTCCTTGAAAGCTAGAGTCGCTGCAGCCGTGGGCAGTAGCAAGTCGAAGCAGACGGGACTTAATGTTGCTCCCCATCCTATATTGGCCAAGGGCGGGCTGAACGTTGATCTACATCCTGCGCTACAAGATCTTGGACAATACAAACCCTCAAAGACCGTCGCGCCCAAGTTCGCAACTAGCATCGGCAATGCACGGCCACAGCCTGAGAAGGCCGCCGCGAAGACGAAGAAGCAACTTGATCTTTCCGGGCCTTCGGCTGAGGAGACGCGGAATAACCCATATTTTGATATGAGCCTGGGAGGACAAACGGCGACTTTAAAGAATAGGCATTCGAGGCAGCTGGTTTTCAATCAGAAGGGCAAATATATCCAGCAGGCAAATGCACTCCGAAGACAGGCCGCCCTCGAGGCGATGAAAAAGCGCATCGCGGAATCATCACGAAAGATAGGCATCGACGAGGACCTCGATACGGAAAAGAACTTCCTCATCGAATCGCCCCCCGATATCGAATGGTGGGACGAAGGTCTAGTAGACGCCAAGAATTACGACAATATCGACGACGTAAACAACCTCAAGATAGATACCGTCGACTCTATAATAACAGAATATATCCAACATCCCGTCCTACTAGAGCCTCCGCAGGAGAAGAACATACCTGCTCCGAAACCTATGTTCCTGACAGCGAAAGAGCAAGCGAAATTACGCCGTCAGCGACGAATGGCGGAGCTGAAGGAACAGCAAGCTAAAATTCGCCTGGGTCTCGAGCCTGCGCCGCCCCCCAAGGTCAAGAAAGGAAACCTTATGCGAGTATTGGGCGAAGAAGCCGTGAAAGATCCAACGGCAGTCGAAGCGCGCGTGAACAGGGAGATCGCAGCCCGGCATCAAACACACGTCGAAATGAATGAGGAGCGGAAACTCACGAAAGAACAGCGGCATGAGAAGCTTGCATTGAACCAGGACAAAGATGCGGCGAAGGGTATCCGACTCATGGTCTTCAAGATCGATAACTTGGCCAATGGTAGCCACCGCTTTAAAATATCGAAGAATGCGGAGCAGATGGCTCTCACGGGGATCTGTGTCATGCATCCAAGATTCAATCTAGTGATTGTGGAGGGCGGTGAGCATAGTATACGCCAATACAAAAAGGTTATGATGCAGCGGATTGACTGGACCGAGAACTCACCAACGCGGATCAAGGAAGGCACAAAGGCGGAGGCTTTACAGGACTGGTTGAAGGCAGAGGATGAGAAGGGAGAGTTAAAGGATATGACATTAAATAAGTGTGTCCTGGTTTTTGAGGGCGAGGAGAAGGCCAGAGCGTTCAGGAAATGGGGAAGTAAAGTTTGTGAGACGGATAGTGCGGCGAGGGAGGCTCTGCAGAGGGCGAAGATGGAGAATTTCTGGGCCTTGGCTAAGAGTATGAAGTAGCTACTCTGGGTTCTAATCGGAAGACTCTTATCTGGACTCGTCTGCCAGAATGCCATTAACATCATCTTCATATATTGGAGCTTAAGGGGGGCATAAAATAGCATACAATATGACCTCTTCTATTTTGGGCAATCACGCGTAATGATCCATACCCATATTAGTTGGTATCGGTATGTAAAGCTCTTAAACTGTACTTGAGTTTGATCCCCTTCAGCTAGTATAGAGCAAGAGGCAACGCTATAGGTTCTAGTAATCTGGTGGATCACAAATTCGCTTATGTAACGACAAAGACTGAAGAAAACCTGTAGCCTAATTTGACCGCCATCCTTAATAACCGTGACAGCCTACCTAGGTAGGTATAATACACCCACTCTTTTGAATCACTCTATAATGTTAGCCTTTATTGTACATCCTTCGTAGCGATTTCAGCCTCGCGTAGCTCGTAAGGTGGCTATAGACTGCAGCCTTGCATTCGCTACGGCAGCTCTATAAACTTGGCCGGTGGACCCTTGCCTTGCCTTGCCTCGCGAAAGGCTTCAACATCAAATCGGCATCGCGGAAACGTCAGGATGAAGTTCAACATCGAGTATGAATCCACTAAGCTCAGACTGAGAGTGATACTGAGGGCGAGGCTAATTATGAACTCAGCGATTTACCCGTTTTGTTTCCTTATCCAAGGATATACCCAGGTAAGAGGGTGGCGTACAGCAGACGGACCTGGGACTGAAAGCTAACGGTTCAACTTAGAGCAATATGCGTAGGTCATGATCGCCCGACAAGATAAGGTGATGATTTGCTTACTGTGTGTGAAATTGTAGCTACATGTGCGATCTCAAAAGTAAGTTTTCGTCAAAACCGCCACACCTCGTTTAGTATGGTTGCTGAAGCCTGGCGCAGGAACGCTCGATGCAGGAGGTCACTGTGTGCTGGAAATGCCGTCTGGCACGGGAAAAACAGTGTCTCTGTTGTCACTCATCATAGCCTATCAACAATACTATCCTGAGCATCGGAAGCTGATCTACTGTTCACGTGAGTGGCTGGCCATATCGAGCGCCCAGCTCCCTCATGGACAAGTCTAATATGTCAAAGGTACCATGTCGGAGATTGAGAAAGCCCTAGCGGAACTGAAAGCTCTTATGAAGTATCGAGAAGAGCAGCTTGGGCGTAGCGAGGAATTCCGTGGTCTCGGGCTTACCAGTCGGAAGAATTTGTGTATCCATCCCTCGGTCAGGCGAGAGAAGAGTGGCGCTATTGTCGACGCAAGATGTCGCAGTTTAACTGCTGGGTTCGTAAAGGAAAAGAAGGAGAGGGGCGAAGATGTGGCAGTGTGCGTTTATCATGATGTACAGAAAAGAGACTCCCTGTCACTCTACGTACAACGCTTGCTAACATGGTTAGAACCTCGACCTTCTCGAGCCTCACAACCTCATTCCGAATGGTGTTTGGACTTTGGACGGCATCATGAGATATGGCGAAGAGCACAAACAATGTCCATATTTTACATCGAGGCGGATGGTTGGTACTCACAAACTCTTAGAAACCCAGTACTAATATGTTTGAAAGATGTCATTCTGCAACGTTATCATCTACTCGTACCATTACCTCCTCGATCCCAAGATTGCCGATCGGGTATCAAAAGAGCTTTCTAAGGACTGCATAGTTGTCTTTGATGAAGCACATAACATCGATAACGTCTGTATCGAGTCGCTAAGCACGGATATCACAGAAGATTCCCTTCGGAAAGCAACCCGCGGCGCACAAAATCTAGAGAACAAGATCATGCAAATGAAGGATACTGATGCGGATAAGCTCAAGAACGAATATGCTAAGCTCGTGGAAGGTTTAAGGGATGCTGGGGATGCTCGTGATGAAGATGCCTTTATGGCGAATCCTGGTTCGTATTCTGATGATATCGTGCCATGCGCCTAGCTAAAATATCTCCAGCCCTTCCCGATGATCTTCTCAAGGAGGCTGTTCCGGGAAACATTCGAAGAGCAGAGCATTTTGTTGCCTTCCTTAAACGTTTCGTTGAATATCTCAAGGTAACGGCAATAATCCAGACAACGAGATCGTAGAAACTAACGTGATGATAGACTCGGATGAAAGTCCGTCAAGTGATTTCCGAGACACCTCCATCTTTCCTCGCACATCTAAAAGAGTACACGTTCATAGAAAAAAAGCCCTTGAGATTCTGCGCCGAACGCCTAACCTCCCTCGTCCGAACCCTGGAACTAACCAACATCGAAGACTATCAACCTCTCCAAGATGTAGCAACTTTCGCCACCCTCGTCGCAACCTACGAAAAAGGCTTCTTGCTCATCTTAGAACCATACGAAACCGACACCGCCGAAGTCCCCAACCCCGTCCTCCATTTCACCTGTCTCGACGCCGCCATAGCCATTAAGCCCGTCTTTGAGCGCTTCAGCTCCGTCATCATCACCTCGGGGACGCTCTCGCCTCTAGAAATGTATCCCAAGATGCTAGGCTTCACAACCGTAGTCCAGGAATCATACAGCATGACCCTGGCACGGCGTTCCTTCTTACCCATGATCGTCACCAGGGGCGCCGATCAGATCCCCATGTCATCGGGCTTCCAAGTCCGCAACGAAGCCGGTGTCGTAGGGAACTACGGCCGTCTCCTAACCGAATTCGCCAAACTAACCCCCGACGGTCTCGTCGTCTTCTTCCCATCCTATCTATACATGGAATCCATAATCAGCATGTGGCAAGGCATGGGAATCCTCGACGAGATATGGAAATACAAACTAATCCTCGTCGAGACGCCCGATGCCCAGGAAACCTCGCTGGCGCTAGAAACCTACCGCACAGCATGCTGCAACGGCCGCGGCGCCATCCTGCTCTGCGTCGCGCGCGGGAAGGTCAGCGAGGGCATCGATTTCGACCACCAGTACGGCCGCGCCGTGCTGTGCATCGGCGTCCCGTTCCAATACACGGAGTCCCGCATCCTGAAGGCCCGTCTGGAGTTCCTACGCGAGACGTACCGCATCCGCGAGAATGACTTCTTGTCCTTCGACGCTATGCGGCACGCAGCGCAGTGTCTAGGCCGTGTACTGCGCGGCAAAGACGATTACGGCGTCATGGTACTCGCCGACCGACGTTTTCTCAAGAAGCGCAATCAGCTCCCTAAATGGATCAACCAGGCCCTAGTCGAGGGCGAGGTGAACCTAAGCACGGATATGGCGGCCGGCGCGGCGAAGAAGTTCCTACGCAGCATGGCGCAGCCGTTCAAGGCTAGTGATCAAGAGGGCATCAGTACGTGGAGCTTGCGGGATCTGGAGCGTTTCAAGGAGAAGCAGGAGGAAGAGGCGATTCGTGCTTTGCAGGAGGAGAGTGCTAATGCGGGGGATACGATGCAGGGTATTAGGGAGGGGAATGAGGCGGTGGTGAATGAGGTTGCTGTGGGGAATGCTGCGGATGAATTTGATGATGATGAGTTGGAGGCGGAGATGATGCAGATGGGTGGGGGTTGATACGTGGCGTTTTCGGCTTCCTTACGGTATGTATATTTTGATTAAAAAAAAGGTGTTCGGAGCTGGATGGATATTTCAAAATGGCCTCATCAATCAAACCTGCCTAGTACGCTACACGCTTCCAGAACTCAAATCAAATTGTCTATCTCATCACCAAAAATCTCATAGAAGCCCCTCGCTTAGGATCCCAAAATATCCAGATGTGCTTTTTATATTTCCCACTTTTAGAAACGACTGGTAGGTAGATAGGTAGGTAAGTAAGTAATACCGTAGGTAGTTGTTCTTAACTTCGCCTATATATACGAGAAAGCGCCCCAAGGTAATCCCCATCCGAAGCATAAATTCATCCCGTACGAGTATACCCATACCAAACAAGCCCGTTCCTTACGCCGAACAGCCAGCGTAGCCAGCTAGGCTTTAAAATCCACCAACAAACATTCAAATCAGGCAATTCATTCATCGTGCCCCAAAAGACAAAGATAAATCTCAATCCGTAAAAGGTTCTGTCCCAGTTTCCTTGATCCAAGAAGGAAAGGGGCATATACAAAAACTATTTCGAATCCCCCCCAAAAAAAAGAAACTTTGATCCGGGAAATGGGGGGCCGGGTCCAGGATAAACATCCGAATAATCGTAAATAGCGTCCTTATATCAATGGGGCTACCTGAGCCCAAACACCTTTCCATTCATCCATCCCACGCACGTCCAACGGTCGAATGATAAATAAATAAATAAACTCTCGTGGCGAATAAACATAAATATCCAAAAAACGAATGCCAGATAGATCCGTATCATAAACCTCATAAATCATAAATATTCCTTTCACTCAACTCGCTCGTCAGAAAAGAAAAGAAAATTAAATAAAAAAGGCAAGAATTATGATCGCGCATAAGGTTTATTCATAGCAGCGACTTCGCGGGCAATCTCAGGCCACTCGAGTTCCCTCTTGAAACGGCTGCCGTTTTGGGTTCCGCCTCGGAGTTTCTCTTCCCATTTGAGGAGTTCGTAGGAGAAGCGGAGATGGGGTTGGATTATAACGTTGAGGCGTCGAGCGCGGACGAAACAGTATGCGCGCGGGAAGGAAAGGTTTAGGGATCTCATGACTTCGGCGATGCATATTGTTGCAGAGCGGGAGACGCCGACACGGCAGTGGACTAATGTTGCAGTGTTTTGCGCTCTTCCTCGATCTGTTTGCCTAGGTTAGTAACGATCTGGGAGGGAGGATGTCGAGGGAGTGGAATTTGCACATACCAATAAACTCTAAACACCTCTCAAATTCGTCGCTGAGCGGGTCAACTCCATTGTCTTGCACTCGCTGAATATTCATCACATTATCTTTACCCCAGGATTCCAGCTCCCCGTCCTTCCATGAAGCGGTCTCGCCCACGCTTAAAATTTGCCTTATTCCCATTTGCTTTAGCAGGTCAGGATTATTGGCATGGCCCAGGTTACCTAAGTACATGTAATCAGTTACCCGAGATGGTAGGGAGCCATCGATATTTCTGATCCATTCCGGCTCCTGCTTTGCGAGTTCTGTGATATCAGAGAGGGACTTTTCAGCGTGGACGGGCGATTCCGAAAGTAGACGCGGAGCGATGGACGCCAGAAGTGCCACATCAGATGGGTAGGCAAAGAAGTTCCGACGTTTAGACATGTGAAGTTCTAGCCAGGCGGTAGGAACCGGCAGCCCAGTAGCGTACGTGAAATATGCGAGACCGAGGAGGGTAGACTCCGTGTAGCCATCAGCGCAGTGGATGAGTATTTTCCTCTCTCGTGCTTGGAGAGGCGGTGTTTCCAGTGATGGCATGGGAGAATCTCCCTCCGCATCGGCCGTCTCTTGGTTGCTAGATGTGAGGGGTATGGTCCCATGAGATAGGTTATAGAGCCATTTGCAGGTCTCTAAAATCCCGTCTGCTTCAGCATGTGACCATGTGGGTGGCATCATGCTCCCTGAGGAGGGGAATTCAATATGGATCGGCCTCTCCTCCTCAGCTGTGTTTTCTGCGATTGCCTGTAAAACAGCCACATTCAGACGACCCAAATCGCTACACTCAATGAGAATGTCGAATTGATCCTCCGCTTCTAGCAAGGACGGGTCTATGGCAGGGTCGGGAGTAGGGCCCAGCCATACATTGTGATCTATTTCTGATGCTCTCGTCATCGTACACATCTCGACTCTTTCCTGGTGGAAGAAGTCGAGGACTTTCCCAGTTAGCTGACCTCTAGCATCCGTGGCTACTATATCGGCATGGTTCTCCTCAAACTCCGTAAAAGGACTGGTACAGATGAAGGTATTGTACTGGGGGATATCCTGCCCCTTTTCTTCGTGTACGTCTCTCCAGGCCTGTTGGGCTGCGGCTACATCCGTCGCCAACGCCTGCACAGCCAACGGATCATCTCCATATACAATGATATCGGAGACCATGGCCGATTTTGCAGCTTGGATCTGGAAGTTGCGCACCGAAAAGCCTTCCTTGGGATCAACCTCGGAAAAGGTCGTCCCTTCTACACTTTGAAGAAGGAACTCCTCGGGGGCAATTGCACCTTTTAGCCTGGCACGCCCCAAATCCCCACCAGCCTTGACAATTGTGATGCCCCGCAAACATTGTGGCGTCCGACGTAGATTCCGCCGCCGCGCAATAAAGAAAGCCTGCTGAATATGATTGCATGGATGGAGGCCGTGAAACCAAGGGAAGACCAAGGAGGGGTCTGGCAGTGGCTGGCGGGCGCTGTGATCGAGAGCAGCAGCTACACCGGCAGCATCAATCTCATAAACGTGCAAAGAAGCTGGCCCCAGGACTCGCGCTATGTAGTTGTGGGGTGGATGCAGGAGGGAACATGGCACCAGCTCGTTCTCTTTCGTCGGAGGGGATTGGGGAGGAGAGTCTGGTTTCTCGGTCGGGAGCGGAACGGGAGGGAAGACGGGTAGCGATCTACCGGCGCGGTAATCTGGGGGAGGACTATTAAGGGTTTCAAGCGTGAGGGTCGGTGTCGTTGAGTGCATATGTGTAGAAGGGATCGGACGTGGCAGGACGACGGTCGTCATGATTGATTTTGATTTTGGGAGGGGGGAGGGCACGAGCAATGCTACGCAAAAATGGCCCTAGCTAGCAAATATGGTGATGTGCCAGGGCGCGCGGCATGTAGGAGGAGAATAGTTGGGACGGGACGGCGCTGCGGAGGGGGCTCTGGCCGAGGATAGATATATAGGTTGATACGGAGAGGAGGCCGTATGACGATTGTGATGATGCTGCTTGCGAATAGCTAAAATATACTGTGCTGTACTGTACAAGTTGTTGAGAGGGGGGGATGATGATGTGGAAGGATGCTAATGCCTGCAGATGCCAATGCAGCAAATGGCTGGTGTTTAAACTCTGGGTGGAGAGGGGAGCATGGCGTATAGTCCGTAGGTTTCGGGGGCGAGCTTTGAGGGGAGTTGGGGATGGAATTACAGCTGTAGTAGACCTGGACTCGGCGGTGACGGCGAAGATGTTGGATGAAGAACGACGGAGGACTGCGAAGATGGTGAGGTGGTGAGGTGGTGAGTGAGACAAGAGCAAAGAGGGGAGATCGGGGGGGGGTTAGGTTAGTGGTGCTAGCGGTGTTGGTGGGAGGGATTAGGGGGCGAGACAGCCCGTGGAGAGCCAGTGGGGAGCCACTAACGGCGACTCAGGCTGGCAGACGGGGCGCTGCACGCTGTGTGCTACTGGGCGCAACAGGCACGTTAGGGGGCCGCCACAGGGCACCTACAGGGCACTCCCAGGCACTACAGGGCACTACAGGGCACTACGCCGCCTAACACAGACGACTGGAGCACACCACGCTGCGTGGCCAGCACTACTGTAATCGCCCTTATCGCATGGGTTCCGATAGCGATAGATGATAAGCATCCACGCCCCACTGCCGGGGAGGGAGAGGGAGGTGGGCAACGTAACCTGGGGATATAATAATATAATTACGGTACAGAGCACAGAGCACAGAGTACAAACGCATACCTGACTATTATTATTGTCTACCCAAGTACCGACACCCACAGCACCCTCAAAACCCTTACAGCCACTTTGTACCAGATCCACGTCTCAACCACTGTCAATCACCGCCCACCCAACGGTCCCAACCCAATCCCCCAGCCACAGCCACGCCCGCTGGCATGATTGGTAGTTGCCGTTGTGGCTGCGGTGCCGGCATAACCCAAGGGCCCCGTTCCCATGTTCCCATATCACCACAGCAGCAACAGCCCAAGCGGACCAGTGAACCGTCGCAGTCGTGGCGAACAGCCTGCGCCAAATGACACACACACTACGAGCAGCACGATGACCTCTTATCGGGGACATATCATACCGTCCTGTACATATGTACCGTACCATGTACATGTACCTATAATAGCACCATCTTCACACACTCTCTCTCTCTTCTTAATCGTGGTATTGATAATATCTCAATTGCCTTACCTACCACTCGAGGACTCCGAAATAGCAAACAGAGATCCCCTCACCGAGTGATCCGCCTGCAGTTGGTGTTTGCTTGTTGGTGGCTTGCTGCAGCAACTCCTCGCCGATCCTCGCCCTTTGAAGCCAGACTGGGACGTTCTCAGCCTCTAAATTCCTGTGGTTGTTTAACCTGAATCCCCACTCACTGCCACTTACTCACTTCTACTCGGTACTTACTGATTGCTACTCACTCATTTACCTTACCCACCCACCCACTTCGGCGTGTTATCAGAATACAGCCCACGTGACCCCTCGCTGCTTTGCTCACCTTCCCCTCACCAGGCTCACCTCACCATCGTTCACGCGCAGCCTCTACCCATCAAATTCGATTATACCTGCTCAGGAAACCCAGACTGCTAGAGGGGAGTCGCAGATATTCTTTCAGCACACTTGAGACAGTCAGGCTCAATAAGAACGTCCCGGAATAGACGAGCTCCAGTGTTTCTGTTTACAAGCCCCCTTATCAATGGGAATTCCCCATTGGCGGCGGAATCGTACGCCGCAGTTTTCCGGGCGGCATATCTGGCGATGCTTGACCAAATCCTAACTGTACTGAACTATTTAGCGCACTAGAAGAAAGCTCGCAAGAATATGTTGTCATCCTGAGCTAGCAGAAACGTGTTGCTACAGCAGCGTATATCATATCTATCCTAAGAATAACTACCAGCGAATCCATTTTTAGAGCCCCTCCTCTGCTGCAGTGTTTCAAACCTCAACGAAGTACGTACCGCTAGAAGGTCGGGCGCTTAGCCTACAATGCCCTACATAGCGCAAGGAACGAAACTACCCGTAGGACCGCCTACCTAAGTATCGGTCCGAAGCGTCAATGCCATCTCCATTGGCTCTAGGGCTGTGCCCTAGGTCGCTCTATGTTTCGCAGTGTGGTAGAGCAGCCAGGATGGCGTCCAGTAGAGCATAGATGCATTCAAATATCAGTGCCTCTTATGATTCTTCCAGGAATGGCAACATCTTGCGTGTCTCTTCTAGAGATTTGTCTCCAGTCATTTGATCAAGGAACAAGTTGAGGAGATTCCCGGTCCATACCCGCATTTCAGCAAAGTCGAGTTCGGGAGAAATCCAACCCTCGTCATCTGTGCTCAGATACTCCTTCGCGAAATCTCGTGTATCCCTGAATTGGTCCTCATAAGCACATAGCTCGTATTTTTGAAATGAGAATGGGCAGGTGCCCGGCAGTTTCAAATCCCCCCAGGATGTGAAGAGTTCGATTAGACACGCTCGCAGAGTGAAACAACCAACCTCCCAAGTTTCACCACAGCGAAGGAATAGTTATCAAAACACTGGAGGAACATTCATAGCGTCGTGATGAACTCGATCGTTGATAACGTTGCTAACTTCATACGCCTTCGTTCTGTTGGTAAGCCCCACTTGGTATTTCGCGATTTCCTGTTCTTCCGGACCTAGCTGGCCATAGTCATCCAGCAATTCTAGTTGAGTAAATCCGGTTTTATAGTCCTTGGGAGGCGTCACAAATTCCGGCCAACACGCCTATGAGAATGTGGGGGCGACCTGGACGGACTGCCGGTTGATAAATGACAAGATTTGGGAAGGATCCTGCTCTGAGACGAATATATTGCCCATATGGAGATCAGTGTGCCATAGGCGAGGCTGCGAGCTGCTTGCAAGCAGTGGATAGACCTCCAACGATCTCATAGCCATGACGGCCGTCTGAAGGAGCGAAATTTGTTCGCTGGCTGTGCCATAATATATCAAACTGGCATTGTGCCTCGGCGTATTCAGGATGCAGAAGATTTCTCTTTTTGTAAGCATCTCCTCACCGTACGAAGAGAGGGAAGGCCCTATCTTAAATAGGCAGTTAGCTCTTCCGCTCGTCACCAAAATTTGGGAAATCCCTACAAGGCCCTGGGTTGAAATCATGCTCGATAGTTCCCCCGCCATAATCGACTATCCAAGACGTGTCACTTGATGGCCCGACACAGTACAAACTAGAGGTATCTATGTCAAAGAGGAGTGTAACTCGCTTGTCCTCGGGGATGTGGGACGACTCGGAGAGGTACAAACTCCCACAAGCGGGAAATTGAATAGATGCTAACTGCCTTTCCAAAAATTGTCAGCCGTTTGATAAAGGCCAACTTGGCGCTGTCCTTCATAGCATCCCACACCTCGAAGAGTTGCACCCCAGGGGCTTTCTCCATAATAATGAATTCGGCGCCCACAGGATTGGAAGCGTCGGAGCTCCACGCGAATATCTCTGGAACGGGAAACGATGTATTGCTTTTTACTACATAAAAGTAAGCTCTAGGTCATAGGCGGTGAAAAGGGCTCCGAGGAGTGGCACATACACACCATATTTCATAACTGCGACTTCACACGCAGTCGTGGACGAGGCGGGTCCCGCAATTGGGAACGGTATCTTCGCTATAACCTCTGTTCCATCCTCCTTGCTCATCCGCAGTGCCTTGCTAAAGCCACCTTCCATCTTGTCGACTGAGTTGACACCGCATTTCGACTTGCCGACGGAAGAAGCAAGTTCCCAGAGCCTGTCGAAATCAAAATTCACATACCGGCGGCGGTCGCACTGGTACTTTTCGTCGACTAAGATGTGACCATTGGTATATCTGTAAATCTCATCTCGGTCTACTGGTCTCCCTTGGGTATCGATCAGCCATCAACAGCTACGAACAGTCGAAATAGCTACCTCGACACGTAATTGAGATGTTTCGTGATGGAGATAACAGCAAGTGGAGGGCAAAGCCTTGAAGATCGACAGTATTAATACAGAAGCAAGATGAGTGCATACCAAGCTCTCAAGTATTCCTTGCTATCAAATTTCGGACACGGATTCCATAATTCGCCGTCTGATTTCAGTTATGATTTCAGGGATGCGGGGATAGAAATCACGCCGTTTTCAAGCTCGGACTCTAAGCCAGGATCAGGCTTCGGAAGGACTTCCCTGATCCCGCGCCGCACTTCGGAGCTCAGACTTCTGGTTCCTCTTTAGCCTTACATTGCTCATTTTCTGGCGGGTCATTAATTAATTGCAAACGACCGGAGAGACCCGTTGCAAAGTCTCTTTCAACTGCAAATCTGGCATCAAGTGGAGATTTTCCATCTTTGCAGGGACATCATATCCCGCACTCCTGGCAATGTCAATTGGCTTTATGCAATGGATAGGGGGGTATCTTTCGGTTACGGGTATTATATCCTCGTCGCTTTCAGCCAATGGCGATATTTTCAAGATTATAGATGCGATAGTGAGCCTTTCTGCCTTGCTCCAGTTAACGCCCTCTCGGTACATTTCATAGATTCTGATACGTTGTTCACGATTTCGTGAACAAGCCGATTCCCAACCCAATTGAATGCCCTAAGTTCTTGGGTTCTGAGTTGGCCTTCGGACGACTTGAGCTCGTGGGGGGGTACCCCCCTCGAGGAGTGAAGAGAGATTATCTTAGAAGATAGCCTCTGTCTCTTATACACATCTAGATGTGTATAGGGGGGATAATAGAAGCTGCCTCTCATATTCCAACTCTAGTCGAGTTCATAAAAGGGGCACGAGAGAGCGTGGTGAGGCGCTCTATCCCAACTTAGAAGGAAGGAGGAGATAACAGAAGGAGGGCAGAAAGGCTTCACAGAATCTGGGCTTCACCTCTGCCCCCAAATCGAATATCTCATAGAAGTGCACAAAATACAATATCTACAAAATACTAAACAGCTGGGGTACAAAAAATGGGTTGTACAGTGGTTCAATTCTTCTCTGTGGCTCCTAGAATTGTAAAAAGGATACTGGCTTAAGACTCGGTATCTATAATATAACAAACGCCACCCTCCTATACAGTAAATAGCAATAAAAACAAACCGATGCTCCCCGTTGGAGCATCATCGAGTCTGTGATAAAAGATTTATCATTGCGCCAAAACATCAGCGAATGATTAACGCCGCTAGCCTAAATTGTCACATAAAAGAGTCAACAAGACCTCCCTCCTATAGCATGAAAAATTAAATACTTTTTTGATACCACGCGCCTTACGTACTACACAGCCTTCCTGAAATTTCCTGCGGAGATCTTATTCAAGCCCTTGAAACAGTCCAATCAGTTCGGACAGCAATCTGGGAAGGAGGCGGGAAGTTTGGAGATGTTAATCTCTTCTCTGAACCACGGTCGTCAAGAGATTCCGCTGTATCTTCATATAATTGCTTCTTGCCGTTGTTGGCGCCGCCCGGTGTGTAGTTATTCAATTCCCATGTGTCGTCAACTAGGGTTGCAGCTCCATATGATCTCGCGGATCCACCCATTTTGTTACCAGCAGATTTATTTCTGGAGCCGGCTGTGGCCTCGCTATCCTTGAATTGATCACCGGTCCCCTCGTTCAGCCGGGACGATGTCATCTTCTGCTTGTACCGCCTATAAAATGGGCGGAGCAGCGGAATACTGTTGCAACAAACGACGTTAGCGATTTTCTTATCAGAGATATTAGGGCAGCGGAGTAGGGAGTGATGGTGGGCACTTGCCTGACAGCAAGGATTCCAAAGTTGATTTCTAAGATGCCTAGTAAAACCGCCGTGTCCATAGTCCCAGTCAGGTTTGTTGATAGACGGATACTGTAAAGGTTTACTAGACGTGCAGTGCTCAGTGCCACGGTTCTTTTACACGAGGTTATATATTAGCTTTGATGGTCTCAGTTACGTGTAGAGTTGAACCAGGTACTCACCCAAGGCCAAGGAGGAAACAGACGGTCAGAGCAATCTTTTCTCCAGTCCGCATTTTCAAGTGCCAAATGGAGTACATAGGTAGGCCCATGATCCAGAAGTCTGAGAAAATGTTCGTAGTCACCACACTGGTATAGAGGCTCAGTGCGTCCCCACAAGTTGGATTCTGGTCAGCAGGTATCGTCAGGTCCCACTGGTATTGCACAGGCTTGCAGAGAAAGATCAAGGCAAGGTCATGGGCGACAAGCCAAACCAGCGTCATCACAATGCTAAACTTGATGATGAGTTGCATCTTTCGGCTTGGGAACATGCGTAGGTAGAAGGTCAGAAGGCTACACTTGATCGCTCCTAGTGCTTGGAGATATACCAAAGTGAAGGCGACGAGCATCTGTCACGATCGAGTCAGTGACCGTAAGAGTGTGGCGATTGCAAAGGGGTCGGGGTCGTACCTGGAGAATCTGAGGAGTGTTTGCCATCACTGCCATTTATAATAGGCACGTTAGCAATCAAATCAACTCATCGTATTCCAAGAACCGAGGCCACACAGCGATGGAACCCGAGACTTACATTGTGGGAAATATGGCTCCGTAGGTATTAAATCGTGGCCCTCACCTAGAGTCGCCCCTATAATAAGACAGTGAGCAGACTGAATCTACGTCACTTATAAGCCAGTGGTGGATAACCTACAGACGCCCTCCATGGCCAACAATGCGATGGCCATAAGCTGCAATCCAAGTCAGCTATGGGAAACCCCAGACAATGATAATTGGAATAGCTACTAACAGTCCCGAGAACCACCAAACCATCATCCCATCCTAGGCCGATTCCCCGAACGCGGCCGAGAAGTCGAAAGCCTACGACTACCAACACGAGGAAGGTGACGACACTATGGGCGATGATTTCCCCTCTTATCCTTGGCACGATTGGTACTAGGTTGGATTTAGACGCCATGATGAGGTCGAGGAAGAGGAAAAAATGTCGAGGAGGAACAAAATTCCAAGTTTCCCAAGCTACCGTCTCTTTTACATATATATCTAGGCAACTCGTAGAACTTGCCACTACCGGCAGTAGCACTGCAGCATACTGTATCGACCCCTACACCGCGCCAATCCACTGCACAATGCAGGCCACTGTTACAGCACAAATGTTTAGGGGAGGTGGTAGTACGACCGTACGAAGTACATGTCTTAGCAGACAAATAACACTCCATACCACACTGCTGTCTCGCTAAGACTAAGTATAGGTACCTGGTACCTAATACTTACGACGCCCTTGCTAAATGCAACCCCTTGTTCGCCGTTACCGTTGACCCGTAAGACTACAACGTTATACTTTGCAGGTAGGGTATTAATTGGCTCGCCAATGTACGCTGCACTACGCCTCTACACGCCCACCTAGTACTCTACGTGTACGACGCAGTCTATACCAGGTGCTGCGGGCGGAGGCTTCCTCTGAAAAGCCAGGCTCAGGGGCTGGTCTGACACCAAGGCGGCATTTCCGACTGCCGGTAAACAAGGGCTCGGGTAAATGACAGAGCCATACTGGCCTAAGGTGTTGATCGACAGTTTCGTACTACCAAGGTTTATAAGAAATCCCATATGAACTCGGAGATTGTGATACAAATAGGCATCCTGGACAAGGAGTAGGGTTACCGACGGGGACGAAAAGCAAAATGCCAAGAGATATTTATTTGCTCATTGCAGGGCAACAGGGGATAATACGTTCTAAATTGGACAGCGTTGTCTAGAACCAGGTATCTCGTACCTACGTACAGTCCCGTATGTTAACTCACACCACTCGGACCATGTAGAAACGGGGCCCCGACTGTATGTACATCTATCTCCCCTCCTTTTGTCTTGCTGATCCCTTTCGCAAATCATTATTGCCAGGAAAACATGGAATCCGAAGGCTCCTCCTCACTATGGGCACGAAGTGTTACGACTGTCCTAACTCCAGCTAACATCTTTAGCATATTCGCCCTTTGGATCACCTATCGAGCGGGTCTCGCGCTGTATAATATATCCTCTTTTCACCCTCTTAATCGTTTCCCGGGCCCAAAATTAGCGGCTGCGTCGTTCTTCTATGAGTTTTGGTTTGATTTTGTTAAGGGTGGGAGGTATACATGGGAGATCAAGCGCATGCATGAGAAATATGGTATGATTCCGTGTGGTTTTGCTTTTCACCTCCCTTCCCCTCCTGAAAGTGGGATACAGTGTCTCGTGGTACTGGGGAGTAGTTCTTCATTGTGCCCCGGGGTAGTTGTCGAGGGGTTCATTTCCTGCTTCCATGTACCCTCTATCTTGGAGTTGACGGCCAAACTATCTTATTAACTAGAAGTTCAGGACCTATTGTACGAATCAACCCCGAAGAGCTACACTGCAATGACCCAGAGTTTACCGACGAGATCTATGCTGGTGGAAACCGCGTGCGAGATAAGCAGCAGCACCACGTAAACTCGGTAGCCGGCCCAGTGTCCTTTTCCACATTCGCAACTGTAGAGCATGAAACGCATCGGATCCGGCGCACTGCTGCCAGTCGTTTCTTTTCTAGGGCGCAGATGCTCAAGTTTGAGAATGAAATCTCCAGCATAACCACGCAGCTTTGTGACAAGCTACTCGCCTGGAAGAACAAACCCCCATTCGACATCAATGATGCATTTGCCTGCTTCACGGCAGACGCTATTTCACAGTACGCCTATGGAGAACCGACGGGGTACCTCACACAACCAAATTGGACTCCTAACTTCAGAGACAGCGTTAGAGCCCTTGGGGGGTCTTGTTTTGTTTTACGCTTCATGCCTGTGTTTCGAAATCTTGTTGACTTTGCCCCCCCTCTTGCCCGCTTCATGACGGATGAAATTGCGATGTTCATGAGAGAAACAGCTGAGGTCCTCCCTCGCCGCATTCAAGAAGTCAAGGACAACAGGTCAAAGGGCAGAATGTTTGCTGAACTACTGGACTCAAATCTGCCCGAGTCGGAAAAGACCGTTTACCGTCTTTCAGGTGAAGCATTTTCACTCATTGGAGCTGGAACCGAGACGACAGCTGTAAGTTGAACCCATAATCCATCGAAACATAGGTACCATATCTCACATGGACTGTTATCTACATTAGAAAGTAATGTCGAATATGACCTACTACCTCCTCTCACAACCCCATACCCTGGAGAAGTTAAAGGCCGAGCTCAAAACCGCGAACGTTGACCCCGAGAACCTCTCCTGGACCGCGCTCGAAAGGATCCCGTATCTGTATGGCGTCGTATATGAGGGCCTACGTCTTTCGCATGGCACGTCTGCTCGGTCGCCAAGAACTGCTCGCGAAGAGGATCTAATGTACCGGAGCCAGGAGGGAGATGTCCAGTATGTGGTTCCCAAAGGGACCCCAGTCGGCATGAGCGCATTCCTAGCAAACACAGATGAGAATATATTTCCTCGACCGATGGAATTCTTGCCCGAGCGCTGGATTGATGAGCAAGGGAATAAGAACCATAGCCTCGAGAAGTATATGTTCTCGTTCTCCCGCGGCAGCCGACAATGCATGGGCATGAAGTAAGCGTTTCCTCCATATTCCACCTAACAGTCGATGCCTGCCTTATATACTAATGATTGCAAACGCAGTCTGGCGCTGTGCGAGCTTTATCTTGTCATTACTTCGGTCACCTTGCGAGTCATCCCGCACATGCAGTTGTACAAGACAACAGAAGAAGATGTAATCTACGATTTTGACCTAGTTGTTCCCCAACCGAAAAAAGGTACGAATGGCATAAGAGTCACAATATCGTGAATCTACACAGAAATGATGTTTGTATTCGGTTCCTCAGTATCCCTCGACTTTATGAAGAAGCACTTCAACTCTTAGACAATTGCAGAATGCGCGGACAAGGCCAGGGTCGAAGTCGGTTGATCTGATGTCGGTAGTAACTAGACATAATAATACTATTTGAAAGGTTTATCGGTAGTAAAAACCCTTCCTTGCACTATATCAAGTCATTCTTGGGTACGAAGGATAAACGGTGAGTCTCCAGGGTATACCATATTCGCTCCTTAACTAGTGTACTCAAACTCTTTACGACTCCTACGCTACGCAAGGCCGTACGAGTTGGGACCATCTAGTAACCGACAAAGCTATAATTGGCAAGGCTAGGCTAGGTATTATTTTGGGCTAGGTAACGAAGTAAGCACTACATAGGATGTAGAAGGAAGGATCGCGTAGTACCAAGGCGAATGAAAACACCGCCGCAGAGTCTCTTAAGGCAGGAGTCAAGACTTTGAGATTTGTGCCACTCTCTGAGAAATCGGTAGGACCTCAACATAGGCTCTCTGAGAAAAATGTTATGAAAGACTGCCCCCTGACTTTCAGCTGCTCGGTGGTCTACGATCTTTCCCCTGGGGATACCTGGCAATGAGAAGCAATAATATCTCCAATAAACGTTAGGAGTCAAATTAAACTCCTACATCGCATTGATACTATATTACTGGTCCAACTTAATTCACATGCAAATTCTGTATGGCAGCCTGTTCGGATTTTGAGCAACGAATGAGCCAAAGTAGTAATTATAAGTGGATAAATTCCGCGGACGGTAACCCAAGTGATGGATAAGGTCGATCAATCTAATTACAAAAGCATGGGCCCATGGGGGCGGTTATATAGGACCGTTAGGACCGTTAGGAAGTCCTTCCGCCAAGGTTGGCTCAGCACCACTAATCCGTATGCTGACAACGAAGAACTCCAGGGTCTAGCATGGATTCCAAGATCCTACGATTCCTACCACATCATCTTGTCCCAAGATGACGAGAGTGGATCCGGCATTTATACTATGCAGCCTATAGGGGTTACTGGGCATGCCCAAAAGTCTGACTAGTCATACGTGATCGAGCCACTTTGACGGCTAGGATTTAGTGCCCGCAGCAGTGCTGACTCTGCTGCGGGTGTTGTTCTGAGAAATCGCTCAAATGCCTAGAACTATAAACGCACAACCCAAGGACCCAAATTGGACTTAATATCAATATCCAGAGACATTAAATAATAATAAACTAGCACTCTCTTCATACGAAGAGGGCTTATGCAGTAGTAGAAATACCGAGTGAGACGGGACTAGGATAGAAAAATATCTGGCTCTAAGGCGTCGACGATCTTCCAGCAAGACCCAACTAATAATAAAGCCGGTAACCTACCCTGCCCAAGCAAAAACCTCCTATAAATGTGGCGTAGAAATGGCTGGCCTCATCCTGCCAAGATATCGTGAGGCGTAGGACATTTAAATTTTGGAAGCTTCTATAGGTGAAAAATATACTGTCACGTATAGCCTAATTTAGTTATCCCGTTATTAATCTAGCCGAGGGCTTTTTTTAAGCATAACTTAAATAATTACAGGAAGCAGGGCTTGAAATAGTTATCTTTTTAACGCCCATATTCTAAGCGAAGGCGAAACCACTTTCCGACACCCTTGTTGGGATGGAGCCCCGGGAGATACGTACCATGAATTCCTGCTGGAAGACCGGCACTTCCAATCAGACGAGCATATGCTTGTAAGGGGCTTTTGGGGGCGCGGTAGTGAGCATTACGTCAATTTAGGTAGAAAGCTGTTAGTAAACTATACGATGGCTGATGAAATTGGTTTTAATAACTAATAAGATGCCCCTACTATCAACCCAACCCTTAGAAAGTGAAGCTGGATAGACAAACCTTCATCATGGGCCAACTCACAAGTATTATACAATCAGGAGTCGGCTCTACAAGCTCCCACTCGCGAGTTTCTACACCAGGACGGATGAATGATCTGGAAAAAGCGGTTCAACGATGGAGTTACAGTTATCCAAAGGCTACGAGCACCCATGCTTTAGAAGTGACTTCCGAAAAGGGAGAGTTAAAGCAAGATCTAGCATCCTCCATTCGTCCTATTGTCGTACCATTCATCCAAGGTTTAGGGCACAAGCCTTCTACACAACTCGACAACGAACGTCTGTGGTTAAGTTCGCTTGCGAAAGTTGCTTCCATGGACATACCGTGTCCCGAGAACTCGGGAAATTGGAAGAGGTTGAAGGTGGGGTTCTCTTATGCTCATGTAAGTTGTTCCAACTCCCGTTAGCCCCTTACTTTGCATAGAAGCTCATTCGTTGTCCTAGGTAAGTTCAGAATCCATTCAAGTAATCCAAGACGACTCTCGATTAAACGACTCTATAATGCAACGCAAAATTTCTAAACCTGTTTTAGCATTGTTATCCGAATCATCCCCTGGAGGTCCAGGTATTCATCGCCGTATTCACTCTACTGGTGCAGCAATTGGATGATTTCACGCCTGAAGGGATGCAGGATATCGAAAAATTCGTTCCACGGCTTTGTACCGGCGAACAACAACCAACCAATGTCCTTCGAGGATTGGCCCAGCTCATGCTGGAGGTACACGACCACTGGTCCCCCGTCCCAGCGAATCTTATCATTTCATCGTGCCTAAATTTTGTCACCTCTGCGATCATTGAACACAAACGACTAGTACGCAGGGAGACGCAATTTAGAAGTGGCAAAGCATGGGCATATTATCTTCGAAATCTAGATGGCCTCGGTGACGCCTTCGCTATATTCACATTTCCCTCGGCTCTTTACCCCGATACCTCGAAATTTCTACAAGCGATTCCTGATATGGCTATGTATATCGTATTCGCAAATGATATTATCTCGTAAGTACAGTATATTTAGTTCTCCAGTTGTTCAACGAATAATTCTGATTTCAACTTTAGTTTTTATAAAGAAGAGTTAGCAGGGGAGGATGGCAATTATGCACACAGCCGGGCGATATATAATAGCAAGGACGTGGTAACAACCCTGAATGATATTGTCGAGGATACTGAGGCATGCTACCGTCGCATTCGAGAACTTCTCATGTCCGGAGGAAGCGACGGACAACCCTACGCAAAAGCTTGGCAAGCCCACGAACAAGGATATATTGATTTTCATAGGAATAGTGGGAGATATAAGCTTGAGAAGTTGGGTTTAAGTTTCTAGTACACTGTTTTATTATCAAGTTAATACTATAAAATTTAGATTTTCTTTCTTGTTAGGATTCATGTTAGATACTGTGGCGGGGCAACCCCAACCACCCTAGAATAGCTTCATTTTCATTCAATTCTTTGTAGTTAGCTAATTAGATCTGTCAGCACGCACGTAGATAAGTGGAACCACTAAGCTTTAACGCTTCTGGCCCATTCTCTCCATTTTATAAATGAGAGCGACCACATATTATCATATACACATCATAGAATAAGCTCAAGAATTATGCTTCTAGAAGCCTCTGAATACAAATACTCTTACTTTGGCTTAATCACTGCGTTTAGGACCATTAAGCCCCCTTTACATGGGCGAGTCCTAAATATTCACCTATACAGAGACGTCATACCGTGGTACGGTCTTCTCTATGACGACCTGACGACACAGCGACTCCATGGCGGGAGTCCTACCAGCACTATCTGACACTATATCATATCTTCTCCTTTGACTACGCACCTTGTTGGTTGTTTTATACCTGGGTCCCTCATTCTCCTCTACAATACCGTCCTGTTTTGCTTCTGTGTTTTTCTTCAATCCGTACTCTCATATCATACCACGTCATCTCCTCCTATTCCCTCTAATACAAACTAAAAAATCGCAATCAATTATTATAGAACTCCAGTAGTCTCGCTCACCCGAGCCTTTAGAGGCAGTGACAGAACCTGCAGGGATATTCCTGTGACGGAGTTTTTATACGACATGATTACCGGGGTTCCTCCATGGCGCAACTTCGAATTATTATGACGGGAAGGCCCCTTCTAATTTTGTGTGGTGGGAGAGATGATATGGTGGTTTGGTTGATGGGTAGAATGATTATCATATATTGTCTGCAAGATGATCGTCAGATATCGACGATGGATATGATATAATAATAGACCAGCTCCGCGTCCTTGCAATGATTGACTTTTCAAGTTTGTGAGTCTTCTTCCGCTTGATGACATTTTGAATACGCAATAGACTATATCGCCAGCCTTGTACTAAGCTCCAAGCTATTGTGATCTACAAGCAACGAGTTAATAGATTCATTGACTGCTTAATTGGTTGTTCAGGTAGTTGAATTGAGTACAGAGTTAAACATCAAGAATTTAAGCATTCAATGGGGTAATGTATTGAGGCCACTCCTCATCTCAATTAAACCCAACCATTTAATACACTCCCGTTTTCGAGCGATATCTCACACAAACCACAGCTACATACATCTGCCAACTCCATCTAAACAACACTGCCAATTGGAACCTCAAAATAAAACCAAAAATAAAACAGTATCATTATTATTCCAGGCAACCCCAAGCAAGAGATGGAAATAGATGGTATTTGAACGCTCTGTTGATTTTATTTTCTCGAGCAACGAATGAAGCACCATTTTACCTGAGTTTCTAGTTTAGCAATTACCCTCTCGCAACCCTCGCTGGACCAGATAAATGTATATATCCCAACTCCATCTTTTAAACATCATGTCCTAACTTCAAGCTAGGGAAATCGAACTATTTGGGATTCCCAACCGCCCAATCTTTCATATTAAAATCTCACGGGGAGCCATGTCCAAAAACCCCTCATTACCGACGCATTTGAAATTCTCGTGTTAGCAGGCTAAGAAGCCATCTCCCCTCATCACTCCGTTTTGGTCTCCTCGGTCGGCGTCTCGGCCATTACCGTGCTCCTCTCCTCCTCTCTCGCCTCCTGCCTCAGTCTCTCATCCTCCATCTCCCTCTTATCCTCCACCTTCTTCAAGCCATCTTTCTTGAATCCTCCTGGGAGCGAACACCAAAGCATGAATATAACAGCTATCAACGCTAGCGCAATGGGCTGCAGGACTTGCACCCCCTTAACCTGCGCGATAGCCCCAACCACAAACGGGAATATCGCAGCACCACCACCTCCAAACGCGGCCGCGAACCCAATCGCACTGACGTGTAACCTCTTCGGCAGGACTTTCGTAGCGACCACAATGGCAGCGGGGAACAGAGGACCTAGGAAGAAACCGAGGAATCCCGCGAAAATTGCGCTGCTTACGAAGTTGGGAATTAGCCAGAAGCACAGCTCGCAGGCTACGGAAATGAATATATAAGCCGCAATGGCTAGCTTCTCCCCAATCCTTCCAGTAACGAAACCGAGGATCATACGGCCGACGGTGATACCTAGCCAGAAGCCCATGACGACGAGACCGGATGCGAATGCTTCTCCATGGCGGACTCGAAGCATGAACGTCACGAGCCAGCCGCCAAGCGCGACCTCGACGCCCACGTAGATGAGGAGGAAAAATGCGAGGATCCAGGTTACGTAGTTCTTGAGAGCTTCTTTAGTCTGAGACTGAGAGTGGCCTTCTTGGCACTTGGGTGGTGGGTTTGCGGCCCGGTGGACTGCTCCCGTTGCCTTCCAGAACGATATAACGCAGACAACGAGTTCAAGAACCGTGATACCAACCTGTATATAGAGGTTAGGTTCAGTTATGAAGAGAATTGCCAGGCGGGACGGGTGCTAGGGAAACATATGTGCTTACCATAACGTAGTAAAACGCATACCACGGTATGTCTCTGGTAACCATGGCGGTTGCGATCAACGGGCTTATTGTGGCCCCGAGACCATACGCACCATGCAGGAATCCCAAGAGCCTATTAGTCTCAGTCAGCATCAAGCGCAGTTAAGTGGTGATACACTACTATCAAGAAAACCATGGCCATGGGAATTGTGGCCTCCGTATCTTAGAGAGGGAATTCTAACTCATTCGCATTTTGCATATCCCCAATCCAAGCATTCCAGCCCGAATCTTCCAATCCGTTCCCAAAACCCGAAATCATGAAGATGACAGGAAGAGCGGGGTAGGCTGGGTGAGCGCACGTAACCGCGTAGGTTATAAGCTTGCACAGAGGCGCTATAACAGCAACACCGAGCTGGCCAAATCGCATATGGATTTGGTTGTTCAAAAGAGCGGCTAATGTGTAACCAAGGAAAGGGGCCAGGAACACGAGGGAAACAATGGTGTAAGTTATATTATAGTACTCTTCGAGCTTATATTTCTGTTAGAGCAGTCCTGGCATTTGATGGGATGTATTTTGGTCCACTTACGTATGGGATCAACGCCTATTAGAATCGCTGGTTAGAAAGGGGGTTGAAAGTTGAGTTGGGTTTAACTTACGCCGTAAGCAGCATCGTTCATTCCCATCACAACGAACGACAGTAATGTTGCTAAATATCGGTAGATGTTGACGCCCGTAAGGGTTTCTTTGGTGTATATGGGGATACCATTCGATCCATTCTCAAGGTCCCCGCTTTCAACATTTTCGCCCGTGATCTCATCATTGCTGACTTGATTTGACTTTGACTCAGGTAACGTTGCCATTACTTAATTCAACGCTATATATATTTAAAACTGTGAGGGGAGTTAGAATTACGCTCAATATAGAGCCTCAATGACCCACCTCTAGCTCTCCGCAAAAATTATTTCGTTGACCGTTTCTCATCAGAGGTGGCCAAGGTGTATCCCAAGGTAGTATTGAGCGAAATGTAGAAAGTAAATGTATGTAAGACGAAACACTCGACAACGAGATAATTAGCGAAGGAACTTGAAGGGATTTTAATTGTGCAGAAGTCTCAAGAACCAATTGAGGACTTGACGATGATACTTAAAAGGAAGTTTTGAGGGGCGTTGCGATTTAAGAATGGGGCTTGAAAGAATGATCTCCGCCAAGTGTGCATACGGTCCGTCCGTATTATTAGTTTCCCCGAACTTTCTCCAGCTCTGAAATCATCAATTTGTTGCCCATCCTGGTTGGTTAGGGGATGGCCATTGGTCCTTGTAGTTGTCAGAAGGCCTTCAGTGGGGTTTATCGGGCCCTAGTTCCGGCCAGACTCAGTTGCCCGAGGTTTAGCCGCGATGGATCTGGGAATAACATCCGTTGACACGTTGGCCGGATCTCAGATACAAAGGGGCTTTGATTATGGCCAAGCATACCGGCGAGGCTGACGCGGGCAAGTAATGTGATGCTTCTGGTTGACATGGCATCCCCCACCGATGGGTGTTTGGATGACTGGTTTAGATTGAGGAGCAATATGCAAAAGAAACCAATAAGCGGTTGTTACACCAGTTACTTTGTAGACAAACCACAGCGGGATTGCGTCCCGAGATCGTTGGGTTTTCGTACGGGGCGGGTGGGTGTACAACAGAAGGTTGAGCTTATGTTGTTAATATTCTAGGGGCTAAAAGATTTCTGCTGGAACTCGGCCACGAGCCTCTGCAGATAGAAGCTGCGGGCTGTTCCAGGCAAGCCGTCAAGTGACTTGATGATTTTGTTGATATCCAATCTCCCCTTCTCATATGCTTGCAAATCCCGATTCCCGTAAACATCCTTTCCAGCAGCATAGCCAGCCTGTAGATCTCGGAAGAAAACATTGACTGCGACACTCATCCCTGAAGTTGGCTCGGCGGTGTGAAGCCACAGTGAGGGCAAGAAGAGGATATCGCCCTCTCGGAGGATGACTTCGTGAGGATGGGTACCGCATAAACTGGGATCCTGCAACTGTTCAAATACATTGATACTTGAGCTCGAGGAACCGGGCTCAAAGCCGAGATGCATAACATCGGTGGGCGGGAATAGAACCAATCGCTTTTGGCCCCGGATCTGACACAAGATATTGGCCATAACCTGACTGGAGGTTAGCTATTAAATGCATAGTAACGGAAGCAATTATCCTACATCATAGTGCAACCACATAATGACAGGCCCGGAAATCCGAAAGGGCGAGCTGTGAATACTTTTTGTCACATATTCTAGCTCGTTAGGTAGCTGGAAGTCAGCAGCAAGCGAGGAGAAGTCTCGATCCAGATTGGCGGGAATCTCTTTGGCATTATCAGAAGATAACGAGCGCAAGTATAGCTTCTCCCCCGCCTCGACCGAATCTATAAAATCACCGAAAGTTTTGGTGGTATATGTAAAGTTTTTCGTCTTGAAATTTAGATGTGTAGTTGTACCCTGGTGAACAACGACCTGTTGCTATTAGATTTTGGACTAACTGGAGATGATGAGAAGCTTACCTCTCTCTCGGAGCCAACTTTTTCTTTAAGATAATCCGCCGTCCAGTCGGTGGTGCATGGGCCGATATTTGAACCTTCAATAATGACGGGCACTCCAGCCTGGAGGATTTTATGGAAATGGTTCGAGTCGTGGATTTTTATCCGAGGAACTAAAGTCAGCTTCGGCGCAACTTGGCCCGCTGCTGCAATACCATTCATGGTGGTGCTCAATGCCTGAGGAGCACTGGTATACATATAGCTCCACACCTCTGGCGGTATTCCCGGGTCCAAGCCCTTTTTGGCTACATCGTTGTGCTCCTTATCAGGATGGATGGTGTAGCACCCTTTATTCGAGAAGGTCCCAAACGAAAAGCACACAGCTGATCCTCCCATGGTTAGTAAAGACCCCCCGGTAGACATCGCCGTTGTACCTATTAACAATGGCCTCGGAACAGTGTTGTCAAATGGATTCGAGAATCTTGTCACCATGCGGGGAACGGACGAAAACCCGAAGGCACAGATCTCATCTGACGCTTTCAGAATGTTATTTTCAGCAATGCCACCAACGATATAAGTTCTTTGCTGGTGATTGACAACACTCGCCCCAAACCGGACGAGACCCAGCCGACTACCCATATCTCTTGCAAAATCTGAACTGATCCGGAAATGGAGTATGGGATGCTAATATAAAGGTCAACAAAACTTCTTTTATCTAGGAGACCTCATCTAGTGTAGCTGTGGGCCATGAGGGGAGGAAAACGAGCCCAAACCCCAACCTCATATGCAAAACTAAATAAAAAACAGGGTATGGGCACTTACTTGAGTAGCGAAATCTTGCAATTCCCATTCCCAGATGTCGGGTTGAAGAAGACCATCTTCACACATACCGCCGGCAAGAATACCACACCCAGGCTTAGATAAATCCGGCGGAATTTCCGTAGATACGCTAAAAGTCGCCCCATAAGTATCTGGTGGATTTTGGTCACTACCAAGTTGACACTGTACCCAGCCAAAATGACGGCTCCATACCAAATACTCATGAGACATAGTACGGGAGTTAATCCTGCCCGTAGATATCAGAGCGTAGCCACAGCCGAGATCTACGGCCTGGTGCCGGTATAGGGGATGCGGAGCATCGTCCACGCGTTCCCAGGTGTCAACCCATTTATGATAAAGCCAGCAATCCACCAAGCCATTATCTGGCGATGTTCGACCGCCAACTAACAACGCGCCAGCATCCCCGAGATCGGTAATAGTGTGACACATTCGGCTAGAGGGATGAATGGACGAACGATCGGGTTCATATTGAAGCCCCGCACCCTGGTCATCCGCCCTATCGTACACATCATACGAATCTATTCTGGATTTCAGACCCATTCCCGCGAAATTTCCAACCCTCGTTTGTGCTCGTTTTGAGCCTTTGAGCGGTAATCCTGCAGCAAACCGCCTGCAACCATGTCCTTGGGGGTTGTCGGAATATGCAACTACTATTGATGAAGATAGCGTAGTTGTTGCGGGCGGATCACCCGTACGTAGTTTGCCGCATATGCCTAGGAGATTGGAAGACGGAACAAGATTATCTGCTACTAACAAGATATAGTGGCAGCCAAAAAGTGCAAACTCTTCCCACTCATCAAAAGGTTCAATGGCATCCAGAGCCTTTCTATCTGCGGAGGATAAGAACTCAGGAGAGGCCCAAAGTTCCCAAAGGTTCTGTACTGAAGTGCCAGTCCATCCCAAGCTCTCGAAACGGAGACTCTGAGCTGAAGTGCTAGGATATTTCTGCACAGCTTTTAGCGGAGTTTTCAACTTGTCGAAGTGTGCCATCATGGTCTGCGCAAAAGGATGATCGATTCCATCAGGCAGAAGTTGTTCAAGAAGGCAAAAGCGAGCTTATATTTATTAGCGGTTGAAGCAACGATGTTAAGGGACTATTTACCACTTGGAAGTCCACTTGCCCATTTTATTAAGTTATCAGCGTGTTCTGCCTCCATGTAAGTTATGGAGACCTCGGCAACTAAAAGCACCTGAGAACTACTGAGATCTAGAGTGGATTTCAGTACGTTGTCCAGGTGAGTAAGATCCCGAAGATCGCAGCCAATCTGTAGATATTGATCACTGGAGAGCAGAATATCGCCAGACTCTGGATACCGAATGTTGGTAAATAGTGATTGAAGCTCAGGGGTCCGCTCTACGGTTTCCCGCTTTCTTATCATCAAATCTTTATAGTCAACATCGATGAACATGACGTTCTCACTGGAAGCCGGGTATCTGGAGAGACATTGCCATGGAAGTGGATCACTATACCGTCAGAAAAGATACACTTTATAATTAAATAGCGATCTCGTACTCACTATCCGCAACCCAGGTTGATGACAACTTTTCGTTTCTCGTTCTGTTGGTCTAAGAACTGGCGGACAACGTGATCTATAGCCTTCATGCGGAGCCAATAACCTCGATTGATTAGTGGTGACCGACGCAGTGGCTTCTTGACAAAATAGCGGAAGAAGTGCGCCTCGTCAGGGAAGTAGAGGCGCTCTACACTTCGTTTGGACACAATACTACTATTGTTAGTCTAATCAGGGTTAACTTTATGTTGAATCTTTTAGAGCAAAGGAGCTCACCCCCATAATTAAATCATCCCGGACTTGCTGGTTAGGCTCTTTGGATGCCTTGGGGGTTCTCCGCTCCCGGGAATTGCCGCTGATTTCTGCCATTTTAATAGCCTATATTTGAGACTTAAAATTCAAGATCTGTTTCCGGCGATGTACTCGGATAGGTTCCACAACTTGCTTTGTGTGCACAGACTTCTTCCTTGTTAAGAGGGTTGGTGACCAACACACTCAATCATTAACTGTAGTACCAAAACTGGACTGCCGGACAAGCAAAGGAGTGTAATATGCTCAAAACATGTGTGATATTAGCTTTGACCGGTTGCCGACATATGACGTTGTGAGATGGAGAATAATGCTGCCGAAGAAAAATCGAACATTGTGGTTATGCTCCTGATATTTAAGGTGTGGTCCAAGCTCCCTGCCTCAGCCTAGGCTTCTGCCCTGGAAGATCTCAGCCTAGCAGACCCCGCCAACTTCACCTCCATACCTTCATCCAGCCTGTATTATTGTATGCTATGGTTTGCCGTTTCTCATCCAGACAAATACCAACACACCAGCACCACTCATCCAGCTGATATGCCCGTGGACCGTGGAATTGTCGCGCCTCCCCTGCCTTGCACGCTGTGTTGTCTTTGAGTTCGCCCTGCGCCCGATCCTTGTGAAGTTGCCTACCGGGTACCTAAGCTTGTGCGACTTTCCAACAAGCAATCTCCACGAACCTTCAAAACCAGCCGCCTCCTCTTCAGTTGCCTCTAAGGTACCATCTTGCACTATGGCAATGAACTTCGTCACTTTCAACCAAGACTATAGCTGTCTGGCTGTGGGTAAGAATCCGTGTTGATTTCGAAGCCAGAAACCAGTACTGAACCTTTCTGCCAGGTACGTCTAGGGGGTTTCGCATCTACCATACGGATCCATTCTCAAAGATATTCAGCAGCGATGACGGAAATGTGGCCATCATTGAAATGCTATTCTCCACCTCGCTGGTCGCCCTCATACTGTCCCCACGGCATTTGGTGATTCAGAATACAAAAGTACGGCTCCCATCCTCTCAGTCTCCTTGGTCTACCCGAAACTACTCTAGATGAGTGTCCCTGCTAATATTTCTGATAGCGATCTTCCATAATATGCGAACTCACATTCCCATCGGCGGTCCTCGCCGTGAGACTGAATCGGAAACGACTTGCGGTGGTCTTGGAGGAAGAAATTTATCTTTACGACATCTCGAATATGACCCTACTATACACGATTGCGACCTCTCCGAACCCTAATGCTATATGCGCACTTGCTCCTTCGTCAGAAAACTGTTACATTGCATACCCTCTACCAAAACCACGGGAGGACTCGGGGGAGAAAAGGCCGTCACATGCCCCGCCGCTCTCAACATACGTCGCGCCGACATCTGGAGAGGTTTTGATATTCGATGCTTTGAAACTAGAAGCCTTGAATGTTGTGGAAGCCCATCGCGCCCCATTATCCTGCATAGCTCTCAACAATGATGGGACATTACTCGCAACTGCGTCCGAGACAGGGACAATCATCAGAGTCTTTGCTCTGCCGAAAGGCACCAAATTATACCAATTTAGGAGAGGTACCTACCCTTCAACCATTTACAGCATGTCCTTCAACCTAAGCTCAACTCTGTTGTGCGTTTCCTCTACTACCGATACTGTGCATATTTTCCGCCTAGGAGGTGTTCCTACTGGGCGGCCCGGGTCATCGAGGGCTGTGGATGAACGGTGGGATCGTTCACGCAGCTTTGACAGTGGTGCTGAGTCTCCCATTGCGGCTGGTTCCCCGGCCAGCGAGACTACAGATGCTCCTGGTAGCTCACGGAAATCTAGGGGCAGCTTTGGAAGCATGATTCGGAGATCATCTCAGTTGATGGGGAAAAGCATGGCTGGAGTGGTGGGTGGATATTTGCCCCAAGCGGTCACGGAAATGTGGGAACCCATGCGGGACTTTGCCTTCATCAAGATCCCCAAAGGCGGGATGGGAGTGAATTCGACTGGTGGACCTCTCCGAAGCGTGGTGGCTATGAGTAGTAGTAGCCCACAGGTCATGTTGGTTACAAGCGATGGCGGCTTCTATGTCTTCAATATAGACATGGAGAATGGGGGTGAGGGTGTATTGGTGAAACAATATTCGTGAGTACTCATGGGAACGCCTTTGGGTTCACGTACTAATTGTATCTGCAGTGTTCTAGAGGGTGACGACAAGCTTGATCAGTCTACAATAGACTACAGCAATTAAAATAGTATCTACGTTTCAAGGACTCACAGATATTTAGACTCCATGATTGCGATCAGTTTGTCATACTACTTAGTATCCTAGAGTCTCAGTCTCAACACCAGCTGTTATTTTCTTGGTTTCTGTCCTCTATCTCTGCATCTCTCTCCCAACTGGTTTGGGAATAGCATCTGTGGGTTGACCTTCGAGTCACTACTCATATGAGCCACGCCCGTGTGTTTCTGGGTTACTCTCTCTCGCTCTCTCTCTCTCGTAGGAAAGTTTCCCCGGTTTCGTCGTTCTAGCAGTCTGATCAAGTCCAATTCAGGGATTGAACAGCGAGCATGCACTGTATTCCAGATGAGTCCATATATGTCGGGAATGATTTGATATCTCAGCGCGGTTCGTGATCGGTTGTTTCCTTTATCAGTCTCATTAGGCACCTGGGCAGGGGAGCACGAGCCTACCTATCCAGGTCCCCAACAATGGAATTTGTAAAATTAAACGCGTGGCACGACAAGGCTGGGTCGGCAACTCATTTCGTTTGGGGCTCCTTGGTGGCATGTATAAACAGAAACCAATCCATGAGCAATATCACACCGTGTATCAATTAATATTCCATTTCTATTCTTAGAGAGGCTTAAAACCAACAAATATGCAAAATACATCCTCATGGCATCAGAATCAGATGAAACGAGGGCGTTAGTGGGAGATAATTAACCTTATGTCAGATTTTAGAGGGCTTGTCGTCAAGGATTCGTGGCGAAGCCCAGGCGGTTCCGTATCTCGATCCAGAGAATACCTCGCATCATCCGCAGGACTGCAGTCCCCCGATACTCGGGATCCTGCCGGGGGGGTGGCTGGCGATCCGGAGGGTCACATACAATTACGGATGTATGAACACGCCCAGAAATAAGGTCGCCGTTCATCGCTGGACGGGGGGATGATGTCAAGTCGGCGACCTCGCGCTCGCGAGGATCAATAAGAACGGTGCATCATGCAGCGGGTAGAGAACCTGCTACGCTGAGCTTGCCATTATTTGAAAACAACAGATGCTGGTGAATTGAGGAGATGAGACATTGAGGTTGGAGGTTGGAGCTTGGGTTCAGCAACAGATAGCTCAGCTCAGCTCAGCTCAACCCATCTCAGCGAACAGCAGCCAGTGACTGGCACTCAGCAATCAGCAGTCAATAATCAACAACTAGCTCGAGTGTTGGATCTCCAGCACTACTAACGCTTCGGCACTCAGTAGCTTGCGGGAGGCTCTCTCGGTAGCTCTCGGATTGAAGCGACACGTTCCACTACGGAGGTATGCGTAGAATATTCCACACAAATGCAACGCAGCGCAAAGTCCACTTTCTCAGCAGCCACCCGAACGATGCAAAGAGCCCCAAACAATCACACAACGCACGCAGGCCTTGTCACCATGCACATACAAAGTACGAAAACCCCAGTTTCGGATTTAGCACATGGTGCGTCGAACGATGGGAGATTTTTACGTCAAATCCCCCCGAGGTGAAGAAATGCGCAGGGACATTGAGATTGTGGAGTGATATTGTCCGCTCAGTGCATTGAGCGATATGGTGTTCTGTTTTTCGCTTAGGCATCATCATCGCCAGCATTGTCATGGCCTGGAAATTGGGGTATGAGAGGGACGGGATGAATAAATGGTTTCATTATGGGAATGGAATCATGGAATTACACTATACGGCCTTAGGGCAATTCGAGACGGAGAACCTCTCGCCTACCTACCTAGGTATGTACAGCTTTGACCCAAAAAACCCGAGATGAGAGTCATTAATATCGCCAGATATATGAGACCAACGCTGAGGTGACGCAAATCAAATCAAATCAAGGACTTGTTCGACGAAGTTACTCAGCAGCCAGCCTGTGGTCTCAGACTCTCAGACTCTCAGGTCCAGCCCGAAGCCTGAAGGTCACGGGCCAAACATGCTGGACAGATCGCACTCGCTAAGACTTCGCACGAAGTTCCAAGTCTTTCGTTAAGCGCGACCGGTTCTCGCCGCCCTGGATGCTTCAAAGAGTATGATGCGAGCCCTCCAGCCACTAAGTGATCGGAGCTCAATTACTACGTAGGGGATCTTACGAGGTGATGAACCCATGCCATGGGGCCATGGCACATGATGCCCGCCATGAACCGTAGGATTCCAAATACCGGCTGGGCGCCTTATATTTTTCTTCAATTGACGCCTGTTGCGGCGCGTCTGCAGATACGATTAACGATGGGACGGTGGGACGGCGGGCTTGCACTTGGAGAAATCGACATCGCAATCGCATCGTGAGATAAGGTTCCCGTTGTCGTATATCGCCAGAAGTGCGGCGTCGTCGGACGATTAGCTACTACGAGCTGGTGTCGCCGCTATTCATCATCCCGCTCCGAATGGCCTGGTGTCTGTGCTCTTCCACCAGGTCCTCCCTACTAGTATTTGGTACCTTGAAAAGAATCACATCGTTCAGCGAACAAGCTACGTACGGAATACGTACAAAAGTTCTGATCTTTCGCAAAGCTACCTACCTGTTCTCTCTCGGCCCTCCACGACCGAAACCCCCCAGGGTCCACCGCAGATCCCGATGAAAAAATAAAACAGGCTGGAAATCTACGACGAGAGCTTCGCAGCAACTGCCCAATTACCTGGCCGCAATTCGCAATGTCTCATTGTATCATCCCCACACTCCACTGTTTAATGGGGCTCCAAGCTATTTTTACAAGCAAATTTGGGGGTCTGGGCAAGTGGCCTAGCACCAGCCACCCGACGCGGAAAATGCCAATTGTGTAAGATGCGAACGATAGTGATGTCGATCGGTGCCCCACGGCCCTGGAGACGTCTCCGGGATCAGGTTGCTCGAGATTAGATTTGTCACGCATCATGCCATGCTGCCATGCTCTCCATCACCCATCACCCATCATCCATGCCTGGTCCTGTGGAAGTTTGAGAAAATTCTGGAAGTTCCAAAAGCTATTCCGTCTGTTTCTTCGTCAGTGCTGAATATAGTATGCAGTATGCAATGTTGTATATTAGCACTGTAAGCACTATACTACTACGTACTGCACCACGTTCTTCATATGGAAGTCTACCTAGGTACCTAGGTGCCTAGGTACTCTATCATCCTCGGTCCCGACACGGAGTTAATGTCTATAACCGGACGGGGCAAGGACGGAATGGCAAACAAGCGTTTTCGGCTGGCGTCTTTCGGCCGTCGGGAATTTCACAGCGCGCCTGTTGGCTTCGGCGGTCAGTTGGCGCCGAGGTGAGACGGAATCAGAAGTCTGAGTCTGAGTCCGAATCTGATTCAGCATTACTGCTTTGGAGGCTTGGAACAGGTGAGAAAACAACACATGTTTCATGCTGAATGTGCTCTGTACGTAGGTACTTCGTACTCCCCACCGAGATACGCAATCCTCCCCCCATCATGCTCATTTTGATTCTCCTGCAGCGCGTCCACTGCATCAGGTCCCTGTGGCCACGATACCGTCAACGTGCTAATATGCAGGGAGCCTGGCTATGGTTACACTGCGACGCACACCGTTACCAGTTGCCACTTCGAAAAGCGTGGCCTACTCTATCCTATCCATGGCCCACGGGGCCGTCCAAACTTGGAAACTGCTTCACTTCTCGTGTGCTTCGCAGATAGGGGTAGCGGGGTCTTGGTTACCTGGTGTCGATCGTTGGGTGATTTGTCTACGTACGAGCTTCGTGCTCGTAGAAAAAACTGGTATTTTCGGGGGGTACCGTGGCATGTGCGTACGTACGTATTACGAAGTCCAAAGAAAGAGAGGTGCTCGCAACTTCTTCCGTGTCATAATGCGCTCATAACCATATAGCCGGCGCGCTGCAAGCGCAGCGTTAAGCACTAACAAGCAGGCTGGCGGTGTTGCTCACCGCATATCATCATTGAAGCCAACGATATATCAGACCTACTTGGGGTAGGATCAGAGTCGACCAAGTGCGACCCCTCGCACGTCCGCGGCTGCGCTGGCGTTGGCGCGTAACATGGCCATTGAGGCGCTTTAAAAGTCTATATACAGATGCGGAGGAAGTAGTATGTTTCATGACCAAGTTTTTCCGCAGTCATTCGCTATTCACATCCAAGTAATACTGTTGATGAAGCTACACAGCCCCATCTGATATACCAGTATTGATGATCGATCCTGTTGCTACGGAGTTCCCAGACGACTAGTTGCGAGCTAGGACCAGGCAACGATAGAAACTAGCTTCCCAGGAAGATTCAACTAGGCGTTTATGACCAAGGCTACCCCGAACTCCAGGGACCCAGCTAACTCTAAGAGTCTAGCTGGGCGCCTCTAGCAGGACCCAAGAAAACTGCTCGCTCGTAGGATCAAGCTCCCGGCTTCCCTAGGGGGGAGCTATGCTCCGGTGCTGTCCGCAATAGCACGGAAAATGGTCGGAGTCCGGCCCGCCCCCGAACACTCGGGGGCAGTTACTCATACGGTGATGAATTAATAATAGAGTCAGTTTGCTCTCTGGAATATACCATGTTGGTCGTTAGTGGGACTTGGTGCTTGCAAGGCTACACCAGCGTGCTCCCGGTAGCGGGGGGTTATTTACAGAATCACTCCGTAGCAGATCAGGAATTACTCTACGAAGTTCTTGTGTAAGCACTTGAGACTTCAAGACGGTGCCATGTTAATAGAGCCTGGAGAGTGCCGATCTATTCACCATGTGCGTACGTGGTACAGAGTGCGGATGTACGAAGTCTAATATCAACTTCGAGAATGAAGGTACAGTAGTACAGTACCTAGATAGGTAGGTAACACATGGTCCCAAGCTCTCGGTAACCCGTCTGCTGCGTACTGCTCACTGTGTAGTACAGTACCTAAGGTACCTAGGTACCTTGCCTTACCTGCTTCACGACTTCACGACTTCGCACCTCGTATACTCCGCATGGTCCGTAGTAGGTACCTCATGTCTGGTACTGTACCTCCACGGATGTGATGATCTCAGGACAAGTACTGCCTATTACCCTCTTGCTCATCTCCAACTTTAGAATTTTCGTCCGGAGTATTCTGACGTTAACAGCAAGCACGGCGTAGCGCCATTGCCCCATTAGTCAGGATCGACGATCTGAGCCACCCGCTATCCGGCATCTGGTATGTGTTCTCCGCTGGTGCAGCTGCTCGGGATGCTTAATCTGCTTGTTGTTACTTATCTGCTATCTCCCTGCTATCTGCCTATCTGCCTTAATCTTCCTCCTCTTCCTTCTGCTCCGCAGGCATTGTTCTGAGCCCCATCCTGTGGCAGCCACCCGACCACCCTTGCTACACGGTTCAGCGTGCTAATTGTCGCCGCTGGACGTCCCTCCTTAGGCGTGGGGTCCCTGACGACGGAGTATGCGCATGCCACACGGCGTCCCTGCGAGCGCCAACCACCACTCAGCAGTCGCTGCGCGCAGGATGCACCCTTTTCTCCCCTCTAGGTACTCCGTCAGCGCACCAGGAGTGGCGGGACCGCAGAGCACAGGAAATACCTACCCAAATACCAGTCCCGGCGTTAAGGGACGCGACAGACCTCGCCCGCAAAGCCCGGAAGTACTGGAGATATACCGTACGTTACCAAGACCACCGAAACGGAGACCAAGCTGCTATGGGCGGGCTGATGATAGCTGATGAAATTGCTACTGGCAGCACAGGCAGGACAAGCTCAGTACAGTGAGTGCTGACTGATGCTCTGCGCTGCTGTTCTGTACATGTACCTAACCTACAACTTACAAGTGTGAGGGGATATTGCGAAGGTACTACTGCAACCAAACCCTACGCCATCACGAGTAGTACTCGAGTAGCACGTAGGTAGCTACATCGTACAATACAGAGCGCGCTGTTAGTAGGTGCTACGTAGCACCACGAAACCCACCTCAGTCACTGCCCACAGAGTACGAAGTACTGCTGCCCACTGCTTACCGGCCCCATAAGCACCTGGGGCCCGAAGCCTGGAGCCTAAGCCTAAGCCTGGAGGGCCATTAGTTCCCTTGGCACAGCTAGCTATGAAATACTGCTCAGAAGGACAGCACAGGGGCCGCAGCAGTACAGGGACCATTGTGTCTCTCCCTCCTCCCCTCCCCCCCAAGGGTCCGCAGGGCTCCCCAGGGCCCAACTCCCTCCCCCCGAATCCTTCCCCGGGGCTCTTCCTGAGCTCCTCGTGCGCTCTGCCCTCCCTGAGCCCCTCCCCTGTCCGCCCGCCGTTGCTCTCTGGAACCATGGCCCATGCCTGCCCTTTTCAAGCACTGCCGTACTCCGTATGTAGTACCGCAAGTAGCAACTTTACAACCCATGGCTGATGCACCATAGCAACCCCCCCTCCCCCCAAAAAGACCCCCTGTTGTATTAAGCCTTCCACCTATCGAGGATTGCGATGGATTTACTTTAAACCCAGGAGGATGTCTCTTTCAGTTTCATTCAAGAACTGCTGGCTGTGCTCTTGAATTCTGTCTCTTGTTCTACTCTGCCTCGAATCCTGTTGCATTTCCTCATTTCCTCATCTCCTCCTCCATCAACACAGCCCGCTCCTTACCGACTCCTTCTGTGGGAACAAGAAGACCAACATACCCTCGCTCTGTTATTTAAGCTATTGTCTGACTAGAAAGCCCTGACCAGAACGTCGTCTTACGAGGTAGTGGCTTCTATCAACGCCTTGGTTCCTGACTCCTAAGCTTGTCAGATGCGCCCCAGCGACCTCCCCACCCATTAACGCGACTACCGCTCAATATCACCAATCAGCCCTGGACGAGCCTCCGTTTTCCAACATCCACCGTCTGCGTTGATAAAGCCCTGCCACTTTTCACTTCCAGCCCCCAACCGCTCGCTCCTCTCAATACGGGGTAGTTAACTTTGGCCCGCCCTGACAACTAGAGAAAAAAAGTGTTCTTTCTACTCGCACTTCTTTCTTATCAAAATGGAGTTGACCCCGCAGTCCGCGCGCTCCCCAACTTCCCCTTTCCGTTATCCTTCAAACCCTCAGCCGCTCTACGAGTACCCTTCGCCTGCTCACAGCGACTCTCACTACAAGCCAACTGAGCAGCTCCAGGGTTTAGGACTTTACTCATGCCCGATGTCTGAATCGCCTGTGGAGAGCCATGGTTCGGTGCCACCACTCGCATCGTCCACAGCCACCAACAACTGGCCAACGAACAACAATCTACAACATCGGAATGAGCCCAGGTCAACGCAGCCAACCCCCAACATCCTCTCCGCAGATTATGACCCATTTGCACCCTTCCATCCTGCTGTATCAAGTGCGTACAGCCATGATATATATTCCGCACACACTGCTGCGGTTACCATTCTCCCCAACTCTCCTGCTCCCTCGGACCACCATTCTCAGCGCTCCTCATTCTCCTCAACTCCGGCCTCGGAAGTCTTCACGCACGCTGGATCTGTCCACTCTTATCCCCAGCGTGTCAAAATGGAAGAGCACCAGGAATATGCTCCCGGTGGTGAGCCGATCCTGTTGGGCAGCTCTCCTCAACTTAATCACAATCTTCTCGTGACTTCGACGAGTCCGTACCCAGGAACCCTGGAAGCTACCTTCTACCAAGATCAGCACCACTCCATGGGCTGGCCGAAGGTTGAATACACGACGACACAAGATCTCCCGTCCATCTCTTCTTTGCCAATTCCGCCCTATGACCGGCGGTCCGAGAGCGCCGAAAGAACCGGGCCACGGCTTGCTGGGCAACGGCCACGTCCTAGCACCATATCTCGCACGAGACAGCCTCGGAAGCTCACGACCAAAGAGGACGCAAACTTCCAATGTAACGTGAAGGGATGCGGCAAACTCTTTGGGAGGAGCTACAACTTCAAGGCTCACATGGAAACCCATGACTCGAGTAGAGAGTATCCGTTCCCTTGCCCGCTCAAAGACTGCAACAAGAAGTTTGTACGGAAAACAGATTTACAGCGACATCACCAAAGTGTGCACATGAAGCAGCGGAACCATCGATGTGATTACTGCAGCAGATTCTTTGCCCGGAAAGACACTCTCCGAAGGTATGTTTAGAACGGATCTCATGGGTTTGCATCGGAGCCTGTACTAATTGATGTTATAGACACATGGAAGATGGCTGCTCCAAGCGTTTTGACATCGAGACGGTCGATTTCAGGCCCCAGAGCTACAGCAACCCCGATCAATGCGCCATCAGAGCTCCATCTGCCCGGTCCTCTGACATGCCATCGCGACAAACCTCGTACAGCAGCTCTCAAGGGCTTGGTCCTTATGACAGTCCTCTCACGTCAGCTGGGGGGCCCTTTTTAGGGAGACAAGAGTACATGGCTGGCGGCGAAGCCAGCCACGACCATGCTTGGTCAAGCTGAATGTCATGTACATGTACAGAGACGCGGGTAGCACAAAAAAATAATCTCACTTGATGGGAGTTTCTGCCGAGAAGCACGCCCTCGACGGCAATTCATTCGCCAGCGACCTCGGCATTCTAGGTGCCAATGTTCCTTGTGGACGAGAGGTTTGGGGGCCGCTGATGTGCTACGGAGTACACGCATGCACGCGCACGAGGCAGCAAGCAACGCATCCCCTAGTTCCGGGATGGAAATACGCAGCAGGGCCAATTTCTCCACTCGATATTAAAAAACGTGGCACATGGGGATGGATAAAATGAGATATGGTACGGACTGGCAGGGTGGCATGTGGGGTTTTGCGGTGTTTATTTTTTGCTGTTGGGGAGTTGGATCCTTCTTTTCTAGTAGAATACCCTATTTTGCAACATACACATTTTACAGCAAGCGGGGGATTGGAGTCTGGGGGGTTTGAATTTCTGTCTGGCCTTCCTTTCTTGGCTGGAGACTGGCAAGGAAAAAGGGGAGGGAGGCATGTACTTTGTAGCGATTCAGCAGGGAGAGTAAACTCCACTCGTGCTGTATGTAACCGTCTGTACTTGGTAGCAGCAGCAAAAACGATAACTCAATTACTACAAGATACACGTGCGAGAACCACTACACTGCTATTCTCAGAGCGCATCTCCGTGCGAGTACTTCGTACTTTGTCCATGCCCCATCCCATCCCATAGTGGACCGTCGTTGTTGAACGAACGCTTCCCGATGTGGAAAATCACGAGCGAGCCAATCACGACGGCGGGCCATCGCGGCATCCGCGCCAAAACCCAACGGCGCGCTGGCCAGTGCTGACCTGATGTTCGGTGCTAGGCTGGAAGGCGACTAGCGGCGAGTCTCCCCTAGCCGGGCTAATCAGAGCAGTGGACACTGGACCAAGTGACATCTTACGGTGTGTGTGCGACTGTGGAGCGCGTGTGGTGGAGAAGAGCGTTGGGACTGGGCGAATGGTCCGCGATAGAGGCGCCCATGAGTCAGCATCGTCGGCGGCTATGGTGCGCTACGCTACGCTACCAGCAGTAGTGCTGTACGTCAACATTGGCCAGAGGCTAACTATCTTCGCTCGCTGATGCTGTCTGTCTCACGCCGTCTCATCGGACCGCAGGAACGCCGTGGCAGCATGCAGGGCAGGGCAGGGCAGGGCTTGGGACTGCAAAAGTGGCAGCGGCAGAAGCAGAAGCAGAAGCAGAAGCAGAAGCCGTGCGGAAGCAGAAAAGCAGCCGCCGAGGGCGTCCCTTGGAGAGCATACAGACAGCCAGAGGGCGGCCAGAAAAGCAAAGGCACGATAAAGGAGGTTGCAGGTTGCATAGGGGGGTGTGGTCGTGGTGCACTCGTGGTCCATGGGGTGTTCGTCCAGAAGCCTACAGGGAGCGTTGGAACAAGTTTCATCTTGACGACAGACACATGGCAGCCCGGCGCGCGGGAGCTTGGGGATGCGGGATTGGATTCGCGGGTTCGTGTTACTACTTATTGGGGAGGCATGGAAATGGGACGATATGTCTGCGGAGGGGGGTGCGTGGGTGAGAGAGCGTGGCTGAAATGCAGTTAATATACGAACAAAACGGTCGTCCTGCGGCCGTGGGCCTGTCTGCTGCTGCTGCTGCTGCTATAGCACAATGCGCGAGGGTCTGATATATTGGGCGAGGATCGGGATTTGCAGGCAGGCAGGTAGCTCTCTCATGCTAAGCCTGACCTGATCTCACATGGCCAATTTGGTGTGCCAGAGTCCAGACACTACTATGGAGGGACATCGAGCCCCGGGAGCGGGTGCGCGTTCTGCAGTCATTGCCATCTGCTATCCCCGGTGGGCGGCGGTGGGAGGAGGGAGTTGTTCGGTGGTGCAAGACAACCCTCAAGGGGGAGTCCCGGCCATCTGGCACTGTTCTGGGCGGTGGTTGGGCTGCAGCTCGGGATAGTATCCCAAAGAACGATAGACGACGACCACGATGATGGTGATGACGGCGTGCTACTCAGCCAGGCGCCCAGGGCTGCATGTGGCAGATTCGACATGCACTGGCCGCCATGGGTTTTTACGTCATGCAGAAAAACGGCCACAGCAGGAGGAGGACGGGGCTCCGGATGGGGACGTTATCCAAGCACAAGCAGCTTTTGTGGAAGGTGGGTTATTCTAGATTCCACTTCCACTTCCACGTTAGTCTCGCGCGAGTTTCTTATTATGGTCTAAAGTTAGACTTCTGGACTGTACTACGTACGTACTGTACTTCGTACAAGGCGGCGAAACTGTGTTCATCCCCTTATCAAACATCGATTGATTAACTGTCTACTCTGTACTTCATCGCTGATACCGTTTTATAACCGTTTTGGCATTTTCACGTAATAACAATCTGATTCGTCGAAGTCCGAGGAATAAGGATTTGCCTATCTTCTCCCCTCCCCCCCCCCCCCCTTGGCTCTACGCGAAATCCCAAATCCCAAAGACCAGACTCTAAAGCGTGCTGAAGGAAGAGAGAAACAGAGGGTACGTGCTATCGACGGTGTAGGGATTGATCCCTTCCCTCAGCTAGCACCGTACATCCCGCACAGACTGGTGCTGGAGGTTCCGTTTCTTGGAGTACCGGGAGTTTCTTCCCTTGGTAACTCGTTGACTTCCCAGTGTGTTCCTCTCCTTGGCAGCGGCCAGAGCATCCGCGTTGCTCGTTTGGCCAAACAAAGTCCCGGGTCTCCCTCCCAGGGCCACCCAGGATTTAACCGCGCGCGTTTTGCTTCGTGCGGAGTGGCCTTTATCAATGGTTCTTGCGCTGTCAGTCAGGCTAATTAGAGGGTGTGCCCTTCTCCGCGAAGACTCCTCATGGCACCCCGGACTGACCTGTTCCAAAGGCCGGGACTGAATCCAAGGGATGGGTCAGGAACTTGAACTTGAGCGTCTTCGCTGCGGTGCGGTGCGCTGCCAAATACCCCAAATACCCCGCTTTGGGACATTATTGGTGATCATGACAAGGCCAGCTCGCACACGCCTATGCTGCGTTCGTCTCACAATCTACAGGCAGCCCCAGCTAGCCAAGGACAAGGAGCCCTCGAAGGGGAGATCGATCATGAGGAGCAAAGCCTTGGCTACAGTGTGGTGATCTTACCCCGTTGATAGCAATTGTTTCGGTCATGCGCAATGATCTGGACGTCGAAGGTTGTCTTAATACCACGGACATAATGGAGCCATGTATTAACAATAAGGGACCCCTTCGTTGGCCACGCGCTTGACAGGGAGCCAAGAACAGATCTCCCCACGTATGGAGCAGTGCCCTAATAATATACCGAATGTGAGAGGTGGAAACACTTCCCCTCTACGTCAATCTGGAGGTCAATTGCTTGAACGGGACAACGGCATAGAGTAGCTCGGTCCTTCAATCCCACTCTAGCGAAAACCTTCCCCGGACTAAGACTCTATCTCTATCCACAAAAGCATACTACGTAACTACAGGACTACAGGACTACTGTATATGAATCAACAATCAATTCCAGGTGCCGCGTTCTTGTTAAATTGTCCCGGGTTTTAGGGTTTTACGTGCGTGTGTTTTACTTTGTTTGAGGGGCAATCATGCATCACTGTACGTACATTCCTAGGTACCTACAATGTCTGTACGTATTGTACACACTGCCAGGCAGCATTATCGCAAGCTTATCTGGATTGGGAAGACAGGATATTGAGCTGTTGCTCCTTTGACACTCCCGCACGTAGTACCTTACTTGCCTTACATGTACTGCATAGTACTACGTAGGCACTTTAGAAACCGTGAACTGCTGGTGCTGACTGCTGCTGGATCACCGCAGGAGCAGTACTCGAGTAGCAGCAGACGTGGGGCCCGGAATTGCTGGTTGCGTCCCTCGTACTTTCGTACCAGCTTATTACCAAAAGGAACACACCCTACGGGTACTCTACAGCTCCCAGGCACATCACATATGAACCCCAGATCGTGGGGCACCCTGCCAGCACTCCAACGCCCTCCCAACACACTCCAACACTTCAACACCTCCGTTGCACACGGCATCTTCCAGCGCCGCCACCACCCACACTTCGTCGTACTTCAGGCGTATCGATAGCCTCTGTACCGCACAGTACATACGTCGCCGTACCACACACCACGCACCTACATAGTACCTACAGAGTACAGTTGCAGCCCTCCATACAGGTACACAACGTTACCGCGACACCACTCTACATCCCCGGCCCGGCGCGCCAATCAGAAGCTGCCGAAACCTTAATAGCCAGCGCAGCTCGCATTGGCCCAGTTTACGAACGAAGGCGTTGGGACAGTGCACTACGACGAAGTGCTAGTCTCCTCTTGCGTACACCGTCGAGTCGCCCGTCAATAGTGTCAAACACTCGCTCGTAAAGCCACGGCCACTGCCACTACCACCGGCCCACTGGTGTCCCGATGTCGCCGTGTGGGGTTTTGTTCGGGTGCTGTGCCCCAGCCGTCGCTCCGCCGCTTCTGGGATGCTTCGATCTTCAACGGTCGGCGATGGAAAGCCATTTGAGCTTGAGCTGGAGCTGTGAGCTGTGAGCTTGATAGGCGTGCCACTGCGGCGTCGAGATCGGGATTTAGGGAAGCAAGGCCCGAAGACCGGAGGAGCACTCCGAGAATCCGCGGCACTCGAGCATCGCGTGGCCGCAAGATATCTCCTCGTATCCACGAGCCATTCATCTCGATGTTCACGAGTCTATGTTCCTGTTTCCTCTCCTACCTGGACTGACTGCATATATGATTAGAACCTCGAACTGACAAGTTCTAGAACGCGGCACGGCACCCGTACGAAGGCCTCTAATAAGCATCCTGCAAGCTTATTTGTTCCTTGTTCCCTTGCCAGCTACTGTACACACCAACATATTTCTGGTGCTATTGCAGCTGCTATTATATTACCTTTACGACCCCTAAACGCCGACTGTGTGCAGGATGCCCGCTGGATGACCAGGGCAAAGCTCCCTCCTTCTTTAACGCCGCAACCACCGATTCATATCGCTGGCGATTGCTATCTACTCCGTAGGCAGTGGCGTGCCTTCACTAGGTAGGCAGGGCGGGGCCTTCGGTACTCTCTTGAACGCGTGGTGATGTGCCGCAAGACGACATGCTGTACAAATTGCCTGCATATAGTACAGCTGCCAGATATGAATTCCAGCCTGTCTAGCTGACTCCAAAGAGTAATCCATCTCCGAAACTCCTAGAAAAGAATACCCGGGACTTCTTGTTTCTGCCCTTCGCCCCGAGCCGGTGGCGCAGGCAGTTGCACGACGTTGGCCAGGTGCTCCGTCATCATGGACGAAGCATGAGAGAAACGTGGCTCCGCACGCTATTACCCAGGCGTCTTCTGGCAGTCGTCAGATCTGAAACATGAGGAGAATATTGTACTGCACTTATCCCAACAATTCGTGATGGAGCTGGGCCTCTGCCGGCTCCTCCCGCAAAGTCGGCATCACGACATCTCGAAATCAAATTGGACGTTGATGTAATATTTACATGTTTTGAATCCTTCTCTATTGTTGCCTTATCTCACATGACATTTTCAGCTGCTTCCCTCCTTGTCCGTTAACCTAAACCCGGTCAATTACCTAGCTAGTTTCCCTCCTTCATTATTTTCCTTGCTTGGAATTACAAACTAATCCACTACGCACAAATTAAGCATGTGGTTTCCTCGTGACTATGCATCACACTAGGTTCTCCTTTCAAGGCTTTTACCCACAATGCTTTGTGCTGGCTGGAGACTTTCCAGTCGGGGGGTTAAGTCCCCGATAATCGGAGAATCAGTTGTGCCGCTCATCTACGAAGTGCTGTCTACAGTAGTACAGAGGAGTCGAGGATCAAGATACGGCGTACGGAGTAGTACTCAAGTATCAACAAAGCGTTTTAGCCGTTACCAGCCTCCGCTTTCTCAAATTTGCCACGAAGAAACATCTCCTCGATAGCCAGGTAAGAGCGCTTAAGGATAGTCATGATGATTTGTTCTAGATTCATCCTTCTAGAAAGGATTCGCTACTGCTAAAGCAAATTCCAAGCTGGCAGTAGACAATCCATGTCAATCCACCTCCAAGCCACAACAACGTCGTGCTGATGCATTTTCTTGCCTCTAGGCAAGAGGTTTTGACGTGGAACCGTCCACACGGTTAATTTGCGTAAGGTTTACCGGCCTTGCTGGTTGGTCTATTTGCTATTTGGCACGTACATAGGCTAGTACGCCCCTATTCCTTTATCTTCTTGCATAGGAAATCCAGATACCAGATATTGCTATAACTTGGTCTAAAAGACCTGGACACCTTCTTGGCTGGGCGGGTTGGTCGCCGACCAGACGGAAGACTAATGCCGTGGCACTTACTGTGCAGTTTCTTACTGCGCTGATGTGGTCGTATCCCTAAAAGTGAAACGGCCAAAGAATATGACAGCCTACTCCGTACGAAGTATGTACGACGCAATCACATCTCATGGTTCTCGATCAACTCACCTACAGATGGCGTTCCAGATGGCCTATCATTCTCGTTAGGGCTGCGTCTTACCTAGATCGAGCCAATCGAAGCTGTCTGGATGGCTGCCACGCCGTTTAGTGAGGGGTATTTAGCCCTTGAATTGGATGATCTTGCGAGATGCTGCAGTATACGACATAGGCGCTGCAACTTTTACGTCTACAAGACAAGTATGCCTTACCCACCAACAGGAAATTAGTGGTCCGCCAGAGGGCCTCTCTGCACATCGGGACTCAGCGAGGCTATCCGCCTACAGCGGCTAGCTATCGGTGGTATCCCCTCTATCAATTATCCATCCGGCTGTTACACACTGCTACTACCTTCGCGTTACAGTTGCCCCGTGATGAATTTGCAGATCTCTCAGCCTAAGAGAACACACAGAGGCGACATCTCACGAGGTTCCTTCGATCCTCTCTCCTTGCTAGGCTTACGACCACATGACAGGTTCTAAAGCATACATTCAAGCGCTAGCAAACCTTCGAATATTGCTTTGGAGTCGTACTCATACATACAGCTAGTAGATTGTAGCTTCATTGTTCTAAGGGAGGCAGCTCAGCGGAAACACCAGTTTCATTTTCTAGATACACGAGTCTCTACCGGATGTCCTCGATCTCTCAGCATCGGGCTACAACACTGGGCCAGGAATACGTAGATGAGTAAACCACAAACTATATATTAGCCACCCTCGAACATCTCCTAAGCCTACCTACCATCTTGAATTCGATGAGGACCTAAATAGAGTATATATAATTTACTAGGACCGGATGTAGGAACCCGCTGGCGCTTTACAGCTTCGCCAATATAGAGAGGACGTGTACGGCATATAAGTTCTATGCCGATCTATTTAAGCTCAGCTATACTGAAGAGATGGGCAGTAAGAGTCCCTAAAGGGTAACATTGGGATTGTTAAGGGCAAATGGATGCTAATCTGAACGGGCGGAGGAGGAACGAAAGGTAGTTATGAGACACAATGCGGAATCGACCTTGAATCAAACTAACTCTTCGCACAGATGTACCTTCATGACTTCCGCCGAGAAAGAAGCTGAACATATGCCGCGTTGCACTTCTTCAACACAACATATATCCCTAAATCGACACTCCTCCCTCACCACAATCATCAGCAGCCGCAGCATCCCCTCTGCTATCAACACACACAAAAGACACCGACAGGCGCCCAGTGACCGGTGCTAGAAATATAATTATAGTTTACTCTTCATTCTTCTATATATCGACATAGTATGGGTATCACAGGTCTTCCTAAATCCTTCTACTCCAACTCCAAAGCCAAAACACAAAACTCTCTAAACACCACGCATCCCTCGCTGTATCTAGAATCAAACCTTCCATCTAAATTAATCTGGATTAAGATATCCTCCCCATCGGGCTCATCGCCACCCGGGTCGTCTTTCTGGCGAGGAGGATACTATCTTCTACTGTCCCTTGGACTAACTTTGACAGCTTTCATATTCGGCAGGACGTGATTCTTCCCCGGCTGCCTTCCTACCTCAGTCACAATCATTCTAATAAAATCGGAACTTCCCCAGTAACTACTATGCGCACTTAGCATATTGAGATACTGGATCTCGAGCGGTCCGCCGCCAGAGCTGAGAAACCAATCCACTTGGCCGTTGTCGTTCAGCAGGAAGAATACCTTCTCTGCAATCTCCTCTCGTGTGAAATCATGGACCTCCAATTCCAACTGAGACGGGAGTCGGGCTATAGCTGGGGGTCTCGGAACTTGTCCGACAGCAAGGTCTCCGGGTGCAGCCATACCAGGAGTTATGGACCGCATGGCATTTCCGATGCTTTGAAAAAAGCTAGCTGTCGCGCTTGGCACTTGAGCATCTTTTAAGCTTGCAGCGTATTGAGGATCGGCTGTAGCATTGAGACGATATGCGATCGGATCATTGTAATGCATGATATTGTAAATATTGTCAACGGCTATACAACCGAACGTTCCAACTTCGCCGACAATGTCCTTGTCTTGATCATCGCCTGGCTCAGCACCGGGTTTACATTGACCTCTACGAGGGACTAGTTTGCCTTTTTCCAGAAGCAAGAAGAAACCTGCCGGACTTCCAGCGAAGAAGACATTTGTGGTGTTAAAATCAAAATGCTTGGTATTGACTTCGTTGCTATGGGGCTGAATCCTTGGGATAGTGGTCGGTTGATTGCTCAAAATCTCGACCGCCATAGCACTTCCGAGAGAATGGGCAATAATATGGACCCGGCCTTCACGGTGGAATTCGGGGTTATTCCTGCACCATAGCCCGTAAACTCGGTTTGCCTCGCTGATAACTGCCTGAATCATTTTCGGCTTGTGGTGCGACATGTAAAATGGAATGTCAAGCATCACATCCGAAATGAGGTTTCGAACAGCTGGAATAGTGTTGGGTGTGATGTCTTTCAAAGAAAATTCAGAATCAAAGCGGTCTTCGTCCCCATCTTTTCTCGGACCTCCGTCCTCGAATGATAGATTCGACCTCCAATTCACAGGTAGCGCCATGATCCCGTCGAGATCCTTGCGGAGTACACGCTGAACATTTTCATTCGCAAGTTCCACATTGATCGAGCGACGGAACGTATTAATGGCGTGAGTGAAATGAAAGCTCTCTACTCGCTCGGAAAGCTTTTGGCCAATCCCATGAATAACTAGGACGAGATCTGTAACCTTAGGTCGCTCCTCCTGTGCCCGGCAAGCTGAGCAGGCGTTATTTTTGGCAGCATCTGCATCACCAGATACCGGGGCGAGCTCGGCAGCCTTCGTATTGTTCCGCTTCTTTGAAGGATGAAGTTTCTCCCACATTTTCCAATCAAACCCGCGAACAACGTGGATTCCAACAGTCATGCCTCTTTTGATCTTCTGTAACGGTTTTCGGCCATAATACGCAGAAGGCTGTAGGGTTGGTTTTAGAATGAAAGCGCTCTGAGCGTCCTTGTAAATTACTTGAGCGCTGGAGTACCTCTTAGTCGCGGGTTTGGGCTGTGACTTCTCAAGATCGATCGTCCCCTCAGCAGCAGCCTCTCCAGGAAAACACTCTGCAGCACTATATGGATCGGTGCAGACGTGGGAGCCACTGCTGATTTGTGAATTTCGTTTCGAATCTATTTCCTGTGGCCATAGACGATGGGCTATCTTCTCCTCGCCAGCTGCCCCCACATATATCGCACTGTTCAGTTCATCATTCCATGTTTTTGACCACGGTCTAAGCTCCCGGTAGCCAAACTCGAGCTGATTTGCGACAGCGGGCTCAACAGGATACATGGAATCCTTATAGAACCAAGTTCCACGAGTTACAGCGGCCAGATCATGGACCGGGGACCAGTAAATGGGATGCATTTGCAAAGCAGGAACTTTCACGAGATGGAGCCTGGAGATACCCACAGGAACGTCTGCGTAATCATTCTCCATTTTGCTAGTAGGAGCTTCCGAAGTTTCAGGCGACGCTCGGCCAGATCCGCCGGTTTCTCGTGAGTCGCTTTGATAGCCGCTGTTGTCGGTTAGGTCGCGAGTAGGGGTCCAAGAGTATCGCGATTTGGGCTTGTCTTTCGCCGAATCGAACTTTATGAATGGCTGCCCTGTTGTACCAGTTCCACTTTGACTAGGGAGTGATGAGGAGGTTGAGCCGACGGGTTGGCTTGAGGATCTACGATCTTCTCTCCCCTCGAATCTTTCCCTGAGACGTGTGTCACGGGCAACATCTTGTTTAAACCCTCCTTGATCGCTGATGGCATTTCTTGAACTCTCGCCTAATGAATCTGACCTAGACCTTCTGGCGTGCTCTGTAACAAGCGTAGATACTCTGGCAGGATGTCCCTCCTTCCCATCTTTCCCAGCTAGTTGTGTGGCCGTGCTCTTCGTCTTACTATCCCCATCCCTTGGAGAGGCAACACCCATCCATGCCTCCTCCAGAGCATTGTTATCATATGCCGAGAATGGGCGAAGTGGGTGTTTCGCAGACTTGACGTCGGATCCGCTCTGCGGCGGCGGCACGACCGAGAGTGGGTCATCGATAGGTAGCGGTGAGGAATAGAAGAACTGAGCCTTCAGATATGGAATGTCATCGTCGTTTCGTGAGTTCGATAAGGCCACATTTCCAGTAAGGCGGCACGTAGGGCCGTAGGTATGGATCGAGTGCGACATTCTTAGCAGCTAAACCACGATCAGGGCGACTCAACAGTCCAGCAAGGCGTATTGCAAGCCAGCAATAGAGCCGCAAGGAATAACCACCATAAGTATGCAGCTCAACTCTGCCCAGCAGAGTAGGCTGGTCTGATAGTGATTGAGGGAGCAACGCGGTGAGGCTGGGCTGAGCAGTCAGCAAACTGGATATATGCAGCGAGCGAAGTGTGACAAAGGATGTTATACGATAATAACAGAGATATCCACCAAGGAAAGTAATACAAGGTCCTCGTATGCTAGAGAGTAGAGATCAGATATAGAGTTGCTGCCTCCAGCAAACGCGCCTGAGGTTTCGATATTTGAAGACCACGGATTCGCGTTGGGATTCGTCTACGAAGTATTGATGTACTGTGCATAACATAAAGGCAACCGCGATGCCTGATGACGTTGTGTCCAGCTGCTAAATTTATTCACATGCGAAAGCCGCAAACGTTCAAGCCACACGACTCCGCGAGCCACGCGCCTCAGCCACTTTTCCCCCCTTATTTACAAATAGTCGCAGTTTGGGGATATAAAATAACGAGTGAGAGATGCCCGCTTCATCTCTTAAAAAACGTACGCTTCATGAAAATTTTAATGCACTATCGCTATCCTCTGGCAAAGAAGTTCAGTGATGGATTTTTTTATTACTCTAAGTACATTTTTGGCTCGACTCGGACATAACACTAGGTTTTACTCCCTTAGGGGATACCTACAGAAGGAAATGTTCGATGAATGGAAGGAAATAAGACTGTGCAGCATGATCATTTTAGTACTCAAAACAACAACGTTGCGGAGCATGCCAAAAACCAAGGCTTTATCACTCAAACCTGCTCTGGATAGGAGTCGGGGACGAGCTTCAAGCCACCGTAAGGATCCTCAGTAGACAAACCTCTGGGTCGACTGCCCACTGATGAATGAGTATCTCTCGCAGATCCCTCCCCGGTCGAGTGCTGTAGACCATTTGTCTTGCCCACTGTCTTTTCACGCGTTTTGCGAATCAATTCATTGACTCGGGCTCGGATTTGCTGAACTCGCAACATAATTGGCTCTGACGCACCCAATAGTTCCAATATCTGTTCGATGTCGAAGAGAAGCTTCAATATAACCGTATCAGCATTGCAGAACGTCCGGATGGACATGAGATTCGCAACCTGCTTCCAGTTATACAGCATCGAGTTGACCCGAATCACATCACCGGCACGTTGGCCATGGAATCGGAAGGTGTGTTGATTGGCGGCAACGAGCTCACGTTGTGTGGCCTGGTCGTACATGAATTCGATGACTCCCGGTCGTCCTTTGCCCTTCCATGTGTCAACAGTCTTCTTGATCGTGTCCACGGCCATGCGACCTCGGCTGAATTCATTCATGAGGAAACTATTGCCAGTGTGCACTAGCATGAGCTCAAGCTCCATGGATATTTGTGCCTGCTCAGGAGGGCCAAGAGATATCGCAAGCAGGGAAGAGGCTGGGCGTTTGTCGGTGCTGGACCGCTTGGAGTTAATATCTGCCTTTTCAGCCTGCAGTTACATTAGATATATTCATCTTCGTTGGCAGGTATCGTCTACTCACAAACTCTTCAAACTTGTTCTTAAGTCTTCCCATCATGCCTGGCTTCTTTTGGCGATTGATAGAATCATCTCTCCTGTCGAGCGAGGATTTCTTCGTTCGAACCTTGACCTCTTTCAGTTCATCTGGTGACTGACCAAGCCAGCCGTGATCCCCAAACATTTTCTTCATCGGCGACCGAGATCGTTTCGGAATTGGATCAACTAGCGGGCTCATAGCAGCTGCTACACGGCGGGCATCGATCTCATCTGTCTCGAATACGTCATCCAGGGGTTTTGGTGGCGATATTGTCTGTTGACGACCACGAGAAGAGCGGTTCGACGATTCATCACCAGGACTCCGAATGTTGGAGCGTGTCGGTGAAGGCGATCGTGATATGGCGAGACCATGGCGAGACCTGCTAGGGAATGACAGAGGAGCACCCTCTACACGGTATCGGCGACTTCGGTAGTCGCGGTCATCAGGTCCACGGCGAGTTGGCGATTCCAGAGTGTTATCTTCATCAGCAAACTCTGTAGGCTCTGAGCCACGGCCTTCATCGCCGCGTGCCTGGAACCGGAGAGGGGGTATGCTCGGAGATGACTCGCTTCTATGAAGCATATGGCGTGCTGGCTTTTGGAAAGGGACAGCTAGCGGACTAGGTCTATGAGGCTGATAAACTCCGTTTCCTTCGGAGAGCGAATTCTTCGTATGGAATGGTCGAGGGCTGGGCATCGGTGGTGTTGAGTTCTCACGCGTTGCTCTCGTGATGAACTCTGTCATTGTGGTCTGGCGTGCCTCATTGATGTATGGGGTAATAGGCTCGAACTCATAAGGGTTCACAGGTCGATCAACCCTTCCAATTCTAGGTACACAGTCAGCGCTGTCTCTTTAGGGTGGTGAATATCTTACGAGTCGGAGTTCCTCATGTCAGGGGTCACATCCATTGCATCAATCGGAATGAAGTCGCCGAGGATCGCGGAAGAAGAACCGGATGATAGATATAAAGCCTCAATGCTCGAAACAGTGGACCGCGATGTATCGATTGAGGGAGCGTCCTGGGCTGAAGTACTAGAGAGATGGTTCCTCATGGAACTCAAATCGCCGAACTGAGCGGGATCCACAGAAACCGGCGGAGGTCCAGGTGTCGCGAGGCAAAGCAATCCCAATGCGATCGAATCTGCTGAGTAGCGCAGGGAAGATGTTCGTGGAGGAAAGACAAACGGGATTGACTCGGCTTTGTGTGTTTGGTTGATTTCGGGTGGGTATTGGTGGTTGTGTCCTGTAATCTGGATCTGACTTGACTGCTTGCGGAGGTGTAAGGGTCTGATGGGAGAAATTGGGGGAAGCGGAGTGAATTTATCGTCTTGCTCCATTTGAGGATCTGTATTTGCAGCAGGCTTGGTATTGTGGCACCTTCGTATTGAAGGCGGTATTGTGAGCGCGAAGTTGTGTGTTTGTTTTGACCCGCTAAGCGTCACCACCCTCAATTAATATTTCCAATGGATTGGTGCAGCTTGCACGTTTCGCTACTCATCCGCGTAACAAGCTAAGTTGAAGTAAACCCCTTTATCATATTTCCACCTCATGATATGATATCCGGTGAGTATGTAACTATGTAACTCCGTATACCTTGTATCTGCTATATATCCACTAGGTAGACTGTATTAGTTCCCAGCCATGACCTAGGCTGGGATGGTACCTTGCACGGTTACGGAACCTGCTACTTAAACCCCCAAATAAAGTTGGGGAAATCTGGGTAGAACATATGTATGCAGACTACGAGTGTCTTGGAGGTGATGCAAGTAATAGGATCCAGTCTCATGGCTTCAATTGAGAAGGTATTATAACAGCTAGTAAACCAGCTATTACCCACGAGTGACTGAGTCCCATTGTCTCGACAATCAACAATGGGCAAGGTTAAAAGTGCAAAGCAGCAAATGTAATAGCAGAAATATTGAGGAAGCCGCTTGAGCAATGGACTGCGAGTCACGCATCCTCAAATCAAAATTTTCAGTCTTGATAATCTTGCGCTCCGTATTTATCTTAAGGCATATCGTGAAGCCAAAGAACGAGACAGGTAGAGCCACTGGCCCCGATATACTCTTAATAGCCTACGTACTCAGGAGCCCATGAAAATAGAATCAATTAGGGCTCCTATACAATGCTTTTTATCAATTAAAAAAAAATAGGTCGTCCTTATTAGATGACTTCTCTCTACCTAAATAGACAGCGTTGGACCAAGTGACGTTGGATATCTCGCTAGCTGTCCAGTGCTAGGCCAGCAGTGACGACAGTGGCCGCCGTGTACGCCACACCTAATCCTTCTCTCTCTCAGGTACCGAGTTCGCAGCCGAACGCTCTCTGCCCCGCACGGCCTAAGGCACGCATGACTTGCCGTCTTCAACACCCAGCGTTTGCTCGACTCCCGCTGAACTCATCCGTACGCACCGTAACCTCCGCACTGGGTTCGACTAAGACTAATAGCATCCCCCTTCCACCAATGCCGCCTCTGTCCCCATTCCCAAGGAGCCGCTAAGTCTGGGCGGATCGCTCCAGCTCCAAAGACGCGATGGCAGTGTTCTCGCCGAGTCAAATGCCGTCAAAATCTCCGAGTTTCCTCCAGGACTCATGTCTTTGCATTTAAGTAGACTCTTTCTCATCCCTCTAAGCTCGCTCCCTTCTCCGTTTACAGTACTTGTTCCTCTTCTCAATTTCCTTCCCTCTTATAACACTCGCCAATTCGACCAATACAGAGTGGGTCTTTCGTTGAGACGCCGATTTCTTTTGCTATGGACGAGAATATGAAGCCCCGCGAGGGTGTCGAGGCAACCAGCGATGCCTGTGAAAAGTATGACATTGTGATCGTTGGGGCAGGTCCTGTTGGCTTGCTGCTCTCGACGTGCCTGGCACGGTGGGGATACAAGATTAAGCATATCGATATACGGCCTGAGCCTACCAAGACCGGTCGTGCGGATGGTATCCAACCTCGATCCTTGGACCTCCTACGGAATATGGATCTCAAGGCGGCCATTATGGCTCACAAGCCTGCCAAAGTCTATGAGGTTGCGTTCTGGGACCCGACCTCCGCAGGCGATGGGATCCATCGGACGGGGACTTGGGCGAGTTGCCCCAGCTTTGTTGATGCGCGGTATCCGTTTACCACCCTCTTGCACCAGGGGATGATTGAACGTGTCTTCATCGACGATTTGAACAAGAATGGAGTCGACATTCAGAGGCCATGGACTATCACAGGCTTCAAAACCGACGAGAAGGCAGACCCAGAGTATCCTGTCCAGGTGGATTTAGAGCACATAGATCGCAAGCAGAAAGAGCGCGTGAGGTCGAAATACCTATTTGGCGGAGATGGGGCCCGGTCATTTGTGCGGAATCAATTACAAATCGCTGTGAAGCACAAGGACCCAATTGCTTATGTTTGGGGTGTCATGGATGGCGTCGTGAAGACGGATTTCCCAGATATAAAGGTCAGGAAGCTCCCAGGAATATTAGACGTGCAATATTAACTAGTGTATTAGATGAAATGTACTATACATTCGGAGCATGGCTCCATAATGGTCATTCCGCGCGAAAATAACCTTGTACGCCTATATATTCAAATCGCATCTTCAACAGACAAAGACTGGGATCCCCGGAAAACGGCCTCGGAAGAGGAAGTCCAAAATTCGGCGAAACGGATACTTGAGCCATATAGCATCGAATGGGAGCGGGTGGAATGGTACTCTGTGTATCCTATTGGGCAAGGGATTGCAGAGAAATACACGCTTGACCATAGGGTATTCATGGGAGGGGATGCTTGTCATACCCACAGCGTAAGCAACCACACAAAACAAGCATAGGTCGATGTGCTAATAAAAGTTACAGCCAAAAGCCGGCCAAGGCATGAATACGGCGTTCCTAGATGCCCTAAACATAGCATGGAAGATCCATCACGTCGAGGGTGGGTTTGCAGATAGATCGATCCTCCAATCCTACGAATCTGAGCGGAAGCTCGTCGCGGAAAACCTGTTGAATTTTGATGCAAAGTATGCTGCCTTGTTTTCACAACAACCTCCGGCAGCCCAGCATGTTGCTGCGGCAAACGAGCAGAGGGATCAGAAGGGGGCCGGAGAAGAGGAGAACCAATTTATCAAGACCTTCAAGGAGTCTTGCGAGTTTACTAGCGGTTACGGAGTGGCGTATGGCCCCAACGCCCTCAACTGGTCGCCATCCCACCCGGCTCAATCCAATCTCATCAACCCAACCGGCAACAAATTACGCTCAGGGCGTTTACTTATCAACGCCAATGTCACCCGCGTTGTCGATGCGAACGTGGTACACCTCGAACAGGAGATACCTCTCAATGGCTCGTTCCGAATATATGTATTTGCTGGGAAACCTTCCACAACCAAAACGGCAATTGGCGATTTTGCCCGGAACATCAACAAGAAATCGTCATTCCTTACCTCCTATCTCCGTTCTGATATCGATACAGTATCTCATCATGAACGGCACAACCCACATAGCCACTTCTTCACCTTCTGCACAATTATTGCGTCCAGCAGGTCGGATGTTGAGATTTCGAGAGATGTACCAGATGTCTTGGCCAGGTACAGAGACCATATATATGCGGATGATATATGGGATCCGAGGGCCCCAGAAGCGAAGGCCGCAGCCCATGCAAAGATGGGACTAGACGAAGAAAAAGGAGGTGTCATTGTTGTACGACCAGATGGATATATCGGCATTGTTACAAGCTTAGTAGAAGGAAGCGGGACTGTGGACGCGCTGAATTCCTATTTTAGCGCTTTCTGCACCAAGAATTTGTCTGAGCATAGAGCTATTTTGTGAGAGAGCGCTAACATAATCTAGCTATCAGTATACCCGAGATTTTTTAGACTGTTTTCTCCATGTATATATATCACGTTTAAATCAAAGACATCTAGACATAGGTATTGACAGATATCAGTAGTATTGTGAATGGTGTTGTGACTTGATGCGACGAAAATATCCTACCAAAGCCCCTCATATGGGCCGATATCAAGAATTCAGCTGTCTGACTGAACAAAGAGAAGGACAATACACTGATAATCGGTCTATAACTGCCAGTTGTTTCTATTATCCCCCCTCGTTTACCATACCAGTCCCCTAGGCAATTGATGTAGAAGTATTTTCCCTACATGCACCTCGAAATAGCATCAAGAATCAGTTTCCGACCGCCAATTCCCTCACCAAAAGATACTGTCTGCTGCCACTGCACCTACCCGTCGGAAACAAACGCCGAATTCATACTTCCGCTCCCACCTGATAAGGAGGTACGATACGGTGGTGTTGTCGCATTAGAATTGGTGGAATTAGCTACGCTATTTTGCTTATTCGGGAGCTGGAATTGCCGTCCTCGTATAAGTACCTATCCGCTAGAAGTCGCAATTAAAAAGGAAAAAAATTGTTTAGTATTATATTTGATAGGTGATGTTTGAGAAGATGCCATGTTTGATTCGGGTACGTACATACATGTACCTAAGATCCTCACCTTATCCCTGTGGATGGTGAGTCCCGGCCCGGGTAAATAGTTAATCCGGGACCCAGCCACTTTCCATTGTCTCCCCCAGGATACGATACTTTCTCCTCAGTTCAGCGCCAGCGGGCGAGGACACCCCACATCCAACATCCCCTGATGAAACTTGTACGCCTTCACAGATACCGGCATAGATATGGACGCTTGACCCATTAGACGTTCATCTTTGGGGTTTCTCGAAATGAGCGGACGCAAGCGGAAAGCCTCCGTTCAAATTACCCGCAACTCAATTCCCGTCCTGGAGGTACGCATCACTTTTCTAGCTCCGTGTCATATTGGATATCGCAAGCGGTGTTTGCTAACATTCTACCTAGCCCCTGTCAGCGACAACGCCACATACATCGTCTGTTTTGATGGGAATTATACAGAGCGCGATGGCGGTGGGCTGGGGCTGGTGTACAAGCTGGTGCGCCGGCTTGTATTCACTCGCCCCCTCCCAAGCATACACCAGTATGACCCAAGGGTCAACCGAAAGTGAGCGACTACCAGCTCTCGGAATATACATATTCTAACGTAGGATCTAGTTATCGGAGACACACATATCCAGTCTGCGATGCCTAGGAACGATGGCGCGACAGCGCTGAAGCGCCAAAAAACGCGAAGCCCAAGACCTGCCTCGCCGGATTCTGTGACCAATAGATATCAAAAGGGTGGATGCGGGACTTTGGATATTGAAAGTTGCGAAAATGAGAGAGAGGCTACACAACGTGTCGATGCATTCTGGCTTCCCCCAGAACCCGGTTTGCTTCGGAGGAAGTCAAGTACATATAAACAAAAACCCTCAAAACCCACCGAATCTCCCAAAGAAGAACAACCCCAGAAGAGAGTTTCGCAGGCTAGGGATTATGGCGCTTCAGCGTATCCGAGCCCATCCCCTTCGTCATCATCTCGAACTTCCGAACCCATGCGCCGAACTGTTTCCGAGACTGCAGGTACGCTCGCCCGGGTGGCGCCAACTCCAGAATCGCTTTCAGGAGATGATATCCGGAAGTTACGGGCGAGTACAAGCGTAGACGACTTGGGTGAACAGATGAGAAAGCTCCTAGGGTCGGACGAAGAGCAAGAAGAGCGCCGTGAAGTAGCCAAGCTATTTGCGCCCTCGGGAATATATAATGAAAGGCGGGTGAGATTGGCCAAGGAACGAAAGATCAAAGAGAGAGAAGCTGCTATCCAAGCTGCCAAGGATCGTCGTTTAAAGCGTCGTTCTCCGTTGAGAGCGCTCATACGACCTATGAACTCGGAATGGGAAAACAGAGTCAACCAAGCGGCGTATATGCAGGACCCTTACCGAGTCATTACGACCTCGATTGGAGGAACCGAGCTGCGGACGAAAGATTTCGCAACACTGCTAGGGAACCGCGCCTGGCTGAATGACGAAATCATAAACTCTTATATCGAATGGATTGTTGATGCTGCCAACAAAGATGCCGTCGCCGAAGCAATGGCTCGAGGCGAGCCACCAAGCACTGTGCCCAAGTTTATTGCACACAACAGCTTTTTCTACCAAAACCTCATCAAAAAGGGGCCTAGCAGTACCGCGAACCTCATGAAGAGAAAGAAGGCACCCGGAGCCGCTCTGCTAGAAGTTGACTCGGTCTTCGTGCCCATCTGCAAGGGAAACCACTGGACGATTGGTGTTGTCCGCCCAGTCGCGAAGACAATTGAATATTTCGACAGTATGGGAGGTGATCCGCGCCCCTTCGTTAACCTTATGCGCGATTGGCTCAAATTCCAATTGGGAAACGCGTACGACGAGGAGAGTTGGAAGAAGCCACGAACAGCATGTGCACGCCAAAACAATGGCTATGACTGTGGGGTATTTGTTTGCACAAATGCCTACTGTGTCGCAATGGGTCTAGACACATCGTGTTATTACGAGACCGATATGCTACAGCAGCGGCGAAATATTGCTGCGGTTTTGATGAACAAAGGGTTCGTCAAGGATTTTGCCTGGGATACGGGGAGCTTGTAACATGGTGAGGATGGTTGTCATATTGTTTTTCGGCGTTTGGATCAGGGGGGAACGGACGATACCCAATCTGTTTAAAGCTTGTGAACCAGTGGGGCAGGAAACCATGGACTGGAGCAGGAACTAGGCACTTCGAAGCTCTGAAGCCGAGATAGATGATATAGCCTAAGAACATGTACATGTACAATTCAAAATATAACTAATTAGATCATTGTGAAGGTTGCCCTTAGCTTAAACCTCAATACCCTCGTGCTTTATACGTATGGAGTAGCACGAAGTCGGTAGCTACAATTTAACCGGCGTTTACTATACCTGGTTAGGTGACAGCATTATTTCAGAGGCTAAACAGCGAACGGCGGAGTAGGGAATCAGGGTCACTACTCCGTCGTAACCGCACCCCGCGCATGCGCTAATTATAAGGGATCCGGGGCGTTATCGCGCGTCTACTCACTGCTTCCCCAGATCAAGACGAACCCCGAACAACCACCGACCTCACTGATCGCCTCTATCTTTCAATGCCTAGATGTGTGTGAAATTCTGAACTTGCCAGACATTGATCCATATGTTTGCGACACCTCGGCGATAAGCGGCTATGGCCAAGAAGGCTAAACAACGGGTTTCCTATGTACTCCCTCTTGACAACTCCCCAAATGGACATCGTTTGGGAGTCAATGGGTTGGCTGTGGACCCTGATCGATCTATTCTGTATGTCGCCGCTTCCACTAACCCAGTCAAAGCCGGTGATAGCTCCCTTGTGCCTGAAACTGACCGGTTGTTAGCTATTCGGGGGGAAGAGGTGGCACAGTATGCGCATGGAACCAGAACATCGATTTAAAGAGCTCAAGAGACAACCCCTTTGATTCGCCTGATGACCCTCCGTCAGCGCCCAGTTCCAAATCTAAGCATCCATCCAGTTTCCGTATCCAGACGCAGGCCCACACCCACTGGGTTAACGATCTCGTCCTTACAGACAACAATACAGCCGTGGTATCAGCGTCTTCCGACTTGACTGTGAGAGTATGGAGGCCACTGTCGGAGGAGCAAGAGGCGCCACAGACAATTGGACAACACGCCGACTATGTCAAACGTCTTGCGACTCCGAATGCGCAGGCAGACTGGGTGGCATCTGGGGGGCTTGATCGAAAGATATTCCTTTGGGATCTAAATGGAGCGGGCAAGAAGCTCGAGATTGAGGTTGGAGATGAAGAGAAGAGTGAGAAAGGCTCGGTATACGCGCTGAGCACCAGTCGAACTATACTTGCAAGCGGAGGTCCAGAATCTATCGTGCGACTTTGGGATCCGAGGTCTGGCAAAAGGATCACTAAATTTGTTGGCCATACCGATAACATCCGAGACATTTTGATCAACGAATCTGGTGACACGATTATGACTGCTAGCTCTGACCAGACCGTCAAGGTCTGGAGTGTTACCGGAGGCCGTTGTATGCATACATTGACTATGCATAACGACAGTGTATGGTCACTCTTTTCCGACGACCCGCAACTTGGTACATTCTACAGTGCGGATAGGTCGGGGCTGGTTGTTAAGACCGATGTTAGAGGAACAATGGGTGAGATGGATGACGGCCTTTCCCTAGCTGTCGCTCAAGAAACCGAGGGCGTTAATAAAGTCATTGTGTGTGGAGATTATATCTGGACTGCAACCTCAAGTTCCTCTATAAATCGCTGGTCGAACGTCGATACCGGTCCCGACATCCAGTTACCAGAAGCCTACAGACGACATCGGGCATCGAGCTCGGCTTCGCGTTCTGGTAGTTCTCCGCCTGCTACCAATGGCCACTCAAAAAAACGAGAGATACCTGCACAGTCCATCTTGAAGATTTCAAATACAGCAACTTTCCCAGTGGCTGCAGCAAGAGAATTGGACACTAATGCCTCCGCTATTTCGGCATTGACCCATGCGCGAAAAGGATCTGAGATAATCGTAGATCCAGATATCGGTGTTATTGTTCCAATTAACGCCCTGCCGGAAGATACAATTGAAGGCCAGCATGGCTTAGTCAAACACAAGCTACTTAATGACCGTAGGAGGGTTTTGACGCTGGATACAGCAGGTGATGTCCTTCTGTGGGATTTGCTGCAGGTAAGATATGGCTCCGGAATGTTTCTGATGTAATGCTGACAGAAAAGTGCATCCCAATTCAATCGTTTGGGAAAAGGCATCTCGAGGACGTGGAACCCGAAGTCAACACGGTTGAAGCAGTTGCTCCTTGGTGCTCAATAGATACTCGCACAGGGCGGCTGGCCGTAGTGCTGGAAGAATATAATTGCTTCGATGCAGAGATGTATGCAGATGAATTCGAGCTAGAAGAGCCAATCGAATTCCGGGATGACCAAAGAAGTAAGAAACTCCTCCAGCAGTCAGAGCAAAATGACTCCCTTGACTAGCATATACTAATTGCCGAGGTAGTCAACCTTGGGAAATGGATACTGCGATATCTCTTTGCTAATCTTATCGATGAAATGATCAAACAGGATGAAGTATATCGGGGAGAGCTCTTCGAAAAACAACAAAAGAACACGCGTGCAATTCCCCCGAGTTCGATTCAGATACCTTCCTCTACAATGGGAAGCTGGCCAGATCGTACGGCTGCATTGACACCACGAGCCAATGGCGTCCCCTATCCAATGACCCCTGGTATGAGCATCGGAGTTGCAACACCCGCAGTTATGCATCTGCCAGGCGTTCCCGAAGGTGGCGCGGCTCTTGATAAGAAGTCATCACAGACAAGCCGCGCTTCAGGTGACAAGTCTGGTGATTATTTCTCTAGCACACAGATATCCCCGGACGAAGCTGCGAAGCCGTTACTTCCGGCGACCTCTGTCGAGCCGACGGACGACAAACTCCCGAAATCTCCTACAGAACCTGATAAGGAGAACAATGGAAAGGTCTTTGGCAAGAAGTTCCGCATGGGAATGTCTTTTGGAGGCAAAAAGCTTGGACGTTCCGCATCGACAAACATAGAGAAACCAGTCGTTGTGGATGAGAAAGTAGATGATGGTTCAGAAACGTCGGAGAGCGGTGACAAAGAGAAAGAATTCGAGGATACTTTCCTTGGCATAGTCGAGAGAATCAGATACGGGTATGAGAAGGCACTGATTGAAAACCCTGATAAGCAGCCCGATAGTGAAATCACGCCAACTCTGCCTAATGAGACTCCCGTACTTAAGCCTCCGCCAATGACTACGGTTATTATTCAGGAGGAGACATCCGGTGGGAGTGCGGATCTGTACCGAGGGACGGTTGGTACAGTTGGGGATGATGCGAGTTTGATAGAACAAAGAGCTCCCATGTGGCTTGGTGATCTACTTCTGAGGGTATGTCCTTCTTTTGGGACCTCGATAGGATCTTGCTAACGAATTGACAGAACAAAATCCCCTTGAAGGAACCTGTTAAGGTCTCTTTCATCTTGCAACCCTGGCAGGACCTCCTTCCTAGTATTGCTGGTCCAGACGGAAACTCTCGTTTGAACGCAAACAGAATGCTCCGCGTCAAGAAAATCCTAGCATACGTCGCTGAGCGCATTGAGGCAGCTCCAGAGCAGCCGGACCCCGATGCTCTTAAGCCGGAAGAGTATCTTGAGCTCTACTGTTATGACCAAGTAAGTTGCCTGTTGCCATTCCTGTGCCTAGCTAATATCGAGACCAGAAATTACCGGTTGCTATGACTCTCGCGACTCTCCGAGCTCATATTTGGAAGGGAGGTGCGGATGTGATGTTGTATTATAAGAGCAACGGGAGAAAGCCAATTCGCTTTGAGCAGAAGCCGGAGGCTGAACCTGGAACCGTGACCCCGCCCGCGCAAGCTACAGCATGAACATTTTGAAGTTCATATAGCAGGGTGTGAGACATGAATAGGAAGGAAGCTCTTCCGTCATTTGGAACTAAATTACCATAGGCTGAGTATACTCAGCAGCCGAGCTAGCTCCTTTATAGTCGGAGAGATGGCTCAAAGATACAATGATATAATTCTGATGTGTCTCGTTTTACCAGTACCCTTCGCCTCCTATCTATTTCATCTCTGTTACATCCAGTTAAGAGCTAAAAGCGACCTGAGATCCCCCAAGCGCCCCCTCCGGCACGCCCCTAACCGTACAAGTAATCGCACATGATATAATTCGACGCCTTGAGACGTGTCCACCGCTCTATACATATATGGTATCCCAAGACACTTAGAAATCACTATACAATATGTCACATATGACTATTTCGGCCTCTGCTGAGATAGAGAATTGTATGCCCACTGGTACGAACCCAGGAATATGGCACCTCCGGCACTAATCCAGAGGACTCTTGGCCCAATACCAGCAACGAAAGCTCTCGGGCCATTATCCTTCAATATCTGCTTCAGCAAAGGGATCATAGCTGTCTTTTCCTTGGCCAACATCATCCTTGTCTTAAGAACATCCAAAGGGGTCGTAACTCCCGCAGCAATAGCACCAGCAGCACTGCCAAACAATCCACTCTCCAACGCGCTGATCTCGTCCTTCCCAGATTTCCGCCGCTTATATTCCTTCATCGCCTCCCACAGTGGAAACTGTATGACCGTGAATGGTACTTCCCTCATAATGGTGACGAACCAACCCCGATATAGCTCCATCCACACGCCAGGTATACCAATGGTCCGATGGTGAGACAAAATCGCCCGTAGAGCTAACAGAGAAGATGGATATTGGCCCGCCTGCGCCCGCTGCTTCACCACCTCCGTAGGAACTCTCACTGCGCATGCTGCGACCTCCCCAAGACTAGCAGCAGCCATATGTTCAATTGGCGCTTCCCAATCCGCCGCTCCTCTTCCATTGGCCTGATTCGCATGCCGCCGCGCAGATAGGAAACTCTTGGAGTATTCGTATGTGCAGAAAAAGAGCGCTGCGCCGGGGGCAGATCCAACTATTGCGCTCCCGACCCCGCGATAAATGCCCGAGAATCCTCCGGATGCGAAGAATCCGGTGGAGGATTGAAGACGCGTTTTTAACGTGTCTAGAGGGTAGAGTGAGAGGTCGACGGTGGTCCCGGCAAGTCCACCAGCGAGGAGGGCGGTGGTAAATTTGGATTGTGGTTGGGAAGACATTTCGGAGTAGTCGAAATCCAGTAAAATTGAGAGCTCGGTGGATTCGACGCTTTTCAATCAAGGTACAGGCCGAAGCCAGGGCGAGGAATTATCAATGCGGGTCCATGGCTAGAATGAATGAGTGTGAGGTTGTTGGAGTTGGTTGGAACTCGTTTATCTAATCTACTCAGAAATAAAATTTAGGCGTGACGATAACGCACCCCTGACAGCCAAACTACATCCACATGTAGGCTGACGAGACGACTTCGATGTTAATATAAAACGGCTTCAAACTACCAATTTAAAGAAGGCATCACTCCCATAATGTCATGGGCGTCTCTAGTCATGTCTTCAAAGCTCAAGCCTCCACGGCTCGCCCACTTGCGGTAGCAGAGTTCCTAAGCTCTCTATCTAAAATATGCACCACCGCCGAGAGCTCTCATCGGGGGCAGGCGGAGACCTTCGGTCAGTAATCCCAATTTAGCGAAGAGTTTAAGTAGTTTAAGGACTCATATCGTACTATCAGGCCTGGCTATCAGCGGTGGGGTTGACTCAATGGCCCTTGCTACTCTCTGCTCTCAACTCCAATCCACGTATCCCGGCACTGGTCTCCCTCCCTTGGGTTCTCTCCGGAAAATCGACTTTCGGGCTTTTGTAGTGGATCATGGGGTTAGAGCCGGAAGTACTTCTGAGGCAAATTCTGTTGCTAGACTCCTTGAAGGACGAGGTGCGGAAATTGCCTACTTCGGCCAAGCTCTATGGCTAACTAGATATTTAGGCATACAAACGCAGGTGCTGCAGATCAACTGGCCTGGATGTGATAATCCAGCAGATAAGCCTAATTTTGAATCCCTGGCCAGGAAGTATCGCTACCAGATAATGGGCAAAGCCTGTAAAGACTTAGGAATCAGGTCCCTGCTTCTTGCCCATCACGAAGATGATCAGGCGGAAACTATCTTGATGAGGCTGATTAAAGGCCATGGCAGGCTTGGTCTCATGGGTATGAAGGTTGATGGTGGAATTCCAGAATGCTACGGCATACATGGCGTCTATGAGAGTGGAGGGATCCCTATCCAAAGTCCTCTCATTGAACCCCATTCGGAGCATAACGCCCTCGCCTTCCCCCAAAATTCGGAACAGATGAACCTATTTTATCAAGCTCGGTTACCTATAGAGACAGGTGGTATCAAGATTTATCGGCCCTTGCTGAGCGTTGGCAAAGAGAGGTTGATAGCTACCTGCCAGGCTGAGGGAATGGAGTGGTTTGAAGATCATACGAACAAGGACCCGACACTCACGACAAGAAATGCTATCAGGCATATGTACAAATCCTACTACATGCCAGCCGCCTTAACAAAACCTGCTCTCCTCGAGCTATCAGCAAGATGCAGGGCGGTCACCAATTCCGAACTGGAGGTGACGAAACAGTGGCTTGCTCGGTGTGACATACGAACCTTCGACAACCGAACTAGCATCTTGGATATCCGATTTCCAGATCTCAAAACATTTGCAAATACACAGCAGGCGGATGGCCAACTCCTGGCGGCGAACATTATCCGCTATATCGTCATGCTTGTTACACCGGAAGAACATGTATCGCTCTCCTTTCTAAACACCGCCGTAGAACGTGTTTTCCGCGAGGTCATGACAAGTAAAAAAAATCAGCGAAAGCCCCCCATGGCGTTCACAGTGGCCGGGGTTGAATTTCGACCCATTATTGAGGGTGTCTCTCACGCCCGTCACCAGGGCTCGAAGCCCCCTGTAGAAGAGAAGTGCAGATGGCTTATATCCCGGCAGCCATACAACTCCAGCTCAGAAACGCACCCCTCCATCCTCGTCCCTCCACCTCACTCTCCCCTCGAAAATACATGGTCAGAATGGACCCTCTACGACGGACGATACTGGATCCGTATTAAAAACCGCGGCCCAATGCCAGTCCTCGTCCGACCTTTCCGCAAGGAACACCTACATAGATTACTACGTCCCCCCAATTGGATCGGTAAGGGACGAAGGCTAAAGCAGATACTGAAGAGAATTGCACCCGGAGCTTCAAGATGGACGATACCAGCTCTTGTACTTCGAGGAAATGATGCTAAGGAAGTGCCGTTTGCTCTTCCATCCCTAGATTTCCGGGATCCTGACCTGGGGGCCGAGGTGGATTGGGAAATCAGGTATAAGAAACTGTACACTGATGGACTTCCACAGCTTCACTCCACCTTAGAAGTGTAATTAACGGTGGGTGTTGCGAAAACAATTGGACGAACAAGTCTCCTCCTGAAAGCTGTCCAACTGAGCTAGTCGGATATAGCTGGGGGAATTGGAGAATGTATAATAATGGCTATGTCTTGTGATGCTTATCTGTTGTCTCTGAATATAGTCTGTATGTACGTCCAAACTTGTAGCAAATGGTTCCAATAGCTAGTAGGTGCGAAGTTGAGGCATTGGGAGAAAGCGCGGCACGTAATAAAACTCCAGAGAGGAGAAGAGTTAATAAGAAGTTGAGACATTTAGCAAATGTACGGTATCCAACAAAACTTTATTAGGGGATTGCTTAACCCGGTGGCATTTAAGATGTTGGATAAAGACGCGACTTTGGCAATTGTCTCAACTTCTTATCCCTCGCTCCCCTATGCCCGTTGGCCTAAGGAGATCGGTGGTGTGGGAGTAGCAGATTGGTGGGCGGCCTTAGGCCAGCGAGTAACCGTTTGTTGCGCATCGCACATTTGCCTAAGTTACATTTTGATTCCACAACGCAAATATTACATTAAAGGCAAGTTAAGCCTCCTCTAAATAATTATTAGGAGCAGGCTTAACTTGCTTTAAAGCGATATTCGAGATGTGGGATAAGATAGCGGCTTTGGCAAATGTGCGATGTGCAACGAAACTCCACCCGTTGGCCTAATGCCGCGACCCAATGCCTCCCTATAAAGTTTTTGTTGCATATCGCACTTTTGTTCAGATCCTACTCTGATCCCACATCTCAAATCTTCCCTTAAGCCAACTGCAAATAATTATTTGAAGGCTACTTAACTCGCCCTAAGGCGAGACTTGAGATTGTAGAGCAAAACAGTGATATTAGCAAAAGTGCGATGTGCAACGAAACTTTCGTTTTGCCCGTTGCCCTGTCTTTGGTAACTCAACTTGTCACCGCTCTTGTACAGGTAGTTTTGTTGCACATCTCACTCTTGTCTTAAACTACACTTTGATCCCACAACTTAAATCTTCCCTTAAGCCAGCTTCAAATAATTATTTGAGAGTTGCTTAACTCGCTCTAAGTCGAGACTTGAGATTGTAGAGTTAAAATGCGATATTGGCAAAAGTGCGATTTGCAACAAAACTTTCGTTTTGCCAGTCGCCCTTCCCTTGGTGATTCAACTTCTCACCGCATCCTGTATAGGTGGTTTTGTTGCACATCGCACTTTGGTACAGTGTTCTTTATCGCATTTTAGCCAACAAACTTGAATGTCGCCTTAAAGAACACTGTACCAAAGTGCGATGTGCAACAAAACTTCTATAGGAGCGGTGAGAAGTTGAGCCACCAAGAACGGTGCGACGTGTGCGGCAAAACTCTACAATGAGAGTCTCTATACTTGGTATGGCCAGTCTGTGGGGGGGTAGGCCTACATTATCAATGCAGTACTTCTGATAAATTTGATTTCATGTCTCCTATCCTCTATCTAATTCCACGCCCATCTCCAATGCCAGCCTCTCCTTGACGCCTCATTCAAATACAGTGAAAACACCCGCACCGCCTTGAACACCGTATTTAATAATCAGATATAGCCAAAGCTTATTTGAAGTAGCCGTAGGGCAAGCACAGCCAGTCAAGTAAACGCCGCCTATCGTCGAGGGTATCAGAGCTTTGTGATGATATCCCTCGTTAACGAATCGCTCAGCCTCCGACCCATAGACAAGTCACTGCTAGATCCTCCATCCGATCCACCATTCGACGTAGCACCAGGTCCGCCTCCAAAACGCCTTTGGTTCTCTTGCATCCGGAATCTCATCAGCCAGCGAACATGCATACAAGTAACCTGCTGAGTGCTTCTCAATTCAGCAAGCTCGTTCTTGATAGGTAGCGTTTCATTAAAGAGCATCATAGTGCTCTTTGCCTGGAAGTCCGACACCTCGGCGGAGAGCTGGCTAAGTCGTCCTTGTTGGGCTTCGAGCAACGATAAGAGGTATTCGTGGCCCGACTCTAACGCATCTGCGCCTGTTGATTCTGGGAGGTTGGCGAGCGATAGATCCATCATGTCCAGAGGTCTGTCTGAAGCTCTTTGTCCGCCCTCGAGAAATTTGATGCGGCGTTCTTGGAGGTGGTGTGTCTCATTCATAGTGCGCACCTCGCTCCGCAGACTGCGGATTTCCTTCTTCAGGGTTTCCGCCATTTGACCCATCGCCTTGTAGCTACACTCATCTGCATGTAAAGGTAGGTCCTTCCGTTTTGCCTCATCCTGGCAGCCATACTCGGCCCATTTGCAAGGCTGAACAACATCTGGACATTCACCTTCATGCTGTTCCTCCTTGCAACGTAGAATCTCGGCGCTACAGTGCTCACATGCTTTAAGCCGCTCATTGCATGAGTTTTCTCGATGTGCTTCCATATCTATCTCATCGTGAGTTTCCTTACAGTCCGGACAGACCATAGGATAGTGCAAGCAGTCTTCACCGGAAATCTTCCTCTTCACAAGCTTAACACATTCCGCCCCAGGGCACCTGACAACTGCCTCGAGACAATACTTCTCTAAGTGGCTCTCCAGCATCGATCGGGCAAGGACAACTCCACAACAAGGGCATTTGGCCTTCAAAGCATCCAGTTGGTTGAAAATCATTTTCGGTGCCCGGCTAACTGCATCACTAGACAGCGGTAGCCGATCGATAGGACAAAGCTGGCTCTCGGATAGAGCATCGTCAATGCATGGCCGGCAAAATACATGGTCACAGTCTGTCAATACTGGATCCACAAATGGGCACCGACAGATCGGACAGACAAGGTTCTCGTCCACGGTGCCATTATAAGTGATGGCTCGTAGATCGACGGTGTGGCGGAGGTTGAGGTTGAACGTGGGGGGACGTGACTTGTGCAACCCTCTAGAAGAAGGTGATGCAGTGATATTGTCGCCATCGGTGATTGTGTCTGTGTCCAAAGAAACCTCGTCGTCACTGTCAAGTTCCGTGTGGACAGTGTATGGCAGTGAGTGGTCACCTAGCGGATGCCGTGGTGAAGGCATGGTGCCAAGGGGCGAGGCTTGTTTCTCGGGAGCCGCGCCCAAGATTCCTGGCTGGATATTGAACGCTCAGCGACGAGATAATTTCTAGTTTGCAAGGTGGTATCACAAAAGAGTCGATGCTTGAATATGTGTTGCCGTTGTTGTTATCACAATGGATGAGGTTGCCCAGCGTCGGCTCGGCTGCCGACTTGTACAATTGTCGTCCGCTACCCGTGCCAACCCCGGGTATTCTCCGGCCTGTCACCTAATAGTTTATCCTGAGGTTGACGGTTGACGTCTTGCGTCTCGTCCTCGATGGATCGATCCTAGTTGTGTGTTTTGTGTCTCAGTTTCAACCTCGATCCTTCCACGCTGGCCGGTTTGGTTTGTTTATTGATTGCAGATTCTTTGGATGAAATAATATCAGTATCGGAACCGCTCCCCATTCCTCGTGCAATCCTGAGCTAGAACAGCAACAACCCACCAAGGTAGTCTGTTGGCTATGGCGAACCCTAATCAATACTTCCTCCTCGCCGACCACATCAAACTCTCCTTATTAGAGCGGCTACGGGCAATCTCATTAAATATTGAACCGACCTCCCAGGATGGCCATATCTCGCGGTCTCTAGACTCGCTGCGAGAAGGCGTCGAGAATGTCACTAGGGAACGGATCCGCCTACACGACACAGGAGACACCGCGTAAGCAACCCAACCTCACCTCAAGATGATGCCTCGTGGCCGAACTGCAAAGCAAAGCTAACCCGCGACACGCAGGGCATCTCTTGCCCTTCAGGAAACAGAGCGCAATCTCCAGACGCAGTATAATGAGTTAACCGCCCAGTTCCGCGGTACTCCTACCGATACCACCGCCGCTACAATCGCTCATCCAAACGACCCCTCCCTCTCTGCTGACTTCGCGCGAGCCTCCCAGCCACCAAGGGGAACATCAACCTCCTCCCTACTAAAGAAGTCCCTCCGCGGCGCAAGCAGCCCATTAGCAACCGCGTCCCCCAAGTCCGTCCGGTTCTCCGACGCCCCATTAGTAGCAGATGAGGAGGATGAAGCCCGAAACGCCCTCTTCCCCTACCGCGATGACCCAACATCAGGGCCACCCGATCAATCCCATCTCGACAACCAGCAGATCCACGAGTACCACGCCAGAGTGATGGAAGAGCAGGACGAGACGCTGGATCGACTAGGCGAGTCGATTGGGAGACAGAGGGAGCTGAGCATCCAGATCGGCGACGAGCTAGACGAGCATGTACAGATGCTAGATGCTGTTGACGGACATGTGGACCGGCATGCAACAACGCTGAACAAAGCGCGGAAGAACCTAGGAACCGTGGCCAGGAAAGCCCGGGATAACATGCAATTGACAGTAATCTTGATCCTGATCATTATACTAGTCTTGCTGATTATCATCCTTAAGTAAAAAAGGGAGGAAGGAAGGAAGCAGCAGCTTATTTGCGAGCAGGTCTCTGTAACACACCCCCTCCGCCCACCGTGTTATTTACATTTTGCATTTTTTTACGGAGTCTGGAACCATGGGGATCAGCGGGTCTTTGTTGTAACTAATAACCCCCCGAATGCAAAATTAGAGCAGGGCGATGAAATTTATACTGCAAGCTACAAACCATCATCATTATCCCCTATGTGTGTGAGAAATACTGCATCTTGCATTCCAATGCCCATGATATATACACCCTCCTTCCTCCCCAACCCCTAGAACCCCGCTTCATACATCCTACAACCCCTCATCCTGACTCGTCCCACTCCTATCACCCCTAAATCAGCACATAATATCACCAACCTAAGACAGGGTGGACGGGTATCTACCTACTTCCGTGTTTTCTCCGCATATTCCACAGTCCTCTTCTGCAAATCCGCAATGGAGTCGCTCCCTGCGCTGCGATCTGCTTTTACCTATTCCTCGTCCCCATCTATCAGCACACGAAACATTTTACAATCCCCCCCAAATAGTATTCCGGGGGGGTAGACAAGCAAAAAGAAAAGTTAGACATACCGCCTCCTCGCTATTCGTAGCAAGCTCAGGTTTCCAATGGCCTTTTCCCTCCTTCGCCTTTCGCACCGTGTCTTGCTTGTGTTTCTCGTTTTCCTCGGGGCTTGTGTCTAGGGTCCCGTTTGGTTAGCTTATGCTTTTTCATTCCGTGTAGTAGTATTATTGTGTTTCTGAGCTGAAACATATATATATGTAAGGTATATATATCCCATCCCCGGAAACAAGCACTTGAATTCCGTGTTGAGATAGAAAGAAGCAATATAAAGGGTACATACCGCGATCACCCTCCTTCAATTGCCACACGCTGCTACTGGTGAACGCCCGCGCCGTAACGGGGGTGCGAAGGGCCGCGGGGACGAATCGAGAGGTGCGGTAGAGGAGGGACATATTCTGTTTCCTTATTTGCAATCTTTCCGTATATTATCCCTTCAAACCAATTTTACTCTCTCTCTTTCTCAGCGTCTTCTATTCCACTTTCTCTAAATCCTCAACGAACGAGAAAAAATCGTAGGTAATGTAACTTTCTGCAAAGGAATGAAATAATAAGTGCTTTGTTTTTTCGCAGTATACGTAACAAGAATAAAAGGAAAGAGAGAGAGAAAGGGAACTACCTACCGAGGAAGTGGTTTTTTAAAAGACGATGGGTGACTGGTCAATGAACAAGGTTTCGAAGAAGTCTAATTGGGTTTTTTGGCCTGGTATTTAATTTTAATGACCTCAGAGAATTGCTGGAATGGAGACTGGATGGGATATGCGTAGTTTCCCTGTGGGGAAGTAGAGTGATTTCGTTATGACGTAGCGGGACGTAGGTACATACATATCCGAGACCGCATATCCCAGCGGCTTTTTGGGCCAGGGAAAAGTACCCTCCAGGAACGGCAGTGCGCGGTTAACTCGTAATAATGTTTCTGTGCCTTAATATTACTTGGCTCGAAACGAGCACCGGAGGAGAATGTACTGACTATTCGTCAATTCCATCCGTTCTCGGCTCATTCCACGGGGGTCCGAACCGCAGGGTCACCTGTCCCACCTGTCTCACCCATATCATACCACACCGGTCTCACAGTTGCAGTCTAGAACCAAAGGTAAAGATTATGAATATACAATTGAATTGACATTTGACAGCTAGTTTATGCTGAGCATTACTCGTTTCATAAAGAGGGATTTTCCTTATATAAAATCCGTACTAATCCACATATGTATATGCCCCACGAAGACTCTTTGATAAATGAAAAGTTGAGAGACTTGGACCCCGGATCGCCAATAAAACAAGCAAGCACACGCCCCATCCTGCAGACATATATCATCAATATCCCATCCATATATGATACGACATCGATCGATTGGATCGGACAACGCAAATGCACCTGCCAAATCACCCGCTCAGACCTAATAACCAACACCGACAACCCGAAGCGCTCATCATACAAGAAGCGCACCCTGTATTCACACCAACACCCTGCCCGCCTGTTCCCAACAAAGTGGTAAAACCAAGTGGTAATAGTTAAGAGAAATCTTGCCCATTCCTATAAATGTCCGTAGAAACACCTGCAGAGCCCTGTCTCCAAGAGAAAAGGAAATCGTTCTATGTAACTGGTAGTATATCGTTTTGTGAGTGTTTTTTGTTCTTTTCGTAGACCGTGAGGAAGACGCCGCCCCCTGTCCTTGCCCAAATGCAATGCTCGCCCAAAACACCAACGCAGAAATATGCAATGCGCGCTCAAAATCAAGCCATCAAGATGGGAACACCATCTCCTATTGAAAACAGAGGGTATCGATATCGTGATGTTGGGCCGTGGCTGTCGCCGTCTCAAGAATTTGGGGGGGTTATGGATAATTATTTCCCGAGAGAGAGATATTTTGTACAAAGAATTCGTTGAGGTTTGAGGTTGAGGTTGAAGAGTGCCGTAACTGTGGAGTATCGATGCCCGAGAATGGTGCCCGACCAGGATGATGGATGACGAGAATGCGAAAAACAAATCAATGCAATGGGGGAAAGACTAACGCTGCTAACTGGACCGAACAGAAAACAGACACGTCTACCAGCGCCGACCCATTGATTGTTGTTGCATCCTGGCGGGCGACACCGATTGCGGGGGGCTCGACATGCTTATGCCGGTGCTTGGGTTGACGATGGGGATGGCATTACGGATCCGGGTCGCCGCGGGCTGGTGTAGTTTGAGGGCTGCGGGTTGGGTTTGGTATGATGTGGGTATATACGGGTTGGAGTTGGAGTTGAGCGAGAAGGCGGTGTCGGGGGAGACCTGATGGGATTGGGGGCTTGACTCGGGCGAGCCGCTGGACAGCGAGGAGCGGTCCGAGGACGAGGAATGGATGGACATCATGTCGGTCTCGGTCAGCAGGTTGGGGCAGAACTCTAAATCGTCGTCGAGGTCGAAGGATCGGGCTGGCTCGAAGCGTTGGCGGAAATTTATGACTGCGACGGCCTCTTCCTCCTTTCGCACGCTGCGGAACTGCTTGTGGGCGTGGGCGTGTTGTGACAAGCGAGGCGCACGTCGGCCACGGCCATTGTGATGCGCTGGCTGGGCCGACTGGCCGTTGGCAGACGTAGGGTGCTGGTGAGCGTTGTAGTGATAGAAGGACGACATTATCGGTTCATAGACTGCGACTCAACTGGGCGAGAATCTGTATCTGCTGCGCTGTGTTTGCGTCGTTGTGTTGGTGTTGGGGCGGGGGGGGCGGTGTGTGTGGTGTAGCTTGGCTAGGGGGATTGCGACCGGGCGAGAGATAGGATGGTAGGACTCGGAGGATGCGGTCGACAACGAGGGATGGAACTCGAGAGGGTGGTTTATACTAATGGTGGTGTAGTGAAGAGCGATGCAGAGCGATGAAGAGCAATGCGATGTTTGGAGAGACGAAAGGGGGGAGGATGGAGAGCAGCGGTGTTTGATGGAGATGGGATGAGGGATGAGGCTGGAGAAAGAAGTGCAACTTCGGAGGTTGGGGGGTTGGGGGGGAGAAGAAGTTAACGAGGGAGAAGGGCGAAGGCGAAGGCGACCACGGCGACCTGCGCGAACCCAAAGCGAGGGGGAGAAAGCGTGGGCAGCGAGTGGTGGCGAATGCCCGCCAGGCCGTAAGCAGCTAAAACAACTTAAGCGCCTCGGCAGTGCGCCAATCAGGGCGGCCCGCCGTCACACCACGGGGTGGGAATGTACGGGGAACGGCGAAAGTCTCATGGGCGTGTACCTCCGTACTACGGCACCTCGTAGAGCGTGGTACCGTACGTGCTCTATACAGTAGCATTGTACGAAGTACCATTGTAGCATTGTAGCATTGGACCATATTGTCGCTCTTGGCGGTCAGCGACTCAGCGACCCAGAGGCGCCTCAGAGGTTATCCTCTCGCTGCGTTTAACGGGCCTCAACCTCAAACAACCACAGCATCACCCCACTCCACTGCCCTCAACTGGCCCTGAGAACAGCCGCCGGGGTACTCCGTGGTCTCGAAGTCTGTACGCTGGATATAGCACCTCGAGGGGCTGTATCCTGTATCCTGTGTCCTGTATCCTGTCTCCCCCCCAAGCAGACAGCGGAAAGCAGGAGCGCTAGGATCGCCATCTGCATCTGCAGTCTGACAGGGCCGTGTGTGTGGTGGCTGCCTCGAAACCCAGAACCGCTTGGCAGCGTCCAGCAGCGTCCAGCAGCGCCCATCATCGCCCATCACCCATCATCACCCGTCAGCCTGTCACATCATCGCGGGGCCGGAGGACGCTGCAGGCGCAGGCGTAGGCGCAGGACTCGCCGTGTGTCCCTCGGCGGCCATCCCCTTCCCCTTCCCCCCTTCCCAGACACAGAAACAAGAATAAGCTCATCATCATCATCCTTCTTGCTCCTTCGCCGAATCGCCGCACCCCGCCATCTCGCCACCAGGTACGGAATAGGTGCTTCGTACGTAGCACAGTACCTACCTCGGACTTGCCCCGATGGGACGTTGGTTCCCCTCTTGGTGAGCATCGGCCTCTTCTGGCCATTATCATTATTGCTGCAGCATCTATGGCATTGTACAGAGTAAGATTAGTAAAGTACCTAGGTACGAAGTATACTACGAGACTACATCCAGCACATACTACATAGCACTGCTCCACACGACAAACTTGCCGCTTCTCTCACTATCACCATGTCCGGCTTCGCCACCCGTTTTGCACCGATACCTTAGCAACGTGTGCTTGCTATAAAATACAATACCCGGCGCGGTGGCATTCCTGCCCGTTTATAGATTATGATAAAAGAAGCTTAATTGCATATTATCTCGCGCAGGTAGTAGAAAGCCTACTCTACCCCAAAGCGCCCAACTCAACCACGGTTGTCTTGTACCTGGCTTTCGTCGTGGTGTCACCTATTTCTCTATGCTTGATTCTATACTGTTGAGGCTTATAAGCCGCGAATAAGACATAGTGGTAGTAAGAACCTATGTGATATGTTGTGGTGCAAGCGGTTTAATAGAGTCTCTATGCGAATATAGCGTATAGCGGGTGTCACGTGATATTAGTCAACGACTCAATTTTAACCCAACTCGCCCAAGTTCGTAGGTACTTCGTACGAGTAATGAATGATAAGTGTATAGTACCTATAGTAGAGGACTCGGTTTGAAAGACTGGGGTGACAAAGTTTCAGTCTGGACGACAGCCTGTACGGCTCAAACCTTGGCAGTACGTGCCCATCAACAACACCGGTCTCGCTCTTACAGCATGTACATATAGGTACTTTATGAGAATGTGATAATTGTATCAGAATTCTCAATGCTGATAGGCTTTGTTAGCGCGACATCTTGTTAAAAGCCAGTCTATTGTACGTAGTACATTCCAGGCCTTCGCGATCTGTAGCACTCGCCATAACGGCCCATAGTGGCATCGCGACCGCAACCCCACGGCCTTGTTTCAGCAACCCAGAGCGATCTCGCCGGGTGAACTCAGCCTATCATCCAAAGGCCGCCGACTCTATATAAATCCCCTCGCATTGATGGTGCGAAGTACAATCTGCCCACCTCATTGCACAGCCTTGACTTGCTTGATTGCGGACACCACTAATCATGTGCAATTTCGATCGCAGTGCTACTCCATACTATAGTACTGCAGCACTGCGCAGTGCATGCCACGCTTGCCACGCCTGCTCGCACCTGGGGCTGCATCTCCGCCTGCGAGCCTAATTCAAATTTTGCTACTTTCGTAACTTGTTCCATAGTGTGTTGAGGCCTGGTGTTCACACCGCCAGTTTTTGCCCCCGCTCTGCTGCAGCGTGCAAGACATTTTCTGCCATTTTGCAAAATGGCCCGCTATTATTGGAAAGGAAGCCGAGACAGAATAGATGAATCCTTTATCGTGAATCTGGTACTCGGTACGAAGTATGTAGATCTGACATACACCCACCTTGGTGCTGGTGTGCATAAGCAGCACACGGTTCAACCACTTTCACCGGTGCTTGCTCTCCATGTGTTGCTTACTAAACCTCAGGCCGCGATATCCGACACTCGGTCACCGACGACGGGGAATATCGCTGTGCTCGATCCGGCTAAAAAGATGGTTCGAGACCGCATATTATTATTGGGAGTTTGGGACACCATGATTATGGATGCCCGAAAATACCCCCAAACGTTTTATTGGTGCGCCCGTGTACTATGCAGTACTCTACAGAATTTGACTTACTCTGCAGGTCGGACCGTCATGGATCTGGTCATCTTTGCTTATCTCTTCTGATTTGGTGGGAATTCGATTGGAGCGGCCAGGCATGATAAGAACCTTGACTTGGTTAAGCAATATTTCAATTGCTTGTTTTCTTCCTTTTAAGCCTGTCTGTTTCGTGGATCTACCCTGCAAGTCAGATTGTGAGACCCGAGTTCTCCATTTTATATTGGGATTACTAGTCTTACAGCAGTAGTGTTACTGTAAGTTCGGTCTGTTATCATCGTTTTAAGGATATCGATAGGCTCTGACATATCGTTAACCGCCACTAGATCTAGCAGCTTGTTGTAATAAATAAGATTGGACATGCTATTCAATGTCTGCAAGTAACTGAAAAATTAAAGGAATCCTGAAATTATATTAAGTATCTTGGTAGAACCCTTTGGGTGAGGGAACGTTCGGGGGTTTGTGTTTGCTTTTATACTATACCTACTTAGGTATAGAATTATAGATGCGTAAAAGCGAGAAGCAGTTAAACACCGGGATGCAAATTTCAGTTTCAGTTTTCGGTCTCTAATTATGGCGCATTCTTGGGCGAATTTGGTGTAAAACTCTTTTCGCTAGAAATATCAGGCATCTACGGCTATTGCCTATATATATCTCCGATATCGAGCTTCTATACTATTTCTATATACTAATCTAGGTAGTATTGATATCTTAATTTTAGTGAGATATTTATACGACTTGAATATCTTACATTCTAGTAAGATATTCATATAACTTGAATACCTCAATTCTAGTGAGATATTCATATAGCTTGAATACCTCAATTCTAGCGAGATATTCGTGTAACTTGAATACCTCAATTTTAGTAAGATGTTTACACTATATCAGAATTTATATCTATATAATAGCCGTCGGGCCTTACAATACTGGCGAAAAGAGTTTTGCACCAAAGTCGCCCAAGAATGCGCCATATCTAATTTCTATTATTGTAGTGTTATACGCGTTACAAAGCTCTTAGCATATACACTTCCTTCTCAGTCGAATCCGTCGTCTGTAGCCAACTTGATAATTTACAATTGATCTGAACCCCAGTCACCCTCAGCATCGCGTGAATTAATAGGGCTATCTCATCGTCCCAATACCCAGTCGCTCTTGAGAACCACCCTCTTTTAAAGATAAAATCGCCAACGGGACGACATCGTATCTCCCGATAGCCAGGCGGTAAGCATTCCTTAACAAGTGCTGCTATCTCTGGCCGGCCATCAACATCAATTTCGACAATGGTTTGTATTGCCAAGTGCTGACCAAAGCATTGAAGAAATGGCCGAAGCCAATCGATCCAACAATCCACATACTGCTGAGGCATGGGCGCGATGTAATAATGAAGCGTGGGCGCGATGTAAGAATACCTAACTTCTAGGGGTTGTTCTGCCACGATCCGTAATGCCGTTAATTGTGGAAGAAGGGAACACCATAGTGCATCGTCTGGTATCTTCCCTGGCGTGCACGAACTCCCACTGGGTCCTGCGATAAGAATCAAGTGTCGCATCCTTTGTCTATTTGCCTCGGCGAAATTCTTCTTCACGTAATATTCGCCTTCTCCTTGAAGATATAGCTTGAAGATATTATACCCGTATAGGACATCCAGAGCTTCCTCACTAATTTGCTTTGACAGTAGGAAGATAGTGTTCGTGTTCTTGTTTCGATTCCAATAACGGCACGCGAAATCCAGGGTGCAGTCCTCCAAGTTCACCACGTCGCCCTCTGAGCTCAGTGTGTCGTCCTCAGAATTTGAACCGTCATCACTAGAAATCCGGGTATTTTCCAGGTCCACGGTGTGGTTTGATCTCTCGCAAGGCCATTTGATATAGAATTGAGGGCTGCTTACACTGATAACACGCTTTTGTGGAATGCAGTGTTGGTAGATCTGTAGGCGTATTTCAAATGGAAGACGAAGCAAACCAGTGGCGGTTGCATTCGGAGGCGCACAGTTGTTCTCTAGTTTCTCCATACTGGCAAGGGAAACTACCTGGCTCTTTCTGAACCTGTGTAACAATGCGGGTGTGTTGAGATCTTTTATGGCCTTGACAAGCAATAATAAAGGGGTATTATAGTGATATGAATCATACGATGACTGATGTAGAAATAGGTTACGGAGATAGTGCGGGTACCTTGATAGTTGAGACTACCCAAATAAGGGTTTGTTGGTTAGTACGGGTAGGGAAATCGGCTTGTTGCACTAGTTCCATTGTGGTTTATACCCATCCGATCCCTTATCCGTCTAGGGCAACTTGATTCCTACTACGAGTATATCTAAAAAGAATATGCTCGATATATTTCACTAAAAGGCATCTTCAGGTTCCATACAGCGGAGGTGTTTGTCCACAGCTCATATAGTTGGTTTTGCCATTAATCGCCCCATGGCCTTGGTGCCTGGTGCTTGCAGCGACTTGCATAACTCGGCTTGGGAAACTATCTCCCACTTAGGTGAGACTATCTGCTCACAATCTGCCTAGATTTGGGTTGAAAAACATAGATCTAGAAATATTGCCATGAAAATAATGCTTTAGTTGGCTAACAGCTCTCCTGTTGCGAAACTGCTGGCCACGGTTTGAATCTTCGCAATAAGTTCAGATTTATATGTGACTTCCTACGCGATAATGCTCCATCCTCGCATTTCGTTGCCGTAGAATGCCCGTGATTAAGATTTATCCTGGTTGGTACTATCTCCTCGTGGATATTGCATGCAGGCAGCATTGGAGAGACCATGAAGAATAGCTCCCACAAACCTGCAACTAGCACGCCTGGGGAGTTCTGCGCGCTAGAAGGGAGTAGGAAGGATAGTAACAGCACAAATCTGGCAAGACATTCTACGAGGGTGGAATGACCTAGTCCACTAAGCCCTTGGGGATGAGGCCTGGTATCTCGACTGAGGCGATCGCCATCAGTCAGTCCTGGATCTTGGCTGATTATCCCATGCGTCCGTTTATTTGTCCAGTCCACGTGCTTTAACAAATCGATTGATCTGCTCCCTTGTGAGCTTCTCGTTGTATTGTTCTTGCACCTCGTAGAAAGAGATCATCTCCTGGGTACAATCAACAATGCCTTCGATATCGATGTTGCTTTCTGCAAGCCAATTTGCAAGCCGCTGTACTTTTGTCCGTGGTCCTCCAGCTTGCTTTTCTGGAGACCACGACTTGGGTTGACTAACCGCGTTTAGTGCCGCGTGTACTGCGTGTGCCGTGCTATTAGCAGCACCGCTAGCTGATTGGACACCTGTTTGGTTCGGACGAAGTACGAGAGCAAGGAGAATAGCCATAAGAGCAATGATATGTGGTGCGTATAGGAGCGGCAAGTCGGTCATGTAGTGATCATTGATGATCGACCAAGCAAGAGCAGACTCCTCCTGCGTGAGCGAAAATGTTCCCTGAAGGGCAGTCAAGGATCTGTAGGGGTGATGAACAATCATCTGAGAACTCATTTCTGATATGAGAAAAAACTCGCATTCACCAACTTTTGAAGTATCACTGCTGAAGAAATCTGGCCAAATAAGTTAGTCCGGTATTCGTATTCAGGGACAGGAAACGCCAAATAGTACCTGGCCATAATGTCCGGCCCTCGCTCACAACAAGCCTAATATGATGCGGGGATTCTTCCATCTTGCAAGCCAGATAGACTGCAGTAGCAATCACTAAGTATGGATTGGTTCGTCGGATCTCAACCTTCGAATAGAAACGGCGAATATATAATTGGGCTGTTGCCATAGCTTGTTGTCGTACCCCAAGGCGCTTTCCGAGTCGAGCAATTTCTAAAAGCAGAATGAGCCGCAGTACACAGGTATTAGGATAGCAAAGGCAGACTTACGCTGATTAAAATATATGCTGAGATGCCGTAGTTGTGGCAGCGGGTACATCTGTACAAGGTTTGACTCTTCCTCCTCCAGCTTCTTCCTCAGCTCATCCAGCCGCGGTCTCGAGAACTGCCAATGTCGCCGCTGAGTGGATTCCCAGAAGTTGGCAGCCATTATGACAGGTGTTTCGCCTCTTGCGTATGTAACTAAGTCGAGATAAAGGCGGAAGACTGAATTGGGCCAACGAACTGTAGTGGAGCAAACGAGGCTTCAATCTCGTCGATCTCGTTGGGGGCTGAAGGGAAGGGAAGAGGTCAGCGACTCAGGATAGCCGAAGTCTTGAGTTCATCACCCATCCCTGGGCGGCAACACTTCGTACTGCTGTGTATTCGTGCAAGAGAGCATCATGGAAGCCGGCTGTATGGGAGCATGAACAAAACCCCCCAAAAGCCGAACAACGAGGTGACCCAGCCTCCTCGGCTACGATAACCATCATCAGGTCTTATCGAACACTACAGAAACGCTGCCAAATGAACTAGAGCCACGCTCCCGGCTATCCCTGCGACGTAGAGGTGCCAGGTGCATTCGTCAATCTTGGATACTTCGTACCTTGAACGAGATTTATCGACATATATCAGCAACATCTCCCCTCCACCCCCTCAAAACAGCCCTCTGCGAGGCCGGCCGCAGTCTTCGTGCTCTAATTCTATGCCCGAGCTGTGCCATGCCATCCAGTGTACATCCATGATAACCACCAAGTCTCCCCACCATCACATGGCATATTCCCCTCACGATTCCTTCACGGCATGACCCGCAATGAGTAAAGGAAGCTAGGAAAACGAAGATGCTGGTTCCCGAAAGCCAGAATTCGCGCGATGCTCGCATTGAGCAGCTATGGACCAAGCTCGATCCACAGAAAAAGGGCGAACTCGATCTCAATGGCTTGAGAAAGGGTCTGCGCCAAATAGACCACCGCAAGCACACCCATATTAGCCCCTCTTCTTGAATATTTGTGAATGCTAATTACTCCCTACAGCACTGAAAAATGCAACCGATATGCTTAAGGACGTAGTAAAGGCCATGGACAAGAACGGAGATGAGGTTATTCAATATGATGGTATGTCTTGAAATGTGCTTCGATGTTCAGCAGCGGCACCTTCCTATCTGCCACCGGACTTCCAGTGCAAAGGCTAACGTCTTCTCTCCGAAACTAGAGTTCCGCAAGTTCGTTGAGAAAACCGAGAAAGAACTATTTTCCCTCTTCAACTCGATAGACCGTGATCACAATGGGAAGCTGGACAAGGAGGAACTACGCTCTGCGTTCAAAAGAGCTGGGCTGACTGTCCCCAACTCGAAATTGGATCAGTTCTTTGGGGAAATTGACCAAAACCGTGATGTTCGTCTGCTTGCAGCTCATTTTACTGTGTGTCCGGTCCTTTGCTAACTATGATGTTTCCGTCAGGGTTATATAACATTTTCTGAGTGGAGGTAAGCGAAATCATTCTTGCGAGGCTGCTATGGGCGGTGGCTGTTGCGGGTTTTCACCAGAATTCCAGGTTGGGTATTCACTGAAAGTGAAGACCAGTCGCCGCAGCGACGCGTTTGTGTCCTTGACATCAGTTTCACTAACCACTTCACCTTCACACAGAGACTTTCTACTCTTTCTCCCCACGAACACGAACACTCCACAACTGAAGGAGATATTATCCTACTATTCTTCTACGATTACCATCAACTCGGAAGGTGACACAGCTATCAGCGAGGAGACTTTAGAGGGATTAGGTAGAACAACATTTCTTTCAGCTCTATTCGGAAGCATCTTGAGAATCGCAGAAACGCCAAAACCTCTTCGTTCTGTCCCAACAGCAACCTGGCAACCGGAGGCTATCTGGGAAGTCACTTCAGGTACACCAGGAGCAGACGACGATATGTACAAAGTCAATGAAGAGCATCTTTTCGGACCTGGCCCTGAGTCAGAGAGCGACCAGGCAATCCCACGTTCGACCACAAAATCGCCATTTCCGGTAAAACAGCAAGAGCTGGCCGAAGCAACTCTCGAGCTTGACGCGGCCAAGTCCTTCTTGGCGGAGCTCTTACCCGACCCTGGTTAATATTATCTTCTATTTCTCTTGCAGCGTACAAGTCTCGTACTGATACTATGGGTTCTCGTAGGTTATTTCGCTGCCGGTGGTGTTGCTGGAGCAATCTCGCGTACTGCAACTGCACCTCTCGATCGACTCAAGGTATGGCTCCCAGAAAATGGTGTCGCGTTCTTGCTAATATCCTCTAGGTCTACTTAATCGCCAACACCGGACCTGTCAAGACCTCGGTAGACACTCTCAAAACTGGCAATGCGGTGGCAGCAGCAAAGGATCTTGGTAGGCCTTTGCTTGATGCAACCCGAGAGCTATGGAAGGCTGGCGGCATGCGCAGCTTGTTCGCCGGTAAGTCTCACCTGAATCGACTGTTAACCAGTCGCTAATTGGAACAGGTAACGGGTTGAACGTTGTCAAGGTGATGCCTGAGTCGGCGATCAGGTTTGGATCATATGAAGCAGCCAAACGAGCTTTGTCCCGGCTCGAAGGCCATGGTGATCCTCAATGCATTAACCCATACTCTAAATTTGTGGCCGGTGGAATTGGTGGAATGGTCTCGCAGTAGGTCACATCTAGTTTCCACTCCATAAACGTGACATATGCTGATTTTACGGCGCAGGCTTTTTGTCTATCCGATCGACACTCTCAAATTCCGGTAAGCAAGCCTCACGCACTGATATTGAGACATGAAATACTAATCATCTGCCAGAATGCAATGCGAGACTGTAGCTGGTGGACTACATGGAAATGCGCTCATCATTACAACAGCCAAGAAGATGTATCAACAAGGTGGCTTCCGCTCTTCCTACCGTGGCCTAACCATGGGTCTCATCGGCATGTTCCCATACTCAGCCATCGATCTCGGTACATTCGAATTCCTCAAGGGTGTCCTAACTCGCCGCAATGCAAAAATCCTCGGATGCCATGAAGACGATGCCCTTCCAGGATCATTCGCCACGGGCAGTATTGGGGCATTTTCTGGCGCCTTTGGAGCCAGTATTGTGTATCCCATTAACCTCCTGAGAACCCGCCTACAGGCTCAAGGGACTGTCCTGCATCCTCCAACCTACGATGGGATTTGGGATGTTGCGCAGAAGACCGTCAAAAACGAGGGCTTCAAAGGTCTATTTAAGGGCATCACGCCAAATCTCTTGAAGGTCGTGCCAGCTGTCAGCATCACTTATGTGGTTTATGAGAATGCTAAGAAGGTCATGCATCTCAGATGATTAAGTCGCCAAAGGGGTATAGAGGGGAGAGGTGCTATTCAGACCGGCTATATTTCCATTGAGGTACGCCAGAGGTCGTTTGCAGCAAGTCAATTTCGATGTATGCAGCTTCAGAAGCAGCACTCGATAGCACATAAGAGAAGATGCATTAACTGGGCGTTGTATTATTGTATTTATGGTGGATATTGGCGGGCGTTCCAGGATACCCAACCTTGTAGGTTATGATCATAACGATGATGCAGAAAAAAGGTAGATAGTAGCAACAGACGAAAGATCATAGGAACCAATGAATTAGGCGAATAATATTGACTGTGGCATCCCCCCGGCTGGTTGATTGGTTTAATGTGCTATTATGCTTTAGAGTGCTACTCGACTACCTCAAGTGTGTTGGTTGGGAGCCATGCAAATCTACACTCTACCTAAGTGGGTTGAAATGCTTCTCACTTTCTACGCGTCTCGACGCGTCTCAACAGTATAATTCAGAGATGTCACCGTAACTCTCAATCAGATATCGCACAAGCAAATTTTAAACCTAGCTATTCCCGCAAATCACCCTATTCGCTAAACATCTTCTTGCTTTTCGCCTTCCCACCGTATATAAACACCACGCGACGAAGTCGTCCAAAAAATACCCAAAAAGGCATTCCTATAATAAATAGCCAAAAGAAATATATAAAAATAGTGGAAATGGCAAAAGAGTTCATTGCCCACAGCCAATTAATCTCTGCCGTTTCGATGTTGTCGCTAGACCTAGTTATATTTCTCTCCGATATGAGCGTCGTGTGACACTTGTGGGGAGTATCTTAAAGAGCTAGGTTGTCGTTAACAGCTTTTGTTTATTTCGATATATATACATGCTTCGAGTTGGGAGCGAAGTTGTGCCGGCCGAGCGGTGGGGGTGCTTTACTGTCGCTTCAGAATGCAACGCGAGGGAACTCTACAAAAATAAAAGGCAGAAGAGTGTTAAGGAATTAGTCACCTAACTATCACGTAACTTCCGCTATACTAATCAGGTCCTACACACCATTTCCTCATACTAGATACAGAGCTTAACTCTCTATCCCTTTTACACTCCCCGAATAGCCCTAGTAGATTACCTATTCGTCACTTACATTACGTTCTATATGATTCCCGCCTACTTCTGACTGGCTTATCTTTAATAAAAAGATTTAAAAGGTAAACTATGTTGGAGTGCGCACCAGTTTTGAACTTAGGTTAGTGTTTTGAATATAAGTCTTGACTCGATATATTATTTGGTATGTACGAATTACATGTACACTTCACTTGGTCTTCCCAATCAACTTCCTACATTTTCATCAAAACGCCTAGAAGATATAATTTGATTAGTAGGGACCGCAATTCAAATATAAAGATAACTTACCTAGGAATAGAACTATTTTGGCATTCAGAAGTTTTGCAAATTCGGATTTGGCAGATTTTCGTTGCAAACAATGACGATAATGCGGTCTTTCCAAGGCAGATCAGATTTTACTACGTCAATTTTGTTTAAATCGCAAAGTAACATGGCACCCAACCATGAGGTGGTTTCTAATTGTTGCATGAATTCAAATTTCAACTTGGTTGGTTCCACCGATGTATCCCTGTACTCCATCCGAGATTTATATTGTAGGTTGAATGAACGTACCATTGTGCGCCCATGGCGACAAGTTATCTATAAAAGGAAAAGGAAATGAGCAATTTCCAACATTAAGATAGAACACCTATGTTTTGCAAATAATACATTGGATGAAAAATGCAAATGCGAGTCACACGGGTCCTTGTAATAACGAGGACGAAACTGGCGAGAGGCCTTATCTAGGATACAAAAAATATAGATTTGGCTCCTGCTCATGCTATTGTATGATACCCAAGATTTAGTCCACTGACTCCTCAAGGCCCCCAACTACCGTCCCTAACATTTGGCTGACCAGCAACAATATACGATTGTCTTGATAGCGACTCAGCAAGCAACACAATTCAAATATATTTCCTGTTCGAACATAAAGGACGCGTCAAAGAACAATTGCAATGCAGAATATATACGACGGCCCTAGTCTTTGCTTTTGTATGTACCATCCTCATGTATGTGTGTAGCCTCGACTTTCGTCCCCCCTTCCGTCATGAGAGTCAAGGATACGACTTTTTTTTTGTCATTCGGGTCTGATGAAGACTTGTGTGCCACTGCGCCTCTGTTGATATAGACGAGTTATTTATGAGCACTAGGCTGTAGATGGATTTGTAACAACTGACTTTATTCTTGCCTTCTTGATTTGTGGGTTCTGTGATCGGCAATTCGTTAGGAACAAGATATTTGAAGTTAGATTAGAGTAGTAAGTTACCTCTTTCTCAAGTTGCTCAGCAACCTTGAGTACACTTTCATACATCTTCTGTCCGCTCTTTGCTTGGACGTCTTCCGGTTTCACCTTCCCGACAAATGTAATAAACCGCTTAATGATATGGCTCATTCTTGTGGACTTTGAAACGAGCTGCGAGGAAGGAATGGCGGTAATCTAAATGTTTGCTGGATAAATTAAGCAATAAAGAGAAGGTTGACTGGTTCATGACAATTTCACCACAGCTTTAAGCTACTTTATATACAGAATCATCATGCATTTTGCGCTAGATTCTACAGTCTTAATTGCTGTACATGGTAGGCGCGCAGCTGGCCAAACGTAATGTAGTGAATGATAGGTAGCCATTATCCAGGCGCTGATATCTAATCCCAGTGTCTGGGTTAGCGCAAGCACGAATATTCATTCGTTCGTGGGGACTGGTTGTAGTTCCGCGCCGTGCGGCTTGGGCAGTATGATTTCGCAGCCCAGGGTCAGGCAGTCAATCAGGTAGCTAGGCAGCCAGGGCTCAGCATAGCTTGGTGAGGTAACTCGGTCACTTCTGGGTCACCTCTGTGACACTTGCAACTCGGCGTCAAACGGTTAAAATTAGGATGCTGTACCGCGCGACTACGGAGATCTAAATAGGTACGGAATGGCAGGAAGTTGATCACGTTACTCAATTACTTTTGATGACTAAGTAGGTTTGGCGACATACACCAGATACATCGTTCATAGGAGTTCCCAATTTCGCCTTGTTCCGCATCGCGACATATGGCATATGCTCATATTTTTCTCCATAGCTGCCTCAAAATACTGCCTTTAAGTGATGAGGGCTCTTTTGAAAAGAATTGGTAGCTTATCTCGCAGGCCAGCATCGCCTCCACGTGTGATTAGATCATCTGGGTTCAGAACCCTTGACGGGGTAACTAAATTTGAAGAGGAGCAAATGCCACATTATGAGAAGTCTGTCTACTATCCAGTTCGGATTGGAGACGTATTTCAAGACCGGTACCAAGTGCTCAGCAAATTGGGGTTTGGCGCAAATTCGACCGTCTGGTTCTGTCGAGACCTCGGGTGAGCTCGACTTCACTCTCATTCCGAGCATGCTAATAATAGACAAGGAAACATGATTATGTAGCGCTGAAAATCTGCATCGCCAGCCAAAAACCGAATCGTGAGGTCCAGGTGCTTAGACATATTGCAGCCACTCAAACGAAGCATAGCGGAGCATTCTTCGTTCGAACTATGCAAGCCTCTTTTGAAATTGAGGGGCCAACGGGCGTACATCAATGTTTAGTACAGGAACCACTTTTGGCAAGCCTTTCCGACCTACAGAATACGCTGAACCCAACAAGTCTGACCGAGGATATCTTGAAAACCGCATTACAACAGATCTTCGCCGGACTAGACTACCTTCACTCCGACGCTCATGTTATACATACTGGTAAGTGATAATTGAGTTTATGCGGGCGAGTAATAGCACTGAACTCCATTCTAGATATTCAAGCTAAAAACATTATGCTCAGCTGCTCTGACCCAACCGTCTTTGAAGAATGGGACGCGGCTGAGCGGGGAGAACCGAGTCCTCGAAAGGTGGATGGCGACCGAGTAATTTACAAGTCCCGAGATTTTGATTTACGGAAGTACATGAGAGGCATTGGTAGGTGCGTGATCGCAGATTTGGGTATGGCGCGCATTGGTAGGCAGCACGAAGGGTTTATACAACCAGATGTATATCGCGCCCCTGAGGTAATGCTGTGCATGCCGTGGAATTCGGCAGCGGATATCTGGAATGTCGGTGTGATGGTACGTTTTGAGAAATCCCTATGATCCCAAAGCTACATTCCGTCTTCAAATAGATAGTTGGTGTCGTGTTGTGGATATGGCTTACACTTATGTTTATAGGTTTGGGATCTTTTCGAAGAAGAACACATGTTCCATCCTGGAGGTAGCGACAGGAAACAATCCAATGCACGTATGCTTGCCGAAATGATCGCTCTACTTGGACCTCCTCCAAGAGATTTTCTGCCAAGGGCCGATGAGACTTTAGCTTACTGGAATCATGAGGGCAAGTCCTCCTTGGGCTACTGGCCCACCCTGTTGTCGACTCCACTAACCGGTTTTATTAGGCCAGTGGAAAGGGTTCGCAGAGATCCCGAATTACTCTTTAGAGGAGATTGAAGTGTATCTCGAAGGAGAGAATAAAAGATTGTTCCTGGCTTTTATACGGAAAATGCTGCAATGGGAACCAGAGAAGCGGCCAACAGCCCTCGAGCTACTTCAGGATAAGTGGTTAAATAGCACATAAACTAGATCTGCCCGTGTGGAGGTCTTTGCCATGTCTTTGCGTCCGAGCCGTGAATTTCGTGCTGCGGAATTACTTTACTGCCGATTAAGAATGCGAAGCGAGGTCTATAAAAAAAGAGCGAAAAAGAATCAAGAGATAAACAAGGCAAAAAGCGAAGAAGAAGGAAAAGGAAAAGGAAAAGGATCAAAATAGCAAAAGAGTTCGTTGCCTACAGCCAACTAATCTCTACCGGTTCGAAGGTGTCGCTAGACCTAGTTATATTTCTCTCCGAGATGAGGTGTCGTGTGATGCTTGTAGGGAGTATCTTAAAGAGCTAGGTTGTCGTTAAATTGCTTTCTACTTATTTGAATATATATATCAACTGTCGTGGGAGCGAGGTTATGCCGGCTGACCGACTGGCAAGAGGATAGGAGATAGGCAGAATGGATGGTTTGGCTGTTACGCTTATTATACCGCCAATTCGCAACTAGGTTCTTAATGTCTAGTAATGTAGGAGTGTAAAAGAAAGTCCCTTCTCTCCTAATTTATGATTTCTTCCCAATTTACTGCACCTCGTACATTTCCAAATATGGGCCTCTGCTGTGGGATTGTGGAACTTCTTGAATCATCTCCTTCAGAGATGCAATACCGTCCCTACGGTTAGGTCTGTAGCAAGAGAGGCTGCTACTACTAAAGAATGAGTAAGAATATTTTGGAATGGTGCTCTAAAGGTCATTTACATACATGTCTCTAATGTATCCCGAGCCTTCATAAGGATATACTATCCAGCACTCACCAAAATTTATGTGTGCAGACCCACATTTACAGAGCTTGTTTAAAGGATAACGGGCTATGTTACTTGGTGCTTCCAATCTCATAGTAGACGGAACGGTCATTGGAGTTGTAATGGAACGGATAGGATCCGGTGACGTCGGAGTCGCAAAAGTGGATAAACCATTTAGCAACCGATTCCTGGACCTAAACTGTTAGACTATAGCGGTACTGCTTAGTGCTGTCAATCTCATAGCATATTGTCAGACTACAGCGTGTTACCAATCTCCTACCACACTATCAATATCAAGTTCTCCCTAAAATGGTTATTTAATCACGCTAGATTGAAATATGAATAAACCCTATTGTATTCGAACTAGCTAGGCTCGGCATTTATTTATAGAAGCATAACATCACCTTTCCCCCTAATGAGGTGCATCGACCAGTTTTGTGCTAAATTGTATATGTATCAAAGACGCGTCACTTTCGGGGAAATATACGGTTGATAGGTGCCGGAACAAAACAGAACAAGTATTTGCGGAGAAAAGAGGGACTTTTAGAAAGAGGAGTAACCGCATTCAGTGTGAATGAAACTGCCTTCGAAGGAAAATTGGGCACCGGGGGTGAAATGATGACAGGATATACGAATGGTTTACTTACTTAGGTGTGTACGTACCTTCTTAACTCACTAGGTACGCAACCACCGTAGTGCCAGGCAAAAAGGGCAACAATGCACACTGCACGGGCTCCCAAAGCAGTTTGAGGGAAGGCCCTAGCACACGTAGTAGCTTGACCTCGTATCTAGATGGGGCAAATATTGCAACCAACGTCGATAAGGCCCTCGTCCTCTCTACAAGGGACAGCACAAACCAAGTTGTGGATCTAGAGGTAGACGACCGCGTAGGCACGAACTCAAAGAGTAGTAGGGGGGGGAGGCTCGAGTACTTTATTCGAAGGCACGGAGGTATAGCAGCTAATAGTAGGGGCGGCTCGAGTAGCGCAGTGAATCCTTATCCGTCAATACTTGTTCAAAGGTTGATGGATTTGGGCTTCGTGCAATTATTCTGGTAGCTTAAGGTAACCATATAATCGACCTCATGTGATCACACTCGCAAAACCACAGGCGGTGAGCAATTGCCTGGGCATAAACCCGACACCTCCTATATAAGACAAAATAAACAAATATCCGCTACCGAAGTACAAGGGCGTGACACTTGGTCAAGTGGCTCGGGTCAAATTGTACTTACGGGCTCGCCAGGGACGATAGAAATTGGGGAAACTAAACAACAAATAAATCGACAAAACCAAACAACAAAAATCGACAAGAGATGTAGGCAATCGACCGGGCCGAACTCTTTTGCCATTTTGATACATAATATCTCTAGGAATTAAATATTATTTTTGTCTTTATCTTTTGTTTTGAAGCTTTTGTAAAGTGAAGGCCACGCGTGGTTAAGCGAGCGAGCGAGCGAGAGTCCCCCCTGAATGGGAACACTTGCGGGCCTTCCCGCTTGCTATGGCCGGGAAGCGCATCGACGGGGGGTTTACTTCGTACGGTGGCTATATATTGGCGATTTACGTTGTAGATTCCGAGCTATTGTCCGAGAAGCGTAAAAAGGAGACTAAAACAGTAGAGGGAGCGGATATAGATATTTTGCACTCTATGTAATTTTAGGAGCAAGCGCGATGAAGTTGGGCCTGAAAATTCTTAACGAGCTCAAAGTCCGTCTACTACAAGTCTAAAGCCTTTTTATGCCTATTATTAATTCGGTGGATGAAGAAGACTCGCAAACAAGGTATCTATTTGCAACCCCATGTGCCGAGACGCACCTGATCAATGGTATCATAAACTATGCACAAAGAAGTCAACGTTACCAACCGGAACACGTCTCATCAACGACGTCAAGCAGAAATATACACAAGGAAATTAAAGTCCATCGCGCTATTCTAAGCTAAAGGAGCGCTGCAAAAAGTAGACCGACAACAGTCAAAGCACCCATGCTAGCCTGCACACTTCCAGCACCACTCTTCTTGCTTGCTGTAGGTGAGGCGGCTGAGGATGAGGATGAGGATGTAGACGAGCCTGAGGATGATGGCTTTTGCCCACTTGGAGTGTTGCTCTCATCATCGGCTAGGACGGTGATGCTCAACCCTTCAATAGTTGTGCCATCAGATTGCTTCACAACCTGGCTGACTTTCGTAGTTGTCACAGGGATTAATTTGGGGGTGTAGGAGAGCTTGACACCGTTATCAACAAAGACTTGTGCTTCTTTAAGGATTGCTGGAATCGTGAAGTTGTTGCTGAAGCCTTTCTCCTTGATGATCGATGATTGGCACTTGGGCGGCGTTATCGTGGAATTTACTGCCTTAACACCCTGGAGAGCTGTAACATTAAGCGTGTTATACTGTTTTTGTAGAGTATCGTAATCAGCGAGCAGCTTAGCAGAACCATCCGTGTTGATGGTTACTAGACCGTAGTTTGATTTTTCCTGAGAATACTCGTAGACCAAGCCACCCGAGAGAACAGGAGTCATCAATGGGCCATATAAGACGGGGACCTCTGTGAAAATGCGGGGGGTTGGTTCGTTGCATCCGTATTCGGAGAAGAAAATCGGAACGTTAGTCCCCTTAAAATCAGCAACAAGAGTGTCGTAGGACGAAGTCTTGAACGATGAGTCGCCACACCACGAGTAGCTGTTGAGAGCAAAGATATCAGCAATGGATGGATCCGATGCGTCGGCAGTGGTAGTGCAGCGGAGATAGTTCCACGTGTCGATGAGGAATTCCCGGACATCGGCTGCGCTATATCCCACAGGAATAGGCCGAGTGGAGTGCTTCGCAACATAGTTCTTAAGGTCTCTGGTGACAGCCTGCGGATGTTAGAAACTCCTGAGGCATTTGGGAAAGGAGAGCTTACCCTAATGTAAGGGGGGATGACGTCGCCAGTTTTAAGGTCATTGATAACCTCGTTTCCAGAAAAGAAAAGCAAAGTATTTGGGTAGTTCTTGAAGGCTTCTACGACAGCAAAAGTTCGGTTCAGGTAGCTGGGAGTATAGGTTGTCCATGGCTCCTCACGATGTAAGGATTCGCCTATCTTGGGGGAATTGACATCAATAAGCATATAGATGCCGACCTATGGAAAGTTAGGAGCTAGCTTTTATCGATAGGTATGTATCAACATACCGCATTGAAGATAGAGGCGCACGCATCGTGATTGATTTCAGGAGAAAGGTTGTAGACGCGGATAGCATTAATCCCTGAGCCATAATTAGTCCCATCTAGATGTGTTGTCTCAGACGAACTGCATACCTAAGCGTTGCATGAGAGCAGCATCTCTCAAGCACACCTCCCCATCAGCCAGCGCATCAACTCCTGACTCCGGCTTGTATCCTGATTCTCCTCCAGGTTGATACGCGACACCGAGGATCTGGAAGCGGTTGCCAGTTTTCGGGTTGACAAAATCCGCACCTCTGGCCTCGAGGGATGGGACAGCGAGGACGGTGCTGGCGCAAAGCGCAGCGAGCGCGAGTCGCAGCTGGAAAAAAGCACCAGATGTTAGTATCATAATATATCAGGTGGGAACTCTACGACGTAGACAATAAAACACGCCCATAGTGGGGAGCTTCATATTATTGCAGAGATATTTGCGACAAGGCGCGGGGTCCCCACGTACCGTGTTCGTAAACATTTTGCGATCCGGACCAAACTCAATTGCAACTGATCGTCGCAGTAATTCCTTTCTCTAGGTATAATATGTCTTGAAAAGTGAAACAAAACGCGGTACTTCGTATGCTCGCAGTCAAACTGTTGCCAAGCGCAATAGTCGGCGCAAACGAAATGAGCGTAGAAGAAACGAGTGGATTCGAAGGTAGGTTTAGGTTCGGCGTAGAGCCAGATTTAAGAATGGGTTCTAATGAGTGTGATATTCTGACGGACCGTACCAGCGAAGGAGACGGAGAGAAAAAAGAAGGGAGAGTTAAAAGGAAGGCTAGAAGGATGGGAGGATTGAGATGCTACCTGTAGCACGGGCACACAACGGAGCTACCTACCTAGTACGAAAGCGTAACTATCGCGGGAAGCTTACCTTCGTATCGAATTATTCGGGGTTCGACGAACGAGCCGCCCAATTATCAATACGGGGTAAGTAGGCATGCCAATTGGCTCGTTTGCTCGGCCAGAACAGCCCCACTGGACCCCCGAATCCAACGACAATCGTCCCTCCTCATTTCGTCATGCGTCTCGAAACATCATCAGGGAATCAATGTTACAGATACGGTACTCTATCTTACACAAGGAAACAATGAGATCTCGTTAATACTTCTCGAAGGTTGTTATTAATGGAAGCTTTTGTCGGGATACCAAGCAAACAAGTTGAAACAACCAGCTTGTCGTTGAAACGCCCAATATTGCACCATAGCCTCCGCCTCCCCCCCACGGACTGCCCCATCTGGGGTAAATCCCACCTTCAAATTTTAATTTCGATGTTTGACGTCTGTTTACGGACATTCCTCCCGTTAACGCAATCTAGCCTCGCGCTCCCTTTTCTACGATAGGCAATCTTATCGCGATCAGCGCAACGGTCTTATTGTTAGGTATCGTGTTGATTCAATGTTATATATTTTTAAAACTATGCATGCTCAAGAGCCTCCCTCGTCGTGATCCTTCTCAGCCTCATACTAAATACCATCGTTCTCCACGGACGTCGATTTTTCCGAGTCTGCGATCTCGAAATAGGGGCCCACGATTTTGCCACAGCTTTGGCTTATAAAGGAGGATCAGTCGAGCTGAGCGTTTACCCCGGAATATTCAACAAATACTAATAATAAGCCCTTGAGGCTCGAAACTCAACACCGAATATAGAGGATGTTACTTCGATTATAGGAGACCCTGAAGTTTACAACTTCTACCGTAATGATAGGCACCTAGAACGATTGGGAAAATAATCTTCCGAGGCATTGTATAGGTGAACTTAAACAAAGTCATCCCGATATCCATTTTCATGGAGGGATATGTACGCTTGCAGTGCTACGTACTAGTGTATGTATTCCGCAGTACTCTCCTGAAAGATGACCAGTGAGGTAATTATAGACAAGCGCAGGAGGTGCTCGGGAATAGTGTCAATAACGACTCGTAGGTTAGGGCAGTCTTCAAGTGCCACTGGAAGTCATTAACCGGCGCATATTAAACCTGGGTACGGTGTGACCATGATTGGCGTAGGTGAGAGACCAGCCTACTGGGTATTTAAACGCTGCCCTCGAAGTCAAGCCGGCGCATATCAAACCTGCGTACTGTGTTACCATAATTGGAGTTATACTAACTCACTAGCAATAGTAAAATTCATATCTCCTCGTTCTTTCGACATTTGCCAATTACACTACGATCTGTCATTTACTTCTCCAGCTGTCATTTTTTGCTATTACTGCCATCTATATTCCCGGGCGACCGATGGCATCTTGAGAGAACTGGCAATGGTCCTCCCATCCTCATTTGTTGGGATGAACCATGTGTCCTTCAGTGGTGTCCACTGTTCCGTCACCATCGTCTACATATTCCTCATCCCAGAATATGTGATTGTCGTCGTCAATAAATTCATCATCGCCGTAGTGTATCCGATTCCTCTATAAATAACCCATCTCTCCGGGAAGAGTGAAAAGCAACGTATAACTCGGGCTTGTTGGGGATGTAGTGAGTGTTAATCACCGCTTCGTTTCCTTTGATAGTGTCGCTTGGTGAACCTACTTGGTGGACCTGGAGCCATGAGGCCATCAAATACCCTTTAGAAACTGCCACTTCATTTTTCTCAAAAGTCTATAATCCTATAGTTTATTTCAACTACCATAGTTGCTATGTAGATGAGCGAGTACCTACCTACCTAGACACCGAGAGAGACGTTAAATGGAGTACTACATCAGGAGCACCCCTAAGCATGACTGCAAAGATGACCGGACGGCTTTCCAGTTGGCCACTATGCCGTGGTGTTTTGTTTGGATAGGTGTTTTGTTTGGATAGGTGTTTTGTTTGGATAGGTGTTAAGTAGACGCAGCTAATCGCGTACTTAGCCAAGATAAAAACCTGTGGTTTCTGTCGCGGTTCGTCCCAGGGCAGGTAGTAGGACGAACCAGGAAAAGCGTGATACTCGATCGTGATGTTAACAAAAACCGCCCATCCTATACACAAATACACAAGAGCCAGAAACTGGAATCATTACAAGGCAAATTATGAGTATTCTATTTATGATATTTTAGGCACCGAATCCGCCGGCCACGATTCTATTTGTAGCACAGGACAGACACAAGCTGGCTGCCTAGAAACAATTCCCATCAACTATCAACCCCATTCCCCGAAATCCAACTTAAAAAATTTCCATTTTTTTTTTAAATTTAACCAGTGAACTCCTTTACCTTGCTTTCGGCAAGACGGCCGGGGATGAGAGCAAGTGGTACAATTCCGCTGACGTGCATCTCAGGGCCATATACGTGCATATCGAAGTTCAACTCTTGGCCGACGGCCTTGATGTTCTTTAAGCCTTCTTGGTAGTTGGGCCCGGCGCGTCTGACCCAGATGTGGACGTTGTGCTCGATCAGTTGAGGGGCGAACTCTTTCAGAGCGCGGATGACGCCCTTGAAGGTAGATGCAACGTTGGTGAAGTTGGCAATGCCTCCACCGATAAACAGGACTTTGCCCTCAGGGTGCATTGGGGCGCGCAGCATGAGGTCGATGACAGTGCGGGCGTAGTGGAAAGTTTGGGTCTCTGTAGGAGCGCCGGAGTATTCACCGTAGTTGGCGAGCTCATCAGCGAAGCCACTGCTGGCAATGGCATCGGCGTAGACAACGGAAGCACCACCACCGGCAACCAAGGTCCATACTCGGCCATTGGCGTTTAAGATGGTGAGCTTGAGGGAGGCACCGGTCTTTGCGTCGAGCTCGGCAATGTAAGCCTCTTCCTTGCTCATCTCACGACCGAACGGCGCTGGGAATTCCATAGGAGGTCCGGCGTCAATGTTGACCTTTCCATCGGTCGCCTTCACGGCGGTTATACCGAGGGCAGCAGGTGACCGTGCAACGGCCCATTTAACACCACATTCAAACTCGGCGGTTTGATCCAACTTAGCAGCCAAATCCAAGAAGTAGACATCAGCGGATGTAGCATTGGCGTTGGGGATGACGACCAATGGGTTGATCTCAAGATATGTGAATTGGCAGTCGACATAGACGGCGTATAGTCTTGAGATGAAGTCGACGAGGACGTTGTGCACACCCTTGGGAACCTTCCTCAGGAGAGCGGCAGCAATCTGGTCGTTGGAGGGGTATTCGGAGAGATCGACAGGAATGAGAAGCTTCTCGGCTTTGGCATCAACATCGCCAACATCGACACCTCCCTCATGTGTGAAGAGAATCCAATCGCCCTAAGGAAGAGAGAGGGTTAGTAGGGTCATGGTGGAAGACGGCGATTTGATTGGACAAGGAACATTCGACGGAGGAACATCCGTAACCGGGCTGGTTGCATAGACAAGCCCTGATAGCGGAGCAGCTATGCAGATAGAAATCCAGGTACAGAAATCTAATCTAATGGTGGGATGTGATGGGGGATCATAGGGAGTGTGGGTCGGCTGAAAATGAAGCCTCTAGCTTCCGCTCGCCCGTAGCTGCCATGGTACCGAACCGGATCCGGTACCAGCGAGCTGCCACATAAAGGTGGTGGTAACCCGGAAGAAGCAGATTTTTTGCATGCAAGAAAATGATTCTCAAATATTTGTCTCCCGCTTGGGTTGCCAAATATGGAATTAAAAAAAAATCCAAGTTCCCTAGAATTTCGAGCTGGGTACATGGTCAAGTATCCCGCACCACACTTTCTAATATGCTTCCTCGACCAATCCCAACATTTTTGAAATAAAATGCAAGAACATACCTCTCTTTGAGAATTGATGTTGATATAGTACTCGGTCCCCTCTGGATGCGGCACAAAAGGCTCGACCAAGAATTGCCGCAGAACACCGACCACACTCTCCACCTTTTGCTCCTTTCCAGCGCGAGCCGCAATCCACGCCTTCGCCTCGGGCCATGGCTTGTTCAAGGCGAGGAGGCCGCTCTTACCTCTCCGCTTGATGAGCTGATCGGGCTTTGCAACGAACTTCGCACCGGGGGCGAGAAGCCATGGGTATGTGGTCTCGGCTTGGTCGAGGATGGCTGCGACCTCGGCGTCTTCTGGGAAGTAGAGGGATGCGAGCTTTGGGGGGGCGTTGTGTGTGGAGGATTTTGGGAGAGGAGAAGGCTTGATGACGGGAGCGCGTGTGAGGTGGTAGTTGAGGATGGCCTTTCCGTCGGCTTCGAGGATTGCTTTGGCTGCCATTGCGAGCGATGTGAGGTAAGTTTACTGTGTGGATTCCCTGAAGTCAGCAAACGGATGTCTTGTGCAAATGGATTGTGCTTTGAGTTGAAATTGGCTGACGAGAACTGCTTTGAATGGAGATTTTGGTAGTGTGCAGATGCTGAGCTCCTCTGCAAATGCAGACAAATATGCAGGGCAGCTTGAATATCCGCAATCCAGAACACAGGCTCGGGAAACTTGCCCTACAAAGCAGGGTCGGACAGCGAAAAAAGATATCAATCCGAATCCGAATCCGGCACAACTGAGGGGATTCGAATGTTTTTGTGAGACGGACTCCGAGCGAAGGGAATCGAGCCGAACAAATGCCCAACTTCACTTCTCGGGGCGGTGAATGCGGCAAAGTGCCAGTGCCAATGGAAAGGGAGAAAATTGCTATTGCTATTGATGCAGGGAGGTCACATACCAAGGGCGGACTTTTTACAACAGAACAGAACAGAGGCAGCTGAGCTTTGGCGTGCAATGCGGGCTGGGGGGAGATTCTTCTGGCGGGTCAAGAAGAGAGAGTAGCAGGTGGGAGGTTTCGCAGAGCTTGAGGGGGGAGATGGAATTGGGGGAGAGCCCGGAGTATCGAAGGGGGTATATTTGGGGTTGATTGGGGAGGTGGATGTGGATGGGGATCGGGGTTGATTGGGGGGGATGCCGATGGGGGGGAGAGAGAGGGAATTGTGAGTGTATCCTGGAGAGAGAGTGTTGTTACTGTGGTGCCGGTGGTTGGTGTTGCGGTGGGAGCGTTTATCGGCATCAACGAGCTACGGACACCGACACTCGACACTCGACTCGACACTATTTTTTTTTGCTGATGGGATTCGCAGCCAGACCAGACCAGCGGCCGCCCTGGCGGCCCTCACGGAATATCGCCCCCAGCAGCGTCCCCTTAGCCCCGCCTAGAGGCTTAGCCAACGCCCGCAAATCCCAAAAATTCCTCAACGAACCGGCGCAAGGAGTTTGGGTTGTCGGGATTCGCAGGGATCACGCTGCTGATGGGGACGGCCCAGACGACCCAGTGGCCCAACATTGTGTCAGCGCTCAGCTATTTGCTCGTTGCATTGTTATTATTGTTCAGGGGGAAGGGGAAGGGGAAGGGGGAACAGGAATAACTTTTTGTTGTCCGGGACGGTGTACGGTGAACGGTGAACGGTGTACGCGGTGTGCAGCAGCAGCATCTCTCCCCATCCGCATTCCCTCCTCGCATTCGCATTCCCGCTCCGCCGCTATTCCGCCCGCCGGTACTTGGTGCAGCAACTGCAGCAGCACCGCAGCCCAAGGTACCCTTTTGCCGTTTACCTTGTACCTTTTACCTTACCACCACCACCAGCAATTATTATTGCCCCGGCACACCACCGCTCACCACTCACCACTACTCACCACCACCACCTCCCTCACCACATACAACATCCCCTCGGTGTTCAACAACATCCCCAAATCCCCTTCCCTCCGTCTCGGCCCCGATATCCCTCAATTCTTCCTTCTTCATTCCTGCCTCCATCCCCCCCCCGTCTGCCACTCTACATTCTCCTATCCTCGCTCTCTGAGAAAGAGAAAACCCTCCGCTTGTCTTGTTGTCGCCCTCCTCATATTCTCCTCCCATGTACGTTAACTTTTTCTCACCCCCCCCCCCCCGTCAGCTTCCAATTACACCAGCTTTGTCCCAGCAACGCGATCCCCGAGTTTTGGATACACAAAGCCCTGATCATCCAAGCTCCCCCGAAACCCTCAATCTCACTTCCACCTCCAATTGCTAACTTGCATTCTTCTCCCAAGACTCTCTTAATTTTCCCACGATGCCTGCCCCAACCACCAACGGCGGCGCTGCCAATGCCACAGGTGCTCCATCCGCCGGCCTCTCTGCCAACGACAACATCCGCCGCTTTGCTGCTCCCAGCCGGCCTCTGAGCCCGCGCGCAGAACACACACTCTTCCACGACAAGACGAGATGTTTCGTTTACGGCCTGCAGCCTCGAGCCGTCCAGGGCATGCTCGATTTCGACTTCATCTGCAAGCGCAAGACCCCTTCCGTGGCCGGCATCATCTACACATTCGGCGGCCAGTTCGTGAGCAAGATGTACTGGGGAACCAGTGAGACGCTGCTCCCCGTCTACCAGAGCGTGGACAAGGCCATGGCCAAGCACAGCGACGTCGATACCATCGTCAACTTCGCCTCGTCACGAAGTGTCTACACCTCCACCATGGAGCTCATGGAATACCCTCAAATCAAGTCTATTGCTATTATTGCTGAGGGTGTGCCCGAGAGAGTAAGTCGAGCTTCCCTCCCAAAAAAAAAAAAGAATTCCGTCTCTAACTATGACACAGCGTGCTCGTGAGATTCTCCATGTAGCCAAGAAGAAGGGCATTACCATCATCGGCCCCGCCACCGTCGGTGGTATCAAGCCCGGATCCTTCAAGATTGGTAACACTGGTGGTATGATGGACAACATTGTCGCCTCCAAGCTGTACCGCAAGGGATCCGTCGGATATGTCTCCAAATCCGGAGGTATGTCCAACGAACTCAACAACATTATCGCCAACACAACCGATGGCGTCTACGAAGGTGTCGCCATTGGAGGTGACAGATACCCCGGAACAACCTTCATTGACCATCTTCTTCGGTACCAGGCCGACCCAGAGTGCAAGATTTTGCTCCTCCTAGGAGAGGTTGGAGGTGTTGAGGAATATCGTGTCATCGAGGCTGTCAAGAATGGCACAATCACCAAGCCAATTGTTGCATGGGCTATCGGAACCTGCGCAAGCATGTTCAAGACCGAGGTCCAATTCGGACATGCTGGTTCATTCGCCAACTCTCAGCTCGAGACCGCCGCCGTCAAGAACAAGTCCATGAAGGATGCAGGAATCTTCGTCCCAGATACCTTCGAGGAGATGTCCACACTTCTTGCTGGCGTGTACCAAAAACTTGTCAAGCAGGGTACCATCGTACCACAGCCAGAGCCAATCGTACCAAAGATTCCCCTGGACTACTCTTGGGCTCAAGAACTCGGACTTATCCGAAAGCCTGCTGCCTTCATCTCTACCATCTCCGATGACCGTGGACAAGAGCTGCTTTACGCCGGCATGCCAATTTCTGATGTCTTCAAGGAGGATATCGGCATTGGAGGTGTGATGTCGCTGCTGTGGTTTCGCCGTCGTCTACCAGAATACGCCAGCAAGTTCTTGGAGATGGTCCTCATGTTGACTGCCGATCACGGCCCAGCCGTATCTGGTGCCATGAACACCATCATCACCACAAGAGCAGGAAAGGATTTGATCAGCGCACTTGTCTCTGGTCTCTTGACCATCGGATCAAGATTCGGTGGTGCTCTTGATGGAGCCGCTGAGGAATTCACAAAGGCTTTCGACAAGGGTCTCAGCCCACGTGACTTCGTCGATACCATGCGCAAGCAGAACAAGCTCATCCCCGGTATTGGCCACAAGGTCAAGTCCCGGAACAACCCGGATCTCCGTGTCGAGCTGGTCAAGGAGTTCGTCAAGAAGCGTTTCCCTAGCTGCAAGATGCTGGACTATGCTCTTGCCGTCGAATCCGTGACCACCTCGAAGAAGGATAACTTGATCCTGAACGTCGACGGTGCCGTGGCGGTCTGCTTCGTTGATCTGATGCGCAACTGTGGTGCGTTCAGCGCGGAGGAGGCAGAGGACTACCTGCAAATGGGTGTCTTGAACGGTCTCTTCGTCTTGGGTCGCAGCATTGGTTTGATTGCCCATTACCTCGATCAAAAGAGGCTGCGCACCGGTCTGTACAGACATCCTTGGGATGACATTACCTATCTGCTCCCAAGCTTGCAAAGCGGTGCCCCCGGTAGCGAGGGCCGTGTTGAGGTTCAGATGTAGATTAGTATTTGAAGGAATAGGTTTAGGGCGTTGGCTTTTACACGCTATATTGAATTGGTAGAAACCCAAAAATTACAGTAGCACAAACAACTTAATGGCATTTAAAACTTGGAATGATGCGTGTTGGACCTTGATGTTACACTATTTCATAGATGATCATGTAGAGAATAAATCTCACGATACTGCATTAATTGGATTTAGGATCTTGTGCTTCCCTGTCTTGGACAACGATCGTACAATTTCAGAGAGTGATAGGTATTATAAACGTGTGTACCATAAAACGAGCTAGGTGCATGAGATATCTCCTAACAATCACTCGTAGCAATCCACGCCAATCTCCAAGCACCCGCAACCTCATTTTACGAGTTTTATACGAAAGTATGTATCGCATGTCCCAGCGAGCGAAGCCAAACTCCCACATACATACATTGTACATAGAAACCCCCCTTTCCCAAAACACCACCCAAACACCAGCAGCAACAAAGCAAAAAACCCACGCTCGCCAACCATATCGAGCCCCATCGCCAAACTAAACACCTAGTGCCGATCACTCACCAGGCGTCGAGCTCATAAGCTCATCCACATGCGCCCTCTCCGTCGTCGTCGAATTCCCCTTCTCGGCTTCCTTGAGCAACACAGCTAGGACTTCAATTGGGGGGTTTAGTCCTAGTTTACTCGCGCGCGTCCAGCGCTTCATTCGGGCTATGCCGATGCAGGGCTAGAAAATACCGTATTAGATTAGCCAGTACTTCAATTTCCATTTCCCCTTCTCATTCTTTTTCCTGGTTCCCTTTTAGGGATGGGGAAAAGGACATGGGAGACATACGCCAAACTGCGAACTCATATCAAACAACCTCAGAACCTTCTCCTCGACACTCAAATCCTGCTGGTGCACCCTCGGCGCCTTCCGCTCCGCCTCCCTATCCCGCCAGTACTTCTTGATCTGCGCATCGCTGATTGCGGATGCTCGTTCGTGCGAGGGGCTTAGGTGTTTCGCCGAGAGTTCGGTGCGGGTTTGTTGTGCGGTTGCGGCTTCGGACGATGTGTGGCCGACATCTATATCTACTACTTCTGCCTCTTCTTCTACTGCAGCTGGGGCGGCGGGTTTGGAGGAGGCTAGGAGGGCGTCTTTGCCGGTGGGGGCGTGTGTCGGCTTTGTGACTTTGCTATTGGTGAAGGCGAGGGTTTTTTGGGAGCCTTTGGCTGCGGGTCCGGAGGAGACGCGCGAGCGTCTGGTTGCTGGCATTTTTGCGGATGGGAAGGCGGGTTCTTGAGCGTGCTGGTGGAAGGGACGTTTCAATAGTATGGGTGGAGAGATGACGATGGAGGGTTTGGGTTTGGGGTTTGGTTGGGGGCGTCGGCAAGGCAACGAGGGTTTAAGCGAGGCGCGAGGTCTCCTGACTTCGTGCTTCTGCATCTCGCTGACAATTTTAAATTTCATGGTTGGTATTTCTTTAATTTGAGGTGCGTACTTAAGATGTCTGTGAACAGCGATTTAGTTGGCGAAATTTTTGTCACTACTGTCCTGAGTCTGGAGAATGTTCCCCAGATGGATTTCCTCTCGCAAGCTTCCTAAATTACGACATTGCTCTCCTTTTCCTATTGTTGAACATGACAGCATTTATGGCCAGTGCCGAAAGCTGAAAGCTACATTCCTTCTCTAGTGATGCAAGATCAAGTGGTCTAGGGCACATTTGGCATATTCTTAGAGGGGCATTTAATCGCAGCATTTCAATCAGCTTGAATTTATGACCCCGGTATGATATTCCGGTTACTCGTTCACCTTCTCTTGAACTCCACCGCCCACTCCCCACGATCAAATTTCGATCGTTACCTCCCTCTCCGGTATAACATCCATCGCCGCGGTCCTCAGAGAGAACTCAGGCCGGCTCACTCTCATCCCGGTATTGGTTCTGAGAAACGAGCACCACTCCTCCACCTCCTCCTCTGCCTCTTTAATCTCCACTGGCAGCTCACCCTTTAGCGGGCGAAGCATACCCTTCGTTATCTCCACATCCCCCCGGAGCGAATTTGCTGGAATCAGGACCAAGTCCGTGATGCCGGTGAAAGAGTTAAATTGCCAAGTCATGAACGACTGGCTGACTTCTCCAGCGAGGAAGAGTCGATTTAATGCGAGCTCCGACCAGCGCATCAGCCATGTGATGGCCGTACCATCACACTGGCCTGAATTGCCCTTACTGCACGACACGAGGACTTCGTCCTGCTCATAGTCGAAGTAAGTTTGCGGTTCGCCGTATAGGGTCGTGCCGAAAGAGAGTTTGTACCATTTCTGCGCCACCACGCGGGACTCCAGACAGGCGTGCAGCATGGCGGGGACTTTGGCGGTTGAGTAGAGGGCCCTCATCTCGAGGGGGCTGGTGTGCTTTAGGCGGAGGTGGCGTTTGCTTCTTGGTTTGATGCGGATGATTCGTCCTTCTGGACGGGCGAACTTCCAAATCATGAGTCGGAGCTCTGCTGGGAGCTTTGGGAAGTAGCTGAAGTCTGCGAAAGCATGCTTCAAGAGCCTGTTGGAGCTGTTAGCACATATGATTTTCAACACTTTGGACAGGGTAACTTGCTCGTGCTTCTCCTCTTCTTTTCTCTTCATTCCCCGGGTTTGCACTCCTCTCTCTGTGGTGGTAGACATCCCTGAAGTTGGACGAAGGAACGGTGTCAAAGGAATATGACTCTGTCACAGAGGTACAGGTGATGGATGTATGGTGATATGATCTCAAGTGAAGCTTTGGGTATTCAACAGACTTCCGTCAATGCGTGCTTGAGAAACTGGACGAGACGACAACTAAAGGAAAGGAAAGAGAGGAAAGACAGGAAAGGACGATATTCTTTTGTCCAGCGAGCTGCTTGTTACTGCTATTGTGAAAGTAGACCTCATTGTTCTCAATTCGCGATACTATTGATACTACAGGTTTGGATTGCTTTAATTGTTGATTCAGGGGTTGCTATTGTTAAACCTGCTATTGTCGCGGTGAGTGAAAGAGCCGAATTGGACAATAGCCCCCCTTTTGTTTCGCTAATAGGCGGAGTTGGTTACTATTGTCTGACTAGAGAGTGAATACACCTTTGAACATGCTCAACTGGTTACTATCATATGAAAGAGTGATAGTCCTTGAGCAAAGGGACACCATTGGGCTTTATATGGAAGTATTATAGAGAAATAATCCGCTCCAAAGTGTAAATTTAGCTACGACGGGGGGAAGGCTATTTAGGGGCACATGAAATCTTATGAGGCTATCGTAGAACCCTTGCCATATTAAACACGTGAGGTTCTTATTTGAAGTATCGGGGTCTACTATTCTAACAAATTTGTATCGAAGCTACTTCACGTCTTAAGAAGACGCTCTCAGAGTCTCCGCGATGATCCCTGTCATTTCTAACACCTTCTCATCTTCCAAACGCCTACCCACACACTGCAGAGTGACAGACGTGCCATGATAAAACTCCGGATCGTAATCCGCCTGTAAAGCAGCATCCTTCTCATTCAACGGCTTCCAATCCGCTCGCGGCTTATCAATATTCTTATCCGCAAAGGTTACGGGGAATGTACAGACGGGGTAATCTACGCAGCTCATTAGCAACGACTCAACAGTAGATATAAACCACAGAAGGGGGTGGGTAGTACTCACCTAGAATATTGAAAACTCCAGTGTAATTGACGCAGAACACTTCCTGCGTGAACCCCAATCGCGGCGCAGTCCACGGGCTGGCAGGAACGATAATCCCATCCATCGCCTCCTTCCCATCCTTCGCAGTCGCATTCCAGCGATCCAAATATGCCTTCTGATACGCATTTCTCCTCGTAATCATCTCCCTCAGCTTCGACGGGCCAAGAACCCCATGCTCGCCCTTATCGTACGCGGATTCATATTCCTTCATGGATCCAAACACAGGCTCACTATGCTCTTTCGTCAGCTCCAAGATAGCCGCGCCACCGAGCGCATGGAATGAAGAGTTCATATCCTCAGTCATCTGGGGATGGTCTTCAGGAGCCCACTCGAACACCTCGTGACCTGCTGCTTCGAGGGCCTTTCTTGTCATCGCTAGACCGCGCACGATGGGCGGGTGAACACTGATCTCGCCATCGTTGTCGGAGATGATTCCGAAGCGGAGCTTTCGTCCCTTGGGCGCGATCATGTCGCCTCGCCATGGTACCGCGAGGCACTTCGGATCAAGGTGCCAAGGGGAGATTTCCTGGGAGAGAATAGCTTTGCAGTAGAGCTTGATGGCTTCGAGGGATCGAGACATTGGGCCGTTGTTTGAGAAGATGAAATCTTGGCCTGAGATGCCAGATTTTGTGCCGTAGACGGGGAATCGTCCAAACCTATTAAGTAGAGTCCTTTAGCCGTTGAACTTCAAGGGGGGAAGAGGGTCCTGGGAGAAGCTCACGTGGGCTTCAAACCATAAAGATGGTTGAAAGCACTGGGGATTCTGATACTTCCTCCAATATCAGTGCCCACTCCCAACGGGCTGCCTCTCATTGCCAAAAGTACACCTTCGCCTCCACTGCTGCCTCCCGACGACGTCCCGCTGTGGTAAGCACCCGTGGTTTCACCCCACACGTTGGAGATAGTCTCCATCATCATCATAGCAGTAGGAACCGTAGTTTTAACATAGAACACAGCTCCGAGCTTGGCTAGGATGCCCACAAGAATAGTCTCTTGCTCAGGTGCAGTGGGTTGGTTTGCATAACATGACATCCCGATGGACGAAGGGTGCGGGGGCGTGATCATGCAATCTTTGAGGGAGATGGGCAACCCGTGGAGGGGTCCGATCACCTGGCCTGTTTTCTCGAGGTGGTCATCGAGGAATTTGGCCCGATCAAATGCTTCTTTGAAGAGGATCTCCGTTATGCAGTTTGTCTGTACTTCTCATTAGCTTGATGTTGTATTTAGAACACTTGGAAAGGGGAAACAGACCAGTTGCTGTGCCACCATGGAGGCCTTGCAGAATGCCTTGGTAACTTCCAAGGATGTCCATATCTTGTTTTTGATCTTAAGCAGAATATCTTCTGCGTTTGATTCGATGATCTCAAGTTCTTCTGCAGTGAAATGTCCAGACTGTTTAGGGACCGTTGTAAGGTTTCGCGGGAGATTGGAAAGGGATTGTTCTGGAAGGAGATATTCTTTTGGAATTGCGGCTTCTCTACGCCTGAGCGCTTCTTCCGAGACTTCTTTGTAATGCTGTCCCATATTGCTGGGGTTGGGGTTCTATTATCTAGGTGTGTTGTGTTGTGCTGGGTTGGGTTGTCGAGGTGGCTATTACTTTAATGATTGGATGCAAATAGTTTGAATAAAAGTAAAACTTATAATATATGCTCTATGGATTCTAAGACCTTTATTTGATTGCCGGATGAATACGAGAATGTGGCAATGGTTCCTCTAAATAGGAGTAAGCTTAAGCTTTCCCCTCATGGAGGCCGGAAGTGGGGGAGGGGTTTGCCGTAGATCCGCACGCTTGCGACGATCGACACGATACCTCGGAATACTACCGCTACAATCTGATAGGTATAGGAACTTGTATGAAAGGGTACATACAAAGATTCGAATAGCTTATTTCCGGAGATTGGTTTTTAGTCTGCCGTATACGGACATAGTTTGCTGGCTTTACGCACCTAATTGTCAGTGTGGCGACTTTTCCGGATGCACGAACTGAAGTGGGACATTAGTCCATTTCTGATCTGTATGACAGTCGGCGTTGCACTTCATTGAGTCTCAAGGCGGCATGCATGTCAGTAGTGAAATCGCAGGAGTTTGCAAGTTTTTTTGTTTTTGAATTGCCGCTCATATCTTGCTCAAGAGCCCAAAAGGAGTTTGCCCGTCCAGCAATATGTATTTCTACATTTCTCCTGATTTCTAGAGAATGCGCCCAATGGAGTATCACCATGGCAGCCTTACTAGCCCAATAATCTAGTCATTCATGCGGCAAACTCAACAGCTCGTTTCCTCGCAGTACCAGCTGCATCGGTATTCGCATTCAAAACCCCAACATTCGAAATCAATAGATTTACAGCTGTATCGCTTGCTGGAGGTCCCCCGGTCACAAGGGCGATTTGCTGTCCTGCACTCTCACACGCATGAATTGTAACCTTATTGGTGACACTATCCAGGGCAGAAGCATTAGCATCACCCCCAATTTGAAACACTGTTAGGACACAGATGCAGAGATAGATACTCACAATGCAATATTTCCCGCGGACCCAGTCCCTACACCAAGACCAGCTTTGCTGTTTGTGTTGTTGGCTCGCGACGTATCTGCGCAATCTGTAATTGCTGTTTTATCGGCAGCACTAAGCTTGGATGCGTTTGCTCCACCGGTTCCAAGCTTGGCTATTGCAGCCATAGCTGCGGCCGGTATAGTGAGAGAGCTCTGGGACTTGGCGCCTGCGAGGACGGTCGCAATGTTTGTTGTGCTTAAGACCGAGGCTTGCGCGGATGCAAATACGCAAAGGAGGAGGAAGGGAGTGTATGAATACATGTTTATGCTTGTGCATGCGGTTGGGATGATTTTATAGAGAGTTGAATAGAGCGGGAGTGCCGGTGGATAATCGTAAAAAATGATAGCTGCCAGCGCCGAGAGAAAGAAAGTATTGACCAAGAGAGAAGATGAAGGGACCAAGAAAGAAAGATTTATAAAATATTGCATGAAATGGTCTAGACCATGTATGCTAAAGGTGCGCGGCTGTAGTTGCTTGCACTGCTTCATCATATGATACGCGTAGAATCGCTGTAGATGCCTAAGCGAAGGGTGAAGAGTATCAAAATCATCCCAAATCGGGTTGGTTCGTCTGATCTTTAGAATTGCGGAATTCACAATAAGCGACAAACCCGAATGAGGGGTTCAGTAGTCGGGTTTGAAACTTGCGGGTAAAGAGCGAGGAAACCCGTGTTTCGTGTCGCATATGTTTCTAAGTTGCACTAACTGAAAACATAATTACAAGATACAGCGGAAAACAGCAGTATGCGACGTTTCGATTAGGGTAAAGGACGAGAATAAATTGAATGAGCAAACGATTCTAATGGGTTTCCACAAAAGGCGATGGTTTCTAGATCCAATATTGAAGACCTATGAAGTTATTCATATTGGATAGAAACTGATGGTTACTCCAATTGAAACAGGAAAAAGGATACTAGATAAACATAGACGGAATGTAGACACCCTGGAAAGGCTTGCTCTGAAATGGTTGACCGTGCAACCACACGGTATTATTCATTATATCGTTGCTAAGGTTGTGGCATATCTCCCCTGGAATAAGGCCACGGTCTTTGGGGAAGCAGACATGGACCGAATATGAGGGATGCTAGATCTACCATCTTCTATAGACGTTCGACCCATGGAGTAATGAGGAAGAACGCATATGCTCAGATGGACTGTATTGATTCCCAAGGAATTCACAATGCCAGTCAGGTGTCGGAAAAAAGTGTTTCATTCGGGCTGTAACTGTAAAGCGAATCCGGAACACCATTAAATGCCCATTCTAAGCTGCTAGACCCTCCAACGCCATCATTATTCATTTCTCAATCACGCCGGACGTTTATTACGCTGGAGATAGATCAGCAATAGCACCGCGTTACTAGAATTGGGGACTCACTGTCTAGATAGTCTGCCGCCATCAACAGCTCCAGGCACAGTTCTGGAGGGATATCCATGTCGGGGACATCCTCCCTGTCTCGGTTCTTGTAGTGATAGCAAAAGTATTCCGCAACCTTTTCAAGGACGATACCACTATTGAACAAGCAGGTTAGTGGGTGTCTGCTTGAAAGAAAACATGCACGCGGTAGGACCAAGAGTGGGATGCTCCAAGGCGATTCTAGAAAGCGACATCTGCAAAAAGCGCGTTGAATTTCGCCATGGATGCCGCTCCCAACAACTGCGCGTACAAGGGAGCTGCATAACGAGCGATGGAAAGACAAGAACCAGGCCTCAGATCAAGTGTATAGGCGTCACCCAGCGTCACTGCTTCACTCCGTGGAGAGAGAGGGTCTGTCCGCACATGCTTTGATATAATCATCGACTGCGATGATTCCTGCCCTTTCAACACCCACTGTTGCAGCCCTCCAACACGGTTCGGTAGATCGATAGGTAGGAAATAGTATGGAGGACGTACTTAATCTCTGCAAAGGTGCATCTTCCAGTTCTGGCCTCAGAGAATGCACCTACATATCGGTTCCTGTGTCAGTAATATTGCCTAAAAAACCTAGGTGATATGCAGATGCAAGTGTCCTCACTTTTAGGATCAAGCATTCTTTTTATGGCGCCGCTGATACAAGCAGCTTCGCGCAAGACGACGAACTCAAATCCGTCACTACTAACAAGGGTTACATACTTGCTCAGGCCCTGGTCCTGATTTGAAGTCGCCATTGTTGGATGGTGGTGTTGGTGTTTGTCTTTGAGATCAACGGTAAACGCGACATTTTTCTCACCGTGTCAACGGGGCAGACGGCTTAGGTAACGAGGTGTTTAGGCGAATATCACGTGACCAAAATCACGTGCTGGGGCAGCATGAGCTAAAATCAAAAAGCGTCATCGTGGCTCACGGATGCACGTTCCACGCCCCTCCCGAGCAGCTGGGACGAAAAGCATGTCAGCGGCTTACCTACATCTATCTGTACGACGTCCCAGGCACTCTGGAAGAGCTTCTCGGTTTGACGACATGCAATGATTCAACCTTCATCAACTCCAACTGTTCCCCTCGAGGGCCGTTCACGGCTTTCACTGATGTTTCTGTAATCTTTGATGCATCCGAATACGCGTCCGAATACGACGGAATGGCCGCTAAGTTTTGTTCCATCTTTCTTTGCCTCCTTTACCTCGTAGTCTTCGCGGGCCGCGGTTGTCCGGGTCCGACCTATTCCCAGCATTCATTAACGGATAGCTGGTGGCCCGCAAAAGTCGGCATAACATAGCATGAGCTCCAATTATTAATATAAGCAAAGTCCATGAATCGTGCGTCGTCTACGGTCTACGGTGCAATCTCAATCTCAATTTGCCAGGCTCTTGACATTCGGCGCTTTCGGACAATGCGCTTCGACGACCCGTGCGAGTACGACGGCCCAGTAAGTTTCGCCAGTGGGGCTTGATTGATCAGATAAATCATAAACTAAACTCTTTTCCGTAGGGTTTGAGGTGAGAGAGCTTCGGATATGGCACAAAACATGGCCGATCTCAAGCCTAAGCCAACCGCCAAAGCCACCCGTCCAATCCTCGCGGCCCCGACCCTTGACTTGGCTCGTCTAGTAACTATAATGATCCTGTGCCTCGTTCTCCGCCAGCGACATACTTTACCTTCGTACTGGTCACTCAGCGTAGCTCATGCCTCGCATAGCATCGCCAAGTCAAGGCGTTCGGTGCTAAAGCCCACGCTGCGTAGCATATCGTGCCCCGTCGGCTTGGCCAGCGGGTTTCTCTCCAACGACAAGTCGTCAATATTGGATCTTGATCCACCACACCCATAGCACCTGCCGCGCGGCGAGATGCGGTGGCTTGTGACTTCCTGCCATATCAGGCTTCCGGTCTGATTTTCCCTCTCCGGTGGGACTGAGAGTTTGGCATCTGGACAGAAACCCGCGATGGCCGCATATTACCTGACGTAAGGTTTCTACGTCTATCATGCCGAGGCTTTAGCTGGTACATATCTTACGCTATTACCTTTCGCATTGAATCAAGGGAGTATGTTTTTATCGCATCCTTCTCTCTCTCTCAAATGGTATCGAAAGGCATAGGCTCGTCCTCACTGCTGCTCTTACTCTCGTTGCGTGTTGGTTGTTGCAACCATGGTCAAGGTTGCTTCCTGCGTCGTTGTGCGCTTTTTCGTTCATATATACAGGACCTTACTCAATAGGTACGATGGATGATCTCTGATACCCAGGGGCCTCACCGTTCTACCGTCCTGCGATAACCTCTAGGTGCTAACACGGAGGAAACGCAGGCATTCGTTGTTTGGCTTGCTCAAACATGTATTAATTAACATGATATTTATCCTCGTGTGGATTACGACTTTTAAGAACGGTATGTGGCTGTGTGCCATTGGTATTTATTGGAATGGTTTCTAAACCCCTTGCAGCATATCGGATAGACGCCGCCATTCGACCGAGAATCCGAGTTAACTGGCTCGAGCAAGCGGACCATAAAATATTCGACATCACTTTCTTTGGCATTGTGACACAATGTCTTCTCGCGGTCCTTGGGTACGGCTGGGTGTATGCGTTTACAAGGCGATCGAAACTCGCAATCTTTGCGGCACTGCCATCTTTTCTCCTTAATATCCTCTATCTTGGGACACATAACCTTTCCGCTGCCCTTGATGTTTTTGTAGGTTACATACCCGGATTTATAGGGCTTGCGGCTAATTTGTTAGACGTGGCTTTCCTACGGTGTTCTGCATTTCCTGTCCCCGTTCCTCGCAGCGTTCTGGCTCTGGCTATTCGCCCCGCCAGGTGTCGTGTCTATTTTCGCATGGTCCTTCGGCATCCAAAACTGTCTAGGAATAATTACGCACCTTTCTTTCCCTACAGCGGCTCCATGGTATGGTGATCAGTACGGGTATCCTCTCCCCCCGGGGAACTAGTAAGTACAATTAGACTCCTTAACTTGCGACGATCACTATTACTATTTGGCCATGCTAAAGATGATGGAATAAAGGGCCTGCAATGCCACATATCGAGGGGGTGATTCTGGGGCACAAGGGAAGCGGGCTTCAAGGGCTCCAAACTTCCCAAGTTGATGGGGACCCGTTTCCTGTTGCGCTTAGGCACTTCTTACGCCATTTCTCCTAAGATCCTAAATCACTTCTTTTATGTAGGGCGTTGTAGGGGATTGTATTGAAATGGATCAGCCCTCAAATAAATATACCATGCTAACATTTTTGGTCGCACAGTTCTATGCCAGGTTCTGCAGCGGGCCTCGTCCGAGTCGACAAAGTCCTAGGAACTCATATATACCAAAATGCCTTCAAGGCCTCCCCACTCGTTTTCGGCGCTTTTCCTTCTCTTCACGGCGCATTCAGCTGTTGCTGCTTTTTCTTCATCGCTCGATATTCCCGCAAAGGCGCTTTCATGCTCGGATTCTACGTCCTGTGGCAGTGGTTCTCGACTATATACCTACGGCATCATTGGCGCATTGATCTCTTAAGTGGGCTCATATATTCAGCATTTGCGTTTTCGATATTCTACCGGAGTTTGGTACGCATGGATAAGATGTATGCCGCTGGATTTTCCGGCGACAATGGATGGCAACGGTTATTTGCGGGTACGAGGTTACAACGTGTGTTTGATGGGAATCTTGAGGCGGAGTATAGCATTGTCATGGAGTCGCGTCTTGATAGAGAGAGCTTGGATGGGGTTGAGGTGGATGATGGCAGGGAGCAGGATCTGGAGTCTGCATGGTTAACTGGCGCTTCACAACAGGGATATAAGTCTAAGGCTTTTGATTAGTCCTATATCCTTGAAAGAATATGTTTAAAACTAGAAAGGCGAACGATCTTCTGGATGATCTCGTCCCCGCAATTCGGACTTAAACGATAATCAAAGTCCATTACTTCAAAGCTGATGTTGTTTTTCATTGGTCGCCTAAACCAAGCTTTTATTCAGTCCCTTTTGCTCAGATACCTCAGCCTTATATGGCTAGCCATACTTTAATATACCATTTAATTTGAAATTTACTCCCAAATATAAATGGTTGAAGCTTAATATCACGTGATATGCAACCAGAAGTTTGGTGGAGGACCGTGCTCTTACCTATATATCTTCCTTTTGTATTTCTACAACCGTTATCAAACCATGTCAAATAATCGATCCAGACAAGCAACATGCGTATCTTTTGCCCACGAACTGTCCGTCAGTTACCGAAAATAGTCTCTAGTTGCCCACACTCTCCACATACCTTTCTCCGAATCCGTGCTAAGCCCCAGCACTATCGTCCAGTATCAACATCAGCATCAACAAATCTCAACTCCGATCCCATCTGTAAAGGCAAAGTAGGCGCGAGCTCCCTAGCAGGCAAAAAGTGTCTTGTCACAGGCGCATCACGTGGCATTGGGAAGGCCATCGCGGAGCGGTTCGCGAAACAGGGGGCGCGCTGCGTGTTAGTGGGGAGGAGTCACGCTACCTTGGAAGGCGTGAGAGGGGAATTAGAATGCTTTGACGGAAAGAGCCATGATATTGTTGTTGGGGACGTTGGGGATGCTAAATTTTGGGAAGGGTTTAGGAGAGTGGTGAGTTTTAGTTTACTTTTCGTTTTATTTCTTAGGCTCGCCATTTTTGCTAGGGAGTTGGAGATGTTTGGAGTGTAGAATGGGGATTTATATATTCCTGTTATAGAGGAGGGAAACTGTCTTATGGATAAGGAATGCAAAAGTAGAGGAACTGACGAGGCGCAGAGGGACATAGATATTCTTGTCAACGCCGCAGGAGTAACGCACCACTCCCCTTGCGTTCTCACTTCAGAAAATGTTATAGAGGAAGTCTTGAGGACGAATTTACTAGGCACTATGCTAGGTTGTCGGACTGTGGGAAAGGGGATGATGGCTAATCGCGACGGTAAGTGTTCACTACTTCTAGGACCCCGATGCAAGGTACTGGCAGATGCTTGAGGTGCCTGTTCTTTGGGAAAGGGCTATAAAATTTAGCTTGATACTAGGAAGGCTAATTGGAGTGTAGGATGTATTATCAATGTGGCCTCACTGCTAGGGTTGAAGGGCGGACGCGGAAGCGCTGCTTATGTCGCAAGCAAAGCAGGTGTGATAGGTTAGTCCACAGTCCCTTATACCATTCTCAGAGATCTAATCTATCCCAGGGTTCACCCGTGCATTAGCAGCAGAGTTGGGTGAGAAGCAAGTCCGGGTTAATGTCATCTTGCCTGGGTATATCGAGACAGACATGACCGCAGGTACGTGCATCTCTTTTTAAAGGATTATATTTTGGATGGACTTTGCGTCCTAGGACCCCTTCTTATCCCCGGAATTCTTCTAATATACAAAGTACAGGCATGGCGCCTGAAGCGCGCTCTGCGGCATTGAACGCCATACCTTTGAAGCATTTTGGACAAGCTTCGGATATTGCCGATGCTGCCGAGTTTCTCGCAACAAATAAATACGCAAACAATTGTGTTCTGAATCTTGACGGGGGGTTGAGTGCTACCTGATGGCGTATACTTCATTTCCCAATTCGGTATGCGTTGTCTTGGATTGTGCTTGGATCGCAATGCCAAGGGGAAGGTTATTATCATAAAGAGTGATCAATCATCATCGATAACAATGGCACCATCACCGGAGTCTTCGACGACTATAGCGCCATCTGTAGGAGCGCCGTTGGGGTGCGTCTTTGCTCGCTTTGGCGGATGCTCAAGGTCCTCAACCTCAGAAATCGATCTCTTCCTCCCAGGGGGGTCGCTCCTAACAGCTGCCGTTCCATTACCGTTCGCCGCAATGGTGTCCGTGCCCTCTGCCCTGTGTCCATTGGGCTGTTGTGCAGGTTTCTTTCTTCTTGGAATAGGGGAAACAGGCTCATCGCCTGATGGTGCTGGGGGGAAATCTACCCCTTTTATAGGCTTCTCGTCTGACGCCGTACTGGTAGCGCTCGATTAGCCACGTGGAGTCTTCAATTTACACGCCTAGAGCACTTACGATTCTTGTACGTTGAGCACTAAATTAACTCTTGGGTTCTCGTCATCTTCATCGATGATTGTCAAAAAGCTATCGGGTTTGATTCCTGTAATATAGATTAGCACATCATAGGTTGAAATAATAGTAATAAACGTACCGAGTTCATCGAGTTTCTTTGCTAGGTTGTCTATTTCTTCAACATCGTATAATAGGTCATCCCCGTGGTTTACCACAATCTCATCTCCATAACCCAGCTCCAGACGCAGGAAATTTTCAACAAGATCGCCAAGAGTGGCTCGTGACATATCGACCATGACTTGAGCTTGTGCCACGCTACATACTGGGCAATCTGGGTTTGGAGGCCGGAACCTATCGGAAGATATGAGTCGCTGTGACGCGAACGGCGAGAGAAATATCTAGGATAGTCAGAATAACCTGTTGGTGTATTGTGCGTGTGCGATGTTTTCGCAAGCTTTGGATGAATGGTTACTCACTTCCTTCGTACTTGAAAAATCTCCCCGAAGGACTTTAAAGGACTGGAGTACACAAAGCCCAGCTACGATTGCATTGGTGGTTGCAATAGCAGGAATGATGTTCCCAGCCATTTGTTTGACATCGAATCGAGACTTGCTCTCAATGCCGAATACGATCGACCGCAAATTTGCGCTTGCTGTTACGAAATCCAGAGTGTCTTCGTCGTCTTTGTCAAAGGTGATTATTGGCTCCGCGGAATTACCATCTACAGCAGATTTCATATCTGACCATCTTCTGCTTAGACGTTCCAGGCTGAGGGTATCAGCTGACATTCTAACAAGAGCAGAATTTGCTTACCTGTCCTTAAAGACTATGGCATTCTCTTCCAGATTCCAAATCCGCTGACCGGCCTTGAGTATTTGTTCTTTTCTTGTTTCCACATCGACTGCAGGCTCGATAATTTTAGCATAACTCAGCGACTGTGGCGGCCGCCGGCTCTTCCACATCTCCTCCATTGATCGCAGACGATTGATGTCGTCCTGGTAGACTTTATCAAATAGTAGCTGTGGGAATGATGGTGTGCCCATAGCTTGTTTAATATTCTTTAACGCCTGTGATTCTTGACGCAATTTTTCAATCTCCTTGGCTATGTGCGAAGGGGTTAGCGGTAGGTAATACAGAAAGGTTCGAATCTCAGGAATATGGACGTACCATTTTCAGAATCCTCTGAATGATCCATCTCTGCCGACTCATCCTCGCTCGCTCCAAAGACCTCACTGGTAATAATTTAGCGTCATAAACGGAGGCGGAAGGCTAAAGCACACTGACCTGAGCAGGTAACTCTTCCCCCAGACAATGCAGTGGATGGGCTGGCTTGGCGTACTCCTGATCGTGCAAACAGGAAAGCTTTTGGGCGTTTCTTTGGGGCTGCAATCATAGCAGGCTGTGACTCCCTTCTTGATAACTTGGACCTGGCCGTTGAACCCGGTGGTACCGCTCTCAATGAGAGGAACATTCGCAGCCAGGCACATCTTGTTCACATGTCTTCTTGCATCCAAATTGTCCAACGCGTTAAAGACCATTGTGAATCCCCTAAACCAGCTGACGTTGAACTCGGCATCCTTGATGTTGGCATGGTGAGCCACCAGCTTCACATTTGGATTGAAGGCATGTGCTGCCTCCTTTGCTACCTGTAGTCCACATGTCAGTCCATCCTATTATTCCATGCCTTCCGCCAGCTAAACCAACCAAAGCTTTCGATTTCTTGATATGCTCGTGTCTGAAGAGGAACTGTCGGTTTAGGTTGCTCAAGTCGATCGTATCGAGGTCCACGATATGAATCTCTCCAAACCCAGTGAGAACGAGGTTCTTGAGGAGTTCGCATCCGATGCCTCCGGCGCCCACCATCAATATCCGTGCCTAAAGATCCCGTTAGCCCTGGCGCGCTCAAGTTCACATTCGCAAGTTTTTGAGCAAGCCGTTGGCGCATCATCGATGTCTAGGATGTACACAAAATACACCAAAAGCTCTGGCGCAACAGCGCAAACAGTAGAATATTTCGGGTTATCCAAATCCCAAGGATTGACGCGCAAGATCCCCTTCAGACAGCAGGATGTGTGAAAGTTGAAGCCTACCTCCTTCACCATGGTGTTGGTTGGAGAACCCAGTGATTGGCGATTGAACTGATCGTGTGACATGGCTTGGACCATGGTTTTGAAAATGGCGATCCGGCCAGAAAGGTGAAATGAAAAAGGAAAAGAATTGAAGCGTGGAGCTGGTGGTTGAGGCTTCGTCGCGGCGGAACGGGTTGGTGCTTGACGAGGCTTGAAAGGAACGCGCGCAAGCATACAGTATGGCGCTGAGTCGCGATACGCAGCTGAACTTTGCTTATCGGCCTGGGCGCCTGCACCTGCAACACCACGGTCCGTGCTTCCCGTTGATTAGTACGTAAAGTTCGTCTTTTGAAGACCACAACCACAACCACAGATATGATTGATTTTTTATATTTGAACGGATCCAATTTCAATTTCAATTTCAATTTCCATTACTAGGGGTACTCTGCTGGGTCTGTTATGGAGTTGGCTTGACGCTTTCTATTCCCTATTCTCATACTACCTAAATGCATTAGGGCCTGCGCGCTGAGGTAGCTTTATCACAATGTCTGATGATGAAGCGGATCCCGAGCTTCTTGACTTCCTCCGCCAGCACTTTCAGAAGTCTTCTCTTGCACCTCCAATACCAGAGACGCACGTTCTAGAGGATGCCGAGTATATTTATGACAACGCCATCGATGTGGCACTGGATTCCCAGGCCACCAGCGCAGCTGCTGCCATGATATACGACCAAATGCAGAAAAAGGGATACTCCACCAAAACATGGGCATCGCATGATTTTCACCCTCAGGCCAAAGACGAGACCACAGTTGATTTTATCTTTACTTTGGATCTTTTGAATTTTTCATTCTGGTCAGAGCGGGAAGCTGAGGAACGCTTTGCAATCGAGTACAAGGGCAAGACATGGACTGGATATAAAAGCTTAGTCGCTGCATTGCAGCGAGCACTTGATGAGGGTTCGTTGGCCAGAAACTATTGCTGTAGAAGTTGCCCAATGTTAATCCTAGGCGTTTGCAGACATTCCGATTACTTCCTCGGACTTTTGGCAAAATGAAAATGAGTGTACCGAAGAGGTTTTGAGGCATGTCTTTAGGAGTGCTACCGATGAAGAGATCCCTCTGTTTGATGAGCGGGTGAAGTGCTTGCGAGAAGCAGGCCAAGTACTATACGAAGTGGGAATCCCCCCGTTTGCTCATGCCTCATCACTGATGTTTCCCTACAGAAATACCAATGCAGCTTCACGAAATGCATTGAAGCTGCCAACCGCTCCGCACCGGCCTTGGTCAACTTGCTCGCAGCTGATTTTCCCTGCTTCAATGATGTTGCCTTATACGATAACCGGAAAACCGTGAGGTTCCTCAAACGGGCCCAGATTTGTGTTGCGGATATCTGGGCCGCATTCGATGGTGAGGGCTATGGGCAGTTTGACGATATTGACAAGATTACCATCTTTGCAGACTACAGAGTTCCACAGATCTTAAATGCCCTGGGTTGTCTATGGTACAGTCCACGTCTCCAGAGTACAATCGTTCAGAAGCGGGTCATTGAGAGTGGCGATTCGTGGGAGCTTCAGCTGAGAGGTCCGTTTGCTAGTGACGCCCGCTAAATGACTGTGTTGTGCTGACGATTCGCAGGCTGTACTATCTGGTGCGCTGAGTTGATCCGGAGGGAAATCATGAGGAAACACCCGTCTGCAAAAATCAATGCTATCCTGATTGATTTCTTTCTTTATGATACTATGAAAGATCGAGAGGCATCTGGGGATGAAGAAATCCCTCATCATAGGACCCGAAGTATATGGTACTGAAATAGCACAATGGTTTATTTATATTTACTACTCTTGAGTCTTGTGGGTTGGGCATCACTGGTCATTCGAATAGGCGTGGCTTGATATATATTTTCACTCTAATTGGTGTGATTTCGTAATCTACGGAGGAGGCCATCTATAAAACAGAAAGCCCCACACTAATCTCTGATCCCATGCCCATGTGACTGATAACTCCAGAAGGCAAGGCACGCTGCATGCTTCGATGCTCATAATATATACATTGACATAAGGGTGCCGCTTCGCGATAACAATTGTCATGTTCCACTCCCATTTTGGGACTTTTGACAAGAGCGGGTTCAACCACAGCGGCACTTGATAAGGGTGGATTGTGCACCAACTCTATGTCACTCACACTCTCTAACCATATAGCATAAGATCCTCCCCAAAAGGCAAACATTCTTTTTGTCAGCTCAGCTGTAGTGCTGTTTGCAGCTGTGCATGTTGGAATTTATCCGGGAAAAGAGCCAACTGGATTTGCATTCCGCTCGCATTTGAGTTTGTAACTCGTATACGGCGAAAGGTATATTTGGGTTCCGGTTTAGATATAATTCGATTGTAGTTGCGATTCGACGAAACAGATTCTTCTAGAGCCGACTGGATTTTCATTCCGCTCTCGTTTGAGTCTGGAACTCTCATACGGCGAAAGGCATATTTAGATTCCGGTTTAGTAGTATTTCGATTGTAGTTGCGATTCGACGAAACAGATACTTCTACAGCAGCGGCTCTACTCGTCTTGTCTGCTAACCTAATCTTAATAGCCGATGCCCTGATGGACTGACATTCTGCACTATTCTTTAGATTCATGGAAGCGGCCATTTCCTCAGTTGCGGAGACTCCTCGCAAAATCTCTAAACAGCTCTGGAGGCGTTGCTCAGCAAATTTGTCTGCTTGCCGTTGATCTTTGAACCCGGTAGCCATTAGGTGTTGTGGTCCGTCAAGCGCCAGTCTTATTGTCAGTGTATCGTTTGTAAATTCTACAAGCCGATCTGAGATGGATTCAAGTTCCATCCAGCGCAACATGCTCGGCAATATTTCTTGAAAGGGTGTCGTAGTCATTGGTCGCGGCAAGTTGGAAGACGGGTTGACGCCGCAAAGAGCGAAGAGTCGATAGAGTTTCTGCCGAGTGGCCGGGCCATAGTCCATGATTGAAGAGAGGGTCCCATCTGCCCAGCATGACAAAACGGTGCTCAGGAGCTTTAGTCCTGACCTATAATCCAATTGACGAATGCATTCTTCGATAATGTGAATCATAGTCTGGGAATAAATTATCTGGCCCTCGCGAAGGGCAGCACGTACAGCACGTACTGCTCCTCTGGTACCATCCCACATCAGCCAGCCTCGAATAAGCAACTCAAAAATAGCAGGCGTTCGGTTCATTTTTTCGTGCAGATGGGCACCCCGGTGAATGACCTTATTATTCAGTGCCCAGGCACGTATATCCTTGCTTCTGGATAATTCGAAGATGTTCTTTCTCTTTATATGCATGTCCCCCTCAACAGCACGCATCCGCTTAATGATGGTCCGAAAGCCGTCCAAATCATTCCTTTCAATGTAGTACTCGAGCAGGAATTTGGCCGTTTCCTCATTGGCTTTCAACACGGTATCATTAAAAAATGAGTCTGCCACAACCTGGGTAAGATGGTCCTGTTGTAATAGAGAGAACTTTCTCATTAAGTAGTTGTATGTTCCAGTACCAGGTGGAACAGGGGAAAGAAGTAAATTGTAACATATTTTGCCAACCAGCATGTTGAGGTTCGGGGGGCTTGATGATTCTTCATCAAATACTCTTTTCAGAGCATCATGCAACTCTCCAAGCCGTTCTGAAGACTGATGCCGGTAAAACGTGGGAAATGGAGCAAAGGACGTCCTTATTCCTTGCAGCCGACTGGCAACCTCAGCCAGTTCCTTATCTTCCGACGATATGGCAGTCCGTTCGACGTAGGCAAGATCGGTCAGAAGCAATAGATTGTCGACAAGTTTTCGAGTTGAATTTTGCAGTTGCCCTAAATGATCTTTTCTCCTCGAGTAACGAGGAGCGAATTTTTTTGGACCAATTGGCCGGCGTACACCTGCTGATACTTCATTCGATTCAGAAATGACACCTTCCAGAGTGTCCAGTCCACTAGATGCCATCCCCGAGGGTATACATGGTACATTTGGGGCATTTCGGTGGAACAGGCTAGAAGCCGACGAGAAGGTCTCGGATTTACCAAGACTTACTCCATTGTCACCGGCTGGTGGCCGAATGTCTTGAATTCGTGTATTGGCGGTAATAGATTCTGCTTTTAGATTTGGTTGCGTAGGTGGGCTCGAATCATTGTCCGGAATTCCGGCTTTGACATTGGTGATCGCGACATCCCATTCCTTTCTCCTGTCCTCTTTTATTCTCGCATCAACAAAGGCGGCAGTGCCCAGAATCGTCGAGAAACTCGCTGTGAATAGATCTCCGGCCGCGACTCTGCGTTTGGTGGCTGCGGTGGTGGATCGACGAGCAAGAGCTGTTGCACTGTGGACGCAGGAATAACATTGACAGGATAGTTTGGCCTGCACGGTGCGAGACCAAAGTACCTGCATCGTCAACTTATGCTAGAAACAAAGGCTTCTTTTGGTATGGCTGAATTGAAGCTGCTAAATCGCCATCAGCTCAGAATGTGCAATTGAGGTTGTTGACGTATTGTTTCGAGGTAGTTGGATGTTGTCGTGAGCTCGGTTCAAGATCGAACGATCGAGGGACGGGAGTGTGACCCCAGCTTCTTAGGGCTGCCGCTTTACGCTTTACGACAGCGATTTCCTGTGAACTTTCTCAATGCCCCACCAACACCATACAAGCTTCCGTGAAAACAAGAAAAGACTATAAGTTAAAAAAACTGCCACAATGCTAACGCTTACTCTTACTGCGGATCTGACGGGGTTTGTGATAGTACTGAACTCGTTTTTGAGCCCTTGCTAAGGAGTTGTTATAGCGTGACAGAGTTGAGGCCAGATGATACGCCAGAAGGTCCGTTCTGGTACACTTTCAAAGTTCAATGCACTTCTTGCCGGGAGATCCATCCGAACTATGTGGGCGTTAGCCGTTTTGTGAGTAAGATGGGGGAATACTCTTCACTTATTTCTGTCGACTAACACTGTGATAGGAAGCAAATGATATGAGTGGTAGTCGCGGAGAAGCCAACTTTGTCTGGAAGTGCAAATCTTGCAAGGTACCAATCTTCTCACATACTCAAGATGTAGCATCGACTAATTCATCAAAGAGGGAGTCATCTGCAACCATCAAAGCGGCTCCAATTGCCTATCAGCAGACCTCCCCGCCTACTCGCCAGAAAATCATTGAATTTGACTGCCGAGGGCTGGAATTTACGGAATTTAAACCTGAAGTAAGGAAGAGATGTGTCAAAGGCACTTGGCTTGCTAACAAGGATTCTAGGGAGACTGGTTGGCAACAGGCATTGAGTCGGGAAGTAAATTCACAGCCATCGACCTCACCGAAGGAGAATGGTTTGATTATGACGAGAAGGCCGGGGACGAGGTCAGCATAAAGGACCTGAAGTGGGAAATCAGAAAGGCCTGAAGGCAAGTAGGACAACGCGGGTAATGATAATCGTCCTGATCGTAGCAGCTACGCAAGTAAATTCTCGAGTCCGTTGATGAAGGTGAATAAATGTTACTGAACGCATGGGCCATTAATCCTTGAAATGTTCTGTAAAGCCTCCGATACGTTTGGAGTAGCCAGCTATTTCGTTCCATCTCTTAGCCATAAAATCATACATACTATTCTATAATTGTAATTGAATTCGTAATTATCATGTGGTAGTCTGTAGCCTCGTCAAGACGGCCCACCAAAATCCCAGCCTTGCCATCTCGTTAAGCGGGAAAACCCATTCAAAAGCAGCGCCAACCTCCATCGCAGCCTCAAGATTTCGAGCTCAAGACGCCTACGCACAAAATAACCACTCCCGTCGCCGGAAACAGCCTGTTTCCAAACGCCAAAATGAGTGTAAGCACCCTAAGCTGGGACGGAGTCTTTTGGATATTATAACGCTAACATGCTGCTGTAGTTCATGCCCATCAACCCGCGGCCGATGCTGCAAAATCTGTACGTCCCGAGCTCCATCCTGATGGAACAGCCCTGCTTATCCACCTATCTTTCGTTATGCGCAGAGTCTGATCGAGATAATATAGGGTTAATGAGGAGGTTATCATCCGTCTTAAATGGGGGCAAACCGAGTACAAAGGCCGACTTGTGAGCATCGATAGCTACATGAACATCCAGTTGTCGGGCGCAGAGGAATGGATCGACCAGGAAATGACAAGTGTGTTGGGCCAAGTTCTGATAAGGTATGTCTAAAATATGTGCACGCCGTCTGGGGGAAAATGTGCCTGAAGTTGGTTCGTGGAAACTGGATGGGAGTGGGGGAATGATGCGCAAAACCTGTTTAGATATTTTACTGATAATGGTTCTAGGTGCAATAACGTTTTATGGATCCAAGGAGCGAACCAGAGTAGTAACGGGGACACAAAGATGGAAGGATGATGGGAAGTGGGAGTGGTGGATTAAAACTCGAGGAGAGTGCTGCTTGGGCCGTCTTGCACCTCAGGAACACGAGGTAGATAGTTGGGGACGTGATCCTCGCAGGGAAGCCCTAAGTTTACTGGAATATCAACTGGAACGGCGTTAAGAAGCAATGGCACTTGCTGAGGCATGGTCAATAAGTTTTTTATCCATATATTTGGCATTATCGTCCACATTGGGTCGAGCCTATAAAGATGCGGTCACACTCGCGGTCACCCGGCGCGGGTGCCTAATATCATGCCTTGTGCTCTTAGAAGACCATCCAGAAGGCTTCATCACATAAGGCATCCTACTTTTCTGCTATTTCCAACCTCACTCATTCCCAATCTCATTCTCTTGTCTGGCCCGACCATTACGAATGCCTCCACTGTCCATTCGTACCACACCTTCCTGTCATCAGTCTGCCTCCAAATACTGACTTCCAGTTCCGAATCATCAGGGAAATAAAGAGGTGTCTACCAACAATGGTTAGTATGTACCGTCGATGGGAAAATCATTATTATTACGTACCTTGAGGGGAAAGTAGATTGGGAACCAAGAGATCATATCTTTGCTTTTAGCATCAATAGTATCAGGCCTTGTACTCAATTCAACTTGCCCTTGCTCTCCACCATCGTAGAGAACAGCTTCGAAGTATCCTGCCAAACCATTTACTACACCCCGGTCTCTACACACGAATTTTAGCTTGGAATAACGACTGTTGTGTTCATTCGCGCCGTCACCTCCTGACATGCTTCCGCCGCCTCCTCCGCTGACTCCACCCCTTCTTCTAGCTTCTGCAATGGCGAGCGTACTTGCTGGAAGAGGATGGACAAACTCCCACACCTGTTGAATGCGGGGATGATCAGGCACAGGACTTGCGAGGTAGTCGATCGCGTGTAGCATGACGACATAAGGCGTTTCCGTGGCGGTGGGGTCGCTCTCTGCTCGATGGGAAATATCGGCATGTAGGCGCGGAGAGAGGATTGGGGTGAGATGGGCGGTGTAGGAGCTTGGTATAGAAATACCGAACTCGGGCGCGAGTACATGTTGAACACCATCCAGACATTCCGGCGAAAGCTCGTTATCGGCAAATGAACCAAGGAGTTCCGAAACAAGGATATCGACTTTACCGTGCGAAGACGATGCCATGCTCGAGGCGTTGGCGATTGCCTGCCCTATTACAGCTTTATGGTTGTGATGTGGCCCTGCCCAGGCGCGCATATCGCTCTTGACCACATTGACCACTCCACCCCAGTCCTCTTCGTTATGTTTCTGAAGAAGCACATATGCATTTGGATTTTTTTCGACGGCCCAGACTTCAACAGGGACCCCCGTAGTTTGACTTGCTCTCAGAGCCCGTGTAACCAAGGGGCCCCGCCCGGAGCCAGCAACAGCAATCACTACCGCACTAGATAGACTTGAGGTTGGCTTGTTCTGCCGAGCCCAGTCGGAAAGTGCTTGTGCAATTGCACGTTCATACCAGTCATATTTTACTGGGTCTTTTTCGAAGACCTCATATGTAACAGACTCCAGGTTATCAGTCAACGGTTGAAGGGGAGCTTGAAGATAATCTTGATAGCCCATTCCGAACCTCTCAATAGCGGATTTAGGCGGTTGATTTCTTTGGAGGTATCTCATGTAGATCAGATGTGCTGCAGGGTCCTTCAACTTAGGCTTCGGTTTATTGGGATCTTTCAACGAAAATTCCGTAGATTCCGCAGGAGTTGGCGAGGCTGAAACTGATCTAGATGCATCTGCTACGGCGCTAGGAGATGGAAAGCCATCAGCAACGTCTGTAAGCTGCGTTGAACTGTCTAGACCAGGAATAGGCCCAACATCGGAGAGCAAAAACCAGGGAGTTTGTTTTAATCGCATGTATCTCGATATAAGGTTCTGATGACTCTTACTCAAAACTGGGTGGCCACCTTTATTTTTAAGAAATGTGGATGCTGAAAATGACAACAGCCGTAAAGGCTCTGCAAACCAGCGAGACTGTAGTGCATCAACCGGAAGTTGGCGGGGGATTCCAAGAGCTACATTCAAATTATTAGCTAGCGGTTCCTGTCGGGCAAGGCTACCTCAACAGAGCGGGAATAATACCTTCAGAGCAGGAACACACTCCGAAGGGTCTCGGCTCTTGCAATCGGGTTTCATCATGCCTAACACCTGCCAATGTTGGAAGACGGGTGGTTGTATTGGTTTCTTACCTACTAAGAGTCTTGAATTGTATTTACATACAGTGCGAATAAAATTCCATGCGTCCCATGTCCCAAACAAGCCAATGTCCGAATTTGCCTTCTGGCTTGCCGTCAAATACTGATCTCTCGCAAATGGTTGCAGGTCGCCTGTCAGATCCTTCGCCTCTTCGTGTCCGTACATGGGCAACTGGATTGCTATCTGGATATAGCAGCCTATAGTGAGCGCTTCCTGTATTACGCGGGCGTACTGGATGAGGCCATTATCTTCTCCAGTTCCCATGCTATAGTTTCTCGGCCCAGATATGATGACATGGCCAACACCGCAAAAGGAAGCATATGCTATTTCGATGTTCAAAACCTGGCGCGAGATGTTGGAGATCAACGGATCGGGAGAGCATAAATCTATCCATGGGCTAGTGTATGCAATAATCTGAGAGAGCGTGTTGGAAGGTGCCAGGGGCGTATCAACTGGATTTAAAGGAGGAATAATTGGAATAGGCGGAAGGCTCTTTGTCGTGAGCTTTCCTGCCGACTCTAGTTGTGAAACTTCGGATAGATAAGACGAGACTAGAGCCAATACCCGTGAATGGAAATGCGGACTAGTTATGGGACTCGTGAGCATATCGTACTAGGGAGTGTAAGCTATTGGCATTGAATGGTATGAGGAGTAGAGCTTACCCCCACATCCTGAGCCTGTCGCAGAGTAAAATCCGTGACAGGCAATGGCCGCCTGGACTCATGATGACCGATGTAGAAAGTAGGAGTAAATTCTTCCACGGTCGATGGAGAATCGGGGCTTGCGCCTGTAGGCTGTTCTAAAGTAGCCATGGCAATAGAAGAAAGCAAACGTCGAAGCAATGGCGGGGACAAGTGGACTGGCGGAAAGCAAAGAAAAAATCGCAATGGAACTCCGGGCTTCAACGTAAATTCTTCTGGATTTCTGCAATGCGAATAGCCATCATAATCATGTTGTGCCTTTTGCGCAATATCTAGGAAGGCAGACGGGCGCACACATGGAGAAACTCTTGTACTTCGTAATCGGTCGTAGCGAGGAAAGGCTCGGATTCGCGGACCCCTGGCTTCGCTTAGTCTGGTTATGTAATCACCCACACAATTCCCTTCCCGAAATTATTCTACACTTTGCGATTGCGACTTAACGACATCGACAACGACAAATTTCTTCGACCAAACTCAGCCAAGATGACGAAGATCAACTCCGGTATGTTTTCCTAATTGATATCCCCGAAAGAGCAACATATCGAACCATTCGATTTTCCAATCGCGCAATACTGACTTTCCATGAAGCCCTCCACTCCTCCCGGAGGAAGTCCCGCAAGGCCCATTTCGAGGCACCCTCCAGCGTCAGGCGGACAATCATGAGCGCACCCTTGAGCAAGGAGCTCCGAGAGAAATATAACGTAGGTGTCGCATCTGAATGTTTACCTTTCTCCCCTAACACCCTATTTGCAGGTTCGCTCGATCCCCATCCGAAAGGACGATGAAGTCCTCGTTGTACGAGGCTCCAACAAAGGCCGCGAGGGAAAGATCACCTCCGTCTACCGCCTCAAGTACGTTGTGCACATCGAGCGTGTTGTCAAGGAGAAGTCATCCGGTCAATCCGTTCCCCTCGGCGTCCACCCCTCGAAAGTCGTCATCACCAAGTTGAAGCTCGATAAGGACCGTGAGAACATCCTTGAGCGCATCAAGACCGGTCGGGAAATCAAGCAGAAACTGAAGGAGAAGGCCAATAAGGCATAAATGGGGTTTGGTCTGGCGTGTTTGGCAGGATTATTCGCACTCGATTGCTGGCAGGCGCTGGCTAGATGTGCTAGACATAGGAATGACTAAATCATTTATGGCCATTTCACATCCTCCGTGCTTGCACGTCTGGTCCACTGTGAAATGATCCATGGGAGGTCCTCCCGAAGCAAAAGTCGCGCCCCCATGCGACATGGTTTGTTTTACTATATTTTGCTTTGGGAGGCCACCCCTCTACTAACTTGACCCATCAGGAAATATCCACTGGTTGGGACTCATTTTATTTTTCTTACTGTCCAAGCGCCGGGTTATGTCCGCGTCAGTCTCCTTCACCGGATCCCATGATTGTCGAGGTAAAAAGATGGCGCAGATGAAAGTTAAAGTCTACTTCTACGGAACCGACTTTTTTTTCGCCTGCAGACTGTCCTCTAGACCTTGGTCTTTGATAGAGAGGGTTTGATGGTGATGGACATGCCCTTTTAACGTTCGTGAGATAGTACGGGTCCGCCTCCAATTAAAAACTCGACAGTTGACCTATGTAACTACCTCGCAATGGTTGTAGGAAGTGGCCCCAAAGAGTTGACATCGACATCTCTCCTTCTAGTTCACTGATCAAATGTTGAGTTGGCAAATATTACGACTTCTCGTGGGTAGTGGAACAGAAAGTGATGATATTTCAGATTATATAATTTAACACTCAATCAACTACATCGGTTCAGAATTTCTCCACATATGGTCGGATGTCTGTATCAACATTAGCACTGTGGTTCCCAGATCGAGCTAGGCTACATACCCAACTCCTGTGTAAAACTTGACCGTGGCTGCGTATGAAGATACCAGTAACTATCCGCAATCTATTCCACAAATTTCAATCAGCCTTTCACTCCCACGGATTTGACCTCGAATACAGGATAACTTACCGCATCAGAATTAATCTTCGCATCCGGCCCCGCATCTTTCAGCCACTCTTTCGTCCTGGGAATATCAATAACCCCATCAATAATAGCATGTGCAACATGCACCCCTTGAGGCCCAAACTCCCTCGCTAGACTCTGCGTCGTAGCTCTCAAAGCGAATTTCCCACTCGCAAACGAAGCCAGCTGGGCCGAGCCGCGAAGTGATGCTGTTGCCCCTGTGACGATTAGGGATGGTGGATGCGGGGACGTAGCAACCGAGTCGAGGAGGAGGGGGAGAACTCCCTGGGAGAAAAGGAAGAACCCTCGTCTGTTAAATGGATTGCAAGTTAGCAAGCTCGAATCTCCAAAACCACTACTACTTATATTTATTCCACTGGGAAGATGGGAGTGAGCATACCCGTTCGCCTGATATCCCGCCTCATACTCCTCCAACGTCATCTCCAAAAATGGCTTCCTCACAAACCCACCCCCAACATTATATACCGCCGCAGCTAACTTCTTCCCCCGAAGCTTCGCCTGTATCTCAGAAAACGCATTGGCTACGGAATGCGGCGAGGAGACATCTGTGGAGATGCCGTAAGCTTGGCCGCCGGAGGCATTGATCTCGTTGACTATCGATTCGAAGTTGGCTGGGCTTCGAGCGAGGAGCACGACCGGGTAGGTTTTGGCGAATTTGAGGGCTACTGAGCGGCCTATGAGAGGTAGCTATGTTAGCCTATTGAATTCAATTCGAGATTTTGGTTTATTGGAGGGGTTTCGGCCATTCATGAGGTCTAGAATTCGACCTGGAGATTCATATAGAAGGTGAGAAGTTCGGTCGATTCTGAAACTCTCATCTCGTGGAATCTCGAAGGATCAAGAAGCAGATTATCCTCTCCATATATTCCTTCTCTCTTACACTTACGGAACTTCTGGAGATTATGGGCTCTTTAATAAAAAGAGTGGCTTACCTGTCCCGGCACCAACCCCAGCAATAATGCTAAAGAAATTATTCGCTGCTGCCATTTCTGCGGATGCTTGTAAGTGATTGCTATGAACTTTCAGCCGTAGAGCAGCTGTAGACATATATATATATATACCTAGACACAGGAAGTATAAAAGGTTGATTAACAATCAATTGAGTCCGGCGCAACCACACTACCCAATGACGTGATGGCCCCATCGCGGGGTGGAATTAGTGAGCCGAAATCGCGATTAGTGAGCGCGCCGTGCCAAGGGAAACCAAACTTTGTGGGGGACGACCGTCTCTCGTATTTTAATCATTCGGGAGGACAGCTTGATTAAGCAAGGCATACTGCATGGAATTATTTCAAGATTTACTTCTTTTGATTGCAATAGATCTACACTTTCTAAAGTGGTTCTGGTTCCAATTTCAATATCATCAAGAATCATACCGCCCAATATCACATGTTATCATGACCATTCATCCACTTTTAGTTCTCTCTCAATCGGCTTACTTCGAGGTGTCGACGACATATCTTCCAGCGATTTTGCCAGCCTCCATCAAGTCATATACACTTTGTAGCTGTGACAAGCCGACAACCTTGTATGGAGCCTTGATAAGACCACGTCGGAAGAACTCGATAGCCTCGGCCGTATCGCGTCTGTTGCCAACGTACGAGCCCTTGATGGTGATCATCTTGATGACAGTCTCGAAAACAGAAGCCTTGAGGAAAGCATTGGCAGGGAGACCGATGGCAACGCATGTGCCGCGAGGTCGGACGTACTATTTCGTAGGTTAGCTCAAAAGTACTTTAGGATCGATTAGGGATGAAGGCGTACTTCTGCAGCCTGCTGGAATGGCTTCTCGCTGACAGCAAGCAAAATAACGGCGTGTGGTCCGAGACCATCCTCCGTATGAGACTTGACCTCGGCGACCAAGTCTTTGGAAGACATGAAATCAACGTAGGCCTTTGCACCAAGCTTCTGGACCAGCTCCTTCTTCTCATTGCCGCCATCAATGGCAATGATATCGAGACCCATGGCCTTTGCATATTGACAAGCCAGAGATCCGAGACCACCTCCAGCACCCACGATTGCGACTGTCTGGCCTGGTCGGATCCCAGATTCCTTCAATCCCTTGTAGACGGTGATACCGGCGCAGAGAACTGGCGCGATAGCCTCGAGACTGCATTCCTTGGGAATGATGGCAACATGTGCGGCCTTGGCGACGCAGTATTGTTGGAAGGTACCGTCAACGGTGTAGCCAGAGAGGAGCGCCTTTGGGCACAGAGGCTCGTCGGCTTGTTGGCAGTAGCTGCATGCAAGGCATGAGCCGTGCAACCACTATCATTCAAATGTTAGCAAGGAACTTGTCACCCAACCTGACCGGGATTTAGGGGGAGGTAGGAATTGATGCCTACCTTGACACCAGCATAATCCCCAACTTTAACATTATCGACGAGTGCTCCGGTCGCGACGATAACACCTGCACCCTCATGTCCGCCAATCAGCGGTATCTTTGTGGCCAACGGCCAGTCGCCCCTCAATGCGTGGAGATCGGTGTGGCAGACGCCAGAGTACTTGATATTGACGAGAACCTCATCTGGGCCAGGCTCCCGAACTGGAACCTTCTTGTAGGTAACAGCTAGAACCAGTTAGCTCCCCATAATTCTTTGCAAAGGGCGAGTGAAGTTCTGCTGAGACACGCAAGGGATTCACAACTTACGCTTGCCGCGCTCCTCAATGACCTGAGCCCATTGCTCCTTGGGGATATTGTCTACTCTTTGCGATGCCATTATGACGTAATGGTGGGTTGAAGTGCGGGATTGTGCTGTGTTTAAGAGGGAGTGAAGATGATGGTATTGGTTTGATGAGAGATCGAGCTCCGTGTGTTGTATAAGCTTCGAGATTGAATTGAGTGAGGAAGTGGCATTGCTAGTTGTGGCAAGCTGCCCACCTTATATGACTTCATTCCTCATGGTTGCGTCGCCAAAAAATAAACATCATGCCACATTCTACCTTGGGGAAGTGACCCCTCCAGCCCCTCCTCCAACCCCACCCCTTCCAAGCCTTTTCGAGCTATATTTGCAGCACATCGAAACATGATTATTTCTAGCTTCCATTCCCCCAGATTCCGAATCCCACCGTAACGGGACAGTCCGTTGGCCCAATTAGATCACGAGTCTACGCCAGCAATAGCTTCCGCGGCGATGACGATAGGTGCGTTCCGTTGATGCGAAAAACTATGTAGAAGCTACTCCGTAGACGGAGCTGTCCGATGTGGAGGCGAAACCGGAGAGATAGGGCAAGACGAGTCTGGCACGTACGCGCACCCACCGAAGCTGATCTTGTTGATATGCGGAAATGGCGTGTTCTCGTTGGCGCACGAAGCATCTCGACCTGTCAAGATAACCGATATTGATATCAGCCCCGTCGTCCGCGCCAATGCTCATCATGCCCTAGCAAGCCATGTGCTAGGTTGGTAGCACCCAATCCCTGTACTAGCTACATGGTGCCTGGTACAGTATCTTGCCAAAACCATGCTCTATTCTATTCAGATGCGCCATTGATTAGACCATTGTTGTGACTACCTCCAAGAATCCCGGAGATAGCTATGCAGCCAACACGGAACGGAGCCTGGCCAACGGAAGTCCGTGTTTTGTGGGTTCCTGCTTTCTTAGCAATGAAACAAGGCTACAAGCGCCATATGCGGGGAAGCTGGTCTTGATCGTCAATACCGTACGAGGATTATCTCTGAACACCGGGGGATAGGCACATGTAGGTACTGTATGGAGTCCCAGCTCAGAAACTAGATATCTCGATATGCTCAGACCCTAGGTACCCATACCACTATGTACTACCTGGTACGCTTAGTTTTCGGATGTGTCTTCCTATAGCGGTTTGAACCCTTCACCCGAAAGTTCGAAAACCCAATGGAGGATGATCCGGAGCCCAGGAACCAGAGGTAGCTAAGTGGTCCCATAGGCTACATCATCTTGAGGCCAACGCTAGACCGCGAATGGCAGTTCCCTTGGGCCTGAATAGGTGCCCATGCGCGAGCCCACTGCCCCTTTTGCTGACATTATGTCGGGCGATTGGAATCGGAGATGATAGTCTACCTAGTATCCTTTGCACCATCTAGTACCATGTTTGGCCCAAATAACCCCGAGATAAAGCAGCGATAAGTCTACCAAATTACAGCTCCCCCGCAATGTTTTATTACCTCTCTGGGAAAGTGGTTGAAATCTCACCTGCATTGTGGCTGAAAGTTTAGGGGCCGTAGGGAGCTGAAGCCTAGCCTGCACCTATTATATAATCTGTGGTTACCGTATATAGTTCTACAGCTTCAGTTAGTTCCCTCCTGTTGATAGGTACCTAAGTAATTTAAGGGTCCGTATTTTAGATAGCCAAGAAGGGAAGAGGTAGGATGGCATTGAAGTTAGCGGGGATTGGCTCCTGTATGCCCCTCTTCCAATGGCTTCAGGCTCGTCGGGATTTCAACCGTAGGAGTGAATTATCGAATTAACTAAGGGCAGAGTTTTGTTGCACATCGCACTTTTGCCCCCTCCCTCAAATCTCTCAAACATACCTAAATAGGTAGGTAGATAGGTAGGAGGCAAAGAGGGCTCATAAGGTGCCTTGGCTACGTCCCCGGAGCACGTGCTTACGGATCCATACACTTCGCCACTGGGGTTTTGTTGCATGTCGCATTTTGGCTGAATGTCTCAACTCTTTCAAGGCTTTAAAGCCTTGGGAATCCAGGCCAACAATTTTGGATGAACAAGCCTGCGTGGTTGCTTCCTCCCATCACTTGAGGATATCTCTCTCATGACAAGTAGGCATAACCCTCTAACTTTAAACACACCATGCAAGATGCCATGCACTCATCAGCCAGCTATTGAGAAATTATTCACAGGCTTTTGGAGACAATTTTGGTGCGGGTATGGATAAGGTTGTAAGGTTTGCAGTGTTCTCGTAGTTCAGTAGTTGATCTCATCGTCTTAGTTGTTTCATGAATTCGGTGCCATAATCACACTTCCAGTATTTGTACAGACATAGTCATCATCATCATCGTCGTCTTTGATTCTAAGGCTATGTAAGCATGAAGACTTTTGCTCTTGCCAATATCTATCATTTTGCCGGGCGCAGGCGCCCTCGACTTGCTCGTTCTTCCGCATCCCCTATTTCATCCCCAGCTCACTTCTTCAACAGTCGTAACCATCAATTATGATCCACCTGGCCCTCCTAATAGTGCAAATCTTCGAACGATACTAGGTCCAATCTCATCATATTCGGCCTGCCGACTGTTAGTTTCTGACTTTGATTATGAATATCTGTTCTCTGACTTACCTTTGTGTGACAGTAACTTCGGAATTCAGGGGTCTGGCCCAAAAGACTTCCACCGAACCAAGGACCATGCCTTTGCCTCTTGTGTGTGATAACTTGCACTTCTAATCCGCCACTCTTTGCTCCTCCACTTTTGGCCTCGCTAGCCTTGATTCTATCATCGACTAGATGCTTGATATCACGCTGTAACCGCCGCCCAAAATCTTTATAAAGTGTACTTCCTCCAGAAAGCACAATATTCTTGTATAAACCTCGGCGAACATCAATGGGGGATGATTGGATAACTCCGTCAACAACCGTAGGTAAGGGAGTCAAAAAGTCAGAGGAATAAATCTCGGGGTTGAAGAAGATCTCTGGTGCGAGGAACCGCTCGTAACCGACATCAACGCTAACTTTGCGGCCACCAGGCTGAGTTACAAGGTGCTTCACAAAGCGCGTTGGATCTCGGTCATAACGGGAGAACTCCTTCACAATATCAGGGCATACGTAGCAGTATTCTTCCTTGATCTCTCCCGCCGTCTTTAGAGAAGAGTCTGGTTCCCCACGGTCTCGGAGTAGCGATTGAACGAAATAAGTGATATCTCGCCCAGCGATAGGGATCGATTTGATAGATGACCCAATAACATAGCCTTCTGCGACTGGGATTACGTGCGTGACACCATCTCCCGAGTCTATAACTGTTCCGGTCAACGATCTGTCGGATACCTTGGACGAAGTCCATGATGCTGCCAGAGCGAGAACAGCTTGTACAGCAATATAGAGACCAGCGCAGTTAAAAGATTCGAACATAATTTCGGCGGTATTCTCGCGATTTTCGGGAGGATTGAGGGGCTGTTTTGTTAGAGAGTACGGCGATAATTACTTATAATTGGGGACATACCGGTTCGGTTAGCAGAAAATGGTGGTCTTCTGGCTCTACTCGTAGGTATTTGAAAATCGAATTTGACCAGAACCTTTCCATATGGTCCTATACGCACGTTAATTGGGGACTTCTCGTAACAGGGGAGGGGGAGTTACCCAATTCTCAATTTGGCCGTGACGGATAGGATAATGGATGCCATAACCTAAAATATTCAGCACATGCCATGACCACTTTTAATTCGACGTACCTGGTCCATTTGCTGCAGCAAGAGCTTCATCCCCAATAAAAAAGTCCAAGTCCTCTGTCCCACGCTTCATCGATAGATGCCCACCCGGGCCAGCGCCTCCTGTAAGATATGACGGTTTGTTGGCTACTGACGGGCGCCCAGAGCCAGAACCCCCACTGCCTGCTGCCGAGCCCTTGGTTGCAATCGCTGTAGGAAACACGAAGGATGGAGAGTCGTTGCCTGCGAAGCCTATATGGAACCTTTAGTATTTCCCCAGAAGGAATGGCGAGGAGCTCGGCTCACCTAGCTTTGAGAAACCGGTCCCGCTGGAAGACAAACATCAGCACTCGAGCAACATAGATATAGATATCCTCGGCGTCATCAACGGTGGGCTGGGAGGTTGGGTAACGTACTTGTCCATGACAACGGCCGGTGTGTGGGAAGCCATGATGAAGGGGAGCTTTCGCTATGCACTCCCACGGCCTTGGAGATGCGATGCGATGCGACGGCTTCACACAGTTGCTTCTGGAGCTTGAATTGTTACCGTTGATGTAGGTGTAGATGCCGCGCAGGTGGGCTGTGTGGATCGTTTAACTTGACCTATCGCAGCCCCGCCTTGCTGATTTGAGCTTCAATCACGTGGTTGTATGACCCCTTATTACTCAGCAGGATGCTCTTCGTAGCATATTCCTTTGGTGTTCCATCAGCAGGCAAGAGCCATACAGACCACCATCACTATAACTATAACCTACCAGCATGGAAGTTTAATTCTTGCTGCGAGATACCGAGGCCAGGAGGCCGAGAAGCTCAATCCCAAAGTAGCAAGAACCCTTTTCAACGCAAGTGCCTCGTAAAAATGACACCCAGTTCAGAATCAACTTTACCTACTGATTCCCTACATTTCTATACATCGCCGGCATCACTCAAAACAGACATCGTACCGCATCCTTCACCGCTGCCTCGAATTTTTATTTTTCCACTTACACTCGTTTACTGCCCTTGTCCTTATGAATCTTTGCGTGTTTATTAGTGTTAACTCTCTAAATCACCCCCTCTGATTTCGGCTCCGGTTTGTTACTCCCACAGAGCTTTCATTTCAGAGACCGCTGGAATTAGTACCATATATCAAGCCTGAAGTACGTTGCAGATGCCGTTTAAATTTAGCTGCATCAATGTTGACTAGTTTTGTTCAGGTCGGCTGAGGATTGTCGCCGTTTTCGCCTCGACTCGGTTTGACCTCCAGCTTTTCTCTTCCACCGCTCAACTCACCGAAAGTATACGGTTATGCTCCTTCATTCGGCAATTCCCCCCATTCCCTCAATCATAAGGCCGGCCGCTATATCCCTTCCTCTCAGTTAGCGACCAGTGTGTCTTGTACCATTTGTTGCCTGATCAGAGAGGGCTATTCACCATATACAAACGTTCCGGCTCTTTGGCCTACTCTCCTGACGTTTCCCTGGAAGTCAATGCAGCAAGACGACCGCCAACATCAGCACTTGCGTATCCCGAATAGGCTGCGCACTGCCTGTGAACGTCTCCGGCGGCTGCGACGCTATCTGTCAAATCCATTTCGTCGACCGCAAAAGCCAGAAGTCATTATCGTCGAGTCACTCTTAGTTCACCCTCCAGATCGGTGGTCAAGCTTGACACGAACTCCAAACGCGTCCCTAGATCGGCTCTCTTTAGTCTCTATTGCAGCTAATCCAACTCAAGTAGTGGGCGGTGACATTAGAGGAACACGACCAGGCGACATGGCCGACTCGCCGCTAAACGTTTCGGCCGTCTTTGTCCATGCCGGCGCTGGTTATCACAGCAACTCCAACGAGCATATCCACCTGAGCGCTTGCAATGAGTACGTATATTTTAAAAATATGACATTCTTCTGTTGGCAGGAAATATCCTTTTACTGATATCCGCGCAGCGCCGCCAAATTGGCCATGCAAATTCTCAAATCCGGAGGTACAGCTGTTGACGCTGTTGAGGGTGCAGTCAAAGTCTTGGAAGACAACGAGATAACCAACGCTGGCTACGGTAGCAACCTATCTATCGAAGGCATAGTCGAAGGTGACGCCACGATTGCTGACCACTTAGGTAGAAGTGGAGCTTGTGGCGCTGTTGCCCGTAAGTTCTGCGCTTTAAACTATAACTTGTAACAAACTAACGTCTGCTATTAGAAATTAAGAACCCTATCCATCTAGCTCGAGTGATTCTAAAAACTTCAAACGAGCCGTTATCACTTCGAAGAATTCCACCGAATCTCCTTGTTGGCCAAGGGGCAACCGACTTTGCTTATGAACATGGAATCCCAGTCGTTCCACATGATATGATAGTCTCTAAGAATGCCAGAGAGCGATTCGTCCGCTGGAGGCAGGACCTGCGTGATGCTGAGGGTGGCCGTATGACCCCTAGCACAATAAGCAGTCATGCAACGGAGGAAGAGAAGCTCGATCGTGAATATGAAGAACGTGTGCGAGATCAGCAGCGCCGAGACCACACGAATGCAATGTCACATGGTACTTGGAACGAGGGGCAACCAGATTCACCGCAGCCGTCTCCTGGTGTAGATAGACTCGCACCAGAGTCTCGCGGAACGCCAAATGCCCGTCAATCTCCTAGCCCTTCGCCGCCATTGAGCGATCAAGCCATCCATAAAAACGGTCTTGTGCACGGTCTCTCTCCAGACCCATCGCCTTCAAAGCGTCCTCGGCATAGGAAAAGCCTCAACCATTGGGATGTTCAAACACATTCCCCCCTTAGCCCAAACTTTGGTAGCAATGGCCTCCAGCAAACTACCGCTGATGGGCAAATTTCCGTTGGTCACATCGATTGGTCACAGCGGAAGCAGCTTGGAGACCATGATGGTCCCACATCGCCACGCCGAGCTTCCATAAACGAAGTCTATCCTCCGCTAGAATTCGTTCAGGAAGGAACTGCCGATTCGCCGTGGCCGCTTTCGCGAGAAGCTGATGCCGATGATAACATCACGGATACTGTTGGAGCTATTGCCATTGATATGTATGGGAACATAGCTGCAGCATCATCTTCAGGCGGCATCGGCATGAAACATCGTGGCCGTGTTGGGCCTGCTGCTCTCATAGGTATCGGGACTGCTGTCATACCCCTCGACGAGCAAGATGAAGATAGGGTAAGCGTAGCAGCAGTAACCAGCGGCACAGGTGAGCATATGGCGACGACGATGGCTTCCCAGAAGTGTGCGGAAAGACTTTACCACAACACTAAAAGAGCTCCAGGTGGCACAGACATGGAGGCAACGGAAGAGGAGGCTATGGAGTCATTTGTTCGAACAGACTTCATGAGCCACCCGGGCGTCAAATCTAGCGTTTCTACAGGGGCCATTGGTGTTATGGCGGTAAAGAAAACCACTTATGGATACTTCCTCCATTTCGCCCACAATACCGACTCCTTTGCGTTGGCCTCCATGCACTCCAACGAGAAAGAACCAAAATGTGTCATGTCACGTATTGGCGATCGCGGCAAGGTTGTCCAAGGAGGCCGTAAAATCAGGATTGATTGAGATGTACCATTACCAGAGGATTTTGAAAATTCTTCAGTACCCCCTTATCTCGCTCCTCCAATCACATGGCTTTCTCTGACTCAACGGGGTGACTTGGGAATGAAAGCCTCCTGGGTATGACGTTAGGAGCAAGAATACTTCAATGGTTATGGTTGGAAGATGAATCATTGCTTGGCGTTCGCACACTTGAAATGAAGGCATGGATGAAAAAACGCCCCCGAAGATTGAATTGCGAAGGTTTCATGAGAAAGGAGAGATCAGCAGACACCGCTCAAGCATACTTCATGACCCCTCTACTCTACAGTAGAGACCTTGTACTTGTACTTGATTCATAACCTAAGAATAATACCTTAAGTCTCTTTTCAAATTGAGTGTTGTTCACTACCAACTTGAGGCTGCTTATATTAAAGGTTCCAGTATTAATAACATTTCAACTTCTACACCACGTAAAACAACTTTATAATCCCATATCTCTACTATAGCTAGCGCCATAGCCCAAGCAGACTCCGTATAATGATACTTTTTAGAATTTCATATTAGCACATCAAAGTAATCTTGGCCTATAGTTATATAGAGGATTTGTCGCTTATAGGGGATTTGTCACTTATAGAGGGCTTTGTTACTTATAGAAGGCTTGTCATGTATAGAGGATTTGTTATTTCCAAGCGGCCTACTAGGAGCTGGAGTCTATTACTACTCCAGCTTTTAGGCAATGCGGCAATACGACGCTTCGCCAAGTCGTCAAACTTGAAGTCATTGGTGTTTGGATGCTATTTGTTCAACAGATTGGTAATTTTGATACAAAATAAGGTGCATCGACCCGTTCCTAATCCCCTTGTTATATAAAGATTTCCGTTCAAGCTATCCTGTATCATAACTTCTATAGTGATATTTCGCAGTAGATTGGTTTCTCAAGAAGGTCATAGTAAGAAATTTCACCTGCGCAGAGTAGATATTCCATCATTTTGAAGGGTAAAGGCTCATTCTACCTACCTTTAACTAGATTTTAATCTCTCTCTTCCACTATCACAATCACCGACGTGCCCTTGTTAGGTCCCGTGAGACCATATTATGCAGAACCGAGTAAATTATATATAATTTATTCTCGAGGTACTCTAGGATCGTTAGAGACAGAAAATTCCAAAGCTTGGTGGTTAAAATATTATTCATGCCATATCCTTGGGAGTCGCTCTAAACTTCCAGTATCGTTTGAGTACGGAAATTCTGATGGGCAATAGGAACAGTCAAATTATATAGTTTATAATGTAATAGTCACTAATATTCATAGATCAGAGATTACTATGCTAGTGATGATAGAAAGGTTTTTGATCTACAGGTACACGCCCTCGACGTCCACCCACCCAAGGTCCGGATACACCGGGAAAAAGACCAGACTATGCCCAAGCCCCGAAAACGCCCAGGCTATGCAGATAATCCTTATTCGACGGGTGCAGGTGTTGCTGACCCACTAGGAGTCTCCATCGCTCCATTAATTCTCCGCTTCTTCTTTTTCTTGCGAGCCACGACAGCTGGCTTTGCGCCATAATCGCCAAGCGCAAGGTGCGTGGAGCATGTCAAGCAAATGGCGCCTTCTGGAGGCGAGCAGAATACTGGTTTGCAATGAGAAACGGTTCGATGAGGCGCGTGGTAATGGGACGAGGATCGATAGACTCACTGCTTAGACAGATACTACACACAAACCCCACATCTACAACTCTCCTGTGGCAGAAGCACGCTGCTCTGAAATCTACCACCTGCTGCGTTGGAGGGACTAGATGTTTCCTACTCGTTTGGTCGGGTAAGAATGCCATCATCAGGTATTGTAACAAACCTTGAGGGTTGCTTAGTTGCATATATATCCCTTTCGTGGTATCTGATGCTTGTTGTAGGAATACCGTGTCCCCGGCTAGCTTTAATATGTCAATTGGGACCCGCAGGCGTTGTGCAGCGAATGTGGTATTCATGATGGGTATGTATTGGTGTGCCAAATCCCCTGATACCGAAACAACTAGAATGCGGCTCTGTAGACTCGATGTGTTTTCCGGATTTTCTATAGCAGTTGAAGCAGTTTTCGAGCTTGAATCGGCATCAGAGAAATTGACTGTGGCTCTATTAATATAAGACAGGGCCAAGGTAAGGGCTCCAGCCATCTGTGTAGTGTTGGTCGTAGCTATGTCATCTTCCGTCGTCGTTGCGATCAGATCACGGAGGGACGCAAGTAGACTGTCCTCGATCAGAGCAAAAGGACGGTATTTATTGGCATCATTGAGATCGGGGGGGGTTTGGTCGGTCATTTCGACATCCTCTGAAGATGAGGGCGCCCGCGGATAAAGCCATACTGCCCGATGGCAATGACTTGCTACCACGGCCACCTGATTTGCATGGTTGGCTGCAAGATGTGCGTTTATGAAGACGAGGATATTTGCTATAGCTTTCGAGAGGGGAAGGGTTGGAGAGAGGAGTGCCCAGGCATGGGGGTTTGTATCGAGGACAATAACGAGTAAAGATGGCGGAACACCTGAGTGCGGTCTGGATTAGCTTTTAAACTCAGGATTAGACCAGCATGGGCGGGAGAGCAATGACCTTGGATGGTGGTATCATAATGTTCTGTTGCATCTACACTGTCCATGTTGTGCTGGATTTGGTCGAGACATGTCTGTCGCGACCTGCGTTGGAGGGGCGAGATCCTTGCCCCGTTTTGTCGTGTCGCCAAAGCACGCGATCACGTGATTTCAGCCCTATGGTGGCCAAGTATTTGTCTGTGCAACAGCGTCACAGACAACAACCCCACAACCCCTCGCAACTACACTTGGAACTTGTATCACATATCGCCCTGTTTGCCCTCAGAATGGCATCGCCTCCTAATGAGGTGTTCGACTCCAGCGTGCCGGCATCTTTGCCTTCGTTTCCTGACCACAGAAATGAATCCCTGGAAGATCAGACATTACTGATCCTTGCTGGACTGATGGAACCTGGAAAAGAGGACGAAGATACTTGTAGGGAGTTAGACGCTCTCACGAAGCTGCTCAGCGATGATTCGGCAGAAGAAACTAGATCATCGGTGCCTCATTCCCCGCTTTATCAGTTGATTGATGCAGACTTGGTTGAGACCATTCTAGGTTTCCTTGATATGAGGCAATCACCAACTGTTCGAGGTCACGCAACTTTGACTACATCGGCCTATCTCAAGGCCGCCGGTGACCAGGGCGTCGAGTATCTGTCCCAATTCTTCTATTCTCGAGTCGGCAAAGCAACATATGATGATTTTATTCTAGCCTTTTCTGTTGCGTCCTCGATTTTTCCAGTTGTTCCCGACGTCATTGCAACGCTCTTTCTGAGTGAAGGATTTATTCCCAGTCTCGGCGCGTTGATGAAAAGGAAATGGAAGAGTAAGAAGGTTGAGCAAGCTACGTTGGAAATGCTGAATGTAGCATGCATGAATGCTGCTTGCCGTGAGGCCATTAAAAAATACTGTACGGAATGGCTGGAGGAGATAGTCAACGATATTCCTTCAAGTCATGCCGATGTTCCTCCTGCGGACAGGGCTATGGCTGTCGAAGATGGATCCATACAACAACGTATCCATTCCGAGCCCGTTAGGAATCTAGCAGCGGTTGTGCTGGCGAAGCTGCAAGTAGGTGTTTACCGTCTATTTACATTTCGTTATAGCCTGTCAACACTTTGCTTGGGCGTATCATAATAACCTCTGACTGACTTCAGGACTAAGGCTGTCCCTGCCGCACCAGCTGCTGGTACGGAAGAGCGTATACAACCCGTTACCACGAGTATGGAGGAGCTCTCTGACATGTTCAAGAATATGCTATCTACAGATACATCCCAACAAACTTCAATAGAAGGCTTAGCATATGCATCTCTGCAACCGAAAGTCAAAGAGAAACTCGCTTCTGACAAGGACTTTTTAAAGAATCTCATCAATGCCTTAGCAGAGGCACCTGCCAAGTCTCCCACAACGTACGGAGCTCTAACCACTCTCGTCAACCTCACCAGCTATATGCCTACTTTATCAGAAGAGCAAAAACGGATAAGCCAGCTAAAGGCATATGCAAATGCCTCTAAAAGTCCTTCAGGTCCAGACCCCTTAAGTGATGATGATCACGCCACAAAACGGTGTCTAGCTGTGTTTGAGGCTGGCGTTATCCCGGTTCTCGTGACGCATAGTCAACATGGATCAACAGCCTCCCTCGGTTTGGTGGTATCGATAATTTTCTCACTCTCTCGGACCGCTAAAATTCGAGGGATGATGGCCCAACAAGGCGCTGTCAGACTTCTCTTACACGTCTACTCAGTTTTCGCCTCGGATAATGTCGCAGCAAGACGCACAACATCACATGCCCTAGCCCGAATTCTCATAACCACAAATCCTCTCTATGTCTTTGGAGGCTCCAATCCTCTCTCTGTTACATCCGCCATCCGACCTCTCATCCTCCTCCTCTCTGATGACCCCACTGTGGAACACCGCGATCTCCTACCAGTATTTGAATCCCTCCTAGCACTCACAAACCTCGCATCCACCGACGACACCGCCCGCAATCCAATAATACGTCTCGCCTTCCCCCAGATTGAAGAGCTCCTCCTATCAAACAACGCAATGGTCACACGGGCAACCGTTGAACTCATCTGCAACCTCATGCAATCCCCCGAAGGCGTGGCTAAATTCGCAGACGGATCAAAACCAGCAAGTCAGCGAATGCACATCCTATTAGCCCTAACAGACTCCGAGGACCTAGCAACCAGGCGAGCGGCAGGCGGCGCACTAGCCAGCCTCACGGAATGGGATACTGCCGTCAACGCAATCCTGGAGAGGGACCGGGGCGTGAAATTCCTCCTGGGGTTATGCAAGGAGGATTCAGAAGAGTTGATGCACCGGGGGGCTGTCTGTATATCGAACGTTTTGACAGCTCCGGGGAAAGTTGGGGAATGGGGGGTCAAGAAAGTAAGGGATGAAGGAGGCGTGGATGTTCTTAAAGGGTGTCTGAAGCGATCTAGGAACCAGGAGGTCTTGGAGACGGCCGTTGCTGCGCTGAAGAAGCTTCTTGAAGATGAACTCTCAAGCACGGGACAAAAGCAAATATCGTAAATAATTGATATACATTTATGATTGGATAATAAAAGCTTGGGAAATATAATTACCTACTCAGCTCTTACTCTCTGATTGTTTTTTGCCCAATCTGACCAATATGTCCGAGATCGTCCTCACTCTCTTGTGCCCAAGTATACCTCTCTATTTCGCCTAATAGGGTGCGGTGTGCTGCATTTATACTTGTTCTGGCAGAACAGAAGCGAGCAAGGTGACACGCGAAACTTGAAAAAAATAAAAATAAAAAAAGATTCCATCGAAGGAAAAATATTGCAAAAGAAATATCCCACCCGGGATACCGAGAAACTCCAGTCTTTTTTAGACTTTTGGTTATCTCTGGCAGGTCATCCAGGCTAATCCCAGGACTTAATTGTTGTTATAGCAGAGGAACGAATTCCCAGCCCGCCAACATGCCTTTAGGACGCCTGTCACTTTACGGGGTTTTTGCTTATTTTGATATTTAGGTACACTGACGGTTACACGCTAAATAAACATAAAGCATGTGACCTTCGGCGCTCTGCCCCTGAAAGCTTTTTGATGAAGCTAAGCTGCTAGAGATCTCTCTGGGGAAATACTTTATGGCACTACCCGGGGACGGATTTAAACTACAAGAGAGGTTTATAAGGAGGTTTAGCATCTAGAATGGGACTTGAATGCAAGACTCGAAAACCCTACTTGGCAGGACCGATTGCTCACGGGTTTAACCAATCCGAAATAGGAGTGTATCATGTAACGGCGATAAAGTGGCACATTATCTTCACTATCTCTCAAGACTTACATTCGAGGCTAGATACCTATATCGGGAACTCATAGAGGCAACCACTAGGTTCACATATATCAAAAAACAAATCAATTTTACAGAGCGAGTATGGATTTCTGTTTTTCTCATCCATCCTCCCCCCACCCCCGGCAAATATCAAATCGACAAATCCCAGATCTCAGTAAGCCACACACCGTGTAGAACGCCCGCTGCACCCGTGCCATCTCCCGCAGATGTCGTGAAGCAAAATGAAGGTTATGTACAATGCAGTAATAGAACATTGCCGGGGGAAAAGTGCCGGGCTGGGCATGTATGAGACGCGGGCGGGAAAGGGAAAAGCATACCTGTCGCTTTTCTGTCCTTTTGATGCTATGAAAGAACGGGAAAACACAGATATGGAGGAACGCCTATCTGGTAGCTACCATAGTGCCTTCTGGCAATGGCACCAGACGGAGAATCCCCCCAGGATCAGCTCTGAGCTGTAGTAGAAAATAAGATCACATGCCGTCGGACGAGGTCATATTCAACCCCTTCCATCATACCGTCCATTGTTCTGGTCCTCGTGATGGTGTTCGTCTCCGTCATGGTGGAGCGTCACCGAGTTAAACTCCTCAAATGGATCGACGACTTCCGCGCCGGGAGTCGCCAATCCAGAGTCAAGAGGGACACCCTTTGGCAGTGGGCTTCCTTTGCTCCCACTGATATCAACACTCTCACTCTCCTTGACATTTCTGAAATTGACCGTATCGATACCTCTGCCTTGATGTGGTATCATTGGTGGCTTCATATGTCGAATAAGAGCCCACTGTGTGGTTCGGAAGAAGGGATGGCCTTTGACATCCGATGCTCCAGCACGAGCCCCTAATCGACGGTTTTCATCTTTGATCAGTAGCTTGCGGATTAAAGACTTGCAGAGACTAATTTTCAGTTAGCAACTGCAAGTTTTGGCCATATCTTATGACTATACTAACTTTGAAACCTGGGGAGATCCAGAGTGTTCTGGGAACGGGACATCATCTCGCAAGATATTCGCAAAGGTAGCATTCCGATTCTTGCCCTTGAACGGGGTAGTACCGAACAACATCTCGTAAATCAAAATGCCAAGGGTCCACCAGTCCACAGCGCTTGTATGTCCGCAGCCTTTGATAACTTCCGGGGCGATGTATTCTTCCGTTCCAACGAATGAATTCGTTCGGAAATTAGCTATGCAGGACTTGGTATCGATCGTAGGTAACGAGTTCGTGTTTGCGCCATTTCGACCAAGAATCATGGTAGGCTTTCCACCAGGATCCGACTGCTTGGAGAGATCAAAGTCTGATAACATAATATGTCCCGACTGGTGTAGGAGAATGTCTACAACCATTAGCTTGAGGGCATAGAAGTGGGGCAATAAACGAACTTTCTGGCTTAAGATCCCTATAGATGAACCCCATCAGATGAAGATACTCCAATGCAGCTGTAACCTCCGCAGCATAGAACCTTGCATCATCCTCTGGTATACACCTGCCAGGTCGAGTTTGTAGGGCCCTGAAGAATTCTCCACCACTGCAATATTCCATGCACAGGTACAGGTGGTCCTCGGACTGGAACGAGTGATATAGGGTAACAATGAAGGGGTGGTTGCTGGTCGCGAGGATCTCTTGTTCGGCTAAAGCCCTCTTGATCTTGTTGCGTTTTATCATCTCCTTCTTGCTCAGAACTAAACGTTGTTAACTTCCGGTCCTATCCATAACATAAAACTGGGCACATACTCTTCATGGCATATAGCCTGCTGCTCTTCTTCTCCCGCACAAGGTATACCTTCCCGACGTCGCCTTTGCCAATCAACTTGATCTTATCAAAGCTTGCTGGGCTAACCTCGACGTTCCGCACTTTAATCGAATTGGAACTATACGTCCTCCTGAATGCCATCGCATTCCGCAGATTCGGAGGCTGTAGAGCTGCAAGTCCATCTTGTGTTGGTATGGTGAGGGAGGCGCCACCGGCATCGCCAGATTTCGAGTCAATCAAAGCCAGCATGCTTGTGCTAGCATTATGTGCCAAAGGCTCCTTGCCCAATTCAGCCGTAGCAGGCCTATCCGCACTTCCCTTGCCAGACGAGAAAAGACCCTGTGCATTTGGAGCACTTGCGACTCTCCTCAACTTCCTTGCCAATTCCTCCTTCCCAGCAATTGTAGCCTGGTCGTTTGCGCCGGAGGCACCGTCAATCTTCAGCACGGGGGTATCGGGTGGGCTGGGAGGAACGGAGCCTTCATTGTGATGCCGGAGCGCAGGAGGACCTTGATGTGCAAAGTAGGGGTTGGCGTGGGCCGTGGGACTGACACCGTCATCTAATGCATTGCCTTCGCTGGCTACCGTGGCGGATCGATTTCGGCCGACGCTTGGGAAGAATTTGGATTGTCGAAAGGAGGAGCCCTTGCTCTCCGGCTTTATGGAGCCCTCACTCTTCTCACCATTGCTTGCTAAGCTGTTGATGCGGAAGAAGTTCTTAAGTTTCTGGGGGAACGGGTTGTGGCTATGGCTATGGCCGTTGCCATGTTTATTCGTCATCAAGAAGCCGGGGAAGGACCTCTTCTCGTTGGGGAGTGAACTTGGAGAGGGCGAGGAGCCGTGAAAGATGGAGGTCATCGAGGGTGGGCCGCAGCCTTCACGAGAGCTGCCCCTCGAACCTCGAGTTGACGTCGACGAGGATGGGGAGGAGGCGAGACAATGGCGTGAATCTGTTTATGGGATAGAGATACAGAGAGGCCCAGATGACTGTAATCGTGAACGAGTGTGGCGGTAGTGGTATTGATGGGTTTGTATGAAGGGCGGGCTTGGGAGGCGAGGTCGCAGTTGGGTGAGGTTGAGGTCAGGATCCAGATCGAGATGGACCGTGCCTTGAATGGTTGCTAATACGAAGGGCTCAATCAAGACGGCGGCGAATAATAAGCATTCGTCAACCAGGAACAACGAAAGCAGAAGACCCTTGGGTGACTCCAGGCACAGGGACTCTGTTTGTGGGCTCTGCAGTCTGCAGTCAGCAGGTCCGTAGGTACACTGTACTGAACCGTCTCGCAGGTTAAGTTCGGGTATTGCTGGAGTTGTGGAATGTCGTGGCCGAAGGGACAGACAGACAGAGGGCGGAATGGTTTTTAGGGCGTTTTAGGCCGTGGGGCAGGTGACACTCCGTGTTAATCGCGGGAAGTAGTGTCTAAAAGCATTGAATTAGACGACTACTTGGAGACGACTAGATATAGCTCGAATAGGCAGTTGGTTGTAATAGAGGTGATTGGTGGCGGTGACGATTTCCCTCCCACTTCTTCTCCTCTGAAGTCCGGAGTAACTGCGGAATGCCGGTTTAGTGGCTGGCCAGTGCCTAAAATGCCTAAAATGCCTAGAGTGCCACACGTTTCCAAGCTCAGCAGTTAACACCGCGTGGTGTCCGGGGATGTTTCGGGAGTGGGCTGGGGGCTGTGTATTCGTACCGTACCAGCACTGGCTGACGACTCAAGACATCCAACGTTCCCGCTCTGGAGCTGGCGATAGATCTTGCCCCTATTTCTCATCGGAAACCGAGTATATACAATTATGAGATTTATGTATAGATAAACCGTGTTCCCGTGCATTGTCCGGTACTAAATCCCCTCCGGGCGACGAGCAAACAATATTGGCATCGAATCTTACTAGATCCTTCCGCCGCCACCACGCCACACCCCGTTTTCTATCACCGATGATCCATCATTTTCTAGCCTACTTCGTATACCACTTACTCTGTACGGAGTATAAGGGATCGAAAAGCAATATCCACTTCCATATAAGCATCAATCACATCCTCCCCCACTCCATTATCCTCCTACTAAAACCCGAAATATCAGCCCCGATTGCAGCACGCAATGCATGTTTCCTTTTTATTAACGACTAGCCGAGCAAAAACCAAGGTTAATTCGAGGTTGTGGCGAGGCCAGACTGAGTTCGATTAAGCTGACCCAAAAGCCTTCGAAGACCACCACGAATAAGCTTCGGCGATCGGAATCCACCCGCGGTAATCAGTGCTTCCCAGAATATTCTATTCATTACTACTACTAATCGTCAACGAGTACAGTAATTACTGCGATAAGTGGGTCCCTTTGGTAAACTCCCGCTCAGCATATCAAGTTGGAATTATCTGAAAGTGACAACGTCAAGGATGGCATTATCACATGGATCCTTGGCACGGAAGTGACCCATTTAAGACAGCTATTTCCATTCTTGTGTCTGCGCTAATTACAAAGTGCTGCATCATGGGTATTATAAACAAGAGCGCTATAGTCAAATTATCTGAGGTGAATAAGGTAAGTTGACCCCCCAATGCTTGCCTCATCATTTTCATATTCTCATACCCTCATATCCTCCACAATCGCGTTAAAAGAGTTTGGCTGCCCAAAGTGACAGTAGCCGTTGATGAATGAAACATAGTAGAACCACGCAATGATTTAAAAGAAAAAGAGGCGGATAAAACAATCTGAATATCAATATGCAAGAGAGACTAACTAGCTATGAAAGCATTGGGTCCCCTCCATCTAATTGCCACACTTGCCCATCAACAAGATGAGAAAGAAGTGGCCTAGCCATCGGAATGCCCAATTATACTATCGAGCGAAAATAAAATTGCAGGCATCTCCTCTACGTGGCAATGCTAAGACTGAGGACGAGTGGAATTGTTAGAAGAATGCTCATTGACTTTGGCCCAGCATGCAGAATGTACCGAACTACCAGCTAGAGCCCATGTCGGGTCCAGCACCAGTGGTGTTAGCATTCCATCCCTGCTCGACAGTTTTCTTGTCTTTTTCAGCCTTTTGTGACACGAGGAGCAAGTATCCCTCTGCACCCATGCTCCCTGTGGGATCGTGGTTACGGCGTTGCGGTCGGGCTCCAGTAAGAGGACGATTCTCAGATAGCAAATCGGCTCCTGGATTTACCATATCCCTTGACAAGTCATGCTTTGAGGAGCGAAGCTCAACAGCTTGCTCGGTTTCAGAGACATTCGAAGTGTTGGGAGCAAGAGAGGCAACTGCTGAACCATGGTAATGGGGCAGATAGCCTGTGGCAGTAGCAGAAGATACCATACCGGACAACACCGAGCCCGTCATTGTTTGCGTTGTTTCAGCATTTTTCAACATGTTCTGCAGAAAGAGGGTTTGTTGTTCCACGCTACAATAGTTAGCAAACATCTAACTGTGAAAGGAGGATTTCATACTTGCGGAAGTTTGCTACGCGCTGATCAAAGCTACCCTCAACGTTTGAGTTTGAAGAAGGTTCTTTAGATCGGGGTGTTAAGTGAGCCTCCACAATCGAGTTATTACTACGCCCATCCTCCTCTGCCTCTTCAATGGCCACTGTCGTATTACCACTGTCTGAATCCCATCGGCGGTTGGTAGCCAGCATACTCCAAGAGCCTTTACTCCGATTCTCGTCATTGCTATCCTCGCTTCCCTCAATTACTTTGTCATTGTTGGCCGCAACCGTCAGTTCACTTCGTCCAAGATTAGCTCCTGGTTTTGTATCTTTGGAGACGGGGCGAGCTGGGAAAGGCGACCGGTATCCAGAAGCTCCACGCTCAGCATGGAGGTGGGAGAAGTCTCCAAGTCTAGGACCACCAGCGTTGGAACCCGCATATGGTGGAGCCACTGGATCACAGCCAGGCTCTTTGTGGGGAGGATATCGTGGCAACCATGAGAGGTTGTCTGCAACATGAATTCCGAGGCCACTGTTGCGCGAGTGATGTTGTACGGGTGTCGAGGCTTGGCTTGAATGACTTGTCGAAGGACGAATTGGCTGTGGCGACTTGTAGCCAGTTGCACCAGATTCGGTGAACAGCTGGTCGAAATGTGGTAATGGAGCAGTCATGGCATTGCGATGGACATTAACAGCGCCTTCTTGGTTGTCATTGTGTGAAACCATATGAGACATCTCCTTCACAGGCGACGGTGGGTAGAAATCCATGCCGTCAAATTTTGGCAGGCCTTTTCCACTCGAAATAGGCTCCTTGCCCCAGTACAAACACCTTGCACGAATTTCTTCATCGGTAAGTGGCCGGGGATAAATCAGATCCGTGTACGTGATGTGCTTGCCAGGGACCTCTTTGGGCATAGCACCCACCAGATAAGGAACAGGCCATGCGGGAACCGGGCTGGGAGGTGACGGCTCTGTCTGCCCATGAAATGTAGCCGACCGCTGGACAGCGTGATTCTCCTCTTCACGATGGGCTTGGGCGACGCTCTGCTCCTGCATGCTTTCAGCCCGTGTAATATTCTGGGCAGCTTTCTTAGCAGCTTTCTCAGCAGCTAGAGAAGATAGGAGAGTAGGGTGCTCCCAACTAGTCGAAGCTCGTGATAATAGACGTCGTTGGACCTCCGCCTGGGTTTGGAATGTCACCGGTTCAAATGGAGACGGTGGGCCGCCCATGTCCATTTCTGGCTGGATTTTGGGTGGTTCCACAGTGGAAGCTTGCCCTCTGGGTTGAAATGGGGGAGCCATGGCAGCTGCAGCAGTCAGCCGGGACTTGTTCACAGGCCAAGGTCTGGCCGTGGGCGTCGTCTCCTTCGCTTTTTCATTCTGGGTGTCCTTTGCGGTGGATAGCCGCTGCTCGGTGTTCCTATCGGTGGGTAAATATGACAGGGGTTGCTTGTTTGGGCGAGCAGAATTTTGACTTTGTGAGTTAAAAGTTGGCATGCGGTTTTGAGCTGCAAATGTGTGTTTGTTGTTTGCATCGCCATCCCTATGTAGGTCGGCTGTTGTAGCACTTTCCTGAGCCAATTGAGCCTCTAGCATCGATTCCATGTGCTTTAGTTGAGCCAGGACAGTATTACGCTGCAGTCGCATGAGCATAACATCAGCTTGATTTTCATTATTCTCCGAGTGGTTATCAATAAGCTTGAGGTAGGCGTGAAGACCTTGAATTTGAGATTTCGTAATCTGCGATAACAGAGGCATGCGGGTTAGACCCGGCGGAGGAAATGGAAACATGGTCGGCTGAATAGGTATCGGAAGCTGTTGACCAGGGGCTATAGCCAAAGGGTTTGGTAGGGGCGTCAACGGGATGGGAAAGTGAGAAAACGGTCCGAAGCCTGGAAGAGGACATGGGAATCGCTGAGGGAGAAAATTTGGACTTCCTAGCATGGCCGCACCCATAGGAATAGAATTTGGAACCGGTGTCAGTGGGTACATCATTTGGCCGTTGTACATGAATGGTTTGGTTCTGTCGGATTGAGCTAGTGGCGATATCTTGATTGGTTGAAACAATCCCCCAGGCCGCTGTAAGTTACTAAAGGTATCAGCATTAAGCATAGAATTTTGGCCATAGCCGAGTGAATTTTGATCGTTCCCAGCACAGCCACCTGTTTGAGGTGCTATAGTTGCCGGAGCAAGTGAATTACCCTGAGGTAGATTGCTGAAAGGGGAATAGAAGCCACCAGGAATCAGCGGTGGGTATCCAGGGAGAGCTGGTGCGGCATGTTGCCAAGGGGTTGACGGATTGAAATTCACCTCAGTTTCGTGCACCGGTTGCTTAGGACCGAAAGTAAGATTGCCAAGGTTTAGATTAAATGCAGGTGGTCCTGTTGCGCGTGTATTCGGGACAATGCGGCCACCAGCAGTGACGCGAACATGGGTTGGGGAAACAACGGCTCTGTAGAATCTCTGGAAATTCGCTGATTGTTGTACAGCTACATCAGATGGTGCAGAATGAGGTTGAGAGGAGCGGTCCGAGCTATCACGACGGCGGAAACTCCATTGAGGTCGCTGACGATCTCCGGCCATCTGCGTAGCTGTGCTAAACATATTTTCACTTTCGCCAGAATAGTCTATGTTTTGCTTTCTGGTAAGGTGGTGGTTATTGCATGTATTAGCTTCAGATCGTCTGGCGATACAAGCTATTGCAAAATAGGTGTTAGGCCAAATTCTAACAAGGGTTGTTGTGGATATCATACCAATATCTGGATGTTTGTGTAGCTTGTCAACGACGCTCTTGCTAAGCGTGAGCTCAGATCTGAGAGACAGAAGCTCTTCGGCCAAGTAGCGCCGGGCACCAGAGCTAGACGCTAGCGAACACATCGCTGTGATTCCGTTCTAGGTAGGGGACGTAGGAAAGATGATCCGTTCGGCGCGTATTGCTTTGTGGGCGTCAAAGGCGAAGCCGAGCTTCAGAAGACTACCTTTTAAATCAGCCTCTCTATAATAACGATAGAGCGCGAAATTTGTAGTAAAGTCTACCGCAGAACTTCAGAGAATTCTAACTACTGCGACCACTTGTGACAAAAGTCAAGATTACTGAAGTCCCCAAAGCTTGACCAAACCACCGCGGCTGTGAAAGCGATTGACAAGAGCAGACGCCCAGTAGCACACGGGAGGGAGAATTATAGGAGAAGTACTTACCAAGGGAGATGTTAAAAGCCTTAGACCTCAAGCAGCGACTCGCGCGCTTGCGGTTGGCAGGCAAAGGAGCGTGGATCGTTGGTTGTTGACGAGTGTGTTGTTGTGTATTTGGAAAGACGAGAACGATGTTGACGATATTGCTCTTTGAAGTCTAACGCGTCACGCGTCCGTTTTGGCAAGAACGCGGCCTGTGTTTTCTGCCAAAACAAGCAACTACAGTGCTGAGCCTTGATATGTACTGGGTATGGCTATGAAGAAGCCCTTTCAATCGCGCCTTCCTGACCTTCCTGACACAGTACTCAATTTGGAATTGTGTTTTGCATTGCAGTTCCCGGTACAATAGCTCCCAAAAAATGCGATTATACCTTGCTACAGATATTGGTCGCAGCTCGAGACCAAACATTTTGCCAGTCTTATTTGGATATCATCCACTTTGGGGAATCTTTGTTTACCGCAATTGTCTTAGTTACCTGAGCGGTTCTTGCGGATAACTTTGACCGTCAAGACATCCGAGCGGGTACAACAAAACTGACAGATCCTCTTTCTTATTCGCAACGAAGAAGTATACAGTAGGAAAGCACGAAATTATACAGGAGGGGCCAGTGCAATGAAGACACTTGTACAAACACTTTCACAGCTGTGAGTAGAGCAACCAGGAACACCCCCAGATGGAATGTATAGTTGTTCTCATGCTAATATGTGCGGTCAATTCCAATAGTCAAGAACCGCTCTGCATAGCAAGGTTGATAATGCCTATGAGTAGTCTTTTCTGGAAGTTTCTCGGTTTGGCGACGTTAGTTCAGCGGACATAAGGCCAATAAAGGACCCTACATGACTGCTTGAAGGGGAGGGGAGTGTCCGACTGCTGGCCCTTCTATTCGACACCCCCCGAATATGGGAAAAGACAAACTGGTTGATTACCTAGTTGGCCGGGAAATGCGTTACATGGACAGATCCACCCGGTTAGGTGCATGACCTATATCACATTTGCGTAGACGTTAGGACCACCAACCAGTCAAGGCTCATTCAACGAGGCAATACTTCTTACAACACCTGAAATCCACAACGATTCGTCTTGGACTGGACTCTGGGGGCGCAATCTGGCAATGTCGTTGTACTAAGAAGAACGAGGCTAACCAGATATAGATAGCCGCAGATGATAGAGGCCGTGCACCACCATGTCGCAATGTTCTAGAACTTGTCCTATCATTATTCGACTTTCTCATTAGATGTGCGGTACCTACTCCAAGGACTTGGTACGATTTACTGTGGCGAAACAATGCAAATGCCGTTGGATTGTATCTGCCGCTACCTAAGGATGCAAGACCGTGATAAGAGAATCTTGTGCCGCCTGTCAGTTCCTGCAGCTTACACCTTTCAAAAGGGACTTGGAAAATGACGAAAGTTCTCGGGTTCCACCCGTTGGCCATCTAGACCTTGGCAGTAATCTACCTCGCACGTTGCCCCTGCTTTGTTCCCTACTATCGTCAACATCGGGCTAGACACTGGTATCCTGCAATACCAACCCCCGGTGGGGCTCCACTACAGCATATAATCCCCTCATATGAAGATGGTGTTTCTTTTTTTTGTTTCTTTTTTTTTGGAGGGACTTGGTCTGTCTCCAATCACCCTTGATTTGACCCCGAAATCACTTTGCTGTTATTCCTGTCAAATTCTAGGCCCTTCCGTCCAATTTGACTTTGGGGTCATCAATGATATAAAATTGGTATCTGCCTCCCAAGTGTCGGCAATACCTTTGTTGCATGTCTACGGGGCACTGTTCTGTAGCGATTTATGTTTGCGTTTTTTCTTTCGGTGCTATATGGCTTTCAAAAGGAATATCATGAATTAGGAACAGCATCCACAGCTTCTGATATCAAAGTTAATAACATGCATTGCCATGCAAGAAGCAATTTTCAAGTAGCAAGGCATATCAGGACTAGGGGAATTAAGTTATTGGGCATTATTTCTGCACTCATTCTCGCCCTCCGGTACAAGGAAATAACTAGACGCTTCTCTGCAATAAACGTTGAAGAATCCTCCCCCACAAGACAGCTGTTGATGAAATCCATCATTTGCAATTTAGATGATTATGGATCCGAATGATCATGACAGTTAAACATTCAGCATAGCACCTCCAGGTTCCGCATCCACTCGAAACTCAACTCTCAATCTTCGCCCTGGAAGTCTCAAAGGCTCACTCCATTAGAACCCAGGATTATCAATATCGATACCTCAACCTGCTCAGTCGGTAATGGCCTAATCAAAATTGGAGCTCCTTATAGCCCAACCTATCCCGTCGCTCTGCATTCTCATTCCATTCTTGGAATGCTTCTGGTAATCAAGTCCGTCGGAAGCTGTATAGCCTACAACTGATGGGCCCGTCGTTGCGGGCAAAGAGTGAATTGGGTGGTCCCTCACAGACCATCCGCTATCTGCATCACAGGTGGCGGCAATATTCATGATGATATACTGGAGGGCGCCGTTCTCGAGTTGGGGTACACGTATCTCTCGGGAGAGACGAAATGGGTTTCGCACAATGACAACTTCTAAATCTCGGCCATCCGCCTAATAAACAAAAAGTCAGGAGTGCGACTTCAAAGCTATAGCAGTCCATACTCACAAGACAATGAGCACATGGCGCATTGTGCACCCAGACCCAATGCGGGCAGTTGTGTGTAAAAAAGTACTTGCACCGGTACTTGTAATAGCCTCCGGAACCACTCATATTGGACTACTACCCGCTGGCAGTAAAGCGTTTGGATCCCACGCGAGGACGCAGGGAGTGAGCAATGCAACAAATAGCTTGATGCTTGGAAGGAGGCTTTAGAAGGACAATCGAAGGTCAGGGGGTAGGGCTAGAACCAGAAGAATTGGGGTCTGGAATTCTAGAAAAAGAAAAGTGATCGAACACCGGGATATATAAGGTATCGACCCATCCCAGCCAGTTTTTTGCCCCTTGGCCAGCATCCCGCACCTTGCCATTGATCATCCCGATCTAGCGTGGAGCACGATAGCCCACTCCCGCTTCCGGCCCAAGGGCGTCAGCTATAATATCATATCATCCGAGATGGGGGGCGCATTTCACTTAAAACCCTCTCAGGAGAGCTGGGAACGCCCATGTTGCCTGGACAGTTGCAGTTGCAGTTGCAGGTGCATAGTGGGATGGGATGCCCGGCTCCCAAGGGTGGATGGTGGATTGACTGGCCTGCCGCGGGTCACAAATAATACTGATACTGCAATATCATGTAAGAGGAGTTCCTGCGATGCAGCGCATCTGCATCTGCAATGCTGCATCACGACACCCCACATATAGCGGCATAAGGCGCAAGGAGCTGGTCTTGCAAAAAACCAGAACTCAGATGGGAAAACGTGTACGTCCGCGCACTGTTTCATGGCCTGCAGCGCTCAGTCATTCCTTATCCAAACTTGGAGATCTGGGAAATATTTTCAGACTGAGGGCGAAATCCAGGGCCATTATAGCAGGGCTCAATGGATACCGTTCAGCTGATGTCGGCCAGCCTCCCATTCGAAACTTGAACAAGTTGAATAGGAATAGTGGCTAGTTGGTGAAGACAAGTGATGAGCCGAGTTATCGACCATTACTGCCGAAACTAGCTGCGTCAAAACCGAGGCGTAAAGGATATTTCCGACCTGCAGACCATCGGCACCTTGTTGGCAAGATATCATGGTGGAACAACAGCAGCAAGTGGCAAATAATAATGTATGGAGGTGGAGCGCATCTAATAGCTTCAACTACGGAGATCAAGCACATCCGGTCCGCTTGTTTCAATATCAAGGACTCCAGAAAGGGCATGGCCGGAGTCGAAGGAAATCGACGATAGCTGCTGTGATACAAGAGCAAGTCTCGATGGTGCAGCAAGGGGCGCCGGCTCTAGGATTGCTGTACTCGTACCCCTTCTTCCGTGTCATCCCACGCGCTCTCGAACGCATCGTCAGAATTGACACCGCCTAGAAGATTCTGCTGCCCCACGTCGTATTATATTCCGGCCGACAGCCGGTAGGAAATCCTTTTCCAGACGCCTCGGCCTGAGAGGCAGGAATAGATTGACCATATGGGGAGGCTGTTCAAATGAATTCTTATTTTCCCCGCTTCCATTCCCTTCGCGCTGATGGCTGCAGAGGCCATCGTGGGCTGAACATGGCATCGAAGTCAGCCTCCCGTGTCGATCAAGCTTCCACACATCTTAGCGGCCGTTGCAACGGGCAACGGGCCGTCGGGTGAGACCTTATTTTTTCCTCTTTGGGCTACAACTCAGAGTTTAGAGCCGCAACGGAAGACCAGCGCCCCTGGCTATAGAATGACGCCTTAAGATCAAGTGATCTGTCAATGATCTATAAGCCTTCGTGTACTCTGAGCGGGCCAGAAACTTTCCACTCGCAATCCAACCTTATGTTACCTAACGTCTAGGACCAGGAACCATTGAAGCATCCATGCTAGCGGCACTTCACCGTGCGAAATTTCAAGAGCGGATACCCCGCTCTGAAGTTTCTATCACATTTACAACTCGCGACTTATAAAGCGGCGCTACGCAACACGATAGGCCACAAAATGGGCCTCGCCTGGATGCTCTCCCCGAGTGCTTGGTCCAAGGCCCGTTCTCCTGTTGTGTAGCCACGATTCAGCTGCTGTGTTACGACTAACATCAAGCGCATGAAGCGCTCTCTACAGGGCTGTTGACCGCCCAAATGCCGTTCCACCACGCAGGAGCTGTGTCGTTTGAACGGGCGATTTTTCCTGATCTATCGGATTGCTTCCAAAGCCACCATCGCCACGCCACCGACGTGCAGTCGTTCTGACGCCCACTGTCCAATCTGGCCCCCTGACTAGAGGTGTAGGCATCCCGATAGGGGTTATGGAAGCCACACGCTGTCGGGTGTCCGCGTTGGAGTGTTTCGAGAAACAGGACGTAGGATCCAATTGCTAAAATTCTCATTATCACATGCCCCGCACCCGGGATTGAATATTACCCCTCGAACTTGATTTTGAGGATATTGAGATGGATTTATGCAGCGTTACCTCAAACAGCACGGATTGCAGGAGGACTATGAGCTATATTATAGGCGCGTGGCGTATATAGCTCCATATAACAAACCTGTTGTCAGCTTGGCGGGGCACAACATCGCCTACTGTCATTTGGAATCTTGACGACGCGAGATGCCGCCTCAGTTACACAAACTTCTCCTCCATTCTATATGTGGCAACTACATCACCGGCACGCACATCCGATTATCATCAAAGCGGGGACATTAGAGAGACACGCTTTCTTTCCTAGCGAGAAATCTAATTGGGTATTGGTTGAGACCACCATACGCCTGTTGACACCCAATTCATGCATCAACCACGTCTTTCTAGACCACATTTTGGCAGGGGATAAGCTAGCATAAGCATCGAAAGCCACTATCTATCACGTTTTGTCGCCTGTTTTCTCTTGACTCTGTCTAGCGTTCTTTGAAGGGCAGTCTTGACTTCCCCAGCCTTGAAGGTCGAAAGATCGTAGTAATTCGGTGCAATATCCTATTGAAGAATTTAGTATGTTGCTATTTCAAGGGTATAGGTCGAAGGAAAAAGACATACCAGCAGCCATTCCGGCCGGACAGCGATGACCGTCCTGACATAGTTCTTAGTCGTCAGGACAAATTCATTATATACAACCCATTCACTATCGACACCGAGCACGGTACTTGGATGAAGCAACACGCTCTGATCATCCTTCACTGTTTTGTACGTCTTTCCTGTAGCATCCTTCTTGGCAACTTGCATGAAAAACCCGGCCACTAGGGCACGTCGAATATTAGTATAATAATTTTTGTCGTTGAAGTCCGTGCTGACTAGGTTCAACTCATTTTTCTCCATGATCCGCTTCAATTGCTGGCGAACGTTATCGGCGGATTGGAGAGCTCGAAGGCTCAGGAAGTGCTCATGGCACCATCGCTTGGGGTCGCCCTGGGCCTCGGGACCCTTGAATGCATGATATACATTTAACATTGTCAGGTGATCGCCATCGGGGTGTGTAAAGAGAGCCTTCATCTCATCTGCCCGCTTTCGTGCGCTTGCGGGACGAACGAAAATTTGAGGAACTGAAAGGAGTGCAGTAAGTGAGAGAATCTCATTTGAGCAATAGAACTCAGGAGACGAGATGAGCATAACAGCAAGTGCCGGATCGAGAGGAAATTCCGAGGCAAGCTGTCCTAGGGCAGTGAGATCTCCTTCATCATCAAGACAAGCTAGGTAGTTGAGTTCCTCAAGGGCTCGCATCAGCGTTTCTGGTGCAGGGGGGTCCATCAGATCGAAATGCACCAAATCATTAACCCCCAGCTTCTTGAGCTCCAAAACCGTATTTGCAAGATTCGAGCGGAGAATTTCGGGGTACGTCTGCTCGATGAGTTCTTTCTTAAAAGCGGCTTCAGTGTACAAGCGGAAGCATTTGCCAGGTCGCGTGCGACCAGCACGACCAGCTCGTTGTTGGGCGGACGCCTTCGATATAGGGGATACGAGCAATGATTCTACACGAATCCGAGGATTGTAGACCTTTTGCTTGCTGAAACCAGGATCCACAACGTAAACGATTCCATCGATGGTCAAACTGGTCTCCGCAATGTTCGTTCCCACAATCACTTTTCGACCTGGACGGCCGCCTGGTCTGGCCGGTGGTGGTGCTGGCTCGAAGATGCGCTGTTGCTGTTGCGGAGGTAGCGTTCCGTATAGGGGGTAGACCTTTAATGGCCCAGCATCAGCCTCCCGAATCATCTCATCTGCTTCTAAAGATATCTTCCTGCACGCATCCTCGATTTCTTCCTCTCCTGTCAGGAAAAGCAAGATATCCCCTTCCGGCTCGGTAGCATGGATTTGTAGGACAGTCCGCAAAGCTGCCTCGACATAGTCTCGTTCGGGCTCAGGCGTGTAGAAAATCTCCACAGGATGAGTTCTTCCAGGAACTGCCAAGAGAGGAGCGTCATTGAAATACCGTTGGAACTTTTGCGCATCAAGTGTGGCCGACATAATCACGATCTTCAGATCTGGCCGCCTTAACGCAACTTCTTTCAGCAATCCCATCAATATATCAGTGGCAAGTGTACGTTCGTGGGCCTCATCAAGAATGATGCAGCTATACCTCGTCAAGTTATGATCGTGCATAGCCTCGCGTAGAAGCATACCGTCTGTCATGTACTTGAGAATGGTCTTTGGGCCAGTGACGTCCTCGAATCGAATGTTGTATCCAACCTCTTCGCCAAGCTTCACGTCCATCTCGTTCGCGACACGCTGGGCCACTGACATGGCAGCCACTCGACGTGGTTGTGTACATGCCACGAGCTTTCCGTGGAAATGGGGAAGGTCATCGAACAACACAAATTGCGGAATTTGAGTCGTCTTACCAGAACCGGTCTCACCAACAAAGACGAGAATCTGGGTCTTATGGAACATATCAAGAAATTCTTGCCTACCGCACGATTTCGATTAGCGTGTGTGTAAATTAAAGTGATCTATAACTACTCACCTTTGCTTGTGGACTGGCAGATCTCGTCTTGTCTTCAGGATGTTAAAATATTGCTTCGAGAGAGGCGAGTTGTTGAGGGGATTCAGAGGTCCATCTTCCGCGGCGTGAGCCTGACCTGCAGTGGTGGCATGTCTCTTGAAATCCGCCAGTGAAGTTTGACTCCTCGCGCCATTATTGTTGCCATTTCGCGCTCCATAGCTGTTGTTGCGGGAGTCAACATCTCCGTTGTCGTACATGTGGGCAAGGTAGGGGTTCGCAGCTGGATCCAGATCCCCAGTCTTTGATCGCTTTGCCTGGGGCATCCCCTCTGCTTCTGGACGACGGTCAGCCATGCTGGTTGCTGACGTGGGAAGTGTCGTTGGTCTTTACTTTGAGATATGGAGTTTGTTTATCCCGAGCAACTTTAACTTTTTTTTGACGAAGATCCAAACTGCATCAAATAGATAAGGCTACGCTAGGCAGGCGCTCGCTTGGCGGCCGGTTTCAAATCTAATCGACACGTGACACCATACTCTACATCGCGATATCACTCTACTAGAATCGAAGTACACCGTATCCATCTACCTTAGGTACCTGTAGTCTATATCATTTCATTCCACCTTGAACCGCAATTATGGCGAATGCAGACACTCCAGATCCCAATACGGACCTTGTGGCGGTCAAAAATGAGGGCGACGAAGTTGATCCTGTTGCGCCTGCGCCAGAACCCAAGCTGCCAACGCGCAAAGATGCGTCCCTCAAGGAGTTTCTTTCCAAAATGGATGACTATGCGCCTATTGTACGTTGCTTCAGATGCCAATTCCTTCTCATCTAACAATATGTATAGATTCCGGATGCTGTAACCAATTATTATCTGACAAAAGCCGGACTCCCGCCACCTCCTCAGACGGACGAACGTCTCGCGCGCCTCCTCGCACTTGCGACTCAAAAATTCATTGCAGACATCGCTGCTGACGCTTATCAATATTCGCGGATCCGCTCATCGAACTCGTCCAATGCGAACAATCCTATGGGCAACTTAGGAGCGGCAGCAGGGTTTCCAGTCCCCGGCCAACCTGCAACTGCGCCTGGTAGTAAGGAACAACAAGGACGAGGTGGTCCTCTAGGGATTCAGCGGCCCGGTTATGGAGGCGGTGGACAAGGTGGTAGTCAAAACAGAACTGTGCTTACGATGGAGGATCTTGGTATGGCCGTTGGAGAGTATGGGGTCAACGTGAAGCGAGGAGAATTTTATCGATGAATATGGCATTCGGAAATTATTGGGTACGGCTGAGGCCTACACAGGGCGAATGGCGTTGAATTTACACGGGGCGTTCCGGTTGCTATGGTATGAAAGAACGTGGAATCGTCTGCTGGGTAGTCTACATGGAACGCTTGACAAGAGACAATATAACCCATTATTTGGATGAACCGCGTGATCCTTGGTACTCAAGTATATTGGATTAGAGGCAATATTTCCCCTCAAATTGTGAACTCTACGATCTCCAATTCAGCAAATCGAAGTCCGCGGGCCCTTTTTGTACAGTTTGTTATATCAAGTCCAAGTATCGATGTGCTCGCTCCCTAACGCCATGCCCTTTGCCCAAGATCCATCTATTTGTTCTTGGTTTGCTTGTATGAAAAGAGTTTTCTCGTCCTGGGTTGCTGTCAGCCGAACTCCTTCTATCGCATCTCAACCCAGATATCATACGGTGAAAATTCCCCTAGCTTATGTCCCACCATATCTTCAGTGATTTCCACGTCATGGTAAATCTTCCCATTATGCACCTGAAATACCAACCCAACGAAATTGGGTAGAATCGTCGCAGAACGGGCTTGAGTCTTGACAGGTGGGGTTTTCTGGCCCGGAGGTGTTCGAATAATTGGCAAGCTGTACAAATAGTCAGGAGGGTTCTCGTAGGAGGGCAATGAAACGCTTACGGCACAATGTTTGGCCCTAGGAATTGTTAATATCCTCCATACTGTAGACGGGAGGAGGGATTTTATACGGACCTTTCCAAATCGATCGCGCAAGGAGCACTCGGGAGGGCAACATAGTTGTGTGATCGTTGAAGCGGAGTGTTGATGTCGTGTTGTCGTTCGAAGTGCAAGCCCGAAAAACAATTTGCAGGGATTAAATCACGCTAGATCGACTGCTCCATATCGCGTCTCCCAATATCCAGCCTGCTCAAAGCCCTTCCCAAATGTCTGATACCCGCGATTAAAGACACATAATCACATAATACACGCTTTGGCAAACTGCCACATGCTGCAAATTTTTCCTAATGAGCTGATAATTTAGTGTGGCCTCCAGAGAAGGTCAGGTTCAGCCCCATCTTATGTATTAAGATGCCAACTCTTACAGGTTTGCCCGCCAGACCTCAGTTAGAAGTTCTTCATAGGTTAACCAGGCCCAGCGGCGGATACGATACGTATCCTCATTGCTACTGACAGCCATGTGGGATATGCCGAGCGGGATCCTATCCGTAAACATGATAGCTGGCAGAGCTTCGACGAGGTCATGCAGCTGGCAAAATCACAGGATGTAGGCAGAGACCTCGAATAGAAATAATAGATTTCTGACTGCATCTAGGTCGATATGGTATTACTCGCCGGAGATCTTTTCCACGATAACAAGCCTTCCCGCCAAGCTATGTACCAGGTCATGCGCTCGTTACGAATGAACTGTCTGGGAGACAAGCCTTGCGAACTGGAATGGCTGAGTGATGCTAGTGACATTTTCGACAAATCATTTGACCATGTCAATTACGAAGATCCCGATATCAACGTTGCCATACCGGTTTTCTCTATCCACGGCAATCATGACGATCCGACAGGTGAAGACAGCCTTTGCTCCTTGGATCTTCTCCAAGTCTCTGGGCTGCTAAATTACTTTGGCCGAACCCCTCAAAATGATAAGCTCGATATTAAGCCGGTGCTTCTACAAAAGGGCCAGACAAAATTGGCGCTTTATGGGATGAGTAATGTCAGAGACGAAAGACTTTTTCGAACTTTCAGGGATGGGCATGTCAAATTCTTCAAGCCGGGAGTGCAGCATAAGGATTGGTTCAATCTGATGGCAGTCCATCAAAATCACCATGCTCATAGCGAGACTGGATATCTTCCTGAGAATTTTCTGCCCGAATTCCTTGATCTCATTATCTGGGGACACGAGCACGAGTGCCTTATTGACCCCCGCCAAAATCCGGAGACCATGTTCCACGTTATGCAGCCCGGTTCTTCTGTGGCAACATCTCTTGTCCCTGGAGAATCTGTTCCCAAGCACGTTGCTATTGTAAGCGTCACTGGGAGGGATTTCAAGGTTGAAAAACATAGGATCAAAACCGTGAGACCTTTTGTTACGCGGGAGTTGGTCCTAGCGATTGATGAGCGCTTTAGGGGCCTTGCCAAAGTTAAAGACAATAGGCATAAGCTTACCTCTAAACTGGTTGAAGTGGTCAACGAGCTGATAGAGGAGGCAAAGGCAGAGTGGCTGACAATCCAAGACGAGGATGATCAACCGATAAAAGTCCCGTTGCCGCTTATTAGGTTGAAAGTTGAGTACACAGCTCCAGACGGCGGCCAATTCGATTTTGAAAATCCACAACGATTTTCAAACCGGTTCGTCGGCAAGGTTGCAAATGTCAATGATGTGATACAGTTTCATCGGAAAAAGACTGGGATTTCTAGTAAGTTACTCGATTGTGTGCAAAAACACTATTACTGACTCGTATCAGAAAAGGACAACGCAAAGAAGGATATGCCTGAGGAGTCCATCCTTGCCTCCATGGCTATTGATAACGTCAAAGTTGAGAGACTCGTACGAGAGTTCTTGACAGCTCAGTCACTCAAAATTTTGCCACAAGCCCCCTTTGGCGATGCTGTTACTCAGTTCGTCGACAAAGATGACAAGCACGCCATGGAAATGTTCGTGAATGAAAGTCTGTCTTCTCAAGTGAAGGAATTATTAACTATGCATAAAGATGACGACGATCTTGAGAGCGCGATGGATAATTTCCGTGCTAGGCAAGAAGCATTATTTGAAGCCGGAGTTTTGAAGCGGCAGAAGAGGAGAGGGAAGCTAAAGCCTCGTCCTCAGATCTGGGATTCAGATATGGATGGCGAATGGGAAGATCAGCCTGGTGCTTGGGAATTTACCGACGCCGAAGACGAATCTGCAGCACCAGCCACCAAGCGTGGCCGAGCCGCATTGGGAGGTAGCGACGATGAAACCTCAATATTCTCTGCACCTACGACAAGAAAAGCACCAGCAAAGAAAGCACCAGCAAAGCCTAGAGCTCCCCCGAAGGCCAAAGCGCCAGCAAAAGCTACTGCAAAAGCGCCAGCAAGAGGCCGCGCGAAGGCCGCGCAACCAAGTGATGATGAGGACGATGACCTTGTCATGATGGACGCTCCTCCTCCTAAATCACAGCCAAGGAGAGCAGCAGCAACCCGGGGACAGCAGACACAACTCAACTTTTCCCAATCGCAGGCTAAAACTGTACCTCGCAAGGAATTGAGTGACGACGAAATATCGGATGACGATGATGCCTTTGAGCCGATGCCCTCTAGTTCAAGACGGAGATGATCTGGACTTTAGCCTTAAGCCGGTCAAGCATACACTTTGTACGTAGGCCAGATTCTCATTTTACTTCACATATGGGATGGAGTTACGCAGGTGCTCTAACGACTACTCGTTAATCATGGAGAGGGTAATGGCACCAACACACTGAATATTATCTAGTTTGGAGCTGTTGATGGGCATGCAATGTGCTCAGGATGAACTAGAGGCGCATTATCTTTAATGGAGATAGTTGCTACGCAATGAATTATGACCAAGACCACACTTTCTACCTTGCGAATTACTGTAAATCAGGCTAAGCGCTTCCCCTGATACCGACCCGTGGTTCATCATGACTCCAGTTTGAGCCCGTCGAGCTTTTGTTCCTTGTTAAACAGTTGCGGCTCCGGATTCGGCAATGATATCCTTCCAATCTCCATTTCTTCACCCCACCAGGTTTGAAAAGTCCTCAACCTTTCCGTCCTCTCTCGGGCCATCTTTCTTCCAGGCTCAGTCTTCATCAGCGCTTCCACTTTCAATAGGTGCAGTTCAAATATTTCCATCGTGCCCTCCATATCCCGATTCGTCTTGGCGCCGCCATAGGTGAATGCTCGACCAATTCCAACTGCTCCAATGGCATCCAACCGGTCTGCATCTTGAACCACTGCGAGTTCCGGATGCTGGGCGATGAGTGTCTTTACGCGGGCTAAGTCTTTGACCTCCGCGCTATAGGAGACTCCAAGGCATATCGCCTGTACCTTTGTCGCCAGTGCCTCATCAGCGCCAAGTTCAAGGAGCTTATCGCGAACTAGAGTCGTTCCGTCCTCGCCATCTTTGATATATTTTCTATCTCCTACGTCATGAAGAAGTGCCGATAGCGTTATGGTTGGGAGATCGAGGGTGGGCTGGGCTTCAGAATCTGTCGGTATGCTTTCTCCAGGCAGGTTAAGCTGCGAGTATATGGTGTGTGCTAAGCCCACTACCCGTTTTATGTGCTCATAATCATGGGAGGCATCGAATTGGGACATATGCCGTTGAACATATCCACTCACCCTGGCGATCAAAAGCTGAGATTCCGTCATTTTGTCTTGGGATGGGATTGAAGGAAGGTTTAAGGCTTGAGCGGGCACCTGTGTGGATAGACTCGTATTTAAGCTGGGGAAGGCTCCCGTCCTTCAAGGCAACAGCATTACATTCACAGATTACAGACCGGTGAGTGAATCCGCGGATGGTGAAACAAGTTGTCATAGCAACGCGTAAGGTACGATGAATGAGTCATCAGCGTGTTTCAATCTCAATATAAGAGCAAACAAGGCCCTGATTCTGCATGGGGTGGCACAATTAAAGTTGCGGATTAGCTCCCGTCATCTAAAGCTTATGTCTTTGACACGGGTGAATTTATAGAGCTTCCTCCCCAACCACACTAGGAAAATCTCCAACCGGCCACTTAGCCCTTCACAGAAAACCGGTTTTCTAGGTAGCAACAGCACGATTGATAAAAATATTGACTTGACCACCAAGGGTTTTGCGTTTATTTTTGAATCTTTCCCATCATCCTGAACTCGGTAATGAAGCGCCAAGGGTATACTTCACAGAAAACGACGGGTTTTCTTCCCCAGAAGGAGTATGCGACATTGCCCACCATGCACTCGCTAGCATGCATACTTAGGAATAGATTGCTCAGAGGCGCTGTTACACTGCCTAGAGTGGTCCCTTCCCGCCTTGGTTGCTCAAGCTAATGCGTGATGCACTTATCATGTCCAACAACATGAATAGTGGTAATTGTCTGGATGGAGAAATCTGATAAGAAAGATGTTACGCTTGTCACTAGGAAACGTAGATAGGGGCTAATGCGAGGAGGTCAAACAGCACAAGAAGAAAAATGAAAAGAGGATTGAATGGGAGGAAAAGGAGCCGGGAGAAGCGCGGGAAGAATCAGTCCGAGTCTGGCGCCGCCGCATGTCGTCAAACCAGCCGATGTCGTTCGTCTTGTTATACACCAATTCTCTGTTTTGATCCTTCAAATCTTCGGCATGGAATATGTGGGCCGCTGTAATTCACACTTGTGTATTCTAGGCCTTTTTAACATCAACCGCCATGCCCCAAATGCCTTTTATAAACCCCCAATAGTCCTCTTCTCCTCCCTTGCCTCTAAACATCTGCACATGCTCAGCACCCTCAACCCTTTTCTTCACAACTCTATATCCTTTCTTTTCCGCCGTTGCCGCATAAGCCTCGACATCCCGGTAGTCGATGGCGAGATCTTCCTTGCTGTAAACAAATCCTTGCACGCAGTCTTTTTCTAGAACATTGACGTTGGTCAAAGCCTCCATAGGACGCCAGACTAATTCTGCCCATACCCATTTAGGCATCCCTGGGAAATTAGAGGATTAGCATTTTCTTGGTCTATAACGTTGCCAAGTCTTGATATATTGTAGGGCCAGCACCCAAGAATCAACCCGAAAACGGTTATAAAACCAGAAGAAAAAAAACTTACAGTTTACAGTAATATAGACCGCGGTGGTGACCAGCACAACAACAGCCAGATACGGAACCCTAACATACCACCTCAATTTCTTCGCTGGAAGGCTAAGCGCATGTATATCCCTCCGAAACTTGGGAATTCCCGGCGCAGAATCAACAATAAACGCTTTCAGCGGGAGAGGCTTCCCCGTAGCTTCGCGGTACGCGCCCGAAATATTATACACTCTTCTAGCTCCGCCATTACTAAGGGCATGCACCAGCAGCCTTTCTTCAGCCTGCGGTCGCGCCAGCAGCGCCGTGACGGCTTCTTGGACTTCTCTCCGCCGCGTCGTTTCCGATTGGAAGAGGAATTGCTGCGTGTTGATCGTAACTTGGATGATGCGCGCGTTGGGGTAGAGGCGCGTGTAGGTTTTCGTGTAGTATTCGATGTGTTTCGGGAACGCGTTCATCCATGAGCAGAGGAGGATTGTGGTTGGGGAATCTGCTGGAATCGATGTGGCGGTGCTGGGAGTTGGGGGCTCGTAGAGGCGAACTACTTTGGATAGCTTGGTGAACGCCGATAATGGTTTCGAGGTAATAACCTCTTCCGAAGAAGAGTCTGAGGAATCGATTTTGGACGCCATTGTAAAGATGAATTACTGTACAAAAGGAAGTAGAAATCCTTTAATAAGAAATTTGGCGGAGCCAAGAAGCGGACGAAGAGAAATTACTGTACATTGAAGGAATCGCGATGAAGAAATTGATGCCAGGCAGTGAAATGAACGCGTGGAGCTACCACGACTCGGGCGTTGAGAGTTTGATTAGTGAACTCCAGTTCTAAAACAATAAAAATCCCAACAAATCCGTGGCGCGGAAAGCTTATTAGAGGAAATGACAGAGATGATATTATGATGAGAAATCGAAATAAAATGCAGCTGATACCTCGGCATGTCGTTGTCCTTGCCAGGAACAAGCATGTACCTGACGGGGGTGGGACCGCCGTTTGGGTCGCTTAGTTCAGAAGGTGCAGGGGACCTACTGTATAGGAAGCTAAAGAAGACAGTCCGAAATGAAGAGCAATTCCTCAAAGCCTACCCTCTATTATAGCAGACCAACTCTCGAATCCATTTCCTAATTCGGCGATATTCTTTAAAGCATACGGTGATCTATGACCACGGTACCTAAACTGGAGGGCAAAGTTATCTTCATTACCAGAGAGTGGAAAGAACGAACTTGAGAATGCCCTGAGCCCAGAGGATGTTTAGATATGGCTGGGCACTGTAGCCTGACAAAGAGTGAGGGTATCGAGAGTGCCGTTGAGATGTACGCCATGTCAAGATGGCAAAGAGAGAGGAACAGCTGTTTAAAATTATTGGGGAAATCCCAAGTTGAAATTAATATATATATCAAGGTAAGTAGTGAGAGACAAAGAAGGGTATCATCGTATCACCAACCCAAAAAAGTCAGCAAACCCATCTACCACATCCATCCAACCAAAGAACCCCGACCATAACACCCAAAACTCCCCATCTAACTCAGGCGAAAGGGTAAAAATCACACCTGATCTACCGGCTTAACTGGGTCTCCAAAAGGATTGACACTACCAATTCCATCCTCGCTCCTCCGGCTATAGTCAGCTTTGGTCATCCTCCTACCGCTTTCGATCTCCTTATCCAAGCTGGAATGGCGGCCAGGGCTTGTCGGGCTTTCATTCAATTCCCAGCTCCCAACTCGCTCATGTCGTACGACGCTTGCTCCCGCGGTGGTGCCTTTCACTGTCAAGTCGGTATCACTGGCCAACTTCTCCGCGCCTTTAAACCCTCCGCTTCTACGCAATCCGCCAAGATCTCCATGGTTGGAACCCTTTTTCTCCTCCCGATGGTCGATACGGAATCCAAGCAAGCATAGCACTGATGACAGCAAAATAAACAAGCCCAAGGTGGTGGTAGCACCAATGACACCGGCAATTGCAGGTGATATCTTGTTTTTGTTTCTCCGACCTTTGGTGCCCACAAGTGTGTAGTTAGTCAAGTTATCCTCGATCCCTTTGCAGAAGAGATTCGATGATTGGCATGCACTGCACCAATCCTCCACGCCATTGAGGCCGAGTCCTTCTATTCCCTTCGAGAAGTCACTCCAACTCATATCAGTCGCCTGGTTCCCATTGCCAAACAAGGCATACGAGACCATGGGCGCATCTTCACTTGAGCCATTGCGGAAGAGGAAGCGTACCCATAAGTCGGCGGTGTTTGGGAATGGAATAGTGGCGTTCCCGTCTGCACTGCTTGGGGAATAGGAGAATAGCTCGAAGGCCATCATCGAACCGTGGTCAGGGAGCGTTTGGAAAGTCGAGGCTGAAGGGCCAGCGCTGAGCCCTGAGAGCTCGAAAAATGAAAGGAAAGGTTGGAAGGATCCAAACATGAGGGTGAGTTTATCTGAGATGCCGCCTGATGCGATATTATGCGAGAGTTGCTGGAAAGCCTTACTTGCGATTGTCCGTCCGGCGATGGCACCTATTCCGTTTCCTCCATTTTGCGAGTTGAAAGCCTGCTGTTGCGCAGAAGCTAGGCTGTGAAGTTGATCCAGGGTGGCAGGAGAGAGCGAACCCTGCACGGTTGTATTGTGGTTGTATTCGAATAATGCATATTCGTAAAGGTTTTCTGCATTTGCATAGTTGATGACGCTCGAGTCTAAGTCCCGGAAGAGAGAATCGGCGAGGTTTTGATACACGATCTCGTTTGCCGCCATCTGTGAGGTAAATGCTGAGGAGGCAAGCGTATTTACTTGGTTGATGGAATAGTTCGTGCATCCGACATCGCCAGCAAGCCTAAGGATTCCGTTAACCTTACTGCCGAATACTCCACAAACTTCTGGGATTTGATAGACGGCCCGAAGCCCCTCTACACAATTTAAAAGAAGGATAAGAAACTCACCATATATAATTAAAATCTAGATCGCTCAATGTCCGAACATTAGGGTATTGATACCCACTCAATGGAAACTGTAACAAGCTCCCACTTCCCATCATACTCTCTTCATCCACGACGGCAGTAGCCGTGCTCCTCGGTGGATACAAGCCCTGCATAAATGCCAGCGCACTAGCACTGACATATTCGTCACTAGTGCTCAAAATGTCCATCTGAGAATTTTCGATCCCATTCATACTGATGCCGTTGATGGGCTTTGCGTCGGCCTGGGAGCCATTGGTCGGTGGACTGATGTATCGCGACCGAACTGCCTGTCCTGCTTGGAGCAGTTGGTTTGCGCCCAGCGGAGTCAGGTTATACGGGGACTGGTGAAAGAAAGGGATTTTCTCGCCATGGTAGGTGAAGACTACAGAAGCCCAGGTTACTTGATTTTGGTTCCCTGAGGTTGCTGCGCTCGCTGTCGCGGAGAGGGAGAGGAAGGCGGTCAAGAAGAGAGAAGTCATGATTGGGGATTTCAAGCACGAGTGACTGCACTCAGGATGGAGGATAGCTGGGCGTCGCCTCGTCTTCAACTCAACGGGGATGCAGATGTAGATACGATGAAGCCCTAGATATGATATATTCTGGAGCAAAGCTCTCGGAAGGGACGGAGGACGACGAAAGGTACGACGTGGTAAGAAAGAGAGGAAAGACGAAAGCGGCTACCTATGACCTCAAGGTCGCCCACAAGGCTGTCCCCAACATCCATCCAGCAAGATCTACACCGTGAAGGGCAGCACTCATTGCAGCAGAAGTGCGGGCGCGGGGAAGCTCCATCCCTACCTCTCCCACACCTTGAGAGCTTATCGCCAGCTGATGGTGCAGCGCTGCGAAGAAAGCTATGCCTAGAGCGTGCTGGACGTTCTGCAGACGGATCACACGATTCAGCGCAGCAATTGGGTGCGGCGCATGCTGGTTGGTTGGCGCATGTCGACGCATATAAATGTATGGTTGCGGAAGAATAGCGAAGGCGTGAGTTGGATGGCTGTGGCTTGTGGTCACTCTGGTAATAATCAGGCCGCTGCTTTTTCCCGCCTCGTCGTCTATATGCCTTATCGGCTATCGATGACGGACACAGGGCGCGATAAGGGGAAAGCGTGAGTTGACCCCGCAGTCGGTGGTTGACGTAGTGGAAAAAAGAAAATCATCAAGGTGTACCGAAGCGCGGACTGCTGGTGATCTTCTTCCACTTCCTGCTACTCTGTACTCGCACTTGTGCGATCAAATGCTTAAGACTACCTACCTAGGTACCTTAGGTACATAATGCAGGTAAGCTTTGGGCGTCGTAGGTATGTTGGAAGATACGAAGTACATGCTTGGCATTGTCACACAACATAATCCAGGCCGAGGCAGAGGTTTGGGGAATTATTGGTGCTAATTTTGCTAGACACACAATGCTAACTACCTAGTCATATACACATTTTGCTCGTTTCCATTTCATTTCAAATTTTAACCAAAGAGCGCGTCTCCCAAACGGATCGACACCGACTTGGTTTGGGTATAGTTGGCCAACGCCGCCTCTCCAAGCTCTCGGCCAATACCGGACTCCTTGTAGCCACCGAATGGGACCTGGTGGTGCAGCATGTTATATTGGTTGACCCAGATGGTTCCAGCGCGGAGGGCGTTGGAGACGCGGAGAGCAGTGTTCAGGTTTTGGGTGTGCACAGCAGCGGCGAGACCGTAGGTGGTGTCGTTGGCGCTGTGGAGGACTTCCTCCTCCGTCTCGAACTTAGAAATCGTGCAGACGGGGCCGAAGATCTCCTCTTGCACGATCTTCATGTCTTCGGTAACGTCGGCGAAGATGGTGGGTTGGATGAAGTATCCCTTGTTACCATGACGCTCACCACCAGTCACTACGGTGGCACCGGCCTTCTTTCCCTCGTCAATATAACCCATGATGCGGTCGTATTGGAGTTGCGAGATCTGTGGGCCTTGGAAGGTGTCGGCGGCGAATGGGTCGCCGACCTTGTTGGCAGTAGCACGAGCCTTGAATTGCTGCACGAACTTGTCGTAGATGCCTGACTGGACGTAGATACGGGAGCCAGCACAGCAGCATTGGCCGTGGTTGAAGAAGATACCGAAGTTGACCCATGAGATAGCATTGTCGATGTCGGCATCGTTGAAAATAATGTTAGGTGACTTGCCTCCAAGCTCAAGAGTAACCTTCTTGAGGTTGGACATGGCGGCGGCCTTCATGATTTGACGGCCGACAATGGTCGAACCGGTGAATGCAACCTTGTCGATGCCCATATGCGAGGAAATGGCCGCACCTGCAATCTTTCCGAAACCAGAAATGATGTTGACAACTCCCGGTGGGAAGCCAGCCTCCTTGATCAACTCGGCCGCAACGAGGGCGGAGAGAGGAGTCTGCTCAGCTGTCTTTAGGACTATGGTGTTACCGGTTGCAACCGCAGGGCCGATCTTCCATGCCCACATGAGCAATGGGAAGTTCCATGGAATAATTTGACCGCAAACACCAATCTACATAAGAATGTTAGAATATGATAAAATACCTTGGGAACCGTCCTAGGCGACTTACAGGCTCTTGCTTTGTATACGAAAAGGTATCCGTGTTTGTGTCGATAACCTTACCTTCGATCTTGTCGGCCCAGCCTCCATAGTATCTCAGGCAGCCCGCAGCCATGCCAACATCACCCTTGGCGATGGAAAAGGCCTTTCCATTGTCGAGCGACTCGACCGCAGCCAGCCGGTCGACGTTCTTCTCCATCAAGTTGGCGAGGTTGACCAGCAGCTTGCCTCGGTTCTCGGGAGTCTCCTTCTTCCATGGGCCCTCGAACGCCTTGCGGGCTGCAGCGACTGCAATATCGACATCCTTCTCGGTGGCCTCGTGGACGGAGCAGATAACTTCCTCGGTGGTGGGATTGATGGTCTCGAAGGACTTGCCCTCGACGCCCTTTACAAACTCATTGTTGATGAACCTAGTGGTTGGATAGCAGGTCAGTTCCAGCACGTAGCGGTGAGAAGAGAAATGGAAATGGAGACACAGGTGCGGGGTAGATCGGCAATCGCTGTGTGGTTGAGGTTCAGGTTGGAGGGACAGCTTACAATCCGGTAGGTTGGGTGTATTTGCCCACGGACGGCGTGGATAGTTCGACTGAAGTCATATTGTGATGGAGTGGATGTTTGGTATATGGTGAGGCAGAGGGATATGGAGGGAGAAGAGGAGAGATAAAGAGCACACAAGGAGAGGGCCCTCGGGACTTATTATAATAAAAGAGGGGAGGTGAGGGGAATGTCGCACACCTCCCACCTCACACCTAACACGCAGCTCTCTCGGCTTCAAAGCTCTCCATGTCGCCTCCCCCATTATTCGGGGTGGGTTTGTCTCTGCAGGCCACATGGATGATGGGCCAGCGCTACCGCGACTTAGTGGCGACTTGTTGGAGCTGTGGAGCGCTGTGTGAGAGAGCTGCGGACATCTCCATAGTTCCACTCCCGAGGTCCTGAGCCCCGAGCGAGTTAGAAGGCGGCCACGGAGCAGTTAGCCTATCTTACTAAGAACAACAGTAACCCCGACCTGCTCTAGTGTCTCTGGTGGTGCTTCATACGGCGCCATGGCTATTCAGGACCAAAGGAGGTGCTTGCACCAGCCCGGACGCGGCATCCCGGAAACAACCCATTGTCAGGATGCGGAAGGTCGTCCGACAGTTGCAACGCCAATTCATAAGCTGTATCAGCAAGGAGAGAATAGTAATCTTGAAGAGAGACTGCTGTACCTACGCACGCAGTAGTAATGTAGTAATGCTGTCCCTGATATGCTGTACTACCTAGGTAGGTATGCACATGTAGGTAAGGTAGGTAGAGAGAGTATGCACCTCCGGTACCGCGGTTAGGTACGGAACTGGAATCAACAAACCAACAGTAACAATCTACTGTACTGTACGCGAGTACTCGCCGGCGATAAGATTTGCAAATGTTTTGTTTTTCGGCGATAATGATGAGGCCGGCCTCGCCCTCCGGAGGAACGTAACGCGAGTATCAGGACCATCTCCTTGTGGGCCTCAGAGGCCCCGTTTTCGTCCCATTAGCTCTAGGCACTGCCTCCTTTCCCCCATCCCATAAGCACCGTCAAACAGCTCATCCGTTACACTCCGTGCGACTCTAAGACACCACGAAGGACTAGACTGGCACTTCCCCACACTTGCTCCTTGCGACCGTACGCCACGCGTGTTCGTTCTGGAAGTGGCAATACGCCAGTGTGAGGGGTCCCCGATTTCCGCATCACCGAAGAAGTGGCCTATGGTCCTATCGAAATGCGGTAGCACCTCACTAAGACACAATAAAAGCGGCATGCCAACATATACAGAATTTACGGGCTAGAGGTTTTGTACAGAGGAAGTTTTACTGCTTGGAATCTAGCTGCCCCGTGCTAAAACGTTATTGCCCCGAAACGTCAAATCCTTGCTTTAATACCCTTAATAAGTGGCTGGCTGTCTAGGATAACTCGAAACGTGTCAGTGATGTACGGAGTATCCAACAATGCTCGTTTCCACCAAGCAACTCCACTCTGCAGGGCATTTAACGCCCCGTTGTTGAAATTTATTTATAGAGTTATGGAGTAAGACCTCGTAGAATTTCAAAGCCAGTGTTAACTACCCGAATGTTACAAACGCGCCCGGGATTGGGACCGAGGCTCGGATAGCTATTAGCAAGCATGAGAGGTAATGAGAGCTATGGTAAGCATGGCCGAGAGCAGTATTCGCTTTGATATTTTGATTTCATTAAGAGATAATAGCCATGTTTTTTATAACGGCTGGTCCATATATCTAGCAGTCTAAACTTTTTGGAATTTTCGGCATTGTCGCGGAAAAGGTCAGACCCAAAAATTGGATACCTGTGGGGATAATTTGGAGGTTCCTGGCAGCCATACTGGTTCTTTTGCCGCCGGATTGCTTGACAAGTTTGTATTAAAATGAAGAGAAAATAAGTCGCAGAACCACCACAATGGGTCCGCTGAGTCGAATAGGAATCCCATTGCGAGGAAACCGAGAAGAATGAAAGCGACGATTCAGCCCTGTATGCAAGTAAAAGATGGGGAAGTATGGCTGCGACTGTTGGTAGTTGGTAGTTGGTAAGCTGTTGGTAGCTGTTGGGTGGGTTCTTGCCGTGCCGAATCAACCCTCCTCGTGCTGCATATACCTCTTCCGAACTTCCTATTTTGGAATCTTCGAACGGTAGCGCTGGAAAACAGTGAAGTGCAAATGAACGAATTAGGAATATTTGATTAACAAGGCGGGTCTGAGTGCTGACTCTGCTGAGAGCCAATAAGATTGCCATAGATATCTGGAATTGACGCTGTCGAACTCATCAGCATGGGCAGGCGAATGAGAGCAGAGTTGGAATTAGCAGGGTGAGGACTGGGCAAAGTTCTGTGATGAGGTCTGTGACTGAGGTGGAGATATATAATTCGGAAATGGAGAACAGTGAGAGCAGAGTAACTCGGAGTATTTGAGATGAAAGTTTTGGAACGAGGAAGAGTAAACTGCAACAATATGAAAGAATCTGAAGATTGTAGGAAATGCAACCGGAGAATGAATAGGCCGGTTTTTTGGGCCTTCTAGATGTCAGATAACAGACTTAGCGTTTTCTTCTCGCTAACAACTCTAATATACAAGAACAAATCCTAAAACTTCCGGCTTGCCGCTTGCCAATCAGCACGGGTTCCTCGAGAGCATTTGAAATAGCCATGCCTTCTGAGTCGTTGGCATTGTCAGATATCCTTGAGTCGGATCCGATATATGTGTTCCTTCGATGTTGACATTGATAGCTGATGTATGGTGCTAAGAAGTTCCCTTACAAAGTATCCGCCAGCTCGACGGATGGGTCGATTTTAGAGAATAACAAGAGTTAGTATTGCGGCTTATTTGAGGATATGAATATTATAAGCAACGAATAAGCCGACGTGTAAACTATAAGAAGATTTAGTCAAAGCCTGACTAGCACCACTAATCCGTATTGAGCGCCGACTCTCTAGCTATTTGAACTTTTAGCTCCCGGTCCCTGAACCTCTAGTCATATATCACCATATAAAGTGAAGCCACCGAGCTGGTTAGGCCCAAGAAATGGGGTTTGGTGACGTTAGTTTTGCGTAAGAATACTTTGTTGGCTGCTTGGACAACTACAGACTCACTGAGTGCTTCGTAGTGTCAGGGCCTCTAGCGCAAACCATACTCTGAACCTCGAGACTCGACTAGGGACTAGGTGCTCTGGCTCTGGCTCTCGTGATAATATGATGTAATTATGCGCACTTCATTGTCTGCCGGTAGACACATGTTGCCAACAAGGTGGTGTGCACTGCTAGAGCGGTGGCTGGGCAATAGGCAATTTTGCATTTTCGTCGCAATTTGATGAGGGATTGATCGTGTATCGGATGGTCTGGGGATAGGGCAGTTTTCGAGGGCCTGGATGGACGGCGCTAAACTCATTCAGGACGTTATCGGTATCGCAGGCTCGAGGGAAAACAGAAAACCTTTCCCCTATCGCGGCTTCTTCGTTCAGGTTCATCCGCCATCATCTCTCTCTATATATACACTGACTGCCGCGGATCGCTCCTGCTCCGTATTGATTCTCGGAGGAGTCGCAAGTTGACGTAGCAATTGCCGCCATCATGGCCGGCCCAAATGATGATTCTGGTAAGTCTCTGGATCCCCAGCACAGGAATCGTGTTGGTAGCGTTCGCCGACGAAGAAAACCTGCTTCGGGTTGCTCTCAAGATATCGGTTGTTTTGTTAATAGGTGGTGCGTTACAGATATACCGATCAAATACGAATCCCCGTACTATGCAGAACCAGCGACGATGTATTTTCAACCATCATCAGCTCAGAAGCGCCCCAACCCCGACGGGCAGGATGGCCCAGAAAAGCGACAGAGGATTGAACCTACACATACAACTGCGGGCAATGATGACCACATGGCTGCGCTTCTAGCGCAAGCTACAGCTGCTGCGACTCAGCAGTTCCAGCAATCGTCCAATGTTCATGGCCATCGTGATCAAGGCCCGTCACAGTCCGAGGTAGCTCTGGTTGTCACCCAGGACGAACAGAGGACTACCGGGGATATCCACGGATTTACGTCGGACCCTAATTTATACATGCGGATATTGAGTTTACCAATTCTAGAGAGCTTGGTAAGAACAGATCCTAGGGCTCCGTTGGATAAACTCGGAAGCTAACTTCTCTTATAGTCCACTCAGATTCTGTCAACACTTGCCCAGGGCCCCTATCCTGAAACTATCCGGATAGTCACCGAACCGGAATCGGAACTTGGACAAGCCTACACCACGTTAAAGTCTCTGTTTGACCAGACCAAGAAAATATATAACCAACAAGATCCTTTTCTTTCTGCAGATAGCCTCAACATCCGAGAACCGGAGCATCGAGCAACAATCCGAACCACGAACTTGGCAACATTTGTTTCTAGTGTTTTTGGCGGCCAAGATGTTGGTTTTTACGAGCTGAATGATTGCTTTATTGATACCTTCACCCCTGAGGGTGAACCTCTGGGCTCGGAAGCTGGCCGGCTATTCCTGAACCTCAAAACGCAGATGTATCTGTCTGCGTCACAGCAGGAGGAACAAGACAAAACTAAGGAAGACATCCTAGACGAAATGTTTCCCCATGATCTTAGTGAGATCCTGTCAACTAGACATCCCAACACGACCTTGTGCCAAAGTGAGATTGGCTTCGTCAATGATTGCAGGGAACGAAAAGAATATCTTATGAATGCGGCAAGCGACCCGGAATCGATCCGTGAGTTTGAAGACCTGTTGAATCTGGATAATACTGACGATACCACAGAGGAATTATCAGAGATGTTTGATTGGGAGGACTTCTTACGAGATCTCAGCACTCATCTTAACAAGGCATATGGGCCGCTCCTCGCCCCATATATGAAGCGACATGCTCTCACTGCACCAGTTTCTCCTCGTCGAATGGTGAAAGGCTCCACCCAGACCAACCAGACCCAGCAGAAGTCGGCCACTGGGTCAAATGATAATGATTTTATGGCCCACGCTGACCGAGCTGCTCAAGAAGCACTCCAGAGCCTTGGAGTTGGCCAGGCTCACCAGCAACATAATGGTGGTAAGTTCTGTCTATTATATATTTGTAAATGCATAGCTAACCGCATGATTTAGGAGCTTCTTTACAACGGTATTCTCCTCCAACACAAAATGGGTCCTTCGAGCAGGAATACGGCTCAGGGAATATCCCATATCACACGCAGTCTGCGCCGACGCAAGTTCTATATGAAAAGGCTCGGCAAGCTGCCATATCTAAAAGCAATCCCGGGAATACTCGTCGACCAGGTCTTCCAAGTCAAAGGCGACCATGGAGCACGGACGAAGAAAATGCGCTGATGGCTGGGCTGGACCAGGTAAAGGGTCCTCATTGGAGCCAGATTTTGAATCTGTACGGTCCAAAGGGGACTGTCAGCGAAATTCTCAAGGACAGGAATCAGGTCCAGTTGAAGGACAAGGCGAGAAACCTCAAACTATTCTTCTTGAAGAGTAACATTGAGGTTCCGTACTACCTGCAATCTGTCACTGGCGAGCTCAAGACTCGAGCGCCCAGTCAAGCTGCCCGAAAGGAGGCAGAGGAGCGAGCAAAACTTGCGAGCGACGAAGAACAGGCTCGCTTCCATGGAATAATGGCTTTGGCTGGCGGTATGCAAGATCATAGCGGAATGCTAGGGCAGTTGCAGTCGAACCATAGAGTCGAAGCGTCAGACTCAAAGAGTCCAGAAACCCAACCTGGGCAGAGCATGGATTCGCCCGAGGAGCTTCATGTGGTTGATCCTGCAAATCAAGTTCAATACCGGGACTTTGCTTCTGAGCAGATGAGCGAAGATGAACAATTTAGGCAGCGGCTAATTGCTGCTACTGCGTCGGCTACAGTTGGTCATACAGAGAATGGTGCGGTGCCGGCGAGCAGTGTGAAGCAGGTTGCCATTTGAGATTAATTATTGAGTATTTTAGGTTATCGGCGTCTTGATAATTCGTTAGTTTTATTTCTGGTGGTTTTGGCGTCCAGACCGAAACACGGCCTGTTGCGACTCGCGATACAATGGCGTTATTGTTACCACTTTTTTGGGTTTGGGGTTTCAAGGGCATAGCGCATAGCCTGTGGAGTATAAAAGGATGCTTATTATTGTAGATGAGTACGCCCAAGCCTAGGCTTCAAAGTACATACTCAATTGAACACCTACTGAGTAGGCAGTTAATTATTTTTATGATCAAGGAATTAATCTGTAAACTTTATTGGCTAGTATGTATCCCTTGCCGAAATCATGATATTACTCCGAATGAACTGATATACTGAAACTACGACTTGTCCCGGGATAAAGGGAAGCCCTAGAGTCCATGGTAGGTTAGAGTCCTCAGTAACAGACACTATGAAGGCTAATTGAAGATAGTTGACATCTCTTCTATGTACTAAAAGCAAATCTTACTATAGGCCCTAACGAGCAGTGAACCCTCGGGTATCAACCATACAAGCCCATATTGCCCATAAACTCCATCTATGTTTGCACATTCCACCATTATATAACCACCACCAGCGCCGCAAAATCCCTCCCTGCCCATTAATTACGCGTCAAATCAACTAGCGGCCATGATCGCTCTCCTAATACCGATAATTTTCGAAACGTCAAGCTGCTTATAATTATCCGGCATGTGCTCCCCGCTCGCAATACAGAGTACCTTCATCCGCTCATCATATCGAAGACCAGTAAGGAGTTTTGGGGTGATCAGGAAGTACTGGCTGGTATGCTCTTTGCAGGCGATTTCTACCATGCGCTCGTGTACCATTCGTTCGTTGCGGGGATCCATGCCTTGGTTGATTTCGTCGACGACGCGGAAGGGTGCGCGGGCTAGTGACTGTAGAGACATGAGGTAGAAGATGGTGGATACTGAGCGCTCGCCACCGGACTGGCGATGTTGATTAAGCAGCTGGAGGGTTTCGTTTTCTCTGTTGAATATTAGTATCAAGAGTTTAGTTGGTATATTAAAGGGCTTACCTGAATTTGACTCGGATCTGGATTGCCCAGTTGTCAAAGTCGTCATCCTTGTGTACACTGACTTCGCCAGCACAGCCAATTTGCTCGAAGTTGTAGGAGAATGCTTCACTGATCTCTTCAATCAACTTATCAAGTGCAGGCTCCCATCGGCCCCTAACTTCGGTAATTTGCCGGCCCATTCTCTCGAGCTTCCGCTCAGTATCGGCAGCCTTTTCTTGAAGCCTATTAACTTCGACTTGGCGCCTCTCGAAATCTTTGATTGCGTTAGGGTTGTTTGCATGTACATATTCCAGCTTGGACGATTCTGTTTGGATTTCCATTTCTAGGTTCTCAATAGTCATATCATGAGGAATTGAACCGAAGTGTTCGAGATGCCGCTCGTTAGCAGGGTCCGAGCGGATCTCCTGGCAAACCTGGAGGGCACTTGCTGCCCTTCGCTTTACCTCCTTCGACTCGTCCTCCATCTGTTTAACCTGTCGACGTTCATCTTCTAAATGCTGGTGGATGTCCCTATTGCGCTCTGTGAGTGCCTCAACGTCAGAGGTAGCCTCGATGAGTCTAATTTCGGCTTCTAGCAGCTCTTCGTGGCTGGCTCGAATTTTTGCAACCAATTCTTTATGGTCAAGAGCGACTTTGGCTTTTCTTAGGACGGCATGGTCATGCTGGATTTGGAGCTTTTTGAGACGGGCACGAAATTCCACTCCAGATTGCCTTTTTTCCTCCAAGGCTTCTTCTTCGCGTTCTAGGGAAATATGAGTAAATAATGGGGAGTCGGGCACTATCGGACTTACTAATCTTGTCTGGGAGAGCTGCCTGCTGACCATGAACCTTTTGGATTTCTGCTTTATCGTTCTTGATTTCTTTCTACGCAAACACCTCGTAAGTATATCCAAATACCCGCCTTCAAGTGGACTCACCATTTGCCCCTCGATATCCTTAACCTTAGCCATAAGGTCATTCTTGTTTAGTCGGAGAGGTCGAATTTGGGCTTTTAGCGCCTCAAACTTAGATTTCAATGAGTCGATCTTTGTTTGCATTTCTTCCTTTGCAGAAGTGTCAACTGGTTGGTCAATCCAATACCTCGCTGGCCCGACAGTTCTGGTGTTTGTTGAGACAGCTTGTGGCCCGTATTCTCGTCTTCTTGACACTTTATAGTAGTTCGTCCCAGCCACCCAGGTATTGAGTTGCCCCTGGGCAATTATGGCGTCGAATTGGTCATCAGTGATATCTTGAAGTGATATCCCGGTTCTGTGCATATTCAAAGATTCGCAAAGCATAGACAGCACAGGTCCTGGGCCATCAATGAAATCTACGGCCCAGCCGTCTAAACCAAAATGCTGCTTATCTTGTGCGGATAGCGGACGGCGTCCATCATCCCCGGACCCGTCAGTCCTTCTCACTGGAAAATCGGCAAGATTCATCTTTCCTAGCAATTGGTCTTGCAACTTTTTGAAGTCGGCATGGGTCTGGGCTGTTATAGTCAAATAATCAGTGCGGCGGAGCAAAGATTCGATAGCATTCGCATATCTAGGGTCTTTAACAGAGCAGGTGATTAAAGGGGGACCGTGGACCTCCTTTTCGAACTCGTCAGGATTGTCTTGGACCCATTTCCAAGCATCGGCTGTCTCTTTGGAGACTTTTTCCAGTCTGCTCATTTTTATACCCTCTTGAGTATCTAGGGTGGCCATGGCTTCTTCTTCGGCGGTGACTTCACGAAGAACTTCTTTACCAAGACCCATGAGTTCCTTGTCCTGTACTACAATTTCGCGAATTTCGGCATTGATCTCCCGGAGCTTATGTTCTTTTTCCCTCTGCAAACAATTAGCTAGTGAGAGCGGAGTATCAATACAGTCTACTCACAATGCGTTCATTCCATTCTGAAGCGTTGAACTCTATAGGAGCGTCGTTCAGACGAGCTTTCAGTTCAATAATCTTCCGCTGAATGGCCTGAAGCTCCTGTGTTCTCTTTTTATTTTCTACGCGCTCTGCATCTGCCGACTGCCCAATCTCCATTATATTCTCGTCCAGAACTTCAACCCTTTTGATGAGTTCACTGGCTTCAAGCTCAGCCGCACCAACCGCCACTCTCCGTGCCTGCACCACGGCGGAAATTTGTTGCTGATAGTTTTCCGTGTGTTTGATGGACTGCAGTGTCGGTTCAAGTTCTGCCTCCAAATTTCTAAAACGCCTCTGTGCATTTTCCTTCTCGGTTTTGACTTCTAAGTGCCGGAGGCGAGCAATTCTGTATTCCACGAAAGGTATGCTTTTCTCAAGCATGGATACCTTCTCTTGGATCTGGTTCCTCTCCTCTAATCTTTGGACCTCGACCCGCAAATTCTCCTGGCGACTCTCTAGACCCTCTAAGTGCTCCTTATCTGCTTCGTGCTGAAGTTCCAAAGATTTCTGGTCTCTGCGAATCTTTTTCAGGGCATCATGCTGTTCAAGCATCTCCGGGGGGGCTGCAGCGCGTTGCGTCTGTTGTAGAAGCTCAACTGGTGATAATGCCGCAAACTCTGATACCTTGTCCTGCGGAAGGAATTGGCACAAGTTGTCAACTTGGATGTTGAAGGCTCTCGTCAAAGCCTGTATATGTTTGAGAGACGTTTTCCTATCGTCCAACCAAAATTCGCGAGAATTTCCGTCTCTGATTATCCTCAAACGAACGACATGATTCCGCGGCTCGGTCGGTCTCTTTTGCAGCTCGATTTCGACGAAAGCATCGTTCATCTCATGCTTGACAAATTCCCCAATCTGCTGAGCTCGGCCTAAATGGACTGGTCCCCATCCAAGCCCCAGGCATATCGCGCAAACGAGCGAACTCTTTCCCGTGCCATTTGGTCCAATAACCATATTGAGATTCGGTCCGGGGTAGAACTCGGCATTTTCGTAGGTCACAAAATTGGTAAGTTTGACTCGAACGATTGCACCTGGCTGGAAATGATTTGGGCCGGCTCCGCGCATGCTGCTATCCCCACCGAGATGTTCATCTTGGGAGGGATTACCGTGGCGCCGCCGGGAAGATGGCAGACGAGGTGGTGATGGGGTTTGCGAGTCGCTCATATATCCATTCGTGCGAACGCGTTTGGCGGAATCAACTGAGGGCGTCGACCGTTCTGATCTTCTCTCGGGGTCCGCATCCTCTTCATCCTCGAATTCGAGTCGCCGTCTTCTGCGGGAGCCGTTTAGTAGCGACGACATACTCCGTATCTCTTGGGGGCCTTGCTTTTGTTATGTCGAATAGTTTCCAAGGTTGCGACCTTGTCGCAACCCCAGTAAAGGTTGACGCGACGCGCCGCAATTTGGACTCATGTAATCACGTGACTAAGCGCTTCCACAAAGAGATTTCGGCTCATCCAAATCTGTCAACATGGACGACAACACTTCACCAGCCAGTCAATCGGGAACATACAATTAACCTCTTTTCCAAACCCGTACCTCGGCATATTAGACGATATCATAGACTCCCTCCCGTTACCGCTCTTTAGAGCCCCTCTACTCAAGTAGCATTCCGCGGCGGCTGAGGTCTTCCATGACAGCCTCTCGCGAGATAACGAATCCCTCCGCGATTCGTCATTAATCTTTGGAAGCCGTACTACTCTTAGAAATCCCTTTGCCTAACCTCGAAAGCTAGCGGCGTGGTTGAAAGACAGTGATCTTGCTGATCTATAGGAACCCCCGTAAGGCCCTGGACAGCGATACCTACGTGAGACCAACATATGCAAACTATACTCTCCGAAAGCTAAATGGTACTTCAGCTGTAAACTCCCCCTGCGCTGAGACATCGGGGATGTTCAACTAAGGATGCTCTCTTTAGAGATCTACGCAGCTGTCGATCCCACCTAGCCTGTTTGGTAGGTATCACTTGTTAGTTCTAAGTCGTGGGTCCCCCAGCGTGTTGGCACAAATAGGATACCTAGGGTATTGATTCCGCCGACGAGTATCTTCCCAGCCTTTTCTTTATGGTTGTGAATCTACTATAGATAATGTAGGTCTACTTTGTGCCATTATTTGATCTAGCCGTCATGCGTAGTTGTATGGACGAGAATCCCATATTGTATCAATGAATGCTTCTTATTGTTATGCGTAACACACCTGGGCGTCTATTCTCCAAATATGCGTCTAAAATAACTACCATGAGAAGTATTTCTTTTGGCTTGGAATGTGTTTAGCCGGTTCTCTGGCATGTTGGTGGGGTGGGCGAAATGGTGCATTCCTCTCTCTAGCCCTCGACGCGAGGAGTTGACTAATGTCAACAAATCAACCTCGCAACACCACAACAACACCAATCCCACATTCTGCGCTGTACATTTTCACATTGCAACGTAGGCATTCAGTTGCTTCTTTGCCTAGGTCTCTGCACTCGGGCTGCCTTCTTCCGTTCGAGAGGACTAGTTACTCGGGGTTCGTACCTTTCCGGCTATCTCTTGCGCTTGAGCGAGGTACTTTACGCTGCACCGCGTTTAACAAGAATTACGACGTATGCCATGTATCTCCTCTACAATACTTCTAAAGGACGCGGTCAGAGCTGACAGATCCAGATTGCCTTGACTCTCAAATTTCGCCGGCAAAACGAGTGCGAAGAGTACTACCAACTGGCTCTACCTAGCGAGCATTGGAACCGCTGCGCATCCCTTGATACGCTGGCTTCCAGTGAATATCTAGCAACTTTCCGTGTCTACTGATCGAATACCTTGGCCATGCTACCATAGATCTATCCACGATAATATTTGCTGCTGTGCATCATGAACGGTCAACTTCCTCCGCGACCGCCAACGCGTCGCCCACCTCTTGGTGATGCAACTAAGAGAGTCAACAATGCTCAACACCACCAACCAGCTTCCTTGAAGGCATCCCGTATACCACACCATGACAGCCTCAAGGTCAATGGGCTTTTGCAGGTACTCAACCCAGCACCGGCATCCCCAGTACCGCTCGCGGATAATTTCGCTTTGCGGGAGTCTCACCGAACGGGTTCGCCTGGGCCCAATGTTGCAAACCCGCGCCTTTCAGCCATAACTAAAAGAGACCCTCCCCCCGAATCCAACCGAAATTCGCAAATATCAACGGTCTCCACTAACGCCTCTGATGGCAAGCGAATTAAAGGGCACATTGGACCATGGAAATTGGGGAAAACTTTAGGCAAAGGCGCTACGGCTCGAGTTCGTCTAGCCAGACATGCTTACACGGGACAAGAAGCAGCCGTCAAGATCGTCCAGAAGAAGAATGCTCAATTGTCGCAGGCCGGAAGCCTAGCTGCTCTTGATAAAGCCGAATCTAGCATTCCCGACTCGGAGGATGGAATTAGACGGATGCCTATTGGGATTGAGAGAGAAGTGGCTATTATGAAGCTTATCCAGCATCCAAATATCATGAAGTTGTATGATATCTGGGAGAACCGTACCGAAATGTAGGCTCCTTTAGTCCCTTGAAGCGTTGAAATTGTTGTTAATCACATTTAGATACTTGGTCTTGGAGTACGTTGACAATGGAGAGCTCTTTGAGCAGATTTCACTGAGGGGCGGACTGCCAGAGGAGGAGGCGATGAAATACTTTCGACAAATACTTAGCGCCGTCGGCTACTGCCACTCGTTCAATATCTGTCATAGAGACTTAAAACCCGAGAACATCCTGATCACAAAGAGTAAGGACATCAAGATTGCTGATTTTGGGATGGCCGCGCTGCACCAGAGTCCAAGTCACAAACTCAAGACATCATGCGGCAGTCCGCACTATGCTGCGCCAGAATTGATCCGGGGTACCAATTATCGTGGCGATAAGGTTGATATTTGGAGTATGGGGGTCATTCTCTATGTTACACTGGCTGGAAGATTGCCGTTTGATGTTGACGGAACCGGCAAGGAATGGATCAGCCAGCTCCTGTGGAAGATCAAGAAGGGTTCGTACGAAATGGCTCCAGAGTTCAGCGAAGATGCGGCCAATTTTATTTGGAGAGTTTTGCAAGTCAACCCAAGGGATAGGATCAACCTGAGCCAGATATGGAGACACCCGTTTCTCAGGAAATACGACTACTTGGACAATCTCGGGGGAGGCTATTATCCGCAGTCACCCTCTGCGAACGACTGTCTCCGGCCTGTTCTCCGCCGAAGTGATATTAGCAAAGAACTCCTCCGGCACTTGAGGTCGATGTGGCATCGGCTTTCCGAGCAGCAGCTCATGGATGCGCTTTTGAGCGAAGAGTACGTCTTTACTTTCATTGAGCCCCCCCTAGTAATATGAAGAACTACCACCTCGACGATGATTTATCGCACGCATCACCTACTAATATTCGATAGAACCAATGATCAGAAGTTATTCTACAGTCTACTTTTGAAATACCGAGATGAGCAACTGGAAAACTATATCCCGGATCTTGGATATTCTTCGAGCGATTACCACCACAATAAACCAGCTGTGCTGAAGAAGACATATTCCACTTGCAATTTCTCCCAGATCAAGGCAAAAGGCGTTGGCCGCCAAGTATCTCGCTTTACAGTAATCAGCAATGCTGCTGAGACGGAGCAGAGTTACGATCCTTTCAAAGCCTCCCGGCCTCAACATCTTGACGCAATCCGACATGCAGACCGCCCAAAGGTTACGATTTATCGGAATCGAGATCAGGATGACGGCTGTTCTCCGAAGATTCGCTCACGTTTCCGGATGCCTGCTGCCAGTGGAGGACAGCACAAGCTCGTCCCTCCGAGAGTATATGCATCCCGAAGTTCGTTAGCCAGTTCCACTAGAAGTCGAGGCAGCGCGCCTTATGGGCGATCAGCTGTTGCATATAAACGTGGCGTGAGCTTTTCCCACCTCCGAAAGCCATCTGGCGGTGGCAGCCAAAGAAACTTTTCTTCGGAGCCTCGACAGGACAGCAATAGTACTGAAGTAGTTGGCCATGGAGATGGCATTCGTCATTCCATCGAAGAAGCTCCCTCGCCAAACTACATCCGATCAAAGAAAGGTCAAGCATCAGCGCCACGGTTTCCTGTGGCAAAGGCCGGCCGCGCCAGCCAAATATGGACCGAGGATGTTCGACAGCTTAGTAGCAGCTTGGCCAAAGATTGTGATGAGGCCTTTAATAGAACCTCAGTGATATCAGACTCCCAAAAGTTAGAGAGTACAGGTGCAACCGCATCGGCATCAGCAAGGGACACTTCTTCCTCGGATTCTAATAACCAGAAGAAGTATGTGGCATCCTCAACTTCAGAAACAAACCGGAAGTCAAAGTGTATCTCTCTAGAGGCTCGCCCGCTACCACTTCCTCCCTCTAGGTCGGAATCAGTCAAGAAACAGCTCGTTGAAGCCCGAAAGCAGGCTGAGCTTCGGAAACTATCTGGTGGAGATGACTCACCAGGGTATCTTGACCGGATGGTATCACATATCGATCGTCTGATGCAGCCACAATCCCCCACTCAGGCGTATCCCGACCGCCGAGCTTCCTCTGCTCCAATGGAAACCAAATATCGTGCGTCGAACCGTCTCCTACCATCAATATATGAGGACATCTCCCCTCGGAGAGCTTCTGATTCGGTGAAGGTTGTTGAATACTTAAGCCCAGAAGGCAAAGGCAGCCGAATAGCATCTGCCCCCGAGTCGGGAGCATCGAATACAAATTTCATGGATGACCGATCCTATAGGACTACCACTCGAATGACACACACTATTCGGGTAGTTGAGCCATCTTCTCCATGCAGCCCAGTACAAGTGCCTGCTCCCCTCACTATTCGCAAGAAGAGTTCTCGTGCCGGCCCGGTAGTTTTGATGAGTGGAGGATTGGATTTGAACCCCAGCGGTAGCACCCGACTCCCAACATCGCGATTGGATCTTCGACGTCAATACAATGCTTCACCGAAGTTAGATGTTACTCCAAACCGAGAGGGTATTCAAGAAGAGTACATTAATAGCAATGACAATCAGTTTGTGGGCGATATCAGCTCTGGTACAATTGCCAAGAAGCCGACTTGGTTCAGGCGCAATTCAAAGAGCGGGGAAGATGACTTCAGAAACTCAACGAGGGGTACCGATGCGTTGCCGTCTCGGACTTCAAGTAGCGATGCCGATCAAGGACTTGACCATCTCGATGTTTATCCGATTCTACCCAAAAACAGGAGATTTAGTCTGCGCGGCCTGTTTAAGAAACGAAACTCTAAGTCAGACATGACCGCCACCCGTAAGTACATCCAAAATCCCCTCTTGCCCACTTGAGTGATATTGACTCTTTCGCCAGATTATGACATCGACGATACCATTAGTCTTTGTGACTCTATGGTGGAGGCTCAACGTCAATCACACGCAGGACGAGACGATCCGCGGGCTCGACAAATCGAACCACAACAGAACTGGCTAGCTAAGCTCTTCCATGTAAAACCGGTTTCGAAATTCGTGTGTTTCTCAGTGTCCAGAAGAAGAGCCCGACAGGAGATTACGACTATCCTTCGAGAATGGAAGCGATATGGTATCCGAGAGGTCCAGGTTGACAAGGAGAGAAACATCGTCTTTGGAAAGGTTGGAGCGAAGAATTGTGAGCAACTTATCCAATTGGAAAGTACTACAACTAACGCCCTATAGATCTTGATATGAAAGAGGTTGCTTTTGCTGGCGAAGTCATGACGGTCATCGAACATGGCAAGAGATCGCACCTGAGCATTGCACGTTTCACACAGGAACAAGGTGCCGCCAGTAGTTTCAACAAGGTTATGGAGACCTTGGAGAGTGTGTTGAAGGTCCGTGGAATGCTTGTCTCTGATGAGCGAAAGAAGAGAATGATGATAAAGACGTTGAATTCCATGTAGGTGATATGGCTTGATTCTCACTATACACCAGCTTTACAGATGAATTGAGTCTCGCGAGCCAACGATCACCTCGTGTCAACGATGTTAGGACATGCCTCCGCCGAAGGCATTCTGCGGCGTGTCTATGCTGGGTGAACGTAGCAGTCGACGAGGTTGTTGAATTGGGTTTCTTTCATTTTGTTTCGCATTAATTCAGCATAGGTGGAGGGAGCCCTGAATTTGGTCTGAACATGAAGAACAGCATGAAGTGTGGTTATAATACTGTCTTGTATATGGCGTGCATGTCTTTCGAGATGGAAGAGATCGGAGACGGTGCGGGAGATCATGGAATTTGCAGAAGCGGTAATAGATTGTGCAGGAATTGCTACCTTTGCTTGTACCATACACGTCTACATCACGTACAGTATAATTCGGAAATTGACTTTTCTATTTTGCATGAATGGTCTCAAAACTAAGCGCTGATGATTACTGTGTGCAATACTAAGAGCGTTGACCGCCTTGAAGGATCAACAAGTCAGAATACGTACTCGGTAAGACAAGGTCTGATTGGACATGTACATGTACTACCTTGACTAGGAACCATAAGCCGGTGCAATTCAAACGCTCAACGTATGATTTTTGGTTCCCTGGTACGTGGTAATGACGATTCTCTCTCCGCCTTGGAAAGGGAAATACCTTGAGGAAATTGGCCTGAATACGTCGTCTTCCGTCGCCGGTACTGCCCAGCACAAAATGCGGAGGTACACTGCCGCTTCCACATTGACGCCACACCCGACACCTCCGAGTACGCCAAGCCTCATATTATCATACGGTGCACTATAAAAAGCAAAATAGGTATGCTTGGTCACGAAATGCTAAAAATAGCAATTTCATAGCGTCAAGTAATTAATTCCTCGAATGCAAATGAAAAATACGATGCGGGGCAACCACGGGACTTTAGCCATTAAATGATCAGGCTTATGTCATATCGACCAAATCTTGCATGGCATGCCAGCACAAGTCGTTCCAATCGCAAGAAAAACAAAACAGCAAACATCACGCTTGTCGATCTTCCCGTGTTGTTGACGGTGGTACGTGAAGCGAATAAATGTGCTGAGCCAGCGGCCCAAGGCCACTAAAACGTAAGTCGGAGTAAGACGGTGAGGCTGAATGTCTTCCCTAATACGAAGCTACGTGTCGATCATTTATGTTCCTAGCACGGTAGCACCGATCCCTTCAAGCCAAGGCCAAATGGAATGCAAAGCCGGGGTAATTGTGCGAGGCTGAAGGCTTCGAGAGAATGCAATACGAACGAAGAACCTTGAAGCCAAGACCTTAATACGAAGTATCGTGGACGATCAGATTCTCGTGATCTCTGATGACGCAGGTATTGCTGATGTAGATCTTTAATGAATTTTGCTATATTAATACTGCCCTTCAACACCTCAAGTAAATTTTCTCATCATCATCATAAAGCATCTCGATTCTACCAAACTCAAGACAATATAATCAACTCAGTCACATAACCAAACACAAATTTTCAAACTCAAACTCAAAACAGAATCAATACCGAAACCATGTTCTCTAAGACTATCCTTTTCGTCAGTGCCCTCGCCAGTGGCGCTCTCGCCGCCCCAGCTATTCAAGCCAGGCAAACAGACCTCCCCTGGACCCTGACGGCTTTCACCCGTACCTGCGATGACGCCGCCAACACATGCCACTATTCCTTTGGCGTTCAGCAGAATGACGGCCCTCAGATTCTGCCAGCATGCGACTACACCATCCATGGCACAACGCAATCAGCACGTATTACCGACTACCAATCCCAACCCTGCGGACCTTCCTGGCTCATCAACCAAGGCCATGACCCCAACGGATTCATCGTCGTCGTTGTGACCGATACCGCCAAGCACGAGCGCGCCTTCTACGGTTATGAGGATGCTTGGTTGGTTGATGGACAGGCTGTCACTCCTGATGTTTCTTCCCCCCCTCAGGCCACTTAATTTGTATAAAGTAAGCGCACTTCCCAGCTGATCAAACCTCAATTATTAAAAGAAGACTCCTCGCTAACACTTATAGCGAGGATAAACTGTTAAAAAGCATTGAAACATTCCTTATGCTTTCGCGTGGCACTTGCGTGGGTTGACAGTTTTGGTTTTGGGAAATTGGAAGGAGGAGTTAAATATATACGTTCATAGTCCTGATAATGGTACATAGTCATTAATCAAGATCATGTTAATTTTTACAACTTTGCTGTTCTCAAGAGCTAGAATGCGCGTCAAAACTCGAGATATAGACGCCTTTTTGACAATTAAATACTACAGTTTTTGGTTAACTATATATCGATGCATACCTTGTAGTATGATAGTCCATGGTATAAATAATAAGCTCCCATAGAGCGTCTATAGCTGGATAGTACCTAGCTTACCTAATTCACTTACCCTCCCTACTCACCCTTCTTAAGTTCTAACTTCTCACTCAGCGTCTGAATCCAGCCCCACATTATGTGCGCTGATGTGGTCCGTAGTATAGATGAAAGGTCACCCACCACCTTGTAGTAAATCATAAGAGCTACTATATCACGAGAGCGCAATAATTAGTAGTTAGACGCGCTACTTGCAATTCACTGTATAACTTGGTTTTGCCCTTATATCATCCCATAAATCCCCCGCCTTTCTTTTCCTCAACAAACCATTTTAGAAACACCACTTTTTCTACCCTGCCCTTAGCCCCCAAACACATAATAAACAAAAACTAAATAAAAGCCTCCTATCAAAACTCGATTCCTAGAAGCCCGATAATTTTTATAATAATAAGTAGGGACAACAACCGCCATTAATTAATTAACCCCTCCACCTTATTTCACAAATCTAGCTCAACAGGGAACTCGCGTAGAATTCTAAACCCACACCCCTTAGTGCTTCTTAGCTTATTAAAAGCCGCTCGATAATGTCGATTTCGAAAATAATAATACATCAAACCGTGACATCAAGAGCCTTAATATTGTCGATCTTTGCATTATAAAACTGAGGGAAGGTTAGGATTTTTTGTCATACTCATGCTCGGGAAAAATTAGTGAGGAGTTATACTACTCCCGGGAAGGGTATTTATATTTTTGTGGAGCTAGATGCAACGACCCGGAATCCATCACGAGTAGGGAAGAGTAGGGCAGAGTAGAGTAAAGTAGTGCAAGTAGATAGACACGCTCGGGCGATCAGCGGTTGATCATCAAGCCCATCCCCAGAAAACCACCACCGCCAAGACGTAGCACCCAAGCGAACAGAAATATATCATCCGGATTCCGGATTCATCCCATCTTATCCCCAGCGTGATCACAGGGTCCCAGCCGGCTACACGTGCTCAAGCTAGCAAAGCAAGAAGCCACATGGCAAGTTGCATTTGCATTTGCAGTTGCAGTTTGCAGTTGCATTTACGAAGTCTCCTCTGCGCGCCGGGTTCCAGTTCCAGCAACCCGGTAACGGAGTCGCGCGGTGTTCCCACGGCAGTCGCATCGTGGATTATTAAAAGCGCAGCGCAGCGCAGCGCCACGTCCCCGCCACGCCACACACCACGCCACGCCCGAAGCCACCTCCACAATCCCACTATTCCGGGGCCCTGGCCGCCACGAGGAACCTGGTCCTTGTTTGGGCAACACCACACAGACACAGACACCGCAGACGACACAGCATCCAAAATGTCCGCCGAATCCTGAACTCCAGCGCCGTGGGCGTGGGTGGGGTGGGATTGCTTGTGTTGCGTGGCTTCTTGGGGAGTTGTTTGTTTGATGGGGTTCCTTTAACTGCCGATGTGAGGGCTGGAGATGGCGTCTTATGGGCTGCTTGTTTCAACAACTAGACCACATCCCAAGTATGTAGCACGTATACTCCAAGATTCTAATCGGTTTCATCGTACTACGTATTCTTATCTATTTGAATCACCATTTATACTTCACTTCATTTCCTTCCCACATCACCAACCAATACTCCCCATCTATCAACAACTTGAAATACTTCGAAAAATCTCCATTTTGCTCATTTAAGTTTCGCTATGGTGATACAAGTACAGCTACTGATTAATCTGTCTTTTATCCAGACCAGACCATCGGATATCTCGTTAAACAGGGCGATGGGGGAGAAAAGAAGAAGCAAATAATGCCCAAATAGCAGAATGCACCCCACCCCCCCCTAAAGCTAGCAGAAAAGGAAGAAAAAATGACCCCGTACAACACACAGTGCGCAGTAGCGCTGGAAGAGGTATTCCCATCCAACCAACCCATGAATGCGCAAGAATCCGAAATGCTAGCCAGGCTCTTGCTCTCCTCAAGAAGTAATAGGCCGTGAATGACGGCTGTTATATCGTCTCTCAAAATTATCCTTCAGAGAGTAGCCGGCGTGCCCCGTACACCAACATGGAAAAATATAGCTGGGCGGCAAAACAAAAAACCCCCGTTCGTTTCACTCGTACCCCAGACAAGACTCGCTTCGCATAGATGGGGGGAAAAAACACCACAACACACAACGCCGGGTATTGCACCCGTCCGACTTTTTGTCGGGGGCGGGGTTTACAGTCCCAAATGTTACGCCGCCAATCCCCGGACTCCCTTCACATACACAAAAATCTCACGTCAACCCCGTGTACTGTGACGTGGGTGCTCCACAGAGACATAGAAAGTGATCAGATGGCCTTCTTGATCATTTCTGGACTGGGGCTCTGGATAGAATCCCCCATTCCTTCGGCTTTAATATCCGGTGATTGGCTATCGCCGTTGGTGTTCGACGTGCCGTTGGCGGTGCCTTTCCCGCATCCCTTTACCAGGACATGTCTCTGTTCATTTAATTAGCTTTCCCTTCTTACAAAAACCAAATACCCCTCCAATTATAGCGAAATGGAATGGGATTAAAACCATACCTTTAACGCATCTCTCCGGGAAAAGCTCTTGTCGCAATGCCCGCACGGGAACGGCTTCACAGCCAAATGAATTCGCTTATGGCGCTTGAGATCGTGGTTTCGGTTGAACGACTGCGGGCATTGATCGCATTTGAAGGGGCGCTCACTTTGCTGCTGCTGCTGTCCGGGATGGTGTCCATACATTGGTCCGCCTAGTTGATGAGGTGGATATTGCATGTTCATGCCTCCTACGAGCGCCATCTGGTTTCCAGGGTTATGTACATTGGACATGATTGGACCCGCCATTGCAGGGAGACTGTAGCCTCCATATGGTCGGGAGTGGTAGTTTTGGGGAGCTGAGACGGGCGAGATTCGATTGGTGGGCGCTGAAGATGCATTAGGAGATTGCTGAGGGGGCGATTGCTGTGTGTATGCTGGGAATGAGGCTTGCTGGGGTGTGGAAGCAGGAGTGTAATATGATGGAGTTGGAGGGGGTCGGCCACCATAGTTTTCTGGAGCATGTAGAGGCGATTGCTGAGGCGCCTGAGAAGCAGGTTGGAGCTGCTGAGGTGGTGGGGGCGGTTGGTGTTGTTGGTGATGCTGCTGCTGGTGATGTTGTTGTTGCTGGTGGTGGTGTTGCTGCTGGTGTTGTTGCTGCTGTTGAGGGGCAAGAGTTGGGAGATTTTGTTGCTGGCCTCCTGATGAGCCTGCGGAAGTTGGGAACGGCGGGAGATTGATGTCATATGGCGGGGGTGGAAGTCCTTCACCTGCGGTGGGCGAGTTGGTCCCCCGATTTGGGAAATTCATGGCTGGCGAGTACATTGGGCGGCCGGCATTCATGTAATTCTGCTGCCCTTGGGCATACGTCCCCGACATTGGGGGCGCCGAGCTGTAGGTATATGAGGGGTTCTGTGGTGTTGGCCAATAACCCATGGGTTGATAAGGAGGGACACCGGTCGTTGAACCGCCGGAGCTGGCGCTGTTCAGACTGGACAACGGGCTGTTGTCGTTTGGGTGAGCAGGCGGAGGAGTGAGTACACTGCTGGATGGCGGCGTGGGCTGCGTGGAGCTTGTTGGCGCGTACGCCGGGTACTTGTGCATTCCCGAGAGGTGGTTTTCGGGGGGTGGGAGTTGGAAAGTAGGGAGATTGGAGGCCGCTGACCTTCGAGCAGTGAAGCTCTGAGTTTCCATTGCTGTGGGAGGAGGTAAGATCGAAGTCCACGACGGTCTCCCGGGAGGAGTACCGTTCGCGGCAAATTCGAGTGAGTGGACAAAGGCCGCTTGCACGTTCACGTTCTTTGACCCAACTGGACTCGACCGGCCTGGATTTGGACTCCGACTTTTGACCCGGACTTGTCGAGGACGCGATGGATAGGGCCGAGGCGAGTTTGGTTCGCGTCAAGCTCCAAGTGTGGTGCCGGTGGGAAACCAGTCAGACAGTCAGTCAGTTCCAGTGTCTCTCTCCAGTAGCCAACGAAGCTGTCGACAGAAACCAAACAACACGATGGTTTCTGGCAAAGGTCCGTCGCGTGCAACGCCGAGTGGTCTCTCGTAGGTATATTATAGGTAGGTAGTTATTGAGTTTATCGAGGGCGTTTCGAGGGCAGACGTGGGTTAAAGAATGTGGAGCGTCGATCACCTGGATGGCGGCCGGGGAGGCGTCTGTCGATATATGTACTTGGGGAGCTTAATGGGAGGGGACGGGGGG